AAAGCTAGTTTCCGACTCTCCTCAGGGTAGCTAGTACGCTTATAGTTAGTAATTTGATCCATCTAGCCGATGGAGCCTGACCACGCGAGAAGTCGCGACGATGAGTTCGGATGGATCCGTTTTTTATTCTGTACCTGCGGCTGTTTTCCCTTTCCCCTGTCTCCACTTATGCTAAAGGGCTGCCCGGAGATTCGGTTCCTAGCTTCCTTTAGTGGAGAGAGCTCGTCTGGATTGATACATAAAGACCGGTTGAAAATTAAAATAATAAAATAATGACAAGAGAGACAGATATGCTGCATAGTACTTTATCTTTCCGTAGGTATCTTTGATCCGCGGCAGTGCATCAGAGGGATAAGAAGAAAGAGAAGAGATTGTAGATAGATCAAGATGGGATTGTGACGGATCAGAGTTTTTTTTTTTTGTTGGATCTATTCACTGTTGGTTAGACTACTGCAACACTACTGAGGATTAGCAAGACGTTAGAGAACGCAGAAAAGGGGGGCTTGGGTTCCTGTTCCCCGGGACCAGGGACGGGAGAGCCGCTCGGTGCTAACAAAGAATTATGGAGCCCATAAGCTTATGATTTCACTGCGAAATACACTGAAACCCCTAAGGGGCAGGAATACTGATTTATTATTTTTCTTGTCTTTTTTTTTCTGTTTTTCCTCTTTAAGATTATTTTTTTTGGTAATTTTGGATTTTATTGATTTATGGATCGTCCCTTTTCTTTTCTACTAGAATAGTCCAATAGAATAATGTGAAAAATAATTATCGCCCTTCCCATCTATGTAAAGATAAAAAATTGAGAAAAGAAAATAGGGAAAAAAAGGAATCCAAAGAAGATCATCCTAGTTCTTTCACTCATAAGCCATCATCCTATATCTACGCAATCGATTCCCTCTTTCCCCCTAAGTGGAATCTATTTACCCATCTCCAACTGCTTCTCTTCCAGGTCGACATACCTAACCTCCGTCATCCTTCCTCTCCTATCATCCTCTCCCTCTGTCGACGCGATCCTAAGCAAAAAACCTGCGCGAAATCAGGGGAAAAAACAAAGAAAAAAACGCCTCTTACCCCTACCACCCTGTGCTCTCCCTTCTCCCTTGCGATACGTCGCGTTGATTTTCAATCCGGATCTACCGGACCAGACTTCCGCGGCACTTCTCCTTTACAGGGCCTCCCTTGCCGGCTGAGCTTCATTATCCCTTCTAAAAGAGCTGCCCGTTGCGCTGGTTTAGATCGCGATTTTTTATGACCTCGATGCTGCAGCCACCCTCGCGCTTATCATTTTGACAATTTCTGATTTGATTCCCGCCTTTTTTTTTTTTTTTATTTTTTTCATCTGGGACTTTGTCTTCTTTGATTTGCGATTCAACCTTTTTTTCGGTACAAACGAAATAAAAAGCAACGAGCGACGACCTGTCGAACTTTCCGCTGCTGCCACCTTTTATTTCGTTCTCCACGCCCTTTCCTATTTGTCGGGACCGTGTCGTCACATTCCTGCCCTACAAATCTGCTGGTGTCTGCATTATTTCAGTGGCCATCTTAAAAAGGTCCCTCTGCTCCGATCTTGACTGCATCTGCATCCACCTACCTACGCCATCCGCCGTCTAGAACACCCGACTTTTTTTTTCTTGGGATTTTCCGAATACTTCGGGGCGGTGGACTGGGAATTTCGTTTGCCTGTGTGGTGAATTTCCCCTGGTGAAAACTTCTATATAAGAACCGTTCGTGGTGTTTACTTGGTAAGTTTTTTTTCCCATCTCCATTCTTGAGCACCCTTCGCGTCGCAATCCTATCTCCACGCCTACATCCATTCCAACTGCTTCTCACCCAACCACCCGTCTAACAATGATTGCCTCTGCAGATCTCAACATGATTCTCCGAGATTTGTCTGCTTTCAACATGGGTCGCGGCGCCTATGATACGACTGGCGTTAAGAAGCCTGGCGCGCCTCAACCACCTCCGAAATAAACCAAACCCTCTACGATACCCTCGACCATCTTTTTCTATACTCCCCGCGCTGTCGGTAATCGCTTCTGGGATTTGCTTTTTTTTTCTGGCGCATTCTCGGATGGCTGGAGTTTTTGACGCTTCCAATGTTTGGCGTTTTATCTCTTCCTTCGGTCAGTCGGGTCCTTTTTACCCACCAGCCTCATGTCGGGCACCAATACTAATAGCTCATGCAGGCCACTGTAACATTATTCAAATCGGTCGAATTTTGTCTGCATTTTCTTTCGGTCATTATGCTTGTCTATTCGCCACTGGCCTTGCGCGACCCCATATACCCTTTTTAATTTCCGTTCTCTCTGCATCGGTTTCGGATTTTTCAGCGTCGACGCTTTCTTTCGCCCTTTTACTTGTCTTCCCATGTGCGCCTTATACCTAATCTCGGATCCTCGACCTCGCCTTCTACTCTTCCGCCTCACCTCCGCCTTCTCTCTTCCGCAAAATCCTACGGGTTTCTTCCTACATCACACCTCTCACGGTCGATCTCTCAAAAAGTGTCTTTCTTGTGTCTCTGATTTCCTTTGTCTCTGTGGTTTTCTGATTTTTTTGGTGATCATTCTATCTCGGCGTTATGGTATAGACGGGACGGAACTTGTTGCATGGGATGCATGGGCTGATACCAGAAGAACCTAGACCTTCGACCTCGCGGTCAATAGCACTTTTTTGCTGATTCTATTTTCTTGGGGTGCACAGTACTTTTGCTTTGGGCCTCTTTTCCTGTACTTGTACTAGTACTCTGTATTTGTATGTTTATCTCTGATGTTGATGTCTGGACAATATTTTTGCGCACGGTTGGGATCCCCCCATAAAAAAACTTCATGCCCTATCTTGATTCTCTTTTTAACTTCCGTCTTCCCTGGTCTAGACCGTACAGTAGTTGGTCCGATCTCCAAAAGATCAGGACCGGTTCACGTTGACCAACGGCTGTCGTGTCGCTCGGGTTTGACAGCTGCGCCGGGCGGGACGAGCAGAAGCGTCGGGCAGATTTGCTTGAGGACCGGCGCCGAGCCAGGAACCGTCCGCCTGGTTTTCGATCTAGATCCCTGTTCGTGCATCGGCAGATAGGTCCCGGGCCTGATTGTGGAATTTGCTGGTGCTCGACATCATCTCGCATATTGGTTGGGCACTAGTCTTGTGGACAGGAACGATCTCCAGAGCATATTGTCGTGCCTTACCCCGCCTACTTCACAAGCATTGAGGTCGGATCGACATTTAATACCGGGTCTTCCCCGGTTATCTCTTGAGTTGGTTTTGTGGCGCTTGTTTAGGATTTGTAATGTCTCTATGGAAGAGTTATCTAGGCATCTCGCTCATGCGGTAACACATGATAGCGATGCAGACGCGAATCGCCTTGCCTTGGAGCAATACAATTTCACAGCGGACAGTTTACTAGCAACTAGATCGACGTGAAATTTCAGGAAATTCATACAGGATTTAGACTAAACTCAGAATCAACCAAGATGGACTCCGAGGGCTTGGATATTTCTGAGGGCATCTGTTCGGATCCTTCGGTCTTGATAGACCAGACAAACAACCTGAAATCAGTATGCATTTATGACAGCTGCATGCTTTAGTCTTAAATCTAACCTTTTGCGGGCTTACAGGATCTACAAGACTCATTAAAACAGGCCATCCAAAGAAATCTTAGTTGAATAATGCTAATAATGCTAAAAAAAGTGAGACGCAACCCTGGAAAATACGAGGGAAGATCTAATGAGACATTCTGGGAAAGTAAAGACTGTCATCCAGACAGCAATATAGGTTTCTTTCATACTTATCATGTCTTAGCCAAAATAACCCCGGCTGTATAAGACAAATGCCAGTCCATAATAATGCAGGTACAACGCATCCTCATGGGTATTACTTTATCAGCTGATAGAATGGTGCTGGTTGAAAGGTCTACTATAGGTTGGTTCAAAGAAGATGAGGTATCATAATTAAGTGTGGAAAAGATAGCTGTGGTGGAGGAAAAGATAAAACATCATTGCAGCCCTGGTGCTCCTGCTCTCCAGTGAGTTTTTCATCTGGAAGCGAAACTCAGGTTGTCAAGGGTATAGATACTGGACAGAATATGCTCCGAGGACCCCTCCGTTCATGTCATCGTATTTAGGGTTCAATGCCGGAGATAATAGGACAGCCTCGGTCGAGGCATATCAATCCATAGAAGCAATCTAGAAAGCGAGATACGGCTGTATACCCAGTTCAGAAATAATAGTTTATCGATACGGTAAAGCGATATGCTCGACTTGGATCACTGTTTGGTGATAATATATAATGTTGTCCACTTGAATATTACTTTAGAAAATTGATTAATACCTACCTAATTCAAACTAGAGAAGACGCTAATATCAAATGTAGAGAAGCCCATACCATTCTCTCGTGTGTTCAGTGAATTGAATTCTTTCGAAACTAGCCTTATTTGTTGAGACGACCTACGACTTTCAGTCCTGACGAAATCCAGTTGCCTGGCTCGACGACGTGTACTGCACCAGGGATCAAGGTTTAAGATGGCCAGGGATGGCGCTCACTATGCAACCTTTGAAATGGCTAGGATCGTAGCTAGTGTAAAAATTGATTAAAGAAAAAAAAGAGACTTTACAATCAGATCTATGAAATATGTAGGTCGATGGGCCTTTGTAGATTCCCGTGACTGCTAAGACCTCCGTTCACGCTAAGCCATATTGGGACAACCGCCATCATCATCGACCTCCACTTCCAACACCTCAGCTTCCCCCGTGGATTGCGACATCTTTCTCCCTCTTATTTCGCTCCCAAGAACAGCCACAACACTCGTGTTTCTGCTTTGATTTCTCTGCTTTGATTTCGTATCCAGGGTCCCTGCCCACACCGCCACGACCACAGCCGAGCTTGCCAGCTCATCCTTCTGCCTGATCAGCCGATTACTTCAATAGGCGTCGCTCGCTCCCTGCACGACGGCCTAACCCGCGATCTGCTTCAACAACATTACACATAATTCTACAATCTCAGTCATGTCCGAGTCAGCTAGCGCGAATGCGCCGAAGCCGAGCAGCAGCGTCAAGCTAGTCCTGCTCGGCGAGGCCGCGGTTGGCAAGGTACACTTGTTATTATACCATGTTACACTGGAACTAATAGCTGACCGCAAGTTCTCTCTGCTTACAGTCGTCGCTCGTCCTTCGGTTTGTCAACAATGATTTCCAAGAGAACAAGGAGCCAACGATCGGCGGTAAGAAGTTTCCCCTCCCCCAATGGGACTCTGTGTTTCAAGACGAGAGCGGCTTTCCCTTGCTTGTCTAGCATTCTATGCGAATGGAAGTCTTGCCCGGTCTCAAAATAGCATGATATCTTACATGAGATATCCGCTGCGTTAATCCAACATCCGACACTGATGATACGGTGTGCTAACGTCATCTTTTAGCCGCCTTCCTGACACAGAAATGCACTCTTCCCACGCGCACAATCAAGTTTGAGATTTGGGATACAGCCGGCCAGGAACGTTTCGCCTCACTTGCGCCAATGTACTACCGCAATGCCCAGGCTGCCCTTGTCGTCTACGATGTCACGAAGCCATCATCGCTGACAAAAGCGAAGCACTGGGTTGCTGAGCTGCAGCGCCAGGCTAGCCCCGGAATTGTCATCGCTCTTGTCGGTAACAAGCTGGACTTGACCAACGATGGTGGTGATGCTACGGGAGCTTCATCCGCTCCCCAGGCCGAGTCCGAGTCGGCAGGACAAGATGAAGCAGAGGCTGGCGAGGAGGCCGAGGAGCAGCTTCCTGCTTCGGGCGACGCTCGGAAAGTGTCGACTCGGGAAGCCAGCACATACGCTGAAGAGGAGGGTCTGCTGTTCTTCGAGACTAGTGCGAAGATCGGAACCAATGTCGTGGAAGTCTTCACGGCTATTGCCAACGCTATTCCAGAGAGTAGCCTGAAGACCGGCCGGGGTGCTGGAGGTGCCGGACAGACTGCGCTGGGAAGCCGATCGGGTGAGGATTCTCGGGTTAACCTAGGAGACCGGGGCGCCGCGACGGCCAAGGAGGGTTGCGCTTGTTGATCCACGAGCAATCGTGGTTCTTTTGAAGTTTTTGCCTTGCAATTTTCATGGGTTCAGGCGTCTCCTTTTCTTTTTGTGCTCCTTGTCTTGTATTGCTCATCATGGCAGTACATCCTTACTATCTGCCCCTGTGCTTATATACCTCGCCTCGTCTTGCGTCTTCTTTAGTTTTCGCAATGTTAGAATTGTAAATTGCCAGTTTCACACCAAAATCATGACCTTTGTATGAAGAACCCCCCAGCCAATGAGCGCCAGCCGAGGACTGGCCCGTGTCACGGGACCAATAAATCACGGGACCACAGAACCCCCCGAAAAGAAGCCCAAAACGAGGCCGTAACACTAAACCCAATCGGGCACTAGCGCACTCTAAGCGAAGCCGGCGATCCCACAGCAAATTCACCAACTCTTCGGACTGTGAGAACCACTCCCCTCCGCCGACCTCAACCCAGCACCTTCGCAGCACTCCGTCGCTCGCAATCATGGCTGCCATCAACAAGATTGCCACCAACTCGCCCTCCCGGCAGAACCCCTCCGAGCTGGAGACCGCGATTGCCGGTGCTCTGTTCGACCTCGAGAGCAACACTCAGGACCTGAAGGCCTCCCTTCGCCCCCTGCAGTTCGTCTCTGCCCGTGAGGTAAGAATTGAACTTTCTTCCGACAATCAGAACCTCCAGAAATTGCGCCGAAGGAATTCTACTATGCGGTGATCTGTTATCGATGCAAGAGATGGGAAAATTGCGGACATTTGTGGATATATCAAAATCACGACTTTTGAGTACCGCACAACACGCCCAGATGGAAAATTGGAAATTTACACAAATGGACACGATCACCGGCAAAGGAATTCCTCGACGTCGACTCCGGAGGGCGCATTGAATTTTTGCAATTTGTGTGCGCGCACATTTTGGCCGAACCGAAATTCTAACATGTACTTCTCGCTATTAGGTCGAGGTCGGCCACGGCAAGAAGGCCATCGTTGTCTTCGTCCCCGTCCCCCTCCTGCAGAACTTCCACAAGATCCAGCAGCGGTAAGACGAATACCCATCCCACGAAGCATCGACTTAATCTTGTTCCCCGCGAATTCGAAATACAGTGGGGCTAACATATTTTTCTCCCACAGCCTGACCCGCGAGCTGGAGAAGAAGTTCTCTGACCGCCACGTCCTCTTCGTTGCTCAGCGCCGCATCTTGTCCCGCCCCAAGCGCTCCGTCAACTCCCGCACCAACCAGAACCAGAAGCGCCCCCGTTCCCGCACTCTGACCTCTGTCCACGAGAACATCCTCGCTGACCTCGTCTACCCCGTTGAGATCGTCGGCAAGCGCATCCGCACCAAGGAGGACGGCTCCAAGACCCTCAAGGTCGTTCTGGACGAGAAGGAGAAGGGTGGTGTCGACCACCGCCTCGATGCTTACGGTGAGGTCTACCGTCGGTTGACCGGCCGTGCTGTCGTGTTCGAGTTCCCCCAGAGCGGCGCCGAGTACTAAGCACGTGTTGTGTATGGAGCGGGATGAAAAAAGAGGAGATATCGGTGTATTTTGGGAATTTGCTTGTTTCTAGGTCTGAAACTCACTAGATTCAAGGAAGAGAGCATGATGGGTGAAAGACCAAAAAATGCATTCACGGGTTTTCTTTGAGTTATGTTGCCTCCCCCATTGACTGGTGCATGGTTCTTTTTTCTAGTCCTCCGGCTCTCAATTCTCTGCGCGAGGCGACGGAGCTGAATATCCCATTCGGACCGTGTTTCTCTCTTAATGAAGATGGGATGGGATATGTGATAACATTCCAATGGATTTTTTTCCGACTTTTAACCAATTGCACCCGTAGTCTGGATATTTCCAGCGTGCTCATCCAGGACAAGTGTGTTGGTATTAGGAGGGATTAAAGTCATAGTACCTATGCCGACCTCCGAGTACATCGAGCATCTAGAACGTCCAGTACATGCCCAATTGTAGAAGAATGGTACCTGACGTGTATATGTGCAACAAGATAAAGACACTTTGGGGTATGAGTAAGGAAAATATCAACACGACCACCACTCCTACTATCTACAAAGACGCCTGAATCCTTCCAACACCGAGAACCATCCAGTAAGCCAGCTCTCGAGCCACCAAATCGTCTGGCTTCGATGCCTTGCCGACATTCTGCTGTTCAAGCTGTGCCTCCGCATCCCATTCCATATGCACAAACACCGGGATCTCTAGTACATCCTCATCCTTCTGAAGAGAAGCCGCGATATCAATGTCACTTGCCCGGCCGTCTTCTGCTTGAGTACCAGGCAACGTCCCTGGAACCACTTCCAACACAACAGTAGTCCAATTTCGGCCCTTCTCCCAGACCTTTCCGGCCTCGGGAACTTTCTCGCCGCCTCGCATGCCCGTAATTCGATCACTGAGCGGTGCCGTTGCATTCTGCAATGCTTCATCCCATACATCGCTGTTGGCGCCAATCTCGAACTGCGGACAAAGCACAGTAACCTTGGTGGCCACACTGCCCGGGGTCACAGAGGGTGTAGCAAGTGTGATGCGAACTGGGTCAAACATGTGGTTCTTCAGAGTCAGAAGAACATGATAAGGTCGAAGGGGAGACAGCGCGTTCAGATCTGGAGTTGGACCCAGGCCTGAAATCGAAGATGCTGAAGGCTGAGCGAGAGGGCGTAGAGTCGGGAGAGGGATATAGCTTAACGCAATGAGGCGGATACGGAAGCGCGTAGACTGCGGCTTGGTCTCAGGTTTCACTAGAATATGCTTGCATGACTTGCAGCGCTTGGCGCGTTTGGTTCGTAGGAGAACTGGAAGCGGGAGGAGTTCGTCCACGAATCGTACATCAGGCGATTGCTCTGTACGCTGGGTGATAGATGCAACGCCGTCCCAGCCGCAATCTGAGGACGGAATGCGCTCGATGAGTGCCGTATCGGTATCCTCCGAGGCAATACGGAGGCCCTCACTGGCAGTCAGAGCTTCACGCATGACCGGCGGCTTGGACTTCGGTTTCTTGTTACCGCCATAGAGTCCACTCAACCGCGAGGAGGAGGCGTATAGAGACATCAGCCGGTTCAATGCCCCGGGAGACGAGAATCCAAATTCCGAGCTAAGAGGGTCATTGGGTGAATTGGATGTCTCTGATATCTGTGTACGATAAAAGTTTTTCAAAGCAGCAAAACGGGCTTCTGCACCAAGATGGGGCGTGGGCGTTGCATCTTCCTTGGAAGAAGATTGCTCTGCATCTCGTTCGCCGGCATTAGATTGCTCGTCAATGGAAGCAAAGTTAGACAAAGGTGACTTCAAATCTCCGAAGGCGCGCGATCCTTGCCGCGACCGGGCGTCGAATGTAGGTGCCGTTGTCGAGTCGGTCATTTTCTGCAACTGGCTACGGATATTGGTGGGCTTGTCGAACTTGATACCGATATCAAGTGTCGTCCATAGGCAGTAGCTGCATGAGAGCACCCAAGGGCCCTGTCCACTACTATTTCCGGTAACATTTTCAATGGTACTCACAGCCAGCGGTGCTGTACAGGCGGGGCAATTGAAGCAGTTTCGGCCACACCTAGAAGGAGCGCGAGTTAGCAAACGCTAGTCGAGAAGGCTCTGTGTAGGCGAACATACCGACCACCGTCACTGCGTACCATGCTGCTCGGTGTCTCAAACAGGCAATTGGGACAGTACCAGCTCACGATCTCCTCCGTTATGCATCGTGGACACTTTATCTGGTGGCAATCCTCGCAGTACAGAAGTTGTTCAGGTGGGTATAAGGAGAAATTTGACCGAGGTGACCGAGGGTCAAAGGTCTGTTCTTCGTCTTCGTCTTCATCTTGACCTTTTTCGTTTGGTTGTTTCGTCTCGCCCTGGTCTTCGCTGGTCTCGGTGTTCCGCTCTGGAGTAGGTTTCTGCGGCGATTCCCGGGACCTTCGCTTCCTGGCCGGGTCAGGCACCGGCGTGTCCGCACAGGGACAGGAGATATACGTGTAGGGAAACGGGCGGGACATTGTGTATGTTTGGTGGTAAGGGTGCAAGAAAGAAAGGAGGTCGTAAAGCTCGGTCAATTCATGCTTCGTGTCGACCGGAAGGCTTGTACGAAGGACAAAGGATAGGAAAGGCGATGATACCGCGCACCGGTAATACGAAATAGATATTATCTACTCCAAATGTTAGTGGTTATACTTGCAGCCCGAGGCCCAGTTTGCAGTCGTGTCGGACGCAACTCGGGGGAGGGGGAGCGTATTGATGTGAAAGAACTGACCACAGCACAGCTGCAGGGTACAAATCCTTGTCGCTACCCTGCGAGCTTCACAAGTCGAGCTTTCAGCTTCCAGATAGCCCAGGACAATCAGAGCGACTGGGGTACAAGTGCCGGCGCGGCGTGGAAGTGTGCGCGATCGCGGAGTGGGAGCTGCGGAGGTTCCGCAATCAACAATCGACGTCAGAACAAAATTTAAGACTCGACACTACTTCCTCCTGCGCCCTCAACCCGACCACTTCGCAAAATGGTCCAGAGCTAAACCCGCATTCAACCCCCAATAAAGCTCGTACCTCGACCTAAGCTACTATGATCTCCCTTCACCCATTTCGCGCCACCTTTTCCCGGCGATGCATCGCCGCAACCTCCGGCGTGCGAACCTACGCTAGCCAGACGCCCGGCAATCCCATGATAGAGATCTTCAACCGCAAAACAAAGCACCTGCAGAAGGACCGGGCTGCTCGGAATGTCGAAGAGAGCCGGAAAACGGATTACCTGAAGGATGAAGTGGCGCTGCGCTTATGCGAACGGTTGCTGGTAAGAAATTCATTGAAACAAGGGTCTTGGAATTGAACAGCGCAGGTAACAGCTGCTGATATGGACATGTTCTTGGATTGTTAGGACATCAAGCGCGACTTCCATAATGTGCTCGATCTGGGTGCGAACAGCTGCAATATTGCGCGGGCATTGACAACACCGAACCTCGATATCGCAGTGCCCGAGGGTACTCCATCACCACCACTGGCAGAACGGATCTCGAAGTTGACATGCGTGGAGACATCACATGCGCTGCTTCACCGAGATGAGGAGCTGCCTTTCAATAAAGAGATCAATATTCATCGTGATGTGATCCCCGACCTCGAGACACTGCCATACCAGCCGAACACATTCGATGCGGTCCTGTCGTCACTATCCATGCACTGGATCAACGACCTACCTGCATTGCTGGAGCAGGTGAATACTATGCTCAAGCCCGACAGCCCCTTCATTGCTGCAATGTTCGGTGGCGATACTCTTTTCGAGCTACGGGGATCGTTGCAGCTAGCTGATTTGGAGCGCCGCGGTGGTGTCACTCCGCACATATCCCCGCTGGTTGACGTACGGGACGTTGGAAATCTACTGAACCGCGCTGGGTTCAAGATGCTTACTGTCGATGTCGAGGACATCGTGGTAGAGTTCCCGGATTCTTTTGCGCTCATGCAGGACCTGCAGGCCATGGGCGAGAGCAATGCTATCATGCACCGTGAGGCTGGGCCCCTGTCACGGGATGTTTTGCTGGCCAACGAAGCTATCTACAGGCAGATGTATATGGAGGAGGATGCTCCGGGAATCCCAGCAACATTCCGCATGATTTACATGATCGGATGGAAGGAAGGCGGCAACCAGCCGCAGCCACTCCAGCGCGGAAGCGGCGAGCTCAACCTGAAGGATATTCTGGGTGGTGGTGATTTCCAAAAACCATGAGGGTAACCATACAGCCCTGGGAATGAAAGAAACAATTGGAGGGGTCAACATAATGTCATAGTATATCGATTGTAAAACAACCACGCTGAAAGCAACACACAGAGGGAGATTGTCCACAAAAGAAATGTATGAAATACAATCAAGCCTCTACCAAGACAACAAATAAAGGAGAATCCGCCCAGCTGCTTCCGCTCAAACCGTCCGGCGGTCCGTCATGACGCGGACAATAGACCCAGTGCCTGTCAACTCCACCAGCTTCTCGTGCCAGTTCAGCAACACACTCATCTGCTGGCCACCACCACCCTCGCCCAGGTTGCGGGCCTGGATCTGAGAGAAACCGGTGGCTTGGGGAGAGACGTTCTTACGAGGGGACTGGGCGCCGCTGCTGGGGCCGGGCGAGGACATTCCCTTGTAGCTGGTTCAAGTTAGCACAGATTCGGGTTACGACCATGCTCCAAGTGACCAAACTTACATGTACTTCATCAGACAGTCCGCGCGCTCTGATCCACCCTCACCACCTGTAACACCCTCCAGAACACGGGTCATCTCAGCCTGCCGAATACCCTGCAACACCTCGATCACTGTAGCAAGATGCACCTCCTTAGCGCGGTCGTCGCCGCCCAGCGGCGCAGTGTCCAGAACGTGACGGAGCGCGCCCTCGGCATCACCACCGCGCAGCAGTTGGCGAACCTGTGTAGCAACATTGGCGGCATCACTGGAGGTCTCGGGCTGAGGCAAGGTGGCAGGGAGGAGGGTCTCCATGGGGAAGTTGACGGACGACTCGGGGTCGAGCTGGTCGACGTTGATGGTGCGGTAGTTGATTTGCGACATGATGGCGGTTGCGCTGTGGCTTTTGGGTGTAAAGTCGAAAGATGGTGTGAGCGGTCGGTGATAGGAGAGACCGTAATTAATCGTAGATCCCTAGATGTAGAGTCTGGCGGTAGCTGACGGTCGTGGCCTATTTGGTATGGCGGTGCGGTGGACGGGAAGCGGGGAGATCGGAGGTAAGGAGATGTCCCCGGGGGCACGAGGAGGCGGGAGATGCGGAAGAGAGGAGGTGAGAGTTGTATTGTTTAATTGAAGGTGGCCAAATGCTGCAGATCGGAAAGGTGTAATTCCAATTGCCTTGAACAAGTCAATAAAGAGGGGATGGATGGAGCTGCTGAGCACCGCCCGCTGTGGGGGTGACGGAGTTTGAGCGCCTCAGGCAGCAAGTACTATTCCGCTGCCTGGTCCTAATAAGCGTTAAGTATACTCTTGGGCAGTTTACAAGATATGCTACTCGATGTGCCTGTATGGATTCGTGGAGTGTGCAGAAACCCAAATGCATGGTATTATGATTGCAGAGTTGTATGTATGATTTTCTTCTTAACCTTTCCTCCTTGCCATATAGAATAACAAGAACAATATGTGCTGGACCACAATTTGGCGCCAACTGAGACTTAGTAGCCATTCTTGTCAACCCCGTTTTCCTCGTAGACCTGCAAACTATATCTTGCAAATTTGCTGCGACCTCGAATCTGTTTACCATATTTGATAAATAGAGGGGGAACGACACAGAATAGCGTTGCTAACGCCGCCAGAATAGACGATGCCACGTTTGCGTCTAACCCATCAAACATACGTGTTCCAAACAACGGAAACATGGCTGACATCAATGAGCGCAAAAATGAGAGAGCAGCGAATCCACTGGCAGCATAGCTCAATTAGCTGTCTGCGAGATACCCTGCCAGGACCGAGTCGAATTCGTTGACAGCATATCCGATGAACACCAGCGCAATTGTCGACACGATCCAATGAGCGTTGGCGATGAAAGGAGGAATAGTCCATGCAAACCACCAAAGTCCACCAACAAGCATAGGGGCTCCAATCGCGAAATCAAGAAGCTTGTGCTCCGGCTCCAGAGGTATACCTTTTTGCTCGTGCTTCAGTATTGTGCGATGGTCCTGGACACGAGTGAACAATCCCAAGACGAGACCAACACATATTCCAAGGAATAGCAAAGTAGATGATGTGGATGAGAAACCCATAGATTGATAGATGGGGGCAAAGCGTCGGTGAAGAGATAGATCATCCCGAAAGCCACCGCGCTCATCACAGACACCATAAAAACAATGGGCTCCGTGAAAAAGAGCCTAAGTGGTCGAGACGCAGCGATCCGTGTAAAGCTCTTGAAATCAGGAGTGTGATCAGGATTTAAAGCTTCCAGAGTGGCATTACTACTCTCTTTGCGCAGATTAGCCACTTCCCTCATAAGGAGTAAAGAGGGTCGCGACTCGCAGATTCCAAAGAGCAGTAGAGTGACTACTGCATTAACAATAGCAGCAAAATAGAAGACCCATTGCATAAAAAGTAATTAGCATCCAAGTATAAAAGAAAAAGCCTGGCAGCCTACCAACTTAAACGCGCGCTGATGTATGTGCTAACAATGGGACCACAGGTCAATCCCATATTTGCAACGATAGCCCACGGAAAGATCAGCCAAACACGGTCCTTTGAATTGAACATATCTTTAATACTGCCTGCTACGACAATTATAGGAATGACTGATAAGAACCGGAGAAGAACCGGCCGAGAACTACACCCGCCAAAGAAGGAATGATGCCAACGACGACACATGATACACTATACAAGCCGGTACTGGCAATATATAGTTTCTTGCGGCCAAAGACTTCTGAGTAGGGTGGAAAGATGATTCCACCGAGCATCTGGCCAAGTAGATATCTCCAAGGGTTGGAAGTCAGAGCCTGAATTAATGTATCAGGATTGGAATGTTCAGCTCGGCTCACACTGAGACAAAAATGAAGATGGCTAGCGTTCGGCGGATTCCAAACTCGTGACGGGCAAAGTTGGCCTCAGAGTTTTGTTCCGAATATGAGTTAGTTCTTTCTTTGGTTAATCAATATTGTTCATTGATTGTGCTTACTATGGGCGACTCTCAACAAAGATCGGCCAAAGAAACACCCTTTGCAGACACTGCATTTCAACATTGAAGTTTATTGGCATTTTTCACAAAAAGCAACTACCGATCTAGTTGTTAATCATTACCACACAATAACTCCAGAATTGTGGGATACTGCGCTATTTAATCGGTCATTTACCCCATCAGTAGAGATTTTGGTCGCTTTCAACATCGAATTTCCCTTTAAGCTCCACTCAGTGCTATTTGCATTTATCTACCGATAATACATCAGCATCTCTCGTTTTCCTACCAAAATGCGTTCCCTTTCTATCTTACTTTTCATTACCTCTATCTCAATGATCTCTGCACAAGAGCAGTCAGCAGAACCATGTGATGAAAACCAAAATGAGGTTTGCTGTTCTGGCGTTGTGGATCCTATTGACCCATCAATCCAGCAAGAGCTTACCAATGCCAACGTTTCTCCCTCATCACTTAGTGGGCTGGTCGGCACTAACTGTAAGTAACACTATACGCGCTCTCTAACCCTCTAATAGTGGTTATGCTTGTGATTAACATGATCTCTCAAATATTTAGGTGTTGATAGTGGCGGTAATAGCAACTGCCCTGCCTCTAGTACACTTTCTGCTGTGATATTCGGACACCCCCAACTGTATGTTTTATTTAAACCCTAACCTCTTCATTCCTTGGGATTATGTGGACAATGCCGGGTTGAGTGTTCCTATTCATGATGCAAGACTGTAATCACTAACGGTGAAACACTCGATAGCTGGTCAACGATGGGTATTACGCTGGTTGTGCACCTCAAACATCTTAATAAACTCAAGAAGACTTGGACCTCGCTGTTAGATAATTAGGCTTATTAACTTCTGTGCTGTTACTGCCGATTTCTCGAGCGTCCGAAGAAAACCGCCAAGCTAGACGTTCATTCGCCATTAAAAGCAAATTATCCAATTATTTGAGACTTAATACTGTCACCTCTTCTCGTTATCTATCTTCACTTCTTTCATACCTTGAAACAGGTAGCAAGTGTTTGGTGGCACCTACATTTATCTTGCGAGCCGCGGAACATTCACCACAAAAAATGAACGCAATAGGGGGCTTATGTCTTGCTTTGGTTCACCGTTTTGAGCACTTGAGTCGCCCAAAAATCGAGGAACTGAAATTTTGATTAGGGCTGGCACCTTGCGTAAAGCTTGAATTGAGCACGCATAATTGGTCCAGGACCCATTGGAGTTTTTCTATGAGAATGAAAGCGATAGAATAGATACTATTCACATCCAAGGCATGGTATCAGCTGAATAACTTATCCAACAAGCCTTTTTTTTCTCCTCGGTGACTGGCTAAGCAAAGAGCCTCATAAGTGTCAATTTCTTCTTTCAGACCACCAAGAGATAAGTCTGCAGTCCCCGGCCAAACATAGTTTGTCCTGGAAAACAACTTCCATCCGAGCAATGCGATGATGAAGAATCCAATCATCCCGTAATCCAAGAAAAACCACATCACGTCCCAGCCGCCTGTCAAAAACAGGTCATAACCTCCTGCCAGGAGCATGAAGATTGTGCCACCCATAGCAAAGTAGGAGGTGTAAGGCTGAAATCGCCCTTTATAAGGGAGGTCATCTCGTGAGATTCCTTGTTTCTGAAGACTGGAGTAGAAGTGACGGTATGTCACTGCTGTAAAACAGTAATTAAGCAGTTGGCAACATGTGACAAGATCGACGAGGTACGTCATCACTACTGCCGAGGAGTCGTTGACTTGAAGAAATGCGAGAAGGCAAAACGAGAGAGATACAGCAAGGGCCCAGGCTGGAACGCCTGCCTTTGTGCAGCGTGATAGGAATCGAGGTGCATGGCCTTCAAGTGACATCCCATGCAAGGTTCGGGTGGCTGAGAATAGTAAGCCGTTGCCGGCGCTGAATATGGACGTCATGATAAGTGCATTCACCAGGTGAGGAAGGCCATGAATCTTGAGTCGCTCCATCGCAATGACATAGGGCCTAGCAGTCAAATTAGAGTAGGTTCCACTACATTGAGCGCCGAGAGACCAAAAACTTACGAGGCAGCACCTGTTCCTGAACCAGACTCGTCGCCTCCAAGAATAGCAAGAAGTGTGGCGTCATTATACGGAATGACAATGCCCATGCAAAGCGCTGAGCCAACAAAGAACAAAAGGATACGCCAGACGAAGGACCGAAAAGCAGGCGGCAAAACTTTTCGTGGAGTCTCGGCCTCGGCCGCAACCATCGAGATGTACTCCGGTCCGCAAATTCTGGGAAATTAGCACTGGTAATACATGAAACGAAGCTGGGAAACTCACGAGAAGCTAGCTTGATAGACACACGACAAGACTCCCAGAAATCTCCCTGTGTTGCCAGCAGAAAGATGTTCGACAAATGCTCCGGGATTATTCCAATACCTGAAACCATAACGGTCATGCAACGGGTTCCCCCCCACCATTGTGATGAAGGTAAAGAAAAATAGCCCAATCATCAAAACAACCTTGAAAATAGACAGATAGAACTCGGCGACTCCAAAATAACGCACGCTGATCATGTTGAGGAGTGCATATAGTACAATTATTGCGACAATGATGGCCTCAACAGGTACCTTGTCCGTCCAAAAGGTGATCATAATGTTCATGGCAACAATCTCGAACGGAACAAGGAATGCCATATTCAGGAAGAAATTCCATGCCATAGCGAAGCCCAGAGCACCATCTACCCACTCGCTACCGAATCGAATAAACGGGGACGGCACGGGAAGATAGGTCACCATTTCGGCAAAGCACTCGTTCACTGCCCACATCACGGAGCCCCATATAAGAAAAGCGATGAAAAGACCTGCAGGTCCACCTTTGGGAAGCGCAGCTCCCATCTGTACATAAAGAGCTGATTGATGTGTTAGATTACGCGGGGACAATCTGCATGTACACATTCGTGCTCGAGTTGCAAAGGTATGGATAAGACTCACATGTACCGATGGCGCCTCCGATCGCAAATAGTTGCACCTCTTTACCTCGCAACTTACGATGTAAGGCTTGGGACCCAGCGTGTCCATTCGATAAAGTATCTAAACCAACATCGCTGGCGTCGGAGGAGGGCTGGCTATTTGCAGAAGGAAAACATGATTGTTTCTCAGGGTCTTTTGTGGTCAACATGTTTCGCTAGTTGATAGATTTTGGGAAACTATCTTATCAACTATAATCTTTTCAAAAATCCGTAGAAAAGGGAATAGAGTCTCTGGGTGGGCCCAGGAAACAAAGTGCTTTTTCTATTGATCTTCGAAAAACCCCCACCGCTAATTCTTATCCACGAGTCTTCTTATCAAGCGAATGAGAATGATTTGCAGTTTCCTTATTGTTCAAAGGTACCCCTCAAAAAGATGTCCAGGCCAATACTGTCCCCTACGAAGTGCTAGTAACTTTCTGTCAAGGCTGGACAATCATTCAGTCAATGAGATAGAGGGGACAAGTTGTCCAAACAGATTATGATAGTTTATCATATCTTCGGAGGGCCCGATAGCGGTTATCTATCCAAGCTATTTGCTTATCAGAATGTCAAGAGGGTCGGCTCCCCCGACACGTGCGGCCTTTGAAAGGCCCCTGCACGGTTGTCATTGCGAATTGCGGGGTGCAGCGGTGCTGTATTGAAGAATAATGACAAATCCAAACGAGGCCAGAAAGTTCTCACATGATATATAGTAAATAGAATGTCGGTAGCGTGGGCAGACCGGTGGCAAGTAGCTGTTAGCTCTATTATGCGCCGATTCATAATTTTTTTCATTAAATGCTTGCATAGAACGTAGAACCCCCCCCCCCCCCCCCCCCCAATGAAAGTAAGCCTATGACACAATTACTTGGTCTCTTTAAACCAGAAAGAGAAGCAAGGCGAAAACAACAAGTTTAAGTGGGTACTCGCCACCATAAACACCTTCGCCTGTCATGCCAGAGTCATATCCCAACAATAATAGGCTGTTAATTGACATGAAACAGTTCCAAAGAAGAACTAACATCTAATGCAAATGTTTCTAAGACTTGAATTCGCCTTTGCAAAGATGATCCTCATACTGTAAATGGGGCTGAAACTCAGCAAAGAGAGTCTCCTATGCTTTGATGTTAGATCTATGATTTTTTGAAAAGAAAACCAGGGTCTTACGTACTGGAGTGCTTGCCATCTTGAAATTGTAAGCAGCTTCCTCATCGCTCACAATTTGCTTTTTAAGTTCAGTTCGATCGGCCAACAGTTGGACTTTGCAGCTCCTTTCCATGAGGCAGAACAGGAATGCTGCTTCATCAACGGTTTCCCCTACAGTCAGGAGGCCATGATTCATCAATATCACGGCCTTGCCATCGCCTAAACTTTCAGCAATTCGTTGTCCCTCGGACGCCTCATTTGCAATGCCTCCATAGTTGGAGTAGACAGAGTGGGCCTTGTAAAAATAGCAAACATCCTGATTGATCATTTCCAGGGGCTTTGCAAACGCCGACCAAGCTCGTCCGTGTACCGAGTGCGTGTGACATATAGCATGCACGTCTTTACGTGATTTATGCACCGCACTGTGGATTTGGAATCCAGCAGCATTGATTGAGCCAGCTGTATTCCCACCCACCACATCACCATCGATAGTCACACAAATCATGTCGCTCGCCTTCAACATTCCAAAGTGTACGCCGAGCGGGTTGATCCAAAACCGATCCTCGAACTTGGGATCTCGCACACTGATATGTCCTGAAATGCCTTCTGCATATCCCTCGCGGGCGAAGACGCGAAATGCGCCCGCCATGTGTTCTAGCTGCCATTTGCGCTTATCTGCGTGGTAATCGAACTTGGGGATGCCGGGGAGAGCCTTGCCTCTGTGAGCCATTGCAGCCATAGCATCGACATCATTGACTTTTGTGGGCGCAGCCTTGGCTTGGGAATTCTGGGATGCAGATGCGGCAGGAGACATTGTGGCAAGAATTTACTCTCGCAAGATATAGTTTTGGGATAGAAAAGACCTTAGGATTGAGGGAGCTCAAAGGCCTTTTGGTGATCCCATCTATAACATAATCTCACAACTATATACAGAGCCAAAAGTCTACACGAAGGAGTAGAAACTCTAGATGGGACACTAAAGTTTATTTTGCCCTTGATGAGATAGATTCCATTTGGTAATCGTCTTGGTATGGCGGGCTCGTCCGAAGTCGGGAGTCCCGATCACAACCCCGCACGAGGGCAGCCGCCTGCGTGCGGAGGAGGAGATAAGACATTCACCATCGTCGCCATCTCTACAAAGTTGAATTCGGATCCGCCGATGCCACGAGGTTCGAGCAGTCAAAGCCCTTCCTCACGACGATTGAACATTAACATTGTGAACGGACTGGCTTGGAGGCGGCCTAGCATCTGGCTCTCCTGGAAGGTTGTTAAGCAAGCCTAACTGTTGCAGTCTTGTTTGGACTGGTTGGGACGAAGCTCACACCGATCGCCATGACTGAGAGCATCATAGGGAGAGGTGAGCCAGCAATTCACTTCCCAAAATCAACGTTCAATTCTGACACGGTATCCGTAGGCACGGCCCTGCTGTCGAACAACATAGTGATCATCGCCGGGGCTACGTTCCTAGCATGTATTCTGTACCAATTCATCTACCAGCCTTTATACGCAACTTCTCTTGGACAGATTCCAGGCTCGAAAATATTTTCAGCAACTAAATGGCGGCTAGCCCTTGCTGATTACCAAGGAATTCGGACGCAAACCATCCACTCGTTGCACCGAGAATACGGAACTGTCGTGCGTATTGGCCCCAATGAAGTCTCCTTCTCATCTTTGAGTGCCTTGAGAACAATCTATGGGGCTGGATCTGGGTTTGAAAGAACAGTGTTCTATCGGATGTTTGATGCCTATGGACGTCAGAATCTCTTTACCTTTGCTGGAACCAAAGAGCATGCGGAAAGAAAGAAGCTACTTGCTCATGCTTACTCAAAAAGTGTGATACTCTCACCTAATGCAATAGCAAGACCGTTGATCGAGAAAAACGTCAACAAATACCTTGAACTTTTGGAACGCGAAAAAGATGTGGCCGAGGAGATATTCCAGAGCTTGCATTGGCTCAGCTTGGACAGCATCACCGGGTTCCTCTACGGAGAAAAATATGGGGGAACACATGCAGTCGCGGGGAACAAAGAACATAGGCAACTGATCGGCGATATCATTGATCCCAGTCGGCGAAAGCTGAGCTGGTATGCTACACATCTGAAGAGCTACACAAAGTGGCTTTATACCCGAACCGGAATGATGGAGAGACTTATTACCAGTCTGGGTCTACTGCCCATGGAAAAGCCTGCCACATATACTGGCATTCGAGCACACGCACTCCAGTCATGGACGGCTTTCGAGGCTGCCGCTGTTGAGAGGCCCCCATCTCAAGAATTCGCCATTATTGAAAAGCTTTGGAAACAGAGCAGATCAGGCAAAGGAGCCCGTCTTGACGGTCTTGATATGGCTTCCGAGCTGGCAGATCATTTCCTCGCCGGTATAGACACCACAAGTGACACGCTGATGTTCACGATTTGGGCCCTCTCTCGGGAAGAAAATCGAAAATACCAAGAGAAGTTGATCGAAGAGGTCGATAAGATTTCCGAGATGGATTGCAATGATGACGGTAACCCCACTGCGGAAGCTGTAGACAAACTTCCATATCTTGACGCTGTCATCAAGGAGACCCTTCGACTCTATGCCCCCTTACCAGCGTCTGAGCCACGGTCGCTACCGATTGACACAACAATTGACGGATATCTGATTCCTGCGGGAACGGTCGTGAGCATGTCGCCATATACGCTTCACCGCAACCCAGAAGTATTCCCAGAGCCTCTGAAGTTCAAGCCTGAGCGCTGGCTAGGCGAGTGTGGTGATTTGACTGAGATGAAGAAATGGTTCTGGGCGTTTTCCAGTGGAGGACGAATGTGCATTGGCCTGCAGTGAGTCTGACCTGAACGAAAACTTTCTTGATGGTTGATCTAATCAAAATTTCTAGCCTTGCCATGGCAGAAATGACAACTTTGCTTGCAGCCATCTACAGGCGGTATTCGACCAGTGAGTACAAGCGGCAAAGAGGAACAACTCCAGTTATCACAAGCCGGTTCGAGGTTTTCTACGATAAGACTCTACCAAAAGCTGAGGTGAGCACACACTTTGGCTTGAATATGGACGTCTCCAAAACTGACTCTCTCTATCTCAACGCAGGAGCATGAATGTTTTATCAAATTTGAGAAAAGACAAAGCACATGAATTGCTGGTTCTTTGAGTTGGAATGGCTGTTTATATACGAAAACAAGATGATATTTTGCATTGCATTTCCCGATTTACAATAGAACTTTATGTGAAGTTGTCTGTAGTACTCTGGCCTGGGCCTCTCATCTATAGGACCTCAATAACATAGCCTCCTTCATACCATCTGAATAGATGGCCAGCAGTTTAAAGGGCACCAATCTTATGCCACCCGATTGATCGTCTTACCATTACACCATGACTCAACAGTGTTCTTAACTCCCGCCTGAAGATTACCCATGGTCCTCTCCGCAAACCACGCAAGATGCGGGCTCAACACCAGGTTTAGCCCGTCTGTCTCCAGCAAAGGAGATCCGCCCCTTCCAACGGGCTCATTCGCATAAACGTCCATTCCCGCCCCGAAGATCTCTCCTTGCTTGAGCGCATTAACTAAAGCCTCCTCGTCGACTATTCCCCCACGGGCAACGTTGATCAACACAGCCTGGCATTGCATCATCCGCAATTCATCGGTTGAAATCATGTTCGCCGTCTCAGCCGTTCTCGGTAGACATAGTATCAACACGGTTGATTGTCGAAGAGCATCCTCGAAGGAAACCCGGCCTGCTCGTGGAGTTTCTCCTCGTCGCTCAGCGATGATAACCTTCATTCCCAAAGCTGTCGCTAATGTCTGAATTCGTTTGCCAAGTGCTCCATACCCGATAATCCCGACCGTCTCTTCGCTGCAAAGTAAAGGAGCCTTCCCATCCGCGGTCCGCAGTCGTGGATGTAGAGATCCCTTCGATTTCCACTCCGTCTCACCCTCGGCAGGCACAGTAGTCACGGCATTGGTCAAATGAACTAGATTTCTTCGCGTCGCGAAGTATAATCCGATCGCGTGCTCGCTGACACTATCGGTATTTGTGCTGGGACAATTGCAAACCGGAATTCCGCGTGCTTTAGCGGCTTCTTTATCCACACAGTCTGTTCCGGATGCTAGGACAACTATAAGTCGGAGGCGTGGAGTTTTATCGACGCTTATAATTTCGGCAGGGAGCCGGGTTGTGGTTGTTATAATAATTGTGGCGTCTTTGACTCGTGCGCTGAGCTCTGAGGGCTCGGTCCAGGCGTGGATGGATTTGGTGTGTGGACCTGGAAGGTCAAAGTCGGGAATTGGGCAGTGAATTGCCTCGAGGGCAACAATGTGGTGAGGTGTTTCTTCAGTGGCCATTGTACTGTATGGGTGAAAGGGACGGAGGGGTAGACTGGATGAGGGGTATGGAGGGCGAGGCTGGGGTTTAAGAACTTGGGCACATTTAAGATAAAAATTTATAGAGAATGAACTACTCCATTCATATAAGAGAAGATTAGCCCATGGCCCACCATGTACCGAGGATAAGCGTCAGCCTGGACCGTCGGAAAGAGTTCCCCGAATGTATGGCGATTGGTATCTACAGGACCTAATCGGTACCGTTAGACATGTGCCGAGCTAATTGAGCCGATAGAATTCTCGCCGAGACTTCTACGCAAAAACATAGTTTGCTCAGATTCTGTGGCTTTATATTGTATTTAATTGACCGCGAACGCCATAACTATCTCGACGTAAACCATTTCTGTGAATGCCGCCCCCAAGGAGTGATCATCGGGCCCACTTCCCTATTAGGTTATGCATGTTATTGAAAGGGCGTGCTGCGAATTAATAATTGTGCTAGTTGAATGAGTAACTAACGTAATTCCCGGTCGAGTCGGTCACCCGGTCGAGCCGGCCACCCCAAAACACATAGTAAATGCGATAAATTACCATTTCATATCTCAACAACCATATCTATTTATGGTAGGATATGAGAAGGAGATAATATGTATTATATTTACAATCTACCAGCAAAGTGTAAGAGAATTACCTTCAGTATTAATAGAGATATATATATTTACGTCTCCCAGGTCAAAATTACGGCGTATTTTATGGTAAAGCATCGAAATATTTATCTAAATTGCCTAAGGCTTAAGTATATTATTTTACAAGCTAATTAAAGCCTATGGTCTAATATCTAAGTAAAAATAACCTACGGTTGTTGATATATCATGACCTGAAAAATCGTATTTACTATGTGTTTTGGGGTGGCCGGCTCGACCGGGTGACCGACTCGACCGGGAATTACGTTAACTCACTAACTAAGTTAACTAACTACTTCAAGAGTAGTAATATTACTCAGATCTATCACTCTTTCCACTCTATAGATTCGTGCCACTCAACACCACGCGTACAAATACAAAGAGGAATGGTTGCTTCGCCGCCCAGAAAGAAGAACAGTCTCTCCTCATCTTCAAGCGCTAATACTCACAAGTATCTTCTCCTGAGGACTTGCAACACTCCTCTTCCATGTCTCTTTGATGATGTTCCAATACCGTTCCTTCTCGAATCTGACATGATTCACGTGTGGACTTCCCACGAACTCCTCCGTCATCACATACTTGGATGCATGGTCGACTCCACACGCTGACATGTTCGCTATTGCAATATCTGCATGCTGGATCACTTGATCCACAGGGATCATGTCATCGTCAGGACCGTATATATAAGTCCTTGGAACCAGGTATACAGCAGCCTGTTCTCCAACATAACCCCTTCGCGTAAGAAACACATCATTTGTGGAGTTCAACCGAGTGTAAAGTTTGGTGGCTACGTGAGTCACAAGACCTGCTTTCTCGAGAGCAAGCGTTATCCCGATAATACTATATGCCACGGCTCTCGCCATAGAAGCGATCAGTATGTTTTTAGAGGGCGAGCCTAGCGCGAGTGCGTTGGCCATTGGCGCAAAGATGGGCATGCTAGGACAAGAGTCGAATATAATTGATGTAACGGGAAGCGCGAATGGTGGATCACTATTTCCACAGGCTTCGGAAAGCTGGACTGCGGAATGAGAGCCAGTGTTGGAGAATAAATGAAGGAAAACTTTCAGGTCCGGTGTTGAGTCCATGCATTCTCGGAGAACTGTGGCGGCAGGCTGGAACCATTGCATCTGGGAAGCGTCTGACTTCCACATCATATTTGTGACGGAGTTGTATATGAGTAGAATTTTGGTAGTTGGATAGAGAGATTGGTGTCCGTTGATGTATTTTGCAATGTGTTTTGCTTGAGCGAATCCCCAAGCGCAGAGAATGATTACATCTGGACTTGAATGTGTCGAGTTGGATTTTTCAGTCGGAGTGCCTTCCTGGGATGGCGAAAAAAGAAATACTCCTTGACTCAGCTGCTTGAAGCCGATATCGCGGAGAACTGTCGAGTCTGCTGGCATCTTAATTGATATGTTGGCGTTGTTCAGCCAAGGAAGACGGTGCTACTAGAATACCTAAGAAGGTAGCCGATCGCCAGATCCTTATAGAAGTTTAAGAAATAGGATAAAATCAACTTGTCCAACATTGACACATGTGGTGTCAGTGATCAGTAATCCAACAAAAAACCGAGTCAAGGAAGATACCTCGGTTTGGACGGTGGAGACCGCAAAGAGTGGGCCCGAGAAATGCATTAAACTCACAGAGGAATTATGAACAACAATTATATCAAGCTTCTAGGTATGTAATAGGCTCTAACTTATAGAAAAACTGTGCAGCCACCATCTTTACTAATGCTTTGAAGTATAACCTCCAGGGCGAACTTGCCCTCACAGAAAGTAGATAAATGGAACAATATAACAAAAGGATATCTCGACACAACCGCTTCAAACAACAAAATTTTTGAACTTGAACAAACACTCGGGTGATTCAGAATAAATCTTGATCATTTCAAGATTTCGCCTCTTTGGGAGTATCACCAGAGATAACCACAGGCGACTCTTCGGGCTCGGCATGAGGCTGAGGTGGAGGCTGCGTCTCATCTGCAGTAGTTGGATAAGCCTCTTTGGTCGTTTCTGGGATATCAATTGGTGCACCCTGAGTATCTTTGAGAGAACTATCCTCGGCTTTATGTTGCACATCATTCTCGGGAGCAACAGAAGGCTCTGTAGGTTGTTCCCGGGCTTCCTCGGATGCATTTGGGGCATCAGTCTCGGTATTTGGTGCTTTAGGTGCTTGTTGCTCCGGCTCAGATACGACACCGCTGGCAGCAGGTTCAACGGGTTTCTGAGAAGGGACTCCTGTAACTGGAGCCTCTTTTGCAGCCTGGGCTTCTGCAACGGGAGCACTTGCAGTTTCGGGATCTGCCACAGGGGCTTCTGTAGCTGGAGCGACTGCTGCTTGTGTCTCTGCAGTTTGAGCGTCTGCCGCTGGCGCAGGCGCATCTCCATCCGAAGACTGCTCACCCCCAGATGGAACCCGGAAAGCCTCCGAATTAAGAATACGCATAAGCGGTTCAGCCTGCGGCGGCGGCGGAACTTCACCCGTAAGCAGCTCTTTCGCCTTCAACTTACGATCATACAACTTCTTATTCGCAGAAGACCTCTCCACAATCATGCCCCCCTCGAGCGTCAACCCACCATACACACCACGGGTCTTGGAATAGGCAAAGATACCCGCAACACCTTTAGTGCCAATCATAGCGGCGGTCTCGGCGCTTCGGCCCGTTCCAAAGGCAATGGAGATGTTACCGCCCAACGTAAGAGTGCCGGAGTTAATGAATGTCGTGACTGCGGCATCGGTGTTGAGGACGAAGACGAAATTCGTGAATTCCATGCCGAATTGGCCCCCCGCGCCTAGTCCGCCGAGCGAGATGGCTGAGGGGGCGGACCATGTGCCATCAGGGAGGCGACATACGATCAAGCCAGAGCCAAAGCGGACGGAGCCGAGGAAACCGGCTTTGAAGACGCTGCAGATTACTAGTCCCTGAGATAACGTTAGTTTGAGCAGTTCCTGGGAGGGAGGATTATCGAACGGTCTTACTTTGGCTGGGGCGAGGATGCGCTGGGGAATTGCGCCTTCTAGCCCAGCGTATTTGGGATTCACAAACGAATCGATAATTTGGCCTGCTTTTCTACATTCGCCTGTAATTGATGTCAGTTGTTACCACAATGCAGAGCTCCTGAAATACTCACTGGCAAGAGAGGCTGGGAATGGATTGTGGATTGGGTTTCGATAGCCGGCGATCGGGGGTTGTCGCGCTTTCGAAGCTGGAGCTGGAGCTTCGGCTGGAGTTGGTTCCGCAGTCGGAGCCTGTGCTTGTGCTTTTGCTTGTGCTTGCGCTTCAGCAGGAGCTGGCCCTTCGCTGACTGGTTGTATTTCGTCTGATGACATCCTGTTGTAATTGAGCTACTGTTTGTCACGGACCTGGTACAATTTCAGGGGAGAAGGAGGGTTCTGAGTCGGCAGCGGCCACTAACTTTAGAGTTTAATTTTCTCCGTGGGGGCCAACAATCAGATAAACAAACATCAAGTTTGAACCTTTTGCCAAGCTATCGGAGCTAATTGAGTAATAGCCCTAGTATGAGACTTGTTACTTAAAAAGAGATGAATCTTTTGGCAATTTGAGTTGCATGTCAAACGTCACATAATGGTACAGTCGTTGTATTTTAAAATTGTCTACACTAAACCACCAGTATGGTCTATGGGTAATGCGTATGTACAACCCCGGAACTCCAAAAGTCGCTAAATGATACATCGAGTCATAAAAAAGAATAAAAGCCTCAGGGAGAGCTTGTAACCAGGATGGGGGGAACGGCGATCGCCGGCGGTGTCCGAGGACGTTCGAGACTCTCCTGACGAGAGATTTTTGGTGCGGCGGGGGCTTCCTCATCACTGACCGGTGAACTCGAAGAGATCTCAGTCTCAGACTCAGGTGAGTCCACAGTCTTAGTGTCACGACGAGAAAAGAGTCGGCGGGTAAACCGGGCCAATGGTTGGAAAAGGGCTTTAAGGCCCTTGACCAGCGGGCGAGAAATAGCGTTCATACCACCAAGGACGGCATTAAACACAACACCAAAGTGGCGATCGGGAATCATGCGCAGAACCACAGCCCATGGCAGACATCCCAAGGCGCAGATCAAACAGACTGCCCAAAGGATGCCGCTGAGCCGGGTTACGCCAAAGGCTTCGCCGCCTACATAGACGATCATGACTTGGCCGCCGACCATGACGGCGTTGATACTCAGGAACCAGTAGTTCCGGAGCATGCCTTCGAAAATATTGAATTTGTTATCGAGGCGTCTGTTGTTGAACTCGTTGAAGATTTGCATCCACACGAAGGTGTTGAATACAACTGTGGAAAGTTGCTTGGCTCGGTGGTCTGGGTGGATGTCGTCGAGGTGGGCGTCGAGAAGCTTGTCCCCGGCAAAGTAGAGCATGAATGTCAAGGCGAGTTGGTAGATTGCTTGACCGAGGATCATCTTCCACATTGTCAAGGTGAAAAGCGAGGCACTCTTTGGCACGGGCTTTCGGTCGAGAATTTTTTCCGTGGGGGCATCGGTGGCTCTGTATTGGGAGACTGTTAGCGAGTGATCATTATTAAAGTAAGGAGAAGGGGGGATCTTACAGAGCAAGAGCAGCAAATGTGTCCATGATCAAGTTCACCCAAAGCAACTGCACAGCGCTCAAAACACTGCTGTTCGAACTACTGTACACGGCTGAGACGAAGGTCAAGACCACAGCGGTAATGTTAACCGTGATCTGGAACTGCAGGAACTTGGCCACAGCGTCATTCACAGCTCGTCCCCAAGAAATCGCAGTCACGATAGACTTAAAGTTGTCATCCAAAAGGATAATCGAACTGGCTTCCTTGGCAACCTCGGTACCAGCGATACCCATGGAAAAGCCAACATCGGCAGTGCGCAGAGCAGGGCCGTCGTTCGTGCCGTCGCCTGTGACAGCAACGGTCTCACCGAGAAGCTTAAGTCGTTCAACCAGAATACGTTTATCCTCTGGCGAGGAGCGAGCCAAGACCTGGAGACGTGGAACGACCTCGTCCATTTCCTCGTCGGACAGCTGACGGAACTTGGGACCTTCCATAACTAGACCACCTTCAGTCTTGATACCGCAAGAAGATGCAATGGCAGTCGCAGTGGCAACATTGTCGCCTGTCACCATCTTGACCTGAACTCCGGCCATACGGCACTTCTCAATAGCCGGGGGAACCTCAGGTCGAAGGGGATCTTGAATACCCACAACGCCAACCCAGGTCATGCCCTTAAATAAATCTTCAAACTTGGCTGAATTAGGATCATCTTCATGCTTCTTGGCATCTTTGGGAGGCCAGGTTTCGAAATCCTTGTAAACGATTCCAATAGTACGAAGAGAACCCTGGGCATATCGATCAATGGTGTCCAAGACCTTCTGCTTTCCCTTTTCAGACAGTGACTCTGTGCGGAGTTTCTCCTTGCACGTGTCAACATCGGTGATCTGCATAGAGCAGGCATCAACCATCAATTCGGATGCTCCTTTAACGAGGAGACGATATCCAATAGCTGCATGGCGGTATACAACGCCCATGCATTTGCGGGCAGAGTCGAAGGGAATGAGCTGAATGATATCAGCAGACCCGCGCTCAGCGACGAGGTCCATACCCAAATGATCCTTAGCCATTTGTAGGAGAGCAACTTCCGTCTTACTCCCAACGAATCCCCTTTGACCGTCCTTATCTTCCTCAAAGGCAGTGGAGTTCAAGGCAACGCTTTTGACAATGAGGTCTCGCACAGGAGCCGAGCAGGTTTGGAAAGCCTCTGCGGTAGTCATCGAGGTAGTCCCGTCGTGGGTCTCGGATGACTGGGCGAAGCTGTGATCTGAGCCCCATGAACCAGCGACAACTGTCATTTTGTTCTGTGTCAGGGTTCCAGTTTTATCGGAACACACTACTGTGGCATTTCCCATAGTCTCACAGGCCCGTAGGACTCGGACAAGGTTGTTTTCCTTGACCATGCGGGTAGTAGCGAAAGCCAGAGCCAATGTGACAGCCAGTGGCAAGCCCTCTGCGAAAGGAAGTGGTTAGCTACTTAATCTCAAAGTAGTAAAGTCTCGCTGCTTACCTGGAATTGCGACAACGATAACAGTGACGGCCACAATCAAGATGTCGACGAATTCTTTGCCCTTTTCTGCGGGACTGACATTAGGGTGATTTGGAAGGTCGGCAATGAATCGGAACAACAGCACAAAGAATAGGACGATCGCAGCACTGTAGTTATCATTAGTAATTGGATCATAATTTGTAGAAATTTCCTCACTTACGCTGAGCCCAAATACCCAATCCAGTTCGCAAGACGACCCAGCTTCACTTGAAGGGGGGTAGGGTCATTCGAGGTCTGGAGCGACATCATGATTCGACCATAGGAGGAATACGGTCCAACACTGGTAACCAGATAAGTGCCGACACCTTCGAGCACCTTGCTACCGGAAATCAAGAACGGATCTAGTTTCCTGGTTGCGTGACCCTCAACGATCTGCTGCCAGACTTCGTGACCATCAGTCTTCTTCATCTGGTCTGACTCTCCAGTAGCAGAGGACTCGTCGCATTTCACACCATGACCCGAGATCAAGACTCCATCTGCAGGGATAGAGTCACCCGGCTCGAGGTGGAGAATGTCGCCGACCATGATATCGTACACTGATATCATCATGGATTTGCCTGATCGGATAACTTTCACTTCACGATCATTATTCTGTGAATGTTAGCAGAGAAATTATCATAAAGTCGGAGGAGATGACTTACCCTCTTATTAAGCTTGGCAAATTGCCGTTCCTTTTGCCAGTCATTGGCAGCAGTGACGACGGTGACGATGAGAATCGCCACGCAGATAGCCACACCCTCGACCCATTCCACTCCCGTCCCTCCATCGATCGTCTCGTAGATTCCCAGGGACAGGGATACGATGGCGGCAATGGTCAATAGTATAATAATCTTATCGTTGTAGGCAATCCACAGGAGCTTCAAGAAACCCGTGGTTTTTCGAGCAGGGAGTCGATTCTCGCTGAAGACTCGGACACGATCCTCGAATGGCGAGCCACCGCTAGATGACACCGGTACCGATGGAGCTGCCTGAGCTGACGAGGATGGCTTGCTAATGGAGGGTCGCTTTTCCGGGTATAATGGGGGTGTCACCTGTTGGAAAGCGACGGCACCTTCCAACCGGCCTTCGTCCATAGACAAGCCAGCGTTGAGATCCGTTCGTAAACCCTGTTCCAATCCCTGCAAGCCACCAAGGACATAAAAGGCAGCGAGAGATTTGGGGTTCTGCATCTTATTCAGTTGCCCCGGGGAGAAAGCGAATGGGTTATAATCAATTTTAAAGTCGGCCACATCACGAAGATCCGGTTTAAGGGCCTCTGATAGAGGCACGTCATCAAATGATTTACTCCCCTGGGTGGGATCAACGGAGTTAGCTCTGGAACGCATGGTCAGGCCTGCTGAGGATGCGAAGGAATCAGAGCGTGCTCGTAACGTCTCGCCGTCGATGGAAGATGAGGGTTTATGTGAGGTTTGTTGGACCATTAGTCGAGAGGGGTCTGGGTTCCAGGCCATATCTGGTGAGAGAGATGAGGTTGGTGAAGTTGGGCTGTGGTTGAAATCTGTTGGGCCAGACCATGAGGAAGAAGCTCCTGCTGATGAGGCGGATAGAGAGCGCTGTAGTGGAAGATGTTAGGTTGAGGTTGGTGCTTCACAAACAAATGAGCGAGTCTCACCTCTCTTGCGGAAGAATCTGGGACTTGAAGAGGGCTCAGGAAGATGCCCTTCTGGGAGGAATCGTTGTGTGAAGAGGACGCCATGGTGTGTGATAATGGCACCGAGATGGCCGTCAAAGGTCCCTTTGATATGCGTGATATAGAAAAGATGTGGCTTAATGTTGTAGGAGGAGTGTTTCAACCCCCTGAGGGTTCGCTACTATATCAAGAGGAGGAGAGGGGGGCTGTGTTTGGTCTGCCGAGAGATGCCCAGGAAAAGACCATGGGTAAAGATATGCGAAGTGTGAGGGTGCTAGTGGATAGTGTTTGCCAAGGCAACAAGCGATTTTCCTCGAGACCACGGCGACAAGAGAGGGGGCGATATGAAAACTTCGTCTTGGTATGGAAAGCAGTGCGGAGAGGTTGGAAGATTCCAGGTCTTGGATGGGCACAGCCCCAAGAGGCGAATCGACGCTCACCGAATGATACTACTCTGTAGGCGAAGGGCGAAATACAAAAAGGAAGGTGAGACGTAGGGGAAGCCTTGAAATTTCCAGCTAGAAAAGGATGGGATTATCCTGAAGAATAACGGGCATAGTAAGTATCCCCGGGTTGATGGGAAGAATAGCCGCCCAAGCCCTCATTCTCAGACTTTAGTTCAGATTCACTAGACACGGTTTGAGGGGCTACGAATGCTATCAGCTATCAGATACAAGCAGCTATTGATCAGAAGGCTCCACGGTTGTGGGAATCATCCAATGTGATGACTTCTGGCTTGCCGCCGCGTCCCTGGTGGAGTGGTCGGCTCTTGCTGCGCCTCAATGAGTCGGTCCAATGATATGACGGGGATGAAATGCCAAAGGACCCCGCTAAACTGTATTATGTAGATACATTACACCAAGAGACATTTGAGTTATCTTGCGGGTTTGAACCGAGCAAGGAGGCGGGAAAAATCTGGGTCAAGTGCGTCATATTGGGCGGCTTGGAGTGTGATTGATATCGGAAGGTCTGGGAGCTGAGCGGTAAAATCAATGGGCGAGGGGGACAGCCAATAATAGTCGAGATTGCCAAGTGTCATTGATCAGAGCAGGGATTATGGTTGACATTTGATACTTGGGCAGTGCACTCTGCATCATCTTTGCCGCAGGTTGGAACGAGGGCCGGGGGTTGGATGCTTGCTTGATTGGTACCTTGCCACCAGATGTGTATGTGCGCCACACTTCTGTGGCTGTGCGGGTGTGGCGGTACCTACTGACCTATAGCACGTGACTCTTATCAATCTCGAGGCGTGTATACGAGTACCTGGGCGTCATTGTGGCTTGTACAACACTCTGTCATCCAGACCATGTTCAAGTTATGCAAAAAGTCTATTTCAAATGCTGGTACCTGACAGCTTACATCTAAGAGTGAGATGGAGGCTGAGCGAGACACCCAACGTCCGTATCTGCCTAAACTGCGGCGAAAGTGATACGAAGCCATTTTGCGTAGGAACATCTCACCTGCTGCATTGAGAATCCGCACGATGCCTTGTCAGAGTCTATTAAGCTCAGCTGGCAGGCAGCAAGAGCAATAAGCTATCTGTATGAACTATACGAGGCTCAACTCCCTAGACTGCGGCAGGATCATCACCCCACATGATCGTCTCTGACATGCTAGAGGGATGACCTAGAAGAAGTTCTGAAGAAGAATTATAGGTTCCGACTAAATATGCCTTCTACCTAGAGTTATTAATGGACAAGTCCAGAAATAGCTTTTTACCGTAATATTAGACATTTATAGTATCCAAAATTACAGGAGAAGAAAAAGAAAAGAAAAGAAATTAAAAGAAAAGAAAATGATCAACATGGCTATCGACGACAAATAAAGGGGGGGAGAAATAAGGGGGTATCTAAGAGTAATAACAGGTAACGGTATTCGAACAATAGTCGAACAGAGTGGAAAGGACTGAAAACGGGCTTCAGGAAAAGCCACGAAAGCAAAAAAAATATATGGCAGTGCTCAAGACAATATGAGGCTGAACAAGACAGAAATGAACAGAGAAAGCGCTGCAAAGATGAGATTAGATGTCAAAGGAAGGTCGGTCATGTCCATTTATCGGTGAAGCCAAAAGTGCTTCACCTCCCGTAACCATATCGCCGTCGTCGTGATCGCATGTCCCATGTCTCAAAGAACGGTCCACACGTTACCGATCGATGCTCTCCGTGAAGCGACTGCTGCGGCTTCCATCATGGCTTGCCAGGCTGCGGCCTAATCCATCGGGTCGCTGGGGCATGACTGCGATGGCGGACTGCGGTTGGGCGATTGGATGCGACGGTGTGACGGTGGTTGCAACGCCAAAATTCACCGAGCTTGAAATGGGAAGCTGAACGGGTGAAGGGCGCACTGGAGATTCAGCACGCTCCTCGGCCTCCTGGGTGTACCTCGTATCAAGTACCATCCCGTACGGAGAGGTGGTAGGCGGTGCTTGTGATGACGGTGAGGTAGCCGGGCCTCCTGCAGGAGACATGGGAGGGAAGCCGGGGATGGTAGGGGAATCCCCGTCGAGTCCACCGCCATAGCCATCACCACCGTGAGTGAGAACGGGAGGAATTTTTCGTCCAGAGATTTTCTGGAATCCACGCTCGCTGGGGTTGGATGAAGAGACGGTGCTTTCGGACTTCATGGTCATAGTTGACTGGCGCCAACGCTTCATGAACGCCGGTGCGAGGTATGAAGCCGTAAAGAGAGGCTCATTGCTGGAGCGAGTCGTCACTTCTCGAGTCGTCCCGCCATCATCAGAGGGGAGAGGAAGAGTCCCGGGAGCCTTCTGTTGGAGGAGAAGCTTTCGCCGACGGAAGAGATAGAACAGAAGCAGGACGATCATAGCAAGACCGGCCACACTTCCAACAACTCCACCCACAATTTTAGAAGTGGTAGGATCGATACCTGAGCCTGAGCCTGATGAAGACTGTGTCTGACTGGTGGTGGGCGCGGATCCGCTGCCACTACCACTGCCAGAGTCTGTGCCAGATCCAGTCTTGTCGGAGCCTCCAAATCCGGAAGTCGAGGTGGGGTTGTACGAAGAGTACGAGGTGTCCGAGGTGAAGCTTATTGTGGTGGAAGAACTCGCAGATGAATAGTAATTGCCCGCCATGAAAACCGAGGCGGTGGAAGTGGGCAAAGACGTCGTCGTAGTAGTAGAGCTTGAAGTCAGAATGAGGCGAGTTGACGTGTATGGCACCGAGCTAATGGCCGAAGAGGAAGCCCTGGGTGATGAAATCGCGGCCAGCTGCTTGGTCGTAGGCACTAGGCTTTCCGTGGATTGCGAAGATATTGACTGGGTAGCCGTTGCGTTGGCTGCCGACGAAGGAACCATTGAATCGGTCGAGGTGATTGAGCTGCCGGTAAGAGTGAGAGTACCAAATGCCGAGTCCGAGATGGTCATGGGGAAATTGACACCGGATGATTGCCATAGAGTCTGAGAGTTGGTGTCCACCACTTCCACAACGGTCTCCACAACCGTTGTGGTGGGCGTTTGCGTCTCTTGTCGTTTGGAGAGTACTACTACAGTCGTATCCGGGACATCGTCGAGACAGGTGGTGTTTTGCAATGGGTCGCAGTCCGTGTCACTCGACAGAATATCAGAGGCGAAGACCGGGTCCTGAATGGTGTCCACGCTGCCGATCTGATTTGAGTCTATCGAGTCTGTCTCGCTCGTTTCCAATCGGTGCTTTGCTCGGATGAGCCTGCTGATACGATCATGGCGATGGCCATGATGAGCCATTTTCTGTTGGCCACAATCCTGACCAGAATGAGATGGTCGAGGTTGAATTTGAATCTTTGTTAGAAATCCTCACAGAGGTCAGAGCTGGGTCGACCAGCTGCAGCGTAGTAGTGAAAGGAAGTGGGTTGAGAGAAAAAGGTGAAGATTGTCGATAAAAAGAAGCAGGGACTTGCCCGCGATGTTCGAAATCAGCGAAAAGGGAACGACTCTGCCCGAGGTCTCGGGAAATAGAGAGAGAGAGAGAGAGAGCGAGGTCGGAAATAAGGAGTGGATGTTGGCAGGTTATCTTGCCAACAGTGAGAGACCCGTAACGAGTGAAGCGAGTCAATTCAGCCAGCAAGCGGAAAGAACTCGACGTTCTAGAAGTGGTAGCCTGTCAGCATTCCTTGCATCTAATCTTTGCCATACACTCGATTTCCCACGCGAGATTCCCCGCTTCGCCGAAGAATGCGGGTAGGCAACGTACCTGAATCAAAAAGGAGTGACGAAAAGAGAGAGAGAGCGTGAGGCCGTAGCCTAATCCATGGCGTTGTGGAAGAAAAAACACCACCAAAAAGGTCCAGGCTGCGAAAATGGGCGGAAGATGTATCAGCGTCGAACCCCGGCAACAACCAGCGGGTCTGACGTGGAGGAAGAAAACGCACTTGGCGTTGTAACACGATATTGTCTTTGGCCTCTTCTGACACAACAAGCCTCCAGTTGGCGAACCCAGGCCGACTCTTGGGGGGAGGGAATTGGAGAGGGAGTCGCAGAGAGAAGAGAAAAACGAAAGTGGACCAGGCGAGACCGGACCAAACACTCTCCCCTATCGAAGCTAAGTCCAGGCGACCCGCGTGGTGACGAACTAGCCGTTAGGGAGAGGGGGGCCGAGATCCTCCTGGTCGAAAGTGGGTTTTGTTTTAACCCCGAGAGATGAGATTTGAAGATGATATTTCCAAAGAGTTGATTATGTCAATTTGTTGAATGATGGATGAATGTTTTGTTATGATCTTCCCCACGATTGACTTGATCCAGCAGCAGCTGGCAAGTTGAGTTCCTGCGAGTCAAAAATCCAGTCCAACCAGACTCTCCAATCGGGAATAGCGTGGGCTGCAGGTACACGACCGACTCCACCAATCAGATCCAGGATGCCGTGACAGGTGGGGACGGCCTGAGGGTTCTGGCCAGCCACACTATTCCATAAATAGACTAGTTCTCACTGCAGGTTTAATTGCGATGACTTTTGGATGATTATTGTTGTTGGTTCTTCCTCTTTGTTTGTCAAACATGATTCGATCATCAATCATCTTCCAGCAGAGTGTCATTTGACCTATAGTTGGCATCGAATACAACCATAATGATATGTACACTATGAGTGGTCATCTAACGTAGGCCACTAACTAATTCTATTGATTCAACACTGTCCATGCTCCGCAAGGACACCCGCACTACTGGCTTCTTGCAGCCAATAATCACCGACCGGGTGCTTTTTATATCTTCGGGGAGACCCCATGTCGCACCACAGAGTTACTTACGTAGCCCTCTCCCCTACACTATCGTTTCAATCTGACTTACCTTCACACTTGCCATGTGATTGAAAAGGTCGAGAACCACCGACTATGAGTTGATTTTACTAATAGTAACCATCAAGGAGTTCATCAATCCACGCGGCTCCCCAAACTCCTATTGTTTCCAACCTTGGAAGTTACATAATCTCTCCCTCTGACACAAATCCCTCCTGACCTCCAAAGGTAAGTACAAGCTCCGGGCCATAACTTGACTAGACCCGGGCCAAACGCTTGAACCGAGCTAAAGCCTTGCCCAGGGCATTCAGGGCACTCTGCCGGTCCCGACTAACCCCCGAGCCAGTAATGACGACATTCCAAGTATCAATGGGTATATGGACGACCTCATCATTCCTCTTCAAGACACAAACCCATTTGATATGAATCCATTGTTCGAGTCGACGTGGCGACGACCTTGCCTCTAGCATCCTTGTAACTTCCACCCATGACCTTGACTTTGTCATATAGACCCGTTTCTTTGATATTCCGTCTCTACGTCGAGATATATATTATTGGTGTATTGTACACATACATAGTGTATTTTGTAAAATGCTTGGGGAAAGAGTGACTGATATTTATGTTTGACGCTGCTGCGATGAGCTGGTCCCTGTTATACATGGTTATCAGTATTACAAGATTGAGAAAACAATCCTATTTCCAAATACTGTAGAAGCCTACCGATCGTACTTACTACTTACCAGTAGCCATCTTCTTTGCTCCCGCTTGTAAACGTAGAGAAGCTAAGATTTGATAGGTGGTGCTCGCACTCTATGAAGCATTACATCACTTCCATATAGTAAGGTTACTTGTGTCCCAACAAGAGAGGACAACAGAAATAACTCATTAGGTAGGTCCCAGAAAAGAACTCCCCATCAACAATTCAGCGTTGGAACTGCCATATACTACCTCATCTGCTATTGCAGATCTCCAACTACTCTATACAAAGTACCAGGATAATGTACTTGAACACGGCACAGTTGACATCCCCCTGAATCAATTCCCCCTCTCCTGGGGGTCAATGCGAGTATGGGCACTATCTACGCTTTCGTCGACGAAAGAAACATGAAATGGCGGGGGTATTTAGATAATGGGACGCTGCTCCTCCTCCCTGACTAGACCGCCTAGAACGTCTCCAGTTCATCGGCCGCGCCTTCCTCCTCTTCAGCGGGGATCTCGAATCCATCCTAAAGAAAATTAGCGACGCCATTCCCAGTTTTACAAACGCACTACATTTGATGTAGTAGCAGCAGGGGGTAAACTCACCTCGGTCGAGTACAGAATGCCCTGGATGTGCTTCACAAGAGTATCCTCCTCCTTCTCAATCTCCGGGTTCTCCTCAATGGCAGTCTGCAGGAGCAGCTCGATATCGCGCAGCTTGGCAAAGTAAAAGTCCCGCTCCTTCTCAAGACCAGCGATAGCCTCCTTTTGTGTAGCAATCTCCTGCTGCAGAGCCGCAGTCGCGGCACCACCGCCAGCACCGGCGGCAGCCACCCGGGGAGCACGGGCAGCGGCTGTGGTGGGAGTAACTCCACGGCGTGAGCCGGAGGATGGAGCACGGGGGGCACCAACCGGAGCGGCGGCGGGGGCACCAGAGGCCTTTCGGCGGCCAACGGCATCGTATTCACCACCGGGGTAGTGCTGGTCCCAGTACTTCTTCACCCACTGGAGGAACTCCAGGTTATCCTGCATGCGGCATTTGGTGAGGGACTCGACGGGGATGGGCTTCACAACTTGGTGACGGGTAAAGACATCTGGATGGAGGGGAAGAGGAGAGCGTTAGAAATGGGAGGCTCGTGGCTGTTGCGGGGGGTTTGGGTTTTGGTTTCGCAACCGGGGGTTCATCTGCACACGTACTCTGGAGGACTTTGAAGTTTTGCAGATAGGCATATTCGCTGTTAACATTGAACTTGACCCGGGACATGGGCACGTCCACTAGAGTAAAGAAACCCTCGGGTTAGTGAATCTTGTAGCCAAAAATATGGTCGGCCTGACCGCCTCTCTCTCTCTCTCTCTGAGACATCTCGAGATCAAAGTGCCACTCACTGAATATCGAGTCAAAGATCTGGCATAGCGCAGCACTGTTCCAAATCGCAAGAGTATCGCGTCAGTCCAATCCCGACCAATCCACGTTGCTGACCCTCAGGGGGGTGAAGGGAAGAAGAGTAGGAAGAGGAGGGGTGGTCGATCCATCATACCCAGTTCCGCACTGCTCGATCTTGGTAATGTTCAGCTGGAGCAGGTTGTTCAACCAAGCCAGAAGCTCTTGTCTATCGGAAAACCGCGATTAGTCGTCTGTTCCATGCCATTCCGCGAGCATTGTCGATAAGGGGGGGGCAGGCAAAGGCCGAACCTGGATTCACCCATGGTGGGGTAGTGATGGCCGCGGCCGAAAAATGTCGAGAGAACGGAGGAGAGGGACGAAAGTCGGGAGGGAGAAGGAAATTCGTGAAAACAAGAAAACGCCGAAAGATCAGGGTCTCCTCGTCAAGGCTTTGCCTGTCAGTGTTGATGGAAAAACAGCCGGGATTGTTTTGATGCCAAAACCCACGGATCACAATGGCGCTAGACATCATCACAGCCAATCAGCGTTGGCTTAGATAATATCAGCGCCTGAGGCGGAAAGCTGCTCCCACTGGTTCGCGATCAAGACAGAAGAAGTAACTAACTACACAGTATACTGGTCAATTATGAAGATTTCAATCTCAAGTCGCTGCAAAAATGCTGCTGTATATATGATTTTGAGCCATGTATAAGTCTAGCAAGAATCTTAAACAGAAAACAAATCACAGAGCATCTATGTCCTGATATCCCCTCCCCAGTCCTGTACCCGATTTTCCAAATGTACCCCATATTTCCAACTCCTCCTGGTATAGCCAAAAAAAACACAACGCTAAAAAGAGCAAAGATGAGAGCTAATATGAGACGAAACACATGAAAAAGTAAAGACAAATGCAAATATAGATCACTCTTCCAGCAGCTCAATACCATCCAACCCGTAGCCGAAATCCATGATAACGGCCCGCGAGTCCTGGCTAGTCGCCACAATCCGTCGGTAGTCTGACTGGACGTTGAGCATCCAGCTAGTAGTCCAACCAGGCAGATCGATGGAGAGCTCGCCAGAGTCGGCGTCGAACACCTTGACACTCATATCGTAGCTGCCGCTCACGATACGCTTGTTCATACTGTCAAGGTGAAGAGACCGAATCAGGCTAGTGTGGCCACGGAGTTCATTGACCAGCTCGCCGGTATTGGCGTCAAACTGGTAGATGGTCCGGTCGTTACCACCGGTCAGGATGGTTCGGCCGTCATCACTGAACTCGACGCAGGCCAGACCACGGTCCTTGCTAGGGAACTCCTTAACGCAGTGGCCATCAGTGACGTTCCACAGTTTGGCCACGCCGTCACCGCTGGCTGAAACGATGAGATCACCGCGGAGTTGCACAGCATTAACTGGGCCGCGGTGACCCATGAGCTGCTTCAGGAGGGCGCCAGTCTGACGGTCCCACACACAGATGGTGGTGTCCTTGGAGCAGGATACGATGTACCGGTCATCGAAGCAGACATCCAGGACACCGGCGCGGTGGGCAGTCAGACGGTGGATTGGACGGTAGTCATTCTTGACATCCCAAACAATGCAAGTGTAGTCCGAAGATCCAGTGACCATGATCTCTTCGTCGAACTTCAGGCAGAGAATGGAAGCACTGTGATAGTCTGCAGGCTGCTCCATTGGCGTGACAATGCCCGCCGAGGGAGTAGATGGCGGGCAGATGGTCGCAAAGGGAGACTTCCCCATGGCCTGTTGCGCTGGGTTGTTCACGGGTCCCGCGATAGACACATCGTCCGGGGAGGACCGATGATCTTGCGGCAGGACCAGGGATAGTGAGCATCCCACACACGAATCGTGCGATCGCGAGAACCAGTGATAATCTTGTCCTCATCGAACTGAGCACAGTATACACTGTCTTGGTGGCCATGGAGGTAGATTGCTGCGGCCTTGCCCTCCTTCCAGCGTTGCTCGAGGGCACGGCGGACAAAGAACATTCGCTTCCAGTCTTGGTTGGGAATAGACTTGCCGAGGCCAACGGACTGCTTCTTCTTTGTGGCCGTGGCGCTGGCGGGCCGACAAGGATAGGCGCCACGAAACGCATGCTTCCAAACGTGCGGGGAAGACGCCTGGCGGTGCCAGGAATGTGACACCGACTCTGCCTCCATGAGAGACGCGGGGTCCAGATACGAAAGCACGTGAGCCATGACCTCCGAGGGCAGGAAGGAAACCGGATCTGAAGAAGACGTTAGTTGACTGTGGTGATCAATTGGTGTTTCCGATAATCATACCAATACGGATAATGTCCAATTTTGTGTCGCAAATTTCAGAGGGATCCCGCAGATCAATTCCAATCCCACTCTCCGAATCCTGGGTCAAGGTCAAATCCGACAAATTGTGGATCAGATCTCGCTCTGTCTTGGCCATTTCCAATCTGGCCAACTCCATCTGTTCGTTCTGCGCAGCGGCCGCAGCTCGAGCTGCTGCGCCCGCATAGATGTCATTCGGCAGAATAGGCGGCTCGAATCCATGGCCTGGAATTGGAGCTGGAATGGAGGCAGTCGGAACGTAGAATCCATGCAGCGCAGAGACGCTGTTCAGAGATGGGCGGCGATTGATACTGCCAGAGTTAGGGCCGTGAGACCACGCCCGCGAGCGCATACCCCAGCTTCCAGACGCAGCATTGCGCTTGTGGGTGGGGTGGCTCGGAGCGTGGTGATAGTGGCGGCTCTCGTCGTTCTGCTCTTCTCCTGGAATGCGCAAGTTCTGCTTGGAGGACTTGCTGCGGAGAGTCACAGATAGACGACGGCCCAGCGCCACTAATCCATCCATCGGGTGACGCAGGCTAGAGAAGCTCTTGGCTGCACGGCGCCGAGGGACGGCCTCTGGAAAGGGCTCCATCTCTTCAATAGCGGATGCATCATCATCGGACGCCTCCACCAGGGAGATTTTTTGCCACTGATCGAATGTATAGTCTTTTGGGAGCGCAATTGGGTACGCAGCTGTCTTTGGGCGCGGACGAAGCGATAGCGAGGGGCGGCGGCGCGAGGTAATGCCGACGGTATTATCTCGTGGCGACATGACGTGGGGGGGTTGGACGGGTAACAGGGGGAAACGAATTGACAAAGTCACAGTGACGAGAGATCGTCCTCGGCTGGAGTTCCAGCAGTGATATATATATATAACAGTGAAAATGACCGAACTTTTGTCGTGATCCCGGTCTAAGTGTATGTAAATCAATAGCGAAGTGCAAAGACGGTCTTTGGGTGTTGTCGGTTCTGTGCGGGCGCAACGGGGTAAAGGAGGCAAGTCTATCGGTATATCGGCGGATGGAGCAAAAAAAGAGAGATTGTGATAAAGAAACGCAACGACACCCAGGGCCGAAACAAGAAGAGAATGAATGCAAACGGGATCAGAACACCAGAAGACCAAGACCAAAAAAAATGCAATGAAAGGAAAAAGAGTCGGGCGCAAGGAGTGAGAAATAGGGAGAGAAGAATTCCAGAAGGGAAGTGAACCCAAGGGTCTGAGGGTTCCAGGCGGTGAATGGCGAGTGTATCAGTGACTTCTCCGTGAAGTACATTATCTTTATGATGATCAAGTACTCGGTACTCCTCAGGCTATCCCGGATTTTGCAGGGATTAAAATTTTCTGAACATCCGGGGGCAAATCATGGGGGATTAGCGGAGGGGAGGAGTAGATCTACATTGGGTTTCGTAATTATGAGCAAGGAAACTCAAGTACCGAGTACATCCTCTTCAGGCGCCGAGTGGCGGTTCAGGCCAACCGATCCAGGGATCCAGCCAACCTTGACGCTGTTCGGGAAAACTAGGGGGCTGGATTTTTTTTTCTTCTTCTATGGAGTTGAAAACCGGCATTGGCGCTTGACGTAGATAGAACCAGCTTAATGATGAAATTTTCAGCAGACATGCCGTAGATCCGGTTCGTCTATACTTCGGACGGTCTGGCCGATTGATCCACTACTCCACAGAATGGGCTGGGGAAGGGCTACAATAGGTGTTTCTTTGAGGCTGGACTTTGTCTCAAAGCAAATTGAATCTGAAACCCTGCAGTCGGTAGAGATTTCCCCCCTCAAATCTATGCAAGGGCTCTATCTATCTGGGTCGCACGTTTCAGACAATTTGGTAAATCAGGGAGTGACCTGCAAAGCATATAGTCTGCGGGGACGGTAGGTACCTTAGTATGAAGGATTCACAAATAATCCAATAAACCTGATTACTGCAGCAATTGAAGCCTCTGAGTCTAGAGGCCAGAAAAACCTTTTATCAGTGCTTAGCTTCTGATGATCTTCTCTAATACCATCATCCTTCTTGATGACTCAGGCATCATTTCTTCCTCAAGGTACCCGACTAAGTAGCTTGACTACAGCCACTCCCAAACTTATTGTTATACCTAGATTAGAGAATAGGAAGCCAAACATACTACAGTAGCAAGTAAATTGTAATCAAATCATGTTTTAAAACTTTCTTTAAATCAATATTTACTACCATCCAGGTATTTCAAAATCTGCAAACCCATCTATCCTAGCCTCAAGACGCCTCAACTACCGACGACAACCCCGCCCTCCCCAAGGTCCCCACGCTTATTTCAAGCAAAGACCTTGTCATATCCGGTCAAAGTGAACCGATAGTGAACATCACCCTTCTTCATCCGCAGCATGGCCTCCTTCAAACCCTCCGCACTAATAGGAATCTCCTCCACCCAACCCTTCAATCCCTTCTCCGCAGCCAGCTGCAGCATGTCCAACATCTCACGACGACTACCCAAGTGGCTAGCACCGATGAGAACACCATTGGCAATCAAAGACTGCGCCTTGATAACCTGGCCCTCCTCTTCGGGCAAACCAACACTAACCCAGCGACCATGCACATCCATCATGGACAGGTACTTGGCCAAATCAAAGCCCTCGGACGAATTAGCACAGTTAATGATAAGATCAAACGAGAACAGATGCTCCTTCTCCCACCCTTCCTCGGCGGTAGCAATATATCCATCCGCACCCAACTTCCGGGCATCAGCCTCCTTCGCCCGAGAGCGGGAAATAGCCCAAGTCTCCGCGCCCAACGCCTTGGCAAACATGATTCCAAAGTGACCGATACCGCCCAGACCGACGATACCGACCTTCTTGCCGGGGCCGGCGCCGTTGCGGACAAGAGGGGAGTACGCCGTCAGACCGGCGCAGAGCATGGGTGCCACGGTGTTGGAGTCCAGGGCGTCGGGGATGGGGAACACCCAGTGCTCGTGAGTGCGGACGTGAGAGGAGTAACCGCCTTGGCTGACGATGCCGGTCTCGGGCCACTCGGAGCCGTAGGTGTCCATCATCATAACGGGGCAGTAGGTCTCGTTGTCGTTGCGGCATTGCTTGCATTCGCCGCAAGAGTATGACTGGGCGCCGACGCCGACGCGCTGGCCCTCCTTGATCAGGGTGACCTTGGGGCCGACGCGAACGGCACGGCCGATGATTTCTGGGGTAGGTGGTTAGCTTGTGTGGTTTGGATATGCTGGGGCTGTATTTGTTGCTTACCGTGTCCGACACACAGGGGGAACTTCTGGTCACCCCATCCACCGCTGATGGTGTGCACGTCACTGCCGCAGACACCGCAGGCCTCGATCTTGACGTCGACATCTATGCGCTGGTTAGAGCTGTGCATGGTATTCTGCAATGTTCCGAAGCTTACCATAGTCACCGAAAGGCTTCAGCTTGTACTACACAGCGCAAGAAATTCATGGTCAGCCATTGATCGTCACAACTTCCTATACACAAGACAGAAGACTCACGAAGCGCTTGTGGAACTCGGTGAAGGTCTCAGGACCATCGACCTGGAAACCCTCAGCTTCCTCGGGGTAAGGCATTGTGATATGTGATTAAAAGATTGATTGGATTGAAGAGATAGATTGATCTCGAAGCTTTGGCAGACAAGTTCCTCGTCTCAGCAAAGAAACCAAGTCAGGTAAGAGAGCAGAAAAATAAAATGCAACAGAAACCAAAAAAAAGCGCGGGGAGGGAAACAAGGAGGGGTATATCAAAGCCGACTCCCCCCGCGCCCTGACCATCGGACCTGATTTAAAAAAAATCCAAAAAATCGGAAATTCTAAAAAAAAAATTCAACATCTCACAAGATCAAGACACGCCCGATTACGCGGGATGTCTTGGGTCACAAATTGTCGCAGTGGATATTCACGGGGTGTCAATAACCCGTGTCTCGTCGCCCCCCGCGTATAACAATACCGACCTCGGAGATGGTGCCGCACTGGGGGTCTCCACCGGCCAAACTATCGGAGTAGATCCGGGAATCAAAGCGCTGGATTCTCGTGCGAGAGGGGCCGAGCAGGGGGCCCATTGACGGGTGCCGAGAGGGTTTGAGATCCCGTGCTCTGGGCGTGGGGTGAAATAGTGAATACAATAAGAACGGAATTGGTCGTTGGTTGGTTTCTCTGTGACGTTCTTGGTTTGGCTATGGGCGCGTATAGACGGCATGTCACGGTGGAATGATGGACTTTGTTCGTATTTGGTCTCGATCTGAGGTTTTTCCGCCAATCAGAGATACGGGAGAAACTGGGTTCCGGGGGTTGATAAGAGCTGATAAGACGGATCTGGGTTGATCCGTAGGGCTTGCTGTTAGGGTTTGGCAAGGTACAGTAACTATAAGTCTATTAGACGGGGATGTAATTCCGTATACTTCAAGGGGCTAGAATATTCGGCAGAGATGCAGGATTAAGACACAAGGCTGGTATACCAGTAAAAGTAAAAAGTAATTGAAGTCATCATATGTTCATATACAACGTAGTTATTCTTTATATCCATTTACCACTTCACGCAACATCCTTCAGGGACAATTCCACGTCAAGAGCGCCCTTAATCTTATCCGCAACCTCCTTAGCCTGCGCCTCACTGAGACGAGCCAGCGGCCGGCGGGGGTATCCACCGTATCCATAGTAAGACTGAATCGCTGACTTGGTACCGGGAATAGCAGCCTTGGTGAGAACCCAATCGGCAGCACTCAATTGCTGCTGAGCCTCCATAGCCTCTGCAAGACGGCCCTCAGACCAGAGAGTGAAGATGCGAACGCACAGACGGGGGACGACATTGGCACCACCGGCCAGGATAGCTGAACCACCGGAGATGAGAGTCTGCAGACTGAAGTCGGCGATACCGCCAAAGGCGACGTAGGGGTGCTTTGCGTCGGGCTTGGCGACGGTGGGAGCGGCACGCTGGGCCGGGGCGAGAGGGGAGGTAGGGGTAACTGCGCCGAGGGCAGTAGCGACACGAGTCAACTTGCCAGTGTTGGCACAGGTGAACTTGGTACCGACGATGTTGGGGTGCTGGGAGATGCGAATGATGAGGTCGGAGTCCATATCGATACCGGCGACGGCACCGGGGTAGTTGTACAGGATGAGGGGGATGGGAGAACCGTCGGCGACGGAAGTGAAGTACTCGTAGATAGTCTCGTCGTTGCCGACAGCGTAACGGTAGTAGCTGGGGGGCACGATGAGGGCGTATTCACCACCGGCCGCAGCGACTTCCTTGCAGAGGTCGATGGTGCCGCGGATGCTGTTCTCGCTGGCACCGGCGATGACGGGCACGTTGGTGAAGCCGGCCTCGTCGAGGGCAGAGCGGGTTTCCCGAGTCACTGTGGCACGCTCCTCGCGAGTGAGATGCACGGCTTCACCGTTGGAACCCATGGTGACCAGACCGACCAGACCGGCCTTGGCCAGGCGCACGGCGTGGCGACGGATGGAGGGGACATCCAGATCTTCAGTGTCGGGGTTGAAGAAGGTCATGGTAGGCGCATACACGCCGGGGCGGAGAGGAGTGAGCGGCATTTTGGTGGTGATGATGTGTATGATGCTGGAGATGAGTTTAGTTGAAGCTCTCAGTTGTAAAGAGTGGGATGATTTCTGGGTTGAGACTTACAGGGAGAGATGAGGAGGGGTAGAATTATGAGAATCGAATGAAAGTGCTGCAGGAATTAGTTTTTAACAGTTCCATTTCAACCCCGGCCAGCATCAACATCCCCCCACGTCGGGGTATTCTCCGAAGCATTGTGAATGGCGGAGAATTGAGTTCCACCAATTGCCGACGAATAACGAAATGTGGGGGACACTTTTTCGTGGAGGAGGGGCTCGGGGGAATATTGGGCGAGGTGGGAGAGTGAGGTGCGACTATTCAAGCAGAAGAGGATATAGAATGGATCAAGGGTGGAAAAGAGAAGACAGAAGCAATGGAATAGAGTCATTCATCTTATACCTTGAATAACTTCTGGAATAATCCCCATGAGAATCTAGAAAATCAAGCCAAGAGCTCGTCCTGGCCAACCCCGCAGCCGATAAGATAATGAGCTGTCGGCTATTGAACAATTGTTCAATCGCCGGAAGAATTATGTCCAGCAACGAGACTCCCCCATCCATTCCAATTCTTCCTCTTCTATACCTTCTTCCCTCTTGACATTGCTTTTCATTCTCTCTCCCTTCTCTATTCCTCCTCTCTGTATTATCAAGAACAAGCAGTCATGGCTCCTCCTAGTGTGTTGATGGTAAAGTCCCAATTGACCTCCCCGCAGCGACAACGTCGGCTAACGAACATCCAGGTTGGCACCGGCGAGTACACCACCGGCTTCGTCGGTGGTGGTGCGTCTGGTTCAGACAAGAAGGTCGGTGTCGTCGGCCTGACCATGTTCGACCTGCGCCGTCGCGGCAAAGTTGGCGATCTGAGCATGGTGGGTGTGTCCGGCAAGAAGTTTGCGGGTATTCGTAAGTGTTGAAACAACAGCCCCAAAAAAAGAGCATTCACAACTAACAATCTCCGTCCAGGCGACCATCTCCACCGCAACATCTCCCAAGTCTACAATGGCCTGGACACCTCCTTCGCCTCCTTCCCAGCCGACGACCAAACTGATCCCGACGCCTACAAGACGGCTATTGACGCCCTCCCCAAGGGCTCCGCCATCACCATCTTCACCCCAGACTCAACACACTTCCCAATCGCCCTCTACGCCATCGAGCGCGGCCACCACGTCCTCATCACCAAGCCCGCCACTCAACTCCTAGCCGACCACCTCACCCTCGTCGAAGCTGCCCGCAAAGCCGGCGTCTTCGTCTTCGTCGAGCACCACAAGCGCTTCGACCCTGCCTACGCGGACGCCCGCGCCAAGGCCCGCTCCCTAGGTGACTTCAACTACTTCTACAGCTACATGAGCCAGCCGAAGAGTCAGCTGGAGACGTTCAAGGCCTGGGCGGGTCGTGACTCGGATATCTCGTACTACCTGAACTCGCACCACATCGATATCTGCGAGAGTATGGTGCCCGAGTACAAGCCCGTGCGTGTGTCTGCAACTGCCTCGCAGGGTACGGCGGCGGCTGTTGGGTGTGTGCCCGAGACTGAGGATACTATTACTCTGCTCGTTGAGTGGAGGCGGAAGGATGACCCGGCCAAGATTGCGACGGGTGTGTACACGGCCAGCTGGACTGCGCCGTTGAATGCTGGTGTGCATTCGAACCAGTACTTCCACTGTAAGTTTACCCTCGTGATTGACCCCTTCGATGCGGTAAAATCGTGCTAACTTCCTTCTACAGATATGGCTGCCAACGGCGAGATCCGCGTGAACCAGGCCAAGCGTGGCTACGACGTGACCAGCGACGAGCAGGGTCTCATCAGCTACAACCCGTAAGTCTATCCGTTGCAAACAAAACGCCGCAAGATTCATTACTGACGAATACCACAACCCAGATTCTACATGCGTTACGCCCCCGACGAAGAAGGCAACTTCGCCGGTCAGACCGGCTACGGCTACATCAGCTTCGAAAAGTTCATCGACGCCGTGACCGCCGTCAACGAGGGCCGCGTGACCCTGGACCAGCTGGATTCTCGTCCCCTGCCCACCCTGAAGAACACCATTGGTACAACTGCCATCCTGGAGGCTGGTCGCAAGTCACTGAACGAACGACGACCGGTCGAGATTATCTCCGACGATGGAAAGTGGGAGCTGAAGTGATTGCATGTGTAATTAGTGAAAATTATGGAACTCTAGTATATACACAAATTTATGAATTGAAAGCAACGCAAGCAAGATAATCATCGCTGAGGACGAACACTGCGCGGGTTTTTAGTATAATCATAGTAATCTGGAGAATAATCTACCTTCTTTAATTAAAAGTTTAAGGGTGTTGGTAGGTAGATTAGTAGTGGGCTTGTTAGATACGAGCGTCGTGATGAAGTTTAAGGGGCCTGTGGGATGGACCATCGAGCATCGATGAGAGGTAGTATGGGAGACAGAAGTTGAGGTTGATTTATGGAGGTGGAGATTCTTATTTTTGAACAATTTCCCTGGAATTCTGAGATGTTTCCAATAGCTAAAATGTGGGTCGGTATAGTCTACAGAAACGAATCGCTGAAAGGAGCAAATAGCAGCTTGGTAAGAATCAAATTCGCTGGTAAGAAGGGTTGAGACTGAGACTGCCCGCCTATTTGATAAAGAAACGCCAAACTCAATTCGCCAAGCCAAAATCCAAAAGCCCCGAGTGTCCCGATATCATGGTATCATACAGAATAAACAAACAAGCTATCAACCCGCCAGGCTCAACGCCGAGATCCACCCTTTACGATTCCGTCGGGCCCCTTGTCGAATTTGACGCGACATTCGGGGCAGTACCACTTGGCAGTGCGAGAAGGAACCTCGGAAAGTCCAACGCACTCCAGGTGGAACCACCCATATTCGCACTGAGAAGGGGTTAGTTCAGGTACAAAAGATATCGACAAGACCAGCAAAACTTACATCTTGATTCTCGCAGCAAATCATCGTGCCGAAGCTCACATCCCCGCAGAGGCAGTAACGCGGCTCGCTGGCATCAATCTCCTCTAGTACCCCGTCTTCGTCCACCCGGATATCCTGTGAATTACTCACGTTGATGCGTTTCTTGCCTGGCTTCGCTTTGCGACGCCCGTAACTAACGGCAGCGCCGCCGTCTTGGCCAGAAGAAACGGGCCCTGGTGCAGGGCGCTTGCGCTTGCGATTGGGACCAGGAACACTGGGTGCGTGGGATGGTTCTCGAACGGGAGTCTTGCGGGCTGGAGTCGCGCTTTTAATGCGCAAGTCTCGTCCACCGGGGACAGCCGAGGTCGAAGCGGCCCCCAAACCTCCCGGCTCAACTGATGCAGCGGCAGCAGAACGTCTTGACGAGGGTCTGGTGACGGGTGGGGTAGGTGTGGTAGTAGGCTGTACAACTGATCTGGTCGAGCGACGCGATCCAGTTGGCGAGGGTGGAGGTGGAGATGCTTTGACGTCGGCTGCGGGGGATGCTCGAGTTTTGATTGGAGCAAGAGGTGCAGCCTCATCTGCGGCGCCGTTGGCAATTCCTCCCCGACTGGATTTGCGGCGCGACTTTGAAATGGAAGCAGCCGGCTCCGGCTCCGCTTGAGGTTCGAGTTCGGGTTGAGGAACTACAGCTTCAGTTGTAACGGGGACAGGAGCTGCGACTGGAACAGATGGAGCCACTGCTGGATGCTCTTCCCCAACAACAGCCTCATCCCGTTTCCGCTTTCGCGAAGATCGACTAGCTGGAGTTGCTTGATTGGAGTTGGGAATAGCCTTGGCTGGAGTTGGGATCTCTCCGCCGTTAGCCGCCGCCTCTCGCGCAAGCATCTCACGCTTGAGTTTCTTGGCCTCGTTCAACTTCATTCCACGGTTGCTGAGCTTGGTCTCTTCGAGATCCTTGTGAATCTCATCACCGCGAGTAGTTTCGATATCATCGCAATCGATGAATTCGGTGCCATTCGCCTCAGCCAACGCTTTAGCAGTGCGGTAGGCCTCCCATCCGCGGCCGGAGAGTGCCAACTCACGGTGTATCATGACTTCACTGGGCTGCCACACGGCGTTCTTCTTCATCTTCTTGCGCAGTTTTGTCATCTCCCACTCGGTGAGTCGCAGCCATGGCAGATCTTCACTGCCAATCTTGGCATCATCCGGTGGAGGCTTTAGCAGTGCAAGGGCGTTGCTCGTCGAGACTCCCACGCCTGAGCTTGGTCGGCGCGGCTTGTCCTTCTTCGGCGGTTTGGCTGGCTTGGGAGGAATATCCAATTCGGCTTCGGCATCAGAGTGTTCCGTACTTGCGATGGGCGAATCCGGATTGAAACCTGCTAGGTGTTCCGCGGCAATGCCTGAACGGCGTGATCTTGACTTCTTGCGCTTGCGGTCCTGACTATTGTCCAGCCGGAGGGTAATACGCGTTGTGGACGCGCCATCCTTCTTGTCTTTGCGCACTCGCTTGGGTGTAGGCTCTGGTAGTGGCGTTGGCTCTCGAGATGGGGGTTTAGGAAGCGCCTCCAACTTCTGGCGAATACAGCTCAGTCGGTCGAAATGGCGATCCACGACGTCGTGCAATCGGCATGCCTCGGCGTAGGCAGATTCGCGGGCATTGATTGCGCGGTCTAGTTGACGTGAGATATTTTTGCGCACACTAATTGCGCTCGGACGCTCATCGGATGCGATGTAAGGAAGCTGGCCGTAGTTCCTGGCTAGGCTGTGGACGTCTTGCGCGGAGTCGAGGTATCGGTCATCCAGGCCGCAGACCAGGGTCAGGGAGCGAATGATATCCGCGGGAAGGTATTCAGTGTAGTCGATATAGTCTGTCACGGTTGCCTGCGCATCCGGATCGAAGGGGCCATCCAAAATGACCCCGCCGCTGTGGTCGGTCTCATCGGTCATGGCCATCTTGCCGGGGTGTCAGGACGCGTATTGGCCCGCAGATCGCGCAGCGGGTTCAGGGGGCGCAACAAAGAGCAATCGAGCGCTGATGGGAGGCAAGAGCAGCGAACGATACCCCCCACGGTAACAAACATAAGTATTTCCCTGGAGAGGCGATGTCAGCGTACGTCTGGACGTCTGGCCGCTGCAGGTGCAAACAACCCGGGCGATCATTGTTCCGAGAAAGTCACGTGAGATATACCTTCCTAATCGGGTAATTTGCTATCCCCTCGTTTTGGCATTTGATGATATCTTTCTATTCAGCACAAGGTAAAAGAGACTTGATTTTGAGTTGTCAGATAATAACAGTTGTGTCTTGAATGCCAATCACTAAAGGTTAGACTCTTGCAGAGGCATCTGACAAAGTACGTAGCACAACGTAGCCTTCGCATACCTGCTATACTTCGAATGTGGATATCCAGCTTCCTGCGCGTCTTTCAATCTTAAAAGACACGAAAATGACGAGAGTTAACCAAACTTGCTACGGCCACACTACGGAAGCAACTTGGATTCCTGGCAACACCTCACTTACTTTCTTACCATCTCGCATCCGTCCTCTTTCTCTCCTCCATCCTCCCAGATCTCCATCTTATGTTACCTCTCCCCGTCACCAACACCTTCTAATTTTCGAATAACATCTCTCATCCTTTTTTTTCTTTCAATAACCAGTCCCGTCATCGAAAATACATCATGGACCGATCTAAGCGTCTGCAGCAAATGTTTGCAGGAGACGAGGCTCTCCTGCAACTGGACACTGGGTTGACGACAAAGGTAAGTGGATCTATACCTTTTTTCTGAGCATCACTGGCTGATCCAGTTGTTTTCAGAAGGAAATCCCCTACGACTCGTGGAACGAAATAGCTTCACAGGTAAGAAGTTGCAGAAACTCCCAAAAGAAATCCTATCTCACCATTCTATCTCCAGCCGGCACAAGAGACTATGGAAATTACCGAACCGCAACCCACTGCACAGGAGAAGCCGAAAGACAATATCGATAATACTCCTTACACCCCCCGCAAAATCCCTGCGTGGAAGCTTCGCAATGCCTTTTGCCCCGCCAAAGCGCTTCCCAAGTTCCCCTACAAATACATTTTCCCCAGGGCAGGAGACTTGACTAGAAATGTTGCAAATGGCTACTTCGATGGTGGTCGTATTTGGCTCCATTCCTGGGATGTGTGAGTCCAACCCGAATGACTGACTCAAGACCGCGACAGGCCCCAGCTAACCAGGATATAGGTACTACTTGCCGATGCCTACTCAAATCAGCGAGCAACGCCTGCTACTCATTCCAGCACCACAGGTCAAGTTGTTTCTCGACATCATCAACTATGAGTTGGGATGCGACTTAGGCCTCACAACCAATGGCCACCACAGTCTAGTGCTTTTCTTCGACGAGGATGACGGAACACCGAAGCCCGTGTATCTGGGTCGAAGTGATAGCCGTGAAGCCCTTGACGAGCTTGAGCGCGGCATTCCCCAATCCAAGGAAGGTGATGACAACTGGACAAAGACCTGCACGCCAGAGGCTTTCGATGCGTTCCAGAAGAAATTTTGTGATGGCATCATGACCTACAAGAAAAAGAAATCAAAGTCGAGACACCCGGCGAGCCCATTGGACGCCTCTATCGCAAAAATCAGTCGGAACCATCCGAATCAAATCGTCCCAACTCGCGGCCTCTATCAACTCAAGTCCTATCTTGGGCTTCGACCGGCCATCAAGGGAGGGGGGCACTTCGCCGACGATGAGAAATTCGCACCGGTGGAAGTACTTGAGCCTGTGCGCTGGGAAACTCTTAATAACCCCATTTTCTTTAGCATTGATTTGGAGTGGAATGAGAGGAACCAGACTCAAGTGACCGAGATCGGAATCTCCTCTTTGGATACCATTGATATCCATGGTATTCCCCCTGGACCTCACGGAGAGAACTGGGTTAAGTACATCAAGTCGGCCCATCTACGCACTGCCGAACACAAGAACTTTTGCAACACGCAGTTCGTGATGGGGTGTCCCGACATGTTCCTCTTCGGCGAGAGTGAACTCATTCCAGACAGTCAAATCGGGGCACGAGCTAGACGGTTCTTTTTCCCACCGTACGATGGAACCGAGGACACCGAGCGAGCAGATATTCCGGAGCACAAGCGAGGACCCCGCACTATTGTGCTTGTCGGCCATGGCCCATACACAGATCTCAAGATACTTGCAGAGCGGAGCAAGATCTTTGAAGCTGTGGAGGATCGCCCCGAGAAGGTCATTAGCGAGGTGATGGACACTCAAATGCTTTACGCATGTCTACGCAAGGAGAAGAATCCTCGAGGACTGGACAATATGTTGTATGAACTGGGGTTTGAGCCGGAGTGGTTACACAATGCGGGTAACGATGCTCGGTACACGCTGGAAGCACTGATTCGAATTGCCCTGGTGTCGGCTTGAAAACAGGTTCAGAGCTCCGAAGTCGACGAGAAGACCGACCAGAAGGTAGTGGAGGAGGTGGAAGCTGCCGCTACAGGAGAGTAGGAGATGGAAAATCTAAATGTATGCACTAGCTAAACCCTAGATAGCTGCGATAAGCTTAAATTTAGGGTACAAAATCAAAGTTCTGTATGATTATCTCACTGACGCCATAACTACGATATGCCCGATTTAGCTCATGTCCCCCGCGCCCCACTTCAGCTTTGCCCCTCCTCAACATTTCAACATTAAACCCATTTTAAGCTTTTTATAACATCCCTCCTCCCTAACCTCTCTCCATCTCTTTTCAACTCTCCCAAGTCCGACCCCCCCCCCCCAAAATGACCAGCCAAGCCCCCCTAACCGCCTGGCTCCTCTCCGCCACCCCGCAAGCCCTGAGACGCGCAACAACGCACCCCTTCCTCGCCGCCGCAGGAAACGGCACCCTCTCCAAAGAAACCCTCTCCCAATGGCTCTCCCAAGACCGCCTCTACGCCCAATCCTACATCCGCTTCATCGGCATGCTCCTCACAAAAATCCGCCTCCCGGCAAACGCTCCCAGCCATGATACCCCGCAGAATCCCATAATCGAACAAGCAGTCGTCGACGTCCTAATCGACGCCCTAGTCAACATCCGCACCGAACTAGCCTTCTTCGAAGCCACTGCCGTCGAATACGGCCTCGACCTCACCGCAATCCCACCCGACGAGGGCGGCCCCCAGTTCTCCCAGGAAGGTCTCCTGGCAACCTCGTCGGGTGTATCGTCGACGGGAGGGAGCTCGTGCCCCGGGTTTACGGGGGCGATTTGCGGCGCGACGAGCATGTCTGTTTCCGGCGCGGAGTCCGGCGAGATTGATGAGGATTCGACGAATCCAAGAGAAAACCTGCATAGTCTTTGTCAGTCGCAGGGCGAGTGTCAGATGCAGGCTGGTAGTGAAGTGTGTAATCCGCCCGCGACGCACGGCGCGGGAAACCCCACCGCTGCTGGAACGCCCGATTGCGAACCCTGTCAGCCGTCGCGGTTGGCTAGTGCCGCGCCTGTTGAGCGGGGCCCTGTGTTCTTTACGGCGAATCGGATTACCCGTGCGTATATTGATATGTTTATGTCTGCGGCGAGTCCTGGTGTGAGTGCATTGGAGGGGATGGCGGTGCTGTGGGCGACGGAGGTGTGTTATTTGCGGGCGTGGAGGTATGCGGCTTCTCATGGGAGGAAGAAGGCGCAGGAGGGGAAGAGGGATGTTGATGCTGATGGGGGTGCGTTGAGGGAGAAGTTCATTCCGAATTGGTCGAGTGAGGAGTTTGAAGGGTTTGTGAATCGGATTGGGGATGTTTTGGATCAGATGGTCGGGAAGATTAAGGGGGTTGAGGAGACGGATTTGTTGAGGGCGAGATGTTTGGATTGGTGGAAGCAGGTCGTTTGGTTGGAGGAGAGATTCTGGCCGGCAATGGATTGAGGGGTGTTGATGGTAGAATCTCAATTTCAATCTTTGGATTTATTTTATGTAACTAGGATACCGTTTAAAAACCAAAAGAGCAAAGATATAGAAATCAAAACAGCATACAAGTTTCCTTACTTGAGTATATCCTGCGATGCGATATCAGACACATTGTATGGGAATATCATACATTGGATCATCCTACATACAGCCATCATGAATGGCATGGATCAACATAATAAACACGTACACATAAACAGCAAAAAGCCAACATAAATAAGCAACGAGTCCCATCGAAGCAGACAAAACGCCAACCCCATCAGATAGAACCCCGTACCCGAAACGAAACCTCAAAAAAAAAAAAAAAAAAAAAAACTCCAGTCTCCATTTCCGTGCTAACCAGCAGAGACGATGAGAGCAATAAAGAGCCAACAAGACCAAAGAATTATAAAAATAACCAAATACCGCCAACACCGGTGTATGCGGAGCATAACGATCGTCCCAGAAACATCAGACGAGTGGCCCCGATAAAGAAACAATCCAAAAAGAGAAAAAAAAATACCATCTGACTCAACATGTTATACATCATCAGAGATAAGCCATCAAGCTTTGTCCAAGTTAGGTGGCAGTCGCTCGAGCAGCATTGCTGAGCTGCCGGTGATACGAGCCAATGGGCTGAAATCCACTGTTGTAAGGTATTAGCCATGAGTCTCATTCTAAAGCAATCGTGCAAAGAATACATACCGAGCCAAGTCAAAACCACCTCCATCATCCTCATCCTCTTCATGCATCCGTTCTTCCTTGATCGGCCCGTGGCCTCCCAAATCCGGGCCATCAGACTGCAGAGGTGGCAAGGTCCGACTCGAGCCTAGACCATTTGACGTTCCAGGTTTGCTCGGGCTCACCAAATTTGGAGGAGGCGGGCTACTGCTCGGGAAGCCACCGATGATACGCTCATCCGGCTCACCCTTGAGTGGACTCATGTCCGGTACGGGCCGGGCAGGGGTGCTGCCAATATCGGCAAACTTCCAGAATTGTGCGGGAGAGCTCATCGGCATGAACTTTGATGGGATCTGCGCCGTGCTTGGCGGTGGCAGGCGTGGTTGCTGGCGCTGAGGAGCAGGGGTGATCATTGACGAAGGGCCTTCGTCGTAGTATGAGGAGGACAGTACGGGGGGAGACCCGGTCACGTTATCCGACAGTCCGTAGGCACGACTGAGGCTGTTGCTGGTGTTTTGCACGCGGCTAGAACTCGCATTGTTATTGCCATTGTGCGAGCGCGCAGGCAAGGGGAAGGCTCCTCGTAGTCGCGAGGATTCATGTGCCGCAATGGGTGGTCAGATCCGACTCCACGGCCGCCGCGAGATCCACGCTCGGGGGTGTATGCCTCCACGGGAGCTACGGGAAAGGAGCTGAAACCGGGAGACGAGACGGGAGGGGACTTTTTGGCCGTGGCCGAGAAGGAGGTGTCCAACGCAGCAACGTGGGTACCCCGTGCGGAAGATGGAGGTTCCTTGGTAGCAGGAGACGATGGTGCTGACGACTGCGTACCCTTGCGCATCTGCTTCTTGCGATATTCCTCACGGTGCTCAACCGCAATCTGCCACTTCATTCCCTTACCGGGCTCATCAGTCCGACGGGGCACCTTCTGGAACGCCTTGTTTAATGACAAGTTGTGGCGGATGGAGTTCTGCCAGCCGCTCTGCGAGTGTCGGTAGAATGCATAGCGATCCATAATCCAATTGTAGATGCTGTTAAGGGTAAGCTTCTCCTCTTCGCTGGAGAAGATAGCCTGCGCAATGAGGTTGGCGTAGCTGTATGGAGGCTTCAAATCCTTGGCCGAGTCCTTGCTGTAGTCAATCTCCTCCGTACTCTCCATCATCATGCCTCGGTTGTAAAGCGGCGACTGCTTGGCAGTTCGCTGACCAGCGGTATCCGGTGATCGCGGGGGCGGAGTGACCTGGCGCTTGAGGAATTGAGGCGCGGGGGCCAGCGAGGGACCGCCAGAGGATGATGGCCGTACGGGTTCGGTGGCCTGCGATGCCGAGGGATGCGCATGCATCGAGGCATCCCACGCCTGTGAAGCTGGATCAGGCTCCTGACCACTGGCAATGCGCTGAGCGCGCTCGATAAAGCTGGGCTGGATGTTGGCGTCGTCGCCGGGCGTGACAAACATCATCTGGCAGTTGGCTACCTCAATGATATCGCCGCAGTGAAGAATGGCATCAGCACCGCGCTTGAGAATCACATTATTCAGGCGGACGCCATTGCGGCCATTGACACGAATATGCCAGGCAGGCGTCTCTTCGCCATCATAAAAGATCTCCGCATGCAGACGGGACACGAACTTGCTGGGGCCCAAATCGACATGCACATCGGGGAGCGCACGGGCAGCAATAGTGACGGGACTGGACTGCTCGGTAGATCTCTGCTCACGATCCGGTTCGCGACCGATATTGACATGCAGCGTCTTGACATAGTAAGTCCAGTTGCGGCCGGCGATCTTGGCGTATGCTTGGATACTCTGCTTATTCTCGGTCTTGGTGTTGGAATGGTCGCGCGAGACGCGCAATTCTTCGCGCGGGGTGTTTAAATACGAAATGACCAGGTCGACGATATCCTGGTGTGCGGACTGATCATGTTCACCTGCCGAGTCCTCGGCTTCGTCGGCGGACTCGTTCTTGATCGCAGTTCGTGAGGGAGAGGCGCGGCGCTCAACCTGTGGGAAGTTGGAGATTCTAGTCTTAGCATTCCTTTTCGTCCAGGCGCGGGGCATGCGCCCTCCGGAGGGGCAGGATTCGGTCTCAGACCAGACCACGACTGTGGATCAGGCTTACCTTGCGCTTCTTTGCGGATGGGCGACTGGGCGACGAGTCTGGGGCCTCGGCGTCGGATGTTTCCTGCAGTTGAATTTCCTTGCGCCGCGCGCGACGGCGATTTGACAACGGCATCTCTAAAGCGTGTGTTTGTGTATTTCCGGGGATGCGAGTTCCCTTCACTGGTACTTTTGGCGGATCGTACTATGTAGTGTGCGATTTATTGGTGCGAGTCGCAGATCGAATGCAGCGATTTTTTTTCCGTTCTCTCTCGGGAGGCTGGTGTTGTGGGCGATCAAGCCAAAGTCGAACACCGCGAAAGCACGCGGGGAAGGAAAAAGGGAAACGACGGGGAAATCCAGAGAGGCAAAGATGCGAAAAGGCGAAAAATCACAACAGAGCAAGTCTGGATCCGGATTTCAGCGGTCCAGACTCGGAGACACGCTCAGAGGCAGAACCAAAGAATGAGGCGTCGTCCGAACCACTGATCGAGCCAATTTGCCACCGCGAGTGCGTTCTAGCGGGTAAAAAAAGGGAAGGAAGAAAAAAGGAGGTCCAAGAGTAAGAGAGGCGATTAACCCCGGATTGATTCCGAAACAATAAACAAAGAGACCGGGATGTTCGATGGAAGGACTGGTAAAAGTGGTGTGGCTGGAAGTTGATTATCGATAATCCCTACGATCGACGCGATGGCGTCTGTTTGGGGGTGACCGCCTTGTCGCGTGGGGAGTGAGGTCAGAGTGCCGCACCAGCCACCGCAGGGCCGAGTTCCAGGGATGATGTACCGAAGGGAAGGGGAAGGTGGGAGGAGAAAAGAAGATGAAGTCTAGGATGAGGGGGAGAAGGAGAGAGAAGAGAAGACTAAGAAGAAGATTCACAGATCCCGAGAGAAGGCAGGAGACGGCGTTGAAGAATAAGTTCAATCAAGTGCGCCCGTTTGGCCGTAAACAGTGGTGGAGTCGGGGGTCACATGGGTGTATGGTATTGTTCTGGTGGAGAGTGATTGGGCTGTGGATGGGTGGGGTAATGGTGGTAATACTGATACCACGATACCATGATCCAGTGTGGGATTGAGGATGTTTCCGAGTGCAGGACGCAAGACTCTTCGAAAGAGGACAAGTACGACGCTGGAAAGTGTGGATAGACCGTAGTGGATATTAGTAAACAACTATATGATCTAAGGAGCCCATTTCATATGCTAAACATGAACTATAACTCTGTTTTTTTTTTTGACTGTTGACAATGATGACGCGGGGGAACGTTTGATCTCCTGCTTGTGCTCATAGAATCAATACACATTGACTACCCCCAATCAAAGCCTACTTAGCTATACTTATGTAGACAAATCATCTCTGATCAAATGATCTCAAAATTTAAGCTTAGATCTTAATCCTTGTTCTTCGATCTCTCTCGTAGTCCCCATAATCTCCATAAAATCCTTCCGTTGTACACAATCCATCCGCCCGGGGTCGTTTGCGTCACAGGCTTCCCCGGATGCAGTTTAGCCTCGCCCGTTGGAATGCTGCCTTGCCTCATTGGGGGTTGACATGTCGATCGGTTTAGTTATCAACGGACGCCGGAATAGGGATAGATGGAAAATCATGAAAAAAAATCATGGCCATGTAACCTGAATCCTGGGAAAGTGGAGCTTGAATTTTTGTGTACTGTTTACGAGGGAGATCAACAGAGTGGAAGGATCATACGTGGACGCAAACAACTTGGACTGTAAATAAACAGGCAGGGTAGCCTGCCTGACCCGAAGAATCATACGGTAATAGATGGAAAAAAATCGAATAGAGGGATGAGGCCGGATCAGACCAATGGATGTCTCGATTGGAGACAAGAGTATCAAGAAAGGAGAAATGGAATAAGGAAATAAATATAGAAAGAACACGGGATCAATGATGAAGCCTAAGGCAACCTGAAGATATAGAAAGGACAAAAAGAAGAGTAGTGTAGAGTAGCCCCAACCCAGAGAAACAAGAGACAGAGATTCTCCCAAGTGACAAAATAGAAACGGTCGTGACGGCGTTAGAATAACGAGGAATAAAAATGATATAACCTCCCAGGCTCTTCCCCAAGTCTTTTACTCGTCAATGGGCATCTTGGCATCGCCATCCTCGTCCACCCCACGCAGGGTCGGGTAGAGAACTGCCGCAGCGTCCTCAGACTTGGTCGGCTCCTTGGTGTGCTCAGGAGAGGCCCGAGTTATGGCCGTCTCGATGCCGTCCATGGCACCATCACCCGAGGGAACGGGAGACTCTTCGGCACCGCTGTGACCCGCCGAGTCGCCGTCGAAGCGGCCCTGCTCCAAGAGTTCGGAGACCAAGCGTCGCAGGTTCTCCAAGAGTCGGACCTTCTCCACCCAGGCGACATTGACGTCACGCTCGGCGACCTCGGTGGCCGCTTGAGCGGTCCGTTGAGCAGCCTCCTGGTCTGGATCTGAAGCAGTCGACAAGGCAGGATCAATCAAACTCGAGGTGATGGCGGGGTGCTCCTTGGTAGGGGTGCGTTCGCCATCAGCCGAGGTATCCATACGGTGCTCGTCTGCTTCGCGCTCGGCGGGACGAGCGCGCTGCAAGGTGCCACCGGTGTAGCGGCGACGATCGTCGTGATCAAAGGCGCCGCTGAGGGTGGATGGGGGAGCCGCGCTAGAGGCAGTGGGGTAACCCGCCGTCATGTTGTCAGACATGGTGGCCGACGGCAGACGAGGGTACATGCCGGCACCGCTCTCGTGGGGCGGCGACACCCGGTGGGTCTGGGGGAGAGAGACCGGGGAGCGTTGTGAGGTATAGGATTGAGCGCTGGAGGGCGGGGTCAACGCGGGAGTGCCAGTAGAAGGTGAGTGGGCCGTGGCGGCCATCATGGGAGCGGAAGTGGTCGCGGTAACGTGGCTAGGAGGCAACTGGCTAGGGGAGAGTGGGTAGCACGGTAGCTCATGCCACCCTGCACGTAGTGAGCGCCAGGCTGAGCCACGCCAGCCGCGGCGACGTTCTCGTCACTCTCGTAGATGGTATTTTGCATCTGCTCCAAGAACTGATCAATGTTGATCAGATCGTTCTTGGTGCGGACGTTGGACATGGGAGGAAGATGGTACGCGGGAGCATGACCACCACCAGGGCTGTAGCCACCACCACCGGCAACCGGAATGGCGGCAGGCATGGGCTGGTACTCGGGAACTGGGCCATTCAAGATCGGAAGCTGCAGAGCCTGGAGACCAAGCAGGCGTTGGCCAACGGCCGCATAGGAGTTGGGATCAAATTGGCGTCGCTTCAGGTCACCGAAGAACTCATTCAAAGCATCGTATCCACGCTTGCGGTCGTACGATTGAGTGCCATCATGGCCCTGGCTCAGCGCATAGTATACATTGCCGTAAGAGTGAGGGTTGGCGGCCGGAGGAGGCGGGTGGGTTTGATAGTACTGAGGAGCTCCATGAGAGTAAGCGGCGCTTGAAACGCCGTTCATGGGTCCCTCGAAGTAATGTGTGGCAGCAGCGTATCCTGGACGTCAATTAGCCAGGGTATTCTAATGCCCTCAGCGACGCGGGAAACCAGGGGGAGCAACGACTGGCCAGACCGGGGAGCGCCTGAAGGAACCCAGTACGAGGGTCTGGGGATACAGCCCGGTCGGACTCAAGAGGATGCGCCAGTAGAGGGAGAGCAAGAAATCCAAGACGAACCTTTGGGGTTCTGGGGAAACATCATGTCCGGGTGGTGGTGATGATGCTTAAGGCCCGGCTCGGGGGATCGGATCTCCGAGTCGTCGGCATGGGTCTTGACGTGTTTCTTCAGATCCTGGGGGCGCTTGAAGGCCTTGCCACAGAAGTCACACTTGTGTGGCTTCAGGGGGACATGCACACGGATATGAGAGGTGATATGGTCGCGCTTGACAGTGGTAGTGTTGCAGTTGCCCCATTGGCAGGTCAAGTTCAAGTTGTTGGTGCTTTTGCGACCGACATGGCGCTCGCAGACGTGTTCCTATAATAACCACCCCACGGTCAGAACTGCGAACTGCATAATAGACAGTCGATGATGGTATTACTTACGTAGAGGGCTTCGGCAGAGGGGCTCTTCTCAGTGCAACCCACCCACTGACAGGGGAGTTGCTCGCCGGCGCCGTTGAGTGTACTGTTGACGGCAGCGGTCGCAGCGGCGGCAGTGGCCGTCACCGACGCGGTCGGCGTAGTAGCAGCCTGCGCAACAGGTGCCGGGGCGGGTGCAGCCTGGGGTGTTGAAGTTGGGGGAAGAGTATTCTCGGACATGATGCCAAGAAAATGTCTTGTCGTGGGCGGGAATTTTGCCCAGGCACAGTAAGAAAGGAAAAACCACGTATACCTCACACCGTTAATTCAACGGCAATACGGGTACACAAATAGTCCCAAGAATGAATATATATTGGGCCAAGGTGTTCCCTGAAGAAAATTCCAAGAAGAGAGGAAGGAAGGAATATAGAAGGATGGAGGAGGGAGAAAACGCGTGCCTAGAGAAAGAGGAAGAGGGAGAGAGGAAAACTGGGGAGGAGGAGGGGGGGGAAAGTCTTGGGACTTGGGGGGGTCTTGGATTTTCTTGGATTTTCTTGGGGTACTTAGTAACAGGTAATCATCTACCAAGACCAATGATCCATGCCAATGCCCGTCCGCAATCACATTCAGGGAGGAAGGAGCCGAGCCTTTGCCCAGAAAAAGCCTTGGGGCCGGGCGGAGGAACAGCCAAGGAGAGACGACAAGACCGGGCCAAGACTGTCGGCTGCGGGCCTGGCGTTTTAGTGGAGCATGAGGGAGTTATGATTGGCTGGAGGGAGTGAGAACGAGGGGCTGTGCATTCCGAGTATTTCCAGGGCTACTGTGGATGTAAGACCAGAGTAAGACGATAACCAAAGACCTGGGAAGAGACGGAATCAAGCTCAGCATACCGAGGGCTAATTAGGGAGTAGTTAGGAGTGGCTATCGCAGCAATTCACCATAATAGCTCTAGTCCCATCCATAGGAAATCCTGCTCACCATCTAGTCTGTATACTATGCCTCTCACACGATGCAGTAATTACCTACCCAGAGTAATATTTTGCTAGCAATACCCAGAGCACAGCATTCCTCCGTACACCTAATACTGCCCTACCTCGCCTACACAAAGTAGGAGAGTACAAGCTGGAAATCCTCCCCGGTCCCAAATCCCAAATCCCAAGCTCCCAATTGCACGCCATCCTCGGCATCCGACCACGTACCAGAACCATCCAATAACCAGTCCACCCTTCACAAGGCCCTCTAAAAAAGAAACCCCATTCGTGCAATAATAAGAGAAACACCCAAAAGTGTAAAAAGTGGTCAGAAGATTCCAAGGGGGAGGGGAAGGCCAAACGCTCGCCAAGAAACCCCCTCAGTCGTGGCGATGCACTTCTTGGCAGCCAAGGTTTTCCTCTTTGCCAATTCCCGCTCCGAGCACCAAGCGCTTGGAGGTCTTGGGTCTTGGGTCTTGCGTTCTGTGCACAACCCCCCTTCCTCCTTGTCACTTGGCACTGGGCCACTGGGTATGGGCAATTTTGGGTACGCGCTTTGATGGGGGGCTCCGACGGAGGATAAAGGATTTCCGGGTTTTGGTCTGGGAATTGGATAGATTAATCTCGCTGCCTGGTTTTTCTTGGGATTGCGGCTTTATCTCATTATGCAGGAGAGTCGTGGATAAGGCTTTGAAAGGGGGAATTATTAATAGTATATTGGACATGAGATAGGGGATCTTGTCTCCAAGAAAAAAAAGAAATCAAATCATCAGAACTATTGAAAGGAAACTGTCTATCCGGTGTCAAAATCAAGTCTAGGTTATCTGTGGTAGAACAGCTCGCTGTCTATGTCTATGCAATATACAAAATCTATGGTTATAATTTACAATAAATATACAAAAACATCACGACAGGCCACCCCTGCAGTGATACCATCCAACCAAAACACCCAAGCATTCCCGCCCTTGGCCAGAAAACCGGGCTCCAAGCCCTAACAACTCTGGCCTTGGGAACGAGATCAAGCCCAGACCCCCCGCCAAGTAAGTCCAGCGCCAGGCTCGACCCTTTCCCTCTCTCTCCTCCCATCTGATCCCTCCAATCATCAAATTCACCGACCAACCCTCCTCTTCGGCGGCTGATACCAACTCCAAATATTCAACCCAACCTTCGTCCCCTTCGTAACGGGATACGCCGCATGCCACGTCTCGGGATACCCCGTCCCATCAGCCCTCAAATTCTCCCAAAAGATCGCATTCCCCTTAATCGGCTTGAACGTAATTCCCTCCTGCATCCCACCAGCACCCTCATCCTCATCACACTCCAAAAACCGACACCAAGCCTTGCCCACAGGTCTCCTCAACCGAGGGAAATTCGTACCCCCACCTTCACAGTCCGCTCCCAGATACACCATGAACGTGCTTAGTCTGTCACCCCCGCGCGCAAGTGACCCCGTCCAGTCATAGTGATGCCGGTAATGGCCGGAGGCATTGTAGCGTTGCGCCCACATGCGCTCGATGTAGAGATGCGGACGCCAGCCTTGGAAGGCGCGGGCGCGGTCTTCCAGGCAGCGGACTGTGTCGTCACGGTCTAGGAGGGCGCGGTCGGAGAGGCGTTTTGAGGGGTCGATTCGCTCTGTGACGCCGTCGTAAATTATTGAGGGGGTGTATTTGTTTAGACTGGGATTTGTTAGCTCTTTTTTTCTTCGTTTTTTCTTGCTTGTGTAAGAGGTTGTTTGACGGGGACGTACCTGATATCAACTAGATGATCTGCCTCAGCGGAACTCACAAAGTTCTCAATATACAGGACAAGCGGTGCCCTCGATAATAGGTGTACTCTGTACCCTTCAGCCTCGCCGGGACAATTCACCGGGACCCCGTCCTCGGGACTAATGAAGCTGTCGTCTGTCAAATGCAGAGTCGACGGGGTATGATCCCATTCCTCAAAGGCAGATCCATCCTCGTCCTCCCATGAAGACGAGGAAGAATTGTCCGGGAAAAACGGGCGTATCAACGGGTCCAAGATGAAAATGTATACGGGCACGAAGTAGAGGAGCCAGGTTATAAGCGTTGAGAGTTTTGGCGGGGACGGTGCCATTGGGGGCGGATTGGAGGTTGGTCGGGTAGGTCGGTAGGTTTTATATGCGTATATATGGTGAGGAACATGTAGATAGGACGATATTGTACAATAGGGAGAGAAATTGGCGGATCGTTCGTTAGATACTGCGCTCCATGCGGGTGACAGCGCGGAGATGGGCGGGGATGAGTGAGGGGGTCCGTATAGGGGTCAATTGGTCGGATGGAGGTCTATCGGTGGTCGCAGGAACTGTGCGATTCAGATCCAGTGTGTATAGTGGCGCTTGAGAGACCAGAGGCCATGTTGAAAGAAAGTCGAACGTTGAGGGTGGTCCGATGGAGGAGATGTCGGGACTTGCGCGGCGATGTGGGTCTGGATCCGTCTTGGTCTAAACCACTCATGGTAGGTGACTGAGGATATCATTTCGGGATGAATTGAATCTACCGAATGGAAACACAGACGATGTCTGATTGGTTTAGTTGTAGGGTGGCGGCTCTATTTCGAATCATAGCATTCAAGAAAACTATACTATATCCAACACGAACCATGATCGCCGGTTCCAACAGACTGTCCAAAATATTCCCTATCCAAAATACAGGTAACGCCACCCAGGTATAAACAGAATTTTCTTTTTTTGTTTCCTTTCATAAGTGCGTGTCATCGTAACAAGCAAGAGATCTTTATAGAACATGTAAGTTTGAACATCGATGAACCTAGACTCCAGCATTCATCCATTGAGTCCAGTCATCATTGGCTGCGCCAGCGCCAGGTCGGAAATTCGCATTGTTGCCAAACAAATCGTCAAATGAAATGCCCAGATCCATATTCATACCCAAGGCATTCTCATCGAGGCCCATGTTGAAGTCCGAGAGCCCATTTTGAGGAGCAGTATCCTGCTGCATCGTGCTCGTGGTGGGTTCATTATTCACGGTATCCACGTTTGCGGGTTGGAAATTATACCCTTGCCACACAAAGTTCTGATTAGGAATGGAAACCAAGTCCGGACTGCTGAGATGTTCGCTGGGAGTCCCGCCTTGCGAGATTGGTGAGTGCAGTCGCGAAGGGTTCATAGGTTGAGTCGTGGGTTGTTGCAAGCGACTAGGGATGGATGACTTCATTCCTGGCGTGGCGCTCATGGGGAAATTGGAGAAGTTGGCAAATGCATCGAAACTGGGTGTGGAAATTCCCGTTCCGGACGGGTCACTTGGTGTGTTTGATCCCATCCCTTGGTGCTGAGGGGTAGAATCGAATGAAGGTTGATTCAGCGCAGAGCCGTTGCGCTCATGCTTGAAGTGATCATCCTCTAGTGTGGACATGGGTTGCGTGGGATAAGCAAAGGGATCGTCAGAGGGGAACATCATGGGCATCAGATCTGGAAGATTGTTGGGGTTGTTGAACTGCTGAGCCCAGGCCAGACTGGACGGCTCTTGATTGGAGAAAGAGGCATTGAATGAGTTTGCAGACGATGGTTCTGGCGTAGACATGGTCTCGGTCAGGAGTTCCGGCGTCGATGCCAGCCAGGCGGACTGCGTGCCGCTTTCGGACTGTCTGACGGGCTGAGTAGTGTCTAGACTCTTTTGCCGACGACTTGCAGCAGGGTTTGTGGGGGACGACTGAGCCATCATCTGCGCGGGGAACGTGCTCGAGCGATGAGGCAAGGTTTGTACTGGCTGATTTTGAATAGACTCGGGCTCCATAGCAAAGTTGGAAGGAGCGCGTCGCTTCAAGTTAACGGGAATCTTGGAGCTTTGGCGGTTCTTCAACATCTCTGGTAGAGTCTTGAAGAGGCACTGTAGAAGATGGTTAGATACGATTGTCGGAAGGTGGAGAAAGAGACATACTGTTAGACTCTGGGAGCACCTGTCCGCTGCCATACTCTTCTTAGCCAGCCCAGCTAGAGTGTTTTTGCCTTCCATGGCATCCTTCAACACACCATCCTTGGCAGTGGGCGAATCGGGATTCTCCACAACGAAGAAAATGAGTGAGAGGATGGCAAAGTAGGTGGTGTACATGGTAAACCAGAACGAGCCATTTAGAAGGCCCCTCTTGTGCATGCCCGTCGTGATGTGGACAATGTTTCGAGATACGCTAACGCAAGCCGCAGCGCAAGCATAGGACCGCTTGTCCACACCACGAGCTTGAGAGCCACCAGATACATAATGTAAGAAGGGGCGGTACATGACCATCTGTACATGCGCGTAACTGATACGCAACAGTTGACGAATTCTGGTGGAAAGAATGCTTAGCCAGATCCGCAAGTGAAAAAGAGTCACATTTTAGACTTACCGCTCAAGCTGGGGTGACACTTCTGTGCCTGGACGCAGCGCCGGAGGGAGCTCCTCCATCCAAGCCTGAAGATCACGCTCAATCTCTCGGATCTTCGAATGGCTGACCATATAGCGCTGATCGGACTTGGACCGATAGCGCGCGTTCTTGACCGGATAGATATATTTCACTACCTTCAGGACGACGTTGCAAAGGCGTGTATGCGCATTACATCCGGCCATCAAGGGGGTATAGTCGGTGGGCATTTGTGTAATACCCTCAGCGGTAATGAACTCTCCATCGATTTCCATCGGATATTCTTGATCGATGTCATCATCGCTCAGCATTTGAGGAAGACCCAGCAAGGTGCTAACGTAGACATCCATCTTACGAATAACCCAGAAGATGCGCTTACGCAGCTCTCGCTCCATGGGATTGAAGTCGGCCGTAACGGTACGATGAAGTCCCAATCGCAGTGCTGAGCGAAGCGCAATACCAACATACGAGTAACAAGTACTCAGCTTGGCAGACGATTGGAGGAAAAGCACCATGAAGCAGATTGCTTGCAGTGAGGTGAGATCTCGGCAATCCGTAATTTCCAGCAGTTGCCGTCCCGCCTTGAAAAATTGGAATCTGTGACAGCACAGTTAGCAACCTTATACGACGTTTATCCTAGAGCTGACAAGAGTTTGACTTGACCTACCCTTGACCGATCGCACCCTCGTAACCGGCCAGATCCAAAGTGCCTGCACCGTCATCCGAGAACAGACATCCTACCGCCATAACAATATACAACAGGGGCAAGAACGAGTTCTCATCATTACCGAATTGCTCTGGGGGCGTTTCATAGATGCGGTCAAGACTCGCGAAGAATTTAGGCTCGATCACGAATCGCATAAGAGAGCAGGCATCATCCAGTGCATTATGACATAGTCGAATAGCGACCGCCCGCGGGGGGAGGTCGTGGGTAGGAGGCAATGAGGCATCCTGCGGGGAATCGGATACGGACACCGATCTAGGGCTTTCGAGCATCGCCGTGACGTTTCGAGGAACGGGCGCTTCGACCGCACCTAATTGTTTGCGCAGGCGGCGGACGAAGATGATTCCCGAGGTGTGTCCATGATAGTCCCAATGTCCCTGATCATCACGGTCTAGACAGCCAGTATTTCCGACCATCGTCTCCAGCAAGGACTCGTCACCGGCTTCAGGGCCGGTTTCGCCGGAAGCTCCATTAGGTTTGGCAGCGACTCCGGCCGTCGCCGCTGGCTTGTCCTTCTGGTGGATTGGTAGACGGTACTCTGGAGCGTTTACGTCCAGATTGGGGTCGTCGAGATTGACATTTGGCAGTACTGTTCGGAGGAGGGCCTCTGCCTTTTGCATGCGGGCTTCCAGGGCTTCGACATACTGCGGGGCGGGATTGCGACGACGGTTGGAGGGTTGGTCGTACGAACACTCTACAGGACGTTAGCCACGTGTTGGCGGAAACGCAGGGGAAAAGCAAGAGAAAAAGCAACCAGGGCGGAGCGGGCGCACCATAGCTATAGACGGTACAGTGGGTACAAGGTTGTTTGCCGTCACACTTGATCTTCTTCCGGCGACATTCGTCGCAAGCGCGACCTACTCGTCGGCGCTTCTGGAGCGGCAACGATTGAGGGGTGTGTTTAGGGTCTGAAGGAGTTTCCTGGGTGGAGGCGAATTGCGAATGGTCGGCATCGTCATGAGGGTAGTCATTCAGTGCGGGATCGTCATCGCTATCACCATGCGCTCCGGAACCACTCGCCATGATAGACTATCGAGGGGGTGCCCAGTGGGATTATTTATTCATGTAAGGAGAAGCGGGCTTGGCGGGCGATCTGATCTAAGTGATTATCGATCGCCCTCTTTGCGGTCGCATTCGTAGACGGCAGTAGTAGTAGTAGTAGTGGTAGTTGGGGGGAAGGGGATCGGAGGAATGACGAAGCGGCAATGATAATCGATAAGTCGAACGGGCGAGTCGAATCGTCAAAGAGATCAGGGAGGGAGGTGAAGAAAGAGGGACGAATAAAAAGTGGAGTCACGAAGAAGAAGTCGAGGAGATCGTCGAACGGGCAAGCTCACGGACCAGTTGGAGGAGGGCCGTGACCGAAGGGGGGAGGAAGAGGAGGGGAGATGGAGAAATTCAGGGTTTGGAGGATTAGAAATTGGGGGATTATCGAGAGAGTGAGAGGGATGATGAAATAATTCCTTTGGCCGAAAGCGGTGGGGTCAAAAAAAGAACTAGAAGACCAAAAGACCAGCCACGTCTAGAGTTAAAGTTAGGGGAAGTAGAGATTATTCCAGAGGTCAAATTATTGGTCTGGTCAAGTGGACGACTCCAAATTGGAGAGGGGAAGAAGAGAAGGAGAAGAGGCTGAAGTTGGGAGAATACAATTCGGAGATTAGTACGAGAGAGAGAAGAATCATCGAAGGCCACTAGAACAGAACCAGACTTTTTCCATATTACTGTCCTGGCTAACGAACCATATTCTATACCTGAGGGAAATACCAGCAGAGTTAACTCTTCTTCAATACGAAGCTTCGGAGTCATCCAAGTAGTACTTTTGAACAAGTTCTTATTACCCTATCGGATATTCTGATTGACCAACGCACATTCGTCCATCGGAGTTTTACAGGGCGCGACCCCGACGCCCTGTGCACGGGATCTTCCAAGGTTCGTGAGCTTGAGGCATTTTCCTGGCCTCGGCTTCGTAGAAAATTTCAGGGACCCAGTCGTATGAGGAGAGTGACGAAAGATTAGTTATCACAGAATTAGTATGGCGCTTAAAGACGGACTCCACCACTAGTACGACAGTAGTTACTCGGCCATCCCGTTGAGAAACTCGGCCTCGGCGATCCTGGCGAAAATGCCGAGTTGCCTACTTAGTACTACTGTACAGTAGTCAGTGGATCGGATGTAAGAAATTGGGTCTGGTGAGAAACTTTATCGGCAATGAGCTGCAAAGATTTATTCCGCTTGTTATAGAGTACATCTAGTAGCTGTATACTCGGTTAGAGATCTATCACAACTTATAAACTAACAAAGCCTTCGCAGTTAGCACCAACTCTCTTTGGTATAACGCAATCCCGAATTCTCCTCTCATGCAATGACTCGAACGTCCGGGGCGCATGCTGCATGGGTCCTGGTCCGATTGCTAATCCAACCATCGCATGGCAAGCAGACCGCACCGAATCACCGATGGATTGGCTACGATCGCCGAAAGAACCAAGCATTTTCAAACCCCGCAGGGTTTATCTCCGTGGAGGGGTGTTGCGGATATTGCGGACCGCAACAATTGATCTTGTGAGGTATTTTGGCAGGTCGATGTCCTTCTCGATAAGTTCAAGTTACGATGATCGGATTTTTCCATCTCGTATCTTAGTCCCCTCGGTGAGGACGGGTCGTCATGGCCAGTTCAGAGACCAAGGTATGTACTGTGTATACTACCAGGTAGGATCAAGACTGTAGCTTCTATGAGTTGCCCCGACCGAACTTCAAAATCATCTCATCAGCCCTATAACAAAGAATGATATTGCCCGTACCTACTGTCGAGGAACTGGTGAGCCCAGAGCCCAGAGCCCAGAGCACAGAAAGCCTTCCTAGACCTGTCTTTTATAGTATGACTATGTGAATCAAAGACAAATGACGCAGGCCAGTGATGACGCTGTCACATACATATAAGCCTGAGCAGCGCGGGCCTCGTGGTTCGGAAGGGTATATCGAATGAGCAGCGAGTTGAACTTGATTAAAATTAAGCGGCTTACTTGTCGTGCTAATTATCCGACAGCTCATGCCGGCATCTTGAGACAATCACCCGCAGGGCAATTTACAAGCAAAGATACGATTTGAACCACGTTGCATAGAGGCATCTCGGTATTTATCTCTATAGGCAAATTGGCGCATTTCAATTGAGGATTAGAAGTTGCAAACCCATGCTTGTCCCCTGGTGCTTACTCGTCTCCATCCTGCGACCAATTTCCACACTCTGAAACTGTTGTGACTTGCAGTATGTGCAACTCCTCGCTGCGACGCGAACTGGAATCCAAGACGCGCCCCTCGATCATGCTTGTCACGAAGGGATCAGTCATGCAGAGAGAAGAGATCCTACTCCAGTTCAGTACAATGTAGTAGATTCCGCCCTGTGACGCGCCCAGGAATGCCAACGCCTACTCCCCCGCGGGGGTGGCTGACATGCGCCGTTAACACGAGCAATGGAGAACACGATGGTATCAACCTTGAGGTACATTATCCGAAAACTCGCATAACCTTAGTTAAGTTGTTAACAAAAAGTAGGCCATTGGGCTCATTTGCCAGGAGCCGTGGCGTGAACCAATTTACGCCCCCAAAAAACGCTAACGACTTTAACTTCGACGAAGGGGAACCACGATTTAAGCTCATCCATCCTCAGCCCTGCAGCGACCCCCCAGCTTTGGCGTCATTGTTTTAACTTTCGAGCAGAATAATTGCCTGAAACGAGAAAAAAAAGGGGCCCGTTCAAGGCACTTCGTCACGCTAACGACTTGGCACTTTGGCTAACTCTGCAGGAGAAGAACAGAGTTTTACGGGCCTTCAGCTAGAGCGGGTCTCCTCACGTCTTACGTCTCACCTGCGACCTGACATTCTGATGCCCTTTTTACCTGGTTGATGATCTTCGACTTTACAACTACATACTGTTAGTCTGTTAGCCCGTTAGGTTCTTCGCGATCAATTACCCCCCTTTGGCGCGTCCCGCTTTTCCCCAGTGTGGGTACATTATTCACGAACGCGAAACTCGGTTCTCCTGTCGCTTAAGGGACTCGGCATTTCCTAGTGCTTATTGATCAAATTAAGATTCTCGGTTTGATCGATAATTGCTGATCACTGATCGCCGATCTTTCCTGTTGTCTGATCAATCCTTATATGCCGTGAACACCTCCTCTCGACTGCCCACTACGCCCTCTTCCACGACAACCAACCCTGTTCACCGAGATTATCCGTGCTGGTCATGACTTCTTAGCCTCATGGATTCATGAAATATCATCATGCCTTATATTCTCGTCACGCTATGCTGCACCTTTGCAGCCCTGGGCTCATTCTTATTCGGCTATGATTCCGGGGTCATCTCGTCGAGTATCGAACAAGATGCCTTTTTGGACTATTTCGGCTCCCCGGGTTTATCAGATGCTGCTAGTGGAGGAATTATTTCTTCATATACAGGTGCGTCTAGTAGTTTTCTCCCTTAGGCTCGGATCATTGTCTAATCTTGGCGAACAGGAGGTGCAATCGTCGGATCCCTTCTAGCACCATACATCTCCGATTTCTATGGACGTCGAATGGTAATTTTCATCGGCGGATTGCTAGCCACGCTGGGTGCCGCGCTACAGGGTGGTTCAGTCACCGTCGCGATGCTCATCGCTGGTCGATTCATCGCGGGCTGGGCTATTGGACTCATGTCGGCTACGATTCCTGTCTACTGCGTATGTTCATCACAATCGACATGAGATTAGATCCTCCAAATCATCCCATTCACGGACTAACTTGAACATAGAGCGAGGTTGCACCGCCGCGCATTCGTGGGTTACTTGCCAGTATGCAGCAGTGGATGATTGGACTGGGAATCATGGTGGCTGTAAGTTGCTATTCCCCTTCCCATAATCTCATTCTAACCTGATCGCCTCCAGCAATGGGTTGGCTACGGATGCTCCCTACACAGCGGCAACTTTTCCTGGCGATTTCCACTCTCCTTCCAAACAGCCCCGGCCGTGATCCTCATCTGCGGTATCTGGTTTCTCCCCGAGTCCCCACGCTGGCTAATCGAGCACGGCAAAGAAGAAGTCGGTCGAGCAGTCCTCGCCCGTCTCCATCTGAACAGCAACGCATCCAACCAGGAGCTGGTCGAGCATGAAATCAATCAAATCCATCAAAGCGTCACCAACGAAAAACAACTTGTCGTCCGCTCATGGCGCCAACTCTTCTTCTCCCGCCAATGGCGCTATCGCATCCTCCTTGCATGCGGTCTTCAAGTCATGACCCAATGCTCCGGCACAAATCTTATCCAAAACTACGGACCGCGACTATACAAGACACTCGGCCTCTCCACGTCTACTTCACTCATGATTATCGGTGTTTGGGGTGCACTGGCACAATTCTGGAATACCATCTTCATGACCTTCATCGATAAAGTCGGTCGACGCAAGTTACTCATTCCATCCCTACTAGGCATGGGCGCGGTAATGTGTGTCGAAGCTACGCTGGCACGATACGTCGATTTCAGCGATACCAACGCCAACCCGAATGCGCTGCGCGCAGCTATCTCCATGTTCTTCGTTTTCTCATTATTTTTCACAGCCCTGGGTATGATCTCCTGGATATACCAGTCTGAGATTTTCCCGACGGCTATTCGTGCTCGGGGGTCGTCGGTGGCGACTGCTACGAATTGGAGTTTGAGTTTAGTTTTTGCGCAGTGTTCGCCTATTGCATTGACGAGGATTGGGTCGGATTATTTTTATTGCTTTGTTGCGTTTAATTGGGTTGCTGTTTTTGTGGTTTGGTTGTGGTATCCTGAGACTGTTGGCAGGTCTCTCGAGGAGGTTGAGGAGGTTTTTGGTGGTCGGTCTGGTGATGATGAGCCTGATGTTACTCTTGGGGTTGAGGCGAGTCCAAAGACTGAGTGGAAGCCGCCGCGATCACATCTCCGGCATAAGGGTATTCACCCTTTGTCGATGCATCCAATAACCTGCGGGAGTTGGAGTAGCAAGGGTGGTTCGTCGCCCAGGTTGTGGAGTAAACAGATGGAGAATGTATAGTATAGAGAGGATAATCACCATTGACACAATTTTGGAGAACGCACCACCTTTGTGGGATACTATATTCATTGATTTGTCTTTATTCATACAAACTTGTCATCACCTATTGATTGATCACGTCCCGCATCACATCGCCAATCGCATCAGCACCACCACCGCCGCCCAGCAGCTTCTCGTTCGTGGTCTGAATAATGACTCGGCGGTAGCTGATCAGCGCAGGAGATCCGTTATCCTTCACCTCCAGCACCAGATGCAAGAGCTGACCCTTGGGCACAGCAGCCCGACTGATAAGCTCCACGCAGCACTTCTCAGGTGGAGGTAGTGTGACCTCCACAATGCTGCCGGCCTCATTAAGCGGCTTGATATCCAACTGACCAACCTCGTGGTGAACGGACCACTGGGTCGCACTGGGGTCACGGTACTGGTACCATTTGAAAGTAAGAGAATCGTTCGGATCCGGATCATACGAGGCAGAAGCATCAAGCCTGAATGTCGCTCCAGCCTCGAGCTCAAAGTGAAGCGGCTCAAGACCGGTGCTACCATTGATATCCACCACGGGATGATGGTTCGCCTTGCTCAGCTCAGACGAGAGAGACCACTGCATGCGAGCCGCAAAATCGTTCTGGAAAGCATCGCGCCAGCGCCAGATAGTCGCTTGGTTGGACTTGTACTGCCGGCCATCCCTACCAGTGACTTCATCCACGGTATCGCTAAAGTGTCCATTAGTCACACCCTTGCCGCTGATATCCGTAGCGATATAGCGGCCACCCCAAGATCCGAACTCGGGACGTTCAGGCACGCCGAGACCGTTCTGAATGATGTATAGGAAAGTCGGGGTGTCGCCCTCGGGAATGAACATGAAATCGGGATACGTTGAGCCCAGAGGTCCAATCTGAATGTGTTCTTTGATCCACTCCTTGCTGATCTTGGTCGGGTCGGGACCGCCCTTGTCGAAGCCGTACCACCCGTCACCGGAGATTCCAGTCCATGCAGCCATACCGTACTGGTTCCATCCGTGGACGGAGCAGATGTAGAAGATGTCGGGGCAGTGGTGGCGGATCCAAGCGCCTGTATCGTCCTGATCAGAAATGGTATAGACGCGCAACTTGGAGCGCAGCTTGGCGGCGTCGGCCAGGGAGTGGGTCAGGTGAATTTTGAGGAGGACGGAGGCGAGGACGTTGGTTCCTCCCCAGCAGAGGATCCAGAGGGGGTCGTCTGTGGGGGCTTTGATTCTCTCGAGAAGCAGTTCCCCGCCCTCGCTGAGGGGGATGTCTTTGCCAACTGCTGTCATGCCATAGCTCTGCAGTATCATGTTAGTTTAAGGACAAGAGTACAAGTCTCTCGGTGTTCTTACCTCTGCACCCTTCTTAACCAAAGATCTCAGGTACTGTGCTGTCGGGTAGGGATCGTTCGGGTGGGCATGAGCGTTCAGGTTATCGACGACCTTCTCATAGCCATCGATGATTTTGTGCATGTCCTGCGGGCACACCTTATTCTTCATCCATGTCGACGTACACGCAACCAATCCCTCCGTCCGGAACTGGTTCGAGTACAACAGATAGCGCACCAGCGATTCCGCATCATCGGGCTCGTTGGAGATGTCGCTCAAGATGAACACCCGCGGCTTCGATGGGAAGGTCTGTAGCTGAGATGGGGATGCCATTGTATTGTGAGTATCGTTGAATAATGATCAAGGGACAAGAACCACTACCGTCAAGGTGGGCTATATTTGAATCCAGCCAGATTCCCCCACATTTCCCGGAATCGCAGTTGGAGCCACAAAGGCCCGAGTTCGGGCAAGTGGGGGAAGGAAGTGCGGGCCGGAGAGATGCCGGGATTCTGCCGAAGAAGCGAACTCAAAGGAGCCGACTCAATCCAAATAAGAAGTTGCAACCGCCGGAGAACCGAATGGCTTCAACGCCGTACTCGACTAGCCGTGTCTTGCGGATCCACTTCGGTCCTTCAGTCGGCATGGCTGACCGGCAAAACTCTGTGGAAAGGGTGCGTCACTCATACTGGCTTTCCCTCCAACTCTAGTATTTTTGTCCGGAGTCGGACCATGCGATGGGTTGCGGGGCCCCGGGCTTGTCTTGGAGTTTCTAGATTCCCCCAAACGCTGCCCCAGAAGTTGTCGGATTGGACCGGGAAGAATGAAAGGCTTGAGGTATGTTCAACCACCGGACTAGCTTATATATAAAACACGGACGCCCAGCCGACGGTACCAAGATGTATTCATCGTTTGTGGCTTCCCTTGTGGCTTCCTCGTGGCTTTTTATTGATTCCCCGGGTCTTGTCACAAAATGTTCGAGTCAATTAAGCAGTCCGCCCTCTACCAGGAGCTTAGTCTCCGCCTGGTCTTCATTGGGTGCTTCGTCTCCCTAGGAGCCATGGGCTTTGGGTTTGATAACTCCTGGTGGGGAGGCGCTCTTGGTCTGTCGCCATTTGGTAAGAAGTATGGTTCATGGGATGCCGCCGAGAATGACTATAGCATTCCCTCCGAGAAACAGTCGGCTGGTACGGGCACGGGATCGGCTGGTATCATCATCGGTTGTCTTGTTGCTCCTTGGCTCTGTTCGACCTTCGGCCGCAAGCCGACCCTGCTGGTCATGGCCGGTATGTTGACCGTGGGTGTGGTGCTGGAGGCGACTGCCGTTACTTCTTTCTGGCAACTGGTGGTTGGTCGTATTGTGGTCTACTCTGGAATTGGTCTCGCCTCCAATGTGGTTCCCATGTACCAATCAGAGTGTGCGCCTGCAAAGATTAGAGGTATGAGAGTTGCTTGTCTTTGTGGTTGATGCAATCCTGACGGATCCTTTAATAGGTGCATTTTTGACTGCATACTCGTTCTGGAACACTTTCGGTTCCTTCCTGGGGACGCTGGTTGTTTACCTATGCCAAAACTTGAAGAACGAGTGGGCTTACCTGTGAGTTGTCGACGATTTGATTAACAGTAAAACTACAAAGATACTAACTTTTAATACCAGCACCGTGATTCTCTGCCAGCTTATGGTTCCTCTGGGAATCGTCTGCTCATACCCCTTCCTTCCGGAGACACCGCGTTACCTTGTCTACCGAGGACGATTTGAAGAGGCCGAAGCAGCCATCAAAGACCTGTACGGGTCCAACTATAACGCGCTTGAGGAAGTCCAGCTCCTGCGCCTTCAGGTTGAGGAGCAGCGAGAGCTCCACAAGGCGACTAGCGTCATGGATTGCTTCAAGGGCTCAAACTTACCACGAACCATCGTCGCCATTGGTGTCCAAATTCTGCAACAGGCCCAGGGAGTCTCCTTCATCAACAACTTTATCGTGACATTCATGAAGCAGCTGGGCTTCGCCGATCCTTTGAAGTACAATGTGATTGTCATTGCATGTGGACTGGTCGCTAACGTCATCTCCTTCTACACCTTTGACAAGATCGGTCGGCGCACCAACATGTTCTGGGGTGCTTTTGTCATGGGAGCCATGATGTTGGGTGTGGGCGGTACCACTGCCAACGGCTATTCAGTCCTTTCTCCCATGACCCAAAACGGTTGCGTCGCCATGCTCGTCTTGTGGTATGTCTTCTACGGACTGTCCTGGGGCCCTGGTGTGTGGATCCTCGGTGGAGAGATTGGAACTGGCCAGCTGCGTGAGCATACGCTGCTTTTGTCGTCGCTGGGCAGTTTCGTCACCTCCGTGCCGATCAACTTTGTCAACCCTTACGTCCAGGCTGCTATTGGAGGTCGTACTGCGATCATCTACGGCAGTTTCTCTGTGGCTGCGATGGTGTTTGTGTACTTTTTCCTGCCTGAGACTAAGGATCGGTCGTTGGAGGAGTTTGATGAAATGTTCCAGCAGAAGGTTCCCACACGCGAGTTCAAGGGCTATGTTTGCACTGGCCTGGGTGCTCAAATTCGGCAGCTGGAGAACAAGGATGGGGCGGATATGAAGACCAAGGAGATTGAGCATGTGGAAGCTGCGATCTGAGAAGATCTACTACCAAAACTTGAAATCTCTACCTCAAGCTGCATGAAATGATTTACAGCACGATTTTGAGGACTAGCGATCAATACTTTCTAGTTCCCATATCTACACAGGCACTTCAATGGTCTGAACTTGACATAGAGGCCAGCCAGATATACTTAATTTGACTCTTTGAAAGCTCTACCTAAATGTATTCTTAATGCTCTTCATTGACAGATTTGATGATATCTCTTGCGAAACCGAACAATTCGTAACCTCAAAAGGTGGATCTGGAAACCCCTGTCCTGATCTTAAAGTCATGGAGCACCTTTCATCTAAAGGGTAGCAATACCATGAAGACTTAGGACTTTCTAGATATTTTCTACGTCATCGCCAGTTGACTCAGTTTAATTGGCATAAAATTTAAAGGTTGGAACATGAAATGCCTCATATGGATCTAGAGTGCTGCGCGACTATGGAAAGATCCACCACGACCGGCAGTCAGTACCGCTTCCCAAATAGGCAGTTAGAGCCACCTTTACCTATTCGAGCAAGCCTAAGGCCGAAACAACCATCGCATAATTTTCGCAGAAGAGTACCATGATATTTACAGTAGAAAGATCAATACCCCACAAGATGCAAACATAGTACAGGGATTTGATACCCCGCTCTCAAGATGGTAGTCGGAGCCACCAAATGCCTCGTTGCTGAAAAAAAAGACCCAAACATTAGAGGGTGGCCTTTTTATTTATCGTAGGCCTCTTGTCCACATTGTATTTCCATCCTAGATTTTGAATCTAACCTCCATAAACACAATTAAAATCACAATCACAATGGCCAAGTCAACTATCACTCTCGCCTCTGGCAAGGAAATGCCCCTCGTGGGCTTCGGCCTGTGGAAGGTCCCTAAGGAAACCGCCGCCGATACAGTCTACAACGTCAGTATTCCATTCGTTCTATCTGAGAAATTTCATCGAGGACAATTTTCTAACGCACAGCAGGCTATCAAAGCAGGATACAGATTGTTCGACGGTGCCTACGACTATCAGAATGAGAAGGAGGCTGGCGAGGGTATCCGCCGCGCCATTGCCGACGGCCTTGTGACCCGCGACCAGATCTTCATTACTACCAAGCTATGGAACAACTACCACCGCCGCGACCATGCGTTGGCCATGGCCAGGAAGCAGAATGAGACCTGGGGTCTTGGTTACATTGACCTGTTCCTCATGCATTTCCCCTGCGCATTGAAGTATATCGACCCTGCTGTGCGCCAATACCCGGTACGTGACAATCCGCAGCATTCAATTATACCATAATATCTAAATGGGTATGACTTTCTAACAATTTATAGGCCTGGTGGATGGACGACGCCGGCACCGTCGAAACCGACAAGGTCCCTATCCGCGAAACCTGGGAGGCGATGGAGGAAATCGTGGACAACGGTATTGCCCGCAGCATTGGCGTCAGCAACTTCCAAGCACAGTCGATCTACGATATCCTCAGCTACGCCCGCCACCCGCTCTCCTCTCTACAGGTCGAGCACCACCCGTACCTCGTGCAGCCCGAGCTTGTCCAGGTCGCTCAGGAGAATGGTATTGCGGTCACGGCTTATTCTAGCTTCGGCCCTCAGTCCTTCGTCGAGTTGCCCGCGCAATTCTCGGAGAAGGCCAAGGACATTCCTTTGCTGTTTGATGCTGAGCCTGTTAAAGTGCTCGCTGCGAAGTATAATGTCACGCCTGCGCAGGTTCTTTTGCGTTGGGCTACCCAGCGGTATGTCAACATTCTTTTGGATATTGGGTGCTTTTTTGGATGGGGTCATGACACTAACGTTCCGATAGTAACGTTGCCGTTATCCCTAAGTCGAACAACCAGTCTCGCCTTGCTCAGAACTTGGATGTCGTGGGCTTCGACATGACCGCCGATGAGCTTAAGTCTATCTCTGCCTTGGATAAGGGCCTGCGCTTCAACGACCCTGGCCACTACCTCCCCAACCACCCAATCCGCATCTTTGCCTAGAGAGATGTGAAAATATGTATTTTTGTTATGATGTAGTTTCATGAACCATAGAAGGTATAGCGTTGACAATGAAGAAATATTACAAATGAGTTCTTCGTGCACCGTCTTCGAAAACGGGAAGTTGTAGGTATATATACAGTAAAACATATTATAGTAAAAGTGGCGTCCTCACTTAAATAGTGAAGGCATGATATAGCTCGTCAATGGGGCACTAAGGATCTCTTGGCGTAAATCTGGCTCCCACAGATATACGGATGACTCCTGTATTTGCAGGGTGAGACATGAGAAAAGAAAGTCGTTGAGCCGATGCCACGAGTCAGCGCTCAATCTCTTCGCAATCTTTAGCATCCGACCGGCAAACCAGGGACGTGCGGACGGAGAGGTCGCAGTAGGAGAATATTGAGTGAAGTCTGGAAGCTCCTCCAAGAAAGCAGGCGACACGATTCCATCTGTAACTGCGGACGAGGCGTCTCTAGGACCGTCATTGCACTCGAGGAGAATTTGAAGGATTGCTTCGACAGAGCCGCTCATGTTGACTTCGCTGTCTACCATGGCTTGTTCTAGTATCTTCAAGAATACCCCAGCACGAATAGGTGTATATCGATAATCCCAGAGGGCGGCATTAAGCATCATTAGAGCTGTGAGGCGAGCAACCATTTGTTTCCGATCTCCAGATGCAGTGAATCGAGCACCTGGAGGGGCAGCCAGGGTCTGATATAGAATGGAGGTCGGCTGGACTGCTGTCTGCCGGGAAATATCACAAGTCTCTCGGTTATCCATTTGGTAGAGAGCAAGTTGCTCGCAGCGGCGGAGAAAATCAAGAAATTCTTCACATTGGAGTCGAATTTCGTCAATGGGAGAGCTTATATGGAGGGGAACGATGGTTTGAATAGGTTCCAGGGAAGTGATGTCTGAGCATGCAGAGGGCGTGGATTCTGGAGGGGAGGGTATAGATTGAAGGTTATTGGAGGATTGAGGTTGGGATGATGAGCGAGGAGGTTCAGACACGGAGGAGACAGGCGGGCATTGCTCGAAGAAGAAACTCGACCCGTGAGTTTCGTAACCCGAGAGGATATAATCTTGCCAATTGATCAACATTCCAAGCCGGGTATTTTCAAAAGCAACGGGTCCTCCTCGCGACCGAATCATCTCGCGAGCCGCACGCATATGCACCCAGCTGATCTCTTTATGGCCAGGGCGGGGATCAAAGTCCTCAAGCGCAGCTGCACTCAAGCACGAGATGATAGCGACGTCCGAGTTATCGCGGGGGTTGTTGGTTAAATGTTCACGGAGCATCGTGACGGCCCGGTCTCGATGTACAAGGGTATTGGAGGTTTCAGTCTCGTTACGGACCCAGGCCCAGGTATTCGCGGCGTGGACTAGAATAGTATTTTGAAATGCCACAGCTCCTTTCATTCCCTCTGGAACAAAGACCTTGGTGTACCAGTTGTGGGCCTTGGCCGATCGAAAATGAGACCCATATGAACAAGCAGGCATCTCATTCACGTAAAAGTCAAAGAGCTTCTGTTCTTCACGATTTAGTTCCAACGGAAGAGTGTTGAATGGGTCTGTTCGCGCTGCACTTAGGATAGTTCGAGGTGACCTTGTGAATTCGAGTGGCGTCGTGGGTGTTGAAGACCCTGCTGTAAGACTTCGGAAGTCTGTTATTTGGCTCTGACTATGAGAAGATATGTCGATGAAATCACCCAATTGAGATGGGAATTCTTGAGATTGCAATGGTGATGTGCGGAAAGGTAAAGCGACAGTCTTCTCAACTACTAATGACGGGTCAACCGCCTCGGATATAATGTCCTGGGCGATTTCCTCAATATCAGCGGGCGCGGCTTCTTCCTCTTCTGCAGCTGCTTTACTCTTGGCTGGCTTTGGCTGATTGGAGCCTTTGTCGGCCCCCGCTGCTTTTTTCGTATATTTGCGTTTCGCAGCTCTGGTCTTCTTGGGCCGACCGCGCTTAGTCGGAGGGCTAGAATCTTCTTCACTCTCGCTGTTGCGTGAGCTCCCTTTCTTTTGGCGTATATACTCTTGCATGACATGACGTTTAACCTGTGTCAGGTTGCTTCGACTATTGTCGGAAGCGTCGATAAATTGCCACCGCATGTTGGCAGGATCTTGCGTCGTGCTAGAGCTCTCCTTGTCTGGCGCGGCCATGGCTGAAGCGGGGTAGGGATGGGTTCTTCGCAATGAGAACCCAGTCTTCCTCGCCGCAGAAGCCCCGCAAGGTCTGCGAGAATGTATAAAGGGGCAAGTTGGACACGGCTAATGTCTCTAAAGCCCGACAAGTGTACCGGACCTGCCGCGACTGGCCTGTGGAAGAAGTGACTTGAGGAAAGAAATGTTTCCGATAAGGCGGATCGAGGTAGATAACGCCTGCGGCCAGGAACAATAAAGATGCAGAAAGAAAGGAGATCAGTCACGGTGGAGTCGCATCCAAATTTGATAAGTGAAAATAGGTAGAGCCAAGGGCTCCACCGGGCGGTCGCGCATTAAACTGGAAACCGCAAATTTGTCTCGTCCAAAATACTGCGTTTAGAAAAGTCGCGGGCAAGCTAAGACCAAGTTAGCCTAGGGGTCCACCATGCCGGCTTCAACACGTGTGTTTCGTCTCTGGCAAAGCGGGATCTTCGAGGCTGAGCAAATCAGACTAGTGGGCTGCTGCTCAAGTGAGAATGGGGCGAAAAGTGAGCACAAGCATAAAGTAGTCTGACGAACGAGTCGGCTGATAATCAATCGGGACCAGAAGCTGAACTCGACAGTCCATATCTGATCACTGCCCGATCGGCCTTCGTTTGAATGGATTGAGATCGACTGATGGCGACCCGCTGGTTCAAGGCCACTACGATCGGCCAAGATGGCCCCAGATTGTGACGAAAGGACAATGGCTTGCACATTTTACCCCATTCTCGGTTACTCGGGATCACCGGGGGCCACTTTTTGTAGGGACCTCTGCGGCTCTTCATCAAAGATCGAATGGTGGAAGCATCCGCAGTTCGTTCAGCTCAATACATAACGAAGGGACCCAGGGGCTGGCCTCGGGATTGCTTATTCTGCGAATTGCCTGGTCGAGACTCGTTTGTGTTGAACGTTGCATATGACGGGAGGGTCATGATCACGTCAGTCAAGGGCTACTTGGCGGATGCTGGTACCTTCTGAGGAGGAAGTATGTACGGAGGATGGGCGTTGGGTGATGATTCCGCCCAATCTATTTCCTTGTCACAGAATAGCTAACATCCTCTCAACAGTTCTCTTCGCTACTATATGCGGCCATGGTTTAAATGTACTTTTTCTTGACGCAGCCCAAACACCGGAGCCAATTACGACTTGGAAGAAGAACGAGACAAGAACAATGCCAGTATCGATACATAAATGTCCTCCAACACAGGCCTAGACAAGTCTCCAATGCCGTCCAGCTCTGCAGTTTCAGGTCAAACTCTATTGGAGTGCACTAAAATGACCCTAATTCCCTTAGCGTTCCTACCGTGACGAAGATCGCCATCAGTCTCTCCTTGCCAAATCCCCCGCCAAATTCTTCGCCCTACCAGATCTTTTGATGTGCCCCACGTACCATCAGCGACATACTATCTTGAGTATGGTCTTGGATGATCTCTTAGCCTAGAGTCCCTTTCAACGATGCATCTCAACGGCAGATTTCTATTCACCGAGTCCTCGTACTTGATCTTACTTGCGCAGTCCCGGAGAAGCCGGGATTCCATAATTATCTCGCGCTTATTATCCAAACATGCACAAGTGTAGAACCTTAATCCTGTGCATTGCATTGGAGAGCCATGCCCCATGCTAAGAACCCAAATCACCTAAGTCTGAGAATAGATATTATGGTTCAATGATCGGGGTAAATTCTAAGCGAACCAGGGCCAACACAGCAGTTACAACCAAGTATAGTGTGGGCATGATCAAGTCCCGACACCCCATAGGGAGATTAATTTACAATCCAGTAGGCAGCACCAGGGAGGCCACCAAATAACAATCGTCAGTGATAGGTGCAATCCCATGTATGGTAGGGTTAAGCTGCAGTCAGACGCTACGCCTCGAGTACCCGGAATCCTCCCAATAACTCCTGCAGATGCAGATGCAAGCCCAAGTCTCGCGTGGCACACGCAATTGCCCTGTTTCGTGATTCCTCAGCGAAATAAGCATAGCGAGAAATGCCGTGCAGATTCCTGATTATGTATGGTCTCAATGCCCGCCTCGTCATCTTGAGTTGCACCCACTATCCGATGACCATGTAGGGGGCCAGATGCGGCGAATCTCGTATTCTCTGAGATTAGACCATGGCCACCACATGGCGGCTGTCCAGGATGTAGATAAGAATCAACTACTGTATGTACTGGATCGCGTTGTAGCCATTCTGAACACTGTCCGCCACAACTGGTTGTCCCAGGCAATGTACGTCGGCTATAATATCTCGATGGCTGCGGGATTAGATAGATGCCAGTGTCATATCAGGTCTCTGTTGTCATCAATTGAGCATGTCGTGTGATGCAGTAGTAGGGATCAGGGCGTTTAGTGGTCTTGCGCTTGCGAGGTTAAGGTCTTGACGCTGTGTTCTATGAGGACCAGGGTCAGTCTCGATAGTACTTGATAAGACCAAGATCTGATGGAAGCATTTATCTGATCTGGATGCCTTCGTTCTCTGCAAAAACAAGGGTAAAGAATGATGGCCAAGTTAAGGATGCGACGGTCGACAATGGGATGATAGTGCCAGATGGGACCGATAACTGTTAAGCAGTCAAAAGTCGCGCCGCGGTCGGCACTGTCGCGTGTCGGAGCAGCTCACCGCCTTCATTTTGTGTTCAAACTCCGCACCTCCGATTTGCGACCCCGAGATCAAGGGACTCCCCATGACAAGACACCGCCCTGGACTGAAGTTTTCGATGATTCAAGTTGCTTTTTGAACTTTTCCTTATTTCCCAGGGAAATCAACCAGTCCCAAATCCGTGAATTGACGTGAGCGGTGCTTCCTTGAGCCACCAGCGGAGACATCGCGCGAAACCCGTCAGAAATCCCCCCAGTTTCGACACTGACGGCGCAAGAGACCAGTTCGACCGTATATTTCTCGTCGCATGGGTTCTGGTAGCTCGAGATCCATCTGAGCTTGAGCGTGGCATATCTGGAATAATTCATGCGCACCCCATGATGCCTCTAACCCTCGTCATCGCATTTCAGTACATCTAGGTCTCTGCCCGCGCGCCCTTCGCTGCGGACACATCCTGAACCTGTTTGACCCGCTGGACATTCGAGAGCTCAACAGGGCGCACCATATCAGTGACCGCAGAGACAATCAGATATCTTTTCCCACTGCATTTGCCCGACCTTGGCTATGATAGCAAGGATGGAGGGACCAACGGGCGCAAACCAGACGAACGGGACCGATACAACCAGAACAATGAGTAATCCCTATGAAACAAACCCAGACCGAATCCCCCACGACGACCCTTTCCTCGCACAGAGTGCGCAATATGGCCGATACAGCCCACATCCCGATGACTTCGCCCCTCCCGACAAGCACTGGTACCAGTCTGACCCTGAAGCAAATGCGTATTGGCAGAAAGTCGCGCAAAGGTTTTGCACCTCGGAGAAGTCACTGAATGTACCAGGGTCGAGGGAGGCATTCGCTGCAGGCAGTGTAATCCTCCGGGTAGACCGCGGGTCTGCCGAGGGCGCAGCTGCCGAGCGATACTCGTGCGCGAACGCGAACGAATTATCTGCAGCGCGCAAAGTCGAGGAGTCGTTGAGGGAGATTGGAGTTGCGGTGCCGGTGATATACTTCTGTGGAACGATCGAAGGCAGGAATGTGACGGTCGAATCTCGAATTCCAGGTGTTTCACTGGAGGTTGCATGGCGATATCTCAGCTCGGAACAGATTGAGGTCGTGAAGAATCAATGTCGCCAAATCGTGCAGCACCTAACGACGATCGACCCTTCCCCCGAAGAACCTTCCTACGTATGCCGCGGTCTCAATTCACAAACGCCGTTATCGACGGAGGAGCAGGAGCGCGATATACTTTTCGCGGCGCTGGCTTCGAAGGGAGAAGAGCTCAGCCTCACGCATAATGATCTCGTTCCGGCCAATATTATCGTGAAAGATGACCGCATTGTTGGTATTTCTGGCTGGCGACACAGCGGGTACTTTGGCCTTGATCGGGCCAAGAAGGTACACCGGCAGTTCAGGAATTTGGAACCGCGCGAGAAGACCAAGGATGGGAACACGACATGGATTGATCTATATAACGACGCCTATAACCCAAGCAAAGGCTTCCCTTTGGTCCCCACGCGAGAGACTGTGCTTCCATTTGTGAAAACAGAGCCTACTAGTTCAACTCTGGACAAGTTCCCTGCCAGCGATGATCTAGAAACAAAGTCAACGGCCGTGGATGGGGCAGGCGACTACCTGACCTCAAAGAAGCTCGCTGAACTCAAGACCGGTATTACCTCGCGTGCTTCTTCGACCGACCGGTCATCTCCCGCAACGTCAGTCAAGCCAACTTCAAACAAGAAACCAGCGTCAGCGGCTACGAAAAAGGGCACTGCAAAGAAGCCAGCCGCAAAGAAGCGCAAAGTAAATGATGCAGATGCTGACAGCATCGACGGGCGCCGATCAAACACCCCGGCGTCTCGTACTAGTAAGGGCCCTGGGAAGAAACAGGGTTCCGTGTCTATTGCCGGATCCCCTGCGCCTGACGACAAGAAGAGACGGGGCAAGGAGCAGCTGGCAGACGAAGACGACGAGGACGTCGAAGATGAAAATGAACTGTTCTGCATCTGCCGGCGACCGGACAATCACACATGGATGATTGGGTGTGACGGGGAATGCGAAGACTGGTTCCATGGAAAGTGTGTTAATATCGATCCACGAGATGCGGACTTGATCGATAAGTATATATGTGAGTATCCCTCTCCTCCCTCTCCCTGGACCGTCCTAGGTTCATTCTCGTCCATCGTCTAACCACAATCCCAATAGGCCCAAACTGCAGTAAACGCGATAACGGCTTTACAACATGGAAACCAATGTGCCGCCTCCTCGAGTGCCGCAAACCGGCTCGCGTCAATCGCAAGAACCCAAGCAAATATTGCTCCGATGAGCACGGTAGAGAATTCATGCTCCGACAAACCCGCCAGCTCAAGCTCGGACCTGCTCGAAAGGGCACCGAAGACCTGGGCAGTATGGGTGGTATCCTCACCCCGAAAGATCTCAAAGCCGCGATCTTGGGGGCAACCTCGGTGCAAGAGTTCCGTAAATTGGGCAACCAGATAATTTCCACGCCCCCTGAAAGCATCTGCGGTAGTTCAGCATCCGACGTCAAGAATGAGACGAAAGCATCGGACGCTGATAAGCTGTTTGATGTCAATGCTAGTGGCGTTGAATACTCAGCCGATGAGGCAGCGAAGATTGAGAAACTTCGCCAACGACGTGATGACCTACTCCACCGAAAGGAGATGCTCGCAGCTCGTTCGACATTCGTCGGGCTCGTGCGCCAGCGATCCAAAGCTGCCGTGGAGAAACTCAAGCAGAATGAGCCAAAGGGTGGATGGAAAGATATATGTGGTTTCGATTCGCGGCTTGCATGGGCTGACGAGGAATTCGACGAGTGGCGACTCTCCGGGGCTGGCATGAAGGCGCTCGAGGAGGGTACCCCCGAAGCCATGGCAGCCAGCTATCCTACCACGACGGATGCCGACGGTGACATTGCGATGGACAGCGATGAAAAAGAAGATGCGATGCTTCTCCTCACTCGTGGTATCTGTATCAAGAAACGCTGTGAGAGACACAAGCAGTGGGTGAAGGTGCAGCAGCAGGATATTGTTTTCGAAGAGAACGCCGCGGAGCAGGACCTGAGACAGTGCGAGCAAGAAGCCCGTTCCGTGGCAGAGCGTGCTGTACTCAGAAAATGGGCTGAAAAGGAGAATATTCCCTCCGTGGCCTGATAGTTCTCAGCAGTGCTTGATTTAACACATTGAACCATTCATTCATTTCTCGCATCCGCCATAGTGGATTCGGATTCGGATTAGCAAGGGACGCAAAATCATGATACCCCCATTTTCAGATGATGGAAAAGCGGTTGGTGGATCGGAGTTGGGATTTGCATCACACGGCGGTTGAAACCCGTCTAGCATCGGTGAAACGGGCGCTTTGCGAAGGCGGATCTGGCTGTATACTTATCGAACCTTTGCCTCTTGCGTGTACGAGTAGCAGCGATATTGATATTGCATCGAAATTAAACGAATATGACCGTTTTCTGATGAAGCGGCACCCCCTGTGTAGAAGCCTATCGCTTAGGAGACCATATTCCCCATTTCCCGAGCCCAGTGCCAATTCGATCCTTGATGACCTCGGCAACTTGTGTAGCTTTCACATCTGAGACCATGATGTGCGTATCGATGCCTTGGTCGAGGGTTTTCATGAGGAGAGTAGATAGCAGTGAGGAACCGGGCGTTTGGAAGATTGAATGAATGCCGTCGTCACCTGAGGGTCTTGCATCCTCGTCATTTGGTGTCCTAGTTTGGTTTGAATCCGGCGGTTGGGTGGCGTCGAAATACGCGGGGCCAAGGCCGCTTGTATTGATGAGGATGATGGAAAGCCATGAGGCATATGCCCGAGCCATGCGGGTCAGGTTTCGCAGCGTAGCTGCTAGTAGGGCTGTTCCTCTAACGGGGTTTGAAGCTCGAATGACACCTTCAGCGAGAGTATCGAGGCCGACCACGATTAGGATGACGGGTTGAGTAGGCTCCGCGGGGGTGTCTCGTTGCTGTGCTTGTCGCTTTTCGTGGATCTCTTTGAGCGATTCAGATACGTTGCCGATGGCCTGTGCCGCGTTTGGAAGTGTTTGCACTGGGAGTAGCTGCACAGCATCAAGGTGCCGCAGTGCTTCTTCTCTTGATAGGCCGGGCCCTTCAGAGAGAGATTGCAGTGCATTGAGCAGGAGCCTCGGGGCCAACGCGTCAAAGTTACTAGGATAGATGATGAATGCGGTGGGCTCAGAGGACGCGTCAATTCTCAGCAGATGAGATGTGAGTAGATAGCGGGGGATCTAAGATGTGTTAGATCATACTCTGCAGATCATCATATGGTACGGGGTGTCCTACCTGCCCGATGTACTCATCGGTATCCTTGCTTCTGGATCTTAGTCTGGAGAACCCGATGACAGAGCCGCAGCGGAAAACTCCGGTGTTGTTGGTTTGAGTCCCAGTAATCCAGTCATCTTTCAGGTTCCAGTCGTCATTTTGTCCTGCTTCATGCACTAGATCTCCCGTATCTGGGATCTTGGACTCTGGCTTGGCGAGGAGAGAATGGGCCAGAATTGGACAAGCAGGCTCCGCGGCGTAAACGCTGGGAGCAGAGGCCATTTTTTGCTCGTCCTGATAAACTATGTCAAATTACGCCCTTCAAAATGGAAAAAAAGCCATCAATCTGTTAGACCGAGAGTTGACGAAGGGGGGCGGGGGTTGGGGTTTGAGACTTGGAGATCCACCATTGTTGTGCGGTCTCGCGGCTCTCCGAAGCGGGTCATCAGCTTACCCGCCCTCGATAATTCACCCTGCGTATGGAATTAATTTTATCCCATCACCTTCTGCTTGCTGGCTTAGCTGTTTAACTATCCTCTTCGTAGGGTATCTTTCTATTAAGTCGATTATGTTTCTGGTGTATCTTCTTATTAGCTACGCGTAGACTAGCGTTGTGGTAGCCAAGATGAACTACGTTATCTACAACCGTTGCGCACCCTTCAACAATGTTATGCTATCTTTGCTCTGAGGCTACTCGCAACTCCTCTTGAAGGACGGGTTTCAACCGCCTGAATGTTCCTATAAGCTTCTACAATAGACTGGGTATTGTGTTCTCCCACCTTCCTATGCTGTCTTTGATCTTTAATCGTCTATATGGACTTGAAATGCGGACCCCTGGCGGGCATCCTTCTCAAGCATTACTTTCACCACTGCTTCATGGCCGTTTATGGTAGCCTATAAGAGTGGTGTCCAGCCATCCTCATCCTTTGCCTCGAGATTAGCACCCTTCTCAAGCAGTAATTTCACCACTGCTTCATCGCCGTTCGCGGCAGCCCGTGAGAGTGGTGTCCGGCTATCCTTATCCTTTGCCTCGAGATTGGCACCCTTCTCAAGCAGTAATTTCACCACTGCTTCACGGCCGTTCGCGGCAGCCCATAAGAGTGGTGTCCAGCTATCCTCATCCTTTGCCTCGAGATTAGCACCCTTCTCAAGCAGTAATTTCACCACTGCTTCATGGCCGTTCGCGGCAGCCCGTGAGAGTGGTGTCCAGCTATCCTTATCCTTTGCCTCGAGATTAGCACCCTTCTCAAGCAGTAATTTCACCACTGCTTCATCGCCGTTCGCGGCAGCCCGTGAGAGTGGTGTCCGGCTATCCTTATCCTTTGCCTCGAGATTGGCACCCTTCTCAAGCAGTAATTTCACCACTGCTTCACGGCCGTTCGCGGCAGCCCATAAGAGTGGTGTCCAGCCATCCTCATCCTTTGCCTCGAGATTAGCACCCTTCTCAAGCATTACTTTCACTACTGCTTCATGGCCGTCCATAGCAGTATATAAGAGTGGTGTCCAGCTATCCTCATCCTTTGCCTCGAGATTAGCACCCTTCTCAAGCAGTAATTTCACCACTGCTTCATGGCCGTTTATGGCAGTATATAAGAGTGGTGTCCAGCCATCCTCATCCTTTGCCTCGAGATTAGCACCCTTCTCAAGCAGTAATTTCACCACTGCTTCATCGCCGTTCGCGGCAGCCCGTGAGAGTGGTGTCCGGCTATCCTTATCCTTTGCCTCGAGATTGGCACCCTTCTCAAGCAGTAATTTCACCACTGCTTCATCGCCGTTCGCGGCAGCCCATAAGAGTGGTGTCCAGCCATCCTCATCCTTTGCCTCGAGATTAGCACCCTTCTCAAGCAGTAATTTCACCACTGCTTCATGGCCGTTCGCGGCAGCCCGTGAGAGTGGTGTCTGACGATAAGAAGCGTCATTTGCCTTGATATCTGCCTGGTTCTCTATAAGGAGAGAAACGATCTTCTCATGTCCGCTAGCCGCAGCCAGCCAGAGTGATGTGCATTGAGATTTCGATCGTGCATTCACTTTTATCTTCTTGGCGTTTAAAAGTAATTGGCAGATTTCAAGATGGCCCCTACTCGCTGCGTGATGCAAAGCAGTATATCCTTCTAGGTCTGGCTCATTCACTTTGCAGAAGTGCAGCAGAATCTGAACTATTGCTTTATGCCCAAGTTTTGCCGCGACATGAAGCGCAGGAAGGCTTTCACCGATTAGTGGAAGATCACAAACGAGTCGTAACTCGGGTACTGCGGCCTGCGTAATTGACAGAAGAGGCTCATGTTGCTCTGTCACTGCCCATCCAAACATACTGTGGAGACGGGAGGATGCCGAACGGCCGCCAGAGATCCAAGGGTGAAAATTCCAGGTTTCATTGAAACACGTTGCAAGCCGTTCGAACTTCTCCCAGGCTAATGATGTACGAGGTATCTGTTTGGTTTGTAAGGCCCAGTTTATAACGGCGTAATCTAGAAATTTGTACCGTGTCCCATCTGGCGTTGATGCTGTGCGTATCTCACGGAATGGCAGGGCAACGGACCTCTGACCTCGGGGCTTTTGTAAGAAGCGTCTGGCGAATAGTCCAGGGAAGGTTTCTTGCGCAAGTAAAATAGGGGGTGGGACAGCAACTGTGGCTTTTTCATCCCTTCGTGTGCTTAGTTGAAGACTGAAGTCTGCGAAAGAAAGATAAGCAACACAGAATTCCCCACACTCTAGAACGCCCTGTGTCCTAGTCGGGTAGCCTTGTATCGTGTTCCTTTCTCGACATCTCTCGAGATATTGTTTTACCGAGGAATGTGCAAAGCGCACACGGTTGTCAGTGGAATCCAGGACAACGAGGTTTGCACAGCAGCCAATAACAAATTCCTTTTGCGGAATCTTCTCACTATTCCACGCAGTGTCTTCTGGGTCAAAGGCGATTGCCTCTCGCAATTCTTCTATATGAAGCGGACTGGTCGCGAAGCTAACCCATTTGAGTACTTTAAGAACACGGCTGTCCTTACGATTGATTCTCTCAATGCAAAGGCCATATGTGTCTTCAAGCCCCTTTGGTAGCGCAGCTAATGCGGACCGTATTTCTGCATCAGTGTAACATGTGTCCCAAAGAATCTCCAACTGGAGATATACCCATAGAAACCTACTCGGGTCAGCATATTGTACACAAAAGGAACTTTCATAGAGCGATATGGTTAGCATACATTCCCGACGACTCTTCCAGAAGCCTCTGCCGAATTTCTTCAAGTAGTGAAGAATCTTCTGTAAGTTTTCGGCACATAGTCTTATCAGTGATGCTTGCTTCGATGTAAGATTCGATATCCTGCATGATATTGGCTGATGTCGAGATCTGACGGATTCCAGGCATGAATGTATTCATGTTTATGTATCCTGGAACTTGGTCCCTGCTTAGCAACAGAATTCGCGATCCTTGCTGAGTCCTAGGGTCAACGAATAGCGACCTGAAGAACTTTAGAAGCGATTTGGCATGTTCCCGATCCAGAGCATCAATTCCATCAACGACATATACCGTATCCGGGACGTGGGGGAAAACGCGAGTAAAAATATCCTTCAGGTCGTCGAGGTCGGCCTTGACCCTTTTGCGCCCAAAGAATTTCCTAATCTCACTTGCAACATCTTCTGGATAAGATCTGGGCGCCCACGGCAGGAGGTCACAGAGTTGTTTGATGAAACTTGAGAGAATAGACGATGCGTCGAGGGCTGCAAGATGCTCATTCATGCAATAGAAAAACACGGTGGGAGAGCCGAACTCATACTTCGCTGCGTCGATCACTGCGGTTCTATTGACTGTTAGACCATGATGTCAAATGGAAGCGTACCGGGAGACGAACGCTATCATCGTTTTGCCCGACCCAACTAACAAACGATTACGTATTAGTATCGCGTGTAACCTCAAGGCACGTATCTGGAAAGCAGGCTTACTCTTTCCCGAGCACCACAAACTAGAAATTGTCTTCTCAGTGAGCCATGCCTTGAAATCAGGGTGATTAAGGAACCAGTGCGTGGTGCCAGTGAGCCGTTTTTGACTAAGTCTTTGATGGATTTTTTCGTGATCATAACTTGAAATCCGCTCCAGCAGCCCCTCAATCTCTTGGCCATCTAGAATCCATCAGTTGCCGCCTTCTTGAGACTATCAACACACTCACTATTTAGAACCATTTCACCGCTAGGACAATTCGCCACGGATGGTCGATTTCCGCTGTAGTATGATACTAAAGTTTCGTTAGATAAACATGACTCACTATATGACTTGAATAGACAACATACCGTCGGTAATAGACCCTGCTGGTAGAGTGTCCGCCACATGGCTTACATGGACCACAGAGAGAAGCTCTTTGGCATAAGCAGCTGCCGTTGCTGCAGCGTAATCTTGCCACTGTTTGTTTTTATGTGAGTCGGAATAGTCGCAGATCCCTCGAATCACAAGGCATGGGAAGTTGTCCATCAAGCCAGCCGCCTCCATTTCAAAGCAAAGAATGTCAAGATCCCGAGCTAGGCGATCCCTGCTGCGGCCATGCTTCATCACTTGATTGCCTGAAGCAATCAGACCGTAATGGATAACCGGATCGTGGCTAGCTCGAGCAGGCCGTGTTAAGAGTCGCCTTGTATCGCATTTGTTGCAAGTATCTCCTGAGTTAGGGTGATCGTATTCAGAATCAAACAATTGATCCTGATCTTCACCGCGATATGCGAACTTCTCCCTCGCCCCGGGGTTCCTAGCTGCCACATCTAAAAGAATAGCAGGAATTCTGCTTGGCTGTAATCCATGCTCTGCTTGTAGTCTCGAGACCGCTGTTAAGAGTACTGCTGGTGGCTTATTCAATATGCCAGTGCGTTCAAAGCGACCACCAGTCACTGTTTTCCCATGATCGTACTGTATGACGCCTCCTGAGTCCCTTGTCGGCTTGCTAACCACCACGTCACCGAGCCTAATATCAGTTGTCCTGCTTGGGACTCCCCCTCCGATACCAACCATGAGGCAGAAGCGTATCGATTTAAAAGTGGACAGCATTTGTGTAGCAACTTTTGTGGCGGCGGTTGTACCATAAACGCCCGATGGAAGGCATGCAATAGCCACATTATGGCCACATATCCGGCCTAGAATGTAGGAATTACCATCATTTGGCCTCGCCAGTGAATCGCCATGTCTCTCATCCAGCATGGCCGCAGCTGCGGCCATTTCCAGGGGAAGGGCACAAATCCATGCGACCGTGTAATCTTGACGACGAAAACACTTTGTTGCAGTCTCCATTTGGATCTGTCCCAGTCTATGTTGTCTTTTTCGGTTGATTCATGAATTCTGTGATAGAAAATGAGGCTGGCCAGGCCTATACAAGTCCGTTCTGCGATGTTGATGTGAATAACAAAATGATCCAGTTCACAAGAATTGGGAGGTTGAGGCAACGCGAGTCAGCCTCACCCCCTGCATCTACAATACTACCCCGCTTTTAGCGCCACGTCTCGAGCGTCTACCAAGTCAATAAATATTCTAAATCGGCATCTCCTGGTATCCGCCAATCCGAGATCACATTCTGATGAAATAAACTACGTTGATTTGCTGTGGGTTGTATCTAGACACCAAGCGCCCTCATTCAGCCCAAGGCGGCATTAAAGTCAGCCTCTCAGTTGATTTGGCCAATCCTAGTCGATAGTACATACAGTAGAGGTATGAAGAGACTGCGGTTTCAGGCAGAGTAAGATGAATCAATAACACTGCGTCTAAACTCCGCTGATAGAGTCTGCGCTGAGCCGGTGGCAGCAACCTTGCCCTAGAGTATTTGCTTGTTCATTGTTGTTTGATATTTCGTACATCCAGCAAAACTTGATGATCATAAATAATGCCTAATTTAAGATCGAAGAGGTCTCCCCAGACGGCGGCCTTCTCCAATTCCCCCGATCATCATGAGTCCAGCCTGCCAATTGCTCCCTCAAAGCACTTTCTAGGTCCGGTCGTACTGCTTCTACATGAAAGTCCCGGCTGCGAAATTCCTCCACGGAACTCTTAGCCTGGATATTGAACCCAAGAATCGAATAAGCCGATTCCAATTCCATCCATGGATCATTGGGATCCATCGAGCCGCGCTGTTCCAGCTCAGTGGCATGATTATTCTCGTCTGGGGCTAATTGGACAGTCACGACGCGGAGACGCGGCATCAATCTCATTACAATGTTCACGTTTTCCACGTGGTTGTAGAATGGAAAGATTGCCGTGTAGCTCAAGGATTCTATTCCACCGAAGGAGTCGTGCATCTCGGCCGGGAGCTGCATCGGGGGATCTTCATGCCCCCATTGGCTCAGGAATGAAGGGACGTGTGAGGAAAAGTACTCGTAATGATTGTAGGCTTTCAGAGAGGACCCCTCGTTGAAGGATAAGGATGTCCATGGGCGAGCACAGAGTACGTTTTCAGATGGAGGGGGTTGATAGCCGGATACGTTGCCGTAGCTGCTCTTTTCGAGTTGCAAGATCTGCTGGTCGATATCAAATGCCCAGCCATGTTGCTCGTCTATCGGGGTCTGCAATGCCTCCCCAATGATCCTTGGCGGCGCGAGGATGGTAATCCGTAGAGGATCGATGCACTCGAAAATCTTATTTAACCAGATGCCGGTGACTTGTCGTGGAAGATCTTTATCCGACACGAGCACGGTGATGGATTTTATATATCGAGCCAAGTTCCATTCTCGTACGAATGAGTAGAATTCCGAGGGCTCATAGTCAAGTACCACGCGAGCATGAGCGAAGAGATAGGGCCGCACTAAGGTGGCGAGGCAGGAGCATGACTGGTACAAATGCTTTAGAGATGTATGTTCGACAACTGTAATGTTTGGATCTGGTTCAGGATGCAGTTGGGTGTATGATGGAGGCTCTATATCCAAGTAGGAGATGATCAGATCCAGCAGTTCAGTGGGGAGACGTTCCAGCGACGACATGGCGTGGGAGCTCCACTTTGATGGTAGCTCATGCTGTAATTCGGTCGGTTCCAAGTCGCTGACTGGCCAGAACTGTCATGGTCACAAAGGCACTGCAGTCAGCACATTGTCTGCAATGCAGTATGTACTGTAGTAGTCAAGATCGCGGGGTTGTGGTTGAAGAGGGTTTTCGGTAGTCGGCCAAGGGTTAAAGTGCCGGCGCCCCACTGCAACCAGCGCCGCATCCTCCACTTGGTCTCTGGTGGCTCTTTGTCAGAATTGACTCAGCCCGAGTTGGTTTGGGCTATTTCTATATCTTTGTAGAATTCATCTGGTCATGATGGAGCTTGTGAAAGAAGAGAATAGACCATCATGAGCAATATTCCGGGGTAGAATGATGAATATCCTGGAGTATAGTTGTATAGAGATACAAGATAACAGTATGCCAAGGCTGACCCCGGAATTCCCCCATCAATTGATCAACTCCAAGTTTGATAAAGTCCATTGTTAAAGCGCTTTCTTTTCTTGAAAACAAGAGACAATTGCTTTAGATCATCTAGTAATATACGCCGAAGAGTACCCGAGAATCAGCACTGACCCTTTGCCTAGATTATACCCCGCATGGTCAAAAGATGTATGCTTCGCCCTGCGGAAAGCTTTGACGTCAGTATCAAGAAGCCTGGGCAGTGATACTTTCTTGATATACAGGCCACGATGAACATCAATGTCAATGGCAATCACAGCCTGTATCAATAGAGCACTCGGCCCTTGAGAATATAGCAAACAGAACAACTACCAAACATCTGTAGGCCGACTTCGGTCGGCCAACAGGAAAACTGTGGAGATGCCCATCTTTCAGCCGGTGGGGCGCGATCGCTGGATGCGACAGCGCGGCAAATGTTGTCTCGAGCCATGAGTTGGTTCCGTGCCCCTCCTTTTGCGTGGCCCTGAGTTTTTGTCTCCTTCTTTCTTCTCCTCTCCTTCAAGTTCAGACCTGGGAATAACCTGTCAAGTAAGTTGAGAACCGGATCATCATTGCCAGAAAAGACTTCAAGACTAACAAGTGTGCCGCGCAAGTAACACACTCAATCATGGCTCCTCAATTGCACCAGCGACCCCCCTTCCGTGCCGAGCACTTGGGCTCGTTGCTCCGTCCTCAGGAGCTTCTCGAGAAGAAGATTGCCTCCGAGAAGGGCGAGGTCTCCCAAGCCGAGCTGGAGAAGGTCGAAGATAAGGAGATCAAGGACATTCTCGCCACCCAGCTGAAGCTTGGTTACCGTGGTGCTTCCGACGGCGAGTACCGCCGCCACAGTAAGTTCTCCAATCGAACTCCATAGAATGATTCATGGCAGCACAATTTAACAAGAAAACAGTGTTCTGGGGTACCTTCTTCCCCGGCCTTGACGGCTTCGAGGAGGTCACCGAGTTCGAGACCGACATCTTCCGTCCCTATGCCCCCGATATTGCCGCTTTCTTGGAAGCCGGCCACAAGCCCGGTGAGACCGTGCTTTGCACCGGTAAGATCAAGCACGTTGGCAGCACCTACGTCGACCAATTCAAGTATCTCGCCAGCCTGGTGCCCCAGGAGGAGGTCAAGAACCTGAAGATCACCCTGGCCGCTCCCAACTGGTACCACCTGCGCTACCGTGAGGGCAAGGCTTACCCCAAGGATGTGTATGCCAACGACGAGGAGTACTTTGGTGATATTGCCAAGGCCTACCAGGCCGAGCTGAAGATCCTGTACGATGCTGGCTGCCGCAACGTGCAGTACGACGACCCTAACCTGGCTTGTAAGTTCATATTTTTGCTTTGAATTTCTTCGAGGTCACCTCCACTCACATCTCAACTAGACTTCTGCTCTGAGAAGTTCCTTGACGGCTTCAAGGAGGACTCCCTGAATGTCTACACCGCCGACGACATGTTCCAGAAGTACATCAAGCTGTACAACGACTGCTTCATCGGTCTGCCCGAGGACATGCACGTCGGTGTCCACCTGTGCCGCGGTAACTTCGTTGGCAGCCGCCACTTCTCCGAGGGTGGATACGATCGCATTGCCATCAAGTTGTTCCAAGAGCTTAACGTGCACACCTACTACCTCGAGTACGACACCGAGCGTGCCGGTGGCTTCGAGCCCCTCAAGCACCTGCCCCCTCACAAGAACGTCATTCTCGGCGTTGTCACCAGCAAGTTCGCCACCATGGAGGACAAGGAGGAGATGAAGAAGCGCGTCATTGATGCGGCCAAGTTCATCGCCGAGGGTAACAACATCTCCCTCGAGGCTGCCCTTAACCAGGTCGGTGTCAGCCCGCAGTGTGGCTTTGCTTCTCACCGTGAGGGCAATGCCATTGACTGGGATGGCATGATCAACAAGCTCAAGTTGGTTCGGGAGATTGCCGACGATATCTGGCCTAACCAGGCTTAAGTGTAAGTGTGGGAATGTGGAAATGAGAAAGGAAAAAAGGAAATGAACTTCAACGGATACCCCTTTGTATATTTTGTCTCTCGCCGCTAGGCGCCATTCTTCGGTTGGTTTTTCAACAAATACCACCAGGTCTGGGTTTTTTTATTATTTGTACAGCGTTGGTGGATTTGCACCGGACGATTATCATGATTCTTACCTCTGAAAATATGATGAATATGATTGCATTTAATTCAAACAAGTCTTTGTGGTCAGCAAATGTAGGTGGGGTGATAATAAAACGAGTTCAGGAGTGGAAAGTAGATGAGATTGAAGAGAAGGTCCCCTGATCTTCCTAAAGTACGAGGGGTATCGAATCCTACAAGGTCCTCAGCGAGACTCATACATCAACTATGTAATTTGTCATCTACACTTAACGGATTGAGCTCGGTGGTTAAGTAATCGAATTCACAAGATGGAAATCATCTAGATCACATCAAGATAGCCATCTTTACTCTGCTGGGCCCAGAATATTCGATTCCTTGACGGCAGATCTCTTCTGAGTCCGCTCGTTCTCAATCTACCATCTGATCAGTACATATTGCAAAGAAGGATCAAATACGGATCCCTGCAATCATACCTCATAGCGGGGCTCTTGAGGTGAAGCCTCAACCATTCGACCCGTCATGGTCGTATTGGAAGTGCTCACTTCACGGATGATTCCGATGCTCTCGCTGGTGTGCGATTCACGCCCTAATAGCAAAGACAAGTCAGATATCTATACGTTTCCATCCAAGTCTTAGATCGGCTTTTCTCAAAAACTTACCACCGACGGGCTTGTAATTAACTCGCTGTCCAGTGCGGAAGGCAGGCATGGTGTTTTTGATGTCTGATATTTGGAAGATTGTACTTTGTTCTGAAAAATATACGGAAGTGTTTGGACTTGTAGATAGACATGACCCCTTGATTTAGGCCTCTATTTATGCTCGTCGGTGGCAAGATCTTGGATAGAAGATAGACCTGTGAGTGAGGATTATGAGAATAATCTGGCGTCAGATTGACATGCGCGGAATCGCCTTTGGAGTTGGGCTCTATAGATAGTCATACTTGGTGGCAATGACAAGAGTCAACGCGGGATAGTCCGTATAGACATTCTACGCAACGGCTATAGTATACCGAAATTCAGAGGAACAGATATCCGAGTCCTACGTAACCATGAAGAACTCAATCTACTTGAATAGTTCCAATCCACGGCATTGGAATCCCTCCCCTCCACCTCGGATGTTGGTTCCATGAATTCAACCGTGGATGCGATGCGATACCATACTAATCAGTACAGACTTTGATCAGATGTATGTCATTTGTTCCTAAATTGATTCTCTATTCCAGCTAAGAAGCCCGCTATCCTTTCTCTTCGTATCTCGAATGAAATCGATCAACTCTATAAACATCGGGAATCCACAAGAACAATGATCAGGGAATCGAACAATGCCAACGCTGGGATGATATGAAGCACTAATCAAAAAAAAATTAAATAATTAAATTGGGACTCGGAACGAGTCCGGGTAAGAAACGGAGGGGATATCATAGAAGAGAAGATAAGAACCAAGGGGGAGGGAGGATGATGGAAAAAAGATGAGGCCGCACACAAATGAAAAGGAAACAATGGAAGGGTGAGTAACAAAAAACAAAATAAAATAAAGCCCAAATGCTGCGTCGTCTTGTCATCAAACACGGACATGAATTGAAAAGAGAAAATACTTGTCGGGTGCGAGGTGTTGTACACGAGGCTGGCTGGGCGCCTCTCGAGATCACAGCGGGGCAATGTTTTATTTCGCAGGCTGGGTCTTGACGTTGTTCGAGAGCCATGCCTGGGAAGTGGAGACGTGCGGGTCAGTCATTGTTTTTGGTCAAAGCAAGGAAATGATAAGAAAAAAGGCTTGAAACTCACCAGGCCCTCGAAAATACCCGTACCATCCGTCGCGACACTGGGCGCAACATACCACAGCTTGTCCTTCAGCTTGGTCAATTGGAGTTTTTGGGTAATCTCCTCCGGGCTCAAGTCTGCGCGCCGCAATTGGTTAGTCAGGGGCAAGAAACGAAGGCTAGGCTGGGCCAACACCAAGTTGCAGTTAGGGGGTGGAGAAACATACGGCCAGGGATATCCTGCTTGTTGGCAAAGACCAGGAGCAACGCGTCCTTCATTTCGCGATCGTTGATAATCTTGTGCAGCTCCGACTGGGCCTCCTCGAGGCGGGCAGTATCGCTCGAATCCACGACGAAGATCAGACCTTGCGTGCCGGAGTAGTAGTGTCTCCAGAGAGGGCGAATCTTGTCCTGGCCACCGACATCCCACACGTTGAACTTGACGTTCTTATAGGTCACGCTCTCGACGTTGAATCCGACGGTGGGGATCGTGGTGACATCCTGGTTGCTCAGTTTCAATTTGTAAAGAATAGCTAGATAGCATTAGCTTCCATTTCAATGGCAAACCAGCAGCTCGCATATCATACTGGTCTTTCCTGCAGCATCCAAACCCAGCATAAGGATACGCATCTCCTTCGTGCCGAAGATCTTCCCCATCATCTTGGATACCGAGCCACCCATCTTGGCGCGTTGAGGTTGGAATTGGAGGGCGAAAAGGGAGCGAGAGGCGACGACACAGCGACCTCGAGGAAATTGCAGAAGCAGGAGACGGTCAACCGCTTGGACACTTGTACACTCGAACGCGTAAAAAGGTGGGAAATTGGAGAAAACAGCGACTCGGAAGTTTGCAATTTGAGGCGGGGGAAAAGGGGCACGGCTGAGTCAGCCACCCCCAGAGGTCGGCGTTTCATACGCGCAAAGGGTCCACCGCAATCTGATTTGCTTGGTTGTCCGTGAGTGGAGAGCTCGTGTGGGAAATGAGATGCTATCGCGATACGCTAGAGGTGTTCAGCTGATCTGGTCCGTTGTGTGAGGTACAGTACTGCTTACATACTTTTATATCGATTGTCGACGGATCCTGCCCCGAACCCATGGATTGGTGAGAATGTTTCTACGTCATGGAGGTGAAATCACTCTATGGAAGTATCTTGGGAGTCGTGTCTCGTCGGTTATCGTTATCTCCTCCAAATCTTCATACTATGCGCCATTTGATTTAGCAACACCATGGTCACAGATGCTTCGAGGTTCGATCGTCGCCCGTCCGCGACCTTACACCAGCGACTGGCGCATCAATACCATCGGCATGCCTGGTCGGGGCCACCGTCAGATGTACGCGCAGCGATAAGTGGAAGGATAAGATACTATAGCGGGCGCTGACAAGAAAAAAAGACCATATATGCAGGTATTACGACTTCATTCTCCGACCAGCATGGCTCAACAATTGCGATTGCGATTCGAGATGCAACCTATTTACTAGACTTTATCGAGAAAAAGTACCAACCAAATGAACATCAGCCATGCACCAACGAGGCTGTCGAGTTCATCATCTCCCAGCTGAAAGCTTATGGGGAGAAGCATCTCGAGAAAATTGTCGGCGTTGCAATGCACAGGCACGTTGCAGCCTCATGTCCGGATCTCTGCTCCCGATTGTGGGCCGAGCTCGATATTATTCCCTTGGTGTTGCCAGGATTGAGCTTGCTAGGTCGATTTTCCTCGCGCGCACAAGTGCAACCCCGATCTTGGGAGTCCAAGACGATTGACGAACAGGCCGAATCAATGGCCCGAAAATGTGTTAGGTTGGTTGGGATCGGCAAATGTGTGGAGAATAAGCACTGAAACTATACCTTTCCCGCAGGCTGTTTGGACCGGAGAATTCTCCCCTGCTACAAGTGGGATATATGGGCCTCGTGGAGGTTGATACTGACTTCCACGTGTGTCTAACGAATCTTGACGATTTCAAGAAGACCGTTTCGGCTCATACGTGGGAGGCATGTAATTTTTATGCTGCTGACCTCAAGAAGCGGAAGGTGAAGATTGCATTCTTCAGCGCAACACCGCAGGGTGGAGGGGTGGCTTTGATGAGGCATGCTCTGGTTCGCTTTTCACACTCATTAGGTACGGACATCAAATGGTATGCGAAGCTTCGACTACTGGATTGGGCAATAAATATGAATCCCAGCTGACATCACGTTTTAGGTATGTCCCTCGGCCACGGCCGGGTGTCTTTCGGGTGACCAAGCACACACACAATATCCTTCAAGGCATCGCAAGCCCAGACGAGCGCCTGAGTACCGATGACCGGAACTTACTCACTGGCTGGATTGAAGAGAATGCTAAGCGATACTGGACTGTACCGGGAGGTCCCCTGTGCTCACCGGCGGAAGGAGGAGCAGACCTGTTGATTGTCGATGATCCTCAGATGCCGGGTCTCATACCGGTTGCTAAACGTCTAGCACCGGAACGACCGATCATTTTTCGAAGTCATATCCAGCTCCGAAGTGATCTTGTCAACGAGCTGGGGACTTCTCAGGCAGAGGCGTGGAAGTCCCTATGGGAAAACGCCAAGCTTGCCGATTGTTTCATCACTCACCCCGTCAGTGAATTTGTGCCTCGCGATGTACCACCAGAGATCGTTGGCTACATGCCCGCAGCGACCGATTGGTAAGTCCACCCTCCGAGGATATCGACGGGTGTTGTCTCGCTGACGTGTCACAGGTTAGATGGGTTGAACAAAAACATGCGAGACTGGGATGTCGCCCACTATGGCCGGATCTTTAACGCAGCCTGCAGGAATGCAGAGATGCCAACGATCCAACATCCGGACGGTAAGAGTCCTCCGATAAGCTTGCATGAGATAGCGTGCCAACGTGCAGCAATCAGACCAATATATCGTGCAGATAGCACGCTTTGACCCGTCTAAAGGAATCTTCGATGTGTTGGATGCATATGAGAAGTTCCACAATCGGCTCGCTCGTGAACAGCCTAAATTGAAATCCCCGAAGCTCCTGATATGCGGTCATGGCTCGGTGGATGACCCCGACGGAGCGGTCATCTATGACCAAGTGATTGATCACATCGAACATAAGATTCCTTACGTTCGCCATTTGATCTGCGTCATACGATTGAGGCCCTCGGATCAGGTTTTGAATGCCTTGCTATCGAAGGCGACGATTGCGTTGCAACTGTCGACTCGAGAAGGATTCGAGGTCAAGGTTTCAGAGGCAATCCATAAAGGTGTACCCGTGATTGCCACGCGGGCTGGTGGCATTCCGCTCCAGATTGAGAACCACAAGAACGGTTTCTTGGTGGATGTCGGTGATACGGATGCTGTCGCGAGGCATCTGTTCGATCTCTGGACGGACGAGGCGCTCCACCGTCGAATGTCGGAGTATGCGCTCGGCCACGTCTGTGACGAAGTGAGCACCGTTGGCAATACCTTGAGCTGGCTCTATATTGCCTCCAAGTTCTCCAAAGGAGAGCCTGTGCGGCCCAATGGGCAGTGGATTAACAACCTAGCGTTCGAAGAGAGCGGTGTCTCCGTTGCTCCCGATATGTCTCGTCTGACTAGAGAGGTTGAAATTGAAAAGATGGGATAGCAAATCCCAGTAGCTGGTTATCTGTTTGCCCATTCAGCTATGCAGTCCATGGTTGTATGGTCATATCCGCTTAATGGATGTAACTTGATCTCGAATGATATTCAAGTATAGAGGAAAGAATCGTTCGGAAGAGCATGAGAAACAACATAGACAATTCATTGAGAGAAAAACGACAAGGGGTATCATTGATAAGATTCAAGAGCAGCGCCATCCCCATCCCCAAACAAAACAAAACATCTCACGGTCTCCCAACGACACGGTATCTCTCCCTCGCCATTCCACCCTCGGCCCCCTCCACGCCATATCCCTCACCAACTTCACCAACAATTCGCGCCGGTCGCCCCCCAACAACACACCAACTCGGCACCACCATACCAGGCGGAACGACCGCACCATCCAGCACGACTGCAAAATCCTTGATAATAGCCATACTGCCCACCGTCGCTCCCGCGCCAACATGGACATGATTCCCCAGAGACGCGGCCTCAATCACAGCCGACTCTCCAACAAAGACATGGTCGCCAATCTTCAGCGGGTAGAACGAGTGAACGCCGCGGTGTAACCGGCTAGGCGGGCGTAAGACTGCACTCTTGGAGATGTAACTGTAGCGGCCGACGGTGATTGCGACGCTGGGGGCATTGGATGGTTGTGGGGGGTTGCTCGGGTCTGTGGAGGCGGTTGAAGGGAGACGGTACAAGTCGCCTCGGATCACGGCTTCGGCTTGGATGACGGTTTTACCGCCGAGGATGATGTGTTGGGTGCCGTGGATTTGGGAGCGGCGCGAGATCTTGTTGCCCGTGTCCTGTTGCGTGTGAGCTTAGCTTGTTATGAAGCCGGAGATTGCAGGTCTGTCCGGAATGGATATGGGAGCTGGTAATTTCTTAACCAGCGACACCGCGTACCGTCTCAATGTACTCGCCCTTGGCGGCTTTGGGAGGCATCTTGAATGGGTTTGTTGTGAAGCTGTTGGTGGTGGTTCTTGAGCTTGCGTGAATAGACGCACCCCCGAAGGCGGTGTACACAGCCAAGTATATCGGCAACTGCGACAATCCTACTGTTATGTACTTTAGAAAATGGCATCAAACACCATGGTTGACCTCGGGTGTTAGGAAGTTGGTTACCCGACCCTAACCTTCTGGGGCTGTTACCACCTGACTAGGGGGAGTCACAGGAGGGATTCTTGGTCTGTTTGGATGGAGAAGACTGCTCAACAGCGGTGGGATTTGGCAGGAATAAACGCTGCCAGGAAGGTTTTGTTTTGTGATGTAGAGGAACGATTGCAAGTTGGGGTTATTTTCTTGGATAGGATTTCATCATTGAAACTATACTACAGCTACAAAATTCCCAAAAACTAAAAACACAATCTCTGGATATCCTGCGAGACAAATTTGTCTCTGAAACAATTATCAAAACATTAAACACGATCACGCATATAGCATGCCGCACATTAAACCACATCCCCAATGTGATACACAACTCATCAGTCGAGACGTCGATATTTTCAAATAACTCAGACGAGAGCTTAGTGCTTCTTCGCCGGCTGGGTCTTGCCAAAGTCGAACTCGCCGTCCCAGTGGAGCTTGAGCGCTGTTGGAATCCGTTAGTAAAGTAAACAGGAGAAGAATAGAATCGAAGTGGAACTTACACATCGGGAAGGGGAAGTAAGAGGTACCATCCTGGCGGAGGTAGACATAGTAACCGCCCTCCTGGGGAACCTTCTTGAGCTGACCCTGGGCACCGAGAGCGCGGCGGAGGTTCTCCAGACGACCGACAACGCGCAGCATAGCGACGAGGGCAATCTTGGTAATCTCCTGGCCGAAGCCAGTGCTGGGGCCCTGGCCGTGGTTGATGTACGAGTCAATAGGGCGGTCGAGGTTAACCTCTTTGGGCTCGGGGAAAACGCTGGAGTCGTGGTTGGCCTGGACGAAGGAGGCGAAAATCTTGCTACCGGGCTGGATCTCGATGGTCTTGCCGTTCTCCTCGACGGTGACGGCATTCTGGGCCTCGCGGTAAGCACCGAAGGTACCGTTGATACGGATGGCCTCCAAGCAGTAGCGGTACAGCTTCTCGTCGGACTCCTTGGTGTCCTCGTTGGAGAGACGGTTGATCTCGGCCCAGTGCTTCTCGCCCTCGGGCGAGGTGTAGTACTCGATGATCTGGGTGAAGACCTGGCCCTGGTTGGGGACCATACCGACGATGGTCGGAATGATCTGGGACCAGGTAATCTGGGAAGCGCTGAGGCCAGACTCCTCCAGACGACGGAGAGCGGCGGTGCCGTACTCACGGAGGGCGTTGTCGTGAGGACGGAAGTTATCCATCAGGCCGGACAGCAGGCCGCTGTTGGTATCGGCCTTGACGGTGGCCTCCACGACGTTGCCGAGCTGCTGAGAGACGGCAGTGGAAGCGCGGTTCAGGGAGAACGACTTGGTGGCGTCCACGTCGAAGAAGAGAGCAGAGTAGATCGTGGTGAGGATCATGTACATCTCGTGCTCGGTGAAGAGACCGCGGGGGTTCTCGTCGGTCTTCAGCGGCAGGCCGAAGAGGGCCGAGGCAAAGTGGACGTGGGCAAGGTTGCCAACGTCGCGGGTGATGTCAATCTGGTTGATACCAGCCAGCTTGGCGCCCTTCTCCTTGATCAGGCGAAGAGTAACATCCTCGTAGAACTTCTTAACCAAGGTAGGGAAGTCCTCGGCGCTGAAGGCATGGCCCATAGCCTCACGCTGCTGAGCATCGAACTCGCCCTTGCCGAACAGCTCCGCCATAGCACCGCTCCACGCCGGTTTGAAGTCCTTCTGGTTCTCCAGGACCAGCTTGGCGTTCTGGTGAGAGGTTAGGTTGATGCGCGACGGGGTGAACGAGGGGCGGTCGTAGGAGTAGTCCTGCTCACGACCCAAGTTCTTCATGATGTTGCGGTTCTCGGTGGGGATGGTCATGGGGTAGTGAGCGTAGATAGAGTCAGGTTTGAACCAGTTGGGGAAAGCACGGGTAGCCAGCTTGTAGAAGACACAGCCCTGGTTGATGTTCAGGTCGTAGCGGCACTCGTTGTAACCCCAGTTGGTCAGGTTACGAGGGTTGTAGTCAACGGTGTAGTGACGGTCACCACGGACCAGGGCGACGGCATCAGACAGCACAGCACGCGAGATGGTGTAGGTCGGGGCGATACCGACACCGGGGATCATGGGCTCCTTGGGTTCCTCGCAAATGATACCGGGATACAGCTCGACGTAGTCGGGGTGCTCGTACAGGTGGCGCAGGTTGTTGGCAATCTCGGGGTCGGAGTTGATCTCCTCGAAAGTTTCATAAGTCTTCAGGCCGAAGTGCTTACGGAACTCGTTGAGGGAACCAACGTGCCACCTACGAGAAGCCTCGATACCGAGGATCTCAATAGAACGGAGGGCCTTGGGGATGTTACGGGGACCGAAAGAGCTGGCAACATCCTCGCAAGCGTTTGTGAGGATCTTTACAAGCTCCTCATCCTTGAAGGTTCCATCCTCCTGGCGCTGCAGGCGAGCAAAGGTACGCTTGGACGGATCGGGGTCGAGCAAGCTATCAACCTTCTTCATGCCCATCAGCAACTCGTGCATGCTAACCTCCTCAGCGGGCTTGCCCATGAGATCGAAATAGACCTCTTCGATCCACTTCTCATCACCCTGGGCAATGGTAGAGTGCCAGCGGTAGGCCAGGTTGAACTCGACAGAGCACTGGTTGCCGAGACCGGAGGGAGTAGCACCAGCCTTCTCCATCTGGGCACGGGGGTCCAGGCACCAGGTAGAGTTGGTGCGGTTCAAGTTGACAATCGTGCGGAGGTAATCGTACAGGGTAATGTTGATGTACAGACCGCAAGTAATCAGACGACCGGTCTGGAACAGGTCCTCGTCATACTTGGCCCAAGCCTTCTTAGCCTTCTCCTCAGGCAGATCATCCTTAGGCTTGGTGAAGCGACCATTCTCATTAATCTCAGCAAGCTGCTCCACAACGTGGTTGTGGAAACGGTTAAGCATGACCAGGAGGACACCGCAGGCAGCGGGGAGGGCCTGCAGACGACCCTCGGAGAAGCAGTCGGGCTTCAGCTTACCGCCCTGGTGAGAACGGATCAAGTCCTGCTGTTCCTTGACATCACCGTACAGAATGGACAGATCAAGGTAGGCAGAGGTCTTGTTCAGGTGCTGTTGTTGGTAGTCGGTCTGGAAAATGTCTGTGTTGATTTTTATCAGCAATTGCGCTTCACCGCGGAGTCATCAACAAAGCCTACCGTGGATGATGAGAGAGGCCCAGTCGAAGAAAACACTAGACACCTTGTTGGGGTGGGGGGTGAACTCTTGACGAGCAAAGAGACTGTCGAAGATCAGACCGGCGTCGGGCAAACCGGTGGGCTGGATGGTCAAGGGAGGAATGGTGCGGCAGTAGGGGGTATTAGCAGCGCCCAACCAGGGAAGAGTAGGGTTGTTGTTGGAGCCATCGGCGGAGCGGTACTTGTAGTCGTCGCCCATGTAACTATTTTATGTGTTAGGAAGTCAATTGCGCATTTCGATTCAATCGAGCATCACTCACGAGAGAGGGGGGTGAGGGAGAGAGTTCCAAAGCTCATCCAGGAACTGGTTAGTGAGCTCGGTACGGTTCTTGGAGTGGCCGGGCATATCGGCGACAAGCTGTTGTTCGGATCGCCGTTAGTTTACTCAATCGATCGAATATCAATTAATTGCTGCGCAACCGATCGTAGCTCATACCTGAATGATGCGCTCCATAAGGTAGGTCTTGTCATCGATCAGTTCGCCCGAGGCCTTGTTCTTGATCAGGTCCTTGACGGTGTTGAGATCGCGGAAACCGAGCGACTTGATGTCATTGAACAGACCGGAGGACTGGTCATGCTTTAGATAGGTACCATCACCAGTCTGGTTAGGCAATGGCTCGCGCGAGGCGTGAATGGCCTGCGCATACTTCTCGAAAACAGCGACGACTTCGGCCCGGTTCACAGGTTGGTGCTTGTCCTCATGGGAAGTAGCCTTGCGCGTGGGCTGCGCAGCCTTGGAGAAGCGCTTGCTGGTCTCCTTGGAGCTCTTGGGCTGTTCGGCGTCGCCATTCGTATCCTTGGAATCCTTATTCCTCTTGAACTGGGTAGAGAATCTCCGCAACATGGCGACGGTTGTTTCTGGGGTTCTCCTACACAGACAGGACGGTCACTCAAGAATTGAGCGCGGAAAAGGACAGAAAAAAAGGGAAATTATTAGACAAAAACCACAACAAACAATTAAGAATGGCTAACAGAGGCCAGATCAGGAGGGAGAGAAACGAGGAGGGGGAAAAGGAAGAGCTCGCATGCAGTGCGCGCATCGGCGGGTTTAAAAACGAGCTGCGCGGGCAACCCAAGTCAGCTCCTGCAGGACTGTGGAGCGTCCGCAGTGGCGGATTTGTTATCACCAATAGTTGATTGACTGGCAAGGGCCGATCTGATTGGGAATGGGAAAGGTTCGTAAGAGTCTTAGCCTCGATCTGCCCGTCACCCGTGGTTAAGGGCGAGGAGCCAGGTTTACCAATCACACCTGCGGCCCCGCGTGGGACAAGCTCCAGAGCTGGGTCCAGCTGGAGCTGATTCGGCGGTGGAGCCTGTAGGAGAGGATAACGGATCATGATGATAGCTGTAATGACGAACCACACTCAACGCAGAAAGTGATAATCCTGCAGGCCTTTTTTTTCCGTGGCTGGTGGGGGGAAGCTCCAGGTTTGCTTTGTTGCTTGGGAAAGGGGGTGGGCCAGGCAATTGGACACGGCACGTCGAGGCGCTTTACACCGGGTCTTTTCTAGCGGTCCATTCTCGGCACTGCGTTTTGAATCTCGGTACGGAGTGTACACATCGGATAGGACATTGTTCTGTCTCTACCTGACAGCTTGGCGGGGGAGGAGAGGAGAGCTGGGTTGTCGCATTGGATAGGGAGCTGAGATTCTGAAACCTGCGACCATGTCGAGGACACACGATCGACGTCGCCCCATGATTATAGTGACGGCAGCAGCAGCATCTCCTCCCCTACGTGGATGATAGGCAGGGTTCACCACGAGTCGGATTCAATGTGATAAGTGACACTCGCTAGTACAGAGCCGTATGTAGCGGTGTACTTTGCTGGAGAAACTAAATCTCGGAGGGAGTCATAGCGCCCCACACTGGGATCTCGAGATCCAGCCAGATGGACTCGATGGGCGCCCATGGGGGGTGGTCGAGGCGCCAAGTGGGGGATTGGTGGGACGGGCTTGATCTCCCGATCGGAAAACATCTCGTCGAGGTGGCTGGCTGGAGGACGATTACGAAACGACCAGCTTTAAAGGGGGGAGTGTAACCGAGGGGTGTGGTTGGGCGAGTCGCCTGAAGGAGTGCAGTTGGAGGGGGCTGCCATGGCCATAAGGCAGCCATGACTTGTTGGTTAATAGCCAGCGACGCAAGGGAAGGGGAGTGAGTATACAGTACTGTACTCCGTTTAGCCAAATATTACAATACATCTTCATCTAATTGAACCTAATATTATGCAAGATTACTATTTCGACTTAGCTGCAGGAGAAAATTCCAAATTACCTTCTCTCCAAGAAACACTCCTCCTCTCCTGTCAAGAAGAACTGAATCCATTGTTTACAGTATTAATCAGATCGGCAGACCCACCCGTTCGCCCACTTGACTATGGATTTTTTAGAGCATCTTAGTGCAAATTAGCGGCAACCAAGTTTGTATTTAGCGCGATTTGAGTTGGCTTTCTTAGTGGCGAACGGGCCAACAGCACGAACCGTATTACGCCCCTTGTCATTGGCAGTCCATAGACTCGATGCTGCCAGTCATCATCATCAAATTCATCAGAATCTGATCTATCGCCTCGCCCCACCGTCAGGGTCTTGCTGTAACCTTTAGAGGGTGTTTTACAGCATTTCCTTTCTTATTTTTTTTCACTCGTGATTTTCACGAAAGGCAAATATCTCCACCATACTCGGCACAAAGAAGCCATGGCATCCATAAGGGTATCTATATGGTTGGTATAGCTTGTGTTATCCGTCCATGACAACCTTCTCCATCGTACTTAGCAAATAACAAAGAAACCCAGATCCGATCCAGTCAAGATTTCGGACCCTTCCGGATATCCTGCAGAGAACTAAGCCCTGAAGAACTAAACCACGGCTCGAGCACTGACGGTCAAAGTCTGGGGCACGGCCGCTCCCGAGGTTGGCTGCTGCGATCCTCCGAGGGATGAATAAAAACGTACCAATCGTAAAATGTAGGACTTCTAAATATCGCCACCATCCGAATAGAATTCCATGTGATTCTGATCCTAAATGGGTTGGAACGATCAGCCGGGTTCAGGAGACGCAACGCCAACTCCCGTCTGTACGCCGTACTGCATCTCTAGCCGTCAGAGACGCCAGCTGAAAGGTGGGGACCCACTGACCGAAAATTCTTTCCTCCCTTCCCTCCGCTTAGAAGCTCAAGTAGTTCTACTACTACTCCGTACATTACGGAGTAATATCAACTTGTGAAAGTTTCGGTCCGTGTGACGGCACAGACAGGTGGAGTCAATTAGTGGAGATGACAAGCGGACCAGACTAGTTCGTCCTACTGTAGTTAGTTCATCTTAGCCCGTCTTGAGTTCGTCTTTCGGTTCGTCTCGGTTCATCATGGTTGGTCTAGTGAGTCGCCTGCCCTCAAAGCCACTCGATCACAAGTTTAGCAGAGCTTGCCATCTTGTTTTGTTCAGAAACTCAGGGTCCGTGGATAGCAAGAAGAGAGTGATCTCATCCAGTCGCCCACCCCTTACGCCCCTGAGCCAAAGCACAAGGCACCGCACCATTGGGGACCCGATGACAATCCTTGTCCGCGTGGGGAACGATCGACAAGCCTCGAAAGGAATGTCCCGAACGACGAATATGGAGCCGCCGTCCCATAGGTCCAACTTGAACGCCAGCTGGATCCAATAGTGGCCATTGTCGCGGAGCAACGGCAAAAAAATCAGAGTCTGTCGCGCCTCCTGGCGCCCCCGTCAAGCCCGGGAAGTACCCCCACTTGCCAAGTAAGATTGATTCTCCGCAATCAATCACAACTATACGGAGTTGTATTTTATGCACAGGACTCCGTACAGGAGGCTTGTTGCTGGACTCGAGACTTTGGCGACTATCCTTCCTGAGGCAGGCGTCCAGCCCGGATGGTAAGAGCAGCAAGATGATCCGAGACATGACCATTATTGGATGGGATGTTACCCCGATAGAGATCGATTATGCGTGTCGAGACGTAGAGTTTTGTCCTTGTGCAACGTGAGCAGGGAGGTGGCCGCTCATAGATCCCTGGATAAAGTGTCAACGCCAGCCTTGAACGTGGGAACCTGGAATTGTGGGAGAGCTTTTCTTGCCCTTTCTAGCAACGATCAGAGCGTCACAAGTCGGGGAAATTATTCCTCAATTGGTCTCCAAGGAAGGCCACAGGAGGAAGGCAAAATAATAAAATTGAAAATAATACGAGACGAGAAAAACAACCGTGCAGTGGACTGGTTGGAATGTGCCAGCCCCCCACCCACCAAGTCGCCCGGCCCACTCGAGCTTGACGTATTCTATGGCTGGACTGCAGCGATCGTCTCGGTGGGTGACACGCTGAGAACATTCTTATCCTGCCAATCTTGTTTGAGGCCATCCTCCGTTCGCTGATTTCTCTTCGTCCGAATTGCTCCAGTTCGTCGTGCGCATGAGTCCTTTTCGTGCGGAGAATATCCGTCTCTCACGTATATAGTCCGCCCGTCGGACAATCCGAATTGCGCCCCTCGATAAACACTGCATCATGGCTCAGTACACGGGTCCTACACACCCTCACGGTCCTCCAAAGCAGTTTGTTCTCTGCTTTGATGGCACGGGCAACAAATTTGCAGGTGATGAATCCGATAGTAATGTGTTGAAAATCTTTCGCGTATGCTCCTGCCTCCTATTCTTGTCCTCGATCTCTTCACCCCAACATAACATGCTAAATAAAGCGACTCCGAAACTATAGATGCTGGATCGTAGCCAGAGCCACCAATATCACTACTACCAACCCGGAATCGGCACCTACGTGACCACCAAATCACTCAGCAGCCATGGTCGCATCCAGCGCATCAAGTCCTGGTACCAAAAGGCCAAGGATTCGGCCATCGGCTCCTCATTCGACGAACATGTCATGGGCGGCTACAAATTCTTGATGCGATACTATTCCCCTGGCGACGAGATTTATTTCATCGGTTTCAGTCGCGGCGCATACATTGCGCGATTCCTGGCCGAGATGTTAGACTATATCGGCCTACTGGAAGCCGGCAACGAAGAGCTCATCCGATTTGCCTGGAAGACCTTTGCGAAATGGCAGCAGCGCGCAGGTGAGCATGAGAGGGAGAAAGATGAGAAGCAAAAACTCTTCGACTATATGAAAGCCTTCCGAGAAACCTTCAGTCGTCCGATTTCGCGCATTCGCTTCATGGGCCTCTTCGATACCGTCAATAGTGTCCCTCGCTTTGAAAATGCCTGGATGCAACGCAGCAAGTTCCCCTATACCGCGCGCAGTTCCGCCAAAGTAATTCGTCACGCCGTCGGCATTGACGAGCGCCGAGCCAAGTTCCGTCAGGATCTCATCTCGGGTCCGAGGCCACATGGTAAAGAGCACAAGCGACACCGCCATCATCTGGATCCGCGCCGTCTGGAGCACCATTTGATGACGCGACATGTCGATGCACACAATCACCTGCACATCCGCCATCAAGACCACCCCCACGAGGTCTGCGCTGAACCGGAGGTCCCTGCCATCACGGTGAATGACAATGGCGAGGTACCTCAGAATGGCGATGTCGACCCCGGCGCACCAGTGCCCACCTTTGAGTTCCCCGGATGGGGTCCCGCTGCTGGAGAGTCATATTACCATGCCCCCCACCACTCATCGAACCAGGGTAGCGAGAGTAACGTAGGCGAAAAGAGCGCCCCGCGCTATCGTGCACCATCCCCACGACGCAACAGTCTCGCTGTGCCAAAGCCCGCCCCCTCGGTCGATGACCTCCAGTCCGTCCGCAGTGGGCAGTCAGGTAACCTATCGATCCAGGTCCCCAGTCAATACTGCGACGAGTCCGAGGATGAGGACGATCAGGACATTCACGAGGTCTGGTTCCCGGGCTGCCACGCTGATATCGGCGGAGGCTGGAAGCTGGAAGGTGGCGAGAAGTGGGCTCTCAGCCACGCACCTCTTGTCTGGATGGTGCAGGAGGCTCAAAAGGCTGGTCTGGAACTAGACGAGCGCAAGATGAAGCAGTTCCAGTGTCTGGAAGAGTTCGATGGTGACTACACACCCATTCAGCAGGATATTACCGCACGCCGACCCAGCCAGTGTGTTGAGAACCACCATGATAACCCTGATGCATTCCGCATCTCGCCCGACGAGAAGGGTCGCTCGGCTGCGAGTCGCGACTTCTGGCACGCACTGAACACGTCCAGCACCAAGGGCTCCTTGCACGACTGCTTGATGTTCAATCAGGGCCTACCACATATGTCGGTCATCTCGTGGCGAATCATGGAATGGCTACCCTTCCGCCGCATGGACTTGCAAGAAGACGGGTCATGGAAGCCGATTTGTTGGCCCCTACCGCGCGGTGAAGTGCGAGATGTGCCACTCGACGCGGAGATCCACGTCTCAGCCATCCGTCGCATGCAAGCCGATCCCAAGTATCGCCCAGGTAACGTTATCGTCGGTGGTGGCGGTCGTGGTGTGCGTATCGCGCCGGAATCGTATGGTATGGGCGAATGGATCGTTCTCAAGAATGAGGGTGATGGTGTTCGCGAGACGTACGTTCGTAAGAGCGTGGCGACGAAGTGTAGGGAGGCACTGGAGCAGAAGCAGAAGAGGGAACACTGTGCGGTGCATTGTACGATGCCTTGAGTCAAGCATGAAGTTTCTGTTTGAGTTTCGCGTTGCGAGGAGATTGTTCACCTTAAATACTTTAATTTATGTACTACATGCATGCCTTCGCCTAAATGCGAATTTGGCAATTTCTTCATCTTGATGAATTTAGTTCCTGGCCTCTTTCCCCATACAATCATCCAACGATTCCCCATCCCCGTCCACGCACTGTGCAGAGTTCTGTAGTCCATATCGCAATCACCCACTTGGCCCATCCCTGCAGCTCCTGGCTGCATGGGCGAATACGATGTAGTAGAACAATGGCACCTCGGTGACCCCGCGTTATTGGGGACGCAGTCTGGTTTCACGACACTTATGGTGGTGGCGGATGCTGGGATCATAGCAAGATCTAATTTCAAAAGTATGAGATGTGAAAGAAGGCTCTGGAAAGAAGTAGAGGGTATTAGATCAGGGCCAAAATATACCCGAGAGACATTTTATAGTCATAATTATAGTCAGTACTGTCTTCAAACCGTCAGCCTCAGCGCTGGCAGTCTCAACTTCAGTTTCCGCTCCTCCGCTGGCACTAAAGTTGTGGGGTCATGGCTTGGGCATCCATGGTTCTGGTCTAGATCCAACGAGTATAACGGTCGCCAAGGCTGAGCACATGTCACCATTTCTCTATGTAATTGGCATGTGCAATGGTATCACACACATATTTCCAGTCAGGCACATGACAGTAGAGCTTAGCTGATCACAGCTAGCCTTCATTTCTTATTAGCTTCCTTCTACATTGATCCCGCGATGTACCGCGTTCAAAGTATAAACCAAACCCAAGCTTTTCGGATGAAATTGGACCAGTTCTGGAGATATTAAGAATACTATTAGATTCTCAATAAGTATGGAGATAGATTATCAGTAGAATTCCATACTAAATTATTGGAAAATAGTCCCGGGTATGATTGGATCTCATTAAACAGTTGTGAATAGTTGTAGGACCTCGCCGAGACACTTGAACCACGGGCCAGCTCAAGCCACCGACATACATCGAACAAGCTCCTGCTCCAATACTCAGATTGTGATTGAGTCCACCTGAAAATAGCCTTAGACGGTTCATTGGACCACTATTAGAATGATGCTTGGCTCTGCAACGGTCTCCTCGAGATTTTATGAAACAATGTGATTTCACAAAGAAACCCCCTTCTCGGCTTTGACTACAAAGGATTTTCCAATTCCGAAGCAACGGTTCATTGATGATTCATGGATTAAATATAGAACGAAGAAACTGAATCAAAGGATCTATTTGCTCGGACAAGAACTCCGTCGGACATCATTTGCATGTGAAGGTCACCACTCGGTGGATGCACCCATTACTCGACGCAGTTTCAATAGACTCCGGATACCTGCAGGGCTCTCGGATATCAGCAATATTGCGATAATCTGCGACCGATGATGGATTGTATTGGTGGAGGGCTGCTATATCCGTCTTGCATGAGGAAGTGATACAGTGACAGTTTAAAGGTCTGGACCGAAGCTAGAGACAAGATCCAACTCGATATGCTTCAACTTTCTCTGTTGAAAGGTCTTTCAAGATAGGTTTAAAATCGTCTTCTTTATTTTTCAGGTACCATCTTCTAATCTACTATTTAACTCGAATTTGAGAGGATAAATATGAGATTTTGTCGGGGTGTACAGTCCTACTCTGCGACCTTTCTATAGAGAGTATCCAGTGGAATACAAAATAAAATGGACAGAAATAGAGAATTTCCATATTGGTAACAAGCCAGATATATTCAATATGAACGAATATCTTTATTCAATAGTTGACAGCCTAAAGGAGCATCAAGTGCAAGGCTTGTCAGGGTCTTGGTCTGGGCCTTGGCTCCGTTTCGCCGCAACCTTTTTTTTCCCGCTCATCTTTGACCTCACCATTCTCACTTTCTTTCCCCGCCTACACTCTTTTACGTTTATCAAACGTTGCCCTCTTTCTCGAAGCTTGGCCGGTCCAAGGTTCTTGACTTTTCCCTCTCGTCTCTACATGATGCGCCCAGCGTAAATCTCAACCACTCCTTTTTCCCTTTTCTTCTTTCACCACTTTCCCCCCCTCTCCGTCTCCCTCTTCGCCTTCCTTCACCCCCTTTTTTTCCAACGCCACCACGATCGATCGCCTCATTCGCAACAGCCATGGACGGGTCACCCCGACCTGAAACCATGCGCTCCTCTCACTCTGACTCCAAAGACCCCACCGGGCCCAACTCCGGAGGTGCCCCGGAACGAGCACCCAAGGAGGACGTCATGATCACTCTGTCGCTCTCTCGCGAACCTCCGGCTCCTCCTCGGACCCGATCCCCTTTAGCCCGATCGCATCTCCGCTCAAGATCACTGGTGGGAATCCCCGGAATGCCTTCGATGACGCGCGCCTACTCTTCCCCAGGGCTGGACTCTCGTGGACGATATATCTTCGTCAACGGCCGCGGGGTGCCCGCGCCTCAACCCACCATCGACTACGCAAAGCGATCCACGCCCTTGCAGATGCGCAGCGACGATCACATCGAGACCCGCCTGGGGTCGCTGAACATTTCCGAGACTATCTCTGAAAACGCCGAGCTCGAGACCCTGCCGCGATCTCCCTCCTCCCAGTCGGGCTCCTCGCCAGTCTTGATGCCGCAGAATTACCCGCGCATCGGTCGCCTGCGTTCCACCTCGCCTCTTCACGTCCAGCAGCCCATCAACAGTCCCCCGTCGATCCATACCTCTCCTACCCTCGGCGGTCGATACAATGAGGCCTACCCGGTTCATTCAGCCTCCTCTACTTCCTCCGTGCCATCGACCCCGACCAGTCTCCGCTCGCGCAGCCCCAGTATCTCGTCCCTGGAGACTATTCCCGACATCCCTGACGGTGAAGCTGAGGCACTCGAGGAAGAGCGAATTGCAGAGCTGAAGGCTGCTGCAGACGCGGCCGACGCAGCAAGCTCTGCCAACCGACGACGCGGCGCATCCGACATTGCTACACCCTCTAGCTCCTTTGGCAATGTTCGTGGCGGAGCCAGTGTGTACGCTCCACGGAGTGACAAGCGCAAGCGATGGAGTGTCTGCGGCGCGGAGCGCCGACAGGACCTTGACCTGGAGACCATCTGGGAAGACTGAGCAGGCTTCACAATAGGCTTCGTCAAAGCTCTGCACACCCAGATCTCAGCTACAATTGTTGCCACGTCCAGCCTATCTCCGAGCGGCCTCTCCTCTACATTCAGAGTGCTTCACAAGGTCGCAGCATTATCCTTTCTCACAACCCTCGAACCTACTACACATCTACCTTTTATCCGACGACGTACATACCACCCAGCCATCTACTCATCTTTGCAAAGCGATATCATCACACGAAAAGGAGTTTCGTTATGGGTGGCGCTAGTGCTTTTTTGTTTCTGTCTTTGCGGCGCGACGGGGTGGGCCAGGCGTTTAGCTTCTCATCTATCCATTATGCTGGGCATAATTCATTTTGTTTTGTACCATCAACACTGGTTTTTACGGTCCATCTGTTTCTCTGCTTTTCATGTTTCCCTGCTCGATACCATCATCCCAGTGTATCTTATTTTCTGACTTTTTTTGCTTATGCTACGCTCCGCAGTCTAGCACCCAGACTCGGACTTGAATGAAGATGCTATCCTTGAAACGATTCTATTCAGTAATATGCCCTCTGTAGACTAAAATAATTGGCCACCTATACTTTAATCTCAATGAAGGTGATAAAGTGGCAGACTAAATGTCCCAAACTCTATCAACAACGGCCAAGCCCATAGATCTAACGCCAGCCAATCATCCGCGCACCGGGTCCCCCCACCTTCTATCAACGACCGCGGTCCTGGAAACTTATCCTCTTCGCTTGTCGTCTCGGGTACAGCATAGAACTAAGCCCGGAAACGGTGCTTTTACAGTGCAGATCTCCACTTGGACATCTCCCTCGCCGCGCCATGTCTACCAAGCCCCACGTCGGCATCATCGGCGCCGGCTTGTCAGGCTTGCGCTGCGCCGATATTCTTCTCCAAAACGGCGCGCGAGTGACTATCCTCGAAGCTCGGGATCGCATTGGTGGGCGTGTAGGTTTCTCCCCGCTATCCGCGATGTACAGTATTTGCTTCATGGAAGGTTTCAGTGATAGCGAGTCGTGGATAATGAAGGATGTGGTTTTGCTAATCTTCGTTTCGTTGCTTAGGTTCACCAGGAGGAGGTTGGTGGTCATTTGGTGGATCTGTATGTTTTTATCCTTTCCACTCATTTCCCATTTAATTGGATCTCTTTTTTGTATTTTTGTCGTCTGACTTGAGACTAATCGAGACACTAGAGGTCCAAATTGGATTCATGGCACGGGTACAAATCCAATCTTGTCTATTGCGAACGCGACGCAGACAGTCGCGCATGACCCGGAAGGGCGGAATATCGCGATCTCGCGCGATGGACAGCTCCTTGGTGAGGATGCTGTAACTAAAGCTTCGGAGTTCATGTGGGCGACTATCGAGCAGGCCTTTGAGTATAGCAGTCAGCATGGCGATACTATTCCTCCCGAGCGGAGTTTGTATGACTTCTTCGTGGAAAAGCTGGAGCAGACTGATTTCTCTGAGGAGGAGAAACAGCTTTGTCTGGACTCTTGTAAGCTCTGGGGTGCTTATGTGGGTGATCCTATTGAGCGACAGAGTTTGAAGTTTTTCTGCTTAGAGGAATGTATTGATGGAGGTGCGTACATTTTCTGTTCCAGGAAAGGACGATGAGATACGTCTTCGGTATATTGTGTGCTCACATGTACTCGCAGATAACTATTTCGTCGCATCGACTTATAAACGGATTCTGGAGTACATCTCCAGGGCTGCACTATCACAAGCAGATATCCGACTCAAGCAGGCTGTCGTGAGCATTGATGCTCCGCTACGCGGCAATGGGCAGTCTCAGCATCAAATCACCGTATTCACTGCTACAGGTGATCGCTTCACCTTCGACGAGGTTGTTGTCACCTGTCCAATGGGTTGGTTGAAACGGAACACGCAGGCATTCTCCCCGTCTCTTCCAGATCGACTACGCGACGCCATCCAAAGCATATCCTACGGCCGACTGGAGAAGGTCTACGTAACATTTCCACGAGCCTTTTGGCATACCGATTTGAATACAAACACCAACGATCAGCACGGGTCAACATCTGCCAAAAATCCCGTATTCGCCCAATTCCTCGAACCTTCCTACGCAAATCACCCCGATGGCCTTGAATGGAACCAAGAATGTCTATCGCTCTCTATATTGCCGAGTCCATGTAACCAACCAACCCTTCTCTTCTACACCTACGGGCCCTGTTCAACGCACATCGTCGAGCAAATCGCGTCACTAGACCCGAGCTCATCACAATACCGACAAATCCTGGTCAATTTCTTCGTACCTTTCTACTCCAGGTTACCAGGGTACGACGCTTCTTCACCCGACTGTATCCCAACTGCAATCTTGGCAACCCGCTGGCAAAGGGACCCCTACGCGGGTAATGGATCTTATTGCAATTTTCAGGTCGGTCTTACACAGGCTGATAAGGATATTGAGGTACTTCGTTGTGGGGCAGGTGTTGGAACTGAGAGGGGGCTTTGGTTTGCGGGTGAGCATACGGCGCCGTTTGAGGCTTTGGGGACGACGACTGGGGCTTATTTGAGTGGGGGAGAGGGCTGCGGTGCAGATTTGTGGGAGGCTTGGGTTAGGTACAGTTGGTGTGGGTGGTGATCCTGTTTTAGGTCAGTAAGGCTCTGTACTTTGTTCTTGTCATTGGCGATTGGTCTGTATGCATGGATAGGTCTACTTCTTCATTTGCCTTGTTCTTGAAGACTTATGCCTATATTTAATCAGGTGTCTTGGCTCGAAGATTTCACACCCGTAGGAACACCTAGCTGTTTTGGGGTATGGGCTACACTGTTCCTACGGATTTGCTTCAGACTCAACTTTGTAGATGGGCGAGCTAGTAATACATTCCCGATAAATATATACCACATCATCGTCGAATGGAACCTTTATGCCCCATTAATGCTTAACCCTACACGAACAATTAAGGTTGAGTCGGGTATTACGGGGCAATAACTTTAAAAAAAAAGGTAAGAAGATCAGAAAATAGACAACCTCTTAACCTCTTGCATAGCTAAGAGATTCCCATCGCACGAACATACCATTACGACCATCCAGATCCAAGTGGGTCCACACACATCCAATCAACCAATCAATCCTTGTCAGTCGTCAAAATCCTCTAGTCCCCTCTTATATCCACAATTCTCCAAACTTTCCATCCGCCCACTTGGCCTACACGTCAAGGACTCGGGTAGCGGCCGGCTGGCCCAATGGCAAGGCGCTTGACTACGAATCAAGAGATTGCAGGTTCGACCCCTGCGTCGGTCAATTTTTTGGCTTTTATTAAATGTTTGAGGGGGTTGGTTGGGTTATCTTTTTGCTTAGGAATCTGATTGTGGTCGAGGTTAGTTTTGAATGTTCAGATGGGAAGGAAATTTCATGTAAAGTTTGAGTGGCAGTATAATGGACGGTTAAATGGAGAACTAGGACTCGTGCATCAGCTTCGTATAGATGGGGGCAAGAGGATAATTCAAAAAGTACTATGCTAGTTCTAACTTGAAAATCAGTGCAACCTGCACAGGTAATCTAATGGCTTCCTGAGTGGACTATGCTCGATCAGGGTCTATGTATAATGGCACTGGGTTAGAACGTGTATAGGGCTAAGCCTGCGAGGGGCACATGTTATGGTGACATCCCGGCAATAACAACCATCCAAGATACAATCGATAATTAGATCAATATAATTACTCCTCTAAAATGTAGATATTTGAAAATGGTCGTAACTAGGATTTCATTCCAGGATTAGTAGATCTACACCGGGAGTTATCTCCCGCAATCCGCACCCCGCCGTCAGACACATCACTTCCTTCAACCCACAGCTCAGACGACTATAGGGCCAAATTCACTCAGACCACAGGGAGGGAACACCCGAATCAAGCAAAGGAGTACAGGAGAGACATGAAAGGGCAAGGTCCTTGACAGGATGACAGACAGACCTTGGAAACAAGGGATTCGATTCATGTGGTTCACGTGACAGATGTGGCAAAGACCGCTTGCAAGCACACATCGCGAAAAGTCATGAAGACAAGATGACAAAGAAAAAAAAAAGGTGAAAGTGGACAAAGGAAATAGACAAAGACAAGGGGGGAATTGGTGATTGGTATATGACATTGACCTTGACAAATGGGTTCCCACAGGGCTATTTTAGTGCTCCTTTATCAGGTCTTATCGCCATGCCCCTTGACTGAGGGATAGAAGACCCTGGACACAGTCCAAGTCATCTTCTTGACTGCCGCCGGCACCGCCGGCCATGAACGCTGATACTTCTGCACTCAGATCGGGCCCTGATTTACCCTGGACCCCGGATGGGTATTGTCGGTTGCGTTTGCTACCGGACATGATGCCGAGGCCGCTTTTGCGGTTGGCATCACGCAGAACGGGTCGCGGGACGTGTGAGGTAGTACGCCGACGGGCTTGTGTGGAGCGAGTGCCTGGGACCCAATTCTCCTTGTCGGAATCACCGGGATCGAGCTCGAGATCTTGCTTGCCAGACTTTGATGTCATGTTCTTGGACAGTTTGGAGACTTGATAGGGGGATCCCCGATTCCGCTCCGTCTCTAACCTGCCCAGGGATGACACGGCCCGAGAGAGCTTTCGCCTTTTCTCTCCCATTGATTGAGAGATCGGCGTGCGAGCCGAGTCGGCATGCACCGAGACCAGGCTGTGCCGTTGCGATGCACTCCGGGTCAAAGAGCGCTGGCTGCGTGACTGGAAGAGACCGGGGGAAGAAGTGGGGGCTTTTTGAGAGGACATTGGAGTGGACAGGGCACTTCGTGCATCCGTGTCAAAGGCAGACTCCCAGTTTCGAGGGTCGCGAGAGCGACCGAAGACTCGATCGTTCTCGGCCATGCCGGCCCGCGGCGTGGCCGGGAAGATAGCACTGCTGCTGCGACGCAAGCCTGAGATCTTCGGCCGACGTACAGAGAACATGGCTACGCGGTTCTTGGACGGGGAAGGTTCGTTCTCGCCACGGATCACAGCTTTGCCATCCGAGGACATGGCGATGCGCAGAGAGTTCCGACCCTTGGGCGGCGACGGTGTCATCTCATCCTCCTTCCGCACCATGGCCTCGCCATCAAAGGATAGTGACAGGCGCAGTGAAGGTGGTGACTTGACCGGCGTGGTATGTGTGTGCACCGCGGGCTGCTCGCTCGCTACTTCTCCCCGAATATCCGACATGGACCGTTTTCGCTTGGGTACTTGCAGCGATGACTCCTCCGGTGATACCTCATTCAGGGTTTGTTGTGAATTCGCACCATAAAACTCCTCCTGCGTGGTTGGCGGGGTCTCTTCAATAACCTCCGTGGCCACACTAGTCTGCGTACTCTGCAACACCGGTTCCATCTCATCTCTGTCGCCCATTATCGGATCAGACTCATCAGACAACTGCAACAGATCCCCACCCCAGGATTTTGGTCGTGAATCCTCCGGTCGGTCCTGACTCTCAACCTGCTCTGCCCCACTCGACGACCCCGGTTCCGCGGACGCGTTATCATCACTCGCTGGGTGACCCGACGAGTCGGACATACTTGAGCGCGGTGCAAGCAGCTCGTGCGGTTGGAGAGGTTTCAATTTCCTCCTGTCGTTCTGGCGGCGATTCTGGAACCAAATCTATTTCAAGGCAAGAAAATTATTAGCCGGACGGCGGGAAGATTGTGGACGCTCCAAGTCTTGGCATCGCGTACCTGGACCTCTTTCTCGCCCAGCGAGACGCGATTCACAATATGTGTGCGGGCAACCTTGTCCGGCTTTGGATTGATTTGGTACTCGGCTTCTAGGATGGCATGGTCCTCCGGGCTATTGTCGAACGTGGGTTGTGGTGGTTAGTTTTTGGGTGCTTTCAACGACGCGTATCGGCCCATTTGCACTAATGACCCAAAGAACCAAAAAAAACATACCTCGTCCGACGCCGCTTTTGACGAGCGAGCAACTTGTTGTCGACTCGTGGAGGTAAGTTCTGTGTCAGGGTTTTCTGGGAGTGTACCAAGAAAGCGTAGGTCAAGGCATTGGAGTCTGCGGCCGGTAGTGACGGTGAGGACGAGGCCGCCACTGAAAGCTCCGGGTCGGACATGGTCGAATTGGACTATGAGTGCATTGGGGGGGGAAAACAAGTCCGTTTAGAGAAAGATCAAGATGGTGAGTATTGTGGAGTAGAATAGGAATCGAGAAGAGAAGAAAAGTTGGGATGAGGCTGGAAAAGCGAGTATGCAGAGAGGGCCGTGAGAAATCGCGTCGCGATGTGGACGCGGAGGGTAGCAAGAACGTGGCCCGCGCTAGTCACGACGTGCACCCGCGAAGTACCTGTGACTTGCACCGTGCTCGGAGACGCGATTATGATTTTTTATTTTTTTATTCTAGTTCTATAGAGTGTGTAACATTTGTAAATTCAGTATTTGATTTTGTCTCTGACTAGAATACTTGATTTTTTCTCCTAACTATGAACGCGTGCTTCTATCCATACAGTCTCGGAGGTAATTCGGGATCCCCACTCTGGAGTACGCCTGGTATGGCCGATGGGGCCCTCGCGTGTCTGCACGTGTGGTGGAATGTGTGAGATCTGAGGAATTCCAGTGAATCTCTAGGGGTGTTTCTACTGTTTATTTCCAGGGGTGGTGATTTTAATGGTGTCTCTAGTCCTTTCTTTAGCTATGGCCAAGTGCTGACGAGGTGGCTCAATTGACCCAAACGCGCCTCGACACGTCTTCACGTGACCGCCACGAGGGTCCTGTCACGTGGGAGATGGGATATTGTATACTTGGAGAATCCAAGATGAGACCAAAACTGTCCAGTCATCACTAATACCAATTAAATAAAACGCCAGAACCACGACCTACAAGCCCTGTCTCTCATAGATGGATAAATATAATCCAGTCAGAATCGTAAGCTTGTAAATTGCCACCTTGGCTCCTCAACTTCGACATCTAAGCGAGGGGCATCGGGCACCGGCATGCCCGCGGGGTTTCCTAGGCCACTTGGCCAGCATAGCCGAAGGTAGCAAGCCAATTACCGGGTTCTAGAAACGTTCTATGCCGGGATACAGTCAGACTAAAATGACGCTAGTAATATGCAAATATCCCAAGAAATGCAACCGAGGATACTATATCCTTGCCTCGATTGCGGGGGTTGAACGGTTCGGCACACCGGGGACGGATTGAGGGTGTCGGGCCACACGCCTCGTCAGTCAATCGCCCACTGTGATAGGCGGATCCTCCGAAAACCTCCCCGTGGAGAGGGACCGGTCACAACCCCCGGATTCTGCATTCTTTTCCAATTTCACCTCTTTTTACTTTCCAGCCCCGGTCGGTTACTAGCAGGGATCTTGGGCAGAGTCTTTTCTTTTCTACCTTTCCGATTGACTGCTCCCCGCTTTCGTGGGCCCGGTGGTCTCAGCATCTGCAGTATTAAAGGACCATGATCGTGCTGCATCGGGCGTACCCACGTAGTGGTGTAGACTAAGTTGGGTTTTCCCACAGTAGAACCCCATTCATTATTCCTAGAGAGATATCAGCTCGACATTCTCTCGTGATGGGCCGTTTCTATACGATTGGGGTCGCCACGTTGGCGGCAACCGGGTCATTTCTGTTTGGATATGACAGTGGAGTGATGACCGACGTGATAGCATCGCCCAATTTCTTGCAGTATTTCAATACCACGCAGACATCGTCCATTATCGGTGCGATCAATAGTACCTTCTCCGGTGGAGGTAAGTCTTGATACTGCTATTCCCATGAATCTGCGTGTGCCTCCTTCTTACCACGTCCGGTATGTACATTCTAGCCGTCATCGGGGCCTTGCAAGGTGGCTTGACAATGGATCGCTTTGGCCGCAAATTCACAATTCAAATGGGCGCATTCATATGTCTCATCGGCGCCACTCTTCAGGCATCGGCACGGAACTTGGCGATGATCCTGGTGGGTCGCATCTTGGCAGGATGGGCCGTCGGGCTCATGTCCATGTCGGTCCCGGTCTATCAGGCCGAGTTTGCTCATCCAAAGTCCCGTGGCTTGATCGTGGGGTTGGCACAGCAAATGATTGGAGTTGGTTTCATTGTCAGCACGTAAGAATTGCAACACCCGTGAATCCTGCAGAGATGCCATGGCATAGGGCTATCCGAGGATAACAGCTGATCCGGACGAGAATACAGATGGATAGGATATGGATCTCTCCACGCATCAGACTCTAGCCAATTCCAGTGGCGCTTCCCGTTGGCCTTTCAGGTTGTTCCGGCATTGGTGTTGGTCGTTGGAATGATCTTCCTGCCCGAGTCTCCACGGTATCTCATTGAGAAGGGAAGATATTCAGAGGGGAAGCGGGTGCTCCACAAGTTGCACTTTGACGGTACCAATGAGGATTGGATTGAGGCAGAGTACAGTGAGATCTGCCGGACTATCGAAGCCGAGCAGTCTGTGGCTGCGCAGGGCTGGATGCCCATGTTCACCGTTCCTCAATGGCGGACTCGGATGCTGTTCGTTGCGAATGCCCTCGGGCGAGAAGTGAAAGAAACACGGGCTAACTGTTCCTTCAGTCACGGACTTGCGGTCCAAGCTTTCACCCAAATGACCGGTATTAACGTGATTGGGTACTATCAAACAATCATGTACAAGGCGCTCGGTTTCACGGGGAGCCGCAACACGCTCGTCGCGGGCCTCTACAACTGCGTGGGCCCAATATCGAACCTCATCTTCATCGTCTTCATCCTCGACCGCGTCGGTCGCCGCAAGCCGCTGCTCTTCGGTACGGTAGGCATCTCGCTGGCGCTGATCTGCGAGGCAGTGTTAAACTCGCAGAATCCGGATGGTCAACGCATCGGATACAGTATTGGCGGGGTCTTTTTCCTTTTCGCCGTATCGGTGATATTCTCTCTTTCATATGGGCCCGTTGGTTGGTAAGTGTTCTCTGAAACCGTTTTGCCCGCCTTGCTTCCGGTACGGCGCGACCCGGACTGACAAAAAGGGGGTTGCAGGGTGTATATGGCAGAAGTAATGCCGATGCAGATTCGAGGCAAGGGCAACGCCTTCGCGGTCGGAATCGGAAACTGGGCAGTGAGTACGCTGTGGAATCAGGTATCGCCCATCGCATTGGGGAAACTTCAATGGAAGTTTTATTTTGTCTTCGTAGCCTGGAGTCAGTGTCTCATCCCTGCGTGTGTTGTAAGTTTTCGCGCTAACTTTCGTCCAGATCTGTGCGTGTCGCTCCCGGTTATCTACTTTTATTTTCCAGAGACGAAACAGAAGACACTTGAAGAGATTGACCAGCTGTTTGATCGAGTACTGGAACGAATCCCCGAAGAAGGTAATGTGGTGCATCCACGGTCGGAGAAGGAGGAGGCGGGGGTGCTGAACATCGAGAACGCCGGATTTATCCATGGCTAGATAGTTCAATATTAGAAGCTGATCCAGATCTCAGTGTTTTTGCTGGTGTGGATCTCCACAAAATCACAAATAAACTAAAGCAGTGGAGAACTCGGTAGCAGTGGGGGGCGGGGGTGGAGTCGAAGAGAGAGGCAAGGATCTAAAGTTCGGGACTCATAGTCCAAGTCAGTATGGTAGAGCCTGACAGCCTGACACCATCCACCACGTCGTTCTTCATCCTTTATCTGTCGCACAACTCCAAGGAAACACCAAGCCAACCAACAGACCAACAGACTCCGACCCGAACAATCATACGACGCGGCACCTTACAATGTCGTTCAGTGACATCGTTCCACAAGCCCACAGGCCCAGCCCAGAAACTCTCCAAGAAAACGGGCAATCCAGCCGATCAAAATTCCCAGCCGCTAGCTACTTGGCCCGCCCATCCCTTTGAGCGCCACTCGCTTCGATTGGTCCCCCAGCGACAAGGGAGGGGGAAGGACCATAATCCCCATGAGTCCATGATTCTTCCAATGAATCCTCATCGCTGAATCGTGTTCTCCACAGGCGAGCTCTCCCCGCTTTGACAGGTCGATCATCAGTTCTGCTCTCCTTGAACACGGGCGCGAGGGTTTTTAATTATTAACGTCGGCTGTCTTGGCTGACTCGCACGTCACACTCTCTGGGATTTTCGTTTAGATTCCTTTTTTCTGTTCTTGAACTCCCCAGGCCACGCTGTTCAAGTGCCCTGTCGCCTCCTGCATCTTTTCATCCTCCCCCCTCTCCGGTTAGGCTCCGTACTGGGCATCTCCTCACCCGCAGTTGATTACTCGGTGGCTCGGGAAGCCGCGTCGAGCACTGGGGTCGAGGAGTTCATCTTTTCACTAGTCGGCTGTCGCTCATCAGAAGACACCACACAGCGGCGATGGGAGAAGACAGCAGTTTAAAGAAGAGCCACATGGCCATCGTCTTGGGGATCGGACTAGGCGTGGTGCTGCTGATCGTTTTGAGCTTAATGTAAGCACTTTGCTGACTGGTTTGACCTCATATCGTGGAAGAATAATCTCATTCTGGATACACTAAACGCTGCTCAATCTTGACTTCCCCTCTTTTTCTTTCATTGCTTATCTTTGGTTTATGCCCCGGTTCGGGTTACACAAATTATGATACTGACTCTCCTAGTCTAACGATCCTCATCAACCGGCGTGATCGCCGGGCATTTTTGCGGTCGAGGAAAAATCCAGACGAGCGCTTGCGTAGTCTCGATGCTGTATCACCGACTCGCACGTTGGAGCAGTGGTGGACCACCACGAAGGGCACGCTGGGTCTTTCCGAAGCCGTGGACGGTCAATTTGTCTGGTAAGACCTCGAAACCTTTGGATGGCAGACATCGTGTTTCCTTGATGACTGACAAAAGTATTCAGTGCTGTTTGCTTGGAGCAAGTAAATCGCTCCGAAGAAATCCGCGAGTTGCGATGTTTGCATGTCTTTCATCGAGAGTGCCTTGAAAAGTGGTTCTTGGGAGACCACTATAACTGTCCATTATGTCACCGGGCGTATTATGTGCCAGAGCATCCGCCGCGAAATGACTATGTATGGATGGTATGACCTTCTGGAACTCGGTCTGCGAAGACTTTTGGCGTGGAGGTATTCTTGGCTGTCTGTTTGGATGGAATCGTGCCCGGTGTTTATTACATACCCCCATTTATCGCCAATATTAATGACTTGACGAGTTGAAGATACACATAGACTCTTGCGTAGATCAAGGATCATCTTTCCTTGTTCATGGTGCAAAACCATTCGCCAGCGGAAAGTATTCGGAGCTAAAGTCCCAGCTGTTGTAATTCGACCAGTTCAAGAAGCTGGATAGTTCGGACGTGACATCATGCACCATTTCCGGATGGACAGGTTGTGGATCGAGTACTTGGTCCAAGATGCGAGACAAGTTCTTCTCAGCTTCTTTGCAAGTGCGATAATTGCCATGCCCAGGTCGCGCAATCCAAGAAAGCATCGAGATGAACACGCTCAAGTTGCGAACTAGCTCGGCGCGAGGGAGAACCACGTTGTGTGGACCGGGTTTGTGAGACTGATGTAAGAGTTCGAGCAGAAGAACACCTGAGCTTGGGACGCCGTATGTAAGGGCCTATTCGTCAATTAGTAAAAATAGCACCTCAACCTTGATGGCAAGAGAAAAAGTAAACGTACAATCCAAGAGTAATGCCGATCAAGATCCACCATCGGATTGCGCATAGTAGTGATGCTGTTCACAATACTCAGGACCTGGCGTGAGATGTCACAGAGCGACTCTTGCCCGGTATTTGTGTGCTTGATCAAAGCTCGCTGAAGCAGGAAACAAGTGTACAAATAGTTGAGATAGAGGTAAACCAGAGTCAACCATCCGTGGTGGAAATCATCTCTTGCCCTTCGATCGTACCGGAGGTGGTCTGGAGTAGACTCCCACACTGCACGTACACCTTCACGAATTTCACTATTGATGAAGCGTTGGTTAGACTTTGAAAGACGATCAACTCGTACAAATTCCGAATTTCCGCCACTCACTTGCACTTTTGAATCAAATCACGCGGTTCATGACACCCCAATGCGATCTCCAGTGTCCTTTCCCTAAAGACAGACAGTTGGAATCGGATTCGTCCCGTTGACATTCGGTGGCGAATCCCATTTGTACTCCATCCTGCGCTGTCAAGCTCGGAGATAGCTTGGTTCAGAGCCTCGCCCCCTTCTACAAGGGCTTCATCACTTAGATCCAAAGGAGGAGTTAATGTGCAATATCGGTAGTTCAATAGGGGTGGCCGGCCAACGAAAGTAGCCATCATCTTGTCCATGTAAAATGCCGACGTAAAGCAGCACCGACGCCATTGACGAAGGAAGAAAGGACAATCATCCGAGGTTTCGGTGTCGACATGCAGGCCAGCTGCATATATGGTAGCTGTGAGGTCGCCGAGTCGACGCCATGCTTGATAGCCTAAAGTCCAATATCAGTTTCGATCGTTGTCTTTCATGGAAGGAGAAGACGCACTCGAATCTCCGTATAGCTGTGTTCGTAGCATGACATCGTTATATTGCAGATATGCCAGCATTTCATTGGCTGCAGAGGCCTGGTCACAAAAGTTGAGGCAAATAGTACTGGCCACAGTGACTTGCTCTAATAGTCGATCTTTCGCCCCTGGATCGTCCCCCTCGGTAACTGCAGGGTCGTTCTCGGGGGTGATCACTAGTTGCTGACCACACAGAGTAAAAATATTTCCAAGTGCTTCCCAACGAAAATTGCGTCCTGTGAATGAACTGCAATATTCCTTGATAGTCATAGACTGATGCGTTTTCAATGCTCGCGAGGAATTTTGGAAGATCTGAGTGGCTAGACTCTGCAGTTGGGGCATCAAATCGTTGGTGTTGAAACCGCCAAAGATCTCGTCAATAGAGTCCATGATTGCGACCACAACCATCTTAGGTACAACCACATTCCATGACCGTAGGTAAAACTTGTCAACAAGCTTGCGCCGGTCTTTGAGATTATAAAGGAAAAGCAGGACCTCAGCTCCGGACTGGACCCGATCTGGTTCCACTACCAAAACTGGGCATGACTCCACATTCTCGTCTTGCTCAAATGCAATCTCGTTGCGATGCTCTGCTAGAACGGCGGTGAAGCTCGTGGAGCCCATGTAGCCTGGTAGTGCAGATGGCGGCTCTAAGGGCGCATATAAACGCCCGCCATGTAAAGAACCTGAGCCTGGGCTCGAAGCACTGATATGGATGGTTAATTTCATTTCATCAAAATTCCCGCGGTTTAACGCATGCTTACTTGGAAGTTGGCTGACTAGTCAGTCTTCTCGACGGCGCCATACTTGGATTCGAACCGGTTTGATCCGAGCCCCTCCGGCGGGTCATCGGGGCTGGATGGTAGAAACATTTATCGGTGATCCTCTTTGCCGTGCATCTACGGCAAACGGGTCGTTCATGGTCGCAACGCTGTTTCGACCGCCGACACGGCTCGCATGACTGCAGCGTGCCGTTTCGACGAGTAGCTGGAGACTGCGACCGGCGATCGTCAGTGGTACGCATTTCTTGAGAACTCGAATTCGAGCTAAAGCGCTGTGGAAAGGGAGTGTAATTGGGGAGGCCGCGGTAAAAGTCCTTATCCTTGACTAAATGGGTTTAGCGTATCCGGCCTGTTCATTGAGGTTTCCATCTCTCCACAATTACGCAAATCAGTGAACTGCACTACGGAAATTAATTGGAGATTGGGAATAATGTTCTCTTCACCTACTTTGAAAATATCATGCTCATCTATCCTTTTTTTCTTTGATCTTTTATGGTTGAAAATTATAACGATCGACCTCAGATCATTCCTTGGCTTGATCTATCTATAGGCTATCGAGAATCTTTGTGCAGAGAGTCATACTTTATCTAATTTGAATGACCATCGCTCTTTTATGACAGACAATATCTTTCTACACCAACGTTATTTGTCTCTAAAGACTATTTCAAGGTTAGCCTTCGTTTTTGGCAAGTTTTTCCATTGTGCTTGAACAATGACATTCGAAGTCTTTCGTCCATGACTTTCTGGCCTTCTTTGTTGAGCACGAGATCTATTTACGCAATATGAGTCTACGGCCGTGAGAAGTAGGGTATATAAAGTCCCACAGCTCCTGGTATGTTAACCTCGTTCATCACTTCAAGTCCATTCTCGGATTCTGATAAAACAAGATCGATTTCACATCTACAAGCTCAATTTCGCTTCTACCACTGATCTCCATATCCATGTCTGGTAGGTCTAATGGTCGTGGGGGGAGAGGCTCCGGGTCGCTGCCCAAACTATCCCGTCCCCAATTCTTCGCTGGAGGCTCGGATTTTTCTGGTTCGCCTGATTCACACACTCTCAGGGCTTCATTGTCTGGAGAGAAGAAGAGCTCCCAAACTTCTGAAAAACTACTTGCTGACGATAAGCCCCCTAGTTTCCGCCCTGGTTACAGACCATCTAGTGACCGTTCTCAGAACTCGAGGGGAGGCGAGGTTGAAAGGTATGAAAATGGTAACAACTCCCCTTTCAATGCATCCGACTCACTGCAAAATTACCGGCAGCAACAGGAGACGGGTATACGCCTGATTGGATGGATCAACAACCCATCTGTAAGTTGCCCAATCACGATCTCAGGGTCTACCTTCCGTGGGCTTATGAATCAAAGATGGGAGCGTCTCGAACAACTTGGCGGCTTGCCATCAAACTACACTCAATCTACGTTTCTTCCTCCTGGTGTGCCAGGTGCAATTGGCTCCCAACTGAGGCAAAACTCATATCGATGGATTTCCATCAAGAAATCTCCACCAAACCAGCCGTACAATGTGTGTTGGTGGTCCGGCCGCACTGCACAGAGCGTGATCTTCCTGGAGGACGTTAATCACCCAGAAAACTCGCAATTCCCATTTATTTCCGAAATCAGCAAGGCAATTTACGAGAAAGACTTCGATATTGATACTCTCAAGTACGTATTTGTGACTGAAATTGCTAACCCGGTGACTCGTGGGTTTATCATAGGCGTTCTCTGGCCTAACAATACTGAGAACCCCCGAGTTCTAGCATACCATACCCCTGAGTTTCAAGTACTACTCGGAACCCCCATAGGCAAAATTGTGGCGTATCTTGTCTTGAACGCATTTGCTCGTGGTACTCGACGGATTGCACGGATAGTTCTTTGGCACGATGCCCAAGCAAACCCCCATTTAAGGTTTGATATCGAACGAGTTTGATAGGCTGCTCGCGCGATCCTTAGACAGGTACAATCCGTGGAAACTGATATGTGGGAACTGGTAAGGGACCTTTTTCTTTCTTTCTGTTATTCCCCTCCATCCCTTTGTTTTTCTCACCAATATGGCGATGCAAGCACTTCTATCCAATTTGTTTGAAAGTCAGGCGAATACACTCCCTAGATCTTAGAAGTATAGAGTTTTAAATATCATTGTTTATCAATTTTCCATAATTTATTTCCATAGCTCGCCAAGGTCGTGTGATCGTATTGAACTACATTGATAGATGGCATTCAATCGTCACAATTTCTCACTTGAACCGTAGCATGTAAGAAATAATTGCGAGACAGACTGTGGCAGCCTCTAGCCATGGCTTCGTTGCCCTACTTGGCTTTGGTAAGAATTAAACTCCCAAGCCCCTGATTTGTGCTACCAAGTTTTCAAGAGCCAAGTAGCCGAATAATGAAATATATTAGACCCTATTAGGCCAAGTCTCATGAAAACGTGTTTTTCATCATGAGCTCAAGACTTAGGGTTACTAAGCGTAAATTCTGGTAGGTAGGTTGGCGAGGACTGGATGAAACACACTCGGCAACTTAGTTATAGTGACTAGCTTCTGGATATGCCATATACAGAGCAACTGACTAAAGGAAACACGGGAGGAAAGGAAGAGCAAAAACCGGGGCTTCTTCTCTCTCGGTTGGGACCAAACAACTACCATTTTCCAGACAGGTAGGGCCTGAAAACCAGAATATCAAAATATTTCATCAATCTTAACTAAACAAAATTAACCCTTGTCCTTAAGTTCAAAATACTTGAACTTTGTTTTTATTTTATGGAACCCTCTCTGAAACAACGCATTGGATTCGGGTTGAGTTCCCTGAGAGGCTCATAAGCCTGACCCAATTAGACATTAAATGATCCCGACATCATATTGGATCATGTAGAGTTTCAGAAAACTATCGCGACTAGACCGCAAAGGCCCCTGACTCAAGCTGTCTCGGTTCTGATGCAGCTATAAACAGACCTTGCTGAGACCGGAAGATTGCCTGAGCGTAACTCCACTCAGCCACTCTCTTGATTTCGTGCTTGCGGCCCTTCAAGAACGCAACAGTGGCGTTGTTATAGGTGTCAGGTATTTCAATATAGTTTGGGAACAGCTGATGGTGGAGCCGTGGGCGGGCTAGGGATATATTTGGTGACAGATGTTCATCCAAAGCATGGATCAAGGTCTGCAAAGTCGTTGTAGGGATGTGGCTACCTCCAGCGGCCCCTGTAGCAAATGCAAAGCTGTCATCATCGCGAGTTGCAATTACAGGTGAAATAGACGACAGTGGGCGTTTTCCAGGTTTGATAAAATTGTTTGGATTAGCGGGATAGCCGAATGCGTTAGTGGTGTTAGGAGTAGAGAAGTCTGTATCTGTCAGTCTAGTGTTTCTGAGTAAACATTATGCTCACGTACCATCCATCTGAGAATTCAAAACAATGCCGGTTTCAGGAACCATGACGTGGCTACCGAAGGGAAGATTCGTCGTTGTGGTGAGGGACAAAACCAAGCCATCCTTATCGGCTGCCACCATATGTGACGTACCGAACCTGGAACAATGATTAGTGCTGCGACCATTTTGTATGTACTCAATGATAAAGCAGGTAGATTTTGAGAATGGTTGCAGATGTGAACATACGATTCCGGTGTCCACTTGTGGTCAGGATCGTAGAAGCTGACATTCGTATGAACACTATTATCATCAATGTTACGCCAGATCCTTTGAATTCGTGCTTGAGACAACATCGTGCTCTCCAGATTGGTAATATTTGGAACAAATGCTGGGTCGCCAAAAGAGTTTCTCTGAGAGAATTTTGTGTTAGCATATCATCTAGAGGATCCAGCCTGGACAATATCCCAAAGCCCATCACATACATAAGCATATCCAAACTTGATGGCCTCGACCATCCGGTGAGTGTCTAATCCTCTCGTTGATATATTTGTGAAGAAGTCATCGTAATTGTTCAAAACACCAAGAATGTTGAGTAGAACTGATCCGCTACTAGGAGCAACTGTACTGGTCAAGGTGTAATTCCGATATTGGACCTGTCGTGGTGTCCGACGGACAACGGAGTAACTCATCAGATCCCTCTCCGTCATATTACCACCATGGTTTCTGATTGCCTGTAGCATACTTCTGGCGGTTGAGCCAGTGTAAAAATCCTCGGCGCCGTTCTTCGAAATGTTTCGTAGTGCTTCTGCGTATCTTTTCCGGGTCATGATATCTCCCCGTTTAAGAGGTTTGCCGTTAGGAGCAAAGTCCGGCCGCCAGGCAGGATCCTGAAGGAAAAGGTTTGGCTGAGAGGAGTTCAACAATGGAGCGTTTTTCAAGGTCCAGTTCACCATCCACTCCATGTCGTGCCCGAAAAGAAATCCGACCTCAGCCACCTCAATGGCCGGCTTGATGACGGCCTGCCAACTTAGCTTGCCATATCTTTTCCGAATAGACTCGAGCCCACGGAGCTGCCCAGGTACCGCACTTTTCATCAAAGTTAGTAGATAACCACGCGATCAAGGTAGCTTTTGGTGACGTACATAGCTCTTCCACCAACTTGGGAGGCATTCTTGTCGTTTACAAACATCGTCTCGCTTGCAGAGCCTGGTGCTCTCTCACGGAAGTCAACCATTTCGTATGTATTGTTTGGAAGTCGAATGAGGGCAAACCCCCCTCCAGATATGCCGCTGTTATACATTCCTAGTAGTAATTGTTAGATTGCTCTTTGATACATACTTATCTTGCCAAAACCATACCAGTAACCCCCACGCAAAGAACTGTAGCAACCATCTACATTTTATTGTCAGTTTACAACGAGTCAAGCTTTAATTAAATTCACTCACAGCATCTGCAGCATTTCCACCTTGTTGTAACATGGAGGCCCCGGCCTGACTGCATATTTTGTTCTCACAGGAAACAGCACCTTTCACTCCCTGGGCAGTAAGATTTTGGGCAAAGGTATATCCCAGTGCAAAGGGTATAAAGTTGGAGTATATCAAGGCAAGGCTGAGTCCCCTCATGATGACTATGGTTTTCGACGGCTGTCAGTTAACCTATTCTGAGCGTAAATTATAACATCTTTGCCAAGCAGCACCTAGCAATAATTTATATTCCATTTAACGAGTTCAGTCTACCAAATACAACCTTGTCCTTCTGTCTATGACTCAAATACTTCCTATACTAAGCCCTTTTTAGCTGCCATGTTCGCACTGAAGAATCACTTGAACGCGAATTCCAATGTGTAGATATGAAGACTGTGACGTGAACGGAATATTTAGGGGATCTCCAATGGCGTAAATATCCGATTGGCATACTTATTGACAACCTGACTCCGCAAAGGGTACTTATGCCTTTGTCCCGAGTCGTGATCTCTGAAGATGATCCGGCTCTTCCTTGTACTGTCGTATTACTTCGTTGTTTGGCGCCACCCAAAACACCAAAGAATCCCCATTTCCCGTGAAATCCTAAGATATAATCCCAGGTTATTGCAGTCACGCTTCAGTTCTAGGAATTTGGTTGGCTCTCTGGGGTTTATTAGTGGGCTGAAGTACATGATCGATGACACTACCATATTCTCCAAAGTCTAGCCCCAGATCGTCCCCGCTCGCTTATCTCAATGACGGCGATCAGCCGGGTGAGTTTTCCAGGCTTCAAGATCATCTTTTTGTTCGTTAGTCCCATCTGAAGATGAGTGTCTATGTGATAGGGTTCGGCAAGGATTTCCACTCAAATGTGGGCCTACACTGGTATTGTGATGTCATACCGAGCATAGTCTGCGGACCGGGCCGCGCGAGGAGTGGCTTGTGCGTGGACGGCTAACCTGGCTACCCTAGCGACTCTGCCAAATCCAAATAATCAATCTAAGTTGGCTTGCAATATCATTGAGAAGGTTAAATAGCTCGTGGTATGCGTAGAGAAGAGTATGACAGAAGGCCTGGTTGCGGTTGCAAAACATTCTACTATTCTACATGACAATTTAACAAGAGGGTGCCTTCAGCCATGAGAGAAAAATAAGTCAAGGTAAAAATAAGCCCCCACAAGATGAGGCAACAATAGCGTAGCATTAGATCGTAGGTCTCAATCGCAGGATCGGGTAATGAACACGGGCGCGGCGACAGTCAAATCGTAAGCCACCAGCGGCGCCCGCCCGATCTACCAGTCTCTCAATCGCAGATTATCTTGGTCATGCAAATTAATTGAGCTAGTTAAACAGGTGTAATGGCTGGCCTTGAATATATATTTGCTGCGGCAAGGTACGCAAAATAATGCCCAGTCGATCCTGATCGTAACGCGGCATTGAGGTATAGGTGGATGCATCATTGCAACTCAGCCTCGAGCGAGATCGAATGGGAAGAGTCGAAGAGACTCCTGGCTTCTTCAATGAGCCAGCTCATCCCCGTTTTCGAGCAGGTCAAGAAAGTTGGAGATAAATAATACGGATTGCGATGTAACCCGCGATACCCTGTTAAACGCACAGAAAACGTTCAGTGGCCCGTCGAGAGGGAGTGTTCAGAAATAATAGCCAGTGTGAACAGGTAATCTAGCACGGGAAATAGGCCATGGAAGTTATAATCGGCCGCCTCTGCTTCCTTTCCAGAAGATTAGTACGTAGTTTTCTCCTACCAAATAGCATTAAAAATTCAACCAGAGTGAATATCTAGCTTTCATCTAATAAGATGCATCTGAATTCGGCGACTTGATCACGAGGTCACTAAGCTTGGCAAATGACGGCTCCGAATTCCTTACCGTCAAAGAAATCAGCCCTTCCAATAATTAATTACGTCGGGGCAGTTAAGCACTCAAATTCGCCTGTATCTGCGTCATTTGAGGTGGACGATAAACGCCAGTTGCTCAAACCCATAATTGGTTAGTTTATCGACCGCTTTCATAGCCGCCTTTGCCCTAATGCCTTCTTCTTTAGGCTAGGGTGACGCTATTCCTGTAGTACCGATTTAACTATCCCCTTCCTTGTCTTTTCTCTTGTCTTTTCTCTTGTCTTTTCTCTTTTGTAGGTCTTGTGAATTCTGCCGGACTTTCTGCCTTAGAAAATTAGTTTTGAGCAATTGGGGCTTATCGTCCACCTCAGTCATTACCGCTCTAGACCTATAATCAGTTAAGAACGTATCCCCTATGCCCTTCAACGGCATTTGCTATTTTGCATAAAACTGACGAACTATTCAAGTCTTTGAATGAAAGATATTGTATAAATGAGTCTAGGATATTAGATAGGCATATTAATAAAGATATTAGAACATTTCTTGAACAATGCTCCGTCCTACAGGTTATGGTGGTCCTTTGGATCCCCGATATCGGATGCCACATCAAAGATATCTTGACTGTACCTTCCAGAATGAGCTTCAGCCTCAGCCCTGAGCATATAGTCCAATTCTACCTGCAAGGCTGGATCATGAGGCATAGGAGCCATCTGGTAAAGTCTGCTCGTTGTCTTCGAGCGTTTCCTCGGGGTATATGACGGGCCGTTATTTCGCTGTTTCAGTCTGTTTGACCGGGTCCGACGATCCCATTGACACTGCAAACCAATTAAAAGGTCCTTTGCTCTTTGTGCACTTTTCCAAGACGCAGAGAACTCGTCTAAAGCTCTGAAACATGTCGTGAGATACACCGAGATCTCGTCTCCTGGGTGAGAGGAGTCGTTTGAAATAGCGGCGAAGAGAAGGAACAGAATGGCGGAGGATGTGATAGAAACTGCTTGCACGCCTATGCGGCGCAATGTGTAGCGGGATTCGTACATATTGAGAAGTTTGGAGATTGCGATCGCAGATTGAATGCACATTTCGCGGGCGTGCGTGTATCCGGGACCTCTTGGTGGTTGCGGTTGTAGCTGGCTCTTTGAAATCCATGGCCGGTGGGCGTATATTATGTTCTGGTGATATTGCATACTTCACAGACCACGTTAACTGTGAACGTAGTTGGCTAACGGAATAAGGATTGACATACTGGAGAAGCAGTAAATGTGGAAGGTATGGTGAAGTGAAATCATCAAGATTAACCTGTAAGATGGGGGGAAGCGTAGCTTTCCACTTGCGTAGCTCGGCAACAATTTTGGCATTCAGTTCTTGGAGAACCTCTTTAGAAATGTTAGAAGTACCGTATCTGTTTGAAATATTAGTCGAGATCACTCATTGTTTTCGGAGGCTCTTACAGTATATACCCACAGGGAGCCATAAGCTCACAGAGGAAGACTAGTTGACGGCTGATTGCGTCTTTGCAATCTAAAAGGCCAGCGCTGTTATGAACAGATGTTGATGCTTCGTAGGTTGTCCATCGGCAATTTCCCTGGAGACCTGCACCTTGTCGGGGCTTTCCAACTGTCACATCCTCCATGCTTGTACGAGATGGTCTGCCTAGATGAAATCCTAACTGGCTAGGAGATAATTAGACCCCGCTTCACATTCAATTAAATGGGCGATGACGAACTGGTCAACAACGTATGCTGTCCAAAAGACAGTGCATCGAAGATTCGCATCGGTGGCTGAGAGGATGCCTGCGGACACATGGCTGGACATATCAAGATGTAAGGCAAGATCAAATGCCAGTCTCAATGCCATTCCTGAAACAGTAAGTCAATTTCCTGAAATCGACTAATTTATGGCTTAATATGCCTACCACTGTACAGCCACCCTCTCGTTTCCTTTCCGTTTCCAGTTTCATGGCTGCTCAGGATTACCAACGCTTGGACGGTCGCAACACAAGGAGAGTCTAGTTCCTTTTCAAGTATGGACTTTGCGCGATGGGCAAAGAATTCAACAAGAGTTTTTGGGAATGTGATAAAAGTTGAATGATAACGTGCTTCGAACGCACTACCAAGCGCACACCTTTTGATATAGTGAGTACATGTTGTTGTCATTGGGAGAAGAATGACTTACATTGCATTTCGCAGGGCTTCTGAATAGAAAGCGGTGTCTTCCCGGTTAATCCATTTTTTTTGCGCGTCTTCGTAGACTTCTCGATCAACAACATGGAATGATGGGTCCTGCCAGCTGAAATAGAGGTTGAGAAGGTGATTTTCTAATTCCGCGGGAATCTCCTCCTCAAACCCCGAGATATACACTGGATTGACGGGAGTGGCCTCACGACTATCTGAGAGTGCAATATCCGCCAAATTGAATGTGGAAGTCGGACCATAAAAGCGAGTCTTTCCCCCAGGCCCAATTCTTAAGGTTCCGACCCGGTCGGAGAGCTCCTCGACTAGGCCTTCGATGTCCGACGTACTCGCTGATCCCTCAAGCAGAGTGGGTTCCATTTCGCTATGAGCGGCTTTGGCCTGGATTTGCGTATTCACTGGAGGCATACGAAGTCCATCTTCCACCGAGGAGCTCAAGGCGGGTTGCGTGTCGGTGGCAACTGGTGTAATATGCGTACCGAAGTCTAGATCAAATAGCCAAGAGTTGAATTCACTCCCTGGACTGTTATCTGTCAACTCTGTATGATATTCCTCGAGGGAAATCATAGAGGATTCATTGGGGGATATCGATAACAGTCCTGATCCGATATGGCTCTGTAAACAGTCACCCGGCTCAGCTCCGATCAGACTGACGACCACCTGTTGGTTCGGATCCTTCCCCCCAAAACTCTCTGATGATGTTTCGGGAGGAGTTCTTGCCGAATTCAGGAAAGGTTGTTGATCGTGCTGAGTCGCACTTGGAGGTCTCATCGATGACTCATTATCAAGCCGAGCTTGCGCTGTCATTCCAAGGGTGTCGAGGATGTCTCGCAAAGTGGTATCTTTGTCACCGGGCATTTTAGGCGGCTGAAGGCCATTTTCATAGATGAATTGACACAGTTGTTCGACTCTGCATGTCAGTAACTCAATTGCGACTCGAAGAGGTAGCCTATTCCACGGCATAGTCTTAGCTTCCGGCCGTGCGCGAGAAAATTCAAAGAATGCAAAATCCTCACTTTCTCTTGTCGAAAGCTTGGTATCGACACTCTTTGCTCTTGCTTACGCAATGAGAGCAAGATGGCTCGCGTCCATCACACTAAGGCTCGTTAGTCTGGGGTCCAAGAATCGGAATTTCGGGACGAGAATACTTTTACTTTGCTTTCCCGGCAAGCAACGCAGGCCGTGGTAGCATACCGACGTTTCGGCAGATGTTTTGCAGAGCCCATATTCATGTGAATGGAATTAAGATGATAATTAGCGTGAGGGAAATGAAGCAAGTAGAGAGAGCAAAATCTGGGGTATGGAGGCTTCCCCGCGAATGCGGAGTTCCGTCCAATCGGCCCTAATCCCGACCGCGCCTATCAATGCCGAAGCCTTTTCGGTGAATGGATTCCGGCAAAGCGCTTCTCCACGTTTATCTGAGGCAAATTGATTTCATACAGTCAAATCATAATTGGCTTATATAAAATTGTTCAGCCACATCGCTTGTGCTGACCAGTACTGGTACACCGATACTGCCACTTGATCCCTTGGGCAATCTATTACACAATGTTCCTCCAGAACGCACAGGGGAAGACGCTCCAGTATGGGATTGCTGCTGCTTGTGGCGCCGGATTTCTTCTCTTTGGCTATGACCAAGGAGTATTCGGTGGTCTTCTGGATAATGAGCCGTTTCTGAGAACTTTCGGCTTCCCTGGCGCTACGATCCAAGGCCAGATAGTCGCAACATACGACATTGGCTGCATTATTGGAACACTCATATCCATGTATGCAGGTGATAAACTGGGTCGAAGAAAATCTATTCTGATCGGCTGTGTGATTTTGATCATTGGTGCAATCCTCCAAACGGCCTCATATTCTCTGGCACAATTGATTGTGGGTCGCGTGGTTGCGGGGGTTGGCAATGGGATGAATACCATCGCTATACCTATATGGCAAGCAGAAACTGCGCGTCCAAAGGATCGGGGGAAACTCATTGTTTTCCAGCTGGTGACGAATATTTTCGGCATTGTCATTACGAACGTAAGTGCCCGCCTCATCTCCCAGACCCAGACCCAGATACTGAGCAGGTTCCCAGTGGATGAACTACGGCTTTACCTTCATCCCCCAGTCACCCGTGAGCTGGCGATTTCCCTTGGGTTTCCAGTGCTTTTTTGCCTTCGTCACCATTGCCTTGGTCCTCATCACGCCGGAGTCGCCTCGCTGGTTAATCATGAAGAATCGCGTCAGCGAGGCACAGCACATTCTCGCCAGAATCTTGTCCAGGCCTGACGACGACCCCATCGTTATAAGCGAGATTCAACACTCGGTTGCTGCTCTTCAACACGAGGCTGAGGTGCAGAGATCTGTGGCCTTCAAAGAGATTTTTACTCGAAATAGCAAGCAACAGACTCTTCGTCGGATGCTTCTCGGAGCTGGGACAGCATTTTTCCAACAGGTGGGAGGCACTAATGTGATTGCCTACTACCTTCCTGTAGTTCTCACACGTTCTGTTGGCCTGAGTAGCCGTATGGCTCTGATTTTGTCCGCTGTTGATTCAATGTCTCTCATGTTCTGGGGCTCAATTGCAGCTCTCTTGATCGACCGCGTCGGGCGAAAGAGGCTGATGCTCATGGGTGCAGCTGCGAGTAGCGTCTGCTTTGCTCTTGTTGCCGTTGGCTTGAGATATGGTGGCCCGGACAATAAGGGTATGTCCATCTTGGCTGTCGTGTTCATTTTTGTCTATTATGTGTTCTACGGGATGTCACTCCTCTCGATTCCATACATCTATCCCGCCGAGATCAACTCTCAAAAGATGCGAAATGTTGGCACGTCATTTGCAACCACGGTCAATTGGCTTTTCGTCTACGTCGTTGTTGTTGCGACGCCTACTGCCATCCAAAACATTAAGTGGCGGTACTATATGCTCTTCGCAGTTTTCAACCTTTGCTTTCTTCCAGTCATTTGGTATTTCTACGTCGAGACTGCGTCTTTATCTTTAGAACAGGTCGATCGACTGTTTGAAATTAAGCACAACGGAGGAAAAAGCCTTAGCTGGGCGGACGCCACGCGGATTGCCCGCACCGAGGACGAGGATTTGCAGATGCATGTGGAGAAAGATGATATCAATACGGAGCACTACGAGACTACTGCTTAATGGATACTGGAGCGAGCTTGAATTAGAATATGTCAATTTTACCTAGATCATAGAAAATAACGTAGAACATGGCATGCAGGCTGTAGAGAAATTTCGTCTTGAACTTCGCTTTCTCAATAAATTCGACTATCATTCAGTACCTAAAATTGCTGGGTGTAACTTCGTACCAAAGCCCCAGGTTTTCAAGATTGGCCCATAGTCACGAGGTCGGAATTTGTTCCAAGATCACCAATCGGACATCAAATTCCGGGAACTTTAGTTGAGCTTTGCACTGCAGAATTCCGTAGGACAGATGTGTATTACTATTTAATAACCATTGACACAAGCCTAACCCTCTGTATAGCTCTTCTACTCCCATTCCTCTGCAATAATCAATAATGACCATCCATAAGCTTCGCGTCGGTATTGCTGGCCTTGGCCGAATGGGTAGGCATACGAACCTCTGGCTGTTTGATAATATAACTAACAGTGAATACAACAGGCAAGCGCCATGCCATTAACTTCCATGAACTTACTATTCGTGCGAATGTGGTAGCTGCGAGTACTCCGGATGAAAGTGAGCGTGACTGGGCACAGGAGAACCTCCAAGGAGTGCAGATTTTCAAGGACTATGATGAGATGCTTGAGAATGCCGACTTGGAAGCTGTCGTGGTCGCTAGCGTCACTGCTGTACATGCAGAGCAAGCTATCAAAGCAATCAAGAAGGGTCTTCATGTTCTTTGCGAGAAACCATTGAGCATTGATGCTGAAGTTGTGAGTGGAAAATTCACCTTTTCGGGTTATTTATGCTGACAGTCACATGTCGGTTTAGGCGCAATCTGTAGTCTCTGCATACGAGGAGTGCCTCAAAACCCACCCACAGCAAAAAGTGATGTGCGGATTCTCTCGCCGATTTGACGCATCGTATCGTGACGCACACGCGAGAGTCAAGAAAGGTGAACTTGGAGCGCCGGTTCTCTTCCGATCTCAAACGGCAGACTTACAGGACAAATCGGGATTTTTTGTTGACTATGCGAAGACAAGTGGAGGAATTTTTGTGGACTGCTCTATTCATGACATTGACCTCATGCTTTGGTTTCTGGGCGAGGAGCGCCAGATCAAGACCTTACAAGCGGTTGGTGTGATTGCGTTACACCCAGGGCTAGAGGCAAGCAACGACCGAGACAACGCTATAGCAACTGTGGAATTTGAGGGTGGTAAGATGGCCGCTTTGTATTGTTCGCGAATGATGGCAGCTGGACAGGAAGACACCACTGAGATCATCTGTGAGAGGGGCTCCCTGAGGGTAAACATGCAAGTGAGAAAGAATCACGTCGAGATTCATGATTCTCAGGGGGCCAGGCGTGAGCTGCCACAGCATTATTATGAGAGGTTCCGAGAGGCATTCGTCACCGAGGCTTACGAGTTCACTGAGTGCTGTCTGAACAACACCCCGCCTCCGATTAGCCTGCAAGGCTCCGTCAAAGCCGTTATCATTGGACAGGCATTGCAGCGAAGTATGATTACTGGAGAGAAGATTTTCTTTCACGAAGGGGCTATCAAAGATTAAATCTTACTCTCGCCCATTTCCACTCGAAGCCCTCGTTAGATTCATGCGAAAGGTAGATGCAGTTCCCGTCTTCCGAGCAAGAAGGAATCTTTTACTTCATGTTTTCTTTCAAACTTCGATATTGCTTGTTTAATTCTTGTAACTAAAGTATAGTGTACACTTAGTTAAATAGAAAGCAATTACTGGCACGATAAAAATGCCGAGCGGCATGACAATCTTAATACAATTCGCTTCGCTTCCTCCCTTTCTCTCAAAATCTGAATCTGACGACCATAGAAAAAGAGTAACCAGCGACACTTTAGCTAACACTCTTTTGGAAGGTCTTTTGAAGGGTCCTCTGAGTTGTAATCAATGAACTTGTTCAAAAAGTTAGTTGAGGAATACCACAGAGAGTAGAGCGAGAGCCATCCTAATTAGGCCTAGTTTGTCGTGCGAGCTGACTTTGAGTCGTGCCAGTAACAAGAACCATGAAATATTGACATATTACCTTATTGTCAGAGATGTGAGACCGGTCACTAGGGAGGCTGAACCAGTCTAGAATGACCGAGAAGTCGGAACCTTAAATTCGGAGTTCGATCTCCGACGGGAGATGACGTCATTATCACTCCTATGTCACTCCTCTCGGTATTGTCTCCTTTTGCCAGTTGGGACAGAGTTACCACAGAGTCCTATAGCAGATCTGGTGTACAATTTGATTTTTTCCCCATAATCTCATTTCGATCTGAACGGAATATGATCTCCAGCCACCACCAGTGGTAGTGAGAGACGGATATGTGAAGGGAAGGGTGGAGATAAACGCCGTTTGTAGGATCGTTGGGGGTCAATGAAGATAGATCATCATCTTTCCAAGGCTAGAAGGTCATAAATGTAGTCAATACGCCTGAATTTGTGCGAAAATTTAATGACAAATAGATTTGCGTTTATATCACGGCCTATGAACTCCATAACACTGTGGCATTTCGGGGAGGCAATACCCTATTAAATCTTATATGCTAATTAGTGTTAGGACATCATACATCCTCGAAATTCAATGGGCCTATGGGCTCAGCAGAATTATGGTCACGGGCCAAGTATCTCCTTGTGGAGGGTGTGATTGTCAGAGGTCTGTCAAATTAACATGGCAGAGTTTGCGATTTGCGATTTATATATCCGCTGAACTCTTGAATAGAAATGTTTTAATTGCAAGGAGATCCCATTTGCAATAAGTAATCAGCAGGTATGTTGGATAGCAATGCGTTATTATAACCAACCATGGTCGAGAAACGTATTTGAATGGAAGAATTGAACCAAAATCTCAAAATTTCAAAACACAGAAATATCAGGACATTTATTCTAAGGACCCAGTTGTATGTATCCCTCTAATACCAACATCCTTCAGAGGTATATTCAACCCAACAGGGAAGAGCCATCACCATCTCACAAGCTTGGTTGGGAAATATTCATCGATGAGTTCAAGGTAATAGGGCTAGGCTCACATTAGCATATCATATCAGTAGGGAGCTATGTAGTTATTGATAGTCTTACCTTCAGTTCTTCAACGTTTGGCACTTCGTCGCTCTTGGAGTACAGATCATAGGGATTAAAAGCACGCACGGCCTCAAGCATCAGTTTATCGTGCTCGTTCATAAGCTCCTCATATGCACCCTCGCGGTGCCAGGGATAGAACGAGTGGTACCGAATCATTGCGAGCCCTTCATCTGGGATTGTCGACTGATCCTTGACAATGTGATAAAGGTATTCATCGTGTCCCCAAGACAGCATGACGTTCTCCAGTCCACAGCCAGGAGAGTAGATGCCAAACTTGGTACTATAGACTGGATGCTGGAAATCCTCATTCTTCTTGAAAGACTCATTCCCGAAGATAATTTTATCGTCGAATGCACAGCCAACGGGGAATGTGTCTCCTACAACATCCCATTGGCCTTGAGCATCAAAGAAGAAAAGTAGCTTGCCAAGATCATGAATCAAGCCGACAAGCTGCATCCAGCGGGGCTTGCCATCTTTGCGAATAGCTTCGGCAGATTGGAGGAGGTGTGTCATCTGAGACTCCTGTGTGTCGGGATCGCATTCGTCAATGAAGGTGTTGAGTTTCTCCATTGCTTCCCAAATAGACATATGTGCGCGGGTCTTTGCATGGAAGTCGTTACGAGCCTTCAAATTGAAAGCAACCGTCTGCAGGGTATGCTGCTGAGAATAGAAATTCTTGACCCGGTCACAAGCATCGTTGAATTGGCGGAAGGTTGTTTTGTCCTTGTCTTTGTCAAACTCGCACTCGTCGTAGAGACTCTTTGCAGCATTCTTTGCATTTGCCTTGAGGACATTGACGGCGTCGATCTTGTCCGAGGTGGCTTCGATGTTTGTCGAGGCAGGCTGAACGGCGACAGCAACCATCTTGAAAACACTTAGTCGACCAAATGAATACGAAAAGAAAACTGATATCCGGGGGGATGTTGGTTTGAGGATTAGATCGAACACGGGTCTGAATTTATAATATTCAACATCCAACATTAGAAGGCGATAGGACGGAAAATACTTTCCAGCAATGCTGATTCCAAAGAAGGACTCTAAGTCACCTTCAAATTACAGGGCTTCCGAGAGACAGCAACGGTATAGGTCTGGCGATGTGCCTATACTTTTCGTGGCTACGGAGAAAAGTCTCCGGGGAATGACTTCATGCAAGTACGGCGGAAAATATGCACGCACGATTACCAGTGGAAGCCGCTGTTGGAGCGAGCAGTAAAATATTTCATAATATTTCATAATGAAAGACAGAGGAGAATCTGAGATTGAAGTTCTTAATTCTACTTATCATGCTTATTGCCATGACTTGGAAACCCAGAGTTCTGCGGCGCAGCTATTTCGGACCTTCAGATGTGAAGCTGATGGCGACCAGCTCATGTCTCTCGGTGCACTTCCATAGTTCACGCATATCTTTCCAAACCGACCTCTCAAACCTTGATTTCTTGGTTTCATGTCTTCGCCACATGGCCCAGGAGCGACATGGTCAGCAGACACAGTAGCGTCGGCTTCATCTCCCGCTGGGAGGACGGAAACCAAACTCCGCATTTTCTCCTGGGTATATATTGCGTGAATTCATATCAAACACTAACCACAAATATTTCTGAATTTCGTTGATCCTCTTGGCCCAACCCTAAGTCATGCTATCAAATAATTTAGCAATTGCCAGTCTATCCCTGGGCCAAAACCCTTCTCATTCCCTCGATCACAAAATTCGGGCCACTGCCGAAGCCGGATACAAAGGCATTGAAATTGTCTATTTTGAGCTGGAGACATTCTCTCACTCGCAAAAATTGACAATTTTTGAAGGAGCCGATAAAATTCGTGCGCTATGTCGAGCGCTACACTTGGAGATCCTTGCTTTGGCACCTTTCGAAAACTATGAAGGGGACCGATCTCCCCTTGGCGACAGGCTACGCAAAGCCACCCATTGGATTGACGTTACCCGAGCCCTGCGCGCCACATATTTGCAAATTCCATCCAATTACAACCCAGACGCCATCGGCGACAAGGATGTGGTTATTAGTGAACTACAACAGTTAGCTGATATCGGAAGCGCCAAACAGCCGATAATTTCCATTGCATTCGAGTATTTGTCCTGGGGAACACACTGCTCTACATGGGAGACGGCTCTTCAATATGTCAACGATGTCGGTCGAGAAAATTTTGGCCTGTGCCTGGACACCTTTCACGAAGCCACGAAGCTATGGGGTGACCTTTTTTCCCCATCGGGCCAATTCCCTGACTCGGATAAAACACTCCGAAAATCGCTGGACTCCTTTATTGAAGAGCTGCCGGTCGAAAAGATATTCTTTCTACAACTATCCGATGGCGAAAGGTTCGACCCACCCTTCTCTGAAGATCACCCATGGTATGTCAAAGGGGAGTCACCGCAATTTACATGGTCCAAGCATGCACGACCTTTTCCCTTTGAGAGTGATCTCGGTGCCTATTTACCTGTTGCCGAGATTGCCAAGGCCTGGATCTTGGACAAAGGTTTCAAAGGCTGGGTATCGCTTGAGATATTTGACCGACGCATGCGGGATGGAAGCAGTCGACCGGAAGATGCTGCAATGAGGGGAATAAAGTCATGGAGGACCCTTGAACAAAAGCTTGTGCCTGAATTGGGGAGCACACAGTGACAGGAGGTGAAAATGATATGGCACAACAGTAATTACTAGTCCTGTGGTTTTTTCAATTCATGTATATACCGAACACTTGAAATTATTCTTACTCACTTCATCTTAACTGAACCAAAGAGACGATTATACAAAACATTGGAGAATTCAGCCGGCGATCTCGCAAATCTGTCATGCAAGGTCCAGTAACATTACTATCAAGACAAGGTGAAGCTACAACTCAACCTTTCTCTTCAATAGCTAGCGCCATAAATCATGTCTAATTTGCCATTATACTATAGTTAGTTAGCTTTTGTAACGCTAGTCATGTGTCATTCGAGTTTGGCTTCTAGATCTCGACCACGGGGAATTATGGCGGTCTCGTTCGAGATGAGGCTCTGTGGGAAAAGGAAATAGTCATCTTTCTCTATTATGGCAGTTCCAATAGAATAGGTCAAATACAGGCTCAGTATCGTTGTTTATAAGCAGACAGACTCGGTTTGACAGGCCATGAACGGTAGGAAGCCGTCGTAGGCCAACCATGTGATTTATAATGTGACTTCTGTACAACGTATCAATCTTGTATTAATTGTTATAGTGTGCTGAGTGTCAAGCTTAGTTATTCCAACCAGGAAAACAGAACTTCGTAGAACGCCTTCGGATCCTGGAGGAAGGGTGCATGGCCGAGACCAGGGAACATGTGGAATGTGCAGTCGGGGATCATAGCCGCAGCCGCAGGACCGAGTACATCATAATGTCCGAGTTTCGCAGCAACGGTAGCAGAGGACCATGCCTTTCCAAGGGCCGTCACGTCGTTCTGTCCTACCATGAGATAGGTACGTGTCTTCAGGAGCGGCAGCTGGTAGATTATAGGCTGGCTGAGTAGAGCGTCGGTAACCAGGGCCATCACGTACGCATACTGTGAGCCATAGTCGCCAGCGTAAATATTGGCTAGCATTGAAACCCAGGTATCATACTCAGGCTTCCAGGTGGCATTGTAGAAGTAACTGGCCTGCTCATATGCCTTGAGGCTGGCAAAATTCTGCACAACCTGAGTCTCGTATGTCTCGTCGATTGGCAAAAAGGGTACACCCTTAGCGACCCAGTCCTCCAATCCCAAGGGATCAACAAGGATAAGCTGGTCGACGGCGTTGGGGTACATGAGACCGTAGCGGGCAGCGATCATGCCACCCATTGAATGGCCGATGACGGTGGCTTGTTCGATGCCAAGCGCAGTGAGTAGGCTGTTGATGTTCAACGCCTGTTGTTGTACGTTGTAAGAATAGCCTTGGGGTTTGCTCGATTTGCAGAAGCCAATGTCGTCGGGCAAGATCACTCGATATCCAGCAGCCGAAAGTTGTCGCGCCGTGTCGGACCAAGTAGCGCCGCAGAAATTTCCGCCATGGAGCAGGACTGCTGTCTTATTCTTGTCATTGTTCCTTGCCGGTACGTCCATGAATGCCATTGTAAGTTTCTGACGCTGGTTGTAGAATTTAAACAACTTCACCGGCCACGGGTAGGTGTAGTTTGACCCGTATAGGTCGGCAGGTACACGGCCATCGTAGATTGTGCCAATCGGGTCGGGGCTAGACTGCGCAGAAACAAGAGCCGTGCAGGACAGGATCGCGGAGAAGGCGCTGAGGACAGAGGTGATCTTCATCATGTGATAGCTGCTGGCCAAGAGACCAGGGGAGCTTCTGGAGTGGCTGGTTTTCAAAGAGCACGAGGAGCTCTTTCACCCCCTTGCGCGATGTAAGCTTATATGTACCCAGCCTGTAAAGCTGGACCCACCCACGTTGTACTCCTCAATCCCATTATACCTATTTAGCACTAGTATGGTTGTCTCGAAATTACACTCGCAAACACTTGGCATTACAGATGGAGTGGACATAAAATATCAACCTTATTAACCACATGATAAACTGCTTCTTGAGTAAATTCAATGCATAGTGATACTGTGTTTGACAAGTCAATGCAGTACAGATTGTTTCTTTGTAGTTGTGAGCTTTGTAAGCTGCTTTTGTGTAGGTAAAGTTGTAAATACCAATTTGGTTTTAGTGTAAAAGCAAAGCGACCTGGTGGGCCCCTCCCAACAAGTCAAGGCAAGATATCACCAGAGCCAAGGGAAATATATTGCATATATTAATAATGTTCTGTGTTGCTGACTGCCTAGGGCCATATGATACAGCCTTGTCTACACGTTTCGTGGCTTGGGCCCTGATCCGGGTTTTTTAATCAAAGGTCAATGCAACTTCACTAGCACGTACTCGGAGTGGTTTCCCGCTAAGACCAATTCGCTTGCTAGTCAGGTACCAGAACCGGCTTTTAATATTTTGACTAGAGCCTTCGCCGAACTCAAATCTCCATTTTTTTAAACAAGAGATTTGAATATGGATGAATCATTAATCCTATTCGAGGAATTAGGGGCACTGTTATCCGACCCAATGGTGGAGGGAGAGAATGTCGCGGAGTCCGAAATTCCCTTGTCAGCATTGGTTTGCTCCACTGTTGGTAAGCCATGTATATTATTACGGCAGTGTGCCTGCATATGAAGAGTGAAGAGGAATTGGAGTTATGTTACTCCCAATGTGGTCCTGAAATGATAAAGACCTCCGCAATTTGCGATGTCGCCAAACACTCCAGGCCCGAGCAGGGCTTTGGAGATCCAAGTACCATGTATCGTCTTCTTGATCATCACACCGGCTTTCGTGGCGATTCGGCTTTGGTCCCGATTCATTTCGAAGTCGGGCCTGGGCTGGGACGATTGGACTATTCTAGCATCTACCGTGAGATTTTCTATCCGACATGAGACCACACCATGCAGACCTGACACTCTAAACAACAGATGTTCGCGATTATTGTCATGGCATTCATGCTCGCGTCCTGTACTTACGGTTTTGGACAACACATCAAAAATCTCACAAGACCTAATCGACTAATGACCTTGAAGGTACCTTGAAATTTGTCTTCGCATTTTTGCGGCTTCGTATTTCTAGCTATGTGGACTGTAATGGGATACTGACTTCGCTTCTACCAGCTCTTTTTCGTCAGTCAAGCTTTTTATAAGCTCACCATGAACACCACCAAAATGTCTATACTCATGCTATACCTCCGGATTTTCATCCAGCGCTGGTTCCGCATTACCTGTTACGTGCTCTTGGTTATTATTGCCTCTTATATGGTGGCCGCCTTCTTTGCATCTGTATTCCAATGCACTCCAGTGACACGAGCCTGGGACAAAACTATCGCAGGATCATGCATTGACATCACCACCAATTGGTACGCCAACGCCGGCTTTTCCATCGCGACCGACATCATCATATTGGCGCTGCCGATGTATCCGATATACAAATCGAAAATACCGCTGAAACGGAAAGTCGCTCTGATGATTGTGTTTGCCCTCGGCGTCTTGTGAGCTTCAAACCTCGTGGTGCTTCGGTGAAGCGATCAACTCAGAACTGACCTAAAGCCTTCAAGTGTCGCCGTTACGAGCATCATCCGGATGCAGACTCTCAACTTTTCGTCCACCAGTCCCGATACTACCTGTAAGTATTCACATGGCTTCTTAGGGTCGCCTTTCTCCACGGACTTATAGGCTCTCTTTCTAGACGATATTGCCTCCTCAGTATGGACGATAACCGAGGAAAATGTCGCGATAATTTGCGCCTGTCTACCAATGATGTGGGCGCCGCTTGCCAGGCTCTTTCCCTCCGTCTTTTCGACAAGTAAAGCAGCCGATAGCCATGTTAGCTTGGCTGTCAGAAGCTCAGGTCATAACAGCACCTCTCGGCCCCGAAGTGATTGGACCCAGCTTCATGGGAGCTCCCATGACATAGGCGAGAGCGGCATTAATCAAATCAGCGATTCCCAAAATCGCTCCTCGGAGGATAGCATGGGCCAAATCCTTCCACCTGCTCAGAGCAGCGAAGTTCGACATCAAGATGCAAACCGCATCCAAAAGGTCATGGAGTATCAAGTTTCGTATTCCAGCACAAAATCGCCTTCAGGTTAGAATAAAAAAAAGCCTCTAAAAACCCCGAGGCAAACTTTGTGAATTGAGGGTTCGACCCAAATATTTAGCGTCATTATTACTTCCATGAATTATAATTCACTTAGCGTTTGATATGCACAAAATAAGTATGAGACACTTGTAAGTGCGGTTTATTAAAATGTCGAGGAAGCTTGAATTTTTATGAGCGTTCTTCTGTAAGAACTCCAACGTCAGGAGCAAGACACTCGACTTTTGTGATTGCGATGCGTTGTTATTCAAACACCAGATGTTTTTCTAGATATACATCCTATATTCACGCCTTCAAGTATTTGAGGTGTGCATGCCTCATTGATCTTTCGCGCATCGTGCTCCCATGTGGCGAGACTGCCCCGCATTATCGTTATCTCGCCCGAATAAATAGAGTTTACGTTGCATCGGAATGAATCCGGAGTAAGTTTTGCTGTCTGATTAGGACAATAATAAAAGTCGATTCAAAGCTCTAAGGGTTTCATACTTTCGCATTTCTCGCAAAAAAGAGTAGCAAGTAATTCAATAGTAGATATAGCTCACAGTGACATACAATAAGAAAGTCTTAGTATAATTTATTAGCGGAAAAGTCCCGGGTTCTTTGCAGCAGGTCAAACAAGCTTAAGTTTCAGCGAATTCTAATCTAATCTGGTACTTGCTTCTCATGCCCCCAACTTTGCCGCGGAAAACGTCCCGTTAGCCTAGCATCTCATTGGAGACATCTCTATTCTAACGCGGAGTACACTATGAAGTGGAGAAAGTAGCTGTGCATTCTATGTACCCATGATAATTGTATCTAACCTTGATGAAAGTGCTGGAGTGAATGAATTCCGATTTCATTCCGGATTTTAAGAAGATCTGCATGGATATAGCCTATTTAGGTTAGACTATTTTAGACTTCTAAACAATTTGTGGCTGAACGAGCATTGTTGGCCCCACCACGGGGGCTAATCTCGGAGTTCGACTCGGCGTTCAAGTGGAGTAAATCTATGAACGTTGAGCCTTCAAGCACCATGCAGGCCTACTAGCTCGCTTGTAACTGCCTGAACTCCACGATAGCTTTACACAACTTCTCTTTTGCTTCTTCTCTTTCTCTTCTCACCATTCCTCTTCCCCGCTTCTCATACATTCGCATTAAAGAGAACAGGTTGAGTCTCTCAGCCAAGAGTCCCTTTCAAGATGCTGAACCATACTACTCCAGCGACTCAACAACGCAACGCCACCTCTGAACCATCATTTCAATCATTCCGCAATGTCTCCGCGTGTAATCGTTGCCGTCTGCGCAAACATCGCTGTGACCAGCGCCTCCCGCGCTGCGAACCTTGCGAGAAAGCAGGAACACGCTGCGTGGGCTACGATCCACTCACCAAGCGAGAGGTCCCACGGAGCTATGTATGCTTCCTCGAGAGCCAGGTCAAATATCTCAAGCAGATTTTGATTGATCATGGTATCGAATTCAAATGTGCTATGCCCTTCGATGAGAAGGAACCATCGCGGACAGACGCCGTGAAGCACACGTTACCGCGAAGAGATGAATTTCCATCCGAGAGAGCTGGAATAGACGCTAGGATTGAGCAGAGAACCGAGAACCCCTCGCTCAAGAGAAAGCTCAGTTCCCCCGCCGATAACATTCTGCCCCCACGACAATTGAAGCGCGTCTTGCAGCTAAACTTGATTCTCAAGGACCTGCTCACCGACAGCTATGCATCTTACCACTGCGACAAGGAGCATGTGCAGCCACCTCCACAGAAGCCTGTCTCCACGCGAGCCGTGCAGGGTATCTCCATCCCACACGAGCCGTGGTCCACGCCAGAGCTAAGTGATGGCCACGCGAGTTCCGATTCGAGTTCTGGGTCTCCTGAATCACTACTGCACTTTGACGACGCGCCTTCGGTCCAGGATACTCCCGCTCTTAGCGACGACTTGCAATTCAAAGGGCCGTCTACACCGGAGAGCTATTGTACGGCTGATCTTAATACAATGAATATCAATACGGATGCCCTTGGGTCGAGGCCACTTATCAACACCAGCTCTCGGGATTTTTCACAGGACGTCTCAGAGAAGCAATTTGCTCCCCTAGAGCCAAAAGAAATGCAAGCTAGTTCTGAGATTGGATTTGATTTCACTTCGGGTCTCGACCAAAAACAGAACACGCAACCCACTTACGACCTTCTGGATGAGTTCCTCATCGGCTGGGATGAAGACCGGCTGGGAATAGACTAAGGCTTCTAAACATGGCACGTCTATTTTCAAATCTTCTTTTCATAAACCATGGATAGGATGTCACCCTTGGGGAAAATCATGCTTGATGCAGACTCGGCGATGACCTTACCAAAATGGCACACCTAGTTCCCTCGAAATGCCGAGGAACGCATTATCTGCCATACAAGCCATCAACATCTCCGGTTAAGGAGCCTATCGGCTACGTGCGGCTATATGCAAGGTGGTGTGAGTACACGCCGCAATGGCAAAACAAGGCTTACCAGTCATAAGTTGATTTTACCCAACTTGAAAGAGGCTCTAAACCATTGATTACTCATGATAATGACCCATATATCCAGTACATATATTGTATATTGCATTCTTATCGAAGCTCTATCATTTTATCATGTCGCATTAGTTAGTGTAACTTCAAACCATCGGCGATTCCGAACTGTGAACTAGGTTGCCTTTTGAGAATTCGTTAAACTTTATAAAGTTTAGCTCATTGCTATTTAAACACGAAGGTTTCCCGTACTATACTAAGGATCCAGTGCGAGGCTACAAGGCTGCATAGTTATGGCTGGTGCATGAGCATGTGATGTCAGCAGGACGTCCACGTAATTTGGTATCTGGGGGCTAAAATGGTCAAGGCTTGCGGAACTCAACGGGGTTCTCGGTTTGCCTCCTTTAATGCAATGACCATTATCAACAGTATCCTGAGTTAACTTAGTTTTAATCTACCATGAGTCCTTTCAAGATAGTGGAGCATACCCTCCCAGGACAACACATCCGCGAACACCCCCACAGTCTCACCGGTCGCCAAGAAGGCGTCGTGCAGCTCGCGATCAAACAATACATTCCCCTCGACCAACCCACTCCAGTCCCCGACAATGCAGTCACCGTCATCGGTGTGCATGGAAATGGTTCTCCCAAGGTGAGTAGCACCCCTCTAGGTTCATCTAGGCCGTTCCGTCCGCTAATCCAAGCAGGAACTGTTTGAGCCGCTCTGGGAGCATTTCTATGATCACCTAAAGAAACGATCGGTGCCACTCCGTGCGATATGGATCGCTGATGTCTCCAACCAGGGGGCAAGCTATGTGCTTAATGAAGAGATCCAGGGAGATACCAGTGAGACCCAGAACGCTCGGTCGCTGCGGCTTTTTTCTAACCACGACTAGCTAATTGGTATGACCACTCTCGCGACCTCCTACATATGGTCAACCACTTCCGCGATGAGATGCCACGACCGATAATTGGTGTTGGCCATAGCATGGGCTGTGCTCAACTGTTCGTAGCTTACTCCCCCTCAACCTGGATCAGAAGTTAACTAAGATTTCATAGTGTCCAGCTTGCCATCATCCACCCACGGCTACTTTCAACCCTAGTGCTCTACGAGCCGGTCATCTTCGACGATAGTATCCGTCCAACGGTCAATCCTGCCAAATTTGTCGCAAATAGACCTGATCTCTGGGAGTCACGAGACACAGCGGAATCCGCCCTACGCAAGAGCTTACGAAAATGGGACCCCCGAGTCGTCGACCGTTATCTACAGTTTGGAATACGATCCGTCCCAACACGGCTGTACAACAAAGAAAGTGACCCTAATCTGCCTGACTTGGCAATGACTCTAACGACGACCCGGCACCAAGAGTCTTGGAGCTACACTCTTCCTAACCTAGAGCCCGAATCGGCCGGGCTGGATCGACTACTACTGGCCGATTGGGATCCCAAGACAGAGCGAAATCTCAGTTTTGGCCGGCCAGAGTGTTGGTCATCCATGCGCAATCTACCTTTTCTCCGTCCCAGCGTGCTATGGGTCTTCGGTGGTCGCAGCTATCTCTCGCCACCGGAGTCGCAGGATTCCAAAGTCCGTTCAACCGGCACAGGTGTCGGGGGAAGCGGCGGTGCCGATCAAGGTATGGTGAAGAAGGTGGTTTTTGAAAAAGCTTCGCACACCTTGGTGTTTGAGCAGATTGATCAAAGCGCCGAAGCGGCTGCCGAATGGGTGCAGGGTTGGTTGCAGGGCTGGCTTGCGGATGAGAAGCTCCTGGCTGGATATCAGAGTAAAAGGTCTGAGCCAGGGATGGTCAAGGCCTCGGAGGGTAGCTTGCGAGCAACTAGGATGCCACCATTGTCTGAGCGACCCAAGGGGAAGTTGTAGCTTCCCATCATGTACACATTCAACACTAAACACCCAGATCAACAATTTATGATATCATGACGGGAATAGCAACGAGCAAATACTTTTTGCCTTTCCAGAATACAATACTTTTCGGAGTACCCAAGCCACAGACCCCACCCCTCGATACAAATCTCATTCAAAATCGCTTTTGAGTTCCTACGGAGGGGTTCGTTTGAAATGTCTGGGGATCGCCCAGGAAGTTAAAGTTGAAAAAAAGCTCCACTAACAACCAAACTCTACCTATTTCTCAGACTTTTAAACTCCTCCAACTCGAGATTAACTTTAGGCACATCTTTCTGAAAACTACGATCGGTTATTCTTTTGTTGAACAACCCCCTTGTCAGCCCACCGATTCTCTCGAGGGGCTCGGTGCACGGCCGAGAAGCAACCTTGGCTCGGTATTTTAGCCTCGAGCTTATTTGGCCATGACCACTTAGACCACCACCCACATACCCCCAAGTCAGCCACGCCATAACCACCACCACCGGAGGGGTCAGACCTGGAGACATGCATTGCTGACGCCCCTCTAACGGTTAGCCTCAAACAGAAGAACGCTGCCAATTCCGATCGTGATAGGACCGCCAGGCCCCGAGATACGTTTGCCATGGCGTACCCGCACATTGAATCTCCCGTCCCACTCGACGAGACAAGCGCGTCTCTCAGAGGTTCCCGTTTGAGGCTTGGGGTCAGCTTGGCGACCGGTTCATTGGCTCGCTTCGGTAGGCTTTTCAGACACTTGTGATTCCAGGGTCCAATTCCGTCAAGGGCGGAGACTGCACCCTTTGTCCCGGTGTGCTATTAATATGCCTACATCCTTCTCAAGCCCCTCCTGCTCATTTTCGCAGACGTTGCGTTGGTGGGACGAACGGGCCGACCTGACCAAGCTAGAGGGAGGTTTCTCAATAGCGAGTACGTACGTCAGACCTTTGTCGCCGGCTGGATTGCTGCGGTGTCATCAGCGCGGAGACTTGGGGTGCTGGTAAGCCGAGCCGCACACTTTCCGTGGATCTCACTCCAGGCTCTCACGGGGAGTGTGATCGGTGGCTCTCACAGATAAGAAGGCGCCTCCTGGCGGAGAATGACCACCGCACACGACTAAAGTCATACCTATCAACGACCAGAATCCGACCCGGGAAACCTGCCCAAGAGCCAGCGCATCGATCTGGGGATGTGCATCATACTGTCCATAAGCAAATCCTCAACATGGTGGGCGTTCCAAAGAGCAAAGGATGCCAGACATGTCTCCAGCGACGGGTGAAGGTAAGCATTATCTCATACCCTGGGGAAATCAGAACATCTATTCTAACTGCCACCCCGCTATAGTGCGATCTACTACGCCCAGAATGCACTCAGTGCACGCGATACGGCGTCGACTGCCCCGGCTACACCCGTCCTCATAAATTCATGGACGAAGGCCCACAACTGCGCCAACGATTCAAGAAGAAACAATCCCAGTCTACGGCTACCCCTACCCAGCCCTCCGAGTCCATCGATGAGCGCATCATACCATCCCTCGTAGCACAATCAATGGGCAAACAACAACCCGTGGTCTTCGGCTCCTTCGTCCTCACAGCCTTCACGCGCTGGTTCGGACTGAATCGATACCGAGTCCATATGCCCTGGACGGCATACATCGCACAGCATGGGGGTCAAAGTCCCGCCTTCGACGCAGCCATCTTCTGCGTCAATGCAATCTTCATGGGTCAGAAACATAGCAATACCATGCTGCGGCGCTCAAGTCGCGAAGTATACAGCAACGCGCTACGTTTGTTCGGTGGTCGAATTCGCAACGCAGAGGCGATGAAATCCACCGAAAGTGTGAGCATTACCATTGCACTGAGTCTGTTCGAGGCATACTCACGCACCAATCCGGACTCGTGGGCTCACCACGCAGCCGGAACGGCATTATTAATGGAACATCGCGGTCCAAAGGCCCATCTCGCCGGCTTCGACCGGTGTCTCTACCTCTCCTTCCGGAGCTTCCTCGTCGCAGAAGCCTTTGTCAGAGGCAGACGGTGTATCTTCGAACTACCAGAGTGGCAGGAACACATTGACCAAGTTCGAATAGAGGACATGTCTTCACCACGCGTCGACGGACCTATCGCCCTCTTCATCGATCTACAAGACCGGATATTCAAAGAAGTCGTCAAGGTACCGGGCCTACTAGTCCAAGCGCGCGAGTTGCATACCGCGGATGACCCACCACACACAAGACAACTTCTATCGGCACAGGTTCTGAGAAGCAGTCAGGCACTGTACACTCTATCCGCGCATTTGCGCCTTGCCGCTGCCGTGCAGAGCTATCAGTGGTGTAACGGCAGCGCCGCCAACAAGAAGAAGGTGCCTTTCATCGGACCCATCCCGTCCACATTCCCGCAAGAATTCGCAAATAGCGTGCTCCGTGGCGTTGACCACTGCGTTTACATTCTCCGACTTCTACTTGATCACCTTGAGAGTGATGAAGTCCGGGCAACACATGGCAGGTCAGGTCAAGACGAGGATGTCTCGCTCGCAGACCCGCTACCTTTTCGCTTTGTTTCAAGGTTGAACGTGAACAAAGGGAAGGCAGCAGGATCAGACATGAATGAGGCGGAGGAGAAGATGCCATCTCCGGACAAATGGCTCGATCTTGTCGCTGCATCGATGGGATTAGAAGCATTCGACGTGATCACATGCGCGTCGCCGAGTCCTGATCTTAGTATTTCAGGGCAATTGAGTGATCCGAGCGAGTGGAACACTGCTGTGTCCATACGATGACAGTCCTATCATGGCCTAATATTACCGATGACTGCCTAGCCCAGACCCGCCCTACATCAACAGTGACTACTGAACGAATGATGGCAATGAAATGAAAAAAGATTTGCACGAGCTCATGAAACTAATCGTCGTATCGCCGTAGAAACAAAGGCGGACAGAAGCCGCGCATGCAGAACACCATGTCATGGGCTCGAGAGGGAATCGACAGCGCAACACTGTATACCAATCGAGTAGCCCACGAGAGTCACAGTTTGTGACGAATTCTCATCCCTTGCAACCAATTCAACGTATCAACAAGCAGTGAAACCAGACGCCGCGCAGAATCCACCCAAAAGACCAATGATTTGTACGCCGAAAAACAAAATACCCTAGACAAAAGTTGGTGGAAACCAACAAGAGACGGATCGAAGAAAAACATTAGACTGTCCAAGATGCAGCGGGAAAAAGGGGTATGCATAGAGTTGCCCATTGAGGACAGGGGAGAATCGAAGGTGTCAACCGCAGGAAGACAGTAACGTGCCAGATCGTTGAATAATTAACATCCTGGGCAATTAAGCAGCAGTGCGAGTGGCCCGGGCTGGGCTAGAGGTGCTGCCAATGCGGCCACTAGGCTTGCGCACTCCTCGCGACTCGCTCTTGTTGCTGTCTGTGACCCGCCGGGGGCTAGACCGAACCTTGCTAACTGAGACGGTTCCACCGGCGCTCTTGCGGCTGGCAGGAGTCTTGGGAGCCCCCGTCTCGACCCAGTTCTCGCGGTCCTCATGAATATCGTCGGTGAGGGTGTAGCTGGCTGTGACAGTGGCCGAGTAGCTAATCGATCGCGAGGTGGTTGTGGCGACAGGAGACCGCGAGGACCGCTTTGCCAGCATCCGGAGTTGGATTTCCTCATCGCTCTCACTGCTCTCGTTGCTTAGACGATGGCCACGAGGAGTTCGCGAGTCCGTCTGCTTGTGGCTCTCGTGCTCTACAGTCAATGAACCGGAAGTTGTGCGGGCGTAAGGGTGGTGCCGAGAATCCTTGCGGTGTGACTTTCGTGGCTGTCCTGGGGTTGGGGCAGGGAGATTTTCTTCGTGGTGGGTGGCAGCACCCTCATTGTGATCAATTTCGCCAAGCGCGGCGCGCTTCGAGTGGCTGTTGTTCGGAGGAGTAGAGACCACACCGTTGCTTCCACGCTTCTTGACAGAGACCCGAGCAGGAGTGACGGGGGCAGCTTGGGCCAACTTCTCGCGCATGCTGTCCTCGAACCACCATTCCCGGAAGGAACCTTGGTTGAGGTGCAGCCAGTGCTGCTGCGGGCCGACGACCATACCAGGGCGCATGAACCGCATGAAGGCAATGACCTCATTGGCAGTAAATCCATAGCGATAGATCAGATAAGCACCGATCAAACATCCCGTACGACCCAGACCAGCCTTGCAGTGGACTGCAATGCCCTTGTTCTTGACATTGATCATGTCGTGTGCCAGCTTGATAAACCTCCGAACGAGTGTAAGAGGGGGGCATGTGCCATCCTCGAAGATCATGTCGATGTGCTGGATGCCTAGGGCGGTGAAATACGATGGGCTGTACAGCTCAGAGTTCAAGCGAACGACGAGACCAATATTGCGGGAGGTGAAGTGGACAAGAACGTTTTTGAATGGGAGAGGAAGCTTGGAAGAGCAAATCTCGGAGATGGAGGAGGGGAGGGCGTCGTATTCGGGGGTGTTCATGGGAACCGGCGCAACGGGTTGGTGTTGAGGAGAGGCGAAAGCGAGGAAGTTGGGAGTAACCCAGTTGAAGTCACCCATGTCGACTCGTTCAAACTTCTCATATCTGCATTTCACAGTCAGCACCAAGAATGTTGAGTTCGAAAATAAACAAACGGTCAAATCATACTCTTCAAGGTTGAAGTCGCGGAGTCCACACAGACCCTGCTCCTTGGCCTTCCAAACACCATACACAACATCCTGGATGTTCAGGATAAAGTCTGCCTGGCTGTACCCGGCATCGCGGAAGGGCATGTAAGGGGGGTCGGCCTGCGCAATTGGGGCCAGGGCCAAGTGGGGTGGCCAGGACTGGATGAGGACCATGTAGCAAGCCACGAGGCAGGCTGCGTTTGCGCGGCTGCGTGCATCCGTCTTACTGTAGAAGACGACGGGGCGATCACTGTTGGCGGGGTCGCCGAGGATCTCGTGGAAAAGGACTGCGAAACGGTACAGGTGACCGATGTGGAGGGGGCCAAAGTCCGCATGGAACGCATTGTAGAGAAGAGTATCGTCAACGGTGAAGTAGACGGGAGATCGGCGCTTGGTCGTCGGGGTAGTGGGTTGAGCCCGCGCAGCCCGCTTGCTGGGAGACTTGGGCTGCTCGAGCGGATAAGGGAATGGAGTTCGCGAGGATGGAGTCGAGTCATAAGAAGCCAGGTAGAGGCGATCTGCGTTATTGTTTGTTGTTAGATCCCAAAAATTGCTCCAACTTTGGTACCGCAGCGGGAGGCTGATGCGATGCACGAACCTTGGATGTACTCGATCATCTGGCCTGCATGGCCAGCGTCAATGGTCATGATGTCGGTTTGTAGCAGATCGCGAGACTACTCGAGTGATGAGAGAGAATAGACAGAGTGCGCAAACCACCGCAGCTCTAGAATAGCGTGATCAAGTGTGTGATGGCGGGCCGAATCAATTGTCCGACAGCAAGTCACAGTAAATCAATGATGGCAATGGAGTTCAGAAGCTCATGATCCGATTGATCCAACGTCCACAGTTCAGCAGAAAGAAGAACGAAGAAGATAATGATAGTCCGTGTAAGAGATGCACTGTACAGGACAATGTGCTAGGTAAGAGGGGAAGTTGGAGAATCAACAGAGGTGGGAGGAGAAGAATAATCTCATGGCGTTGGGGCAGCTGCCATGCCACGCTAAGCCGATGTTATGTTGTGCCTTGCCTGATTGGGACTAGTGCCCTGCGTTGACTCGACAACCGCTCTTTGCCTCAGGCATCAACAACGTTCTGGATTATGTCATCGCCATTGTCCCCAAACAATCAAAACAATCAAACATTAAACATCAAAACATCAAAACAAAGTGATAGATCCATGGATCTAGAGCCCTGTTTGTTTGGTTTGGTTTAGTGGCGAATCCCCTCGATTTGCCAGAGACGGGCCTAGCAACCAGCCAATGCAACAAGGCGACCACACATTTTTGTTTCAATAGTTTTTCTTCCTTCTTCATCAGCTTGCTAGCCTAATCATCTCACTGCTCTCATGGTCAGTCTCCAATTAACACGCTAGATGCCTGAAATGGGCAGCCCTTGTGCTTCCAAAGCATTCCAGATGACCACGACTCCAGTAAGGCAAATACCTGGCAATTTCTTAGCTATGCTTGTCCTCGCACTCAATTTGTCTTGGTCTCGGGGATCAGTGTGGATTTCCGAAGGTCTTGTATACCGCCATAACTCTGGTCACTGCAGACTATGAAGTTATGAAGGTCCCTCAAAGAATTGGCCATTCTTAATACTCTACCACCTGAAGAACCGAGCGTCATTTTCTAAGCGACCTCAAAAGCATAGACTTGTACTATTGCCATCGAAGCCCCTTGGCAAGCTACTTTGAGATCAGACAGCAGGCTGGTCCCTTTTCATCTGAGCGCCATATTTGTATAGCTGCTCCTAGTTTGTTGCCACACGCACTGCTAACATGATGCAATTCGAAATAAGTTTGTCACCTAGATGGCTCTTGATTCCAAGTATTCAGATACTGCACTAGGTAGGCATTTTAGGAGTTGATTCCAAGTGGAAGTGTTTCGTGGAATTGTCGAGATGGATGAAAATTGAGCAAGGTATATATTTCTACAACTTGACGCTACTTTGATGCCTCTCTTGGTACCTGGGCAGGCAAACTGTCGTGCCCAGTTTGGTCTCGATCCGGAGAAAAAGATGGACCAACCTTCTGGCACTACGCTACACTTTCACCCGTGGCACAGGAACCTAACTGTAGGAATCGACATCCAGCTAAAATCCGGTGGTACTGATTCCATAGATCGTATCAGTCAGGCCCGTTGAGTTGAGGTCACTACGTCCGAAGCCTCGCAGCGGGATTTGCGGTTGGCCTCCTTCGACGCAAGGACATAAACGGTCGGGTCTATTCTGAAAGTTCACGGGGAAATTACTCTTGTCCCTCTTTCTTGACAGTCTTCCAAAAAAGAGTTGGTGATTGACAAACTGCCATGAACGCTATTCGCCGAGGCTCCGCCGCAAGCGCAGCCCTTGCCGACGCCTCTGGGGTTCGACAGGCCATGTATCACATCGCGCGACACCCCTAGCATAAGAGATGAACTGGTTGCTGAACCACCGCAAACCTTCTCCACGGTGTGACGACTACACTTTATAGCTAACGATGTTTAGAAAACATGAAGGAAATCGCAGCTTCTATGGCCGACGGAGCTCCCCAGGCTTGCTGGGACTCTTCCGACATTGACCTACCTCTACAAGCAGTCCGAGACAAAGCTTGACCAAAAGCGACCTTCAAGCAACATCCTACTTAATAGCCCACCCGCTGAGACAACATTGAACCTTGCTGCAATCCAGTGGAACTGTGACCGATGGCGAGCGAAAGGCTTTCTATAACTTTGGACTGTCAATTGGAGCCCTATGTGAAACATCCCTAGTTACCACTGCACTTCGATCCACTAGACCACCGCCGCGGCAGACCGGATCACAGCTTTTTACTTGTCGATCGTGATTATTCGCAACCTACAATTAAACGCACGCGAAATGAAAGCCATTGAGCGAGCCATAGGGCCCCTGATGATCTTGGTGCCGTGCATGCGAGGAGTCCTGGACCGCAGCATGTGTAAGCTCATAATAACAATGTCAATAGAGTGTATATAAGATCGTCTCAACCTCGTTCTCGAGTGACCTTTGATCCTCTACTCAGCTCTCTCATTCTCTACAGTCGCTCCTTTCGGACCTCCTAGCATTTCAGCTGTTTATTATTATCTCACAATCGTCACTCTTTTGACCAAATTTGATCTAAACATAACGCAATAATGAAGTTCACTGGATTCACCCTTTCCCTGGCTTTGACCGGCATGATCTCTGCCGCCGCCATCCCCGGTCTCCCTGGCGCTGATGGCGTAGTTGGTGGTGTCAAGGGTGCCGCAGAGGGTATTGTCACGGACGTTGCTGCTGGCCACCTCAAGCGCCAGCTCGAAGCCGTCCGCCCTGTCACTGAGGGCGTGGCAAGCTCCCTGAACGGAGGCACTGGCATTGTTGGTAGTGCTGTTGGTACCGTCGAGAGCACTGGCCAAGGTGCGGTTGGCACTGTCGAAAGCACCGTTGCTGGTGCCACACACATCAAGCGCCAGTTTGCCGATGGCGACGCTCTTAACCTTCTGACTTATGATGACGGTACTGGCAAGCCAACCCTCAAGAATGTCGACAACGTCGCCGGCCTTAACCTTAAGCGCCAGTTTGAGGTCGTCCAGCCTGTTACCGAAGGCGTTGCTAGCTCGTTGAACGGTGGTACTGGCATTGTTGGTAGTGCTGTTGGTACCGCCGAGAGCACAGGTCAGGGTGCGGTTGGCACTGCTGAAAGCACTGTTGCCGGTGTGGGACATGTCAAGCGCCAGCTCGAGGCCGTTCAGCCTGTTACTGAGGCCGTTGCTGGGTCGCTGAACGGTGGCACTGGGATTGCAGGTAGTGCTGCAGGCACTGTGGAAAGCACTGGCCAGGGTGCGGTTGGCACTGTTGAGAGCACTGTCGCTGGCGTTGGATCTGGTATGTTGCTACCATCCTACCTTCTTCATCTTCATACCTAACCTCAATACAGTTGCTAAGCGCCAGCTCGGTAACCTCCCCGCTACTGCCTCCCAGACTGGCACTGATCTCCTTGCTGGCCTCTCTGGAAGTATGTTGTCTTTTCTTCGGTACACAATGACATTCGCTAACCCGACCCCAGACCCTAGCGGCATCTACGGCGCACTTGCCAACCTCCAGATGCTTATCAAGGCTGGCAAGATCTCTCCCAGTGACATCTCCAATCTCCCAGCTGCTTTCCAGCGCATCGTTGCCAACCTTGCCGTCGCATAAATGCTCATTCATTGATGAATGAACACAACGTGGGACGTTTATACGCATGACATTGTTTGACCGCCAAAATCCTTTGACCGAATTCTTCACTTCTTGTCTTCAATTATTTCAACTCCCAAGAGCTATGCTTGAAGCTCTTATTCTGTTCTTGAAAAACCATTGTACAATACTTTCATGAGTGTGCTCTTATACTTCACCGACTCCCTGTACGATCTTGTAGGGGGATTACTTCTCCGCGAGAAATATTTTACTTGTCATAATACCAATTACAAACATTCACATTTGTCCATTCCAATGCAATCAGTATCCAAAAAGATCACTTTCCACATAATTTCCTGGTCCTCGATCTCCACTTGGTGTTCCCCGGTGTTCCCGAATCCGGTTAGCCGTAATAGGGCTGTGTTTTGAATTACGAGGATTATAAACCTTGTGTGCGGGTGTATCGCGGTATATACCACACTATTACACGTAATTTTGGACATTCGAATCTTTAGATCGCCGCAGTCAGTCTTCCGCACAGCAACAGCCAGCAATATCCACAGTCCAGCGTCATTGAATTTGGATTTGCCCGTGTCACAAACCAAAAGGCATCGATAGTCTTACTTTTACAACCACAATACACCATGGCCACCCAACAATTCTCCGACACCGAGTTCCCATACTCACTGTACGATCCCACCCCGCCTTTTGGCAGACATGTCAAAGAATATCTAGCGCACATTACCAGCAGAACTGCGACACTGACACAGTGAACAGAACCATTTCTCTCCCACTCCCAACCCGCCGTCTCGCATCCTCTGCCCTCCAGACTCTCGAAGTCGACTCCGAGCTCTCGCCACATGTCCGACGCACCTTTACCCTGACGGCCCCCGCCTCGGACAATCCCAGCGAGCCGCAAGAGAAGAAGCAGAAGCAGGACCCGGATGAGTCGAAGACCGTTCTGCAGACAACCTATCGTGCAACCACAAACCGTATGCTTCGAGTCGCGGTGAACGGGTTCATGGAAAGCCTGGGCGTCATCCTAGGCGTCATGGCCGAGCTTGATGTGGACGTTCTCAAGGCGGAAGAGATTGAGGGGTGAATTACTAGGAGGGGGTGACCCCTCATCATCTTCTGTCGCTGGAGAATCCTTCGGACGGGTAAACGATACATACACCCTAGGAGAATAGTTATCTCATCGGCATTGCGGTGGTGGCTGTGCCTGCCTGGGTTTGGCATCGGAACAGTACGAAAATGTACGACATGGACCATGCGATACGCCACACCACAATCCTGGATAACCCGGTAGGGACCAGGATGGACTAAGAGGGGATAACTATTCTCGATGTGTGTCTCGTTTTGGTGAAATCCCCGTCGAGGGCGATGCACACGCACTACTATGTGGGCCGTCGGACCCCGGCAGCTTACAAGGGATGTGTGCTCATTGGACCTGTAGGTGAATAATGGAGGGAATGATGGGAAATCAAGGCGCCATTAACCATCTGATTCTGCCGAGCTTCTTTTACTCGAAAGGGAAATCTGCCCAAAAATCGCGTGGTCCCACGTCATGCAACTAATGTACAATACATTGAATCGCTGGGCTTGTGAAAAAGCCTCCCGAGTGGGCGTGGAGTCGAGACCGTCGAGCTCTTCTAAGCAGAACCCCGTCCACCTATCAAATCCACTTGTTCATGTTCTTCAACGTTCTTTATGCCAAACCGTTCCGAGTATTCCAAATATTTATTCGCTCTAGAAATTATGCACGGCACACTAGCCTAGTTAAGCTTAATAATTCTAGTCGCAACTCGTCGTATAGGGAAGTGGACACAGCCCTAGTGGAATCGACGTCAAAAAAAAGCGAGAGCGAAATCGTAAACCGTAAACGGCTCTGCCAATCAGCACGCTGAACTTCAATCGATCGGCTCGGCGTCAAACTGCAACCGTCGGCCCTTGGAGCATTCCGTGCCTGGACCTCTGATCATTGGTAATGCTTCCAACTCTCCTAACGGGGGGACAAGTTCCCTAGTCTTCTGTGAGGGGACCTCGGCTTGCTCCCTACAAAAGCGGCCATCATGCGCCCTTTGCCTTTATACCGCCAAGCTTCTCTCTTCCTCCGCCCTCAATTCTTTCCGTCTTGCCATCCTCCCCGCAACGGTCACTTCTCTACGTCATCGTGTCATTATCACCACTTCACCTCCAGACGCATCGCTCCCAAGCCTCTCACCTCCTATCCACCCCTCTTCCAATCCAGAACCATGTCCTCCGCAACCACCTTCTTCGATTTCGAGCCCGCCGACAGTACGTACACCTTTGCGCATCCCCTCCCCGCGCCCGCACCCCCGTTCTTTGTTCCCGACCTCGGCCCGTGGCAAGCTCTGAGAAAACGCACCAGCTAACACACTCCATCGCATTCACACAGAAAAGGGCCAGCCATTCCCCCTCGCCTCGCTGAAAGGCAAGGTCGTCCTCGCCGTCAACACCGCCTCCAAGTGCGGCTTCACCCCTCAATTCGAGGGCCTCGAGAAGCTCTACAAGGAGCTCAAGGCCGAGTACCCCGAGGACATTGAAATCCTTGGCTTCCCCTGCAACCAGTTCAAGTCGCAAGACCCGGGCTCCAACGACGAGATCCAGTCCTTCTGCCAGCTCAACTATGGCGTGACCTTCCCCGTGCTCGGCAAGCTGGATGTGAACGGTGACCAGGCTGCGCCGGTCTTCACGTTCATGAAGGAGGCTGTCCCCGGTACCCTCGGCCTTAAGCGTGTCAAGTGGAACTTTGAGAAGTTCTTGATCGCGGCCGATGGTAAGGTTGTTAACCGTTGGTCATCGCTTACCAAGCCCGAGAGTCTGAAGGAGCCTATCGTCCAGGAGATTGAGAAGGCTAAGAAGGCTGGTATTTCGGCTTCTGCCCTGAAGGCTGCTGAGGGTACTGAGCAGGCTAAGCTCTCGTGAGCTTGAGTCTTTGCGCTGTTTTGTCTGTTGTGTTTTTCTCCCTTACTCGCCTTTGTCTTTGTACCTATACTCCGGCGATTTTTACCCCTGTACGAATTACGCACGTCTATGTGCTTGACGATGGAAATTGGATAATCCATAATGCGCGTTAAATTTCTGTTCTGGATTCGCAATCAATGTCCTCGCACTTGATTATCCCGGGTTTGATGGATCCTTTCTCTTTTTCTCGCTTGAAAGCTTTCAACTCGTCGTTCATGCAGCAGCACTCCCCTTGGGGACCAGACCCCGCAGCGACAGATCGTAGACCACATCCTCGACCTTCTTGACCTGTCGACCGATAAGATAACTAGTTAGTTCACCAGAGTCTTATTCCAACACCGAATAATTCCGGGACTGTAAACTCACGCTGTACTTAATGCCGTCGCTCCGCTTCCGCAGAATATCATTCTTCAGGTTAAGCAGCTGGAAACCGGCGAAGAGATCCTTGATAAAGTTACCAATCTGAAGAGGGCGCTCATAGTCACCGAGGGTGACCGAGTTCACGGCCAGACGCGACTGTTCAAATTCAATAGTTATTAGCGATCCAAGCATGCGCAAAAGAAGAGAATGACTACTCACCAGCTCCTCGACCACGGAGATCAAGGCCAACAGATACTCCTCGATGGTGAGGTGGAAGGCATCTTGCTCCTTCAGGTTAACAGGGACTAACGCAAGGAAAGAAAATATATCAGTTTCCGCAGCTCAACACGATTCAATCGACGGATAGCCTAAACGTACTCTCCAGGAATTTGCCAACTTCTTCAATGGTCAGGAACGAAGCTGAGCTCGGGCCCTTGTACTCCTGCAGTCCGCCGAGCCAAGCACACAGCTCGATCGAGGTAACCTAGTACAGCTGTTAGTATCCGATATTCTGAGACGCGGGAGGAGGCATTCGGTGGATTGATACGAACCAGGTTCTGCAACTCGCGGGTCCACAGACCATTGTACTTGTAGAAAGGATGCTGGTCCGCGACAGCCTTCAGCCGGAGGACCTCTTGCTTCTGAGCGAGGATCTCGACGGCAGCATCGTCAAGTACGGGCTTGACTGTGGATCAGAAGTTAGCGCGACTGCGAGCATAGACAATAGATGGACCGCCGCCCCCAGCATGGACCCGGGAACAAGTAGCAGCGACCAAGCGCATCGCCATGATATATAATGGAATCACATACGCTGATCGGCAGGGGTAGAGTGTGCCCTTGAGAGAATAGCCTGTGTAGACCGTCCTGTACAAAGCTGTATCAGCCTCCATTCTTCAACATTTGAATCGCCATTACGAGAACGGGCGACACCCCCGCCACGCGGACAAAGTAGCTCGCAGTTCTCGTGAACGGCCTCAGAAAGCTGGAAATACCCTTTCTAGCGAGAGTCTGGACAATCTCGTGAAGCTCCTATTCGCCGAACGTTAGCGCTGAGCCAGAATTGTGCGGGCGGCCGCTTTTGCTGGAGCTCGGGCTTGGCACGCGCAGAAATCATTTGGAGAGACTAGGCAAGGCGCGGATAGCGGGCACTCACGTCGCGGACGGTGGTCTCCTCGTCGATCTTGGCTTGGAGATCCTCGAAAATACGTTGGTCGATCATTTTGGCGTTGGGTATCAGGAGTGGTGAGAAGTTGGATTTGTGGGAGGTGCGGTAGGTGGTTGTGGTGATGCGTGCTGAGCGAGTTACGTCAAAAATGAAAAGTCAACCAAACCGAATTTGAGGTCGTTAAGATTTAGTAATATTTAAATTTCACTTTTACTTATAAGAATCTTCATCTTCCGAAATTGATGCTTTAAAGAGCCTCATTGTTCAATTGATGGCTGATTGGCGGTGAGGTTGGATCACGTTGCTAGAGCTCTCCAAGCCATCTACAGTACAGGCTACGGGTAAAGGCTACTTCGAGGCCCACGGATTTGCAGAGCTCAATGTGCCCTCTAAACTCCCTATTTGTCTACCGCTTGGTTATGGTAACAGACCCAGCTGTCATTGCGATGCTTATAAGAGGAGGTTTGGGAACTTGGCAGGCGTATCTGGCCGCCACAAAAAGCAATGCTGTATTTGAGAACTCCAGGAACGCATATCTCCAACATTTTATGTTGTCATCATTTCTTTCCCGGCGATTATGGTCATAATATTCATAAAAAGGTGCAGCCGCCACCAAAGTCCGTCGAAATCGCCATCCGTCGGGGGTATGGGTGTCGCACTCAGTACCGGTATCTCGTCGAATAATCTGTATGATGGTCAGTAACTTTTTGATATTGTTTCGCATGGAGCGAACGATCCTACCCTTAGGACTGACGACGAGACCACGGCCCTTCTTCGCGCCCTTATAGATGGTCTCGATGATATCGATCAACTCCTGTTTGTCCTCCAACACCCAATTCAACTTGTTATTGTTACCCGTTCCGAAATCGCACATCATGTGTTTATTACGGTAGAAGAACATGATCGTCATCGTATCGTAGAGCTCGTACATCGAGTTGAAATCGGGGACCTCGTCGATATCGCACAGGTAAATGACGGCGAAGTCTGCGGGGTGGCTTGTGTTAGTAGCTAGCTTTCCTGGCTCGGGCATGAACAACACTCACTCTTCACCCGTTCGGCGATCTTGTAGAGGACTTCATCCTGGCGGATACCTGCGAGGCAACGTTAGTCGTGCGACCACGCGATGGGCGGGGAGAACGGGCTGCTCACAGTCGGGATCGTGATCGCGCCCGAAGCGGATCACGACAAGGCGCTCCTCCTCAGAGAGGATAGCCTGGTCAACATGCCAGGCAGTTCGAAGGTGAGGCAGTACGATCGAACCCATGGTGGCGTGGCGAACTAGATCAGCGAAGCGCAAGTTCGAGAAAATTGGAGAGCTCGGAGCTTATCGTTAGCCCCGCGATAGAGTCGGGTCATGTGACTGGTGTCTTTTCGGGTGTCCAACATCAGGGCTACAACAGCTTTACAGTAGTGGCGATGTCGGGGGTGCAATTGACCATTTGATATGTATTTAATATCATTCGGTCGACATGAAATTTATATTTCGGAGGACCCGTTGAAATAATGCACCGCGTAGAATTAGTGGTTCGACTCACCGTCCATGCACTTGTCGAGTACCTACCCCGGAAATATATATCGTCTGGAGCAAGACGACCTCAATACGCCCGCTAACATCTATCATGCCCACCTGTCAAAGCACAATTTAGTGCCCACACTCCTGGATATGTAGATACAGGCCTATAGGCCTCTAGATTAACCTCAATGACCACCCATATTATAGGATTACACTCTTCCGATAGGTTTACGCTCTTCATACAGTGCCGTCCGTCATCGTCTCCCATGCCCAACCCCATATCCAAGAAGGCAGTATTCCATAACGGAGGCGACAAAGTGATTGCTGTTTCGCTCCTGTCCGGTGGATATCGCCACGGCGATTGTCAAGCTGCTCGAAACCAACACCTAGCGACTTCGAGGCTGCCGCCAATCAGCCTGTCTATGTAGACGGAAATGCCCTCGGCATAAGTCAGGAGATCAAGATTATCCGGCAGCTGATCCCTGACTACAATACTGACATTCAGCATACACGCAATTATCCAAATGCAGCTCTCTATCAAATTATTCGTAAGAATATAGATCTCTTCAATGCATTTCACGGTACATACGACCATAGGGTGTGGAGAACAGGGCTTCCCGTCCGCTCAGCCGTACTTAAGCCACGCGCCGGCCAGTTAGTAGTATGGTGGGTGACCACATGCGAATCCTGGCTGTTGTATGTTTTTTTGTCTTTCTTTCTTTATCGGCTAGGCATTCCTAGCCTCCTATTCGCCTGCAACTAGGATGCCAATAAATATAGTACAGTGAAAACCAACTATAATGATACTACTTACGGCGAATTCCTGGGTTTATGAACGTATACCCCCTATCAAAACTACCTACTGCGTTAGATTAGTGGTTTATCACATGTTAATAGTAATACTAAGGCCACCGGTTCACCCGGGGGCTCTAGTTCCTATCTTCTTTGGTCCCTGATTCTTCATCCCATAGTTTGATTTCCCTTCTCCCAGTCCCCCCCCCCTCCCAAAACGAAATGGACCAATCCCATGTCACTGTGATGATTATGTCCATCTTTACCTCGACAATATGAAAATAAGGCGGCTGATCTGCAGGTCTGTGTCGCAGATTGAAGGCCGGACGGCATCATCTTGAATAGAACGGTCCCAGCTAACGAGAGAGCTGGAAGATGGAGTAGGTGCAGAGTAGCTCTGCCCAGATAATACTTACCTTTTTGTCGCTCTAGATCATTGGACCGAGAGTTAGATCATATTGTGAAACATTCAAATTTAAACATTGCATAAGGCTTAACGGATGGTTACTAACCTGTCAATTTATCAATTAAGAAGAGATGCCTGGAGTTCGAAAAGGCGTCTTTAAAGCAAGGGACAATTAAGGCTTCTACGGATATTGTGGTATTCATGTGTACACGTATGGCATTTAGCTTTTACTAAACTATAAGTAATTTTTAAGCAACATATAGTCTTTAGGGCTGTTGATCATGGGAATAGCCGTAGGTGACATGTCCACTAGGTTGGTGGAATTCGGGGGGCCTTATATGCAATATAAATGAAATACATATCTTACCCTGTGCCGACAATTGGACACATTCCTGGAAGCCCCTGGTTTCCGTGCAGGATAGGATATACGCAAACTCAATTTCAACTGTTCTGGTTCGATGACGATGTGTTCTCTTATATAATACTGTAGAGTCTGGGATATTTCCTTGGAAGTGGATTCCCTCTGTGCCCATCCTTTACCCGAGGATGAAAAGACCGGTGCTTGAGATCTCTAGCACAGCATGCCCGACATAGCTGGTTTTCAAAGGTGGTTCTGGGAGACAGACACAGATGGTTTGTTTCCTCTGAAACTTCTGTTCCGATACTTTCAACTTTACATTTTTCTTGCAACCAGTGAGTGCGGTGTACTGTGCACCAGGCGATGTATGGACTACATCTGGTTCTTATGCGGGATGTGTCAACTCGGCGACGACAGCACTTGCTACGGGATGTACAAATGGAGTGGGAGGCGGAGGCGCGACGGTTAGATTTGGTGACAATAAGACCAGTCAATGGTACGCGAGCATAGGCTGCATTCTCCCATGTCTAAAAACTCTTGCTACTACCCTACAGTAGCACCAACTCTTATTGTATCAGCATCGTCGCTGCGCAGTATTCTCACTCTGGATTACCAATGGTCACTCACCAAATTTGCGACTTTGTGTGGCCAATTAGCACCATGTATCGGGAACTACAAACACCAGGCGCTGGTAAGTCATGATGAAGATTACTCCTGTGATTAGATACCGTAGCTACAGCACTAAAGGAATAAATAGGCCAACCTGTAACTTCCTACACGGTGGCGACAGGCACCATAGGAAGTCCAACAGCTACTGAGTCCAAGGTCATGGAATATATGGACGTTCATAAAAAGTCGCTAAGCCCAGGAGCCGTTGCAGGTATCACGGCTTCATGTATGATTGTAATTTTCATCATCTCAGCATTCCTTTTACGAAAGAAGCTTGCCCAGTCCATAATTAAAGTCTCGAGCAGTAAAGCCAGAGTAATTGAGATGGCGGGCGATACAGGTATATATGAGGTCGGGTCAAAACAAAGGCCGCATGAAATCGGGACTTCTGATCTGGCGATACGGCGGGAGATGGAATGATACACTCAACCTTCTGAGTGTTGGCCTCTATAGCGAGAATTCTCTTTTGCTTCGGGTTGCATCTAATGTTACGGTATGTATCGAGCCATCGAGCATGAAATATATGTCTAATATCGTAAAGCTTGCCACACGTTCGCACCGTAAGCACACATACTTAATCCCTCACGTCCATCGCCCATCTACCGCTATCGCCTACGAAGTGGTGTGTACTACGAACCGCAACTCCTTTTCCAACGAAAAATCCTGTATCCTGATCCTCGTGGATCGGTTTAGGATCCAGACCGTCGGCAGGCGTCACATCGCAAGCCAGCCGAACTTGGACCTTGAGAGCTTCATAAATCACGGGGGGGGTTTTTCCCCTTGCCATGCGCTGTAGTTTCTTATAGCCAAATCTCGGAGCCCGTTGAGTATGAGTCGATCCGCTTCTTGCATAAATTTCGGGAGAGGTTAGATGCCGCGATCATTAAGATTGTGACCACCACGTCTTACTGTCGCGTTGGTGGTGTTGTGCTGCTGCGCTGTAAGGTCGATAACGACGCGCCATGCTAGACGGACGGGCAGCATGATGTGATGCTGGTGGTTGTTTTGCCCTTGCTATATTTACACCCAATTTACAGCAAGAGAAAAAAGGAACTTATACAAAAGGATCCATCGTGGATCTAGGGAGGCTTGGGGACGGCTCCCAAGTGGTACAGTGCCGACCGTTATTGCCTTCCATATCCGGGAAACATGAAGATACTGTTTCAAACCCTAATCATGTGATATTCTACCCTAATGTAAATTCCGTGTAAATTACTGAAATTGTATATACAAAACTAATATTACCAAACATTGTACAGTGGCGCAACTAAGTTCACTTACTGTAGTATAGCGGTAATACTAAACGAGATTAGCGTATTCGGCATGAATTTTCCGGGACTACGGAGTACAGTCCAAAGAATGAGTGTTGCGGCCCCACCAGTCAGTGTGTATTTGTCAGCCTAAGTAATAAGTTAGTTATAACTAACTAACCTAATAGTTATGTTAACAATACAAGTGTACAATCCTTAATCCTATCGAATTTTCTGTGTCCTAACGATCTGTGGGAAACAATACGAGATATTAAGAATATGGCGATCGGGGCGTGTTTCTGCGGCCAGATTCGCATCAAATTTAATAGCCATCCCTTGATGTCGGTGAGTGCACCCGATAGGATCTATAATTAGGAGCTTCACCTATGCTAATTTATCACTAGGGACTGTGTCACTGCCATGATTGTCGTAAACTGACCGGATCTCCCTATTCATACAGTTTCGTCATCAAAACCGCCGAACTAGAGGTCTTAGGGAATCCCAAAGAAGTTCCTAAAACATCTGACAGCGGAAATGACATCAGGAACTACTTCTGTTCTGACTGTGGTATGTATTATAAGACTATAAATAGGGATACTGTCTCTAACTAAATCTATAAGGCACGCCGCTTTATGGACACAAAATCAAGTCTAATGGAAACCCCGACGAAATCACCGTCGTCAGGGCAGGAATATTTGATGATTCCGTTTTGGATCAATGCAGACCCCAGGCAGAGCTATATACTGATAGTCGCCTAAAGTGGGTAGAGCCCGTCGAAGGGGCCGATCAATTCGGTGGTATGATGGCACTTTCATAGTTTCTGGATTGAGCTAGACGCTCTTAAGCGATACTCTTCCATGCTATCTGGAGACAAAAGGGGGGGGGGGGGGGAAGATTGTAAACTAGTTAAGCAGTGACTTGACTTCAAAATTTATCAGGGACAGATCATTAGTTATTAGAATATCCAGATCACTTTCATACCTCCCTAGGCTCTACATAGGGTGGGACAAGGAGAGCGAATGACGATGTGTTAAGCGTAGTTATTTTTAAAATTACAACGGAGTGTACAGGACATGAGTACAGAGAAGTGCAAAACCAGCTTCACCAGCTTACACTCACTCACTCTTTCTAGGCCCCACCGCCAAGCCGCTAATATAGAAATTAAGTGTAGTGGAATGGTCCAGTGTACATTACGTCATGACTGATCTGCTTAACCTGATGTGACAACAAAATGTGGAGCGCAGATGGCTAGGCAAGAAGCTGGGTCTGGGTCGGTTCGGGCCGACTGTCCAGCCGAAAGCTACTCAGCCACTGCACCAATAGAAACGCGTCTGCGAAACAGCCGCACTTCTTTTGGCGATAACCCCGCAGACAGAACACAACGCCGGAAGACTTCAGATCGGCCGTGATAACAGCCAGCCTACCGTACAGCCGATGTGCTACTATATCGAGAAATGGCGGATCTGAAAATCTACACTGTCGGCTGGATCTGCGCTATTACTACTGAATATGTTGCCGCCCAAGCTTTCCTCGATGAACAGCATGCGCCCCCAGAGTCCTTACCGCCTCAAAATAAGAACGACTACACCTTAGGCAGGATTGGAAGACACAATGTGGTGATTTGCGTTGTGCCTCTAGGTGAATACGGTATCTCTTCAGCAGCTCGAGTTGCCGAGGACATGTTACACAGCTTTCCCAATGTTAGGATCGGGCTGATGGTCGGCATCGGCGGCGGAGCTCCAAGCCCTCAACATGACATTCGCCTTGGTGATGTGGTAGTAAGCACTCCTCTCAACGGCCGGGGCGGAGTTATTCAGTACGACTTCGGTAAAATGATACAAGGCCAAGGCTTCTGTCCCACAAGGTACCTTGATCAACCCCCTACCCTCCTTCGCGCAGCGGTCAACGGCCTTCGGGCCCAATACGAGATGGAGGGCCATCAACTTGAAGAATCCATCCGTCACGCTCTTGAGAAGAGGCCACGACTACAGAAAAAATACCAGAGGCCAAATCTCGAAAGCGACCGGCTTTATAGAAGTCATATCGTTCACCCACTGGACGGCAGATCGGACTGTAAGATGGTTTGTGGTGATGATTCGACCAAATTAGTCTCACGCCATTCACGCTTTGAGGATGAAGACAATCCGGTAATTCACTACGGGTTGATCGCATCAGCCAATCAGCTGATGAAGGATGCTCTCATCCGTGACAGACTTGCAGCAGAAATGGATGTATTGTGTTTTGAAATGGAAGCTGCCGGGCTGATGAATAACTTCCCATGCCTTGTGATCCGCGGTATCTGTGACTATTCAGATTCACACAAGCATAAAGAATGGCAAGGGTATGCGGCAATGGTCGCCTCAGCATATGCCAAAGACCTTCTATACCGGATTGTTCCTGGACAAGTAGAGAGAGAAGAGAAAATTCTGGAAATTCTCAAGCCAACTGTTGAGCATATGGCTCAAATTATAGATCGCGTGGACCTTGATTCCATATTCGATAAGCTACCTGTTGTGACTGACGCCAGGTTTGACTCTTTCGACGATCGAGATGAAGTCCAATGTCTCCAAGGTACTAGGACCGAGCTCCTCCAGCAGATAAAGGGATGGGCAATATCGTCGTCCCAAAAAAGCATTTTCTGGTTACACGGAATGGCTGGGACAGGAAAATCTACAGTATCTCGGACCGTGGCAAGGTTGCTTAATGACACCAACAATCTGGGTGGCAGTTTCTTCTTCAAGAGGGGTGAAGGGGACCGAGGGAACGCGAAGAAATTTTTTCCGACCTTAACGAGGCAACTAATGCTTGCAATTTCTGAGCTGAGGTCTGGCGTGCAAAAGGCACTCGATCACGACCCTGACATTACGTCAAAGTCACTCAAGGAGCAGTTTGAGAAACTACTCCTTCGACCGCTGCTCGATCTTAACCGACAACGTCAAGCCGCTGTGATAGTGATCGACGCTTTGGACGAATGCGAACATGATCAAGATGTCCGAAACATCATTCGATTACTGCCTCTTCTACAGGAGGCTAAATCGGTTCGTCTTCGGATCTTCTTGACTAGCAGACCCGAACTCCCAATCAGCCTCGGCTTTTCAGAGATCGCGGATCATAGGTATCAAAACCTAGCTCTTCATGAGATACCCGAAGAAGTGACAGAACGTGACATACGTTTATTCCTACAGGACCGATTTGCGACAATCAAACACGACAGAAATTTTTCCCAAGACTGGCCCGGCGATGACGTCATCCAAAAATTGGTTACGATGTCCGTTCCACTATTTATTTCGGCTGCCACTATATGCCGTTATATCGAAAATGCGAAGTGGGAACCCAAGTTACGCCTCGCAGAGCTTCTAACGGACCAAGCTAAATATGTAACGCGGATGGATAAGACATACCTGCCAATTCTAACGCGACTACTGGACGATCAAGTGAGTGATGAACCGGAGCAGCAGCAGCTCCTAAAAGAGTTCCAGGACATAGTCGGTGTTATCATCCTTCTTGCTGATCCGCTTTCTATAAATACCCTGTCGCTGTTTCTTGGGATAGGAGCAGAGCAGATCAGCAATCGATTGGATTCATTCCGCTCTGTTTTGAGCATTCCCGGCGACCGAGATCAGCCTGTTAGGATTCTACATCTATCGTTTCGGAATTTCTTGGTCCGGTCTAGCAGCAAGTTTTTTGTGGATGAGCGAAGAAAGCACAGAGAAATTGCTCACTGCTGTCTCAAAACTATGCAAAGTCATCTACGGAAAGATATCTGTAATCTCGCAAATCCTGGAGCGTGTAGGGCAGACATCGACCCCCAAGACATCCGCCAATATCTACCGCCGGAATTAAAGTACTCTTGTCGCTACTGGATACACCATCTTGAGCAAAGTCAGGATCTCTCTTCCGAGATACAAGACGTGCTACTGTTTCTCCAGAAGCATTTTCTGCACTGGCTGGAGGCGATGAGTCTACTAGGTCTTATATCGGACGTGGTGGGTATGCTTGATCTCCTCCACACGGTTATACCGGTAAGTAACATAAAACACCGCCATTCAAGGCTTACACTTATAGATATAGGGCGACGACCATTCTGTATTGTCTAATTTCCTACACGATGGAAAGCGCTTTATTCTCAAAAATGGTCAAATAGCCGATGAAGCACCGTTGCAGATTTATTGCGCAGGATTAGTATTTGCACCTCGAACAGCAATAATTCGTAGAGAGTTCCAGTCGGAGAGTCCTAGTTGGATATGCCAGTTTCCGCAAGTTAACGAAAAGTGGAGTGCAGAATTACAGGCTCTCGAGGGCCATTCGAGCTGGGTTAGCTCGGTGGCCTTCTCGCCTAACGGCCGGCTGCTAGCGTCCGGCTCTTATGATGACACAGTGCGGCTCTGGGACACGGCGACGGGTGGCCTACAGCAGACTCTTCAGGGCCATTCGAGCGGGGTTAGCTCGGTGGCTTTCTCGCCTGACGGCCGGCTGCTAGCGTCCGGCTCTCATGATAAGATAGTGCGGCTCTGGGACACGGCGACGGGTGGCCTACAGCAGACTCTTCAGGGCCATTCGAGCGGGGTTAGCTCGGTGGCTTTCTCGCCTGACGGCCGGCTGCTAGCGTCCGGCTCTCATGATGAGATAGTGCGGCTCTGGGACACGGCGACGGGTGGCCTACAGCAGACTCTTCAGGGCCATTCGAGCGGGGTTAGCTCGGTGGCTTTCTCGCCTGACGGCCGGCTGCTAGCGTCCGGCTCTCATGATTACACAGTGCGGCTCTGGGACACGGCGACAGGAGGCCTGCACAAGACTCTCAAGGGCCATTGGCGCTCGGTTCTGTCGGTGGTCTTCTCGCCTGACGGCTGGCTACTGGCGTCCGGCTCTGAAGATCGGACAGTACGGCTCTGGGATACGGCGACGGGTGGCCTGCACCAGACTCTCAAAGGCTATTCGGACTGGGTTCTGTCGGTGGCTTTCTCGCCTGACGGCCGGCTGCTAGCGTCCGGCTCTCATGATAAGACAGTGCAGCTCTGGGACAAGGCGACGGGCGGCCTGCACCAGACTCTCGAGGGCCATTCGAGCTCGGTTCAGTCGATGGCCTTCTCGCCTGACGGTCGGCTGCTGGCGTCCGGCTCTAGCGATCAGACAGTGCGGCTCTGGGACACGGCGACGGGTGGCCTGCACCAGACTCTCGAGGGCCATTCGAGCTCGGTTCAGTCGATGGCCTTCTCGCCTGACGGTCGGCTGCTGGCGTCCGGCTCTAGCGATCAGACAGTGCGGCTCTGGGACACGGCGACGGGTGGCCTGCACCAGACTCTCGAGGGCCATTCGAACTCGGTTCACTCGGTGGCCTTCTCGCCCGACTGCCGGCTGCTGGTGTCCGCCTCTCATGATAAGACAGCGCGGCTCTGGGACACGGCGACGGGTGGCTTGCAGCAGACTCTTAAGGGTCATTCGGACTCGGTTCTGTCGGTGGTCTTCTCGCCTGACGGCCAGCTACTGGCGTCCCGCTCTAGTGATAAGACAGTACGGCTCTGGGACACGGCGACGGGTAGCCTGCACCAGACCCTCAAGGTCCATTCGAGCTGGGTTAGCTCGGTGGCCTTCTCGCCTGACGGCCGGCTGCTGGCGTCCTCCTCCGGTGATCAGACAGTGCGGCTCTGGGACACGGCGACGGGCGGCCTACTACAGACTCTTGAGGGCCATTCGAGCTCGGTTCAGTCGGTGGCCTTTTCGCCTGACGGTCGGCTGCTGGCGTCCGGCTCTCATGATGACACAGTGCGGCTCTGGGACACGGCGACGGGTGGCCTGCAGCAGACTCTTAAGGGCCATTCGGACTGGGTTAGCCGGGTGGCCTTCTCGCCCGACGGCCGGCTGCTGGCGTCCCGCTCCCGTGATCAGACAGTGCGGCTCTGGGACACGGCGACGGGTGGCCTGCAAGAGACCTTGAACACCAATGGAATTGTCACGGAAATCGAATTTTCTCACGAGAGTTCATATCTAATCACTAACTTAGGCACACTGCATGTTCAGTCCGGGCACGATGATCAAGCTTCTAATTCAACGCGTAGGAACCTGGCGATCTTCATTGAGCAGGGACGTTGGATAAGCCTAAACGGCAAAAATGTACTTTGGCTTCCTCCTGACTTTCGGCCTAGATGTTCCGCGATTAATGGAGATACACTTGTCTTGGGGCACGCATCAGGGCAAGTTTCTTTCATACGATTTCGTGTATAGCAGGTTTCAATGATTTTATTTTCCATTCCTTCCTCTATTTTCTGATCTCTTTGTAGAAGAAGGGCCCAGGAGAAAAACAGAATTTATATGATCCTGTAGTGCTACTGTAATCGAATGTGCCATTAAGTTCCACGAGGGACCAGATCCCATACAGTTTATTGGGCCGTTTGCCACAGTTCCAGATGGGAGCTAGTGACTAGATCTGGAAGGTTCTACGGAGCAGAAAACAGGGCACAAATCATACCCCACTAAACCGCACCCATTTTTAAGGCTAGAGTCTTAGCAGTGGGGCGTAGAATTGACGAGAGTGTGCAAATTGGTGAAGCTGGTTTTGCACATCTCTGTATACAGTTCTATACTTCCATCATAATTACCATTCAAGCGCGAGAACGACATTTTTAGTACAGAATTAGCCATATTTGGTTTAGTGAATCATGTGATTAGGGTTTAAAGGAGTATTTCTGTGTTTGCGGTCATGGAAGGCAATAACGGTCGGCACTATAGGGTACCGCAACCAAACGCCACGCGTGCCTGGTATAGCATGTTTACTCTACGCTTAACAAGCAACATGGGTACCGAGACAGATATAGCTATATTCAGCCACAACTTCTTCTCCAAGCGGTTGGACAAGCCAACACAGTTGATGAAAAAGGGAGTTCGCGTCGATCGGGGGTAGTGTAAGCCCGATGACACTGTGCAACGAGGCATGCGCAAGCACAGAGGCCAAGTCGCGGGATCCAAAAATGAGAATAATCAATGTTGTTTTCCAATGGAAAACTTTCAGAGATTAAACTGAAAAGAACAGATACTACACTTGATCTAAGCCAATAGGCAAAGAGAGCTGGAGAAGAAAAAAAAAAGAGAAATGACGGCGGGGGGGAGGTGGTATTTAAATGTTTCCAGGAGTGGGTCCTCTCGCCCTCCCTCACTAGCGTCGTTTAGGCGAACCAATCAGGACACAAGAACCCCCTGAGTAGTGGGTATATTTATCATGTGACTCGACTGCTGCCTAATCAGGGTCATGTGACACCCAGCTCCTTCATCATCACATGATATCACCTGACCCCGTCAGCCCCATGCCCTACGCCCCCTCCTAAACAGGTTTAGCCCACACACCCGCAGGCGGGCACTGGCGAATTTTGGAGCGCAAAACGGGCTCCACCACAGCGAAAAGCGATCTTCTTCCGACCATCCCTCTCGCCGGCGCAGGATAATCACCTCTTTGCGACCAACTTCAACCCCAATCTCTCCACCCCCCCCCAAAATCATTTACAATGGCTCCCGCTGCTGTACGTTGAAAGACTACCCCACGAACCGCTTTGCTGTTCCCCCCAATGGACAGTCTCGACGGACTTGGATGCACTCGAGCATGCGGCCTGTTGGATATTGAAAAATCTATCCGGTAGACCTCATGCGCGAGAAAACACCATGTCCAGCGAGACTGCCACTGGGGGTTCCAATATCATGGAGCAGTAGGCTAATCAGTTTCTTTTCCCTTGGCAATAGGCTCGTGGCCGCAAGGCTCAGAAGGTTACCAAGAAGGTATGTTGCAACGAATTGTCTCCCGCTACCAGTCACCGTTGGGCTTTACTAACTAACGACTCTTGCTTTGTACAGTACATCATCGATGCTACTCAGCCCGCCTCTGACAAGATCTTCGATGTCTCCGCCTTCGAGAAGTTCCTCCACGACCGCATCAAGGTCGAGGGCCGTGCCGGCAACCTCGGTGACAACGTCGTCATCTCCTCCGCTGGCGAGACCAAGATCGAGGTCGTTGCTCACATCCCCTTCTCCGGTCGCTACCTCAAGTACCTGTACGTTTCATCCGACTCTATACCAGGATTCATGGCATCTGGACTCGGCCCGCTAACCATACTTTTTCTCTACCTCCACAGGACCAAGAAGTACCTCAAGAAGCAGCAGCTCCGTGACTGGATCCGCGTCGTCTCCACCTCCAAGGGTGTCTACGAGCTCCGCTTCTACAACGTCGTCAACGACGAGGCTGAGGAGGATGAGGAGTAAATGCACTCCTTCGGCTTTTGACCTACTTGTCGATCGATGGGATGGGTCTGTGATTGTCACACGTTGACTTGGTTGGATCACCGCCGGATCAATTGGTGAGGGTTACGGGGTTCCGTCGTTTTATGATATGTGGGAATAGACTAGCCTACTTAACTGTAGGTTACGAATAAAAAAAGTTTATACCCTCTGATATTGTTCATTTCGTAGCGGAGATCGATTCTTCCGAGTCCCCCCTTACTGTAGATTGCCGTGATCATATAGATGGTCTGGACATGTATTTGCCAGAGACAAGTCTACATAGATGTGAAGATTACGGGTGCAGCCAGGCCTCCGGGGGCCACTAGCATATCGAAGTTGTCATGACATTGATAGTTGCTTGTAACTATCCACTCTTATCCTTGTGCGCTTTCTAGAGACGTGCACCCTTCCTCGCACAGCACTTTGATTTGCACCGTCATTTCGAACAATAGCTCGTGAAGATACCAAGGGGTATTGGGTCCATGATATCTCATCGGCCAGTGATGACCCTATGCAGCGCTATCAGCTGGAGCCGGTTGCTTCCTCTTCTGCCCAGCGCCTCCAGATTCAATGTGCCGTCCCATGGGACGGATAGGACCGTGCGGTCCCTCTCCGGGGACGTATAGTCCCTGCCTGTTGACGTAGTAATTCTCCTGATTGGGTGGCGACACCATCTCATCCCCCTCAAAACGCCAACCATGGTGTTTGTAATTCTTCCACGAGTCGCGGACCTGGGCACGCACCAGGTCGCCTGTCGCAATGGAGTCCTCTTTGGAATCATGGCCCTTGGCGCCACCGGTCTGAATTTCACGCGATAGGAATTTGCGAGAGAGGGTCTTGAGGCTCATGCGATTGGGTAGACCGCCCCTTGGTGCCGGATACAAGATGACCGTGTCGATGATGGTTGGATGAATGATTCGACAGACATTGAGGTCGTTGTCGATAGCATGACCGATTAAGGGGGTTTCAGGCTGAAGGAACTGGAAGAGTAGTTCCCGAGCTGCGGCGGGCGACTCGACTACCTGCATCGGCTTCTTTTGTTGTTCTCCTTGACCCGATTGAGGAGCAGACTTCGAGATGGAATCAAGGGTGCCGTAAGGTACGGCGTTAGCAAAGTGCTCGGGGTATACACCCGAGAATCGCGAGTTGAGATCCAAAACCTCGCCAATCGGCTTGACGAGAATATCGAGAAGCTCACGGCCTTCAGGCCAGCTGACAGCAGTGAGACGAATCAACTCCAGACCCTGTGTTGTGTAGCCCATCTCGCAGTCGAAGGATACTGGCTCCAGGACGCCTTTGTCCGATTGTCGAGGGGTCATTTCAAACTGAAGAATAGAGGCAAGGCGTTTGGGCTCTGAGATTTTGAACACGTGGTGTGCACCTTTAGTGCAGCCAACTGATGCCCCGATAGATTCACCGCAACAAGGGAAATAGGGATCTGAAGAACCCGTGTAATTGTCCGTCTTCTTGCGAGGCGGAACGAGAGGTCGATTGGGATGATAAGTACATTGACCACCCGTCGTCAACGCACCGTCCTCACGACGACCGGGGAAAACCTGAAAGCGACTTTCACAGCGCTCACACTTCTCCCAGCCCTTTGAATCAATGGCGCCCTGATTGGCCATCTCAATATCTGTCACGGTAGGCGCTTTTGTGACATAACCAAATTCCTCGAGACCATTCAAGGGAGTGATCAGTCTTTGAACCAGAGCGATCTCTTGCTTGGGAGTGAGACCCGTCTCGATCCGGTTTGGAGCCTCCGGTGTTGGGGCGACTGTAGGTACTTTGTAGTACCTAGTATTGAGATGCTCCATGACCTCCTTCCCCCATTCCTCCGAGCTCATTTTCGTCAGTTTCACAATCCGAAGCTTGATCACATTGGAGTAGACGCCCGGGGTGCCTTTTGCGACTTCTTCCTCCGCATCCAATGCCATCGTCACCAACTCATCGCTCGTCAAGACGAAGCACTTGTTTAAGCTATCATTGCTCTTGGCTAGCTTCTCATTCTTCGAGACCATGACGGAATGCAGTTTGGTAAGAATTGCAGTCCGAGTTGCATGAGGAGCGGGAGCCTTCGTCATCATGCGAGGATTGAGACTTTCCTTTCGCACCTTGCGAGGGGGAAGCTGGGATGATGTGGGTTGAGGAGTGGCTGAAATACTTGACGGTTCTCGCTTTTGAGGGGTAGGGGTTGCGCGTGATGGCGAAGTTGATGCCCCCTGAGGAGGAGCAGGAGTTTGGCTGCCACTTTGATCCGAGGTTCGCTGCAGTAGTCGCTGGCTTGGTGACGATGTCGAGGCTGAGGCATTTGCTGCTTCCTTGAGACGCACACTATCGGACAAAATCGATGGTACCGTCGAGGAGATGCTCTCTTGAGTTTTGAGCTTCTTCTGAGGGGCGTGGACGATTTCTGTTGTTGTCTCGATGCCAGAAGCGGGCTTGCTGACACTAGGGGCACTGCGAGTGTGGAAGAACATGCAAGTCAAAAGAGTGCAGTGCTCTCCTTGTGGACAAGCCACCCCTGCAAATAGGCCAAGCGTCGTGAACATCATGGAATACCGAAGGGATTCAGAACAAAGAGATTTGGTTCAAACTGCCGCCGAGGCTCTGAAGGAAATAAATTTCGAGTTCGGAGCTTTGCCAATTTCACTCTATGGTGAGCGGACAAAGGTGGAGGAAGAAAGAGCGTTGGAGATTGAGAGAGTTCTCCTGAAAGATCGCTAGCTCATCATCCTAGCCTGCGGCTCGAAGCTCAGGTTGAATGGTTGCCTCTGGGCCTGAGCAGAATCATAGCTGTCTATTTTTTGGCCGCAGTGATTCCCTTGTGAAGATTTCTGGTTCAATCTTCGTAACTATTGTGTGGGATTGTCCTTGTATTCGATGATTTAGGTCCGAAAGTCAAGCCAAAGCAGGTCGTAGCCTGTTGTATGCGTTGAAGGTTGTAATTCGATGGAAAGCGGGCCTCGGGTGGAGAACATCCCAGATGCAAACCAGACAAACTCTACGCCTAAAGTACAAGGCGGGAACAAGGAACACCGGAAACCTTATCGCCGGGCTTATCGGCAGCCGGGGCATCAATCAACCCGGTTTCAAGCTTAACTCCGGATGGCAGTGCCTTTAAACACTCGGCGCCCTCCAGGCAGGGAATTTTTTTTCTTTCCTCTCAAGAAGTTAATATTTGAATACAAGATGCCTGAAAACAGTACTAAAGCAGACCACCTTTGTGTCCTCGTGCATGGGTGAGTATCTCATCCCCAGTTGCTGCCGATGACGACAGGGGCCGGAGCCAAACTAACCATTTCTGTGGATAGACTTTGGGGAAACCCATCTCACCTCGATTATGTGGCCTCTGCCCTAAGGGAACGCCATGATGAGGACAGTGTTTACATTCTCTGCGCCAAAAACAACAGCGGAAACTGGACGTATGATGGAATTGAGCTGGGCGGCGAGCGACTGGCCCACGAAATCGAGGAGACACTGGAGGCGTTGGCCAAGAAAGGGCAGCAGATCAAGAAGCTGAGCATCATTGGATATTCCCTCGGTGGGCTTGTGTCTCGATATGCGATCGGCTTGTTGCATGCGCAAGGGTGGCTTGATAAGGTGGAGCCCGTCAATTTCACTACATTCGCTACGCCCCATGTTGGGGTACGAACACCGCTCAAGGGAATTCGAGGTCAAATATGGAACGGTCTGGGACCGAGAACCGTCTCTATGTCTGGCCAGCAACTATTCATGGTTGACTCTTTCCGAAACACCGGTCGACCCCTGCTCAGCGTTCTCGCCGACCCGGAAAGCATCTTTATTCAGGGGCTGAAAAAGTTCCGTAACCGCTCTGTTTACGCCAACGTTGTCAATGATCGCACCGTTGTGTTCTACACCTCGGCGCTCTCTAAAACAGATCCTTTCCACGACTTGGATAACATCAATATCAATTACGTCAAGGGCTATGACGAAGTCATCGTCGACCCTGACAATCATCTACTGCCGACCGCACCGGAGGAACCAGAGACCCCACCGTCTCGCTGGTGGAAGCAGTTCAAAAAAGTCGTGTATGGACTGCCCTTCTGGGCACTTATCATCCTGGTGGTGCCGCCTGCCATCACAGTCTTCCTTGCGAATGCCGCTGTACAGACATGTCGCAGTCGCCAGCGGATACGACTTCACTCGGAAGGTAAAAATGGCTTGCGCTTTGGAAGATACAAGGTGCCTTTGCTCGTGCAGGATGTCCAGCATGTGATGGAGGAGGTCTTTGAGAATGTCAATGCTCGGCAAGAGCCTTCATATCTTTCAAGCACCGAGGATGAGCTTTCTGATTCAGCGAGTGAAAAGGTCAAAGCCAAATTGCAGAATCTTGACAGCGCATCGTCTAGCCCCGGTCTAGACAGGCCCTCCAAGACTCGTTATGATGAGCGGGGACACCTCGTCAGCCATCACCACAAGCTTGCACTGACGGATGATCAATTTGCCATCATTGACTCCCTTAATGCGGTGGGAATCCGGAAATATCCGGTCTATATTCACAAGCACCGACACAGCCACGCAGCAATTATTGTCAGATCGCGCAAGGATGGATTTAATGAAGGCAAAATTGTTATGAAGCATTGGCTAGACAATGAGTTTGCGGTCTGATTATTAATTTTTTCCCCTTGTGTTTTGGCATGCATTTTTCGGCGTCTATCATTATTGGATACTGAGGTTGGGATGCTGGGTTCGTGGATTTCTTGAGAGCGAGCGTTCACATGTTTCATTTTCAACGAGATATAATAGATAAAGGTATACACTAATACAATACATACACGACACTACGCACATACCTCGCTTTATACTTCCAAGGGCACTTCATAAGAAACCCGACTGATCCCCTTCTGCCGGCTAATCTTGCGTATCGTGATCGGGCCTACCAGCTTAGTTGTCGGGACATGAGTTCCACCACAGGGATTTTGATCAAGACCACCGATACTTGCAACACGGACAGGACCATCTCTCAATGCTCCACGGCCCTCTAGATCTGAACCGTCTTCCACCCACGTGATCAAAATGGGTAAATCCTGCTGGACCAATTCATCCACCTTGGCCTGGATCAATGGCTTCTGCTCATTATATAGCAGACCCTCATATTCCATGCATGCTTCCTTGGGGAAATGATTGGCTTTGACTTTCCTCATTTCGGGAAAGAGAAGCTCCATCGCGAGACCGACGATGTGTCCTCCCGTATGCAGTCGAGAGTGGTAGTCTCGTTTGGCACCATCAACTCGCTGAATAACACTCTGGCCTTCAACAAAGAGCGTCTCTGGGTCTGCAGACTTGCCAAAATGCAGGATTCGTCCATCCTCGGTTTTTCGCACCAGGGAGACTGTGAAAGTGGGCTCCTGGTCTGCTAGGGCGATGGAACCCGTGTCGCTAGGCTGTCCGCCTCCCTGCGGGTAGAGGATAGTCTGGCGCGTAGTAATCGCCGAGACCTCTGGGTCGGCGTTCTTGATCAAGCTTTTTTCATTTTCCGGAAGTGATGAGACTGGTTGGTGGGAGATGATCTCCGTCGTCAGGGTTCTTAGCGAAGCGTCGTGCAGATACACGGCTTCTGTGCAGGGAGCCTTGTTTGAACAATCAGCATCGCTGTCAACAGCTAAGGGGGTATTCCTCGTACCATTGATTCTAAAGACTACATGCAATCGCGGAAGCCCGTCGGTATGAATGCTCTCTTCTTGGCCTCGAATATTGGTTCAGATCATTATGACTCGATTTCCCCCGCCAGGTGGGTCATGCTCAGGGCGGAAGTGGATGCCCGGATTCTCAGGCTACAATGCCATTACTATTGATCAAAGATTGATGAGTTGATTTGTGTATGTTCTCTATGAAATGATTCACCAAATGATCCGCCGAGACAATCAAGATAGATGTAAAGGCTACCCAGCCCTTAGATGATCCCGTGTCGCCATTCGGCAAGGCAATCTTCTCAGTATTACAACATCTAAACGTCGATCGAGATCGTCTAGGGAAATCTTCACAGACTACAATCAAAATGAACTTTGCCTATCGACTGTTTAAGCACGCTTCACCTTCCAATATAGAAAAAAATGACATATGTGGCACAACCTCCCCCAAAGCTAACCTTAAATCGACCACCCCTCCACCCCTCCACCCCGGATTTGCCCCCGCCATGCACGCCCCCTCCTTTGAACCACCGAGTCCAACCGAGGCCTAAAACCGTATAGCCAAATGATCTCGGGTTTCCTATTCAGGCTCTTCCGTTCTCCCGTGCTCGCACGCTTCCGATTTGCTGTTAACGAACAGGGGTAGTGTCCAGGGGAGCCATTTCTAAACTTGGGTGGAAACATCCGGGAGAAAGCGATCCTATCATTGAAGACCGGACTTCTCAGATGTGCGGGGCTGTACATCATGTCAATGCGAGCTGAGGTATTTCGAGTGGGTAGAACGCTTCGCGAAAATCTGGGGTAGGATTATCTTTCTGGGGATATGGGATTTGTTTCTAGGTGATTTACTAGCGCCGTACGAGGAGGAGTGATGTTTAGTTTGAAATTTATCACACTGGAGGGCATGGTAGGCGAAACTGAAAACCCGGGGACAGCTAGTTCGAGAATACCTGAGTATATGAGCAGGGAGGGCATACGAGAGCTACTATGAAATTACCCATCCAGAAGCAGGAGAGAAAAACTCAAGAATTCTATGTTCATGTCATTTATTCATCAAATTGTAGCCTAAGTCCAAATATGCGAATTGAAAGCCCCCAAGACACCCAGGCCTCAAATTGTAGCAGGAAAAAAAAGAAAAAAGGACAAAACATACAGATCAACTAGGATCTGGTGAGTTGGGAATAATTGTTAACAGGCCGTGAGGGGGACATCAAGATTGGGTAGATTGCATGATCCTGCAGAGGGATTCAGTTGAGAGACAAGGTCTTCGGATAAGGAGGAAGTCAACCGGCAAAGTGGGAGTAGAAAGATCAGCACCCAGCGTAATCAAAGAAAGAAACTCAGTTCTTCAAGCTATTCTCTGTGAGAGAATCTTGCAGACCATCTCTAACATGGCCTCTGTTGGAATAGATCTTCTGCTGCTCCCGCTCAACCGCGAACTTGACTGCATCGTAGATGTTGTTCACGATCTTCTTGGGGGGATAGCGTGGGATGGTGCCTTCTTGCCAAACACCAGTTTTGACAAGGACGGAGTACCACTCATTCTCAGAGATCTCATTGAACTCGTTCGTTCCACGAATGTCAGACTCGGGCGTGTCGCCAACAAAGTAGACAGTGGAAGGTGCATGGCCGATACCATGAGAATCCCTGCGCCATTTTGACAGAAGCCTGGTCGCAAATTGGAATGTGCCCATCTGCGGCTTGCCAAAGGCAACGGTCTTCAACTCTTTGCCGGTGACGGCCTTGTAGAGAGCCTCGAGCGACGCGCGGAGAGCACCCATGCCAATGCGCGAGTGTTCATGCGAGGTTGACCAAACCACGTCGTTGTGGGAGAAGTAGATTGGCGGACCTTCATCAAAGGTTTCAGACCGTGTGCCAAGCTTGCCATTCACGGACATTAAGCAGTCCAGAATGATTTGCTGATCACCGGCCCAGTCGCGACTATCAGCAAAAACGAAGATTGCCTCGATCTGGACGGAGTCAAGATCAAGTACACGCGAGTTCTTGTATTCCTCGTCCGTTAATTTGCGGAAAGGCGTGGTGTCGTGGCGCGTCTTGATAATGTCGCCGGGCGTGATGACATTCCTGAATCCATACTCTTCAGCGACGATGCGACACTTCTCGCCTTCGCCGCCGACAACCAGAACGGTGTCGTATCGTTCGGCCATTTCACGCATGGGAGTATGTCCGCAGATGAATTGTCCAGGGCAGACTTCATAATCGAGTTGGCGACTCAGATCCTGGCACCGTTCCTTTTCGGTCTTGCCACCTCCATTGGTGAGGAAAATGTACGGTCTGCTCAGCTCTCATGTTAGTCAACCTTTCACACAGGAGGATAATCGTACAAAACTTACACTTTGACTCCATAAGGGTTCTCGCCATTGATGTATTTCATAGCCTCGATAGCCTCGGGAATGGCCTGGCCACCTCTGATAAGAACGCCATCGATATCGAAGGCCAGAGCAAAGTCATCGCTAACAGTCATTGGCGGGATTGTCAAAGGGGTGGTCACTGAAGAAGACTCTTCCTCTGAGGAAATGGCCTCTTCGTCAGAGTGATTTTTGTCCATTTCAATGTCCGGATTCAGGTCACGATCACGGGTAGAGGCCATCAAGTACTTTGGAGGTATGACGACGTTGGGGCCACCGTAGAGGTCGGCCCGATCGGCATCAAGACTGGAAAGTCGGCGGACCTTTTGAGATCCGAATCTATCGGTAGTTGCCATTGTGAGTGACAAACAAGTTAGGTGGGTCTAGGGGCGGATCTGATGCAAGCTTTCAAGGGAAATTGATCGTTCTCTCTTGAATATTGCGACACAGTAGACCGTTTCACTAGACACGGGAAATCACGAAAAGCACACGTCCTCTATGAACGCAGAAAACGGGTTTGAAGAGGACTGATAATGTCTCACGATAATACAGTTATCGAGAACGACGTGCAAGCTGCAGGAAGAAGCAGAGAGTCATGCAAATCGTATCGAAAGCAAGTTAGGACTATGGAGAATGTGGGGGGGACAAGGGCCATTAATATAACATCCTGAAGGTCTATCTACACGCTCGCTTCAATGTCCCTCTGCTTGTTCTGTTGTAATACAACAGGACAGACCCACTATCTCATGCTCGGACACAGCCTTCGTCATCATCCTGGCTGTCTGCCTGTTTCCCACGGGTGACGCTCGATCGACCCTCTTCAGGCGTCTCGAAAACGAAGTGTATCGGGATGGATCCACAACGACGTGCCCTGGGCGCAGTAACCCATACCCACGAGCTTGTTCGCCGGTGCTGATTGATCCGTACGAATGGAGAAAAGACGCAAAGTGTCCCAAGTTTACGGAGTGGAGTCGGCCGGCCCATCTTTACCTTGTGTGAATGGACTGTTGACGTCGCAGGGGAGGGCTGGAGTCTTGCCAGGATGAGAATCCCGATGATGACATGGCGATCACTGTTATCATTCTGGCTGAACAAGATACAGACGGAGAGCCATGTGTGTTCATTTCCGAACCGATTGATCTTCTTGGAAACCTATTCTCGGTGAAAGCATTCTCGGTGTGGCGTTGACTCGGCAGACGAGGAAGTCAAGTAGGCAGGAGCCTTCTCCTCTATTCGCCATGGGAGTTCGAGACAATTTCCGTATTCCCGATTCGATCAGCCAGTCCATGGCCCCCTGTTATTCCCGCCGCTTCTGTTCAGAGTATCCCGAGTGGACAATCATTGAAGTGCGTTGTTGGCCAGACGGTGGTCGAATCAACGTGGATCAACGCGCATCACCAGCGGGACAGATCGGGACATGACGTCATGAGCCGGATGGCTCAACCAGCCTCAGGAACCGAAACATCAATCAAAAGCTGGAAATGGGGATTATTAACCAAACTTACTTAGTAATGGATCAATGGATCAATGCGTCCATTTGCAGATAAAGACTCTCACTTATCGGGATATGCTGTACCCGCTCTCGCCTTCTTGCGGCGGTAGTGGTAATGGGAATTGAAACGCTAAGGCGAGGTGCGGTATGTGGCGCCGCCAGGTTGGCGTTGGATGCTACATCAGCCCAACGCCCATTCGGCCTTAGTGTCGAGGATGAGCAAGCCACCGCTGCAGCATGCCTACCCAGGAAAACACGGGAGACTGTCGCTCTGCCGGGGCGACCCTGTACTTTAATTGCACTTATGAATTCAGAATTAGAACCAAAATGTAGCTGCTACGGCACTCGAAAGACCGGGCATGTATGGATTCAATTAATCCTACATTCTAGGTAAGGGGGATTCAATCTCAGCGGTCTAAGAACTACACGTCTTTCTTATCACGTCAGAGCGGTTGGCCTGTAATGGTGTCGCTGTGCATAGAGCAGCCATGACCTGATCTTGCTGTAGGATAGTTCGTCCGTTTTAAGGCCATGATCTTAGCCGCAATGGTCCTCATGATTCGGTAGAAATCAGGAGAGTGACAACACCTACCCTGCCACTGAGAGCCTGGATAATGAACTAGGGGGTTTATCTGCTATGTATACCCCTGGTCCAAACGTACCCTGCGCACGGTGAACCTCCAGGAAATGTCAGATGCATGTGAAATTAGGATACAGCTGAGTCTTTTGAAGATTTTACTATTCCTAAGTATGATGGGTAATTGAATGCGCTGGCAAACAATCCAGTGCGGCTTTCCAGGCCAGTACACTCATAGAGAAGGGCAGAAAGTGACTCAATTTCTGCTAAAGAAAAGGGAGATCCTCAGGGTGCTGTGAGGAGTAAAAGAGGAGCATCCCCTCTTCCTTCTATCAACAAAGGTGCATCCCACTTTTTCAATCTTGCATCATCCCACAGAGCAAACCCCCACGGCCATTCATTCTCAAGATTTTGATCATTATCCATATCCAGCGCATTCTCTAAGGTTTGTTCAGGCGTGTGCGGAACTAAACCGAGTTTCCTCCAGCTCAGATTAGGTTGCTCAAGAGGTGGCAGGGTGGACCAGAATTGCTCAAAGTGTCGAACATAATGTCGATCTGCCGGATCTGTGAATGGAATTCGCTCATACCAAATTGGAAAATTGCCATCAAAGACAGGGAAAAAAGACCTATTGAGGTTTCCAATAACCAGGTTGCGCTGTGGTATGGGTGTCGAGTGTAAAGCACGGTATAGAAAATCCGGTCCCATGAAAGTTAATGCTGCCGCATACGTAGGAATCTGTGGGAGATCCTCAACCCTGTCAATTACCGCAGGGGGTGGGCATTCATCGTCGGATAGAACATCCCAAAAAAATCGACCTTGGTCATTTTTCATGGCGTCGCGCAATCCGGTGGAGACCTTCTCGAAGACTGGATCGTATTTAGTCTGGAGGTAAGACCCTACACACCCCATCTCGTGATATTCCCAAGGGGGCATCGCCCCGAGGAAAAGCCGAAACAACTTTTCATCGCTGGAAAGATCGCCGGCTGGAAGACACAAATGTTTGCGATCTTCTGGAGGGCCAAAAATATTCCCATAAATTTGTAGCCGACATAATGCTCTCATGAAGCGACATTTCTCGTTCTTGGACATTTTGATAGGCAGTTCTTGTTTCCACCGAGCAGGTTCGATCCACGAGGGTCGCGGTAAATTCATCGTGTAGTCCTCGAAGAAGAATTGTAGAATTGTGTGGAATCTTAGTAGCTTGATGGTTTCCTCCAGGTCGCCAGGCTGATATAGTTGAGCTGCTAACGTTGGGAAGAATTGCTTAATTTCCTCTCTGCGACGCCATCGATCTAATAAGGCAATAGCTTGTTCCTCGTGGTGCTCAAGCCAGAGGTCTTTCGACCTAACCGCGATAATTGCCTCGGACAGGTCCAGGAATTCTCCGTAACTAGCCTTGAGGATAGTGTGAAGAAGTTCCTCTCGAACCATGAGATATGCTTTGTGGCATATTGGTGACGAAAGTACGATGGACCTGAGTGTATCGAGGTCTGAGACCTGAGAGAAAATGATTATCAGCAGCTCAGTTGGCAAGCCTTCGAGTATGGGTTTAGCCTGCGAATAAATCAGTTAGAATCGACTCGAGCTCAGAACCTCCTTAAACAAACCATGATTTAACGACGTCCGTGAGCTTCTGGTTTCGAGTGGGAAGAGGACTAAGCCATGCATCCGGGTGTTGTGAGCCTGAGCTGGCCCAGCGTTGAGTATCTTGGAGAGTGGTCAACCCCGCAGGCAGGCCCCAGAACCTTATGTAAGGTTAGCGCCTACCTACCTAACCTATGGATGCAGAGAGAGACTCTCTTTCTCAGCCTCACCGCTAAGGCCTTAGTGCAGATCATTTGTTGAGCAGACCACAGAAATCCATTGATTTGCATGGGGATTACCATAGCCACAAGTGTACATACAGTACTCATCATTCTTCATCGCTGACATGTTCGTATATTTGAAGAGAGGGTACATATCCTGGAAAGCTTTCGTAACTCGCATAGGGAAAATCAAACGCTCAGGGGCTCGGTCTGAGACATTCTGCTAGATATTAGTTACAATACTAGTTCCCAGAAAGGATGGCTAGCTCACATGTTGTGGTTGCTGGTGAATGATCATGGTGTATACGGTTCTAGTCAGTACCGAGAAGTGCTCATATAAACTCAAGAAAGGAGCACATCTCATGGGTGCGCTAGCGGGATAGCATTTGATGCTTCCATGGATTGAGAGAAGTTCTCCCGCGTCACAAAGTCAGGCAACGACTTAGCACAACGGGGAGCTGGAATAACAGGCGGTATTTATAAACTTCTCAGGTTGTATGGTCACCCATATGCAAACCTTGGCACCAAGTTGGCCATATCTGTCCGTGGCGGGCTGAATTGAAAAAATTACAAAATAGTTTCTGCGCATTGCCCCCAAAGAAGACTCTTAACAGTATTGTGAAAGAAATTCTAGTGTATGAAGGGTGTCGCTTTTTCCCCCATTGGTAAACACCAAATTCAACTCTACTAAAGTGCTCCGCATTCTAAGGGATACTATTGGGCTACTATATTTATCTGACCCTAGGCAAAGAGGAGAATGCATTCGTCATATGCCGCCCCTCTTCAGTACCTTGAGCTCGAAAGGTCCGTGCATGGGAAGGAAACGGACTCCGAAGGAAGATAAGACCCACATCCCGTACGAGGTATCCAAGAGCGAAGCCCGTACAGTATATTCGAAGTGACTAAATGATCCAAGTCATCCAATGCTTCTTGGAATTTTTTTCTTTATCCGCAAATTAACAGAAATCCGACCTAATTGCTAACTCTTGTAATTTCAAATCACAATTTACGCAACCTGGCTTGAACTCCTTCACCCTTATAGAAAACCCGGTAACCACGATTCAATACTTAGGTGGCCATCAAACTTCAACAAACCACAATCAACTATCGGAAATATTTCAATGGCTAACAAAGTGGATGACGTTGTCTTTGCGACTTATCCCGACTTGAAGGAGAAAGTCGTTTTCTGTAAGCTTGCAAATCCAATGAAAATGGCGGTCTTGCTCTTGTGTACAAAGCTGACAATGAAATATCTAAGTGACTGGCGTTGGCCAAAGCGGGGATCCTAGCTTGAAGATATGGGGCAATGGTGTCTCTATGGCACGTGTTATGGTCCATCAGGAAGCCAAGGTATTTGGCTGCGACTTGAACCTGGAAGCCGCCCTAAGAACACAAAAGAGTCTTCGCGGAGCTGAAATTACGGTGACTCAGGCAAACGTAGTTAACTCTTAATGATGATGTCAAGCGGACAGTAGACGAGTGTATGAAGGAATACGGCCGTATTGATGTTCTTATCAAGTAAGTGACAGGGCCTTCCCCCAACCCAAGGCCGTCGAAGACGATAGCCTAATCGGGAATTCTAACTGCCTTAAAGTAACGTTAGACGTTCAGAGCGTGGTGACCCACCTGAGTTGACTGAGGAGGTTTGATATGACCAAACAAACATTAATCTCAAATCGATCTACCTGTCATCACATCCTGCCTATCATAGAAAACCAGGGATCTGGAGCTGTGTGAACATCTCATCTATTGCGGGTCTAAGATACCTTGGAAAACCACAAATGGCCTACTCCGCAACCAAGACCGGTGTTATCCAATTTACCAAGGCGACTGTGGTCATCTATGCTCAAAAGGGAGTTCGCCTCAATGTTGTTGTTCCAGGCCTCATGCATACTCCACTCGTTACTGTCCTAGCGGACAAGTATGCTAACGGTGATCTTGACGGTTTTATTCAAAAGTGACACGACGCGGTTCCAACCGGCAAGATGGGTGACGGAACAGATATTGCCATGGCTGTTACTTTCCTTGCTTCTGCTAGCTAGTGAAAGAGCTAGAATTCTCACTAAACGGTTTGGTATATTCATAATAAACTTTGATCATTGATATCTTGAAACTGCAGGTAAAGATTCAAAGTTTAATAGCCATTTTCCATTCGTAAAGAATACATCGAATCTAAATTGCAGCAATAAGTTCAATTTCCAACTCGGCATTCATAGGCAGCTGAGCGACGCCAACACAGGTTCGACACTGACGAAAAATTGTTAGTTTACTTGAGAAGAAATTTGTGATGGTTCATAGGTCTAACCGGCTTAGGATCCTCTGTGAATACTTTGGCGTACCCCTCATTTACAGCCGTATAGTGATCCATGCTTGAGAGAAAGATGGTCACTTTGACAACTTTCCCTAAGTCACTACCACCTGCCTTGAGGACTTGCTCGAGATTGCGAAGAGCTTGGATCTTCAATTTTGTGTTAGGTTTATGGTATCCCTGTTGCCGGCCTTAAAGACGGGGATTTTACTTACAGTTCTGTCGGTCGTAGTGCCCTCCACAAACTTTCCCGTTCTTGGATCAATGCCTAGACTTCCAGAACAATAGATCATGCCATTGCTGATTATGCCCTGCGACATAAGCGGACTCGGTGCGGGAGCATATTGGCTCAGAATGGCAGTTTTGTCAGGCGACATATTTGGAAACGATGGTATTGCGAATATAAGATCTAGCTCGTAGAGGGTATTCACGATATATATCAGGCTCTTTATACGACAGCTAGTAGTCTTGCTTTGAATAATATCTTCCAAAAAGTGTCCAATCAGGTTCTTATTTTCCCTCAGGCGAAAAAGGTTGTTATTTAGGCAAGTGAAAGCGAGCGGCTAGAGTGATAACCCTAGGCTGATAAGCGGCGGATCCATACTACATTTATGTATGTAGGGAATTGCATTTTTCTAATACTTTGTGTTAATTAGAATTTCGGAGTGTCCTAGGATAGTTCCTTATGGAAAAAAAGCGCATTTTTTCATTATTTTTTTCTGTTTTTGCAGAGTTACCTCTAATAAGCTTTTAGCAGTTGACAACCTATACAATGTCTGAACTATTATCCTCTATATCTCCCTAGAGGCTACTTATCCGTCTTCTATATTCGGTATTAGTTATTATATCCTTAAGGTTAAGGAAAGGACGTTGAATGCGACAAAGAAATTTCTCGACGCCAAAAAGCACGACTGAAAACTTTAGAGCAAACCAGTGACCCTTGGCTAGAGGGGGAAGGTATAAGAGACTATCAAATTTATATGCGGACGGTTACCTGAAGGGGGTGTACAAAGAGGCCGGGTATTTAGTAAATACTTGTCTTCCTTCTTTTGGACATAAGCACCTATTACCAAATATTGATAAGTCATTAAATCTTTGGTTACATCCTACTTATAGAAAGATAGTATGAATATTTTTCACGTCTGAACATTTTTACGTAAGGGAGTAGGTAGCTTTGTGCACCAATGCCAACATGGGGCAAAATTCGCATACAATACTGATTACACGCCAAATCTTACTCGAGAGAGGATAGTGCGAATAGCAAACACAGGGCGGTCTAAATACTATGATCTCATGGTTTGATATCTGGCAGGAGAAAATCCTAACTAGAACATACGATCACGATTGGTAAGTTTTACCATGTGGAAGGAGCTACCGAGCCAATAGATACAATGGGATTATACAAGTGGGCCGCGGCACGGCGGGTAAAAGCCAACGTTCCCAAGTATCCGAGGCTAGTAACGTTCTAATTCTTATGTGAGCTCTGCATAGTAGCTTTCCCTTCATCTTAACAATGTTTTTCTTCAAATCCCCTCTTTCGAAGACTTCAAAGGATCTTGTTTTCACCGAAGCAACCCCGAACCCCAACAATCGACCCATCAGTATCAGGCTTGCTCAGTTACAATGCCGAACCGCGAACAAACGCTGGACTAGCGTGTCCACAGCAGTCAAGATCTAGAGCATTATGGAACACTGAATATGGAGAAAATCTATCGTGGTTAGCCCATGTTAGTTTCTGCATTGTTTACATCGTTTACTAAGAGCTTCTTGTTAGTATCTGTCCTCTCTGACTTCCCTTTGTTCATTGTTTCAAGGCGACAATCACCATGTCTATTTTATCTTAAGGCAATGTAGATTTCGGGTATATAATCTCCTTATGCCATCGCTAGATTCCAATGAACCATTCTCACAGCCTCACATGGCAAGCAAAGGATTCTGAAAGCCCATCATCTTGATTACTTCCATTCAAGTCAATCTTGCCAAACTTCTCAGACATATCTTCTAGCAACGGTATGTCGTCACAGCCACCCATTGGTCACGGGCGAGATATCCATTCCTCTGAACAGGAACCAAAAATTTGGGAAGACTTTATAGTTCCGGGGGCACGGCGGCAACTATGGATTGATAATCCCGGCACGCCATGTAAAATCCAACACTCCCATCTTATGATGCAAAACCTCCATGATCAGGGTTGGTACATCAGTAAACGGGCCCCAGAAGCTGTGGACTGGCTTGATTTTGATGAGTTACAAGCTCTGGGCCTCCCCTGTGATTCTGACAATTTACCAGAAATTTTGACGTTTATAGGTATGCAGGCGAGACATGGGGAGTGAAAGGTGCTGATTGGGACGGCTTCACTGGTCCAGGTGTCATAATTATCTCTAACATCACAAGGAAACCGCATTCTCCGTCTCCCCCAATGTCAGAAGTGACAAAGGCTGTATACGAGAGAACATTTGATATCAGTGGTCTTCGATACGTCATCATCAAGAACGTTATGAATGAGCAGACCGGCAAATTGATCAAAGATCTTCTCTATACATCGGAGAGAAGTATTCCATGGCCAGGGAAGTATGGACAACGGGATTCCTGGGAGTGGAACACTCCTGAATACCAGGCACTTCTGGGAACTCGTTTGGGTAAGCTAGTGGCATATCTTGTTCTGGGCTCATACGAGCGTGGGAAGCGGAGAATCGCACGCATTATAACTTACCGAACTGGAGACTCGCCTTGGCCCCATATGAGATTCGACATTGAGGACACACCAGTATCCTAGTGGCATTGTGTGTCGATGCTAATTTTGTGGGTGTCTTTAATTCTGTTGAGAATAGCAAGGATGCCCATTATCCCCGCCCTGTGGCTTGGGTCTTGCTGCCTGCTCTGAAAGGAATATTGACTGGCAACGGTGTACTAACCAGAATGAAGTCTTCTTCCCAATATATATTTGTCGATTCATCTGTTCTTGTTACCCTCACCATCAAATAGACCTCACTAGTATACCCCTGCTCTAATCTCTGTAATATCCACCCTTGGACACCTGTATAGTAATCTACTTCCAAACGAACTTTAGCAGAATTTTGTGCACGATGACCCAGAAGATAGCTCGGGAGACGTTTCGAAAGACCTTTCAAAAGAACGGCAGTCAAAGCAGATCTAGCTAGAATTTTTGATTGAAACTCCTAGACAGAGAGAAAACCGGCATATTCCAACAGAAAGCCATCATGCTCTGTGATTCATCATAATATCTATACAAGAGCGTCTGTCATCACGCATCAAGCAATATAGCCGCCAAAAAGGCCTATATATAAAAGAACAAGTCCTAGTTAATGTACAAGGAAAGAAAATAAACCAGACAAAGTCCCGTCCAATCCAGCACAAAAGACAACAAAAATATTTAAAAAGAAGGGAAGGATAGAAAAAACGAGAGAATACGAACAACCCCTCTAATCCACCCTCAGAATCAAATCCTGCCCCCTCCTGGAAGGCGTTAAGCTCCGCCCAGTCGCTGACAACCTCTGCTCATTAACATCCTGTGGCCTCCTCTGAGGACTTCGTGGATACAACACAGCGCCTGGAAACGCTTCTGATGGATACGGGAGACCGGTGGAAGCAGTAGATGATGGGGCTCTGCTGCGGCCCCTCTCGATCCAGAAGTCCTCCGGACAATATGGGACGACGACCTCGCTGGGTGGCCGTGGGCTGCTGCGGATTTGCACGCGTTTGATATCATCTCGACGGACGATACGTGGTCGTGATACAATTTCTGTGGTTGGAGTGAGGCCCAGGCCGTTGGAGGGCGGGACTGGTGTTGCTGGGCCTGGACATGGCCTGCCAGCCATAGTCGTAAGTTGACGCGGACTTGGTGTCTGAGCTGGATTGGGTCTGCTAGTGGACATCCCGCTTAAAATGCGGCCTTGTCCTGTACTGAAGGGGGTAAGGAGGGTATTTGCGGAGTTGCGGTGGGAGGAGCCGGAACTATTATGGGGAGTGCTGCTGGGGTTGGACGGCGGCGAGCCACGGGGGGCGGTAGTAGAGAAAGCTGGAACGAGTGCTCTTTCACTGGGAACCGCTTGTGCTGAGGATGTTGACGATGTTTGGCCTGGGTATAACCGCTGTGGCGGAGGGCGAAGGTATTTTTGAGCTGGGAAGCCATTTTTGAGAGCACGAGGGTTGGCCGGCAGCCCTGTCATTACGTGTTGAGATTCGGATGTTTGCGAGCCACTTTGTCGGGACTGTTGGAATTCATCTTCTTCAAAGAGCGTTTCCCCACTGACGGGACGATGACTCCATTTGAGTGGTTTGGGATATAACCCTGTCGTTTGGGGGGCGATTGGTTCGGCGAGTGTATGTTGCGAAGACAATGTCCGCGGAGAAGACTCCCATTCGTCCCCAGAGCTGACAGCCACTCCAATGGGCTCCTTCTCTCTCGGCTTCTCCGTGTTCGGAACCAACATCACCGTAGCGGTGGCGGGTAGATTCTGCGCTGTTGGCGTGCGAGTACAGGGCAGCTCTGAAACTTCTTGATGGCCTACTGTGTGGCCGAATGAAGATGGTCCCGTGGGGTTTGGCTCTGGGGAGGGTGAGGAATGACGCGAGGATGGTCGTGAAAACCCTGGAGGCTGAGACATTGCACCTCCAATTTCGAAAAAGTCATGATCTGAATTAGACCTGATTGTGCGGTTCCTTTGCTTCCATCGCTTGCAGCAGAAGAAGACGGCCACGCCAATGATGAAAGAACCGGCTACTCCTGATGCAACGGAGACACCAATGACGGTGCCAGAACTAACATGATTTGAACTTCCATCATTGGATGGAGACGAAGTAGCAGTATCACTCGGAGTCGTTGAGATGCTTTCAGCGCTGGTCGTGGCTGAGACTACCCCGGAGGCTGATGATGTCGTTTGAAAGACAATACCCGAATCACTTGAAGTTGTGACAGATGTCGTAGATGTCGGTAAACTAGACGTAGAGGAGCCAACTCTAGTCTGCGAGGTATTGCCCGATGTTGTACTAACACTTGTTGTTACATCGGCGCTCGTGGTTGTCGAGCTAGGCGGGTCGAACGTCGTCGCCGTAATTGTAGCGTGCGTTTCACGTATAGCACCAGACACCGAATCGCAGACATGGTATACACTATTCCCCTTGCTGGAAATATCCTTCTCTGAACACAGAGCATACAGACAGCTCAGAGCAGCCTCTCCCAACGTAAGCCCAATAGCTGTTTTGGTTCGGCACAGGCACTTGATATCCTCTGCAGACGAGCATTCATTCGACGTGTATTGGCCCTGGATAAAATTCTCCACGCATGTCTTGGCGCAGTCTGGTATGATGTTCCAGAGAGCAGCATTCGAAGTATCATTTGAACCGCTTGCCGAAGATAGGGCGACTAACGGAAGAACCGCAGCGAGTATCCTGTAGGCAGGATGGAGGAGCATTCTGCAGCGACTACACACCTCGGTGTCAACTTAAACAATCTCTCTCGTATTCCTGGATAGGCCGGACCAACCTAGAATTAACCTTGTGTGGGAATGACTACCCTTGAAGCCATACGATCTTTGAGGTTACCATCATCGACTTCACAAGCAAAGCAGCGGCAAAAACCAACGCAGTATGAGTAGATCGAGAACCCAAAGGCGAAAAGAAATGGAAAGAGAAACACATCCCAAGAGAGGCCAAGAGTCCCCTAATTAAAGATCAGGGCCCCTGTGAGGCGCAACCCTACGCGCGAGGGTAATTCCATGATCTATGACCATCTGCCCAGCGGGGCAGTTGTAGGCTGGAGCTGAAACATAATCGTTGCGGCGGTCCTCGAGTAGGCGCCGGCATGAAACTAGATGACATAGTGGGGGCTCTAAATGGTACAATAATCCCAGCAAATTATTCTTGATCTGGGTCTCGCAGTCTCTATTTTGGCGCTGGTTGAGTGGCTGAGGCGTTGGCGCCTGCGATACGCGCCGGGGCGAAAGGGTGGGCGCTTACAGTGCAGCCCGAGTCAGCTCTTGCCCTAGGTCATGTTTCAGATCGTAAATATTAATTGCCGATCAGTCAATTCTCTTTGATCAGTTGAGAGGGGTTTGGGGCTGGATAATTTTGCGAGCGAACTGTTACTCATCTAGGTGAATGATCGTGATGGATTGAACAGATGATCGACGTTCGGGAGTTATGCTTACATCCGGAGGGGTTGTATAGTTAGCACATCGGTTTTTTTCCCCTTATGCACATTATTGTGCTATCCATGCTGGAGTGATAGGCTTACCGCCACTATTCCTGATTCCAAACATCCTGTACGTTGTTCTGTACAGCCAGTTCCTGGATCAACCGCCTATGCCGATCTTGAACACGGTGGTCCCACCCAGGTGATCCTGGGGAATCATTTCAGGGGTGAAGTGGATAACTAGGTGATCGCATATATTCAAGACGATCTCTACACAATAATTAAATGCAATCTTCAATTGAAGGGTTTCAAATAATTGCCATTCCGTCAATCGTAAAAGCTAACCGACCCCCGGGCGAAGAAGCGCAAGCCCGCACAGGTCATACAATATGAGGTGGTATCATTTGAAAAGCAAAAAGAAGGGACACAAGAACGTAAAGAGGCAACCCGGCAAGATCGTGACAAAGGAAATGGGGGAATAATAATCGGCCAAAGTGTGTATGACAGAAGCCGAAATTAGGGAATTATGGGGAGTGCAGCGATGCCAAGAAGGGGAGGGGGAAGCTGCAGGAGGCTGGTCGGACCGCCGCGGAACCACGCTGACTCCGGGGCTCTAGGGACATTCGGTGTATCCACGACTCTCGACGTGATGGCATGAAAGAAGCGAGGCATGGAACGCACGTCGCATCGCGGAATGATCTTTCAGAGCATGATCGGCCAAAGTAGCGGAGAAGCGGCGGTCGGCGAGTTGTGTAGGCGATTCTAGTATTTGAAGATAATGTAGCTGCGAGCGGGTTAGTTAGTGGGGATTTCTTGGGAAATAGGACAGTAAAAGGGAACGCTGCAAGGACCCATCACGTACAAGGCGTGGATAATACCGGGAATCCAACCCAGGATGGTCAGACAGATGTTGATCAGGAGGTCAGCACCACATCCGCGCTCCAGGAAGACACCCAGAGGAGGCAGGATGATGGCGAAGATGATCTTGCAGATATCACTGTGGAATCGAGTTAATCGCACCTCTTTGAGGACTTTCGCATGATCGGATTTCGAGTGCGACAATCCGACTGCGCCGCTTTTGGCAGCTCAGGGTAGTCGACCGGTCTTGTCGGCATCGGGAGGAAATGACGACAGAGACGGCACTCGGGACACTCAGGAAACACTTACGAGGCAGTGAAAGGCATGGTGACGGTGAGTACTGGGACTTCCGGGAATGGAGAGAAGACGGTAAGAGGAGGGATTGGAGAAAGAAGAAAAGGCGGGAATGCGGAGAGTGGGCTCTTTTTAAAAGGAAAGCCAAAAAGCAGGGGAATAGCTCAACCAGAAAACTGGTGGCTTTTCTCAGCGGAAGCTCTTTTTCTATTGCGTCATGGCCCGCCACGTTGTGGCTCGGTCTAGTGTATGATCGTCGATAATGAAGAATGATTGGCTATTCTTACTGGTTAAAAGCGGCTGCCTGTGGCTTATGCTCATGAAATAAGCAGGCATTTCCAGAATCGTAGCTTAATGTTCGTCATAGTCTGGAACATGGGTAATCTCATGATAACTTCATATATCATACTGTAGTATGACGATGTGTAGTATTATGGACTATTCCTTATTCCTGATTCCCCACTACCGTCTTTTTTTTTCACGTAGCTAGTCCTACGCTAATACTTAAGCCTGGAAATCCACGAAACGAAATTACGATAGTCTCTCAGCCTTGTTCTGGCTCATGACAGTACTTGACTCGACAGCAAGGCGTGCAGGATCTACTGCACGTTCTGCTGGGCTGCAGCCCTAGGCCCCCGTATACTTTTGTACTGTACATCGTACAAGAGTAAGAATGGAAACCGGTCCGACTCCATTTCTAAACGGTCCTATCCGCGCCCTCCGTTTGCTCGTTGCCTGGCAAGCCAGTCTTGGCACCCTGGGCTGTGGCTCAAGTCATACACTGGTAAAAAATAACAAGAACATGAAAGATAGAAAACTGAAACTAATTATATAAAAATTACTGTTAATTATATAATTAGCATGAAAAATTGACGGTAATCTATCGCCCAAGCCTCCCCCATAATCACGGTAGATTACGGTAGATTACGGAAGATCCCCAGTTTTCTGCCCTCAAGTACGCGTTGCTAAAGTAGTGTGACTGTCGGTCTCATGATAACGCCGATCCTTGGCCGCACCGCAGGACTTACATCGTCACCTGTGGCGCGACTCTGCCAATGCCAATGCCAATGCTAACGGCCCAGCCCTACAACGAACGAGTCCCCTTTGTCCCCACCTGCCAAGGCCCTTCGAGGGGTCCATTGGCTGCTGGTGACTTCACACCAAGTGAATAAGCAGGTTCATGCAGATTGCGACGGTGGCTGGAAGAAGAAGAGAAATACAAAGTTTATGGCCTACTCTGTACTGTACAAGGACCGTTCTTCCTGACGCAAGCAAGATCCTGTGGCAATAAGGTAATCTAGGGATCTCGTTATAGCGTTCCCAAGTCTGGCCTGGCAGCTCACTATGTACCTACCCGTGTGGAGAATAAGCAAAGAAAAAGAAGAGTACCCCAGACAAAAATACATTTGAGTAAAGGCTCTCTTTGTGACTGGTCGGTAGCGCTTCTATTTTAATCACCCAATCGCCTAAAAAATATCCAGCTGCGGGTTAAAATCGACATCTTCCAACAGCGAACTCCACTGCGGCGCGTCCAACTCGGGCGCTACGGCCACAAACTCGGACCACAACTGTTCCCAGCCCTCTCCGTTGAGATCGTTGATCAGGGTACCTCCATCTACAGACCCGTCCATTATCTCCGTAGAAGAAGGCTGTACCCTGGCTGAGGGGCCGAGACCCGTGGGTGGTAGTACAGAGTCTTGGTCATCCTCGGTAGTCCGAACATCTTTCTGGAGCGTGGACATCAGAGTCTGAAGATTCTTTTGAATTCCTTCTAGCAGGTAGTTCGATTCCTGCTTCGACTTCTCCAGTGCCTGGTACGCGACCAGAACCTTAGCCTTGCGATCCTCCGCGTCCGGCGCAGAAGGGTTGAACGAGACGTCCATAGCCAGAATCAGAGCCGCGAAGAAGACGTGATGCATCACTGTCAAGAACTGCCCTGCTTTCAATCCAACCTCGATCCCAATCGCATCCATTGAGCGTCGCAGCTCCAGCACGCTCTGGGCAGATTGGATGCACACTTTGTGGGAGTATGCGTATCTAGGATTCGTGATACCTTCCAGATGATATGGTCGGTGGAGTCGGCACAGCCGGGTGTGGATGCTAAAATGGACGCTGATCCGCTGCCAGGCAATGGTGGGTCGTTTCTTACATATCTCCCGGCTTTGCTCGATACTGGCGGGGTCCGTTTTGAAGTGCACGGGGAGTTCGTTGAGGAGATTCTGGAATTTGGCATCCAGTTCAAGAATGGTGTCGTAATCTGGCTCAGTGGATCCAAGTAGTATAGATGGCAGGGCGTCGATAACTTCCCGAGACAGTGAGGCGGATTTCACTCGCATGAGAAAGGCGGACATGGAGGTAGGAACGGACAGGGGGAATTCCTGCTGAATGCCAGTTTGCGTGATGAATTCATCATCAGTATTGCTAGGCAAGTTGACATTCATGTGTTTTGGGTGGAAGATGTATGCTCCTTCATGTGGACTGCCATGAAAAGCAAGTAGCCTGTAATAGTTAGCACCGAATCGGTGAATCTATGCACAGCGGCAACACGTACCAGTCAGAGGCTACCATATTCCACCATACTCGTCTCTGAACTTCGATATCAATCATGTTACATCCCTTCAACCGCCGCTCCTCGCGGCTTTTGGCGGTATCTAAGCGGTGTACTTGCATCTCTCGTGCCATCAATAGACAACGATGCCGAAGAAGATGTACTTTGAGTGGAAACCCATCGGTGTTCATCAATATGTGAGCCATAGTACCAATAGCCACAAGGGCTGTAGTCGATGCTTGGATGTGGAGACGCGGATGTTCCAGAATCTCCATGGCAAAGCGAGAATACGTCTTGAAAGCCGCCTTGGCTTCTTCACGAGTAGATTGTAAGGTCCCAAGAAGCCGGGGTGTCCAGACCAGAGAGGCTCCAGCAAATATGCTAAAAAGCAACATCAAGTTCGCCGCAGAAGGCTCCTCATCTTCCAGCAAGCCATCGTAAGTCGTTTGGAGTAATTCTTTTGTTGAAGGGATGTGGAGAACCCCAAACGTGGGTTGCAGTGTAGTTGCAAAGTGGTTAAACAGCTCTCGAGCCTGTCGTAAAGGAGGAAGTTTCCTCGCATAATCGAATATCGTAGGCCCTTCTTCATATTTGTCCAGGGCAGCCAAAAGGTGGCAACTGAATGGGGTGACATAAGGGCTATTAGAAGCCTGTCGCTTGTTAGGGTATGAAATTTGTGTAATCCATAGAAGGTTTATTCAACATACTAAATCTTTTGGTGGATAGACGCATTGACGCTTCCCAGCTGGCTCTGGAGATGTATTTGACCTTTTAGCCAATGCTTCTTCCAACCTGCGTATTCGAAACAGAAGCTCATCGGTGTTACTTTGGGGACGGTTAGCGCTGGGTACATTAGACCAAAACTGCGCTAACTTACTTTGCAGCTAGCTCTGTGTGAGCAGAATCTCGATCTGCAGCATTCTTATTGGAATGAAACGAAGTGGATTCCATCAATGCTTCTGTGACAGGCACATCTTCGGGGCTCTGGCCGGGGTATTCGCATGAGATCTTCCTGATTACACAGTTCGAGCAGGGTTGTGCACGATCACAACGTCGTTTCTTCTCGCGACACTCGCGACATGATAAGGGTGGCTTATTCCACCTGTGGATCGTTGCGATGGGATTACCCCTGTTCTTCCGTTTCATGCTGTCCTATAACTGGTCCCTAAATTGGCGTCTTGTTATGCTAGACGTATGTCGGTCGGGTGGTCCGCGGATGTCCGCGGACAGATAATTCTTATATGAGATATAGCGGCCCCAAGTACAAAGAAATAGTTTATCTGGTGGAATCCAATAAGAAAGATCTATGTTGACGAGTGTTTGACGGCGTTACGGTGACCCTAGATGACTGGCGAGTCCGCGGGAGTCCGCGGGCTGATCACCCAAAGCGGTTAGCGTCGTATGTAATCTGTGACGGGTAGAATCAATATCCAACCAGGAGACTTTATTACGAATACCTTCGCATTACGGCCCAATCTTCGCTCTGGAATCTCGGATTCGGAGGAGCTTCATTCCCCGCGCCCAGTGTGCTTTGCTTGTCCGCCATCTCTCTATCAAGTTAATTGCTGGGTCTCTCCCTTCCCGAGTCTGTTCTGATTAATGTCAATCAGGCTTGGCCCTAGCCGGGGCGCCCTGCGCGTCGCGCGCAGCTTACCTCGAGCGATACCGAGCTTCGCCTACTCCATCAGAGGCTATGCCAGCAGCAGTTACCCTCCATTTGCATTCACCTGGCTCACAAAATCGCCGGAAGCTATAGTAAGTTACCTCGCTACCTGAGATATCCCTAACCCATACTGACAACTGTCTCAAGACCACACGAGATGTCTTATCGTCCCTTCCATCCTCCCCAACTCCACTACTCGCCCAAGACTCGGTCCCATTACTGCTTGTCACCCCGAGCTTCGCGCATTGGCTTGAACCCTCCGATGAATTCCTCCCCAAATTGATGCGCCAGCTTTATGGCAACGATTCAAACACAAACACACTCTATGCCGTCGCCGCTGTAATCGATAAGATTCCCGAGAGCTCCGCTCTAAGCAATCTAGAGTCTGAAGGCTTGTCTCTTTTGGCTATTGACAAGGAGAACGTACATGGAAAGGCTGCACCTCCTCGTCGCTTTGGAGAACCTGCAAATGAGGAATCTGACATTCTGGTCTCGATCCACAACGAACAAAAGAGCCAAAGCCCTACTGGCGTCACTCATGAAATCGGCCTGCGCCTAGCGAATACCGTGTTCGTCAACGGCAAGGAATCAACTCTTCTTGGCATGCAGTGGACTCGTGATAATACCACGAATGCATATACCCTGGACAGTACGATAAATATGACGAGTTGTGCTGTCAAATCTACATCGTCCGCTAGTACCAGCCCTCATCTCAAACTCCCTCTCTATCCTATTGGTGACAGGAGAACGGTGATCGCCAGCATGGGGAACATCCTACGGCAGATTTCGAAATCATCAGACCCCAACTCGCAGGAGCCCATTCCTGCATCCTCCGAACTGGAGAAGGATCTCCCTCGGTATATTAAAGAACACAATATAACCGATCAAAGGGTTTCCGTTTGGGCTCTGGTTGAGAAACCGGATATCAAAGTCGGAGATCCCAGCTTGCCAACACGGGACTACCTAATCCAATCATTATCTCAGGGTGGTAAACTGCACCGGGTCGTGAGTGGAGGTGGAGGATGGGGCAAGAAGCAAGGCCTTCTTTCCTTGGACCCTGAGATCAGCTTCTCAGGCTCTGCCCAGCGGCATGCGCTGGTTGGCCTAGACCAACTTTTCAATCCCAGCGCAGATGCCGAGATGGATCTACCACCATTCCTTGCGAAAGGCCTAGTTGGAGAAGACCTTTCCCTGCTGTCGCAGGTCGCAACAGCTGGTGATTTTATCCAATTCTTCGTGTCGGTGGACCCGGCATCCATTCAGGACGCTGTTCCAAGTAATGCTGGCCGTTCAGACGGTAACATCACATACCGCTTTGGAATGGTCTCAAAAGCTGAAGAAAGATCTCCATCGGACATGATGGATGGAAACGATAACATCACTGTGGTGCCGAACTCGTTCGGAGCACTGTCTGAGAAGTCGATTTCATACACTCAACCCATGGCGCAAGGTGGAGAAACTCCGGGATCCAGTACTAAGCTCGATATCCCCGGATGCCAGGTTGTTGTGAAATCTGTATAATAGTGGACCTTCTAGGAAGGACTGTATGTAACATTAGAAGATATCTATTCCTCCAGACGAGAAAAAGCAGGAATTATGTAAAAAATGAAATGCTGGCAAGTTGACGTATACAACACGGTGGAGACTTAGCGCCAATACCACGTGACCAAAGCACCAGCGTGGTGGCCTCTGACCTCGTAGCACTCTCCAACCTCTCCGATCACAGCAACCACCCACGTCCAACGGCTTGAGTCAGCACATCTCGAGTCTCCCACCATCAATTAAAAGCTCTGAATCCCCCTTGAGACTCCGCCTGAGTCCCTTATACCATCAAAATGGCCACAGAACTTTGGTACGTCGTCATCAAGCCGCCTTCAGCCCCCCCTGGGTGCTTGACAGCTATCGAGCTTCAGTCTTGCTGTCTTGCACCTCAGGCTCTGCTAGAATTGATGAATATCTGCTAACATCTGTCGCTTTAGCCCCGTTTACGCGGTGAGTCCAGCTCCAGCTTAGCTTCCTCGATCCCGCAGCGCTCGAGTCCGATCCGTTGCCCTCCGTGCCCCGAATAGCTCCCCCTCCACGTCAATGAACATATACATCCAGAAAGGCTCAACGGCATTACTGACTCTTATCTTCAGCCCTTCTTCGGTGCGCTGGGCTGCACGTCCGCCATCGTCTTCACCTGCTTCGGCGCTGCCTATGGTACCGCCAAGGCTGGTGTCGGTGTTTGCAGCATGGGTGTCCTCCGCCCCGACCTGATCGTTAAGAGTACGTCAAGCTCAATATCTCGATAAGCTCGAGCTATCGCTATTCTCCGACTACGATTTGCTAACGATTGTGACTTGTAGACATTGTCCCCATTGTCATGGCTGGTATTATTGGTATCTACGGTCTGGTCGTGTCGGTCCTGGTCGCCAACGACCTGACCCAGAAGCTCCCCCTGTACACTGGTTTCATCCAGCTCGGTGCCGGTCTGGCTGTCGGTCTGGCTGGTCTTGCTGCCGGGTATGTCTGCTCAACTCCTCTCCTGAACGGTCGACCCACTTGGCTGTTTCATGTCTAACCTTTACCTTGTGCTGTAGTTTTGCTATTGGTATTGTCGGTGATGCTGGTGTCCGCGGAACTGCTCAGCAACCTCGTCTCTACGTCGGAATGATTCTGATTCTCATTTTCGCTGAAGTCTTGGGTAAGCACTTCTTGACCTCTTGTCAGTCCCTAAGTGGATCGCTCTAACTGCTTGTTACATTGTAGGTCTGTACGGTCTTATCGTCGCTCTTCTCATGAACTCCCGCTCTAGAGCTGAGTGCTAAACGAGACACATCTCGTCGCACGCGGAAACCGAATCTTGGACCTATCGACCCTTTGCAAGATGGGCGATGCTTCGCTTCCGATATGCTCTTGCTCAAGACCCTCAGCCCGGACATCGGTGTGCCGTAGGACCGAGGACGAACGCGATGCAAGAATGGGAAAAGATTTCGGCTATGATAAACTTATTTGACTCGGTGAAGGGATTTGTGATGATCGTGGTATGTAGGATCGGGGAATAGCTCTCGAGCATTCAATCCTGAACTGGTGGAACTGGTTGTGGGTAGATATTGGCTTCTTTTTTTTTTAACATTGCATGAACGCGCGCTGGATTACTGTACTTTATACGGGTCTCGTCTCGATTTGGGACTGGATCCCCTCCCTTTTCATCTGCAGTGGTAGAAGGGCTCGACAAGTTCCTCGTCGGCCCGGATGCCCTCCTGTGGACAAACCCTCTCTCAATCTTTTTATTTCTCTCGGTTTGGCTCTTTCGTGTCCTTTCTTTCTCCTTTACGTCTGGTCTGTCGGGGCTTTTGTATTTGGTATGATATAGCAATCCCGATTTGTGCATTACCTTGCTTATGCGCCATTCGACTGTAGAATAATGGCTAGAGATTACGAGACGTCTGGTGTTATTACTGAATCAAATCCTTTGTTGTTGTCTCTAGCGGGACCAAGTAAGAACATCAGGAAGTCAAACACAGTAGCAGCAGCAAGACAGATATCAAAGAACAAGTCTATTGTGGAGTCCGCAATGCATGAGGGCCACAACGCCACAAAGGAGAAAAAAGTCAACAGCCGTTGGCCATAGGAGGATACCAGCCAGCAATCGGTTCGAGGAGAGGGAAGGAGAAATGGTGATGATTGGATATTTGATAGAGTATAGGAGCGGACAAGAGAAAAGAGAAAAAAATTTCACGCAATGTACGAGAGCCAGTAAAAAAGGGAGATATATGCCCAGCAAAACTCAGACAAGACTAACCCTTAACCCAAGACGATGCAAGACGCAGGCCAAAAGATGCATCCGATGAAGAACCGATCAAAAGGAGAAGGAAAATAAAGGAAACGAGGAGAGGAAAACAAGGCTGAAAAAAGTCTAAGCCTTGTCGAGTTTCCGTCTAAGGGTGCGTGTCCTCCGCATCAGCTTCTTGAACTTGTGCTTCTTCATCTTGATCTTGCGCCGTCTCTTGGTGCTGATCGCATGCATGGTCCGGTTGTGGCGCACACGCTCAATGTATGTCATGCCAGAGGTGGACCCGGTAGGAGCATCGATGGTGAATCCATGCTCGGGATCCTCCATATCACTGCGAACGAAGGGGCCGGTGGAGGCCTCGTAGGTCTTGCGACCGTCAGCATGGCGCTGCTCCCGGATCGTCAGGACAGTGGAGTAGGTCGAAGTTTCCTGCTCAGTCAGGGCATCGGCCGAGGACTGCATGTCCATAGGGACGGGAGGAGGGGGAGGGTGGAAGGGACGGAGACGACGGGTGTATTCCTCCACGGTCATTCCGGCCTCGGGACCATCGAGCATGCGCAGATCCCCGTTCGCATCGGTTGTGAAGCTCTGGTGAAGCTGGTTGAACTGGTCCTCGGACTCGGCCATGACGGGTGCCGGGTTTTCCATGGTCTGGACAGTCGAGGAAAGGGTGAAGATGACATCGTCAGCCTCGTTCTTCAGGAACTTCTTTGAGAAGATCGCATCGAAGGCTTCGGGAGTCGAGATGGGAGGGACGGTGGTGGTCACGGAGATGGGGCGATGGATGGAGAAGAAAGAGGCGACGTGGACGTCTGTCAGAACCCGTTAGCTATGATCAACAGAGCGGAGCGAGAGAAAGAAAGAATATAGTAAAGCTCCAAGGAACTAACCATGCGGCTGGCGGTGCTGGGTCGAGGGGACACTCGGAAGCTTCGAAAACGCCGCATGCTGCTGACTAGCTTTCGAAGAACCGTTCCGAGCACCATTCTCCTTCCCACGTCGGCGGGCAGACTTGCCCTTCTCGCCAGACGAGTTCACACCCTTCGCCGGGGTCGAGGTATCCATTCGGCGAGAGCCATCGCTGGGCGGGACCGGCGGTTTTGAGGAGGAAGAGGAGTACTGACGCTGGTGCACATGTCGGGTTGCGCCGAGCACGGAGGAAGGGACATTCTGGGTGGAACGAGAGATGCCGGACAGAGGCGCCCATGCAGCCCGGCGTAAGGACGTTGACAACATGGTTGGCGTGGGACCCAGCAACTGGGGAAGACGGTGAAGATGAGTCTGAATCGGAGGCGAAATCGTCGGGTCGGAACCCGGAGCCTCTGATCATGCGGCGCTTATGTAATTTTTATGCCTCAGGTGTCTTGACATCCCGGAAGTAGATCATGCGGATCAACGTCCAGCGGCTAAATAAAAACTATCAATGAAATTTGCTTTTCGTTTTGTACGTATACTTGGATTAGGTGGCTGAAATACAGCAGTAGCTTCGAGAAGAGTAATAGTCTGACTTCATTCGGGATGAAAATATGAATCAAGGAAATTGTTATGATACAGAGGCACAGACGTCAGTGTAACACAGCTGCAGGGACAAAACAAGTGGTATCATCCTGCATGATCAACAGAAAAAAAATAGGAGAGAAATGACAGATATGAAGTAGAAATTGAAATGAAATGAAGAAAAGACACCGTCGCTGAAACCGAAGCATAGCAGTAGGTAGCGAAGTCGACCGGGCTTTTTTGTATGCAACGTAACCGACCCAAGGATTGTGGCAGAGAGCCGACGAGTCCTCTAAATGACGCCTCGTGAAGGATAGGAGTAGAAAGAAGGTGAAAGGAAAAGGAAATAGGAGGGAAAGGAGTAGAAGAGGAAAAATAAAACAAGGAGGGAAGGTATGTCACGTTGTAGATGACAGAAAGAAATGGAGCCGCCGAGGTATGCAACAAAGGTGAAAAAAGGTAGGGCTAGAGAGCTCGACAAGAAACGAAATCAACTTCGTGGCAACAATGACGTTCATAACAAAGGCCACCAGTACTCTTTTCTTTTAAAAAAAAAATGCCGCTGCCTTATAGTATTAAGGTATGCAGGTTCTTCTGAATAATCATGTCTTGTACTGAATCCATGGTGGCCTTCAGCAGGGTAGTGTCGGTGGCATTGGTTCGGTGGATATAGATCTCGCGATCAGGAATGCGGTTGATACCGCGGAATCGGTCGGAAAAGTATCGTACAGCAGCGTCAAAGTCGGTGTTAGAACCAGTGTAGTCGGGGAAGTGTTTCGAAATGTTGGAAATCTCGAGTTTGCCCTTGAACAGATCCATCTTGTTCAAGAAGAGAATGATGGGCTTGCGCTTGAACCACTCGCCATTGACGAGTGACTCAAACAGCATCATCGCTTCGTGCATTTGGTTCTGTGCGAGAAAAAGAAATGAGTAAAATGTTCCGCCAGCTAGACAATTCCAAATGCCAAGGGCGGACTTACCGCGTTCTGGTCTTCGACCAGGCACTGATCGTATCCAGACAAGGCGACCATGAACAGCAAACATTGCACTCCCTCGAAGCAATGAATCCACTTCTTCCGTTCTGAGCGCTGACCTCCAACATCCATCATACGGAAATTCATCTGACCCAATTCGAATAATGTTTCCGTGATACCCGTTGTCCGAAGTCGAGCTTGAAGCATGTCTTGATTATCGGGGAGCCAGTTGGGCGTGAAAATGCGATCCAGGGAGTCATAAAAGCTAGACAAAACGGACGTCAGCATGAAACCCCGGCGGGCAGAGGGAGAGGGTCAGACTTACTAATACAGATTATCATGAAGGGCGAATTCGTGTCCTCGAGCAACGGCCTTTTGAACACCAGCGTCTTCCCACATTTCCCTCATCGCATCGCGGACTGTGAGATCGGAGAAGGCCTCGTCGGATCCTACGTCCGGTTCTGTACCTTCTAGCAGGTCCGCCGATTTCTATACGAATGAATTGATCAGCCCATCATCCGATATAACTGAGCGTCGAGAGTGCAAGCGTACCTTTGTAGCCTCATGCTCAAAATTTATGCTTTCAGAGTTCATGATATCCAATAGAACCTTGAAGGCAATGACAACGTTTGAGTAGATGACCGCTCGCGTTTGGTGACGCTCTTCCTCGGGGAAACCTCCGCTGTGAATGATTCGCATTTGCTTGATAATGGTTGACTTCCCGGACTCTCCCGCACCTGCCGACAAGTTAGCACACATCCGGATCGCCACAGTCTTCAAATAAAGTATTCCCACGCACCTAGCAGCAGAATCTTGATCGTCCGATCCATTGTCTTCTTGTCGTTCTTGATGGTTCGTTCGATCCGAGCATTACGCGACAGAGCTTCCTTGTCCGCCTCGGCGGGTTTGGAATTGATGCAGCCCATGATTCACGGTTGAGGGATATGACGGACGAGATTCAAATGCCCTGGATTGATTGTCGTTAGCAAATAGTTCAAGAGAACTTGTCGCGACTTTGAGAATCGGCGCATCAACGGTACACTGGTCACATCTGAATCAGGGATGCGATAGTCCCGCGCCACACTGGACGAGATGCTGAAACACCCGAGACCTTGACAGACTCGAGAGTACGAGCGGGCCGGCCGCTCGGTGTCTTTCGAAGCCTCAAAGTCCACTTTGAAAGGAGATGCGCATACCTAATATCCAAAGAAGCTTGTCCACCGTTTGAATGACCCACGCGACAAATGCAAGTGGCCTTATCCAATGGCCTACCGGTGCAAGCTCTAGTCGGTTCGTTCCCCACACCCAGAACCTGCCACGTTCCGTAAAGGGATTCTGCGCCGCCCAGTTTCCAATTGGGCTAGATTATCCTCCGAGTCCAGAGTGCCGAGTCCGTAACGTGGTAAGGGCGACGTCGATTCGCAGGACGATTTAGGGCGCGGAAGGGACGAGGGATTGCGGGATTGAGAGGGGCGTAATGGTGCCGAAGTCGCGTAGTGATGTCGATGCGCGGAGTTTTCCAGAGTTTGAGCTCCCGAGGTGAGGATCTATAGCTGATTCGGTCCGATTGGCGCCAGGATTTCCAGAAACCGGCGTCTCCTCCAAAAAGGCTGCCCGAGTCCAACAGGGCAAGGGGGGATTCAAGTCCAGGGGGGTTGATGGATGTCACGAAGGGGAATCGTGAACCCGATAGGGAGGGGAGGGGGGGGGAGAGTGAGGGAGGGGAAGAAAGGGAAATGGAGAAGGGAAGAGATGAATCGGTAGAAGGAGAGAGTCAAGCGGAGCGCATAATAATTCAGCAGTAGCACATCTTTGCCGTCCCACGAGAAGTCCGGAAGAGAGTGAAGACGGCCAGACCGTCTAGTGTCTCGATGGTTTATCGTCGAGCGGCTCGACTGCGGAGGTTGAGGAATGCGTATTTGATGTACAATACGGAATATAGACCCGCTCGTAATAATCAACTGGGGAAAAGGCGAGGTTCTTTTTTTTTTACTTTTTTGCTTTTTTTTGCTTTTAGTTTCTGTGTAAATTCTGAGCTCACTAAATACGATCTAGAGCCTACATAATACTTCTAAACAATTGGACTCGGGTCTTGTCGTACCAGATGCTCCGTCGTACCGTACTCCGTCTCCGTCTCCGTTCTCCGTACAGTGTACGGAGAGTACAGTATACTAGTGTGGCATTTGTACAGGCAAAACCAGCAGAGAGGATCAGGGCACTAAGAAGATCCACTAGGAGAATGGGACCATGTCCCCCCCCCCCTTGTCTGATTTGCTCCAATAATACCATGAAACCATGATCAGATACGCAGATTACTGGACTATCGGGAATCCTGCATAAGTACGGAGAGTTACTCCGTACTTTCGTGCAGGTACGAGCTAATCATAGATGATATTATCTAGTATTATTATCAAGGAGTTTCATTCCTATTATGCCTGTACTTATTCACAGGAGCATACTCTTAAATCTCGTGTACATAAAATCACCAAACCAGTATATCATAGGCTTGGACATGTATATTAAACCCCGAAATGGCAGGCCTGCCTCCCGTCAGGCGTCTCCAGGTTTCACGTTCTCCTCGGGTCGATTGATCATTTCTTCATTATATACATTATATACACTCACAGATTGACAGGTCTATTTTCCCCTCATATGCGACCGTCAACATCGTGGGGAATGCGTCCGACCGATCTATCGTAATGGCGTGGCAGACTATTGACGCTCACCCCTTGAGTCTCGCCACCAATCAGAAGCAAAGTGAGGTTCTCGAATTTCTCGAATCATAGGGATTCTTCTTTTGCATAAGGTTGTCTCCTCCCTTGCATTTTTTGGCTCTTCCCTTCGTACAGTGCCCCAGTAGTTTACTCGATGGTATTCTATACACAGATTACTATTACCTACTATGATCATATTCCTTGGAGCCAACAAACCCATGTGAAGTTCCACTGACTCCATCGTGTTCGGTGACCGTAGCCCTGATCAGCCGCGGTGACCCCAGGGGCGGGCAAGGTGGATATAACTGTGGCGCCGCTCGTGGTTTTCGATGGTTCTTCGACTGTACGCCAAGCCACCATGCGGTCTACATGCTAGCGATCGGCACGAAATTGCTGAAACCGCGTTGGCGGGATACATTCAGCTGGGACTCAAGGGCACTAACTCACGTTAGTTAACGCAAGGAAAGTTCTGAAACGTTGGCGGAATCCTGGCCCCGGCGAGGATGACCCTTCGCCTGACGAGCTGTACTGCTACAGTACTCAGCCCAGTAGACCACCCGTGCACTCCGAATCGTTACGTCCGGCTCCTTACGACTCCAACTAGTCCCCCACAAGAGGAATTTGCTCCGGCGACCACCGGTGCTTCTCTTCCTTACTGCTTAGTTCGAGTGCACTGGTTTTGTCAACGGATGAACTAATCGCCCCGCATCCTTTTCATGACGCCAGGCTCATTTCTTTACCGAGGTCCACGCTTTGGCTGCAGCCTCATCATGGTCCCGCCTTTGTCTTTCTTATTTTCTCTCCCAGAGGCCACTTCCTCGTGGGCTAGCCAGCGCGTGGTGCAAAGATCTATCACTCCCCCCGATTACTACCAATCAGGGGTGTCTTATTTCACGAACATGGCGTCCTTTCGCTTAGTGGCGGACATGTCAAAAACCGTCCGAGAAACCATGGGAAAATTGACCCGTCAGGCTGGATAAAACAACAACAGTTCGGCAATAACAATACCATGGTGGAGCTTGTCATGGGCAGTCAAAACTCCACAAGAAAAACCAAAACCGCCCCCTGGGTCTTTTAAGCCCGTGCTCCCATGGAACAAGGCTTGGGATCACAAACCACTTTGTGTACAAACGTACCAACAACGAGCAAGTCTTGACTGGGACTCATTCATATAGGCGGTTTATACGTACTGCAAGACTCGATCTATGCTATCAGGAAAGGGCTTTCCCCCTGATCACAAAATACGGCACTTTCGGGTCTACAGTGCCTGTTTCTCTTACAAACCCCACACAAGGCTTCTTAACCAAATGTTTACTCATGAATGTTGATCATATGGTCCGTCCGCTCGTTTCTGTTCTCCACGCTCGCGACCCATCGAAAACGTGCACCAAAGAGGACTGGTTCCCCTTCGGTTCAACATTTCCGGTTTTATGGTTTGCGGTCCATCCGCCGTGCACGCGGGAATGAAACTAACGCAGGGGTCAGTCTTGATAAAGGCTAGGGTGTCAGGAGAGATTATTCCCCTATCATGAGAGCCACGCGAGTGCGATCGACTGCCCAGCATCCCGATCTGAGAGTGATTTATCTCCGACTGCACGTACTCCGTACATGATCAAGGAAATGGAGTTCCCATGCGTTGATCCACTTGACAGAGTACAAATTCTTATGGTTAAGGCTGCTGCCACCCCCTAGATTTCCTGCGCGCACTTCCTGGGGCCTTTTGTATTTCTAGCTGGCATAATAATACATAGTATTCTATATAGTGGAGTTTTATGGTAAGCTCAGAATCTTGACCAAACATCAAAATCATCTTAGTCATGCTTTGAAAGATAGCTAGATAAATACCAGTTACCTACTTAGATCGAGGGATATTATGTGGGATATCCGGAAAAATATCTCAGAAGACTTTCCGAAAGATCTAACTTCTACGGTACTCATGACGGGCATAGCAAAGGTCTAAGGCAGGGGGTGCGCACGGGAAATCTAGGGGGTGCAGCTGTCTCACCCATTCTTATTTCCGGCAGAAAAACATACATACATCTGACAGACTTGACAGATTCACAGCAGATGTATCGAAGAACAAAGTACATAACCGTAGACATGTAATCCAACTATCAAACGTGGAGTATGTTCTCAATTCATCTTACCTGCCATTAACATTGTTCGTACAGCGGACACTTATGATCACAGATAAGACTCCTGAGTTGTGTACTCCCTACTGTGGATAAAGCCGTCATATGTCCGGAAGCAAGGACCATGTGAAAAGATAAACAAACCGAAATCGGGGCAGATATACAAATCAAGAAAATGGAGTCTTTCTATGGACACCTTAACATTAGCTTCGCCGTTCTCCGCAGGTTCCGTTCCCTGAACTGACGAGTCCTACTTAATTCATCTCTAGCGCCCGCCGAAAAGATGGTTTAAGCTCCTAACGGAACTCTGCCAAAACAAAGGTCTCGCATTTAATTCGCTCACCATGTTTGCGCCGAAGATGGATCCAGAAAAAAAGCATTTTCCACATGGGTAATTTCCATTCAACGGCGATCACCAAGTTTTGATTTCGGACCTACTTCCCCCTCCAAATTCGTCACGACGATGCACAACGAAAACATAATAAACTTTGGCACACTTTAAAGTTTAGATACCACCTGCTCGGCGGAGGCTAGACGGTCTGGCGCTTTCATTATTAGTATGTAAAATTAGACCGAAATGAAGAGTCTAGGTCCAGACCATCGACAAATCGCAATTATCATACGTTATACTGTGCTGTAGGCATCTCCTGAGCCCTGACTACTTGAGGGGAAAGAGTACACATTCCCGTTAAAGAGAAGATCCCAACGGGCAAACATCCCAGAACCGTTGTCCGGTGGAACCTAGCAAATTAAACGTTGTCGATCAGCATTTGACAGCAAGCCTGATCCCTAGTCTTCAGGGGGAGATGTGCCCTGGCCGCCGGGTTCTCGGGATTTGCTCCGGTGGGAGACGCCCAACTTGGAACCATCCCTGCCAAGCTGTCATTTTTGTGAAAGATGGTCGTTTCGCGAATGATTGTTTTTGAAAGCCTTAACACGACTCGTGGCCTTTTGTTTCTATCTTTAGACTGCAGTGGTTGGGGATGGAAGCCTCCCGAGTCGCTGAGCTTACTGGGGTTTTAATACGTAGCTTGGGTGCTGAGATAGGCAGTTCTTGATGTTGGAATTGTCGACTCGTCACACAGTATCGAGTACTGGTTAAATTCGATTCATATGTCACATTCTTCCTGTGCTCGTGTCAAGGGTAATTGCGTTTGTTTATCCATCGAACCCCTGTGAGGATTGTACGAAGTACAGTACGTGGGGTGTCTATGCACAGGAATGTAGTGTCGTCCTTTTGTCCTTGAATTTGATATCCCTGTCAAGCCGCTCGGAACGAGGCGAGAACTTCTTTGATCTGCAGTGATTGTCATTCGATACAGAATTATCGTTCACGGGTCCCCTTCGGCTTCGTGGAGCTTTCTCGTACGCTTTCTTACTATGTAATGTACCTTGTTTAGCTTTCTACAGGGTTCTGGCTCTTGTATTTGTGGTCATTAAATGCCTCCCACGCCAGTCTTGCTCTTGAGATGTATTCAACATGTATTTACCCAAGAGAAAGATCAGTATTGGTCAGAATGTTGTGAATTACCGACCACTACACCTATCTGGAGAGGATATAGAAAGATTTCATCTTCAATTGTCAGACCTTCCCCGACATCCATTTGCATGCATTAGTAAACCCGTGGTCCTCTTCCATGCAGCTATTCTATATATCTCTAAAATGGCGTATGTCCTGACGGGGCACAAGATGCTGCGTTCCTTCGAGGATTTTCCATGTCAAGTCGAGAGTAAGCCATTGATATCAAGCTAGTGTGACGACGGCAAGGTCGGCTAATCGTTGCGAATATTACTATACAAACATCTTCCTTTCTCTAGCTTCATTAGAGCTGCGGCAAATTAGGCTTGGTGCTGTATATATGAGGTGTAACAACTTAATGACATTACTATTCTTGACTCTCTGTTTCATCTGGACGTTATGATGATAACCACCGCGGTTTTGTTATGAGTCTAGGCGGCTTGAGGGATAGACTACTATGTCTATATTCAATCTGAATATTTCTTTGATTCGCCATGGTTAAGTACTTCCTTTGCATCCTTTTCATGGAGGGTGTACTAGCTACATATTTGAAACGGTGATATGTACTACCCTTGACGTCGAGAAAGGACAGTCATATCTGAGGAAATTGGTTGCGTACTTGAGGTTGATAGGAAACCGAAGAAACAACCTTAATGACTTTTATTTTCGGACCTTCGACGTCTCGTCCAGCTGCAAATTACATTTCCTTCTCAGGTACTGCAACACGAAAAAAGGCTGGGTGGATCTCAGGTTCGAACCTGCTTGTACCGATTCCTCAAAGCATGTGACGGCAAGGTATATATATCTTCGATGATGATCCATATGGTGGTCGACCAATTTACAGGACATGGACAGAGACTCCAGAATAGACATACCTAATCAGAACTATCTTTCTGTTAGAGCCATAGTCAAATCCAATTGTGCGGGGCCCACATATCCTCCAGAGATTTCGCTCCAACCAGCTCTAGAAAACCTCTACAATGCAAGCCCGGGGATGAATTGGAAACATGAAGTTATCTAATGAGAAGTGTCGAAGCTCATTACTTTTCGGCTATATATTGCATGTCGATTATATAGAAGTATAAGTCATTATTGGAATTTAAGTCCAATTTATTCCTGGACCTCGCGATCTATAGAAGTTGTGTAACAACACATGCGGGCCTTCCCAAACAGGCAATGCTGCAGCGGGCTGACTCATCCAAGGGGCATGTGACGACATCCCCTCAAGAACCCCAGCCGTGCGGAGAAGGCAGCTATCCTCTGAACCAGCTCTCAATCAGTCAACAATCAGTGATTCTATTCTCAATTTATAAGCTTTCTGCCTAGGCTGCTGGCCAGGCATCTATTCACAAGGATGGTCCAGCCATTCCACGGGTTCGTGCCCCCTATCTATAAACTCCGCTGAGGAGCCTAACTGACTCCAATCCAGTGACGACATTAAGAAGGGGGCGATATATCTCAGCAGTGTGGAGATTGAAGAAGCAGAAGGCCTTCTGAGCGATGATGATGGATTTGAGAATAATGTCTTTGTGCAAAGCACGCCAACGCCTCGGCGCTGCTGTAAACAAAGAACTCGTCTCCGCACGGCCAAGAGAGTTGTGACCATTGGTTGTATGGGCCTTCTTCTTTATGGCCTCCTTCGAGGCTTCTATGGTACATATCCACAGTAACCCTATTATTTCAAGATGATTACTGACCCAATGGCCCTTATTAGCTACTCCAGCTGAGCCTACCGAGCCATCTTCCCCGCAGCAGCAGTCACGACCAGCCATCTGCCAGACACCAGAATGCATTCACGCAGCGTCGGAGATACTTTACAACTTGGATCCCAACCATGCGAAAGTCGATCCTTGCACCAACTTTGACCAGTTCGTTTGTGGTGGATGGCGGGAGCGCCATGACATGCGGGCTGACCAGGGCTCAATCTTCGCTGGAACCATCATGGCGGAGAACTCTCAGACCCGACTGCGCCATATACTTGAGCGTTCAGAGCCCCCCGAGAAGGTTGACACAGACAACTTCCAGAAGCTCAAGGCTGGTTATGATGCCTGCTTGGACGAATCCGGTGTCAGAGAGCGTGGTACAAAGCCTCTAGCAGACCTCCTGACGGAGCTACAAAACGTCTACCCTACGAATGGTGGGCTTGCCACTGGAACAAAGGACCAGCTGACTGAAGCGCTCTTGTTCCTTATGAAGTCGGGCGTCGAGGCTTTGGTCTCTACGAATGTTTCCGTAAGTCTTCCTTATTACATTGACTCTTCACCATTGGCCTTCATAAAACATGGACTGATGAATTTAGCCTGATGATCGGGATCCTGATAATGTGGTGATCTTTACGTCACCGCCTCGAGAGATCGGTCTTCCTGCACGAGAGTACTATAACAATACCCAAACGGTTGCCGATTACACGCAGGTCTTGAAGAAAGTTCTCGGAGGATTCGGCGGAAACGACAAGATCGCCGAAAATATTGTTGCCTTTGAGACAAAGCTCGCAGATGTGACCCCGGATACCGCAACTCAGGAGGATGTTACCAAGTACTACAACCCGCTTAGTATCAAGGAAACCGAATCCCTGGTTCCTGAGATCTCCTTCACAGACGTTATTACGGAGCTCGCACCACAGGATTACAAGAGCGACCGCTTGATTGTGGGATCGCCATCTTATATGAAGGCTCTGTCGAAGATCCTGAATGACGCTTCGCGCGAGACGGTGTCATTCTTCTTGCAGTGGAAGCTCATCCAGGCCTACTCAAGCATCATTGAAGACGAGACGATTACCCCTCTCCGTCAATTTGATAACAAGCTCCAAGGCAAGGATCCACAGGCGACCGAAGAGAGATGGCGCAAGTGTCTCAGACGTCTGGATGGAGGCCTCGGATGGAGCTTGAGTCGATTCTACATTCTTGACTCATTCTCAGAAGAGTCGAAGAAGCTGGGCGACCAAGTTGTATCGGATATCAAGGAGCGATTCGTGTTCACTCTGACTCAGACGCCTTGGATGTCACCAGACGTGCGAAAGCTGGGTATCAAGAAGGTGGAGAACATTGTGCAGAAGATTGGATTCCCAACCAAGAGTCCCAATGTGATGGATGCGCACGATGTGGAGAAGTATTACCACGGCTTGGATATTTCCAAGGACAAGTTCTTTGAGAATGAGCTTGCCGTGGCTAAATTTGATCTTCAGAATGAGTGGTCGAAATTGGGGAAGCCAACAAACCGTGATGAATGGGACATGACTGCACCAACTGTCAATGCCTACTACAACCCTCCAGGGAATGAAATTGTCTTCCCAGCGGGTATTATGCAGCCACCAGCGTTCTACGGCCCTGCTGCTCCGCTGTACCTGGCCTATGGTGCATTCGGTGCCGTCAGTGGTCATGAGCTCTCCCATGGTACGTAAGAACATGTCAAGCCGAAGAACTTATCCTCCCTGATTTAGCAGAACTAACCATTTGTAGCATTTGATTCCACCGGTCGGCACTACGACGAGACCGGCAACTACACGAACTGGTGGGACGACGACACCGTCAAGGCCTTTGAGGAGCGAGCCCAGTGTTTTGTGGACCAGTATTCGGCTTTCACCGTCGAAGGGCCTGGCGACAAGCTTCTTCATGTCAATGGCCGGTTGACCTTGGGCGAGAACATTGCCGACGCGGGTGGCCTCACGGCCTCATTCCACGCATGGAAGAAGCACGATGATAAGTCTCCCGATCTTCACCTGCCAGGATTGGAGGACTTTAGCAAAGAGCAGCTGTTCTTCATCTCGTATGGAAACTGGTGGTGTGGCAAGACCACCAAGGAGGCTGCCGAGCAGGCGATCTACAACGACCCGCATGCGCCCAAGTCGGCACGGATCATTGTGAGTTTGGACTCGTCACTACATTGTTGAAGAACCATAGGGCTAATGTAACGGTCGCAGGAAACCATGGCAAACTCGAGAGAGTTCAAGGATGCATTCAGCTGCCCAGAGAAGAAGCCTGTCTGCAAGCTTTGGTAGGTGACACAGGCTCTACTGTTAAGATAGAGCTGTGCTTTGATTGTTCGGGAGAGTTTGTATTTCTTGTTGAGTTTACACATCATCACTTTTGTATGCATTCTGTCCTCCCACGAGGGGGAATTGACTCTCCTCACTTGAGGAGAGCCAACCTGTAGGCGTCCATAGCTATATCATAAGCATCATTCATATCCTTTGGTCCTTCTTTTCTCACCGATACGAGAAGCATCAAGTGTAAGATTTACCAAAAAAGCACCTTCTCCGCAAGCTTATCGTGCAGCTTCCCCTCCCGCGGCGATCCCTACGATCCCTGCGATTGCTTTTTTGAGTTAGCCTAGTCAAGGCAAGCACAAAGATCCCGTCTCCCCAAGCGAACCTCGCAGATCATGAGGGGCAGTCAGCTTGAGCCTTGAGGCAGGGAGATCAGCTCGTTCAAATTGGACTGTCCGACGAAAGATGGGGGACTTCCGCCCTTGCTCCGGACCCCGGTCGTTTCATGGTTAATATATGTATTCCACAATTGGCAATAATTGCCTTGCGAGAAGTCAGTAACAAAAGCCGACGATCTCGGGGGGGGGGGGGGGGGGGGGGGAGAATCATGTGAAAGGCCCTTAAACTCGAAATTGCGGGTTGCATACCCAACCAGCTGACCAGGGCTAAATTAAAGAGACATCCCAAAAGTACCAAAAAGCACCAGTGCAGGGGCTTGGCATTGGCGGCTGGTGGAACCGGGGGGCTAAATAATCGAGAGACACAGATCAGCATCAAGCAGAGTTCCCGGGACGATGGGTTGAGTGGCATACAGGATCAAGTTTATCGACAGTCCTCCCTTCCGGTGGACTGCCTGCATGAGACATCACTGCAAGTAGTCATCGCAATGGGACAGGTCCAAGAGGCGTGCAGAGCTGAGCTCCATCTATCATCTTTCTTTGGCGGGATCCAGAGTCGCGTCACCCTGAGCCGACTAAGTGGAGATGGCATAACGGCGGCAGCAGCGGCCAACCAGCGGGCGCCCTGGACAGCCTAATGGAGTCCATAGAGGTTCGCTTCATTAGGGCGAATAGGAGAGTCTGGTCAAATGGGGCGATGACCTATCAATTCGACTGTGGTGCCATTCCGGATCACTGTCGAGTTCCCTTTGTGGGCTTGTTCATCTCTTCACATCTGGATGGTGGTGGGAAGTGTGGAGGGGGGGGAGGGGCGTTTGTATATTGTACTCCGTATATTGTATACATGGTACTGTATAGATCAATGTTGAGCTTGAGAAGTCGATGAAAGCGTAGGAAGAAAGTAAAAGGAGGTTGGACCCTCAGGGGCCGTGGCAAGAACGGGTTTACCAGTAAACCAGTTACCCAGCGTTCGCCCAGTTCCGCCGCGCCGGGTCAACTTCCCCAACTCCACTTGACTCTCCGAGCAAAAACAGAGCTGTCACTCATCCTTTCTTCCCTTTGAATCTCGAATTCCTGCTTGAAGCCTTCCCATACTTCTCTCCCTCCCAAGGTCATGTCGTGCAAGCGTCATCTCCGATCCCGACCTGGGCTGCTGATGCGTTCTTAAATCCTCTCCCTATCAAGCTACGAAGCAAGGCCTGGACTTTTCTGGACCCTCGGAGCTGCTTCGCGACGCGACGGAGCGGTTCGCCGCAGAGCTGTTGTTTGGTAGCTCTCGCGAATCGCCCGCCATGGAGCCCCTCCCTTCAGCCTTCGACTCCCCGACCCATTCTAGAAACAAGTCGGCAGAGTCCCAAATTCGCATCGATGAGCTGCCGGCCGTGAACCGAACCCGTCATGGAGGTCTTCCCAACAATGCGACATCTCCTTTACGCCGCGCCAACACGGTGGCACAGAGTGGGAACCTCATTAAGAGGAACCTAGAACTCAAGGCTACACGAGAGAAGACCGGCATGACGACTGGGATACGTGCTAAAGATAGCCATGAAATGTTACGAAATGCCCCATTACAACGATCTAAGACGCAGATACACCGGCCTCCGCTCGAAGCCCGTCCAGCGGGACGCAAAGCAGGTCATTTTACGGTTGGAAGTGTCGGCCAAAATGGCAAGATCTTTCTCAGGTACGATCGCAATCGACAATCTCGGCGACGAGGATTCCGTGTCGCACACCGTCATTTCTGTAGAGCTGACAATAACCCCTCCGTCCATGGCCAGGCCGATTGCAAATTCGCCGCAGAAAGCCCCTTCAATAGTTCCATTCTCCTCTATCGATCAAGTAGCGAGTGACCGTCTTCAGCCGCAAAGACACGCGCCAGTTCGAGATGACCCGTCACGGTGGTCGAGTTCGCAGCTGTCTGAACTTCGCCCACGAGGAAACCTCGCCGATGATAATGACTCTGTCTTTTCCGAAACACCCCGGCCCGAATCCAACCTCTACCATCGCCAACGATCCAATTCCTTTTCTACAATTTCAGAGCAGCAGTCTGTATCGGGTTCTGGAAAGCGTGGAGAGTTGCGCATTGTGATTGACCGATCGGAGGATCGACCCAAGTCAGCGGGCGAGAAGACTGGCAACTCAGCTCTAGAAGTCCCGATCCCCCATTACCGGCTCGGTTCCCCACGTTTCAACACTGAAGGTAGTGCAATCCTGCATAGTTCCGTCTACACGCGGACCTCAATGTCCGACAACTTTCGAAACTCGACCCTGCTGGGTGGCATGGCGGATCCTTTGCCAACTCATCTTCAAAGTGCGTACAGCAGAGATTCCTTTTCTCGAAATCGCCCCTCTTTTGCAGTCTCTTTATTTTCTGGGACCGGGGCTATAGATCTCAGCCGAGCTTCCCCCATCCCGAGGAACTCGGTGGTCTACGAGTTGAAGGGACCCGTGGAGCCTTCGATCTATGAAGCCTTGGTCTCGGATATGGATGGGGAATCGGTTGTACGGTATATCCCTGGCACCAAAGATATAAGCGCAGCTACACCCGCCCGCATCGTTGCACAGATCTCTTCCGAGTCGTTCATGGACTATGAGCTGGTCTCGGACTTCTTCCTCACGTTCCGCTCATATCTTTCCCCAAGCCACTTGCTTGCTCTACTTCTTGCGCGTCTGCAATGGGCTATCAACCGCCTTCAGGAGGATGGTCGCATTATTCGCATTCGGACCTTTGCAGCACTTCGCCATTGGATCTTGAATTATTTTGTCGATGACTTCGTTGCACACTATGATCTTCGAACCCACTTTTGCGACACTATCAACATGCTGTACGCTGATGTGAAGTCACGAGAGACCGGCGGTATGAGTGATTTGAAGATTCTTATCGACTTGAAGCGTTGTTGGAATGGAAAGTGCTCCGTCTATTGGACTGCAACTGAATTCTCGCGTGCCTACAATGACCCCGATACTCCAATCGCCCCCGGCAGCCTTCATATTGACTTGCCTCCTGTCGAGGTGCTTCACCAGAACGCTCCCTCCGAGGGAAGTGCTCCTCAGACAGATACGAGGTCCCGTGACAGTCTGCCTGTGTCCTTCCAGCATGACCGGAATGACTCTGCTGCCACTGCGCAAAGCATACCTTTCTCCACCAAGAGTGAGCAGAGTATAGTAGCACTGTCGTGTTCGCTGCCCCCCAAATCTCTGAAGCGCTTGTCCATCCCTTATTCAAAAGGAAAGGCACCGCATCCGGTACCCTTGGGCCTTACCAAAAGCACGTCTCCCCACGAACCACCTCCTTCGTCACCAAAGCTGTCACGGTACCCCTTCCATGGACATACACACAAGAGAAGTGGTAGCTTCTCTGATTCCGTGCGAGATGATCGACTGCCTATGTTTGGCGTAGAACCCGGCTCGGCCGTACCTCCACCGCAAGAGATCCTGGACCCCGTCAGCTTCATCCGCGGGGCTCTGTATCCCCCGGCGGAGTCGTACATGACAATGATGGCACCGGACTCTCCTCCGTTGGCTCCTCCCTCAAACTCATCTAATCCGGATCGACGCAGCATCCCCGATGGCGGGCCTAAAACGGGACCGTCGAATTCGGGCGTGAGAACTATTATTGGGTCGATCAAGCGAGTGCTTCATACCAGAAATGGCGGCCAAAGTGTCTCTGCTAGGATTGCGAATGCTTCCGAAGCTATTTCGCTACCCTCTCGTGGGAAGACATCCGCCATGCCTAACCATATTGCTTTGGGATCTGAATTCTATCGCGAGAGAAAGATTGCTGCGGAGCCTAAGCGACCAGCTCGGATTGACTTGCTCTGTGATGAATCTCTGAAACAATACCGTCAGGTCATGGGCACGCATGAGGCTCAGCGAGAGACGACTCAGCATCTGGACGCTGCCCCTGGTTTTCAAAATGCCTTGCCCGATCCTTCCGTAGAGCCCCATCGTCTGTCGCCTCTCGAAACTCCTAGAGCGGACGGCTCCAAGATCAAGAGTGGACTAACTACTGGCAGTGGATCCATCGTTATTGTAGATGACACTGGATTCGAGTTTCCTGTCATGTCAGGAGCTGTGCAGGGTTTTGAGCCAGCTGTCTCTGACAATCATGTTCGATCTAATTCGGACAGCAAAGTGATGTCGGTCATGTCAAATGTCCAGTCACAAACATCAGTGCCAGGTGAGGGAGAATATTTGCTTCCAGTCTACTACAATGGCGATGTATCAGAGGCCAATGACTTGCGCCCAGCCCCTTCGAACCGTCCTGGTTCTCTTGCACAACGGCGGTCCTTTTCTACCGAACGCCAAGCTACGCCCACCAAGCGAATGTCGCTCTCCCTTCGCCTTCGAAAGTACGCTTCTTTCCAGAGCGGAATTTCCAAGCATCGTCTGTCGATGAATAGTGACACTAGCAAGTCCATCGCTGGCTCGTTCACCACGCAAGATCTCATGGATAAGCCGATGGGCCCATCACTTCGTCGACGGCCTGGCGGCAACTTGCGTCAGATGCAGTTTGTGGATGAGCTGGAGCCAGGCTCTGGTCGTGAATCCTTCATGTCCACTGGCTCTTATGGTGACTCTTTGGTGGAGACTACCTCCACAGCCAATGATCATGTCGAACGCCCACCCTCAGCCTTGATCCCTCCAAACCCTCGATTCTCCTTGATCGAAGGTGGTTCTAACCGCAACCTGCGGCGCTCTTTCGAAGCAGCTATTGCTCAATTTGCACAGATTCCCGATGACGACGATGGTGGTATCGAATCAACTCTGCTCAAGCTCGAGGGCAAGTGGAGAGGCCCTGGCGGCGTTCAACAAGCCAGTGGACGTGACGAGAGCTCTCGTGTCGATATCGCGGGGCATGGTAAGCCTGACTGGGAAGTTCTTTCTCGACGTCGGCAGACAGACAAATCGGCCTACTCTACCGTTGGAGGGAGACTTGCACCTCCTCGGCCCTACTCAGATTCCGTGGCCGAGTCTGAAGAGTCTTACAACTCGATTCCTCTTCTCGAGCGAGGACTGACGGACGAGTCAATGAAGCGGCCGCCCACGAGTCGAGTCGATGTTCATGGTGCTCCACTCAGTCTTATTTCTAGTCGGGATACTTCTGAGCTTGCATCGTCGCATCCCTCGATTCAGATTATTCAAAAGACGGAAAGCATCCAACGCATCCCCCGTGGATCGACGGTTCCTGAATTAGTTCCCGGGTCGACTGGGCAGAATACTCCCAAGCGCCTATCTGCTTTGTCCTCGGAGTTGTCTGTTGACATGATCGATTCGCGAGAGGTCATGGGTGGCCGACTGTCTACTGATACTCGCAGCCTTACCGCTTCGACTGTTGATATCCCACCTCATCCTCTAGCACACCCACCATCTCCTCCGATGACCATTCAACATCCCGGCTCATTCGGTTCCTCCGTGTCGCCATTGGACAAGGTGTTGTTCCAACCACAGCCTCTCACACCTGACACATCTCCCAGGCATCGGGAGGTGGATACAGCCAATATCAGATCTAGAAATGTCCCCCAGTTTTCGACCGATGTTCTCTCCAATTCGGAGAAGAATCGCCCGGTTCAACTGACCCTCAACGAGGCTGGGCCCGACCACGTGCCTTTCATCCTCGCTTGCGAGTCTCAAATGCTTGCTCAACAGTTAACTCTGGTCGAAATGGCTGCCTTGAGTGAGGTTGATTGGCGGGACTTGGTCGAGATGAAGTGGAGCAGTGCTTCTCCGGCTATCACCAGCTGGGTGCAATTCCTTTCTTCGGAGCAGCGTAAAGGCATTGATCTGGTCGTTGGTCGCTTCAACCTGATGGTGAAATGGGTCGTGTCCGAGATTGTCCTCACCCGGGACATTCATGAGCGAGCCCGCACCGTTGTCAAATTCATCCATACCGCTGCCCATGCACGTCGCATCTGCAACTATGCGACGATGCTTCAGATCGCGATCGCTTTGTCTTCGTCAGATTGTACTCGGCTGCAGAATACGTGGCAGCTAGTTCCGGCAGAAGACAAGCGGTTGTTCAAGGATATGGAATGTTTGATTCAACCCGTTCGCAACTTCCATGATCTTCGTGTGGAAATGGAGACAGCCAATCTTCAAGAAGGTTGCATTCCATTCATTGGTGAGTTTGGTCTTTTATCATAACTTTCAATTCCCTCCTCGACTTCCATTTGAGAACTAACTGTCGAACAATAGGTCTTTACGTACACGACCTGACCTACAATGCGCAAAAGCCAGCCCAGATCAACAGTTATGGTGGAGGACTACTGGTCAACTTCGAACGGTATCGCACAGCAGCTCGTATTGTCAAGAGCCTTCTTCGCCTCATCGACGCTAGCACGAAATACCGCTTTGAGCCCGCTCAAGGTATCATTGAGCGGTGCTTGTGGATTGCATCTCTCTCCGAGGAGGAGATCCAACTCCGAAGCAAGAGGCTTGAATAAGCCTATATATAATATCTCTTCTATGGGATTTTACGTCTTTTTGTTTTTGATTTTTTTCCCCTGATGATTGAACTCTTCATACCCCCTTTTGCTGCAGAGGTTTTTGGGCTGCTTGCCATATATCCTGTATCTATATTTGCATCAGTTGATTCTTCTTCTTTTTTTTTGGGATTTTTGGCCGTTGGTTATTCTGTTTGCGTTTGAAGCGAGCATCTGCATACGATTTTGGGAAATTTGGAAATATCACGGTTGAATGGTAGTCACAGTTGGTTTGCTTTTCTACCTTGGTTACATACGCTACGGTATATCCGAATACCCCGGTTGCTTGCATTGCAACGTGTCGATTGAATTGAGCGAGTTTATTGTTTCACTATAATATCTGGTAGATCCTCCTGCAATAATTTTGTAATCTTTCTTTATCAAGTCGTGGTGGTATCGTTGAATTGCGGTTTCAAATTAAGTGGTCTCCAACGTGCGTCATAAAAACGCGGCGTCACGGGCAGAGTGAGTGATCTACGGACCCGACCACCTTTTCCAGCGCCGACCCCATCATCACCCGCAGCCCGAAACCCTCCCCAGCTCCGACCGTGGAGGTCTCCTCCATCTCGCCGTTTCGCAACCTCAGGACTCGACTTCTCCAACCTTTGATGTCCCGCCTTCGGTCTCAGCTACTGCAGGCCCGCCACGATGGACATGACCGAGCCACGGCGCGGGGCTTCAGAGGAGGTTGATCGCGACCCTACCCACAGCCCCGCGTCCTCAGAGCACAAGCAAGAACTCCCCGATGACCTACCCAAGTCGCTGGACGATCGCCGGTCGGTGCCGGTCTTCCATGAGACCGAGATGTACGATGCGTGGCAGGGTAAGTACCCATTTCCCCCAGATCCTGAAAGGCCGTGGCTTTCGCGGGCGTCTTGCGGTCGTCTCGGAGATACGTGTACTTGTGGCATACCGGCCAGAATTCGCATAGACAAGGACTAAATCAGGATCCGGCTTTACTAGGACAATCCCAATTCCTCACGACCCCGGTCGCCGCGAAACCCCTGACTTTCAGTCTCGCGCTCGACGACCACATGCACGATTCCGAGACCGATCTGCGAGCTCGTGACCTGGAGGACAGCGATGCCCGATTGATGGAGATGCTTGCAGCGCAGGCCGCGCATCGCGAAGTGGACTCTCTCGGCGCAGATGAAGAAAATATCGCGGCGGATGAGAAATTGACTGTTGCCGAGAAACGGGATATCCTGCAGAAGAGTCTCAATATGGCTGCTAGCAATGGTGATGTCGACCGTGTGCAGAAGCTGGTGGATGGACCGGCGAAGAGCTACGTTGATGTGAATATGCCGGATGAGGAGGGCGCGGTACCCTTGATCTACGCCAGTTGCTTTGTGGGTGATCCTTGCCTCTGCGCTCTGGGATATGAACGTGTTTCCGTCGGGCGCATGGAGATAGGGGATATATGCTAATGAATGATGTTTGTAGGGTCACCAAGAGGTGGTTTCCGCACTGCTCGATGCTGGGGCTTTTGTCGACCAGCAGGATCGAAATCAATGGAGCGCACTGATGTGGGCCATGACCAATCGACACAAGACGATCGCAAAGATTCTTCTGGACCATGGCGCTTCGCCGGATATAAAGTCCTCCTCTGGTGGAACGGCATTCGACTTTGCGCAGCCGGGCAGCGAGATCTCGGAGTATTTACATGAGAACGGTTATAGCTTCGGGGCCGCTGGAGTTGAGCATGATTTCTATGATGCCGGACTTGCGCATGGCCGTTTCGAGGAGGAGCTCGCGGAGAACGAGATGAAGCGCCGTATGATGATGGAGGAAAGCGCTATTAACCTGGAGGTAGATCTGTCGAGTCTTGGCCTGGATGAGAAATTCGAGGTGAGTTCCGTTCGCATCTTGCTATAGTATGGACGATGATGTTAACGCAAGCACGTCTTAGCCATCGGATGATGAAGACTTGGACGAGGAACAACAAGAATTTGTCTGGGATAGATGTCTCAACGATCAGATGTTTGTGTTCCAAGATCACGAACTGGAGCGTATTCTGGATATGATCATCACCAACATGACTCCTCAGCGGTCTCCATCTCAAAAGCCCGTTCCTGCCAATCTACTTTTCCTCAGTGCGCGCTATGCGCACTATCATGCCAGCCCTGAGCTTCTTGCGATCCTCCTTCATTCTGCGACGGACAAGATTAATGACGTTGTGGAGCGTTACCAGTGGGATATGACCATGCAAGCGTTCTGGCTGTCCAATGCCACATTACTGCTTCATTATCTCAAAAAGGACGCTGGACTGGTGGAAGCTACGGTACAGTTCCAGCTTCACTTGGCTGAGCTCATTAATGAGATCTTCGTGCTCATCATCCGCGATGCCGAGCGACGGATGAACAAAGTCCTAGATGCGGCAATGCTGGACCATGAAACCATCCCTGGACTTGAAGATATCGCTTTCCAAAATGAGTGGAAGCTGTTCCGGAAGAAGAAGTCTGAGGCTCCCGAGCCTGCAGAGAAGCGCTTCCGACCGCCATCCCCTCGTCGACGCGCGCAAATTTCGCCTCGTAACATCACATCGCTCCTCTCGTCGACTCTTTTCGTCCTTGACCTCTACGACGTCCACTCCGTGATCACGACACAGATCATCTCCCAACTCTTGTACTGGCTCAGCGCGGAGATCTTCAACCGCATTATGAGCACGAAACGATACCTGGCTCGGACAAAGGCAATGCAGATTCGCATGAACGTTTCCACTTTGGAGGATTGGGCCCGCACCAACAACCGTCAACCTGAACATTATGAGAACGGTTCCTTGACGACTACCGGAGAGACCACGGTGGACGCTGCTCGCAGACACCTAGCCCCCGTCATCCAGCTTCTTCAATGGCTGCAATGTTTCTCCTCGCTTGGTGAGGACCACGAGTCTCTCGTGACAACTCTTCTGCAGCTCCAACAGCTCACACCGACTCAGCTCTTGCATGCTGTCAAGTCCTACCGGCCTGAAGTTGGCGAAAAGGGCCTCACAAAGCAAGCGATGAGGTTCCTTCTGGATGTACAGCGCGATCCCGAACTGATGTACCGGGAACAATTCAGGATTCAGGAAGAAAAGGCAAGGGCAGATGCCGGTCCTATCGCTCCCTCGACAATCGAAACCCGCCCGAAAACACCTACGAAGGAAAAGCCTACGGCAGACGCCGCACCACAGGCCCCTGGAACTCCAGACCCCGGCCTAGCCTCCCCAGGTTCAGTCGCTGCATCCTCACGACCGAATAGTATGTCTGGTCCATCACGAAGCGACGAGCGCCCTGGAAGGGACAATGTGTTCCTCGATCCCACTTTCTTCCTCCCATTCTCCCTTCCAACAAGCACAGACATGCTCATCAGTTACGGCGCCGGGCTAGGCGGAACCAACCGCGAGCGTGCACGCAAGTACATCCCCACCGTTCCTCCGGAGGTGCTCACTCGATTGGACCGTGGCGCCGAGGTATAGATACAAACCTGAAAACTCTTTTTCATTACGAACTTCCTCCACTTATATGGCATTGTGATATCTTTGCTCTGGCTCTAATCTTGGCCTTCTGGTCGCCTGTTATGGGATTTTTCTGGGTGGAGCTTGGACAAAGGCATTGATAAGGTGATACCCTTCGGGATTCTCGCTTTTATTCCGTTTACTTTGTCTAGATATAGGCGCACGTGAACATCAAGCCGAGTGTATATATGTCCTAATGGATATTTCGTTAATACCGTACAATGGTTTCTGCACCGTCTGTGATTGTAGATGCGCGCAAATGTAGAAGACATCTGTTGGCAGAGATATGTCCTTCGAGATCCCGGAATACGTTGGTCGAGCTCCTGGTCGCCAAATCTATCAAAGTATACCTAGACCAGCCAGGTTAGTCAAGGAAACAGCTTCAAGAGACTTGCAATACGGAAAGAAATGTTTGTTGAGCATGACAGGATACGCCAGGCTGGTCTTTTGACCCAAGAGGCTTTAAATCTTCCTCTTTCCCATGTGAAGATTTACCCATCGAATTATCGAGCCACTACTGCCTACGGCCTACTACCTCCTGCCTTCCTACCTTCCTACCTCCTGCCTACTGCTACCTGCTCTTCAGGTAGGCAGCTCATCACTTAAATACTTCATCAGAAACATTCTCCACGACTCTCCTCCCTTTCCACTCTACTCTCCCCTTCCACTCTGCTCTTATCTCAAGCTTCTCACAACACAGAAAGTCTCCTTTACTCAGTTCTCGAACTTGTTCCCTTCACCGCACTCTGATCTTCACTTGACGTGTACCCCAAACAACCACGGTGTGAGCAGAACCCCCCTGGCGCTCGCAATTTCCTCCACATCAACTTATGTTCGCTGCGTTTACTGACCATCTCCAGACTTCACCATGGCGGGACAATACGAAAAACCATATGACCCCATCCGAGAGGCGGCCAATGCCCGGATTAGCTTGTACGAAGCTGTTACGGAGTATGGTTACCAGAGCGTGCTTCGAATTGGTGGTCCACCCGGTATTGAAGTCGCTCTGGATCTCAAGAAACTCATCGCCGAGAGCGCCCCAAATAAGTACCTCAACATGATGCTGAAGTCGATCAATCTCCAACACGAGGACTATGATGCGAAGCTTGCTCGGCTGGAAGCGAAAGTCCAGGCCAAGTATGATGAGCTCCTCGCCAAAATTGAGGCTCGAAATGATGACCTTCTCTCCAAAGTCGAGGCTCGAAACGACGGCCTTTCCAAAACCCGAGCCCAATGCGATAATCTCGTGCCTCGATGGCAGGAAATGCTTGTCAAGCTTGAGACCCAGGTCCATGACTCGAACGACCAGCAAACTACTGCCACTTCTCCTTCGGTAGTATCCGAGTCTTCGCTATCAACAGCAGCAACCGCTCCGCCCCGGGGCCGAGGCTCAACAAACGAATCTCACTTCGACGACGATACTGATAATCGTCGATTCCCCACCCCTTCACTCCGCTACCCATCCCGAGATTGAGATCGTGAGCGAAGCCGTTCGCCTGGCTATCGTGATGCCGGAAGACGTTACAGAAACCGAGACGATCCCAAGGACTATTACGGTTATCAACCTCTCACCGCTACGCAGTATCCAGTGCCCGGTTATGCCCCGGCCCTCAACCACGAATTTTTCCCTCCTTTCTCTCCCTGTTATCCAGCCACTTGGCTGCGACGGTATTGATCGGACTTGTGTCGACGAATTCTTCCGTGCGCTGGGATATAACTGACGAAACTAATGTTTTGGTTTCGGGAGATCTGGGAATGTGAATTTAGGAATGAATTTAGGAATGAATCTAGGCCATGGATATTACCAGAGCTCAGTAGGCAGAAACAATGTTCTCAATTTAAGGATTTAAGCTTAATCTAGTACCGTGGTGGCTCGTGACGCGCCACGTGGGGGCCGGTACCCAGTGCAGAAAATAAACATACCCAGGCTTGGCCATTCCGAAATGCAACTTGAAGGAGCCCATGGAAAGCGGTGATTAATGAGTCTATTGTATCAGATTATTTCGATACTTAGATGTATCTAGCCTAACAACCCACAAATGCCACTACTCCTTGACACAGTATAATACATGCGGTGCATAACAAAGGCCGAAGATAAGACAGATTGAATATACCCTCAGGCCCCTTCCGGTAGGGGCTTTTCATCATCGGGTATTTCTGTCCATTGGCCGAATGGTACAAATCCCACAGTGATCACAACATCCCACATGCCCACGAATTCCCGCGATGCCCACAAATTCCCTCAGTGCCCACAGAGACCTTGGGGGTTTCGTTTCGGAGTTGCTGTGTAGTCGAAAGTATCGTCGAAGCCGGAAGTGTCGTCGAAGTCGAAGTGATCCCAGCCGAAAGGGTGGAAGTCGAGTTATCGAAGTTGAGTCGTCGAAGTCGAAGTAATCCCAGCCGAAAGGGTCTAAGCCGGGTTATCGAAGTCGAGTTATCGAAGTCGTCGAAGTGCTCCCAGCCGAAAGGGTCTAAGCCGGGTTGTCGAAGTCGAAGTCGTCAGAGTCGAGGTCGTAGTCGTCAAGTCTAACCCACTCCGCCCAACCAAGTCGTCGAAGTGAAAGTCGAGTCGTCCAGTGCGGGTAGCAACGGGATGCGCACAGGAAATGGGATGTGCAGAGGATATGATCGAAAGAAGCATGTCGTGAATGCTGTCGAGGAAGTAAGTCGTCCACCATCCCAGTTCTCCATACGACTCATCCCCCATTCAGACCTAAGGACCGCCCAATGGATGCTTAAAAACGCGCAGAGCCAAAGGTAAGAACTCACTACCTGCTGCCGAGCCTGGTGTAAGGCAAGGACTCCAAAGGCAAATGGAGGTGGGGAGGAGAGAGGAAAAAGAAGAAGCAAACAAGAGAAGTGGATGTTTATAAAGGAATTCAGACCTCACAAGCTAACCCAATCGGGAAATCCATGAAGCCCTCAGTGCTGGGCTCACAATGTCACCCCCAACAATTGAATTCTAGAGCCTTGGAGGGAATCATTCGAAGCGTCTTGATCTGACGGTTAAAGTTATGTAGGTTATGCCTGGGTGTTCTTGATGTTCTTGGGTAGTTATTGGCGATTTTATGCGAGCAAAACGGAAGTTTGTGACAAAAGTTGCTTCAAATTGGCTCAAAAGGTATCAGAAGAGAGCTAGAGACCGGAAGTTTCCAAAGAACCCTACATCTTGGCGATATCAGGCGTTTTGATGGAGATATGTGTCTGAGAAGGGGTGTGAAGTGGCGTTGAGCGATGCTGGAAGGGCCCTTGACGCTGTTGATTGAGGCTTTTGGTCGTTGCCCACCAAAACAAACATTGTCTGCAAGAAGACATAGTCCTATTGATCTGTGACTAAAAATGAAGAACACGATGAATGTTTCTGTTATTTTTTTCCATTCAATTATAACCTACAACGTTAGAGCGATGTACAAACGAGTATGTTATGACGTATATATAGATCTTGGATGTCGGGTCGTCGAGGTTGGACCCGATCGCGGTCCCACATCAATGTCCGTGCTCGATCCCTAGTTATGGTAATATTGCGTTGGGCTATGATTGTAGTGATCGTCGTCTACAATCAGGAAATAACTTCCCCTGGATGATCTTCGATATGTCGAATGTACAATGCAGAGTACAGCAGAGTCTTCGCCGATCTCAGCCCAAAGCAGGAGTGCCGAAGATGCATAATATAAGGTTAAACCCAAGTCACGGGATGCTGGGCAAAACAACTTTGGTGGCTGTCCCACGGGCCTTGTAACTGGCTACAGTGTCAATTATCTAGAGTTCAGTCCCTCGGGACCACTCGAAAATTGAAATTACTGTATCATCAAGTGGTACTGAAAGTGGCAGCAGCAGAGACTGAAGCTAACCTCCTGCCTTTATGTGACAAGCAGTTCGAACCCATTGAACTAGCCTCTCCGTGACTGTGACTGGTGATACAAGACCCTGAATGCCTTCTCGATCTCGTGTTGGACTGCTGGGTTCTCTTCAGTGCTCAATCATTGGATGTCTGAGTCCCAGAAGAGCCCACCGCACTGGATCGATCACGAACGCACGTCCATCTCCTCGGGGGCGGCCGGCGCACAGAGTTTCCACTTGGAGCAACGCCAGCCCGCGTTGAGAGTTCTCGTGTCTCAGCAACCTGCTACGGTTGCCCCTTTCGTTAGTGTTGTCGGTCTTCTCAAGCTGGTCAACTTTCGAGTCGCTACGGATGTCGTACCTCGCTTCCATCCGATCCGTCGCCCTGGTTGCATTGGGTGTACTCAACCTCAAACACTCGTACCCTACGACTCCTCGACCCCTCAACAACAATTCAACCACTTGAACCCTTCCCAAGCACTCGATCTCGTCAAGCTCCCGCCTATTCCCAACCGGGATACGATTGGCACCATTGCCGAACCGCGCAGCCCCCTAAAACATCCGGATCGACGCCATGGCGAAGTGGACCCCAGCGCTTGCGCGGAATCTGGAACCCGCCCGCTTCCACAGCATTGCTGGGCATCGCGATTGGTGCTTGGGTTAACCAAGTGCCCGTAGGAGGCGGCTCCTTGTTGAGGCTAACAACAATGGCAACGCTGCTCTTGCGCAGCACAATCGGTCTCGCCCAGTTACTTGTCCAAAAGCTGTGTCATCGTCCTCGTAAGGCGATCTTTTGCCCGCTAAGGTTCGACCGTTCGTCTGGAATCATCGTTATGTACGGTCCTGAACTCTTTCTCCCCCCCCTCTATTTCTCCCACCCTCCTGGTTCCTCTTTCCTCTGTGCTGACCCCATCTCGCTGAGGCTAGGACTCCAATCCTCAATTCGAGAGGAAACTTCGACACATTCCATCGGATCGGCCCGTGCTTTGCCTCCGAGGAGCCTATGGCTTCGTTTCAGCTTGCTTCGGATCTCGTCTGCCCCGCCTTCTAGACGTTCCATGTTTGAACTATTCTGGGCTTTCCTGAGAGCTAGCAATCCATTTCTACGTCGCCTTTCGGTTCACCCCTGAAAAAGGACTGATAATAGCATCTCCTCACGGTCGATTACGCAGGCTTAAGCCCCCACAGGCTTTGAAGCTGACTCAGCCCCATTGTGGACGCAACCTTAGAGGGTAGGTGTTTTCCTCTTTGGGTAAATTAAGAGCTGCCTCATCGGGCTGATGGGGCATGCACCTCGCGAGCGGTCGCTTCAGCGCTGCCACTACGCTTCTCCACTCCCCACACCCCCTCCGCGGCCATTCTAATCTCTGGATTGCCGGTCTGTCATCATGTTGCTTACTCTTAAACTTCTGAGCAACAGTGAATTCAATGATTACACATTCGCTGGTCGAAAGAAAGCGCTCTCGCGCTCTTCGTTGTGGTTTGAATATTGACCGAGATTCGACTTGCCTGTCGTATAATCCTCCCATAGGAACCTTTCCACACTTCCCGTGAGAATTGTCTTACCGACGACCCAGAGATGCATACCCTTCCCCCAGCGCCTGGCCCCTGGGCAGGTGCCGAGACCATGCAGCGTTGGCTACAAGCGAAGGTCGAGGAGGACCGTCGCTGCCAAGAGGAGGAGAAGACTCGCCAGGAAACAATGAAGCTGGAGCGGCGCAAGGTTGACCACGCGATTCTCGTGGATGCAATACGTGCCGGTGTGCCACCGCACCTAGCTCCATTGGTCTTTGGGGGTGTCGATGGACCCGTCGATGGAAAGATTGCTACACCTGAGATGCTACAATATATGGCAGATATGACTCGACAGACCACGATACCGACACATCAGCCGCAGGCACCCCCCGGCCCACCTCAACCTGCGACGCTTCCTTCACTCAGTCAACAGTTCAGTACACCACCGGCAGGGGATCTACGGGAGATCCGCACCGTGCCTTCCAATGCATATGCATCGCCTGCGCAAAACCAATCACCGGCCATTAGAAACAGTTCATCTCAACAGCCAACTGGAGGGGGTGGCGGTCGTGGCCCGTATGTTTCGACCGTCATTGCTTCAAATAATACACCAGCTGGCAACCTTCCACGTCCGATGGAAATGACCGGGCAAAGCCGATCAACAGCCGTATTCCACTCTGTGCATTCCCTTGGTGCACCTCAGCCACCGTCGAACCCTCCTCCTCGCGGTCAACACGAACCACGACCTCGCCGTGCCTCTCCATCTATCGCCTTCCACCACTGGATTCCCCCCGGTCAATCACAGCCACCAGCCCCATCAAATAGAATACAGGAGGATCATGTGCTACCATCCAATGGGTCAGCACAGATGCGCTCCGAGATACCAGGATCTCCAGCTCGCAAGAGGAAGTCACTGTCTATCCATCATCAATTGCCTCCACCCTCCTCTCGATCCTCTGGTGCGCCAGAACCAAGCTCTCGGTATGGCCGACAAAGTCCCGCTGGCAGTCAGTCCGGCCAAATTAGCCTACAAGGGGATTCCCGACGGCATAGTGATGTATCTAGTTCTCGGGACACTCCAGTTGCAGAAAAAGACCACCCCGACCACCTTCGGGATGCGAACCGGCCCCGAACTCATTCGAACTCATTGGTTACCACTGACCATGGCTCTCACGGACATAGGAGGCGATCTACTGGTGAAAATACCACAACCGAAGACGATCACCAAGGGCGTGATCGAGAATATCGAAGGCAGTCCTCCTCCCGTGGACCGGTGCTAGATGCTGAAGACAAGTCCGATCCCTCACTGAACACGGGGAACGGCACCGGATCTAGTACAATGACCGGTTGGGCCGACAGGGAATAATTATAGTTCTTGGCCCTGTTCAAGCGCCCACTGTTTCAGATTTCTCCGTTTTCCTGTTTCGGATACTACATTGATTGTCGATTGATGGAGAGGGACTTTATACTCGGGCATCCTCTGTTTTGGTGCCAAGATTTAACTGCATTGCGTTCAATGCACTACGCGAGACTGGACCGGAATAATCATTTTTCTTGGCGTTGGTGGTTGACTTTACATGAGGTCTGTTGCATGATCGAGGTGTCAATAAGACTGCATGCTGGGCTTGCACGAGCAATACATACTGTTGCTCACTTTTTGTGTAATTTCGGACGCTGGGCGACTTGTGTCAAAGAGTTGCAGTCGTTAATCTTGTTATCTTAACTCTAATCGAGGTATCTTCAAGGCGTATCCTCGAGTGGATTTAGCGAGCCGCATTCAAGTATGCTTACGGGAAAGGAAGCAAAAACGATTTGTACATTCGTGACTATATTACCTAATTCAAGAGCATTGGAAGACTGTATCTCGGTTCATCATTTCACTCCACATTCTTGCTTTACAACATATACCTGAACAGAGGGGACCTATCGCCGAGCGAATCTGGGTCACTCGGATACTCCGAAGGATCGATTTGATCGCGCTTGTTGTTGATGCGCTGGTACGAGAGTCGCAGGATGACAACTGCAATCATGCCCATGACCACGAAGCCGAGTTCGAGAGCGTGGCCGAGGATATAGTTCGGAGCGTCCTTGGAGCGATAGAAGTTGGAAGACATGGCTCCAGCAAGATTACCTATTCCAATGTGGATAGCCATTCCAGCTGCGCGCTTATAATCACCGGCAAGATTGACACTCAACCAGGTGACGTTACCCGGGAAAGCAGGGTAGATGCCTGAGATTCCCAGATTAGCTTTGTAAATTTGCTAGAGAAGGTGATTTGATCCAGGACTTACCGATGACTGCAATGAATACTCCGAAGTATACTACACCAGGAACACCGCGTCCAGTGGATGCGATCACAATGATGAAGCCAATGGCGATCAGAGACATGAAGAACAGGATGAAGGGAGAGCGCTGCTTGCGGCGGTCGGAGTACCAGGCTGCACCAACGGCGACAATGGCAGCAGTGATGTAGATAGGGACCTGCAAAGGATTTGTCAGGAATAGGTCTGTGCGATTCAAGATGAGAGGATTGCACTCACAGTGAGTAGTTGTGCGGTCGAAGACTTGTATCCCAGGTCCTTGATGATGGAAGGCAGGAAGAAAGAGATACCGTAGAGAGGGCAGGTGATACCCCAGTACACTTTGCGATCATCGAGTCAGTAAAACCGAAAGACTTGCTCTTTCGGAGAGTAACTCACTCAACAGTCCCAACCAAATCTGCCAATCCTTGAAAGCGTCAATCACGTATTTCATCTGGAATTTGGACTCGTCCTGAACCATCTCACGCGAGTCTGCCGAGTTCTGGACTCGCAAAGCGTGGATCACGAATGCGCGTTCTTGCTCCGTGAGGAATTTGGCTGTTTCGGGGGAATCATGAATCGCGAATGGGGCAATGAAAGCCACGACGACGGTGAGGATACCCTCCAAGATGAAGATCCAGCGCCAGCCAGCGAGGCCACCCACTCCGTCCATTTTCTATCTATAGTGTTAGACACTTGAACAAACGGAGATTAGACGATATGGCACTTACAGCGATACCATAGGCGAGTAGTCCGGAGAATGCACCGGCGATACTGGCGGCGCTGAAGAAAAGGGCTTGACGGAATTGAGCGCGGTGGCGAGGGTACCACAGAGTAATGTAATAGGCAACGCCGGGGTATAGACCAGCCTCTGTAATGAAAGGTTAGTATGATGTTTCTCTCCGGGATGTCTTCCATGCCATCCTTACCAGCAACGCCCAGACAGAGACGAGTTGCAAGGAGTCCGCCATAGTTTTGAACGATACCCATGAGGGTCTAGACATGAAGGTCACGTTAGTCCATAGACAATTATCAACGAATTGATCGCTCGATCGCTCACCATCACAACACCCCAAGCGACCATGATCAATGGCAGCCATCGAGACGGTCTCAACTTCTTCAACAGAAGGTTACTGGGCAACTCGAAAACGCAGTAGGTAAAGAAGAAAACCGTCACTATTCGTTGAGACCGTGTTAGTACAGCAAATCTCCCTTCTTCTATTTCCCTCTTCATCACATACATGTCCAGTTATACTGCGGCCCCGTCATGTGTAGATCGTCCAGCAGACCCTCAATCTTGGCATTACCAATATTGCCTCGGTCCAAAAAGGCCAACAGGTAGAGTATACTGAGCATGGGAATCAGGCGAAGATCCATCTTGCGCAGTACGGCCGCTTCATCGACGCCGTCAAAGGAGGGAGGGCTAGCAGCAGCCGATTCCCGGTCGGGATGCTTCTCGTCATAGTGGGCGTTGCGCGCATCCTCGAATTGGTATTCGGTGGGTTTGCCTCCCAAGGAGGTATCGGTGGAGTCGGGCATGACGATCGGGAGACAGATTCAATGGGCGCGACTCGTACCGGCTCTCTCTCTCTTCCTCTAGTTGAAAATGCGGAGCTTGGATCTGGGGTATTTATATTTGCTTAAATCCTGTTAGACCCTGCGGGGGAAGCTACCCCACGGTCTCCTCCCGAGAATTGTGGAACTGTTGGAAATTGTGTAAATTGTGGAATTTCTGGAAACCAGATTTGGGTTAGATCTTCGTTTCTGTCGTTTCTGATCCTTGGCAACGAGTAGGGATGAGGGGTCATGCCAGCTTCATGCGTCCCTCGAAGTGGCCGGGAGGCATTTTCCGGGCATTTTGGCTTTTTTTGGGTGTCAGTGGCTCGGCCTTAGTTGCCATGGAATCTACAATATCCAAACTACTCTCGTCTTCGAGTATACTCCAGTCCAGATTGCTATCTTTCTTACCGGACCAAAAGGATAGGTAGGATCCGAGATCGAGACCCCCACAAAGAGACAGCTCGACTAATCTGTCAGCTGGATGCTCTGGCGTGAACTCAACTGGATTCGTAATGAATCTGGCGGCCTTTGCGTCTCGGTTCCGAGGCTATCAATCGGCTCTGATCCGAAACTTTCGGTTCTGAACCGCTTAGAAACGCCACCATCTCGTCCACGATACTACTATACCTCTATACCCCGTCGGACGGGGAATAAGGAATGTCGAGGCCTCTGAATGTTCATGCTCCGCTATTCTCAGCCCATTTATTTCATATTCTCTGTCTATAACCATTAATCACTATTCTTGACACCCCCTACAGCTATGGAGCATCGTCGCACGAAGCAAGGAATCCCACTTGCTTCCTTCACCGCTGAAGAACTCGGTCTTCCGAGCGACGATGATTCACCAGCTCACAATCTCTAGGATTGACCTTGGACATTACAATCGCGCCTACTGCTGAGAGAGAGAAAGAAATCAAATATAATCAGAATGTCTGTCCAACTAACCATTGCCACTAGCCACAGCTGCCCTCAGAGTTATATCATGATGGACAAACTGTGGCTCCGTGCCCAATTCAGTCATCGAGTGTCATCACAGCATCATTCTCGCCATAACCCATCTCTCTAACCACAATGGCCTCAATCCCTTCAAAACTATCAATCCCACAGGCAAATTCCAATTCCACCATCATTTCAACCACCCCGTTCAAGCGACCCCCCGCCAATAACCACCTACCATGCCTTCGACAACCCCGTGGACCAAGCCCGACACCACCACTCGCCCGATCGCGATAATCGGCGCCGGCGTGATGGGCCGACGGATTGCTATGATGTGGGTAGCCGCCGGATCCAACGTGATCCTCTGCGAAAAACAAACAAGCAACCACGACCCGGCACTCGAGTACATCAACACCAACGTCCCCAAACAAGCCGCCAAGATGGGCACCAAGCCCGGCACCGCCAAATTCACCACCTCGATGAAGGAAGCCGTTGAAAGGACATGGATGGTAATCGAGTGTGTCCCCGAGGTGTTGGAGCTGAAAATCGATATCCTGGGCCAAGTGGATGAGCTCGCACCGCCGGATTGTATCGTGTCGACGAATTCGTCTTCGTTGCGCTCGAGCCAGATGCTCGCCAATACGAAGAAGAACTACCGTATCTGCAATGGCCACTATTACATGCCGCCGGAGCAAATCTACTTTGAGGTCATGTCGTGCGGGCATACTGATCCGGATATTTTCCCGTTCCTGATGGAGAAGGCTGCTACTGCGGGTTTCAAGCCCGTGCATGCGCAGAAGGAGTCTACCGGTTTGGTCTTTAATCGGATTTGGGCCGGCATCAAGCGCGAGTGTTTGCTCGCGTTGGCGGATGGTGTTACCGACGGTCCGACAATCGATGAGATGTTCAAGTCGTGGTTCTTGGCGACCAAGGGTCCTTGCCAGATGATGGATACGGTTGGTTTGGATACGGTGTACAATATTGAGGTTGTATATTCCAGGGAGCTTCACACGAATCCACGTGCGAAGGATTGGCTGAAGACTTCGTATGTGGATAAGGGTAACCTGGGCGCGAAAACTGGAAAGGGGTTATTGGGATAGATTAAGATTAGATGTCTGCCCCATAGACAGTGCCGTACCTCACAGAGGCACACAAAAGAATGTTGGTGGCGGAGTATTAGATCTATAGATTTATGCCAAAAATAAAACGCTGATAGCAATTTACGATCAATTGATGAGATACCATCTGACCTCGGAGGATCAGCTGTATCGGCGCCTTTCGAGCGTTCTATGTAGTATTATTTCATAGCAAGACACGGGTCCAAGCCAGATTAAGTGTCACAAGCAAGCAATTAATCAGACACGGCAGACTCGACTTCACATCGATGATGTACACTTTGGTAAGGCATGAGGTCCAACCAGTAGTTCGCACATCAAAACTTGCTCAAGCCAGAAGTAATGAGAAGGGGATGTACAATGATGTTGTGTGGAAACGCATGACGCGGGGGAAGAAATAAGAAATAGAAAAGATCGAAAGAACGTGGAGGGATTGGTAGATATCATCAAAGGAAACCACCGAAACCAGAGGGCAGTCGTGAGCAGAAATTAGATGTAAAATGGAAAAGGGAATCAGGTACATAGGGAACGTGACGGAAGTCAAAAATGGGTAAAAAGGGTATTAAGAAATTAAAAAGACAGTCCACACGAGACTGGGGTTTCCAAATTATGGGCAACCGAGATGGGTGGATGGGTATAAGGAATTAGACATCAAAAAGGGGGTTCTCGGTATGCACCCGGATCATTAGGGTATCAAACGACCGTGAGAGAAATGATTAGTGAGAAGAATGGACGGTAATGTCGATTCGACCAGATGATTATGTCGCCTTCTTGCGACGGTGGACCTTCCACTCTGCTTTGGCAACGCGCATGAAGATTTCAATGTCCTTGATTGGGATCCAGCTGGTGAGGACTTTCATGCCGTTTTCGAAATCAGATTCGAGAATTATGTCGCGCATGCCGTCAATGAGGGCCGCGGAGGTGGCATGAAGGACGTCAAGACCTTGGCCGAAAGTGCTCGAGTGGGGGGCAGGCAAGTCCTTCTTGGCCTTGCCGGACGAGGTGTTTGGCCGGGCAGATGCAGTGAAGTCGTCCGCATCCCCAAGGAGCATGAACACGTCCCACACTCGGAGTTGGGCAGGGAAAGGAATGGAATAATTGAAAAGGGTGAGATACCACCGCGTGCCGTACGCAGTGGGAGGAATTCCGACTTCGTTCTATACGGTCGACGTGTGAGTATTTGCCTTGCAAGGTTGTGGGTGAATACTTGCTTACCAGTTTCGAAGCCACTTCACCACCAGCGAGCCACTCTCGCTCAAAGTCATCCAGGGCCTCCATAAGACCAGCAAATCCCGACCTGTACAGCTCCTCGAGGCCACGTAGCTGCCAAAGTCGCGCAAGCATAACGAAGGCATGCTCCTCATCATAATATGCCAGCAACGTTGCCGCTAGCGCCGCCATACCTTGCACGTATCCAGTGTCAGGGAAGTACAATGACATGGCATGAAGCACTCGGAACAGCAGCCTTTGTCCACCACGATACCGCCGACGGAACATAATGTGACTGGTGATCGTGCGGGGCACGTCAATATCAATTTGGACATCGTCCGGCGAGGAGATGTACTGGTAGTCGTGGAAGGCTGCAATGAGTTCGTCTTCGGGGGGACTGTTTTCATGACGCTTTGCACTACTTTCAAGGAACGAGTACCAAGCTGTTGAGCGCCACCGGTCGGGGATACCCTTCCACGTTCGCTCAATCAGTTTGCTGCTGTGCGTGTCAAATTCGAATTTCATGCCGCCACCATCACGGGTTTTCTTGACTGGCTTCGCCATTTTGGTCCACTTGTCCTCGCGCTCCCACTCCTTCCTCCGCATTGCACGTGCAGCAGCAGCGTCTTGGCCTTCGCCCAGGACATCCCCAGGCAAAGTCAACATGTCACCGGCCTCGTCCTTGGTCTTTCGATCTCTGTTGTGTGGGAGATGGTTGGTCGCGGACCGAAGACGCGATGTGGAACGCCGGACAGGCATACTGTGTGTGCTTGCTGATGAGGTTGGACGACCAGTCGCAGAGCTCTGAGAGGGGTTGCGTGTGGGGGATCTAGCGCTGAAGGAGCGAGTGCTTGCACGAGCAGTGGTTGGTCGAATTGAACGCTTCCGCCGAGGGGTCTCCGAGGCAAGGAGAAGGCTCGTGGTCACCCTTTGGATAGGATGAGGCTCATCGGCCGGCGCGTGAATGAATCCATAACGATCAACTTGTCCTGCCCCCACATCTTGCCAATACTCGATGCCTCCTGCCAATTCTCGTGTCTCTCTCTTCATCCTGATGCGCTCAACTTCTTCAGAAGCTCGACCCTTGTGGTCAGTCACCTTCATCTCTGGGGCGGGTGTGGAAGCAGTCTCAATGTCGGGGGTAGTGGGCTCTTCCCAGAGAACGCCATTCTCAGACGCCATTGCCTTGGCGATTTCAGCATCAGTGACATTGTCATGGCCCTTCTCATACATCAGCCGAACGCGTCGGGATAGCATATCCTCATCTGCAGAGATAGCTCTACTCTGGAGGCTCGTTTGCCTTGGGCGGAGGCTACTTTGTGGCCTGGCACGGGGCACTGCCTTGGGAGCACCGTTTGTCGCATCTTTCTTGTCACCATTCGCCGCATTATGGTTTTCATCGTTCGACTCGTCCTTGACACTTGGCGTCGAAGGTGCGGGCTCTGGTACCGCGTCTGTCTCCGTCACTGGTTGAACAGATGGCTCCTCTGAGATCGGTGCGGAGCCCTGTTCAGACAATCCCTCCAAGTGCTTGTCTTTCGGCAGCGCAGGATATGGACGTTTGGATCGGTCTCTGATGAGACTGCCACGGGTCGAAAATTTCATACCCTGGCCCAGCCCGCCTAGGGATGCCGTCGGTATGTCCAAGCTGATTCCACTGAACTCTGGCTCGATCTGAGGCACAGGAGGAAGCTCCTCCGTACTCATTTTGCGTTCCAACTCTGCCGATCTCTTTCGCAGTCCACCCCATTTGCGTTCCGACCATCGAGAACCTGGCCGAGACCCGGGACGTGAGCTCGGACGAGAGCTGTCATGAATGACGATACTAGGCACGCTCCGCAACGAAGGTGCTACCGATTGATCATCCTCCGACCTAGGTGTCCCAAATTCCTCGCCCGATGGTGTTGGTGGCGTCAGTCCTCCATTCCCTTGAGTATTGCGAACCGAGCGAGCTGTCGCGGGACGATGGTCGGATTCAGGAGAGGCGACGCTGGTGCTGAAGGACCGGCCATTAGGTTCGTGTGGCGCATCGGACGGCGTGGGCAGTGAGACTGAACGAATGGCAAGGGGCCGCTGGGCTGCGACAGTCTCATCAAAGGGTACAGCTTGGGTCGCCGGGCGCAACTCCGAACCCACTGGCGATAACGATGCAGAAGCCTCCATTATCCCGGCATGACTTGCAGGAATGCGCGAGAGGGCAGTAAGGAGTGGAAGGTGAGCGATTGAGCAATTCAACAATGCAGCGACGAAATTGAAATGGCGATCAAAAGGAGGGGAAGGTCAAAGACGCGCATCACCGTTTCGTCAGGGTCTGGAAATTAAATAAATTCGACTCCTGGCGATGGTCCGGAGATGTGGAGTCTTGGCGCGGGCCACACTTTCATTCCATCCAACAAAGGAAAGGACACAATGCGCCGTTAAAATGCCACTGCGCAGGTGAGAATCTGAGATGAACACGGTGGGAACTGCTCTTTAATGAAGCAAAGGGAAAGTTTCGAGTCCTCGAGGTCGAGCTTTGAGAGGGGGTGATATTTTTAGGGGAAGGGCTGTCCCACCAGGCTTTTCGGGGCCGCGCAGCAGTGGACCGCGACGAGGCCAGACAAGGAGGCTAAGTGGAGCACACTAATGGTGCTTAGATTAGAACATAACCATGGTGTCATGAGGGGGAAGATGGAAGACTATGCTTTTAGAAGGCATTGAAGAAGAATAAGAACGGTCGGGTACATGCTTGGGCATGAAGGATTCGTTACGATATACTTTGGAAGAATACGGCAGGAGGTACTAACAATACAGGACTGACCTGGGCGAGTCCCTGCAGATTAAACTATCGAATGTAGAGATCCATAATAATACGGAGTGGACTACGAGGCACGGATTACGAAGAATGAAGTATACGATTATCGTAATCCCTCAAAAAACTATTCAATTTTGGCACAACCTAGTAGAGACCCCCTGTGAACAACACTACACTGTACATCAAAAAAAAAGAAACGCGTGAAACTCCCATAGCCGAGGCTGTAAATCCAGTAGGCCATCGGCTGCCAAATGCAAAGGGGCGCAAACAACCTAGACCAACAATATATCTTCAAAGCGTGGAATGAAAGAAAGGTAAACCCCAAATAAGGAGACGTGAGAAATAGCATAGAATGGTCATTACAATCCAACGGCCCAGCATTAGATCCATGTCGTTTTAGGCCACTGCGGCGGTGTTGGCCCCGGACTGGGATTGTAGCCTGCCCCGGTCGACGGGCTCCTTGGGAAGGAGTTCAATCTGGCGCACCAAGAAGCTCTTCTCGTCCGTAAATTGGTCGTCGTCCGTCCGGTCTTCCAAAAACTTAGGCAAGAATCTCAATAGTCGGTCGCGATTGTTGATGAGAATTCGCTGTACTGCTACCGATTTGTTCGGGTTGGCGACAAATACCTGGTTTCGGTCAGTGCATTCTCCCCCTTGGATCGTGGATCGCAGATCGTCAGATGATGGTGGATCGGCAAGCCTGACATACCTTAAAAACGTGGAACCCTTCGTACTGCACCATCTTGCGATCATCGCGCAGCAGCTTCATACATAGTTTGAGGTTGTCCCCACTCTCCACATAGGCCATCATCACATTGTAGTTGGCACGGTCCAACAGGATCTCACCCAGCAACTTGATGCTTTGTCGTTTGGTGACATAGGAGTCAGACTGGATAAGGATATTATTGAATCGCCCAAAGAATAGCTCAAAGTTGGTCGCAAGATACGCAGTCACCAAGCTCTTATGGCGTGTCAAGATCTCCTGCAAGTAAATCTGTCAGTCCTAATGACGCGCACCCTTATTAAATGGATGACATACCCGGAATGTTGTAAATGCATCGGCGCTGACTTCAAAGTTGCTTTTATCAATCCACTCAAAGAAGTTCCAGAACACACCCTCACCGTTCTGTTGAAGGTTGGGCTTCAATTCCGAGAGCCGGACCGCAGGTTCTCCTTCGTGTGACTGGTCATATAGTATCACCGCTGTGACCACGTCAAACTTCAGGGCCTCTCGTAGAATAACACCGCATGGCATGGCACTTTGGCTTTGCATGTATCCCCGACATAACTCAACGAGGATCTCTGGTCGATTGTGAACAATGTATGAAATAACTGGAGGGTCTTTATCGGTCGCATACGAGGCGGGGCGGAAACGTAGGACATGGGAGAAGATGGTCTGCGTATCTTTTCGGGCTTCGAAGGGGAGAAGGTGAATAGTCCGTGATAAATCGTAGAGTAGATCTTCTTGTAAAGTCGCTTGGACTAAAGCGTGGACCTGATCGGGTGATGTGTTGATTTCTACCGGGGCAAAGCAGCATCAGTCATGCATTCCATTCTGATCCAGCCCCGGACGGGGCGGTGGATCAATGAAGTAATCCATAAAGCAGAAGCAAAAAACTGACCTTGTGTTCCTTGTACAATAACTTTCATCTGACTGAGTTGCTTGGCCAGCTCCTCATCGGCCTACTAGGGTTAGCAGGTGGGCGCCAGCTTGGAGCTCGGGGTTTCCGGACCTTGGGGTTGCTGGGAGATTCTTGGACCCTGAGCAACAATTCCTTTGTGGAGCGGACCACATCTGCTGGTTGACGCGACCGGCCACGATTGAAGAAGAACGCCATAGTTCCGGGGTTTGTAAGTGTTGGAGAAATGAGGGATCCGATGATGCGCCGGGGAAGGGTTGATTCGCCGGTTGGTACGGGCTGAGTAAAGCAATAAACAAACGGGGGCGGGGCAACCGTTCGCCTGAGGCCACAACTGATAACGGATTTTTTTTTTATCAGTCAATTTTCTGCCCCTCCATTCCACTCTCCCTTTACAGCAATTGTCCTGCTTTTTATTTCTTGTCAATTGTATTCGATTTATCATGGCGTCTTCTAGCCGTGTTGCTGAGCCTCCTGTCAACGAGGTCCCTGCCGATGCTCGCTCGGTATCGGATGATGAATCAGACTCTAGCAACGAAGAAGGATGGGAAGATGTCGAGCCCGAGGATGATTCTCAACCAGTTGTGGGATTGTTCTCGGACGTTGTTTTCCCTGATGTGCGCTCAATGCTGAAGGAGTGCAAGGAGAAGAACAACTTTGACCTGGTGAAGATTCAGAAGGATCTTGGTATGTCTTCCTGTTCTGGATTTCTTCAAAGTCTATTGCTCGAGTGTTCCACTTGGGAATAGATCGTATAAATCTACTTCAATGTCCAGAAGCAAAGCCCCATGGCTAACATTGACTTTCTTCCGCAGATCTGGATTTCCTCGATACCATCAAATTGGTCAACTACGTGCGAACCGAGGTGAAGGCAGGAAACCAGTCCCCCGATGTTTCCTCCAAGGCAAAGTTTGCCGACGACGTCTACCTGAAGCCTGTTCTGGAGGATGACGCTGTTTTGTACAGTCTGGACGACATCAATGAGGATCAGAGCGAAGAGCCCGCCCCCGGCACCGAGGCTGAGCGCAAGGTTCTCGAACTCCAGGAGCAATTGGAGCGCCTGCAGACCCAGTTTTCTGAGTACAGACTCGCGGTGCAACAGTCGTTGGACGACCAGTTGAACAAGGAAGACGAGAAGCTCGAGCCTGGCGAAAATGCAAAGAGGCCAGTCAAGGATCGCCTCGAGGATGCCGATGCCGACTACTTCACTTCTTATTCTTACAACAGTATGTTCATCAGCGTTGAAAGCTCGTTCTATGACCCTCTCAAACTAATAAATATTGCTTCAAATAGCCATTCACGAGTCCATGCTGAAGGACGCCATCCGCACCGATGCCTACCGTGACTTTGTCTACGAGAACAAGCACCTCTTCAAGGACAAGGTCGTCCTGGATGTGGGTTGTGGAACTGGTATTCTGTCCATGTTCTGTGCCAAGGCTGGAGCCAAGAAGGTCATCTCGGTCGACAACTCTAATATCATCGACCGGGCCCGAGAAATCGTTTACGACAACGACCTGGGCGACGTGATCACGTATGTATATCTACTTCATATACTTGTTGACAAGATTAGCCGCTAACTATCTCTACAGATGCGTCCGCGGTAAGATTGAAGAGGTCACTCTTCCCGTTGATCAGGTCGATATCATCATTTCCGAGTGGATGGGCTACGCCTTGCTTTTCGAGGCCATGTTTGATTCTGTCATCTACGCTCGCGACCGCTACCTTGCCCCTGGTGGTCTGATGGTCCCATCTCACGCCACCCTCCGCGTCGCACCCTACGCTGACCCGGATTTCATTGCGTCGCACATCTCCTTCTGGAACAATGTCTACGGCTTCAAGATGAACAGCATGCAGTTGAACATCCACGATGAAGCCCTTGTTCGCCATGTCCCGACTACCTCTATCCCTGCCGAGTCGGCCGTCTTCCTGCCATTGCCCCTCCACACCATCACTGTTGATGAGCTGACCTTCTTGAAGGACTTCAAGGTCACCCTTAACGAGGACATTGATGCTCTTGATGGCTGGGCCATCTGGTTTGACATCTTCTTTATGCCCTCTGCGGATTCTACCGTGCCTGAGAATGCCGTTCCCGCTGATATGAAGAAGAAGGGCTTCGTTGGGTTCACCACTGGCCCCTATGGAACTGAGACCCACTGGCAGCAGACCATCTGTCTCATCGACCATGGAAAACAGGAGCCCAAGGCTTTGAAGAAGGGCCAGGTTCTTACTGGTAAGATTGGCTACCAGAAGAAGGAGCAGGGCTCTCGTCTGCTGGATCTTAGCATCCAATGGGAAGTAGACGAGAACACCAAGGGTGAGCAGCGCTGGTCTCTTCAGTGAGAGGCGTATTGCCCAAAAGTTGATTGATGCGTTATGATCTTTATGTATAGACAACGCTCTAGATATCTTTGATGCAAAAGAGAACATTCATATGAACTGAATGTCTTTGGCATAGAACATAGATTCGAACTGAGCTTTTACTGGACGACGTACTTGGTGCCTCCAAATCCTGATTAGATGTCTCAGGCAATTAGTATTATACACTTGTTACTAGGATGATTACCTTCAAATATGCAAGAAGGCTTGTTGGTTTACAATTTGGACTATCACCGCCTTCATCGGCCGCCGTATCCATGGGGCGTTATCGATAAGCCAGCTCCGACCAAGCTACTGCTTCTTCCCTCAACCTACCCGCCACGATGCCGCTGTGAGTGTCTATCTCTCTTTGTATGATGGCTACAACTGACATCTTAGCAGTCACCTCCTCGGGAAAAAGTCATGGAACGTCTACAACCCCGAGAACATCGAGCGCGTCAAGCGCGACGAGGCCCAGGCCAAAGCCCGCGAAGAGGAGGATGAACGTCGCATGCAAGAAATCGATGCCGAGCGTCGGATCCAGATATTGCGTGGAGAGCACCCGTCTACGCCCCCTCCGCCACCGCCCTCACACTCTCCCTCGGAGTCACATCACAGATCAGAGAGGAAATACGCCGATGGCGCAGGGCAGTACAGGAAGCGCCGACGCCTCGCAGGGGAAGATGACACCGATAGGGATATCAGACTAGCCCGGGAGGATGCGACACAGGCCAGCGCTGCGAGAGATAGACTCGCTCTTACCTCTAGTCGAGATGGTAAAGATGCACAGGTACCGCTGGTGGATAGTGCTGGTCACATCAACCTCTTCCCAGCCGAAAGTGGCAACAAGAAGGCAGAGAAGAACGCCGAAGCCGAAGCCGAGGCTGCGAAAAACAAGCAGAGCTACGAAGATCAATATACGATGCGGTTCTCCAACGCCGCAGGCTTCAAGGAGAAAATCGGTCGCCAGCCATGGTATTCCTGTTCTGGACAGGATCTGGCAGCGCCAGACTCCATGCCCGAAAAAGATGTCTGGGGCAATGAAGACCCGCAGCGCAAAGAAAGAGAGAAAGCGCGCCTGGACTCCAATGATCCCCTCGCAGCGATGAAACGCGGTGTTCGGCAGTTAAGAGCCACGGAGCAAGAGCGAAAACGATGGAATGAGGAAAAAGAAAGGAGCTTGAAGCATTGAAATCTGAAGAACGGCACCGATCACGGCATCGTCACAGGAGGCGATCGCGGTCAGCGGATAGCCTGGAGGGCTTCAGCCTCGATGCGCCTGCGGTCAAACCTCGCGATCAGAAGGAGCATAGTGGCTCCAGGCGCCATCACCGACACCATCGCGAGGATAGAAGTCGAGATCGATCACATCGACGATCATCCCACCGCTCAGAACGCTCGCATCGACCTCGTGATAGAACTCATGGAGATGATAGACGCCTGCAGCAATCAGAGAAGAGCTCGACTGGTGAGAAGCATTAATGCACTGAACGATTACGAATGCTATAATATCATTTTCCTTGTTTCATTCGAAGCTAAAGATTACCCAATCATCAAAATGCTACTTCACCTTATCATACCTTCCAGAGCCCTTTAGAATGGTAGGCACCAGCATAACAAGGCCCAGTTTCATGACATCTGCCAGTTGACGGGAACTATTCTTGGGAGTGGCTTTCTGGCGTTATCGATAACGCCCCACCGCCCACACTGTTCCCGGAGTGACGAAGCTCCCAGGCCGCCTCCAAAGCTCTCCTCTTCAACTATTTGTCTTTAACACCATTCGAAATGTTCAATCGGAGCAACCTCCCCTCTGTACCGAGTCCCTTTGGGAACAGATCCGACAGTGGACGCCCCTCACCCCAGGGATATTCGAACCCCAATCAAGCACCGCCACGGTATGATTATGGCCACGGCCTTGCCCCAAGACAAAGCGCAGGGCGAGCCCGCGACGACGATGTACCTATGACTGATGCATATAATGATCCAAGGGGATATGGAGGTCAACCACCCGCGGCAGGAAGGCCGTCTCAGCAGATGCCAGCACGGCCCCCAGTCGGCGGACGGCCAGGTGGCGGCGTAGCGGGAGGACAGACCTGGACACTTCATCCCAGCAAAAGCCCGAACGACAACTTCACATTCGGCAATCTGTAAGTATTTACTCGATCTCAATCTTCACCTCGGTACTGACTCCGGCAGCGTCGCCGTATCACCACAGGACATTCCGCCTTCCCGAGACGGCGCCGACGTCCTCCTCCTGATCAATGACCTCTACGTTCTCTCCGGCCGCCCTCTCGAGGGCTTCCCTCCCGGATATATTAGCATGTCGGACCCTCAACGCACATGGGCTAGTGTCGGAATGCGCGATGCTGTCAAAGTGCAGCTTTATGACCCATTCAGCCAGGGAGGCCAAGCTTACCTGGGATCAGCGGACATTGAAGTCAGCTTTGCGTCTACGAAGAAGCGAACGGAAGCGCCGTATGATCAGGAAGATCTCACAAACGCCGTGATCAGGGTGAGTCGATATTCAAGGTCAATACGGATAGCTGGGATACTGACATACTCAGAACTTCGAAAATCAATTGTTCGCTCCCGGACAAAGGATCCTTATGGACCACAAGAGCATCCCGCTCTTGTTGCTGGTGAAGACTGTTCAACGAGTTGATTTAACCTCGGAGAAGGTCGATCTGAGCTCGGGGGAGATTGAGACCCATGCGACAGCTCGAGGAATCATTACTCGGCACACCCAGCTCAACTTCTTCAAGGACGCCCAAACTGGAATCAATGTGAAGCCATCCAATCGCCGCCCAGCTGCAAACTCGATCATCCAGCCCGGTTTCAAATTCGAGGACATGGGTATTGGTGGTCTGGATTCTGAGTTTAGCACCATCTTCCGTCGTGCTTTTGCTTCCCGTATCTTCCCTCCCGGCCTTGTCGAGAAATTGGGTATCCAGCACGTCAAGGGCCTTCTGCTTTATGGACCTCCGGGTACTGGTAAAACCTTGATTGCCCGCCAAATTGGAAAAATGCTCAACGCAAGGGAACCAAAGATTATCAACGGTCCAGAAGTTCTGAACAAGTACGTCGGTCAGTCAGAAGAAAACATTCGAAAGATGTTCGCCGATGCCGAGAAGGAATATAAGGAGAAGGGTGATGAAAGTGGTCTGCACATCATCATCTTTGACGAGCTGGACGCTGTTTGTAAGCAGCGTGGAAGTGGCGGAGGTGGTAGTACTGGCGTGGGCGACAGTGTTGTTAACCAGCTTTTGTCGAAGCTGGATGGTGTCGATCAACTCAACAACATTCTGCTTATTGGTATGACCAACCGCAAGGACATGATTGATGAGGCGTTGCTTCGTCCTGGTCGTCTGGAGGTGCACATGGAAATCTCGCTGCCCGATGAGAAGGGCCGCAGTCAGATTCTCAAGATCCACACGGAAAAGATGCGAACTAACAATGTCATGGACACTGATGTTGACCTGGAAGAGCTTGCTCACATGACCAAGAACTTTTCGGGTGCCGAGATTGCTGGTTTGGTCAAGTCAGCCTCCTCGTTCGCCTTCTCGCGCCATGTCAAGGTTGGAACGATGGCCAGCATCAACGAAGATGTGGTGAACATGAAGGTCAATCGATCTGATTTCCATCACGCTCTTGACGAAGTGAAGCCAGCCTTTGGTGTCTCCGAAGAGGAACTGTCCAGCCGCATCCAATACGGCGTGATTCACTACTCGAACACCATCAACGAGATCTTGCGGGAAGGTGAATTGTTTGTGAAGCAGGTTGGTCAGGCAGAGTCTACACCCCTGTTCTCTGTCCTGCTCCACGGTCCTCCTGGAAGTGGCAAGACAGCCTTGGCAGCTCGCATGGCCATTGACTCTGGCTTCCCCTTCATCAAGTTGATCAGCCCCGAGGATATGGTTGGCTTCAACGAGGCTGCTAAGATTTCACACATCAGCCGCATCTTTGACAGTGCCTATAAAAGTCGCACCAGTATTGTCGTCGTTGACAATATCGAGCGCATAATTGACTGGGTTCCCATCGGCCCCCGCTTCAGCAATAACGTGCTACAGGCCCTCATGGTGTTCCTCCGGAAGCCACCAACTCAAGGCCGTCGCCTGCTGATCTTGGCCACGACCACCGAACGTGCTCTGATGAAACAATTGGACATTTATAACTCGTTCAACTCGGATATTCTGGTTCCTAACGTGCTATCGTTTGGTGAGCTGCGGTTTGTCATGGAAAAGTCCGGTGCTTTCGATGCCCAAGAGATTGCTCAGGCCCTCGAGGGAGTCGGCGGTCTGGCGGATGACGGCCGTCTCAGTGTGGGTATCAAGAAGGTTCTTCTTGGTATCGAGACTGCCAAGCAAGATGTGGACAAGGTGGGCCGTTTTGTCCGTGTGATTAATCGGGCTATTGAGGAAGAGCAGACGTTTGCTTAGAGCGTACATATATAGAATTCATCTGTTTGTACTTTCTGCTATTATGAGTATAACACACCATATATCTTGGAATTGTCTTTCGTGTTCCTTCGTATGATTTATTCTCATTTCCTCTGGACGCAAGCGGTATGCTTTGGCCAGATAGGTGTTTGGCGTTATGAAAAAGTGTAGACAATGCCCACGAAATGAGAACCGGCTGTCCCATATCTTTTCTTTTGTCTAGGCGGGATCCCATGCGTCTCCTTTCTCCTGCCTGCCCGAGCAACGGCGTTGGGGTGTTTGATGGCTGGTACCAACTAGCTGTGTAAACCACCCTTGGAGAGACAATTAGGTATAGAATACCTCCACAATATTTACCCAATGTTCTCTTTTAATACCAAGCTCAAAAGACCATAACAAGTTGATCCATATCTCCCCTGGGTAGTCTCGAAGAACTGCAAGAGACATGATAGAGCAACCATGCATATCCACCATAACGAACCTGGCCAATGGGCATTCAATCAAAGCCATAGCCCTATTTTTAGACATCTAATGACCAAATTACCCTGGCAAGTGGGTTACAATCCAAGGGACAGCCTATGACCAGCCTTCATTCCAACTAATAACCCTACCTAGGGCTTCACGACGTACGATACTCGGCTCAATACCAAAGAGTCAGGCTACGATGGCTCCTGAATGGCTACAAGACCCCATCATTACAGTAACACGAGTAAAACAAGTACGATTCACGGTATCCACTCCAAGTATAGAGCCACAAGTCGCACAATACCCACACGTCACAGGGGGAGAGAGATATACACATAAAACCAAGTCAAAACACGCCAAAGCCGTCCCAGAAAAGCAAACTAGCCCATCCCAGCAGTTCCAAATATCCCGATTTTGTCCGAATCCAGTCATCACAGTCGTCAAAATAAGCAAACAGATAAGCATAATCGCATCAAGCTCCCACGAGCTGAATCAGTACTCGTCGTAGGTGTACTTCTTCGCGGCCCGGCGGTATTCCTCCGGGTGGGCCTTCTCGGCCTTGCTCTTCAGCGCGCTATTGGTACGAAGCCGGTCAGCCTTTCTTCTAGAAGACGTATGCGGCGCTAATTTGGTGCGTCGATCTTCCCCAGACGCACGTGCCAAGCGCTGCCCCGGCGGAGCGGAGGTAGACATCACCCCCCTGCGCGGAGCGGGGCGGAACTTGCAACGTCCATTCTAAGGGGTAAGGGTGATCTTTGTGGAATCTTCGCATTCTTACCTGACACGCTTCTGGGTCCATTCCAGATCTCGCTTCGTCTCTCGTGCAACCTTCACTCCTTCTGCGAAGTTCGCGCGAACGCCCTTTAGGCGGCGCTGAGCTAGGGCTTGCAGTTCTAGCAGCTCGCGCTGCTTTGCGTTCAAGTGTCCGGAGCTGGAGAAACGCGCAGGCTGTCAGCTTGAAGATTCCAAATTGCACATATAGCTGCGTGCTTGCAGCAAACCATTGGCAGTTTCGCGTCGCGAGGACAGCGAATCGCCGTTTACCGGGGAGGGATTTTAGAATTGCAGAGCACTCACGTTTGCGCCTGTTTGGCCAGACCCTTGTCCAGTGGAGTTGGATCGAACGCATCTTGCATGCGGTCGCTCAAGACATCCACGACATCGACTCCGGAGTACGAGGCAGAGCTCGACTCGTAGTCTGCGCTCCCGCCAGGGGAGCTGAAAGTGAAACCGCCAGAGGTGCGGCTGCCAGCAGTGGTGCTTGCATCAGAATAATCTGGTGGTGAGCCTGGCACCCGCGAGATGGGGTACATGCTAGCCGGCATCGGTGCCTTGGATGGCATGTTCATGGGGTAAGTGGAAAGCTGGTAGTAGTGACGTTGAGTGGCCATGATGGTGTGATGTTGATATAGATATCAATGATCGGATGACAGGGTTGATATGAGGACGAGTATATCTCGACAAGATCTAACGATGATCAAAAGAGGTATGAGCAGGCCCTATCTCAAGGTAGGAGCAGCAATATATGAAGGTAAAGACCAAAAGTGTTGGGTCTCGGACCGGGATGCAAACGAAGCCAGCTGGGAGGGATGAATAGGGAAGAAGGAGGAGAATTGGGTCCACCGGATCAAACGAGAGAATTTATAGGCATCAGCGGAGAGTCTTCCCTCCGGCGGGGCCATGATCAGACTTTCCATCACAGTTGATGATGAGGAGGCGTGGGTGGGAGGGCAAGGGTGGACGGACTGGGACAAGAGCCATTGGACCACCAGAGGCACTTGGGATTGCACCCCTCCCTCTTGTAACCTCCAACCTTGCCAATCTCCCCAATCCCCGAGCTTCGGCTGCATCTCCTCCTCCGTTCCTGCCCGCCGATTCGTCTCTTGGACCTCGCGGACCCCGCTCCGAGTGGGAAACGAGGTGTGTCTGGGCCAGTCCACTAGGGGTTCCGCTCTCCGGTGGCTATTCCTCCCTGGGATCTTCAGTCTTGGTCTACGCGGCCCCTCTTCTGTTTCCCAAATTCTGTGCTAGGCCCGAGCGGAGCCTGAAAGTATCCGAATTGTTGCAATGGAGGGGCAAAAGTGGGTGGTCATGGTCCATGGATGGAGGTGGAGTTGGGCAGGGAAAGGAAGTATATAAAATGCCCATCCCACCCTCCCCGGATCCTGAATTTCACCTTTACACTTCTGGATCTCTTTCTTTCCGAATTTTCCCATACTTCCTTATCACCCCCTCCTCGGTTCGACATCCCGTTTTCCAAAAATTGGGGGGCTGGGAAGACGGATGTCGAGTCGAGCATCGAGGTTGATTCGCTCGTGGTACGAAGCGCCGAGACGAGTTGCGAACTCTACAGGAACTGGTATCACATACAAACCGTGTGCCTTCAATCACACCCCATGCTCCATGATTGCCAAAATTGAATATTAACAATACCATAGGTTCTCATACTTGCCTCCGAATGTTTCTGCAGACCCTCAAGTGGCCGACTGAAAATCATCCGTTGGGTATTGATGTGCGTGCCCAGTGGGTCAAGTCAGCCTTGAAGCCCACAGGAACGGCAATCCTTCCGAGTCTTTTTCTTTCACCAGTGGTAGTGATCAGAAAGAAAAGAAAATGTCTTGCGGCCTGACATCATCGAGAATTCAATCATTCAACAAAAGGAAAATTCAGAAAGAAGACGGCAGCAAGGCAGCAAAATGGAATTCATTTGGTCACACGGCCTGAAGATCCCAGTGTTGGACATCAGTGCATGGCCCAACGAACCGTGGAAAACCCGGCAATGCTTCGAAGCCGCCCAAAAGGCTCCAGCCGAGAATCAGTCAGCGGCACCATGTTAGCTCACAGGGGAGACCTGGCTACCCAAGGCACCCAGGGACGGAGAAAGATCTTGCGTGACCGAAGCCTGACGGCATCCGACCAAACAAGGAAGTGGAAAAGGATGAGGGAAAAAGAAAAGGTGCCTTGCCATGAAGATCCCTGTGGCCTCCGTTTGCCCGCCCTTTTTCCATGCGGCTATTGCTACGTCCGGAGGACCAGAACGCCTCGCACCAGCCCACAATCGGCTAGAAGAGCAGGGAAGGAGAACAGTGCAGCACAGACAAGCGCTCTAAACGCCCGTCACGGCATGGCAAAGAGCAGCATGCCACCCCACACGCCATGCACAAGAGCAATGACTTGCTTCTCGACGTGGACCGGACCATCGACAAGAAGGGCGCTCTCTGCAGGGCCCCGTGGGTAAAATGCAGGAGGCCCGGAGAAGATGGGTTGAGTGGCCCATCTCGTCATCATTGGCCCCCAGGTTGGCTGCTGACAGGACTACCCAAGCTCCAAGGTTGCGAAGGAGAAAAGAAGAAAAGCAAATCGGCAGCACCAATCTGATTTGACAATCATGCACTGCCTTACGCTGGGCTGCGCTGGCCGGCTCGTTACGTACCCTTTTTTGGCTACCCTATGTACCTTGTCGACTCGGCGACTGGGTACCCAAGTGTCCCGAGGGTTTTGGGGATAGTTGTGGTAATAAACTGCCCTTCTCTCCTCATTGTCTCATTGCACCGCGCCCTACCCGTGGCCATTCTGCATGCCTTGCAGCCTGACGAAGGACAATATGCCCCGTTGACTCGCATACAACCACCGAATTACACCGTGCCACCACCCTCCTCCATGAAATACTAAATTCACCCCCAATCATCTCCCAAAGCCCACAGAGATGCAACTCCAAGAACGCCCTCTGCTATTGCGTTTCTCCCCCCATTACTCTTCTTTCCCAAATTCAGGGCAATCGGGCAGCACATCAATGACGCGCAAGATACGACAAGACCTGGGTCTGCGAATAGGAAAATCTCTACCCGTCCAGCGCTGCGCAGTATCATAGGCTACTCGGAACGGTCTCTTCCATCCCACCGATCTCTTATTCGCCCCCTCGTCGAGCCTCGCTATCGCCATCTCCGGCCAAAGAAGTTACCCTCGACACTAGACGAGAGACATGGTCTGGAAGTTTTGCCTTTCTTTTTTCTCCATTTGCCCCCCTCATGCTTCTTAACGAGGCCATCGCAAAGCATTCGGTGTTCGCCCGGAGTATACATGCACCGCACATACATCTGCACTGCACCCTGTCAACAACGAGGCCAACAGAGTTGCATGCGTTACACGAGCCCGCTCTTCTGGTATCGTAATCCGAGATGATCCAGAAATGACAATCCCTGGAGGGTTGAGTCATTCCGCTTGACAAGCATAATCATGGACCCGGATGCTAAGCTGTTCACCCGGGGGGAGGGGGACCCGTATTATAGTCCCAAAACAGGCGAACCACGAGATTCGGTCTCAAGAAGATCATAACCCAACAATAAAATGCCCTGGGATTCTCACTAAACTCTCAAGCAGGAAATCATCATGGACCCCCCAGTCACCGAATAAAATTCGCATCAAGTGGGGTTGAGGGCGGGGATTATTTTTTCTCTCTGTTTCCTTCACCGCCACATGCAACATCATGACTGGACGGTTTGCTCTGGCCAACTCACCTCCCTTTCCTCTTTGGGAGTGGTTCGCTTTTGGCGCTGGTCAAATCTACGGCCAGTCGGACCTTTAGTATTATAGACTCATAGTGGTACTGAGATCGGCCGTATGCCACGAGACTCCCATGTGAGGTGGGAACCGCTATAGAGCGGATACTCGCAGTGTTTGGATGCAATTATTAACTTGTCCCTTGGATATTAACGTTAGCAAAGGGTATAGCAGGAGTAATTAGTTGTATCTCGGGTACAGTACTCTGTATCTTAAGCCTTGTATTATTCTCTCTCTTCTTATCTTTCCCTTTATGTATCGGCTCCTAGTAAACTCTGTTCTTTCCGATTGGCCCCCCGGATCCAGATGATTCATCTTGTCTTCTCCGTTGATAGTTTTCTCAGTCTAGAAGTCTAAAATCATGATGAAAGGCTAATAAAAACTCTGTCGTACTTATCCTCGGTTTTCATCAGATAGCACATTTAGACCATTCTAACCGCCTTGATTCATATCTCATAGCATTGGTAATACGACTGACCTATAGAAGATTATGATTAAACCATTGCGAAAATGCAGTTTCTGGTGATTTTTATCATCAGGGAATAAGCCTAGTTGATCTATACCAAAAGTCTTGAACCTAGACTGTCTGCTATCTTTGTTACATCAACTTCCTCTAGACTCGTAACGCAACCAAAGAAGAGAGTAGATAAAACGGTTAAAGTTGGATTATTGACAAATACAGATCCACAAGTAAGATCAATGTCGTTATACGCTCGTAATCTGGTATCACAAGAGAAGCAGGGAAACAAAGCGAGGCTCAGAAAGAGAAGAGAAGGGGAAAAAAGAATATAAGCACAGCAACCAGATCCGGGCACTGACGCCATGCGCTCGAGGTCAAACAAGGTCACCGCAAGGGCACGGTGATAAAGAAAAATCGATAATACAAGAAAGAATAACCCTTGTCCCTCGACCAACGTAAACAGATGCTTTAAAAGTGCACCGGCGATCCAATGCCCAATGCAGATGCAGATAGCGCGTGGGATGTTCAAGGCCCGGCAGGCGGGGGGATGCGATGAGAAAAAAAAGATCGTAGGCAAGCATAAAGGTGGGCTCGCGCTGGTGTTGTGTATGCCCTCGTCTTCCAGAAGTCCAAATGCCACCTTTACCGTTCCGTATCCCCATGTAGTTGCACCGTTGATCATAAAAGAATAACAAACAAAAACCCAAAATCCCAATCACTCAATCGTGTACTGAATCGGGAAGAGAGGAAAAAACTGTTCAAATGCTGAGAGAAGATGGAGGAGGGGGAAAATTGAAGGGTATCACCAGTGCACAAAGTAAGGGATTGGTGGTGATGATTCGACGGAGGGCGGTGGTTGTGCAAAGAAGGAGGTAAGTCTTAGCGACGGATCGAGGGAGAAGGTTCAACTCCTCCGCTAAGGCGATCCCGAAGGAGCTGGAGAGGGCGGCTAGGGTCCAGAAGGCCCATCATCATCTTGCCCAGTTCGTTATGCTTGATGGGCTTCGTGACATAGTCATTGAAACCAGCACGGGCAGCATTCTCAATCTGATCTGTCATCGCATTGGCCGACAGAGCCATGATCGGAATCTGAGGATAATGATTCTTCTGTTCCCAAGCACGAATCTCTCGACACGTATCGTAACCATTCTTGATAGGCATTTGGATATCGCACTGGAAATTACCAAGGGTTAGTTGATGAACTTTATAATAGGACAAGGAAGGACTTGACTTACAATGATGAGAGAATAGTATCCCGGTTCTTTGGAAAGTACCATGTCAGTACACTCCTGCCCGTTCGAAGCAGTCTCGGACATGAGCTTGATCTTGTCCAAGTATTTTAGCATGACCTAGATATTCATTAGCACCTCGGAAAATTTGTCAACATATGGAGAAGTGGACTCACGCCACGGTTAGTTTCGTCATCCTCCACAAGTAAAATTCGGTAGCCCTTATTGCCGAGCACCTCCTTGACCATCTTGGACACGGTTTTGAAGTTGTTATTGATTTCTCGGGCCATGTCCTGATTGCGGTCTTTGCTCAGTTCACGTTTGCTATCTGGGTCAAAGATAGTGGAGAAGGCGGAGGGTTTGACAGGTTTCGGCACGATGAAGACTTGCTTTCCCGTTGCAGCCAACTCTTTGACGCGGGTGCTGATCTGGCGTTTCTGATACAAGTCCGAGATAATCACAACAACAGGAGCAGTGTCCGGCTCACATTCAGACACGTGCTGGATCACCTCCAAGATGTCATCTGTCGCGGGCAGGTTGAGAACCAAGTGGGTGCAGGGAGTCCTAGAACCAGGCTGCATCATGTCCTTCCATTCGTCAATGTCCGGTAAGGCCGTGATCGTGAATGGGATCTCATATGGGACGACTTGTTCAATGTGCTGCTTGGTGGCTTTGCGAGTATTGTCTAAGGGACATAGAATGATGATGGAGAAAGGACCCTGCGGAGACATAGATGGCGACCCAATCGAAAGTCTACTTGGAGACGAAGAGCCCTGACGAGGTGGCGGAACCAGACGAACGGGCGCACTTGGTGTTCCTTCATTGGAATCGATTTGAGGCTGGACACTTGACACACCAACAGGCTGCAACTGTGCTGTAGAAATGTCCGGCGTTGGCAAAGCAGATGACACCGCAGAGTGTGGGAACAAGCTTTTTGGCCCAAGATCGAATTCCGGAGACTCGAGTCCGGGTGAAAGAGTCGCAAAATTCAGAACTGGATTCGGTGCCAATGAACTGCTCTGCTCATATGATGTTGTCCTAGAAGTTGTCGGTCGTCTCGAGACAGTGGAGGCCTGACGCAATAGCGAAGGCCGTTCGGATGGCGATGGAGGCGGTGGAGCATCAACCTTGACATTGAAGGAAAACTGGGCCCCTTGGCCTTCTTTGCTACTCGGTGTGAGCTTGCCACCATGCATCTCGACAAGCTGCCTCGACAGGAACAAGCCCAAGCCGCTACCAGCATGTTGCTGAGAGCCATTTTCGCCTAATTGACTGAATCGTTGCATGAGACGCTCAGCATCCTGTGAGCTAAACCCTTTACCGGTATCCACGACGTCGAAATTCAAAAACGCTTCGGTGTTGTTGAGTTTGCCCGAAGTTTCACGGAAGAGATTGCAACAGATGTAGACCTCACCATGTGCGGTGAATTTGACGGCGTTGCCCACTAGGTTGATCAGAACTTGACGGATCCGGAAGCGATCGCCAATCACCATGGACGGGACGTCAGCCTCCATCAAGTAGTTGATCTCCAAGCCCTTGTCGATTGCTCGCGAGGCGACAGTATCAATCACATCCTCAATCATCGACCGAACGTGGAACCAGGAATTGACCATCGACATCTTGCCAGCTTCAACGCGCGAAACATCCAAAATATTGTCAACCAATTCCCGGAGGTTGGTGGAGCTGTTTTGAATGGTATCAAGCATTCGTCGTTGATCGGTGTCAAGCTGCGTGTCCAATATGAATGGAATGGTGCCGAGGATACCGTTGAGAGGCGTTCGAATTTCGTGAGACATATTGCTGAAGAACTTTGTCTTGGACTCCATCTGATTATTGAGCTGAGTCATTGCCTTATTGAGCTCCCGCTCGAGGTTCTTCCGGTCGTTGATGTCAGTGCATGTGCCATACCATGAGGCTTCCTCGCTACCGAAACTGCCCGTCTCGACTCGGACAAGGCGCACGAGATGCCATCGGAAGTCACCGCCTCTAGACCGTAGGCGAATCTCAGTAGAGTAGAACACACGTCCATTCTCATCCTTTTGCAGGGAAGCGACGCCGCGTCTCACAAGTTCATCAAGTGCAGAGGAAACGCCATGGCTTTCTGAAGGCGACCGTCCCTGTCCGCCATCTGTCGTTGATGTAGCTTCATCGCCTGGGGTCGCTTGCTTCGTTTGCGTGGCAAGCCCACCACATTTCTCGAGATCATTGGGATGAACATGCTTCGCGAAGCCGAGATTCAGGGCCTCCTCGAGGCTTTGACCTGTGTACAAGTTCCACTGCTCGTTGACAAAGATCAATCCCCGGTTCTCTGTGGCTTCGAAAACGACTTGTGGGATTGAATTGGAGAATGCCCGGTACTTCGCATCCGTCGCAAACTTTTCCCTCTCTTGAGTCGCTTTCAACTCAGCAATGTGCTGTTCGTGGATATCAAGGAAGGAGCCGATCCAGTACAGAACCTCACCCGTGGACGACAACAAAGGATTCGCTCGAAATATGAACCAGCGATACGCAGTCTCGTCGTTGAACCGTCGTACGCGAACCCGTTCAGTGAACTGAGAACCCGTACGTAGGGCATTGGACCACTCGCTAGACACGTGATCTCTTTCACTGCTGTGGATGTTCTGCCAAGGATCCCGCAATCGCTGCTCCTGCGGTTTACTCCTCCGATAAGCATCAAACTTGGTATTGGTCCAGATGACTTCGCCGCTCTGAGGCTTCGCCAGAAAGAGATGAAGAGGAACGGAATTAAGCATCAACTGCGCAATTGTGTCCGAGAAAGGACGGGGTATCTCGCGTTGAAATTGGGCATAGAAGGAATTCGTTGACCCTTGCCGTGACGACTGCTGAGTTGGAGACAAGACTGTGGGCGGTCGCATATCTTGCAATGGGGATGCGACGATTGAAGCTGGGTCTTGACCATTGTTGCCCTCTTCTACCGCACAAGCTTTGCCTGTCAGCCTGCCCGGGGAGGTCGGGGTTGAGGACGCCAGACTTGACTTTGATTTTGAAAGACGGGATCGCTGGTTTGGAAGGTTATCACGAGCCACCTTCGTATGTTGGACATTGAAATAACTGTCCGTGGTATCTCCAGAACGAGAGATCAAGGCTGGAGATTGAGTTGCCGAATTCAACCCCATCTGACCAAGGTCAAACCCAGGCGTTCCAAGACTAGATATGGTGGGACTGTATTTGTTCGACGATCGATCACTAGGGCTAGCAATACTAGCCTGCGCAGACATCGAGTTGTCATCGCCAACTGAGTAGCTCACATGGCCACTAAGACCCGCCACCAGCTCCAATTCACTGCTCGCGTCCGAGAATGTGCCACCGAGTCCAAGAAGGTGTCCATACCGAGGAGTATCCACTTTGGATGTCAATTGTCGCTCCAGCTGACTATATTGTTGTGCAAGGCAAAAGGATGTTGTGAGGTGCGGCATAAGGTGCGCAAGGGATCGGCGGAGATTCGGTGGGTATGGCACAATTGTAGAGAGCATGGAGATGATAGCGACCGGAAACCTCAACGTTGAGTGAGAGCCTCGATTCACATGGCCACCATGTATCAAAGGTATGTGGACAACCGTCTTCGAATAATCGATCCCAATGGCCTCCAAGGGTTGCGAGTTGGAGTAGTCATGGTGAGGCGGGTTCTTCGAGAACGCACCTTCGTCGACCGTGTGACACGTAAAGAAAGGGTTTTGGTCCGCGTGTGTTCGAGGAGCCGGTGAGGGAGCCGGGGACTGCGACCAGGGAGACTGCGGAACCTGCTCATATTCGTCATACTGTCGCAGTCCAGCTGCGCCAAGGCTGATCGGAGGTGCACTTTGCCCATGAACAGAAGTCGTGTGTTGTTCGGGACCATCGGCATTTGGGGTCATCTGAACGGTCTCGTTCGGACTCCGGGGTATAGTGTTCCCACCCACTTGGTTGTCAGTTGCGTCTGTGGAGTACTCACGGGTAAGCACAACAGGGGTGGTCCGTCCGAATAGCTTGACTACCCCAGCCCTCTTGACCAAAGGATCCGACTCCACCTCCAGTGGCCTCGGAATCGGAAATACGGCTTGTCGCAATGGGGAGACCGCTGTATTTGGGGGCTTATTCAGTTCAGGCTGAGTCGGTTGTCTTTGGCTGCTTGAAGCCACCGTCGTCTCCGCCAAGCTAGACGTTCCGGCGATACGAGCGTGCTTTTTCTCCGACTTGACAGAAGCCTTTGGAGTCTGCTGATGGCGGTCCAATTCTGAAGTTTGAGTCGGTCTTTTGCCGAATCCAAACCCAGCAAACGAGTGGCGATATTCTAACGGTGGGCGGGTGGATATAGGATTCTTCAACTTGGGAGCCAATGGTGGAGCTTGATCGTGAGAGATTTCATCATGATATGGTCGAGTGTCCATAGTCGATTCCGATAACGTGCTGCCGGGAACCGTAGATGCCTGCGCATCCTCGGGCATGGATGTCACGTTCTGGTTGAAGATTGCTTTCTGGCCCCAGGGGACATTCTCAAGGTCAGTCAGATCACCTGGAACAGCCAGTGACAGGCGCTCTGCGCCATAGTGAGCTTGTAGAATTTCAACCAGGTTAGACCACCAAGCTTCCAGTCCGGGATCCGCATTCAATTTGAGAGATAAGTCGTATAAGCTGGGGGTCGGGAATTCTGAATCATCGGCGGGTTGACTGCTTTGGGGCGGAAGAAATACAGGCTGTACGTTATGGGTCTTCGGAGCAGGCTGCTGGTCCTCGGAAGTTTGCGATCCTGGTGTCGATGATCGAAGCCGCTCCGAAGGCAACTTCAACCGAAATTGACCCTGACGGCCTATTTGTTCAAGTTCGGATTGCGTAGTCTGGTTCTGGACCCTTGGAAACGGATAGGAGGGAGTTTGGGAAACCGTATGGTCCGTAGAGATTGTGCCATAGTGATCGCCCGCCTTGATCGTTCCTCCAGATCCGACCGAGCCCGATGATGTCTGGATAATTGTTGGTGGGATCTCTGTGGTGGCGCTAGATAGTCGACGTTTCTTCGGCGTTTCATTTGCATGGTCAGAAGCAATTTGATTCGGGGCCGAGGTATGACCTTGGTGTTGCTGCATTTGCTGATAAACCAAGAGCTCCTCCATCTGCCGGCGCAGTTCCTTTAATGTTTGCGAACTCCGTCCCTGTTCTTCCTGTCGTTCACTTTCCGGTCGTGTGTCTTCGGTAATCGGTGTCAGGCCATGTAGCTGATCCGCCGAGTCTCCCCGTGAAAACCGCATGCGAGGTGCTTTCAATGTGCCGTCCCCACTTTCCACGATACTATCCATCGATAACTTGCTCGCATGGTCATGATCGGCAATTTGATAGCTCGGCAGCGACCGGGCTGGCTGCAAGTGGGGAGATTGAGGCACGGCGACGGGCGACACGGTTTCCGTTGGCGATGGCAATGGAGGGCTTCTCCTACTATGCACGTCTCCCATTCTCGCGCCTCCACCGATCCGTCCAAAAAACGATTCAATACTCCTGGGCAATACTGACAGCGCAGGAGTCAAGTCGGGCGATCATGTCTTAGCCAAAGCGATCCGTCTAGGGAAGCCTCGTGGGCGTAGGAGGAGGGGGAGAAAGGCGAGTGAAATAGGCAGGCGGCAGCCGATATCGAAAAGCAAAAGGCGGGAAGTCGATGGTTACCGGGTGCGAAGAGGCGGCGAGTTGGGTCGATTTAGAATCCGGGGGGGGGGGGGGGGGGGGGGGGGGGATTTCGAGACGAGACAATAAGGTTTCAAGCGGTGTATTGTCAGGAGGAGATGAGATGAGATGGGGAGGTGGTGAATGGAGAGGGAGTCAACAATCGAAGCGGCGTGGAGTGATTGTGTGTGGTTCTGGGGGGGTGGTTGGTTGGGTGTGTCGGGATCGAGGGAACAAGCAAAGAGGTCGTGACTACTCTGGGAAAGTCTGGAAAGTCTGGAAACTGGCGTCAGTACCCGCCGACCGAACTGCGTGGGATCGCCCAGTGGATGGAAGGAGGGAGGAAAAAGTGGACTCTCTTTCGCTGATGGTCCGTCTCCGGGGGAAGGCTATGACGTAGCGTGCCCTGGAAATTTAAATTTAAAAAAGGAAAAAAAAAACCCTTTACGCCCTGCTGTGGACGGGCTCCGCTTGCTGAAATAACAGGGATAGGTTTAATCGATAGACTACTTTAGACTCATCTTTTATGGCTATAACTATAAAATTGAAGATATCAATCCTGATGAGAGTATTATCGACGTATTCGTATACTCAACACCTACAGTAAATTCGTGCGGTGAGGGCCGGGTCAGATGATCAGCTGATTAAGATGACGGAGTGCCTGTTACCGTTCAACGTCCCACGAGGCATTCCATGGATTAACTACGTCCTACAGTTTAGTCCTCTTCTGTAGTATAGCTACCCTAATTTTACTATCCATAAAATATCACATCGTCCTCCATCCTAAAGCACACTCCTCTAAGTGTACGAAATTCACCGTTTGCTTCCAACTAGAACGAGAGAGAGAGAGAAAATGAGCTAAGAGCCTCGAGTCCCCTCTCCCTTCTCCCCAGTCCAAATGACAATCCTGTCTTTGCTCCGGTGACTATCCAGGCGGAACTGGACCTATTATTGACTCTCTTGACCGATTATTACTTGATAGGCCTTGAGCCTAGGGTCCAATGATCATCCATGCTTCCGTCTCCAGTGATGGTTCATGCGGATCAGCTCGCGCGGACTAGTGCTAACTACCACAAGACTGGTAACTAACGTAATTCCCGGTCGAGTCGGTCACCCGGTCGAGCCGGTCACTTTCCCATAGAAGAGCAATTCAAAATCGATTATCTCAACCAACACCGATTAATTTAACTAGATATAGCGATTTTTACATACATTAATCCTATGGCCAATCTCCCTGCACCCACTACACCTAGGTGGTGCCCTCTTTGCTGGCATAATTGGCTGACTAGGCAATTCAATCTCTGCATGCGAATCTACCTCATTATCTTCCTCTGGCTGGTTTAGCTGCTCAGCTAGCTGTATAGCCTCCTCAATGGTTAAACCCTCTGCGCAGGGTATCCTCCTAGTTGACCGATTGCGCTTTTTGATTATCTTCTCACTCGCTATACGTAGATTCGCATTATCCTCTGCTAGTAAAGCACCGCTGTGTAGCGCTAGCTGGAATCCCTTGATCATCTGGTCTAAGATCTCTTTTGATGGGCTCGGAGGGCTATTTGACCGCCGTTTTAGTAGATCTTTTAACATAGAAGCTTGCTTGAATAGCTGAGCGGCGGTTCTAGGCGTTTGGGGTGTGAATTCGCTAGATCTGCTGTTTGGCCGGCTGCTAGGTGGTGACGGAGTACGTAGAGAGATATTAAGCTTGTTAAGCACTCTCTCGGGGTCTAATGGTACTAGACCACTAGCTGCGAAGCTGTTTTTGATAGTGGGATTGGTTGATTGGAACGCTTCGAGCCGCGCGCGCTGGTAATCCACTAAGAAATCGTGCTTGTCGATATGGTTATATCCTCTACGCGCAAGATCGCTAACGAAGCGACCGTACGCGCGCTTAACCACTGCAAAACACCCAACATCTAGTGGTTGTAGTAGATGCGATGAATGCGCAGGCATACAAAGAGGTATAATATCGTTTTCTTTGCAGATCCGATCGAATTGGGGCGTAAGGTGGCTACCATGACCGTTAAGAATTAATAGCCGAAACCGACCTCGTACGCGCGAATTCGTGTGTGGGATAAAGTGCTTTTGTAACCAGCGTAGGCCAATCTCATCGGTAGTCCAGCCATTCTTTGAGACCTCGATTCGCCAGTCTTTCGGTAGGTTTTCGTTAAACCATCCTGCAATAGCCACTTTGCCTTTGAAGACTATACATGGCGGTAGTGAATAGCCGTCTGCGCAGATTGCTTCGATCGCAGTAACCCATTCGCGATTTCCTGGTTGTAGAAGAGATCTCCGACCGTAGTATTCAGCCCTTGTGACTACTTTCTGCGAAGATATAAGGCCCATTGCAAAGCCTGTCTCATCAAAGTTGTAGATATCCTCTGATTGTATACCGTTCTCGTCAATAACGCTTTGTACGGTCGCGAACCAAGCTCGGAGGGTCTTCGGGTCTTCGTTTAATGCGCGCTGGTAGTCGTAGCGTCTCGAGAAGCGAGATTGAAGCTCTGGGCGGCGATGAATGAACGATGAGGGCCAATTCTTACCCACGGTAGGTAAAGGGTAGCTACCGCGCGCGGCCAGTAGGATATTAGCCATTTCTCCCACAGTAGCCGGTCTAGGGGCTGCTCCACGCGTATCCATAGAGAGTATCCATTCAGTAAGCGAATCCTCTTCTAATTGGGTCAATTTATGGCCATTTGCGCGAGAATCGACGCGGCAAACCACTCCTCTGGCGCGGTCAGTAAGTGTTGACCTAGGGACTTCGTATAGGATAGCCGCAGCGCGAATAGATTTAACACGGCCATTTTTTAAATCGGAAAGGGCCAGTAGGATCTTGCCCTCTTGATTCGCAGATTTCTGCGAAGATTCAGCCCGAATTGGTGGCATGGTAGGTGGTTGAATTAGGTAGGTTAGTAGGAGGACGCGATTTTGGAGAGGGTGACCGGCTCGACCGGGTGACCGACTCGACCGGGAATTACGTTAAGTATAGTCTTCGCTGACCAACCTAAACTACAGGGAGTAACTAGTATGGTACGTGATAGGTATACCAATCAGGTATATCCAAAGAATTCCCTTGTATTTCTCTGTCTGCAAGTTGGAAACGCCCTTCGTCACGATCGACGTCCTGCCTGAAGCAAGGTCGCAGAGGGTTGACAGGGAATCTGGCGAGATGGTCTAGACCTGGAGGGAATAGGCACCGTTCCATGGTGATCAAGTAGATCGGTACCAGATGCACGTTTTAGTTAGCGAGTTTCTTCGAGCAAGCCTCTCGGTCTGGAGGTGGCTGCACCGAGGCAAATCCCCTGGGAAAACGAAGCGATCGATTTGCGGTGGCGCCCACCAAGCCGCTCCGGCCCCAGTGCGCCTCGATTTCCCGTCCATTCAGCAACCATTGGGACTAGAGTCGGGTCCAGGTCAAGGGTGTTATTTCCCTTGTTATCATGCGGGCTTCTGACTATGGGGTAAGCCGCGTTTTTGAGACGAGGCGTTCCCCTTTTCCATGACCACTAACATGGCTTTTTAAGTCATCCGATCTCCGCGGATTGCAGCTGAGGCTCCTCGCCGTCATTCGGCAGATTGGGCCAATCTTGTCGATACGGTAGAAGCGAATTTCAAATTCTGGATTTTTGAGGAGTCAAACGACAGAACAGAAAGAGGAGGTTTCATCCTTCTGTGTACAGTACGTCATGCTTCCACTTTGGAAGGCTGACCAGTCAGACAGCCTTGGCAACACGTTCGCGCCCGAGCCCTGACTGTGAGATCTGCGCGAATTGATTCGTGCATATAAAGGATTTAATAGAGCTTATTGACCGAGTGTCGGCCTATTTTTGTTTCTTTTCTCGGAAATCAAAAAAAAAGGAAATAAAAGGTGAAGTTAAACTAAAATAACCTTAAGGTCTTATCTCTGTGGGCGTTTTGATCTTCTTGGCCTGCTTATCAATGACTGTTTTGGATACACCATCCTAGCTTGCTCTGAGCCAGAATTATAGTACAAGGCAGGGACAATATGAGCGTCTAATAGTGGATGGAACTCCTTCAAGGTCCTGGCCTACTAGGTACCTAGGTACCCGCTATTTAGGCCACCATCTCAAGTAGTTATGACACACTTGTAGTATATATATTCTGCATACCCAGCAATGTATATTTTCCCCGAGGACGTCACCTGATCCATAGTATCGATAGTAAACTGGACCTGACATTGCAGAGGCCTACCGGAATTATGAGTATAGACTAGTGCTTCTTACATATGGATTACAGCAGCCTTATGTAATAACTGGTTGACCTGGAATATTAGTTAATGAAGCCGGGATCGAAGATCTAATCTTCCAGTCGCATTTCTCTTTTCCTAGTCCCCACAGGTCCCGTCGAAACGGCCAGGCCCCTTCGTAAAAACAGATTTTCCGATTTGACCAGTGCCGTCCCACCCTACAACGTTTCGGATTGCCCGCAGCAAATACTCTCACGATTATCTCACGGTTTTCTTTCTCGCTCGTGATCGGCTCTGCAGGGGTCACGGCTTGTCAACCGAGTTGGCTTAACCTCGTCAAACCACTCAAACTACTGCCGCGACGCCGTTTAGGGGCCGGTACCTCTCCACTTTCGATAACGCCCACGCCGCTTCCGTCCACCATCCATGTCCGTCCCGCCGCTATCTCACCTTCCTTGACCTCTTCCCACATCGTCGACTCTTTTAGAAAGCTTGGAGGGAGGAAAGGTAGAAGGCCATAGCGGCCTTGGACAATCCGCACATAATTTGGAGATGGAGGAAAGCCATTTGATCGGCGACGATTTGCCGCTTCCACCCGCTCGACTTTTCGAACGCCTCGGCCATCTGCCCGGATATACCTGGGATCAGTCCGTTGAGCCATTTCACTCGACCTACAGTCACTGGCATATATATGGGTTTCGTCATGCGATCGAATCCGACATCTCGACCCCCGTCGCAACCTCCTCCAACCCGATTTCCTCAGGGCCATCCAGCCTTACTCGCTATTCACCACGAACCGAGCTTCGTCCATCCTCGCGCATACCCCGAAGAGCTAGCGTCAGCGAAACTAGCAGTGAACTTTCGCTCTCTCGAGGTGAACAGGAACAGATATGGGTCCCCGTCATCGCACGTGTCTCTACGAATGTCATTAGGCTGGAGCGGGAGTTTCACATGATTAGGTCCATTGTGCAATCTTCCGACCCAGATTGTAACCATACCATAAGGCCCATTGACTTGATACGACTGCCTCCCGATCCAGGTGACGTGGGTACACTTTTAGTCGCGATATTCGAGTCTCCTGGTCACGACAGGTTACGAGACCTGGTCACTTTTGGTCCTGCCTCGTTTGTCGCCGGCGCCAAGGGCGATAACAATGTCACTCCTAGCGAACAAATACCCCTACCTGCCTTCTTGGATTTCGCGATAGGTGCTTGTGACTGCTTGGAAATTCTGCACTATGGGGTAAAAACGGTACATGGGGAGATTCGGGGAGACGCGTTCCATTTCAGCGCCGAGACTGGGGCTGTCAAACTCGCCAATGTTGGCAATGGCGCGCGATCCTTTGACAACGTCCTCAGTGAGGGCTGGTCCTCTGTATCTCGCGAACTCGGCGCCAAGTACAAGCTTCAGTTCATCGCCCCAGAACAGACCGGCAGAATGCCCACAGAACCGGACAGTCGCACCGATATCTACGCACTCGGGCTTCTGTTTTGGTCAATGTTGGTCGGGAAGTTGCCCTTTGCAGGCGCCGACCCCGTCGAAGTTGTTCAGAATGTGTTGGGCAAGAGGTTGACTCCTGTCTCGGCGAAGCGACTAGATGTTCCCGATGGTCTCTCCGCCGTGGTCCAGAAAATGACGCAGAAGGGGGTTCATGAGCGATACCACACGATCTCTTCGGTCAAGAGAGACTTGATGCAGATAGCGCAATTGTTGGGTGACGGTGAAAGCGAAGCCTTGAATAATTTCCAAGTCGCGCAAGGCGACGTGTCATCCTTTTTCACTCTACCATCTCAAATGTTTGGGCGCCAGAAAGAGTATGACACAATCTTGAACGTGATCCAAAAAGTGAATAAGCGCCAAGCATCCGCCTTTGCCAAAGCATTCACCCAAAGCCCTGGAACTGCGCATGCTCTCGCCTCCAACTCTTCGATCTCGGAAGGCCGCGTGGATAGCTTTGAGCTCGCATCCGTCTCCAGCGACTCTGGATCTTTCCATTTGCCCCCAAGGACAAATTCTAATGCTACCAGTCATCAGCTGTCTCAAGTCAGCACTCATGATTCTGGAGCAAACAGTGACGTGACGTTCCAAACCTCGAAGCAGGTACAAACGCCAACTAGCCAGGACATGTCATCTCAGACATCAGCCCCAGCATTTTCAAGCAGAATGAAAAGCCCCTCCCATTCCCGGTCCTCCTACAACACGGATCGAGAGAGAGACGCATCCACTGGCACGAATACCAACAGCCAGCCATCTACTCATACTTTCAGCCAGTCTGAGTCCATGGGTTCACTTTCAAAATCAAAGGCTGGCGCAAAGTATCGTCGAAGCGGGCGATGTGAAGTCATTACGATAAGTGGGTCTGCAGGAATTGGCAAAACAGATCTTTTGAATCGAGTACAACCAGTAATCCGCAAGTCTGGCTATATTGCCATTACGCGCCTGGATCGAGCCAAGCGAGTACCTTTTGAACCGTTTGCCAAGATCCTCGCCAGTCTCCTACGCCAAATCTTCTCCGAGCGTGACGTGACCACAAGTTACCATGACAGCGTCCGCATGGCCTTGCGACCGCTGTGGCCGACTCTTCACAAAGTTCTCGACCTTCCAGAGCAGTTAATGTCTCCTGGGTCAAAGTACAGCTCAAGTTCACCGAAACCCTCGATTGCTCAAACCATTGCCAAGTCTGATCGTGCTAGGGGTGAGCGGGCTAAACGTATCCAAATCCCTGGCATTAACAATGGCCAAACGTCCGTTGAATTCTTCTTGTCAAATGCTGCCTCGAACAATATGCGGCTGATGGACATATTTCTCGAAATTCTGAGAACACTCTGCCAGTTCAAATTGATGGTAGTTTGCTTGGATGATCTTGAATATGCAGACGATGAGACCTTGGAACTAGTCTTGAACATCATCCGCGCGAAGCTGCCCTGCGTGCTTATTCTCACGAGTCGCAAGGATGAGATTGCACCAGACAATGTCAGATCGCTCTTTGAAGCCGAGAATTCGAACATCACGCAGCTCGAACTTAAGCCGCTGAGCGAAGCAGAGATCATGGAGTTTGTGGCTGCGGCAATGCATCAAGCGCCCAATCCAAGGTTGACTCCTCTGTCGGCCGTTGTTCAAGAGAAGAGCCAAGGAAACCCTTTCTACGTGAGAGTCATGCTCGAGACGTGCTACAGGAAGAATTGCGTTTGGTATTCCTGGAAGGACTCTAAATGGCTCTTTGACCTTGACCGTATTTTCACAGAATTCGTGGCTCCCGTGTATGGCGAAGGCCTTGGACTTGGCTTCCTCAAGAAGCGACTCCAAGAGATCCCAGCCGGTGCTCGGTCTATCCTGGTATGGGGCGCTCTTCTGGGTAGCCCGTTCTCTTTCTCGCTTGTTCAAAAGCTTCTTACCAGTGAATTCTTATTTTCCTGCGAAGACGATAAACCTGGCGCTGATGGAGACGAGGGATTCGATTGCACATGTCCTCAGAATGTTACCCTGCTCAGACAATCGGAAGATGACATTGTCGTTGGGCTACAGTACTTGGTTCAGTCAAACCTTCTTAACCCAGGAAAAACCGATGACGAGTTCAAGTAAGTGCTATATAGAGGATTATCACTTTTTTTTTTGGCTTCCGGCTAACTCTCCTTGCAGATTCGGAAATGACCGGCTTGCGCAGGCAGCGCTTTCCTTGAGCGAGAGCCGTAATGTGGAGAAAATGCACTTCATCGTTTCACAGGCTTTGATGAAATATTATCACGACCATCGCAGTCGTTACTCGATGGCTCATCACGTGGCTCTCTCGTCACGTATCCTCAAATCTCGCGTCCCTCAGCGCATTGATTACCGCCGGATTCTGTGGGAGGCTGGTCAAACTGCTGCCCAATCGGGTGCTCGACCCAGTGCTCTTTGGTACTTCCGCCACTGCATCGCGCTTCTTCAAGATGATCCTTGGGATGACCGCCAAGTTGACGTCCACTATGACGAGACTATGCGCCTTTTCATTGCAACCGCCGAAATGTCCTGGTCCCAGGGTCAGAATGAAGAAGCCCTCGATCTGATCGAAGCAGTGTTTGCTCATGGCAAGGACGCCATGAGCAAGTCGAGGGGTTGGATCATAAGAGCCAAGATTTATGCGCAAGTTGGTGACCACCATCGGTCGATGGAATCACTACTCACCTGCCTTGATGAACTTGGCGTTCATCTCCGCACGCCCACAACTTATGAAGATTGCGATACTGCCTACCTGAAACTCAAGGAGCATCTTGAATCTGCCGACTTGGAAGCTATTGCCCATAAACCCATCAGCAAAGATCCCATTTTGGTGACCATAGGTGCTGTCATGGCCGAGGCGATGGCCGTTACCTACTGGGATGATGCCTTGACATTTTATCGCATGGCTATTGAAATGATGAATATCCACATCCTACGAGGTGGTTTCACTCAGATATCTATTGGATGTTCGCATCTTGCGATGATTGCACTTAGTCGGTTCAAAGACGATGTCTTTGGGTTCAGGCTCAGCGACTTGTCGCTCTCCCTCCTAGAGCGCTGCCCGGAACTGTGGACCCAAAACAGAGGGTCCATAGTTCACAATCTATACGTCAGCCACCTACGCGTTCCTATGGCATCGGCACTGCCGGCACTGGAAGCATCATTGGAGGCCTCTTTCACAATTGGCGATCCGTACATGACGCTGATTAGTGTTTCCTCAATGGCAATGGCCAGGCTTCATCTGGGCCAAGACATGGCTCAACTCGAAACATTCTGCCTAGACGCCCCTGAAGAAATCCCGAACTGGGCCAAAGACACTCGCGGGGGTGCCAGTATCCTCGCAGTCCGGCAAGTCGCTCGCGCCCTTCAAGGCAAGACCGAGTACCGGACCGCGGATGATGTTTTGTCAGATGATGAACACAGGACGAGCGAATACATGTCCTACCTAGAGGCCAACGCTAGCAACGTTGATAGACCCCGTGACATCTACTTTGGTCTCGCCATGATGCCTTTGTTCTTGTTTGGCCACCACACCAAAGCGATCCAGGTGGGCACCCAGTTACTTGAGACAACAAACCGACTCTGGTCCGCACGCGTCTCGTACGTAGTGTACTTCTATCTGTCTCTTTCACTCCTGACTCTGCACAATGACTACCCTGCACAGGGCTACCTTGACGGCAAAATGGACACCGTTCTCCGGTACAAGGCCGAGATCGATTTTGCCCGAAGCTGCTCTGATGCTAATTATGGCATGTGGGCGTTGCTGTTGGAAGCCCTCATTTCCGAAGTACGGAATGACTATAGCATTGCCATCCAGTCTTATGAAGCTGCGATCGACCACTGTCAGGTTCATGGATGGCCTTTGGAGGAGGCGCTTGCTCTCGAACTGCAAGGAGAATTCCTTGTCCGACGTGGAGCTAAGAGAGCTGCACGCGCCGTGATGCAAGAGGCTATTTCCGCATGGAGCGCCATAAGTGCCAGTGGAAAAGCTGCTATGGTCGCAGAGAAACATGAGTGGTTGCTCAAGACGGCAACTTCCGCCAGAACCATAGACATTGGATGCCAGACCGTTGACTCGCTCCTCGAGATTACCCGAGATGCTGTTCAAGAAGAAATTGTCATCCCTTCACAGATCGAAGAAGAGGATAGGCGGCATCGCTGGATTGAACAAAATGGTGTCACCACCGGCGAGAGATCCCTGGACATTTCGAGTGTTGGTCTCGACATCATTGATCTTTCCAGTATACTCGAGTCTAGCCAGGTCATGTCATCCGAGCTCCAGATTGAGAAGCTGTTTACCAAAATGCTGGAGATCATCTTGGACTCATGCAACGGCTCTGATTTCGCTGTCATTGCTACCGACTTTGATGAGCAGGGATTTGCGATTGCTGCGGCAGCGGATGCTGATAGAGGCCAGAAGTCTTTCCCAGAGGGTCTTCCACTCTCAGAGCTGGAGGGACGAATGGCTCAAGAGATCACATATTATGTCATGCGCACGAAGGAAGAGGTTCTCGTTCACAATGTTCTGGAAGACGAGCGCTTTTCCAACGTTAGCGAGAGCTATCAAGCCAATTTCCCGCTGGGTCGATCCGTCATCGCCTTGCCCATCGTTCAGGCGGATCAACTTCTTGGAGTTATTCACCTTGAAGGAAAGCCCAATTGGTTCACTCAGCGGAATGTTGTGGTGCTGCATCTTCTCTGCAATCAGATCGGAATTTCCTTGTCAAACGCGTTGCTCTTCCGCGAAATCCGCAAGGTCAGTGCCAAGAATGCTTCAATGATCGAATCTCAGAAGCGGGCCCTCGCACAAGCACGCGATGCGGAGCAGAAAGCAAAGGTGGCAGAGGCCGAAGCCAAACACAACGTCAAGCTGAAGGATGATGCTGCTCGAGCCAAGTCCATTTTCTTGGCGAATATCTCCCACGACTTGCGTACTCCAATGAATGGCGTGATTGGTCTCTCGGAGTTGCTCAAGGGTACTACTCTCGACAAAGAGCAGGACGAATATGTTGAATCCATTCGTGTCTGCGCTGACACACTACTTACGCTGATTAACGACATACTTGATTTCTCCAAGTTGGAAGCCGGCAAGATGAAGATATCGACGGTCCCGCTCAACCTGAAGGAGACCATTTCAGAGGTGATTCGCGCTCTACGTTACACTCATCGTGAGCGAGGCCTACAAACAATTGAAGATCTGGAGCGTGTGCCCCCGGAATTAGTCGTTCTTGGCGATCCAGTCCGTCTCCACCAGATTTTCATGAATTTGTTAAGCAACAGCTACAAGTTCACTCCCAAAGGTTCTATTACGGTCAAAGCCAAGGTTGCCAGAGAAGGTAAAGGCCGTGTACGCTTGGAATGCTCCGTGTCCGATACTGGAATTGGTATTCCAGATGAGCAAAAGGCGCGACTTTTCCGGCCTTTCTCCCAAGCCGATCCATCCACCGAACGATCATACGGCGGCAGTGGACTTGGTCTGAGCATTTGCAAGGCTATTATCGAGGATGTTCTTGGCGGCGCCATCTGGTTAGATTCAACGTTGGGAGTTGGAACGACCGTGACATTCCACCTGGTCTTCAACAAGGCACCAAAGAAGACGGCTGTGAAGGCACCGTGGTCTCAGGACCTCAGCAATGCAGCTACCAAGGAACCTCCCCGAGCCAAAGCACGCGATCTTTCTCACATTCCACGCGACCAGATCCGAGTGTGTATTGCTGAAGACAATCCTATCAATCAGAAGATCGCAGTCAAGTTTGTCACTAGCCTTGGTCTTCAATGTGAGGCATATAGTGACGGAAAGCAAGCCGTGGATGCTTTGCGTGCAAAATCCAAAGAAGGCAACCCGTTCCACGTGGTCCTAATGGATGTAATGATGCCCACTCTCGATGGTTACAACGCCACGCGCGAACTGCGGCGAGATCCAGATCCTAACGTCAACGAAGTGCTCGTCATCGCCATGACTGCCAGCGCCATTGAGGGCGATCGAGAAAAGTGCCTCGAAGCTGGCATGAACAACTACCTTCCCAAACCCGTGCGATCCCCAATCCTGAGCGAATTGCTCGACAACTACCTCGCACCGGTCCCATCACACCCGCGCACTCGCTTGGCGATCCGCGAAAAGAGCTCCAGAGGCAGCATTACCTTTGATGCGGGCACACCTACCAGTTTCTCCTCGTCGGGATCGGATGAAGCTCAGAAGCATTCGCTACCCCCCACGCTGGAGCAAAAATGATTTCACGCACTTTCAAATGATACCCTGCATAGTTGCACCACGATAGAGGTGATGAGGCGTCTAGCAATTGTCCTTCATGTTTCGTTTTTTTTGTTTGTTTTTCTACTGGTTTTTTTTGGTCAGTTTGGTTTACGATCTTCGAGTTCGTGGGCATCAAGTGTGCTGTTTGACTTGTGGTATTTGATGGTTTTTGATATTATCTTTGGGTGACTTTCTGCCGCTTTATGATTTGACTGTATCTGTCTCATGTGTTGTGTTATGGGAAGTGCGGTCTTTTTCTAGGATTGAATGTATATTTGGATTATCATCTTCTTTCTATGACTTGGTATGGGCTTTCTGTGTACATGGCCCCCGGATTTAACTTGGAGTCTTCCACGAGGTGTCGCGAACGCATCGGAGGCCGTGGAGCCCTGCAGCTAGGAATTACTCCAACATCACAATTGCGGTCCACTAGACTTCAACTCATGGCAGGAAAGAAAGTTCAAAAAAGATGGGCTGGGCGGCTACAATTCAAGGAGGGACAATAGCTTTGCTGCCCAATGCCAACTAGACTACAACGGCAGTTCGATCGGTATTGCAGGAAAGAAGACCACCGTTTCATGCCAGCTGGCAGATAGCGATATGCTCCATCGTGACTACTTCATCCCCCTTGGGTGGTACAGGGTGGCGCATTTCAGTCAATTCCTCCAGAGGGTATCATTCAGTGGCCAGCATCTAGGCATCCAGCTAGAGATTCATTGCGAAGTGGAAGCTGAATTGGGCAGTTTCTGATGGAATACCATGGATGTCCCCATTTGTTTTATGCTCGACGACTGAGATAAAGTATGGAGTGTCAGTTTGTTAATTTTACAATATTTACCGAATTGCTAGGCTGCTTGTGTAACATTTAACGGGATGCCTCTCGAGTCAAGCTTGCTATGGCCGTTGCCACTGCTAATTGATCATCTGTACGAGGTTTTCCCTATCGGCCAGGGGTTGTAGGTTTGCAGAACATCCTAGAAAGGGTTTGTCCTTGCTTTCATTTGGAATTTCCTTATGTCGGGGCAAGTCTATTGCGTGAAAGAACAAGGCCATGAAACAAGACTATGAAAGAATAAGAGGAGATAGGCACATGGTATTAAAATCAACTCATGAATGAAACAAGAATCACAAGAAGAATGCCCCGTCATTGACCTTTGGTCGGAAATTTCCGGATCTAAATAAACGCCATTAATGCCTTCGTCTCATACAATGGCCATGTAATGTGAATAGAGAACGAGAAGAAAGCATTTTTCTTAATCTTCTACCCAGAAGTAGTCTTGGTCGCGGTTTTCTCCAGGTGCTTATACCGCCACTCGTACTGTGCCAATTGCCTTTTGTCGGTCGGGGAAAGGCTCTTTCCCTTTTCTGCGAGCTCCTTCTCAAGTTGTTTAAGCATCTCCCATCTTTTGAGTAATTTGGCCTGGGCTTCTGAGATAGATGCCAGATTGCTATCCTTGGAAGCCATGCGCTCGTCAATGGTGGAGTGGTATGACAGCTTGGCGTGGAAGAGTGCCATTTCGGATTCGTCATACTTGAGGCCTTGTGCCTCCGGCACCGCAGAGGTATCTTGTGATGTCTTATCTTGAGCTGCCTTGGGAAGCATCGTGGATTTATTGAGAATTCAAAGAATTGGAAGATAATGGTTTTCTCCAGACACCCTGCACCGAATCTTGGTTGTGGGGGATTTGGGCTTCGTGGACGTGGCAAGTATAATAGGACCGAGAACGGGCGATATGCTCTATCAAATCTCACAAAAATGTATTTATAAACTCCCGAGAAAATGCGATGAAAAGACTGATTCACGCGAGCGATGACTTTCTTGGTGCAAACATTTAAGACCGTGGTCTAGGGAGAACAACCTCAAGGATGCAATGGAAAAAAACAGAAAATGAGGAGGTTATAGTAAAGAGTATGAATGAGAAGGCGCTCCATACTCTCTTATTATATCACAATCAGTAACAAGTTAACCTTCATTGCTCTTCTCGAAAGAGCTGGCCCTCTAGTGCCCAACAAGCCCCTCAGTAGGGTGATACCAAGGGGTAGGAGAAGACGGCCACACAATCAACCCATTACGGCTATGGACAGAACCAAGATGTCCTAGAGCATTAATTAGACAGAGGTCAAGGGCATTAAATCTATGAGGTTTGTTCATCAGATTGACCCTTCCTAGCCCTTTGTTTTGTTCGGGACTCGAGGCACCTACAGCGCGTTAGGAATGGTGGGGTCCTGTTTGCCTCTTCAGAGAATTGAAGAGCCAGAACTTGTCTCGTAATGACGATCATTGAACCAATTGACACCGTTACGATCCCCTCTCGGCTGTTTATTGGCAGTTCGAGGGTGACACAATTTTCCTCCACCCTCCGCCCAACCGGACATGCACCGCAAAAAAGAATCTGTTAGAAGTAGAGGCGTGAGCGATGCAGCAATCCTGTCCCAGTCCATTAAGGCCGTGCGCGCATATCAAGGTCCGTGTGTGGCGGGGTTAAAGTCACTAAGTATAAAGAGTCTTCTGCAATTTTGAGCAACTTGTCTCGGACAGTAGAAGGGGCATCCGCATGACTCCCGCCTAGATCATACTTTCGAAAGAGATAGAATGGCACCTGAAACAGCAAGGCCCTAGGTTAATCCGACTCGTCATTGCCACGAGGAAGATAAAAAACCGCAAAAATGTTGCTACTCGAATTATAAAAGTCTTAAGGGTGACCCAATGAATTTATCGAGGATAGAGTTGATGTAGCCTTCCAGTTATTAGGCCAAAGTGCCGCCCCCTCTCCTTTTTACCGATAGAATAAAAGAAGTTGCAAAATGGCCTACTACCTACCATCATGTCAAGAAGCTTCGATGGATGCATAGAAGTGTGAAATGGAAGGAGCAATACCGAAGACTTGCTAATGTTCCGGTGTGGGATTTTCTACAACGCCACGGATGCAATCTAATGCTGTGTTGCCCCAAAGAGAGGTAGGTAGACTACACGAGTTTTGAGAGCCTTTTTCCCCTTAGAATTTCAAGAAGGGTTGGGGTAGCAGAGAGAATATACAGATATACGGAAATTTGAAAATGGCAAGAGCCTTCCTACCCCCAAAGCCCTTCCTTCTAAGCAGCATTTATCATGGTTTTGTTGCGCGGGCTTTTTGAGGCACCCTCGCATCGCCAGTGGTCCGTTTGAGCTCAATGCTTTGCCAATCGTATATAATATAGTATTCAAGGGGATTTTCAGAAAGATTTTTATATGGAAAACGAGAGTTGTTGGCTCTAAAGATGATGATAGCGTCTGGCATAACGTGATAAGATGAAGGAGTTAACCAAGAGGGGGAATGATGTCCTAACTCGGTACCTGATTTGTGTGACGCGGTCTGCCGACATGTTAGGGGACCTCTAAGCATTCTATTCGAATTTGGACCAGTCACAACGATCTTCGGAGAAAAAAAAGACCCATCTAGATAATTTTTGTACGTAAAAATGCTGGGTTCGTGATGATACCAGGAATCTGTATTCGTACTCAAGAAATGACTGGGAGAGAAGGGCCATTGAACCATTGTTGGTGATAGAGACTCGGTTGATCCTGTCTCTCTCCCAGTCTAACTAGTAGGAGCAATGGAAGGCGGAAACCGTACCACAGAACATGCACTCCTCCCGACGGATAAATGCAGCTGCGTCGGATTCAATTTTGTTTCATCCATTGCACCTGGTCGTTTGACCTCCGAAGATGTGTGGTATTGAAGAAGAAGCAGGACGATCTTAGAATTAGGTTGACAAAGATAATGCAGAAGGAGCATAGATTCCATCGGGAAAATGCTCCATAAGTCGGATAACTGCACTATGGGAAGTCGTCGTCCGGGTAGATGCAGATCGTTAGATTGCAACACAGCAGTGCGCAATGGTATGGGTGGACATTTGACGGCATGCGTGAAGCCCGGCACTAAAGAGCAGAAATTGAGAGTAAAGTTAAAAGATAATAGAGGAGATTCAATCAATTGAGCTATCTTAAAGAAACGAGAAAGCCAACCGAGGAAGAAGACGAGACATGACAGCAAAGTATATGCTTTGACTATTCACGTGACCACTCTGATATCCACGTGCAACGAATGATCCACGAAGAAGATCAGCATCACTACCTAGACCTGGTCTCCTCATCCCTTGTTGCCGCGAGTCTCTCCTTCTTGGCCTTTTGAATATCTAGCGACATCTTGACAGGTGCAACCCCAGGTGTTTCAAACACAGTGTCAATCTCCTCCAAACTCAAGCCACCTGTCTCCGGGAAGATGAAGTATGACAAAATGAGTTGGACGGTGTTGTAAACGATGTAAACCACCCAGATTTTGTACCCAACTTTAGCAATGCCCACGCTGATGCCATATGTTTGGACTGCACTGGCGCCACCCTGGATCAAACTGTACAGACCCATACCTTTCGCTCGAAGAGCCAGAGACAGGATCTCGACAGGATACAGATTATGCATAGTTGCAACGAATGTAGCGGAAAACGCCTGGTACATGAATATCCAGAGCAGTGTAAGTGCGGCAGCGGTGTGGGTCGCATTTAGGCTGTATTGCCAAGATGTGATAGTGGTTGCCGTCTGGAAGACGACCATGCTGATCAATCCCACAAAGATGAGAGTTCGTCTCCTGAATTTATCGACGAGGAGGGAACCGAAGGCGGTAAAAACGAAGTAGGTTGCTGTCGTGCCGATGTTGATACCCAATTGTTGCTTGGTACCTGTGATTCCGACAGTCTTCAGCGCATCGGCCATCTGTTGAAGAACTTGTATTAGCATTTCCAAAGACCTGAATGAGAATGGGAAACAGCTAGAAACGCACATAATACGTAAGAATTGACCCGCCATTCCACTGTTGGAAAAACGAGTACAATGTTAAGACTAGGAGACGATACCGAGCCAACTTTGTGAAGAACACTCGGTAATCCCAGAATGCCCTGAATCCAGTGCGGTCGTTCTCGAGGGATTCCTCCATCTGAGATACCACAATCTCAACCACAGGCTGGTTGATATCTCCACTGGTCGTATGATACTTGGCCACAATCTCCTTGGCCTTCTGCCGGTTGCCTCTCATGACATAGTAACGAGGTGACTCGGGGGTCAAGAAGTAGATGGTCACGCAGACAATCGCTGGGAAAATAGCTTCGAGAATAAGAGGGATTCTCCAACAATTGTTTCCGGGGAGATTTGATAGACCAATCATGGCCCCCAACATTGTGAGACTGCCAACCTGGAAGCAGGCGCCGAAGAAGCCGACCATACGGCCACGGAGGTGGATAGGGGAGATTTCACCAATGTATTGAGAGCTGGACATGAGAGCAGTACCGAATCCCATGAAGAATCGACCAGCCATGAAGGCCTTGAGATTTGGCGCACATCCTTGAAGCACAGCGGCGAAAATGACGATTGCATTTCCCGCGAAGTTGATTCCACGACGCCCGATGATATCGGCGAAACCCATGAACGGAGCACCACAGACCGTGCCGATACTCATCAGCGCATTAATCAGACCATATGTACCACCGCTAGTGCCGAAGCCAAAGTATGCGTGCCAAGCGGGAAGGGAGTTGATACCGCTGATAACACCCCAATCGATGCCGAAGCCGGCTTGATTGCAGCCATGCACAAACATAATGAGGCCCAGACGGACTCCAGTCCACGACCAAACGGTCAATGATTCTTGAGATAGCTTCCATAGATCCTCGTCGGTCAAGCGTGCCAGCACCACTTCTTCAACGTGCTCTTGTCCCTTCTCCTTGAGCACCTCGGCCTCGCTGATGCCTAGGGTATGCGTCTTCGCCATTGTGTCGAGGCGTGAGCCAAATAAAGGAGAAGTAGGTTGAGGGCGGTGGGCCAAGAAGATATCCTCTCTGTCGGGCCTGAGTGAGAATCAAGGGGTGGAGGGGCACCTCATGGTATTTCTGCACCAGCAGCCATTTGTAGCCTGACCAAACCGAGGAAGATATTGAAACGGCCCAGCCTCATGATCACCCCAGCCAATTCGGCCACGGATATGCACATAAGCCGAGCCAGAAAAGGAAGCGCGTGAGCTTAATGATCTGGTTCGGTCGACTCGCTATTGCGCGACCTAGCAAGAACAAATATCCGCTGGCGTTCAATTGCCGTGGAATCCTGGCACGAGTCACGCTGGTCTTCTTCCGATGTGGATTTCGTTCAGTGCTCGTATTGATTGGCCTTTCCAGTCTTGCTGGCGGCGCAAAGCTTTGGGTGCCAGAAACGGCCCGATTGGTCCTTGGGTTGTTAGTGGCCAACAAGCGAAAGATTCTCCACCACTTGAAAGCAAGTGCGGGGAACCTAGCAAATTCGGGGGTGGCCAGACCGGGATAAATGCGGAGTATTGTGTAGATTGATTATCGTGGCTGATATTTTGCTCGTCACGCTAGTCTCCAGGCCAATATGCGATTCGGAAGATCCGGGGGGCTGGCAAGAATTTAGCCGATATCTATCCGAGACGCGCTCAATTGGCTCAAGTTGAATTTAGGCATAATAAAGTGCTGATTTATTTTTCCTATTACCCTAGAGCACTCCCCTAGCTCGCCTATATTGCGCCTTGCAATGTGTCAGGCGGGTCTCACTCGCCTAAAAAGTTAACGCATGTGCGTGCCGGGTAATGTACTACATGATTTAGATCATGTCGCTGGAACGTTGTGTTAGAAAGCCTCAAAATCCACAAGGGTCATACGATGAGCAAGCTTTGGTACACGCAGCCTGCAAGCGACTGGAATGAGGCGCTACCAGTGGGAAATGGGCGACTCGGAGCGATGGTGTATGGCCGCACCGACCAGGAACTTCTTGCTTTGAATGAGGACTCGGTATGGTATGGTGGCCCTCAAGACAGGACTCCTCGAGATGCTTTCAATTATCTTCCACAATTGAGAGAAGCAATCCGATCAGAAAACCATACCGAAGCAGAAAGATTGGCAAAAGTTGCATTCTTCGCCAACCCAATCAGCCAACGACACTATGAGCCCCTTGGGACAGTTTTTATGGATTTTGGCCACACATCCGATCACATAACGAATTATCACCGCGAACTCGATCTCGAAACTGCCACAGTGAATGTGAAGTACAATTACCGCGGAGCCGAATATGGAAGAGAAGTTATAGCAAGCTATCCCGACGATGTTCTAGCAGTTCGAGTTCGCGGTCCGCCTGAGACCGAGTACGTGGTACGATTAACCCGACTGAGTGAGCTGGAATTCGAGACAAACGAGTACCTGGATGATGTTGTCGCTTCCAATGATTCCATTACGATGCATGTTACGCCGGGAGGCCGGGGTAGCAACCACGCTTGCTGCATTCTCCACGTTCAATGCTGCCAGGAGGGCTCAATCACCAGAATCGGTGACAACCTGGTAGTCAAGGCCTCGGAATCTCTCATTCGGATTACTACTCAGACAACCTTTCGTTGCGAAGACCTCGACCAGGGAGCATATGAAGATCTCGCAAAGGCACTTGGCTTCAACGCGGGACAGCTATGGGATAGGCACATCAAGGACTACCAGTCACTGTACAACCGCATGCATTTGCAATTATGGTCGGATGCACCAAACATTCCCACAGACAAGAGGTTACTGACCTCCCGGGATCCCGAATTGATTGCAACATATCACAACTACAATCGATATTTGATGATCTCTTCCAGTCGCAATGGCAACAAGCCTCTGCCTGCAAATTTACAAGGAATCTGGAATCCTTCTTTCCACCCTGCATGGGGCGCCAAATTCACCATTAATGTCAATCTACAAATGAACTACTGGCCAGCCAACGTGTGCAACCTTTCAGAGTGCGAGATGCCGCTGTTCGACCTCCTTGAGCGGATGGCAAAATCTGGAAAGAAGACCGCTCAAGTCATGTATGGATGCCGAGGCTGGGCTGCCCATTCATGTACAGATCTTTGGGCTGATACTGATCCTGTTGACCGGTGGATGCCGGCGACGATCTGGCCTCTCGGAGGGGCCTGGCTATGCTACCACATCTGGGAGCACTTCCAATTCACTCAAGACCATGGATTTCTTCTCAGGATGTTCCCTATTTTGCAGGGATGTGTGGAATTCCTGGTCGACTTTTTGATTGAAGATGCCTCTGGCAGATACCTCATCACAAACCCTTCAGTCTCGCCCGAGAACTCATTTTACGACCTAAAGGGCCAGAAAGGAGTACTGTGCGAGGGTTCTACCGTCGACATTCAAATCATTCAGGCTATAATAAGTGCTTTCGAGTCCTGCGCAGACCAGCTCGGTGTTTCAAATTCGCTCCTATCAACTGCCCGCGAAGCACGAGCCCGACTACCACCGATGAAGATAAGCGATTCTGGGCTTCTACAGGAATGGGCTATTGACTACGCCGAGGTTGAACCGGGCCATCGACACACCTCACACTTATGGGCATTGTATCCCGGCAACGCTATAAATGCAGCAAATCAGCCCGACCTAGCCCAAGCCTGTAAAGCGGTCCTTCGTCGGCGCGCTGAGAATGGTGGTGGCCATACAGGCTGGAGCCGGGCTTGGCTCATTAATTTACATGCTCGTCTATTCGATGCAGAGGAGTGTAGTAGACATTTGGATCTGCTGTTGTCCCATTCTACTTTGCCCAATTTGCTGGACAGTCACCCGCCATTCCAAATCGATGGCAACTTTGGTGGGGGTGCTGGCATCATAGAAATGCTGGTCCAGTCTCATGAGCCGGGGTTGATTCGACTACTTCCAGCTTGTCCTAAGGATTGGAAAGGGTCTATCCGGGGAGTTCGGGCTCGTGGAGGGGTGGAATTGGCTTTCAGCTGGGATAATATGACTATTCTCTCACTGACTGCTATATTGCCTGAATCGGGTGGGAAGGTTTCCATTTGTTTGCCTAATGGCAATGAGACTCGGGTGCGAGAAGTGGAAGGCCCTGGTCTTCACGTTATTATTGAAGCATAGATTCATATATCTTGAAGATAGAAAATAGATGGTAGATCGAGTTTTGCGCGGGTTTTGCATTTTAGTTTCGTCTTTTGCCCTAAAGATATTCTAGGATGGCACCTTAAAGCAAGGTACACAACAACTCGAGAAATGATAGACTTTGTCTCCGTGAGATGTGCATGGGGAAGAGGTGCTAAGTCTATGTATCTAATTTGGTCATCTTACGGCTCCATTACTATATCATTTTCTTGAACACAGTAACTATATACAAATACATACCTACCCTCATCTGTAGTGCTGCCATCGTGATAGAATATTGATCTTGGGCTTCCTACTGCCGTCCACCTGAACTCTGAGTTCACTCCAGTTACTTCAATATTTTCTGCACCACCCATGTGATCGCGGCATCCTATAGTGGAGTCCGTCGAGACTCTGGTACCCGGACACCGGGCCTCATTAAGTCTACCCGGACTTGTCTGGCCACCTTTCGATGTATTTGAATATCGACTCTGTAACAACTATTGAAAGTGAGCCGCTGTATTAAATACAATCATCGCAGGCTTCTTTCAAGTTCTCAACAATATCTATCGAAGCACCTCAACTTTCAATTGAGAGACCCCCGCATCAATCCCTCTGCCCCACCTAATAATCCCTGCTCGCTCGGCCTTTCCCGATCTGCCACGGAGAAACTCTCCGTTTGCTGCAAGTCCTGGGTAAAAGGGAAGTGGATTCGTGAAATCTGTAATATTAGCCGTATGATAGCTAACATTTTGCATTGTTTCACACTCATAAGATCTTTAAAAGTGTCAATAGCATCCGTAACAACACCTTAGATCACGACCTAGCCTACTATACTAAGCACAAAGAAGTGAAACGACAAACATGGACTTGAAATCAGTTGAGGATCTCAAAGACGTTCTACGGCCTGACTTCTTTCATGGTTATGCCACTGCTGCGGCACAGATTGAAGGCGCTTGGGACAAGGATGGCAAGGGAGTTTCAATCTGGGATACTTTCGGCCATACCCCCGGCAAAGTCTCGGACGGGAGCACGGCCGACGACGCCGTGCGAGCATACGACTTTTACCGTGAAGATGTGGCGCTGATGAAGTCCTATGGTGTAAACGCCTACCGGTTCTCTCTGTCCTGGTCGCGCATCATCCCGTTAGGTAGTCGTGACGATCCCGTGAATGAACAAGGAATCCAATACTACTCTGATCTTATCGACGAGCTGATCCGAAATGGGATCACTCCCTTTGTTACTCTTTTCCACTGGGATACTCCCCAAGCTTTGGAAGATCGATATGGAGGGATGTTGAACCAGGAAGCGTACACCCCCGATTTCGTGCGCTACGCACGAGTCTGCTTCGAGCGATTGGGCGATCGTGTTAAACACTGGATTACTTACAATGAGCCTGGTGTTTATACACTGGCTGGTTATGCCGCTGGCGTACATGCCCCGGCTCGGTCTTCATTCCGCGATCGCAATGCCGAAGGTGACTCGTCAACAGAGCCTTTTACTGTCGCTCACACGGAGCTTGTCTCCCATGGCCACGTCTCTCGGATGTATCGTGAAGAATTCCAGCCACACCAAAAGGGCACAATTGGTATTACTCTTCATGGCAACTGGTCTGAGCCATGGGACGAGGAAGATCCCTTGGATCAAGCCGCCGCCGAGCGCGCTCGCGAGTTCGAAATCTCTTGGTTTGCCGACCCTTTGTATAAGACGGGCGATTATCCCGCATCGATGCGTGCGCAACTGGGTGATCGGTTGCCACGTTTTACGGCCGAGGAATCCAAACTTGTTCTCGGCAGCTCGGAGTTCTATGGCATGAACAGCTATACGACATTTTTCGTGAAACACAAGACCACGCCAGCTGATATCAATGATCACAAGGGCAACGTGGAAAGCCATGATGAGAATAAACACGGTGTCTCGCGTGGCGAGGAAAGTGACACACCTTGGCTTCGCGCTGCGCCTGATGGATTCAGAAAACTGTTGAACTGGATCTACAAGCGATACCAGATGCCGATCTATGTCACAGAAAACGGCACGACCGCTAAAGGAGAGGTAGCGCCCACACCGGAGGTTCTCAACGACACGTTCCGCATCAAGTTCTTCGAGGGTTATGTTGGTAATGCATTGGCTCGAGCTGTTAAAGAGGACGGGGTGGACATTCGGTCTTATTTCGCGTGGACCTTCACAGATAACTGGGGTAAGTGCTTATCCTCTACTACTGTCACAGGTAAAGCCTGGATCATCTTACTGACTTTTGTGATAGAATGGGCTGCTGGATATTCAGATCGTTTCGGGTGTACATTTATTGACTACGAGTCGTCGGAGAAGAAACGCTACCCTAAACAGTCCGCTTACTATCTGGACAAGTTGTTCAAGCATTTGATTCAGGAGGCATAGAGGCTTAGTTCAGGTGTTTTCCCTTGCTTGAATTGGCAAGGTACTTGATATTCGTTCATAGTAGAAGATTGATATACTAGTACAGAAATTGAGTTTTAGAAAGAGTTAAACTCACTCGACAGAGACTCAGGCGACCTTCATATGACATCATAATGTAAAGTACTAGACCCTTTTTGGAGGTATATCAACACTCCACGAACGTCCGTTGCAAGAGAAACAGTAGTGCCTGGGAAGTGCAGAAAATAATAGCAAGGAAGAGACACATGGGAAATTGATTTTGAGAGCCACACCACCAGACATCAAATTTGGATACATGTGAACAGCTGGGCATGATATCGGCAAGAGCTGATCAAGTACTACTCTGACTGCAAAAGATAAAACAGAGATTTCGATCGCCTGCTGCATCAATGAATAATTGATATGTAATCATTTTTTGTTGTGTTGGTACTTCGCACATTTATCCTTCCCGATCTTGACATGCTATCGCGTCTACCTCGAGTTACGACGCATTGTAAGCAGCTTTAGCCCGCTTGAGGCGCATGAGCTCCTCCTCCTTCTTCAAAATATATGCGTCAATCGTGGTGTTGAAGTCAAACGTCTCCTCTTCAAGCTGAGGAGTGCTAGGATCCTGGGATTGTCTCCAATCGACGCCTGTAGTCACACTCCGCCGCTGTTGACGCCCGGCAGCTTTAGCAATGTCTTCACTTCATCACGACCTCGTTTTGTGGACCCCTTGTGCCAGATTCTCGCTCCAGCAGACGGAATCTGGCTATTATCATTCTCTGTGGGAGCTGCAGGATGTTCAGAGGCCTCGCGAGAACGTAGCGCATCCGAGCTTTCGGCTCGCATGTTTTGGATTGCTGCCTTCTTCACGAACGAACAACGTGTAGACCGGCCGCTGTGATGGCAGTTGGCACACTGGGGCATAATGTCATTTACCTCAGGCACGATGACGCAAGCATCATAAAGTCCATTGCCTTGCTTACAGTGCAGGCACATCTGCTCCTTGGGTAGGGAGACGCCCACAATCTGAGCATGTAGGGCTTCGACATTTTGCCTCAGCTTCCCGAGAAGTCTGTCAAAATTCCCACCGCTCAAGGGTAGCTTGCTTGTTCTCAGTGTCAGCTCTCTTTTCATTTCAAGGGCATCGAGCTCGAATAGGAGAGTTTCCGGGGTAAGATATTCTTTTTCACGGCGAGTCCACACATGGTCTTTGACCCTCTGTGCCCAAAATCCAGGTTTTTGATCTTTTCCATCTTGGCTGAACATGGGGGCCTGTAGATCCTCCGTCACGGAGCTATCCTCTTCTCCTACCTCCTGTTCAGGTTGTATCTCGGGACTTAGCATCGCTGGGACCTAGTCAGCCCTAGATTCGCGCCCAGCCTTTTGCCTTTGATAAAAGATAACCGACCTGATGACTCATTATGGTTGTCATCCTCCATATGGATGGTCGGTGGAAGACGTGAGTGAATTTTGGGATTCTTTTCAAGTCGTGTTTCGAGGTTAAGGAAGGCTGGTAGAGAGAGAGAGAGAGAGAGAGAGAGAGAGAGAGAGAGAGAGAGAGAGAGAGAGAGAGAGAGAGAGAGAAGATTGGGGTATAAGGAGGATATGGTGACCCTCCAAGCGCCCTATGTGTTGCGGTCAATGAAGGTTGAAGGGGATAGTTTGAGACTTGCGATAATGACGAAGGATGCCCGTGTTAGCCCATGCTGCAAGGTAGAATAGGTTGGTAAATAGAGCCGAGACTCACGGAAACGAAATAAATTTCTCCACACGCTTTTGTTTTGGGGTCGACGAAGGTTGAGAAAAGGAGGCAGAGACATCGGGAGATCTAGCCCAACAAAAACAGGCAGGACCGATATTGTTGATGCTGTTTGATGGGTGGGAGAAAGTGTGTCTTGCAACGACCAGGCAAACATCAACCCGATGCCTGGCTGAATCCTTCGTTTTATGCTGTCAAAGCTCCCTTCTAGATTCTCTCACTGACATTACTATTCAGTGTCATCAGCAGGTCATTTTTCTAGGTCTCTTTTTCAGCCTCTTTGAAAAATGTCAACATATCTTAGGGGATCTCTTAATAGTAATTATTTCGAAGAAACTTGGAATACCCATTATAGCGAAATACGTCGCCAGGCCGTACCAAACAACAAACCAGCTAAGAAAATGACAGGGACGTGGTCTATGTTATCTAGGCTTAAGGGGGTAGCAATATCTCGTGGGTTGTTCTGGATATCAGGGGTCCTTCCAGGTGTTGTTCGTGGACATAGACAAAATCCCATAATTCCCAGAAAAAGAACATTCCTCCGCCATGAATCAAGCCCTCGACCTTCACTTTCCCTATATGTTTGACCAAAATGCTCCATCGCTCTCCCACGATGCTGAGGTATATACTCCTCCGGGACTACACCCACCAAATAATCGCTCTACACTGCCATAATACCTTTAAAATATCTTATTTTAGATCGAGAGTAGAAGGTATAAAGAGATATATATCTATTAAATAAAAAGAATAAAAACACAAAAGAAGAAATCAGCGAGCAGGGGGGTTTAGCCTGCTCGCCACTCTCCCCGCCTAAGGATGTGCCCGGTCATCCGTGGAGCGGTGCTCGACATCGGATACCTGTCAACATATTTTCCCCTCAATTTTCCTTCGCGGGGCACACCCATTGGTCACCACCGGATTGGTTACCAACTAGGCCATATGAGGGGGGAGAGTACCTGGAAGAACTGGAAGTTAGTGATGACCTTTCAGGCACTGAGAATTAGAGGGCCCTGTCCATATCCAGTCCTATATACTACCACCACCACACTTTCTTCACAGATCTCAATCCTTCATACAACCACCAGGTACCCCAGAGTGTGATTTATTGACGCGTCTGGTCGACTCCGGCCGTCTTTTCTTTGCCGTCTGTTTGTAACCTCGAGGTGCCGGCATACAACATGGACGACCTCGTGGACCGAGCCACGGTTTCGACGAGCCTTTGCTCTCTACACTACTAATGACGTTCCACCAAACCACCAATGATCGCACTGGTGACATTACACGCTCCTACATGTATGAGCTACATGTATGAGATCTGGTCCACAAAGACGTCAAGCTGGTTCTCCCACAAGTGCTTACTCGTTCGCCCGGAAATCACCGAACATCTACAGCATGATTTCGTTATGATACGAAGTGGTACGCATCTAATAAACAAAAAGGGGCTAGAAAGGATGATCAAACTCGTGGCTACAACTGACTAACTTTTGCTTCAATTATAGAGATCCTCCTCGTGATTGCCAGCAATCCCACGTCAATACCCTCGATGCAGCCGCCGGAGACGCGATACATATTATGGAATTGCCCTTTTTCAAGTTCATGGGAATACGGTAAACGAATGTCCGAGACAGCAAACGGTTCGCCATGCTCCCTTCAGAGTCTACTCTTTATTTAACAAAACGAAGGCCTCCCGATTCATAGCTCAAATCGCGATACCTTGGGTCGGAAGCGGAGTCCTGCCATTGGTCTAGCCACTCCGATATTCGGCCATTATTATTGTTCCAACGTGGCAGGAACACTGAACCAATATCAGAGACTGAGACACCAAATAGTCATCAACGCTCGGTCGACAACAACTTTCAAGACAGGAAGTTAAATCATATCTAGTTGAACCAACTCAGCGAGCCAATCATCAGCCAGTACTGGCGCTGCGATATGGAGTTGGGGTCTCTTCCGAGGCTTCATTTACGGGAACAGCTCGTTGGGGTAGGTCGTTGCGATGGGCTTATCGGCTCGCCCCCGCACGACTCCAACGATGAGAAGCTCGGCTCGGCTGTCAAATAAGCCGTGTAACCGATGATAAATGGACAATTCCTCGAAGAGAAGAAATTATCTTCCTCAAAGCCGCTCTACGCTGAGATCTCCAAGTCAAGAACGGAACAGCACAGCTGTGGTGAAAATGTCTGCCGGAGGGCCAATGAAACTTACATTGAGGGGTAGCCCTCAGGAGGTATGGAGCATTGTTTTGCATCAACAAAAGGCTAGCTGGTTTCTGGTGGGATGTTCGTGATTGCTAACATCTCTTTATCTTGTATCCAGATCGGTGTCGAACATGGTCAGTCATTGAAAGACCAGATCCGCAGTCAAATGCGTATCTACGAAAGCATGTTCGAATACACCTCGAAGCTATCTTGGCAAGAAGTTCGAGAAGTCGCCAAAGAATTTGTACCTACGCTTCAAAGCCTGACTCCCCATATATTTGCTGAGATGGAAGGCATTGCGGAGGGGGCTGAGGTCGACATACTCGATATTGTGGCTCTGAACTGTCGAAGCGAAATCGCCCTGGGCAAGTTCTCCGATGGCTGTACCACGCTTTGCTGGAAGAAGAACGACGATGTTCGTGTACTATCGCAGAATTGGGACTGGACTGCAACTGTTAAGAAGAATTTGGCCATGGTCTCTATTGAGCAGCTTGGAAAGCCTACCATATACATGGTCACTGAGGTAAGACATTATCATCTCCCGAAAGTTCTATTTGTGATACCTAATGTGTTTCCAAACTTATTTAGGCTGGAATCGTCGGCAAGATTGGTTTCAATTCCGCTGCAGTGGGGACATGTCTCAATGCCATTCGTGCTAAACCCATGATTAGCAGCAAGCTGCCAATCCATGTCGCACTTAGACTATGCCTGGAGAGTACCTCTGTTACCGAGGCTGTTGAAACTCTTGAGAAACTTGGCGGCGTTGCCTCTGCTCAGCACATCTTGGTCGCAGACAGCACAACAGCCCTAGGGCTCGAGCTATCGCCCGTTGGCAACAAGTATATCCCAGAGGACGCGTCCGGGCTGATTGGCCATACCAACCATTTCATCGAGAATCGATATGTGGAGGAGCCCCCATGGTTGTCCGGCTCGCCCATTCGACTCAAGCGGCTGGACGATCTGACGACAGAACTTATCTCTAGCGGCGTGCATGGTGATGCCGTTTCTCCTGCTTTGTTGCGAGAACAGATCTTCTCGGATACTTATAATGCCCCGCAGGCAATTGCCTGTCAGGAAGACGAATCTCGCGATGTCTCAACGCGTAGCAGTTCGTTATTCAACATCATCATGAATTTGGACCCACGGAATCTAGGTGCCGAGGTAGTCTGGGGTCGCCCTGGCTCTGGGGAAGAGGGACCTGTCCTTAAAATGCCTTGGTGAAATTTTAATTGGTAGAATAACCATTAACAATTATTCTTATTTTTGAGAAAGGTCTCAACTTATACCTAAGAGTAGATACTGGAACTTAGATTCATCACTGATATTGATCCCAAATTCTAGCGTGGTAGAAGGTGGTCAAACTACCTTGGATACCTCTTGAATGGAGAGAGATGGTCAAATCGACATCCATTGCCAAACCAAAAGTCTAAAACAAACACAGAAAGTCCATGCGGAGTACCATTTGGGCCACTAAAAGGCAGGGGAACATACGCCAAACACAGAAACCCAAACAGCGCCAGTACTAGTCTAGCCTTGGTGGGTCCATGTAGAGTGACAGCTCGAGGGCAAGGATCAGCCACATGCTGACCCATTTGAATATTTCAGATTACAGCACGCAAATCCTATCGTACATGTCTCCTGTCAGTAATAATTCATAGGTTCAAAACGTTTCTATATAGAGCTAGGCCGGAGAGCAGAGTTCACAGAAATAGAGAAACCGGAAATAGACAACTCTTTTCGAACTATGACCGCAACTAGCTCGAGTTCCTTTTTGAAAACTTATCTAATCGTGATAAAAGCCATGATTGAGGAAATATCCAACTGTTCCTGTGTTCAGTTGACCCACGGCGTTGCCGATGGCCATGCCCCATCCGTGTTCGTAGAAATATTCAAACCAGTTGTAACTTCTAATCATCTTCTGGAAGACTTCTTCAGCACCGAAGCCGGCTGCTCCCATTAAGCCGCCCTCTGCAATGTATGAATTCTTTGGGCAGTCGACCTCTAGGTTCATGCGGATGTTTTCAAGGACTTCTAGGTATCCATCGAAAGCGTCCTCACGAGCGCCGGTAAACCCAAGACGGTGAATGAGATAGGTCTACCGCAGTGCTTCCAGATTGTAGTCAGGGGTGGTTTTTGGATTGTATATGTATACATTGTTTATAAAAAGGGATTGCGAGTGAGAGTGAGAAAGAGAGAGAAGGAGCAAGTCTAAAATGTAGTACAAGAATGAAACCTGAGGCTCCAAGGCCTTAACAGTATGGAGCTACTTTCTAGCCAAAATGCCAAATAGACAACATACAAGAAAACTTGATGGAAATTACAGTCGACCACTAATCTTATCAAGGATGAATATTCCCCAGTGGCCAGAGTAGTAGAAATATAAGCTTTCATATTTTGAAATACTAGAAGGAAGTCATTATACCACGTTGATGGTAAGCTGCTGTCCCAGGCATAATCAAGTTTGAGTATCAGGTTTACTAACAGATTTAGTCTGCTCCTTACAGACATGGCATTGCTTTTGTTTATCATTCGATGTCGATTGACCATTAGCAATCCACGGGAATTGAATCGTGGTCAGCAGCCTCCATTTGCCGATTGATTGCATGCGAGGTCGTCATTCAAGCCGGCGATCACGCCAAATCAAGGCACCTCGGTCGATGGTTCCGCACGAGCGGATGAAGAATTGAAGATGACCATGGTTATGGTTGTGTCTGATTGGTGATCATGCTTAATTACTCTGTCTTATGCATTCTGTCGTGCACCAGAGTGATCACCATACATGCATATTTGTGATCATCAAGTATTCCACCTAGGGTACTAGCCGATTTGATTCTTAATCAAGATCGATCGATTCGACCATTTAAACAGCAGCGGGTTCCCTTCCGGAGAAGTTCCTGGAATGACTCCATCCTTATCTCTTCTGCAATAGCCGACCAGGATAAGTCTACCTCAAAGATGGCTTCGGTCGCGGATGAGTCTCGAGAACAGGAGCCCCTCTTGGGCTCGCCTAGCTTTACCACGCAGAAGCAGGAGGCTCACATTGCCCGCAATCTGATTACTGGTCTGTCTTGACCACATGGGGTTATCCGTTGGCTCTTGGTTACTGACGTGGATGGTCCAATACCAGGTACTGCCAGTGTTGCACAGGCGGGGATCTGGATTGTAAGTACTCTACAAGAAATACTTCAACTCGATCAATCCTGCCAACTCTAATGCTCCAACCCTCGAAAACTAACCAGTAAACAGCTGGCTGCTCTTGTCTGGTCCAAAGTCTTAGCTTTACCCTTTGCGCTCTTCACGGGACACCCCGTAAGTGATTTGACATGTTGACATTTTGTCATTCTTGCATATTCTTGTCTTCTAACCAATCCACCTCCAGCTACTAGCCAGCACGGCCCTCCTGCTCCAAGTCCAGGCAGCTCTAATCCTCCAACCAACCGCCACTCCCGACCAAAAACTGCTGGGCACCCGCATCCACTACACTATCCAACTAATCAGCATCCTCTGCTTCCTGACTGCCTTCATCGTCATCGAACTCAACAAAGGCGACCACCCTCATTTCGTCTCCCCCCACGGTATCTTCGGTTTGATCACTATCATCCTCGTGGTCCTCCAAGCCTCCGTCGGAGTAATCCAGTTCTTCTTCCCCGTCGCGGTTCTCGGCAGTGTCGACGCTGGCAAGCGAGTCTACAAATATCATCGCTGGGCTGGATATGTTCTGCTACTGCTGGAGGTTTCGACTGTCCTGGCGGCGACCAAGACACCCTACAACCTGAATGCCATCCACATTCCTACATGGGGTGTCCTCATCGCGGTTATTCTGATTTTACTGGGAGTTGGTGCTAGGATCAAGAAAGGGAAATTGGGACTGAAGGATGCGTAAATCGGGAGACTGAGATGATGACTTTGGGGGATTCTACAGTGTGATCTACTAGCGATGCTATTTACCTCCGCAATGAATACACGAGATTTAACGAGCTATGATTGTCTCTACATGTTTTCAATAAACTACACATTACCAGTATACAAATATTCAAGATGTATTGACTCTTTCATTATCACAAGAAATGCTAAGTTCAGGTTAAACATTGATGGCTCCACCCAGCAAACCCGCCCGACGATCTCCACTTCTTCGCTTTCTCCAACTGCTTCCTCTCCCAACCGCCTCGCCAATGGCGCCCTCCCCCTCCCCCTATATCTGCCTCAATTGCAGATTGGCACCTCGAAATGCATTGTCTCGACTCCAGCCATACCGCTCATTCTCAACGACCCGCCGTCACCAGCAGATCCTGCGTCCCGCGACAGCACCCAAGCCCACGCCGGACGTGAAGCACATCCGCCAGAATGCCGAGCTCTACGCACAGAATTGTATAGACAGGAATTATGCCGGTCATGCAGAGTACCCTTCGAAAATTCAGGCTCTATCTGAGGAAGCCAGACAACTCGATTACGACCTCAAGTCGCCGCGTTCGCAGATTAAGCAGTTGGAAAAGACTATTGCGAAGCTGTCCATTGCGGCGCGACAAGCTTCGGCCAACGGCGCAGAGGCCAGTGAGCAAGGGTCAGCTACGAATAAAGAATTGGAGGATCTGAAATCAGAAGCGCAGCGCTTAAAGGACGACTCGCATGCCATGACAGTCCGCAAGTCTGACTGCACCGATGAAATCAACCGTCTCGCCCTATCCCTCCCGAACCTCTCGTCCTCCGAAACTCCCATCGGCGACGACCCCCGTCTCGTTCACTACCTCAATTTCGATCCCCAAGCACCACCCGCCTGGACACGCCAGTCCCCCGCAGAGTTCCAAGCTCGGTCGCACGTCACCATCGGCACCGAACTCGGTCTCCTCGACTTTACAAGCTCGGCCACCACAACGGGATGGGGCTGGTATTTCCTCGTCAACGAGGGCGCCATGCTTGAGCAAGCGCTCGTCCAATATGCCTTGAGCGTCGCACGCCGCCGCGGCTGGAAAACAGTCTCCCCGCCGTCAATCGTCTATTCCTACATCGCCGAGGCATGCGGCTTCCAACCGCGTGACCAGCACAACGAGCAGCAAATCTGGTCAATTGAGCAGAACGAGCGCGACCACGACACTAAACCCCAACGCTCGCTGACTGGAACCGCGGAAATCCCACTCGCAGCAATGTACGCAGGTCGCGACATCAACGCTTCCGAACTCCCCATCAAGCTCGTAGGCGCGAGCCGATGTTACCGTGCCGAAGCAGGCTCCCGTGGCGTCGACACGAAGGGTCTCTACCGTGTACACGAGTTTACCAAGGTTGAGCTATTCGGGTGGACCGATAACCTCGCCCCCGAATCAGCAGCGGAAAAGCCTACCTCAGACACCCTCTTCGCCGAACTACTAGACATCCAAACCGAGATCCTAACATCCCTCCACCTGCCCTGCCGCGTCCTCGAAATGCCCACTGGCGACCTGGGCGCCAGCGCAACCCGCAAACGCGACATCGAGGCCCTCTTCCCCTCCCGCTTCCGCCCTACACCAGACTCGACGAGTCCCGTGGACCCGTCCGTCTCGCAACTCGAGTCTGCATGGGGCGAGGTCACTTCTGCTTCTATTTGCACTGATTACCAGAGCCGTCGGCTGGCGACGCGTGTACGTGGCGGTGCGCCTAAGGAGTCCCGGTTCCCGCATACCGTGAACGGAACTGCGATGGCCGTTCCGCGGGTGTTGGCTGCTATTTTGGAGAATGGGTGGGATGAAGAGCGAGGTGTTGTCGTTGTGCCGGAGGTGTTGAGGCAGTGGATGGATGGGATGGAGACGATTGGTCGGCGGGAGTAGAATGGTTGATTGTCTGGAGTTGAAGATTCTCCATTCTATTTGTATATTAGTGTAGTTTACATTCGTGATCTGGTATGTTGGCTCAGATGATGGGCAATCTATATCAAGGCAGTCGGAATGATGGCATTGACTTCCTGATGGTAAGGGCTTCTCCGGTATAGCTTCAACGAAAGATCAGATTCTTGATCTAGGGCTCCTCGCCAGGACAAAGTAGGTAGAAAATCCCAGATAAATAGGTATCTCAATTGAATTGGAGGCTAAAGACAGAAAACCAAGTATCCACCTCCCATTTGGTATTGTTATTGTACACAAGAGTAATGAGAATCGAATTGAATACAGACGAGGTGGGTATGAGGAGAGCATCTCAACCAACCCCAAGCGCAGAGGAGAAAAAGAAAAGAAAAAAAGTAAAAGAAAAGAAAATAATACAGTGGAGAACAGGTAAAAGGTATCCATAGAAATCCTATTGGTAGTGTCCCGCTACCGTGGCTATCGTTTTGGCCATGGGTATCATCGCCGATTGAAAGTAAAGAAAGAAAGCCCCTTGATATCATTAGAATGTGAGCGATAAGCCCACTATACATGAAATAGGCGTGAACGTAGTCATTAGAGCTATGACGAAGAACAGGGGGGAAAGAGAGAGGGAAGGGAAGGAAGGAAGAACGACACGTTTGTCGAAATCAGGTTCTACCTAACGTAAAGGTCTACCTACGGTCAAGCAGTAGTTCCATTGGTCATGGGAACACTCGCTTGATCTTGCTGGGTGGCGCTGGCTTCACCGTCGGCCAAGTTGGCGTCGTCCATGGCCTTCAGATCCGAAATAAGATCTTTCGAATCGCCAGCATCCATCTGGTCCGCGTCGCCTTCGTTGAAGCTCGGCATCTCGAGCGCCACGCCACTGTTCTTCTTCGCCTTTTTCTTGCTCGGCTCGGACGGGCCGGCCTTGGCGATGGCGGCGTTGGGGGGTGCAGGGCGTTTCTGCGGGCTAGAGTTGCTTCCAGAGACACCAGCCGGGGGAGGGATCTTGCCAGATGCGGGCAGACGGGTCTTCGCAGGCATGGGTCGCTGCTTCAGAGGCAGCTCCAGGTCTTCCACAAGCGGCTCGTCGCTGTTGGCATCCAGCTTGCCCTTGAGGAATTGCTGGACCAGCCCGATCTGGTTCGCGACGTTCTCAGTGGTGATTCGAGCGTAGGGAGGGGGCGGTGGGAAGGAGTCCTCAGTCTGAATCGCCGTGGTGTTCTGCGCTTGTGCTGCGTTGAACATGCGGCTCGGCAGCAAGTGTAGCGGCACGCTGTTGAAGGCAATACCAAACTCGACATCCAGACCGAGTTCCTTGAAACCAAGGAAATCGTCATTGATGTCATCCGCAAAGGTTCCGGTAACAAACTGGTCGCTACCATCGGCAAAGGCCTTGGAACCGTCCTCGCCAACATCCGTGAGAGCCGGGCGCAGAAGCTCAGTGAAGAGATACTTCAGGCGATCATGAGCAGACGTGAGCTTAGTTCCCAGTCGTTCAACGTCATCCTTGATATAAAGCTCCAGCTCCTCGATATCCATACCCACGGCAGAAAGAGTGTGAAGGACGACTTCGGGTTCACTGTATGCAGACTTCCACTCGGAAGACGACGATGCATCCTCCGTCTCGGTGACGGGGACCTTTGGAGTCTCCATATAGGACTTGATGGTCTGTCCAATCTTGTGGAAGTAGTCAGCGGCCATATCAGTTGCGACGTCGATGGCCGAGGGCTGGTACTCCTCGAAGCCAGCATGATAAAAAATCTTGGCGACCGATCGCTGCAGCGCGGCACGGCATACTCCTGTCGTCATGACAGGGCCGTTGTCGTTCATGACGTGAGATGGGATGTCCTGTTCGACAAAGGGCTCAGGATTGTACTTTTGGAATTGGTTCGCGTACATCTACGGTTTCTGTTAGCTCATATTGCAACTTCAATCTAGGAAATGTTGCATTTCCAAGTACATACCTGAGCTTGAAGCTGCATCTGCTTCACGATTCCAATCTTCGAACAAATCTTGCGCGTATCCTGCATCTGCCGCATGTTGGAATCCATCTTGCGTGACAGTTTGCTATCGGGCTGCGTGAAACTTCCCGCACGAAGAACCCGGAGGAACTCCTCAGAAGTGTCCACAATGTTTCCCTCGGCATCTTCCTTCCAGGCAAGGCGAGATGGGAGATCCGGAACGCCGTGCATGACGTCGTAGTAATAAGGAATCATCTTATCTTCCTCAACCTCGATGCCCTCTGCAAGCGATGCACCAGCAGCTTCAGGCTCCATCGCCTGGGAACCAGCGTCCTGAGTCTTCTCGCCCTCATTAGCAGCTTGCTTCTCGTGGCGAAGCCAACGGCGCATGCCAGCCTTGGTTCGAAGCAAAGCTGGCTCATCAGCATTGAGCTTGTCGCCCTTGAAGAGGCGATGTCTCTCAGCGGCGATCAGAGCTCGATCTTTCTTGGTGACCTGCTTCCAAACTTTGTACTCGGGGTCTTCGACTTCAAGACCGGGCGCCGACAGGGCACTTAGAGCGGTTATGTCGGTTGTCGGGCCATCAATTTCCATTGCGTCACCCAACTGGCTAGCTGCACCACCTGCGCCAGCGCCAGTTGGATCAGAGGGTGTATTAGAGCCGGGAGGAGGAGTTGAGAAGCCGTTCTGGCTCGCTTCCATAGCAGTATTTGAATCGGCCCGGACGGCACCTGGCGGCTGACTGGAAGATGCACCGGCGGGGCCTTCAGAGCCACTAGGGGTGCTACGAGAAGGAGCCGTGCCCTTCTGGGAGGTTTTGCCGGGAGCCTTTCGTCCTCGAGAAGACATGATGGGTTCGTCATCGCTTTCCTCGCCTCCATCCTCGAGGTCAGCAAGTTGCTGACGACGTTCTTCAGCTTCGACTTCGGCTCGGTCCCTAACAACGATGTCCGGAATCAAAGGCACAAGCTTGTCTGTTTCTTTGCGCATAATAACGGCCTTTCTGCGCAAGGGATGATTTGGATCAGTGTTGTACTTGAGACAGTTCGCCCAAATTAGATTGATGTCATCCACAAAATCTTGCTTCGACCGGTAGCTAAAGGCCTTGAGCTTCTTGGTCATCGTTCCAAGGTCCATTGGGTGCCGAATAACTATAGCAAGGGAGGGTCAGCATCAGATATAGTAGGCATGAGAGCAACAACACTTACTCAGGTGATAATCAGGCACATCGCGCTTGTTAACTTTATTCAAAAATGGTCCCGAGTTCTCGGTCATGGCCTTGAGTTCGTTAAGAACCTTCTCCGCGGCATCATAAAGCTCCTCCTGGCCGATTCGTTCCTCATTATACCACTTGCTGCGGTTTTTGCGGACCTCACGAATCAGGTTGCGAAGCTCGGCATCTGATGCCTCCACCATGTCGCGCTTCTGATCGATCCGAGCGAGTAGATTCTTCAATGTCAGGCTAGAGGCGCCAAGGTTCGTCTGGCTGAGTGTACCATGACCACTGGAACCGCCAGAGGTATTGTTCGCACCACTATTTTGACCAGCGATCTCGGCTTCAACCTGGCGTTCAGACTCCTCGAGCCGCTGTTGGTCCAACATCGCGTAGCGGTCATCCTCAAGAGTGTAGAACATGGTATGGAAGCTATGCTTGACAGCTTCCTCGGTAGCTTTTTTATCCTCTTCAAGCTTCTTGCGAATATCCTCCGCCGTCTCTTTCTTCTGTTCTTTTGTCCCGTCAACATTGGTAGAAGCAGCGGTGCCAGGACGTTGCGACGAAAGCGCGGCGACGGTGGTATCTTGCGACGGTGGGATGGACTTTGCTTTTAGAGGGGACTCCGTCGAATCAGGCATATCCGCGTCTTCATCGTCATCGTCGTAGTCATCGTAGTCGTCGTCGAGTTTGCGGGCAGGCTTGGTGGGTGCCTTCGAAGGGGGTGCCGGCGCATCGACGCGTTCAGGTTGACTCCCAGGCTGGTCGGAGTCCGCGATGGCGGCGCCGGCCACATCTTCCTCGGCATGGCCCTCTGAGAAGAGCGCGCTAATTTTCGCTTCGCTGATGCGGTACAACTCGCGAAATTGGGCAACGCGCGGGTCCTCCTCGGCCGCGATATCAGGGTCCGATGTCATACTACCAGGGTTTGGACCGTCGGCGCTGATAGAGCCGCGTGTTTGAGGGGTTCGCGAGCCAGATAGAGTTTTGACCAAGCCATTGACAGGCCGCGGGGAGTCCTGGTGCTCATCCGGAGGGCGAATATTGCCTGGGGGCCAGGCGTGGTGACCGAGCGACATGCTCGCTCCAAAACCCCGGCTCTGGGGGCGGGCGAGACTCGATTCTCCACGCTTCGGATGGCAAGCCGAGAAATCGCAACGAGGGGGTTAAATGAAATGAAAAAGGTATGGGATTGTAAGCCAGAGATAGCCAAAGCACCAGGCAATGTCAGAAATTCTGATAGCGATGGCACAGTGGAGAGGTTTGATGAAGAAGGTGACGGCTTCAGTAAGGAAGATCTTCTGGATGGGGATGGACGATGCCAGCCGCAAGCCGCAAAGGCGGCGAGACGCGGCAGATCGCAGAAACGGCACATCATGGGAGCCTTGACAGTAGTATCTCTCTCCACCATTATCTCTGGAGCTATTGCTTGAGCGATTGACTGGTTCTTACTGTCCATACGATCTGTGGGATGCATTAAAATTCTCGGGATCTTCATATCAAGCCCTTCAAACTCACCATCCAAATCCACATATGACGCACTGGCTCAACCCGGGCCAACCGATCGTCGTCAGCCGTTGAACACTAACCCGTCTTGCGCTGTGTAGCTAAGACCTGCACTCAGATACAACTGATTGGAGAGGCTGTGGCTAGAGACAAGTATTCGAAAAGTGCTCTTGTCAAAAATCTATCACTATGCGGATCCGCTACCCTTTCGCAGGTACGTGTCGATTTGTAGCCAAGCTAGTATAACCACCGTCCACCAGTTCCCTCCAGCTAACAAGCAAACGCAGGAGCTTTCGCTTTCCTCCTAGTCCTGTCCGGATACATGGGCCTGCTCTCCCATAGCACCTCCTCATCAATTCCTACGAATCTCCAACCAAATGACAAATTCCTGCACCTCGTCACCTTCTTCCTCTTGACCGTCACCTTCTACTGGATCTTGGACACCACGAGGCGGCGCACTCTACATATAACCCTACTCTTCTGCACACTCGGCATGGGAATCGGCTCGGAGATTGTCCAAGGCCTCCTTCCAATTGACCGAGCCTTCGACCCATTCGATGTCGTTGCCAATGTCGTCGGCAGCCTCGGCGCAGTCGGTCTGTGCGGCTGGTATCACCGTCGCATGCTGGAGCGCCGCCGCAAGAGCCGCTTTGGCATTGTGGACGGTGGAGAGGAGGATGTCGAGCTTGGTGTTGGAGTTGGTGGCTCCCGGGAGGAGGAGGAGGAGGGACTAGGACCGCAAGAGTCTGGTGTGATGAACTTGGAGCAGGAGGTGGATAACTGGGATGAGAATGCTGTCGATAATTGGGATACCGAGGATGGTCCGGAGCCGACTGAGCATCAAGCTGCGCCTCCAAGTTACCATGAAAGCCAGCCAGCTGGAGAGGGCACTACGAAACGCAGCGATTGATAGAGCTCGAGTGAAACTTTCCAAGTGACAGATTGACGCATAGCCAATGCTGATACTGGCTGGCGCATTTCCCGTTTGATGATGATTATGGACCGATGCATTGATCGATCTCATGTTGGCATGATACCAGTCATTTAGTTCTGATGTATTTTTCGCAGCGATTATGTTCCCTTTTCTTGTCTTTTTTTGCTCTGTTTTGGAGCTGGTTATCGGCTTGCATGGGACCTATTGGATGGAAAAGGAAGGTTCTGTATGATCTTGCTTTGTACTGCAATACTTATGGATGCCTCCCGAGGATTGTCCCCTAATGATAACTGTACAACTGAGGTTCTTCTCAAATAAGGGTACTTCCTTTGGCTTATGGCTTATGTGGCTGTCACCTTTGAGTAGTGGGAGACCCTTTCTAGAGCATATAGACTAGAATAGACATCCGGAAGCGGAAGTTTGAGCCGAGTACAGAGTGAAAAATGCCATATCAGTGGTACGAGCTACCTTGCAAAGATCTACAACACTGACAGATCAAGCCGGCTGCGAGATTTTGGCTGAAGTCAACACGGGGATAGTAGACACAACTCGACAAACCGCTAATATACAGCAACTCTAATGCAAAGACTAGGACTTCAGTCACCGGGCATAGAACTACAGAAGAGTGCAAGGAAATTCATAAACAAGTGGCAATGTAGACTGGGGGTATTCAGAAAAAAGGCAAGAAGATACAGGGAGGGTGCTTTGGGCAAAATGCGGGGGAAAAAGCAATAGGAAGACAAGAAAGGTAAACAAGACAAGTACAGAAGAATGTAAGGCAAAGGGGCCATGAGACAATAAAGCAGCAAATACACAAACACCGGATGCCATGATATGATGCAAGAGGACAAATGAAATCGGACGTTCAGGGGCTCATGATCAATCGTGACGAGTAGACACAAAGGGTGGGATACGAAGCCGACCAAATTTCGCAGCAGATAGGAATCGAGCTCCCGAGTGATGATACCTAAAGAGGTCGGATGAAGTAAGGTGATAGTCAATGTGGGCACGCATTACTCATGGTGAGAGGACTCGGGCGTTTCAGTCGGAGTTGCAACTTGGTCCGGGACAGCCTCTAATTCAGGCTTTGAGGCAGGCAGATAATCAGCCTCGTCGCTCAGTTTGGCGAGCTTGGCAGACCGTGGCTCATCCATTTGGCTCGCAGGAGACTCGTTCTGTCCTGGTATCTTGCCCAATTTGATATCGGCTTGTTCTCGAAGCACCTCGTAGATGAACTGCATTTGCATCTCGTTGTAAACCATCATCATGCGTTGTTCGCGCATCTGGTTGACCGTCTCAAACACGGGGTCGGTCTCGGGGTCGGCTACCTGCAGCAGCTGGCCCGATTCGAGCTCCTGGAGGAGATGGTCCAGGGCGATGAAAGTTCCCGTGCGGCCAACGCCTGCACTGCAATGGACCACACGTGGATTTTCAGGCCCTCCAGCTTTGGAAGCCGATAATTTGATCAGTTCCAGGAGGGCCTCACGGTCACTGCCTTCGGGCTTGGAATAATCCGCCCAGCCTGCAAAGAGGAAATGCCACACAATCTTCGACTCCGAGCCGATGGTCAGCTCGAGCTTGCGAACCTCCGAGCGTGACTTGGCATCGACCGTCGACTCTAACAAGGTGACCTTGCCAATGGTTTCGGGGGTTTCCTCCTGGCTACTCTCATCGGTCACGGAGGGATCCGACTCCTCTTCCGAGAGAATCATCGAAGCCTGGTCCGAATCCAATGGGAAGTATTGTGCACATTTCTCCCGGCCGGCCTCAAAGGTCTGGGTCAACATGACAATCACAGCTACATCCTTGCTTTCATGGAAGACCATATGCCAAAAGTGTGAGAGATGACCGAGCTTGGGTCCCTGTCGACCGAGACAAAAAGCTCATCGTTAGTCAAGACTTGCCAACGATAGTCTAGGACAGGGGAGGGGGAGCATGCCAAGGGATTGGCCAACATACCTGGGTCGCAATGTAGGTCCTCTCCTCCTCCGTGACCGAATCCTTCAGTATGATCGGCGAGGCGTTGATAAAATCACACTCGCCCTCGGGCACCCGCAGATGGATGCGGCAGTTGGCCCATGCTTGCACGTTGACATATCGATTCCGAGCCTTGACTTGGGGGTCGCCCTCGAGGGCAAAACGGTGGGCAGGATCGTTGGACAACATGGCATCGGCCAGTCGTGTCCTCTGCATCCATTCGAGGTCTTCAAACTTGTCGTGAATCTCTATAGATATATATTCAAAGCGGTCAGTCCACTGGCTCTCCCCACGTGTGCGAGGCGCATTTCTCGATATCTTCTACCCCTTCCTTCACTCTATTCTCCGATAGGGCGCATGCACCCCCGCTTGCTCACTTACCCGAGACTGATTGGCACAAAAACGGCGGGACATCGTCCGTATTGCCAGCATCCAACCGGGGATTCCCCTGTTCACCAGGCACATCGAGACCATCGCCGTCGGGAGGGAGGCCGCGCTTCCCCGTCTGGACGTTGGTATCGATCTTGATGGAAGGATGCGCCATCTTGGCGGCAGCGATCTTCTGGAATGCGCGAACCTTGCCGATCACGCCGCGGGCTTTTCGGGAGACGGCCTGACTTTTGGAACGTTTTTTGGTGCTGCGCGGGGCAGTGGAGGAGGGTTCGGGGGAGGGAGAGCGCGAGGCTTCGGGGTCGGTGCTGACTTCGAGTTGATCGAGACCGTATGCGGCAGCCGAGACCTGAGATATCTGCAACGAGGACAGATCGGGACAGCTATAGAAGCTGTCCCGGGAAGGTGTGTCCAGGGCCAGATTTTTTTTGGGAAAGATCGCGCGGGGGCCTTGCTTGGGCGTCGAAGGAGGGGGGGGAGCTGAAGGCCTTGTCGCAATGAACTGGGCCAATCGTGTGACCCTCGTATAAGGCCGAAACGCGACACAGCAGCAGGAGCCCGCCGAAGTCAGAACGTGCGGTGATTTTCCGGGAATTTCTTCCTTGCAGGGATTAGAGATTCTGGAAGAAAGATTTCACGACGGCGAAACGAAGACGACGAAGAGGATCAGGGGTGGAAAGGAGGGGCGTAATAAAATGAGGGAACTGGAGAACGACCCGAGGTCTCCGCCGAAGAAGTATAAGAAAGTGATATTATAGAAGAATAGAAGTATAAAGATAGGCTAGGGGTCACCTACTAGTGGACCTAGAAAATCAGTCTATCATGTGCCTTTCCAACAAGTTCTACTCCGATAAATATAGATCCAGGGTAGTCCAACTGTAATTGGCCACAGTCAGCGTGTTGCCACTTGCACTCAGCTGCTTGCGGCGATCCACTCGCGACCGCGGCAGATCAAAGATGAGAGAGAGCCAGTCCAAGAGAAACTGGATACCGGAGATTTCCAGGAACCCAGAGAGCGCGATTCGCTTCTGAAACTACTTTGTAACTTCCGGGCTGGGGTTGTTATCGACGAAACTACAGTAGGGAACTACAGTACTCTACTCTCCCGGTTTACTTTCCTCAACCCTCCCCGGTAAAACCAAAACATCCCGCATCTTCGACAACCCTGAAACATCCCGCACGTCACACACCGGAGTCCTGAGATCCTGAGAACTCTCGGACTGCCCTCGCGCATGTCGCTCGACGTGAGCGCTGGAAGGTGTTGATCGCCGCGTCTCTCTATCCTCGTTACATGGACCGATGACCACTACTACCGAGCGTGCGCGCCTTCATGAAATGGTCTCGTCCGCGCAACTCCTCGATCGCATGCCCCTCCAAAGCGCCCCCTCCGTCGTGTCGCGACCCTCGCAATCTACGCGCAGACATCATCGCTCGGGGCGCTCGCATCATGGAGGTTCCATGCAGTCCTCCTCAAACGATTTCCCCATCTTCACCTATACCGGCGACACCGAGGTCGTGATTCGCGCCGGCGCGCAGGAACGTCGCTATCTTCTCCACCGTCTGATTCTGGCACAATGTTCGGGCTTCTTCGAGGCAAGCACTGCCGAGGTCTGGTCGGGTCAGACTGGCCTCGCGCAAGTCCCAGCAAAGGGAGAGGGCTCGCTATCGCGCGTGAGCGAGGATTCCTTGTCGAATGGGTCGACCTTGGTCCAAGGGGATCACAGTAAAGTCACGGCGCGCGGGGGAGACAAGCGGAGGTGGAGATTTGAGCTTGATTGGGAGACCCGTGGGGAGGACGAGGAGCCAATTCTGGTTCAAAAGGTATGGTAGACAATGCCATGCGCTCTCCGGTGAATAGCCATCGACGTGTATGGCCTAGGAGGCTAACATCCATACTTGCACAGGAACCCTCCTACGCTCCAATGTTTAGCGGCGATCAACCCGCATTTTCCCCGACAGCAACAAAACCGTCGAGCGCACAGGCAGGCTACTTCCGGTCTATGGCGAACCTGGCCGGAATGCAATCGGTAGTGCATCTACCACAGACAGCCAATGGTGACCACAGCTCCGTGGATCCATTAATACGCGACTACGACAACCTCTTCCGCTTGTTCTACAATCACCCACCAGCGCTGAACAGTGTCAATATTGCCTCGGCTTACACAGAGTGCAAATCTCTCCTAGCCTTGGCAGACATGTACGACGCGCTCCCCGTCACTGGCCCGCGAGTCGACCACCATTTACTAGGGTTCGGCTCCCGCTTATTCAAGCAAATTGCCAAATACCCACCCAGCTACCTCAAGCTAGGATATCTGGCACGTAGCCGTGTCATTTTCTCGGAGGCGTTGATCCACGTCGTGGGACAATGGCCGGCGGCCCTGCCAAACCTGCGCAACGGCTCCTACGCCCCATTACCCAATTCCGTTCTCGATCTAATAGAGGACAAATACGAGGATCTAGAGGACCTCAAAGCCCGTGTCGAATCCAAGCTCTTCCGTCTTTCCCTCACGACCTCCCGCGGTGAACGCGTCGGGCCGTCAAACGCATACCTAGACTGGCTCGCCGTCTCCCTCTTCCGCCAGTGGCTTATCGAAAACACCACTCCCCCGCCAGCACCAATTCTCAAGAACCCATCTAATGCCACCAGTACCGCTCCCCCACCGCCCGCCATTGCAGGCTCTCAAACAACTTCCACCAAACCTACCGCGCCGCCTGACCCAACCGCCCGCGTATACCGATTGATTGGATCCCCATCATCACAGGCATACCTCGCCCACGACGAAGTCAAACGCTTTCTCAAACTCCATCCAACACCTTCCTCCGACGCGCTGTACACGCGCGACACCCTGAAACGCTTCGAGCGCAAGATGGACGAGATCAAGCGGCTGGCCCGCGAGATCGTCAAGCCACTGATGCGCAACTTCCTCGAGCTCGAGCTGAAGGGCAGCGCTGAGCAGGCCAGCAGCACCGCTGGCTCTCACGACAGCAGTCCATCTTCTGGACTCCCATATTTAACCTGCACCCGCGTAGAAGAGGCTGATCTACCTTGGGACATTTGACATTTGATTTACTTTGACAATGTGGCGTCTTGAAAACGTGGCGTACATGATATGATTGTTTGGCCATATATCTTGCTTGATCTGCTTTGCATTTGCTACTACCATTGGTAAGGTACTACCCCTGGCGTCTTTTGAAGATTTCATTCTCCCTGCCTATTTTCCCCTCGAACTGCTGGTTTGTTCTGGGGAGTGGGGGGTTGAGAATTGGGTGGCTGTACTCCTACATATCTTCTGTTGCGATGATGTGATGTGTATTTGATTGATGGCTGCGTTATTTTACCCGTTTTACTAGTTAATGTGTCTACGATATCATGAATGACTTTTACATTACTTGTTCCTTTCGGTGTCAGAGTAAATGATTAAAGACGGGCGTGTATGAGGAAGGTAGAACTCTGCCCATCATTTCACTTACTGTTCCTTCTAAGTAGTAAGTAGAGTTGACATCGAAAATCAGGGGGTTCTTTCCCACTCCATAGATACTGCATTCATGACAGTTTCGAGGATTGGTGCTCTACTGAGGTTCACAACGTGGATTACTATAGAGGACGTGTAAAGTACTACAGCTACGCAGTGAATCAACGTCGAAGAAATTATCTTCTATTTTCTTTTTCTATTTTTCCGGGGGAACATCAATAGCTGGTACTTGGGAGACATGACATTACTGCAATAAAACCATCCATGTTGGTCGCTGGGCCAACTTTCCAAGTTCTCAATCCATTTCCATCTTCTGTGGCCTGGCCAATTCTTGGAATGGTGAATATCAAGGCTAATGTACCGGCGGGGAAGACAACAAAACAAAACATGCAGACAGATCAAGCTCAACAAGAAATTGACAGGGGGTTTCAGACAGTGTGAAACTCAACATCGTCTCGGCGGTTATGACTTCAAAGCAGATACCGAGGGAAACCATCATCAGGCAATATGGCTGCAAGCCTTTCCAGTAGTCGAAACATGACCCATTAGACATACCACATCCGCAATGGCAGATGATTGTCGTTGCTGTCATCAATGGGCAGCAAAGGAATATCGGCGCGATCAGACTCCTTGGGATTCGCCTGCATAGCGTGAGACATTCCACGGCTAACCTTGACGCCCCGTCCATATTGAGCGGGCTTGCCCTTGAGCATGACGTTCTCATGGTGACGGGCACGAACGGAGATCAAGTGAGCATAGTAGATGGCCGGGTGGACCGAGACAGAAGTCGTAGAGCGAACATACTGGTAACACTGCTCGTAGATCATGTTGATCAAATGCTCCGGCTTGTGCCTGACTTCGTCCAGCAAGACGGTGTAGTGGACTGGGCGGGCGGTGCCCTGAAGAGCAATGTGTGAGTACAGGAAAAAGTCCCAGCCAGAGGACGGGTAACGTCTCGGTCAACCAGAGTGCCGGGGAGAGGATTGCCGTTCTTGTCACGGTCGTTGTGAACCTTGGAGTCTGGGAAAGCCCGAATGTGGTGTCTCTTGTTGGCTATGACGACGCACATCTTTCCTTTCCATTCTGCTCCTGCAGCCTTGGACATGGTTTCGCGAATGGTCTTCACTTCCTTGTTGAGGACCTCCTCGTACTCGGTTTCCGAGACGCCATCGCGGAAGTAGTAGATAACGGCGGGAGGACTCTTCTTGCCAACCGTCTTGATCCACTCGATGAAGAAGGGTTTCAAAATATCCCTGATGTTGGTCTCAGAGATGATCTCCTTGCGGGCACCGTTCACTTCACGGCCGCCCCAGTAGCTGATTCCCTGGAGGTCATTTGAAACGGACATTGCAGCCAGTGAGGGAGTCCAAACACCCATCATAGGGTGGGTGACATCAGCGCCAATGATTATCGACGAAGGCCCAAGGCCTGTGCCAGCGGAGGTAGGAACAGCCCGAGCCGTAACACCTCCAAGCTTGGCGTTGATTTTCATGGCCACGTTGGAATGAAGCTGAGGCTTTCCTCCACCCTCGCACCGGCCGTGCTGAAGAACCTGTGAAGGAACTCCATATCGGCAATCGCAGGACTTCTTGAGGCGGGCGTACTGGCCAACATCCTGGTTGGATGTGATCATGATGATCAGCTGAGGAGGTTCACCGTAGGCCTTCTTAGCAGTATCATGAAGTTTGGTCACAGAGGTCCCGATGTCCTCGGTCATCAACAACGATACGGGGTTGCTCTTGACAATGCCACCATGCTGCTTGAATGCCCTGACAAAGTTAGTCCGCCATTCGTCGATCAACTGCTGATTGAGGCTATTCCGTTCATGGTTATAGTAACCAATTGCCCAGCAAGCCAGAGGCTCGGAGTGTGGTTTGTAAAACTTCTTTCCTCGAAGATCCCAACGGCCAGTCGTGCCCGGATTCACCTTTGAGTTCCCAAATTGGATTTCTGGATTAGCAAGTAGCCGGGCTTTGGTTTTGTACATCTTCTGCGAGATCTCCATGCCATAGAGCGCCAGATTGGGGTCATTGTCATGTGCAAAGAGTCTCTTGCAGCAGTTGATGTGCTCCTTTCGATCGTGTGGCTTTTGCGCGGTGTACTTGATCATTTTGGACGTCATCTTAACGCTAAGCTTCCTGTTGTATCGCTGAAGGCCCTTGAGAGCCAAAAGCTCGGCGGGATAAACCACGTCGCGTTCTTGCATCTCCACAAGGCGCATGGTAGGGTACTCGAGCTCAATTTTGTACTTGATCCTGAAGTATTCTTGAACAGATTGCTTCTTGACGGCACCTGTGGCATGGTCCTTGATGTCAAGCATGTATTCACTTGCGCTGGCGGGTACAAGCTTTCGGATCTTGAACGTTCTGTTCGGGTTGGGACACCCTTTGAACTCGGGACTGACCAGCAGACCCTGGAGCATCTTGTCGAGTTCGACATGGGACTTGGACCACTCCACCCAGTCGGGTTTGATATGTGGTTTGTGAACAGGCATGCAAAGCTTGGGAACGTCGTCTTGATGTATATCTCCCAGGAGCCCCGCCATAACTCCCATAAGCCCGATGCGGGAGAAGAAGACACCATATGCAGTATCGACATTGAGCATCAAACCACGCTGATGATAACTCGGTTAGTCCAAGATGTAGACTCTCAAGAAACGGGGCATAAAGTCCTTACCGGGAAAGCTCTGATTGTCTGGAATGCTCCTCGGTAAACAGTTGCGCCGTACCCCAGCTGGAAATGGAAGTTGTGTGCCATTTCAGCAAAATCTTCACCCAGCTTGTGAATCTCTTCAAAGAAATATGAACGCTTGTGTTCAAAGAACCTGGATCGAGGCTGGTGTCGAATAAGGTGGTCAAGGAACACTGTATATGATGTTAGTATCCATCGAGTCACAAACAGAAAATTCCTCATGAGGCACTTACTGAATGACTGAATCACCTGCTCGTCAAACTTTCGCTTCTTTTGGAGCCAGTCTTGGATGACTTTGACCATAAGTTTGTGCTTTGGAATAACACGGAACTGAACCTCCGATAGCAGAGTGAGGAATTCTCGAGATTTTGGGTTCTTCGCCTCGAGTCCGCCGATTCTCTTGGGGCCTTCATAGTGCCTGTATGGGGAGTCGAAGGTAATTTTCTCTCTGATACCTCCTCGATCCAGCGCATGCAAAGACCTATTTTCTTTAGACCGGGTTCAAGGACCAGTAGTCAGGGTTTTACCTACCAGACAATGTGAGCTCCGTCATGGATAGCATCAGGGAGCAGTCTCATTCGCTCCTTGCTCTTCTCAAAGCAGGTTCGCATGAGCCGTTGGTCCAGGGTTGGAAGAAGCCTCTTATCCTCTCGAGCCTGAATTTCGGCAATCACTTGGAGCTATAAATATTTTAGCTAGGAAGGTCCCTCGTAAGGACTTCAAATGATTCATTCCTACTCACCTCATACATGTAGACAGGCTTCTTGGGATACTTTGTGATTGGAAAGCCATTCACAAGAACATCGATCTCCCTGCCGGAAGTGCTGAGTTCACTTGACTTCTGATTGCAAGCTTCGGGTAGGGGAACAACGACACAGTCCATCCATTCTTTTGGCTTCATTCGACGACATCCCCTGTCGTCGATGAATGTGGCCTCATCCACCACACGACGGGCTTCTTCGACACGGTCTGGCTTGGGCTCACTGCCCGAGCTTGTCGGGCTAGGCGTTTCTGAGCTGCTCATCGTGGACACTTGTAAGTGTTCTGAGTATCTAGACAATAGCAACGTGAGCAGTGAATTTCAGTCAGTGATATTGAAGAAACAGAGTTACTTCATAGGTATGGAGGCAACAGGAATGAAATCGGGTTCATTTCAGTAGACAGCCCATAGTCAAATGGCCTTCCTCGGGATTGCATTGTCTGCAAAAGAGATTTTTGAAATAGCACTTACCGACTTAGAGAGACTGAGTCTTACAGTAATGTGGGAGAAGAGAATCAAAAATTCAAGAGAGTGGAAAGGAAAATTAAAAAGTGGATGATGAACTTGTAGAACCTGATCCTCACCAGTACCCAGAAGGGTCTTAACAAGAAAAAGGACTAGAAATGTCAGATATTAGCTACCATTTGAGTGTGTGTGAAGATGAAAGTATGAAAGAAGACAAGAGGAGGATGGATGAAGGAAGGGAAGATATTGATGGAAGTTGGGGATGAGGGAGTTTGTATATCTCCAAAGAGGAGAGTTCCTAAACAGCAAAGCGCGAAAATGATGGAAACAACCATAATCAGTATGGTGGAAGCTCCCATCAAACATTGGTATTCCATACGCTTTTTCCTGGTCGTGGCTTGAACGAATTAATCGAGGGAATTCAATTAGAAACTCCCGTGTAGTCCACTAGATACAGTCGGTTTCGAGGAGTTGAAAGTCTCTAATTCTAGTCCTCGAGTATCTACTCTACTATTGGCTAGTAAATTCTACAAACGTGAGGAATAGTATGTCTACACATTTCTAGAGATAGTTAAGGACATACAATGAGATAATTTGTCGAGGGCATCCATACTGATACAATCCTTGTAGCTCGTAAGAATGCAAAGCTCTACATTTCAGACCTCCTAACGAGTCGGAAAGTCTAGACAATGCACGAGATTGAAAATATTACGGACAAACCAGGACTACCGCTCGTTCTACCTCTACGTCGGTCTCTACGTCGGGTAATGAAAAATTGAAAATCCGGAGAATGCAATATGATCAGGATATCTGCACTATGGGCTTCGAATGTACAGATGCGGTATCAAGCAGAAACGCCGCCGTCGAAAAAGATGCTCATCACACGGCGACCGATGCCCAAGAGAAAAGAAAGAGACAAAGCCAACCAGACCGACGCCGGCAGATGCAACGGATTCTGAGACGATCGAAAAGATACCCCGCCACATTCTTGGGGAATGATGGAGCTTCCGCTTCAATCAAACGCGAATGGAATGTCATCAGGCTGGGGAGCACGCCTCGCAGATTATGAAGATTAGTTTTGTGGGGAGTGGCGAAATTATGGACAAATGAGTCCCAGCGACTGTCAGCTGGGTGATAATAGAACAGCTCAGCGATATGATCCTGTTAGAGTTTTGATGTTAGTCAACTGAAGACAGGATACCGATGGACAGGGAAAAGATATCTCGATGACAACTTACCACCATACTGGTTCGAACCAGAGCTCTGAGCAGCCCCAAGCCCTCGCACATTGGCCGGGAGTGGAATTTGATCGGTACTGGCAGGGATTTCGATGTGGCGGAGTAGGTCGACCATCTTCTCCGGCAACAGACGCGCAATGTGGTAGGAAGATGCAGGAGGCATGATACTGAGCAAATGAACAACGTCCCGGGGAAGGGGGGCCGGGGATCCTTGAGGCTTGTATGAAGACGTAGTCTGACCATTCAACTGGGTGACTCTCTTCTGCACATCAAGACGGCGGCCCTGTGCGCCCTTTAGCGGAGATTCCGCACGGGCAAACTTGCGCGGGCGGTCGGAATCATAGTCATAGTCATCCGTAGGATAAGCTCGCTTAGGTGAGTTCAGAGATGTATCTTGGTATGGTGCTGGAGAGACCCGAGTTTCTGGTACAACGGCATGATGCAGTGTCTTAGGCTGGGTCTGCGAAGGCGACAGGATAAGTTGAACAGTCATTGGATCAAAAGTCGGTGTGGCGTAACGGTGCGAGAACTGCTTCAATGAGGGATCTTCGGGGTAGAGCTCGCGCATCCGGTTCTCAAGGTTGATCACTTGGACCAAGTCACCGTAGCGCGACTCGTATTCATGGAGGAAAGCAAAGATAGGCTTCGCTTTGTGAGCATTCTCGGGACTGGTTGCCAATCTGCGTACAGTCGTCTCGAAGACGGCCCGGGCGTCTGTGATAGAAGTTAGTAACCCATGATGTACCTTGTGTAGATGATCTTCAACTTACTGATGATATCATTGATGTCAATCAAATGCTTCAAATACTCCAGGGCGAAGTTCTCATCTTCCGGGAAAAGCTTCGCGCCTCGCTCAAAGATCTTGGTTGCGGCAGGATCCTTGTAGCAATGGTACTCCATGAGGGCACTGGCAATGTAGACATCACTGGTGATACGGCCCCGCTTGCGAGCTTCGGCAAAGACCTGGCGAGAACCGGCTAGTTCTCCCGGCTTGCCCTTGCCCTGAAGCCGGCGCATCGCACGCATCAGCGCAATCCAAGCGAAGGAGATCGTCTTGGACAGGATGTTGATCTGAATAGAGTGGGCTTTTCGAACGGCATCAATCTGTGCCTGTTTTGCGGCCTCTTTCTCCTTTGCCTCACTGGGGAGTCCGTCATCATCCTCGTCCTGGATGGCCTGAGCATCCGGGTTCGGTTGGGCAAAGGCCTCCTCAATCCGGGTCACGTCCTGAGACTCTTGGTTTCGGGCCTTGTTGATCAGCTCGTAGAGGGCATCGAGCAGCTTATCGTAGGGTTCCCTGACTTTGCCAGCCCGCTTGGAGGAATCCTGCTCAGAGTCTGAGGCGACTTCGAGTCGATCAGCCAGCTTGAAGGAAAGCAGGCAGCTTTGCGGGTTGGCCTCGATACCCTGCTTCAACATGTCGCTACCCTCGGTTTCCATGTCGTTCAGGAAGCAGAACTCGGCAGCCTCAAACCAGATCTCTGGTACGAATCTCAGAGCCATGAGTGCCTGTTTGTAAACATAGAGGACACGAGCCTTGAATGCAGCAGCATCATCCTCTTTCAGGACTAGCGGGTCTTCCTTCTCCCATGCGATCCAGCTCTTCCAGACGCCTACTTGATGAGCAAACTCAACATCACCCTCGGAGCCAGGAACTGGAGGTAGTCGAGGCAGCGATGTGCGAACAAGATCGCGGGTGATGTTTTGGAGTTCAGTGTAGGAGCTACGAGCGGTCATGTATGACGGCGACTGCTCTTGCAAGAACTTCCGGCCCTAGACATGGGAGTTAGCAAATTTGAACGCACGGTAACAAGGACTTGAAGGATCTCTACCGTAAGCTTGTTGAGGCCCATCTCGAACTGATCGTATTCCTTCCACAGGGCATTGACTGCCTGTGTGGGTACGCAGATGGCTTTCTGGTAGGCCTTTCGAAGCAAGTCCATCTTCTGCTGGTCTTGCCAGCCTGCACCCCCGACGGTACCAGGCCCAGAGCGAATGAACTCCACGTAGTCGGTCCAGATATTACCACAGTCCTTGTCCATCCCCACATATTGAATTGCGAGATCATAAGCTGACGAGATTGTCCGTCTTGCCTGACCAGTGGTATCCGTGGTCAAAGGGTTCCGACGACGGACATAATCCAGGTAGACAGACCAAAGCTGAACACTAGGAATAGTAAGGAGGGTTCTGTTGAAAATCTGTTCCAAACGGAAGAGTTCATTCAGTTCTGACTCCATAGTGGCATACGCCACCCATTGATCGGCCTGTCGGTCAATGTCAGTGTTTTCCAACTTCGAATTGCAAGCTTCAGACTTACCGCCATGGGGAATTCCTTGAGGAACCGTTCGTAAACTTCACGCGCACTGTCCAACCGGTTACGAGCCCTGTGCTCTGCAATCAACTCCAACCAAGCCGAGAGATCCCCGCGAGGATCCTCATCAACCCTGTCCTGCAGGATGCCCACGCGGTCATGCGCCATGCGGCCTTTCGAAGAAGGGGAGTCAGGTACAGGGGTAGGAACGGTACTGTTCTGCATGCTCGGGTCATGCGCCCACTGAAGGGAACCAGAAACAGAAGGATCGATATTGGAAACAGGAGCAGGAGAATAAGAGCTAATGGCAACATCTAGCACGGAGGCAGAGGGATGCACCAGGTGCGATGATACATCAGGGGAAGCGGTATGATTTTGATTTCCTGAACTTGGGTCTTCAGACATGGTCATAGGCATGGTCATAGGCATGGCATTCGAGTCATCCACCCCCAGTACCGCCGGCGGCTCATAGTCCGCCTCCTCATTGTCATCCTCGCCCTCGTCCTCATCGTCCTCAACTTCAAATCCCCCGATCGTTCTGGTCTGGGGCTGTGCCGACACACCCGTAGGTGGGACCGATGTGGATTTCTGAGACTCGTCACGAGAGGGATTCTGAGCAGGATCGGGCGCATCACTAGCAATGCCAGTGTCCATGTCTGACGAGGCAGTGGGGTTGGGGGCTGTCACTTCTGATTCTGGTTCTTGATCATTGTCTTCTTCGTCTTGCTGTTGTTGCTGTTGCTGGTTTTCATCTTCTAGAGTGTCTTCGGTCTGCTGAAGGCCTTGGTCGGAGCTTTGATATTGGTCATCAAAGGTTCTGGAGGGGTCGTATTCTTCTTCCTCGTCGAACTTATCCACAGCTGATTCTTCGGTATCAGCGGCCACTGCAGGATCTGATCCCATGGCCTGTGCCTTGAAGAAGGCTTCCTCAGCTTCATTGTCCGCCATGACGGGCGAGAACAATGATACTGATCTCTGCGGATGGAATGTGAGAACCTGCGAACGGAGCTTTGTCGATGAATTGCGACACGAAACTGTGGGAGTGATAAGGTTAGAGAAAGAGAGGTGAATGAACAAAGGATGCCACTGAGGGAATCAGCTCAGGCGCCCAAAGTCAGGTCAAAGCGAGTAGATGGAACGGGGTGATAGTGATGGTGGAGATTGGGGGAAGCTCATTACTGAATCCGTGAATCCATCCCGCCGAGACTGCAGCCAAGCTGGGCCATCACGTGGGCGGTCAGCGCGCAAGGGACGCGAAGGCGCGTCGATGGGCTCCTCGCATATGCCACTCGTTGCCCTCGTTGCGGTCTCGCAGACTTCCCTTTTGCATTCCTTGCGGTGAACCTGTTTGTTTCCCCTTTTCCACCCAATATCCCCCTTATAAAACTTGTTCCTTCCATAAATTCGGGTCCCTTTCCTCACATCCCCCCTCAAGTCCCACTTCCGTACATAATTGCATCTCACTCTCTTCACACTCCACCATGTCCGTCGTTTCGCTACTTGGGGTTAAAATCCTCAACAACCCGGCCCCTTTCACGGCTTCCTACCAATTTGAGATTACCTTTGAGTGCTTGGAGCAGTTGCAGAAAGGTGAGCAGTTCTAATCAAAATATTCAGTCCTGTTCAGATCTTCTAACAAGTCTCTTTCTTAGATCTTGAGTGGAAACTGACCTATGTCGGTTCCGCCACTTCGTAAATCCACCCGCTCACCGCGTCCGTTTGCCCCTCACTAACCAACACATCTTGAACAGCTCCGAATATGACCAGGAACTCGATTCCCTCCTGGTTGGCCCGATCCCCGTCGGTGTCAACAAGTTCATCTTTGAGGCCGATGCGCCCGATTTGCAGCGCATCCCTTCCTCTGAGATCCTCGGTGTCACTGTCATCCTCTTGACCTGCAGCTACGATGGCCGTGAGTTCGTCCGTGTTGGCTACTATGTCAACAACGAGTACGACTCGGAGGAGCTGGCGGCAGAGCCCCCATCCAAGCCTATCATTGAGCGCATTCGCCGCAATGTCCTCGCCGAGAAGCCCCGTGTGACTCGCTTCGCCATCAAGTGGTATGTTTTTCTTATGATTTCTCTAATGAGTTGCCCCCGCAACCACACATGGCTGACAATAGGTTGATTCAAGGGATTCCGAGGAGTCTGCGCCCGCAGAGTACCCACCTGACCAGCCCGAGGCCGATCGACTGGACGATGACAGCAACGCCTACGGTGCAGAGGAGGCCGAGCTTGAGGCTGCCCTTGTTAAGGAGCTCGAGGAAGCCAACAAGCAGGGCGAAGATCAGGAGATGGACGGTGGTGAGGCCACTGCCGGTAACGACGATGACGACGTCTCAGATGCTGGCAGTGAGGACCTCGAGGAGGAGAGTGAAGATGATGATGATGACTTGGACGAGGATGAGGCCGGTGACGGCGATGAGGACGTTGAGATGGGTGACGACTCTGAGCAGAAGGACGAGTCTGGCAAGCCCGCCCACCAGCCCCAGCCTGAGGTCATGGTGCACTAAAAGCTTGCTGTCACCGTGCATTTGACACGTTCCTCTTCCCCCTTCCCTTCCTCTTCTCTCTCCATGCTCTTTGATGACCGTCAGTATGCTATGTTTATGACACCTTGACCAACTCTTCTTTACTCTTATGCTCTCATTTATTATCTCACCATACTCTTGATTCAACGTTGGCGTTGAACGGGGTCTACGAAATAGAACTTATCGTGCTTTCTAACGAGATTCGCGTGCGCACCCGATTTCGCTCGTAGCCACTAGCATTGAAGATGTTCCGATAGGCATGTAGGAGGGCTTCCATTTAGCTCGAGGTCGTTGCCATGGTTATTTTCGGAGGTCATGGCCTAGATCTGTGTCTTCACGGCTAGGGAAACGATCAACACCTACTGAATTGGAAGTGGAGTGTCTGTGTCGGGCACTGGTCTATAGGTGCCTGTAGCCCGCTTGATAGGTCTGGTAGTAAAATATATCTATCTACATTGCTTATCCTCAAAAGTGGTGAGCTTGAAACTCGAGGCATGGATTGAGGTAGTGAGGTTATTCAGAGATATATATCATCGTGAAGGGTGTGCATATTCTACATCAAGACAAAAGACCGACCACAGGGGGCAATCTCTAAACAAAAACAAAACACCCCAGAGTAAACACAGCTTCATTTTGAGTAATTCTACACCTTTCCGTGCAGATAAATAGTCCACTTAAGCGAGAACCTAGAACCCAAACTTGGACCCAAGGGCTTTTAAAAGGGTCGGTCAGTCTCATGTACCTAACGACGCAAGGGATAATCCTGACAAGGGTGTCACTGAGATCGACTTACCGCCAAAGACAGCTTTCCGCTTCTGATTCTGGATGTATTTACCCACGTCGGTCGCAAAGTTACTGCTATTCTCCTCTAACCGGTCCATCGAGTCGCCGACAATCCCGAGACGCTCGGTTCGTTCCTGGACTTGGCGGGACATATATGCTAGGTAGCCCTCTTGACCACCTTGGGGTTCTGAGGGTGGTGCACGACCTTCTCGGAGTGCTTGACGGCGTTCTTGCTCGTCGAGTCTCATTTGTTCGATCATTCGCTTTGAGGGTGGGCGATCGGGGCCGCCGACTGTTGTTTGTTGTTAGACGGGGTGATTTGGATATAGTGAGATACATGGGAATCGGGAAGGGTTCACGTACTGAGCAAATCCATGTCTGCTGGTGAGACATATTGAGTGCCAGAGATCCACTGGATGTTAGTAATGGTAGGACGCGCAGGAACCACCTTTTCGGGATCGTAGAGACGATCTTGCGAGGGGTTCCTGTGAGGATCGTTAGTGTTGCCCTGTCTTGTAAACTAAGTGGGAAACGTACAGTTTATGTCCAGATCCCCACACATTGAACATTCCGACCTCGGAAGGACCAACCCACGTCATAACATTACCACTGGGTGTGATATATGCCTCCGAGAGCCGTCGCAGATCCGCGATGTAGTCAATTCTTGAACAACCAATTTCCCTGAGCGCAGGAATCGAGAAAGCCCGAGCGTTTCCATCTCCGAACAGCCCGACCAAGCTGTAGCCGCGGCCTTCAACCTTGACAACAGCGGCTGAATCACAAAGATAGTCGTCCCAGGTTTTGTAGGCACCTTTGGAGGTCGGAGGCTTGAAGATGCGGCAGCTTGAGGGGGTGACTGCAATAACGACACCGTTGGTCTTCGCGCCAGTTCTCAAACCGCCGACAGCGTTGGGAGTAGCGAGAGCCTGGCCACCAGAGTCCGCATCAATGGGAATAAGATTGATGACCTTGTCTTCAACAGCTGAAAAACCAGCAAAAGCGGCAGAATAAGTGCCATTGGATGCTGGGAGGATCTTGAAAGTAGCTACGTTGCCGCGGTTGGTACCAACAAAGCAGCAAATGCTCGAGTAGTCTGTAGTCAAAAAAAGAACAGAATTAGCGGGGGACGCTCAACTATCCGAAATGACAAGCCCATACCTTCTCCTTCCAGAGTCATCACGCCAAACTCGATGCTAGTTGGCCACTCTGCAGGAACTTCCTCTGAACCACGCGTCTTGCGGAAGCTGCTCCGCTTCGAAGCCTTGATAAATTCGGACAGATGCGCAGTGTGAATGATTGCAGGACCGCGCAGGTCAATAATGACCAAGCTACCACCCTCGAATCCAGCTGCAACAAAGCCAACCTGACTGTGCTTCAAAGCCGTCACCGGGCCTTGCTGCATGTTCAAAAGAGTCAACGGAAGCATACCCGTCTTCAAGCCAGGATCCGCCCGGGTGTTAATTGGAGTCAGAGTACCGGGACCCTGGTTGGTACCAGGGGCTTGTTCGTTGCCGTATGATGTGTTGTTACCCCATCTGAAGACAACGACCTCACCACTGCGGAGGCCAACTGATAGCTCGCCAGTCGTGCTAGCAAGGGACATCTCAGTCACCTCCACATTACCAACCCGCCCGACGGCCCGCGCCAGGTCTACCTGAACTACCTCACCATTCTCAATCTCATCGTCATGACCAGCATCCCAGAGACGGATGGTACCATCGGCATGCGCAGTAGAAAGAATGTTCCGGTTCTCAAAACGCTTGAGCGGGTTCTTCGCTTCTGCGCCCCCAAGTACAAATTTAGGTCCTTGGGCGCGGCGCTCTTTCAGGCCTAACCAGGCACTTCGATCAACTGGAGTGAGTGTAACCTTGTTCACGAATGGGTGGACAAAAGACAAGTATGGGTGTATCATGTTGGTCGGCGTAATGGCGTGGCCACTTGGGAAGCTCATTGTGACCAACTCGCCCGAGGAAAGCACAACGATAATTGCAATCGGGTCATGAGCACCGGCGAAATAGGGCGTGGTGCGAGGAACGAGGCAAAAGTCAATGGCATGGGCAGCCGGCGGAATAGGAAGGTTGATATTGCGACGAGTTCTTTCAAAGTACCCTGACAGGACCTGCCAGGATGATGTCGCATAGTTGGGAGTTGGGCCCATATCCAAGAAAGTGAGGCCCTTGTTTGGATCGCCTGCTGGTTTTCCGCCGGCCACTAAAAGACCAGTATCATCGGGGTTATCTTTGGCGCACCACGCAACCTTCGTGATGGGCTCCTTGGGCCCAGTAGGCCCACCCGCTGAGCCAGGCCTGCCCGAAGACCCTGGCTGATCAATATTGGCGGACTGAACAGTCCTGGCATGAAGCTTCCGCCCGTCCTTGGAATCCCAAAGAACAAGACTTGTATCTTCGTGAACCGTCAGAACAAAGATACCGTTCGGATGCCAAATCGCACTGGTTAGTCTAGGTCGGCGCACGCCAGCAGCTGACAACTCGGTATCTCCACCCGGGGCCCCAACTGGAACCTCATAGATAAAGAACTTTTGCGCAATATTTTGCTTGAAGGAAAATGTGACAGCGCCCTCTGGATATCCGATAAGGATCTTGCCGATGTCGCGAGTGGAGAATGCTAATGAAATGACCGGGTTTAGCCGTGATCGGGGGTTGCGTTCCAACCACAAGTTCGGAATTTTGAATGGTGTCAAGGTCTGTCGGTCAAGATCGTATGCAATAGTTTCACCTAATTTGCTGTCAATGGCTAGTCCATGATGATATAAGTGCCGAAACCCAACTAACCATTCGATAAGCCAATGAAGGCGTATTCCAGGCTTGGATCAGTAGCGAGCGCAGTGGGTTGACCCGGCGGCGCATAGGACGTCACCAGACTCTTGGTCTCTAGCGAGAATATACAAATCTCATTCCTGGAGTCCACACTGATGAGCTTGTCGGCGCAGAATTGGAGATACTTTGCCGAGGCCTTGCGCGGGAAGTCAAAGACGACCAAGACGCGCCGTTGCCCAAAGACATAGATCTGCCCACTTCCAAACGAAGTATCACTGGTGCCGACGGCGAGAAGGGATTGGACGGGGTCGTATGCGATCGCACTGATCTGTGAGTTCACTCCGCATCGTGCAAACTGCGAGAAGAATTGCTCTGTCAGTGTTTCAACGATCGCAAAAGAGGATGCCTGGAGCGCCAAGAAACATACGTCGTCGATACCGAACAAGTCCGGGGACAGGCCCTCGGACAGGTCTTTCTGAATACCAGCTTGCTTGCCTCTTAGTAAATGAGCCATTTCCAAGGCAAGTGAGTGGTGGTAGGTATCGTAAGAAGGAAGAGGTGAAAGGGGAAAAAGTGGTGGAGCTGTCTGGCGGAATGTTCAAAGCTGACGACATGGCGGAGAGTCTAAATGGATCTGCCCCGCTCCCGCCCTACCGGCCCTCTCCCCGGCAAGCCCATGCAACCAAATCAGATGCACTAGGCCATTTTCTGATGGAGAGGCCAGGGGCTGAATATTGAGAAAGGCTGTAGTATGTTGATTGATAAATTATCTATATACTTCTTTGGCCTATGACAAAACCACACCCTGTAGTTGCTTCACAATCTAATGATGGTGGTATATATAGGCAGAGAATCCCCCCCCAGAATCACATGCCGAACTATACAGGGCTCCACACCAGAATGGCCTCGTCTGAACAATTTCGGTCCTCAACACTCAACAATTCATGCAAATCGGGCTAATCTATAGATCCGATATTCAAGGGTATCATTTTCTCATATGAACTTCTCGTCTCACACATGCAAACGACGTTCTTCTAATGACCCTCATACAGATTCGATAGCGGCCATGTTGGTAACGGCGACAGTCAGTCGCCTGCGAGCATCAAACTCCTTCGGTTCATCACGGTTTCGATAGTATTGTATGGTGATTTGGCAAACCAATCGGTAGCATGAGTACCTGGCCAGGTGCAGCATGTCAGTAAGATAATGGTTTCATGTACCGGGCCAACGAAGTAATTAGACCAACACCTACATCAAGACTCGAATATTCTCTCTCTTCGTTCTGATCAAGGGCAATCCTGCACCTTCTACCACGGCAAGCGATGGACTCTCAAATATCTCTGCCATCAGCATGTCACCCCAAAAGGCGCTGCTAAAGTCCACCACGCCGGATAGTTGTTTCGATTCCTCATCCAGTAGGACATGTGTCGACCGACCGAATCCAACGACGGTTAGACGGGGCAAAGTAACCTCGTCGAGTGCGGCAGCTAAGCGGACTAGCTCATGGCGAAGCTCTGCGTAGGGTAGATGAATAAACATATCTTCAGCATCCCGGAGCACGCTTTCAAATAACGCACAAAAGGCCTCTCGCCAAGATCGTTTGCCAGCTCCGATGGCTACTTGTTGCAACGAGCCAAACCCGGGAGCCACATTTTGGCCAATAGTGGTAGCCAGAAATCCGAGATGACGGTCAATATCGTTGCGTTCTCGAACGGTCAGTCGGTTTTCCATATCGGCGAGGCTGGACCCCTTCACATACTGCCGTAGTAGAAAGGCCGATCCGAAGAAGCTCCCGCGTGGATCATAGTGATAGAGTTGAGGAATGCAAGGGTTTGCACTTTGGCCCAGAAGAGCTAGAACTCGGGCTTCCGTTTCAAGATAGAAGCGCTCTTGCCGTAGCAGTGGGGTACCGGGATAAGGGGAGCTTTTCAATAATAGACAGAGTCCATTGGAGAGTGTGAGACGGCGTAAAGAATGGACATGACCGGTGATATTCTGCGATCGTTGCACCCAAACGGTAGAAGGGAACAATAATGATAGCACGGCGTCTAATCGTCGGTATTCGGCAGCCGGGGCATCATGATAGAGAGGGGGCATATTAGATCCCTTTAGGGACAGACAGGCAGAGCGAGTTGTCACATCGGAATGATGCATCCTGATATTGTATAGGGTTTGGTGGGAAGCCCGTTCGACGGGAAGAGGATGATAAATAGAACTAGAATCAAGTTCAGGGAAACTATTCATCGTAATCAGGAATCAACGAATGCCGGCCTAGCCCCCCCTTCCTCCGAGGAGATTATTGTTACAAGACACGCAACACATCGATCTCGGGGCTTGTTTGGCACTAGGCGATTCGGCGAGGCTGGCAGGTACGAAAAAAAGGAAATCAAATCAAATTCTACTAAAAAAGACTCCACGGTAGTATCCAAGAGAGGAAGTGCCCTCGCATCCAACGACTGGGGGGCCACTAGACCGCCATCGTTGCATGCCCACGTAACCCTCAAAAAGATCCAGCAAGGAAAGTGGCCACGGGCCCCAAGGCGCGCCATGACATGGACCTACAGACTACAGTAGGTTTTGCTACGCGAGATACGGGGACCGGTGGAGGCATGACCCGAGCTTGTCCCTGAGAGAGATCGTGGTTTGTGTAGTGGGCCACTGGGTCCTAGCTTTTTATGGCTTCATGGTCTCTGGGGCCCTTTTAGATTCATCGCCAAACCTGGACATTGGTCCAGACGGGAATTTGACTCGCGACGTGGTCACAATGATCGTGTCATTGGTAGGCACCAGTGTATGATCGTCGTATTAGCCGAAGATAACGTAAACCGCATGAGTAAGAAAGTCTGTAACAGGCGCTAGAACCTCGAACCTCGGGAGCTAGAAGTGTAAGAAAGTATGACAGAAGATATGAACCACCAATGGAGAAGAACTCAAGCCCAAGGAGGAAGAATGAATGTCAGGGTCAGCGATGCCGCTCTCGCCTAAGGATCCCGCTTGAAGACAACGCGGGCATCCGAGCCCCCGCCCGCGAGCCAATCAAAAGTAACCCTTGCCGAATCTCTTCTCCTCCCGGTGGATCTGCTTTTCCACTTCCCTACTTCAAACACTGGATTGGGAAATAGTTAAACAACGCCAGTGTTGGGCAAAATGCGGACACTAACCGAGAGCTGGAAAACACCTGCAAGCCCTGGGCATGGTTCCCGGGTGTTCCAGATGTTCCATGCGTGGTCCCAGTGTTCCACCGTATCCATTATACATCAATTGTCATCACCCTATTTTCCGGCCTGCATGGCATCATCCAAGATTAGTTTTCGCTTCCGATTGCTGGAAATCCATGGAAGGCGTCAGCCAAATCATCCCCACAAAGCCAATGAACCCTTGACGGTCCCGAGAAATGGTAATGCAAGCCTGGCACGGGCTTTACGAGTGGAGTACAACAAGCGAGAGACCATATTAATATGCGTTGACAATTGGCATCTTTTGTTCATGTGCTGTATTTCTACCCGCGGATGCCTATCCATTGTCCAGGTCTTTCAAGGGCTCTTCATCCCCGGGATCGATCCCGTGTCCTCCGAAGGCTCTGAACCGACTCCATTATTGATCGACAAGCGAGATGAGGCCCGCCTCAGTTCGTGTTCGTGAGGACCCTGAAACTCTTTTGACAAATCTTTGCCGTATTGCGGTGAAAGCCACCTCGGATTCCTTCATCTAGGGGGATGGGAGAGGAGATCTTGTTTTGGTACAGGTTATGATGTTATCGTAGTAGATATGAACAAACACTGGTTTCCGAACGGGAGAGGGATTGTGGCTGCATGAAACTCGTCGAGTCTTGGGAAAGTTGATAGATTGAGGCAGCGGCTCGACCCGCACAATCATTATGCAAGGCTACCGCAAGTAGATATCATCTCGGTTCGTAAGTACGGAGTATTTATTTTCTTTCTCATCCCGGTCTTGAGAGATCCTGCGTCGAAGCGACCACCCTCGGTGGTGATTGGCCTCGTATAGATAGGCCACGACCTGCCTATGACTTGGTCTCTGCAGCCCCTTCCTTGGCTTCTGGCTTCGGAGCTGGATCATAGATCTCGGCCAGATTAAACCGTTTAAGCTGATCATAATCGCTATCCACAACGCTCATTCCAATAATGTTCTACTGCATTGTCAGCGTTCCATTGCAATGACTCGCTAGAGTGTCGGAACTAAATGAACCCACCTGGCAGACATCAACCAGAATCATCTTGTCGTAGTTTTTCAAATTCACGGGATGCTCTTTACCCACGATATCGGCGACGGTCTTGATAATCGTGTCTCGATTGAACTTATTGTTTCCCCGTACTGAAGGCCGAATAGCGTACTGTGAACCAAAACCCACCCCAAGGTGACATCAGCAACGGTTTCTCGACATGTTTCCAATCTTACCCCCCTCATAACCCCATTAAGATGTAGGTTCGGGAGATATGCCTACAACGGTACCTAGTCCGACGCAGGACTAGGGGACTAGAAGGGAACTAAGAGTAATCATCACTTACCTTCTTCGGTGGCCCTCCGGAGTGGAAGTGTGGCTTGAGAATCTCACGAGCAAAGCCTTCTAGATCCACACTAAGAGTCTTTCGGACCTCAGTGACCGGGGTCATGCGCTTAACGTATCGACTCTTTTTCGTCTCCGGATTGGCCTGTGCTTCAGCACATAGACGGTGGACCAGCTCCACAGGATCGACGGTCTTTTCAAGTCGCACAAATATCACTTTTTTCAGGGATTAGCAGGGGGGTCAACGTAGGTTGCTTCGTGAACCGAGCGCCGGTACACGAAGGGCGCCAATTGAACGCACCACAGGGCATTTCTAAGCGAATTGCTTGGAAGGGGCGCTTTTTGTCCTTGTTGGGCTTCAAGCCTGCCAGCTCCTTTTGAATCTGGGCCTCGATATCGCCCTCATCCTTATCCTCGTCGTCATCGACATCATCCCCTTTGAGCTGCCCCGAAGACTCTAGGGCCTGGAGCATGGAAAGAATGTGAATCAGTGGCTGCTTAGCTGACGGTAGATGTCCGATCGAGCACTATTATGCCATGCAGGACGCGCAATCTAGGATGGACTAACCTGGGAGAATATGTCCATTGTCTCTGCGATACACTTTCCTTCTCTGCCCATGTCGCAAGTCACAATTACACCCACATCGCCAGTGTCAATGTTGACTTTGCGTGAGGAGGCCTGCCATGCTGGCTTCCCGCCCTATGCGATCATTCAGCGTCTTGGTTGATCTTCTACTGCCATCTCCAGCAGTGGGTAGAAGCAGGCACTGGGTGGGAACGTACCTTCTGGCGCTTGGCCGACTGATTGGCGTTACCTGGCATACTTCGCTTCTCTCCAGCCATGAGGTTGGAATGAAGAGTCTCGAAGGGTAGTTTTCTCTCCCAAAGATGCAGCAGGCTAATTTTCCGCGATAAACTGATAGGCGGAGGAGTGGGGTGGAAGAGTCCCCGAAGTTGCTTTTGTGTGGTCCCCTGTTCGTGGATCAATCGGGTTTAGCGTGCGGATCGACTCGTGCTGGTCTTTGGGGAAAGCTTATTACATTCTGTTTCACGAGGGCTAACTTAAATGTATAGTTATCAGAATGTTCATTCTTATTAAACTGAATATACAATCAGACCATCCAATCCAACAACACATTCATCACGGTCCACCAACCTCGTGGGACGGTAACGGTCATACAATGCGGTGGTAGTGTGGCATGACATCAACGGTCCAATCATGACGTAGTCCTCGTTGTTCTCAGCATCGTTCAAGCTTATCAGAAGCCCAGAGGCCCATTCTCAGAATGATCCGGCAAGCTGTGTGCCTTGTTTTCCTGTTGCAAGTGTTCCGATTGCTCCGTATCACCTTGATGTAAAAGGTACGCTGCTCACTCCGTCTGGGTTTAAGCTGATCGTCCACCTTTCTCCTCTTCCCTTCTTCCCTCCTTCCCTTAACTCCCCAATCCTTCCTCTCACCATTACCCAGTGCATCATGGCGTCAAACGATATTGCTACGAGGGAGCTGGAGAACCCTATCGACCTCACTGAATACCTGTTTCGGCGTTTGCACGAGGTCGGTATTCGCGCGGTCCACGGTGTTCCCGGTGACTACAATCTCTCGGCACTCGATTACCTCCCTAAGTGCGGCCTCGACTGGGTTGGAAACTGCAACGAGCTCAATGCTGGTATGGAAACGACCGGAAGCTGCCGAGGAAGTCATGTACTCAATTCTAACATGGCCTTCGGTCTTTAGGCTACGCGGCTGATGGCTACGCACGTGTGAAGGGCATCAGTGCTCTGATCACCACCTTTGGTGTCGGAGAACTGTCGGCTCTAAACGCCATCGCAGGCGCATACTCCGAGTTCGTTCCAGTCATCCACATCGTGGGTCAGCCAACCACCCGATCGCAAAAGGATGGGATGCTGCTTCATCACACACTCGGAAACGGCGATTTCAACGTCTTCAACAAGATGAGCGCGGCAATCTCTTGCTATGTTGCCCACCTCAATGACCCTCGTGATGCAGCGACTCTGGTCGATAGTGCAATCCGCGAGTGCTGGATCCGTAGTCGCCCAGTCTACGTGACTCTCCCCACCGATATGATTGCCGCCAAGGTCAACGGAGATCGCCTGAAGAAATCCATTGACCTGTCTCTGCCCAAGAACGACCCCGAGAAGGAGGATTATGTAGTCGACGTGGTCCTTAAGTCTCTCCACGCGGCTAAGAACCCGGTTATCTTGGTTGATGCTTGTACTATCCGTCACCGTGCCCTGGAAGAGGTACAGCAGCTGGTTGAGGCTTCTGGCCTTCCTACTTTTGTCGCACCCATGGGCAAGGGTGCAGTCAATGAGTCCCTCAAGAATTTCGGCGGCGTCTATGCTGGAAATGGCTCTAACCCCGGCGTCAGGGAGGTGGTCGAGTCTTCAGACCTCATTTTGAGCATTGGCGCCATCAAGTCCGACTTTAACACAACGGGATTCACCTATCGCATTGGCCAGTTGAACACGATCGACTTCCACAGCAACTATGTGCGCGTGCGGTATTCCGAGTACCCGGATGTCAATATGAAAGGCGTTCTTCGCAAGGTCGTTGAGCGCATGGGCAAGCTGAACCTCTCTCCTATTCCACAAATCCACAACAAGGTTCCCGTGAGCGAGCAGAATTCAAGCCAGACCATCAACCATGCCTGGCTGTGGCCAACCGTTGGCCAGTGGCTCAAGGAGAAGGATATTGTCATCACGGAGACAGGTACTGCCAACTTTGGCATCTGGGACACTCGGTTCCCCGCCCATGTCACGGCAATTAGTCAGGTGCTTTGGGGAAGTATTGGATATTCAATGGGTGCTTGCCAGGGCGCCGCGCTGGCCGCGAAGGAACAGAACAACCGCCGTACCATCCTGTTCATCGGAGATGGAAGCACCCAATTGACGGTTCAGGAACTCAGCACGATGCTTCGGAATAAGCTAAATCCTATCGTGTAAGTGCAAGTCTATGAAACAAACTCGAGGTCGCGCGATCGCCTTCCGCAAATACTGATGACAAGCCTTGTCCAGATTCGTCATTTGCAACGAAGGTTACACTATTGAGCGATACATCCATGGATGGGAGGAGCGCTACAACGACATCCAGCCCTGGGATTATGCCGACATTCCCAAGGTTTTCGGAGCCCAGGATGGGTACAAGAGCTACCGCATCAAGACCAGAGACGAGTTGAAGAACTTGTTCGCCGATAAAGGGTTCAGCAACCCAAGCAGTCTTCAGGTAAGTTGTATTTGCGGGTCGAATTGTTTCACCGACGAAAGCCCGAGAAAGGCTAACCGTTTGAATAGCTGGTTGAGTTGTACATGCCTCGCGACGATGCTCCCGCTGCCTTGAAGCTGACCGCCGAGGCCGCGGCCGCGCGCAACAAATAAGCGACCTAGTGTTACGAAGTAGCATCTGTCGATGAAGCGAGTCGCTACTGAGTTATGATGAATTCTCTCCTATGTCGTTTGATGTATTGTCCCGGCATTGCATATCACCCAGCTGCACTGTTATCTCCTCAGGAATTTGCTTCAAACGGGTCTGTGCATGCATGCGTACAACTCTCCTTGCGGTTGGGATCATGATTTACGTCCCCGTAGTCATTTTAATCCAATATTCTCATCTCCATTCCATCGAAAAGCCAGTCGCACAGTATTCTCCGAGTCTAGATCGTTGTATTTCCCGTAAGAACACTGGTGGAGCTCGAGGTGGTATTGGGCACTAGACCGAGGATACAAAGTGAATCAGTTGATCAGCTAGCGCAGTATAGAGTACCACGACCCATCAATACTTCGTACAGTGCACGGAGCGGTTCCGGTCATATTGGCGTTCTGACCGCTAGACGCTTCTTGGCCACTTTGGCAGTGTAATCGCCGCCACACGGAGACTGGTCGATTGTTGGCGGTTTCATACTAAGCAAAAACGGGGCCAGGGCTACCAGTGCGAATATGACCTCGGCTGGAGCTAACCAGGTATCGAGCAGGGGGTCGAATCCCTAGCTGGCGCCTAGTAGACAGCCAGGGGGAAACATGATAGCCTCGTAAACACTCCTGCGGATTGATTGTCAACCACATCGGTTTTATGTGTAGCTTCTCCCAGGCTAGACCATAACCAGCTCGCTCTTGACTCCTTGGTCGCTGTGTACTTTGGACTTAATCCAAAATACCAAAAAACCCGCGACTCCACCCTTCAACTGCGGGCCCCACGTGACGATCCCAGGCGTCCCAATCTTGAGGCATCATAGCTCTTCTCGAGTCCCTTTGTCTCCCAAACAATATCTTTCTCTCCTTGGATTTTTGCTTTGGTAAGTGACATGTATGCGTGCGTGTATGCGTCCATTCCTTCGGGATGAGTTCTCCGACGCAAGGAGCTCGTGGTTGGAATGCGCTGCCATCGCTTAACTTGCTCCGAGTTTACGATCGGAGGGGATCGCCCTCGCCGTTTCTTGTCTTCAGATTTGCTGACGATAAGGCCTTTTCGAGCAGCACCGGAACCCAGCACTCTTCTAGCTGGGCTTTACTTCGGTCGCGCACCCTCGGCATATCCTTTGACCTCGCGACTCGAGTCCTGGCGTTTAATAACAGCCAGGGCTTCGCCGATAGCTTCGGAGACGCCGATACCGATCATGTCGACGAAAGGCCTCGCGACCTGATACCTTAAAACCAATGTGATGCGGAGACACTGGCGACAATTCCCTGAGACTCCTATTCTTCAACGGTGGCCTAGCGCTCGCTGATCAAGATCACGCGCTCGGTGGACATAGTTCACCATGGACGGTCAACGACAATACATCCCGGGACCACCACCCACGCAGCATCCCATTAACCTACCTCCGCCTCCTCCACGACACCCCCACCAACACCAGCCAGTTCAGCTTCAAACCGGGGTACCGCCACCACCCCCTGGGCCCCCTCCAGGGACAGGGTACGGAGCACCCACCGGATGGCAACAAAGCTGGGGTAGGCAGGCCCTGCCTGCTGGCTTTCCCCCTCCACCCCCTCCGCCGCTGCCACAGAATCAACATATCGCAGCATACCGTCCACCTGCTCCGCTCTCGATCGTGCCCCCGCATGACAAGCAGCCGCTCACTTCGGCAACCTATATACCCGGAAACGACACCATTGGTGTCGGCATCCCGCCCTTGTTCGAGACTAATGGGCAACCGTATGATCCCTACACTCAACAACGGCAGGCAAGTAGCCAGACATATCATCCTGGCACTGATGGGACCTATAACCCGCAGACTCCAGGGACACGGGTCACTCCTCCGTTCGCCCTACACAACAATGTCCATGAGTTGGTGACCAACGACAATCCGTCGCAAAACTCAATTCCTCAAAACATGGATCTCACCAAATCGCCGAGCCATCGGCATCAGATTAGCGGTGCATCATTAGGTGGAATGTCCCCTAGCGAGGCTGCCGTTCAATGGCCGCTCGATCGAGTTCTTCTTTGGCTTGCGAGAAACGGATTTTCCAAAGATTGGCAAGAAACTTTCAAGTCTTTAGAGCTACAGGGGGCTGACTTCCTTGAGCTTGGCTTGGCATCTGGTGGACGTGGAAATCTTGGAAAAATCCACAAAGTTGTGTATCCCCAGTTGGCTAAGGAATGTGCTCGAAGCGGCACCGGATGGGATTCGACCAGGGAGCGAGAGGAGGGCCTGCGCATGCGCAAGCTGATCCGCCAGATTCATGATAACGAATCGGATTCCTCAATTTCAACACCGATGCGCGCAGAGCCACCGGCTTGGGCTAGTACATCGGCTGAAAGTGGAACTGGATTCCATTCAGGTCAATTGACTGAGCCTCGTTCGGCTGGTCCGACGCCCGGTGTCAATGATATCACCCCAGAACAACTAGCAAGCTCTCAAACTGCGGCTAATGCCCAAAAGCCGCCGCAAATGCGCTCTGTTACCTTGCCAATTCCCTCGGGTCATGATTCGCCAATGTATGAATCTCCCTCGCGTGAATCTCCCTCTTGGCTACGCTCTGATTATTCCAGAAGCGCCCTTGCGACAGCCAATGACCATAGACGACAAAGCCCCTCTGTTTCCAGCGAGAACGGTGCTCTACCGCCATCATTACGTGCTCAGGATAGCCCAAAGAGTGGCAGTCCGGCTACCCAATATGTGACTCCTTCATACGCAGGGTTAACATCTTCGTCGACCGGAGATTTGACGTTGAAGTATGAGCATTCTCGGGTAAATAGCACAGAGTCCATCCCGGGTGCCGGAAGGGGCTCTGCCACGATGGGCCGGTACTACGACAGCCGCAGACAAGGCCAAGACATTACTCGTCCATCGCCCCAGGATGCAAGCAAGCCATTTGGTGGAGAAACGTCGTCATCTTATTCTAGAGACCATGGCAAAAGCATTTTGAATCTGTTCACAAGGAAAAAGGGCCACAAGACTGACATTTCAAGTCATCCGTCCCCAGACGATCTGGAGTCTCCTCCAAGTCCCGAGGCTCGCGCGAACGGCTATCTCCCGTATCAGCCTGCCTTCAATTCAAGTGACATGTCCTTGGGCGAGCGTCCATCCTCGGCTACCACGGTCAAGACAAAGAAGTGGATCTTTGCGACCATGGATGGTGTCAACTATCGCTTGATTGATGTTTCTGATTGGGACTCTGTGGAGGCCCTGCGCGCTGGGATCTGCCAGAACTTGGGGATCTCCGATTGGAGCAGTGCCCAGATTTTCCTCACACAGCCCGGACAGAGTGAGCACGAGGATCCCATGAGTGATTCCATCTTAGCAGTTAGCCGCAGAACCAAATCCGACCCGTATGGCTCTCTGAAGGTGTTTGTGAAGGGCGCCCCTACTCATGTCCCAGTGAACCATCTTCCCCGGTTCGACGGTCTTGGGGTTTCCATCCCCACTGATAAAGCAGCTCAATCTCCCACGGCGGCTCATGCTCCCATCCATCGGAAACCGCTTGAGGAAGGAGCTTTAAATAGACTGTCACCGCAAGCTCAGACTAAGCCCAACCCCGACATTCTAGGGTCCCGACAGAATACACTGAAGGCCTCAACGGGAAAGACGTTGCCAGATGGTTCCCCAGACCCAAGCCAGACACTGGATGCTGAAAAGTCGGATCTGCTTGCACGCCATGAGGCACACATGCGCGAGGTTGAGCGTAAGCAAAAGGAACATCGTATTTCTCGAGTCCCGCCGCCCATGACGCAGCAGCCGCGGAAGGATACATACGGAGAAACTGGGTACAGGCGTGAAGGTGTGATTGATTTCGATTCGCCGCGCATCTCGCCGTACGAAGAGAAGAAATCTGAAAAGGCTGACACCCTGGTGCCTCTACGAAAACCACCAGTCGCGCCGATTGAATCCAACACTCTTACCAAGGTCAACTCGCTGAGAAAGGCTCCTGGTGAGCGAGCGGATCGTCACCGACCCCAGCCACAGTCTGCAGGGCAGACTCACGGTCTTGGAGCTGTGTTGGCAAGCGTTGGTCGAATGACCAGTGCCATTGGCACTCCATCTCCTTCAGTCCCGGTTCCTTCGACACCTTCATCCAACAATCCAGGCAGTGCCGGTTCTGACTCAGACCGGCCGAATACGATGGATTCTGTGGCAACCGCCTCAAGCCGAACGACCCTAGGTAAGGCACATTATCGCGACGAAGTTCAAAAAGCTTCACTATTTGAGACCATCAGTGCTGACGTGCTGGCCAATCTAGATTCCGGGAAGACTGCCCCCAGCTTTGCCTCGGAGCAAGTTCAACGGTCCCCCTCCTCGTTCGCTTCTCGCTCTGCCACAAATACATCTTCTCCTCAAAGCTCAATCTCACAGAAGCCGACGTTGCAGTCTCGCAAGTCATTCGGTCCCGAGTTTGACTTTGAAGAGTCCCAAGTGTCCTTCTTACGAAGCCCGGAACAGTCGACGGGACAACCTGATGACGACGATGATGATTCTTCTGACGATGGACTCTTCGCAATTCGACCTTCAAGAAATGAGCCCCAGAAGTCTGAGCCAGAGCCCGAAAAGAGACGCAAGCCGTCTCTCAGCCTAGATACAGACAATGCCAAGCCCCGTCGGGTTGTTAGCTTCATCTCCCCCAATACTACTTCTGGGAAGAGCTTTGCTACTCCGGCAGGAGATACTTCTGGTGGTGACACTTCCGAGTCGCCAGAGAAGTTCTCGGGCACCTTCTATGGAGCGGACTCCTCAGATGACGAACAGCCCCCGCGGAGAGATTCGTTTGCCAATGGAGACGTCTGGGCTAGCAGACCTGCTGTGGAGGGCGTTATCGATAACCTCGATAGCTTCTTCCCGGATGTCGACCTCGATGCTCCTTACCTAGAGGAGCCTCCATCCCCGAGTCACAGCAAAACTGACATTGATGGCGGAGCAACCATCAGAGGCAAGCAGGAAGCTTCGCCTGCGCTGCAGCCCGTTGTCGATTTAAGCACTTTCAATCCAGACATATCGACAATGCGTCCCCCGCCGCCCCCACAAGGTGCATCGATCGTTGCCAGACGTAACGTGGACCGCAGTGGTGGCTTGTCACGGAAGAAGTCAATTCGTGAAGTGGCAAGAGGTGCTGCACACAGAACTAAGAGTATTGGGTCCGCCGGGCCTCAACAGTCGAGCAACCTGCTTCGCCGGAAGAGTACGAAGATGTTCGGTGCCAAGATCATGCAAATCAGCCCCAAGCCCGGCACTAGACTCAGCCAACTTGATCCTATCCCTCAAAACGCCCCGGCTCCAGGACCGAGCGGGTCTGTCCCACAACGCCAGCCCACGTTCCGCATCATCCGTGGTCAACTTATTGGAAAGGGAACCTACGGTCGTGTGTATCTGGGCATGAACGCAGACAATGGTGAGGTCTTGGCTGTGAAACAAGTTGAGATCAATGCCAGGCTCGCAGGAACCGACCGAGATCGTATCAAGGAGATGGTGGCTGCTTTGGATCAGGAGATTGACACGATGCAGCATCTCGAGCACCCCAATATCGTACAATACCTGGGTTGTGAACGAGGCGAATTGTCAATCTCCATCTACCTGGAGTATATTTCTGGTGGTTCCGTTGGAAGTTGTCTTCGGAAGCATGGCAAATTTGAAGAGAGTGTTGTGAGATCTTTGACACGGCAAACGCTCGATGGTCTTGCCTATTTGCATGATATGGGTATTCTTCACCGTGATCTCAAGGCGGATAACATCTTGCTTGACCTTGATGGTACTTGCAAGATCTCCGACTTTGGTATCTCGAAGAAGACCGACGACATCTACGGCAACGACTCGACCAATTCCATGCAGGGCTCAGTCTTCTGGATGGCACCGGAGGTCATTCAGTCGCAGGGCCAGGGATATAGTGCCAAGGTTGACATTTGGTCACTTGGCTGCGTGGTATTGGAGATGTTTGCAGGTCGTCGACCGTGGAGCAAGGAAGAGGCTATTGGTGCTATCTTCAAGCTGGGCAGTCTCAATCAGGCCCCGCCCATTCCCGACGATGTGTCCATGAACATCAGTCCTGCAGCGCTTGCTTTTATGTACGACTGCTTTACTGTGTAAGTTCAGCTACTCTCTGGAACTCAAAGTGTCGGTACAGTTACTAACCTCTCAAACAGGGATTCATCTGAACGTCCCACTGCTGGCACTCTACTTACCCGCCACCCCTTCTGCGAGCCAGACCCCAAGTACAATTTCCTGGATACGGAGCTATATGCCAAGATCCGTCATGTTTTGTGAGAGGGTTCTAGTCTCCCAACAGGCTTGTGAACATAATGCTGCGCATATTTTTTTAGGCCTGTGGAGTTTATCAGCATGCTGTTCTTTCTTGTTCAGGCATCGTATACACATACCATTTTCCAAGTTTCTGTTATCGTTCAAGCGAGAATTCGTCAAGCTAAACTGGGTTTACTCGGTGTTTGTGAGCCGGTTTATTCTGGTACATATCATCATTCCCGCAGATACCTACCTAATGACTATGCATTGCGTTGTTTTATAGGAAGGAAATTACAAAGCATGTGTCCCTTTCGTCTTCTCCGCCATCATATGCGCATTCTTCACACTTTGTAGAACGACATGCTTATCCTCAAGTCCAACGGAAACCCGCACAATCGTCTCCCTCAAGCCATGGCTGGCTGCCCATTTCTTTTCTTTCTGCAGAACCATCTGCACATATGGCTGGGCCAATGTGATATTTGCACCTAGCGATGGGCCCTTCCGTACGTCCAGGCTATCGAAAAATGCCCTGGATGCGTCAATCGTATCAAAGTCGACTGTGAAGAGGCACCCGTACCCCGGCGTGAATTCGTCGGTTGCCTGACGCATGCGAGATCTGTAGCGCTGCGTCGACTGGCCTGTTTTGGGGTAATGAACTGCGTTGACTACACTGGACGGATCGGAGGCAAATGGAGATAAGTAGTCAACGATGCATTCGGCAGTATCGTTCATCTTTGCTGCACGTTCTAGAAAGTTACGGCTGTTGCGCTCGAGTTGGATTGCGTCGTCGATGTAGAGGTTGTTGGTGTAGTCTTCCTTCAGACAGGTTTTTAGGGCACCGTAGTAGCAATAATTGGGGTTTAAGGTGACGCTGTTTTCATCGTGTTAGTTCGAGTCACAGCATCTGCAATGTTCATGGGGGCTCGTACCTTCCAGCCAATAAATCGGCATAGCCATTAAATGACTTGCTCAACGAGGTGACCACAATATCCGCCACGCCCAACACATCAACATTGGCAAAGCTGCCGATGGTTTCGTCAACGACGAGGACAAACCCATATTTGTCTGCGAGCTTTCGGATTCTCTCCAGGTCAACTGTGTATAGTAATGGGTTTGAAGGACATTCACACCAGACTGCTTGGATCATAGAGCCAGAGCGGGCCTTGGTATCGAGGTATATCTCAAACTCGTCGATCTGCTCATCAGTACCCAGGCTGTAAAACTTGAAAGACGGGCCATATGTCTCCACCATCTTAATGGTAAGTTCATAAGGGAATCCGATGACAACGGTCTCAAGACCTCTCCATTTGAGAAGCATCTGTTGCACATGGTAGATTGCTGACATCCCTGATGGATAAAGAAAGACGTCCGATGGCCTCACAGCTAGACTTCGAGGCGTTCCAGTCGAGGCTCGTTCCATTAGGTATGCGATACGAGCGCATATAGTTTGGTATACCGGATGAACGGCGGACATTGCAGAGTAGAATCGTTTCACGGGTCGATCAACTCGTTGCATGGACTCGACATCTCGAAGACAATTCTCGGCGAGACGAGAAGATATGCCCGTGCCTGTGAGTCGCCAAAATTGAGCCCCCACTTTGGCTGATTCTTCTGGAAATGCGATGGCCCAGATAGTTGTTGGGCCTGGAGGTTTGCCAGCATGCATGATGGTTGGTTGAGACTCGCCGGTCTCTATAGCGAAGATTGATACCGACTTTGATGAGATGGCTTCATTTTTATGAATATCGGATGAAATGATGTAACTTTTGCATGCCTGTGCGCTTTTTGGGTCGGGAAATAGAAGAATCTTTCCAGGAGAGGAAAGGAACCGGCTCTGGCATGCTCGAGATAGCTAGATACTAGTCAGTACTGGTCACCCTCATTGTAAATAAAAAGTCGCCCGTAGAGTACCTCTTGAACATCTTTGTGAATAAAAGTGCGCGGATATCCATTTCGAAGGGCTTCCATGATTTGGATGTCTCCTCGTCCCATACCGCACATGTCACTCCATGTTGGTATTTGCACTGATATCGCGTGAGGCTTTTCGGGAATGGCCTTCCCCAAAGGTAGCGATATGGTGGCAATGGTCATGGTAAGATAGATTTGTTATAGTGCAAAATTAAAAATTAGTCTGGTTAATACTAGGATCTATAGAAAAGATGGGTAATTATATTGATGATGCACCGTACGAAAGCGGAAAATCGCAGATCGAGGACAGCATTCCAACCTGTCAATCACTGCCTGACACAGCCACCACGAAGCCATAACATGAGCCCCAAGACAATCAATCTTCCATGCAATACTAAGGCTCTGATTTTCCCTGCTTTGAGTAGAAAGGATGATCGCCTTCGTTCTCGGAAACATCATCCTTGGTGATTGTGTTGATCGACGTCATCTTTCCTCCACACTACGTGAAGCTGCCTATGTAGGCAGATAAAATGATAATTACCCCTTGTATCTGGCATTCTGCTTCCTGCATTCTCCTAATCACCCCTCAAGAACGATACTGAATATGGTAAGTAGCCCGCTGACGCCTCGTCGACGAATCTGCTCGCCTGCTTAGAGCTACTGGGGCTAAGATCGATTTATGGTGTTATACTAACGTGTTAGTTAGGCGAAACAGTTTCATAAAGGACATGACATCGCATCCTTCACATGGGTTCGGATCTTTTACACAATTTACTACAAAGAAAGTCCCCCAGCTGTGACGAATCCAAGTTCGGATCAGATCATGTTTGATTCACATATATACAAAATAGCACTATTCCACATGGTATCTGGGCTCAAGATGCAAACTTCAAATAAGGACAAGAGGAAAACATGACATCTAGGAGCGGTCGCTCAGTAGATCGTCGTCATCCTCGGCGAGGTCGTCTACCTGCTCAGATCGCAGACCCGCGACGCCGACTCGGAAAATACCCTCGCACCACACGGCAAAGGTTTCCACATCCCAAACAGCATCATCCCGACCCTTGCCAAGTTTATTGATGGCATTGCCCTTTCCTTTCTCGGATGAGGTGTATTTATCGAAGAAGTCCTCGTATATCTGGATTGTGCGATCTTGTACTGCACCAACGAGAGTTTCCTTCATTCGTGTGTCGTCAATGTACTCATTGAGGATCTTGCGTAGCGCAGGTACTTCCTTCTCGATAGTGCGACAGGAGGGATGAACGAGTTCCCCGTACTGTAGGTTACGGGTATCGATAAACTTCGTGGGAAGCGAAGCTGTCATGCGAGAGGCGAAAGCATTGATAAAGTCGTTGATGACGGTTCTGAGACGGCCGTCTAGTTCGACTTTGGCGTCAAGCATGTTTTCTACCACGCGTGGAAGAAGTCCGTGACCAACAAGGCGCATCAGGTTGCGCGGGTTGAAGAGACCCCCTCGCTCACGGAGTTCCCAGAATGTGCTTGTCACACCTGAGAAATCAAATGAAACTTCAGGCGCCACATATTCGATGTCAAAGGCAACGATCTGCTGCTTCAGGATGAGAAGATGGCTCATTAGGAAAAGTTGGCCATCTGCAGAAGTAGATTTGCCGGATATTATAGTGCTGGCGTTATGAAGAGACAGGGTGGTCTGATGGACGATTTGGTGGGCAAGGTCATCAAAGACAGTGGACTAGAATGGTGGGTCAGTGAGGGCACAAAATCAAGATTCAGATACAAAGCTTACATTTACAAGACGGTAGATCCGACTGAGAAGCCAGATCGCCTTTCGCAATGTCGGATACCATCCCTTAAGTGCAGTCTGAGTCTCAAAGTCCCATTTGCCATCCTGCTCTGATGCAGCAGTGGTTTCATCGCCCCCTTGGGCAGTCTTGGTCATTTCAATCATCGTTTCCGCGGAGGTGTCTTTCTTCCCAGAGATTTGAGTATCCGTCACAGTCAGTGATACTTGTTTGCTGTGCATGGGATAGTCAACGTCATCTGGGCGGGGTTTATATCTTTCGATTTCGTCACGAAGCACCGCCTGGGCGCGGAAGACCAGCCGGGTCTGAACATCTTGCAAAGCAGGCTGGATCAGAATGGAAAAGTCGAGTTGGTTCGCATCGGTCTGCTCGGGTTCTTCTTCGGGGTCCAGGAAGTAACGTGTCTGTAGGAGTGTGCAGAGTTGACAGAGATTGCGAATATCGGTCTCGTGGATGATTCGAGGGCGGAGATGATCGTAGAGTGGCTCGCAAATGGTCTCGAGGAAATCGTATAACCCTACTTGGCCATGGAACCATTCACCCCACAAGTCACATTCGTCCAAGCACAGCCCACGGATGTAGCTGATACTCGCTCGAGCAAATGCGACTAGATCCTTTGATGAACTGGGTGTTTGCGTGATTTCGTTGAGTTTCTTGCGAGCTAGCGGTACAATGAGTCGCACGCGAGTCGCGGCATAATTGCTGTGCAATTCGTTCATCAAGCTCTGGTATTCTGCTTCGTTGTTCTGGTCTGGATTCAACGGTGGGACGGCTCTCTTTTGGATTTCCACTCCGATTTGTTTCAGCTCTGGGGCGCCAACTCTGAACTTGGCATAGAGAAGGGCTGACAAAGCTGTGTCGTTCAGTGATTGATCTGATATCTTTTTCGAAACACTTTGGTAGATCTCCCGAAGGGACGATACGAAATTGCCTCGGATAAGCGTGAGAGCGCGGGTTAATAGCAACCGGTATCTGGACCGATAAACCTCCGCCTCCTTTTGCTCGGGCTATGAATGGCGTTAATAAGGTGGAATATAATTGTAGAAGTCCGACAAAACTCACGTGCGTTTCCATGTAGTCCAAACAAACGTCGAGGCGGCGAAGCATGTCCGAGAATTCCTCGTCGCGCACCGTATTTCCGGCACCAGGGGCATTGAGCCGCCGTGAGGCAGGATCTAAGAACTCATAATAGTGCAGATTTGTCTGAATACCATTTGCAAGCTTCGTATCCCGCTCCTGGGCAGCCAGGAGACCCTCGCATTGTTTCTCGAAATTGGATGTTTGCGACTCGACGGAATTGAACTCTTTGGCCAGATGTGAAAGAGAGTCGAGGAGGGTCAAGGTGTTCGTCAAGATGTCATCGATGTGCTCGCGTGATTGTCGCAGATCATCCAAGCAGTTTCTAGAACAGATTTACGGATCACATTAGCTATACACCCAACATGCCACCCCGCGTTGATCGGACATACTGGTATTGGTCATAGCTTTCCTCAATCAGGTCATCCTTCATGCTATTGAGCCACTCGGATAATTCGAGCTCATTGCCGCATTTAGGAATGCTGGACTGAAGCGTATCTGGATGTTCCACTGGTGGTTCGAGGCTCGGCCGGGTTTCATTGGCGGTTGGCTTCCGCGGAGGACCAGATGGTGCGGTCTGGCGGCGTGCTCGCTGTTGCTTGATGGACGCCATGTTCAATTAGAGACCTGTGTAGTACTGTGTTGCCAGTTTCTTTCTCATGACTCGCACAAAGAGAAGGGGACGAGGCGAGCAGGAGTTTGGTGTGAACTTGAGGCCAAAAGCGCGATGTGTTAACTGCCGTGGCTTATTCTGCCGCACAATCCCGCCCGATACTGACGTATTGAACTGGAGCTTCCCCGACCTCCTCTCAAAAGCTCACATGCACTGACGAAATCTTTGGAAATTTCATCTACCATAATGGCATCGCGAGTGCGGGGCTCTGCGTCCTCATCTGCGCGCCTCCTTCTCCGCCCTACTGCCGTCCCAACTCGCTTGCGCCTTCAGACACCATGGCGCAGACTAGCAAGCAATAACTCGCGGAAGTCTGGTACCTCTCCCAACTGGATTGTCAACTCCCTTGGGGTGGCAGTCGCTGGTACTGCGGCATACCTTGGCTACTCCTACGTGAATGGCGACTTTAAGGGCGCGTGGATCGAGAGTCAAACCGCACCAGAGAAGCAGGTCATCAATGTCAACGACCTCCGGGCCGAGTTTATCCAGGAAAAACGAAGCTTAAAGAGCCCGGCTGTTTACACCTGGGGCTCAAATATCTACAAGGTTGTGGATCCAGGATCGAAGGACACCGATATCAAGACTCCTCGGCGTTTCAAATACTTCAACGGCCAGGTTCTGCGGGATTTCAAAGTGGACGAAAAGTGCGGTGCTGCGATCACCGAAGATGGCGATCTCATCCAGTGGGGCAAAGGATTCTCGGAGACAGAGTACAAACCAAGCAAGACTCTGACTGGGAAGAATCTGAAATCGCTCGCTCTTTCGGAAAACCGCATCATCGCGCTATCCTCAGACGGTAGCGTCTACTCTCTTCCCATCTCAAAGGATGAGCAGAAAACTGGTCCCAAGCCGCGGGAGAGCTCTTGGGTGCCCTTCTGGGGTAGCCAGTCTGGACTGAGCTATCGTATCCTGAACCCAGCTTTGGGACTTGGTGAAAGGGTTACCTCCATTTCGGCCGGCCAGGAGCATGTTGTGCTTCTGACCAGCTCTGGCCGTGTCTTTACGGCTGCCGCATCCACCGAGCACTATCCATCACTTGGCCAGCTCGGTGTACCCGGATTGACTTGGTCTACCCGTCCTAAAGGTCCCGTCGATATATGCCATGAAGTAACGACATCCATCGGCTCTAAAGTCACTCAGATTAGCACAGGTGACTATCACTCGCTTGCGTTGACCAAGGACGGCCGCGTGTTTGCATGGGGTGATAACTCCTTTGGTCAATTGGGTGTGGACTATGAGCCCGAACTGCCCTACAAAGACACACCCTTAGCCCTTCCTTTGCAAAAGCTCTATCGTCGAGGTTTGTACACAGTACAAGCCACCAAAATCGCAGCTGGTGGTGCGGGGAGCTTCTTCATGGTTGATGCAAAACGAACTCTGGGCCCCGATGAGGAACCCAAGGCTGTTCGTGACTTGGGCAATGTGACTGCCGATACTTGGTCTTGCGGTAGGGGTATCTGGGGCACATTGGGCACGGGCAGGTGGGTTCACTTACAGGATTCGCCTATCAAGGTGAAGGACTTGAGTGGACTGGCCGAGTATGATGAAACTAAGAACAAAACATCGCCAATCCGCATTCGCAATATGTCAGTCGGCACAACCCACGTTGCTGCAGTGATGGACAACAAAACTACTGTCAGTTCGAAACCTACAGATTCTCTGGATAAGTCACGCGACTTTGGCCTTGACGTGCTCTTCTGGGGAGGCAACGAGCATTTCCAGCTGGGCACTGGAAAGCGAACCAATTTGCCCCGACCAAGCTATATCAAGGCGGCCTCCGAGTCTACAAAGAAGGATGAGCCAGAAGCACGGTTGCAAATCATGCCTCAGCACAAGGGCAAGGTTGGCAAGCGCTCGGTGAAGATGGAGCAGCGAGTCGAATGCGGACGCCATGTTTCTGCGATCTACTCGTCGACAGTCTAAGACGCGACCACATAAAAGCACTGTACATTATCCATGTATTTATATTAAATTAGTGCAAATTAATGACCCTCCCAATTCCTCAACTGTGATAAACATACCATGCCACTTCCATTTCGGGCTTGGCGCCATGTGGAGTCACGCCAAGCTAAGTGTATCATCTGCATTCGCGTCAGCCTTGAGGTTGGCTTGTTCTCAATCACCCCCTATAATCAAACCAAACAACTCCCACCAACTATGCTGCAGGGGGAATAAATATTGATATTTCAAACCCTCGGCTTTTTACATTCAAAATGGCCGCGCAATCGTTCCCTAGCCCCTACGATTACATCCAGGGACTACGAGGAGTTAACAGCACCTTTCTCACGGAACAGCATGTTCCTGGTGCCGATCTCACAGGCAAATGGATCATCATATCAGGTTCTAATCATGGCGTCGGCTTTGAAGCGGCGAAATCTCTTGCAGCAATGGGCGCAAATATGATTCTGGCCTGTCGTGAGCCCCCAGCGTGGGAACTTCATCCGACCACGGCTGTGAAACAATGCCAGGCTCTCTCCGAGGCGCAGGGCCATTCGTCAACTATTGAATGGTGGGAAGTTGACATGGCAGATCTCGACAGTGTCGAGGCTTTGAGTCGAAGGTGGATAGAATGCGACCGCGCCTTGGATATACTTTGCAACAATGCTGGACTTGTCTCTGAATCGCAGAGCAGCATGACGAAGGACGGCTTTCAGTTGGTCCATCAAGTCTGTTTCCAACATTTTGAGAGCTAGGAGCTACAATCTGTCTTCTTTATAGCAACTGACTGATTCTGCAGGTCAATTTTCTATCCCACGTTCTGTTGACGCTTCGTCTACTTCCATCCTTGGCTCGTAGTGCAGAGCCTCGAATTATCTGTACAACTTCATGCATCCACCATCTCGGACTCTTTGACATTGACCATTTCAATGGTGGGCCGAATATGAAAGGCAACGATTATAAGAACAACAAACTCTACTACCAGACGTGGGTTACAGAGCTGCAATCTCGATTTCTCAAACATCCAGAGTATCTCCACATCACAGTCAATGGTGTCAACCCCGGATTTGTTGCGTCAGGGATCTGGAAGCCCCTAATAGCCACCGAGAATATTCCTACCAGGATTCTAAATCTCCTCTTGCGATTCGTCGCGATTACACCGCAGCAAGGGAGCTTGGCCATCACCCATGCAGCCACCTGTCCGGAGTTCGGACCAGATCCCCAGAAGCAAGGTGTCGGTCATCCAAATGGACGGGGTGGAGGTAAATATATCAATCGCATTTGGGAAGCGCCGCCCAAATTCCATTGCAACGATCCGGAGGCTCGATCCAGACTGTGGACCAAACTAGACGAGGAGCTTCATCTTCAAGAAAAGGGGCTTCTCGCGATCCTCGGTCTTTAGCAACATACATAGTATACCCTGTAAATGTTGCAGTGATTTAACCGAGTCCTAATATTCTTATCGCAAATCCAGATTGTGTGCGAGGCAATCGAAATTTTCACCGTGATCATTCACGTTGTGTAAAAGCTACAATGCTTCCCCGTCTTCAGCATAGTTGGTGAATGGGCTCCCAGAAAATGAGGAGCGAATGTAGACTTTAATAAGTCCGATAATCGCAATTGCGTCTTGTAATCGGGGAAAGGAGATCGAAGACCGTGCTTGGCGGCTCAATCTCTGTTAGGATGTATGTTTGGTGCATCAAGACAGGGAGGAATAGGGGATCCAATCAAGGCCCACAGCAGAGCCCACAGCAGAGCCCGGAGCTAGGCCGTACGGATAGAGTGATTGGGCTTCGATTGGGTGGGAAAGGCCAATCAAATTGCACCGAAGGCGCAGTCTGGAAGTTGGGTCTCGCAAGGCTGGTGCCCGGGCGGTTTCCGTCAGCACTAGCAAGGAGCTGACATGAGCTGATCAGCCCTTTATAACTAACGAGCAGCGGAAAACCATGACTTTTTCCACCTTCCAAGCATCTCGAATCCATCTTGAATCCATCTTGAATCCCTCCATACCCACATTAGGCCTGTTCATTCGTCTTGGCTCATGATGGCTAAAAATCTGTTCTTGTTAGAACGTCCCGCTTGTAAGGCTAACAACTAATCCCTGATCCACCTGCTACGCTGACTGAGAACATGACAGACAGATACCAGGGGGAATATTCCCTGTTCAATCATTTTGGCATACAAGCGAATATCATTATCGCTGCCACCTATACCAATACAAAGGATGGAAACATCGTGCTTTCCAAAGACCTCTTATATGCCGCCCTGAAGCAAACTGCTGTAAAATATCCCGAGCTTGGGATAACTTATTACTACCGCGATTCAAAAAAGAAATCTGGGCAACACCGGTGCTGGTCGGCTTTCCGGCAGCTTATCAATCTTGATGAACATGTGAAGTTCATTGATATTCCAGCAGAGGAGGAAGCAACGGGACTGACGGCAACTCTTGAGAGGTACCACGACCTTTATTTTGACCCAGCAGAAAGACCACCATGGCAGCTGGTGGTTGTCAATGGGAAACATATGCTGTTCGTGTATGATCACTACCTCACTGATGGACGCGGTGGTACATACATACTAGAGAGTATCTTGGAAGCCCTCAACTCTCCCGAGCAGGATCTCAATAACTCTCCCAAACAAAGCATCTTCACCCTTCCATTCGTCAAGTTGACAACCGACATCAAGGGGTTTCCCGAGATTGATCCTATCAAACGGGCCCCGGCACCACTTTCTCTCTTTACTGCTATCTTAAATTATCTTCGTTTTGTGATCCTCTCGCTGCTATACAGAAAAAAGGACCTCTTTTTTCATGATGTCATCCATAATGATCGTCCTCTGGACTTCCACAACCCTCAGAGAGAGGACAATCTCGTCAAAACAAGACTTCACACTCTTCGCCTCGATGCCTCTACAATGCAAAAATGCATTCAGGCCTGCCGGTCCCATCAAACTTCGTTCACGAGTCTTCTGCACACCCTCATTAAAGTGACATTGGCAGCGGACTTCTACCCAAATGCCAAGTTCAATCATTCTATGACAGTCGTTGATATCCGACAGTTCCTGAAACCGCACGACAGGGAGCAGACCGTGGAGAATGCGGCTTCCATGGTATCGAGCTTCGACTGGCTATCCAAGTTTCGCCAAGCAGGAGAGCAGACAGCCTCTAAAGAGAACACCAAATTTAATGCGGATCTACTATGGGAGCTAGCACGCAAGCATCGGGCGCATATCCTCAATGACATGAATCACAAAAAGTCTTGCTTGAGCGCTTGGCAGGCGGTCGACCTCATCGGGGAAGATGGAGAAGATTATATTACCGGCTTTATACCCGGGCTGAAGCTTGTTCAGCGTAATTCTTTCTCCGTCTCTAATTTGGGTGCTTTCCGCCCAAATCAATCAGTCGGCGAAGACGGGAGCAGCGAAGATTGGACCATTACCAATATGGAGTTCTCTGCTGGGGCTCTCCAAACTGGATTTGCGACCAATCTGGTGTTCAACGTGGCAGGAGTTCAAGATGGCCCAACAACTATTCATGTCTGCCATGAAGAAGGTGCCTTGAAAGATGATTTTGTCGATTCGGTTCTAGAGCTAGTCAAAATGCGGATGGATGCCATCATCTAGTGGATTGTAGATATCAAAGAATTGTCCACTAAATCGATCGAACTCGAAAACTATATTTGACCTTTGCTTCCGCATTAGCCAGGTAGAATAAACTAGACTACTGCATCAATAGTGACAAGATCGAATAACTTCGACCAGCTAGAAGTTGGACTGTTCGATTACTGTAGTTGGTTGATAGACGATAAGGCGGTTGCAAACCAGACAAACAATCGCCGCGGAGACGCTTGGACCACTGCTTATCCAAAAAATTTCCCAGAGCAGCCTCCAGGCTTTCCCTACTCAATCACCATCGCCATGCCCCGTGAAAAGCAAAAGAGAGGCCGTCGGGCCGAGCAAAAGGCTCAAAAGGAGGAGTCAAAGCGTGAGTACGATGATGCCATCGAGGCACCCTCTGCGAAGCGCATGAAGCCTTCCAATGACGCCGACGAGACCGCCGAACCTTCATTTGCAGAGGGTGCAGACTACATTTCCCTCGACGTTGGAGATGAGCAGCAGAATGTGGAAGAGACTGGCGATGCGGCTAATGGCGATACTCCTTTCTACGGATTGCTCGATACCGACGAGCAAGAATACTTTTCGCGCGCCAACGAGATGCTCGAAGCAAACCAATTCCACGACGCCGAAGAGCGAAACCTGTTTATCGAGAGTGTATACCAGGAGGCCAATGGAAAGGAGTTGAAGATTGCTTGCAGTCAGGGCTGTTCGCGACTCATGGAAAAGTTGATCTCCATGTCAGATGTTAAGCAGATTCGTCGAATCTTTGGCAAATTTATCGGTCACTTCCTTCACCTTGTGCAGCACCGATTTGCGAGTCACTGTTGCGAAACGCTGTTCATCCACGCCGCGCCGGCCGTTATGCAAACGACCCCGAAGGCGCACACCAAAAAATCAGAGGATGGTGAAGACGAGTCAGATCTGTCGCTTGCCGACATGTTCATGAGCGTTATTGAGGAGTTGAAGGACAATTGGGGTTATCTCTTGACCGAGCGATTTGCCTCGCACACAATCCGAGTTCTGTTGCTGGTTCTTGCCGGAGAGCCTGTGGATGTGACATCGAAGGATTCGGTGGTCGCGAGTCGCAAGAAGGAAAGATTGGGTCTCCCAGCTGCCGGCGCGCAAGAAGATAATGATCCTACACAAAAGCGAAGCGTACCGGAGTCTTTCGAGCCTGCGCTGAAGAAGATTATGAGTGACATGGTTTCTGGGCTGGACGACACATATCTTCGGGCTCTGGCTACACAGCCCATTGGAAACCCCGTTCTCCAGGTGATGCTCTTCTTGGAGCTCTCTCACTTTGGCAAGTCTAGCGCCAAAGATCCCAAATCTATTCTTCGTCGACTCGTACCCGATGAGTCGTTCGAGGAGGGCACTGACAGTGCAACTTTCATCCGTGGCCTGCTATACGATCCCGTTGGTTCGCGCCTAGTGGAGACGATGGTACGATACATGCCCGGCAAGGTGTTTAAAAACCTCTACAAGAACAACATTCGCGATCGAATCGGATCTCTGGCTCGAAACAGTACCGCCGGTTACGTTGTTTTGAGAACATTGGAAAGACTTGGAAAGGATGACTTGCAAAGCGCGATGGATCTCATTATCCCTGAAGTACCGGGCCTAATCGAGCGATCCCGTCTTGTTGTCCCCAAGGTGTTGATCGAGCGTTGCGTGATCCGGAGCGTCGACACAAAGCCTTTCGCCAAGGCGCTCCAGGAGGCGTACGATGCGGATCCCACGGTCCGCCTCCGCCAGATGCTTCGACTTGACGAATCCACAGACCAAGCTGCGCAGGAATCGGGGGATGAGGATATGGAAGATGCAGACGAGTGGGATAACAAGCGACGCAAGGCCAAGGCACCGGCTAGTGGCTCATCCACTTCTGCGGCAGAGAAGCTGCACGGCTCTCTCTTGGCCCAAGCAATGCTCACCGTTCCGGGCCCTTTGAGCGAGCTGGTGTACTCCAGTCTTCTTGCGCAGTCATCCGAGACAATCGTTCAGCTTGCAAAGGAAGCCACGTCTTCTCGCGTCCTGCAACAAGCTTTGACTTTGCCCACCTCTACCGCCCAGTTCCGACGACAGTTCATCCCCCGCTTCCAGGGCCATCTCGTCGAACTAGCCCAACACAACAGCGGATCTCACGTTGTGGACGCCCTTTGGCCCGCATCCAAGGATGTGTTCTTCGTTAAGGAGCGCATGGCCCAAGAGCTCGCACAAAACGAAATGACTCTTCGCGATTCTTTCTTGGGCCGTGCTGTATGGCGGAATTGGTCGATGGATCTCTACAAGCGCCGCCGGGGCGAGTGGTCTGCTCGTGCCAAGGGAATTGAGCGAGAGCCCGCGAGCTCTGAGGCCAGTGGAGAACGGCCCAAGTCGAAGTTGGAGTTGGCCCGCGAGCGATATGCTGCTAAAGAGGCCGCCGCTGCCGCTGCGAAGGCTTGAAAAGATTGGCGATGTATATAATACAATTTGATGACCCTGTTTGAACCACATTATATCAAAATTCTGAAAATCACCTAGTCTGGTAGAATCAAGGTCTAAAGATGGCTGCAGGTACAAGGAACTGAGCTTCTCCATCACCTAGAGTCGCTGATAGACTACCTCCAGTCGCCACACTGCTCTTGTTTCCAAGCCAAACGTCCTCTACTGTATACTGCGAGCCCGCCAGGCCAAGCTCTGTCAGAGATACGGAGACATTTCCAGACCCAGTGGTAACAGTAGTATAGTCACCATGGCCAAGGTTTTCGCCCAAGTTCGTCAATAGAACATATGCTTCCCCGGAACCGCTAGGGCCAGAAAGCCAAGCCTGTAGTTGCAGGGCCTGGTTGCTACCCGTTCCTGGGTTACGTGGCTGTAGAGGATAGCTGTTGCAGAATTTTGCGGCAGTCATACCTGCCTTAGACGTGATCAGTTTCCTGCCGAGGTCGTCGATATTAGTCATGTCAGAGCCCAGGAGCAAATTCGAAGAAGCCCCAAGCCAGAAACTCATGAGAGTGATCCGCTGGCCATCTGTAACCCCGCTCACAGAAGCCGGGTTGGCTACGAACAAGTCATCCAGATCTGGACGAAGGCTCATACGTTTCCCCGCAGCAACTTGGTAGTTGATGTACTGGCGGTACTCCTCGATCGTTTGCTGGATCCTCCACATTCCCACGAACACGGATGCCACATAGCTATTGATATCAACGGCTAACCGAATACTCTCTGCGTTGGCCGTCCAAATCCCAAGATAGGGCTCGTGGCGACAAACATTGGAGGAGAGGTCAAGTCGGATTGCCCGACCGTTGTTAGCGATGGCCTGGTGGTACGCGATAGCTGAGGCGCTGGTGTTGCTAGGATATCCTTGATTTCCCGTGGAAGATCCAGGCGTAATGTAGTCAAGTTTGATCATATCAACGCCCCAGGATGCCCAGAGATCTATCAACGTGTTGTGATAGAGTTGAGTGTTGGCATTATCGTAGTCAAAGTAGCAATAGCCGTTGACATCCTCAACACCGCTGAAGGTAGAGCCAACGGTGATATCGGTGCCATAAATAGTCTTATTGGTGGCTTCGCATGGTATACCGGGCTGATTATAAAGACCTAGCTGGAGCCCCAAGCCATGAAGATAGTCGGCCAATGTTGGAATGTCATAGAGTGGTTTTATACACCATCCGGCCATAGTCGTCCGTGATGTCGCTATACCAACCACCATCGATACTGCATAGCGTCCAGCCTGCAGCCAAGATATCCGCATCTGCAAGGACTGTGCATTGCTCGATGATGAAACTCTGATTCACGTAGGGATATAGAGATGACGGATAGCTGGGCGTCGTATCTGGAGACGCCTGTACTCCCCAAGAGTTCCATCCTTTGGCGGCACTAGCGAAACCATTGGGCGTGTTGGTGGTTTTGATGATACTGAGTGTATCGCCAGTACTATTTGCAGCAAGAGGATAGCAATCGCTTGCGGCAGTTGAGAGACCAGTGAAAATGAAAGATAACGAGAGATACAGTAAGTTGCTCATGATGCATTTTGAGAAAAACATACTCTAGTGTGTTGATTTCGGAAATCTCCCATCGATTAGGAGTGTCTGCAAAAACGATTGTTTATATATTTAACATTAGTTACCATTCTCAGCATCTACGAGTCAAGACCCTCCGAGACGGAGCTCATTACATAGCGAACATTCACTGCCGGTGAAAATAAACCTATGATTCTCCAGCCCTCAGCCCTCATCCCGAATCTAGTCGTAGACTTTGGCAAAGCCTGAGGATTATAATTTGCGGGGTAGTGGGGAATCCTTACCCCAGATTCCCCAGAGAGTAGTTGTTCCGGATACCACGTGCTGCAGGTCGGACGATCTTCCACTTCTAGGGGCATTCAGCTCGACTCATCTCCCTTTCGGCCTAAGAAGTGCCGAAGCGAAGCGCTCTCTGACTAGGGGGTATGCTTCAGATTAGATTTCTTCCACAATATTGATCGCTTCAAACTTCTCACGCTGCCATCGGATGATCAAAGTGTGTCGTTCGGTTTATCTCATGAAAAACTGGGGGTGACGTACACAGTCCCCGCTGACTAGGTTTATCTCGGCTACAAACTAGCCAATGACCGTGTGATTTCGCCGCACTCCTGCAGCTCCGTATTAGCTTTTCAATGAATCAAAGTTAGAGCCACTGGTAGCACTGTTTAAAGCACTATTATGGGGCCCCGCAACTCCCCAATAGAAAAAGCGCCTGAGCGGTGGCTTGATTCTCGGAGCTTGCATCCAATTAGGGAAGAGCGCCATCAGCCTACAGTTCTGGCATGTAATACAGTGTATCAAATAGACATATTGTTCTCCGTATGGTTTACCAAAACGATCATGAATCAAGCAAAAAACTCAAAAACGCCCCAGGAATCTTTATTCATCCCATCAAAGCATTACTATTACTTCCTGGCCACTTGAGACAGTATCGGGAAAGGATATCCCGAGTAACATTCAGCGAAGACTCCCACCTAGACGGGGCTGCCAGGCGGAAGCCAATCGCCTCAAGATTCTCCGTTGTGATTCTCATACACGAAACGCCTTCATCGCCCTTTCGGATCTAGAGCCATGGTCAGACAACAATCCGAATCCCGAGACCGTGAGGTCTAATTCGGCCCATCATTAGGACGACAACCGACCCCGCAGTCCCGCATTCCAGGCCTTCATGCAAATCTGGGGAAAGCATATCCTTTGAGTATAAATACCGACCGGCTTGAAGGGGGAATAAATAAACAGGAAACCCCCTGCCCATCGACCCCTCGCTCCACCCCCTTCCTAATTTCAAGGTTTTCAACACCTAAAGTAACTTTTCACTCTTGAACTACTCGCATCAAGCCCCAACATTAAAATAAAACTCTCACTATGGCAGAAAAGAATGAGGAAAATGAACACCAGGAATATCGGACAACCACAAATGTCGTTGACCCTGGCGAAGTCCACGGTCGTGCCACACAACAGCAGGAACGCAACCGAAGTTACTGGCAGACCCTCAACCACGATCCTTGGCTGCTTTTTTGGATCGGGGTAATGCTATGGACCCTGATCGTTCGTGGATTCGAAAATCAGTCTTCGGGCTCCGTGATCAGTATCACCGAATTCAAGCGCCGGTTTGGAGAAAAAAGCTCTGACGGAAGCTATTTCATCGCTACCTCGTGGCAGTCAGCCCTTAGCGGCGGAGCAAATGCAGCAGCCATCCTTGGTGCCTGGGGTTCCTCTTATTTAGCGGATATCTTCGGTACCAAGCCGGTCCTACTTTCTGCCTGTGTGATCAATCTCGCATCCGTTGGAGTGGAGTTTGCGACTACCTCGATCGGGATGTTTTTCGGCGGCAAGATGATGAACTTTGTGGCTATTGGGGTCTTCCTCAATCTTTGCACGGCCTACGTCTCCGATATCTCTCCACTGGCAATTCGTGCTTCGGTCATCGGCTTCTGCAATCTATCACAGTGCATCGGACCTTTTATCTCGGCTATCATGTCTTACTATACCTCGCAGTGGGACAACGACTGGTCATGGAAGGCCCTCGTCTGCGCACAATGGGGGTTTGCCGTCATTGGATTTATCGGACAACTTTTCATGCCCGAGTCACCGGTATATCTCATTCGCATGAATAGAATCGAAGATGCCCGCGGGGTGCTCAATCGCCTTTACTCGAAGTCTGCAGACGCAGATGGTCATCTCGAACGTATCAAGATCACTCTTGAGGAGGCCGAGACACAGAGGAAGTCGACATACGCTGAGTGCTTCCGTGGCACCAACCTCCGCAGAACTATGATCGCGGTCCTCGTTTTCCTCGCCGAACCTATGTCGGGTCTAGGATTTGTGTCAAACTACGGGTCCTTGATGTACCAATACTTGGGCATTGGTGATCGACAATCGTTCTTGATCCAGATTGGAGCTCAAATCCTATCCATGTCGGGTGCTACATTGTCATTCTTGATTGGAGACTTCTATGGTCGACGACCTATGTTCCTTGGGGGATGCATTGCTCTGACCACCCTACTGCTCTGTATGGGTATTGCAGGCTCTGTGGATACTACTGCCGGTATGATGACCATATTATAATAGCTCTAGAAAGAGGATAATCTCCCGGGATATGGCTAACACGATAATAGGAGTCACCGCTGCCGTGGGCTTCTATACCATGTATAATTTCGTATTCAACATTGGCGTGGGATCCAACGTCTACGCCATCGCTGGTGAAATCTCGACTTCTGTCCTGCGCACGAAAACACTCGCCATTTCCCTCATCGTCTCCAACGCCGTCAACACCATGTGGTCATTTGTTGCACCGTACATGTTCAACCCCGGATATGGAAACCTCAAAGCCAAGATCGGCTTCGTATTTGGCGGGTTCATGCTCTTCTTCATTGCGGGTGCATACTTTTTCGTACCCGAGACGCGCCTACGTTCGTATGAAGAGCTGGATGAGCTGTTCATGAACCGAGTGCCCACGCGGCAGTTCAAGAACTATACCACGGTTGCTGAACAGCGTGCCGCTGAAGCCTATGCGACAGAGAAAAAGATACCGACTGCAGTGGAGACGAAGGTGTAATATGTTCCACTCCAATGCTGAAGGCCAACTGGCTCTGCTGGAGGATTCGGGGACCTAATGATGTGGGCAGAGATATTATCTGTACCTAGCATTGCTCTCCCCTCTTTATCCTGCCTGCCATTCAACGCCATAAGTCTTCATGGTCATGGTCAACGGAGACCAGAGTTAAACAGCACCTCTTTAGGCAGAAACCCACCAGGATTTATCTCATAGGAGTGAAGACATATTTTAATTTGGGGAATCAAGTATACTGTATAATTGAATAATTCACTTTCATTTCAAATCACTTGGAATCAAATGATTGTAGCTGAGTATAAATACTACCCAGGCCTTTAGGAGCTTCATATTAGCCATAACATACCTCCTTATCATCCTATACCTCGAGTCAATTGCGTTTGCTATTCTATTAGCCGGCCTTCTGCATACAGGCCTTTCTTTAGATATTTTTCATCTACCTTTTGCCTTCTTGCTACAACGTTCATCCGAACCTGGCTTAACCTCAATAATGAGTAGACTTACGATAAGATTGCCCACTGCGGGGCACTCGATTATTTGACAGGAGGAGGGGCGATTAAGGAAAAGCAAATCAAAGTATGGCAGGGCTGCTTGACATGCATGTAATCTGTGCAGCAAATCGATTAAATGGAGATAAGCAGATATGTAGATGTCAAATTTTCTATCACCCTACAGTATACAATTTACGTGGTATATTCCATTCTCCCGAGGTCCTCCTCCGATGATGTCAGGCATTCGGCGAGTGTCGCCATCTCCGGCGAGATCGGATCTTCGAGAAACTTTTTTTCGGCGGTTTTCACGGTGGATGCGCGACACTCCAATTCCTATTTTCTACATTCATTTTTGATCTTTTCATATTTGCGCATATATAATTGGTTTCATCGAGTCACTTTTCCACACACATTTCATAGATTGCGATCTGCGTTTAGCAAAATGTCCGAAATCTCTCCGTCTAGTCGCGCCGACGAGGTGCAGACGGTAAGTCCTCAACATCTTCCCCCTGCTCTGTCATTGATACATCGCTAACGCTCTATGAACAACTTAGCTCTTGAAAGCCGTCGAGGACCTTCTCATTCCCTTCATCCGATCCGCAGACGAACCCTCGATCCCCGCGAACAAGACCCAGAACGGCACCAATGGACATCCGGCCTCGGAAGGAACATCACTAGTCAACTACAGAAAGCCAGAAGACCTGAGGGATATTCTCCAATTAGAAATCCCCGAGCAAGGCCGCAAGCAGGAGGGCTTGATCGAAGTTTTGCAAAAGGTCCTGAAGTACTCGGTCAACACTTGGCACCAGGGCTTCCTGGACAAGTTGTATGCGTCAACAAACGCCCCCGGTGTCGCAGCCGAGCTGATCCTTGCAACCTTGAACACCAACGTACACGTCTATCAAGTCTCGCCTGCCCTCACGGTCATTGAGAAGTTCACCGGTCAGCGACTCGCAAACCTCTTCGGATTGAACGGTCCTCGCGCGGGAGGTATTTCAGTCCAGGGTGGCTCGGCCTCGAACACTACGTCCATTGTCATTGCTCGCAACAACCTCTACCCGGAAACTAAGACGGATGGAAACGGCGGGTACAAATTTGTTCTCTTCACCAGCGCCCATGGCCACTACAGCGTTGAGAAGGCTGCTCAGATGCTGGGATTCGGTAGCAAGGCCGTCTGGCCCGTACCAATCGACAAGCAGGGTCGCATGATCCCAGCTGAGTTGGAGAAACTGGTGCAGAAGGCGCAAAGTGAAGGCCGAACACCGTTCTACGTCAACGCCACGGCCGGTACAACGGTCATGGGCTCGTTCGACCCTTTCAACGAAATCGCCGTCATCTGCCAGAAATATAACCTGTGGTTCCATATCGATGGATCCTGGGGCGGTTCGTTCATTTTCTCCCGCAAGCAGAGAAATAAGCTGGCAGGTTCAGAGAAGGCAAACAGCATTGCGATCAACCCACACAAGATGCTCGGCGTACCGGTGACATGCTCGTATCTGCTAGCTGCGGACATTCGCCAATTTCACCGGGCCAACACTCTCCCTGCAGGCTATCTCTTCCACAACGAGGATACCGAGCCAACTCAGAACGGTGACTCGCACGAGTCCGAACTAGAGATCGACTCGCCCGAGGTGTGGGATCTCGCAGACCTAACCCTCCAATGTGGTCGTCGCGCAGACTCGCTAAAACTCTTCCTGGGATGGACATACTACGGAACTGAGGGGTATGAGAAACAGATCGATAACGCATGTGAAGTTGCCGCACACCTAGCTACGCTCGTCTCGCAAAACCCCAACTTCACCCTCGTTAGCGAGAACCCGCCCCCCTGTCTGCAGGTTTGCTTCTACTACGCACCGGGCAAGGGAATGGTGTACCCGCGAGGTGTCGTCTCGAATGAGACGCAGCGGGCAAAGAATAATAGCAAGGTTACTGAGCAGATTACGCATGCGATTGTGCGAAAGGGCTTCATGGTCGACTTTGCTCCTCCTAGTGGCGATGACGATGAAGTTGGAAATGGCAAGTTCTTCCGCTGTGTGGTCAATGTATTGACTAGCAAGGAGACGGTCGAGAATCTTGTGCGTGCTATTGAGGAGGTTGGTCCTGCAATTGTGGAGTCTTTGACGGCAGCTACTCCGGTCGTTCCTCTCAAGCGACCTGGCGAGCATGGACACGGTCCCGTTGTTCATCCCCGTTGATTGCGTCTTGAATAGAAATCCTTTAGATAGATTTATGTATTGCACTATAGAGGTGTTAGAACATCATCATATATACCAGCCTGAACCGGAGATGTTCTACATTCTTGTTGTGAATTTGATGTTGCCTTCAGGTATATTCAGAGCCACTAGGATATATCCAAACAGTTGTGTAAACCCCGGGTCTCCCAAAGTAAGTCGTGACACAGCCTTCTTAATTCCCAATCTCCACCCTCTTCTCCAAGACAGATCTTGCCTCAGCTTCGGCCAGACCGTCAATCTCCAGTTCAGCAAGCACAGCACGGGCACTCTCATTGTCCTTAAATAGCCTCTTCTCCACATCCCACAGTCCCAATGCAATGCCATCCTTTTCCGCATCCTCTGCACTTGGATCTGCAGCTGCACTTAGGTTCAAGATACGTAGACCCTCACTGAGCTTCTTAACAATCCGCGTCGAACCTCCAACATGGCCCGCCACACCCAGAGCATTATCAACCACACTACAAAGGTGATCGATATCGCTAGCCAGCTGTGCAGCACCTGTTTCGGAGAAATTATTCCTCATCAACACGTTGTCCCAAATGTAGGTCTGGACGGAGAGAAGAAGCTGGCGGGAGACGCGCCGAAGAGGTGCAACTCCTAGTGCTCGAGCGAGGAAATTGAGCTGAGTCGACAGAGTGCGCATGGCATGTGCCAGGTCGGATGAAAGAGACAGAGAAGAGGCCGTTGCGCCAGCTGAGGGGGTGGAGAGTGTTGCCCACGTCGCCAAACGGGAGTAAGGCTTCAAGGCTGTAGTAATATTCGAGGCCAGTGTCGATGTAATGATTGATTCGGATTGCAACCGGAGACGACGGTATGCGGAGGCAGTCTCGTCGAACAGAGCTCCCTCTGACGTCTGGGCACTGGTGGGATCGTGATTTGCAACGGCTGGTGACGTGCGTGAGGCAACTTCCGCGACAGACATGGTACCTGCCACATTACGGCCACCATCGCGGTTCAGTTTCACTCGATCTTGGAGCTCGGACCAGAGTTCCACGAAGAAAACGTCATTGCTCCAATCCTCCATCTTCTTCTCGAGGTATTCGGCACTACCGAACACCCGGCAGAGCCTCTCAAGGCCCGCAACGCCTTCAACGCTAGCCTGCCCGTCAGCTCCCTGGACTGTACGGCCAAGAGCGGATGTCATGGTCCGGTAGGCATCCAAAGCCTCACGGAGGCGCTCGTGGAACTGATCGAAGATGGTAATCTGGATGTCGATGAGGAATCGTAACTTTTGACTGAAGGAAGACAATGGCTGATATCTCTCGGTGATGGTTTCGAGGAGGTCGTTCACCCGAATTGCGGCCTTAGTAGGTTTGGTTGCAGTAAGCTCAACACCGTCATAGTCAATTTCACCACTGTCCGGCGTGTCGATAATATCTCGGTATCGAGCCAAAGCGAAGTCTTTCTCCACCTGAAGCCAGCGATCATACCACCCTTGCTTGGTGAGAACTTCCCACGTCATCCCTTTCCAGTTGTCTTCGGCATAAGGATCCGGTAGATAATTCCACGTTTCTCGCAGGTCGTTGTCAAAGTTCATTAGCTCGTGAACGAAATGGCTAAGCAATTGGGGGTGATTTGCGATTTGAGGCATGAAGCTTTCGATCTTGTGTCTCAGCATTGGAAGCAGAGCCGTGATAAACGCATGCAGAGCATTATAGAAGTTCCATTCCAAATCTGGGCCGCCAGATTGAGCCTTTTCGTCGAGGATTGGTTGCAAATAGGATGTAAAGAATCCGCCGAATTGGCTGATTAGGTCCATGATGTGCGCAAGGAAATACTCGGGCTGAACAAGTGTAGAGTTAGAAGCTGTGGAGCGTAAAGGGGGCAAATGTAGTCACCTTGTCAAGTCTATTTGTAGGCTTGTCACCGCTAAAGTGATACTTGAACCGCAGGTCTAGAGGATGTACCATCACTTCCAATGGGAAGAGGACCGGCGGCTCAAGGCTGTGACCAGTATCCAAAACATCGCGAGCTTGTAGTTCCCTAGCGGCATTATTAGAGAAAATCCCAAGTGTAGGTAAAGCGACGCCATGCCAATCCACATACGGCATTTGTAAATCGATCAAGAGCTCAACGTCGTCTTTCCATTGAGCGAGCAGCTTATCGGTAATATTCAACTCTCGCGTCGGCCACTTCAAAGCCTCCAATGTCTTTTGCAGTCGATCGCCGAAGAATTTCCTTAGTTGCTGTCGCAAGGCGCACGCCAACTTCTCCGTGTAATTGATGAGATGTGGGGCAGCTCCCTCGGCGGCAGGCTGAGCTTCCTTCAGAGACAAGACGATACTGCGCAGTCGGGCATACGGCTTTAACGCGGCACGGGGGTCGGAGGATATGCTGGCAAGAGCTTCCTTGCTGTATAGTAGTCTTCAGTGACCGTCCATTACCATTGTCATCCCATCTGCGAATCATACCTCAATTCCTCGGCCTCCTTCAGCAGCTGCACATATCCCTTGGAGATCTCCAGACGCTGAAGCCTCTCCATGCTCTTCTCGAGCCGATGCACTGCCTCATCACTCGTCTCCGATTGTGTAATGGCCTTTAGTCGGCGATCGATGTCCGCCTGTTCTGCCGCAAATGCCTCGCCACGTTTGCGGGTGGCCTCAGCATGGTCGTTGGAAGCTTTTGTCGCATTCGAGAGTGCTTCGTGCGCCTCTGCTAGCTGATTGCCCGGTTTGTTAGTCGCCTATGGTAGTGGAGAGCCGCCGTTCGAGACGGAGGGGGGTCAGGCAAGGTACCTGCTTCCGTTGAAGCTCCTGTTGAGCGCGGAGGCTGGAGAGCAGCGAGTCGAGGCTCTCAAGATCGGCCGAGACCTGGATCTTATCATTCAAGTAGTCCTCCACCCTTGTCCGCTCGTGCGAGGACAGGGACGTGGGGGGCGCCATGGTTGTGGAGGAAAATAATGGCGGAAGCGCAACGGTGTCGCGATTGATCGATCTCCGCCTTTGCGGACTGACGTACGTCTGGGGTTCCGCGCCGCAGCTCCAGAGGCAACATACTTCATGCTCCTTTCGCTGCACACGTCCACGCCATGAATCATGTCCAGTCCGGCTAAAAAGCGCAAGAGGAATGGCGCAGAATCCTCGTCCCAGAAGACGCGCAGTATTGAGTCTTTTTTTAAAGGGCAAGCGACCAAGAAAGCGAAGCAGGCGGAGCCAGAGCCAGCACCAGAGCTAGAGCCAGAGGTGACAGAACAGACCTTATCTGATGAAGCTTTGGCGCGACAACTCCAAGCACAATGGAACGAAGAAGAAAGTGCAGCTTCTAATACATACGCGAATCATCACATTGATAAAGACTCTGAGCCAAAAACATTGCCATCAGCGCCTACGATACCGGTAGATGCAACTCCAGCAGCTCCATCGACACCAAGGAAGAATACGCTATCTCTGCAATCATCTGCGGGCTCGGAAGACACAGTATCACTAGCTATTCCGTTTGATCAAAGCCCGCAAATCTTCGACGCGAGCAAATACGCGGCCGAACTACGGTCGCACTGGGCTGCTGAGGGTGGCAACGCCTCGTACGCGTTGCTAACAAGGGCATTCGTGCTTGCCAATGCGACCACCAGCAGGATCAAGATTGTTGATACATTGGTCAATTTCCTTCGAGTATTGATCGAGGGAGACCCGTCCAGCCTGCTTCCTGCGGTTTGGCTAGCAACCAACTCGATTACACCGCCATATGATGAAAAAGAGCTAGGACTTGGAGGCTCTTCCATCTCCAAAGCTCTCAAGAAAATATACGGCCTTGACAACCAAGGCCTCAAAACTCTCTATAATAAACATGGTGATGCAGGTGATGTCGCATTTGAAGCAAAGAAACGGCAGGCATTTACATTGGCCAAGCCGAAGCCGCTCAAAATCAAAGGCGTGTACCAGTCACTACTGAAGATAGCTACTAGTAAAGGATCTGGTAGTCAAGAGGCCAAGCAGCGGATCGTTGAGAAACTACTGCAGGATACGCGAGGCGCCGAGGAGAGCCGATACATTGTGAGAACTTTGGTTCAGAACCTGCGAATCGGAGCCGTCAAAACTACCATGCTGATTGCCCTTGCCCGCGCATTCCTTTACTCAAAACCCGAGGGTGCTGAATATTCGATTCGGCCGCGAGATGAGTTGGCTCGGCTGAAGAAAGACGAGCTCGCCGAGATTTACAACAACGCGGAAGAACTTGTCAAAGCATCCTATGCAAGGCATCCAGACTACAATGACCTCGTACCATGTCTTTTAGACGCCGGCGTGACCGAAGAGCTTCTCGTTCGCTGCGGCTTGGTACTGCATATTCCACTGAGGCCGATGCTGGGAAGCATCACACGCGACCTCGCGGATATGTTGACGAAGCTACAAGGGAGAGATTTCAGCTGCGAATACAAATATGATGGGCAACGCGCTCAAGTGCATTGTGACGAAACGGGCAAGGTCTCGATCTTTTCTCGACACCTCGAGCTCATGACCGAGAAATACCCAGACCTGGTATCTCTAGTGCCACAAATCCGTGGAGAAAGTGTGTCCAGCTTCATTCTCGAGGGTGAAGTGGTTGCCGTGGATAGCGAAACCGGAGATTTGAAGACGTTCCAAACACTCACGAATCGCGCAAAGAAGAATGTGGAAATCGGAGCCATCACCGTCAACGTGTGCCTTTTCTCATTCGATCTCATGTATCTCAATGGGGAACCGTTGTTGAATCGACCATTCCGAGAACGTCGCGAGCTACTCCGGAGTCTGTTCGTCGAGATACCAAACAGGTTCACTTGGGTGAAAAGTCTGGATGCAACGTCTGCAGATTCCGACACTGTTCTGGAGTTCTTCAAAGGCGCTACCGATGCCAAATGCGAGGGAATTATGGTCAAAGTCCTAGACAACACCACCAGGGCCGATGACACCATTCAAAACGCCGATGTGACAGCTGCAGCCGATATTGACGGCAATCCACCCGAACCACCAGAAGTCAACAACGGCACCAAACCCCCAAAAGAAAAAGGAACTCGACGTAAAGCTCTCCTTTCTTCCTACGAACCAGACAAACGCCTCGAATCCTGGCTCAAAGTCAAGAAAGACTATAGCGCCTCCTCGGAAACCCTCGACCTTATCCCCATCGCAGGCTGGCACGGCAACGGCCGCAAAGCCAAATGGTGGTCCCCGATCCTCCTCGCCGTTCGCAACCCGGAAACCGGCATCCTCGAAGCAGTAACCAAATGCATGTCCGGATTCACGGACAAATTCTATCAGGCAAACAAAGACAAGTATGCGCCGGGGAGTCACAACGTCATCTCCCGGCCCAGTTATGTGGATTACCACGGCGAACCGGACGTATGGTTCGAGCCGCAGGAGGTATGGGAGATGGCGTTTGCAGATATCACGCTTAGTCCAACGTATCCGGCGGCGATTGGGCTGGTGAGTGAAGAGCGAGGGTTGAGTTTACGGTTTCCTCGATTTTTGAAGGTCCGGGAGGATAAGTCGATTGATGAGGCTACTACGTCGGACTATTTGGCGTTGTTATGGAGGAAGCAGGGGGAGAAAGCGAAGGCTCAAGGGGATGGGGATGGTGGAGAAGAGCAACTAGGATGGCAGGAAGAATGATGAAGAATAGACCTACATACACGGAACAATCCAATTGAAAATATACCTATCTGAAGGCTTATTTACTTAAGGTGTCCACTAACTGGACAATGTTTCGCGGGTGGGTTGATCCTTTCATGAACAAGAAAGGAGCACTCAGGCATTGTTTGAATCTGGACTCTTAACAAACGATCAATCGGTCAATAAATCTCTCATCCTTCCTCCCTCCCTCTTTCTCTCTCTCTTCCATCTCTCTCTTCACCGTCAACCCCGTCCATCATTTCCAATCCCTGCTCATTCTGACCTCGCAATCCCTTTCATTTCGTGATAGTGAGTCGTGTCGCCAGGTATTTATTCTTACAGTGATAGTGACTTATCTTAAAAGCAGAGCAACCATCAACCCTCTCACATCAACCTGCCTCGGTCAAACAGCAACGATTTTGACAGTCGAGACAATTATTTCACACTGCTCCGCCTTGTGACTGTTTAACTGAGCAAGATGGAGCTCCTGGATCTACCGAACGAGCTTCTCGTGTTCATCGTGACATATTCCTTACCAGAGGGCTTCGACAATCTGGCATTAACCTGCAAGCACTTTCAATCTTTATGTGCCCCATTTGTGGAGCACCACAATACGTTGCGTCAGAAATTTCAGGATTTCATGTACAACAGAACAAAACAGCACATGGGTAGAACGGTACGCCACCCACTTCCCAACACAATCAGCTCGGCGTTCAACCTGATCGCAATAATCGCCGTGGAGCCTATCGTGGCACAATACATTCACATGGCGGACTTTCGCTGGGACAATCAACTATTGGAGGGTGAAAACCAGAGTTTGGTAACGGATCAGTCTCGGGACAAAGCTGTGAGACGACTTCTTGCCGATTCCGCGGTCTTGAAACAGGCAGGCCTCGACTGGAAGAAATACTATGCTGTCATTGAGAAAGATTTCAATGCGGCGAGATATTCGCAGCACGCTGCCGCTTTTTTGTTGACACTTATTCCAAATGCGGAGGTTCTCTGGTTACCTGAGCGGTGGAAACCAGAAGCTACAACTGACAAACTCATCAAGACTGTTATTTCGAACGCTCGACATAACCCCGACGGCAGCACCAGTCTTGCTAAAGTGATTCAAGTTGTAATGAGTGGCGGTGCAGAACACAGATTCGATCTAGACTCAATGCATTGTTTCCTGGCCTTGCCGCACGTCCAATGGTTTACAGGCATGTGTTCCGAAGGTGGTACCTACTCAGAGGCCGCGTTGAAATACACGAATCTGGAAACGGTTTGGCTGTACAACGCTTCTATGAGTGAAGTTGAGCTGTCGAACTTCCTCCGAAGAACTCCACGCCTCAAAACCCTCAGGTTCACGCCTTTCATAGAAGAGGATTCGTGGAGGGACTGGGATCTCTGCAAATTCGTTATGACAATCGAGCAAATCGTTGGGAATCACCTCGTGAACCTTTGCATCACCCTTAGCGATGCAGTTGGCACTTCCATCGCACCTGGACAAGCGTCAATGCGTGGCTTCAAGAAGCTGAAAAGGCTTGAACTGCCCCTGGAGACTGTGTTATGCAATCTTGAAGCTGGTTTGCCGAGAAACCCCCGATCCCTCGTTCGGGACTTCATACCAGCCTCGCTCACACACCTTGCATTCGACGCCTACGGCACGGACTAGGAAGCGGATGCTCTCGCGGTCATGTTTCGGCATTTTACAACCTTAAAGCATCTGGCGCCTTGCCTCCAGGAGATTCATCTGACGTTGACTGCGGAGGCGACCAGGCTATATGAGAAAATCTTTGCCAAAGTGTCCTCCAAGATCAGTCGGGCGGGCGTGTTATTTGTGGAGGAGGAGGACCATAGGATGTCTCCTTTTTCAGATGACGAGGATTATGATGATGATGATGATGATGATGATGATGATGATGATGATGATGATGATGATGATGATGATGATGATGATGATGATGATGATGATGATGATGATGATGATGATGATGATGATGATGATGATGATGATGATGATGATGATGATGATGATGATGATGACGAGGAGGAGGAGGAGCAAGAGCAGGAGGATGAGGATGAGGATTCCAGTGAAGCCGACTCGTGATGAGAGTGCACACTTGCTTGTTCAATGGCTTTTCAAAGATTCCCAGGGATGGCGGCCATCAAGTGCAAAAATGATCAGTTGCAATTTGTTATTGTGTAGTTACTATCCATACAATTACCATCAATTTCTATCAGTAGAAACTTAAGAATCTACCCGCAACTGCTACTTTCATCGTATTCCGCCTCCCGTAGAATCCTAACACTATAGTCTTCCATTATGTGAGCAGAGTGGCATAGAGAGCAGTCTATCTACTTGATACTTGTGCGCTTTTCAAATTACGCTTAGGATCTTCAAGCATAAACTATAGCGGGAAAGGAACTACCGTGACAAAGATCAATAATACATGCGAGCCGGGGGTTGTATATTGCATTATACGATAGGCCAATCTATACGAATCGTTTACAAGGAACTCAAAGAATATTTGACACTGTGCCCATTATCGACACTATACACACGGTGCTATTCTACATTACTCGAACTCGGCATCATTCTCGAATTTGGCCCAACCACAGGGCTGGACTAGATTAGGAAGCCTGGTCATGAGAGGCAGCGGATAATAATAGAGGGTGCAGAGTATCATCACAAGGCATGTTGGATGCAAAGAGAAGCACGGATGCAATGCTGGCAGAAGAGACGCCAAGAAAACACACGAAACAAGTGCGAGGGCAAAGGATTCGAAGACGTATCATTCGTGGAGGTGAAAATAAGAATAGGTGGCTAGGGGCCGTGCAGAGAAAAAAAGACATTAGAAATAGGAAAACGCCATGGATGCAGGATGACAGAAGGTGCTGTGGAAGGGAGGCTAATTCGAGGGTTGTCTCAATGGGAAGATGGATGAGGTCCTCGGTCCTGACAGAAGAGAATTACAAAGGAGACTGAACACCGCAAATGTGGAGTGGAACATAACAGAATCGTGAAGCCGTCATAAAGGGGAGGTGGTGAAGGAAAAGAAGCCGATGGGCATAGGCGGAGAATGGAAGGACTAGCGAGACGAGCGGTCTAATCTAAGGCCGTAGCTCGCCGCCAAGCTGCAGAGCCAGTCCGGTCCCCTTGCCTTGAATGCGGGGACTCGAGGTACTGGGTGGAACGAGAGCATCAAAGTTCAATCGCTTGCGAGCATCCTTGGTAGAAAGAGGTGTGCGACCTGGATTGCCCGGAGTACGGCCACCCCAAGCAGGCTGAGCAGGACTGGGGGTCACATTGACAAAATCGGCAAAGTTGAACTGCTGACCGGGGGTTCCCAGGTTGGGAGTCAGCGTCGGAAGAACTGCATGCTGACTGGGAGGAGTGGACGGTGGGAATGCATGGTGCGAGCCTGCTGCCACGCGGGCCGGAGTAGGTGAATTGGCGAGGTATAGAAGCAGATCTGCTCCATCCTCATGCTGAGAGGGACGGTCAGTCCGGGAGAGACGGGCATGCTTAGGAGGCGGAGTCCGAGGCGGCGAGGAGCCCACCATGGAGCCCACATGCTGGAAGCTGTGGATAGGCAGGTCGGGGTCGTTTTCCTCATCGGAGGGGGCATGATATGCAGGAGAAGACAACTCCGGAATAGTTGCCTCGGACATGAAAGGGGCAGGGTTTCGACGGGATGGCATATGGCGATTGAGACCCGGAGACGACGCAGGGAGTTGGTGGGAGCTCTTCCACGACACTCGAGGTGCCTTGGCTGGACGCTCGGTATCAGAATCGGAACGGACACGCTTGCGGCTGGCCGAGAGCATGGGCTGCATCACACGGGAATTGAAGGTGACGGCATGCTTATTGCGGGCTGATCGAGGCAGCTCTTTGGAATAGGTTGCGGCTCGGAGGGGAGGGGAGGTCATGGGAGTCTCGCACCGACTGCGAGAGAAGTCGGATGAGGAGTCGGAGGGCTTGTCACTGCTGTCCATCGGCGGCATCAAACCATGAATCCGGCCATGTTGGTACTTGAGCTTGGCCAGGCCCAATCGGTCCTGTAGACTCAGAGAAACCTATGAGAGAGAGGGCCATCTGGGTTAGCTTGGATTGATTCGTAGCTCAGACGGAGCATCTTTGAGCAGTGATTTAGATGTTTGCCCCTGCCGAGCCATTGCTTGGGGTCTGACAGTCTGGATGCAATCTGCACCCCAGACAGAGATGATCCACTTGGATGCTCTCTGGGTTTTTGATGTGTTTTTCCAGGTAGATATTTTTTTTCTCCAGCAAAAGCATTCTTACCTGGGCAATATCAAGTTTTCGAATAGCCTTCTCTGCCGAGCCAGGCTGCGACGGCAGGGTCATGGTGGGCAATGGGGGTTAAAAGAAAGAAAGTCGAAGGCAGGGAAAGAGATGGTCTTTGCTGAGAGTTAGGCTTGGGTAGTGTCGCTGCAAGGGCGGGTGAGAAGGCAGGGCGAGACCCAATTGGCGAGAATAAAAACGGGGCCACTTTGGCCGAGAATTGACGGGACAAATTGGGGGGGGGAGAGATAAAGAAGGGAGGAGAGGATACAGATCTTGCAGGTTTACACAAGGATCTGGGGAAAGACAGCGAGATCGTGGTGGTAGCGCGTGGGGGGAGGGGAAGAGGTGAAGAGCTGAAAAGTGACGGGCAAAACGCGTGCCGCGCAGTTTTGCACGCGATCGTGTTTTCCCGTGGAACTCTCTTCCTAGGGCTTCCTACATCAACATCTCCTCTACGGAGTATACTCCCCCAACTACAGTGCTCTAGTCAATGTTGACTGCCACTTCCTTGTTAGATAGCTACCCTAGATAATTGTCTTCTCATTTTGATCTGGCCTTTTGACTCTGACACGTCGAATTCGAAAGAAAAATCAATCTCGTTCTCTAGCGGGACTAGCGGCGCTCGCCAGCCTCGTTCTTTTAGTTGCCCCACATCCACCAATTCCGAGCTCCTCAAGCTCCGATATGATATGGAAATGAGTTTTCCATGGCGGATTCCTGGGCCAACCTCGTTGCCTCAGTTCCTTTTTACATGTGGGACTGGCATGCCGACCAAGATTCCACTCCACTTAATATATCCGTACTTGGTAACCTATCGTGATTGGACCTAACACTCGGGCACCTTTGCACGATGTCATCACTCAGAGATCTCCTAGTGAAAAAAAAGGAGATGGAATTCTGTCCTCCACATAGATGCGTCCTCAGTCTGGTATGCTGGGGATCTTGGTGACGTTGAAGTCGCCGGAAAGGTATTGGAAACCATCTGGTTCCTGGCTCAAAATTGGATTCGTAGTGTTTTGTTTTTGCTGTGAAATGTCACTGAGCAACGAGAAGATAGGATAGGGGGGTAATCGGAGAGAAAAAAAATTGCCTGTGAATAATTGTTAGAAGCAAAGCAAACCCCTGCCATTGCGGCTCGGAATAGCGGGGTCGGCATTTTCAGTCTAGTCGGGTCGTCCTGATGGGCATCATCCATGGCCATGTCCTTTGTTGTCCCGAGTGTATATGTACGGAGGACAAGAATACTTGCCCCCAACCTGGTAGATATGCACAGATCGCGTGTCTTGCGGCAAACTAATACGAGTAGATGGCCACTTGGCTTTGATTTCCAGGACCCGCCCGACCAAGTCTGACCAAAATGGCTGGGAGATGGATTTGGAAGAAATCAAGGCTGAGACGGAGAAAGTTGTACGCTAAGAGAAGAGGTAAACTCTGGGCCAAGCAGCTTTGAAGATCTGAAAATGCAGCATAGCTGGCCAGTCAAGCAGGTTTTTGGGGTTATCGGTTGGGAACTAAAGAGCTCTGTAGGAAAGTATCACGACAGCGGCAATGGCGCAGGAGCCGGGCGGTTTTGGATTTCTCTGCAGGAAGTCAGTGGACCAGTCTGATATGAGAATGATAAAGGATAAGACCTCGAACGGCCACGCATTAATAGTACAAAAAGCAACCAACGTGCCACAAAAACAAGGAGTCCGTCCACGGGGCCTTGGTCCATGCCTTGGTATGCGATGGTTAGCCCAGATCTAGCGTCCGAACTAGGAGCGTTAGGGCGATCATCCACGATCCACCGGTGAAACATTGCGACTCCTAATGGTAACAGAGCGATAGGCCTGTCGTGTCTGAGTTTGAACGGCTGAGAGGGGGGAGAGGTACGTAATGGCTGATAGGAGCCCACCTTAGGGCCTTTTGGGGGCGCGTGCTAAGTATAGCTTTAGCTTGCCTGAGATTTCCTTGTCGAGCTGGTGAGTTTTGGTTCGAGCCTGTTTAGTAGTTTCGAGTTGAAGACTGTTCAAAGCAGTCTCTGTCTCTTCGTACTACAGGACTCTTCAAATTAATTTGAAGGCAAGCTAAAACTACTAACTTCCACGACCAAGCTTGTTCTTGCTCCGCTTCTACTATTATTTTTGGTGGCTTTTTTTTCTTCTCTCTCCAATCGTTGGATTTGACATCTTCAAAGTCTCTCTCCCTTTTTCTATTGTCTCCTTTTTTTTTCTATCCTCCTTCCTCCTCTCCTAATAATCTCCCCCAATTGCTCATCTCCGGTTCTTACGGGGCGAAATCTCCAGCGGCGTCGTCACCCGCCGCAAACGGTCGCGCTCTCCTGTTCCTGACGCCCTCCCAAACTTCCTCCTCCCCCTCCACACCAGTTGGCCTCCAATTACGGAAGCTACCCCAAGATTTGCTGGTTCTTCTCCTGGTGAGAAGTTCCTAGCCTTCACATCACTCCTGGTACCATACGGACACTCGTCCTCCGCCCATCATGTCGTTCTTGAAGCAGCTACGCCGACGCTCTAAAGCTAGCTTCCATACTGCGGCCGAGTCGAAAACTCCCTCGCATCAGGTGGAAGTGGTATCCGGAAAATCCTCTTCAACGATTGACACCTCGTCTCATGCCTCTATTACTCCGCCCTCATCGATCAAACCGACCCTCTCCTCTCCCAATCTCCCCTCTTTGGTCGAGTCCAATGACGGCAGCTCCATTAGCACCCCGCTGGCTTCCCCTCCGCAACGACCGGGGCCTTTCGTGACCAATTCACAGCGGAACAGCGTCGTGGTATGCACCGCTCCCCGTTGAAGCTTCTTGGAGAAGGCTTGGAAAGCCCCGAAAGCTAATGCCAGAGCTCTATTCATACAGGGAAGCTCATCTTCGTCGATCAATGGGGTATACCGGTCACCGACCCCAAGCTCGCCTTATGCGCCAAGAATAATTTCGATCGCCGATAACTCGTGGGTCAGTAACTTCGGAATGACCTCATAGAGTATCGCGAAAGCTCACAATCTTGTCCTATAGGTCCACCAAAAAGTCCTACTGATCTATGGCCAGATTGGAGATCCGCGACAGCATCCATTGGACGGAAGTATCACCGTCTACCATCACCAAGATAACTTCCCGTCGATCGGCTGGCCCGTCACGGCATCCCATTTCAAGACCCTCGTTCACCTTGCCCCCGGTCCCAATCGCCTACGTTTCGATTTCGTGTCGCCGAAGCTGTCTTCTGGAAGCACTCAACCGGTAATCCACTCGACCTGGATTTGCATCAACTATCTCCCCCTGGTCAATTCCCCGCCATTGCATCTGGTCGTACTACTCGGCAAGGATTCGGACGGAACATATGACGCAGTGCCCGAGCGAGTGGAGCGCGAAGGAAATGGTCTGGAAACGGCACTGCGAAAGTATCGAACGGCGGCGTATCTATGGCAAGCATTCACGGGAGAGCAAATGTTCCGCAACAATCTGGGCCGGCGTTGCTTCCGCTTTGAGGAGGAATGGCAGTCGGGCACTCTCAGTCGACGAGATTCGGCCGTTCAACAGATGCGCAACGAGGCTAAGATTCACGTCATCCGTACCGAGAAAACGGTAGCAGAGTTACGGGATCTCAACATCGCGCAGCAGTATGATGCGGCGAAGAAGAAGGACGAGTTGTTCAATATCGCCAAGGACGCTGTGCGCAAGCATTTCAACCCACAACCCGGTCAAAAACAATACGTTTCTGTCTTGTTGCTGGATTCTCATTGGGACACACAAGCTCAGACCATTACCGGTCACGCTGCTCTAGGATCAGGAGATGATGATATCAAGATGGCGATATTCGGGTCCCACTGCCTTCAGAGCTACCCCTCTTGCCTTGAGGAGGTAGTCGATGCATTCTCAGACTGCACTCGGACGGACACCAACTACGTGGCTAACGACTGCGGCGATGCTGGATCTAACTGGGAGTCTGCAAACCTTGGAATTGGAGCACACTTGCACGAAGTAGGACATCTCTTTGGGTGCCCGCACCAAGAATCTGGCGTCATGCTTCGCGACTACGTGCGTCTGAATCGTTCTTTCTTGATTAAAGAGCCGTTCTGCACTCGCACCAAGACACAAGGCATGAAGGTCTGTTTACCAAACGACGAGTGTGGGTGGCATCGCTTGGATGCGCTTCGTTTCCGCTTCCACCCTTGCTTCCGACTTCCCAGCGATACTTCGGTGAGCAACGATGAGAGTGTCCAGGTGTGGCCTGTGGAGAATGGGAAGATTCTGTTTACGGCCTCCTCTGGCATTGCATTTGTGGAGCTGTACGCCGAGGATGATAATGTCTGCCACCATTTCATTGAATACATCAACAGCGAGTCCAGCGGCAACGGTTTGCCCAAGCAAGTCGCCATCACCGAGACCGAGTTGAGGCAACAAGTGTTTGGCACGGAGAAGGAGAAGAAAAAGAAGATCCGAATGGTGGTCTTCTCCGGTAATCTGGGAAGCTACACTGTGGAGGATGTCAGCGCTCTCAAGTCCAAGAACTCACTGGTCAAGCTTCCCAAGAACCAGTCTGGCTACAAGAGTGGCCAGCTTGGGCGCTCTTCAATGGAGGGCAGTGAGCCCGAGCAATTACTCTTGGAATGTGCCTTTATCAAGACGAAGCTTTTGACGTCTATTAAAGTATATCATGGATCTGCGGTGGATGGCATTGAGTTCTGCTACGAAGACATGACCAGCCAACTATTTGGCAAGCGTGGTGGGAAGCCCGGGGGAGATGAGTTTGTACTCGGTAAGCATTTCCAGAGCCTGTTTGAGAAACCAATTCCTAACTTGACTAGATACCCGCCGTGGCGAGATTTTGCTTGGTTTCTACGTCCGAGCTGGACTCTGGATTGATGGAATTGAGATTCTCACCAGCCTAGGGAGAAAATCTGGGATCTATGGTAATGCCAATGGCGGATCAGGGTAAGACAATCCCCTTTCTATGGAGACATCGATCAGAATCAATACCACATGCGGATGCTAACCAACGCCAACTTCTACAGTCACACCTTGATTCCACCTCTTGGTTATAAGATTGCTGGAGTCGCAGGCTCTAGTGGACCCTGGATCGATGGGTTCTCGCTCATCATTCAACACTGAACGGGATCTATCTATTGATATCCTAAGCGTGACTCGGAGACACATATCCTCTTTCTTCCCCCTTTTTCCGTTCGTCTCCCCTGATAGGATCGACATTTTCTAAAACAAGGCTGGCTCAGGGTTGGCCAGCGCATATACACGCGGTTCTGTGAGGCTCCAGGTGCCTTTGTTTATATGCTTCTTTTCTTTTCTGACAGGCGTTGTGGAGGACGGTGTTTGATGGCAGTTATTTGTTGTACTATTTCCTTTCTCATTCTCGGTGGGTTCAACGCGCATTCGAGGACACTCCTACATGGTCATCGAGTGTACGGATGATTGATTCGTGGCAAGGGCCATGTTGACTGTATTGGGAGCATTTTGTATAAGGGACATTCATATAATTTGGCTAGACCGGTTATACATAGTTAATATCAACAGAGAACGGGCATTGCGCTCAGTTCTTGTCAAAGATACCCTGGCTCGTCGAGCATGTATAGTAAGCCATACCACCATACGGCTGTTTGCCCTCGCCACCTCCGGCTCGAGCATCTCACATACAATACGAGCCGCTCCACGTAATCTCAATGTCATCGCCCTTCATTGCTGGCATAAAAGAAGACGGTAGAGTACGAAGTATATTAAGCATTGAGGTCATCTTACACATCAACCGACACAGCCACACCCATGGATCATTGATTGATCCTTCAAATGACTCAATTATAGTGACATAGTAACCAACCTACAATAGTATTTCCCCCATTTAGGCGCCACGGCAAAACAGCAAAAGGTATCCGCTCGAGATTCGCCACTAGTGCTTGGCTGGGGCAGAAGGATCAATGAAAATGTAGGGATGTACAAGTATCAAAGCTTCCGGCCAAGGCTGCAGGTGCAAGAGGGGTTGTCTCAATGGTGATTTGTTGAGTGTTGGTCAAAGCACTGGGGGCCAATCAATTAGATCGAGCTGTTGGGATGGAATTGTGGGGTTTCGGGATGAGGATCGACAGAGGGCTATCGTCTCCGCGGGAGGTTGTGTTTTAGTTTGTACTTTAGTATTTGTACCTCAGCTCTGAGGGTTTTGTTTGTAGCCTTGTACTTGTGATGTACTTGTGTAGTGTGTGGTTCCTATAGTGGAGGGGAGTGGACTGGGATTATGCACGGTGGTTGCGATTCAATATCCAAAATGTAAGGCTCTCTGTTTTTGGGCAGATGATTCATCATGAATAATAAGATGTTTTGCTTTTTCTCTCTCCATTAGGCAACCCCAGAACTTTTGTTTTTCTCCTCGAGGTTCAGCTTTGAGCTTTTGACTTTGAGACTACAATGAATAAATGATATCGGATATGCAGGACCCCATTTTGATTTTTGCCACACCTTCTTCCGCGACCCTCCTGCACATTCTCATTGGCGATTTCTCTCATTCCGTCCGTTCCGTTCAGCTTCTATCCTCCAAAGAAAACGTCAAGAAACTCCAAGGTTAGTCCCCGCAATGTTATGTTTTGTGGCTGACACTTTTCCTCCCCGACGAGGAATGACGTTCCAGGTACTATTTTCCGTACCTCAGCATCCAATCAGGGTGGACGAGGACATGGCCAAAGCATCATCATTTGTGGCGGTGGAGGACAACTTTTTTGGTACAGCTAACAACGTACTACTAAGTCGGATGCCACAATCCGATGTGGCGAGGCCGTTATATATCATGACTGGCTATACACCCTCAAGGCCCCTGGTCGCACATACTCAAGTACGCAGGCTGCAGCTCGTCCCGGGATACGCACTACCTATCGCAAGCGCCGTGTCGAACCGAAGCGGAAAAGGCAGCCACTCCGTGTATTGTCAAGATTGTCGAGTTTGTGACCAAATCCCGTTCATTTCTGTTGTACCTAATATATCCATGTCGCGGGCGCCGTTGCTGGCGTTGATGGCGCGAGGGATCAGCAGCGCCCGCACTGGCTGTGACTGGATGCGTCTCTGCTAAGTTTCGTTGTTTTTTGTTTTGCGGGAGTATACTACAGAGATACACCGATGATAAACGAGGGCCCGTGATCCGCATCGGACCACGGACAAGGTGCGATATGTTTCGCAAGTCATGCTCATTTGTCTGATACTTGGCCCGGCGATATTGCCCGTCCCCATCCGCTTCTTCAAGCCGTCCAGCCAGGAGGGCGCGCATCGTGGCTGATATGCACCCTAATGGGTCGATCGCCCCTCCTCCCAGCTATCGCCCCTTGTCAGAAGCCCGATCGACCAATCAGCGATGTCCGAGTCATGGCCGCGCTCTCGATATCGTTGCCCCGTGCTCCGTTTGTGCTTTGTGCATTAGAACAAACGATGAGTTCATAAGCTAAACGCCGCTGCCTAACTACCGGCATCGACCTTGGATTTACTTCACTTGTCTTTTTGCTCCACCGGAATAGCTATATTCTGTGTTTCTTGATAGTAGGCACGGGTCAGTATGCGGTCCGCCATGCTCCAATTTCCCCCCGGTGGCGTCTGCCCCTTGCCCCACGGTCGAACGCCCATGACGTGATGGCTTCTATTTGCCCGGAGTACTCCGTACTCTGGATTTGTGGTTCTTTACCCTAACTCTGGTTCAATCTCCAATTGCACTCTCGGCGTTGACTATTCTGAGTATCACCGAAAAATGGTTCTGACGTCAGGGGACTGGTGGTCGATGGTTTGTTTCGCTTTGTTCGCAAGTTCGGCGACCGTTGGACGATATGTGGGGAATGGTCCCTAATCGGGGAACTCGGTAGGGCAGGCTATTTCTCAGGCCGTACCAATTATGAAAGAAGGGATCTTTTGTCCTTGTCCTTGTCCGAAGGGAGGTAGGTGGAAAGCGTAAATTGATATTCGATTGTCCCGTTTGTCGTGTAGCCAATGCTTACGCGTCGGTGACGAGTGGAAAATTCTCCCGTTAACTAGGGCCTGGCAAGGTACTAAAGTAGAGCCAATAAGTATATACAACATCAACAATTGTGCAATTATAGTGTTCTCATACTGAATACCATGATTAGCTGTACATATTGCCTAACTTGCTCGTGACTTTACATGGTTACCATCGCATGTGGAGTACTCGGTAGTGTAGCTCGTAGCTTAAATTGCTATTCCTCTCGGGCCTTCCGCTTGAACGCCCGTGCTGAAGGTCTCCATGACCTTCCTAGAGTGTCAGTATGGAGGAGAATATATGTATCAACTTTCTCTCTGGCAGTTTTAAGTTTAATTAGGAAGAGCTTCGAATATATGACAGTTGTTCATGTCCTAGTACAAGAATGGCGTTCGTATGGAATATGAAAACCCAATTAATTGAGTTAAGCCCTGGGAAGCCATGCAATTTTGAAAATTACGACAGTCGGCGATTATTCGACATGCAGGAGTGTGCTAGTGTAGGCTGTACTGTAGGATATCTCAGGTTTTGCTCCTCTTGTCATGGTGGGGAGTATCCCTTCCGCATTGGGACTAGTCCCCTTACCGTTGATCTGTACTGAGATTATGTATTTTCTTCTTCACAGAGCCCGGCGCGTTCGGCCGACCAATCAGAGACCGGATTCAATTACAATGGTAAGATTTGTGACGATCTCCTTTCGGCAGTTTCGAACTTCTCAGATCCATTTCGTCATTACAACGCGGTTTTCGTAGGAAAATAGATTACGACAGTTCGCACTATTTTACTCCATCAGCAAATGCCGTAACCGAGGGATCCAGGGCACTCACGGCGTTCTGTACCATTTTCGTCCACTCTTCATCATCTTAGACGCGAGGCCATCGCGGGGCTTTCCTAGGTTCCGTGCGCGTCTGGTATCCACTTGGTAAGTCATTTGGTACCGTACCGTTTTCGGCACGTGCGCCGAGCCGTCCGAGCGACGGTGCCAGCCTTTTGATTGGCGGGTTCCCATCCCAGCAATGAACAGCCCAGGCTGGATGGGAGATGCATACCGTAATGGACGAGTATGTATTACGGTATTTGGGGTGAAAACGATACGGCCTCGAGAACGCCCTACGATGTAGGTCATATTATTTTGCCTTTGATATATGCATTTAGACCCGACGATAGGGCAGAGACACTTTGATTGAACCTCTTTGCTGGGAATGCCCACCTGCAAAGGACCCGGCCCAATGGTCCTGGACCCTGGCAGGTCAAAAATAACTGATCGAGCAGTCAATGGCGCCAGGGCGATCCATGGAATCCTCTGCCGATCGTCCATCAAGCCATGTTGGAATCGTCCATGGGGCTTCTGGGGACCACCGCCACAAAATGACAGTGTGGCGTACATTTCATTTATCTTTGTTTTCTTCTTCGAATCTTCGAAGCTTGACATGCCGAATGCCGGAGTGGAAAGTTAGATATCGTGAATACCTATTGCAAACCAAGGTTGCAAATTGTGCTACTTCCGAAACAGAATGGATAGGGTAGTCAATGATCATAATGATCACGTTTTGAAGAGCTACTCCCTCGGCCCCAGTAACCGCCTATCAAACCAATTTCCTCGAGCACGGCCACAGGAGCACTCGTTCCATGGACATTGCAGCCACACTCTCTAACACCTGCCTAAACTCATCCTGTCCCTTGACGTTGCCGTCCGAACACTTTCGTTGCCTCCCCGGTTCATACCGCCCTATTGATTTTTGTTTTTATCATGTGGTCAGGATACAGGGAATGCATTTCCATCATCACTCTTATTTGTGTAGGAACGAGGTGCGTGCCCCATCAGCCACCGACAGCCACTAAACAGCCACCAATGACCCCTGGTTTATTGAGGAGTGATGGTGCGCTGTATGAGAAAGTTTAGGGCGACACATTTTCGTTAGAAGTTTTATTTTCTTCCTAGGGATATATCTATATCAAATATACAGTATATTAACACCTTCCAGTGTATATCCTCTATCGGTCTGACCTGTCAAGCCCTAAGGCACGGCCGTTGGTAAGGTGTGGCGGAAGTGGAGAGCGAGCTCGAACCCAGCAGACTGGTACTCCCTTTGACAATCGATAGACGGAGTGCATCCGGCTGGTCCAAAGTGTCCCTATGATCTTCGGGTCCAAGAAAACAAACCCCCGAAAACCCAAAAAGAGAAAGAAAATAAGATATGTGTCAATTGAGGTCTGATATCATTTGAGCGGCTGGTAGTCAGACAAACAATGATTCTATGATTTCATCAAACAAATCGCTGTTCCCTTTCCTTATGTTCTTTCTTCTTTAACTAAACGACCGTTCGTATGGAGTCTCGAGGTCGGGGGAAATACCCCGACAATACACCCGTAAGTTACACTCGGTCTCGTCTCTTTGAATGCGACTTTTCATTTTCCAATGTTCAGCTCTTGCATTTGCGTTTATCCTAATTTAATTCATCTTTTTTTTGGTATTCCATTTCCCCCCCCCCCCCCCACCGAATCCTTGGGTCTGGCTCCTAGTTCCTGGCCAATGAGCCTTCCTGAATAACCCCGATCCATAGAGATCCATTATTCCTGCCATCATTCTCTTCTTATTCATCGTTCCCTCTTCCCGTCGTTCATCATCCACCCCTGGTACCAATCATTTCTATTCAACGGAAAAGGAAATGGAGAAAAAAAATATAGATAGAAACAACCAAAGAAGAAAAAGGAAATAAAATATCTCGGTGTTTTAGCTCTTATCGATAGGCTCCAAAGTGGCAATTATATAGTCAATCGTTGTATTTACAATACAGGAGGTTATGGACTCTCTGGTCTCCCCTTTCCGGATTCTCAACCTCGCTCTTCTGACCATTCTCCATACTCCATTCTCCGTACTCTCCCATACACAATCCTTACCACCTTTTTTTTCCCTATTATATTTTCTAATTTACACATCCTTTTTTTTTTTTGCTAGACTCCATCCGTATCCATTCTTACCCAACCACAACCCTCCACTAACCTTCTTTCCCCCCCGAACTACACCTTACCCCCTCTCTACTACTCTCCCTTCCCCTACCACATCTTCAACTTCTGTGGCTCAGTTGATGTCAGTTGGTTCCTCAGGCCCCTTCCGATAGATCATCATTGGAGGGCTCTATGGACCGTACCGTCTTTACTATTTTTTCCTTCTCTCTTTCTTAGTCCGTCATACGTCTCCGCCCCTCCTTCCACCACCCCTCGCCTCTTCAACATTTCTCATCTTCAAATAAAAAAAAGGGGGCGCCCTGTTCACTATTTCACCCAACTTTGGATTTAGGCTCTGCTTGTCTCGACTACGTCCAATATCAACCGTTGTACATTCCCCTTATATACCGTGATCTGGAGACGTTCCGGGAGCTACCCTTTCTGACCGTGGCATCTACGCCTTCTCTTTTTTTTTTGAGGCTCGCATGCCCCCCCGACCCTAACAATATTGCGCGTCCCCTCCCGACTGTCCTTATTGTAAACCCGTCTCATCCGATATTCGATCGACCTGCCCTTGCTCCTTTCTGCTCCTCTGATCAGCTTAAATCTCGATCTCGATTGCTCACTTGAAGCTCATTTGGTCGATCGCCCCAACCTCGGAACCCCGGGGGAGAGAGAGACATAACGGACATTCTCCTCCGACCCTACTCGGACCACGCCGACACGGTGCTCGTGGTCTCTCAAAATCAGCTCACTTCGATGTTGCAACAAAGACTGCAGTCTACTTATTCCCTTCTATCCGACACTTCTGCAAACTCCGGCGCATCCCTCGGCGCACCCTACTCGTAGAGTTATTCTCAATGTTTCGCAATCGGTGCGTGCCCTCTATATTTTGTCAGGAAAGACCTGGGCCTCCATTCAAAAGAAGAAATAGTTACTTACTCGTTTCCCCTCATATTTAGCAACAATACCCAGAAGCCTGACGATGAGTTCATCAGTCACTTCCAAAGTACATTCGCAGATATCGTTCCCCGACGAGCCAGTCATGCAAATGCCTCGAACAACACATTTCCCGCCGGGACGGGAGATTCTATGGTTTCGGACAGGTACGCAGCTCAAAGCTATGCCAGTCCGGGACTGGAGGCTGATTTGGCAAATCACGAGTTTAGACCAATGGAACACCACGAGATGAAGATGGACGAGCATGATCTGAAATTCCCCAGCGAACGGACTCCCCGGAATCTCCACGACCTCAATTTCACCCCCTCATGGATCGATCCGCAATCAATGACGATGATGTCTCTTGCCGGGCAGCACCCGGGATTCTACACGCCAAACTCGGGAGGAATGGGTGCTATTTTCCACAATCAAGCAGGCGACCTACACACGCCTACCGCTGGTTTAAACATGATTACGCCGCTCTCCCTCTCCAACTCGATCCCGATTGGCCAACATAATGCCCAGCCTACGATAAACCACTTCAATCCGCAATACCTCGCCCAAAACATGCCCGATATGAATCCCTATGTCCAACAACAAACGTACGCGCCTAGTGCATTCATGCACCGAGACTCGTTCGAAGCTATGGATGAGTCTGTGGACAACACGTCAATCCATAGTCTCCTGGTTGATCAGGCATCCAACATTTCCGCCTCCACGGAATATTCGGGTGCACTCCCCGTGAGCTATGCCGAAGGTGAAAGGTACGTCATTTCCTTTCCATCAACACGTCTGTCGCTCTGCTAACGGTGAATTTCGCCCCCAGTTTCCGCTATAATGTTTCTTTGCGAGCTCCGACGGCAATGGTAAAGCATCCACGAGAAGTTCCCATCTCCTACCTCAACAAGGGTCAAGCGTACAACCTCACAGTCATGGACTCTAACCCGCCGATGGTCGGCTCCGAGCCGCTACGATACCGAACATACGTGCGAGTTTCCTTTGAAGAAGAGGAACAGCGTTCGAAGCCGGCAGCGTGCTGGCAATTATGGAAGGAGGGCCGTGGTATGAGCGAGTCGCACCAACGGGGAGGCAAGCTTCTGGCGGTGGAATACGTGGACCCGCACCAAGGTGGCGAGGACCACAAGCACCGTCAAATTCAGGTTGAGCACATGTCTTTCGATGGATTCTGCGTTACTTGGACTGCGAACCCTACGACCGGCACACCCGACTGTTCGATTCCCGTTCGATTCAATTTCCTGTCTACCGATTTCAGTCATTCCAAGGGTGTGAAGGGTATTCCGGTGCGATTGTGTGCAAAGACGGAGCTCTTGACGCCCAGTGATGAGTCGGATAGCTCTGGCGAGGCGGAAGTGTGCTACTGTAAAGTTAAGCTTTTCCGTGACCATGGTGCCGAGCGCAAGCTTTCCAACGATATCGCGCATGTCAAGAAAACGATTGAGAAGTTGAAGCAGCAGATTGCCCAGGCAGAGATGGGCGGTGGGTTCGGCAAGCGCAAGCGTGGCAGCAACGCTACGGCGAACATGAAGACGGCGGACCGGTCCAAGAACCCGAAACACAAGCGCACATGGTCCATGGGCTCGCAGGACGGGCAACCCGAGAAGTTGTCCCTCGAAGATGATCTGCAAGCCAAGCTGGTCATGATGCAGGATATGTTCTCATCCACTCGCACCATGAGTATTCTTGCCTTGCGCGGTGACGAGGAAGATGACCCGGACTTGTTCCCAGTTCGGCTACCGGCTGAAGGCGAAACCATCAAGCTGGAACCTCTCAGTCGGCAGAACACGGGCGCCTCGCAATCGATGGAGTCTCTGATTCTGTCTCCCACAAGCAGCAATGTCTCCTTGAACTCACCCCGAGTAAACGAGAGCAAATTGGCCGCCTTGAAGGGCGCGAAGAATCCAACCGCTGTTCCGCGGATCGCAACTGGTGATTCCATCTCAACTGGATTCATCGAGGCTGTTGATATTGACCCGACTTATCGCCCGCCAGCGGAGCGTCCACCAAAGCCAAGTATGTATCAATCCTCGAGTAGTTTTATTCTATCTTTACTAACCATTTCACAGTTGCATGCTTCTACGTCCGATTTGCCGGGACTGACCAGCAGCCCGATTACTACCGTGCCATCTATCTTACTGAGCGCACTGTACGAGATTTGATGAAGAAAATTTCCGAGAAAAACCACCTGGACCCCTCCCGCATCGTGCGTATCTTGCATGTCAACCAGAATGGTCTTCGAATAATGGTTGATGACGATGTGGTCCGCGAGCTCCCGGAGGGACAGGACATGATTGTCGATATCTACGAGTCTCCGGCTAATACCAACGAAGGCGATGATTGGTCGCCCGGCGCCCCGGTCGAAATCAAATTGACATACTGATCCGCCTTCACCTCTCGTTGCCACGAAAGTGCGGTCACGCTGCCCTGATCCACCTCAGCACGCACGTATCTATGCCATATGGCTATACTCGTGCCCTTGTTACAACTCCCGATCATATTGTCTTCCTCTCTAATCGGCCTTGTTCTTTACCTTTCTTGGCATCGATTTGCACCTGGTGTGTAATTGCTCTTCTTTGGATATCCACTTTGAGGTCTTCCAATTTCTTAATTCTTTTTGTCTCTTGTTTCTTTTTCCTATTGTTTCTCATCATTGGGTCGGCGGTCATTCATCATTTACAGGGGAGTTGGGTACGGAGGTAATACACGAGTCTCCGAACAATGATACCCTGTCGCCATATGTTATGTTTTTTGATTTATTATTCTGATGATCCGGTTTACGGTTTACCGCTATTGATTTCACTCACGGCGTTGTTATCTATTTCATTCCCTCGCCGACGCTATCTCTTGTCGATGGGCGACGGTGCGAAGTCGCCGATATACACATACTGCGCTTTGTTTCTTTGTGGATACCGCCACGATCCGCTTCTCTCATTCGATCTTGTTTTCTGATTATGTTTCGTTCATCTGGTCTCGGCTTGACGCACACGATTGTGGATACCCCGTTTCAAAGTTCTGAAGCTCCTTTGATCTTGATCTTGTCTGTTCCGTGGTCACAGCATTTTTCCCTTTATCTCGTTCAGCGTTTGATTTTTCTTATCTCTGTGACGCTTATTCTCTTCTCCTCTTTTCATTGGTGTGTTGTTTTTGCCGGGGCGCATATACACGGACTTTGGATCTTTTCGATACAAGATAGTCACTAGGGGACGGGGTTTATAAATCAACATATTCGATGCATTAGGTGCAAAATACGACAACCTACTGATTCATCAAAGCCACTACTTCCACCTTCCAAATATGAGAGCCATGTAGAAACTTTCAAGCCCTAAATTTAAAAATCTTTCATTTGCTTAGCATTCGGTGTTAATGGGAGAGACGCGAGGCAAGTGGATTGAATTTAGAATTTCGGACTTTGGGACCCAAGCTCAAAAGCTGACAATTCCCCTCTCCCAAAAGCCAGCCCACGGCAAAAAGCATAAATCTTACCTCCTTCTACAAGTAGATGTCCAACCCGTGACTACTAGATAGATTAAAAGCAACAAACACCCGGAACTCCAAATCCGCCCAAGGATACCACAGCCACTGGCTTTAATAGCCCCAAAGTATCTCCCTCAAAGACCGAAAAGGGCTAAAAGAGAAAAGTGAAGAAGATTTTGGCAGCCCCACCCCCAGAGCCGGGCCCAGTAACCAGGTAAGTACTGTACGCATGCCGCTGTCCACAAGCTGGGCCGCGGTTAGAACCAGAACCATAATTATTTTTTCCATTATGTTCGAGGGTGATCTCTGCTTGTGGCCCATGGGTCGAGGGTGCCTTAGCGTCTTGCCTGAAACGGTGGTATACACTCGGAAGTCCGACGGGTTTAATTGGTTGGGCTCGTGGACCGTTTTTGGTTGTGTAGGTTGGATTTGATGTTTTTGGTTGCCGAAAGTGGATGTCAGCTTGGGATTTTGGTGCTCGTTTTTGAGAGAGGATATGTCATATGTTGATGGTTATAGATCGATCGATCGATGATGATGCTGTACATATTATCTTCTAGCGTTGATTTTTCTTCTTATTCGCCGTGGTTGTTTTGGAAAGAGGTTTTTGACTGGCTATGGAGGACTGTGATTCGGTCGAACTAGTTCGCTGTTATTGCGAGACTTGCTGTTCCATGGCTAGATTAGTGTTCTTTCAACGGGCAAACGTTTTGATGACCACGAGTATAGTCTATATGATTGTTAAAGGAGCTTATTGGCTGTTATCTTTGATGGCCTCATTTCCTTAAGATTAACCAAGCAGATCAGTTTGTCCTCTCGAGTCCGGATCTTCTACAAATCTCCATGCTAACAGACTGGCATGTTTCAGCATGACCTTTGACCCCCTCTCAAAAAACAGCTCTATACCCACATTTTCGACTTCAACGATTTCCCTCCACTCCTCCGTCTAGAATGTATATGACGTCAGACATACCATATTTCTCTCCCGAGTCATTACCCAGCATAGTAACACCCCCAGCAGACATCCATGCTGAATCGCAAACAGCTCACTCTAGAACATTCTCCCGGTACCTGCCGATCCAACCCCCCTGCACAATCACACTCCCCTTCCCTCTAGCTCAGTGGACCTCCGATTCAAATACCCATACACATCTCATGCATACCATTAGCGCAGATTACAACGGCTAGCTGGCCCTACGAGAGCCACAAATCTCTTCGGGAGACTTCCCAGCAAATCCCATCACCGCCTATTCCTCCCTTAAGCCCTTCTTATGACATCATTTTGTAGTTTCCTTGGTAGTGGGGCATTTTAGTTACAACCGTAACTCCGTACAGTACGCCCTCCCTACCGTATCCCATACGGAATCTCCATAAAGTCTATACACGTTTTGCCAACCTGCCAGAATATTAGAATCCACCCCGCTAAATCTTTTCCACGCGGGACGACCCGTTACAAGATTTAGTCCAATCACTATACGGATTCGTCATGCACGTCTTTGTACGGTATTTCGGATCATGACCGTGAGGGCCACGGTATCCGGTTTTTCAGCTCGATGGCGCCGTTTGTATGGAAATACCGTCGTCGTGCTCTACGCGCTGTACGGATCGTGGCTTTCTCTCGCCGTTTAGCTAACCCAAAGTTTTGGCGTTTTTGTACCACGTTATACGTACAGGCCCCGCTAAGAGATTGTCGGCTTTCCTTTCCCCCTCCTCTCTTGTCTGTTCCCGTGTGTACCGGTGCGTTCTGGGCCGGCCGAGAAGCCACTCTCGCTTAACGGGTGTGATATGTATTTCCAGACTGTTATTTAGATTCTGATTGGGAGATCTGTATTCTGGTGTTTGCGCTATAGCGAGAACGGCGGTGAGATGTCATCTAGGTCCTGCGGTACAGGTGGTGGTAGCCACGGCCCAGAGAGGCGCTGATAGTGGTCTAACGAGGCGTACCGGGCGTTTGCTGTATTCAGCCTAGCGGGCTCGTTTGCATTTTCCTTACTCTGTCTCCCTTAGTTTGCGATTATGAAGAATTAGCGTTTGATGAAACACTGTGGCTGGTTACCTTCGACCTTAGGATGGCTCTATCCGGGCTTGAGATTTACTAGTGACTGTATCTTGTAAATTATTTCAGCATTAAAGTAGTGGGGATTCCCCTGATAGCATGACCATGGCGCTGGTGCTGGCTTATATGTAGAGCTGGGGAAAATGACATGTGTGGCTGGGTAGTTTTTTAGTTTAGTGCGGGTAAACCATAGCATCGGGACTATATCTGATGTTTAGACCCAGTACGTTATTTGTGCTTCATTGAAGGGCATTTCTTAGGGGTTTACTTGATCATGGGTGTTTTTCATAGGAATGTTGTTCTAAATGGGTTGTTTAGGAGGATAATGGAGCATCTCAAATTATCATGTAGCGTTTGTCCTATCCTAGGGTTCTTACAGCCAATCCGAATGGTTTGATAGTACCTCTTTCTCCATGGATATGATCTATACGTCGTTTTCTAGATGCTTCATTTCCAAGAGCACACCCCCAGGTGTCGATTGACCTCCTAAATGTGTATACTCTATAACTTCCATATACTTCTTTACTATTCTTGTGTATCGGGACATCACTTCCCTGCTACTTGTCTGAAATTTTAGCTCGGATTAGAATACGCACTGCTGCCATAGCATCGACTGCAAAGTCACTATACCTTATAGCACAGATTGATCCCCTGGTGGTTCAAGTAAGGTAGTATCCTGAACGTGTATCTCAAGAGTCTCATTCGTTGCTCTAAGATTACATAGACTTTCTCGGTGACTTTACTCCTACGCGGTGCTCCTGAATATGTCGTACAGGTAACCTTAGCCATCGTAGTAATCATCATGGATACACGTCTACTCTCTCTGCCTAACGCTGTAAGCCGATTTTTCCGGGTATCACCGTTAAAGACTTCGGTATGAGGCAAGCCCGTCAACAACAACAACAACAACCGGGTTCGCTCCTTCCTCTTTTTCGGTGCAACGACCGGCTCGTGACCCCCGTACTTTTCTGTTTCCTTCGGGCCTCCTAAACCCCTCTTCTTCTTTTTCCCATCCACCTCTCTCACCATCTCCGTTCCCAACGTTTTTCATCAAAACCACATTCGTTTTCATCGTCTACACTCGTTCAAACCTCTGCTATCACGTCGAAATGGCTTTCCTCGCCAGTTTCCGCGTTTGGATGCTCTTGCCTGTCATTCTCATGGCAGGCAAGGGTCTCGCCCTCAGTAAGTTCACCGGTTGACGGCTCTGCCTTGGGCATCTTTTGCTCACATGTTTTGACAGACGTGGACGCCTTCGAGGACCTCCGCGATGTCGTTGGTCGTGACGCTCTCGCTGGTAAGTCTCACCCTCACTCCTCACCCCTACAACTCGAGTCCCAGGCCCAGTCAAGCTGACTTTGTTGATACAGTTGATCGCTACCCCGCTATGGCTGCTGATCGCTTTGTTCACGCTGTTCGTGGTAAGTCTTTTCTTTCCCTCAAGGAAAATACCCTTACGGAACGCGTCTTCTGATACTTTGATAGCTGTGGCCGAGATCACCGGCGTGACCTTCACAGTTGGCGATGGCAAGACTTCTGAGACCTCTACCAGCAACACTGATGTGACTCGCGTTACCTTCTCGGTCGAGCCCACCACTACCTCTGGCGACGTCACTCGCGTTACCATCTCGATTGAGCCCACCAGCACCTCGGAGGCCTCCTCTACTTCTGGCGATGTGACCCGTGTGACCTTCTCGATTGAGCCTACTGGAACCTCCAAGGTCTCTTCCACTTCCACCGAGGTGACCCGTGTCACTATCTCGATCAAACCCACTGGAACTTCCGAGGTTACCACCACCGAGACTGAGACTGAGGGTTGCGGCGGTGAGGAGACTACCATGACCTTCGACATTTCTCCTACCAGCACCGTTCCTGCCTCGACTACCGCCACGGAGACCAGTACCAAGTTGACTTTCACCGTCAACCCTACCAGCACTGCCACCGAGACCGAGACCGAGACTGAGACTGTGACCTGCTCTCACTCCTCGTCCCCTTGCCACACCTCGAAGACCACTTCGACTGGATTTGGGTTCACCATTTCCCTGACCAGCACTATCACCAGCACTTCTTCGGGAACTCCTGTGACCTCTGGAAGCACCCTGACTGTCAAGCCTTCTTCCACTCCCGGCGTCAAGGCCACAAGCACCAATAGCTCCGTTGAGACCACCCCTCACAAGACTTTTACCAGCGCACTAGGTACTTCGACTGCTACCATCACCTTCAACGGTGCCCACAAGCCGGAGACCTTCAATAAGCTGACTGCCAGTGGTCTGCTCCTGCTTGTCATCAAGCTCGTCCTGTGAGCTTCCAGCAGCGTGCCCATTCGGCTTCTGCACCAGAGCTACTTAGCGTGGTTTCCACAGATCGTTTAGCGCTTACTAGACAGACCATACGGAGTCCTTTTCTTTTCTGAATGTGCTTGGGATGCAATATCTGCTCCCTTGATATGATGTTATTTCCTTGGTTACGTTTTATTGCCATAGTGCGAGCTTAGTCTGCACCATTTAGTCAATCAACACCTGAAATCCAAGGTTCACAAAAGCTCCTCGTAATTTCCATCGCTTGTATATATCGTTAATATAAACAATCGTAATTTTATCATGGCCGAGTGTAGCGAAGCTTATTGCGTGCTAAGCTGAGGAAGAGGAGGAAATGGTGGTGGTAGTAGTGCTGAGTTGCACAAAATTGACGATGCTAATTGGCTAATTAGTGGCAGACTTAGACGGTGAATCTTACTATTTGGTAATGGTGAAGACGTCGGATAAATTATCATTTTATCCATTATAACAAGAATTAAAAGTTTATGCAAAAATATAGGCTCAGCAAGACTCATGGAAGTCCCCGTGGGACCCCCACTGAGGGGACCAGCTTTTGCTAGTGCTTTGGGACTTGTCACACATGGACTATTTAAATTGGTTACACAATCCTGCAATAGCGGCGAGGAAACGTAGATCTTTTGCCTGGCAGGGGGCAAGGTAGGCCCGTAGGGGCCAGGGGTTAGGAGGGCTTATCATCTCTTTGTTAGACGATAGACGGTTATTATATCCACCATCCAGATAGCCATATTAATTTAGTCTTAGCCCATCTAGCGTATATGATGTAGCGCTGTGCTCCGCAGTCAATGATGTGAAATTCGATGCGTTGATCTTCTGGCGTCAATGAATTAGAAGAGGGGAATAATATCCTGTCGAGAGATCCAGGTCCAAATCCTCTTGGAACATCTTCCGTCTATTGAGCTTGACCAACTTCATCCATCCATTCTTGACAGCACTCCCGCTAGCAGTAGCAATAATCACATTCTCGGTGCCCGAGAAAATGCTCTGCACGGTAAGAGCAGCTTCCCCCAGGACGAAATGCTCATTGGGAACCAACTTGTCAACCCCATTCCCCATGGACGAATCCTTCATATGGCAATCATGGTTTTCCATACAAGTCGACTGAAACGGAGGATTGAGCAGGATCCGAGTATACAACGTTGTCTTTGGACGAGTGAAATTCCCTACTTGACACGGCATTGTACACGTTCGTTTCTGTCCATGGTGTACTTCCATGCATCGTTGACTAGCAACAGCAAACGTTGCAACGTCTCGAGAGTCTTTGATGACTCGGATCCAGTTGTTGATTTCTCCGGAGGATGGGGAGAGCTCGATACGATGGGTGCGGGCATTTTCAGTGAAGGGCCAGTATGCCTGTAGGTTACTGTCGTGGTCGACGCCGGTGTCTTCGAGAGCGATTATGGCGTTCATGATTATGCGTCGAAGGTATTCTTTTCTTTTCGGGTCACCTTCTGGTGGGATATTGACCGACGAGTCGATGTCATCTGTGGAGAAGAGCCGAGTCCAGCAGGATTTTATACAGTCAGGATCGGCGATCCGGTGTAGACAGGGTGGTGGGTCTTCATGTTGTGGAGATTCTTCTTGATCTCGTTTTGCTATTGTCTGTGAAAGACGAAGAGCATCCCAGAGTGTGACTCGATGGGCATTGCCCGTGCAAGCACTGACTTCCAAGCCAATGTGACTGGAGAGAAGGGATCGTAAATTGGGTTTTCCGTATTTACATTTTTCAATGATGGATGTTTTCCATTTGCGTGCTGGATTGCGTTTCCATTTTAACGCACCACCGGCCTGGACGTAACTTCCCAGGGTGGCTTGCATGGTGAGATCCCATCCATCAAGAGTGTGATATGCATTATGGGCTCCCGAGGGCTGGAGTTGAGGTAGAATGCGTGCTTGCAGGAAATTGAATGGTGCGGGACATCCTTCGTTGATATTTAGCCCGGTTGCGGTGCATGGTTCTGTGCCAATCAGGATTCGAGAAGAACTGCGCAACAGAATCGGGCTTTCAGTTTCATACCCTGTGTATGAACTTGTCCAATGACACTCAATCTCTTCTAGAGACTGATCGGTTTGCATGTGGCGTGGAAGAGGGATAATGTATCCTGCTTCTGTCCGGATGAAGACGCCTTCGTCTCCCAAACCTCCCATGAACCAAACAGGACCCCATAATTGTTGGAGGTCTTCGACCGTGAGAGACACTTTCAGGCCGGTTGTTGGAACATCCGTTTGCTCCTTCCCAAGGACCCATGCTGGTCCACCAAGAAAGTCTTTCAGACAGGCCAAGTCTCGCAAGGCGAAGGAATATCCATTCCCAATGGATATTTCACTCTTTTCCTTCCCCCACAGGTTCTCATCAAATCGGCAGACATGAGAGCCGGAGAAAGAGACAAGGCCAATTGACAAAGCGTCGGCTAAAAATTGCAAATAGTTGAGGTAGGCCCAGGTCGATTCGGAAGGAGGGCGACCAAGAGGCAGATTGCCCAGGAGTTGCTGAAGTTTTGGCCATTCACGAAGTGTAATGATTTTACCAGATTCATCCAGTGAATAAAATATCCGTTTCCCCTCAAGAACATCATTGATGTCATCGAGGGATACTCGAACTGCTCTTGCAACATTAGGTCGAGATTGGTCTTTAACCAGAATAGACATTGCGTTATTACAAAAGCCCTCTTCCATCAGGTTTCGAAGTGCATCTCTGCTCTTCTTCAGGGAATCCCTGCATTTGAGTTGGGATTTTGGCTGTACTTCAGGCCTTTTAATACCACAGATCTCTGCTGTCCTTCGTTCGAGAAGATCGAGTTTTCTGTAATAGGCACCAGGATTGAGGATGTGTTCCATGTCCTCGTTATCTGCGATACCAGTGTCGAGGTCAAACACGTCTTCCTGATCAGGTCTGGTAATGTTTGTTTGCATTGAATGGGACTCTTCATCATCAGATGTTTGGGACGATTTGCTTGTATTCGAGCCAACTAGCACACGAGGTGCTGGCTCGTGTACTTGCATTCGTTGCGCAAGATCTGGACCAGGTTGGGAAGCAGGCGTAGGCGTAGTTTTGGGCAGTGAGGTAAAGTTGAATTTTCCGCTCTTGTCTACCGGTGTTGAAACCTGTGACTCATGCTCTGGAGGCTTTGGGACATATTGCTTTGGTGGTTGACTGCTAGAGTCCTTCCTGAGAGGGACGGGTGGAGTTGTGCTCAGGTCCCGTTGTGTATCTTCCATGAGGTTCTCTGGAAGGCTCTGTTGAATCTCCGTTTGGTTAATATGGGCCCCCGCTCCAAGGAAGGCCAGGGAGAAGGGCAGGGGTTCTTGCGCTTCTCCATCGTCCGGGGGACTTGGCAGGGGGAGCCAGGAATAAAACTCGTCGTCTGCGAGCCATTCAGATATGGGTTCCATCGCCCCAGAGGGGTTTATATCTGTGCCATGTCGTTCACTTGTCTCCGGCGGTGGCTCGTTCTTATCTTCTTTGAGCGAAGTCATTTGAGAAGAATCGTGTCCAGTGTTGCTAGGCGATACTAAGCAGTGATTCGTGACACACTGATAGAGCCTCTCCCAGCCGCGAACCATGGTGAAACAGATACCGCACAGAGGTGGACATATCAACGGAAATGTCACCTTGTCCAGCTCCTCTTGTTGCAGGGATCGATTGTGCTCAACGCGGAAATGGCCTACTAGTTCATGCCGCCTTCGATAAATTCTCCCACACCCTATCTCGGGGCAGTGATACTCGTGGGAGGGAAAGTGACAGCGTATTAGATGTCTTTTGAAGAGTTGGCGGCGTTTGAACCGGGCGGCCGTGAGGCCATTTTTCTCGCAAAAGCAGCACCAGTATTCTTCAGATTGATTGAAGGTGGGTAAAGTGTCTGCAAAGGCTTCATGCGCGGCTTCAGGCGCGGCTTCAGGCGTGGGTTGAACGAGGCTTTGGGGATTGCTCGTTTGGCTAATGAGATCTTCAACATGGCTCATCGCATCCTTCAGCCGATTTCGTAGGATGAAAAGTTGATTTGGAAGCACAGTTTGGCCGTTTTGCAAGTCCGTGCCCACAGACTCAAGATGTAAGGCCAGATCTCTCAATATACGAGCCCGATTTGCGGCGTGCTGGGATTCTCTTTCTGGAACTCCCGGCTGTTGGGGCAGAACTCGACGTTTATTATCATGAGAAGCATCAAATACGAGACTGGCTGGCCCGCTGCTCATGGGACTCGGGCGATATCTCCGAGAGAGCCTGCTGTTTGAACTGCCACTGGACCTGGTGCTTCCTGAAAATACGGATGGGTTGCTGTTCGTACTGATTGTTGAAGCAGCCCAGCTAGGTATTGGGTATACGGTGGGTGGTGGGTATATGGTGGGTGGTGCCGGGAATTCGGGCATCGTGAATGGGTTCTCGTTCCAAGCGACATCAGTCTGGTCATCCTCCATTTTGACATCTTCAGTGGGCCCAGTCCCGTCCCAGAAGGTCCAGTCTGTGTCGTCGTCCATATTGGGGCGAACTGAATAACGTTATGCAGGAAATTTGAACACGATAGAGTCCGGTCCATTTCAAATGATTCAAACAGGGATCGCTCCACCTTTTTAAATTGCTCATCGGTGGGGATTTTCTGGATTACCCGGGTGCTGTCAGCCCTTCGTAGGACTGCTGGTATTGGTCCATCGTGTGACTGGGGTACATTAGCTGCCGATGAAGGCCCAATGAGGCCCACCAGACACGACGCCTTCAAAGGTCTAAATGGAAGTCAGCCAGAAGATCCGATCAGTCAGCCAATCCAAACGAATAACTCAAGGTCACCGACACGAGATTGAGCCTCCTCATGCAGTCTCGAGAGGCCTCGTGGTTCTGCCTCCGGGAACGCCTGCCGGCACAGCCTCTTCCCGCGAAGGCTATGTTAGTTTGTTTCAGGAGACAGGTCAGAAAGCTATCTGCAAGACAGCTAAGCTGTGGCTGTGCTCTATTATGTAACTATAATATGCCTTGTTATTGTAACAACCCTCTCGGGCATGGAAACCTGTACTGGCTATCTCGGCTCCATGTGGCTATCACTTCAAATTTTTAACCTAATCCTGTCGATTCGTTACGCAGGTACATTGATTCTATCCAGTCATGAACATCCAAGTATATGTACACAATAACTAGTTGTTAAGGACAAATCAGGTTCGAAAAATCCAAGACGCGGGCTTCCAAAGTATTTGCACACAACTTGAAATTGTTGATGGCTTGGAAAGTACCGAGGATTGCCCTTGACACAGCATCGACAGGTAGCCCGAGTAAATTCACAGGGTATCTCAAAAGAAACAAAGGGGATGCAATAGCATTTACATGCAGAAATGGGTATATGAAGAGATCTTTCAACTAGACTTCGCCTTCGCTGCCAAGGGTCTCAATTTTCCTTGTCAGAGCACAGATTCGACACCCGTCACCAATCTTGTCTCTCAAAAGACGTGCCGTGGTGACCTTCGGGCCTACCGTACGAGAGGCAGTTGACGTGGTGGGATCCTCGGAAGGAGATGATGGACGCGGTGTGCGGTCTGCAGACCTGTCTGGGGTACCAATACTGGATTGCTGTTGTGATCTTTCCGAGTGCAAGTGCGAGAGGTGGAAAACATGCCCACAGCCAAATCCAATGAGAATTTCGCGTTCTATGAAGGAAAGGATCCGTCAGTCACAATAAATTCAAAAAGCACGTTAAATAGCTGGGTCTGAAGACATACCGTTTGCTTGGAAGGGGGCGTTGCAGCCACCGCAACGCCCTTGGCCAGGACCCGCACGCCGGGTTGAGCCACTGGATACTGACATGTCATCATGGCCTTGGCCGTTGGGCTGGGTGATATTCGGGAGATTCGCCCCATTGACAGCCTCATCGTGACTGATATTGAATTTGATTCCACGTCTTTGTCCTTTGCGCAGTGTATCCATTCCCAGGGCAACCTCGCTCTGCATGACTCGAGCGGCGCCCTGACTGATACTGGTCTGTAGATCATGCTCACGAATCAATCGGGTCAGGCCATCTCGCAGGCCCTCGATCTCTAATCCACTTGGAATTCGACGGACTAGTTTGATGGGATCAATTGACGTTCCAGCCTCGACAAGCAGCCCGTGGATGAACTTTGGTTTATCCATGGAATAATCAAGAAGATCTTCCCAGAGATCTGGGTCATCTTGTGACTTGGCGAATGAAATGGCCTGAGAGACATCCTTCAAATCCGATAAGATCAGGTTCAAAGCCCGCTTTGTTTGGCCCATCTTTGACAGCAGGTAAATCAACTCTTGAGTAAAGCGACGCTGTTCACAGATATGGGTGGCTGTCTCAAACGAGTATGAGATGCTAGTTTGCAAAAATTCCATCAACAGGGGCCGGTCATAGTCAGCAAAGACTTCCACAGCAGTGTCGGCAAAAGCATCAATGAGAGCTTTCCCTTCGTCGGCAGCGAGTTTGCTTGCTGCATCACGAGCATGAGCTCCGCGGCCTCGTCGAGGTTTTGAAGCGTCATGCGGTAACGCTTCACCGCGCCAGAGAGCACGAAGGTAGAAGTAGAGGAACAAGATCCGGTTTGCAGCCCTGAGCTGGGATACAACCGTCTCAGGTCGGACAATGCCCGTGTAGGCTTCACTGACCAAGAGCTGTATTGGCTCTGCGGCCAGCTCCTCCAGTTCAGACTTTGGAGCTGACTTCATCTGCTCCTTGGTCACCCGAATCATGATGAAAGCAGGGATATCATCCGACACTGCGTCCACCAGGTGGTGCTCCTTTATCAAAGCCATGGCTGCTTCCGCATCTTGAAGTCGAATGTAGCAGTGCAAAGCCTCGCGGTAATGACCCCCCATAAGATACAGCTTGGCAAGACAATCGGTGAGGATGAGCCATTCTTCTGACTGGGCCAGAATTGAATTCGACTTGAGTTGATCCTCGATAGATAGAATCACGTTGTCGGGTTCGAACAGATCCGAAGGCCAGGAATCAACTAGATCTTTGAATCGGCCAAGATCCCGAGAGACATAGTGGTTGAGGATGAACTCATATATCTCCGCAGGTAAGGAAGGGTGTAGGTCGGTGGGTATATGCGGGGTTATCTCATCCACCTTGTCTTTCTTAACGAATACCCACGCCCAGTGTTCCCAACGAGGTGCATTGCGTAGGACTTTCCCACAGACTTCAGCACCTTCTAACCACTTCTCTTGGTCGACAAGTTGCTCAATCCAACGTTCACCGATTTGAGCCTTTTCCTGATCAGAAGCGGAAGCTTTCGCCCGTCCAGCAGTGATGATAGACGATCGATCATCAGCAAAAAAGTCTCCCAGACTAGTTTGCGATCTCAGACCAGCAGGTATGTCGGCTAAGTCTGGAACTGATTCTGCGACTTCGGGGTGTTCATCAATGAGATTCCATGCTTGGTCGTACTGGCCACGGGAATTTAACCAGGCAAGTCGGTCTGAAAGATCCCTCTTCATCGCAACAACACAATCATACGGGCTGTGGACGAATATCTTCGCACCCGGTGCTCCTGAAACATCTTGCACTTCCTTAGAAGGTGGCTCATCGATTGAGAGTTGTCTTGAAATGAATGACGGGGGGACTCTGGCTGAAACTCTGTCCCCGCTACTAGCTGTACTGCGAATGCTAGCACCAGAACTGAAGAGCCTAGCAGAATACATGGTAGCATCGAGAAGACCATGCCCAATAGTACCCAATGCACCACGCTGAACCACTTGTCCTTCGGGCGTTTTCCAGGGCGGTAAGACACTCAAATGATAGTCTGAGGATGTAAGGCCTTCGAACCGGCCGACGGACAGTGTGTCTGCACTAAGCTCTTCCTTTGTCTCAATATCGATGATCCGAAGTTCGGGTTCTAGGCTTCTCTGTCGGTGACGTCTCCCGGGAGTCTTGCCGGTACTCTCTGGAGAATCACCTTCAGCTTCAATATGTGCAAGTACAACAAGAAGGCGAGGGCTGTACAAGGAGATGCCAGAAATTACACAGTCCGTTCGTAATCTGGATTTGATAAGCTTAGAGCTGGACTCCAATAACTGGTCGAGCGCGCAACTTACATCGTGGAGACTTCTGCAGAACCGTATCGTTGGCCTTTCGAGGACTTGCATGCCCGATCAGGAAAGACGTCAATGACCCACACAGTACCTCCCCAGCCGATAACGAGCTTTTCTGACTTTTCTGCTGGCTCTGTTGAGGCTGTCCGTTTGCCCTCGGTTGGGCTGCCGGGATCTAACTGGGTATCATCATCCAAAGCGGATTCATCGATCCATTCTGCCCGTGCTTTCCAAACACTAGCCATTTCTTCCCATCCAGGCCCGTTTGGACGATCGATATGACTGATCCGCTTCCACGCAAATTCCGCTTCGGACAAGTCGAGATGCAGATTGGATCGCATGATCTTGATGCCTTCTTCATTCACCCAAGTAACGTACTTTCCGGACAGAGACCATCGAACCGTACTAATGGCGCCTTCTCCGCTGTGTAAGATGGTATCTTTCCCACTGCTTGTACCCAGGCCCATGGATCCCAGCCAGCTGGAAGCTGCAGCTGTTGCGCCTCCCATAGTGGTCGCGTTGGAGCTCACACCAATACGGCCGCCTGTAGTAAGAATCAATTCACCAGCTCGACCACCGGAAATGAACGACCGATCATTCGTGTAGTCCGGAGAAAGCGCAACCGCTTGGACCGGTCGGCCAAAGTTCCGCTTGAGGATATCTTTGGGGTCGACAAGCGAGGCAATGCATACATTGCCGTCAATTGAGGAAGATGCAATGTGTATTGAGTTCGATGGCGTTGCTGGTATGGGTACCTGCTGGCCCGACTTGGGATTCCCACGAATACTTCCCGAACTTGTCGATGTCCGCGTCGGGGGTCGTACACCTTCTGCAACCGTTCTATTGGAGGCATCGACCTTGACCTTCGGTAGAGGAGGGGGGAATGGCGATATAGATATGGACGTGACACTTGCTGAATGTGCATGGTATACGCGGAGGGGCTGGAGAAGAGGCAAAGAGAGGACATGCTAGACACGATGTATGAGCGCATGCTTTAGATGGGTGCGATTGGGAATGAACCACTTACAATAACGCCATTATGAGTCCCAACGATCTAGCAATAATTGTTAGTTAAGTTTCCTCGGAGTTCCCAAAGACCGACTGACCATCTTATCTCCTGCGACTAGGAATGTGCTGGTCGCATCCCCGTTGCGATATACCGATCCCAGGTGCTTGGTGAGGTAAGCGTATTTGAGTCGTGGCTCCTCGTCATCCTCGTCAGAATCCTCCTCTTCTTCATCTTCCTCTTCCTCTTTGTCGAGGTCATCACTCGCTGCAGTATCTTGGTCGTCATCTCGGTAGTCCTTCTCGTGTTCGTCAGGGTTGGCGCCCGAAGAGGATCGGCTCCGTGCAGAGGACGCATCAAGCTTCGGAGCACGCTTCGTAGCCCCCTGGTTCACCGTTTTCACGCCAGGCGCATCCATGGCGAGTCCTCGTAGCGCCTGGGAGCTCCAGGCGGGTTAGAATGGAGGTGCGACGAGCATAGAGCAGCTGGCGGGACCTGGATTGCTGCTGGGAGCTGGGGTTCGGGGTGGAGCAGAGATGACTAAGCGGGTGGGATCCTCGGCCCCTGCAGGCGATGACATCGTCGTAATTCCTTCGCTCGACATTGCGCCCGCCATGTTTGCGAAATCATCCCTCTGCTCAGCTTGCAAGCGACCGGTGACCGGCCGTCTTCTGCGGTATCCACAGACTCAATACCTACATGTATCACCGGCATTAGGTCTCCCACGCCGCAAGGACTTCTTCTCCTCCAGCTCTTTCTTGGCGCAGAACCAGCTAAAAAAGAATGACGGGCCATTGGACAATCCAGATTCCCAGAAGCAGCGACGGCACAGCGGGAGGATACCTGCTGCTCCAACATCACTGCGCCGAGTTGCAGTAGAGGCACAAAGATCGAAAGATGGGTTTCTGTCGAAAGCCCAACTCAAGGAGCAGGGCATTGACCAATCCAAGGTAAACCCGCCCTGGGAGATCCATAATTACTTGAACTGACTTTTAACTTTGTCTCCTTATAGACAGTCACTGCCTACGCCGTAGCCGAACAATTCAACATACGCAAAGTACGAGAAATCCTACAAGAAAAGGGCTATGAGCCTGATCCGCTAGCCACCGGCCTCTATCCGCAAGTGGTTCACGTCCAGATACCCATCGATTCCATCCGGCGGGTAGGAAACCCTTCAACTACCGATCTATCATCGGATGAGGTTGGTGATATCTTTGTTTTTCCGTCTGGAACAGTAGTGGCATGGGCACTCCCGGATGGGTTCACCTCGTTCTTGGCGACAAGAACTTTACTTCCAGCCGCTGAAGGCGCTCATGTTGACAGTTTGGAAACGGAAGATCTCGAGTTCGTCGAGGATCCCCAGCGAGAAAACAGCAGCATCAAGGGCGACACCATCATTCTAGGCACTAGGTCGGGCGATCAAGGACCAGAGACACCGCGTGCAAATCAACAATCAGTTGACACGGTTCTGACCAAAGTCGCATTCTCGTCCGGCCTGGCACGAAGCACCAAGCTCGCAGTGCTGGAGAGTCTTCTATCGAACTATTTCGAATCAACCCGCACTATTCCCACTCTTCTTTCACAAGGCTCACGCCTACCCTTTACTCGAGACTTTGTCCTTCGCAAGACGGGCCAGCTGCTGAGCGTCCGCGCACAGCTCAACCTTTACTCGGAGCTTACCGACTCCCTCCCAGACCTCTTTTGGGACAGTCGGCATGAGCTTGGCTTGGAGGGATACTATGAGCAAGTGGGCCGAGCTCTCGACGTGGGAATCCGCATCAAGCTTCTGAATGAAAAGATGGATTACGCCCAGGAGATCGCAAGTGTACTCCGAGAGCGTCTCAGTGAAACCCATGGACTTCGGCTTGAATGGATCATTATTCTGCTCATTGCTGTCGAGGTTGGCTTCGAGGTGCTACGGTTGTGGAAGGAGAGGGCTCACGAGGAGGAAGAAAAAGCGCGCAAGCGATCATCTGAAGCCGAGAATGTGTAATGTTTCACATAAACTCCGGTCATACTGTATAGTAGCATAGAAAATAAGATACCCCTTCACTCTTTGTCCGTTCGTCTCCACTGCGGAGCTTCCCATGGATCGTGACCAGATCACGGGGTTGCGGCCGATGATCGCCTTAGTCATCGAAGCTTGACCCATGGGGGCGATAACAACCTCAACCTCCATTCTACTCGACTTTCTCTTGTAATAAACACAATAAACTCTACCTACAATTGCTTCGATATTGCTGATTGAATACTCCAAGAACTAACCCAGCTCCTGCTATGTGGAACCCAGCCCAGCAGGTCCTGGGGATTCCAGGACCCCAGAAGATCCTCAAGACGTTGGGTACCTGGTGGATCTCGTCGGCTACAGATGATAAGAAGCCGACCTTCGGAGCTTCAACATCTTGCCCCCTGTCTGAGGTCAGCTGTCAAACGAAATATCATGGTCAGGACACATGCTGTTTCAATTATCCCGGTGGCCAGATGCTGCAGACGCAGTTCTGGGATGCGGACCCCGCGGTTGGTCCCGATGACTCCTGGACTATCCACGGCTTGTGGTAAGCCATCACCCCGCACTAGAATCGAACTAGCTTCAAATCAGTTCTAACATGCGGCAGGCCTGATCATTGCAATGGTGGCTTTGATCAATTCTGTGATTCCAAGCGGAAATATAGCAACATTTCGCTGATTCTGGTCGACTCTGGCCGTGGAGATTTGCTCGAGTATATGACCGAGTACTGGAAGGACTACCGCGGCGATGATGCTCATTTATGGCAACATGAATGGGAAAAGCACGGCACCTGTGTCAGCACCCTGGAGACACACTGCTACGAGGACTACATTCCCCAGCAGGAAGTAGTAGACTATTTCGACAAGTCGGTCGAGATCTTTAAGCAGGTCCCTTCATACGAGGTTTGTTAATCTTTCAGTCTATCACATAGTCATTGCTTAACACTTGTGCAGTTCCTTGCAGCGGCTGGTATTGTTCCATCCCACAGCCAAACCTACGCACTTGCAGATGTCGAAGATGCGCTGGAGCAAGCCCACGGTGCCCCCGTCACAGTGCATTGTCGGCAAGGAGCCCTCAGCGAGATCTGGTACCATTTCAATATTGCAGGAAGCCTCCAAACTGGCAGATTTGTTTCCGCGCCTCCAGGTTCGATGGATCATTACTCCTGTTGCAGCAAAGCGCTAACATTATCTAAGACGGACAAACTTCCAACTGCCCCAGGCGAGGCATCCGTTATCCGCCCAAGCGATCAGCGCCCGAGCCGACAAAGACCACTACGCGCGGGTCGGAACCTACGCAGACAGGGGTTCCCTTTTCAGGAAAGGGGAACCTGATGGTATCCACCATCAACCAGAGACGAGGCTGTATCATCAGCTATGGAAGATGGTATGCGTCTGGCACATGCGCTACTTTCCGGGTGTATAAGGCGTCAGGTTCGTATCTTTTGTCTTCTTTTGTGCGGTAATACTCATTTCGTCTTTGCATGCTAACTCGGACTTCACAGAGGATTCCTTTACTCTAAAGTCTAGCAAGGGCCTTTGCGCATTTGAAGATGATGCTTTGAAATGCGGTAGCCAGGTCAGCAAGCCAAGCGAGTTTACGGTATGTTTAATCCCAAGATTCTGCTCTTTAGGTCCCATTGAATACTAACCTAGTATTTCAACAGGTCAAAGATGACAAACTCGCATACCTGGGTAACACGACTTTTTACGCGGACAATGCGCCTAAAGGTCATGTCCAGAGCACCGTCTTCGCTTCTGAGGCAGAGCATCTGATTGAAATTGAAATTAGCTGGAAGTCGAAGGCTGGATTCTGATCGCATCTTCTGCGGCTAATTCTGCCAATTGCTCACCTATTGATAGCATCATCCCAACTGTTTTGTGACATTATTAGATTCAATAGCTTAGAGCAGAGTTTCATGTCTTATGTATAGCTATATGCAGACAATATTCTATGAAGAAGACCAACAATCTCTTGATTAGAATTTAGTTATATAGTATTTTCAGGTGATACACAACACAGGTCGCGATCCTACTTATCACGCCAAGAATTGATCCCGTGTAGATGTTGGACCAGTACGTAGTGGACAGGAATAGCTTCAAATTGGTTACTGATTCGGATCAACGGCTATATAGCACGTCCGTTCGGAGCACCTCCTGCCTCGCTCTTCTTCCCTTCTCGAATCAGGAATTGAATTAGATGTTTGCAGGTTGTTGGCAGTGGCAAGTCTGCGGCTGCCCATCCTTTGCTCCGCTACGAAGCATCAGTTCGAGCTATTGCAAGCATTTCCAATATTAGTGATGATTCCAAAATACAAGATACCAAGATAAAAACTCACCAATTCAAGGTCTGCCAAAGCCTGGCTGGGGCTCTGTTTAGGGTTTACCTTGCCCGCTGCAAGAGCCTCTCCCCATTGTCGAACTTCGGGTGGAACGCCTGTCCGCTCATCCTCGATAATTTGAACATCTTCCTTGCCGTCCAAGGTTCGCACGGTGATCTTGGAATTCTCAACACTGACACTGCCGTTTTCACATCCAATGGTCCATTCGGGGCCGACTAGGGTAGTTCCGTTCGACAACTGGAAAGTGCCCTGAATACCAGTGTTGGCTTTTAGAATTGCATCAACTGTGTCAACAGGAGGCAGATGCTCCTTGAGCAGAGTTGTGAAGGCGGACAATCGAGTGATGAAGGTGTCAGGTCCGAGCAGGTAGCGTAGTCCGGCAGTATAGTGCACTCCACCGTCGAGCAGGAAGCCACCCTGGTGTGTAGGAACCTTTCTCCAATCGGTGTCTAGATCGATGAATGTTAGCTTTTAGGTGTGCAAAGACGGGAGTACCAGTCAGTCTTACTAAAGAACTTTCCGTCCTGCTGGATATTTCCGTAGACCTTGACGCGGAATCCAATAATCTTCCCCAGGCCCTGAACCTTCTCCCGAGCGTAGCTGAAGCTATTGAGGTAGCGGAAATTCTCTGCCACACTCCATGTAGCCTTCTTTTGAGGCTCAATGTCTTCACGATACCACTTGACCAATGACTCCGCCTCTGCAACGCTCTCGGCCACGGGCTTCTCGGACAGAACATGTTTTCCTGCCTTAAGGGCTGCGCTGACATAACCGCCCTGAGAAACGATGGGAAGTCTGAGGACTCTGTGAGCTTAGACCAAAATATGTTGGCTGAATGGGAACTCACGCTATGATTACTGCGTCGACATCCTCCCGGCCCAGCACCTCGTTGTATCCTTGCTTCGAGTCCTCGGAATACAGCTCAACCTGCTTCCCCGAGGCCTTGGCAGTATCTTCTGCAGATTTCAGCGACCGAGAATAAATAGCCTTTAGTTCCAGGTGCTCCGAGGCGAGTATCGCTGGCTATGAAAGGCGAATGAGTCACCGTCTTCCACAATGATTTCTGGACCAACATACCAAGTGCTCTTCCCTCGCCCAGATTCCTCCTCCGATCAACGCCACTCCAATTGCCATTTTTTTAGTCTGAAGGTAGTTACCGAGTCAATTAGCAGGTCTTGTTTACCTTTGAGAGATGTCAGGAACTCTCAAGTGGGATCTTGCGCGGTAAATAAACTCGTATTGAGTGCGGGGAAGGGAGTACAGCCAAAAGTCGGAGATGATCCGGCGGCAACCATCGGCGAACTCTTTCGACACGGAAGATCGATTAAGCCAAAATTTGTTAGCCTAAAGCGCTCACCGTCTGAGTTGCAATGCTTAGATATCAAGACTGGCCAGAGCTCTGTAGCTAAACTTTATTTTGCAAATTACCAGAGCCGGGCACGTCATTTAGGCTGCTCAGAAGCTCATGCTCTAGCTCCTGTTCGATGTCCGACGCAAAGGATCTGATGGGTGAGAAAAGGAATGGTTTGAATACCTATGGTTTAGATGATACTACTCTATCAAGAACCAAAGACAGGATCATCAAAGGGTTCTACAATATGGACCTGCAATACTTTGGCAGAATAACCAACTGGCGAGTCCAAGTCCAGAGCCGATCGCTACCCGAAGTGGGGACTTACAATTCACCAACTGAACTCACTGTACTCCGGAGTCGGCCACACCTAAAGAATCATACAGCTCACACCAGGCACTCCAATTGCGCAGATATCACACACCAATTATTGCGCATCATTGGAACTTCCAGGATCCTGGTCTTTACGTCTGAAGTCCCCCCGCTGCACTATCTAAGCGCACTGCTCAAAAGCAGAGTCAAATTCATGCCAATTCCTCAATATCAAAAGCACCTACATATTGATCTCCACAATGGCTGCAACCAATTCATCGCTCCTACCAGCAGACATCATAGAGTCTCAATTGGCCACGATTGACCTCATATCGGCGATGTACCCATCTCCCGGAGAGCTGGAAATCCCTGAATCCACAACAGAGTGCATCGAAAAGCTTCGCGACTGGTGCCAAGACCCAACATCTACGCCATCTAAGATCCCTGCAAGCATATCTCTCACCGTCTGTCTACCAATCGCAGATGGAGACAAGACGATACAAGTCAACATCTCAGTCCCACTTCAATCCGAGAGTCAACAGCCAATCGACCAGCCCCCGCCATTGGGATATTCCCTCCGACAACCGGACTGGATGTCCAAAGCCGAAGTGGCAGAACTCGCCTCATCAATGCCGAAAGATGATGCATTAGAAGCGTTCGAATACATCCAATCAGAATGCGTCCGCTTCCTCGAGACCAAGCAAAGTCAAGCTCTAGCATCAGAAGGAACGAACACAGATACGCGCTCCAGCGGCCCACTCGTAAGAGTGTGGTTTTACTTCCCTTCTCTATCAACTCGGAAAAAGAGAGACGACATGGTGAATCTCGCACCCGGGTATTCTCTGACGGGCTTCGTGCTTGCGGGCAAACCGGGGGTACTATGTCTCGAGGGTCTGTCACCGGATATCGATGCTTATATGAGTTTCATCAAGACGCATTCCTGGGGTGATATCCCCAGTCATCAGAAAAAAGTCAGTGAACGGTTTCGGGAGACGGAGGGGGTTCAAAGGGTATTCTCGGGAATGGAGGAGATTACGGACTCGTTGGGGGAGCGAGGAGGGCAGCGGGCAAATCGGGGTGATATGCAAGCATTGGAGGCCTGGCTGGGGAGTAAAGGGTTGCAGGAGGCATTTGAAAAGGTCATATTCTAGATAACTTAGTATATTGTAGAGTTATGAATCAACACGAGTCTCTACACCCTTGTTGATTATTTCATACCGATTTCTCTGATGTGGTGGCTAGATGCCTTTATTTGCTTCATGTTACGTTGAATCGCAAGGGGTGAAGACTACTAGACTTTACGGCTGTCTACGAGGATACTAACATGGATAATGAGTAACAGAAGTATATTGCAATTGGCGACACATTCGCCAACAGGAAAGATAAAAAGTCTAAAATACAAGCTAACAATATCACGCACGATTTGCTACAGCAAATGGAGAATACGCCAGGAAATTCTGCCCGCATATAGCTAGCTACAGAAAATTCCATTCAGAACCCATGAAATACAAATCGAATGGTAAGGAGGGGGAGGACATTAAGGGAAAGAGAAACAAAAAAAGCACGCCATAAGGCAATCTAGCAATCCCAGCAGTCCCAAAAGTAGCAGAACAGCCACCGGGGAGAAGAAAAGAAAACACCATGTTCGGAAAATAGAAATGTGAAACAGAAGAGGAAATACAAAAATTCAGGTGGGTAAATGGGCAAACAGATTGGGGGGGGAAGAAAAGCAATAGACAGTACTCCCAGGGCCCAAGTAACACCAGAAAGATTCCCGAACCCCTTGGTCAGAAGGGACGTTATCATGTGCGCTAAAGTCCGAATGTGCAGAAGAAGAACATCAAAACCCAAGACAAGCGGCGAAGAAAGCGGCGTCATTGGGCGTATCGAAAAGAAAGAGTCGCGTGTTCAGTCGTGCATCGTGAGATTGTACAAGCTCGTATCGTGTCATCGCAAAATTGCGCCGCGCCAGAAAGAGGAAAGAAAGGTAGTCGCATCGTCTAAGTCATGCTTTTGGTCGAAAAAAAATATAATGTCGCCGTGAATTCGTGTAAGCCACACTCAAGGATCAACCAGGAACTCATTGGAGAGCGAGTCGATTTCCGAATAGGGATCGTCTAGAGGGTTGAGGCCAGAGAAAGTCTTCTCGGGCATGTCGGTGTAGAACGACGAGGTGGGGAAATCGGACGAATCGACATAAGAGTAGGTGTTTGAGAAACTGGACAGTGTCTGGGTGGTTATGTTGCCGAACTCTTCCTGCACTTCCTCCGATGGATCTTGAGTCATGAAGAAATCAATCTCCGAGCCCACGGAGGACTCGGCCAGTGTAGGGGCGGTGTGCGGCGAGGACATATCGTGAGGGGAGAGGGCAGGGTCACTGTAAAGATACTCCTGAGAAGAGGGCGCTCCAACCATGTTTGGGTTGAACTGGGCAATGGCTTGCTCATATCGAGTGTGGGCCATTTGTGGGGGCGACAGAGGCGGAAGCAGATCATCTTCGAATTGGGACGAGAACGAGTTTCCAGCTGGCAGTGGCGATGGGACGTCATTGAGACTAGCGCCGGGGGAGGTAGGTGGCGTGAATGAGGACATGCTGTTGGATGGAGCATAGTTGGGCGATGCAAAAACGGGGGCCTCCTGAAGAAGGGCACCCTCGGTCTTGATTGGTGTGAAAGACTCGGTCTTTTCGGCAACGCGTTGGCGGGTACGGGTGGACTTGGTCTGGCGGGTTTCGATATCGGGGCGGTTCTTCTTGGGCGGGCGACCACGTCTCGTGGTCTTCAAGGTATGGCCATTGTAGCCTCCAACGCACATGTCGCGCTGGCGGTGACGGGTCAGAGCATCTTGACGAGCGAAACTAGCACCACATCGGCAGGCGAACGGCTTTTTGCCAGTGTGGGTCTTCAGGTGGCGCTTGAGATCGTGGCCTCGGACAAACTTCTTATCGCAAACATCGCACTTGTAGGGTCGGTCATCGAGATGGGTCTGCACATGGGACTTGATGTTCTCCTTGCGACCGAAACGGCAGTTCTCGCAATCGTGCCACAAGCACACCCACTTTCCGTCCTTAGGATCGGGACCGGAGATGTACTTGTTGATTTCGTCGTTGGAGACGCCCGTCTCTCGAACGGACGCCTTGACACGAGCATCGAGGTCGAAGTCATCAATGGGCTCGGCCTCCATGTCGGACCCAGATGGCATGAGCGAGGACTCGATCGAGTCGGCACGCCCTTGGCGGCCACCCAGAGAAGGGGTCTCGCCGACATCAGAAAGGCCACAAGAGCCTGGGGAAGGCATTGCGGCCAATTCGGCGAAGGCGACAGAAGGCGATTCGGCGGGGGAAGGGATATGATGCTTGAGCTGCACGGGACTAGCCAGAGATACGCCCTGATAGGACTGGGCTCTCTGCATTTCGGAGCTGACAGGGGTACGGGGGATTGAAAAGCTCTGGGACTTGGTGGGGGTTTGGTCATTGCTGTACATGGTAAAATCAAAGGATCCCTTCATCGGGGTAGACTCCGGGGTGAGGGGGGAAGTGTCTGTCGAACGATATTAGTTGGTGATTCTTCATGCGTTGAAACAGTAACGATCTTACAAGAAAGATAAGGGTTCATCTTGGGTGAGATACCCTCTGGTTGAACAGAGAGTGGCTGCATCACTCGAGGGTGTCCGGTGGTCTGCTCTCTTTGCATCATTGAAAGATTGCGCTCCTGGCGCATGCGATGGAGGGCGCTCTGCAACGAAGCATTCTTGTCGGAGCTTTCACTAGCGGATCTCGAAAGAGCGGGGGCAAGTGATGTTGCTGGGGAATTCGAGGCAGCGGATGCCGAGTATAGTCCCTGCAATTCCTCTTGGCTCCACATTGGTGATGACTGATATTGATAGTGTTGTTGGGGCACAGGGAGTCCATTGTGAATAAAGGACTGCTCTGACCGTTGGATGTAGGCAGGGAACTGTTGCGCATTCCGTGCCTGTTGAGGAAGACCTGCTGATTTTGCGTTAAAGAAGTCTCGAAGCTCCGGGACTGTCTTCGAGGCATGTCGTCGGTCAACTGCGGGAATCTGTTGACCGTACGAACCATAATCCATTGTCTGTCCCCGGCGATGCGTGCGGCGCGCTGGGATTGCAGACATGGGTTGCGGTATAATTGCAGCGTCGAAGGGTGCTGGAGTCGAGAGTTGACGGCGGTGGTGACCGGGTCGCAGCGACGTTGAGTTGGTGGAAATCATGGCTATCCAGCCTCTCGGTGATCACGGCCCTGTCACGGTGTTAGTCTGTGAACACGACTTAACCAACGCAGCAACTAAAACAAAGAAAACGAAAAGGAAAGCGTCGCTAGAGCCTCAAGCAGAGAACTTCAGCCGTCAATAGAGATATGTTTTTGTTATCGGGTTGTGTAGGGTTTTGAAGAGTATGACCAAAGCCCTGTTATGGAGGTAATGGCAGTCTTTTCAAGGTCCAAGGTTTCTAAACTTGAAGGATTGAAGAGAAGAGTAGAGATGAAACTCAATAAGTGTAAAGGTCCGGACCTTGAAGCGGGCCAGTGAGCGCATTGGCGATCTATCAAGTACACCCACGGTTCCATCAACAAGCCGCGTGTTGGCATGGCAACGCTCTGTGATGGGAGTCTGGGAAACCAGCCGCAGGACTAAATGTGACGAAGGGCGGGCCCACTTCTGCCCACTTGAACGATCCATCAATATCTTTCGTATCTCAGATCCAGGCCTCGCATATACACTTGTTGTTCGAGGGCGTCCCTGGCTTCCCATCATCTCCCTACTCGCCTACTCTGCAAGGGCTCCCGATGGTGCTGTGAGGAGAGCGGTCAACGCCTCGTACCTGGGTAGGGATGAGGTCTCCTAGTATAGTCGCCATGGAGATATCCCTTCTTAGCCAATAGTAAATAACCGATCTCAGCTGAAATTTAGCTTCGCGGGCTTTTTAGGCGCTGATTTCTTGTTGCCGTGATGCGGGTCGATGTCATACATGGCCTGAGGCTGTAAGGCTGCAAGGCAACAAGGCTTTAATGAGCTGTCGAACACAGATGGGGCATAATACCGCTAGACCAAAAATGCTCATGGGCAACATTCTTAGTCATACGGGCTGTTTCTTGTTCCGACATGAGCGGTAGATCATGTGACTGGATTTCTGCTTCATCGGAACTCGGGCTATCTTTAATCCCCATCTACTGCGCTAGTCCGTATGTAGTTATATTTCACCGCACGTGACCGCACAACGATTTTAACCGTCAACCGAGTTCCACCCACACTGAATTTCTTCTCTCTTGCAAGGTTAAGGAAGACAACTTGTCGAGGTGAGTTGGACGCCCCAACACCCATGCGTTTCAGCGCTAGAGATGTCGAAAGGAAGATGCCATTGTCATGCGCTCGCTCCGCCAGACGTTCTCTTTTGCTCGCGCGCACCGAAATTTCAAAATCCAGTCGCTAACATCCCACCGCCAGGCCTTCATCAAGATGCAGATCTTCGTCAAGACCCTTACGGGTAAGACTATCACCCTTGAGGTGGAGTCCTCGGACACCATCGACAACGTCAAGTCCAAGATCCAGGGTAAGAACAAATTCCTCTCCAATGCCAGAAACTCGAATATCGAGACTAACGATGATTTCCCCCGCACAGACAAGGAGGGTATCCCCCTGACCAACAGCGTCTGATCTTCGCTGGCAAGCAGCTCGAGGATGGCCGCACTCTTTCGGACTACAACATCCAGAAGGAGTCCACCCTTCACCTCGTGCTCCGCCTGCGTGGTGGTGGCAAGAAGCGCAAGAAGAAGGTCTACACCACCCCCAAGAAGATCAAGCACAAGCACAAGAAGACCAAGCTCGCCATCCTGAAGTACTACAAGGTTGACGGCGATGGCAAGATCGAGCGTCTGCGCCGCGAGTGCCCCGCCCCCGAGGTATGTGATAGTCCAACGGGAGAATTCTGGAAGATAAGCAGTGACTAATGAGTTTTATAGTGCGGTGCCGGTGTCTTCATGGCTGCCATGCACAACCGTCAGTACTGCGGCAAGTGCCACCTCACCTACGTCTTCGACGAGTCCAAGTAAATGGACTTCGTCTAATCGGGAGGTTTCTGTTATCGAGTTCGGGCATGGATTTCTAGGCATGATACGAGTTATGGAGATCTCACGATAGATGATACGGTTGATGGGCACCTACCTTGGGAACCTTGACTACTGTGAATACAAAAAAAATCACACCAAAACCTGGCTTCCGCCAATTTCGATTGTTCTACTGTAATCTGTAAACGATAGACTGCATGCACTATGCTGTTGTGTAAGGAAACGAAAGACTATGGACACCACGGACGACTCCTCCACGGTCCGGACCGCTTTCATGCATAACTCCTCGCCGTCATACATCGATAACCCGATGAGGTTCCATCTACTCACTGGCCGGGAAACCCAGCCCGCAAATTATCATACTTACTCTCGGGATAATCGAGAGCATTTTCTGTATGCTCCAATGCACCGACGCCACCGATGCTGTCCACAAAGGTGCCGATCAAACTGCCCTGTGCAGGATTGCCCTCCTTGCCTCCCCTTGTCACCGCTACTCTCCCACCACATACCTCCACCAAGCTGCCGGTACTTGACAAATGCAGCCTTTCTCTGGCTCATCTCGACATTGTCGTACGTGACCATGGTGCGCGAGTTATGATCGTAGCTCCAGGATGCATCCGCCTCCGTATCATTATGCTCGGTAGCGCCGGGACGTGGCAGGGCCTTGTAATCCCAGACCCCGTTCTCCCAGCTACCCTGGCCCACGCCATTGTATGGAGCACCGGGGCCGTCGGTATTCTCAAATGCACGTCCGTACAGCGGCATGCCTAGAATCATCTTCTTTGGCGGCACACCCTCCGCATTCATGTAATGCTCGAGCGCGGCAATGGTCGAGAACGGCGTCGAGGTTGGGTTCGACTTTGATGGGAAAAGATTGGCCTGGTGGCCGGCGTTTCGGTCCCAGCTGCCGGCATAGTCGTATGCCATGAGGTTGTAGAAGTCCAGCAGGGGCGTCATGTCGCGCAGCTTGAGCTTGGAGAAGTTGCTTGGCCCTGCAGGGCAAGCAATGGAAAGGTAGAACTTGCGGTGTGGGCCGGCGGCTCTATCGAGGCTCTGTTGTTTCAAATCAGTCATTGAGCTTGTTAAAATTGCAGGTTAAATGGACAAGCATAATAATCATACCTCGCGGCATGCCCGCAACAGGTCGACCAGGTTCTGGGCTTGGCTTTCGTCTAGAGTATTGTGTCAGATTGGTATTTTCATTGGGTGGTATTTTCATTGGGTGGTATTTCCATTGGGAGGTATTTCCATTGGGAGGTATTTCCATTGGGAGGTATTTCCATTGGGAGGTATTTCCATTGGGAGGTATTTCCATTGGGAGGAGTGTTTTGTTTCCTTTGAAAAGGATACTTACTTTGAGGATACTCCCAATCAATATCAATGCCTGCATATATCAGTCAGTCCCATTCACATTCCAAGCATACATCTAACATACCATCAAGTCCAAGATCAAGAACAAGTTGGGTAGCTGACTCGGCAAACTTTGCCCGACCTTCTGGAGTACTCGCAGGGACAGCAAAGTTGGGAGAGTACGTCCAGCCACCAATGGAAATCAGGACCTTCAGCTTGCGATGTTGTTTCTTCAGCAGGAACAGTTGCTTGATGCAACCGTAGACATTGTTGCCGGTATCATTCCACGAATCACTAGGGTAGTGCTTCTCGACATCAGACCAGCTGTCGGTCAAATAACTGCAAACACGTCATCAGTTCTCTAATTTTGATACGGAATATGTGAACTGCCAACATACACTTCACCAGTCTCCGCGTTGATATTGGCAAATGCGTAGAGCACATGCGTCAGCTTCTCGGCGGGCAGATCTTGTGGGTTGTAATTGCGCCCATAGATGGCCTGCAACGTGGGGTTAGCACGGATCCTCTATCAGCGTGGCGACGGAGGCATTCGGGCGTAGCATGAAGGTAGTGAGGTAATATGTCGAGAAAATAAGAATAATCAGACCAGTCATAGAGAAACATACCCAGTTGACAAAGTAAGCAATAGATTTCAATCCAGCCGACATGGTTGGTTCCGGAGTGGTTGTACAAGGGAAAGATAAATATTGCACCAGGACAGCCACAAACACCACAAAAGCAGTGAGCAATACAATGGGCCGGAGTTGGAAAGCCACAATCAAAGATAGCTGCAGTAATCAAGTTCCGAAGGGTTGTTAAATCCGAGGCAGACCCTGGATCTGATGAATGATAAAATGGAGGGGTACCTAATGTCGCAGCCTAACTGTTAGCGGGACTTTGTACCCTGGCAGTTTAAAAATAACAGACCCCGACGACGTCATTGGTCAGAGCGTAGTGGCTGTGTTGCTAAATGTGGCTAAGGGCTAAGGGCTCGGGGCTTCCGTACTTGTGGCTGAAGAGAATGTATAAATTTAGAGATCAACAAAAACAAATGTCGACAATGTACTGTAGACTGGCTAGGATCTCAGACAGCTTGCGACAAGATTCAATCATACTATGGCCCCCAGATTGCCCATTCTTATAGGCAATCACACAAACTCATGGAACTGTGCAGCGTGACATCTCCACCTGCGCAGGGTCTCTGTACGACATGAGAGATCAGTCATGCTGGCCGCAGATCTTTCAGGATATCCTCGAGCCGGCACTCTCTTTGGTAGAACAATGTCCCTCTAATTTCTAGAAAGGGCAGTTGAGGAGATGCTATCACCTGTGATAGCTCGGCATATAATGCCGAGAGTGTGTTTCGATCAACTTGTTTTGCATTGAGCATGGAATTTAAGGTCACGAGAGCTATCATTCTTGAGCCTTTAGCTCTATAGTCTGACTAATTTGGAATCACCACGAGGGCACGAAATGTATTACCTCAATTAAAGACCTTTTTTTTATTCCCGAGTAGAATGCTCTGATCAAGGTTTCCGTTTGAGATAGAGGAGGATCAGCGTAAGCTCGCAGTCTAAAGAATTATCATTTACAGTGTACCTCAACACCACCTGGCAGCTAATCAGGCGACAATAACTACACTTAGCAACTGACTGTTTGGGCAACGTGTTGGAATATTTTCGCATGTCGGGATTCTACCTCTTGGGTGACATCTTGGAGGTGGGCGTGCGGAGAGAAGCACAAATGACTAAATGAAGGCTACCGGAGTCCATCAAATTTGACAGATACAAAGAGCACCGATATTGTTAATTACCTTTAGTTGAGGACGGACGGCCACATGTCGAACTGTGCTCTCAGCCGTAAACTAGCGACCTGCAAAAAGCCACACCAGCGAGACCCGGCAATCGGCACTCAGTTATCATGAATCATGTATACACTGTTGATAGAAAGAGAAAGATACAGTAGACGAGTCAATCAAGCCCACTCACCATTGGACCAAGGACTAGAACCTTTCTTCAGGACCAAGTAGGAAATGCCAAAAGACGATACCACTCGTGGTGGAGCACATTCGGACTCGATAGTAGCAGGAACGATTTAATCATACAATAGTCACTACCTAAAACGAAAAGAATCATAAAAATCAACAAATTAAACAGGACCCGCTTACCAATAGACCTAGTACACACTACACACCGTTGAGACTATCTAATAACCTCAGGCAACACATCCCAGCTGAAACGGACCCATCGACCAGCGAAGAGAAAGGCTTGACAGGCCAGGAATCAATCCGAATCCCTATGATGAGTCTCCACAAAGTCGTTATAAGGTTAAACGGGGATAGAAGGGGGAAAATTTCTCATTCCTTGAAAATCAGGAACCCCAAAAGAATAAAAAAAGGGAATTAATAAAAAGGTGCAGACAAGCGACCAACACCAGCTGAACCTGAGCCGACAAACGCCCGATCTCAACACTCATTGGCATAGCGCCCGGCAGACTAACATCTTAGCCTCCCCGGAAATCTTCCACCCAGATCCAACCCAACCCCCGTCGGGTTTCCCACAAATGCATCGGCCCCTCTGTGGTTCTGGTTCTATTCACTCTTTTCCCAATTCCCCGGTTACGCTTCGTTGTCAAAATTTCACCCACACCAAAAACGGTTTGTTTGAGATATTCGCCACTCTGGAGTGTTGGTCTCCTAGATCTTGTGCAGAACCCAATTTCCCGTTAGAATCCACCTCCACGCTAGTCCCATGCAACCTATGCTATCTTCGGGACCGACGAACCTACTAGACAGGCTCAATGCAGTAAGCCGTAACCGGTAATATCGTCATAGTCTGGGACTTATCGGTCCGTCGCTAAACCCATGGGTCAATCTAACTGGGTATCTCGGGCACGTTGGACTTCTGGAGACCATAGTATGTAGTTAGTGGCTGGACTGTACTCCATACTTGCATGGAGGGACACAACTGCCGTGTCAACTGCACGTTTACCTGCACAGACATCATTGTGGTCCCTAGTCCTCTCCGCTGGCTCCTCTTGGCTCCTCCCTCTCAGCTGGCATGTCTGCCTCGGGACCCAGGTGTCTGGATCTCGGTCTGCGCGAATTGTCCAATCGTCGTTCGAAGCAGCTGGATGCAAGGGCTCTGACTTTTTCCAACCGTCTTTGGGTTGCTAGCGCCTTGATCTCGGCTTCTGTTTCCGTTCCCCAGTATGTATCGAGTACTATTGTAGTTGAGCTTGGTAATGTCATGGTGGAGCCTGTTAGGGTTGTAGCTCGTTCCTGCCATTCTAGAATTTGTTCCCGTCTTCGGAGGCGAATATACCCCCACGCTGGGCCTTAAGGCATTGTAGTGGGTAGTGAAGAGGCTTAGTGACCCCATACCTGCATTGAGTCCGTTTCAGGATGTGACAACCGGTTATGCATTCGAATTACCACAAGGGATGGATGAAGCAAAAGATCTGTCCTTTACCGTACAATAATATTCAAAATGCATACTCAATAGCCCGAACGCCCAAGCAAATGTATAAGACGTAAAAAGGACTCTAATAAAACAGAGTAAAAGCATAGAACATCATAGACAAGAAAATCAAAATATGCTAATAAACAAGACATCAGGGTATATCGTCGCCATGCTCAACAAGTTCAACAAAAACCCAGACTTGCGTTTTTTTCAATTCTTCTCTGGCCAGGCTTGCGACCTGCGCCATGCCCGCCAAAGTAATGTAAACCCGAAGAAAAAAAAATGCCTCACATGCCCCTTCACCACAGAGAGAATCGTACAATTGTCCCAGACACCTGACCGCTAGAGAGTAAATTATGAGGAACTTAATGGAATGTCGGTCCCATGTCCCTACCGACCCGCAATCCAGCGCAGAATCGTATCCAAGGACGGATCATCATCAAGCCAATGGCCTGCCCGCAGGTCGGCAGCTCGAAGATCAGAGACAACATGCTGGTCAGTGACGCGACCCAATTCCTGTTGTAGCGTAACGTGTGCGGCTTTCAGGGCTGGCGCATGTGCGGATGTTGGTCGCTGGCCGCGGAGAATGTTCGCTCGAGTCATGGTCCATCGTCGTGCTGCCGCAGCTCGAAGGTAAATCTTATGTGCTTGGAATCGGCGAGCGCTGCTATCGGTGATAACCCTAAGCCAGGAATTGTATGAGTATTCGGGTTGTAGAACAAGGGATTGGCTGCAATTGACTCAATTGCACTGTGGGAAAGGTGTATGTGTACCTTTGAAGCTCTGCTTTCTCCGTATCCGCGTTACCTCTCCCCGTCATCGGGCATGGCTGATAGTTGGCGCTGACCAGACGTTGAGCGGCAGCGTGACATTCTCGGAGGACGGTGAATCCTTCTTCGTAGTATTCCTCGGCAGAAGCGTCGACTTGCTGCTGAGAGATGTGCAACAGCAATGTGCGATAGTCGTTGATCAGTTCGGCCACTCGCACTGCGCGAGCCTGGTTGACTGTATTCCAATTGCATAATCAGCATCCGAGGCCGTGGCATTGAATCAATTGGAGACTGTGCGAGATCAATCACTACTTACGTCCGTCTGCCATTGAGTAGGGAGTTGGTTGTTGAGGGTGTTGTAGTTCGTTATTAGAAGGAGAGTATAGAGCGACGAAAGAGAGTGCAAGGCGTAAAGTAAAGCCCGTTGAAATGATATCAAAGAAGACCAATTAGATGAATGAACGTTAGAACCCAAGGAAAGGGCTAAGAGAGACGCTCAACGTGCTGTAACGGCTGTGGGGGGAAAGGAAGAAATGAAGCGATCTTTATAATCTAGAAAACAGAGAGGAGAAAGAGAAGAAGAGAGCTTCAAGTCTCCTCACTACCCCATACATGACAGCGTACCATTTCTGGAATAGGAAGAAGCCCGAGTCAAGCAAGCGCGAGGGCCTGTAAAAAGAAAAAGAAATAAAAAATCGATTATCACGATAAAAAACCAATCAGCGTCAGCACTTAGAATTTACTACTCTAGTAAAAAAAAATAATAGTAAAAATCTAAAGAGCAGGCATTAGTAAAATAAAAAGAAATAAATAGATCCAAAAGAGGCTTGTTCGCCCGTGACAGCGTAGAATGAACGTCAGGAGGATCATCGGCCATGCATGAGCGAAAGCACCAATAGAAAATAAAACCCAGGGATTTAGAAACGTCTGTCCAGCAGCCAGCTAGAACCTCGAGGGTGGATCGGGCCTAGCTCCCGAGGAACCGTCCCAACGGCAGAGATACGACTAGACTACTGTACGCTGTGCTTGGTCCCAAAGGGAGGGTAGGACTGTGGAGTATAGAGTACACGCTACTGTATGGGTACAGTAGTTTTTACTTGAATTGATTTAGTTGTCCACAAGGATCATACTCGTACACAACTAGCTCGATGCAATCATGGGTTTTAGTTTAATCACTGAGTTCGTACATTCTAATCAGTAGGTACTAGGTAGCTTGGATAGATACAAAATGGAAATCGAAAAAGAGGGGCACCATGACGAGTGTGGGACCAAGTAATAGACCAGAGATTAAGTTCCTAAACCGATGGATTTCGTCGTCATCAACAATTGACTATTTACTATGTATCCAGCATATTTCACATTTCATAAAATTCGAACAAAGAAAGAAAGACCTCGTTCTATGGACTGATTGGTGCGCACAGGGCGAACACCCAGTGGAGACGAGAGAACTTTGAAACTTTGACAGGGAAAAGCGGATGTGCCATAGACCTCATGGCTCGTGGGACCCCTGTCAGCTATAGTGAATTCTGGGCCGGTAGTTGACCTGGACCTATAACCGACCAGAATCAAAAGGACGGACCTGCATGATCGGATCCCCCGAGCGGATGTGGAAAAGTAAAAATAAACCAGATGAACCGACCAAAGCCGAGGGTTTTCCAGGCTTAGCGGGTTTGGTGGGAAAAATGCAATAGGTTCGTTTAAATTCCGAATTGCTACTAGTTCGATGCCTCAGCTCGAATGCGAACCCAACTCAACTATCAAGATTAATAGATTAATAGATTAATAGTTCGGACCCTGCCCCCAAGCCACGGGCCGTGCTGAGCCACATATGGCGTCCCGTGGCGCTTACACAACACAGCTGAAGCGTACGTCTCTCCTTACCGACTGGTTGAACAGATGAAATTTCTGTATAGATCCGATAAACGTGGAGATGTGTGATCCATCATGCCCTCTCTCTCTCCACACCGGTGGCGAGAATTCGTGCCCCACTTGGCTTGCTGAAAGCTGAAGTGATCCCCAGCCGGGCGATTTACAGAGAGTTCCCTCCTGGACATGGAAAGCGCCAAGCATATACCGAGTTAGTGTCCTAGCGTTTGCCATTTTCAATGTAGCTATGCAGCATAACAGTAGTACGACAGCATCGCTGGCCGACTCTGGAAACATGTTGCATATGAAACACGACCAAACCTCGAGATTCTACAAGGGAAAGGAAAGAGGCAAATTCGGGGCCATTGGAGCTTTGTCATTCACAGATGATTCATTGGATCTTTCTCTAGAACAAGTAGAAAAAAGGTGGGAAAAAATAGAACGTCACCATCATCGTTACTGAAGCAGCTCCTTTACCCCTGCCGGACTTATTCGGCCAATGTCTCGACCCCATCTGTATGTCGCCTCCCCATCAACCAGTCCGTCCCATGCTACAGGATAAGGTCCGCTCAGTCCTTCTCCGCTATGGCCTGCAGCCGTTCGTCAATCTCCTCCTCCGTCAGGGCCCGGAACTCTGTAGTAGTGCCCTCCTTGCCATCCGTCCGGGGGCCGCCAACAATGCCAACCTCCAGCTCGTGTTTCTTAAAGTCAACACTCAGCACGTTGCTCAACGCCGTGATACCCAGCTCCACAACTTCCTCCCAGCTGCCGGGCGCCGCATCCTTGTTCTTCAGCTTCTTCTCCAGATAGTTCTGCGCCTCCTGCTGCTTGGGGCCAGAGGAAGTCGCCTTGTATCCAACAAAGTAACCAGCCGGGTCGCACTTGTAGAGCTGGGGACCGTTCTCATCATCAACCGAGATCAGGGTCATGGCCACGCCGAGTGGTCGCATGTAGGCCTAGCAAGAGAGAGGGTGTAAGCCAACGGAGTTCACCGAGGAGTCCAGTCCCAAGAGAAAGAATGTCGTGTCCTGAATTCCATCGCGTGGATGATGTCTTGGGATACTTACTCGTTGTGTGTAGACCTGGTTGATATTTGCCAATCGCTTCGCCAGCACATCGCAGGGCATCTCATAACCGAACTTGTAGCGGAACTCAGCAGCCTCTCCACGGGCCCGGTCGACGGAGGCACGGGCATCTGCTATCGAGCCGGTCATCACGCAGCCAACGGAGGGCGAGATCTTGAAGACATGTGAGACGGAGGAAGGGTCGATGAGTTTGTCCTTTGAGCCCAGTGGTGTTAGTCTTTGGGAGTGACCGAAGGGGGGCCATCATCTCGATTCCGGGTATCATTCTTACAGCCACTTTCTTCTGGGAGACGACAATAGCACAGTCCTTCCCCCTCACACCGATGGAGGTGATGTTCGCAGAGGTGATAGCCTTGAAAGCATATTCTGGTGTGAGACAGGTTGGTCAGCGGTTATGATGATGGGAACGTCGAGTAGGACGACGGCCGGGAATGCGAAGGGGAGAGCTCATATTACGTACCAACTTGGTACAAACGACCTTGGTCGGAGAAGATAGTGATATGTCTGTCGTAGCCTGCGCTTCCTAGTGCGGAGAAGATGGGAGGTTAGTCGGGGTTGAGGTCATGGGGGTTGGCCGACAGGGCCAACATCGAGATTGCGGTGACTGCACATACCGGACATTATGGCGGTATCTGAATTCTTCTATAGGGAGATAAGTGAGATGTCAGGATTGAGGGGAATGGCGGAGTTTGGGAGGATGATGAGAGGTGCAAATGCCAGTGACGCGTGCCAGCGGTGCCTAAGCCGAAGCTCGAGCTTGAGCTTCAGCGCTCTTCACCGCCTTTGTCCATTATCAGCCCGCTGAGTACTCACTAGGGTTGACTAGAGAGTTTAAATCAGAAAATGGAGGTAAATTAACTTAATAATAATGTCTATCTGAGTCAGATTATCATATTTATTTGGTTTTTTCTTTTCAGTGAGAATTTCCCGCCGGTTCATGATGCATTTGACAAGCTACCATGTACCATACATATATCTCGGTTCCCAAACCAACTCTAGCCTTATAGAGCCTCAATGTCGAAGCGGAGGAGCTTTCACTGTTTCTACTACAACTGACTAGATATCCGCCAAGTAGCGTGGATCTGCGCCCAAAGCCTGGAAGACCACTTCCAACTACAAGTAGATGTAGACACACTGATAGGACTATCATCATATGCCAATTCTCATATAGATACTAGAGTATGATACATCATCATGGTATAAGCTTGGAAATATGCAAAACGAAAACACCCAAAGTAAAAGAACACCCATGCAATCCACACTCCCAAGTCAAACGTCAACAACAAATCCTCAATCACTATCGCTCTCGCTGCTACTCGAGATCTCAATATGCGTAGTACGCAACTTGCGCTTTTGCTTCTTCTTGTTCTTGCTCGGCGCTGGCGGAGCAGGTTCTTCCATCACGGGAGCAACAGGTTTGGGGAAAGTCTTCTTCTTTAGGGCGGACTTGGTCGGTGCAGGTTTCTTCGCGGGGGGTGCTTCTTTCTCGCTGTCGCTGCTTGATGAATCGCTACCGCTGCTGCTGGTGCTATCATCACTGTCGGTGCCACTGCTGCTGGTATAATCGTCGCTGCTTTCCACCTTGGCAGCGGGCTTCTTCGCCTTAGCAGGCTTGTCCTCGTCACTATCGCTCTCGCTGCTGGAGATATCCACAATGACAGTACGATTCTTCCTCTTCTTCAGCTTCTGCGCTTCCGCCTTCGCAGCTTCCTTTTGCTTGCGCACAACCTCCTCCCGATCGAATAGCTCGCCGGTGACAGAGAAGAAGACCAGCTCTGCCCGTTGTCTCTTCCGGAGACGCTTCGTCGTTTCCACGTCCAGCCCGTCCACCGAGTCCGCGGCGTTCAACTCTTCTCCACTGCCGGACAACAATGACCGGAACGAATTCACGGCTTCTTGGTACTCGGCGGGGGATTCGGCGTTGTCACCCTTGAGAACAGCCACCGCACCCTCGCTCAGTCGTGTCTTAGCGGCGTCGCCCTTCAGACCTTGCAGGTAGGTCAAAAGAGGAACATTGTATTGCACAGGAACATGCTCGATCGAGTAAAGGTGTTTGAAAAGGTTCGTTTCGCGATTCTTTTGGAACTTCCATGACGCGCGATCACGGTAGTACCAGCTCAGATAGCCGAGGATGGGAGTCTCGTGAATCTTTTCGGTAGAGGTAGACGAAGCTGTAGACGTAGCACCGGCCTTGCGGGCCTTTTTGTTCTCGCGCTTGCGCTTCTTCATCTCCTCAATCAGCTTCTCCTCGGCTTCCTTGGCTTCGACTTCGGCGTCCTTCACGGTCTCGGAGGTATCGTTGTCATTGTCGTCGTCATCGTGTTCGTCGTCTGCGGGACTGTCGCTATCGCTGTCTGCGTCCTTGGTCTTCGTGCCTGGTCCGAAGGAGACTCGCTTCTTCTTTTTCTTCGGCTTGTCGTCCTCTTTATCTTGCTTGTCGTCTGTGTTGTGCCGCCGCTTCTTCTTGCTCGTCACGTCGCCGTCGGTCTCGCTAGATGACTTCTTGCGCTTCTTCTTGTCTTTGGACTCGGACTTGTGCGTCTTTTCCGGAGAGGTAGCTTGTTGCATCTCGACATCGGCATCCTCTTTGGCGTGTTTCGACTTGACGCCGACTTTCGATGTGTCTTTGGCCATTGTTGCTGCTGTGTATGATTTGAATGGTACTGCAGCAAAGATATGAATTCTTCACGATACAAGGACTCAATTGCGAAAAGAGTCCTGTCTTCGTATCCTAGCAGAATCCACCAGGCCGACTGTCGTTGCTAGGCTTGTCAAGGGCGGAGTCAATTATTTTTTTTCTGCCGGATCCACGTGAGGGCGGGTCCGCGATAAGCTTGGACCGTTTATAGAGTCCGGATGGAGTATCTGGTTTTATAGACCTAAATCCAGCTATTTTTCCTACAAAGTACACAACAAGTGCAATCGTGGATTCATCTCACATTATGGCTGCATCCATACGGTATCAACCAGCCCCTTATCGTAGATCGACAAAGACACAAACTATGCTGCAACGCCACTCCCAATTCCATTCCCAGACTCAGGACCACCAGCACTCCGCTCTCGGCGCATCTCTCTTGATGATTCCGTGCCCGAGCCTGTACCAGCATTCGCCGTCCCAGCACTAGCTGCTGCCTTGCGCTTCGCGCGCTCCCTCTCTCTATCTCTATCGCGCCCGCCGGAAGTCGGCTTGGGCCGCCTCCTCGGTTTATAGACATCGTTAAAGTTCATCACGACGGCGAGGAAGCGCATGTCTACATCAGGCTGGTAGGATAGATCGCTCAGCAAGATAGTCAGACGTGATTTGAAATCTGCAGAGAGATCACGTAGTCGGACTCGTAGCGAGGCGAGCATGTTGTCGTCTGCAGCCAGGTCCTGTGCTGAGAGTGAGAAGGGCGTGTCAATGCCATCGGGTCCGGCACTTGCGGGCCGAATGTCTGGTGTTGATGCCATGGAGGCGCCACCGCGGCTATTTGTACGGCGTGGTAGCATATCGCGATCCGTGACGCCCCAGCGGCCCTGCGCTGTGCGGGTTTCAATCTTTGCACTCAGTTCCTGGCGACGGGTGAATTCGGCGACGGAGAAGGAGTATAGGCCATCTACGGCATCCTTGTATGAGAGCATGATCTTGAGAATGTGGTGGAGCTGGCTGAGGAAACTTTCCTCGGGCTGTTTGGCGGAGGCAGAGGTAGAGGCGCCATATCGAGATGTAGTGGCCGAGCCCAGTAAGCCCTTGTGCGTGATAGAGTTGAGGTATTTGGTGTGTGCTTCAATGAGGTCGTCGAGTGTGCAGCCCGGCTTTGAGACTTCAGCCTGCAACTGATCCCAGCTGGATTCAATCACTTCGAAGAGGATGTAGTATTGCAGCTGACAGACAAAATGGATCATCTCGGCGATAACGCAGCGCGCGCGTTTCCAGTCCGGTCCGACCTTGTCGTCCACACTGCCCAGGACACCTCGTGCACCGGTCATGCAGCGGCGCCAGGTGCTGCTGAGGGCAAACTCGACGCGCTTTACACGCCAGAGGAAGTTGAATACTTTCAGATACTGGGTTGAACCCCATGGTGTGATGACCACGTCAACGGGGGCGTCAATCTTGTACTCTAGAGTGAAGCAGTCCCAACCGATCTCGCCGTGACTTAGCTCGAGCATGCGTGCATCCAGCCGGCGGAGCACATCGGGGGAATCATACTGCGCATTAGAAGCACGGATAGCATGTTCCAGTTGCGCAGTGAGGGTGTGGCGATACTGCGAGTTTGCAGGGCGGTCCAGGTTGGAGGCCAGTGACTCCATAAGGAGAGCGATAAAGTCGCCCTGTCCCAACAAGAGATACTTCTTCAACGCCCGTAGGTGATCGAAAAGCTTAAACTTGTCGTCCATAAGGTAGATCAACCGCGCCATGGTCGTCTTGTAGGCCTCATCAATGGAGGTCTCTAGCGTGGCCGTGTCACCGTATCGCAGCTCTTTCGAAGCTTCTTTGGAATAAGCCTCCACCCACCCGGAATCACCGCAGCCATATCGGATGAAGTTAAGAGACTTTCCGATCAGGAATACCTTTTTGGCAAAGTCCTGGGTGATAATAGACGGAACCATATCATCGTCAAGCTTATACTTATCTTCCCAGACACTGGATGCAGTACGCCTAGGGTCTGTGGTAGTCCGGAGATCGGATTCTGCAACGAAGAACTCCTTGTATGGATCAGACAGCTCGCCATCGTAGATCCACAGCCGGAGCATGTCGTAGAACGGACAAGTGACATGAGCCAGGAGTTTCTCTGCAAAGGCGCAGACGAACGGGTCTCCATGAGACGACGAGAAGCCGTGTATCAAGGAAATCAATTGACCACCTTTTTTATCTGCATCCGATATCAGTATATCAGTACCTGCAACGCAGTTCAAAGCAAGATTCTCAACCCTTACCTCTCGCTTCCTCCACAATCAAACTCATCAGCCTCAGCGCCATCGTCGCATCTCTCGTCCACACCATACACCTCTTCAATGTAACACCACCCTTCCTTACCCCCTGCATCGTACTCCCATCCCCGATTGCAGCCAAAGCCTGCCGAATCTCCGCTTCTAGCGTCGCAACCAAGCCCAAGTACGAGCGCAACTCATTCGAGACAGCAGCCCTCAAGCTCTGATTCACGAGTCCCCCCTCCGCACTCTCCACAAACCCAGCCAACTCCTTATAAAGCAGACACGGCTCAGCCAATGCATTCAATAGCGATACAATCGGAGCTGGTAGATTCGAGGGTAATTTCAACACGGACAACGACTGGAACTGTAGATTCGTCGAAGACAAACCCTGCAGATTGAACGGGAGATCTCGTAAAAGCCCATTCTCTACCGACTCCGCCGAGCGAGCATGACTAGCCGGCGTCTGCGTCGGTGATGCCATATCATCCCGCTCATCCCCAGTCTCGTAGTGACTAGCACGACTCGCGCTCGCTCGCTCCGTAGACTCCTCCCAGTCCTTGCGCAATGAACTCGGGCGTTGCGGCCTAGACTCCCGAGTTACGCGCGGCGGCTGCGACGCAGACGAGCTCACAGCGGGACCTTCATCATCCTCCGACTCAACAACCGTTCCACGCCGCGGACGCCCCGCACCTCGACCAAGCATATGCTGCAAATTACCCTCGTCCATCAACGGACTACGACTGCGCTCAACGGGCTGTTCCTCGTCCGTCTCACCCAGCTTATACAGCAGATACAAGATACCCCATTTCTGCGAAAGCACAGGCTGCGTGAGAAGACGCGTGTATAGATTCGAGAAGCGCACGATCTTCTCCGGGCTAGCATTCTCGCGCCGCAATTTGCGCTTGATCAGATCCGGGGCGTGATTGACGTCTTCGCCGACGAAACTGCCGCGCCGGCCGGCTGGGGAGCCCGGGTCAGCGCCGCTACCGGGGTGCGTTTCGAGGGTGCGCCAGGCGCGCTCGAGTTGTGCATGGTGGCGGTGCTCCTCGGCGGCGGCGATGGCTTGCTCGTCATCGGAGAAATCGTGGTCTTGGGGAAGCGCGGAGAGCGGAATCTCGGGGAGGAGAGAGTCGACTAGTTGGGAGAGGGCGTCGTCGATCCGGCGCGGGCGTGTGGTCGGGCGGGTTGAAGTCGACATGATCCTGCCCTTCCCCCGCCGGTTGGGCAATGCCGAGGAATGTTTTGGAGGGCGTGCGTTCTTTGAGGGTTTGGAGTTCAATTGGTTGCGGAGAAGGTGGTGGTGGGTTGCGTTCCGTAGAAGGATTGGGCGACGAGATTCGCGGGTTAGGCGCGGGGGGGGATGCTTTTTCAGTTAATGACAACCTACTCGATTCCAATTATACGCCGGTGTAAGGGTTCGATCATGTTATTGGGAATTTCTTTGAGTGATTATCGGCCATGCTTCAGATGGAGTTCATGCAGGTGGGTTCGTGTTTGCGATGTTTGGGTTGTTTGGCAAAGGACGCGTCGAGGCTCTTATCAAGCTTATCATCTCCACTGCGTAGTATAACCACCACGGAGTAAATCATGATCATGATGGTAGCCAAATTAGACTTACGGCAACTTCCTGGATTTCACGTACATATCTATACCCTAGGGTCCTGTATAGCCGTAAAAGAGGTCCCTCGAAAACGACTAGGAGCTTAATCGGTTAAAACGAGAGTTCCAAGAGCTTCGAAACGACCTAATTACAGAATTTCATTAATTATCCCTCTTTACTTCACAGACAGTATCTCCCGTTTCAAGTCTGCAGTAACGACCTCACTTAGTTTAAAATTAGAAGGGGGTATTTCGCTCCGGGACTTTGAAAATTGAACAACTGGCAGACAAATCTCAGTTGAGCTGTAGTGCACACAGGGCGCTGGAGATATACGAGCGTGTACCATTCCAGAAATAGGTCCGCTCCACATTATACGAAGAATGCAGCGTTTTGAGGTTGTGTTTTGCTGGCGAGAGTGCGAAGCACCACCCAAAGCGACTAGTCCTGATAGTTCAGGACGAAGCACTCACTTCTTCCCACAGCTCCTTGCCTCCTGGTTGGCCAGGATGATCCATGTGGAAAAATCCACGCAAAATTACCTGCGCAGCATCCCAATCGCTGATCCCCAAATAAGAGGTTAATTCCACCAACTGTGCAACAAACCATAAGTGCTCATGGTGGCCCCGTGATGCTACTCCACCAATGAATAAGATCCAAAAGAGTAAATCAGGAGCGTTCCGTTTAATGCAATGCAGGATTGAATTTGCCCCGGTAGTATTGGAGAGTAGGATCTGCTGCAACGGCGATACCATATACCGCATGATTGGGAAGACTCGAAAATGCCAAACGCACGCGTTCAGGTAGATGAGTAGAGTGACACGAAGGGGTTCGTTCAGGAGGTCGGAGATGGTATATGAAGCTGAAAGCTTTGGCGTATAGCGTATTAACATAAGCTGGTGCTCGAGGACCAAGAATAGATCATTATCGGATTGCGTGGTGATTGAGGTCTGCAGACGTGCAATCTCGTAGTATTGGATGAGTCGTTGAGACCATTGAAGTAAATCCTTCATGCTGTCCTCGAGGCCGCTATACCAGGGTGCTGCAAAGAATGAAGTACCAAGACAAGACAATTGTGAGAGATCCTTCTTGAATTGATTGGCGAAGCCCGTGATGAAGTTGCTGGTCGAGTGAAAGATCTTCTCTTCTTGAAGTATCTTGCTGCGCCATGTTGCTGTCGGGGACAGGGTCGGACGCGTATTTGTTAAAATGGCGTTTAGCATATCACCACTGGAGTTGAAAGAGACTTGTTAGGATAGACGATCATCCGGTATCCATGATAAACGCGGCGTACTGGTAGATTTCAGACTGCGCCATATGGTCTAGCGCTTCGACGCCACCATTAAGCTCGATTAAAGCTTCGACGCCCTTAGTATGTGCTGTTGCTGCTTCGACATTGCCTGCAATTGCCTAGAGAGGTTTTAGAATGAATCAGGGAGGAGGTATATCAGAGCGAAAGAAAAGATGCCGGAACATATCCACGTAGATGATACCTCAATAGTCCTAAGCGATGCCACAACCAGGACCGCCGATTTAGCCGCGACAGGGTCCCCTAATAGGCCATTCAATATCCGTATCATATTTCCTCGGAGACGGAGATACTCTTTCACTGATTGTTGTAAATGTCTGGAAGGACGGTTATGCAAAGTGTTCATTGCGATCTGGTGGCTTGCAGCCGAGACGAGTAAGGCTAATTGGATTACTGGCTGGGAAGTTCCCTGCTGCCACCACCACACAGTCATACGAGACTGTTCCACGGGATATGCACCGGGGATGGTAAAGTGTCGCACTACCTTGGGTCAGATCAAATCTGATAGCGGGTAACTGGTCTTGCCAGATTCAAGCCGTGCACGCACATTGATGGAAGAAGGAATTCATAGATCCCGTCATTGGAAATGCTGTTGTGGCAAACGGATCCACGAAGCCGTCCCCAGAGAGCCTTCGAGGGGACCCAAAGTTTACTACCGGGATGATCTGCGGGGCTTCTGGCTCTGGGGTATCGGTGCCACTGGGACCTCCATCTGGTCTGCTCTTCGTAGTTGGACCCAGTTCGGCCCCGTCTAGCCCCAAGGGGACGTATGCTAATGGAAGGCGATGGCGAAGGACTAGTGTCGAGGATTTCAGCCTCCCCATCGCCGCGAGTCGCTCTTTGCGATATCGAGCCTTTTGCGTGAATTCCCGTTTCCTCCTTTGGAGTGAGAGATTCTGCAACTGATCATCTTGGTAGTCGATGAACAGAAACTCTGCCATGGCGCGATTGTCCGCTGGGGAACCCTTGGAGAAAGACCCGCACAATGGGATAGAGGCCCGGGGGATTTCTTGCCAAATGAGTCCGATCGGGGACCCGAGAACCTGTGCCCTAATTTGCTGAAACTGCCCTTAGTTAGATGAGCCCGCCCCACTGCGGTCATCCAACATGATAGGCAAGGTCATCTTTGTAGGTGGTTGATCGTAGCCGATAAAAGGGTCAAAATCCACTCTTGGAAGACAGCCGATCTCACCATGCTGGAATAAATATCATCATGTACGTTCCAGGGAACGTGCGCCATACTCGCCCTTCCTGGGAAGGGCGGGGGGTGCACCGCTCTCGTCCTTCTCGGGTGACGATGGCAGCGATGTTCCTGTAGATCAGATTTGAAAATTGACAACCAATTTGGGGGGAAAGAACCCTTTTAAATAATAGAGTTTTCGATCTCTCAGGGTCGTGTCACGATTGAGTTCATGACAAGATGATGACACGGCGTTGACTAATTCGATCTACGTGCATACATAATTAGTACAGAGTACAGCAAATTACCGGACTGGCTACTACTACAAGTTACGGAATATCAATTTTGGAGCAACATTTCTGATCATTTGCTCAAGCATCCTGTTCAAGGAAACTAGTCAGACATAAAACGAAAGCACAAACCCACCCGTAACGCCGCCTTGAAATCATGTATCTCAAAACACGAAAGCAACCCGGATCAGAAAGAAGAACATGCACCCGTGGGTCCTCCAAGTATTAAACAAGCGAAAGAGAAAAGAAACAGAGAAAATTCAATCTCTCGAGGCCATGAACAGAGAGAGGGGGAAATTAGAAGATGGAAGAATGGGTGGAGGGAGGAGCGTAGAAAATACAACGTGGGGAAAGTAGGGGGGGGGGGAGCAATAAAATCAACATGAGCCATGGCAAAGCAGAAACAACCTGAAAAAAAAGCCAGTAATAATACTCTCAAAGACGCCGAAATTGACGCGCCCTCCAAAGACTTTAACGAAATTCATCCGTTTCCAGACCACTGGAATCATCTCGTCGGGAATTTTTGAGTCGTGTGGATCGTAAACACCTGACCATGCCAGAGGTTCGACAAAAAGGCCGTAGCCTTAGCCGAAACAAAAGAAGAAATGTTTTGGGGGGGTATAAAGAAAAAGGGGGAATCAATGCCCCGGCCCCAAAGAAGTGAAAATTTGACTGCCGAGTCTAAGCATCGAGGGATCGCGAGAACCCCGTTGCTATGCGGTGAGAGCAAGGAAAAAAGACTTTGTATCACCAGAAGCAGGATGAAAAGCGACTTTTGGGATGCTAACTTCCTTTTTATGCTCACATTCATGCTCGGCGCATACCCTGGGCTGGGATCGGTGGACCCGGTGGCATACCCATTTGGGCGGGCATACCGTAGGCGTGCGGGTCAAATCCAGTCGACATCCCGTTCATCATCAGAGGGCCCAAACCTTGGGCTTGAGAGACGGGGCAGTCTTTGTGGGCCAGCAGGAGAGTCTTGAGGTTCACGATCTCCTCGCGAAGCTGGGTCACCGTGGCGGTAAGAGCATCGTTCTCTGTCGTAAAGAGCTCAACCTTGGCTTGGAGATTGGCGAGCCACTGCTTCTTCCTTTGACGACACTTGAGGGCCGCGACACTATGATCAGGTTAGCTGAGTGGATCATTGAGGATGTTCGTAGTAAGTGTTTTGAATAATATACCGGTTCCGTTCCAGGAAGTTTCGCCGCTTCTCCTCGTCGGTCATCTTCTTCGGGTCCATGTTGGAGTTCTTCATCTCCTCATCCTCCGAATCGTCCGAGGGTGACTCGGTCATCTTCGCCTTCTTGTTGGGGCCCTTGGCAGCAGCCTCATCCGCCTTACGACGATTGTTGGCGGCGTTTGCCTTGGGGGCATTTTTCTTGCCCTTACCCTTGGCAGTGGGCTTGGAAAGCTCCTGGTCCGATACGTCGCCACTCATCTCGCGAGCACTGGGACCGTTATTTTGCGACACGCGTCGGGCGGCCGAACGCGTCTCGTTTTGCATCATGGGGCCTTGGTTCATTTGCATGTTGTTCGCCTGACCACCCTTGGCAAGCATGAAAAGGCCGTTAGCCGCATCGGCCGCATCGTGTTGGGTAAAGTCCGTGGCGGTGGGTTGAGGTTTCTGGTCCATGGTCGGGTTGGAGGTTGGTTCTGGATCGTTCGCATTGGAGGTGGGACCGCTCCCGGTATTCTTCTTGGCGGCCAGCGCGGTGCGGTGGAATTCGATGGTGGACGGAGTGGCCCCGCCGCTTTGAAGTTGTTGCAGCAAAGCCTGGGAGTTAGGGCTTGGGGCGGGGAACATGGAGCCACCACCGCCGGGGGTCAAGCCTGTCCGGAGCGATGACTCGTTAGGAGTCGGGAAGCCTCTTCCAATACTGTCAAAGTAGTCATTAGAACCGGTTGGGCCAGGGAGCATTGCCGGGCTAAGGGGCCCTGAGCGCAGGGAGTTGGACCAGTTGTAGCCACCGCTGGCGGATGCGCCAGGCAGGGCAGGAGAGGTGAGGGCCGCGACGGGAGGCAGCAGCGACTTTCCGGGGGTTTCGCCCGAGTTGCCAGTGCCGAAGGACTGCTCGAAAGGGTTGGGCTCGAGCGAGAAAGGATTATGAACGGAATTGAAGTAGTCGGGAGTATCGCTAGCAGCAGTCGCAGCAGGGCGTGGAGGTGGTGCCAACGAAGTAGACGCCTCTACGTCCGATCTTTGATCCTTGGTGTCTGAAGACACGGCCTGCGAGTCTGTCGAAGGAATTGAATTAGCATTTACGAGGTGTTGGGTGATGAGATGCGACAGCGTGTAAAGGTACCGGCAGGACGAGATCGAGGACCCTTCATTGTGGAGATGGAGGGTATGGGGAAGTGGTGGTGGAGGGAGGAGTGGTGGAAGATCGATGACGCCAGTTGTGAGATCATCCCAACGGCAGAGGGGCTTTAAAGTATGGGCAACCCCCCAAGTGGCGTATTACCAAGCCGAATGGGGGTGTGAACGGGAAAAAAAAGTAGATTGTATTATCAAACACCACTGAATTTTCTGGCGGCGAAAGAGAGTACAAGTTTCTTTTCTTCGAGGGTCATAATGCGACCGCGACGAAAGGGGGGAGGAGAAGAGAGTAGGAAAGGGAAGGGGGAAAAAAAAAGAATAACAAGCCAGATGAAGGTTGGTAATAGTAGTGCTTTGGTATGTAGTGGACAGTTTGGTAGGGTAAAAGGGCAGATAGACTCGAATGGCATCACGCGATTTTTTTTACGAACCTTCTTTGGCAATCTTCTTGGAGTCCATGGAGGTCAGAGTGTTCGAAAGAGTCGACACACTGGGAGCGACTGCGGCAGACATCACCAGTCGCAAAAGGGTTCAAAAGAGTGGCGAGCGCACAACGTGGCTTGCAGCAGAAGGAGAAGAAGAGATGGGAAGGAAGAAAAGTGACGTAGAGGAAAAGGAAGATGACGACAATTATTTTAGGGGAAGGAAAAACATTAAGTAAGGTGGCCTCGGATGATTCGATTCTTCGGTATTGTTTCAGTGTATCGGTACACACGACTCTCGTATGTTTGCCAGCCGGGGAGGGAACCGCTTACGATTCCAATACAACCTGACCCACGCGACACTCCTACGGTACAACACTACTACACCAGCCGTTACTGATCAATTCTTTCGGGAGATAGCAAATGTAACTGGGTCCAAAACCGTTGATCCAGCTCGAATCAGGGAACGGGCAAAGGAAAAAAAAATATTATATGGGGGGTGGCCAGCCATCGTGGTTGGCTCTGGCCTCGTCTACGCGAAGGTCGGCCTAGATCCTGTTCGAGTCTCTCTATCAGGGCAGACTTTTCGAGACTTTTGTACGTTCCCCTCTGGCCCGTTTCTTTTGTTCTAACTGCCACGCAGTTTTCCAGGCTTAAGCTTAAAGGAGTGTACGCTCTGCCTATCTAGACTATATCACAAACTATAGCGATATAACAATCCTTCTCTCACGATCTCGAGAAAAAAAAAACCTTCAGTAGGATGGGGGGACCCTCGCATGTCGATGTCGAACCTGGAGAGCGCTAGTGGGCCCTCGGTATCGACTCTGGACCAATCATGGTGATATATGAAAGAAGCGGGGACTCGACACTACTCGGACGGATTGGCCACTCGCCCCCCTAGGGAAAAAAAAATTGCGTAATAATCCGGTCCTTTTGGTCAATCGGAAAGAGCAGTATGATCCTTGAAAGGGGTCTCCAAGAAAGAAAAACAATTGCTCAAGGAGGCTGACAATAAGCAGCAAAGGATGAATAGCTACACTGCGTACCGACAGTTCGGAGTATTCATAGGACGTATCGAGTATAACGCGACCTGCCATGTCCTGGGCGATGAATGATTTCACGATGACGACGACAGGAATGCGTCCCGGCTGTCGGTCCAGTATGGGTGGGGTACGCGACAGGGGATGTCAACCACTCATGTTGCAGATAAGTGGACGGAATGTACAGAGGGAAAGTCCAAAGTCAACGTGATTCGTCTGCACGACCATTGTGGATCCCAGATGGAGCTTGACTGAAGCAGTTGACTGGATGCGGTGTGGGAAGGGAAAATGGAAGAGGTTGGGGCCATGACGCAATCCACGTGAGACAGCGTTGCTGACTGATCAGGGACAGGATCTACCTCCAGGGCCTTAATGACGTGCGTGGCCCTGGGAATGGGCCGAATGCGGTAAGCACATTGTAGTAAGTGCGGAGTACATGAACCACTATGTAACTTGCAAAGTATACATTGTTGGATTGGAATAGGCTACTTAGAGGATTATCCCGGTAGAAATCTGAGATACGGAGTTCTCCACACTTTAGGCCTATCCATCTCGTACCAGCGATCGGCTTCAGCCCTAGAACTGTATCTTCATATAGCACCGACACGATAGAATAATGAGTACATCAACCAACTCCTCTATCTGCCTCTGCTGCTTATATTACTGAGAATCACTCTACTTACCACTATTACTGGATGACCTAAAAAGCAGTAGATGATACAACGCTGTCTAGTCTTTACGGCTCCGCTAGATCGGCGGTTCTGCTACTCCATATTCTGCACAAAAGTATCGGAATGGGATGTGGAGCTATCGTTCCCCTGCACTCTTGGCCCTGTCAATACCAAATGAGTAAAAGATACGCCTCCTCAATAGTGCTATACGTGATCGAGATTTCTCTCGGGCCAGCTCCCAAAGGGCCAACTCCCAAAGGGCCAACTCCCAAAGGGCGGTTCGGTGATGAATGTCCTCGCCCAATCTATACAGAGGTCCACTCCTTCCCGCTATGTAAGAGTACCCTCTCAGCTGCTAAGAGCCGAATCTCATCATCAAAATTGACTCCGACAACCTACCCAAGCTATGAGATCAATATGCCCACGAGGAAGTCTCACTGTGTGGCAAGTGTGTTTTGGAAAGGGTTGCGCTGAGCTTAGTCTATCAAGATGGCCCTGCGCCAACCAAGATCTCGCCTTTCTGGCATGACTCCAGAGGACATTGCTAGCAATTGACAATTCTCGGGCATTAAGAGCACATACAATTCCGAAACCGGTCGTCCGAAACCCACAAACGGGTTCGAGGCTTCTCCGTGATGGTATCAATAATAATGTCTGCATTTTCTTCAGTAATAAAGCTCGGAAAGTACCTCCTAATATAGACTAGTATTGAAACACTAGCAAGTCAACAACAAATTGATGCCGGGCATGAGAAAGGTTGTTGATGCTCCGCCCGGCATTATCATTCTAAATTTCACTCCACCTGGCGATATCTGGGCTACTTACTCTGGACATTGTTCTGATAGAAAAGTGGAGAATGTTTCAACAGGATTTTGCTACGTAGTTCAGACTCTTGAGATGCCACTATGGGTCCTCCATATCGGTATCCCGTCGCCGAATAACTCACCCTTGTGTAGAAATCACTCTGAAAAAAAAAATGCGTGCAACACCCTCCTCATCAGTATTGCCATAAAACCCCAGTCACAATAAATAAACAATTGGTGCATTTATATTCCCCGATTCTTCTCAAGCTTTGCGGGGCTCCGTTGCCAATATGCCGATCTTCCGCGGCACTTGGCTAAGAACGGTACGGAGAACACATCACATGAAACGCACCCTTTAATTTTCCCCTGAATAGAAAGCCAATGTAATGGAAGGTTGGGGCTTTGACACGTTTTCGTCAGCCGGCACTCTCAAGCACCACACTTTCATTATAGGAAAAACTAATGGCTATGCAACAATTTAGTGCTTATTTGCTAGTCCCACCCTTGATGTATATCCGACACGGCAGGGCAAGGGAACATTTTCCCCCGATTAATATAAAAAGAAAGATATTTGCAGACGCTGGTCTTTCGTTCTCTAGCCCACAGATTGCCAAGTTGATCATCACTCCTGTTGATTCAAGCACTTGCCAAGATTATAGGCACAATGCATGCCAAGACACTTCTACTCGGCCTTGGCTGCGCCTCCGTCGCCTGGGCACAGCTTGCGGATACCACCGACTACCCAATTGGACCGTTAACTTCGTCAGATACTAAATGGGCCACGAAGGTTTGCGACATCACCAAGTACGGCGCTGTAGCGGACGGGGCAACAGATTCCGGGCCCGCTATCCTGGCTGCCTTTGATGCATGTGCTTCGGGCGGAGTTGTGAATATTCCGTCAGGAACATTTGCTCTGGAAACATGGGTCACACTCAGTGGAGGAAGTGCGTGGGCTATCAATCTCGAGGGAACCATCGTTCGCACTGGAACGGATGGTGGTAATATGATCTACATTGAGCATAGTACCGACTTTGAGCTGTACTCTTCCAATGGTGAAGGTGCGATGCAAGGCTATGGCTATGTGTTCCATGCTGAAGGAGAATATGGTCCCCGTCTCCTGCGCCTTTACGACGGTGAGTACTGCAATCTCCTCTGGAGGCCAGATACCCGTACTAACTATGTAAAGTGACAAACTTTGCTATTCACGACATTGCTCTCGTCGACTCCCCGGCTTTCCATCTGACCCTCGATACTTGCAACCAGGGCGAGGTATACAATATGATCATCCGAGGTGGGAATGAAGGAGGCCTTGACGGTATTGACCTTTGGGGCTTTGACCTCTGGGTTCATGATGTCGAAGTCACCAACAAAGACGAATGCGTCACCGTCAAGAGTCCGGCAAACCATATCCTTGTCGAGAATATCTACTGCAACTGGTCTGGTGGCTGTGCGATGGGCTCTCTGGGAATTGACACAGGTGGGTTTCGGTTTTCCATTAACTTTTTATTCAGGACAGAGCAGTTGGAGAACCTATCAAGTAGAGACAAAGAAGCTAACTTTGAGGGTTTAGATATATCGAAGGTTGTTTACAACAACATCTACACCGTGAACTCGAACCAAATGTTCATGTTCAAGTAGGCTGTTTCCTTAACCCTGAGTGCTAATTCTTGTGGACTAATCTAACTTCGTTTTGTAGGAGCAATGGAGGCAACGGTACAGGCAAGTGCTTTCTTCTTCTTGGATTATCATCAATAAGTGAAATTGACTAACGCTACCATCAATAGTGACCGAAGTAACTCTGCAGAACTTCATCGGCCATGAGAATGCCTACTCCCTCTACATAGACGCATACTGGTCATCCATAAGCGCAGCTGCAGGAGACGGAGTCCTGTACAATTCCATCACATTCAGCAACTGGAAGGGAACCTGCGCGAATGGCGCTACTCGCGCCCCACTATACGTCTTGTGTCCATCAACTCAGCCGTGCACAAACATTATCATTGAAGACTTCGCCATGTGGACAGAGTCTGGAAGCACAGAGTACTACAAGTGCGCGGATGCTTGGGGCTCGGGTTACTGTCTAGAGGGAGGATCTGCACATACCGCGTACGGTACAGTCACCTCGACGTTGACAGCTGCACCATCGGGATACTCGGCGACGACGATGCCTAATCAGCTTACCGCTGGATTCGGACTTAGCACGTCGATTCCAATCCCAACCGTTCCGAACACTTTCTTCCCAGGTGCTACGCCAGCCACTGCTAGGGTGTACGGTAGTTAGTTAGGTGATTTAATGCTCATGGCTGTGAATGAGCGGCCGTTATGCAGTTGATGGATACTACATATCATAGTATGGCTAAGCCATTGCGATACAGAAATGGCAGTATTTTCTATTCATCATCATCTTCTCCTGTCCATTCCATCAACACGATAGACTTCTTACCACCACCCCTGCTTTCAGTCACTAGTGCCCAGTCTTTCAACGTATGCCCGCGAATAAAATTGTTCTTTTCAAAGACTCTAAGGCTGCCTTCATTATCTTCGAACGCCCAGCTTTTCAATCGTCGGACATTCATTCGAGGAATCGCCCAATCATGAATGATAGTTCTCACGGCTAGGGTCATGATTCCCCTACCATGGTGACTCGGAGCCAGAAAGTCTACCATTGGGTTTCTGTTAGTATGTTTCAACGGGGCATCTTTGTTCAAATTTCATCATACCGGCCAAGCTCCAGACAATATTTTCGTCTCCAGCAAGTAACTCGTCATTTCCTTTCTGAGCTAGTGATCTTTCCTCGCTTCCTTCGGGGTATTCGTCGAAACTTGAGCGAGCCAACCGGATATCGCCAATGAGAATGTCTTCGACGGGAGTCCCAGTCCCAGGGTCTATCTTGAGCACTTCCCGGATGCAAGTGAACGGGGAAATGTCAACAAACGGCCTTCCATGGTGCGGAACGTTGCCGGTATCCTTTTGGACTGCTGTGTTTCCCGGTTCTTCAAGCTCCTCCCGCAAGGCGGATAGGATCCCTTCCTGATCTTTACAGTTCGCTTTGGCCCATTGTTCGCCGTCAGAGCTCAAATATGGGTATGGGGTACGTTGTAGACGAAGAGCAACTCGTGGGTCATTGAGGATCTCTACCAGTGCTGAAGAGGTCTCATTAAGGCTGTTAGGCCGGTGCGGTGTGAGAATAATGTTTGCGTGTGGCTCTGGGAGCCTCAGGTAAGGTTCCTTGGTATTGGAGTTATAATGAATAACCATTTTGTTGTCGTCAGTTGCTCAGTGAACTGTGAAACGCGACTTAATTTTCTCTCACTGCTCAATCTGGTATATAAGGAACACCCTAAGTGAGTCATACCTTCAAGAGCAACAGCAGCGCTAATTTTCAATGTCTGAGAGGCCTATTGGGAAACAGTTCTGATAGCTATTATGATTCCTTTGCCTCGCATTTAATGGAGAGGCAGCCAATGTGGTCAACAGTTTGGCAGTTGACTTAAGATAGAAAGACCTTCCAACTTGGCTTGTTTTGCCTCATCCATTGGAGTATAGAATCGTAGACCCAAAGTTCGAGCAACCTTCCATCAAGTAAGGCAAGATGGCCGAGTTGGTCTATGGCGCACGGTTCAGGTTTACCTGATCCACAATTCCGTGTCCCGAAAGGGGCGTGGGTTCGAATCCCACTCTTGTCAAAGCATTATCTTTTTGTCTTTTCTCTTTTTGAGCTGGATTAAGTTCTTCTCGCTTTATTTGTTGTTTATTTTCTTGTCTTTCTTGTTTGGTGTAGACTATATGATTGTACGGCTATAACAGATCCATTTACTATTGCTATGCTGGAAACTGCTCATCTTATTCGTGTGGGAATTCATTTCCTAGGTTTCTTCTGTATGAATCCCACTAGATAACCCTGTTGGTATTAATTTATACTCCAGCGCTATTCTGTAACTAGCATTATTGGATCATGACGGGTTGTCCGACTTGAAATGTTGGAGCCTTCTAGCTTGGGCGGCGCAGGAAGCAATGCCAATTTAGTGTCTGCCTGGGAACAAATGGATAAAGTTGATCGTTTAAAACGGGCTCATCCTGGCCCTAGGGACCTCCTGAACATAACACCATAATTTTGTAACAGCCTTTCTCAACCCCAGTTTCCGCCAGTCCCCATCGTACCTGATCGACAAAGTCGCAGTTCCGGGTGGCTTCCGCTTTGTTTTGGTTGCGTTTCAACATTTATTGACCGCCCGGCATCCTGGCTAATCAGCCGCGTGTACAACTTTCTCTTTTGACCACTTCACCTCCAGACTTTCGGCCTCCCACGTCACCAGTGATTCCAGGTTAAGTCCGTTCTTGGTCGCTATTACTATTCTATCATCTTCGTGCCCATCATGACTCTTGCTGAGGAGTTTCGATCCAGAAATTTCAGTACGTACCCCTCGTGCTGATGCGGCGGCAAACGTCGATCAGTCCCATTGATTAACAGCTTGGCTAACATCGCACTCTCTTAGGCATCTACGGTCAATGGTCAGTGTCTTGAATGATGTTACTTTTGCTTCTGTTAAATGTTTCCACCGAGTGCCTTCCGAGCTTCGAGCAGCGCTGCAGTGGAGAGGCAATGGCGAGATGTCGGATGGGTGCCTGTTCTTCATGGGACGCCTCGGACATCTCTGATTCTCTTTTAGTTGCTTGGGTCACGTTTCTAACAGCTTTCCTTGTAGGACCGGTGTGCTGTGCATGGTTCTGTGCTTTGCCCTCGGCATTGCAAACATCTTTTCCCCCGTCCTCCGCATCATCTTCTCCGTTATTTGCCTGTGAGTTCGGCCAGTCTTCCCGCGATGACGATACACCATTCTGACCTTCATAGTGCTTGCTCATTCATCATCCTCTTCATTGAGGTACCCTTCCTACTCCGCATTTGCCCTACGTCCGCCAAGTTCGATGCCTTCATTCGCCGCTTCACCACTAACTGGATGCGCGCCGCCATGTATGCTGTGATGTGCGGTATCCAGTGGGCCAGTCTCTGCACCGGTGCCTCGAGTCTGATTGCTGCGGCTGTCGTGCTCAGCATAGCTGCTATCTTCTACGCGCTGGCCGGTCTGAAGAGCCAGGAGTTTGTCGGCAGCAAGACCCTCGGCGGTCAGGGTGTTGCGCAGATGATCGTTTAAATACCCCTTGCCTCCAGACAGGTCTCTTGTTTTCTCTCGCATCGGGTTTTATATGCGGGGAAGCCTGTCCCCTGGCTGGTCCAATGTCTGGGTGGAATGATGGAATGCTCGATGCGAAATTCTGGATAATGACTCTCGGGTCAAAACATATTGGAATGCGCCACGACCCTACTTGTTGCTGCTTTTGTCATCTTGTACTTGTATGTCTCTTATTGCTTTGGGGACGGCCTGCCAGGCACCCCCTTTGCCGCGAACATGGTGGATATTCTCTTCTGTGGTTCAGGTCTGCGTTATCCTGCTGCAGTTCTTAGAGCGAAACTAGGTCCAATGTCAATTCATGGTTATGCTTAATTTGAGATCCACCTTTGGTCATGGGCAGATTCGACGATTGTTGTTGCTGCTGGAGATACGTAGATGGGTCCTCATTGTGTGTCAGTGACTAGTGTGTACATGCGCATGTATAACTACCGGATTGTCCATTCGATTTCGCAACGGTCGGATTCTAAGATTGGCAGTTGTGGCTGGACTTCCCGGGGTGGTTGATTAGCTTTGGCTGGGATTCCGCGCAATACAGATATTGACTGGGATCCAACGATCGAAGATATATATATGTAGACCGCAAGAGCAACCTCATAAGCATAGGTAGACAGCCCATATCATAGAAACAAGGAGGGAGCATGGAAAAATTATTAAAGTAAGGACTATTCAAAAATAACCCATACAGATAAGAAATATGACCAAAATGGATATTTAAGACAACGAATACGACCTTCGAAGATTGAGAATTACAACCCTCCACATTGAGCGGGCGTCTATGTTTGTACCCTTATATTGTCAAAACTGGAGCTCTCATACATCGAAGTTGGTAAGATGGCCGAGTTGGTCTAAGGCGTCAGGTTAAGGTCCACCTTAACATAAAATCCTGATCTCGTTTACGGGGCGTGAGTTCGAATCTCACTCTTATCACTCATTCATTTATTTTTGTCTTTTTGTCTTGTTCTTGCTGCGCTCATCAATCCTGCTTGCCTTCATCTATTCTTTTTTTATTGTTCCTTTCGCCTACTCATTGATCATCGATAATAGGACGCCAAGCGAGAACCCACCGATTTACACTGTATTCTGTCACAGAACACTGAAAGATAACATACCGTGGTCGGTACCAAGCGACCTCGATAATAAGTTATTGCTGGAGACACTTGCCAATTCCACGAGCTTATAGATACAACTAGCATTGTACCACACATAAATTCAATGCAATTTCTGTATGTATACGCACAGTCACTACCAAGCACAAAGAAAAAAGCAGGCAATGGTGATTGGTAATAAAGGGAGTCCTACACCTTCGTGATCTCGGTCAATAATGATTAATTCCTACCTATTCCCCTCACAGCCCATTGATTCCAGCTACAGTGGGATGATCCGAGCTCCTCATCGGATGACTGTTTCTTCCCATCTGACCTGGCTTTACAGGTCTTAGTATGATCGTCACCCCGCAATCCCAGGAACCATTCAGGTAAAACGGGAGAACTCCATCGGCTAGAAAATCTCAGCAATCCACATGACCTCCTTCCCCTCCTAACCCCTTTTATCATTTACAGTTTAGCCATTCCAGAGCATTAGTGTAGGTTCAGGAACCACGTCAGAACATCCGGTTATCTACATCTTGATCCCCGCGCGTCATACACCAGGTCTGGTGGCGGTAATTTCCACAGGGCTTTTTGTATAAGGGCGAGGATCGGGTAGGTGGGGATCTACTGTAGCTGCACGCCTTGATTTCTATGTAAAGTTCTCACACTGTCATTGATTTTGAGGGAGCTTCTGAATAGATAAGAAGGAGCTCTGTCTGGACAGAGATAACCATCAACTACCAATGATCGATACTCTATTCTCCAGACGGAAGGTTCAGGATGGGTTTATCGGGGTGGACGCTAGATGATGCAATCCCATGGGATGCGGAGAATCCTTCTTTTCTTCGCTCACCGCCTCGGTCATCGTGGCCAATCCCAAGACAAAGAAATAATCTGGGACGGCCGATACAAGTCTTGCCTTATCACTCGAGGCATGAGACAAAGATACAGTAGTTGAACTCCTGGAACACTTTAATGCATTCTATCGAAGAACGTGTAATACACCAGGAATAGCATCATGACTCTTATCCCCCTATATCTCTTGATAGCACAGCCACTCGAGAGACGGTATTACCAGCGCTATTAATATACTTTGGACCCACGGTCTAGCCACCAGGGATTATCGGTCTAATGTCCTCATACGAAACGAGGAGACGCCTATGCCTGCACGCGATGCCCAGAAAGCGGTGGTTGGATAAACTGTACGAGGCATGATTTGCCCCCCCCAAGCTGAGCACTCTCGACCACTCCACTTGGCGACCAGATATGAGGTATTTGCTTGAAAAATGCCGCAAAAGCAATGCACTGGCTCATATTTCAGGACTGGGAACAATTCCCTCGAGAACCATAATTCAGTCGATGATCCGAACGTTTTATAGCTCTTTGGAAAAGATAAGAAGGGGGTATTACCGAGGATCTCGACAAGTATTCAAAAACTGGTTAAATATACTCTACCGTAGTACCTACTGTAGTACATGGTAATAGTAGGCCGAGAGTAACCGTACAGTAATCTGACGGTAAACTGGGCTTTGGCTGGACTGGATGCGGTCAGAGCACGTCACGCGCCCGGTGGGTCGTGGCAGAAAGAGACATACATCATCCTCTTCGTTCGCCGGATTGCTTCAGTCTCTGCCAGTTTTTACTTCCTTGTATTCTCCCGACTCATTGATCACTACCTTGACCTTTGAATTCTGACCCAATTGGGAATTTCCCACACCTCGATATCAGGCATATCAATCTGGGTAAGCAAATCATCCTGCATCCGCTTATCAGCTGCAGCCCTCTTTCCCCTCCTCCTTGGCTATAGCCCAGTTATGGGGCCCAATCGTCCTTGCATCGATGCAGGTCCTTGAATGGTCAACCCCAGAATTCTCCGCTGGGGAATTAGCCTGGTGCTACTTGGCCCCAGCGGTCAGCAGGGAAAAAAAAGAAAGGAATCGCCTAAGCTGTCCCATCAGCCTGTGACTGTTGGGCTGAAACTGCTAGCCATTTAGCTAATACTCATCATACCCGGCAGCTTCAGAACCTTCTCCATCATGTCTACTCAAACAGTTCCGGTCATCCCACCTCGACCGGCCCGATCTCCGCAACCACCCGCCTCAATAGACATGCCGAAGATCCCCCCACGCCCGTCCAACCGCCGCCTGGACCGCTCCGTCTCCCCAATGCGAGACAGCTATGCGCCATCTCCATTCAATGAGTGGAGTGGACCAAGCATGGTCCGTACCACGTCGAATGATCTCCCTCCGCGCCCGCCGAGCGTCACGATACCGTCCCTAGGCGAAGAGGGCATTGAGTATGCCGATCTGGACGTCGGAAGCATGGCAGACAGCCGTCACCAGGCACCAGCAGAGATGCGCAACGTTAACACTGACCTCAAAATCCATGCACCGCGCCCTTCTTTGCCTACTTCAAGTGCTAAGGCGAAAGTGCAGGCGGTCACTCGCACGGATTCCCGGCAGGCTGCGGCCGCGGGACTAGGCCGTGAAAGCTCCAACTCTCCAGCTCTAGATGAGCAAGATCGTACTCGCCGCTTGTCAAACTCCCGGGCGAGTGGCTCGCGGGCCGAGTCCAATGCCTCATCTGACCGCCGACTCTCTGCACATCTCGGAGAAGAGCATGGCTTCCGAGTCCCCATGTACCCGAATGCCGGTGATGTTCAGGCACCTTCTCCAAGCCCTTATCTCGAGCAGGGCTCCCAGCGTCAAGGCCGCAACCATCATCGCAGCCGTAGTGCTCGGGATTCCTCCTTGCCCCCGGGCAGTTATGGTCTTCATGGACACGGTGTTCAGCACTCCGATAAGTTTGAGAAGGCCTGGTATGAAAAGCACCCAGATGAATTCGCCAAGGAGGAGGGTCAGTATGGCCCTGGTGTGGGTACTCCTCGACCGGATTGGGCTCTCAGTAGCGATGACCTGAACAAGATCGTTCATAGTCCCAGCCGTAGTGGCTCAGGAATTGGTAAGAAGATTAGCTGCAGTCCACCGTCATGACATGGGCACTTACTTTTCGTTTCCCCTAGGTACATCTCGTGCTGTCACAGGCACCCCAGAGGAAGAAGTGGGATACCTCGCTTCGGATGAATACTTGCACCGTATGGCCTCTCCGCCACCCGATGCCCGCCATGAGTCCCAGCCAGTTGCGGAATCGCCGCTTCGACAGATGAGTTTCCCGGCATCCGAGATTGAGCCCAAGGCGCCAGCCTCTCCATTGCGCCATAAACGGAGTAGCTCTCATGGACACCGTGCGGAGGGCGACGTGATTCACGTCGATGACCCAATGCATCCTCTTCACCACCCAGATGGATTTGCTCCAACCCCGGTGCCCTATGAGTCCACGCCTGATGCACAGCAACCGCTCGAATATGAGGAGCCTATTCTGGCTGCTGACGAAGTCCGCCCCGAGTCCGCCTATCTGCACCCTGCAGTTTCACCCACATTTGAGCACCGAGGAAGCTTTGACGAGGAGCGCAGCCGTCCCCCAAGTGTCTCGCATAGTCGCTCTAACAGTCGATCTGCAAGCGCTCAAGGTGCTCCCATGCTCACTCGCTATGATTCTCGTGAGCTGCATGAGGACATGTCCACTCCCCTAGAGGACGTGGAGGAATATGAGCCTCTCTTCCCCGAGGAGGGTGATTCCAAGAAGCCGCGCTCTCTTTCGGCTACCGAGCGGTTCAAGAAGCGTCCGGATATGCTCAAGCACAGATTCCCAAGTCAAGATATCTGGGAGGATACCCCAAACAGTCTGCAGCTTCACGCTACAGTGACAACCCCCGATCTCCCCAAGCGAGACTCTTCGGAAATCTTTGAGACCGCGGAGCAAGAGGCTGCTCGGAAAAACCAGACATCCAAGGTTGATTCCCATCAGGTCGCGAGTCACATCCTCCAAGGGGAGGGTGCACGTGATAAGGTTAAGCTGCCTGCTCGACCCGAAACCATCAAGCAACGGTTCCCCAGCCGTGATATCTGGGAGGATGCTCCTGATAGTCAGCAACTAGTAACGACGGTCGAGCCAGCTGCGGATGAAGTTAAGAGCCCCGAAGTACCCTCGAAGCCCTCAATTCCTCCGCGTCCGCAAAGGCAAGCGCAGGCAACGTCGCCCACCGACAAGCGTCAAGCACCTGTCATCCCGGACCGTCCGAAGCCCCAGATTCCAGCTCGACCCGCTAAGCCTGGCTCTCAGGCCTCAGCCGAGGGTGCTCCTGCCCCCAAAGCAAAGCCTGCGATTCCCGCTCGCCCCGGTGGTAGTAAGATTGCGGCTCTCAAAGCCGGATTCCTCACAGATCTGAACTCACGTCTCCAGCTGGGTCCACAACAACCTAAGCCCCAGGAGAAGGAGCCTGAACCACCGGCAGAGAAACAACCTCTTAGTGATGCTCGTAAGGGAAGAGCCCGCGGTCCGGCCCGGCGAAAGCCTGCCGCTGAGAACGCCAACGCTAGACTACCCACAATCCCAGAGATCAAGATCACTGAGACTTGGAATGTGTGGTCGGTTGGCGAGGACGGTAACTTGACCGTGGGTAGCGAGGACATCAAGCCTTCTGTCCCCGCCACTGAGTCTTCCATCCCGGCCGAGCCCCCCAATGGCGCCTGAGCTGGCAAAGAATACAGCTGGCGAATCGGTTGATCCCACTCCGCAAACTAAACCTGCGGCAGAGGTGGTCTCTCCCAGCACCGCTGCAGCTCCAGAAGCTGAAGTAGCCAAACCCGAAGTTTCCACAGAAGTCCCGGCTGCGATCGAAACTTCTGCAGCGGCTACTGAGCTCACTTCTCAGCAAGAAGAGCCCGAGTCCGTTGCAGCAGGAGCTCAGCCCCTCGCTGACCATGTCTCAACCTCGACCAAGGTGGATGGAGCTCTCGAGGACATGGCCGCATCAGCCGACGGCAAGAAGTCCTCTGATGGTGAAATTCACCCCGCAGAGTCTTCTTAAATAAGCTTTCTGTTCTTTTTCGTTTCATAATATGTGTCTTCTTCACTCGTTTGTTCTTGACGAAGCTCCATGCCCCGCAAGAATTGGTTGCATGTGTCTCACCTATAGCAGACCTTGCCAAACTCGACTACCATCTTTAGTTGCAGTGTGTTTTTAATGAGTGTTGGTCTTTCGGACCTTGAATCTATTTTCGTTGTGGCATCTGGTTAAGATGCTCAAGACCCAATTCTGCGTGCTTTTTTCTTCTTTCTCATTTCGCCCGATACTTGGGTTCCGTAGACGTGCTAATCAAGTAATAAATTTGGAAGAAGTGCGAATATACTGGGGTATTCATTGCCTCGGCGAATATTTCTGCTTGCCTTGGTTGCAGCAAATGCCCCTCGCCATGCCGTTGGTGGCAAGGGCTGTAGATATCAGCCACATACTGCGCAATGAAGTGCTTATTCTTCCAAGTATGTCTTCTTTGAGCTCATTGACGTTTTGGGTGCTTTTGTACTGTATTGATTCCACTGTGCATTATCAAAGTAGGATCTTATGGGTGCTGTGATACGCTCTTGTGGACATTATGCTGGGATTCGATATCGTAAGATATGTGGCGTGTTTACTTGCGGAGGCTCGGCGGTCTTATTCTACTGGATCCCTCCCAAGTACTAGAGACATTATCATTGCATATGCAGAGAGTAGATAGGCCTATAAGCTGTCATAATCCATTTTGCAGAAAGATCATGCATTGCATATTCTTCCTTCGCTGATAAACATAACTCCGGCAACGGAGGATGATAGTTTCTCCAGTCTATATGAATCAAAATATGGCATCGGACAATTGAAACAGTTAGAACTACAAATAGGCCAGGTGGTCACGCTGGTTTCTCGATCTTCTACTCTTCAAGGGCTTTGTGTGCATTGCAGGTCAAAAAGTTGTTTCCGAATTTGAGACCGTGTCCTTGGCAGCGCCACGTTTGATGTAGTTGCGTCGCATGAGGAAAGAAAGGTTGGCTCAAGAACAAAGGGAAAGAAATTCAACATTTCAAAGGTGGTCTAATTTACAAGCTTCAGGACCTGAGGAGGCGGCCAAACTAGTGGTGCCGGATGCATACACAACCGTCCCCTCATATTTCCCCAGACCTTGCTAAAAGAAAGGAGAGAGAGAGAGAGAGAGCATTTAGTGGGCAGCAGCAGCCTCTTCCTCCTCCTCCTCGAACCAGCTCTCCTCGGCGGGGGTGGCCTCGCCGGCGGCAGCCTGGCCCTCGACCTCAACCTGCTGGGCCTCGTAGGCGGACAGCTCACTGGCGAGGTTGGCCTCCTCGGGGGAGGGGGGAGCCTTGGGGAGGTTGAAAGTGTGGACGTTGCCCTCGGCGTCGCTGGGCTTGACGGGGGTGGGCTTGTAGGCCTTGAGCTCACGGAGGTAGAGGTCCTGGACCTGGTCGGCTAGAGTAGGGATGTGCGAGTTAGTGACGGGTCGATTGTAGATTGATGTAGAAGCCGCTGGAACGGGCTAGAAGGATCTTGGAAGTAGTGACATACCCCGGCGGACGGCGGAGGTCAGGAAGGTGCGGCGAGCAGCGACAGGGACCTGTTGCCGAGAGGCACGGGTGAAGAGGGAGCGCTAGGTATTCTGCGTTAGCCCGGGCGCGAAGGGCGCAATCGATAGTCAGTGTCACTCACCGAGGCCCGGAGAGACTGGGACATCATCTTGACAGGTGGGTGTTGAAGATGAGGGGGGATGAGGGAGGGGTTGGTGGTCTCAACAGGATGGATCTGATCCGTTCTCCGTGCAAGTCGAGGTTGGAAACGACTTCTCTTCGGAATCTCGGCTTGGCGCTGAGTCATCAGACCCGCCTTCCCCACGTGACCCCAACTCATCTGCCTCACTTCTTCCTGTTGCCTCAATCGTTGCCTTAGCCTGATCACCTCTCTCTCTCTCTCCCTCCTTCCTTTACCTCCTCCGTCTCGATCCCACCCTCTTTTTTCTTCCTCAGCCTGTCTCCCTAGAACTTCGACTTCTTGTTGCTCCGTGCCCCCACAGCATTTGCAGCGATCCGTCAGGTTCTACGACCCTTTTTCGTGAGATACCTCTCTTACGGAGACCTTGACTGGTTCATCGTGGTCAGACAAAGCCGAGGTTTGAAGAAATCTCTCTTTTCACCCGAGAAAGCGCAGACACCCCGGTGACAGTTCTTTCACGTCTTCAAGAGGGGGGTGATCTCTCGAGCTCCGACTGGTCCTGTTCTGACAAAAAAGGTAATGCCAGCTTCACTTCAGAGCTTACTAAAGCCGGTGGCGTCGCGGATGATTATTTCACCCAGGAAACGGCGCCCTCGGTGGAAGTATCCTGTGTGATTGTCTGTTACCCTTTAACATCTGGGGAATCAAACGGAGCTGAGCTAACCACGACTGCGCAAGTAGTGGCCCGCGATTAAAGAGATAGCCTCGTGCCGTTCCTTGACCCCGCAGTCCATCTCCCTGCCCAGTCAGGGCGCCCCTCATCGCTCTTGCGATTATCTGTCGCAACCGCCAAAACGTATTCGCCTCTGTTCCTTCGCTATTATACACGCAAATATTGCATTCCGGTCTCCCACAAGAACATCAAACAGCGACGGCAGGTACGCATCCAACAATTTGGCAAAGTCACAAAGATGGCGACTATGTCCCCGGCAGTGAAAGCGGAGGTGGCCGCAGTTCCGTTTAGGAAGAACCTCTCCGCGCATGTCATCTGCAGTGAATGCAAGGAAGTGCCACCGAACCTGGAGTTCGACTCGCACCAGACAACCTGTGGCAGTTGCGGCCTGGTCCTTGGAGATCGCGGAATCGACATGGGCTCTGAATGGCGTACCTTCTCGAATGACGACCAGAACTCGGATGATCCTTCTCGTGTCGGAGATGCCAACAACCCGCTGCTGAACGGTGACCAGCTGGAGACCACGATCGCCAGCGGCGCCACCGGCCGATCCCGCGACCTTTATCGCGCCCAGAACAAGCAGTCTAGCGACAAGCAGAACAAGGCTTTGATGCAGGCTTACAAGGAGATTGGCGCCATGTGCGAGGGATTCAATATCCAGAAGAACGTGGCCGACACCGCCAAGTACCTTTTCAAGACGGTTGACGATGCCAAGGCCTTTAAGGGCAAGTCCCAGGATGTCCTCATCGCTGGTTGCATTTTCATCGCCTGCCGCAAGTGCAAGGTCCCTCGTTCGTTCTCTGAGATCTTCGCCGTCACCAAGGTCAGCCGAAAGGAGATTGGCCGGATTTACAAGTCCCTGGAGAAGTTCTTCACCCAGAATGACGAGGCCCGCAAGGCTGCTGTGGTGGCGAGTGGTGGTACCCCCGACAACGCGGTCTACGAGACGACCACCTCGACCAAGCCCAGTGACATGTGCAACCGGTTCTGCAACCTGCTCCGTCTCGAGTACCCCCTCCCCCGCGTTTCCGTGCAGTTATCGGATCGAGTCACTGCCTCTGGGATTTTGGCTGGTCGCTCGCCGCTGTCCATTGTGGCAGCCTGTATCTACATGGCTTCCCACTTGATGGGACAGGGCAAGAGCCCTAAGGAGATCTCCCAGATTGTCCACGTGAGCGACGGGACAATCCGCGGCGCCTACAAGCACTTGTATGCGGCACGGGAGCGCCTGATCGACCCGTCCTGGATCGAGAAGGACAAGGGTGACATGAGCAAGCTGCCCGTAGCCTAAGGTGGCTGGTGCGAGGAAGATCGAAGGTAGAACTGACCTGTGCTGCTTTTTTTTTTTTTTTTTTTTTTTTTTTTTTTTTTTACTCCCTGTTCTCAAGGCCAAAATGGACCTCAATGATATCAATGATAGGAGCTGACCCTTGCTGATTGTTTTTGTTTTTGTTTTTCAATACCACTTGGATATCGCCGGAGGAACCGGCTTGATAGGATATGCTTATGCACAGTTATCACACAGGTCTTGCAGTTTTCCCAACAGATTTTTTTTTCTTCACAAGGTTTTATTCCCCCGTTAGATGTTAACCAAAACCCTCTATTTCATGCTTTAGTACTGCTCAGATAGCTCAGATAGCTCTTTGTACATTGTCATTTCTCATATCTAAATTGTCGTCATGAGACTTTTCATTTGCTTAGTTGTGATGAGTTTTCAAGCCTGTCTATGCTAGGTGGAATTCCTTCAGATAAGATTGATCATACTAAAATACAAATTCTGGGTCTGCATAACTGTCTCGAGGGTAGATTGAAATATGCATGGAATGTAGATTGATAAGAACGCAAAAGTGCTACATTTTGCAGTCTAAAATGAAATCCTGCATATGCAAAAGTTCGCTTTAACAAAAAGACAAAAAGAAATGAATGAGTGATAAGAGTGAGATTCGAACTCACGCCCCGTAAACGAGATCAGGATTTTATGTTAAGGTGGACCTTAACCTGACGCCTTAGACCAACTCGGCCATCTTACCAACTTTGATGTATATTGGGTTCTGCTTTGACAATATAACCTAGTTTCCAACCTAACGGAGATCCCACCGATGAGGCTCCTCGTTAGTGATTCCCTCATTCGTCGACGGGAAGGCCGATGCGGGCGTCGTAAAGGTGGATCCGGGCTGAACACCATGCATTTTGCGCGGCGACGTGGTGCCCTTCCGGTGGAGCATTCGTGCAAGCTTATTTCTTGGTTTCCCCCATCTGGTGCCTCTCGTTGAATGCCACCCAGGTCCAGGTCCAGGTCCCGTCAGGCAGATATTGGATTTTTTTTTTTTGCTTATTGCGTTCGCAGCCGAGACGGGTAATCTTGTCCCGTCTCGCAGCCGAGCTATTGACATTCGCGCCGATGCTGCTCTCGTAGTACTAGTGCCAGTGGGCAATTGGTGTTCCATGCATCGCCGACGTGGCAGCTGCGGGGCTAATGGGCACTGGCAGCGTGAGAATGAATCAGTGTCAATTGAGTCATTGTTGAGCGGTTGGTGGGCTGGTCTTGAAGGAGGTCGGAGAGTTCGTGCGGTGGAACTGGATGGGCTTGCGCAAGACGCTAGGCGTTCGGGGGGCGTCTAGACTGCCGGTGTTGGGCGCTGGGGGGAAGCTAGATATACCGACCCGATAGAGACCCAAGTCAGACACTGGCCTTTTTAGCCTTTTGGGCCTGGTCCATGGGCGACTGAAGCAGTTACTGGCGATCAGTGTTGCACTGCTTGGATCGAGTCCCGTCGTTAGACTTGTCTGGTCCCAATCGTCCAAGTGGAGAATGGAAGCCCGAGCACACAGTAGTATGTAGTCGTCATACAAGTACGAACCATTTGCGAGCCTGCTAAGTGGTTTCCCTATCTGTTCGCAGATTGGATTGTTTATTGCCTCTATGAGGAATGCGGGGGTCGACACATCACGGCCTGAAATGTTAGGATTTATCATCATGATCTCCTGTCAGTGGGACTATTTATCTTTTTTTTTTTTTTGCTGAATGCAAGCTATCGATTCTATGCTATGCTGTGCTATGCTATGCTGCTATACAGGGACTACTGGAAGTGGGTTAGTGCCCATGACTAGCGGCTGCTGTTAGGGCTGATGATGGATGGTGTCATCCGCTTGGACCCAAAGCGACATTCTCGAGCAGAAAGGCAATCCGGAATGCTGCTTCTTAGTGCCTGTTTTTGGGAGGGCGAGGGGCAAATCATAATCCATGATGGGGGAGATCCATGGTATGCGTTTGGAGAGCTATCGGGGTACCTGGGCTGTCAAGAATGGGCGGGCATATCCACGGGTCAACAAGGCGCTTGGATGTCAGCGGAAGTGGCGGATCGGATAATTGGTCAATAGATGGGGGGTGTAAATAGTACCGTACATGATCTATATCGGGTATCTTTTGAATAGATGTGTTCATATGGAGGGGTATGGACTGTATACCATACATACTAAGCGAGGCTACTCGTACAATTACTCACCATTGTAAAATCTTCCGGAGTGGATACGATTGGTGGTAAGGCTTAACATTGGGGCTGAGAGTGTTGAGAGAGGGCAGTGCGAATCAAAGCCGTTCATGCAGGGCAGAGAGCGGGCGAAGGGGGTGGTACAGATACACTCAGCCTTCCTCGGATTACGAGAGAATGACGGCTATTGCCCATGGATCCATGGGCTGAACAGTCTTGGAGAAGATCTAAATAGTAGAAGTGCAATGTGGCCTGTCGCAAAGACTTGGACTTCTAGAAGTACTAGGACGTCAACAGGCCGAGTTCCGAGTAGGAATAGCGGAGTGGATAAGGTGGATGGGACAAAGTGGACAGGATGTCTCAGATGTGGAGTGGGATCAGTGGGAAGGGGGGTGAATCAGATTTCATATTATTCCATGTCATTTCCTAGGATCAAATTCATTTTCAGATGACGGAGTTTGGGGAGGGAAATAAATAGTTCTGTCCCGAGTTAAAGTAGTAAAATTGAATTACGAAAGACCCTAGGCCAAGAAATGGTAACTTTGTAGCAGAACACGAGAAAATAATAATCAGTTTTAATAATAGTCATAGTAATAGTGTTTTCCCACCCCTGTCATCCTTTCATCTCATCTTTATCTTTCTTCTTTTTCTTTTTCTTCCTTGAAAGTCATTATTGATCCCCACTCTCTTTTCTCTCTCTCTCTCCGGACCTAAACCTTTCGCTCAAACTGGGTCCCCTCCCCGAGAGATCTTCCCCCTTCCCTCCACGCCTCAATTATTTCCACCCCGATTGATCCACGCCCTCGCTTCCAACCCGTGTTCCTGCTTCCATTCCCGCCTTCCCCGCCCTCCCAAACTTGCATCACCACCCAACTCCTACGACAAAACCCAAAGCTCTCCGTGTTCAGCGAACTCCCCCGACTTGACAAAGTTCTCCCTACCCTGTCGATCAGTTGCTGCTTTGGTATCGGTGGCGCCCTTCCTAAGCTGCATAGACGATCGATCTATCGTTCCCTAGACCGACTTCTTTTGCTGGATGCGCGCCTACTAGCTCACCAACCCATTCGTTGCTAGCTCGGGCCCGTGTGACTGGTCACTATCCTCGAGTCGAACTGATCGAGCCTTGCTTTTCTAGCGCTCGCGCGGGTGTTGCAAGTCCTTGTGTATCTGTCCCCTCTAGCAATGCTGCGCGTCTAAGCAGAACCGGGATCTCCTCACCACCACCACCACCAAAACGACAGAACTCAAATTCGGTGTGTATGGAGGAGCTGGTCTTCTTCGACACCATTCTCGCGTCTGTCTGCGGTGCCCCCGAGGGAAATGTGCATTCGTCGATAGCTACTTTTCCCTGACCTTCGTTTCCACCCCTCTCCTCCCCCACCCTTGCTTTTCTAGACAATGTCTTCGCCCTCTCTCAAGATATCGACCACGACGAGCAGCGTTTACCCAAACGACGACAATAATGCCTTGCTTTCGCGTGCCGCTAGCTATACCGACCTCCCGAGCAAATCCCCGGAATCCGGTCCTCCGGGCTTGAGACGAACCTTCTCCGATTATGCAGTGCCCACCTTATCCGAGTCGCCGACCAAGGAGACTGTGGCTGCAGGCAAGGACATCTTGCGTCGGACATCCCTTCGCTCGAAAAAGAAACCCGAAAAGTCGCCCGCCGCCGTTTCGCACTTTACACTGTCTTCGTCGGAAGATCTGAAGGACCCGGACATTCAAGATGTGACCCAGACGAAGATGCCGGAAACGAGGGCGCCCGAACCTGTCGCTCGGCCATTGAAGGCTCGTTCCATGTCTGGACGGATTGTCAACTTGGCGCGGAAGCCATGGGGATCCTCGTCTCGATCACCTTCTCCGTCAGCGAAGAGAAACAAACAAAGACTTAACGAGCAATCTCCTACCCGGCTGAGTGGACGCAAGACGGAGTCTACCGATGGGGATGGGGCAATGCCCTCACGCAGGCGAACGGTGCTATACAAACGGCCCAGACGGCCAATGGTAGCGGTGGTAACGAAAGGAAACTCGGACTCGCCAGATTCACCCAACAGCCCGTCGAATTCATTACGAAACCGGACCTCTTTCGAGAAATTCACAGCATCTCTCTCTGTGACGACTCCGATCCTCCCTCCTATGCCCAAGGGGGCCGCGGCAACCGTGGCATCCTACACAAACAATAGCAGTACAAGTGAGCATTCGCGCAAAAAAGATGAGTTGTGGGGCATGTTCCGTGGCCTTGAAGCAGACTTCCAGAAGTGAGTATAAAAGAGATATCCCAGTAATGCTTGCCCGATTGCTCATTCTGATTTGCCTGTAGGTTTCAATCTAAATCCAGCTCACTGAAAGCCAACGTCATTCGCTCCTCGTTGCTCCCTTTCCTTGCGCGCCATCACCTGCACGCCTCTTGTAAGAATCTCAGACCCGAAGATCTGGATCGTCGAGTCAATATCCTCAACAAGTGGTGGATTGGCATGTTGGAGATGCTCAATGGCAAGAACAATCAATCGATATCTGGTACTGACCGCCCGGTGTTCCTCGAGGCCGTGGTGGGCATTATGAGCCGACCAGAATGGCGGATACCATTCCCTACTGCTCAGCAGAATGATGGACCTACGGATTCGCTGAAATACGCATCGACTTCAGTATCTGAAACTTCTGACGGGTCGGGTTCATCTGGATCGGATTTCCTGGTCGAGTCCATCCATCACAACATTCGCAATATCTTTGTCCAGAATCTGTTGTCACAAATGGCATTCGTGGTGGAGCGCATGTCGATGAGACACGCACCCGCCAGTCTGGTGGCTTTCTGTGGAAAGGCGTGTTCATATGCCTTCTTTTTCTGCCCGGGGGTCGCAGACATCATGGTGCGCCTGTGGAACACGTCTCCGACTGTCTTCCGCCGCATCCTGGCCGAAAACTCTCAGTCTCGACCTGGGAACCTCCGTGCGTTTACCCAGGAGCTAGCTTTGAGCTTTCCCACGGCTCTGCGACCATTGGCGTTCCATTCGCATGCACCTCTACTACGGTATATGAGACACAAGCCCGAGCCACCCCTGAATACTACCAATATACCTTGGCATGGCCCTTGGATTGCGCGCTGGTGCGGACGCGACACGGATCTGTTCTTCGTCTTTGTGAAGTACATCCACATTCTATACGCAGAGTACATGCCACCGGAGACGGAGAAGGCGAAGAGAATCTTGGCTCCTGGGTTGCTTCTAGTTCATGCTCAACTTCTGATTGCCATTGAGGACACTATTTACAAGCAGTCCCTGCACCAACAGGAAAGCACTCATGCTGCGGCTGCGATTACTTTCGACGATTTCATCGAATCGCCCGATGCCTCTGCCTCACCTCACTCCCTCATAGGAGGTAGGAACAGCCACCGATCCATGGCGGAGAACCGTCTGATCATTCTTCTCCGGGACTTGCTCTCAGAATCCTCATCCGAGCCCAATCGCGCACGTCTGCTCTATGCGGAGACTTTCTGTGGACTGCTCAAGGTCGCTGCTCAACGAATCTCCCTATTTGATCATAATGCATGCTTCCTATTGTGCGACTTCCTGGAAGAAATTATCCCGATCATCACACGATATGCACAGTCCATCGAGACTGAATTGTTTGATTGGAGTTTCTGGCAGGAGGTCTGTCGGCAGATGATGCAAAGTCATAACTCGCTGACCGAGGTGCGCGTGTTCTCCTTCATCTACGGCATCTGGGGCACTTGGGCTGCCACAGAGGAGCGCAAAGCAAGCCTCTGCTTGGAGTTTTTGTTACATGAGCCGATACTCTACCATTACTTTAATCATTGGAGTCCGATGGTGCGCGCCTATTATCATCGTTTGCTGTGCTGGAGGATCGGTCGTTTCAGTGGAGACCCATCCCCGCTTGACTCGTAAGCATGAACTAACTCTTTTCGTCCTAAACACCTTTGCTAACTTTTTCTCCTCAGAACTATATATGAGACGCTATCTGACAGGTTGCTACGAGTTTGGGAGTATTATATTGGATTCCAATCCAAGGCAGAAGAGGGGCTCATTGCGCCGCTGTCTTCTGCTCCTTGTACCCCGGCTCCGGGGCGGCGAATCATCATTATTAGGTGTGATAATCAGCTGTCTCCAGTCAATCTCTTTGTTTCGTTCGATCGAGTGGTCCCGCCCGTTCCCCCCGAGAAGGTCACCTCGCACCGGCGATCCAGTTCTGTCGACTCGACTGGCTCAGACGGCCAGCCACCGAAGAAGCGATGGGGCTTGCTTCGCTCCATGTTCGGCAGTTCGGCCAAACCTGATACTGCAGGCGGCAGTAGCTCGGACGAGTCTGACAGTGGTACCACGGATCCGACGGTAACCCCGGACAACCGGTGCATGGATGGGCATGAGAAAACCCCGAACCAAAGCTCGGATGAGCTCATTCGACCCAAGACCCCGCATCAGCCGTATTTCTTCAAATTCTCCCTGGAATGGATGGACCGGCCGAATTGGCCCACCAAGAACAAGCGTCTTTTCACGCCCTGCCTCCCGGTGGCTTCACAACTCCATGTGCAGCACCGCCGATCTCTGTCTGATTCCAAGTCTACCGACTTTGATACCGTGTCAGAAACATTGTCTACTTCCGAAAACACAGTCGACGAGCAGTCAACAGAGGAGCATGAAACAAACACAACACCCTCCTCGCAAATAGTTGTAGACAACCAGGCAAGAACACCTACCACGAAGAACTCTCCGCTGCCCGAGCTCCCGTCTCAGCCTAAAAAGGAGCATACTGTGACTAGCAAGTACGCTGGCCGCGCTTTGGCAGAATGGGCACACATTGTCTCCGAATGTGACAGTTTCTTTGCCCGCCGACGTGATGAGGGCGTCCCAACTGATCGCATGGTCGAAACGCCTAGCTTGGGCGTAGAGAGCTTTCGGAAATAGAAAGACTTGTCTACTCACCACCCACTTCCGATTCGGTTTCACTGCGAAATCGAAACATTTACCTACCACCTCCATTCCCTAACAAAAACCCACCTCTCCTACCCTTTTTTTTTCCCTTTTGAAGCGAATATAGACGTCTCGTGGCTCTTCGGTTGGAAGAAGCCATTTTAATACTCTTGTTGAGCTTTTCTTTTCTCCTTCCTTTCACACTTCTTTTCCTACTCTCTATTCTGTCATTCTACTTCGATACTGCACCGTGTGCATTGCAGGGCCTGGGGGCATAGGACACTGGCGTTTTTTTCGAGCCTGATTTCTTTCCTTCTTTTCATGGGCTTGGTTGGGCGGATCTTCTCTTTTCGTTTTCCTCTTTTGCTGCTGAACCATCTGCTTCGTCCTTTCTTCTCTTTTCTACTTTTCTTTTGTTGTGGAGCGAGATACACTTTGGCCCGTGGTAATCATAGTGAGATCACAAATCAATGGGATATTCCAAGTACTGGAATCTGGGGTTTGAACCGTGTCTGATGCAAGTTTATGGCTTTTCTTGTAGACCAAGTAGTATCCGAAAAATTGTCTTGTCTGATATGGAATTACCATCTTGATCTTATGGTAGTTACGTTATTCAAAGACTATATCCTCTGCCCTTCATTGCCCCTACTGCGCCTGCTGCTTCTCCTCTGCAATCTGCTTATTGAGCAGATACAGCAGCGGGCCCTGGACATCCTCCCTTTCCATAAAGACCTCGACAATACGCACACCACTTCCACTATGCACGCGTTCATTCTTCAAAACCTCCTTCAACTCACCACACGTCCAAGCCTGGAAAGTACTATTCTTAACATGCTCCTCATCAGCACCGAAATAAGTCAACGCCTGCGTATGTCTCCAAAACGGCACATCGTTGTATCCCTGCTTCCGGCCATGAATCACCCGCTCAATGGTATACCCCTCATTATTAATGATGAAAATGAGAATATCCAACTTCTCCTTGATCATCACGCTAATCTCCTGCGCGGTCATTTGTAAACTGCCATCACCGATGATCAGGACGGTCTGGTTCTTGGCCTCGGTGGGTTTATTGAGTTCCCTTTTTGCGAGGGCGGCGCCGAGGGTGGCGGGGAGCATGAATCCGATGGAGAGCCAGGTGACGGCGCCGAAGAGGCGGGATTTAGGGGGCAGTTTGAATTTGCGGCCGCCGTAGGAGGCGGTGCCTGTTTCGGTGAGGATGATGTCGCCTTCGTTGAAGAGCGGGTTTACGAGGCGGTAGAAGTTGTTTTGGGCGATGATGTCTTCGTCTTTGATGTCGGACGTGGTTATTTCGAGTTTGGAGGGGCCGGTGGCTTGTACGAGGCGGGTTGGGTCGAGGGATTGGAGGAGGTGGGTGAGGACGGTGCTGGAGGAGATGTCTCGGTAGATATCGTCTTCGACTTGGATGGTGCTGTCTTTGAATTGGATTGCGACGGTGGATTTGGGCACTGTTGTGTAGAAATAGGTGTTTGTGTCGCTGTAGTGTGGACCAAATGTCAAGATTAGGTCTGCGGATTCGAAGTATTCTTGTGCGGGCTTGTCGCCGAATGCTGCGGCGTATAGCCCGTAGACATTGGGGTGCTGCTCGTTTACGAGACCCTTGCCATAGACGGTCGTCCATGTGGGCCAGTTGGTAGTCTTAATGAGGGAATCGAGTTGGTCCAGGATACCGAGAGCCCGGCTCTCACCATCGACAAAGATAACCGGCTTCTTGGCACTATAAAGTCGCTCCAGAATCCGGGCGATCACTTTCGATTCGTAGGAGGGACTGGGGGTCACTGGGACACGGATGGGGGTCTTTAAGTTCTCTGAAGAGACGAGAGTCTCGCTCATATCATCCGGAATCTCTAGATACACGGGCCGGCTGTGGATAAGCGCCTGCTGCAAGATCCAATCGATCTTATCCGGCGCCGTCACCGAGTCAATCACATTCGTCTGGGCTGCCGTGATATGCGTGGACATTGCTGCAAAGCGGCGGTACTCGCCATCGGAGAACGTATGGTGCATTAAAGCGCGCGAGTTCTGCAGTGGCCGAGGGGGTGTGCCGACAATGTGAACCACGGCAGATCTCTCGGCGTATGCGCCAGCAATGCCGTTGGCTGCAGACAGCTCGCCGACACCAAAGGTGGTCACCAGCGCGGACAGACCGTTAATACGGGCATAGCCATCGGCAGCATATGCAGCGTTCAGCTCATTGCAGTTGCCCACCCAGTGCAGACCCGAGGGCTCGACATGGTCTAGCAGGCGCAGGTTATAGTCGCCCGGGACGCCAAAGACGGAGCTTACGCCGAGTTGGAGTAGACGGGTGAAGAGATAGTCGCCAAGCTGGATCGAGTCTGGCGAAGACATGATGAGTTTATATTGGTGGAGTGTTATAGTCTCGATGTAGAAGAAGAGGAGAAAGTCAAAGAGGAGAGAAGCTGTCCCTTGTCTTTATACCAAAACCCCAACTCCGCACCCAAACTCCAACAAGAAGACCCGCATTTTTGCCCCACTTGACCGACTTTCTTATCGCCGACTGGCCGGTTCCCCGCTGGTAACCGAGTGATTACTTCTTCAGATTCTTCCTCCCACGCCGATTCAATTCACGTATGCTACATGGCATCGAGACTCGCGGCATGCGAATCCTGTCGCAAGGCTAAGCTAGCCTGCGATCATCAACAGCCCGTGTGTTCGCGATGCCAGAAGAGTCGTGGCGTGTGTATCTACCGCACGGCCCCATTCAAGCGGCGGCGGGTCGAGAAACCGAGGTAGGATCGCAATTGTAGGGCGCCGTAGGGCGTATCGCGGCACTCCTTATCCATTCCCCACACGCCCTGAAGATAGATGTTTAACTAACATCCGGGTTTGCTTAGCGTGCGATCGCCTGATCCATCGCCTTCATTCGAGCCCCGGCGCAATCTATATCCGAATCCTGGATACTTAGGCTCATCGAGTCATGCTGCCATTTTCAAGCATATCACCCCATCTACGGACGGTGAGCAAAGCACGAGTAACCAACTACTGGGCTCCGATAACGTGAGCTCGCAATGGATCGGTGACAATCACCTGCTACTGCAGGGTGCAGATGTCCTGCGACATCTATTAACTACTTACTCCTTATCGGCGATGAAAGACCTCGTCTTGTTCTGGCTAGCCAAGGGTGCAAATTTAGCCCTCGCAGAACCATTCGTTGCACAATGCGCCGAGAGTGTCAGTCAATTATTTGCATCGCATGATGAACAGTGGCATTTGGTATATGCACAGCGTTTACTACGGAATTCCGCACGGCCACTGCAGTTTGATTCAGCATCGGATCTCGAGAGCTTTTCAACGCAGTTTCTAGACCATAATGCCAGGTGGGAAACGTTGGGGATTTTCTTTGCGGCTGTGAGCCGAGCAACGATTGATATCCCATTCTTTCCGGTGCTATACAATTCTGAGGAGCAGCAGTATACGTTGAGACGCCTTGCCACTAAACTGAGTGATTTTTCATTGGAGATCTCCTTGTCGCTGGATTGTCTTAATGACTTGCAGCTGATGGTACAGTACGAGAATTTTATTGTACATTCTTACGTGGATGGTGATCAGAGTGAGTTCAAGAACTCGATAAAAATTATCCTATGTCAATCTATCGACTAACCCAGTCCAGGCTATCACACTTGGCGCAAGCTTGGAGACGTGATTTCCTCAACCTTCGCCCTGGGATACCATGAGAACCTCGAAGCAAAGCCTGGAATCCCATTGTTTCTTATGGAACTGCGCAAGACAGCATTTGCTAGGATCTACTCTGCAGATAAGAACATCGCCATTTTCCTTGGCCGCCCACCACGAATGAATAAACGCTTTTGTCACTTCCAGATTCCATCTGACGGAACGATAGTACGCTCACTGGGAACTCGCTTCACCTGGAGCCAGGACGCAAGGGCTGGTTATAGAGCAGACACGTGCTGGTCTGCTCTTTGTGCTTCCTTGAAAGAGGAGGTCTGGGAATTGCTGCAAGATAAGCAGGATGCTGATTGTGTGCGGAGGGCAAGGTAAGTCTGACTCTTGGCTCCTTTATCTCCAACAATGTTATTGGGAGACGGAGAACAAAGAAGCTGATAGACGATAGCCTCATTCAGCGAAGAGCCGAAGAACAGTGGGAGGCTCTCCCACCACAGTTCCGTCTGGAGAGCAGCCTGAAGCAGTGTGCGCAGAGCCCCTTTGATCGAGACTTCTTAGCACACGTTCGACTTAACCACCTACATGTCCTATTTTTGCTGCGGCTTCTGCTTCTAAACACGCTCACTGAGCCTGATATCCCTATTATCGAGACAGCGGGACAAATGCTAGCTCTCGTGGTGGAACTCATCCTGCTACGAGACCAATTGACCAATTCAGGGACCGGTCTCATCTGGAAGGTATGCGTCCTTCCACCGATACTACAAGTCAGATCGTACAGAGTCCAAGCTAACCGCACTAGGTCGCATACTACGGCCTCCCAGCAGCAGGAATAATCCTCCTAGCATTACTAAAACAACACTCCCACTCCGCACCGGGAATATCGCGAACGAAAATCCTCCGAGATCTGAGCGTCTTCGTCGCAGAGGTCCAAATCGGAACGATAGTGAAAACCGGGGATCCGAATTATGCGTTGCTATCAAAAGCCACGCAAACGATTCAGCGGTTCCTGGACTCGTTCAATTCAGATGCTGGGCAGCCTCATGATGCCGGGACTGATGATGCGAATGAAGATTGGGCAGCTTTGTTAAGTCAGGATTTGTGGGATTTCGAGGCTGGGTTTTGGCAGAGTTTGGCTGATCATCCGTCGCTTTTGGTGCTGGATCCTCCTTTGCCTGGTGTGTGATAGTTTGATAGTTTAATAGACCGAAATCATCAATGGGTGAATGCCTTGTTTCTGGTATTTAGATAATCGGCTTCAAGGACCTCTTATATTCTACAATCGTCGCAGAGAGCTTCATCTTGAGTCCTGCGATGAGAGCCATATAGGCCTTGAGAATGAAGGAGTGGAAATGAAAGACGCGTTATTAAACCCAATCGACGACATCTCAAACTACGAGTTACGATTGTGGATAGTCCCTTTTAGTATGTCGCATTGTACAGAAGTTCTGCAGTAGTTGCGAATAGGGCGGGGTCCAACCACTCATGTCGAATGCTTTTCTAGCGAAGTAAATACTCCACTTTAGGAACCATGAGCGAGGCAGACCCCAAAGCACCTACATAGCCTCGATGACCACTCGAGACTGAAGTGGAGTGAGGAATCGAACAGGTAATAGCTATTAATCTTCTGATTGCATGTATAACTTCCTTATGTCGATCATGTAACGCCCCGCATTTAGTTCATGGTGTTGTTGGACCCTATAACACAAAGTAGTAAATAGTGACGTAGAAAGATCAACATAGTCATCCGTGCCTTTTGACTTTTGCTTCTAGTCTCAAAATCTTCCCATGATTCGCTTCCAAGTACCCAGGCAAAACAAGCCTGGAGAGAAATGGTTACGATTCGTACCCAAATAATGTGCACTCATGGTTCGAACCAAACGTGCAAAAATAGAATGCTCGTCGTTGGCCCGAGTTCCGATCCCGGATCCACCGATTACATTTGCACTTCATCATAAAACCCCTCATGACCGGATACAATTGCTTTGTTTGTTTTTGTCCATAACAGGTTTTGATTCATTCTATAGGTCTCGAACTCGAGAGTGTATCCGAATAGGTCCGAAGAGGTCTGTTCCCCTGAGCCAATTATTCTTGCAGGTAATGATGAAGCTTGGACTCAGAGAATTACCGGAACTCAACGGCACATGTAAGAATCCATTGAATCGATCTCATGATTCCTTGCTCAAACTGCAGTCCGGAGACCGCAGCCACGAATTCGCTGATTTGTGGTGTCCGAAGTCAAGCACTCGGAAATAGCGGGGGAATAAGGGCCTTCCATATTTACACCTAGCTATTGTGGGGTCTTCACTACAAGTAAACTCAACAGGAAACACTGTCAACAAGGATTAGAGACATTCCGATAAAATTCCATGGATATCTGCCGCTTACATCCGCTAAATACTCGATCTAACCAATGATTATCCGCCAATATATGCAGCATTTGAGTTGCGAGCCGTGGTAGGCGAGGTCGCCACCTGCACTGCGCTAACAATTGTACGATTCTAGTTAATGTAGGAAGCTGTTATTATCCAAGTTGCGACTGGGACTCAGCAGAAGCAGATCATTAATCATTCCATGGGATCCGGGAATATGAATGACGTCTACTATCGCTTCTATAGTTCTGCCCGTCTGACCAAGGCCTGTCATTCTTTTTGCCTAGAGACGAATTCTCTTACTTCGCCCCTTCTCAGGTATAAATTTACTGCAAATTCCGCCGTAATAAATTGCACTTATTACTTTCGGCAAATTAAACTTCTATCGTTCATCAGACGGGTAATCATCTGAACACTGTCGCTATCATCTGAATTCTATACATAAACAAATCATGAAGAGCTTCTTCGAAATTGCGGCCTTTGCTGCCGGTACCCAAGCTCTTGTCACTCGTGGCGGTAGCTGCTGCTTCCATTTAACTGCTTCTGGTGGTTCATCTGGCTCTGTGGGTCAGCTTAGTGATGGGCAGAACCGTATCGGCGACAACAGTCTGTCTCCTGCAGAGTTCTGTATCGACTCTGGTTCTATCACTGATGGCAATGGCCGTGGCTGCATATTAACACGTAAGTGATGCATACTATTGATATGGAGATCATACCGGTTAATGAGCCTATCAGCACCTACTACCCAGTTCCAGTGCGACGAGGGTGCCACTCCTACTCCAGGCTTCTCTATTAACTCCCAGGGCATGCTGGAGTTCCAGGGTAGCACCAATTTTGTTGCCTGCGAGACTGGCCAGAACGGCGGCCTAAACATTTATACTACCGAAAGCTCTGATCTCAGCCAGTGCAAGTCCATTCAATTGACAGCCGACTCCTGTGCACCCCCAGCTCAGACTACGACCACTCAACCGCCAGCCGCGACCACTTCGGCCACTAACAACGGATGTGGCACTACTTTGACTTCGAACAACTTCGAATTCCCTCACTTGATCATCCCCATTGACTCGTCTTCTCCTGATACTGCCGCTGGTACCCAGTTCAATGGCAAAGTGACATCGACCGTTTCGAGCATCTTCAACTTCGACATCCCTCAGTCAGACTCCGGCAAGACTTGCAGCTTGGTCTTCCTGTTCCCGAATCAGGCAGACCTTCAGACCTCGTCCTTTACCTTCAGCGGCGATGGTAAGATCGATTTTGCTGCGCTGTCCAGCGCTGCCACTAGTTCTACTACCTTCAACAATGCTCCCTCGGTCTCCCAAGATCTCGGCACAATTACCGTCTCGCCAGGCAACTCATACGTTGTCTCTACATTCTCTTGCCCTGCTGGCCAGACTGTCGCTTATGAGATGAAGAATGCTGGAAGCACTAATCTTGAGTTCTTCGAGGACTTTAACCCCTCTCCGTGAGTGCCACCGTATTCGGCTGTGTTTTTGCTAGAACTTTTGCTGACATTATCATAGTATCGGCCTGTTCATCACAGTTTGCTAAAGAACTTGATGTACTATGAAAAGAATACCAGTGATTATGCATTTGATACTTCTCATCTCATACAAAACGTTTCAAGTCACGGTGCAATAATTTCGATATGCTTACTTTGATCATGTTCCACTGCACCTTTGGTCAATTTCTCAATTTTTTGATTTGATCCAATTCCCGAAAGCTCATGTAATTTATCAGTGAACGAGCCCAATGAAGGGAAAGGATGTTCGCTCCTTGTATATAATATCAATTATACCACAGTACTAGTGGCTACTCTTGATGCCATTCTAAGGTTGGAACCTGAAGCGTCCTGAATCTTAGTCATCGGGCTCTCACTGCCGCCCACAATTTCCGTATGCTAGCCTCCTTGAGATAATCAGCCTCAAGATCTGATATGTTCAGCCCCACCGCTTAGCAATCTTTCTTCCCGATGACAAATCCAACTCTCCCCGCTAAGTTAACGGCAGTTAGAGGTAGGTAATTGGCTAAGGGAAAAACAATTAGCTGTAGATATCTGAACTTGGTTAAAAATCATGTCCTATCGATTTCAGGTTCTCATCGCATTTTGCTGTTTCACTTCCGATTTCCATGATGACGTCGAACAAAGCAGCGTGGATTAAGGGACCCGGTAGCTTGGTTGAGGTAGAGACAGTTGAGAAATGGGTTCCAGGCGGCGGTGAACTTTTAGTTCAGGTCGAAGCTGTTAACTTTAACCCTATTGACGCAAAACTTCAAAGGTACGTGTACGGATAACGGCGTCTTAGAACATCTTACTGATCTTGAATTACATCAAGGTCTAATATATTCCAACCCCAATTTCCGATCATTGTTGGATTCACATTTGCGGGCACGGTTACCTCTACTGGACCTGATGTCATATCGGTCAAGCCCGGCGATCGAGTAGTGGTGGCCCGATGGGGCCAGACTGGAAGTGATAACAAGTTCGGAGCGCTTCAGAAATATGCACTGGCTCTGGAGGAGAATACATTGAAACTTGAGCCAGAGATCAGCTTTGAAGATGCCTCGGGGGTTATCGCCAACTTGGCGACCGTGGTTTCTGCTCTCAATATCTACATGGGCCTATCTTTGCCTCCGATTACTGGAAAAGCACTACCAAACGGAAAGCGCGTACTTGTTTATGGTGGATCATCGGCAGTGGGAGGACTGGCCGTAAAGTATGCTTCCGATGCTGGGTATGAGGTCGTAACCACCTCGTCTACGGCGAATAAGAAGCTTGTTGAGGAGCGCAACGCGGCCCATATAATCGATCATTGCCAGCCGAAAGAAGATCTCCTTCGGGAACTACGAGGCCATGGCCCCTACGAAGGGATCTTTGAGGCCATTGGCTCGCAGACGACCACACAACTCGTGGTTGAATTGCTTCGCGAAACGGGCGGCCAATTTTTCTCAACCAGTCCTTCTCCTGGGGATGGCCAGATTCCAAACAACGTTCAGAAGAAGTGGGCCGGATATTCCGAGACCCTTGCCTCCCAAGAAGCAAACCGGGAATTACGTGCGTGGTATCTGGAACGTTATTTACCAGAAGCCCTGAAGAATCGCTCGGTATGGCCTAACCCTGCGTTGTGGCTCAAAGGAGGGTTAAACTCCACCCAAGAAGCGTTGGATTTGCTGTATGACGGCAAGGTCAGTGGAAAAAAGATCTTCTTGAATCCGCAAGATTAGCTTTGTGTCGGCATGAACCTCCATGAACCTCCTTGTATTTTACTTGCTTTAAGAAGTCCAAGCGGGAGGTTATTACGGCGAGTTTGGGGCCTGATGGTAATATAATTTCAATGGCATTTGCCATGCTTGAAGTCAATTTTTTTGTATGTTCTAGCGCTCAAAGAGAGAGCCAAGGTGATGATATAGTAAGACCGGATATCTCACTTAGATACACAAGTCGATAAGCAGGCTCCCGCTGACAAGTTTGGTAGATCAATCCGTAAGGCATCTACGTATTGCACTGTTCGAGGCGGTGTTCAATACTCGGCCAGATCATCAGGATGCGCCGTGTCCTTCGACCGTAGGGGGCTCGTCAAAACCGAATACCCAAACTTTCGATCGACGAATTTCAGGAGCTCGGGATTGACATTGTTTGTATTGAGCCCCATTTTATACTCTCCTCCGTCGGTACGAGGAGCTTGGATGGGCCACCAATAGCATCTTACATAACATGAGTCTTGGATAAAATTGAGCAGAAATTGCTTGACTTACACGCAACCGCAGTTATCGCAGAAGTTGAAAGACAGGTCTCGATCGCCCCAGATATACTGCTTGGTCACTGCGTTCGGCTTCGTTTCGATCTTTACTTCATCGGGATGGTAGTAGCCCCAAGCGGCGCCGTAGCGTCTACAAATCGTGCATTGGCATACGTTGATGTACTCGGGCAGTCGGGGAACTGTGATTGCGATGGCCCCGCAGTGGCAGCTGGAGCGGATCGAGGTGTCTGTCGCCGCCATGTTGTCTTGTGTTATTCAAGCCAGAGTATGTCACGGAGTCTTGCAGTGTGTGAATGTCAGCTAGTTCTCATTATAGAGAGAGAGTTGGGTACGTTAGATAACAGGTAGTTGGTAAATTAGAATCAGCTTATATAAGGGCTACCCCGCCCTCCAGCTGTCCTTCTATGATTCTTCCTGTTTCTTAAGGCAACTATTTTTCCGTATAAAAACATCTAGTTCTTACACAGACCAATGTGTCACGAAGAGAAGAGGTGAAGAGTGAATAATCCAGAAGGAAGCAATTCGTCATGCGACCGTCAATATCAAAGTTGGGCAATTTCACTAATTACATACCATATTTAGTCTCGGATCAGAATATTATTCAAACTCAGTCTTGTTAATTAGCGATTAAAGTGCATTATCTAATATAATAGGTCCTAATTTAGTAATTCACAGCTCTCTCTTTCACATCATCTACACATCTTTCTCCACACATTCCACATGCAAGATATTTCAAGCCTTCAATATCAACAAGGCATATAGACCAGACGTTCAATCATCAGAGAGGGCAAACTTGCTCAGAGAGCGAAGTCGGGCACCATAGTAGTAAAGCAGCCAGATTCCGACAATACCAATCACACTCAGACCACCGAGGAGACTGGTACCCCGAGCGACACCGAGGTTGTTAAACAATGGGTGAGCAAACAAGACACTACCGCAAGCCAGGGCACTGCGGAAAAAATCGTTCGCAGCGAACAGGCTAGCAGCGTACATCGGATAACTCAGAGGGATGTAGACAAACAAGCACTGCATCACGATGAAGACAGTTGCACCGTAGATGGTAATGCCGATTGTGGGAGCGATCCAATGGATCGAGGCACGGGCTGTCCAGGCAAAGAGGAACAAGCCAATGGTGGGTCCAATAGAAGCTGGCAGCGCGGGGATAAGACGAGACTCCTGGGCTGGGAACCCGAAGCGTTCAATGCGAGGGTTCATCCAGAAGTAAAGGTAGGAGAAGTAAATTGCAATGCCGATGATGCAAGACACCAGGATACACAAAAAGACCAGGCCGACCTGACCGAGGTTCATGCCATAATCGACGGGGTAGACCAGGGGGAAGACCTCGAAGAAGGAGTAGTAGATGCCGTAAATGATGGCAGTGTAGATCTGGACGAAGAGCACTGCGGGGTCCTTGATGGTAATCTCCAAAGGCTTGACGAGGGCGTCGATGGCAACGGCGGAGACCTTCATGTTACGCTGGTCAATCTCGGACTGAGCCATGAAGCGCTCATTGTTGTGGATCTTGCGGAGACGAGCGGCACGACGGAGCAGGATGGTTGCACTGCTAGTCTCGGGGAGGAAGAAGAACATCAGGATGAGGACGGGAGCAGACATCCAAATGGATTCAAACAGGGACCAGCGCCAAGTCTCGGCGGGAACTGCGAAGCCACTGATGAGGGGACCAAGAGCAGCTATATGACTATGTTACAATTCACAATGTGATAGGCTATAGAAGTAGTGGATTCAACTTACGACCACAGTAAGCAGCAGACACCCAGCTCATCATAGCATAAGGAAGAGACATGAGACTATACATGTCTCCAATCGAAGCACCTCCAGAAGCGAGACACGGTGAGCCGAAGAATCCTTGCAGGAATCGAAGCACCATGAGGCCAGCGAAATTACCCACAAAGGCAGTGGGGATCGAGAGGATAACAAAGAGGAACATGGTCACAATATAGACCGGGTTTCGACCAATCACGGGGATCTCGCTGAGAGGCGAGAAGACCAGGGGTCCAGTTCCATAGCCAAGGACATACAATGACAGTCCTAGCGTGGCAACCAAGTCACTGACGCCAAACTCCTCCATGATCCCAGACACAGAGGATGTATAAATTGCGGAGGTCGTGTATACCACAAAGGTATACAGACAAATGAGCGTCGTCAGAAGTGCTCGCTTTTTATTCGACCAGTTGTGTGGGTTCTCCGCATCATCGGTATAGTACCAGTCGACCAAGATCGCACCATCCTTAGTCTTTTTGGGCTGAATAGGAATGGACTTGATCTTTTCAATTTCATGCTGCTCATCCGCTTCGAGGCGAGCTTCTGTGAAGGGCAAGGAATTTTGGGTTGATGCGCGACTAATAGCTTCGCTGGTTGCTTCGTAGCCTCGTGGATCTTCCTGCGGCTCTGATTTCTCGGGATCCGGTATCGTTGTGGCGTCCGATTCGTTCAATAATTGAAGCCATGTGTCGGGAAGTTTGAAGTCGGGCTTTTCTTCGGGATATTGGAAATATTTGTTGTTGGTCAGATATCGAACTATTTGCCCAAAGGGGGCCTCTCGAATGACAGATGCCATTGCTATGGAAAGGCAATCGGGTGGATCCTCAGGGCTGATTGGCTGGAAAAAGTACAACCTTAAGCTGACAAAGCGGAAGATTTTCCAGTCTCTGGATGAAAGAGTACCAGAGGGAATGCCAGGTAAATGGTTAATGATGGATTGATAGAAAAGAATCTACAGAGCTAGGTTAACAGAAGATTTATATAACCTGTCAAATGTCAAATTAACAGAACATTGAAAAGCTCGGCACGCCTTAACGCCGATTCGAATCCTTTCGAAAACCGTCAACCATAACGCGATCCTAACGTTAAGGTGTGGTAATGCAGCACATAAGCAGAGATTATAATCGACAAATTATAAATCAGGGCCAAATCTGGTTCCCAACCCATGGATGGCCCAATGAATATTATTCATCTCCTTAGAAATCCAGATTTCCATCCAATCACCATCCCGGTCGTTGAACATGGCTGTCCTGAGGGCTCCACTATGTCGATATTCTTGCATGTCGTAATTGCCCCGAGCTCCGAACTTTGACGCATTCTTATCTCCGTGGCGCCCTCCGCTTAATTACGAAAAGTCTCCGGTTCGTCAATACCCAAGGACGAAAACTCGGCCTGCCGAACACGAGGCTGCGTTTGCTTACAATTCAAGATCTGGATCTGGCTTTGGTAATATGACGGGGCTCTTGGCATGATGGCATCCATAACGGTGATTGATTCATTCGCACGTGTCTTCGACGGTTTATCGCCGTTCGGGCATAGCCTTATGGCCTAAGCCCGGTTCTTCTTCGTGAAGCCTGGCCGAGAGGCTCAATTGACTCATCTAACATACAGATCCTAGCTCATATCCACCACACCATGACACTCCACCCCCACCCCCCTTGCGGATTCCCCACTGCGTCCAACCGTATACCTCTTCAGGCATCCCGAATGACTCAGGAGGAAGTCGAAAGTCCGGCAGCTTGGATGAGGAATTGCGCGGCCTCCTTAGCATCGCTGCCATAAGTCAAGTGCGCCATCACGTTAAATCCGTTCTCGCAGACGGGGTCACCGCTAGCACAGTACTCCTTGACCTTGCTACTATCCAGCTTGCCGACGGCCTGAGTCTTGAATGGGTCGCCGAAGAGCACGGCACCGGCGACCTGGTCGGCCGTCAGGCGGCTTGCGGCGTTGTGGACGACCATCGAACCCTGCGAGTAACCACCCAGCACGACCTTGGTATCGGGGCACTGCTTGAGAGCAGTCTCGACCAGATTGGCCATGATAGGACCGCCATTAGCACCGAGGGCCACGTTGCTCTGGATTTTAATTCAACCCGTCAGTTGATTATGACCCACCAAGTATGCAAGTATGCAAGTGTGACTCGGTATCACACTCAAACGGGAAATGATGGATGCACTTACCTCAGCAGTCGCTGCATAGGTCACACCCTGAACATTAACTTTGTTGCCAGTCAAGGACTTCAACTGAGTAGCAACGGGTGGGCCAACCACGGAGCCCATGTTGCCCAACTCATCACTACCGCGAGCGAAGATAAAAGTCAGCTCCTTGCAGCTAGCCTTGTCGGTGACGTCGTTGGCAGTAATCGAGCTTGTGAGCTGCCGCTTAGAAAGGCCTCCTAGCAGGCTGCTGATACCGGAGCTGGAAGAGGAATCACCCAGACCTGAACCCAGGCTGGGAATAAGAGAGGCCAGCGCACTGAGGCCGCTGTCGCTGCTTGATCCACCTAGGGAACCGAGACTGCTAAGGTCGCCGAGTCCACTGAGGCCACTGCCCGAGCTGGGCAGAAGAGAGGCCAAGGCTCCCAAACCACTGTCGCTGCTGGAACCTCCCAGAGACTCGAGGCCGCTGAGACTGTTAAGACCACTGAGACCGCTGAGGCCACTGCTCGAGGAGCTGGGGATGAGAGAAGCCAGGGCGCCGAGACCGCTCTCGCTGCTAGATCCTCCCAGAGAGCCGAGACCACTAAGACCACTAAGACCGCTGCCGGAGCTAGGAATGAGGGAGGACAGAGCACCCAGGCCACTACCGAGACTGCCGAACTGGCGGTTCTCAATAGTTTTGGTGGGCGCCCCAAGAGCAACAACAACCAAAGAAAGAGCGACGACAGTCTTCATGGCGAAGATAAATGATAACGAGAGAATAAAGTAGAGAAAAGCAAAGAGACCAGCTCTTCAAGAGGGATATGCAAATTGATTACGAAGGAATCGAACGACTGGATGAAGGGCAACTTGAAAGACATTCCTGGCGAAGGCCAGATGGACTGTTTTTATATCCTTTCTTCCCTCGATTTTGAAACATCCCGACTATCCCAACCGAGGATGATCAAATTTTCCCATTTCCTCTTCTGGATGTCCAGATGTAGGTCGACCCAAGTTCGGTCGACAGTTGTATACTTGACGTCGACCAATCGGGCAATTGACAAGGCTACTGAAACGGTGGACCCTGTTTCACAGCCCGATGTTTCACCGTGCAACAGGGCAAACGGGCAAACGGGCAAACGGGCAAACGGGCGAACCTTGTAGATTAGTTTGTGGTCCCTGCGATCCTTCCCCGGTAGATCCTTGGTTATCGTTAATTTATCATCGAAGCCCTAAATTCCAGACTCCATCCTTCTTTTTAAGAGTTGACTCGTGTGAACATTAGTTCTTACCACTATAAGTTAATTGGACTCTGTACGTGCCGTTGATCTCCGATGATTAGCCGGTCTGGCGAAGGCTGTTTCAAAAGACGGGCATGATCACTGAGTATGGGACATCCAAAAAATCAAAACCCTCCGATCTTAATTAATTTCAATCGCAGAAGTACCGAACCGCGGTATTCGGCATTTGCATAGAGTATAGATCATAAAACAGTGAGAGCGAGACCCTGCGACGCAGGAAAGTGTTTCCTGTAGATTGAGGGTTTACCTTGGATCGCCCCAAAATTGAGTCTTTCGTGCCGAATGGGGCAATGCGGCCGACCACCCCAAATTTGGGATTTGGTCGGGTGTGATATATCGACATGTTTAGCACATGGATGCATATAGCCACATGATTCAGTGTTTCCGGTGCAGCCCGAAGAATTAAAGTACCTTGGCAAGTTACGAGGGCGTTGTTCTACATATAGCAAGAAACAAGTCTATAGATCAATTTTCCATAAGCATATGTACTATGATCAATTGAAGTAAGTACCCAGTTCCATATTTCTAGAGCATTCCGCTATGAAAGTAAACAAAAACAGAGGGCAAATATAGCTCCGCTGGTATATGATACGCGAAAGAAACCGGCTGATGGATCTTCCAGATATGCAAGGACGGAGATCCAGAATCCAGAGTGCGGGTAACAAGAGCGGGATCCAATCGGGGCTAGGCTGTACAACGCTCGGATAGGATCCTGAAGAAAACGAGACGACGAGATGCCGAGAAAAGAGACAAGAAAGGCGTATGGGGTATGCATGATGGTGGAAGGTTGGCCGAGGAGAGATAGAGAGGATGGAGGGAACGTGAGGTGAGAGATTAGGGGATAGGTGGCAGTGAGAGTGTGCTGCAGGAGGTAGATTACATTTAATTCAGGAGCTTGTTGCTGGCAAAGTGAATGGTGTTGGCGACCCGGTCAATCCAGTGTTGGGTGAGTGTCCAGTTCCCGGCATTGATACTGTCGCGAATCGCAGGGAAGATGGAAGCATCGTAGCCCGACCAAAGTTCTGGACCGAAGACGACATGGCGGAATTGGGTTCGGTTGGGGATCTAGAGACAAGCAATACCGTCAGTCGGAGATAAACAACCAGATTAATAAGGGAAAAGGGGACCACTTACACCGCCGTCCGCTTCTAGATCCAAGAGATGAGTGTCAAATTGGGCCATTCGAACGTTGTGATTGACCCGCTGGATCGCCATGACGTTGCTCTCGTATCCACCAGAGCCCCAGACACTATCGTGCCAAACATCATTCCAGGCCTGAAACCGAGCCGTGTTTGCCTCGAGCTCCGCAGCAGCATTATACATGAGTTGCAAGTCGACCTCGGCGTTCTTGCTCTTGGCAAATTCATCCAAGTCTTTCACCCATCCGGTCACAGATTTGCCGTAGGCTTCCATGTCGAACGGCAACATTGGGTTCTCTGAAACATCCAACAAGAGAAGCGACCAGAACTGGGCGAGAAGCTTGTGGTACACGAAGCCGGGATCGCCAAACTTCTCCATCCAGTCGTATGATTCGTAGCAGCTGTGGTAAGGGTATGCCTCGCCTTCAAAGCCGAAATCAATGCTTGAAGTGCCGGCAATGTCCTGAAACGCGACATAGTCACTGCCGGCACCGAGGGGCTCGAGTCGCTGGCCTCCTTCATCCCACAGTTCCTTTAGCGTCTTGTTGGCGAAAGGGTCGGAGAGACGGCCCAAGATCTGATGTACTGAGCGCTCAAAGACTGGCGACCCTGCTGCACGGAATTTGGAGCCTGACACACCCACGTCGACATTCAGGTAGGCGTATCCGTTGGCTCGGAGATTATCAATATCCTTTTCGACGTGCTCGGTTGAACCAATCAAGTTATACTCTTCTCCATCCCAACTCACAAACTCAATCGTCCGAAGTGGGCGCCACCCGTATGTGAGCAGCTCGCCAAAGGCTCGCACGATTTCCAAGAAGACGGCAGTACCACTGCCGGGATCGACACTGCCTAAGCACCACGCGTCTCGGTGGTTACCGACAATGATTTTCTTGTCGCGCTCCTCCAATCCAATGATCGTTCCATGAACGTTGTAAATAGGTCGTCGCTCGACCTCATCCTGTAGGTTCATCAAGTGCACCGTGGGCGAACTTTTATCGCCCGTCCACCATTCTTGGACTTTGGGCACTCCGCCGACCCATTCCTTCGGTACCTTGGACCCATGACCTTCGATCGCCTGCAAGAGTCGCTGCGCATCGCGCCAGGCGATGGGCAAACTTGGGATCTTAACCAAGGCAGGACTGTCTTCTGGGGACAATCGTTTCTTCTCGTCCGGGGTAGACGCAAAACCCGGGCTGAGAACGTCGCCAACAATATGGGACATGAGGCTGACACCACCTCGCTGTACACCATCCGACGGCATAAAACGGCCCTTCGGGTATGCAGGACCTTGCACAAAGCCGTCTTGAGCTGGATCGGAATAGATAATACAACCCACCGCTCCAGCCAGTTCGGCAGCCTTGATCTTCAGTGCCCGATCACCTTCAGTTCCGTAGTATCGTACCAAAGCAATCGAGCCGTTAACGGAGATACCTTTATCGGCTAGAAGCTTGAAATCTTCGCGCGATCCAAAGTTGGCATACACTAGAGGTCCCGTCACATTTCCAGACTTGGAATGTCCATGGAACACGGGGTACTGGGCGCCGTTCTCTTCGAGAGTGGCCTCCCAAACTAGATGAGGCGGATCCACGATTGCCACCTTGCGACCGTCGTCGCGAGGATAGTTCAAGTAGACCTGGAACTCTTCACGCTTCACCTCATCGAAACCAGCCTTGTAGAACTCATGCTCGATCCATTCTGCCAGCACAAAGCTTCCTTCGGTTCCTGCGACACGAGTATTACCAGCGACCAGCTTCAAGTTCTCGGCGATGTTGGTTTCGTTGATATGCCCCTGAATAAAGTTCTCCACCGACGACGAACTGTAGGACTGGCCCATAACCATGCGGTTGTTCAGATTGAAGATATCTCCGATAAAGAAGACATAAACCAAGGAAACAACCAGCAGCAATGCAAATAGCCGCAATAGCATAATACAGCCATGGTCCTTCAGGCGCGCCCGGGTATCACTTAGATTTATCGTGAAACGGAAGCTGGGCATGCTCGGGAGGTATCGTTGCAGGGGTCGTTGAATCGCGGATAGCGTGCGGGTGAGACTGGAGAACCGTTTGGAGAAGTGATGTCGTAACCGGGGACGACTACCACTGGAGGACCCCTGTCCGGAGTCATCGACGTCCATCTGATCCAGTTCCCTCCGTAGTTCATCGGTCGACCCCCGGGTCGAGCCCGATGCGGAAGAAGCGAGGTCATCGAGACTACCGCGCTCGGATTCTACCGTCGGGGGTTGATAGTTGGAGGCCTCGCGACCTAGGAGACCTTGTCGTTCGGCATCGGTGCCGTCGCCCAGGTCGGACCGGGAGGAGGAAGGTTGGGCAGTGGCTTCCTCGTATGTTGGGATAGGGAGGGATTTGTACTCGAACTTATCGTCGCCCATGGTGGCACGGGGTCAGCTCGGGGGAGCCGGGGCAAGCGGAAGACGCGGATACTGCGATCTGGAAGATCATGATCTGCTTTGTCTAGGAAGGGAAACGAATGACCAGCATCATCCCCCACTCTGTCGTGGGAAGATGGGGATTAGTTGTGGCGGGTGGTGGTCGAAGGTTGAGAGATTGCAGATCGCAAAAGACGGGGGAGGAGAGAGTTTGGCTGCCTTTGAGGTTCCCCCCCCGACTTCTCTCTCGTGGCGCAGTGACCCACGCCGAGAGGCCTTCTGGCCAACGCGCGTCGTGGGACACCTGAATGGTAGCATTGGCAACATTGGCACTAGAAATATCGCCATACCTATGCTAATTGTTTAACGGTTTGAAACACCAGGAAATCACACTTGAGTAAATAGTAGGTGGCTGATGCATCCCGACACTTCTCCTAGGCGATCATTCCCTAGGGGGCTAAAGTACGGGGTGGTCCACTCCTTGACAGGTACGACGCTTTAATGTCAGGTACATTATTTGACGCCTTCGGTTGTACCAATCGACTCGGAGCGAACTCGCTCAATTTCATACTGTCATAGGTTTGGAGTCGTTAAAAAGGAAGTTTCTACCACCTACCACCACACTGAATCCTACTTGGCAAGGGTCTCACGCATCCGAAGTGATGCCACTCATGGAGTAATCATTATAGTGGCACGGAGGCAATCGGATCGAGTGATCCACCTCTTCGGTGAAGATTGATTCGTTTCCTAAGTAAAGAAGAGAGAAAAACAGCCCCTCGGACAGAGTGGATACACACCAGATCCGAGATAAGATGGCCGAGTTCTACGCGGGAGCCATCTGGAGCGGACTGTGATAACCCGAACAGCAAAGTGGCTTCATGTAGATGTCTCGGGCATCATAAACTGATTGCAAGAGTTACTCTGTAGACGGCGTGGTAATCTAGAAAGAGTGTACATCAAATACTACTATAAGGGGTACTCATAGTTAGCACTACCTATCACATGCATAGACATATATATGCATATCGAGGGTTCGAGCAGTGGCCTCCAACGAAATAGAGAGAAATGGAAATTTAGTAGTTCATACGTGGCAGATACATAGAAACCCTACGGTAAGGCAGCAAGATCGGCATAGTCTCGTTAACTATACTTCAGGTGTAAACCCGAGAACAGGCTTAAAAGGGGTAAACTCCGGACCCGCGACCCCTCTAAAGTGGATTTGGTGTTTTATCGCGAAGAATGTATGGAGTCCGGAGTAGACCCGGTAGATGCACGAGGGGACTCGGGGGAAGCGGTGAACATGAAAATACTTATAGCTACTCGCAGCCTAATAGTTGATGGAAGTAGGACTGCACGGAATATTTAAGAGCCAACCAATCACAGATCGGAATCACCAGAGGCTCGTTGGACTCGGGAGGAGATATACCCCCAGCGGCGGACGGCAGTGGCGGGGGGTCTTGGGCAACTGGTACAATTATTGAATAAATATTCCTGAGCTATAAACTACTGTACTTTACTACGTAATACTGCAGGCTCCGTAGGTACTACAAGTACAATGTACATTTTAGACTTAATGTTAGTGCTTGATAGTATATGGGGGGAAGCACGAGACCATACAACTTGTACCCTCAAGTCTGCATTCTTCTTCTAGCGAGATCCTAACAAAGTCAAGCATGAGTTAATTAAACTAACCAGATTAACCATTCCTTGATCTAATCTAAAACTAGCCCCGTAAATCCAGTTCCAACGGAAGAAATCATAGTTCGGCTCAAGGGAAGCGTCTCTCGTTGCTCCACCGCCGAAAAAAAAAAATAAGTGACGGTGACTGAACGTACACTGTAGATCCGAGTACACAACAACCTCCTTTTCCTTGTGGCCTGGCTTTATTTCCCCGGCAATACTTCGTCTTTGTATAAAGATTTCCTTCTTTCTCACCTCCTATCCTCCTTTCTTTCACACTCCTTCAATTGCCCTTCTGCCCGTGTTGTGTCGTTCCTCTTCCTTCAACCCCTCCAAAACATACACAACCCCTCCCCCACCATGTCTGCCCGCCCCCAGAACATCGGCATCAAGGCCATTGAGGTCTACTTCCCTACTCAGGTAAGTTTCTTGAAGTCAATTGCCCCCCCCTGAATCCGTCAAATACTAACTTTCTCTTTCCCCCTTTCCAGTGTGTCGACCAGGCCGAGCTCGAGCAGTACGATGGCGTCAGTGCTGGCAAGTACACTATTGGCCTCGGCCAGACCAAGATGAGCTTCTGCGACGACCGCGAGGGTATGTACTGCCAATGGCGAACCCGATGAGAAGAGAACATACAGACACGGATATACTAACATTCTGCTCCTTATACAGACATCTACTCCATGGCTCTCACCACCCTCTCCTCCCTCATGAAGAAGTACAACATCGACCCCAAGTCCATCGGCCGCCTCGAGGTCGGCACCGAGACCCTCCTGGACAAGTCAAAGTCCGTCAAGTCCGTCCTGATGCAGCTCTTCACTCCCTCCGGCAACACCAACATCGAGGGTATTGACACCGTCAACGCCTGCTACGGCGGTACCAACGCTGTCTTCAACAGCATCAACTGGCTCGAGTCCTCCGCCTGGGACGGCCGTAACGCCATCGTTGTCTGCGGTGATATTGCTCTGTACGCCAAGGGTGCTGCCCGTCCCACCGGTGGTGCTGGTTGCGTTGCCATGCTGATTGGCCCCGACGCCCCTATCGTCTTCGAGCCTGGTCTCCGTGGCTCCTACCTCACCCACGCTTATGACTTCTACAAGCCCGACCTCACCAGCGAGTACCCCGTTGTCGATGGTCAGCACTCTCTCCGCTGCTACACCGAGGCTGTTGATGCTTGCTACAAGGCCTACCACGCCCGTGAGAAGGTACTCAAGGCCAACCAGAACGGCACCAACGGTGTTGCCGACGAGTCTCAGACCGCTCTGGACCACTTCGACTACATCCTCTACCACGCCCCTACCTGCAAGCTCGTCCAGAAGTCCTACGGCCGTATGCTCTACAACGACTTCCTGGCAAACCCCTCCCACCCCGCCTTCGCCGAGGTTGCCCCCGAGCTGCGCGATCTCGACTACGCCGCCTCCCTCACCGACAAGGCCGTTGAGAAGACCTTCATGGGTCTCACCAAGAAGCGTTTCGCCGAGCGTGTGCAGCCCGGTCTCCAGGTTGCCACCCTGTGCGGTAACATGTACACTGCTACCGTCTACGCCGGCCTGGCCAGTCTGTTGAGCCACGTCACTTTCTCCCCTAGCGAGCCCAAGCGCATCGCTCTCTTCTCCTACGGCAGTGGTCTGGCTTCCTCCATGTTCAGTGCCAAGATCGTTGGTGATGTCTCCGAGATGGTTGAGAAGCTGGATCTTAAGAACCGTCTCGAGTCCCGCACCGTCCTGGCTCCCCAGGCCTACGATGACATGTGCCAGCTGCGTGAGCACGCCCACCTGAAGAAGAACTTCAAGCCTTCCGGCAACGTCGAGACTCTCCAGAAGGGTGTCTACTACCTCACCGAGGTTGATGACATGTTCCGCCGCCAGTACGCCATCAAGGAGTAAAGGTTTAAACAAAAATGACCGTGCCTATTCCGTCCCATTTCTTCTACCGTTGGATATGACCCTTGTTTAGACGGTTTCAGAAAAGATTCCCCCAAGCGTTTTTTTGTTGCTTTTCTACTTCGGTATAGATCATGCAATGTGTTTGACCATTGCTAATTTTGTTCTTTTTTTTTTTTTTTGTCACCCTTTTTTTTTCTTACTGAGATTTTTAATGGCTTGAGCTATTTTTCTCGCCTCTTGGCGACGATGAACGTGATGAGATAAGCAGAGATCCTGGCCCAATCAGATTGAGGCAGGACGAACTACACAATTTAAATGGACATGATACGAACCAAATTACTCTCCAGTTTTTCCCACTAAAGATTTCCGATTGAAATAATTTGTCCTAAATTACTTGAAACGTGAACAATATGTCTGCTAATTATGGGACATAAGAGACATTATCCTCCAATAATATGCAGTGGGTGACGATCCCCCCGGCGCGTATTTCGAGACTGGCTGTACAGAGTACATCTGTAGCCGCCGAGCTCTGCATATCACACCTCCACATTCCACCATGAACGCCTCGGATCAACACTTTATGCTCCCCTTCTCTTCTTTCCTACCTCTTTGAGCCCACTGACCTGAAATTCTATGCACTGTCACAGCACACGCCGGGCTATTTTTATCCTCCCTCCTCTCTCCCTGCCCTTTGACTCTAACCGCCCACTAGGCGATTCCTGAGGCATGGCGCTCCCACCAGGAAACCACCTCGCTGACCGGCGAGTCCGCTAATTTCCCAGAAAATGTGACCTAATTGTTGCTGAATTTAGAAGCGTTTGCTCATGCTGCAGCCCCGCTAATCCCAACTCGGCATCTGAAGAATACCGTCGAACCTGATGCAAAATATAGAAACACTTTAACGCGCGACTGTCCGCTGAAACGGCACTATGCCTAGGGGAAAAGCCCCTAGTCGGAGTTTCAGGCCCTGATTGCTGTACCCCCCCTGTCGCGCGACCTCAGGCATGGTCGGTAGTTTCGCGTTTCATCGCGTGGGAAGCTGTCTAGATCGGAGCCAGGATCCCAAAAAAAGAATAGGAGCCTCCGTTGGCGTTGCGATGGAGTGCTTCTCCATGTTTCAGGTTATCCAGATCGGCTTGGGTTCGTCAGTGGGCCTGCTTCCTGCTGTTTGTTTATATAGGCCTCTGGACTTCTTGTTTGTTCTGAAACCTGCCTTGTCGACAAGCAGCTTTTAACATCCTCACATTCTCTCTTTCTGGATCATGTTCTTGTGTCTTCTTGAACAAGAGGCTTTGATCTAGACTGTCCTCCTTTTGGTCTTTGACTTTGACCTTGATACACATTCGTTGATATCCTTCTTCACGACGTCCAACGTCGTGAAGCTGGCCCTTCCTATCTTAGTATAGGGTTCTACTCGTTCAAACACGGCCTGGCTGCTCTTTTCCAGAATCACCACTATTATCACCACCATCACCATTACGGTTACCACCAGCGCCATGCCTGGGAAATACAATCAGTATCAGCCGACGACTCCCCCGGGAATTCCTCTCCAGGTGCATATTGGATCAGCCCACAGTCGTAACGCCTCCAATTCATCCGTTTACTCCAACGATTCATCTCCATGGTCAACAATGACGGGCAGCACCAGCCCTACTACGTCGCCTACTCGACACCATCATGGCCCAGCTCTTCTCCCTAAGATTCGCCCTCAAGATATTGTCATTGAGCCCGTATCTGTAGGTGGGCCATTGCGGCATCGACGTGTCTTGTCAAACACTCGCAACCCACCGGGATTCGTGCCTTATCCCAGCCGGCCACCTCTGCAGCGTAACAGGGAAGATGCATCAGAGCGGCTCGCCCTAGCATCTCCAATTTCACCTATCGTCACTACGGGTCATGGTAGCTACTCGGCCTTGTCTTCTCCAGTGACAGTGAATCCCTCCCACAGACGCAAACCTGGTGGAGGCCACTCCCGGTCAGTATCGACTTCTGGTATTGACGAAGCTACACTCAGCCGGTATGGATATCCTACCTACAGACATCTTCCTAAGTACATGCCGGCAATGCAGGCACAGACAATGCCAAACACGCCGGCGACGCCAGTGACCCCAATCACCCCGAATATTGTTGTTCATCCGTCCTATTCCCAACGGCAGACAGCAAAAGTCCCGCAACTATCACCTGTACGACCTCCACACCCGTTGACGGTTCGATCACCCCAGTATGATTACAACCAGTCATCCGAGGCCCAGCAATCACCGGTTGCTCTACTAAGTCCCCAGGAAGATTTGACGCCCCCTTCTACTAGTCTAATCTCCTACCTGACTTCCCCCACGCAAGCCATCAATCTGGTTCGCAACGTGAGTGTAGTCCCGACTCGGGGCATGCACGACTACTTCTGGTGGGACATTCGCAACCTGCGCAGTTGGACCTCCTTCTCAATTCCAACCTTTGACTCCATCCACGGACTCACGCAGCTCCTCAAGACAGAGATCTCAAGTTCTCTCGTTCCCCCGGTCAGCGTGATCACTGGCCGTCTCGCACCCGAATCCGAGCCTGCCCTAGTCAGCCTCATCAGAGATCTCTATGCTCCACGCGTAAACGCCGCGCTAGCCGTCTCTCAGGGGTCAGAGCACCTCCAGCTCTACGCCGCACCAGACATTATACACACCGGCCACAAAAACCACGGCCACCCACACTTTCTCGCCAACTACGCCACAGACTCGGAGCGCACAAGCGCCGGACTCCCACGCGGCCGCCTCGTCGGCATCGTCAAGAGCTTCGACCGCTGGAACTCCGGCATGCGCAACGAAGCCCCCCATAGACGCGTAGAATACCTCAATGGACTAGCACACCTGCAGCGCTGCATGCGCGAACACTCCTGCCGCTACGGCTTCATCATCACCGAAATCGAACTCGTCTGCGTACGAGCCGGCTGCGACGCGGGCGACGACGTCCCATACTTCGGCTTCCTAGAAATTGCAACACCAATTCCCCTCAAAACGGCCGTAGTCCAACAACACTCAAATCTCCACGACGCCCCGCCCCTCGCAACCCCGATCAGCGCGCGCTCATTCTCATCCTCATCACACGCATCTTCATCACACTCGCATCAGGACTCGCCAGGCCCGGAAGACACCGAAGACGGTTTCACGGCGCCCATGACAGCAAGTATGGCGCTGTACTTCCTTCTGATGCTCTCTAAATCTGTACCCTTGCCTTACCAACCATCCGCCCACCTCAACGTCGGCGGACCGGGTGCGCTCACGAGACAGCGGATCCTAGCTGAGCCGAAAGATCAATGGATTCCTGAACCGCAGATTGGCGAGAAGCGGGATGCGAAGCGTGTGCGTGGTTGGGTCTGGCCGGGGGATGCGTGGCATCGTCGGGAGGGGGGTGGTGCGGCGAGGACGAGGGCTGGGGATGGGAAGACGAAGAAATGGCATAAATGAGAGTTATCGTGATTTTCATGGCATGGATAGGCGTTGGATATGGCATGTTGGGATTTTATGGAGTTTGGCTTTTCTTGGAGATGGCATTGGTTATTATTTTTGTTGTTCTTGTTTCCTTGGTACGGTGTTGGTGGGTATCTCGAGCTTGGTTGGCGTATACTTGGGTTTGGGTTTGAGCTTTGCGGCTTTTTGGCGGCTATTGTTGGTTTATTTGGGATTCCCCTTTTCGCTGGATGGAATTTTGCTTTGCTGTTAATATAGTCTTTTGTTCTATATTCTTCCTTCCTTCTCATGAACTATGCATAATAGGAGTACTCAAGCTAGGCTGTTACACTTTCAGGGCTAGCCTCTACTTTTAGCCCTTCCCCTCCCAGGAAGGGGAATTGTTAATTTGAAAGCTGCTGTGTGAATTATAAAGGTTTTGTAACTTTGTACTACCAAGATCTGCTGAGGAGACTCATGAACAGAATTATTCACCCGCAAGGTCCTCATGATGTTGACAGTTCCCAATCAATATTTAGTTCTGTGGGGTAATACGCTTTTCCTCTTGCGGCATTGATCGTATCACTAACTAAAAGGACCTTGGGGAAAGAGTACCTCGATAGACAGGCGTATAGTGAGGACATTGCAGAAGACTTGACTACTGCATCCCTATAAATGACAAGCACCCCTCTAGAAAGTTCGTAGACCGGAAATTCTACGTACAAACCGTCTTCGTCAAGATACGATTCTCGTTCCAGCCACACCAAGCATACTACAATGAATTCCACAAGTGAAATCCACGACGTGATCATCGTCGGCGCCGGACCCTGCGGCCTCGCCGTCGCCTCCCGTATTCGAGAAAACACTCCCTCGGCGGTCTTCACAGACGAGGAACACCAGCGATACCACTGGATCAAAAAACACACTGGCAAGATGAATCTCGTCCAAGCAGGGCGCACCAAGAAAAACGGCGTGCGAGCCGAGAAATGGAACCGCGGACAAAGAACCTGTCCCTGCAAAGACGAGACGAGTCCAGAGTCAAGCCGCCGCGGGTCTACCGATTCAACATCATCCGTGCCTTCGCTAGCATCTGACTCGTCGACGTCGTCTAATACGTCGATATCGACATTGGTTTTGGATGGGACGGGTGATCAGTGGATGCAGAGATGGAATAACGCTTTTCGCACGTTGGAGATTAAGCAGTTGCGGAGTCCGATGTTCTTCCATGTTGATCCCGGGGATCGAGATGGGATGTTGGCCTATACGCAGGAAGTTGGGAGAGAGGAGGATCTGTGGGAGATTTCGGGGTGTGTTGGGAAGGAAATGAGCAAGCATAAGAAGAAGAAGAGACGGCAGAGTGGAAAACCTCAGTATGTGATTCTTGCTGGCTCTTGGGGATTCTTTTACATTTACAATTATCAGAATTCAAGACTAATAGTTGCACTTCTACAGGACGTTGGGAGTCGAGATTGACGAGCGTGATCGCAAAGACTACTTCTCGCCCTCGACTGATCTTTTCGCCGACTACTGCGCTTCCATCATCGACCGGTATGACCTAAACGAGCCCGGCCAGATCCTCAAACAAGAGGTTACGGACATCACTCATGGATACTTACCGGACAATCTCGACGTTGCGGCGCCCAATTCCAAGGTATTCACTCTGACTACATCGACTGGGCAGAAATTCTATAGCCGGGCTGTTGTGCTTGCGATGGGTGCCGGTGGAGCTGGAATACAAAAGATCTTCCCCTGGAAGCCTTCAAACGCAACGGAAGGGGCTGAGGCTTGCTGCCACAGCATGGAAATCAAGACCTTCCCGAGTCCCAACGTGCGAAGCAAGATCCAGCAAAGACGAGAGACTAACGTGGTCGTCGTGGGAGGCGGACTTTCATCAGCTCAGATTGTTGACATGGCTGTGCGAAAAGGGGTTACTAAAGTTTGGTTCCTGATGAGATCTGAATATAAAGGTTGGTGGTACCTATAACATGCTTCCAAATTTTACTTTGGAATGAATCACTAACGAGCGAGTAGTCAAACACTTTGATCTTAGCTTGCCCTGGATGGGAAAGTATAAAAATTGGGAAAAGGCAGCTTTTTGGTCAGCAGACACTGATGAAGGTGAGCAACATGCAGTTTGGAACTAAAGATGGATTTTCTATGACTAACGTCTCATCGCTCCCTTTCTTAACAGAACGCCTCGAAATGATCAAGTCTGCTCGCAACGGTGGTAGCATCACCCCTCGCTACACAAGAATAGTCAAACAGCATGTTGCCCACCATCGGGCATCCATTCACACACGCACGGAAATTACTTCCCACGATTACGATCCCGAAACACAGACATGGACTCTGACTACCGATCCGCCGATCCCTAACCTACCACCAATCGACTACATCTATTTTGCGACGGGGGCACGCTCCGATGTCCGCGAAATGCCACTCTTAAGTAATATCAATGATCAGTACCCTATTGAAGTCATAGAAGGTCTTCCCTGTCTCACGGATGATCTCATGTGGCGGGAAGATGTACCCCTCTACATTACAGGGCGACTAGGGGGTTTACGACTAGGTCCTGGAGCTCCAAATCTTGAAGGAGCCAGGCTTGGCGCGGAGAGGATCGCCTGGAGCTTGGAGGAGATCCTTGAGAAAGATCGGGGCATTGGAGATCAGTGCGAGGGGTTCTGTGGACTGGGAAACCGGTATGCCTCACTTGTTGGGGATGGGGAGGACGATAGCTAGGAGGTATAGCTAGCTAGCTAGGGCTGCATATCTCTTACATTTGTCTGATATGATTTTTTTCCCTTCAAGTCCAGCAGATCTTTTTTTCCGGGTTTTTAACTAAGACATGCGTCATGTGAGGACTTTATCTTTTGTACTTTACTGATATGGCGTCAAGGTCTGTTGGACTATTGGAGCTCGGCGTTTATCCCAGTGCTTTCGGAGTTGGTTATCCATTCCTCCCTTCATTCCCCGCGCTTTTAAGTAGATCATCGCTTGACCACACTCCACTTGAGAGGGAAGCTTCACGGGAATATATGGGAGGAATGTGGATAAATCCCTTGTTCCGCAGAATTTTTTTACTAGAGAGCTTCATGCATTATAAAGCTTATTAGAAGCTAGCTCGAGGTAGTATGAGTTTCTTTATTTAATTCCTCGTGCTGAGCAACAGGTCTGTGAGGGTGAGGTTACTCACTTAGCAGTACAATATGGCGCCATCAATGAATCCGAATGCCCCAGTGGAGGCGTTGAAGATCCTTCCGAACAAAACGAATCAGAACTGGCTCAAAGATCGTGGTCTACGGAAGTTGAATCTGGGGATTGCATTCATGTTCGCGTCGTCTGCTGGTACGGGGTATAACGGGAGTCTGATGAATGGATTGCTTGTGTTGCCTGAATGTACGTTTTGACCTCTTGGGCAAGAATAACTTTATGCTGAACATCTCTCATATAGTTGCCATGATCATCGGCGGCTTGAAATCTACCATCCTCGGTCTCCTTATCGCTGCCACCTCTTTGGGGGCATTCTTCGCCTTTACTCCGGCTTCTTATATTGCGGATACCCTGGGAAGAAAGTGGTGTGTTGGCGTTGGATGCTGCTTGGTTATCGTATCGTCAGTCTTGCAGGTCTTCGTTCAGAGTCACTGGGCCTTTTTCGGTTGTCGAGTACTCGCTGGTGCCGGTGTGGGAACTGCCCAAACTGCTGCTCCACTACTGGCCACGGAGATTGCCCATCCACGCCAGCGACAGACAGCAACAGCTTTATACAACGCGTGTTGGTGCATTGGATCGATTGCATCGGCGGCTGTATGCTTTGGGACATTGTCTATGACGACTAGCTGGTCATGGCGTACTGCCTGCCTGCTTCAAGCTTGTTTCCCGATAGCCCAACTGGTGGGTCTGTTGATTGTTCCTGAAAGTCCTCGCTGGTTGATCTCAAAGGGAAAGAATGACGAGGCTCTGGAGATTCTGGCAAAATATCACGCAAATGGTGACAAGTACGATGAGCTGGTTCAGCATGAGTTCCATCAGATCTGCAATACTATCAGTATCGAGGCACTGGAGCCAAGAAGCTGGGGCTCGTTCTTCTCGTCCAAGGGCGATATACACCGTCTGGTTATTTGTGTCATGGTTGGTCTGATGCAGGAATGGGCTGGAAATGGTAAGATTTATTATGGTTGAAGTTTAAAACGATCCAACTGACATGACCCAGGAATCATCTCCTACTATCTCGCACCAATTCTGGCCTCTGTCGGTGTCACCCGTGCTGCAGACCAAGCAGCAGTCAATGTGGGCCTGCAAGTTTGGAACCTCTTCCTCTCTGCAGGGGGCGCTGTGGCCTCCGAGCGATATGGCCGGCGCATTCTTTGGCTTCTCGGAACAATGATTATGCTCTTCTTCCTTTCCCTGATGACTATCGTGGCCGGGGTCTTCCAGGAAATGCATATCGCAGCTGCCGGCTTAGCCGTTGTGCCTATGATCTTCCTCTTCTTCTCCGGGTTCAATCTCGCATACTCGCCGCTATTTATCGCCTATCCTGCCGAGATTCTGCCATTCCCACTTCGGGCAAAGGGTATGGCCATCACACTGTCAACGGATGCAGTCGCTTGCTTCTTCAATCAATACGTCAACCCTGTCGCGTTCACGGCCATACAGTGGAAGTACTATCTTGTCTATGTGGGATGCTTGACCTGGTTCTTGGTGACTATCTATTTCCTCTTCCCGGAGACAAAGGGAAGATCTCTGGAGGAGGTTTCCCGGATCTTTGATCGCAAGGAGATTCGAAGCGAGGATTCTAGTGACACAAAAGTGGAAGAATAGGTGAAGAAAGAGCTGTCATTGTCAATTTTGAGGCGCCTGAAAAGTACATGAGTGCGTTCTGCTCATATGGGAAAATTGTTGGAAGTTTATATTGTTTTTACATTTTGATTTCTTGCATCTATATGAGAATTAAGAGCCTGACGAGGTATTGCTGTACTCGTGTATATCGATTTAGTTATGATGTCACCAAGGGTCCTCCATTTCCAACGCTACTGCCATTAAACTCTTTCCCTCCTTCGGCCATCTCTCCCTTTCCACCGCTCGGTTTATCCAAACTTGAAGATAACGATAGTCTATCCTGTCCCTGGTTTGTCTTCAAAACATGAAACAGGTCATCCGCCGTGAGGTGATCGTTCACCCCTTCCATCCGGTGTGCGTATCGGAGTCTGCCCCGTTGAAAGATCCATTCACCACCCTGCTGGTTCCAATTGCCACCTCTCAGTCCTGCCCACCCGCGTTTCCATATTTGCTTCAGACATTTACCCAAAGCACTAGGAAATGATTCCGGTGTATAGGGCGGGGGACTAGTAAATCCTTCCATTGTCCGTTTCATGTGTAGGGTTTCGTATATTTTCCCCGTCGGATCAGTGTAAATGGGGAAGGCATCGGATGTTTCTTCCATGTAGGGCACGATAAGGGAATGGTCGCCGCAGCCGATGATGATCACCTGGGCTGGTTTGGCACTGGCTGGGATGGTATCGAGGAGGGTCTGAGTGAGCTGCTGGGATAGTGTTTTGACATAGCCTTGATCATATAGACAGAAGAAATGGCGCACTAAATCTTCAAGGTTAGGACTGCATTTTTAACTCGATAGTCGCGAAATCACACACCGAAGATAACAATCGTGGTTACCGAGTCTCCTTTTCCCGCTACAAGCTCGCCAAATCTGACAATGTTGCCATTTTTTGTCTGGATATTAAGCTCATAGGCTTCTTGGAGAGTCTCGTCGCTTAAAAAGGTGGAGCAGTCACCCGAAACAATGCGAGTAGACATGGCGTGCCGGGATAGAGGCTTGGATATTTTTCGGAGGCGAGAGAGAAGATTTAAATATCCGTACAGATATTCCCATTCACTGGCTCTGGGCCCTGGTCGCTATCTATAACCTTGAAAATACTATAAAGATCCCGTGGGAAGGAGGTCCAGAAGCTGCTCATGACATCATGACATGCGGACAATGGAATTTCTGGCGAACCACGGATTCCCAATGAGAGAGACTTCCCTGAATAATAACTAACCTTCTTTGGTTCGTGTGAACAAGCTTTTTAGACACACCTCGTGAGCAGAACTTGCATATCCCGTTGATGGTACTCGTAGTAAGTTTCGTGGTTAGTTTGAATGGAGTGGAGACTGTCCCCTGCTTGAGAGGGGCGTCCAGATACACTGGTTCCTTCGAGTCTTCTCATTACAGCTTCAATATAAGACTAACAGACCAGTTTCTATCGCATACTACTTGAACAATATACAAAAATCCCAGCGGAACTTGGAGCATTGACGCCCAAAGATGATATACTTGATCAACGGCCAATAGGAGCGGCTCCGATGTTGCTGATACCCCGCATGCAACACAACGCGCCAGTGCAACCTCGTCCTCTCTCAACTCTCTATTTAAAGCGATCAAACGCCTCCAATAGCATCAACCCTGCCACTGCTAAGCGGTATTTAAGGAAGGGACACTCTCAGGAGCTGAAAAGAACCAAATTGGAGCTAGAACGTCCAACCTATCCCCGCACCGAGTCCGTTTTGACAACGTCCAGCAATATGAAAGAGCCTCAACCCCCTCCATCAGACATCCCAGTTAGCACTGGCAATCCCTCTACATATACCGAGCCAAGAGCCCCTCGCTTCATCGTCATTGGCGCCGGCTCTCGGGGAAATGCCTACGCCCGCGCTGTGAAAACGACCACCCCCGGTGTCATCCACGCCGTTGCCGAGCCACACGATTTCAAGCGGCGCGAATTCGGACGAAACTATATTTGGGGGGCAGAAGGATCTCCAGTCGAAGGACAAGAATTTTCCGACTGGAGGGAATGGGTACAATGGGAAATTGAGCGACGCAAAAAGGCTGCCTCCAGCGACAGCTCCGGTGCTGAGCAAGATGCGCCCCCGCTCGGAGTAGATGGAGTCTTTATTTGCACACTGGACGAGACCCATGTTGAAGTTATCAAAGCTATCGCCCCGCTCAACCTCCATATTCTCTGCGAGAAACCCCTCGCTCTCTCCCTGGATGATTGTCTAACCGTCTATCGAACTCTCCAACCACCTAACCCGCAATCCGCCAACCAAGAACCCCAGTCGCCGAGAACAATCTTTTCCATCGGTCACGTCCTCCGCTACAGTCCACACAACACACTCCTCCGCAAACTGCTCCTCACAGACCGTGTCATTGGAGACATCGTCTCCCTCGAACACACCGAGCCAGTCGGCTGGTGGCACTTCTCGCACAGCTATGTCCGAGGAAACTGGCGCCGCGCCACAGCCAACGGCGACGGCTCCCTCCTCACCAAATCCTGCCACGACATCGACTTCATTCTATGGCTCCTCTGCTCGCCGACTTCCCTCGAGAGCACGCAACAGCCACATTTCCCAAGATCCATCTCGTCAGCGGGATCATTGACGCAGTTCCGACGTGCCAGAAAACCTGCCGCAGCCGGGGACGCAACGTCTTGCATCTCTTGCCCCATCGAACGGGAATGCAACTACAGCGCGGTTCGAATCTATAAGGACCGACACCTCGCAAAGGGCCATCGCACGTGGCCGGTTGACATTGTCTGTCCGGATATCGAAGACGTATACCGAGGCGAAGGAGCCGCCGCCGCGAAAGAACATCTACTCTCACGACTACGCGAAAACTACGACGTCCGCGTTCAGTCAGACGCTGATATCGCCGCGAGACCGTGGTACGGACGGTGCGTCTACGAAGCAGACAACAACGTCTGCGACGACCAAGTCGTGACGCTATCCTGGGACGACGAGGGAGTCGAACCGAAACGACTAGCCAAAACGGCTACCTTCCATATGATCGCGCCAACGGAGAAACAATGCGAGCGACGGGGTCGTGTATACGGGACAACCGGGGAAATCGAGTACGACAGCAATACAATCTCCATTTATGATTTCGCGTCTGCGAAGACGAGGGTTATCGACGTACCCCGCCCGCCGCCGGAGAGGGCCGAGTCGCATGGTGGTGGTGATTACGGTCTTGCGGGACAGTTTGTAAATGCTGTCAATGCCGTGATGAATAAGGGGCTGGATGTTGAGACTGCCCAGGCAAGGTTTATCGGGTGTACCCTTGAGGAAGCGGTGCAGAGTCATGCGGTGGTTTTTGCGGCGGAGGAGGCGAGGAGGGAGGAACGTGTTGTTAAGTGGAAGACTTGGTGGGAGGAAAAGTTGAAGGGATCTGTTGCGTGATGGGGGATGGGGTTCAAGCAAATTCCATACCATGATTTTATGACTTATGATTAATGAGATGCTTTGAATGGATCCTTCTGTTGTTGTTATTGCGAAGACTGCTTTCGACGGGAGTTTGATATAATTTCTCTAGATAATCGAGGAATATCAAACAGCCCGCACAGGAGATCTCAGATAAAAGAATCCCTCCCCTCCCCGGATCGAACCCTCAGCCTTCAAGTTCCCTATATACTCCATCAAAATGCTCCATCGCCATCCCACGATGCCGAAGTCCATACTCCTTGGGGCTGCACCCACTAAACAATCTCCCTCCACAACGCCATAATACATTTAAAATATTATATTTTAAATACAGAAGATCTAAGAGAGATTAATCTATTAAATAAAATAAAAAGAAGAAATCGGCGAGCCGGGGGGGGGGGTGGGGGTTAGCCCGCTCGCCCACTCTCCCCCCTAGGGTGTGCCCGGTCATCCGTGGAGCTGTGCTCGACATCGGATACCAGTCAACCATATTTTCCCCTCATTTTCCTCCACATGGGCACACCCACTGGCCAACCAGGTGGCGACCAACCTGGCTGACCAACTAGGCCATATGAGGGGGGAGATTACCTGGAAGACTTGGAAGTTGGTGATAACCCTTGTTGACGGTTGGAAATCAGTATGACCGGCCGATAATATTGATTTTGACTATTGCTTCCATTAAGCTGGTATTATTGACCTTTTGAAAGCTACACACGTTATGCCGAGGAACGAACATCGTATTCATATTACTCGAATAAAAAGACCTCGTTCTATCCAATACATCGCGCTACCGCGTCATCCATTTCTTCATTCATCATCATAGTTATAAGCTCATTCCAAGCATGTGCCAATAACAATATCAAACAGGAAAGAATATTAACCTCGCGATCCCCATCCAGTGGATCACGCAAGACATTCAAGAAACACAAAGTCCTCCAGCTTAGGTCTTAACATCGGGCTCCTCACGGCCAACATACTCCTTGAACTTGAGCAGGCTCAGAGCGGAGGCAATGTTGTCGGCCAGGTACTCCTGAGCACTGAGGCCAAACTTGGATGCATCGCTCTCGTAGCGCTCAATGTACAGACGGATAGTGGCACCGCTGCTGCCGGTACCGGACAGACGAACGACGATGCGGCTGCCATCGTCGAACTTGGCGTACAGGCCCTGGTTCTTGGAGACGCTGCCGTCGAGATCGGTGTAGGAGAAGTTGCCGGCATCGACAACCTTACGGGAGCCAACGCTGGAGCCAACGAAGGAGTCACTGGCAACGAGATCGGCCAGGGTGCCGACAACCTTGTTGGCACCGTCGCTGTCAACGTTCTCGTAGTCGTAGCGGGTGAAGAAGGTACGGCCGTAGGTCTTCCAGAACTCGTTCTGGATGGAGGCAATGCTGGGGGTCTCCTCGGGCTTCTGCTTGGCGACACCGGCGATGATGTTCAACCAGGCGACGACCGCCCACACACCATCCTTCTCACGGATGTGGTTGCTACCAGTACCGAAGCTCTCCTCACCACAGATGGAGATCTTCTTGTCGTCGAACAGGTTGCAGAAGAACTTCCAGCCGGTGGGCACCTCGTAGCTCTGCAGACCCTGGGCCTGAGCGACGCGGTCGACGGCACCGGAGGTGGGCATCGAACGGGCAAGACCGTAGACACCCTGCTTCTGGAACCAGGGGATCAGCTTGGCGTGGTGTGCGATAATGGCCAAGCTGTCACCGGGAGACACGAAGGTCTTGGCACCGTAGATCATGTTACGGTCACCATCACCGTCACTGGCGGCACCAAAGTGCACACCGTTCTTGTCAACGGCCTCGACGAGCTCGTGGGCGTACACGAGGTTAGGGTCGGGGTGACCGCCGCCAAAGTCCGGCTTGGGCACGCAGTTCATGGTGCTGCTGGCGGGCAACCCGAGCTCCTTGACGAAGATGTCGACACCGTAGGGACCGGTGACACCGTGCATACCGTCGAAGAGCACCTTGAAGTCCTTGTGGGAGCTCAAGAACTCCTTGATTAGGTCAAAGTCGAAGATCTCCTTCATCATGGTCACGTAGTCGGCGGTAGAGTGAACCACCTCCACCTCGAGGGGACCGTAGGTCTTGGTACCGATGGTGGAGATGTCGACATCGGGGATGTCGGCGTACTTGTATGAGGTGAGGGTCTTGGAGGTCTCGAAGATCTTGTTGGTCACACCCTCGGGGGCGGGGGCACCGTTGGCCAAGTTGTACTTGATGCCAAAGTCGTTTTCCGGACCTAAACAATGATCACAGGGTTAGTGATCTGGAAAGGAATGCGCTCAATTGAGTAGCCAAGAGGAAGCTAACGCTCTGTTTACTTACCACCGGGGTTGTGACTGGCGGTCAGCAGAATACCACCGGTCGCCTTGCGCACGCGGATCAGGTTGCTGGCCGCGGGGGTACTCATGATACCATTCTGGCCGACCAGCAGCTTCTTGACACCGTAGGCAGCGGAGATCTTAGCGATCTTGTTGATCACCTCATCGTTGTAGTAACGGCCATCACCACCAATGACGAGGAAGGAGTTCTCAACACCCTCGGGAATAGACAGGAGAATGCTCGTAATGAAGGATTCGGAGTAGTTGGGCTGCTGGAAGACCTTGACCTTCTTGCGGAGACCAGAACTGCACGGGGGTTGTCAATTAGTCGTTTACACAAGGGAGGGGTGGAGAAAGGAGATAAGCAACGTACGTGCCCGGCTTCTGGTCAGCAAAGGGCTGGATAGAGACGGTTTGGACCGACATTATGAGAGACTTTGGAGAGAGAGAGGAAAGGTGAGGAGGAGGAAAGAGGAGGAGGAAGTTCACCGACAGAAGGAGAGGGAGGGGCTGGCGTCATGTGTTGATCATCCCACTTGGTGGCACTAACCAGCCCACTTTAGCTACCAACAGACTAAAATACTTTGACCAACTGAGACAGCTTGTGCATGGGCCTGGGCCCGAGCAAGATTTTTGTTCAATCCACAGCTTTCAATTCCTCCTTGACTATTTTTGTACGATAGCTGGTTATTTCTAGGATGTGTAACACATACACAGAGGTAGAAGTAGAAATAGAATGTTCTTCCCCTGGCAATACCAAGAACAATAGCATTTTGTCCCTTGAAGCTTCCAAAAAACCAACTGCCCCCACGGAGCAGAGAGCTCCCCAACAGAACCCAGAAACTCAATTGGTATCAAAAACATAACGAATCAACTAGTAATAATCATCCACTACCCAAACAACTTCCCCCGATAATACCTCATCTCCTCAATACTCTCCAAAATATCATCTCTCGCCAAATGCACCTCCTTCTTCCCCGGCACCTCCGCCAAAAGCTCCTCACTCCCCCACCGCCTCGCCGCCTCCTTAATACTACTCACATCCAGAATGCGATAATGCAAATACTCCAGCACCTTCGCATACGGCCCACGGGCTAAAAAGGCCTTATCGGCATGGACGCTGTTCCCGGCCAACAAGGCGGTGCGCGGGGCGGGGACGTGGCGCTGGATGTACTCCAGCAGCGAGGCGGCGGCGTCGGCGGCGGTCGTCGTTGAGGCCCGCACGGCGGCGGTCAGGCCCGTGTGGCCGTGCGTGTCGATGCACCAGGCCGACATGTTGTTCAGGACTGAGTCTGGGTGGTGGATGACGGCGTCGAAGCCTTGGGGTTCTAGGACTTGGAGTTGTGCGTCCGTGATGATGCAGCAGATTTGGAGGATCGTGTCGGTTTCCGGGTCGAGACCCGTCATCTAGAAGGTTTGTGAGATGGGAAGGGGTTTTTAGGTGGGGGAGTGAAAAAAAATGTACCTCGCAGTCGATCCAGACCAGAGGATCATTGGAGCGGGCGAGTGGCATGGTGGATTTGGTGCGTAGAGTACGAAATGGCTAGAAATAGGTTGTCAATGATGCTCTGAGGGTCGTCGTACGAACGGAGAAAAGTCTCGGGCAAGTTTGGATGTGGGCGGGAATTCACCTGGTGGAGAAGACTGCCGCGCTGGCCCAGCGGGAGTCGCGACGAGGCGAAGAATGAATGAGACAGTCGAAGACATCGGAGAAACATTGTTATCATGATGCTCAATTGGTGGGAAAGGTGATGAAACCTGTCAGAAGCCAAGTTCACTCACCCCTGCCTCTAAGTAGTCTACTGTAGAATTGACCATGTCTACCACGCCTTAGCCAATAAACTCTACCAAAGCACTCGATATCTACTTATACTCTGTAGTCTTACACAAAACCTCGTTATCATTTTCATAATCATGCCGCCTATGGGGCGACCCAAGCTAATGTATTTTCCTTCCAAATCCAAGGATGCTTCCTGTAGTGTAGGTAGGGGGGACATAACGGCGTCACGGTAGAGAGAGAGAGGAATCCAAAAGAGAACGGAAAAGTTGAACAAAAAATAAGGCGAGAGTTCCAATTCGCTCCCGGAACACATACAACAAAGACACGAAAAAAAGGCAATGCTAATGTTGCATGGACGACAGCGCTTAGAAGAAAACCATCTTTCCTCATTGCACATGAAGAGGGGAGACGGTCTGGTCTATCAATCCAAAAGTCCTTCCAGGGTTGGGTTTTTGAAAAAAGAGAGAGAAGCTATGAGAAACCCCGAGATAACGTCACAGTTCTTCATCCTCGTTCTGCGGGATGGGGGCTGGTAGTGGCTGCGAGTCAATCTTGTCGCCGAATGACCCCGTGCTGGCCGTCTTGTTGTCGTTGCTGTCGCCCAACACTTCGTTGATGCGACCAGATGACTCGGCAATCCGACGGCGCAGCGCATTCTCGTCCGCACCCGACACACTGGCCCGTTGTTTCTTCAAAGGGCTGCCCAAGAAAGCTTCCGTGACATCTCCGGTTGGTTGGACGGGCTCCGCGGGTTTCGCGGGTGTGGTCTTGGGCGGCGTAGTAGACCGTGCAATGCTTGCAGGAGGCGTAGTGCCCGAAGCAGGGGTATCGTTGGAGGTAGCACCGCCACTAGAGAGGGGCTCGGCGGAGTGTTGACGCTTGAGCTGTAACATGGTTAGCACGTCTGAAATACAATTAGGTGCTCCTCCAATTCCAAGACTTACGCGAATCCTTTCGACACCCTCTGCCAGTTCACCCTGGCGCTTGATGTCATCAGGGGAAAGGAATCGTTCATCATCCTTTGCCTCTTCATCATCTGCCTTGCCTAGGATGGGGTTGTCGGTATCATCATCATCACTGTCCATCTCATCATCGTTGGCTTTCTTGCCCTTCCGGCCACTGTCATGATCGCGGAAGTTGAGGAACCCGACAGTTCCTTCAGACTTGAGGGGGCCCAGATTCGAAAAGTCTGCCTGTATAGATTTCCGCTTGGCTGCGGGGGTATCCTGCACCTTGGGATCTTTCAATATCCCCATCTTCTGCAGTTGTCCTGCAAATCCCATCAACGTTAGCATTTGCACACAGCTCATACCAAAAACAGCATCACCCGTTCGAGAAGAAAGTACTTACGCTCGCCTCGATACATGAACGTGAAAATAGCATATGGTTTATCCGTAGGATCAATCCCGGTGACCGTCTGGGTGCTGATGGACTTTGGATCCAATGTCTTGGGCTTTGCAAAACTAGTAGTATGGTCGACATCGGCATCTCCGTTGCTGCCATTATTCCCTTGACCACCTTCCTCGTCGTCATCGTGAGCATCGAACTGCGGAGAGTATTCGCCCCGCTTGATCTCGCCGGAAGCCAGCACGCGGAACAAAGCAACCTTGATCTGGCCAGTGGTCTCGGGGATAGGGTCGTCATCGTCGGAATCAGAGGAGAAATCATCATCAGAGACATTTTCCAATGGTGCCTTCTCGTCATTGCCATAGCGCATAATATCCTTCGGCTTGGAGCTGCTTGCTTCCGTCTCCATGCCATTCGCATTATCCGCCTCGCGCTTTGCACGACGTTTCTCCATCTTCTGCCGCCGTCGTTCAATCTTGGCTGCAGCGTCCTTGCCCTCCAGGTCCAATCCATTTAGCCAGCGTTCCAGACCAACCTCGCGGAATAGGAACTCGCGCTCTGCGATACCTCCACCTTCGGAATCCGGCACGCTGACCCATCGCGAGTTCACCCAGGTCTCTTCCCCTCTCCGTAGTAGTGTAGCCACCTCTTCCTTTTGTCTACCATCAAAGTAAATATAGGCCGCCACGGTTTCGTTCGGAGAGTTCGTCAATGCCTGGTATGGTGCGACCGACCCGGAGTATTGACCGCGCTCGCCGGTCTGGCCCGGTAAGCCTCCGACGACCTTGGGTTTGGGGGAGGGGCAATCGGATGTCGGCTTCGGGGTCGAATACGGGACATCCTGACCGGGGTTCAGGAGGGTAATGGAGATTGCAAAGGTCGATTGTTCGGGTTTACCCTTGGACGAGGAATCCGGGACTTTCGGAGGAGGGACCGGGATGAAGCAAGCTATGCGCGATGCTCGCGACTGTCGCTGGATCGAGTATTCGGAGATTGGGCCATCCAGAGTATGGATGCTCACGGCCAAGCCTTTGAAGCAGGGCATGGCGGCGGCCTCGTTAAAAAGGATCGAGCGGGGAAAGGTGTGTTGATATTAACAAGCCCAGGTACCCAAGGAAAAAAGGAAAGGGGGGGATAGCCCCACGCTCTCGACGTGTATTTGATTTCCCCCAGGTAGAGAAGGAGAATAGGAGAATGAGATCTGACAGGTGGGGGGGAACAGGTGAACAGTGCTTGGTCCCTATTTTTTTTTTCTGCTCTGAGGTTCTCCTTCGAAGTGCGTCTTAGCTACAGGGTGAGAGGCGGTCAAAGTAGCGTGGATTTAGACTGGGTTGGACTTTGGAGCACCTAGCAACCAACCGGGAACCCCACTGTTATTGTTGCTGGTATGGAGATACGGAGGCTGGTGAAGCTTTTCGGGGGCGCACAGGGGAGTGGGGGAATAAAGAAAGCCGATCGAGGGACCGGGCGTTCGTGATCTCGACAGAAGCTTGGGATTTTACACCGAAGTCAGGTGTACCAGCACACATCCATGGAGATCAGGGCCGATGGTGATGGTGGGTTAAGTTGGAACTCTTTGGGCCGTGAGGAGGGGCGGGAACCTGAGAAAGTGGACCAGCCAAAACATTCAACTTGCCCGCTTCGTCCGAACTCCTGGCCACGTGATGTACTTTAATCCGGACACGCCAGCTGACCGGCATCTATCCTTCAAAGTTATTCGCATTTCTTAGTATCTTGAATAGTTAGCTTGCCGACCTGGCCTTATCAGGAACGACATTGTTTATTGTCAGAATGGAATCTTAATCCGCCCTATTCCCACTGAAATTATTGAAGATGCCGTAATTATTCTAACACGCCTGAATAATAGATTCTCAAAGACTTCTCTCTTGCAAAATGCCGATGTTGGGAGACCAGAAGTGATAGTGAGAATAAAAAAAACAACTTAAGACAACTAATCTATGGTAGCTCCTCCTCATAATACCCTTACGCTCGCTTTAACCATCAACGGTCCCTTAAGATCACTGATACCCACGCTAATCTGCTCAGGGAGCTTGCCATAGAAAATCCCATTCTCAACATCTTGCTCCTCTTTTGCATCAGCCAATTGGAACCAAAATTTCGCTAGAAGAGTGGCGGTCGTCTTTTAAATCACCGTCATTGCAAGCGATTTGCCAATACATTGCCGCCCACCAGCTCCGAAGTGCATCAGTAGCTTCCCCAACTCATTATTTGTCTCATCTTCCCACCTAGAAGGCCGGAAACAGTTATGATCATCTCTCCAAATTTCAGGGTTATGGTGGAACGCGTGGTTGCACATCGCAACAGAGGTCTAATTTGATACACTTTTATGAGGACCGCATCGAATATGGTAATATAAGGACTTTTTTTGGCTTACCCCCACTGGCAACACATTCCCATCCAAGATAAGCCCTTCACTATCTGTCACCCTTCTAGCCAGGGGCATCGTGAAGGCTGGTGTGAGGCGAAAGCTTTCCTTGACGCATTTTTGGAAATACGGGAGGTTTATCTCGACCGCTGATCTCGAGTAAGCATCTGTCCCTGGCGCCATAGGTGGTAAGTGTGAGTCAATTTCGGCAACGGCCCTATTAATAGCATCCTTATTATGAAGCAAATTATAGAATAGGAGGGTAGTAGTGGCACTTGGTGGGTGAATTCCAGCGATGCTGCTTTCAGGTTAATGGCATTTAAACATTAAATGTGGTCAGTTTAATGGGGAACTCACATAAAACCAAACGTTTCTGCAACCAAGTTAGCCTCTGGGAGTTTGTTTTCATGATCCGCGTCTTTCAAGTTGATAATACGTGAAAGTATATCCTTTCGGTCTGGCCATTTCTCATCTGACATCGCCAACAGTCGCTTTCTCACGATTCCTTTTGCTTGCTGGAAATAACCGAGCAGATTGCGGAATGACTTCCAAGCTCGGGGGTGCGGAACAAGGAGCAAGAAGATGGATAGTATAGGTTGTAATAATGGCCATGAACCAATTCCGGCACCCCACAGAGAAATGTGATGGTTATCAGGCAAGGCTTCTACCGGGTTTCCTTTTTGGATACCCGGATCTTCACCATACATGAGATCAGCCATTGCATCACACACGAAATGATAGATTGTCTTTCTCAAATCAAAGGATTTTCCATATTGGCAATATCCCTCGATTTTCCCAATCAGGCGATGACAGTGAAAATTCAAGATCGGCTCATAGGTCTCGACAGCCTGTGGGGAAAATGCCTTAAGGAGTATACGGCGACGTACGGCGTGATCCTAGGTAGTACTCAGAATCAAAAAAGTTCTCGCACATGAAAATGCATAGATTTTGGGTTGAAAAACTTACAGCTTGATTTCGATGATTGAAAAGATTCGGTTCATGCGGTTGCCCGAAGGCTTCATAATATTCCGTCTTCGGCATTGTCTTATGCCCGCGAACATATACAGTTTGTACCGCATCTTTGCATGTCACACTCAGCTTATCTGGCCCGTATCTAACAATGGGTCCATATTTTGCATGGAGCTCCGTCAAGTGGTATGGTTGTTTTCCGCTCAGCCATTCTTGCACTTGCCAGATGTCGGTCAAAGAGGCGAGAAAAGGCCCGGGGTAACGGGCGAGGGGGTGCCAAAAGTGTTGGTAGAAGATGTATATAGTCAATGCAAGAACTATAAATGAAGCTATCTTCACAGCGGGCCCGAGAGATACTGGGAGAAGGAGATCTTTGAGATTCAGAGACGCTGCCATGAGGATTAAAGTTATAATCCGTATAAATTGATCAGAAGGGGGAAAGAATAATGTTTTTTGATAGACTAATAGAACACGGTAACCCTTTTTTAGCTTATAAGAAGTATTCTATTTTCTCTTCACTTCTGTCATTTGGAGTAAACCTCTCACAAATTCGGGAGAATTCCCCTTCACCGTTCGGCGGATATGGGGGTGGGGTTTCCCGAGATCTACACCCGACTTCTAACTAATTGCTCTTGGCTTGGTCATGCCGAGACAGCCGCGAAGTACCTTTTGACAAAACCAGCGTCATTCGAATTTCTTTTCCTCGGTAACCCCGCAAATTCCCCAAACTTGCGGACACTGGAATAGAGGAAATAAGCCCGGAGGAAACGCGGGGAAGGTAGGTTTTAGAATCGAAGCCTTGTTGTCATTCAGCTTAGACCGCGCGTCATGCGAAAATTCTCGTCTGTTTTGAACAATTTTAGTGAGGTGGTTATAGACAATTTTGCCATTCTAAATCATATCGAAGTCTATGGCCTTATGTCACGGCCTATGAAATAGGTAATTTAGGAGTTGCTAAATTGGTAGCTGAAAAGGTCCTTTGAGAGATTGCCGTATCCATTTGTCTAGACGCTTGAATTGTACAGATTTAATTCTCCTACTCTGATACGAAATTGACATCGTGTGCAGTCCAAGGATGCTAGGGCGTTACTAAAAGTGAGCTATCACTACATGGGAATTGGGGAACATGTGTTTAGCAGAGCGCACCGAAGGCTAAAAGGCTGCCTTGCCTTCGTAGACCAGAGTTCTTGGATTGTGTTCTTGGTTCAGAATATTTAAGACAAATTGGAGCAAGAAACCTTTAATAACGATCCATTTCTTCTAAAAACAGGATACTGCTCAAGATCTTTTAAAGAAAAGGATTTCAAAACGATGCCTTCCATAGAACGAAAGATAGCACTTCCGCAAGATGGCAATGTCTAGGCACCACGTCTTTTGATGGCCATAGTAATAGCCTTGCAGGACTTGATGATACCTATACAAAATGTGGTTTCGCAATGCTTGACGGTTTATTGAGAGCCTGTAAATTCTCCCTGGCAGCCATAGCCTCGCGAAGAATGATCTCTGCTCGTTCTTCATTACGAGGAATGAAACGAAAATTAAATGGCTCCGGTCTCATATTTTCCGACTCGATGAAGTTGAATATGTCCAATTTTTCCTCGCTGCCCTACACAGTCTATATTAGTGCCGGATCAAAATACCCTTTCCACAATGATTTCATACTGCGTTGCATCACGGGAATCACCGATCATTGTCATTTGCAGTCGAGAGGAGTATATGTTTGACCTTTTATCAAGAAGCTCTGAGATAGACCAGGCATCATGAAAGAAGATCATTGGTCTATGACCGCGCCAGATCGTGATGGGAGAGCGATTGTATTTCCTGGATTGCTCATCCATCCAGAGCCATGGACGTGGAAGCTTCACTTGAAAGTGATTTCCGACAACTGGCCAGGGGAAAGGGCCTGGCGAGAGCTTTTGGCGTAGCCTCAGGATTCGAATATAGTCTCCAAGGAGGTAAATGATGGATAATAGAAGTATATACAACACAACATCGACCAAAAAGCGGAGAATCTGTGGATTACTCGATGTGAACTTCGAATTGCTCATAGTTGAGACCGTTGCTGCAGATCTTTTTTGGGTAAATTGAAAAGAAAAAAAAGCGAAGGGGATAGACAATGACGAGAAAAACTTCACAAGGATGGTAGTGCGTGATTCCTAGTCAACATCACAAGTCTCAACCCGACCTTCAAGGGGAGGAGTAATTAAAGAATGTTCGATTACCTGTGAAATTCTCTCGCCCGAATAATCTGATGCCAACCCACAGGTATAGATTGATATCCCTCCTCCTCTCAATGTGGCGTTGCGGAGAAAGACACATCGAAACGTGGATATATCGGGGTCCCCGCAATTCTCCTTCAACTTCAGATTCTTAGTCCCAACGTTGCCCCACAAACCGCATTTAAAAGATTTTAGCTTCGGTTTAATTCCGTCTCAACTAAATTTAAACCCGGTTTCGTTTATTCCTTCGTTCTCAGAATCCAAGCACTTCCTGCACATCTGTCCCACCATGGAGAATTCCGCCGGAAGTATCCCCAGTATCCTCAAGGATATCTCCTCCCTGAGTCTTCCTCAGCCTCGCTACGATGGGCTACACCCTGGCTTAGTTATTCTCAGAAAGGGATTTCAAAAGATCAAGGGCTCTCGGCCCTTGCAAGTGGGTACTATATGGGAGAGAGACATTATGGTGCCTCTCAGGGATGGAACCTAGCTTCGGGCTGATATATTCCGTCCCCAACATACAACTGAGAAAATACCTATTCTTCTTGTCTGGACACCGTATGGAAAGACAGGAACTGGTGAGTAGCGTTCTTGGCCAATTTTGTAGGGTATATCTGTCTTGATTCTAACAAGTCACAAGGAATGTTTTCTATGGAACTTATCCAGGGACGTAATGGTGTTCCAGTGGAAAAGCTCAGTGGATATGAGTGTTTTGAAGGCCCGGATCCAACAGAATGGAATTTACATCAATATGCGGTCGTTCACGTCGATGCAAGGGGGTGTTTTAAGTCCCAAGGTCATCACATGTATGTTGACGCTATAACATGCTTACATGTGGAATTTAATACTTATAAAAAACAGATGGCATGGAAAGGCCGAGGGCCTTGATGGTTACGATGCAATCGAGTTCCTAAGCAAATTTGAATGGAGTAACGGGCACGCTGCTTTGATAGGGAACTCGTGGTTAGCCACTTCGCAGTGGTTTATTGCAGCCGAGCGTCCGCCGCATCTTTCATGTATCCTCCCTTTGGAGGTGGTTACGCAAGTCGTATCCTGATTCCAACAGTATCAATGTAAAGTTAGGCACTTCATAGCTATCCCTTAGTTCCGGTTTATGAGTATCAACTACCTACAAATTAAGCGGCAGTGGTATGTCATGATCTACCTCTTAGTCGTCTGTATCCTGATTGTTTTCTTATATGGGCTAGGTGATTTGGGGGTTTAAGACTAATAGCTTCCTGAGATATATGCGCCTATATACGCAGGATTTTGTCCGCCGGGCGGGGTTTTCCTGTCTAGGCTGATATCTGGGACGCCAAGCATCGCGAGGAGATCAAGAAAAGCAAGGACTATGTCAATCAGTCAAGTTTGAGTGTATTTTGGTATTGTTTGCACACATGACCCTCCAAGGTTATTGACCGAATCATGAGGACTCTCGATGACTGCCTCATTCAACACCATGAATGCATAGAAGTCGTAGAGAGCTGGTCTTCACAGAATGTGGCAACCGCCTCAGTATTTTGATTCAAAAGATACATCCCGAGTCCATCACCTCATCGCGCCCCGAGGATCATGCCTTTTATAGAACGAGAGCCAGGCCAAGAATACCAGCACCACCCACAATACCCATGGCAAATCCTCCGGTAGTGACAGGCGCGCTACCAGAAGACGTAGAAGTCGTCGCGGTGTTCAATTGGGAGGCAGTAGGTCCCGATCCACTGGTACTCATGGTCGTCGATGATGATAACGAGGTAACAGAAGAACCAGCGGTAGCAGTGGGCGTACTTATAACGAAGGCAGGCCACTTGAACGTGGACAGCTCAGAGGCATATACAGCTTCATCACTGGTGACAATGTACTTGACATCACTGGGCAGACTTGAATACCAGTCCGGCAAGATACCAGATTTCTCCCTGTCCAACTCGGAATTCATGAATGCTACGTTGGTCTCCATTGCCTCCTCCCAAGTAGTCGGTATAGCGGTTGCGAGGACTGATTTGACCCAGCTCGGATAAGTCGGCATGAGAGCCTCCTCTTCAGAGACGATGATAGACAAGGCTTCTTCATTGGAAGACACAGTCATTGTTGTAAACTTGTCAGCGTTAGGCCGAATAGGAGACAAAGCCTCTGCATCGGAGGATGAGGTTTGTGTTTCAACTGCAGTCACTGTAGAACCGGTTACAGTCACCTCAGAGGTTACCGTTTTCACCTCGGGTGTACCCAAATTTGTTGTATCAGCGGGCACAGCCCGGGCGATCGCGGCGAAATAAAGAGCGAGGGGCATGAAATACATCTTGAAGATATTCAGAAACCCCTACTTGGTATGCTTGAGCCTGAAGAACGATCGTGATAATGAATAGTGCCAAGGAAGATGGGCTAATGAGGCTCATATTTCAAGGGGCTAACCCTCCCTTATGTAAATATCATTTGGGCCGCCTAACAACAAGTGACTAGCACGCACTGGGAACGGAGCCTCATAAGAAAGAAATTGACTGATGCTAGGGCCCCCACCTCAAAGGGTCCGTGAGCTCTGCGCAGAGGCTAAGCATTCTCGCTTGGGCAGCTAATCGATTTTTAGCCTATTAGGAAGCAGTGCGCAGTGGGCTTGTCGGTTCATTACGGAGCGAAGGCTTCATATTCGCACTGGAAGAGAATCGCGTCTTGCTTCAGTGCTGAGACTATTTTGGTGTCGAAAGGCAGATTCGTGCCCAGTTCTGATAAATATTGAAAAAAGCGCTGCAATTGCTTAAGTGTGTTCAGATGCGGCGCAGACCCGTAAATCTCTCGGGATCTCTCTAGGACCGTTGGAACAGGGCGCTACTAGCGTACGAAGTCACACATCTCCGCGCTGTAAACGAGAGAAGTACGACGAAGCGCAACCCATCAAAAGGCAGATATCTTGCGAAGAGGATTCGATGGTGAAAGAGGTCCTACGGCCTATTACGGAGCTGAATATACTAGCAGAAGCACCTGCGGTAAAATCGCATACGTAGGGCGAATTGCCTAGGTTATCCGGCTACCAGGGCTCCGCCTTGGAAATACTGTACGTCGGCGGTAGGTCAGGTCGCTTAGAGGCGTACTCAATTCTACTTAGTAAAAGCGATAAGGGCGGGGGTAAGCACTAGAAGGGAGCCCAAGCGGAGCGCCAAGAGTTGCCGGACATTATCTGGTACAACATGTATCCGAATAAGCAGGAACATAGTAAAGCCTGTGGCTAAGGTGGAAGAGAAATCTTCCATTCTTCATTGAGTTGCTTCCGAGTTTGAATATCTGACTCCCTTCGTAGGAGAGGAATAATTAAGAACTGCACATGTGCATCTCATGATACCTTCGCGAAGAGTAGGCCACCCCGTTCGAGAACCAACTATCTGTAGGAACTCCTTCCACAAACGCTCTGCACTACCCGGGTTTGATAGCAGCCCAACACCTGTGACATGAACAAGTATACCCGATCCGGCTTGAACCCAGCGCTCTCGGAGGGTTGGGTCATGATACTGGTCAATCTTGAGGAGTGTGGCAGGAGGTTGGAGTTGAGAGGTTTCTTCATGGGCTTCAAATCCCCCATATTGGAAGCGCGTAAAGGCCCATAGATATGAAGTAACTATCAGGAGACAGAAGTAATGATAGCAGTCAGTGGTGGCAGTGGATCGAATTTCACCGATCAAAGCCCCTGCATGTGCAACACATTCTCGTGAGAGCGCCGGATTCTCGCGTATCCAATCGAAGAGGCAAACTTCTGCGGCTGACATGTCTTCCTCCGATGCATACCATCCGGAGTACACATAAAGTTGTTTACGTGGGACATGTCTGAGAATCCCAAGCAAATGGTGAAAGGTGTTTCTGGCATCTGGATTGCCAGTGGATGCGGATAGCGAGAATAATTTCGGGGCTAGAAGTTTATACTTCCAATCGAGTCTTCTGTAAGACACCACTGATGATGGTGGCATACTCGGGGATGTCCCTTGATCCTCGAGGTTGAAGTTGAAAAGAGCGCAAGACTGGGATGCGTTTATGGCTCGACTTTCTTCCACAAACAGCACGACAAGGAGAATCAGCTTCTTGAACTCTGATAATTGCTGTAAGACGTCACTCGACGCCCAGTTCATAGAGAAAACCTGATCTAAGCTCATTGGCTCTGATCGACCTGGAAGATATTATTAGCCATGAAGAACTCGAGACTGGCAAATGGATATTGACCATTCAATAATTCTAAAGAACCTCCCCATTGATCTTCGTTGCGCGCCTTCCATAAAATCTCGGACGAGGGAAGTTTTTGCTCGTAATCTCTGGCCGTAAAATACGGTTCTACAACCAAGAAGATAAAGAAAAAGCAATCCATCACTGGGAAAAGTACGGTCAATTTCTGTGAAACCAATGTCCAGCAGATCGTGAGCCGGTCAAGTCAGCGCCAATCACGAATTCACTTACCAGCAAAGCAGTACGCAAGTCTTCTTCCGGATTCGCAACGGATCCAAGATTGCCATTGACTCTTAGATTGAAGACTGTTCATCTCTGTGGATAAGAGAGAATCTTTATTCGTAGACGATATGACAAATCGCCGCATCAGTGTAGCTAGCCAAGCATGATGTGCCTGCAAATTGACAACATTATCCTTGAAACCCGTAAACATCAGGTTTATCACCAACAGCAAGGTACACTGTGCCAGTATCATTGTGTCATACCCCCGAGATTGCAGGGCCTGTAGGTTGATCAGTTTATTTCACATGTGGATAAAAAAGAAATGAACAAGTAGGTATTACATACATCAATGGGAAGGGATAGTCTCAGCAACTCCGTAAGCGTCGAAGCACAGTGGCATCGCTTGGAAAGCTTGGTATATTGACACCCAACAGACGTCACAGCCAGCGCGAGGATCCAGGGCGTATCATTCTGCTCCAACAAGGACGGGTGAATGAATGGCAACTGATTATCAAAATACTCATAATAGAGTTGAGTAAACGAGTTGAAAACTGAATGTTGCGGGAATGGAAGAGTTTTGAAGCGAGGATCGGTCTGTTGGGCATAGAAGGCAAGTATGGCTTGATATGCATGACCCAGTTGCGTTCTGACATGCCAAAAGTTCTCTGCCACGGTGATATCATCATCTGTAGATTGGACAACGAGTAGATTAACGGGATTTGATGTCTCCGTCTGATCTTGGCGCTGCTCTCGCTGTTGACTGTGTATGGAAAATCCCCTGCCTAGGGTCGAAAGTTCTTGAATGCCCGCAGAGTATGGGATTTTGACGTAGCAAGAGCGGAATTTTGGGTGATAAGTGCACTTGAGACAAGCTAGAAAGGAAAATAATCCAACTGGGCCGTCGATTCAGACCAAGAATGGCCAATGCCTAGATAGCCTTCGGGAACGACATAGGCATGGTCGGGCATCCAGGGGAAGGCAGCACACATGTTCAGGCCTGCCAATGAGACATTATTGATAGCTGTAAAAGCAGCACGGTCGACCTGTGAGTTGGAAGGGCTCTTCGTGCTCAATTGGAAGTTGGGTGGATCAGATGGTAATTGTGTGACTGGCGATGAGACGTGGACAGCATCATCGACGAGGGCGGTTGTTACATCGGAATCTGAGTCACGAGATTGGTTTTGCCAATTTCCAGAAAGCGAATATCGGCGATTAGAGGCTCGATTACGGTTTTGTTCGACGCAGTTGCGGCCTCTGTGCTGACGCCGGAGGCAAGGGTTCCCGCCACTACATTTCACTTTGTCTTTGGAGCAACCTTGGTAAGCACTACTTCCTCTTGTACGGGCAAGAATACCTCGAGCCTCATCGCTATGTGTGGTAACATGTCGAAAGAGAGAGTATCTCTTCAATAAGATTCAATTAGCATATATTTTACGTGATAAAGCCCATGATTAATGGTGAAAACTCACTGTCGTGAGAAGGAGCGCGAACATAAGGGGCAAACGAACGGGCGGGCCCCTGAATGACGGCGAAGATGACGTTCAAGATGTTCACGACGATTGAATTTCTCTTGACAGTGATTACATTCCATCTTAACGTACCGAAATGAATAATGCACCTCGCCCTGACCTAAGGGGGAAAGTAGGACTTGAGGTGGAGGTGGTTGGTTGGCAAAGCTACTCGGCAAACCTCACATTATGCAGAAGTTGAACACGTAAGAAACGCCACCGGGGACTAAGGGATGCTGCATCCTCAAGGCGCGGGGCCCCAGAAATGTAATTTGGTCTAGTACATGTTAGGTTCAATGTAGTCTATATCGTCAGTAGAAGCTATCATTGAGTCGGAGAAAGTTGAGACAGCATATGCTAGTAATCCTAGTAGGCGGATGAGATAGAGGATAGGGGCCAAGCGGAACCAAGCTTGGATGCAAAGGCTGATTAATTGAAGAAATAGAAGAATGTCATGTGACGGGCTGAAGGGGAAATATGTACTTATGGGGGTTTTGCTGTGCGTTCTGGACTCTACCGCGGTCCTCTTGTACTTCTTTTCCTCTTCTAGCTGATTATCCCTCATTCCGTTAAATACTCAGGTTGCCTTCTTTATATTAACTCATAAGAAATTACATCAACTGATGACGTTTGTGCCATTAGGAAAATTCCATTTTCACTCCCATGTTATAGTTATAGCCATCAACCTTATATTAGAACACCCTAAGTTTTGTGTAGGAATCAACGAAAATTCTTCTCAATTTAGATACATTCAAAAGCCACGGCTTATTTTCGAAGATTTAAGACAGCAAAGAACTTGACGTCCATAGCCCATAAATTAATCGAGAATGTCGACTTTCTTCCTATTGTGGGTCTCAGCTATTTTAGGGACCTCCAAAGACAGAACCCCATTTTTCAGGTGAGCTTGAGTATGGTCTTGGTCGATGGTGGCTGGGAAGTTAAATGTCCGTCGGAAATCTCCCACAGACCTTTCCGATACCCACCATGACCCATTTTCAGAAGTAGATTCCCGCTCACTGTGGGCCTTGATATTCAGGCAATGCTCATTTTCAAATTCAATTTTTAGATCTTTCTGTTGAACGCCAGGTAGGTCACCATCGAGGTAATAGGCCTTTTCGGTCTCGCGAACGTCAAAAGACGGTGCGTATGCTTGATGGCCCTCTAGGTTGGAGAACATATTCTCATAGTTATCAAGTATACGACTAATCGCCGAGAGACCACCACGGTGAAACTGTGGAATCAACGACATCATTCGTCTGGGCTGAAAGATCTGGGGATAGGTTTTGAATAGCTTTGTTGGGTGTCCTCCTAGGCGCAGAATCGTTTTGGTGATTGAGCGAGGTGAATGGGCGATCAGGTTTCGAAATTGAAACATGGCTAACATGATATTCAGTCGAGTCGCTGGCAGTATATATATATTCTGCTAGTGGCAACCGTTCTGCACGCACTTTAACTACGGTATTTGCCACTAAGTTAGATCTCATGATTACCCCAATCCAGGCCGGTCTGGGCTTCATCTAGCCAAGACGGTACGCGAACATTTTCAATATTCTAATCCGATACACCATATTCGAACCGTCTATAACGGCTATTTTTGCCAAATAAATTAAATGATTCTCTTAGCCTCTGGGAATGTGCCAAGGAGCAAAAGGAATGACTGTGTATCTCCGCACAAAATGTGGAAAGTACACCATTATCGACCTGAGATGTATTGATCACATTTATGAATGTACTAATTTGGTCATATGGTGTAGTTTATTGAGTGAAACCTAATTTTCATCAATAAGGCCTTGAAGCTAAGCCCGGAACAGCAAAGCTCCTGCGACTCGACAAAGGCATTTCATAGGTCTGAGACCTTAGCTACTCTCCCTGCCTGTCTCTCTCTATTGCTTGTTGTTGTTCGTAATAGACTTTATTGCGTTTGAGTCTCAAGGGAGTGGGAGGAAGTTTCAATCATGATTGATATAATTCTTGCAGTTCTCTTCTAGCGCTTAGGGAATATCGATTCTCGACGACCTGGATTTCCTCAGACCCGTTGCCAGGCGCCCTTTATAGCTGCTAAAACAGAATACTGTTCCTGGGGTTTGAATTCGGCGCCGGAATCTTGGCCTATGTACCCTATAATTTTGGTCACATATCGTCTTGCAGGAAGCCATCTGTTAATACGTTATTCGGTGGTTGAGTTAGCCGCATTTAGCCCGCAATTTTGGTGTCCATGATTTCCTGGCTTTGGGTCTAGTTAGTTAACTTAGTTAACTTAACTAGTTAGTTAGTTAACTAGTTAACTTATCATCTGTGTATTATTAAGCCTTGGAGCTTGGGCCATATCGGCGGATCTAGCTCTTAGTATGTGACGGATAGAGCTTAGCCCCACGGATGAAAGTTCCGAGTATTGGGCGTTCAAGGACCTCATGATAATTTCATCTACATCACCATCCCGTCGGTTCATTTGCTGTACAGCCCAAGTAGCAAATTAGCAATGACCTCATGCGGGGTGGCCAGCCTAAGGCTGAGATTCCAAGCTCACGATCCACGAAACAGACTTGCACATGATATATGGCGCCACACACAAAGTCATCCATGTACGGAGTAAATCTTGCGCTGTGGTCAATATGTTTGTAGAGCACATATGGCGAAACTGCCAAGCTCTCAATACAGCAACCATGGAATGGAGTTCAGACTCTTGTATCGACCTTGGAAAGGGTCCGGGTCCGTTTTTACATTCCAGCCCCCCTCCTTCTTCGGCCGGGAGAAAATCTACATATACATGAAAGAGCTTCCTCACAATTCTCTATCGTACAGCGACCTTGAGATCCTGAGTTATGCCGTCGAAACGCCTCGTCTGGGAACAAAAGTGCTGTTGCGATGGAACACCCTTTGTCAGTTGATTAAACCATCCATAATGCCTAACGTGTGGGTTAACAAACATGATTTAACATGGAGCGCAATGATAGCTCTATGTTAGAGAACCCGAACCCGGAGTTTTGCCACTCGCCATTCCGCCCGCAACCTTTTACAAGCGATGTCTTCTACGATGGATATTTCTCAGTACTTTCAGGCTTCTCTTCCTTTTCAGACAGTTTTGCTTGGGAAAGTGGCTTTTGGAGTAAGGGTCCATTGACACCACTCCACAATAAACCTACCGAAGCGATCGATATCGATGAAAGTCAAACACTTTCAATGGGATTAGGGAACACTGAATTCCAAAATTTGAAGCCGACTTCATGTGCCTTACGGGAAATTGGAATCTTCAAGGATGAAAGTGAGCCTAATGACTGGAGTGATAAGATTTCGTGGGACGAGAAGCTACTCGATACAAAATCAACCCAAAAAAAGGCTCATAACGCAATCGAGAAGAGGTACCGACATAACTTGAACAAAAATTTCCAACTGCTGAAGAGTGTTCTACCAAATCGCCAAGATCAAGGAAGCCCATGCTTACCGTCACGAGGTAAACAGATGAAGTCCTCCCGTGCGACGATTCTCGAAGTTGCCTACGATGAAATACTAAATCTTCGAGAGCGGGTGAGCCTTCTAGAGGGAAATCTCCAAACCTTGCGCAAGGCTGCTTTCCCAGATACCTGCCATCTAACCCTACATCGTCCATGAATATTAATGCTACGGTATTATAATGGGTTGAATATCGAACCCCTTAGTGAGGCAACTTAGTTAAGAGTTTATGCAAGTTTAAGGTATTCCTTCAGCGTTCGGAAATGCGCCAGATAGTGTTTTGTAGCCTCTTATTTATCTGATCATGGTAATTATCTTAGCCTGAATTCAAACATCACAATGCTTTTCTACGCTAAATAGCAATTTTACTTCTTGAAGATATCCACTACTTACTTTAGGCATGAAGTACTATGAAACCTACGTTCGCAGTGATAATTTTAGGTCCATCTCGATCCCCGAAATCCTTCCCACTCCCATAAACCGCTGTCATTACATCGAAGATATTTGTTCCTAATTCCCGCCATTCTATTTCTGTTTCAACTTTCATATCGTAGGCTTTATGGATGTCGTTGGCCTCCCTTACCTACACGTATTTGAAATTCGGTAGGAATGCCTCCTTCTGCCTTCGGTGACAGCACCTCGTCCGTCACTTCCGCTTATCCCTTTAATCGAGGCCATCTCAACACTAATTGTTAGCAATTGGATTTTAATTCATGGTAAGGCTTTAGGGGAGAATTCGATTCGCCTTTAGCACGTTCCACTTACGGCATGCTGCGCATCGATCTATATAAGGTTAGATTCTTTCAATTTGAGTTCGAATTATGAAATAGTCGAAAGAGGTATCTCATAAATTCTTTAAATCGGCATTGAGTCGTGTGGCTATTTGAATATTCCTTTTAGGTTATTCTTACTACTTTCAGATCGCCAAAGGGTGGTATGCCTAGCAGAACGATTACTATGATGGGGCGCGTGCAAAGTCGCGAACGACTAAAATATATTAAGCCTATACAAGTCAAGCTGCGAGGGAGTTGAGATCTTATATCGCAAATATACGACCTTAGACCCTCCGAGAAGTGACGTTGGTAATTAGTTTACTTTCCTTGGCGGTAGAGTTAAATTTAATGTGAGAACGAGAGGTACAAAAAGACCTGACAGTTTCATGAAGGAATAAGTGAGATACCCAGGCCTCATAAATCGCCTGATACATTTCCATAATTCAATGAATCAATATTGCTATGATCCACCTCGTAGACAATGCCATAACTTGCACCTGCCGCAAGCGCGCCTGCCAACAGTGTTTGTAAAGCTCCATAGAACCCCGCACGCTTAGTCTTGAGGATGGCGTAGTATTTGAAGAAGCCAAACGTGAGGCAGACAACGACGGTGATGCTAATGGAGATGAACAAGGCGTGGGTTGTATTTTTTATAGCGAAGTATGGGGTCAGAGGGAGGAGGCCACCTGTTCAGACATAGGGAGTTTTAGTGATAGAGATTCATCAAGTCAGCAGGAGAAGTGGACAGGACTGGAAATACCGATGAAGTATGACATGCCCATTGTAGCTGCCGAAATCCATGCTCGGGAGACATCTGGCTTTTCAAGTTTCAATTCAAAGTCCATCATAAACTGGGCTCTGGTGTCAGTGGCTATACATCCCTATTCAAGAATTCGGTTCAAAGACATACCCGAATCCACTGCTCGGTATCCTGAGTAAGGCACTCAATCGCAGACTTACTTGCTTCTCTAGAGATGCCATAACTATCGAGAATCTCATAACACTCCTCCTTTTCTGCCACAGGCTTGGTGAGAACTTCTTCACGCTCACGCGCCTCTTCGCTCTTGTAGTGGTCTCGATCGGTAATAGCTGCAAGATATGCACCAAGTCCCATCGATATAGCTCCGCTAAACAATTCCGCAAGACCACCGACAATCACAATTTTGGAGGATCCAAGACTTGATAAACCGGCTGTCAGGGCAAACGGAACGGTCATACCATCCGCAAAGCCGATGGTTATATCTCGAATGACTGCACCATAATCAAAGTGGCGTTCAGAAGCCGCATGTGTTGGAATAGGAGTTTCGCTCACGGGCTCTGCTAATGAGGAGGGCATCTCGTCAAAAGAAATCTAGCTCGTTCCCGAAAGGAGACCGAAATTTAATTAGTTTCATCTACCAAACAGCCTAGTTTTATTAACAGGCATCCTGATAGATAAGATCGATTTGCGCAATCGAGATCAAGTTTCCTGAGACAGTTCATGTGGCGGTTTGACTTTGCATTTCCTTGATAGTACGACTTTCAGCCAAAAAATAGTCCACATATGACTCACTGAGACTGGCCCTGCGTCGAGAAGTTGAGAAAAAAGAAGCTGGGGCGAAATGACAGTCTCTCTGGTCTCGGCCCACCAGTATCATGAGGATTGGAGTCGTGCGTCCACTAGGCACGAGGAGACGAGTCAGCTAACCTGGGATCCTCAAGGCTATTATGGGCGTGATGACGTGATGACGGACACGCCACTGAATCCATCGATCCGCGATCGTCCCAAAACGGCCTGTATGTATCCTCATGCGGAAGGGTTCGAGGATACGGGAGGGGACATGCGAAGGCAGAATCATATTAGCATCCCTCGGGCCCGCCAACCAATCACAGGGACCAATTACAAGCACTAGTGTCCTGATATCTTATGGTCCGTCTCCATTTCGAATTGCCAGGAGTGAGCACAATAATAGTGAATTTATCAGGATAATTACAACTTATACCAGGGAGATACCAGGATTAAATATTATTGAAAATCGCACTAAGTATTCTTCTAAACCGGGTGTGACCAAACTCCTGAAGGGAACTCTTAGTAAATCAGCTAAAGCGAGGCGTTTTGATCCAATATAGACATCTAGACTGGTTCTTGGCTTACCCTCCGACTGCCGGTACCCCACGGCAGATGAGAGTCAACCGTCCAAGTTGAATTTATCCTGGTGAGTAAATGAGTAAAACGCAACAATTTCTGACGCTAAACTTATCTTTGAATAGAAAGACAAAACTCCATAAATTTTGCCTTCGGAACATGGAAACCTGGGGTACATCCATCTAGCCCCCACCCCCACATTCACTCCCCTGCTGCCTTGGAAGCTTCGGCTAATTTAACCTTGTGGCAGCTGGTCAAAGTAGTGGCGTCCATTCTGTGGTTCCACTCATCTATGTACGTCCTATCAGTTGACGTCTAACTTCTCTCGCTTCGTCTGCTGATGCCCGTTAGTGCCGGCTCCCCATCAGCTGCCCACCGGTTCTAACCTCTCTCGAGAGAGACGCATTAATTTCGTGGCGCCAAGGTTGATACCTACCCACGATACCTTAATACCATGTTTTAACGCACTAGGCACATATGTTTATATTCCACATATTCGAATGGCTAGTAAGATTTGAACTATTGAGCGTGAGACTCACGAAGGATGCCAGAAATAGCAGCTAAGCTTGCTTATAGTCCACACCTACCACTTCAAGGCTGGTTGGGTATAAATTTTAATGTGAAATGGCATTATGAGACTCCTACGGGATTATAGCCTTTATGCAATTCCTCATAAGTCAGGTGGCTAGTTATGAATTGTTCACAGCATTATAAATGGCGGAGCTCTAGCTAGTATCATACTTCGGAGGTTTAACCTATCACATTGAGGAAGGATAACTTTGCGGGGTGCCGAAAAGCATAACTCAAAGTAGGTCTCCTTTACTCACTAGAGCTGTGGAGATATCTCAAAAATGTGTCGGAATTGTTTCTTTTACAGGGATTTAATAGTTTCAGTTTCATTTCAACGAACATCCCAGCCAATCGTCCCATCATAACCTCTTCTCTCAGGCTATTCTATTCACGTTTCTTAGCCACGATATATTGCAATACAAGTTTACCGTCACTGGAGACCCTGGCAAGATGAACGAACAGAGAGATAGCTTCCCATACTGGGATAAGATACTATCCATGGATCAACGGGTAGAGGACTTGATCCAGCGCATGAAACTCGAGGAGAAGTGTGAAATGATGTTCCAAGACATGATTGTAATGAGAATAGATGGCGCTCTCGCTCCAGCCCAACCCCATTTTGGCATGCTCAGCAACGAGGACATGGTGCATCAGAAAGGAATGAACCATTTCAATTTCTTGGGTCCCGTGAACAACGCACGAGCGGCTGCGAAATGGTACAACAATCTCCAGCGGGCCGCGTGAAGAACAAGGCTAGGGCATCCCTGTCACCCTGTCTACGGATCCGCGTAACCACTTCACTGATAACGTGGGTACAGGATTTGAAGCTGGTATTTTCTCCCAGTGACCAGAGGCTTTGGGACTTGCAGCACTCCGCTCGACAGCGCTCGTGGAAAAGTTTGCAAACGTTACTCGCCAGGAATACCTAGCCATTGGTCTACGTCTTGCCTTACATCCGCAGGTCGACCTGGCGACGGAGCCGCGCTGGTCTCGTATTGGAGCTACGTTTGGCGAAGACTCTGAATTGATGTCGAAACTGGTCGCTGCATATATTCGTGGGTTCCAAGGTGCGACTCTTGGCCCTAACTCAGTATCAACCATGACCAAGCATTTTCCCGGGGGCGGTCCACAAAAAGATGGTGAGGACCCTCACTTCGCCTATGGTCAGGAGCAGGTATACCCTGGGAATAATTCGGAGTATCATTTACAACCCTTTCGTGCAGCTGTGAATGCAGGATGCAGGCGCTGCCCAAATTATGCACTCGTACGGGATGCCAGTGGGCACCAAGTACGAGGAAGTAGGCTTTGCATTCAATAAGGCAGTCATTACCGGTCCGGTCTTCGCGAAGCACTTGGCTTCAAAGGCATCGTCTGCTCAGATTGGAGACTGTCGACTGAAAAGTCTTTCTTTGGAGAGCCCATGCCTGGACGTGCATGGGGCCTGGAGGATACTTCGCCCGAGGAGCGTCTAAAAGGAGTTCTTGATGCTGGATGCGATCAACTTGGGGGAGAATCTTGCCCCGAGCTCCTCATGAATCTTATCGCCGATGGAAAGTCTCTGTCGTGATCAATCGGTGCGACGACTTCTTCGTGAAAAATTTATTCTGGGATTATTCGACTCGCCGTTCGTTGACGAAGATGCCGCGGAGAAAATCGTGGGCAGGTCACGTTAGCCGATCAGACCCAAAGGAGCAGCTACACTCTTCTCACAAACCACCAAAATCTCCTCCCTCTGGTAGATATCGAGGGCAATTCTATCTCGAGTGAATTCCCCTTGGGATTGCTCAAGCACGCGGATTAAACGTGGTGACCAACCCAGCCCACGCTTCTGATGTCGCTCTGCTACGCTTGAAGGCACCGTTCACGCCACGCACCGGTGCTTTTGAATCTCTATTTCATGCCGGCTCTTTGGAATATACCGAAGAAGAAAAGGGTCGCCGAGCTGATATATTTGAAACCGTTCCCACTGTGATCGTGGATATGTACGTTGATCGGCCTCCTGTTATTCCAGAAGTTGTGCAAAGAGCATCTGCCCTCTTGTTCAGCTACGGTAGCACTGCGGATGCCTTCCTCGACTTTATATTTGGAGTCTATCGACCCGAGGGTAGGTTGTCATTTGATCTGCCTTCTTCGACGATAGCAGTATACCAGTCTCAATCGGATATGTCGTACGACACCAAGGATCCTTTGTTCCGGTTTGGCCACGGGCTATGCTATGGAGAATGATACTAGCAAGTCTCGCCATCTTGCGATTCTCATTTGATGAGATGAGCTGGCTGATACCGCCTGGGCCTCTTCCTCTACTCTTACCACTCGTCCGGGTGGCCCTCTTAATTCATTCATCAGTCCTAAAATATCATGTAAAGGGTTACGAAATAGACAAGGGAAAGTTGGTGACTGGCGAAAGTGGGTTTGTTTTTTAGGAAGTTTCCGGGTCGGAACGTAGAAGGCTATAAAAAGCGTTTCCCTTTTCTTCTTCTTCTTCTTCTTCTTCTTCTCTCTAGAGTTATTTGTTTCGTTTTAGCACCGTATCAAATTCAATTCTCTTTTTAATAGCTGGTATAAAGTCTTACATTTCTTCTCTCTTTCTAGAGACTAGCCGAGCGAGGAAACGCGTCCTTTCTACGTGATTTTCTTTCTACTACCCAGTGACCTTCAAAGAACGAATAATTACTATAGTAGTCATATGGTCAATTAGGGCCTAAGAGGGAAAATCCATTAGAAGTGAACTAGAGCGATCTGTTCCTGCGGGGAAATAGCTAATTCGCCTACAAGGTCAGATGGCATTAAACCTGGCTGACAACTTTCAACGTCCTCTACTTATCCATCTCAGGACGATCAAGTTGTGAATCTATAGGGAAAGACAAGACTTCATGAATTTTGCCTCCAGAACATGGAAACCTGGGATACATCCAATTCTTATTAAAAACCTGGTCGAATCTAACTATACCCTTCTATGTCTAGTCCTGGTGTATTGGTTTGTTTCATAGGGATGTTTGATTTCGAAGAATCTGATGATTTTTACTACATTAGCAAGGGAATCATCCGAATTTGTAGATATATTAACTGTTTTATTTGATTACGAAAGCTGTTCCTTGAAGGGCATGCGTATTCATTGACTAGCGAGGTGATAAGTTACCCGAGGTGATAATTTACCCAAGGTGATCTGTTCACGCAATCTCCTCCGGTTGCCTTCTTCGCATAATAGGAATGATTGAATCGGGCGGCCAATGAGCCAAATTATCCCAACGAGAGGAGAACTGATGAAACCCCGAGCCGACCCATTCCCCTCGCTCCTCGTCGCTGGCGTCGACACTTCCTTTCCGATTATCTGGCAGAATGACAAATGCCTTGCTGTTGGCAGGGACTAGCAGTTTCAGGTTGAAATGGTCACCATCCTTGATGGCCCAATGGCACTCGAGTCGACCGTATGGCGTCTCGTATTGCGCTTCCGCAGAGGTGACGGTACCTCCGGGTAGAGGGGCGACACGGAATGTCTTCCAACCTGGTTCTATGGGGCTGACTCCTGCCACGGTAGTGTGTAGCCAGTTTATGATTGAACCAAGGGCGTAATGGTTGAAGCTGGTCATTTCGCCTGGATTGATAGTGCCGTCGGGCAACATACTATCCCACCGCTCCCAGATGGTCGTCGCCCCCATGGTAATGGGATACATCCAGGAGGGACAACCCTTCTCCTGGAGCATGCGATAGGCGATTTGATGATGGCCGGCTTTTGTCAGAGCGTGGGTTATGATGGGCGTACCAGCGAAACCGGTTGCAACACGGAATTTCGCCAACCTCACTAGGTGTGCTAAACGCTCGGAAGCAGTGACACGTTGCTCAGAGGTGGAGAACAAATCAAACTGTATTGCCAAGCTCAGAGCCGTCTGAGAGTCGCCCACAAGTAGCCCAGACGGTGCAATGTACTTGTGCTGGAAGGCTGCCTTTAATCGCAATGCGTCAGCACAAAAGCGTCGAGCATCCGAGGTCATGCCAAGGATCTTGCTGATACGTGACATCACGGTGGTGACATGGACGAGATATGCATCGGCAACCAACACTCCATGAGTGCGTGCATCTCCCGGCTCTACCGGGGGCGCCGTAGGGTCAAGCCAGTCGCCAAGCTGCCAGAGCTGCGGTTCCCATAGACCATCGGAACCACGTCGAATACCTCGGTCCAGCCATGCAATCATGCTAGGATACTGTCTCCGGAGGATGTTGGCGTCGCCGTACGAGCAGTAGAGCGACCAGGGTGTCAGCACGGTCACATCGTCCCAGACAGCCTGAGGCGCATGGGGCCAGACATCCTGTAGGACATCAGGCACAACAAATGGGGGTATGCCATCGTTGGCATCTATGAGTTGCTCAGCTGCCACATCCTTCAGCCATCCACTTAGCATACCCGACGTATGGTATAGAAAGCTAGCGGACGGACAATATATTTGAATGTCCCCAGTCCAGCCAAGACGCTCATTTCTCTGTGGACAGTCGGTCGGGATTGATACGAAGTTTCCACGAGTACTCCACAACGCGTTCTCATGAAGTTGATTAATCATCGGGTGGGAGCAGGAAAACCATCCAGTGCGAGCCATATCAGTATGCAGAACCAAGGCCGTCAGCTGGTTCAGCGAAAGCGGATCTTCATCAGCGGGCGTCCAGCCATCGACCTGGACGTAGCGGAAGCCATGGAAAGTGAACTGCGGAGACCAGTTGCTAAGCTCACTGCCTGCTGACACAATCTCGTCGGCGCACTTGGCCGTTCTTAGAGGTCGTGTGCCGAGCTCTCCATTCTCCAAGACTTCGGCATGGGTGAAAGTCACGCGGTGGCCTGAAGGCTTGTTAAGACTGTGGACACGCAGCTTTCCCACGAGGTTTTGCCCAAAATCGACCACCGTCTTCCCAGACGGCGTGGTGATAATATCGATAGGGGTGACCTCCTCCGTGACACGGACAGGGGGTGCGTCGGTAGCAATCAGCTCGGCTCCAGGGAAAGGCAGCTCCCGAACGGGGTTCCAAGCGGAAGGGTCGACATCTGCGGAGCCGTTCCACCCCAGCGTGTCTTCTCGGGCATCATATAGTTCTCCATTGTATATTTCGCTTCGCAAGATCGCACTAGGCTGACAAGACCAAGTAGAGTCTGAGTTCAGACGGAATACCTCCCCCTTGCTGGACTCTGCCTCTAATTGAGCCACGATACCCAGCTCATCGCCGTACAGACAACGTTTCCCAGGCCGGAATCCCAGCAATGTGGCATACCAGCCTTCTCCCACCTCGACGGATATGACATTATCGCCGGCGGGCTTCAGAAAGGATGCGATGTCGAAAATCTGGTAGTTCAGGTGGTGCTTGTAGCTTGTCCAGCCGGGTGCCATGCAATGGTCGCCCACCTGTTGACCGTTGATAAAGGCACGGTACACACCCAGGCTGGTGATGTACAGCCTGGCCCGTCCGCCAGAAGTTGGGTCGAATGGTAGGGAGAATGTGCGTCTAAAGCGGGTCGGCCGCAACGGACTTTCTGTCGAGGGCTTGATTGTGTTGCCAATCGCACACGCCTGCCAGTCACTGCGTTCGAGAAAAGCGCATTCAACTGTGGCCCAGGGTGACCATGCACTGGGGACGTTGCTCGACTGTCCTTCCAGGGAGCCATAGACTCGCACGCGGACAGTCCTCTGTTCGCGAGATCGCAGCGGGGCACTTGGCCAGGGCACAAGAACCGAGTCATTGCTGGACACACGGTATGTTTCGCCTGTGATCTCAGGTGATCGAGCGATCTCAATCTCATAGATCTCCTGCTCCCATCCTATCGGACCGCCGTCGGTGCACACGAAGCGCCACGACACACGGGGAGTGGCAACCGCGAGTCCCAGTCCGGTAGGATGGTGCTCAAAAGAGGGAGGGCTTAGTCTCAAAAGGTCGGTCATAGCGACAAAGTCTTTTGTAACATTTTCACAACCTCATTCTCCGCCATGACGGGGGCACTTAAATACGAACCAGCCAGCCTAGAGCCGTGGGGGCCCAACAGCATCTTCGCGAGATATTACCACGAGTCCCGAGAACAATAACCAGTGCGAAAACGCATCGTCTTCGTCTCCAGCAGCTTGTATGTGTAACATTCCCTGATCTCGCTGGATGGGTGGGCGCCGCTAGCGGCGGAGTTCCTGACCTCTGATTGGTGCGCTGCCGCCTGGGTGGATCAAGCTTAACCCCGCGTTTCCATCACGTCGGGCGATCGTACCGACGGCTGGCTTCCGGCCCCGGCTTCTTCTAGTTTGCCTCCTTTCTCTCCAGAGATTGAGTGGTGAATGCGTGGGGGCTCTCGGGGGGATGATCATCCGGGTTGGGTTTTCTCTGGGGTTAGTGCATCAATATATGAAGGATCATTCTTTGCCCGTCTTCACACAGTATGGAAAGGCTCAACGGATTCTTTTCTTGACAGCTTCATCCTTTATAGCCCCAATGATCTCATTTTATTTGGTTTTTATTTCGCTGGTGGTGGCTCTTGGTGGGTTCGTGTATGGAGTGGATTCGGGTGAGTGACTCGCAGGATATACCTTTCAACACGCTTCACTCCGGCTTACGATGGACCAGGAATTATCGCTACCACACTTGGCCATGACAGCTTCAAATACTACATGCTTGGTCCCACGGGCGTTAATGCTCCGCTGACTGGTATGTTGAAGATATCGGCCTTGCCTAGAATATGTGTTCCAATAGACTAATCAAGATACGTTGGACCAGGCGCTATCGTATCCTTGTACAACGTCGGCCAGGCTATTGGCACCTTTGCAGCAGGGTACTCGGCCAACAAATTTAGTAGGCGATGGACAATCTGTGGTAGTGCTGTAATAGGTGAGGTTCCCCCGTTCATGCGTCCAGCACGACGACATACATGGATCCGATCCTAACATCTGGGTAGCGATATTCGGCGCGGCGCTACAAAGCGCATCAATCAATGCTGGCATGATGATTGCCGGACGCTTCTTCGCTGGTGCTGCCTGTGGAATGCTCCTGACCGTCGTTCCAATCTATATCGCCGAGGCGTCACCTCCACAAAACCGCGGTATGGTCGTTGGTCTGCAGGGGATGATGATTGCTATCGGATTTTTCGCTGCCAACTGGATTGGATATGGCGGTGCATACGCAAATGGCAATGCCCAGTGGCGTATCCCGCTAGCAATGCAAATTCCAGGTCCTCTTCTGCTGGTGATTGGGTGTTGCTTCATTCCCTATAGTCCTCGATGGTGTACGTGCCTTCTCTCCGTTGCCCGATATTGCGTTCCCTTGAAGAGAGCTAATTTAGGACAACAGTGGTCCAACAAGAACGGCATGAGGAAGCTCGCGCGGTCCTGATCGCCTTACATGGCAAAAACAACGAAATTCTTGTCGCACAGGAGTTATTCCAGATACGAGAACAAATCCAACTGGAAGCATTGGCAGGCACAAGCTTCTACTCCGCCCTGCGACAGCTGCTTTCACGACGCTATATCCACCGCACCTCTTTAGCCTGCTTCATACTCATAATGGGCCAGTTCAGCGGCTCCTCCGTCATCCAGAACTACCAAAGCATATTTTACAAGGCCGTCGGCTTCACCGGCAAAACATCCCTGCTTATCAGTGGTGTGTACGGCATCATGGGCGTGATAGGCCAGATGATCTACCTCTTCATCGCTGCCGACAGGTGGCCTCGAACCCGCACGCTATGGGTAGGATCTATTTTCCTGAGCGCCATGGTCGCCATCTGCATGGCGTTGTCGGCCATTTATGGATCTGGTTCGACCAACGTGAACGGCGCGCGTGGCGCCATCGCCATGATATTCATATACTCCGCAGGCTATGCCGTTTTCTTCAATGCCATGGTTTGGGTAATCCCTTCCGAACTGTTCCCGTTTATCCTCCGGTCGGCGGGAATGGGCCTGGGCGTCTTCAGCAAGTCAGTGTCGGCCATCATCTTGTCCCAGATCACCCCCGTAGCCCTCGAAAATGTCGGATGGAAGTACTACGCGCTTTTCATTGCGACCAATTTTGTCGCAGCGTTTGTGTACTACTTCTTCTTGCCCGAAACCGGTGGAAAATCTCTCGAGGAAATTGCGGAGCTGTTTGGCGATACTTTGGCCACTGCGCACCTCGACCAGATGGAGGGGGATGAGAAATCTGTGCAGCCAGTCCATGTGGAAAAAGTGGTGTGAGTAACAGTGTTGTACAAGGCTGTAAGCTGGGTTCTCGTGACAACTATTGGCGGTCTAGAAACTCTGTATTCCAGATTTGTCCTTTATTCTAGTAACCATTCAAGAGAATTCTTCACCAGGTCTTCAGTAGTTAAGTCGCGGTCGTTGAGTAGCGAGGAAAACATGCTCGAGTGGGGATCGAACCCCGGTACCGTGCTCAAAGACCATTCGCCTGGGATGTCCGCAGTGTCGGTGGTTATGGCTAGCCCACTTGCATCTTGGGTAGCCTGTAAGAGGGTAGAAATCTCCGGCTGGCCTGTGAACGGATTCGCGAGCTGCGTGTCCTCTCGCTCGGCGATTATAGAGGTTGGCTCTGTCAGAAACCGTGCCATCCAATTATCCAAAGTAAATGAATTGGAGATGGAATCCCGGCAAAGGTCTTGGAAGACCAGTAACCGGTGGGCCTTGGTTGGGAATGTATATTAGCACAGAAGAGCAGAGATAGAAAACAGGTCATAGTGCTCACAGAACGGTCCACAGCTGGCCAGTAAGCTTTTAGAATCATCAGATAGCGGAAGTTCAAGAGCAGACGCTCTCGAGCCGCTGTCAGTTCTTGCGCATCTTCACCGAGAAGGAGCGTATGCAGATGGACGCAGGAGCTAACCACGGTAACGTGGGCATAGAGATGGCAAAGTAGCTCGCAGTCCTTCTTAGTGGACGCAGTCTGGACAATTTCTGACACGACATTGGCACTATTTTTGCACTTCAGAGCACCATCGCGGAAGAAGCTGGTCCCCTGAGAAAACTGTGTCGAGCCTGGGGCCAAGGAAACATTTAAGAATGGGAAGTGTAACATCTGATAGAAATGGTGGTATCCGATGTGCATGGCTAAGAATGTCCTTCCCAGGCCTAGTTCCGAGAGGATCTGTAAATTGGATATGGAGTACTGCAGAGTCTCTGGGAGGTTATTGGCCCACTGCCTGAGCTTCTGGGCTAAGAGCGGAGCTTCAGTGCAGTAGGTGGTAAATGAAATACCATCGCTCTGGCTGAGTTGTCGAAGAAGGCAGGTGATCTTGTCGAATATCTCCAGCGTACCAGCCATTTGGTACCACAATCCGTATTGTGGTTCGGCGGGACCACTGCCTTCTTGCAGGCTAGCCGCGGGGCCCGTATGGAAAGAAAGGTCGTCAACGCAGGGTAGATTGAGCTGGCTGCAGGGCACGGCGATCGACTCCGTGCCCATGTCCGTCGCACTCCACTGGTAGGATATGCGGACTGTAAGCCAGGCGCGACGGCGCTCTTCGCGGTCCACGACAGCGAGGTCGTCCGGGATTTCCCACAGTCGGATGACTTCGGCGTGAAGACGGGCAATGCCCACATAGATATGTTTGGTCCGGTACTCTCCTTCGCCTCCCAAGAACTGGCCCAAAAGGAGATACGCCTGGACTGTTTCCAGACTAGGAGTGACAAGCTTGGGATGTAGAAGGCGGAAGGCTTCGTCCGCATATATCTTCCCTCGCCCCGAGGGTAGAGTGGCTTGAAGGGTTTCGTGGTGCGAGTACCTGTGCGGATGAGCACCGCACCCATCATCACAGAGCTCATCGGGATCAGCAAGAAACTCACCGTGCAGAGAGGGCGCAGATTGCATAGACGATAATCTTTGACGCAGATCCCTCACTGAGTCGTTGCATGAAGGTGGCCGAATGGAAAATGGTATTCATCACATTATGGATGAAGCGAAAATACAGCACCGCTAGTTCCGCACACACAATGGGATGGAGTCTTCCATCCACGAAGTTTGAACCTGTATCTTGTCCAGTTGAGATATGATTTGATTGGGAGATCACCGGACGAGCTGCAGAAGGATCGAGGCTACAGGAGATCCCTAGTGATTGGCACAATTGACACGTCGCGAATGGTGGACTTGGGATGCACCGTCGTTTTCGCAGGCTGCAATGTCAGCTGCAGTTTCTATATCAAGTCGAAGTTATCCTACCGGCAGTTTTTACAGGCGCTGGCCCGTAATCGCTTAGAAGCGCCATTCATCTTCATGGAGAGTGGAGGACGGGGAGAAATTGCGGGGTGAGCGGCAGTCTACATGGAACATCGCTAATTCACCTCTCAGGTCTGGGCAGATGACATTGAACAACACGGCTGACAACTTCCAACGTACCCTATTTATCCATATCAATACTATGAATTGTGCATCTAAAGGGTCATATAGGATACCCAAGGACATTTCACTTTGAGATAGGATAATGGGACCGAGTCACAATAGCGCAGGCTTTGTGAGCATAAGCATAGTGCATGGAAAGTTCAGTGACCCGATCACTACGCCTAAGGACTCGCTCAGATCTACTCGGAGAGGGATGAGCTCGTATACGGAAAAGAAACCAAAATCGTCTGGAGAAATTCATTACGTAGGTATGAACATGAAATCTCTCTCGCAACCCTCATCAACCGCTCATTATTTCAGAGGAGTCAAACACACAGGGGGTCCGATACAAAAAAAACATCATTGGAGGGCAATCAATCGAGAAAAGAAACGCCGGATTGCGCCAGATCCCGACTCATCTCCACGGGGTCTCCTCCATGCGAAAAAAAAAATCTATCACCGTCGTCACGGATCGGGGATTCATGAACTCATGTCTCTTTTTTTTTTAAAGAAAAGAAAAAAAGCACTTCCCTCCCACATGGAGAGAAACGGGACGGAGAATGAAGAATTTGGGGTGGTAAAACGTAAGGAATCGGAGAATAAAAAGGAAGGATATTTAGGGCACGACTGTGATCGTTCATGCGGGCTGCTCGAAGCCACGGCGGATAACGCGGCCGAACATGTCGACACCGACACGCTCGCTCTTCACCTCGCTGCGGGCCTCGTTCTCCTTGTTGGTAGGGACGCGGACGACATCGCCCTCGACCTTCCAGCTGCAGACGTCGGCAACAAACTTGGCTAGGGCGTCGCGGCTGCGCAGGTCGAGCCACTGCTCGAGGGACTCGGCGGTGATGGAGCGGAAGGCCTTGCCAACCTCGACGGCAATGCGGATGCGGATGAGCTCCTCGAAACCGGCGATATCGGCGGTCAGATCAGCGTACAGGTCATCCGAGTTCAGGGTGGACCAGAACTGGGTGTACTGAGCGGACTCGAGGAGGGTAGAAAGGCGGGAGAGCTTCTGGACGGACTCGACAAAGTCGGAGGTCTGCGAGGCAGCCTGGGCCTCGGAGGTGGTAGGGAAGGGCTGAGTGTGGGCGGGAAGCAGAGCGAGGCAGAGCGAGAAGGCGGGGGAAGGGAACACAGTCAGGGCCTTGACCAGGACGTTGGTGACGGTGTCGGGCTGGAGGAGGTGAGGGTTGAACTGGTAACTGTTTTGGACGAGAAAAGTGCGGGGATTAGTACAGAGCTCGCAATGCAGATCTCGTATGTAAAAAATAGGCGCAAGAGAACTGATCGTTACGATCCAGATATCGTCCACACATTGCTGGCTATTTCAGAAAGATTGAAATTCTCAACAACCCCATACGCGACAGGTTGTCAGGTAATAGGAAACGTGGATAAAGATTAAAATCATTCATCACAGAAAACAAGGCCATATATTTCGCATGCATGTACCACCACTCCTCGAGTAAAGAAAAAGAGAGGTCCAACTCACAGCTTCAGCAGAGCCAGGTTGGCATAGAGATCGAATGACCGGTCCTCGCACTGCTGGGCGACGTAGTCCTGGAAGACGGTGGTGGTCTCGGGGTTGTACCGATCGAGGCCATTGAGGATGGCATCGATATGAGCCGGCCGGGTTTCACACTTGTCGAAGGCGACCATCTTGGCGGGAGGTATGTGAGGGTTGGTGATGTGCGGGTCTGGCTTTGTTCCTGGAGGTCGTGCTTTTTGGTGGGATTTTTGATTGTGGCCCGGATGTGTTCGGAAGAACCTAATCGAGGCAGTTTATCCGCCTCCCCCCCGCCCCCCAATGATCCCGAAGTATATCTCAAGGCTGAACTAGTTTGACGATTGATCTTAGGAGGCTTTTCTTTGCTTTTTTGGGTTGAATGTTTGATCAGTCTAGCTTATTGTCTTTAAATAGTGCTTTTGGGTACCATAGCTTGGAGTTCTTAGGTATGTAATTACGTGAAGATTGAACTTTAACCTGAGAGTTAACGTTTTCATCACAAACCGATCATCCCTGCTCAATCAAGGGAGGAGCGGCTGGCTATATTAGGGTAGTATCCATACAGATCGAGAGGTATTTGAGATCGTGTCACTGATTCTGTGGTATCAAATCTGTGAAATACATGCTTTCATCATAATCCGTAACGCCCATTGCAAGGACCTTCATGCCCAGATTATCCCTCAATGTGCTCGAGGCAAAGGGAATGGTCCATAGCAGGACCGACCCGATCTTGACAGTATTAACATCATCAACCAGAATGCGGATAAGAACAAATCTACCAAAAAAACCCAGGCCTATTCAGGCTATCATCGTTCGTGTTTATCCAAAAATACATAGTGTTATGGTACATGTCAAGCCTCATCGCGATCATTGTCATCAAAATCCCCAATCATGAATATGAGTGTGCAAAGGCCAGCCGAAATGGTGGGAGGGGGTTGGAACAAAAGTCATCGCTGATGGAAAAAAACGACAGGCCTTGATGAGAAGATTGGGCTGTCCAGAAGAAGAAGAGAGAAAAAACGACAATCGAAATGCGGCGAAAACAAAAGTATCCTTGAAAATGAAAACTCCGATCCGCATCTGTAAGACGCCATAGTCTATGCCCAGTATCCCATCTTGCGCAAGAAACATCATGGAAAACAAGAAACCCAGAAAAAAAACATGCCCGAGGGCGAGGATGCAAAACGAAAAGAAAAACAGCTGATCCACGGCAGTGGCACTATCGCTAGAAAAAGCAAATGGCATGAAATGAACATGACAGGAGAGACGAAATGGTTGCGCGAAAAGATCAAGGTCAAGCGTGCCCGGCTGGGAGAAAAAACAGTGCCGGTGGGTATCTCAAACGGATGTATGGATGTAAAAGGTGGAGAAAAGTGCAGTTAGGCCACGACTGACCGACGGGTAGTGGTGATGGGGATAGGCTGGGGCCCGGAGGCAATTTCGAGTTTGGACATGTCAAGGTCATTACCGTCATATTTGGAGACGGACTGGCGTTTCTTGGAACGCTCACTGCCATGGGACACAAGAACGGGCTGAGTCGTCGTAGCGTCCTCCTCGTCACTGACGGTACTGCAGACAAATCGGTCTTCGGAGATAGGGACACCGCCGAACATGGTGCCCAGCTGCTGAAGCAGTGCGACAAAGTGCGCATGGAGTTCGGTGAAAATGTACTCGTTGCCCACGATCTCCGCCAAATTGCGCGCCCGAATCTGGCCAAGGCGACGCGATTGCCCAGCCGGGTCCCTAGCCCGGCCTGTCAAGAAGGAGGAGACGGGTGTGTACTGACGGTCACCGGGTGGAGCGGCAGCATTATTTTGTTCCTCGCGCTTCTTCTCTTCTTCCTGGAACCGCTCAGCAGCGCTAACAATGCCAGAGGCAATGCGCCCGAATGCGCGCCAGATAACGGGACAGGCTCGGAATGCTCTTCCGGCATCCTTTCCGGCGAGGGCCACTAATGCGTAACTGCGTCGCTTGCCGCGTGCCATGGGGTCGGGGAGGCGGAAAATGTAGGCGATCGTGTAGCCAGCCACGGAGTCGCCAAAGCAGATAGGACCGGAGGACAGGCCGCGGGGAAGTAGCTCACAGCTAAGGGTGCGGATGGAAGAGCGGCGGAGAAGGGCGTAGTCAGCCGGGTTGGGAGGGCCGCGGAGTGAGAGATAGGTCAAGATATGCGTGTGACATGACGAGTCGGATGCGACGGAGGCGGAACGTAGAGATTCGGGTGGAGAGGCGTGGGTATGAGAGTCTGGGGAGTCATCGTCCATGTCGGAGTGGCTGTTGCCGCATGAGTAGACGACTTCGCGCGATCGTAGGACTGGGCTGCCGTTACTGCTGCCATTGGCGTCACGACTGCCGGGTGCGCCCGAAGGTAGCTGCTTGCTCACGCCTTCGGGGAGGGACAAGCTACAGCTGGCGCATGTGTCGCCGTCCGTGGCGCTGAGTCGGTTCGTGCGTTCTTCGGGAGATGCGGACTGTTGGGAGCGTAGGAAGTAAGGGTGATCTTCGATCTTGGGTGATCGCGACGCCGAGGGTTCAAATGTGGTGCCGGGTGATTTGGGCGACCTGGGCTCTCCCGGGGAATGGGATGTGGTATTGGGCGAGGCGTCGGCATCGGGGTGACATTGGGTGCAGGCGAAGGGGAGAACCTGCGAGCAGATAATGGAGGTAGGGCCATGCACTTCGCAGAAGTGCGTGAGAGAGAGCTGTATCGGGGAGAACGCGAGGTCTTTCGTTAGAGGCATTTCGATGGGAGGGGCGTTGTATCGCCGTTAGACCAAGCGCAACTCACGATAAAATCCATGGTCTGGACCTGATCACGCGGAATCCAGCAGGTAGTTTAGGCCATTGCGGCGGAGCATAGTGGGAGTGGCAGTGGCAGTGGCAGTGGGAATGACATGGACTGGTATGCGCCGGATCCACAGACCAGGTTCCCGGGGAGGAAGGGGAGGGAAGATAAGAAGGGAGGAAGAGTAGGAGTAGGAGTAGTAGTAGTCGAAGATCGGAGAGAGGAGGAGAGTTGGATATAAAGAAAGTTGCGCCAGCGAGAGGGGGAAGTTGGACTGTAGAGGCAGGGCCGTAGGGATAGAATGGAAGGGGGGACTTCTTTTGCCACGACCCTAAGTTACATGACCTTTTTGGCTAGAATTTCTGATTTAATGTGACTAGAATTATGATTATTCTTATTATTATTATTTATTCTTATTATTCTCATTATTATTAACAGCCTAATGGCTATTTGGCTCGGTCGAAGCCCGAGTGGATCGGGTTCCAGTTCGCCCTCCTCATCAGGGAAAAATCGAATATTCCAATCCTAATTTATTATTCCTATTTTACTAGTAAATCCTCTTCCCCTCGCGCGACAGCCTCCCCTTCTCAGATGGAACGAATGGAAGCCCGATGGAACAATCCCTGCTCCACTTGCCCACCGAAGCTTTTCCGATTACGTCTGCCTGCCCCAACTCGTCGAACTCGAGGTACATCTTTACTTTGTACGGAGGATTCTGTGAAATCCTACGGAATTACGGTTCTCTTAGAATTGGTAGTAGTACTCCCCCGAAGTACTGTAGTAATCCCCAATTTCATCCATTTCTTACTGGACCAGCCACTGGACGGATGCAGGGCGATCTCGCAGGGGGGGGGAGCAAAGGGATCTGAACATGCTTCAATTGTCATCGCCGAACGGTAGTACGGGACTATGGTACTTCTGTCTAGTCCATCAGTCAATCACCATGAAGGAAAATAGCCTCTATCATGCTTCGGATCGAGTCCCTCTCTATAGGTCCAATCCCAAGAACCGGGTATTGGGCGGCAACTCACATTCTTGGGACGAATAGGCGCTCCCCTTACAGTCGAGACTCCCTTTCCTCCTTTTTTGACTTACTCCTCTGTCCGCATGTATGCAACTCATTTCGTACTGAATCGTCCAGCCTCAAACCACCTGACCATTCCTTTTTTTCTTTCCCTCCCCCCTGCCCATTATTCCGTTTCTTTTCTTTTGACGGGCACTACTCCGTACTTTGGCATGTGAATTGGCGTCCTAGTTTCATCGGCCCGTCCTGATGAATTGCTGGCCCAACGAATGTCTGTTCCGCTAATTCACTAGTCCGTTCTGAGCCGAGGGACCGCTCTCGTCCTTCGGTGGGGACTGCAACCAGGAGAGACGCTACTCCGTCACTGTGGGAGAGAATGCCGGGTAAGCTACCGGGACTCTGTCATCTTCCGATGCCCGCTAAAGGATGCAGGCTATTTATGAGATGCTCATTATTAGGGATCTTCCTCGTTTCGAGGTGAATAGCCTAAAAACTAACAAGTTTCGTCGAACCTGACGAGGATGCTGATGGTTCCTGATGAGATGATGATCAAATATCGTAACGTTTCTAATGTTCCGGATAGGGCCCGCAACCAGGTGGATGCAAGTCAATCCTACACTCTCGTGGGGCTCGACTCCCTACGGTTGTATCTACTGTATACATCTCAGATAGTGATGTATGGAGTATCCAAAAACAAAAAGGAACAGCCCACTTCGTACTTGTACTACTCAAGTTGGGCTTGATATTGCGACTGGGACATGATCTATCACCTGGACCTATCGACCAGGGGGGTGGTTTGACACTCATATTTCTTTTTTCCCCTGATTCCTTTGTGCTGGGTAAAGTAGACCGTATTTGGTTTTTTTTCTAGTCCTTTCTCAGCCCGAATACTTCATTTCGATGATGTTATGATAACTCCTCAATATTGTTTTTACCATCTTTCTTTTTTCTTCCTCTGGATTTCTCTGAAAAGCCCCCCCCCCCCCCCCCCCCCCCCCCCCCCCCCAAAAAACTCATCACACCGCAACTATGATGTTGAAACGTTTCAACCTTAGTCGGCGGACTCGGTAAAATCCTTCCTCACCAACACTACTCGCGTAGAAAGCCACAACAATCCAACAGGATCGGGAAAAGGGCAAAAACAATATTAAGGATAATAATATCACTCCATAACTCAACTCTCAATTAAATTCTGGGAGGTCCCACACTCCGAGTGGGCGAAGAACAAGGCTGATTCCTACGCCTCCGATTTGTTGCACACGCCCGGTTGTCTTTTACGGAGCCATCATCAATCTGCACTTTCAAACTCAAAGGTAAAAGCAGACCCGTTTCGAGTCCACCGATTCGTACCATCAGGTCAGTTCGGGTGCAAGTGAAGAATGGAAAAGGAATGCTTTCTAAGTTCTTCATAGATCGGGAGCCTTTAAGTTGGGGAGACTGCATACTGCGTATCATAGATGCACGCCGCATGCATTTTAGACAATGAGCTAGTTTACATTGTTCTTGAGATAATCATATACTCTTCGTAATTTACTTTATGTTTAGCGGTTCGCAACGAATAACCATATTCATGATTACCTGAATGGAGTCTATAACATTGTACTACCACAGCTGTTACTAACTAGCCGCTCTTCGGTCACGGACGATCGGAGGGGACGATCCCTTGTTTGAAACCCGCCCCCATTTACTTCCAATCTTCCAGAAGCAAATCATTCGCGGCCTAATTCCTGGAGGGCTTCCGGCCTCCGTTTCCTCCGTCTCCTCAAATAATCCGTGGACTCTATTCAGGACTTATTTTCAATATGGTCGTCATAATAATCATTCTCCGGACTACCCCAAGTCCTGCAGGGATCTCCGGAGCTTCCTTCATTACGGAGAAGGTAGCTACAAGGAGTTAGATACCACCGCGGAGTGCAGGAGCATAACTACCGATTTGGTCTACGCCTTAGTAACTGGCGCTGTTGGTGAGTGGTAACCGGTAACTACAGTAAAATCGACGGATTGCGAACTCAAAGGACATCGTTCCTATGTTCGGGTAGTTGCGTGGCTTTTTTTTCATTCCGATACTTGGGACCACGCTTGCAGGGATCGTTACTGGAATAAACCTTGACTTTGCTTCTTTCTCGGAGTGCTCCTCGTATTGTCTATCGTCTTGTGTAGATTTGGGCATCCACTGTGCCGCCGAGGCTGCAGCAACAAGGGGATTAAATCGCCGTTGAGCCATGCGGTCGGATTTCTCTCAGCGTCATCACTTTTTTTTTCCCTCGCAGATCTGCTCTTCCTACTCGAGTTAGATTATTGGCTGCTAGTCGATTCAGTCAGTGTGCCGTCGTTTCGGCCCGGAGTTAACAGCCATTGAATCATGATGTCCGGTCGGCTAGTTTCTGAATTCGTTTCCCGTTCTTCCGCGTTATGAGTAGCTCCTGGTCTTAGGGAGACTGTGTGAATGGGTAAAGAGATCTATTGGAGATTTGATTATGGAAGGGAATATAATAAGACGAGTAATAATGTATGTACCATGAATCATATTGTGGTTCATCTATAAATAATGATGAGATATGATAATTTGCCATCCAGATCATCTCCATAGATTACTCGCACGGCCATGTGGTTTCTTATTTCCACCGACCTATCGTATATACCGAGCCTCAGAATAATGGGGCTAACTAAACCCCGATCCCTGTCAACTTCCCCTCCTTCGCATAATCTTGGAGTGACCCCTCCGGAGTTACTACTAAGTGTTGTCATCATCGATAATCATAATACCCTGAACTATGCTTATTGACCGGTATTTTCTTCTATTGATCTCTTTCCCATCAAATCAACGAAACTCGTCTCGAGGGGGGAACAACGCTCTGCCGGAAGGTCAATCCGTAACTTTCATGGTTCCATTGGTAGAGACACTGGGATCCGAAGTCGCTCTTACTCAAAAGAATAATCCTTATTATTCATGAAATTGACATCCCACCAGCCACCAATCCTCTTACTCCTCCTCCTTCCGCTCTCCATCCTTTTTTATCTAAATCATACACACCACACTACTGTAGCTACTTTACCGAAGCGCACTAAAATGAGGGATTTACATGCCAGAAACTAATCAGCATCTAGAGGAAATAAATGGAATTGCTGACGACCAGAAATCAACCAAACGGTCGAGAGTCAAAAAGTGGTACACTCAGTAACGCCACATCCTTTGGACCCAGCCATCGTGCAGAAGAAGCGCGGGTCGGAAACGCCCTGGGCTCGGCTGGGCGGATCTCGTTGGTTCGTCGGTTGGACGGGGCTGGCCTCTTGTTCTCTTCTCGTGCGAGTTCCACTCTCGATGGAGAAACTCCATCCTTCGACAGGACTGGAGTCTTCCGTTTTGACCACTTTAGTCCTCCCGTCCTCCGTACAGCAAGTACTTGACTAGTGGGCCGCTGACGAAAAGCATTGGCACACGACAGCTTAACGGTTCGAGGGATTCACGATGGGGTCTTGATGGGCCGGACGTGCCGATATTATTAATCCGAGATCCTCTGCAGGCTCAATGCACGGATGTGGACTTACTATGTCTCGATTGCTTTCAATTAGGAAGGTCGATACAGTTCGCTCCGTGCTGGACTGAAGGAGCCGCAGGTGCTATATTGACCTGCATACAACTACTGAGTCTACTGAGTCTACTCGAGAAATAATGCTGCCTAAGTAGGTAGGAGTAATCCTACCGTTTAGTTAATAAGGTTGTGTTCAGTGACTAAGGATGTGCGGAAATAATTACCTCGGCTGAGGCTCGGCAACCTACCAAGTACGGCATATCATACAGAATAGTTAACTACTTACTACTATAGAGAGACTTATACTCCAGTCTCTCGTGACTTAGTCCCTGCTACTCCATAATGAACCATAGGCTACACGGTAATAACCCCGAATAGAAACAACCACGCCATCTACCCTCGTCCTCGACCCTAAACCCGTCCATGATCGCCAAGCCTCGATTTTCCACGTGGAATCTTTGTCACTGTCTTACCCTCGATCCACCAAATCCAGTAACGGAGCGATCCCATTGGCGAAAAGCCCATGTTCGGGGGGTAAGCGCGTACAGGACGGAGTACAACATCCCCCATCAATGACACCGACACCTTTCCAACGAAACAGAACAGATATGTACAAATTTAGCCTGTTGCATGCATCACTCATTCGATTGGCCAGTCTGCAAAATCTAATATTGGCTGCGCCCGTACCTGCTGATCACTTTGCTGATCACAGCCAGTCCCGAATAAAATTTTCGCGTGGAGCCCTTTGCCCTGCGCGTCTGCGCGATTATCGTGGACGCTGGTGGAGCCCGGCGAAACTCTATGAGGCAAGTCTTCGACTGACCTGCTCTTTTGTGGCACACCGAGTGGAGGGTGGGTTGTTGTTCGTGGATCCTGGGTTAACTTTGTATGTGAGAGAATTAGATGAGAGTTGTTTACAGGGCGATCACTATTTACTACAGGTAGGTTGAACATGAATAGGTACATATTGTACTATGTACATCTTCTCGTGTATACACTACAGAGTACGCTATTAGGATACAGTATCCCGTCGTTGTCATCGTGTCATGTAGAATGTCATAACATAGAATTCACGACGTGTTCCGGACTCTACTCTCAATGCGGTCTCATAGTTTCCACATCGAGTGATGCCCCGGCTTATACTACGCCTCATCATGTCTTTTCCAGTGCTCTCCATGCTCTCCATCAAATCTCGGTAACTTCCTCCATATCACTTCCCGCCAGTCTCATCCAAATTAGTACATGCAGTTATAGAGCGGATACAACTACCGTAGTCTACCTGTGTTGTCCATCCTCGGTGGATCCACGCCCAGAGGCAACTCCAGGAAAACATTTCCCCAATGCATGCTCCACTGCTTCGTCCCACAGATGCGCGAAATCCATTCAAGCAGATCGGTTATAAGCAGGGCCCCAGGGGCAACTCGTTAAAGTCACCTTCCGCGGTAAGCAGAGTGTGATGATCGATTGATCGTCCGGCGGGTTGGTCTATCCGCCGCCCGCTTTCCGAGGTACGAGTTCGATCCGCGGTCGAGTACGTTTCGGATGAGGTCGGCAATTGCGAAGCTACTGCACACTTCGGTGGGGAGGGCGTTTGAAATGGATCTACGGGAATGTCAGTTGTGCTTCCGGAAGTGCTATTCCTGCCAAGCGAAAATACATACTTTGGTCGGAAGGTTTGGTCTATGGCTAATTTCGGGAATGACCCGTTTGGCGAAGCGACCACCTCGATCTAGAAATCCTTCATCGTGGCGTTGCGTAAGTTCAAAGCCATGAAACATTTCAAGCTTGTAGTTCCCTTCGTATGATTAAGGAATATCTCGGAAGCAATGCCTCGGTTACCGAGGGAGATGATTCAAAACATGTTTGACTTTGAACAGACCTTTGCAAACAGCAAAAGCCGAAGCATATCGGTCCGGGCCTTTAATTCAGTCTCTAGATTCAGACTTCTGAACTATGTATTACTGTAGTTCTTCTAGCGTATCCCGTAGCCTCGAAGGTGGATCTGTCTCCTATTGCCGTTCTTGTCAATGAGGTCGCTGATAGCAGATAAGATCGCTAGCGCTAGCTAAGAAGCATTTATCAAAGTCGGAAATTCCGAATGCCACAAAGTAGATACAGGCCATGGTCGAGTCTCAAGCGCACTGTATACATGTTGTCGATATGTACAGTCGTAGTTCAAATTTTTGAAAGAAGGAGCGGAAGAAAAGGCCTATCCAGAGACGCTTCAACATCCACTGTACATTTCCCGGGCTATACAGAGCATTCGAATCCAATGTCCATCAACCAAGATCCCCATCTGGTCCACATTCAATCTTCACCCATTCCAACGAAGACCAACCGGCGGTGTTGGTCCTGTTCAGAGAGAATTTCACCTCATCAATTTCAACCGCATCGTTGTTCGAGTTGGGATTTTCCGTGTCCGAGCTTTCAGTGTCGTTTGTCGCAATGGAAGGCTTCGAGGGATGGTAAGGTAGGTCGAAGAGTGGAATAGCTTCGACGTTCAGCTTCAGGATAGTATCTTCGTCGTCTTCATCGTCTTCATCTTCTTCCTCATCCTCCTCTTCTGTCTCATCTTCATCTTCAGTCTCCTCTTCATCTTCGTCATCATCACCATCTTCTTCATCTGACCACTCATCCTCTGAATCCTCGGGCCATCCGCGATCTTCTCGATCTCGACATTCCTGGAGAATCTCAGTCGCATTTTCGATCTGCCACGAAGCTAGATGATTGAACTTGGCATCAGGCAAGCTCCACTGAGCTCCATTCTTCATGAGCAGCTCACAGACATCCTCTGAGCCTGTCAATGCAGCCGCGTGAAGAGCTGAATAATAAAGGCCGCCAAAAGTATTCACTTCAGCACCTCGGTCAAGAAGAAGTTGAACCAGGTCATAATTTCCACTCCCGGTAGCCGCCTGCAAAGGCGTATAGAATTTCCCGCCGGTCTTGTTGACGTTGGCACCATATCGGAGCAATAGGAGAGTGCTGGGCATAGATCCTGTGGCAGCTGCAGCTTGTAATGCACCGGAATACACGCCGCCTGGGCCGTTGGGGTTGATGCCTTTCTTCAAAAGGTATTCTGCGAGTTCGATATCATCACGTAACACGGCAGCTGTCAATGCCGTGCCGAATTTGCCCCCAGTGATGTTGATGTCGAAGCCGTGCCGAAGCAGAGCCTTGACAATTCCTCTATTACCACTCACACTAGCAGCCTGTAAAGCGTTGTGGTACTTTCCTTTCCCCGTTGGTTTGATATCAGCGCCTTGTTTGAGTAAATAGCGCAGAATCGAGAAGTTGCCCTGCCTTGAAGCATATTCCACGGGAGAGCCATGTACGCCATTGGAAATACCAATATCGGCACCTTTCTCGACCAAAAGTCGGAGAATTGAAAGATTTCCGGCTTTGATTGCCCCGTGGACGGCAGTCGGATAATTCTGGTTCCCTTCGATGTTGACGTTGGCACCGGCTTCCAACAACGCTATAACTCGGTCCTCTTCTCCATGGACCGCTGCACAGATAAGAGGGGCCCCATACAAGCCACCTCGGGCATTGACGTCTGCTCCCACGTCAAGTAAGATGTGGTATACATCATCTTCACGCCAGTCAGAGCAAGCCTGGATTAGGGGAGTTCCCCACTTCCGGATTGGAGTATTTGGATCAGCATGATGATGTCGGAGGAGAGCAGAAACCAACGTTTGACAGGAGCCTGCTAGAGCCGCACCCAGAGCTGTTCCGTATTGTCCACCCTGCAGACTTGTTGATGCACCGTGGCGGAAGAGATCTCGTATAGTAATATAATATCCATGCGTATATGCCGCCTGGAGTGCTGTCCCGTATCTGCCACCCACAATGTTGGGATCTGCCCCATGCTGGAGCAATAGAACACAAGCTTCTTCCTGGCCTTCAGAAGCGGCAGCTTGGAGGGCAGTAGCCCAGGTACCTCCTCGGTTGTTCACATCTGCTCCTGCTTCAAGTAAGACTTGAATGGTTGATTCATCCCCATTGAAAGCAGCTGCTGTGAGCGGATAAGCATATGAATGTTTGTCCCCCACAGAGAGGTTGACATCTGCTCCCCGTTCCACTAGTAGCTGAACGACCTCTAGCCTGCTCTCCTCAGTCGCATCCATCAGGGCACTGCTATCACCTCCACCACAGGCATTAACATCGGCACCGGCATCGATCATCGCTCGCGTTGCTTCAAGGTGGCCCATATAGGCAGCAGTTTGGAGGGCCGTGCCATACACACCACCGACTTGGTCGACCTCGCTCCCTGAATCGATCAACAAGTGAATTTTGTCCACATCGCCTCGATGACAGGCGGCTTGCAGTGCCGAGGCGAATCGTACATCTTCCAGGTCCACGGAAAGTTGAGCTCCATTTTCGATCAACTTTCGAACTGTCTCATCGGATCCATAGTATACCGCTGCTTGGAGTGGCGTCACACATCCGTCTTCGTTGCAAGTGGCATCGTCTTCTGGGGGCTCAATCGCAAGGTTGACATCCGCGCCGTGATCAATCAACAGGTTCAGGAATTTCTTGTCCGCCGATTTCACGGCCATCATCAGCGGCGTGAAATAGGACGTATATGCCAAATTCACGTCAGCACCACGGTCCAGGAGAGTCACACAAAGTTCATAATTCTCACGAGACAAGGCACCGACAAGCGCACAGCATATCAATTCCGTATCCGCAGTAGCATTGACGTCTGCTCCAGCATCAAGCAGTCGCACCGCCACGGCAATGTCAGATTTCTCTCCAAGACAGGCGGCGATGAGGGCAGTCCCATACTTTCCCTCGTTCACGAAATTCACATCCGCGCCCAGATCAAGCAATAGATCTACCGTCTCCGGATCCCCCTTCACGGCAGCCGCTTCAAGAGGAGTGCAACAGGGATATGTAGAAAGTGTGCTGCAATCGTCCATGGCCGCCCCCATCTCAACCAAGACTTTGATAGCACCCACGTGTCCCCTGTTCGCAGCCACCATAATGGCATTGCTCATCTCATAGGTATCTCCAGAAGGAACCCCCAGTTCGAAGAGAAGCTCAAGCGTTTCAGTATGGCCATTTTGCGCGGCTCCAATGAGCGCTGTCCCCCGATCACTGCTAGGAGCGTTGACATCCACTCCTGCCTCTGCCAGGATGCGGATAATGTCGTTATGTCCCGCAGAAGCAGCAGTTTGAACACTGTTTCCATAGTGTTCGTCAAAAAAGCCCACGTCTGCTCCAGCGTCCAGAAGATACTGCACGATTTCGATATGATTTCCTGCACTTGCTGCATTGAGTGCGTTTCGATGCTTTCCTCCTCGTGCATTGACATCAGCACCCAGTTCCAGTAGAAGTTTGACGGGCTCCAAATTTCCTGCCATGCATGCCGCATACAAACTGTCGGTGCCTTTATCATTTTCATCATTGACCCGTGCCCCATGGGAGACCAGCGAGCGAATCAGATCGAGCATCCCCATTGATGATGCGGCCATCAAGGCGCTTCCATGCCGGCCACCCAGAGCGTTGACATTGGCACCACGTTGAATCAGAGTATCGACCATATGCATGTTCTGACCGACAATCGCAGACACCAGGGGATAGGCGTACCAACCACCTCGGCTGTTCACGTTGGCACCATGGTCAAGGAGGATTTGAAACGTGTGCAAGTGTCCTTTCTCAGCGGCAGCAGCGAGAGGTACACCATACCTCTGACATTTTACGTTGATGTCTGCACCGTGGGCAAGCAAAGTCGAGACCACTTGATGCCGGCCATCGAGAGAAGCGACCTGAAGTGGTGTCCCATGTCTTCCTGCGCGAACATTCACATTCGTCCCATGTGCAAGTAGAAGCTGTACCGCACGATCATGTCCTTGGCTGGAAGCAAGATAAAGGCATTGCTCCAGCACATTTGCACTGACAGATTCACATTGACGGAGAAAAACTTCAAGTACTGCGTCGTGGCCAGCACTCGCGCTCGCCTTCATCGGCTCTTCAATGTAAGTGTCTGGGCTTTGGTCCAATAACTCTGAGACGGCTCGATGCAAGCCAAACAATGATGCAAAATAAACAGGATCTTTGTTGGAAGCCTTAAGTCGCTGCCCTGTCACTTTCTGTTGATGGAAATAGATCTTGTACCAGGTGTCGTAGTTTCTACCAGCTTCAATGCCGGATTCAAACAATCTCATAGTCAGGTCGAAGACGGCATCATGAGTCTTATTCATGTCGCCAAGATGTGCGTGAGAGCCCCATGCTTGCACAGCGTATGGGAGAAACTTGTACTCATTGAAGTTTTGCAACAAAACTTCCCCGGATGTATCGTCGCTTCCAGAAAAGTCGTCATATGTCAAATACGTAAGGCAGATGCTGGCTAGCTCTGCATGAACATCATCACATCCAATCCAAAATTGGGGCATGGCATTCTTGATATGCTCAGACACCAGAAACTCCTTGACCGTGTAGTGGGCCAAAGCAACATGACCATCAGACGAGACAGTGATCAAACTTCCACAAAGCTCGACAACATCTTCTGCGTCCGTGAAAACAGCATCAAAGTCAAACGACTCATCTGGATTGCTGAGATCGATACTCACACACTCCGCCAACTCGCCCAGTGTGAGATTTCGCACACCTCGGACCAACCACTTTAGTAGTCTATGCACAATCTCCACATCATCGGCATTCTCAGTCTCCACCTTCTGGAGAATCCGAATGTAGGTATCATGTAATGTTTTGGGGAGGTCATTTAGAGCACCCCGCACGGCTTTGTCGTTACGAAGCTTGCACAGCTGGTCAAGCTGGCACTTCACCCATTGAAACATGCCATGTGCCCCTTCAATCAAAGTGTCGCAGATAATATTTTCAAGATTCGAGTCTCTCAACTTCAGCTTCCGTGTTTTGACCTTGATGGCCACCTCCGCTTTCACGTACAACTCAATGTCCCCCGCGACATCGGTCGCTTCAATGGTGGTACTGGGCAATTCATCGAGGGCTCGAGCGATGTCAATCTCATGACGACTGATAACAAAGACCTTGGCGCACTTGCAGGTCTCGAATATTCTTTTCAGGGCATACGCCACACACTCCCTGTCTTCACTTTCATCCAAAGCATCAACGACAACGAAAATGGTCTCAAAACTGTTCGCCACGAAATGGCTAAAATTGTTCAAGAGTTCGTCAAACTCTGGAGTATAAGCCGGATTCTCTTTGCATTGTCTTTCGAAGAAAGCCTGGATCCTACCGAAGACATCGTTGTTTTGAGATGCAAGCATCCACAACAATGTGCTGACGATCTTGGTAGGGGATTGTTTTTGCTTGTCCTTGTAATCACAGTAGAAGTACGCCAGTCCCATCTCACTGCTCTTCTTGTAATTGCGCAACCAGTCAATGACATTCGAGGCCAGGATAGTTTTGCCTCCTCCGGGTATGGCGTGCAGCCATAGGAAGGAGTTTGCAGTTGAAAGCCACTGCTGAAATTCTTGTCCATCTATGAACCAACTGCCCGTTCCTTGGTAGCGCAGCTTTGTAGCCGAGGTATGGTTCGAAGCGGCATTTACGGGTGAGAGCCACTGATTCACATAATCGATCCGTTGCTGGTCAATAAATTCGGTGACGGTCTTTTGGTGCGACTCAAGCGCGTCCCAACGAGATGTCTGCAGCTGGCGTTCTTGCTCTGCCTTGGACCTCTCCTTGTTGGCCAACTCCTTCTCCGCAATGTCAACTTCATGGTCAATCCTGGTTAAGGAGGATCTGATTTGGTCCATTATGTCACCAAACTGAAGCTTGAAGGGCTTCCAGATTAGTTTCCACGCGGCGTGAAGGCCGACTGGATTCAACGCTCTGATGCCGCTCTGGTGCTTTTTGCCCTGGTGGAAAACATCTCGAGCTCTGGTACAGAATTGCATGATTGATTGGAAGATTTCTACCATTGACTCGCGTAGAATTTGGTTGTCGGGGTATAGGCGCGGATATCGTCGAAGGCAGGAAAGAATATAGCCAATCTCCTCGAACATGTCTGAGATCTTGTCGAAATACTCGCTATAGTCACCTGCGAGCTGTATTACAACGAAGAATAGTCTCTCAGCTTAGAAATTGTTCTCTTCGATGCTCGTATAATTGAATGGGGTGGGCAATGCTAACCTTGAGAACAATGCGTACTGAAGCCCAAATAGGGCTCATTAGCGAAATGGAACCTGCGACTATATCCAAGGCCGATCCAAACTGTTCGACACCGGCAACAAAGACTTTAAGCTTCGGCGCAATTTTTCTTGAAATAGACGCCTTGTGCTTATTGTCGACATCTCGGAGGTCGTCTATCAACTGCTGCGATTTTGTTGTAGCCTCGAACAAGGCACTTTCGTCGGCCTCGAGGTCATCAAAGAATTTGCGGATCGCATCATGGCATTCATCCTCGAGACTTGAGCTGTAACAGAACCAATAAATAATTAGTTCTTCTTCCCATGGATATATGTTGAAGTGGTGCAGGACTTTGAGAGGGAGTTAATGTACCCGGTAGATGGGATATGCGGCATGATGCAAGCACCATGTGAGTCTGACGAATACCTGTGGATAAACTTTCAACGGTATCCTCTATACGGTCTGATCTGTTGTAATAGGTCGATTGCCCATACATATAGACGAGTCGAGCTTGAAACCGTGGTTCAAGAGGGGCTTCAGCTCGTACTCAATATGCACGGACCATGCGGACAGCCTCACGAGTCACAACAACCGAGCCTAAGGGTTTAAGTCGACCTTCCCACCTATCTCTACTATAGCTATTTGTGGGCTACCTTCAACTCTAGGTATTGGATCATCGACTGGATTGGTAGCTGGCGAGTTGATTTTCGATTGGTTTCACACTCTCCTCGGTAGAGCATGCACACAGTCTGCATAGTTAGCAAGATATATATTGCGCCGTGGGAGAAGGGACCCACCAAAAGGGGGGCAAGGCAAAAACGGCCAGACTGACAACTTCCCAGATGATTTACCGCCTGGAGAGAAAGGAGACCAGGGAATCAAGATTAATCTCAGTGACCGAATGGAATTGGGTTTCTTCTTTCGGTAGTGTGCGGTATTCTATGTCGGACTAGCTACTTTTCCCATACAGGGCAAAAAACACGTGCCTGTAACTGACAGTTTCAGAGACAAACACCCGAGCCTCGTATTCGTCCGATGCGGGTATAAGAGTCGGGGGCATCTTGTTGGGAGTAGCCTGGTTTGGAAGCGCTTCTTTGGCTAACAGCTACGGAACAAATGCGGCAGTGGCAGTCGTTTCCCGATACCGTTGGTATTTGGTAGGTCCACGGAGGATCTATAGGTTGCTATTCCAGGATGACCCCATTGTCCTCAGAGATGCGAAGCTGTCATCTTGCCAATTATTGACTGTGTATGATATATCGTCAAGCACAATGGCTTCGGTGCAGGACTGGAGTGCATGGTGGTTGGATTTTCTCAAGCAATGATGAGATGGATTCAACGACGATCATCTTTAGGCATGCGGAGGTTCAACATGGACAACATATTCCCAGCCGGGCCAGCAGTACCGGCCTGGCCCTGGAGGGCTTCGAGTAAGTTCTTCGCGAGGTTAATATTAACGTCGTCATCCTCGTCATCCACATCAAAATCGGCTTTTGATGAAATCGGAGTCTTGCCCTTAGAAGAGCTCGCCCCAGTGGCCAGTTTGTGTTGGTGCTTGTTCAGATCAAGCACGCCCGTTCCTTTGAGTTCAGCTTCCATCTGCCGAGATAACTCTTGAATCTGTTCAGTATCGTCTTGTTCTGCTTCTTCAGCATCGTCCAGCTCTTTGATCCGGTTACGTAGAGGTGTAGAGATATCTGGACCTTGGCCAGACCCGGACGGCATGCCCATCATTTCTTTCATCATCCGAGCGAACTCCTCTTCGTCAAAGGAGGCATCCTTGTCTTCCCCATCGCTGCTGAGCTCATCGTCCTCATCTTCTTCGTCGACATCCGAGTCAGAATCGAAATCATCAATAAAGTCTGCTCCCTCAAAGCCTGCGGAGTTGTCGTTCAAGAATTCTTCAAAACGAGCCACGATCCGCTGCAGATTTTCTTGCGCGCTTGCGTCGCCAAAATCACCTCCAGTCTTCTCGTTGGATTTCCCCTTTCCTTTGAGCTCTCTGTCCAAATCCTCAAAGTTGATGTCCATCCAAGCCTCATCATCTTCTCGCTTATCCCATGTGTTTTCAATCTCTTCATCTGTAGGGAGAAGTTCATCTCCAGTTTCAATATCCTCAAGAAGAAGCTTCATTTCGCGGACAGAGGCTTTGTCTTGGTGGTGAGGATCGTGAAGCAGCATCTCGAAGCCACAGGCAAGCTTCATTCCCGCTTCAGTGCGAGCGTATGGCTTTTGATCGTCCATCGGAGGCAATTTGGGCGCCCAGCTGCTTGGAACGGGAAATTCTTGGCTCTTTAACTGAGCATATCCAACTCGTGTGAACCTAACGCTCACGGTGACCAAGTCATCGGGACTGAAGGTAAGATCAGAAGCATCCTTTGTTCGAAGCGGCCGGAGGGCGATCGGGTCTCGGATATAAAAGGCCTCCACCGCAGGAGATATGTATGCTGGCTTTTGATGTAGGAGGAAGGCGACCTTTCGTGGGATTGTGAGGATAGCGGAGTGAAGGTTTTCGGTAATCTGCTTGGGGTAATTGCGCAGCCGGTAAAACGCCTCCTCTTGAATTATTGTAGACTTTATGAAGCGATCGGGTTCATTCTGAATAATCTTGTGTGCGTCGGCGAGGGTAAGTCTTTCGGTGACTTTTCGACCCTTGTCTTGCTTTGGTTTGATAATCCGGAGCTGTCCTTGATGAATCCAGACCTTATCAACGCCATGTTAGTTAATATTATATCCGAGAGCCTGGTAGAAATGTACACCATGTTAATAACTCACCCTATTATCTGCAACCTCGGGCTCCAGCCACGCAGGAAGAGTGCCAGCGGCCTCGACAAGCAAGAACTCGCCATCACTATCCACAACCCGGACCCAAATATCCTTATGCCGGTTTGTTAACTCACGAAGAAGATAAACAATCACCCATTCATCCTCAATAGAGTCGCCGAAGTTTGTACGTCCGTGGAGGGAGGAAATGCCTAATCCTGCAATCAGCAGCCATTGTGGGGAATGGGAAAGCAAAGAACTGGGGCTCGACGTACCGTTTTCTTTGTTGATCTCTAAACGAAAGCTTTCGCGCTGCCAGATGTAGTCTTTCAGAAGCTCCTTCGTCAATTCAGCCGCGGTGCGTTGCACTTCCAGCAATCGGGCTCGAGCCTCCGCGGCTTTGTCGATAACGGCGGGGGCGGGGGAGGGTAGGTGATAAATGAAATATTCAACTGAATCATCCGGAAGCTCGGGCTTTGGAATCGGACGAAAGGTTGATTGGAACCACGCGATATCTTCCTCGGTCGCCATGATGTTTGCGATAGAGGGTGCTTGAATTACACACCAGCGACCATGACCTCATATCATTCCGCAGAAAAGAAAAAAAGCGGCGAGAGTCGCGACCCACTCGTGACTCGTGAACTAGTCCTAATCAGGTTAGACATCAACAGTCTCCGACGCTCTGCTCGTTGGGTCTCGACACAACACGGTCAGTTTAGGCACTTCCCACCAATTTCTCTTGCTTTGACGGTGATGGTCGCGCGTTGAATGGTTTTGGATATCCGCCACATGGTTTTGGTACAATGGCGTTCCCATATATTGACACGCCGCGCACCGAAGTCGACGGAAACGCGACCTACCTCACCAACGGCTTCCGCAGCGCGGGGCGAACACATCTCTCAGCGCTCGATTCAGTTGAAAACTCGTTTGCTACGCCATCTAAGGATAATGATGTGATCAAGGGGTTTGGAGAAGGACGCAAGCGCGTTTCGGGAGCCTCCAACATGGGCACACCACGCGCCAGTGCCGCGACAAAGTCTACGAGGAGCGCGTTGAGACAACTCCCAACCGCTGGACCTGCTAGAGGCGAGTTCACGCCGCTTATGCGAAGCGCGACGAAAAACAATTTCTTGAGAAACGCGTCTATGAACCGAGGAACCGACGACCCGAAGACCCCGGCATACCTGCGCGAAAGCAGCCGAGGTGCTGCGTATACCCCCGGTCTACCTGCCATCGACATGTCGGATATTTACGAAGAAGACGCGACTGCTGATGAGCCTACACCCCTTCCACAGGCTGCTAGCAGCAGTGCTCAAAGTACACCAATCCCATCTCTTTTAGGGCGCGATGGGAGAGGTGTGTTGGGTGATGGACAGAACATGACCTTGAAGGAGCAGGAGCGAGTATGTTCTAAAGAGGATTCGAGACACTTAATAGACGTGCACTAATTTTCACAGATCATTGACCGGCTCGACAAAGACAATTGGAACCTCAAACTCAAGATCCACTACCTAGAGGAACAACTCGAGAAAGCAGGACCCGAATACAACAGTGCAGCCCTCAAAGAGAATACCGAGCTCAAAGTCTTGAGATTGACAATGCAACGCGACATTTCTCGATACAAGAAAAGCTTGCAACAAGCGGAGCGCGATTTGGAGGACTATCAACAACAACTCGTGGAAATGAGAGACAAGGCCCGGCAGAGACAAACGGATGAGGAGGTTCAGCGCGAAATGGATCTCATGCGGGAGGAGGTCGAGTCGAGGGACAACGAGCTCCGGGAACTCCGGGAAGAGTTGAGGATAGCCAAAGACAATCAGTCTCGCGAGATCGAAAAACTGCGGGACGACATCGAAGACCTCGAGGCTAGCGTACGAGAAAAGGACCGAGCGATTGACGAACGCGACGAAGAACTTGAGGAGCTACGAGAAAATCGCCGAGAGAACGACGCAGGAGCGGAGCTTGAACTCGAACTTGATCGTGCCAAGGAACAGATCCAAGAACTACAGGATCGGCTCGAACAGGCCATATCGGAGGCTCAAGAGGCGGATTCTGCCGCCAAGAACGCCATGGATGAGAAAACCCGCGCTGAAGACGACCTTCGCGAGCTCCAGGATGAGATGGCAGATAAGTCCTTCACGACGAGGGGCCTCAGTCGCCAGCTCGAGGAAAGAGCCGATAAGCTCGAGGAGGAAGTGCAAGAGCTACGGCACGCAAACGATACCCTCCAAGCAGAAGTCGAAAGGAAAACGGAAACCGTGACACGCCTTGAGGAGCGTTATCAAACCGTTCAACAAGACCTCAGGAGCGACGCTGGGAAGCTAGGCGAAGACCTTGAATCTGCCAGGCGCGAGCGAGACGTGGTCCGTGATGAGCTTCAGCGAACGTCTGCTCAGTTGCAAGAAGCTCTCGACAACGTCCAGCGCCGGACTGAAGAAAAAGAACTCCTTCAAACCCGGCACCATGCACTGACCGACGAGTCTGGTGGCTTGCAAGCCGAGCTGACCCGAGCACAATCCCGGATACGCGAACTCCAACAGGGAGTCGAGGAGGCCACAAACCGTGCCCAGGACAGTCAAAACCTTCGCTGGCAACACAAGACGGAGGTTGATCGACTTCAAGATGAAATTGAGGCTCTTCAACACGAGATAGAAGACAAGGAAGGCCATTTTGCCCTGGAACAGGACCGATGGGAGAGCGCCAAGCGAACCTTGCAGGCTCAGAAAGAGCGTGCCGAAGAGCAAGCGACTGGCTTTAAGCGAACCATTGAAAAACTCCAGGAGGCAGAGCACACTCTTTCCGGAAAGGAGTTCAAATTGCAGGGAGCCATCGACAGTGAGAAGCAACGCCATCTCCAGGAAGAAGCTGTGCTCAACCGCCAACTCAAAGACCTCGGTGATGAGCTTTCTCAGAAAAGACACATCCTAGATGAACAGCGCAACGACCTGCTTGCTGTCAGAGAGGAGCTGCGTGTCTCTCGACGTGAAGAGCAGTCACTAAAGGAGAAAGTGCAGGCTCTCGAGGACGAGGTGATTGTTCTGCAGTCAAGTTTGGCGGATGAACAGGAATTCGCCAAGGGTCGCCTGCAAAAGAGTTCGTCTGAAGTCGAGGTGCAACTACAAAAAGCCATTGCCGACAGACAAACCCTTCGTGACCAGCTCGCCAACGCGCACGTCGAGCTACATGACTTGCGAACTTCGGTTGGTGAGATTGAAGCCGAACGTGACGACCTCCAAGCTCAGCTGAGTCGTCCTGAAAATGCGGATGATAACACTCGCTTCGACCGTGAAAAACTTGAACTTCGCAGGACAGCAACTCGACTTGAAAATGAAGCGAAGCGTTTGCGAGATGACAGGGCTTCCTTATTGGAAGCTAAAGAAACTCTCGAACAGCAACTCGGGTCTGAAATCGAGCGGGCTACCGCGGAAGAGGGCCGACTGTCTGCCGAAATCGATCGTCTTCAAGACAAGCTCCTTGCAGGCTCGGGCAACCGAGATCGCGAACTGACCACCGCCAAGACCAAGATTCAACGTCTCGAGCGACGCATTCAAGAGCTAGAGGCCATTCTTCAGCACCAGCAGCCCACCGTGGAGAATGAGCAGTCCGCCACTCATGGGGATTCGTCTCTAATCCGGCACAGTCTTGACGAGGCTCGTAAACGCGAGAAGATTCTTCTACAACGTGAAGCTGAACAAAAAGCTTCCTCGCGTACGCTGAAATCGCGGGTTGCTGATTTAGAGCGAGACCTTCATGAGGCATTGATGAACAAGTTTGATTCTCACTCGCCACGAGACTCGCCATCCAACAAACTACATGAGGAGCTGCGGAATCTCCGAAAACAGCTTTCAGATGCCCACCGGTCTCTGAAGGAGGTCAAAGCCAAGAACCGGGATTTGGAGCGTGCGGCGATGAAAGAGGAGGACCAAAGAGATCTCCATGAGCTTCTCAAGTCGTCAACTATCGAAGCGGAAGCCTTGGCCCTCAAGGTCTCCGAACGAGACTCTCGTTTGAATGAGCTCAAGAATCAGGTTCACCGGATTCGTGAAGAGCGAGCCTTCTGTGCTCGCAAAGCCGAGACTGCTTCGAAAGAGTTGGATGCACTCCAGCATCGATATGATGAGGCTCTCAAGAAGGTGTCCAATTCAAAGGCTTCGACCAAGGGTCAGCACGAGAAAGAGATGCGTGGCCTAGGCAAGGAGATCATCTGGCTTCGTGCCCGCTTGCGGCGAGAGGAGAAGTTCCGCCGTGACTTGGCATGGAGTAAGGGTCTGATGGAGCTTGGTGAACGCGTCCGCGTTGCTTGGTTAGTAGCGCTTTTCTATTCCCCACTACGTATAATGAACATCCGACTAACCTGGCTCAACCTCACACAGTAACGAGGCCGACCTCCGCATGATCTCTGAGATGGGTGTCCAAGCCCGTGACCGCAATCCTACCCGGTCACCACGCCACAAGCTCAAGTCTGCCATCTCACTAGTCATGGCCACCGTCCGTATGCAACGGATGGGCCGAGAATGGAGACAAACCAAGAAGCTCGGCGAGGGCTTAAAACGAGCCAAGAGTGAAATGCTCAAGCGCCGCGAGAGCTCCAACAAGAGTCTGCTTGGCCAATAGCTGGCATAAGTTGTAATTTTGTTGCTTTGTTACGTGTTGTTGTTTTCCTGATTCCGCTGTTTGTGTCTCATTTTCCAGCGTCTTCTTCTTACCCTACTGCCACGAGATTCCCCGACATGTCCTTTTTCCTATAAATGTTGTTCTTTGTCTTCCCAGGACTTGGTTTGGTGCGTTCGTTCATGGTGTTTGGGGTTTTATTTTTGCAGATACGAGGACTTGTCATGGTTTTGATGTCGAGCATAGTCACTCTGGTATGAACCGGGTGATCCGAATGTCATGAAGCTGTCGTTAGAAATTGAATTTTCATCTCTACCATTAAGATAAATGGAGTGGAATGGCCTTTTCGCGCACCCGGGTTTATATCCTATAAGTGATTCTGTAAATTAGGCGATTTACAATGTGAAAGTAGTATAGTATGTGTGCCTTGATTTGCCGTTTTCTCATGAAGCCCGCCAGAATAGACACATGAATATTTGCTCAAAGAAACGCCTCGCCATTGCCAAAATACTTGAAACAAGAACAAATGAAACCGCTTCTGAACACCAAACTCTTCAAAAACCCCCCGATTCACAACAAGCAATGGTATTTATCCAAGCAAGACAGGGTCCAAGGAAAATGGAACTGCGGGCCAAGACATGGTCTATTCCATGTTGTGTCCTCCTTTCGAGACGAATGCAGACAAACCCCAAAAGTCTTAACTATGAACGGCGACGCTGGGCAGAAAGCCGACCCGAGTGACCGAGATAGAGATGCGAGCGACAGAATCGATGGAAAAGATGGATCATGCGCCTTCGCTACCAAACTCCTTGGTCCACTCCGAGTTCCTTGTAAGATCCTCCTGACTGACCGTAGGCCGGGAGTTCTTAACCGCCTTGATGAAGTCCTTCAGAACGAGTGGGGGTTCCAAAAGCTGCTCAGCTTCGACGCTGAGCCAAGTCATCTCAACTGCGCCGGCATCGCCTGGCGAGCAGGGAGTAAGCTTCTCGACACCCTCGACAACAACCTATAAGAATGCAGTGTGAGCAGCGAAATCCAAAATGGTGGGAGTATAGTGACAACAAACCTTCTTATAATGCGTGGCCGTTTGAATCTTGCGAATAGGCTGCATCAGTGCATCTTGCACAGCAATACTGATATCACTACCAGAGTAGCCTTCGCTCATTTCGGCCAATGTCCGGTAATCCGCCTGGGTCATGTGGCACGGTGTCGAGCCCACGGCCAGCATGAACATCTTCATCCGCGCATTGATATCCGGAAGACTGATGTGGACTCGGCGTTGGAAACGTCGCCTGATGGCAGCATCCAGCTGCCAGGGAATGTTGGTAGCGCCCAGGATCAAAACACCCCTAGAGTCCTTGCCAACACCGTCCATTTGAACGAGCAATTCCGTTTTGATACGTCGAGATGCCTCAGACTCGCCCTCTCCACGAGGACCACACAGCGCATCGACTTCATCAATAAAAATAATAGCTGGCTTGTTCTCGCGAGCCATATTAAACAGTTGCTTAACGAGTCTGCCAGGATCTGTAAGCCTCATGCGTCATAACGGGCGGACAATTGTGAACTGTTTCCCTACCTTTCACTCTCGCCCATCCACTTCGATACCAGGTCACTACTACTGACGCTGAAGAAAGTGCTGTTCGCCTCGGTCGCAACAGCCTTTGCAAGATAGGACTTTCCGGTACCCGGGGGACCGTAGAGCAAGATACCTTTCCAGGGTTGCCGCTTGCCAGTAAACAGGTGCGGGAACTTTATGGGAAGAATGACCGCCTCTTTCAAGGCTTCCTTCGCGCTCTCCAAACCGGCGACATCCTCCCACTTGACGTTCGGCTTATCTGACAGGATAGCACCCTGGAGAGCCGACCGGAGCTTTTTGGCCTCCGCGTCCTCGCCATTGTCATCCTCTTGGCTCCTAGTTCGAGAATACAGGTCAGCGCAGAACAATCGTAGGAAGCTCTCGTCACTGGCGACACTCATAGACGTGTCATATCAACCGAGCCACCAAGAACTGGCCGAATACAGGCCATTAGAGGCAGATCCTACCCTCCTTTCCCGCTTCCTGGCGCCGCGACCTTTCCATTCGCCCCCACGGCGCTCGGTTTCTTCTTATCTGCTGAAGCCAGATGGTTCTTCAGCTTCTCGGCGCGGTCCATGTATTCTCCAGTTTTGGCGCGAATCATCTCCTTGGACTTGGGGTTTTTCTCCCACTTGAGCGCGAGCATGAACAACTCCAATGCGGAGTAGTAGAGCTGATAAGCCTTCTCATATTCGCCCTCATTGTCATTCTCAATGGCCTTCTTGACCGTGTCAATCGCCCGACCCAAGAAGTCCGTGTTACTCATGCTGGTCGGCGGGGTTCTGCCTGGTTCGTCACGTCTCAGTGGAGTGGCAAGTCAACCGCGGAGTTGGTAAAGCGGGGAGAAGAGGGGAGGACGCAGGGGTGTTCGGGGGTTGTCTAGGCAGCGGTTCAAACGGTGGATCGCGGTGTATGGAAGGCGAATGGTAGATTGGAGAGTCTAGCAATGAGTAAATACAGCTGTGTTTGCAGAGGTGGACGTGGATGATGGGATCGGAGGGGTGTTGTGAAGAGGAGAGAGAGAGTGATCGGTGTTGACGGGCGGGCAGCAGGCAATCGGTTTTCCCTTCTCCCACCTCCCCGCCAACCGACGCCATGGACGCTCAGAAACAGCTTCAGGCACTTTCGGACGAGTTCCAGCAGCTGCAGACCGGTACGCTACCGTGATAAAGTATTTTCTTTGGCAATTATCGATAGCTAATCTTCTCGGCACATTCAGAGCTCGAGGGTCTGGTCGATGCCCGCCAGAAGCTGGAGTCACAGCAGCAGGAGAACCAGGGTGTGCAGAGTGAATTCGCCCAGCTCGATGACGAGTCCAACATCTACAAGCTTATCGGCCCTGTGCTGTTGAAGCAGGATAAGACGGAGGCCGTCATGGCCGTCAGTGGTCGATTGGAATTCATCGAGAAGGAGATGTGCGTGTCTCGGTCTTCTTTCGCGGGGCTACTCTTTGCTGACTCGTCATTATAGCAAGCGCATCGAAAAGGAGATTGAAGAGAAGCAGGAAATCAGCGAAAAGAAGCGCGCAGAGGTACTATCTAGCCCTTCACAGCTCCCCAGTAGAGCTATATGCTGATGAATGTCCCATGTCTAGATTGTGCAATTCCAAAGCCAGGTACAACAGCAAGCTGCGCAAGCCTCTGCTTAGGCTTGAGGTCGATGAGATACCATCAGATATTTGAACTTGGGGTGGATTTTGAGCGAACCAGCCAACCATATCAACCGCATACAACGGATAAGCTGGAAACAAGTTCGATCCTATTGACAAGACTGGCAAAAGACCAAGGAACGCATAGGATGGGATCAAGATGCCGGGATAAACTGGCATCAGATGAAATATATGGAGGTTTGCGTGAGTCGGAGTCCCTTCACACTAGATGAGAGCGGCCGAATTTGCCTGAAGAGATATACCCATGGAGCTTTGACAACGAAAACTAGAAGTTGATCTCCAAACAATCCAAAACAATTGAATCCTATGCTCAATCCTATTGAAAGCTAGCTAAACCCTGAAATCAAGGCCATCTATTTCCTGCATCCAGTGTATCAACATTTCGATATATCCATTCATTGATTCATTTTCGTAGCCAAACTCATATATCAAAGGCTCCCGATCTAAGCCTTGACGAGCAGGCTCTTGCCGGTCATCTCAGCGGGCTGCTCAATGCCCATGGCAGCAAGGACGGTAGGCGCAACATCACCCAGCACACCACCATCCTTGGCGAGACTCCAGCCCTCGGGGGCATTAGCCATGACGAAAGGAACGAAGTTGGTGGTGTGGGAGGTCTTGGGGGTGCCCTTCTCGTTGAGCATCTCCTCGGCGTTACTAGAAAGTTTCATTAGCAAGGAGGACTTCAAACAACGAACCCAAGCATAGCAAACTTACCCGTGATCGGCAGTGATCATAAGAATGTAGTTGTGCTTCACGCAAGCCTCGTAGATCTCACCGATGGCCTTGTCGGTAGCCGCAACACCCTGAATGGCAGCCTCGTACACACCAGTGTGGCCAACCATGTCGGGAGGGGCAAAGTTGTTCATGACAAAGTCGAACTTGTTCTCGCCAATGCGCTCGGCCATCTTGGTGCCGACGGCAGCGGCGCTCATCTTGGGGTCAAGATCGTAGGTAGCAACCTTGGGCGAGGGAATCATATCGCGGACCTCACCGGGGAACTGCTTCTCGATACCGCCGTTGAAGAAGAAAGTAACGTGGGCGTACTTCTCGGTCTCAGCAATGTGGCACTGCTGGAGGTTCTTCTTGCCGAGCCACTCAGCAAGGACGTTGCCCATGTGCTGAGGAGGGAAGGCAACGGGGAAGGTGTAGTCGGTCTTGTATTGGGTCATGGTGGTAAGGGAGATGTTCTTGGGGTAGGGGAAGTCCGGACGAGGGGAGCGGTCGTAGTCACCCAGGAGCTGGGTAATCTCACGAACACGGTCCGAACGGTAGTTGAAGAAGAAGAGGGTATCGTCATCTGTTGTCAAAGTCAGTCCGAGGTTCGTAAAGTGATACTATCTTGTTGACTTGGAAAATCCTACCCTGCACACGGCGCTCCTGACCACCGACAATGATGGGCTGGAAGAACTCATCGGTCTCTCCCTTCTCGTAGCGCTCCTTGATGGTCTGGAGCGGGTCCGAGCTGTCCTCGCCCTCGCCAGTGATCATACCCTTCATGCCAACCTCGACACGCTCCCAGCGCTTGTCACGGTCCATGATGTAGTAGCGGCCCACGACGGTGGCAATCTCACCAACTCCGAGCTCCTTAGTCTTGTTCAGCAGCTGCTCCATGTAGATGCCAGCGCTCTTGGGGTCAGTGTCACGGCCATCGCCGTAGAAGTGGATGAAGACCTTGGGGATCTTCATCTCCTTGGCGACCTCGAGCAGGCCGAACAAGTGGGTGATGTTAGAGTGAACACCACCGTCGGAGACCAGACCACACAGGTGCAGACGGCCATTGCCTTCCTTGGCGCGGGTGAAGGCCTTGACAATGTTGTCAATCTTGTTCAGCTCGCCGTTCTTGAGGGTCTGGTCGATGCGAACGCTGTCCTGCCAGACGACACGACCAGCACCAATGTTCAAGTGGCCGACCTCACTGTTGCCCATGAGGCCCTCGGGAAGACCGACGGCGAGCGACGACGCATCAAGCGCGGTGTATCCCTGGGCAGTCTTGGAGTTGGCTTCGGCGAAACCGGACATGTATGGGGTCTCGGCGGCAGCGATGGCATCACCCTCGGGAGGGGACTGGGGTCCGGCAATGCCCCAGCCATCGATAACAACTGCAAGGTCGCATTAGCCCGGGGTGAATCTGGGGACCTGGGGGACGAGCCGGTCATACTCAAAGCGACTTTGTGGTCGACCGCAGCCATGGTGGGGGTGTATGTGTCGTAATTACACCTAGAACGCGAATCAATTACCGAACTCAAGCAGGGAAACAATTGAGATCGGGTCTTTTTTTTTTGCTTACCTCTAAAACGATAAGGAGAGGAAAGAAAGGGTGAAAGGAGAAGTCTACGAGAACGAAAATTGGCTGTCCGGTGAAGGAGGGGCAGATTCCCGGTGACGCTTTTGGTTGTCTGGCCCCGACGTCACTCCCGTTCCGACTCTTCCCTAAACATTTTACCCCAGCCGGCTTCCAATCGTTTCCTCACGTCCTTGCCGCCAACCTGCTTGCAGATCTACAATGGCTTCCAGATCCCCAACAGCAGCAACGCCGCTGCCCAAGTCGTCGGCTGCGCCCGAGAGCCCGAAAGACGCGTCCGATACCCCAGACACGGTGCCCTTTCCTCCACCCCAGACCTTTGAGATCATCCCTCCCTTGCACGGCATCCTACTTCGCTTGCTATCTCCCAAGCCCGCTCAGGCTGCACCAACCGGTGTCTCTGGAGAGACCGCAGGAGCTCCTGGGGCTTCGGTAGATGCACAGGGACAACATCAGCAAGCGCCTTCGAGCATCCCGGGTGCTGATAACAACAATCCGGCAACTTCGCAAGCTATACCGGAAGTCACTCTACACGATTCCAATGGCGTTCCACCGCTCGACGTTAAAGACCTCCCCACTGCAACCAGCTCGGTCAGAATTCGGATACAAAAAGCGCGGGCGGTAGTGGAAGCTCTTCCAGACGTGGACCGCTCCGTCGAAGAGCAACAGGAAGAAATGACAGAGCTTGAAGATCGCATCTCTCGCCTGCGTTCCGTGATTGCAGACTTTGGAGGCCGAGCTAGGAAGCCTCACGAGGGTCGTCTCGAGATCACAGCGAGCTGAGCGAGCTAAAGCTCCAGGGGAAGAGGCTCTGAAAGAAGGACTCATGGCCGGTCATTAAACAACCAGGTTGCATGATGGCAACAGCTAGTTTGGGTCCCTTTATTTCTTGTTTTCTTTTTTTTGGCGTTAAGGAAAGGAATACCCAAAATGACTTTAGCAATGCATCAATTTACGGCATCTCCGTCTCCATGGGTGTCTGCAACAGCAGGCAGATATCGTGGTTCGGAAACCCAAGAAAAAGAATCGGTGTGATATACTGCTCAAGACGTAGAAAAACAGCCACCTAGTCAACCGTTTTACGAGATGAAATTAGAGTCCAATTGCTTACCCGATCAGGACCCCCAAACCCAATCCGGCCAAAGTCTCCGATATCGTCCAACTTTCGTGCTTTTTCTCGTGGCCTGAGGCACCCGGACGATCCCTCCGCCCCTCCCCCCACCATCCAGCTTTTTTTCTTTCCTCTTCCCCCAACCTCTTATATCTCTCCCTTCATCCCTCTCTCCTTCTTCCTATCCAGTCCTCACAAGGATATTCACATCACTCATAATGTCGACCTACGCCCTTTCCCAGTCCCACAAGGACGTGAGTACTTCCTTAAGCTCCCATCGAGCTCTAGATCACATCATTGACTCATCCCGCAAAACAGCAAATGCACAACTCCCTCAAGGAGTCTGACCCGGAGGTCGCCCAGATCATGGTATGTAATACTCCAATTGTGTTAACCCACGCCGGTCAATGCTATTAGATAAACGATATTCCATCCACGAGTTCTTACTGACGCATGTCTTGTCCTGTAGGCCAACGAGATTCAGCGTCAGCGTGAGTCCGTTGTCCTGATTGCCTCGGAGAACTTCACCTCCCGTGCCGTCTTCGATGCTCTTGGCTCGCCCATGTGCAACAAGTACTCCGAGGGTTACCCCGGTGCTCGTTACTACGGTGGTAACCAGCACATTGATGCCATTGAGATCACCTGCCAGCAGCGTGCTCTCAAGGCCTTCAACCTGGACCCCGCCAAGTGGGGTGTCAACGTCCAGTGCCTTAGCGGCAGCCCTGCCAACCTGCAGGTCTACCAGGCTCTGATGCGTCCCCACGACCGTCTGATGGGTCTTGATCTCCCCCACGGTGGTCACTTGTCTCACGGTTACCAGACCCCCTCCCGCAAGTGAGTCACATATCGATGATGAGGAAAAGTTTTCCTAGAGTCAACAATCTAACCAATGCTATCAGGATCTCCGCTGTCTCCACTTACTTCGAGACCTTCCCCTACCGTGTCAACCTGGAGACCGGTATCATCGACTATGACACCCTCGAGGCCAACGCCGAGATGTACCGCCCCAAGATCCTGGTTGCCGGTACCTCTGCCTACTGCCGTCTGATCGACTACAAGCGCATGCGCCAGATCGCTGACAAGGTCGGTGCCTACCTCGTCGTCGACATGGCCCACATCTCCGGTCTGATTGCCGCTGGCGTCATCCCCTCTCCCTTCGAGTACGCCGACGTTGTCACCACCACCACTCACAAGTCCCTCCGTGGTCCCCGTGGTGCCATGATCTTCTTCCGCAAGGGTGTCCGCAGCACCGACAAGACCGGCAAGGAGATCATGTACGACCTTGAGGGCCCCATCAACTTCTCTGTCTTCCCCGGCCACCAGGGTGGTCCCCACAACCACACCATCACTGCTCTGGCTGTTGCCCTCAAGCAGGTTGATACCCCCGAGTTCAAGCAGTACCAGGAGCTCGTCATCAAGAACGCCAAGGCCCTTGAGAACGAGTTCAAGGCTCTCGGCCACAAGCTCGTGTCTGATGGCACTGACAGCCACATGGTCCTCGTTGACCTGCGCCCCAAGAGCCTGGACGGTGCCCGTGTTGAGGCTGTTCTCGAGCAGATTAACATTGCCTGCAACAAGAACTCCATCCCCGGTGACAAGTCTGCTCTGACCCCCTGCGGTATCCGTATCGGTGCCCCCGCCATGACCTCCCGTGGCATGGGTGAGGAGGACTTCAAGCGCATTGCTGGCTACATTGACCAGTCCATCAACATCTGCAAGAAGGTCCAGAGCGAGCTGCCCAAGGAGGCCAACAAGCTCAAGGACTTCAAGGCCAAGGTTGCCTCCGAGACCGTTCCCGAGATCCTGGAGCTCCGCAAGGAGATCGCCGCCTGGGCCAGCACCTTCCCCCTCCCCGTCTAAGTTAGTCATTTGCCTTTGACTAGCCGGGAGGGGAATGGATTGTTTGGATAAATGAATATGAAAGTTACGAAGAGAGATCTCTAATCAACTTGAGATTCTCGCGAGTTCAACATCATCTACGAAGCGTCGGGAGATGTGAATACCGCAACGGTGCGTTACATGGGGTTTTTATATACAGGTCTGCTTTTTCAACCTTAGGGACATCTGGGATTTTGGTAATTTTTCTGTTTGATTTTGTTTAATGATGAGCATGCGAAACGAGCAATTTCTTCAAACCTCTGCGCTTCTTCAACAGCGAGAGGAAAATGGTTTTCAGGAGAGAGACAAAAGTTCAACATGAATCTGGCGCGTGGGGCCTCTTGATTTTGCTGTACTATTGCTGTACATCACCACTCTTGAAATCAAATACAACCATATACGGTTGATCTACAATTTTTGCCCTCTTTTCCAGGGTATCCATGAAGTATTTTATTCCCTGCCGTCTCTAACTTACACCCTACTATATACTGGAGTTTTATGGTAAGTTCGGAATCTTGACTAAGCTCCAGAATGATCTTGATAACTAGTGATTCTTTTGAAAGAAAGTTAGTTCACTACCTACCTAGATCGAGGGATAATATATGGGCTATCCGGAAAGATATCTCAAAAGACATTCCCAAAGATATACTGATGCTCATGATGGACTAATTATTACCTCGTTGGTGTGTTGATACGGAGGTCTAGATGGGCCACTTCCATGGTTTAGTCAGGCAAGGACCGTCACGTGTAGCTTCCCTCCCTTTGCCAGCTTTTTGGGCCAACTCTCGACAATTCCATCCACTCCAGACATTCTCTTCGCTGCGTTCGTTTTGCCCACACTCATACCTCGTTTCCTGTTCCTTGCGCCGCTGCTTGTTTCACCTCCGTTCAGATCACCTCGATCCTGCTTCGAGCTTGTTTCGGGCAGCACGCAGCCCCACCTCTTTCGCGATAAGACCCCCGCTCTGTGTCTTATCTGGCCGGGCCATTGCGGAGGTCTGATTCAAGAGGCCAGTGGTCGTTCGCGGGGAATCTGATCCAGCACTGCAGTCTGCCCGTCTTTTCCTTGTCTTGACCTTCTCAGTTTTGTGGGAAGCGATCACATCATCCACTCAAGCTCTTACAGACATGGCGAACACTGCCCAGTGCTTTTATTGCTTTGAAAGCCTTTTGGCCTCTTTTGAAGACCGCGAGCCTCCTTCCTTGACTGCTATAGAAACCCTCTGGGAGCAGCATGAGCAATCCAAGAAGCTCTCGCGCCTCGGAGATCAAGATTTGGAGGAGGAGGGAGAGGACGCAGATGTTGACGCGGGGCTAGCTAAGGCTGTAGATGACCTTGACGCTGATGCCGACGCCATACAGTCCTCCAGGACTACTAATCGGCCACATGGCCTGAAACTACCAAGCATTAACCGGCTACAGAGTCAGGTGTCGTCTGACTCGTCCAGCACAGCCACGACTCCTTCTTGTGCATCCAACACTTCTTCGAACTCGACTCTGTCTGGTAGCACGACTGTAACGACTCCAAGTGCACAATCAGAGGGAACAAGCTCAAGGGCCAAATCTGCTGAGCAGCGATATCCGCTGTTTGTGACATGGAATACCGTCTCTCGTGGACACAAGTCTCTACGAGGGTGCATAGGAACATTCGAAGCACAGGACCTCGCAGCGGGACTGAACTCCTATGCGTTGACTTCGTATGTGGTACCACCATTTACACTTTCTAACCTCCCGTCTACGATATCCCATAACTCCGAGCCAAGACTAATATTTTCGGACTTCATAGGGCTTTTGATGATACTCGCTTCTCTCCGATTCCTCAGTCTCTCCTACCCTCACTTTCATGCTCCCTGACCCTCCTGGGTTCATTCGAGCCATGTACCAACGCTATGGACTGGACCCTCGGTACCCACGGCATCCGAATATCTTTCATCCATCGTGGCCGTCGGTACGGTGCCACGTACCTACCCGACGTTGCCGTGGAACAAGAATGGACGAAAGAGGAGACTGTCGAGAGTCTGATGCGCAAAGCAGGCTGGGACGGCGGTGCGGGTGGTGTCGCTCGGCGATTTCTGCGCACTGGGACAAACTCTAGCGGCACCAAGCCTTGGGATCAAGTCTCTGATTTCCGCACAGTTAGGTATCAGGGCCTCAAGGCTAGTGCAAGTTATGAGGAGTGGCAGGAGTGGCGGACGTGGGTGCTTTCGCTAGATGACGGGCGGGAGATTCTGGTATCGGTTTGAGTTTCCTGGTCCGCCAGCACTTCTTTACTACCTCCATATCCCGTGTTTTATAGAGTGCGGGATTGATGACCATAATGACCCTTTTCCTTACGTTTTACTCTTCAAGTGTTGCTGGGCTGGTAGCCAAAGCGGGCTATCTCATGAACTACATTAACGGTGCTCCAACAACTGGCCGATTCCAATGATACACACCAACTACTTCATTAATGAACGACAATCCTGGATGTAGTGCTAAAGACTCCGTCAAGAGCGCTCTCGTAAGCCAGAATTCATCAGTCATTGCATTTGGGTCGTGATATATAGAAATCCCTCAATGAACACCCCTGAAAACAATGATCAGGAAGACAAGACTACCCAGAGCAAAGGCAGCAAAATTGTACCAAAAGAAAAGATATCAAGGCGCTATCCCCCCACTTCATTTCCCATGTCCACGGCTCCACAGTCCAGCAACCATATCCTTGACTCTCCGCTCCTGTTCCCGAATCTGCTCCTCAGTCTGCCCGCGAGCATTTCCGCGACTATCAATCTGCATGGGACTACCGCCCCCAATATTCCCAGTAGCCGTAGCATGACGACTCTCATCAACAACCTCGTGCCCATTCACGCGCTCCGGCTTGGGATCAATACTCATCACCCCGTCCATCATAAACCCGCCACCCTCGCGCAACTTGTTAATAGCGCGCACGGTATCGATAGCGCGGTGCAGGGTACGCCGGGCGTTGAAGTTCTTCTTGACGGTCGGCAGCAGATCCTCGCCGGAGCCGATCTGGGCCAGGTCGTGGGGCGGGTTGACCCAGCTGTGTTGCAGGGCTTCGTGGGCGGTCATTCGCTTTTGTGGGTCGATGGTTAGGCAGCGGCTGATGAAGTTGCGGGCTTCTTGGGAGACGCCGCGCCAGTACTCGATGGGGGTGAAGGAGTAGTCGGCTGCGAGGATGGCTTGCATTTCTTCCAGGTTCGAGTCCCGGTCGAAGGGGGTGTAGCCGCACAGGAGGAAGTAGGTGATCACGCCGATTGCCCAGATATCGCTGGAGATATTAGTTAGGAGGGGGTTTCCGGTAGATGGGAAATGTGTGTCCAGAACTCACACTGGCTTGCCGTGGCCGCTCTTCTTGAAGATCTCCGGGGCCATGTATCCAGGCGTACCGCATGTGGTGGTCAACACGTGGAACTGTTCCTCGTCCATGATACGGGACAGCCCGAAGTCGGCAATCAAAAGGTCCGCATTGTCCTCCGGGGTGCGGAACAGCAAGTTCTCAGGCTTTAGATCACGGTGAACGATCCCGTGGTCATGAAGATAAGCCACGGCCGAGAGGACGGCGCGAATGAGGTCTGCGGCGTCGGACTCGTAGTAGCTGCCCTTGCGACAGATGCGATCAAACAGCTCGCCGCCAAGGGCAAGATCGGTAACCAGATATACTAAACAAAGAAACATCAGTCAGATCTCGGTAACCCTAGTATCTCCTAAGCAGGAGTGCGCAAGGTCTCGTGCCACGAACAGTTATTCATAGTCTCAAAGTAGTCCACCAGCGTAAGGATATTCTGGTGACCCATGGACACCTTCTTCAGCACGGCGATCTCATTCCGAACCTATTCAGTACCCCAGAAAGCGACCGTCAGTTTTGCGCGCAATGCCGCCAAAGCAGATACAGGTCCTCCTACCATGTGTTCGCGCCCCGCCATCAAGCGCTTGTTGATCACCTTTGCCGCATAGTAGCGACCGGTGTCGATGTGCACGCATTCCTTAACGACCGAGTATGAGCCCGCGCCGAGAGTCTTGCCGGTCTTGTAGCGACATGGCTGGACCTGGGGTCTCTGGGGTTGCGCCATTGGAAGTCGAGGTGGAGAGGGTCCGCGGACAAGGATGCGGAGGGGGAATTGTAGGGGCGCACGCGAGACACGGGGCGATCAGGATGAGGGGGGTGAATACGAGGCGAGAAGAATTGTCAAGAGCAAGGCTGGAGGAGAGAGGGTGTTATTATGTACCTGCGAGTCATGGTAAAGTCAGCCTCATGTCTCACGTCGAGGTGCCAACCAGCCAAGCGGTTCTGCCCCGCTAAGGGTGTGGACAGGGATCATTAACCCACAGCTCTAGACAGTCCTCAATTATACACTCCGCGGTCGCAGATATTGAGTGGGTACGATGATGCTCCACCAGGGAATTTCAAAGCTGAAGAAGGTGGGTGTGGTTAAGGGAGGAAAGGGAGGAAAGGAGAAGGAGAGGATTGGAAGAAAGAGAGTTGGATTGATCGCGGGGATCGACGAGGATCGCCAACGGCTCCGATTATTTACAACTTTGGCCCAACTCCGACAAGTCCATGCAAAAAACCATGTCAAAACGCCCAGAATACACCTCCATGGAGATCAAAAGACATGCAAAATAATAAGGCTTAAAAGATAAAAAGTCAGCCACCCATTAATCTTCCTACAGGCGAGCCAGCACCTCCTCCACCACACCCTCCAACAGTTGCAAGCTGTGGAATTTGGCAGCACTCTGCAACACGCGGAGTTTCTTCTCGGTCTCCTTGAGATCAACCGTCGTAGCCCATTTGCCACTGCAGGAACAGTGCTCCATAAACTCGCTGACCTTGAGCGTGCTGCATTTGGAGCACTTCAGGTCCTGCGTCTGCCATTCGACAACCAGGCCATGCACCTGGCCAATGAGGATTTCTTCCTGCGCCAGTCGATCATATTCCGTCTGGCAGAAGGGACAGCGCCACGGCTTGGGACCTTTGCTGTTGTCCGTGCCCGGGTCGGGAAGGACGTCTTCGTCGCGGCACAGGTCTAGATCACGGATGAGACAGCAAGCGTTGCAGGTAAGCTCGGGCAGTTTCAGGTTCGCACTAGGGTTCTCAAAGCGACCCTCTTTACTGAATTCGCGAACTTCGAAGAGAGCCAGCAGCTCGCGGCGCAGCAGCCGAGACTCAAGTGTGGTGGTCTTGGATAGACTCAGCACCTGCATGAGCAGCTTGACAAGCTCCAGAGCTGGGTTACGCTTGTCTCCCTTGGGATCGACGAGCACACCGGGAAGGACGGGGAAGGCATAGTCGGAGGCGAGCTCGGGATGGAGCAGCTCATCACGTTGACGACGGATAAGACCGGAGATTTGTTTCTTCAAAGGCTTTGAGAATCGCTCCGCGAGAATGGCAGTGAGGCCTTCGTCATCAACATCATTGGGTTTCCCAATGGGGATCTGGGTCAGGCGAGGCGTGGAGGATATTTCATTCTCCTGGAGATCCGGATGCTTAGCTGAATGCATCAGCTCGATGTACTCGACCACCCAGTCATGGAAGATGGTCTGCATAGGCGTCGGCAAAAATCGACTGAGCTGCCAGTGCATCACTGTCTCCAGCTCTTGCTTTTCGGCTTCGACCACCTCTCGGCACCCTTTACCACCGTAATTGTACTCATCGTACCAGACAAGGTAATCCCAGTACTCCTTGATATCCAGATCGATGAAGTGGAACGAGGGATTGGCTCGGATGGACTTCAAGACGTATTGACTGTAGGCGTAGGCATTGCCCACCTCCGTCTTGGTTGTCTGGAGTAGAAGACGAGTCGGGCTGGCGAAGATGACATTGGAGCCAACTCGTCTGAACTCGGCCATCAATCGCTGGAACGATTTGCGCGAGAGCAGCCGGACATAGTTGTGCAAAGACCGATCGTAGAGGCAGGAAACAGGGCTCTCTACCCATCGAATCAAATGTTGGACCATAATGTCGGCCATGCTGTTGCCCGCACAAGCTTCAGTCCACCAGTTCTTGACCATCTCGCGCAGCACCAAAGCGCCAGCAGACGCAAACGCCTTCTCAGAGTACAAAACGCCAGAGTCGTCCCCTCCATTCCCAGAAGGTGCTAGCAATGAATCGTTTCCTTCCATCTCATTGACGATGGAAGAAGTAAGAATGGTGTTGATAGCGAGGTTGCGCACATCCAGTTCGATACACACCGTTGAGTAAGCACTCGGTGTATTCACGGAAGGCATGGTGACTTTCTCCAGTGGGCCGACGATGTCATCCTTTTCAAAGCCAGCATGGTCTGGCCGGGGTCCGTTCGACCACCAGAGGACAACGTTACTCTGCTGGAGGCGTCGGGCATATGCAACATCAATGAGGAACCGAGGATCATCGGTCTCCAGGTTACAAAGTGGAACGTCACCGTATCGTGCGAGCAGGGTCAAGTGCTGAACCCAGGCTGCCAGGTACAGATAGTGTGTCACAATACGCCGGGCGATGAACGCCTGCCACCCAAGTGGTGGGAGATCCATATCTGAAACTTCGGGCTTCACAGACAAAGTCGGATACTCCTTCAAAATCGGGATGTCATGGCATAAGCGATCCTTTTGTTGAGACTGAATGACCAAAATGGCAGGTTGGGCCTCGTCGCTACGAAGCTTACGGACCAAATCGCCAACTTCGAGGTGAGCCTTTCGTCGAGTCATCACCTGGATAGTCTTGAAATGAATCTTGTCCTGGTACTCGAATGCATTCTGCGATTCATCACTTGAAGCATCCTGCAATTTCCGCGACAGCAACTCCGAGTAGATTTTGTCAACATTCGGCAAACCCTGCACATCTCTCGTACGGTTGAGAATGACAATATGCGCCTCTTTCTTGGTTGTCGAAAAAAGAGCAAAGATTTGTCGATCACCAGAAGCGACGTGATAGAGGTAATGGTACGCTAGAGGAGAATCCATGAGATACGGCTGGTCTGAAGTGGTGTGGAGCAGCGTGGCGAGATCAAATCCTTTCTCCAGCCCATCACCAAGGACACCACGCTGTTCTTCATCAAAGGTACAGTGGCTTCCCAACTTGAGCACTGCTCGAAGACTGGGGGTGATGTTCCGCTCGTAGACACCTTCAATACTTGGGTGCTGGAACAGAGCATCCATTTTGTCTGATTCATCGAGGAATTTATCCTCTGACAATGACAGCTTGAAGAGATGGACCGACGGATGTCCATTGGGCAGGGTGTGGTTCACCTTCTCGACCTCGCAATCTGGCACCTCAATGTCCGGCAAGGAATCGCGCTGCAAGTTCACGAAGAACTGTCGGGGAACCTTGACGTTGAGAGCGTGGATCTTCTGGTCAATAAGCACAAAGGCTCGTACAATGCCCGGTCGGCCTGTCTCGCATAGTTGAAGGACCTGCCAAGTACTGATGTAGAGCATCTGAGCCTGGTTTCGGAAGAAACCGCTCAAGCCATCTGTTGCAACATTGGTACGCTCGCCGAACAGTTGGCGGCGACGAATACGAGCTTGTTTCTGAATCTTCCACTTCTGTTTCTGGTACTTGATGAAGCCTTGGTAGTCTTCTGTAATCGAAGGCATCACTGCCGGTAGACTAGCAAACGGATCAAGGGCTGTCTTGGTGATACCCTCTGGGTGCTTTCGTTTCTGAGCCACCTTGCCGTCGGGAGAGGACTTGAGTTTTTGTGTCGAATGCGCAATGACTTCGTCCATGTCACCCGCATGTTGAACACGATGGTCCAGGATGTTTGTGGATATCGTGGAAAGCGGAGCCTTTTCAGACTTCTCGAATAGATCAGTCATCTTCTTCTGTTTGAACTTGTCATCCTTCTGGTTGATTCGACGCTGCAACCAATCCGGGTGAGCGACACGAGGCACAGGATTCCTCAGCTTCTGAAGAGCGGCTGGAATGGTGATGAGCTTCTGAACGACGGATCCAAGACGCTCCAGGTAGTAGTCCCAGTCAATGATAGACCGAGGGTCCATATCACCGGGGTCGTCCTTCAGCCATTTGCGCAGGAAGAAGCGCTTGACACTCTCTTCGGCGGAGAAGATAGTGACGGGAATCGCTCTCTCGGTAACGGGTGTGTTTCTTGGCCTCGAAGAGATAATGTACTTGCAGTTCAGGCCTTTGTCCTTGACCATCTGCTCGCCTAAGAACTCTGCCAGACGTCTCGCAGTGGTAATGGACGTGGACTTTTGGTTACCATACTCCTCGAGGGTCTTTGTCATGCTGCGATTCTCTGAAATTAGGTCGATCAGCTCTTCATCCGCTAATGTGGCTCCATGCTCATAAAGCACATCCAACCATCGGTCGGCAACTCGGGCTACTGCAGCATACGTCTCCGCGAGGTTGCTTCCTTCCAGGAAGAACTTGAAGATTTGAGTTTGGAAGATCTTGATCAACTTCAGCTCTCCTCTTCGCTTGACCTCGAAACCCTTCAACTCGGCCAAAGACCCGTCGTGGTTGAATACGGCGTATCGTTTCTTCAAGTTCTTGTCTTCCTCTTTCGACGTTGGCAGGATCATTGCCCGATAAGGTCCATCGACCTCGAAGAAAATGGAGTTCTCGCTGTAGGTGTCGTACTTGTAAGTGGATGGATCGACAAGAGCCTGGTACTGATGGTTCGTGTATCGAGCATGAACGAGATGGTTAAGCATGACACAAGGATATGAGATACCCAGTTTCTTGCCGTTCTTCAGAGTGAAGGTAAAGTTCTCTGGGAAGGTGCCAGGCAACATACACCAGATACCATCAGTATCCAACTCCAGCGGACGACCGATGCGTTCGACGAGCTCTCGCGCCATCTGAATGATGTGGGCACCCGTCAGACAAGTGACGCCAGCCATTTCCATGGAATACCATCGAGAACCCTTTCGCATGACATAGCCGTAGAAACTGTTCAGAATGACTTTGTGGGCAAGTTGCAGCGAATCAAAGAGAACGATCATCTTCTTCGCCTCGTCGATCTCAGCTGCAGAAGCACCGGATGATTGCAGTGACTCGGTCTTGTTCTTCCAGACCTTCTGCTTGCCCTTGAAGTCGTATCGTCGGTCACGGAAGCTTCGCACGGTATCGACATAGAATGGGTTTTCTCTCTGGCAAATAATTGCCTCTCGGACGATGGTCTTGCTGTCATGGATCTTGTGGTAGATCTTCTTGCTGTAGTCTTGGAGGCGTTTCTTCACAACACCGGCTTGTTCCTCGATGCTGAGATCAGCGAATGATCGCAACAGCCCATTCTTTCTCTGGCTGGGGAATCGTTCATTAGTGGTCGCCCGTCGAATCATGTTGTACTCATCACGCTTTGCGGGCAAGAATTCACCACGCCAAGCCCAAGGCATACGTCTGTCGCAAGTCTTTCCGGGGCGATTGAAGTCGCAAGCAGCACAGTCTGATTCATCAATCATGGAGTCGGGCTGTAGACGATTGGTGATCATGATGTTCGGGTACATAGAGGCAACATCCAAGTGGTAGATGAAGGGAACCTCGTTGCGGCTCGGGTTGTTTTTCAGGTTAAGCAGTTTCTCGGCAATCTGAGCCTTCACTTCGTCAAAATTGACAACGTCGTCCAGGGACTTTTTCTCTTCAACTTCGATACTGAACTTGAGAGCATGGTCCAAATCGCGAAGGAGCTCGTCGATTGCCTTGGGGTCAACATTGAATCCTGTGGGAATGTCACTGCGGAAGACACCAGCTTCGATACTTTCGACGTGGCCACCAACGTAGGTCTGCGACTCGAGCAAATGGCCTTCGTAGAAAGCCTCTGGTGGATCCTTGTGTTTGTTGGGCAGGACAATCTCACCCTTGTAGGCTTCGACCATGAGCAGCATCTCGCACAGAGTTCCAGTTCCCTTGCGCAGGGTATCGTCGGGGCTGAGCGGAATAATGGTGCACAGAGAGAAGATGAAGGGATGCACATATTTCATGTACAGATAGTACGTGGCAACGGCATCGGAAACGGAGTACTCGGCCAAAGTTTGGGGGCGTTCACTCGCATAAGGCGTCATCAGTTCAGGATCAAGCTCGTCGGGGTCATAGCCAAGCTTAGCGACGGTCACGGCTTTTAGACCACGACTTCCTTGAGGGAGGTAACTGTCACGGCTGACCCATGCGAAACAGTCCATGTGGACACAGTTGTCGCTTTGGTAGATGTCCTCGCTGTTCTTGCGGAAGCCAATCTCCATGTACATATCAATTCCCTGGACGCTTGCTCTCGCTTCCACGAATGGCCAATCGAAGAAGTCACCGTTGTACGTGGCAATGACTGTTGGCTTGGCGATCTTGATATGCTCGAAGAATCGCTCGATGACAGCTCTCTCGTTGGGCTCGTTGAAAATGATGAAAGGTCCATTATACTCCGGCTTTGGGGTGTACTCGAAGTCGTTGATGTCCTCAGACACAATCTCTCGGTTGGTGATCAGGAATCCTTGCCCGTCAATCATGTACGAAATCATCATGATCTGATCAATCACCGCGTCGGGGAACTTGAGAGGAAGTTTCGTCGTCTCAATATCGAAGGCCAGGACAACAGGATCGGCACGCTGGAGTCGTTCTTCCAGACATTTCAAAGATATCACGCCGTGTTTAGCCTCCACATCATACCATTTTCCAATTCGGATATCTAAAAGATGAGATGTCAGCAGGGGTCGCACATCGTGAAAGACCAAAATACAATCACATACCCTTGTCAATCGAGACTCGGACATGGTACGGAACGTCGTACTCTCGAATATCAACAATAAAATCACTCGCTTGCACATTGCCATTAGGTCGTTGCTCATTAATTATTTCGTCGTCAAAAAGGTCGAAGCCAGTTGTGGCACTATTGAGGATACCGTCAGCACAGTCGCAACACACAAAGTCATGGTAGAAACCAACCTGGTCATTTCGACGTATGCATCCATCACATTTGCATTTTTCTTGTTCTTCTCTGCCAAAGGAAGCAGAGTACGGCGGACCTCGAGCAGATTGGGCACATTGGCAAAGTTCAATCTGATGAATGTCCTCCGGTGTCCAAGCAAGTGGTTCGGAAGGTTCAGGTCTTCTTTTTCCAGGCGTTTGAAACTCTTGATCAAGCCCTCGAAGGCTCTCCGACACCACTCTTCCACTTCCATCTCATGGCCTTTCTTAACCGCAATCAGGAAGTAGGGATCATATTCCACCGTAGCCTTGAAACTCCCGCCGTCGTCTTGGAGGAAATAGTAGTCGACACCTGCACGACCGCCCGCTACATTTGGATCTTGTATCGTGGTGCTGTGCATGTTGATGAGCCAACCGGCTCTCGTCTCGCCGGACTCGAACCGCGGAAAACCCAGGGATTCATCGATGCTGTTGGCCAACCGAATGGCCTCGAATTTCTCATCTTGAGAGGTTGCTTCGCTGGAGCGGAGGGATCCGAATTCGACCGTTTTCGTTCGTCGAGGATTTGAAGATGCCGCGCTGGATCGGAACTTGTTCCCAAACTTGCTGGGTTTGCGCGAAGGCATTGCGACACTGGCGCCCAGCCGGGCTTTTCAAAGTAGGGTTGGCGACAGAGGGTGCTGTTCAGAACATGAAATTGGCGAGATGGTGGGAATTGGCAGAAACTGGTTGTGAGAAAGACGCGGGATGATGTAGAGGTGGTGAAATGTTAAGGCCAATGCCTGTCCAAGGGCGTAGTAATGACCTGCAATCTGCCTCAATCCAGTTGATCGCAATCGCTTTTCTCGACGCGACCGCGTATCTGCACGTCCCCGGCACGCGTAAGGGTTAGTCAGCCCCTCGTCCGGAATAACTATCTATACCGGGATTTGGCGGAACATATGATGATCCGTCTGTATTGCTCTGGTTATCAGCATTTTGGCCCGCCGAGCTGCTCGCCGATCGAAGAGAGCGCAAGTCGCCAAGTTTCACAAATATGGTTGAGGACTCTCGAGAGCCCAGTTCCTCACAGGAGCCTGGCAGCCATCTCCCCGCCAGCATCCCGAATACCGACCCGAAAAAGCCAAAGCATGACTTCCCGCAATCGCAAGTTGGAAAGTTATGGGATGCCTTTGGCAACCCCGAAGAACCCGTGAACGCCCTCGCCAATGCATCGTACAAGCCCCGGGGTAAAGACCCGAAGGATGTCTCATACTCCGATGTTGTCGGCACAGTATCCATGTCCGAAATCTCATCATTCTACAAAGCACCATGCGCACGTGAATCTCTTTTGACTGGAATTGGTGCTGGATTTGGAATCGGTGGTGTACGAGCTGTCTTTGGAGGTATGTCCATTCTTTCAAGCACTCGAAAGTGAATTGTATAGCTAACCTCCATAGGAATGCGTTCATTATGGTCCGCCGGAAATTGGGCGGTTGGAGTGTTCGCAGTCACCTCTCTAGGAGCATACGAGTTCTGCCGACGACGCCGGATCCAAGAACTGCACGGCATGAAAGAAGCCGTCGAACTTATGAAGGAACTGAAGGAGAAGAAACAACGGGACAAGGAACGAGCCGCTGCAGAGGCGGCCCGGAGGGCAGAGGAGGAAAGGCAGAAAAAGAGTTGGACAAACCTCTCCAACTACAAGTTCTGGTAGTGTTGCTCTTTCAAGAGTCGGAGTCCCGGTGTTTGTACGATATATCCCAAGCTGTATATTCCAAAATCATATGCTATGGTGATTGGCGTCATGTCATAAGTCATATCTGTGTATCATAGCGCCCAAATGTTTCATGTTATTATTCAAATGAATCCCCATCTTGCTCCGGTACACCTACACGCAAATGCTCCTTGAAAATGCCAAATGAATCCTGAATAGTAGCGGGCAGTAGTTGTTCAGCGTCTGTCTTGGACATCGAACTTGACTCGCTTCTGGATAGCCCCTTCGTGTATGCTGTGGAGTCTGTCCTTTCCGGAGCTTTCATTCCTTCTTTCTCGTCGCTTCTCACGAGCTTCACGTGCCTCGCGGGACTTCCATTCGGCAACTTGCCGTTGTCGTTTCTGAGAACGTGCCCACGCCATGGCCGCTGTTGGTTTGAACCCCACGCCATTGATCCCATAGCCATCGTCGGTTGGATCAGTCGGGTTATGTCCCGTAATCTCGTGGTCATGCCATGTGAACGGATCATCCAGAGGGACGTCAGAGGGTGGAGGAGATAATCGCTGCTTGCTGCCTTTGGATGGTGATGCGAGATCACTTTTCCTCTGTGGCGAGGGATTCGATCTCTTTTTTGAGGGTGTCGAAATAGGTGTGACAAGGACATTGTCTGGACTGTGAACTGTTGCCGAATGGGAACCCGTATGCTGGCTTTGAGCATTGCTCGGCTCGCCGGTAAGAGCTTCCGAGGGTTCAGCCATGCTCAGAGAGCCCTGATCGTGGCTGTTGGAGATACATGCTGTCTTCTCCGGCTGTAGTGTGTATGGCCGCTGGATGTCGCGATTTGACGCTCTACGTTCTGGGAATCGGTCCCCATGAATGGCCAATTCCTTGAAGCGTCCCGCGACAGCTGCGCGAGGGCTATGTCTCCCCGGCTCGCTCTCCTCACGGATACGAATTTCTTGTAGACTGGCAACAGATACCGTGGATGTTGGCGACGCAGACGGGCTATAGTAATCCGACTCGGAAGGTTCTCGTTTGCGCTTAGGCGAGAAATATCTCGGGGGGTCCGTCGTCATCATCGTGGGGCTGAGCTGGGTAGGTGTTAGGGCGCCGAAGCCGATCATCCTAAAGATCGCATTCAGAAAGTATGGTGTAGTGCGAACCCCGGTCACCATTCAGCAAGGACGGGGGGCATGGTGCAGCAATCCCCGTAGGTGCGGAGATCAAAGTGAGGGGCAGGTCACTGGACGTTCGGGTGAGAGTTGATTTTCCGGGGGGCCCATCGGTGCCTTCATATTGGGCAACCCCCTTCGTTCACGGCCCCGACAGAAACGACCCGGCCTATTAGGAGCCTCGATTGGGAGATAGCGGTCAAAGTCACTCTACCTAAGCAGCTGATTAGGTCTGGTCTTGTCTAGCTATCGTAATAATCACGATCTGATAGCGAAAATTCCCAGTTTTAGTCTTGGAGGGAGACCGTCCATTGTGGCTATGCGGATAATGCTGTACTAGTTCTAGCCCCTTGTAGGACAAATGAGGGCAATATCCATACCGAACACCTACAATAGGTAGCTACGTAGGACTAGGGCTCTATCATATAGATTGTTGATTGGAGTTGGAAAGCTGAAAACATGGTAACACGAGATAGAGCAAAATCTTATTGCCGCAAAGGGCCGAAATCGAATAATTTACATATCCCCGAGCCCATCGAGTCGTGAACAAGATTGAGAAACATGAAATGAAAAGAAGAACCCAACGCCATGACAAAGACTCCCAGTACCAAAACAAAGCGCTTTTATGCCTTTTGCTTCTTCTTCGAAGGCTCAGCATCGGTGTCGTGCTTGCGCTTCTTCTTCTTCTCGGACTCGCCCTCGCCAACGTCGGACTTGCGCTTCTTCTTCTTGTCGCTCTTCTCGCTCTTGTCCTTCTTTTCCTTCTTCTCCTTCTTGTCTTTCTTCTCCTTCTTCTCCTTGACGTCGGCGTCCTCCATCTCGGCATCGCTGTCATCAACGTCAACGTCGATGCCAGCCAGCACGGCATCCATAGCGGATTTCTATTAAGTTCACGTCAGTAAGATGTTGATTGTGAGGTAAGAGACTTATTGTTGACATACCATGGCAACCTCGTTCTTGGTGGGGGCAGCACCAGTTGAGTAGAACTCCAGGCGCTCCTCAACCTGCTGCTTCAGAACCTCACCGAACTTGGTGGTGGGGGCCTCGGAGAAGTTATCGATACGAGAAGCGATCGAGCACTTGTTGGCAAGGAAGCGGGAAATGCGACCCTTGTTCTTGGGTCCAGCACGGCCAATGAAGGAAGAGTGGTACAGCAGACCATACTTGGGGGTGTTACCCTTGGTCTTCAAGGCACGGAACAGAGCCTTCTCGGCACCGAGAATCTGGACGGTAGAGGCAGGGTACTTGGACAGGTTGGTCAAGCTGCCGGCGTGGGAAATCAGGCGAGCGCCAACGATCTCACCGATCAGCGCGGCAAGGTTAGGAGCAACAACGCTCATCTTGGAGACCAGGTACTGGTAAAGAGACTTGCGGTACTTGGCGATGCTAACAACCCGCTCGGCGAAGGCAATAACGTTCTCCATGTCAGAATCGGAGATATCCTGACCCATACTGCGCTTGGCAGCATCAATGATGCTTTGGGCAACACCCTTGTCATCCTCCACGAGGGCGGCCAGATCATGCAGGCTGTCATCATTCAGGCTCTTCTTATCCTTGACGAAGAGAGCAATCTGCGCATAGCGCTGGTTGTCGGAGACGATCTTGACCAGCTCGGGGAAGTGCCAGGAGTACCATTCGCGAACACGCATGGAGAAAGTGTTGATAGCCTTGTCAAGCTGATCCAGGATAGCAATGGCCTGGATGATGTGGTTGTCGTCACGCTGGACGGAGAACTTGACCTTGGCACGAGAGTAGGCGTGACCGAGACCGAGCTGAGCGGTGTCCATATCACCCTCGCGGAGCTGGCTCAGCAGCTTGGCGAAGTGCAGGCGAATACCACGGAGGAGGTCCTGAACAACCTCGCTAGTGTCGCCGGTCTCGCAGTCGACAAAATCGAAGGCGGACTTGATGCTACCAGCGAGACCCTTGTCGAGCAGACCGAGGACGACCTTCTTCTTCTTGCTCGGCTTGGGGAGATTGAGATCAAGGAATGAAACGAGGGTCTCGGAGGCGACACCTTCGGAAACGTCGTTGATTTCACCGAGAGCCTGCTTGTTGTTTCTAGGGAACATTAGCGAGGACTCCTATGATGAAGACCCATGAAAACTTCATATCTGAATATTAAAGACATACTCAAAGGGCAGGAAACTGGCAAGGTTAACCATCTTGCCGAACTTGGCGAGGTCGTTAACACCGGCCTGGACTTCCTTCAGGCGGTTGCCAACGGCGTCACCCTGGAGAGCGACCTTGAAAAGCGAGTAGCCCATAGGGCTCTCGAAGAGCAGATAATCGGCCATGGCGCTGATCTGGGAGCCAAATCAAATCGCAGAGGTGGCCAAAATAGAATTGTTACGGCAGAAACCCGAAAACAACACACAACGAATGAGTCGGCGGGTTGCTGATGGCGGACGTTCAAAAGGGCGGGAGACGGGCAAAAGTTGAAGAAATCGAGAAAGCTCTTTTTTTTCGCCGCTAGTGCGAATCCGTGAATGTGGGCTTTTTGCCCAAAATCATCTCACCGCCTTTGCCATCCATCGCGGGCATCCAAACTCCTGTGTGTTGCTCGTTGCTAGCTGCCTTACCTATCCCATTACGATTTTTCTCTTGGGCTAAGCTCCCGGTCATTCATTTTCACCGCAGATATGTCTGCGACCCAGCTGCTTAACCCCAAGGCCGAGTCCCGGGTATGGAATGCCACTCCCCTGTACGACCCCTCCGTGGCCCGCACTAACATTTCATTTAGCGACGTGGAGAGGCGTTGAAGGTCAACATCAGCGCTGGAGAGGGTCTCCAGGATGTCCTCAAGTCGAACTTGGGTCCCTCGGGAACCCTGAAGATGTGAGTCCCGAAATCTACCCATGGATGGTTGTGGCATAGCTAACAAAACCCCCAGGCTGGTGGATGGTGCCGGCGGAGTATGCAATATGCCCCCTTTACCCTTGAAATGCTCCAGAGCAGGCCATTTAATTCGGTGTTGCTATAACAGATCAAATTGACCAAGGACGGAAATGTTTTGTTGCGTGAAATGGTCAGTCTTGAAGCCCGAACGGTCTCATTGAACCAAAAGCCAAGTGCTAACAATTCAACAGCAAATTCAAAACCCCACGGCCGTAAGACAAGACTCCAACTGGCATCGACTCGGTTCCTCGCTGATAATAATGAAAGGTTATGATTGCTCGTGCGGCAACTGCCCAGGACGACATCACGGGTGATGGTACGACATCGGTCGTTCTCTCGGTTGGAGAGCTCCTGAAGCAGGCAGACCGCCACATCTCCGAGGGTCTTCACCCCCGTGTGATCACCGACGGCTACGAGATTGCGAAGACTGAGGCTTTGAAGGTATGGAATGAATACAAGATTGCTTGCCGGTGGCTAGTCTGACAATATCTGCAGTTCCTCGACAACTTCAAGCTTGAGCGAACCATTGACCGCGAGCTCCTCCTCTCCGTCGCTCGCACATCTCTTTCCACCAAGTTGAACAATGCCCTCGCCGAGAAGCTCACCCCCGATATTGTCGATGCCGTCCTTGCTATCCACCGTGCCCCCGAGAAGCCCGACTTGCACATGATTGAGATTATGACCATGCAGCACCGCACATCATCCGATACCCAGCTGATCCGTGGTCTGGCTCTGGACCACGGTGCTCGTCACCCCGATATGCCGAAGCGTGTGGAGAACGCCTTCATCTTGACGCTCAATGTCAGTCTGGAGTACGAGAAGTCCGAGATTAACTCTGGCTTCTATTACTCTAGCGCTGAGCAGAGAGACAAGTTGGTGGAGAGCGAGCGCAAGTTCGTTGATGCGAAGCTGCAGAAGATTGTGGATCTCAAGAAGCAAGTTTGCGGCAACGACCCCAAGAAGGGTTTCGTTGTGATCAACCAGAAGGGTATCGATCCCCTGAGCCTGGATATCCTCGTCAAGAACGGCATCATGGCTCTGCGGAGAGCTAAGCGGAGAAACATGGAGCGTCTGCAGCTGGTTTGCGGTGGTGTCGCCCAGAACAGTGTTGAGGATATGACGCCCGATGTCCTCGGATGGGCCGGCCTGGTCTACGAGCACCAGCTCGGTGAGGAGAAGTACACCTTCGTCGAGGAGGTCAAGGACCCCAAGTCCGTGACCATCCTTATCAAGGGCCCCAACGCCCACACTATTGCTCAGGTCAAGGACGCCGTCCGTGACGGTCTCCGGTCCGTTTACAACACGATCGTCGACGGCTGCGTGATTCCCGGAGCTGGTGCTTTCCAGGTCGCCTGCGCCCAACACTTGAAATCCGACAGCTTCACCAAGACCGTGAAGGGCAAGGCCAAGTGGGGTGTTGAGGCTTTCGCCGATGCTCTTTTGATTATTCCCAAGACCCTCGCCGCCAACTCTGGCCACGATGTCCAGGATTCCCTGGCCGCGATGCAGGATGAGGGTAAGGATGGTGTTGTCGTCGGATTGGACCTGAACACTGGTCTTCCGATGGACCCCGTCCAAGCCGGTGTCTTCGACTCTTACCGTGTTCTGCGGAACTGCGTTGCCTCCAGCACTGGTATCGCATCTAACCTTCTCCTCTGCGACGAGCTCCTGAAGGCTCGGCAGATGAGCAAGTCGAGTGGTCCCGGTGGTATGGAAGAGTAATGCGCCTTTTTTTGACGATGGCGGTTTCATGTAAACAATTAGATGATCTTGGTACCGGATACTTTTGATGCCTTTTAAGGGTCCAGTCCTCTCAAAAAGAAATGCACACATTAATTGCACAACAATTATCAATGACCGAGTAAGCAGATAGTTATGATTTAGAGACGTATACATCCAAAAGTAAGGGTCGGCCGAGAGTGGTGGAAGGTCTTCTTGTCGACTTTCGACGGGTATTTAGTCTTAGGAACGCAGGCATTTGCACCGGCAACTGGAATCGCACAGGACCTTTAGCTCTTTATACATTATGCTATCATTACTGTCGTAACTCGGTAAAGAAAATTCACTATCGTACATAGTCTCCTGAATGGCCAAGTGAGACGGAATTAATCCTCCTCCGAGGCATTATCGCTTCCTTCAGAAACAGCCACAGAAGGATACCCTGCGACGAATCCGTCATCTCTGACCGGATCTTCGAGCGAAAGGTGATGAGTCTTTGCCCATTCCCAGATATCGGCCTTCTGTATGACAATCTTCGGGCTCTCCTTTGGTTCATCATCGCCCATCAAACGACTCAGTTTGCGCTTTTTAGGGGTTATATCAGGTCGAATCACGCCCATGCTTTTCACGGCCGTGATCACGTCTTCAGTCAGCATTCCTGTGGCTTGGCCAATCTCCTCGACAGTCATGTACTCCCGAGGGGGCTTTTTCCGGGAGGCTTTCGAGGGAGACGCTTTTGCGGGTTTCTGATGCCCAGCCTCGGATTTGCCATCCCCTCGCTTGCCACACAGCATGTATCGCGCAATCCGCTCAGCCCAGAAGCGATTGTAGCTTTTTTGGCCCAGATCACTGAGAGGTTTCTCTGGCCCTCCTATGTATCCACCAGCATATTCCCATCCGCTGAGCTTATAGCTCACGCCCATCAGGAGCTTTCCAAGTTGCCTATGCTGATATGGCGGGAAGACACAGATGCATGCGAGATTGTTCGAGTCCCAGGAAAGCTTTTCTTTCGAGAAAAAGCCCAGGACATGGTAGTTGTTGGAGTTGTCCGGGTCGGTAAAGGTGAGTATGTAGTAGAGGAAGGTAGCAACATCGAAGAAAACCGTTTTATGATCAAGAAAGAGTTTGGCGAAAAGAGACAGGTTTTGTCCAAAGAGCTTGTGGTCCTCGCCGTCTACCTCCCATACCGCGTACCCGCCATGTTCGTATACCTTGGTGCCAGGCGGCGTTGCGCGATGGACGCAGGCCCGAGTGTGCTCCGCAAATGCAACTTTGTCGCAGGAGTATCGGAAGCACCAGCGACAGACGTAGAGGTATTCGGCATCTTTGGCGACCAGATCCTCGGGGTAAATCGACTGGTACCACGGCTTGAATAGCAAGTCTCCAAGCACGACATTTTTCACGTTGCGATCGCCCGGACTTTGCAGGCTTGAGGAAGATTTTCCAGCGGCCATTGATGCTCTTTCAATATTCAAGAGTTCGCTGGTCGTTTCGGTCGCTTAGGTGTCAAGAGTTGTCGTGTTGAATGCGATACGCACTGGACCAGCCATTGACATTGCCGCGAGGGAAGGAAAAACCGGTCGAGGTGTTCTGATGAAAGGACTGAGGGTTGGTTGGTCGGTCCTACATGAAGGGTAAATAATTGGTCGGTGAACTATCCGGAAATCGAGGCAGTTGCGGCAATAAATGTGCTCCAAAAGCCCCCCTTCACGACGATCTGCCAAAAACGTCCTGACTCAGCCGCAGCTATCAGGTGATCCGGGCGGGGAGAGCTCTCTATCTTATCCACTGTTGCCTGGAAGATTCACAGTGAGATCATCCCCCAACTCATTTCCTTGCATTCGAAGAGCCCTTACAAAAGGGATCCTAGATATTTGCAGGCAACAGCCATACGTTTCTCATGATATTTAGCACACCTCTCCTATCTTGTGGGGTTTAAGATCGCCCTGAAGCCATCTGACCTCACGCTTCTCGCGTCTACAGTACATTAGTTTACCCGTGCAAAGCCCCCACCCGCTCGCTGGTCCTAAGCTCAAGGGATCCCAGCATCCACTTTTCAAGATGTTGAAGCCTTTCCAAATCAGAAATCTTCGTGAATCCTCATCTGGAGATCTCGAGGATGTTTCACGTCGACCCTCCGGTCCTCATGGGGTTGTGCGTGTCTCGGCCGCCGATTACGACGATATTGCCTTGAACCACCCTCGAGCAAGACTCACCTACTTGGATGAAGACGATGGGGATCAGATTACAGTAAGGCCCACCTCAAAAGAGTTTCCAAGTAATCACAAAGCAGCTAACTCCTTAATGTAGGTCGGCTCTTCTCTCGAGCTATCTCAACGCTTAGATGAGCCTCTGGACATCGACACGCGGCTTGACAACGTCCAGCTTTCTCAAGACGAAATGGTCCCCATGCACATATTCGATATTCGTCGATCCAACTCGGTGACCGAGTTATGGAAACAGTTTGAGAGGGACACTGATGCCATCCGATCTCAGCAGATTATCACCGAAGCTGCTGTTGAGACAGAAGCTGCACCCGATGAACATGAGCATAAAGAAGAACCAACTTCACATGATGGTACTACTACGTCTGCCCCTGAGACTGAAAACCAACCGTTTATGGCAGCATTTGAAGCCGAGTTGGCCAGTCTCCTCAATTCTGCCGAGAATCCTGGTCAAAGGGCTACGCAACCAGAAGCATCAACTGCAGCCGAACCCTCATCATCGGGCACTAGCTCACAGAGAGCACATCATCCATTGGAAGTTGTTGCGGCCACATTCCTGTACCATTTGGTCAATGGTGCCAACTCAGTACAGTCTGAATTGAGAAGTAGGCTGCCAGAGTTGCAAGAGCAGCTCCGAAATGCTCAGAGAACAGTCCCAGAGAACGTACGAACGTCGCTTCAGAGCCTGCTCGCCACGATCGAAGCTCACATGCGGACTGCCTTCCAGAACTTGCCTGATAACGGAAGGCAATTTGCGGAAGATGCCATCAATGCCGGGCGTCCCGTTGCTGAGCATGCTGCGGACGGTTTCCGGATGATGGCCTCGGAGCTCAATGAGGCCAGTCGAACGTTGTTTGCGGCCTTTGAGAATGAGTTTGGTCGTTTTGCCTCGAATGGCTCAAATGCTACTTCCGAAGGACCACACGCAGCGCCCGGTCCATTCCCTAGTGCTACCGCTGATGTGACTGTACCAGACCTGGCGGCTCGGGACACAAATCCCAATCCCACAGATTCAGGTGCCGAAAAGGAAGCAGCAAGCCCCGATGTCAACCCACATACTTTGCCGTCCGACTTCAAGAGTCCGGGCTGGGATACTATTAGAGAAGAAGGACATGGGAATCACTTTTATCCTCCAGGCCCTCCTCATCACCCCCCTCCATTCCCCCCCTCGACCCCCTCATCATCCTGTTCCGCCTATGCCTCCAAGACATTGGCCTCCTCCTCCTCCTCCTCCTCCCAACCATCCTCCCTGGCAGATGCCGTGGGATCCTGTTCATCCTATTCGGCACCACCCACCACCCCCTCTGCCTCAGCCTCCGCTCGCCTCGGGCATATTTCCAGCTCCACCATGGCTTCCTCCAAATAGCTGGTTCTCTCCCGTCGGTCCTCATAGCGCACCGCCTGCACCTCCTCCAAAGGAGACCCCCCGAGGTTCAACTGAGCCATCAGAGATTCCCGAAAAGAAGGTTTTGTTCATCGGCAATGTTGGTTTCAACGTGACCGAAAGGATGATCCAGGATGTCTTTGCTTCGAAGGGATTCATTGTTTCCGTGCGGCTTCCTCAAGACTCGGATACTGGTCAACATGCTGGCTTCGGCTACATCGATTTCCCCTCCATTCACCCCGCTATGGCGGCAATGGATGCTTTGCAGGGTGTACACATTGATGGACACGCAATCAATCTCGAGTTCACTGATGATGCCGTCATCGACTCTGTGCACCCACCACAGCGACCTAGTTATACCGAGCCGAGGACTCTTTACGAGGCTTTCGCCCGCCAAAACCATCTCGAGTCTGGAGACTCCGGTGTCTCGGCTCACCAGCGAGCGCGCCCTCGTCGAGTTAGCCGCAGAAAATCCGTGACGTTCCAGGAACCTGATATGTCTTCCCTGGATGTTCAGAACAAAGACGTCCCAGCCCGGCTTCAATCGCCTCCGCTGATTGATTCGCTGATTGATTTAACTACCGATGACACTGTCAAGTCGAATGATGTGCAGGACCAACTACCGGAGATGAGTCGGTTCCCGCCTGTGTCCCAGCTAGAAGCTCAGCTTTTTGCCAATCAACAACAGAGCCGTGCACTTGAGGCCACCGCTGATGCGACAGCTCACCGGGCGGCGAATGAATCAACTCCGTCCCGTGACTATGATCGGCCAAAGAGCTATCACGAGGCTGTGCCTGTACACGAGGCTCACGGGGAAGAACCATCTCCCTTGGGTGGCGGCGGCCGTCGAAAGAAGTCCGGACTTAGGGGCCCAGGTCTCCGTCGGTCAAATACCATGACATTTGCGCGCCGAGGAGGAGAATTGTCTGATTTCCCAAATTCAGATATTCAGGGCAACCTCTCCGATAGGAACTCATTGAGGCGACGTGCTAGTGAACGCCATTCCTTGCGACGTGATATCCACGATCCTAGCGAGATGGACACCTGGGCACGATTGGACAGAAGGGAGCGCCGCCGCTCCAGACCCTCGTCTTATCAGAGCATTCCTGGCAGCTTCCCTATGGAAGAGGTATCACAGCCTGCGGCATCTGCCCCAATCGACATCAGCGCCGAAACTCGGGAGACTGACATTGACAAGTGCGTGTCCTCTCTTGTCGACATGGGCTATGGAAGCCCTGAAGATGGCGGCCAGTCTCGAATGGCAGTCTATGCTGCAGCTTCCAATGGTAATCTCTTTGACGCGATCGAAATGATTGAAGAGGAAAGAAAGGCGTATGCCCGCCAGGGCCGGGAATGAGATGGACTAGGTTGGGATGTAGGATTTATTCGATTCGGGCTTGACAGGCCACAGTCGCTCTTTTGAAGGAATTTCGGTCAGATTCACTGGTCTTTTCTACGTGTTATGAATAATTTTTGCTTTATAAGCGATAATTTGCCAAATTGGATCAGTCTCAATTCAACCGTTATGTGTTATTGACCCCGATATATATTGGTACCTTGTAGAATGGTTGGACAAAGCAGGTGATGATTCAGAGTGGACACCAATAGGTAGGATTGAAAGCACAGGACCTAACCATTGTACAATGAATGAGCACTTCGATTGGTTTAAAAGAGGCAGATATACTTAATCATAATTACCGCCACTATTGGAAGACGTGCAGTGCCGTGAATGCCCAGTAAGTCTCGTTGTACGAGAGCGGTGATGAGGTCGGATCCGCGGGGGTCCATGCTCCGAGGTTTTCCCTGTCCGCCAGCTTGACCTCCGACCATCATACAATTTACCAGCGCAACGCGTTCGATTCAGCCATGCACACATGGCGGCGGACCTTCGCCACGTCTGTCGCCAGACTCGGCTCTAGCCCCATACCGCAGTCCCGAATTGCTGCTCTGCGATGTGCGCAGATCCTCCAGGCTAGCAAAGCGGATGGGCCTTGCACCTTGGAAGACAAAGAGATCAAGGTCAATGGGTTCATTCGGTCGGTTCGCAAGCAAAAGCGGTTTGCTTTTGCGGAGATCTCAGATGGCTCTACTGTCGAGCCATTGCAGGCGATCCTGAAGCCTGCACAGGCAGCTGAGTATGTCCACCGCGGAGCTATGACTCCAAACGTCTTGTGTTAGCATGGAGATCTAATGCGGTCGCTTCCCTACACAGTCTATCTACAGGCACTGCCGTTGAGATATCCGGCGTGTGGAAAGCTTGCCCAGCTGGAAAGGAGCAGACTCATGAGCTCCAGACAACCGAAGTGACCGTGGTTGGAGCGACGGATCCAGAGGTATTTGTTGACGACGATCACAAGCGCAAATGGGCTGAGCTGACCGTCGCATCATGTTCGCAGACATACCCGATACAAAAGAAATACCATAGCCCAGATTTCTTGCGCCAGATCCCCCATCTCCGTATTCGAACGCCCTTCCAGTCCCTCCTCGCGCGCTTTCGATCCGAATGCCTGTTCCAACTGGGCAACGTCTTCCACTCCCGACCCGAAGGTTCTTTCACGCAAGTCCAACCTCCGATCATCACATCCTCAGATTGTGAGGGAGCAGGTGAAACATTCACTTTGCTTCCTCGTGGCGCCGCTGCGCCGTCGAGTACCGAGACCGATCATTTCTTCCGAGCACCAAAGTACCTGACCGTTTCGTCGCAATTACACCTCGAGGCCTACGCGGCTGAACTGGGCAATGTCTGGACCTTGACGCCCGTATTCCGGGCGGAGAAGAGTGATACTCCTCGTCATCTCAGCGAGTTCTACATGCTTGAGGCCGAGGCCAACTTCATGTACGATTTGGATTCACTCACGAACTTGGTAGAGGATCTCCTTCGCGACCTGACTCGCCGATTGTATAATACCCCCGTTGGTCAGGAAATCTTATCAGCAAAGCGAACTGGGGAGTCTGGACAAGAAGGCAACGCCGAGGAGTCGAAATTGGATCTACTGGGGAGGTGGACGGCCCTGATGGATGGACCCAGATGGCACCGCATTACGTATACTGAGGCCGTGGAGATGCTCCAACGAGCAGTCGCAGAGAACGGCGCTTCATTTGAGCATCCTCCTACGTGGGATGGTGGCTTACAGACCGAGCATGAAAAGTACATTGTCGAGGTTTTGCACGAGGGCAATCCGGTGTTTGTCACGGATTATCCCAAGACCATCAAACCGTTCTATATGGCTCCTTCGCAGGGTAACGAAGGTAGCGTGCCAGGCGAGACGGTTGCCTGTTTCGATCTGCTTCTTCCCGAAGTCAGTGAAGTTGCTGGCGGCTCCTTGCGTGAACACCGTTTGCCCAATATCATCCAGAACATGCGGGACTATGGTCTTATCAAGTCTCGAGTGGCCACCGATTCCGATGCACCGGTATCAAACGACCCATCCTATCCCCATCTCACTGCAGAGGAGGATCTTGGACATCTTCAGTGGTATGCCGACCTTCGACGCTGGGGCTCTGCTCCCCATGGAGGGTTTGGACTTGGGTTTGACCGGTTCCTGGGCTATCTGTCCGGAGTTTCCAGCGTCCGCGATGTCGTGTCGTTCCCGCGCTACTTTGGTCGGGCTGATTGCTAAGAACGCACTGCTGGACAGTATGATATCTAGAAATGTACCAGAAATGTATTATAGATCAAATGACCGTATAGTATTATTCATCTTAACACACTATATTACTATAATTATGAAACTTGTATGCATGCGTCAAGCTGTCAGCTTGATAAGCTTACTGGAGGAGACTTAAATATGAATTAGGTGATTGCTCGCGCCGTCTTTATTAGGCGCCCAATGCTGAAACAAAAGTAAGGTTCCTGGCAAAGCACAGCCATTCGCCTCCCTCTTTACACCGACCCGACGCCCCCAGCTCGAGTCCGCTTCCTAGCATTATCAGCCTCATTAGATGTTCAGGCCACGCCATTTTGCACGAAGGAATTAGTGATTGGGGCGGGGCGGTTGGCAGTGCATCAAGAAGTGCATCGCCCCGGGGGCGGGGAGTATCGCCGAGAGCCAAAAGGAGTAAAATGATTCGGCCTTGATTAGTATTGTCGCCGTAATGCGAGGTTGAATGGGGGCTAAACGGAGCGATCTCAAACGCCTAAGCCCTAGGCCATGCATTAAGATGCTGCTAGGAAGTGCATTCCATTCTGGGCAGACGACGCGACCAATTAACACCGCAGGAGGCGGAAGGAATGAAAAGCAAGATCCAGCCTTGCAGTAGCCACGAGTCTGGCCTGTTAGCTGCGTTCTTGGTGCATAGACTACAGATGTATTTGAGTTTTAAAGATCTTTAGCTACCATCGGATTCAATATCCTTGTTGAATATCCAGCAAAAAAAAAGCAAACTGTACTGTACGTTTCTAGTATTTCTCCCACTATTAGCATAGGGCTACAGCAAGCCCCATTTATATCCGGGAATACCCCCTACGTCGAACACTCCACTTGACTCCCCCCTTGGCAAATATGGAAAATAAATAATGTACATATTTCCATCTGATTATAGCCGGGGCAATCGAATTCCGTTATGCACCGGCTCTCGCACCGGTCCAAGCAAGGCCAAGCACTCTAGCGTGGTTGGAGGCGCCCGCAGCCAAACGCAAAAAATTGGGGCCTCCCCGAAGGGCGCGCGCATTATTAATCCTTCTAGCGACCGAAACGCGCAAACTTGGGTAAACGAAGTGTACGATAGTAGTTAGTTACTCCGTACATCGTAGTACATACTCGTTACAACTTACAATGAACCGTCCGGAAAAGGCAAATCGTGAGAATAACAGAGCGGAGGCTTCCGTCAGCAGGAAACGTGGTCCGTGGGTCTCCGGACTTTACATTGCCATATTGAACTTCTTTTGGAAGTCTTACAGGGTAGTCCTTGGGTGTATTATTACTTCTTTAACTCGGAGTTGCGGAGCTCGCTTAAGAGTGCCGAGCACCCGTCGTTTCTGGGCAATTATTTGGTTCTTGGTGAGAAAGGTGGAGTTCGGTCAGAGTAGTAAGCGGATTATTGAATTTTGGTGGCTCAAATAATATGTACATATTTATGGAGTAGTTTCAGGTGACCTGTATATGAGTGATCATAGATTTGAAGATAATCAAGCCATACTTCACGGGGGTCGCTAGTAGGTATATGTACCAAGGCAAAGTAAACCACACGCCTCGCAGCAGGTAGGTTATTTAGGCAGCGATTATCAGCAGAATTGATCGATTCCACAGCCTCAAAAGGATCGGAATGCCATGGAGCATGAAGGAGGGGAAGAAAGAGGTCCGCGCACAGCATTAGAACCTCTGGAAAACTGGGAAATTCTCAATCTAATAGACTTTACAAGAGCGAGTTGCCCGGTGCATGCCAATCAGGCGGCCAGGATCGGCGGGTCAAGGGGATCCAACCTTACCGGGGTTAAGCATAAGCACGACGATGTTCGGTCAGTGTCCGCCTGAGGGAGGACGAGTCATGTCCTGGTCGGGGGCCATCCCTGCCTGACGTATCACATCGAATAGAAAAGGCACCTATTATGCATAATAATAAGGACTCGATCAAAACGGATTATCATCCTGGCCACCGTTAGTTGGTTAGCTATACGACCTGGTCATGTTCTATCGTTATGATTGGTCTTTCTCATTATTTAAGCTACGGAGAACTCCGTCGCATCGATGACCTATTTAATCAATGGACTTCCTTCCGCTAGCCCCCGACCTTACATAGTAATAGTACATAATACAACATGTAGACATCCAAACATGCATGCCATGCCAGCTATAAGGGAAAATCAAATTAAACAATGGTCTCTTAGCAACTTGGCAAATGATCAATCTCCAGTAGGTTACATACATTGTAAAAACAAATTTCCACGGCTCCATTTCACGGCGTTTTCGTATTCGGATGAGTAAAGTCCCCGAACGCATAAACTCAAAAAATACCGTGCGCCACATGGTTTATGCGCTGATTCATGTTTTACGACTGGACAAAGTGAGACACACCAGTCGGGTCATCGAGCCATTTTGAGACCAATAATGGAGTCGTGGTGGACATAAACTCGCGAGGCTAACCCTCCTTTAGGTCTGGGCAAGGCGCCCTAGTGACCATGGTTCATAAAGGCCAAACTGGCTTTTAGGCTTGCCGATGACAGTTGCCACCATTCCAAGTAACCGCCCAACCCGAACTGGGGCTGCCCAGAGAAGGGGGGTGCCACTGCTAAGGACCGATCATCTTGGCAAAGGGACAGGCACCATTCATAATTCATAGAGCACCTCTTGGCTCTGGAGAGGAGATGTTGGCATTGCGTTAGTCTGGAGGCAACAGCATAAATTGTCGTACAGATGATTCCTCCTAGAGTGGCTGGTATACACAGTCAATGATTTTGACTCAGACGGGCTATTGGTGGGAGAAAAACGACACAGCCTAGTCATATTGCACTTGGCGCTACTTTCGCACGAATGATAATGGATCAGACTTTGCGCGAGGATTATTACTACGGCAGTCATCGGATAAAGTCTCCTGCAAAAGCATACGCGTTGAAACTTATCCAGCGGAGGTGAATCATCAATAGTGGTGCTAGGGCCAGATATAAGCAACTAATTAGAGTCGAAATTCTACTGTCGAACCCACCCTAGTTCATAATCATTATTGCCTATTCATCTAAGCGACCGGATGACAAGGGACACCTTAATTATGTTAGTGGAGATAAGCTCGTGCGACGTTTCACAGAAGCAGCTCTTGGCAATCTTTAATTCTGATTTGGCTGATATTTTCAGGGTTACAATGGAACGTGTGACAATACGAGACGTGGTCGCAACTAAATCTGAAGTAGAGTTGATCGTGTGGGTTCTCCATACAAAACTAATACTGTAATGGATGAGCGGCTGGGTGTGCCAGGCCTATTGTATTGAAGAGCACGTCATCGACCCCCACCGAAGGACTACTTACTAGCAGTGGGTTGACTATTATTCGAGAGGATTAGAATGAAAGGTTTGATTCTGTTAAGCAGGAGAGAAGTGCGTGGATCAAGATGTACTAAATGATCATCGGGATCTGACCCTGGGATAGAGTTAAAGACTTGATTGCAGCGGAAGGGATCAGCTCGAGCGGCAGAGACTACAATATCCAATTTGGGCAGTCGTTGCAACGTTCCCCAGAGATGGGAGCCACGCTAGGGCGATCACCCACGAGTCGGGATTTATTTTCGATCAGAATAGTAATGCAGCGAAACATGAAATATCCCAACTGGCGTACCATTATAATACTTATGAATAAATTATGGCGATGTTGGCACATGAGCAACGTCGACAATTATCTTCCAGTCGGCGCCTAAACGGCACGCTTATTGCCATGTGCTACGAATCTGAAAGCATAAATGATTCTATGGCTGGGGATTCGTATGCAGTTGTAAAATGGTATATCATTGGATAAACGCTTCGTTCATAAAGAAGCCGTCCTATCCGGCGGCGTATCGAAGGCGCCTCAGAAACACAATAATAGCCGGCTCTGTTATTATTATTATTATTATTAACGCACCGGCCCTTGTCGTCTCGGACTTAAGACAGGGTATATTAATGCCGGACTTATGTGGAGTAGTTTCCAACGCAATCGTGTTGATTGTCAAACTCGAGAAAGAAAAGAAAAGTCAAATAATAAAAGAGACAATGAGAGCGAGAGTCAAACCCCCACTTTGTCAGAAATCAGAAAACATGCCAGTTGCAAAATCCTCACGAACCACGGTCGGCAAGCCAGGTGTCGGCTTGACCCGCAAGGGCCTACTCTATCAGCGGTCCAAGTGATATGCTTAGCGAGCAGTGGAGCCCCGATGTTTAAATTGGCCCACTTGGTAGGATGAAAAGGACTCAGGTTCGGATGATCGGATACAACTTGACGGCATGCCCGGAGCCATCCAAGCGATATTAACGGAGATACAAACGGACTAACATAAAACGCGAAGGTAAAGAGTAAAGTCAACCGTGATTTTTCAAAGTCCTGACTAGGACGAGGCTGGCTGGCCTCGCGGCCCCCTGGTCACCTAATTGATTTTCGAGCCAATCGGCACTAGTCATGGGTCAAAGCCCAGACATACCAAGAATAAGCCTCTGCTGGGTTTATCCTAATAAGGAAACGAGCGCGGGAGGGACGGGAGTCCTGTCGACAAGTGGGTTTGAAGGGTGATCTCCGCCTCTCGCCAGGATAAATCTGAGCAAGCCAACTGAAGAGGCGACCCCGGGGGGTTAGGAATAATGAGAGAAATAAATCGAGTAACTCGACAGATCTCGCACATGGTACATCATGTAAGGGAGTGAGTGACATGTGGTGATTTTAGGCAATATGCTGATTGATCGTATTGGAATTATGTAATTGCTGAAAGAAAAAAAGACAAATAAATAACCCACTTGACAGCTTGTCCATGACTCGCCAGGACTCTCTGTGCGGTTATTTTTGGGGGAATCTTAAACGGGGTTGTATTGGTTGTTGCTATTTTGCGTTATGATCTGCCTGCGGGATTCGATCGGCCTTGGACCCTGGACGGCCTAATTCAATATGTATGGGTAATCATTTGCATCTGAAACAATAATCCATGGCCGTACAGGACATAGGAGGCTAGTTATTATGCTGCTTCTTGATCAGTCCATTTCCCGTTTCAGCATCTAGTTTATAGTAGCATGTACCGAACTCATGGGGGATCCATCTAATATCAACTTTGAGACCGCATATACTTCGCACAGAAGACCTATCCGTATACCACCTATACCACCTGCTGCTCCTGCTTGACATGGTTTGCAGTTGGGGTTTGCTTATACCCGGGTCAAGGAAGTCGTGCAACACCGTCTACTCCATCTACCAGGTCGATGGAAGTTCCAGTCACGACGACAATGATGTCAGGTTACACCAGTCGGCACCATGTGAGACATCTGATGCAGGCCATGGCCGAACCTACATAGCGGTTGAGTAACTGATCAGTGTAGTGGTGACCCATATTAGGCTCTCATGTTTCTGGTATTAACCCGGGGCCAAGCCAACCATGGCCAAGACAGATGGCAATATATATAGCAGATGCTCAACCAGGCTTCAACGATAAACCGACCGTTATGCTCTGCCTAAATCTTATATACGTAACCCGACCAGCCAAGCCAGGATCAGCTGCCAGAAAAGAGCAGCCCTTGAACCCTATTATATTGTTTCCTTGTGCAACCGGACTTTGTTGGCGATACGCTTTCCTTGGGCCTTTTAAAGGGCCGGTCCGTGCGCAAGCTCATCCTTGAATTGACGAGCTTCGAGAGAAGGTTGAATATGTATTCCGGAAGCCACTCATTTCCAGCCAAGATTTTTTTGACTTTCGCTGACAGCCCAGCGCCCTCCGACGTAAGTGTACTGGATCTTCGGCTAAGCGGTTCCTCGATTGGTCGCTCACGTCTTGGAATTTTCTTTGTCAAGCTCGGCAGCATCCACATATCGTATTACAGTGCAGACCACCTTGCAGGTGGTCTATAGTGCCCGCAGGACTGGCAGCGGGAAAATTGTCCATTTGTTAACCTTATCGCCAAGTCAAAGAATGCCAGCGGTTACGGTTTCAGCCTATGATACAAAAATACACGACAAAGCCAGAATGAACAAATGAGAATGGAAGAGAATGAATATGGAAGGGGGCTATGTACTGCGGATGGTGCGGATGGAGCTCTGAGTTTACTTATAATCCTCGAACAGCGCTGCCCCCCTTTAGTCAAACCTAAGCTATGGGTGAAGGAGTCAAGGAGTAGTCAAGGCAACAAGTTATGTTCTGTATCTATTGATGATCCGTTTAGCCATGTAAACGATTAGCCCAAGACCCTAGTCCTCCGTACATAGTGCGTACATAAATAATGTGCGGAGTACATGGCTCTAGGTACGAAAATCCCATTCATATTACGTGGCATATAAGCTCTCGGTTGAGTATCCCAGGTAAATATGTCGCGGACATGGCTGATCTGCCTAAGACAGGGGAGACCCGACTTGAATTTTTAATGAACGGAAGGAGTCGGGACATGGCAAGTATGCACATGATGCACAGGAATTATAATTCCTCGCAGCCTGTCAAAATAAATAAATAACCAAGGCACTAGTTTTAATTTGAATTTAGCATGAGCCCCCTCTTGTTTGGCTCATCATATTTTCTCAATTTAGAATTTTAAGTTCTCTTGTCAAGCTTTACGGTCAGCGACAGTTCAAATCTAAACCTTGGCCGCGTCACTAGTAGATACGAGTACGAGTCACGAGTGCAAAATGGCCACTGTGGCTTCTTCCCCCCTCCCCGATCCCCCGATAAACACACGACACTAAAGAAAGTTATTTCCGAGGTGGCTTCTTGGCTAGAACCACCGTTGTGTTTTCTGGGAGGCTCATGCCGACGGAGCCGCTCATTCCGGTTGCTGCTGAGAGTCGGGGGAAACGGAGTTCAATACGGCCGTAGAGGGGGGGGAATCCCCTCGCAAGGACTCCCGTTATGAGTAATTAATAATCCAGGCATAATCGGTGGGCAGGTGGGGGTCGATCGGATTCCGTGGTCGTCAAATCCCGATACTGGTACATGCTTGTATGTGTACAGTAGCCAAGTAGGTTTTCACACAATATGACCTGCCACTTTCTTCTTTTTCCCTTTAGTGGCTGCTCGACTATAATTTCTTCTTCTGTAGGTTCGTGATGATAAGGGTCATTCCCGACCGTAGATAAGTTTATCCCCAGGATCAAAAAACCAGAGTTGCTCTCTCTCTGAACCATGGTCAAGACTAGAAGGTTAAAATTACAAGAAAAATCCAAAGTCCGTGTGGTAGCAATAAAAATTAACAATGATACAGTGCCTGATTAGGCACAATCCGCGCGACAGGCGCAAGGCTGATGAGAAAGAGTAACAATTCTAAACGAATGACTCCCACGATTAAATTAAATAATAAATCTATAAGAAATCAAGTGTTGCCTCTCACGGTCTAGTCCAGATGCCAAGCATCAGCTTGCAATCAATCGGCCAGCTGAAAATGGACTGGGGTGGGCGCGGCCTCTCTAAGCGAGCATAAAGTTCAGCGCCGGTCTCCTCGTGTCGGATTAAGCTTAAGCTTCGGAGACCGCGCACTAACCACCATTTATTTTCTTTTTTCTTTTTTTATTACATTTATTTGATTATTATTTATTTTTTTATCTCCTGCGATCAGAGCGCCACCCTTCAGAATACATCCGACACAGATCACTTTTACGGGGGTCGTACCACAGCGTATTCCCATGTAGTGATGTACACCTATCGGAGGCTAACCAGTCACATTCTCTCGTTTCGGACATCTCAAAATTGAAATGATTCGTGTTTACTTTCCTTCTGATCTGGCCCTTCGCACGTCATGTCAGGAATGGGGATGCCTTGCGAAGGGGGTAAGCCAAGACTCATGAATAACCTTACTGCGCTTTACCCTTCCATTTTACCCTGCCCTTTCCCCCTCTCCACCTTCCTAGGCCCCACTTCATCCTTGGTCAAGCCACCGTAAGCTTAGCCAAGGCCTTTCCAAGAACTTCCAAGACTACTCCTAGGTTGGCAACCCTTTCGCTTTCGCTTTTGGGCTACGGGCCTCGGCCTGAACAGGACAGGATGTCGTGCTTGCGAATGGAACTGATCGCATCAAGGCTCTGTCTTGGGCATGACATCTTCCTACCTTATCTATGTTTAAATAGAATGAGACATGGATGCTTAGTTAATAATCAGTCGTCCAGTCGATCATAACTCTGGTAATTATACAGCTAGGCTCAATTTACAGTTTTATCTATTTGTAGAAAGGTGGAACATGATCCAGTAGTTATCTATTGCGAACCTAGTAGTTATATCTGCTTCGTATGGAGTGTTCCATTATACTCTACTCCGTACTACTCCGTACTCGTCGGAGTTCGTTCTTTATCATGATACAAAGAGACCCAATAATCGGTGCCACTGCCACACTGACTTTGCCACAACCATAAAATGGCCAACACTCAAATCCAACCAGACCTTTGATGATCCAAGGTTCTCATGCATAAAATAGGAGATTAACCTTATGGATTTCAAATCAACCAGTTTCCCCATGTGCATTGTTCGGGATTTCTGAGGATTAATACTTTTATTTATTTTATTTTTCTTTCCCATTTTGGGTCCTCTTGGTTCCCAGTTTTGTGCTCGCTTGATCACATCTTGGATCGTCATTCGCTCCATGATTCAACCTTAGTTGCGTGTCCCCACCCAACCTTGTTTCCGAAGAGGCTATTGTATTACGAGTGGTTTTCTTTTTTTGTTCTACATTTTCCTTTTTCATACGAGGCCCCCCATACGATGAAAATTCAAATTGATTGAATTTAAGCTTCCTATTTAAAGATTATTTTTTTTTCCATAACCCTGGAAGCCTGACGATGACTGTAACTGCTACTCTAGTTAGTTACATACTGTAGCTAACTAACTACACTCGATTAGGATTATGCTTATGATGAATTAGTCTTTCGTTAGTCAAGTCCATTCTCATTCGGTCGCCCATTCTTGGAATCTCGGCGTTTAGCAACCTCCGTCCGATCTTGGCTCGGTCCCTGCGACTGCCTCCCTTATTTAACCTTCTTTTAATGATTCTTCATGGGTCTGTTCCTCTTTATAAGGTTCCAACCCCCAACTCCCGCGCGAGGCGGTTTCAAAAAAGAAGATTCCTTTCTTTCCCTCCTCTCCGCTTCTTATTCTACCGGAGTCCTCCCTTCCAAGTGCTTCATCAAGAAACTAGTCTCAACTCCTTCGGATCTCGTATCTACCCAGATCCACCGAGACAGGGCCGAAACCCACATCCAACCTTGTGGGGTCCAAAGTCCAAAGAGTGAGTCTGTCTCTGTTCTTTCCCTTCTTGTGTTCTCGTCGGCATTCTTTACGCCCGCTCCAAGCCTCCAACCCACTCTGTCGCCCCACAACAAATCTCTGCAGGCGCTCAGCCTTTTTTCTTTCCCTATCCCCATTTTCCAAACACCAAAGGGGGGGAAAAAGGATAAATAATTAAAAAAAAGATTCCCAAAAAACCCAAAATTACGTCTTACCTTACCAAGTCTGGGTGACGTAAAAAAGGCTCGGCCTTTATTATCCTACCCCATACCTTTCTTTTTCCCTGGATCATCCGCATCTTCTTTATATGCTTGGGTCTCTCCACCTTATCTCGTTTTACCTTTTTATACTTCCTTTCTCTCCCTCCTTCCAATCTCCAACACCCCTTCACTACTCTCACTCAGCCTTGTCATCATCTATCGGAGATATTCCAAGATTAACCGTCCGCTGCAGATTTTATCTCGCTTCTTCAGATCTCTCCAGCGTCGGCCATCCTCAATCTCCAATCAACACAACCTACTACTCTGACAGGAGTCGACCAACCTCTTGAGCTGAAGTCGTCGAATTTTCCGCCTTATATTCAAAGCTCCCTACCTGGGTTATCGGTGACTTGTGAGAATAGATGGAGACATATTACGGACACGTCCGCACCCCAGCGGACGCCATCATTCTCTTCGAGGCCTGTCGCATTGGTCTGTTGCCGCGAGTACAGCGTCGACTATCAGAGAAGGAGCGACAGTCAATTCGATCGGGTTCAGTATTCGTCTGGGATGAGCGGGAAGCAGGCATGCGACGATGGACCGACGGCAAATCATGGAGTGCGAGTCGGGTCTCTGGCAGCTTCTTGACGTATCGTGAGATGGAAGGCAAGCGTGGTGGAGGTGCAGTGCCCCAGAGTTCAGTATCACGACCAGGGAAGACGCCGGAGAGCAGAGGTAGCGACGACGATCGAGGTGACGGAACCGATGAAGGCCCGGATGGATATCGGTATAAGCCCGATGGTCTCATGAAGCAATCCTTCAGTATCACCACTTCCACTGGCCAACACCTTCACCTGATCAGCTACTACTCTCGCTCTCATCCGTCCGCTGCCAACCTTCAACAACCAACCACCGATCCAGCTCTTCGACATGTTCGGCCTCAAAAAGGTCTGTACCCGGAGTCAACGGTCAACGATCAGCAGAACCTCCCGGTGGTGACTCGAGGACCGATGCCTGGCGCTGCCGCCTACCCTATCACACCTCACCCTATGGGTGGCTTCCCTCGCACGAATCCCGGCCACGGTCAGCCTTATACCCAACTACATCACCCTTGGCCTCCTACCCCGTTGGCTACTCCACCGACTGTTGCAGTGCCATACCCCGGTGCTGCCTACCTACCACCTGTTGCTGCAGCTAACGGGTCCCCATATGGGCCCCCTCAGCACCAACCTCCACCTCACCTCCCGCCCTCTGCCCATGGTCTACCACCTCCCCCTCATGGTATGGCAATCCCATTCGACCGACCGGGCCATCACGAGGCTGCACTACCCCCAGCGGGTCCCCCATCAGCTGCAGCTCCCTACCCGGGACGTTCACCTCGATCCCTGCACCAGCCACCACCTGAGCAGAGGAGTCCTCGGACGTACGGTCAACCAATCTCAGATCCGCGCATGGCCTCACCTAGGAATCCTCCGGGATCTATCTTGCAGCCTAACGGAGCCATGCACAGCCCACAGTTGCCGAAGCAGACCCCACCCACTGCAGTTCGACAGCTTGGGCCTATTGGCACTCCCCCTAAACAAGAACCAGGCACCGTGCCTGGTATCAGTTCGCTCATGAGCGGCACATCTCTTGCCCCGATCACGTCGGCTGGGTCTCCTGCTGGTGGCCCTGGAAGCCCGCCTGGTGCTCGTCCTCCAATCACCGGCGACGGCCCCCGTGATATCCCCAACGACAAGATCGGGTTCGGAGGAGAGGACGTGCGAGCCCTGCGCCAGCTAGACCGGGTGTTCATCTAAAACAGGCTCTCAAATAAACCAAACTGCCTCGAAAATGGCACACCACTTCCACCCCCAAAAAGGAGCTATACACGTCTCCGCCTCTTTGCCTTTATCCGATTATCCTCGACCCTTCTTCAACCTCCGCGATTTCCCAAATTGATTCTCCGCACACTAGACTGGTTTAGTCTATATCTTTACGGAGCCAGGCGTTCTTATTTCATGTGATATCCACCTATTTTTTTTTGCTGGGTTTTCATTTATCATGCTGGTCATTCTTAGCATTCTTTCTCTCCTGCATGGGTCGGGGGGTGGCTTATCTGCATCTTTTTCTATATTCTTGTGAATTATATCTTTTTATCCTTGTCGTGTTATGATCTGGTCATGGCTCATGCGGTTTATGGCCCTTGTCTTACATATTGTTATGCATTGGGATCGGATCGGTCTACACGGATGGGACGTGGTTTTGGGCTTCGGGTTCTTATCTAGTCTATCCAATGGACTTGCTTTCTATATCCATTTCATTTGTAAATTTCTTGTTGTAGATATAGTTACGAGGAATAGGCAGGATTGGCAGGCTTACTGGTGCTAATTCAATCTTTATGTTAGTGGGGAGTGATCAAGTTATTTCCACTCTCGACTCAACGGAATGACATAGTTACAAGCGACATGGGAGATAAACAAAGGGAAGGGGAGAAACAGACAAATTACAAAAAGCCCTCACACCTGCTGTCCTGTCTACTGTCGTTCACGATGTGATTCAGTGTCAGGCTCGGCCATAAACTCATCCATATTTCTCATGCTTTCCTCAAATCTCTTCTTCTCTTTCTGCTTCTTCTCTTGCGCCGATTCGCTGAGATCCGATTCGCTGAGATTTGGTATTTCCGATGGTTGATTTGTCGGGGAGATATCGGATCGTGGTTCAAGGTGATCCGTCAAGGGTCGGCTCTTACCCTTGTAGTTTTGACTGCTCGAATGGTATTCAAGGAGAAAATGAGTCATATGCTTGTCTTTCCGTGCCAAAGTCCATGGTGTATCACCGGATTTGTTGACCATGTATATATTTGCTCCGTGGCGAAGAAGAATCTCAACAGTAGAATTATGGCCCTGAGTGACGGCTATCATCAACGGTGTGTCACCTTCATTGTTCGAAACGTCAGGGTATTCCTGCTGCTCAAGCAAAGCTTCGACCACTTGATCATGACCATTCATTGCTGCGATTATCAACGGGGTGTCGCCATTCTGCGGTCTGCCAACCTGGGTGGCACCCCATTCAAGCAGAAGTCTAGCGAATGTTGGATCGTCAATTTTAGCTGCAAAGAATAATGGCGTCCTGCCATCATTATCGATGCAGTTAAAATTGGCACCATTCTGGAGTAGTACCCTAGTAGCTTTTTCTTTGTGTGATATAACCGCATCCATTAATGGGGTTCGGCCGCTGAGATCTTTGGCATTGACTGGAGCACCACTAGAAATCAGGATTCGTATGACTCCTTCGTCCCCATATTGTGCCGCTACTGCCAAAGGGCTTCTGCCCATAGTGTCGCAGATATCGACATCGGAATTTCTCGCTATCAGGAGGCGAGTGAGTTCTCGGTGGCCTTGTCCTGCTGCAAAGAATAATGGCGTCCTGCCATCATTATCGATGCAGTTAACATTGGCACCATTCTGGAGTAGTACCCTAGTAGCTTTTTCTTTGTGTGATATAACCGCATCCATTAATGGGGTTCGGCCTCTGATATCTTTGGCGTCGACTGTAGCACCACTAGAAATCAGGATTCGTATGACTTCTTCGTCCCCATATTGTGCCGCTACTGCCAAAGGGCTCCTGCCAGAAACGCCGTTGCGGGTATTTACTTTGGAACCCCTCGCTATCAGGATGCGAGTGAGTTCTCGGTGGCCTGGTTCTGCTGCAAAGGCCAACAAGGGTGTTCGATAATCGCCGGACAGTGGGTTAGGATCTGCACCGGAAGCGAGGATGAGTTTTACCATAGCCACGTGCCCTTTCTGTACAGCCAATGCTAGAGGCCTCATTTCGAAGCGTGCGCCAATCCCATCTGGATTGACTCCTACCTCGAGGAGTGAAGCAACTGCCGTCTCATCTCCCTCTCGTATCGCCCAGCATAGAGCGTTATACCCGCTTGAGTCCTGTTTGTCGAGCTGGGACGGCATCGACACCACCTTCCTCGCAAACTGGGCAAGGCCAAGCTCTTTTGCCTGGCGAATGAAATGAACAAAGTGCTGTACAGGCAGTGTCGCCATGTCTGACAAGGATTGAAGCTTCATCGACGGAAAGCGTGCGCGAATTTGATCAAAGATATTACAAGCAGGTAGACCGTAAGAAACATCATTTGCTTCAGACCCGGCCACAATGATGCCAAATATGCCTTCTGTGGTGGCATCCATAACCCATGATCCACAATATCCGGGTGCTGTTTTTGTGCCGATGTTAGCGACTAGTACCTGGACCTTCATTGATTAACTGGACATACTTGGCTTCAAACTCATGGCCCAAACGTCTTGCATCCCAGAGGATGGAACAAATAAGCCGCATATTGATGGCGAAGCCTTAGTTTGTACTGACTCCAATGGGTTCACTCCCACCCAAAGCTCTCCGTTTGGCGGATGAGGTTGTACCCACCATGGAATCGCAAGCTTGTCACCTAAGGCCAGGAGATTGATCGCAAGAGCAGCTGGCTCAAGTTTGAGAAGAGCCCAGTCTGCGGTATGTGAGAAGTAAGATTGATCCGGAATTGATCCTAGGATCGTTCGTTGGTGAGATATTGGATCTTCCACCACGGCTACGTTGGATTTAAGCATAACCGATTCGACAGTGGCCAGTTCGGTGGTATCGGCGTAACCGATATTGTCTGAAAAATCGCTTTCATCGTCGCTCATATCACTCTCATCGTCATCTGATGATTCATCTTGGGAGATGTTCATGAAGGGATGAGCAACTGTCAGGCCGAAGAATTCTCCATTGATCATGATACTCCCTCCAAGAGTTGCCGTCCGAGTCGATATCCCATCGCCGCCTCCAACAGCAAACCGCGTCCCACTGATAGCGCAGAGAGTAGACCCCTCATCAAGCTCGCTTGAAGAGGCGCCCATAGTCAATGAAATCTTGCTCTCGTAACCATAAACCTGGAAGCCCCAAGTGCGGATGAGCTCGCCGTGCCGTTCAATCAATTTCACAGCATTCTTTGTGACTTTCTTATTTCCGCAGATGATGATCGCGGCTGGATGCGACGAATCCCACTCTTTGCCAATCATCCAGCAACACACACTGTAAGGAGTCTGCTTTTTGACACCATGGTATATTTTGTTCGTGTTGTGTTGGAGGAGAGGCTTGATTGTTCTCGGATAGATATAATCGTTCCATTCGTCTTTTACAGAGCCGATTGGGTCCCAGGCAGATTCATTATTAAATTCCCATGATCGCTCTAGGTTGACAGATGCTTTCCTGCTGTCGACATTGAGGTTGTCCCAAAAGCTAGGCTTGAGAGGCTGAGAAGGTTGGGACGCGAGGTCCCTGAGTCGGCCGAAATGGGTTTGTAGTTGGGTTCGTGTCGTCATATTCATATACAGAGTATAACCTCTGACTATGGACTGTGATCGAGATCTCACTGACAAGCAACAAGAGTGAGAGGTCGTCTTTCCGAGTGCTGCTCTTGCGGTGGGGTTGACTCAGCCGCTTGACAACTCATCTCGCTGCTCAGCCTCGGCGGGCAACCTGTTCCCCGACCGACGAATTGAATCAGGACGATCATGCAGGCGGGGTCACATTTTTACCGGGGTAGTTCAGACGTCGGGGGTTCTGCGTTGATATAACAGCGCCCTGTTACTGCTATTGCTAGCCATTGGCTTATTGAACACTCTCACGCCAACAAGGAGACATGGTTAGGCTACCACCTTCCTCTCCATCTAATTTGTCTTCTATCAAGCTCGACCAAGAGACAGAGGACGTGGAAAATGTACTGAAAGCTGCATTGCCACGGAGTCTATGGAATGTGTCCCTAGAAAATGCCCAAGAATCCTCAAATGAATTCTTGGACTATTATCGGAGCCAACTCGTTGGAGTCGAGGCTTATGGATTGAACTTGAAGAGTCATCAGGACCTCATTGATCTGATAAACTTCATTAAGACACTGGCGCATCTCACTAAGCCAGAACTGATTGCTCGCCTCGAAGACAGCCATATTGATCTTGGTCCACCCATCCCAGCCATTGAGTTTGCACTCCGGATTTGGTTATTCCTACCTTTGGAGGACTGGGGAAGCAGACAGACACTCGAGCAATACATTCACTCCATGTTCCCCAGATCGAGTTCCTTGCCAGATAGCCCAACGTTTGCTCTGAATTTCAATGTCTTGAACCTTAAGCAGATTGGTGGATTCAAGATTGTCTGGACGGAGAGCCTTCAAGATCATCTTTCCCTGAACATCGACGACACGGAGAAGGAACTCAGAATCTTCCACGTTGCGTCATTTCTCCACGCATACGGAAAGAGCAAAGACCGGTATGAACCTACCTTCTCCTCTGTCATATCTCTTTCATCCACTGACCCTTCTCAGGCCTATCTTCCCACCGGGGTTCCTCGAAGAAACTGCCCGTACCCTGTCACTCTTGATCCCGTCATCCAATTTAAAATGTCAACGATGGATCCGGAAGGCTCGTAGACAGGATGAAATCGATTTGGAAGCAGCGTATCTGCCTCCCACGTCACGCGATCTTGCCGATTTTCCGTACTGGGGTCGACAGCTCATGGAGCTACGAGACGAATATGAGCGGACAGAACCGACGACTATGCGGCAATGGATCTTGGACAAGAGGAAGCCGAACCAGCGGTATACGTTCTGGATTGCTGTGATTGCCCTGTTTCTGGCGTTAGTATTTGGGTTAATTCAGTCGGTGACGGGAATCATTCAGGCCATGCACATCAATTGATAGGAAGAGAATGTGTCTGGTGATTTCATACCTCGTTGGCCCATTGACTGGACTTCATTTTGTGAACTCTGTAGAATTTGAAGATATCTATAACACCTTTTTCTGTTAGTCTCGTGCTAGCTTAAACAGCTGTCCACTCGACAGATTGAGCTTCGTTTGAGATTCAAGGAGAGCTCTGTAGCTCCATCCCATCTTTCTCGGGCAAACAACCCCACTGGCCTCAGGACGAACGGGAGGAACCCGTCGATAAACTCTCTTCTCGCCCCCTGAATCTCATTCTGTAGTCAGTCAAGAAATCCAGCTCTTCGAGCTTGAAGATAATCCAGCGAATGACGACGTTGAACCGCAGAATCACGTCTTATCAAACCCGATTTTCGGGTCTCGATAAGGCAATCGGTCACTCTCCCCTGACGGCCCCGCCGAGTTGCACCTGCAGCAATTCCGAGGAGATGGTCGTGCCATCTTCGTTTCTTTTCTTTTTCCATCCCAAGAACAATCAACTAGTCAACAATCCCCCTTCCCTCCTAGCCGCTAGTTGTCTGCACATTCCTCGTCGGTTCCAAAGCGCCGGGTCAGGCCGAAGGACACGAAATCCATGTATAGATATTTTTTTGCCTCCATCGATCCTCGATCGACCCGTCGATCATTTTTAGGAGGCAACTATAGATCACCAATAGACCTCATCCCTCGGAAAATCATCCGTCACTGCAACGCCCGGAATGCGCCATTTACTGGACAAAAAGCAAACCGGCCCGAACTGTCGGGTCGGGCAGTGGCACATAACAGCACATTGTCGGGAAACGAGTTGGAGCTGGATGATTCAAGTGGTTACTTTTCTGCGCTACCGTTAGTCAATGGTGGCGTGCACGACGAGGATCACCTACCTTCCACACATCGGAACGCGCCTGCCAACCCTAAGCTCACTATTTACCTAAGATAGAACTAAAATGATCGTTAAGGTCGATAATCAATGCACCCTTCGCCGATCCTTGTGAGTTAGAGAAGCCCCTAGAGCCAAATCCGGATGGCCAAAACAATGGGACTCTTTAAATCTTGCTCGCAGCATCTATTGATCCAAGGGCCTGGTTCCAGGAACTAGTGTTTAGCGTCGCGATTCTTGCCATTGAGATGATGGTTTGCATCATGCTATTGGTCCCAATCCAGTAGTCCATGATCCCAATACGAGGGCCAAGTTTGACTGATGGCACACACGACAAAAATCGGCGAGTTGACGACTCGATTTGGGAATGTTCACGATTGTGGTGTGGTAAAGAGTGGGATGACCTCCCCGAACGAGGGTCACATATAAGCCACAATCAACTGCGTCACGAAGGAAGCAGGCAGCAGAAGAGCACAGCATTGCCATGGACGACTCTGACATTTCAGGCAAAGTCGGCCACCTCCGACCATCAGGGGTGATATATAGAACACCAGTAAATGTAACAAATATTGACAACAAGCACTGGGATCTTGAAACCGCGTCTAGGCTTATCTAGTTTCATGCATGCAATGCCCCCAAATGTATAGCTCTCAACTAGCCATGTAAGGCCCTCCGAATCGAGTAATCCGTCGAACGTCGACTCGACAAAACCAATATACCGGGACTACAACAATCACCGTATGTCCGCGGAAGAACGATCCACGGATCTTTCTTACTTTCCAACAACGGCCAAAGCTGCGCAGCAAGGCAGATGACCAGGACCAGGACACACAGGTTCCAACAACCAACCACCCAGCCGCCACCCACAGAACAAATCCTCCGGCTGGATGACCCCTCTCCTAATTCTCTTCCAGGCTGACCTCACAGCCACGAACGGTTCCGTCGCATCCACTCCAGCACCTATCCCCAAATAACAAATTGACCCATCATCAAAAAAGCTCCGGAAATCGGAGAGGATCGTCGAAGGCCTCGAGCGGGGTTGCAGGTGGCCATGTCGCACGACCTCCGACATCGTGAGCCATGTTTATTTTCCTCATTTCGTTCATTCTCATTTTTTCTAGTTCTCTTCTTTTTTGGGGGCCGTATGAAGGGTCTGAGTTGGATTGTGGGACGAGTTCACGATGACCAGAGCCGACCATCGCCGTCATGTCTAGTGGGGTGGGGATAGATGGAGTGTGTGTGGAGACTAGGCAGGTTGGATCTTAGACGACAAGAGCAAAATCTAACGAGGGATGTACGCTTTAGGGTAGATCGTAATGATCGCCGGGCTCTTGGCGTCCGGGCTCCTGGAGAAATATGGAGAATGAGATGGAGTTTCTCTGTTAGCGTGAGGTAGTGTTAGTTAATTTCTGTAGTTACAAAGAACTGTCCTCGACTCTCTCTGCCGTGTCCTCTCTTGTGATCTGGTTGTGTAGTGACCATCGCCCGTATTTTAATTGGCAGTCGGCAATAATGCTGTGGATTAGACTTGTTGAGCCCGAGTAGGATGGAGACAAAGTGGAGAGGTATGAATGACTCCTTTGTTGCCCCGTTGATGGGAAATGAAGGCTTTTTCTACCAAATTCAACGCCTCTGGTGCGCTTTGAGCCCGTCTCGTTCGTCGTTGATCGACGATAGTTCGGTCATACGATATTAAGGAGTTTGATCTTCATCGTGAGCCTTAGTTTCTTAAAGCCCGAGTCCACGAACCAACCAGAGGCTGGCTGAATGATGCTGGGATGGACCCGAAGGTTCCGGCTTGATGCTAAGTTTATACAATGACCATTGAATTATTCATGTCAGCGTGAGACTGTACTCTATGGTGAGTGGGCCATTCAAGTATGGAAGTATGTAGTCTACTGCGTCGTCTGCCTACCGTCGGTTTCAGTAACGCTGGTCCTAGCTTTTAGTCTTGGGACCTGGACCTGGTTCATGCTGGTCGAGACTGTTGGGCGTCAAGCCTCCTCGTTCCCGCGTTGCGCCCGACTAGAACTGGAAATACGTGGGATCAGCCAGGGGGGGGCGCCGTTCTGGCCCGCATCGGTTTTCTCCACCTCCACTTTCTCCCAGCCCCCCCCACTATGCCTTGTCCTCCCCGTGGAAGGTGGTAGAAGAGCTGACGGCGGGGAGAAGAAGGAAAGGACGATATACTAAATACGTAGGTGGACTCCGATCTCTCGGCGATGCAATCGAAAGGGAGTCATCAGGGCGTAAAAAAGGAAGTCAATGCAGACCAATGGAGAATCCCTTCAACAAACCATAAGAGTCATACTATTCCGAAGTTCAGTGTACAAAACCAACGGAATTCAGCCGACACCTCGGAAAACCTGCTTTTCCTAGAACACGAGGTCATGTGGATCGTCTATTTAGCCCGTTTAGCTCAAAGAGGAACGCGCACGAAGCGCCAGGCACGAAATCCTTGCGGTCTAAGAAGCTGGTTGGTTAAGAAATCAGGATTAAACCATGTCGTTTCATGGCAGGTCCTGCAAACTACTGTAAGTCTGTTTTCTCCGCCCATTGTACTTTGGGAAAGTGTTACTTGGAGTGACATATTAGTGACACCTGTATGGAGGGATCAGGAATGTATACTCCGTAGGCCAAGTTAGGGCTCGGATGTTCCTCGTGAGCTCATGGCTACTTGTTTTTTTATTATTTTCTTTTCTTTAAACTGATTATTTTCTATTATTCTTTGCTTATTTCCCCCTCTCAACATAGCCTCTTCCCCATGATTTTCCCTCAGTAGCCCCCTTTGTTCAGGAACGCGCGCACTAGACAACCACGATGTGCGACCGGTGAAAGACCGTCCTGCAGGAGGACTCCTCACCTACAGTAGACTCGCGACGGACATACCTGGTCGATTCGGCACCAACCGATGGTTCATCTCCACTTCCAAACGGGATGACGCGGGAAGAACCTTCAATTGGGGTCCCATCCCTGGTCGGGACCCGCCTGGTGCCATTGATTCAACAACTCTTGGAATGTATACGAACTCGACAGACAACAATGAATTACAATCACTGGGATATATTATTAAATGGACGTGTGTACTCCGTGATCGGGGACACGATACGTGGATATGTAACTCCGCCCTCGCAGCCTACCCCGGGAATCGAATCCTTTTCATGCCGTTTGACGCGAGGGCTATTTTTCTGTAGGCCGTGTGTCTCTTGCTGTTTCGCTCCTTTGAGCGCCAAAATCTGCGACTCATTCCAGGGGACAATGATTGGCTCATATGCTCTGGCCACATTCTGGTTCTAGTCCTTTGGTGACATCCTTTTTCTCGGCCTTGTACCCCATAGTCCCAGTCCACTAAATCCTCTAGTGTCAGATCACAGTGCAGGGCGATCTCCTCGGAACAGAACTTGCCTTAATTTCCTTAATTCTGACCGGACTGGGTCTGGCCCCATCGGATTGCATTAACTCGTTTGACCATCATGACCACTGGGGCGTCCTAAACCCGGCCAATCCGGCGGTGGCTGTTTGGCGGCCACAACTTTGGTTGCCCAAAGGGTTGGAGCTAGCTATGATGTCCTGTAGCTAAACCACTTGGGCCGACTGGCGAGGGCTCCGAGCGTACTGTAACTTGTAAGAAGGGGTTTCTTTTCATTATTCCGGTACCTGGGCTTTCTAAGTCAGGACTAGAAGGCAACTAGCAAAGATCGCTGCTGAAACTCTCCCGGGTTTCCACTCTGGGGCATCCGGTCTCAGCTGATGCGCCGCCCCAGAGTCAAAATGGGATAAACGGCTGGGTTTTGTGGGAGGTTTCCCCCTCCCTCTTTTTGTCGTAGCCCGCTATTCGGAACAGTCATACGAGAGACGACAAGGTTTTCCTCATGTTCGCACAGGGCGGAAGAATAAAGTCAAGCGGTCGGGATGTGCAGAGTTGTGACCGTGTAAATAGAGGCCATCTTTACTTCAGACATTAGACTCTGACGAGGAAGATTTCCCGGTTCGTCGCCCGGCAGATCCTGGGGTTCGAAGGCTTGAAGCAAGAAGAGAGAAGGAGAAGATGGACAAGGCGCTGTTCTTTTTGGTCTCCTCATTGCCATGTATCTTTCCTAAGAAGGATCACATATAATATACATTCGGGAGAGGTCACTTACCTAGAAACTGTACTTCACCATCCGCAATACTCCGTCCTCGCAGCAAAGAAAACGTCTCGCCACATACCACCCCCCGTAGGAGAGGTCACAAGCTCTTCCCCCATACGACCCCCACGGCCCAAGCACTCGGGGGAAGGAAGCGAGCGTTCAGCCCGTCATTACATTCGGAACTGTCGACGTGAAGCCTCTCCCAGCTTCTTGTTTTACCCCGGGGTCGAGTGACAGCCTGCTGATCTGGGTAATTGAGACCGGTCTCCGTAAAAGGGCGAGAACGAACACAACTGCATCATCGTGTCCCCAAGAGGTGGAACCCAGCAGGAATACGTACACTCCGAACCTTGTCGATTATTCCCTGCAGCGGATGTCCGTGCTTGGTCGCTGGAGACGATCTGGCCCACTTACCCCAGATTGTCGGCGTCGTACAAAGGGGAAAAGTTGCGTAACAACATTTCAATCTCGACGGATCATCCTGTTCTCCAGGAAACAACTGTGGAGGGATTGCGCTTAGACCCTATGTCCCGTGTGGGAGAGAAGTGGATGTCTGAATGTTTACTACTCCTCTCTCTCTGTGCCTCTTCATCCATTGAAAGGACTGGAAAGAGGAGAGGGGGCGACGATTTGACCCTCTGCCGTTCCCGAGAGAAGGGAACCGGCGGACCAGAAGCGAAGGGACAGTCAGAAGGGCTTCCCCTAATGCAACGTCCGTTATAGGCTGGAAAAGGTTGAGTGGACTAGTCGGAGAGACAGCCAGGGTGTTTTTAGTCTGGTATTTTATTTTTTTTTCAGCGCCCGTGAAACCTGCCGCGCTTTCCCCGACCAAAAAAAAAGATGATATTAGGAAAGAACAAGAGCAAAGAGGCTACCCTAGTCTTAGTCGATCCTAGTGCCGCCTAGACAAGCTCTAATAGAGAGAGAGGCCTGAATAGTTTGGATGTTTACCTAACCAACACTTTGTATAACTCCAGGCGGCCCTTTGAGGAAATACCTAGCTGTCGATACTTGCCCAACCGAGCGAGACTGTGGGGGAAATATTGGTGGCTTTCGGATTTCCAGCTATACGATTCGTCCCTGCAAGTAGGTTGGGGATGTGAGGCGCCAGTTCGACAAGTATATTCTTAAAGGCTCATAATAATTATTATAAGAAGAGTAGGGATTGGGATGAGGTTCTGGGGGCTCGCAAGGCCCTGGTCCTTTCCGGAGGGGGCTCGGCCTTTTGGGCCTTGGGCCTGGCTGGGGCTATTAATATTTCTGACTGTTGAGTTTATGAAGGAGTAGTCATGGGGGAAGGGAGAGAGAGATTAATTGATATAATAATGGAATAGAATCTGGGGGAATCCTGGATGCACTGTATACGACGTGCATTTTTCATGAAACTGCATGTTGAATGCCAACCCCACGAATTCCAAGCGGAGTTTGACATTTCCTGTTCTAGCCGTTTTCTGCTGGGAGGGGGGGTTGCATGACTCTCCGTCATACTATGACTGAGCCCTTGTCTATACAGATGTCTCCAAGGGACTAGAGAGAGAGCAGAGCATGGGCCGATGGAGGTGGATCGTCGCAGAAGAGGGGATCCATAATAATTATAGTGCCCGTCGTGTTTACCCAATTTTTTCGGTATGGGCTCATGGTCCAGGCATCCTTGACTAATGGAAAAGGATGAAAGTTTTTTCAAGGGAAAAACAAGAGAAAGAATAGTAGGGGAACTAATAACAATTGAAAAGAAAAAAAAAAGAAAACGATCGGTTTTCATACAATTCGAGAGGGTCGACGAGGTAAATGTTGAACCATCACATTGCTTTTCTCAGAATTTTTTCTGATTTCTTTTTCCCCCCCCAATTTAATTTTGTCGAGTATTTAATAATAATAATATTTTATTTTCTCTCCTATTTATTTCCCTCTTCTTCACTGCAAATCAGGGCGTCAGATCCAGCATGCTTGGCAGCCTCCCCCGCATGCAAAGTTTAAACCCATTTCTATAACGAGGTTCGCCCTAATTCGTATGACCTCAGGCCTTTTCCATTACACATTTCATTCTGTGGTGCAAATGTCTTTCTCGTCGGATTAAACATTCTTATGGGAGCCGCCTCCCCCACACTTTCTCTGGTTCTTCTAGGTCTTCTTCGACTCTTGCTCTGTTCCTCGTCTGACCTGTTACTACTTTCCTCCTCTGGCTGATTATTCTTCCTCTCGGGCCCTCTCTCTCGGACTCTCTCTCCTCTTTGGCCCCCTCTTCCTTTCTCTACATTTCCCTCTTCCGATCTGCCACCTGATCGGTCACCAGTCCGCCCGCTAACACAGAAACAAAGTACTGCGCTACGCCGTAAACCCATAACCATCGCTTTTCCGTGGACTAGTATTGATTAGTATACTAGTATCCGCCCCCTCCCTCTTTCGGGGCCTATAACTGGGTTATATACTAGTTCCCCCCCCTCCCCGCCACTGGTTATATTCCCAACCCAACCCTCTCTTTCCTCTCCCTCCGTCAGCATTCCCCCAACGCGCCTGGATTACTGGTGCCCATCAACCCGCCCCCGGTTTGGGTCCATGTTCAATGTTGTCCATGCAGAACTCTCTGTATTTTGCGCGCCCAGATTTCAACGGGTCGGCTTTACAGGACGAGTCCTGCTCCGGTAACAACCCCTCGGGCATTTCCATCCCCACTCTTGCCGACATCACCAACGCAAACACATCCGACCATCGCAACACTCTTCGAGCCAGCACTTCCAGCACCAGCACTGGCGCTAGCCCCGATGATACCTCGACGGATTCCCCGGACTGGCCTGGCGACGCGGCCGATCGGTCGCTTGCCGATTTAGATGGCTCCTCCAACAATTATTACCTGTCGCATCGGCCAGACTCCTCCTCCTCGGCCTTCCTCGACGCGCCGCCACAGTTTGACATGGACAACCTACCCAAAGTGGAGGAGTTGGACGACGACATCTCCAGCATCAAACCATCCGATGTGGGGACAGAGGGGCCAAACGACTCGGCAGCGCCCGTCGCCGTTCCACGGAAACGTGGACGACCACGCAAACACCCGCTTCCTGCACCGGGTGGGCAGGTCAAAGTCACCAAGGGTCGATCCAAGACCGGTTGTATAACCTGCCGTCGCAGAAAGAAGAAGTGCGATGAAACCAAGCCAGCGTAAGTGGAGGACTTAGCCCCTGTCGTTCGGAATCACCGATGCGCAGGTATGGATGTTACGGGTCTGACCTGGTCGCAGATGTCTCAACTGTCAAAAGAATGCGGTCGTCTGCGAGGGATATCCCCCAAAGGAGATTTGGAAGAGTGGTCGCCAGAAGATGGCTGATGGTATGTGATCTCTGGCATTCGGAATTCTAAAATTAAAATCTTAGTTTTCCCCCCCTCATTTCAATCTCGACTTGGTCGGTGCATCTCAAATCTGACACCTCCCCCTCTAGCGGTTCGCACCCAGTCCCTTACAGCCGTCCCTCGCAACCTGCCTCTCCTCATCGATGGAATCGAAACCGATATCGATCGCCGTTTCCTCGATCACTTCGTATACGGATTCAGCCGGGTCTTGACCCTCATCAACGATGACTCGAATCCCTTCAAGGAGATCCTTCTGCCGATGGCGACGCAACATCGGGGGCTGATGCACTCGCTCATGTGCTTGTCGGGGTCACATTTGTCGGGTCTCGATCCAGAGCCCAAGTTGAAGGAGCGCAAATACTTCCACTTCCATCGCGCGATTCAGGATCTCAAGGACAATATCACCGCGACGTCATCACAGACCGCAAGCACTAGCACTAGCACGGACACGGGCACGGATCAGGATCAGCAACTACTTGTCGAAGACCCGATCATCGCATCGACTATCGCCCTCAGTTTGAATACGATCTGCGAAGGCGAGACAAATGGCGAGTATCGCCCTCACATGGATGCCGCTCGATACCTGCTACTCTCGCAGCAACCGCGCAATGAGAAGTTCCGCCAATTCATCGTCGAATTTTTCCAGTATCACGACATTTCGAATGCGCTCACCTCTCTGGACCGCCGTCCCTCGCTTATGCAGGGTGGTCTGCGTCTACCCGACTTTGTACCCGGTGCCCAGGCCGGCAACTTCCTTGGGGTGTTTGACGGTCTCTTCAACTATATTTCCGAGGTTACTCAACTGCGAGACCGGATCCGTCAGCGGTTCAACGAGGGCTACGAGCCTGCCGTGGATTATCAAACCCTCAGCGAAGCCGTTCAGATCGACACGGCGATTCGGTCATGGAAGACCTCACATGAGGAGGAATCTCCAAACTGGTACCTGGCTCAACTATATCGTCAATCGACATGGGTATACCTCTACCGAACGATCCGACCCTCGCGACCGAGCGATAAGATTTCCCAAGTTGTCGACGACGGTCTAGGCTACCTGGATCAGCTACCGCAAGACGCGGGAGCCTATAGCATCGTCTTGATGCCGCTCTTCTTGCTGGGATGTTCAGCCTTTGTGCCGCACCAGCGCGAGCGGATTCAACGTGGCTTCGAAACCCTCAAATCCTATTCCAACCTCCGCAACATCGAACCTGCCTTCAAGGTTGTTTCACGAGTGTGGGAGATTATGGATACCAAAATCGAGGACAGTTGGGACTGGGAGAAGATCATTAGTGACATGAACATGGATTTCTTGATCACTTAGGATCTTTCTCGAGGTCCCCTCGCCTCCAACCTAATACCCACCTTACCTCTATGCCCTTGATGTTGATACCCTCTACTCACGTTTTTCTTGGTTACGCTTTCTTTTTCCTTTTTGTTCATAATCATCACATTTGGACTTTATGTCCTGGTCGGACTATGTGAATTTTTGGACTCTTAAGCATAACGGTTTTTTCTGGAGGTTGTACTATGATTGCGTGGCGTTTTTCTTTTCTGTTCCCGTGATATCTCTTGTTTCTGTTCTCTATGAACCATGCATCTGCATTTGGGAAAGGCGGAGGGCCCGACTGTTTTGAGTTTTTGACTTTTTTGCACTTGTTCTTCATTTCTGAATGACTGGCGAATTGCAACCCATTGACCCCGCAGTAAGGGGGGCAAATGTGGAGGGAGTGCATGATACGAGCGAGAGATGCACGCAGAGAAAAAAAAAGGGTAAACCTGTCAAGCAGTCTTGACCGCTTGATCTGGACTTTCCCTTTTTTTCCCCTTCTCATCTCCGCTCCTTTTTTGTGGAGAGAAACGTGTACATTGAGTTTTTTTTGTACATTTCCCCCGCTGGCTGTTTTCAGGGGTGGGAACAAACACAAAGTCAAAAGCAAAAGCCCGCAAAAAAAAGCACTATGGTGTTTCTAGTCTTGGAGAGGGTGAAAATTTTTGGTATTCTTGAGATTTATAGCGTCAGACGCTATCATCTCGTCATAACCACGGGGAGGCGTTTTTTTTTCTTGTTCTCCCTGGATTGGACGGTTGATGGGGTTGAGGTTTCTTGAATATGCGTTTATTTTCACGGATCTGTGTTGTATATATCCCTGATCTTCTGTTGTGTATGTATTGCTCGCAATGGGAAGTTGTGAATGTCTGTATACTATGCTGAATGCAAAAAAATTATGATTATGTTTTTGATGTTGGGATTGAGGGGGTGTTGTCGTTGAGTTAGAGTTTGAGTTTGAGCTCTACCTTTTGGGTTAGGAAAGTCTCCTTTCCTTCGCCGTTCAATGGGGTGGGCCTGATAAGGCTAGTTCAGGGTCTGGTCAGACGATATATTCACTCAGCGAAGTGTTTTGTGCTCTCAATAGTGCCTTCTCAGGCTGTCGATGTTTTGATAGAACCCTAAGGACAATGATGCTCGTCCACCGGCTTTAGCAGCTCGAGTCCGGGAGTGTAGAATTCAGCCACTTCCCCTTATATCAAGCTTGGGATCGGATAACCATGTTCAATCTTCTCGATTTGTTGAAGGTATAAATTTATCTGAGTCAGTAAGGGCTTGAAGACGCAATGCTGACGAGCTACTTGATAGCTGGAAGGTAGAAAGCTCGCTATATAACGAGTCTATTGATTAGAAGATACTATATATCTGCTTGAAATTTGCAGTCGTCATAGAAAAATCAATTACACCTTGTGTTGTCCCTATTCCACTGCATATAAAGGGTAGTTCCATTGCTCCGAAGCTCACATCCAAGGTTATGCACCGAGAGATATATGGTAGTGGCGATGACAAGTTACCTCATTAGGACGCGGACACAAGCCATGGGTCTCTGGCCAACAACTATTCGCGTATATCAGACCTTTCATCCATGGAACGGACACACTGATTAGGATGTGGGCCAATCTTTTGAAGTCGCCTAAATTTGATAACAGTGTCACACCTACGACGACATTGATATTTGACCCCAAGACCCTCGTTTTTCTCCCACTCCCCCAAAACAACAGCAACTCCAAATTTCTACACGGCCAGTCTCCATCACACTCATGGAGCTGGTTTACGCTGACCCGATCCCTCGGGATCTGAAGCTCAAGATCGCTCCTCTGAGAGGGGACCAGCAATCCTGCCCGCCAGTCGTCAACGGTGGACGACAAATGCGTCGAATCGACAGTACGTACTGGACCTCCTCACCACATACCCCAAGAAATCATCACTTTATCTTACCATCCTCATCCAGAAACAACCTCAGAAGCATGGGGCCCACCCGTCTTCGCCAACCGCCGCGCCTCCGTTGAACCAAGAATAACAGCCCAGAACGAAGACATGTTCCGCACCTTCCACCCAGCCCTCCGCTCCGAACCCGAAGTCTTTGCTCTCACAAAAAGAAGCAACAACAATCAAGTCTGGCTCGTATTCCCCCGCAAAGGCGACAGCGGACCCTTCACGCACGTCGGTGGCCGAGCAGTACACACCCAGCCCTACTTTGAGACGCCCACCGAGCACGGGATGGAATACGCGATGACGAAGGAGGATCCGATTCAGCGGGATATTGATGTTCATGAGCCGTTGTCACAGGAGGATTTGGGAAAGATTAAGGCGGTTTTTCCCCGGGGGGTGGGCGTTCAGGTTTTTCAGTGTGAGTGTTTGATCGTATTTTTTGGGGGGAGGGAGGATATGCTGCGGTCTTGGGAGGATGGGACGCCGCCGAGTATTGGGGGGTTGATGGTTGGGTATCGGTGTTAGGTTGGATGGGGATGGGTTTATTGTTGGAGTTTTGTGGTCTAGGATTAATAACTTCATTTGCTGTCTTTCCATGATCGCTCTGAGATCTCTTCTATGCCGCGGATGTCTTGTGTCGGCTGGCTATGAGGAATTTAAGCCGTAGAGCTTAACCCGCGAATCAAGCTCGTCAAATCAGAGCGCAGTACGCTATTGAAGCACTGAGTTTTGTAAGGCATCACTTGCGAAGAATGCTTGATTATCGTTGAGCTCGAGACTCTGTATTGTGGCTGTCTGTGAAGTTGGGATGGGACGTCAACAAATAGATTGCCTCTACGCCATAAACCGCTTCTCAAGCTAGAGTTTCTTAGTGCAAGAAGGGTATTCTCATTCTGGGGTTCTTCCTCCGAGTCTTTCTTAATAATAGCGAATGATTTGACTATGAGATCGCTACCTCGAGTATGATATCGACGCCCCGAAAGGCTTGATATTGCTCTACTTTACTAAGGTTGCGACACTAGCCCTAACCCATATCTCAAGTTGATCGAAGACAACATATTCAATCCCAGTAGCTCGAAGGGTCTTACAAGACTTATTAATGTAGCAACTAACCAGGGACCACTAGCGGATCCATAGTTCGAAGTTGGAACGGCGCGATATGATCGGACAACGGCAACAAAGATACGCTTTTGGCATTCATGGATTTTCCGACGAGCTTGTAGAATTCAAATCCCGATAAAATACCAGGCAGAGCCGAACTGAGAGTCCCTCGATGGCTATCTTTGGTTTTGCGAAGAAGAAAATGGTTCGCGCTATCGAATCGGGTATCCACATGGAACGGAGCTAGGGATCTTTTGCCGAGAATATTGTGACTTCACTTTAAACATGACAGTATACACCGAGAATAAAGGAAGAATAGTAAACTAGGTACAAATGACCTTTTCGATAGGATCATCCAAGCTCGCCTCGAGTGGTCTGCCTCTCGAACAGAATTGCTTAATGGCTGATCTTGGGCAATTCCCCTATCGAGCGCCAATCTGGCCGATCTCAAGCGGGACCACAGTCGGCTACCCGGGATCGGTTCGTCTTTGATTATCCATGCCGAAGCGATATTCTTACCAATCGTGTCCCACTCTTCCCGTGGGAGCCCGGTAGCGACTTGGAATGTTCACTCGGATTTTCCGAGCAGAACCCCACGTGGTTATTGCCGGCGAGCTTGTTCCCTGGTTTTCCACGGACAATATGAGACCCTTGACCTAGATACGACAATTAATAATGAAAAGCCGTCTTAAATACTGAAAGATTTTCTCACGGTTGCTATTGGTAACTTGGCTAGCTTACACTCATTACTTCCTCTCACACGAGTCTCCTAATTGGTCGTAGGTTTCTAAGGCCAATATCTTTAACCAGCTAAGGGTGGCGTTCGGATTGCGAGATTTTTCTCGTATCTACTTCCTTGAATCTATTTGGCCGTAAACAGCAGCCTATTTTCTAGCGGGCCCTTGACTCCACTGGTTGATCCAGCTAGCCCGTCACTAGAATTACCGAGAGGAACATACGGAGTACTGTAGTGTGTATATAAAGTCCTCAGGCTTTTCCGCTCGTTTTGAGCGTCTGTCAGACTTTCTTTCGTTTTTTTCACGTCTCATCTTGACCATTGTCACTCTTTCCGGCATCTGCCAGTGTCATTCGTTTGATCTATAAGCATGCGTCTGCTTCAAGTAGCCGCAGCAGCCTCCTCTGTTGGAATTGCTGCTGCCGCAGCCATTCGTTCTTCTCAGCCCTCCGAAAACACTTGCTCCAACTCTATCTTTACAGGCGAAATTCTGCATCTCTCTCTAAACATCATCGAGTATCCCGTGATCGTTGATGTTGAACTAAAGGAAAATGCTGTCGTCACCATTGACAATACTATTCTCATCGAATGCACTAATGCCCCAACCCATCTGCACACAACAGTTTACGCAACTGAGACGGCTACTGTGACAAAGACCATCTCGACTGCTACTATTACTGCTCAGCAAGTAGCCACTGCTTCGAATGAGGCCACTCGTACCGTTTTGACCCAAATTGGATCAAAGGAGACTTCCGCCTCGGATGCAAGCACTCGTACTGTTTTGACTGATGTTAGCACCCAGGGACACTCCAAGCCGTATGTGTGCCCTCTGTTCCTATCAGATGCCAAATGGGCTCAATTTTGCGAGACAACTATAGCTAACAAATTGAAGAACTGACGCCATTGCACCTGTGGCCGGTGGCTCTGCCGTCGGATCCGGTGTCAACACTGCCCTCTATACTGCCTCGACTTCCAACACCGCTGTCCACACAGTCGTTAAGACCACGGTCCACCACGGCACCACTGCTACCAAGACCTATACTATCACTGCTGCCTCCACCATTGCAACCCTTGCTGCCGGTGAATGGACGGATTGGACCAAGTTCAAGGCTAACGGCGTCAACCTGGGAGGTTGGCTGGAGCTGGAGAAGGTCTTCAACCAGTATTGGTGGGATCAGTATGCCCCAGATGCCGATGACGAGTGGACCTTCTGCAAATCTTTGGGTTCTCGTTGTGGCTCTGTCATGGAACACCACTACGCCTCTTATATCACGACTCAAGATATTGACAAAATGGCAAAGACTGGTAAGTTTCTTTAAATACTACTTCTCTCCATGAGAAATAAGGCTTGCGGTTACTGACAAAGGATGAAAAACAGGAGTTAACATTCTCCGTATTCCGACTACCTACGCTGCTTGGATCAAGGTCCCCGGCTCTGAGCTGTACCACGGAAACCAAAAGGAGTACTTGAAGAAGATTGCCGTCTACGCCATTGAGAAGTACAACATGCGCGTCATTGTTGGTCTGCACTCTCTGCCCGGTGGTGTCAACTCTTTGGATATTGGCGAGGCAATTGGCCACGACTCGTGGTTCTTCAACAGCACCAACATGGCATACTCCCTTCAGGCTGTGGACGAGGTCCTGAGCTTCTTCGTTGAGACCGAGTACCCCTGGGCTTTTACTCTGGCTCCTATAAACGAAGCTTCGGATAACCCGACCAAGTTCGCTTCGACCGAGACCATGACTACCAACGGTACTGCCTGGGTGGTTCGCTATGTCCAGGGTGCCCTGTCCCGTATTGCTCGCGTGGACAAGCGTATCCCAGTGATGCTCCAGGATTGCTTCCTCGGCGAGGAGCACTGGTCTCCCTACTTCGCCAACGGCACCAACCTGGTGATCGATACTCATGTGTACTACTTTGCTGCCTCCGGTGTCTACTCGCAGTGGGCCAGCGGCGCGATCTGCGGTCAAGCCTCCGTGCTTGGTGGCGACGGCAAGTTCCCCGTCTTCGTGGGTGAGTGGGCTCTGCAGACATTGTACAGCAACACCTTTTCGAACCGCAAGACGCTGTTTGACACTCAGCGCTACGCCTGGAGCTACTATGTCCAGGGTGGTACCTTCTGGAATGCGAAGCACAACAGCAGTGCCGTCGTGGATGGTCAGGGTACCCAGCGGGACTATTGGTCGTATGAGCGATTGATCGATGCTGGTGTGATCACTCGTGCTGCCACGAATGTAACCTACTGTTAAGAAGAGAGGCGAGGCTTGACAGAAAAGCCACAATTTTTGAGCCAGAGGGGCAATATATAAGTAGGGTTAGCCAACACACTAATGTAATGATAAGATCATATTGGAATTCAACCTAATGGATCATTTCAAAATTGGGAACAGATGGGTAAATTGTGTCTTCCCCAGATAATGATTTATGAAGCTATACCGTCCACTTGCCTCGTTCCGTGGAATCGCTTCGCGTCGGCTTCGCAGTAGCGCGGAGTTACCCCGAGTTGGTCCCGCCGCCCGTCAGTCTGATTTCCCGAGGTCGGCTTCTGTTATCCCGAGCTGCCACCCCACGTTTGGGTGGATTCCCCCTCTTATTGATCATTTCGCCCACATTTTTACAAGTTTTTGCCTCATCTCAGAATTGATCTTAGAAAGAAAATTCCGACACAATGTCCTTCTCTACTTCCATCCGCTCAAGCCTTCAGGGCCCTACCCCAGCCTTTGGCTTCTGGCTCACGTACGTTCCATCTTGACTCGGATCGAAGTCCGGGGACGCAAACCCCACCAGAGACTGCGGAGGAATGAGGGAACGTATGCAAGAAATTAGTGGCTAACATTACTTCGATATACAGTCTTCCTAGCTCGGGCCTTGCTAAGACTATTCTTCACGGAGCCTCCGGGTCTTCAACGAGGTTTAGCTGGGTTCTGGTTGATGCGGAGCACGGATTGATCTCCGACCAGCACTATTATGATGTGAGTGATCAACCTTCATGCTGTTATACGTTCAAAAGTGATCTAATGTGTGGTTTTTAGCTGAATAACGCTATCGGCCACGAGTCTGCCAGCCCCATCATCCGTGTGCCCTGGGGCGAGGAATGGATGATTAAGCGTGCTCTCGATTCCGGTGCCCATGGAATTATGACTCCTATGTGCCATTCCGCAGTAAGTTCAAGGTCGACTACAAATTAGTCAGTTCGAGAGGAGAAGCTAACATTAAATCTACTACTTCTCACAGGAAGACGCAGCCAAGATTGTCAAGTACACCCGGTATCCGCCTCAAGGCACCCGCGGCTACGGCCCCATGTTCGCTCCCCACTCGCTCCCCGGCGTGAACCCCGGTGCCGACTACGACGACCAAGCCAACGCCAGTATCACCGTTTGCGTGCAAATCGAGTCGCGCCCCGGTGTCGAGAATGTGGAGAAGATTGCCGCCGTGGACGGCATCGACGTCCTTTTCATTGGACCCTTCGACCTCGCTAAGCAGATGCACGTCACTCGCGGTGGTGAGGAGCACGAGGCTGCTATTAGGCGCATTTTGAGCGCTGCTCACAACGCCGGCAAGAAGGCGGCTATTTTCTGTAAGTGGTCACCCGACTCATACTCATGCACGTTGAGAGCTGGCATAGCTAATGGATTTAATTTCTAGGCACTGATGGCAATGATGCTCGCGCTCGTGCCCAGCAGGGCTTCGATATGATCTCTGTTAACACCGACGTTGGTGTTATCCGGGCTGGCATGCTGAACGAGCTTAAGACTGCTAACGGAGAGGAAGTGCAAGGAGGTCCTCGTCAGGGCTACTAGATAATGCCAGATCTATCATATATATTGAATGAGATAGAAAAAGCACCTGGGAACTATAATAATAGCGAAGGTCTAACAATTTTCCAATTTAATTTTGTCTCACAATAGATATCCGTCTTTCTGACCGAGATCGCAACGAAGGGGGAGGGGGTGTGCCGGTGTTCCTGCTGAGCAGACGAGTCGCCCGATGAAGATCTTCTCGCACTGTTGATTTTCTCCATCATCTATTACTTTATGATTATACTCATGGCACTACAAGAGACTCTCGTGACACTACAACGCTAGGCCTAATCCCAACCTGAAGGGATATATACACCTTACGAATGGAACATGACGACATCTGTCCTCATGGATGTATAGTGGTAGTCTGAAAATTTACAATAAGGGGTAAAGAAAGATCTAGCTACAAACGTTTTAGCCTTTCCTATTTCTAGGTCGTTTTCGGAACGTCTTTTTAATTCTTTCCAAAGAACCCTATAGCACCAACATGACGCCCAACATGACGCGAAGACTGTACCGGGAAGCTAACGAGCTAGTCCCCTTCTGGACCACCACCAGTGCTAACTTCTCGATTCCATACTTCCCTCTCAACCTCTAAGTTACCTTTTCCTCTACTCTTATATAACCCATTCCTTATGATGAACTGTCCTGGTACCTATTCTAAGATGCCTCCCCAAAATCTTCAGACTTTATTTTCCGCTAAGGGCTTTAAGTCCAAGTCCGAGTTTACAGCCTTTGTGCTGACGGCCTTGGAAGAGCGTTATCAACCTACGTCTGCGTCTCTAGACTCAGATATTTATTTTGTTGATATACCTCAAGGTTGGGGGAAAAGGGTGTTTTTCGCGGTTGTGCACCGCTGGGAATACGGGAATCTACGGTATGTAACTCTTTCATGACTCTCCGGTGACTCTAACATGGCTAACCTAGACAGGAAAACCAGGAATTCGGTAGCCCAGACTCTACGGTTTAGAATGCCAAGTCCAACCCATAATTGCGCCCAAAGCTGGCTCGCACATTGCTTACTAGCGTGGCAGTTCGCTGGGGATCTATACCTAGAGGAGGTAGCCTCTCTCAATGTCGTAGCTGGGAATAGGCTTGAGCTTTCGCGATCCTTGTACTCCAACAGTCTTAAGGAGCCTGATGTCTCTCTATATCCAGACGGCTACGACCTCCGTCCACCTAATGCCTTCGAAGTTAGCTGGTCAGAGACTGCCGACGGACTCGATGCTAACGAACTCGATGCAGACGCTGAACTTCTACTCCGAGAGAGTAACCCAGCAATCCGCGTCGTCGTCAACATCAAGTGGTGCATCGATTCTAGCTCTAGAACAGTTAGAGGGACTCTTAGCGCTTGGAGACTGGATCCGTACGAGACACCCTATATGACCCAGCATGAAGTGATCTTCCCCGCCCCTCAACCGCCCCGGCCGCAGTATCTTGAGCTGAGTCTTACGGATATATTTTCATCGGCAGTAGCGCCTGGCCGAGACCCTCTCGATGCTCTTCGCCTAGATATAGGCTTACTTCGACGCAAGGCTACATTTTCATTCAATGCGATGAACTTGATACCAGCATGATGGGTGGTTATTCCATTGCTAACTTGGCGCCGTGCTCGATGCATGGACGGAGATATAACTACACCCGGAGGGCAGTTGTCCTATTACAAACGAGGTGCTCGCTCTATATAACCTCGACAAAATGGCCCTTTAAATTTGATGACTCTCAGGGTATGGGTCATCTATTGCTTGTTCATAGATGCATTTCTTAAGGCGATCCGGCCTTCGAGTCATGCTGGTAGCCATAGGTTCCAACAGTATAGAGGGAGTTAAATAATCTTCGAAGGATTTATTGATTATTCATTCGTACTATTCTATACTATTCCTATACATTTTCCTATTTGATTTATAGACACTCTTCTTGTATGTTAATATCGAGAATGAATTATTCTTACTACCAAGGATCTTCCTTTTGATATAGAGAAAGGCCAATCTCCACTCTAGTATGAATCAAACCACCTAGCCCTGATAAATACAGTCATTTCCGACACGCTTCAGGCAGAACTGCCATGGGGTACCTGATGATGCACTATATCCTGAAACAACACCCCCGCTTGGCAGTGTATTACCTTTGGAACACGGGTTTTCACCAGCCTTGTCAAGCGTGGACTGGAGCATGGAACGAAGAACTTTGCCGGTAGTGCTGCAGTTTCGAAAAATCAGTAAAGTCTTCTCTTTTGCTCTAAGAGCGGACTTACAGAGGATTTGTTCCACCGTTTTCCGAAGTATCCCACCCGACAGATACTTGACAACTGTACGCAGTGTAAAGATCACACCACTTATACGAGGTTCCGTCCCTGGTGTAGCATCCACCAGCTTTGGTCGGGTCGATCGGATCCGCTGAGTCAGGGATATCAAGCAAAAAAGCAGAGCAATCATCCTGTATTGGGGCGCCTTGCGCCTCGCACACCTGGTCAGGAGTTGTAACCGCATCGTCATTGTCTGGAGTATCTTCAGGGTCCCCGGAAGGCTCAGGCTCATCACGGGGAAATGTGTTTTTCCATTTTTGCTTGAAATAGGCTTCTGTCGCTAGCCACGTGTAGCTATCAGAATTGGCAGTTATCATTTTTGGTGGGACTTTAGACCCTGCGTATTTGGAGCATTTTATCCATCCATAGACTGAGGTTCTACTGAACCCAGGAACAGTCAAGAACATATCTCCGACTTTCATAATTTTTGTTAGTAAGATATTCTCGTCTGGGTTTCTCTTAGGACTTACTATGATGATCGGTCGGTCTGTCATGGAAAAAGTCCCTAGTGTTGAATGCAGTGTAATAAGTAGCAGGGTAAACATGCTAAAAACATAACCATATATCAGTTTTGGATCTGAATTATAGCCTTCATATAGCAAATATAACTCACAAACATTTCATGAAGGAGGAAATGCTCTATAGGTCAAGTCATGTCATTCAGAGAACAGATCTGATAAGTCCAAGGGAGTCTTTCAAGGCCTACCGCACGTGCGCAATTCCCAAAGATCCGTTGTTGGCTTTCCTTTTGCGACATCTTTTAGGTGCTTCCAGCCGAAGTAATCAGGACAGAAGACCATTTGTAGTGGGAGTTGTCGTGTGACATAAGCCATACTGTCAAAATCCGAGTTAGCAATTTTAAAAGTAACATTTTAGTTTTTCAGTTTATCTTTGATGACTGACACTCCTGCAGTTTTACACGTTCCTTCAACATCCTCACAGGTAAGCCATACTTTAGGATCACTGGTTTTGCCTTGAAGTAGGTCTCTGGCTGCTTGGTAGTTATCTAGAAGGTAGAATGATGCTGTTAGAACCCAAACGCTGCTATGCTAGGTTAAGGCGTGACGTACTCAAAATGTCATATTGTTCGCCCTAGTGTCACAATATCAGTAAGTCCAAATTTTGATATCCTCTTAAATAACTTACCACCGTCCAGCCGGTCCCAAAATACTTGATGAATACATCATTACTTCCCGTAACAGGGAATGTCGCTTCAATAAGCTCATCAACATCATTCAGTGCTCGATTTATTCTCTTCACCTGGTCTGCGGAGCATGACTTGTGAATTTTATCAGTGCTCATAGCGGGACGCAAGTTCGACGACCTTAGAGCCTGATTTCTCGCGTTCAATTCCAAGGCTTGGACACAGCTAGTCCACAAAAGAAGCCAGAAAATACCCAGCAACATCGCTCTTGGTTGAAATGGAAGATTCGAATAAGGAATAAGGAATAAGGTCAGTTAATCGGCACTGCGGCGGAAGACGCAGAGCCATTTATTTATGTTTGTTGGATGTCGAGCAAGCCTGCGTACACCCAGATGCCTAACGGCCGTAGTTGACTTTCAAGTCATGAGACATTCATACAGACTAGTACTGGGCCCATCAAATTGGAAAGATTGACGATTGATCGTGTGAGAATTCGGAGAAATATCCTTAGGTGCCGGCTATACCGTGTTACGAAGTGCATTTCGAAATTTACACAACGCTAGGTAACGGTAAATTCGACACCGAAAACGGCTACTTTTGACGCTGATTTAAAGCGTCATTTGGGACCTCAGCCCATGAAATACTTACATAATTAACAAGCTCGGCCCTCTCCTATCAGTCTTCCTAGGCGGGTTCAATAGTGTCCATACCTCACTGCATCTCCAACTACCCCGGACTGTTCATGCCATATACATGGCTTCCGGCATCCTTAAGCCCTTGGCTGTATTTTGCAGCCAATCTCAGTCACAACGGTACATTAAAACTATCAGAAACCTAGGTGATGCATGGCGCACCCTTGCTGAGGAGCCTATCACGGAGTCTGATCGGAAATTCGCTTTCATTGAAACGACATTCGATTTCACGTTGAGGATCACGAATGGGCTGGAGGATGCGACATCAGTTGAGGTACTCTCCCCATTTCCGCTGTCTGATCTGGAGCATTATAACGCCTGGGTCGATTGCTACAGCGGCTACTTTAAAACAAGATACGAAGACACCAAAGATTACACGGCGAATATGTTCCTCAGTGCCTCGGAGGAGGTCGCATGGAATGTAGCAGGTTACCTGCTTGCTTGGCGCATTGCGATCTCCCCCCAGATTGGAAGCATTCAGTACTCGACCGGCAATTCGAAGTATCTGTTGGAAAAGGGGAATGAGACGAGCGTCACTGTGCAGTCTTTGAAGGATCAAGTGGAGCTTTTGACTAAAGGAGAGCCCACAGACTAACAAATCCGTGGGATCCACATGTCTTTACCCAACTCAGTGTGCTCAGGGCAGCTGATCCAAGATGATATGAGGGGCTAATCTATTCTTTATGCGCTTGAGGGGCTGTGGAGTCGGGTTAGGCTTGTCTTCCGAGAAATAGGAACCTTTCGTTTCGTCGTGGGAAAGTCTCCATCTGCTGACTGTTAGAACTAAATGGTAAAATCCTTATGGACAAGTCACAGAGCCCAATTGAAAGTTGTATTTTCATATCTTTCCACGGTGGCGGGTGCTAATTCTCGGTGGCAGAAGGAACTGCCACTGGTGAACGAACCGGCCTATAGGACCCCCCGAGGTTCCTTATTTAGTAAGGAATCTATTTACTAGTTAACTATGTTAGTAGTTGAGTAGACTTTAGCCATTTGTGATCTGCAATCCGTCCAAATCCCTATCATGACTTACTGATACGGCCGTACGCAAAGTGTTAGTCTCGAACAAAATCATTAGTCCGGCATTGTCTCAACTATTACTCGGCTAGAAACCCTTCTTTGCGAAGGATTAGTTAACGCAAGCAAGCATTGAATTTATCGAGTGTAGCTCGGCCTCCGGCCTGCCGCCTAAATCGTCTGATTCCGAGGGTTCAGTAGCAAGTAGCTCCTTGTTATATAGAGAAGATGCGGTTAGCTGCGTAATCGGCAGTATACCCTCATCGGACATTCTGGCCTATGACTATGCCAGAACAAAGGTGATATCTTCAACCCCCTCCGTACTGCGTGCCCTATAATTGCTTCACATTTTAGGAGAGATATCAATCGGATATATAAATCGATCAAGATACGTCGGGTCGAGGCCTACAATGTCCAGCATATGTCGTGATTGGCCCTTATGCCAGATCGACGCTAGCCCACTCGCTATTGGTCGCCTAAAAGTCTACAACATCCTATTTAGGTAAGATGGAGAATTTCTCATTCGCCCTATGGTGTCTCTGGTTTTTGATTTTCGACTTTCATAGTATATAGTATCGTGATGTCCGCTTTGCTTTCAATACCCCTTCACCAATGAACCATCAAACGCCGTCGTACAAAATGAGCATCATCACAACCTCATCATTGCCGATCACGAGACCTGATTGGCCACTTTGAGTATCTCGCTTCGGAGGAATCGAAGCAAGGCGCCACGTGTGCTGAGTCAGGCAAGGTTGTAAAGGAACTTGACCAATCAGAATGTCTCCGGGCGACGGGTCAGTTTACAGTCCGGGGACGATGGTGGGCCGAAAGCACGGGAGGTTCCCCCCAAGACTTGGCTTCGCTTCTTGTCGGCCTGTGAAAACATCTTCGCGCCAGAAGTGAGAGATGGGGACTTCCTTCCCTCAAGAGTCCCGATGCTCAACTATTTCCTACGTTGGGAGGCCTTCTCTAATCTGCGTTCATTCAACTTCATTTCGTCGCGGCTCGCTCAATTGAGGCCAACCCAGAATTCGCTCTAAACTTTGCAAAAGTCTGGAAATGACGTTACAGTCTTAGGAGAAGCGGATTTAGGAGCCATCTGAGGTTGAAGGATCAGCACTGGCCTTTGCGATGGAGAAAGACGAAACAATCACCGATCTTGCGACTGACAAGGATACCGGCTTCGATGCGGTCCTCCACGATGCAGTGTACAACTTATCACTGCGCGCGGTCAATCCAGTGGACGTCAATGTGTGTGGTCTATCTCTTGATATCAACACTGCTCCCTCAATGTGGGAGACATCGCCATCGCAACTCTGGCGTCGCCTGCACGGTCAGAAACCAGAAGGTACTTCGAAAAAGGTCCTGGATGGTGTCAACGCGGCGATGCCAAGCGGCAGCTTAACAGCCATCATTGGAAGCAGTGGATCTGGCAAAACATCTCTCCTCAACATGATGGCTGGTCGTATGTCCCTCTCGCGGGCGACGGTCGCTGGATGTACAACTTTTAATGGAAATACCGATATCGACAGCGTTCGCAGTGCCTATGTCATGCAAGAGGATGTTCTTATCCCGACCTTGACTGTTCGTGAGACCCTACGATACTCGGCTGATCTCCGTCTCCCACCACCGACAACCCAGGAAGAGCGCCATGCCATAGTGGAGCAGGTTATTCTCGAACTTGGGCTGAAAGAGTGCGCCAATACCCGCATTGGAACGACCGCGCATAAAGGCTGCAGTGGAGGCGAGAAGCGACGCACAAGTATTGGTGTGCAGTTACTCGCTAATCCATCAGTGCTTTTTTGCGATGAGCCGACAACAGGTCTCGACGCAACCAGTGCTTTTCAGATCATCCGAACGTTGAAGCGACTCGCCCAAGATGGTCGGACGGTCGTCGTGTCTATTCATGCTCCTCGATCTGAGATCTGGAGTCTCTTTGACAATGTGATTCTTCTGGCTCGCGGTTCCGCACTGTATAGTGACCCGGTGAGCGAGTCGCTGGGGCACTTTGAGCAATGCGGTCATTTTTTGCCTCCTTTTGTCAACCCAGCCGAGTTTCTCATTGACTTGGCTGCTATCGATAATCGGACCGAGGAATTGGAAGCAGCATCTCACGTCCGCGTTGGAAATCTCCGCCAGGCATGGCAATCTCGGCTCAAACCAGACACAGAGAACGCTGAGAAGAAGTCACCAATAAAGCCGGCCCTGGAAGGCGTTGATACCGGTGCCATGAAGAAAGTCTCATTTCGCCGCCAGTTCCAAGTCCTCACCTCGCGAACCTTCACAACAACTATTCGTGACCCAATGGGTGTCGCTGGCAGTCTTCTCGAAGCTGTCGGCATGGCTGTAATCAATGGCTGGATCTTCCTACAGCTCGACGAGAGTCTAGCTGGCATCCGTTCACGACAGGGTAGTCTATACACAGCTAGCAGTCTGAACGGATATCTGATTCTGCTATACGAGACTTACCGTCTAACAATTGACATTCGTCTTTTTGACCGAGAACGCAATGAAGGTGTGGTTGGTGTTCCAGCATTCCTGTTGAGCAGACGAGTTGCTCGTTTCCCCTTGGAAGATCTCCCCGTGCCGTTGCTTTTCTCCATCATATACTACTTCATGGTGGGCTATCGGCTCGACGTGGGTCAATTCTTCATCTTCTTCGTGCTGACATTGCTCACGCATTACATCGCGGTGACATTTGCGGCGGTATCTATTGGCGTGGCAAGAAGTTTCCCGGGTGCGAGCCTTGTTGGCAACATGTGCTTCACGCTGCAGTCGTTCGCTTGCGGCTACTTTGTTCAGTCTCAGCAAATTCCCGTGTATGTGAGGTGGCTAAAATGGTGCGCTTACACTTTCTACATTTTCGGGGCGCTGTGCGCGAACGAGTTCATGGGCACTGGAGATTCAAAGATTGGTCATTTTTACGACTGTCCGTATTCTGATGACCCTCTTGACCCAGCGTGCAGAGAATATACGGGGCAATACATCATGAACAGTCTGGGCATGCCATCCAATTGGATTTGGCGACCGATCGTGATCCTGGTCGCGTTTACTCTTGGCCACTATCTGCTTGCGGGTTTGCTGCTACAGTACAATCGCTTTGCGATTGACATTGCGCAGGCTCGAAAATCAGAGGGCGATCCATCAGCAAAAAAGGCCAAGATTGCGATTCGTCCTGCAGAGGAGGCTCGCCGAGTGGCCATCTCGTTAGACAAGTACGCTCTGGAAATTCGAAAGCGACGACTGCCGTGGCAGAGTAAGCAGAAACTTCAAATCTTGCGTCCGATCACCGCCGAGTTTCAACCTGGAGAATTGAACATTATCATGGGCCCATCTGGCAGTGGCAAGACATCATTACTCAACTCTATTGCCCGCAGGCTTCATGGCTCCGCTAGCACACAGTACCGTGTCACCGGGCAGATGCTGTACAACGGGGCCGTGCCGTCGGAAAATGTGATTCGCTCGGTTACCTCGTTTGTAACCCAGGACGACGATGCTCTCATGCCTTCGCTGACCGTTCGCGAGAGCCTGCGGTTCGCAGCAGGCTTGCGGCTGCCAACATGGATGACGCGTGAAGAGAAGAACCGCCGAGCCGAGGAGATTCTTTCCAAGATGGGTCTCAAGGAGTGTGCCGATAATCTAATCGGTAGCGAGCTGATCAAGGGTATCAGTGGAGGCGAGAAACGCCGAGTCTCTATTGCGATTCAGATTCTCACAGACCCCAAGGTGCTTCTGCTCGATGAGCCGACGTCTGGTCTCGATGCTTTCACCGCGATGTCCATCATTGAAGTGCTACAGGGACTTGCAGCCGAAGGCCGGACGCTCATCATGACCATTCACCAGTCACGATCAGATCTGTTCGGCCACTTCTCCCAGGTTCTACTTCTGGCTCGTGGTGGTTATCCCGTATACGCCGGCCAAGGACAACAGATGCTCCCCCATTTCGCGAACCTAGGCCACGACTGTCCAAAGACGACCAACCCGGCAGACTTTGTGCTCGACCTGATCACAGTCGATCTGCAACAGGAGGATCGAGAGGCCATCACCCGCAAGCGCGTCCAGAAGCTCATTTCTCGTTGGCCCGATGCAATACCACAACTAGGGCGAACGTCGTCTCAGATTGCGACTCCGGCGGAGTTGGGTAGTCTGCGACGACAGATGTTGCCCTTCCGTGTGACATTCCCGCTCGTGCTACACCGATCCTTCCTCAATTTCTGGCGCCAGCCACCACTGGTGATGGCCCGGTCGATGCAGATCGTCGGCATTGCGATTATCATGGCGTTATTCTTTGCGCCATTGAAAAATGATTATGCAGCGGTGCAATCTCGTATGGGATTTATTCAGGAGTTTGCCGCTTTATACTTTGTGGGTGAGTTGAACTCTTTTCTTGCCTTCAATAATGTTAGATACTAATAATTGGTATAGGCATGCTCCAAAACATCGCAATCTACCCAAACGAGCGAGACGTCTTCTATCGCGAAGAAGCCGACAACTGTTACTCCGCTGAAACATTCATTCTGGCCTACACGACCATCGAGTTCCCCTTCGAGGTCATATCATCGCTTGTCTTTGGCGTATTAGCCGCATTCGCCGATAACCTCCAACGCAGCGCGCAAATGTTCCTCATCAGCGCCTTCAACTGCTTCTGTATCATCAGCTGTGGCGAGTCCGTGGGAATAATGTTCTGCACGCTGTTCTCGCACGTCGGTTTCGCAGTCAACGTTACCTCCATTCTACTATCAATCTCGACCATCCTTGGCGGCGTAATGAGTCTGAATGTCAACGATGTTCTCCAGGGTCTGAATCACCTCTCGCCCATCAAGTATGCCATTGCCAACTTGGCGCCGTACTCGATGCACGGACAAACATTCGATTGCACCCCTTCACAGCAGCTGGCGGATGGCAGTTGTCCTATCAATACGGGTGAGGAGGTGCTCGCGTTGTATAACCTGGATAAAAATGGACCCATGAATGTGATGGCGCTCGGGGTGTGCACAATCATCTATCGCTTGGTCGCGTATGCATTTCTCAAGGCGATGCGGTCGCATCGAATGATGGAGCGGTGGCGTGAGTGGCGGCAGTCGAGGCAATCAGCTTAGTGCTTTTCTTTGATTTTCCTAGTTTATACCCCTTGCTCATAGTGAAGTGTGTTTCATCTAATCTAAATTTTGGTAATAGTTCTACCAAATATTCGTTCATTGTTCATTGTCTTTGTTTCTGTGTGCATATTTGCCACGTGAACGAGCAGTATCTTGAAATCATCAAGACCTGAGATTTCTCTTTCGGTCTACGTTTTTTTTGGATTTCTTTCTCCTCGTCGGAGGCCACCGGGATGTATACAAAGGCCATTTAGCCGATGGCCACCACAACATAACAACGCCACCTTCCGGTCGGATATTATTGATGCGAAGTGAGCAAGATATCCAATCATCGGCGACCGGGTGATGTTTACTTTGAAGATTCAATTCGCCAAGATCCAGCAGTTAACTCTGGCATTGTGTACCTGCTTTCCGACCGGCAAATCTCACGATGCCCAGCCTATCCACAACGTAAACAGTGGTACGCTAGTACGACAATCGCCTTGTCCTCCATCTGAACACCAGTTTCAAGTGCAAATAGAGTCGATAAAGTTTTGCCGGAGCGGTGTTCTCGACCCTTCTAGTGTTGGCCCCAAGAATTAGCGAGTGCTTGGCGGAGGGGCAGACTGTCGACAAGAATTTACATACTGTATGTAGAGGGCCGGCAGAAGTCTATCGCTGAATTTCCAGAAATGCCGACTATTCTGGTTGACCCATTTAATCAATTCTTTTTGATTCTTTCGATGACCTAAATGCAGTCTGATTGGCGGAGCCAGTCAGAAAAGTATTGTGTTGAACGGTTCGCCCAACATTCAACACCATTGGAACCAAACTATCACACCAAAATGCATCCCCCTCACTTGGCTAACCAGCACTCGGTGTAATGTGGTCAAGCGGAACCAGACTTGAACTCCCAGGAACAAGAGCCATCCTTGCTTCTGAATGGAGCGTACCTTTTCCATTTCCCTTCTCCCGTCTTGTGATGGTGGGGCAGCGAGGCCCATCCAGAGAACGAGTTCAGGTACGGGGATGTACAGCGGATACTCCTACTGCATCAGGCACGATGTCCACTTGAAGTGGTAGTTCCAAGTTCCAATCAACGGAAAACCCTCGCTCTCAAACACCGCAGCCCACCCACGAAAGGTGCGAACAATAATGCCCTGCTGTAATAGGTCAGGATCCCGGCGACTCTGGATCGACAATCATTCGCTCGACCCTGGCCGGTGGAGTCCACGACACGTCGCCCTCCAGGCCCTTTAGGCCCTGAACAATGACCAACACACCAGGCTTTCCATCCGACTGGCGGGTACAATAGAAAACCACTGTAGACTGGGGGGCTCTGCGAATGGCGCTGCACACAAAACGGTGCGGCGGAGTGTGACCCACCAGTTTTTAGGGCGCTAATGATGGATCCACGAATCGGAGGCGAAGGAGGGGAGGAGAAGGGGTCCGTTAGGCTGGCGATCGAATCGGGGCTTTGTTCTGGTGGACTGGCGGGGGTGCCTGTCTATCAGTTGGTCTAGATTGAGTGATCGCCTCGAGTGGGCATGGCTGATTTCTCGAGTTTTTTTGGGGTGCTTGAGTTTTCTTGTCGGTTTTGTTTCGCGCGCGGTTCCACAGACATTCAAGGGCCAATGGGAGTTTGGTAGAGTCATGTTGGTCTTTGTTCGTGGTGAGGGGTTTTTGTTTCGGCTTTGGGTCTTTGTTCAGGGTTTTGTGGATACAGTTTGGGTATACCTTTGTTCTCTTCGAGTGCAAAGAATCGTTGGTAGGTGGAGGGTTGTAGTCGAAAATCTCGAGGTATTACTGTTAAGATGCGAAGTTGGAATGATACGTCCAAAGTCAATCATGAATGTCATCATTCAATCTCTATAAATCTATCTCAAATCATCCCCAATATAAAACTCCGAGAAGATCCTTGAACCTTCTCATATTCCTAATCCGGGGGTATTCAACGAAAAAGGGCATCACAATAAGATTCATCATAGCTCGTAGACGACGTCCTGCCCCGGCGGGAAATCAACCCGCCCATTGGGATAGATAGGCATGTCGAATCAACCGAACATGTTGGAAAAACAAGGCCACCGACTTGGGCGGAAAGAAGAAGGAAATAAGTTCGGAACGAGATACAAAAAGGGAATCACCAGCCCGGAAGGGGTTTTAGGCGAGACGAAGAGAAGAAGTAAAAGACCCTTGAAGGAGTGCTCGGGTCAACCGGCGAAGAAATGGGTTGCTTAAAAAAACGGTAACAAGAAAAGAATGTGGTTGCAACCATTTACTGGCCGATAGTCAAGGCCAGTCCGGTGTTGATGGGGCAGCCGTGAGTGGCGTGGTCATCAGTAGGAATGAGGTAGGCAGCATTGCAAGCATCATCACCAGCCTTGCAGACGGCAGAAGGGCAAGTAGAGGTCGAGTCAGTGGGCAGGACAGCGAAACCGTACTTGGTGAACTGCGAGTCGGAGCCCATGTCAATGCAAGACAGATCCCAGAAGATAGTGTCGGTGGCCTGGGTGTACTCGAACTGCAGGACATCGTTCTGGTTGGGGTCGGTGGACAACTTGATAGAAACACCGCCACCGTTGGGGTTGGTCTTCCAGGCCTCGCTGTAGGTACCGCCGTTGGCAGTGAGGGTCAGCATGGGACCGACGGTGTCGGTGACGGACCAGGCGTAGACGTCATGGCTCAGGTTGTTGGTGATCAGGACGGAGCCACTGGCAGGGGCGGTGTTGTTGCGGCGAACCATGTTGTTCATGCCGGAGGGGAGGGCAGAGGCCAGAGTAGCAAAGGCAGCGGCGATACCGAAAGTCTTGGTGAACATCATTTTGAATGAGTGGATGATATAAAAAGACCGTAGTTGGTTTTTTGTGAGGTTGTTGGTAGAGAGAGTAGGTCTGATCGACAGATCTATAAGGAATGCAATCGAGAATCGATCTCAAAATGAAAGGCAGGTACCCGGAGGGTATGGAAAGAGAGTGGTCTTCAAAAAGAGAGAAATGAGAGACTTGTTTGAAGAAAAGAGGGACCCTGATGAGGGACTGAACAGGGCCTCTTTATAAGTTTCGACAGGGTCCTATTCAGTCGCCCCGGATAGGTACCGAACAGAAAAAAAACGTGAGCGGGTCAGCCATGCAACGGGCATCCATGGATCGAATCGAGGAACAAGTGGACAAGTGGATCCCAAGGCAAAAAAGAAAGGAGTGGGGCAGGGTAGAACTAAAGGCGAATCATAGTTGGGACCAAGGGCCTGGTCTAAACGTCGCATTAACGGGATCTTTTTGTTTTCAATGGACATGGCCAGGGTATGCCTGGCAAATGGGAGAAATTGGAGATATAGAATCAAATAATGGGATAGATTCTACGATGTTAGCCTCGTATACCAAGTCACCTATTGCCTAATTTTAATGTGCGGTGTGATCGGAATCAATAATTGACGTGTCTGGTGGTCTATGGACGGACAACAACATAGTTACTAGTTAGTTAGTAGAAGTACGTGAGTCACTGAAGGAGTTGTTCGTCTGTTGGACATTTCTATAGTGTTGTTTAGTGGTGGGGGTGGACAAATAAAAAGTGCGTGACAATTGCCGCCAGCACGCCCACACCCATAGAACTCTGTCAGAGCCACCACCCAACCCAGCCGTGGCAATAGCCACTTCCCTCTTTCCTCTCCCCACGTCATCCCTTCCGCCCTCATCCGCGGTTCTTCCCAAACGATTTCTCTCCAGCGGCGAACGAGAAAAAAGGACTAAAGAAAAGTCTGACGGTTCGGCTCTCATCCCATGGCAACTCTGCTCGGCAGTATCCATGCTTTGACACATGCTTGCCCGGACCATCTCAACCATTGATACCCTCAAAGTTCCCCATTCTAGAAAACTCGCCCTTCCAGGCTCCCCCTCCCACGGATTCAAATCAACTCGACTTGGGAAAGCTACCAATATTCGGCCCTATAGTACTCAAAAACTGACATGCCCACCATTTGCCATTTGCCATGACAGACATACTAACTGCAAACAAGATTTCCAATTTGACTGGTAGTACCTTGAACCTGCATTAATCGGATATTCGCCGTCCACCAACTCCCGCGGAGCTTCTGAGCCTATGAGATGAGCTCGACATGTCAAACCCACCACACTCTTGCATGATGTATCCTCTCGTTCCTGACTATCACCGTGGCCCAATTCCACTCGAAGAAATTTTCTGCTTTTTTTGTCCCATTATTATTCTTCCCTTTTTTTTACCCACCACACGGTCCCTTCTACTCCACCCCCAGTACCTCTGACGTTGCAGGGCTTTTGGGTACCTGTCGATCGAGCCTGGACTAGGAGGATTGTGGTGGCAATGCGTGGTTTTTTCTGGCCCTTGCATTTTCTCCGTGGCTTTATTCTAGTTTAATATTATGATATCCTGAATGTATGATTCCATTATTGACATGTCTTTTCTGATTTGCTCTTAGATGGTCCATGCTTCCCGAAGCTGAAGACCCTGAACCACTGGTCCAGCTTGTTGACAACCCGACCTATCTACAAATCCACGCGATCATTGACTACACAAGTTAGTACGATTGTACGAGCTGTCAATCCATCATACTTTCTCCTCTACTAGCCTGCATATGCTGCCCTATCTCCGATCGCGCGACAGACTAACAGTAGTCCCAGGCTTAGCCCGAGTCCGTTCCGCAGCCAATGGCCACCTTAACGGACAAAAAGTGGACCAACTAGGCGATTAATAGTTACTAAGATCGCACAACACCGTTCCTCCAACCCATTCACCGAGGAGGAACTCGGAATAGGGCTTGAATGGGGCCTGAACGGGCGGCCCAACCGCCTAGGCTCAGGCTAGACGATCGTTTCCCCCTCTCTCTTTGCCCACCGAGCCCACTTTTCGACTTTCGCCCACGCTAGGCACTTCCAGAATTTGCTTTGGGGGGATTCTAGACCGACTCTTTGGGCTTGTGGGAGTTTATCGGACTTGTTTAGTACCTGCGTTGTGCGCTAACTTTACGGGGGATAAACTCTTCACCTGTTGGGCTTGGGTCTGGAAGGGCTTGGTGTGCCACTGCTCAAAAGTCTCGATTGACTTGGCTGCTTAGAAATTGAGTAGCGTATTTTGAATAGAGAATGATCTTTTTTTGAAATCATCGCCTCAAACATCGTGGTGGGCCGGGGATGGGTCGATGGCGAATTCTTCACGAAATGAACACAATACTCCTTATTCGCATTGTTAGGAAAAAGAAATCGCGGATCGAGAACGATGGCATGATAAAAACTATTTGGTATACTACTGTGTACAGAACGACCTCTCCAACTTCACGCCCTTCTGTGGCACTTCCACCCCGCCTGCCTGGGGCTCCACTCCACCATCACACAGCCACTGCAGTCACCTTCCTGCTTCGGGGCTGATTCTCTCCGTTCCATTTTCGTAGACAGGGATTTGGTGTGTCCCATACAGTCCGATTAGGCCCTAAGGGATGGGCCTGGAGCGGAGGCAATGGATGCCGGGAAAGGCCAAAGGAAGCCCGCCTGGCTGACCCCCGAGGTAAGGTGCCTAAAGACTATACCTGGAAGCCTAGGCCAGGACAATTCCCGTCCTCTCGCTACGTTACCACATTGGTGATCGCATAGCCGAGAGACTGGCCAATGTACTCTCGCCACTTGACTCTTCCTTCTTGCGGTGACCGGCCAACTCCAAGTTAATTTGCCGGTGGACATGCACCAGCCAGTCCACGTAGCTTTGGGCTTCGTTGTTCCGATCCTCTAGCAGTAGCCGGGCGAATTCATACTCTGCCCCGTCGAGGCCTTGTCGAGCCAATTGGATGGTCACGGCCTTGGATCCGCGCACCGTAGAGAAGTACTGCAACAAGTTCCGGACTTGGGCGTTGAGATGTGTCTCCAACACGGGCAACGATGACATGTTGGGGTTCAGCTCCTGGAGCGAGTTGTGTCCGGGACCGAACAGATCCTCAAGCAGATTGGGCGAGACCTGTGCATGCAGCCAGAGGAGAACGGCCTGACCGTTGTCCACAACGTAGACACCGCCCTCCTCGACCTTGGAGAAGCTTGCCCGTACGGCTGGCGGGACTTGGAGCTGACCATACTCGTTGGGGAAGCCATCTTCCGGTTGCATGTTGTGGATGGGAATGATACGGGGATACAGGTATAGAGACATTTCTGTGCAGCCGATTGACCGAATCATGCGCATATCGTGGACTCGGCGGTCGATTGCTTCGTTGCCACCTGCAAAATGAGATTAGCCAGAATGTCACATTTAAACAACTCTTTCCAATCTACTTACCCTTGAATGCCCTGGACTTTACCAGGCTCAGCATATACATTGAGAACTCCTTCAAATTCTCAGGCAAAACCAGTTGTCCAGGAGGGTGTGACCCAGAGAAGATCTTGCGATATCCACTGAAAATATCGACTGTCTTCTCTGAAATGCTGGCTCGAATGTCCTTGAGGCTCTTGTCGAGCGTCTTGGAGGCGGCTGTAGTGGGAAGTTAGCAATGAGACGAAGATCACTAAGCATTTGTTCGACACTTGACTGACCCTCTTTGGCGATGACTGCCACAATAGCATCCTGATCGACAAATTTCATCGTCTCCATACCACCTTCATTAACAGCAGCCACCACATTGATACACCGGACTCGGCGTTGGCCATCTGCAGAGGTATACAACAAAGCGGCCTGGAAGTGAGCATCCAATTTGGGATCCAGTTTCCCATCGTAGCTGAAGAGAACACCAATAGCCTTCTCCGCATCGACGCCGCCAATCTCAAGATCGGCACCCAGAGCGTGTTGTACAAAGTTGCCATGGTAAGAGGAAACTTGAAGACCGTTGGAGCATCGGACCTTCATCAAACACTGGTAACCGGTCTCTCGGGTGATAGCGTGAACCAACTCCTTCCGCACCTTGAGAGCATCGCGGGGCGAGTGGAAGTTGGAGTAGAAGAAAGTCTCGCCTCCAGTAAGCGCTGCCACATGACCTGGTCGTAGAGTTAGATTCTGAAGTTCTTCAATGCCGTCCTTAGCGGTCTCAACATACCAATTGTCGCCACATCCGTGTACGCGCCACCGGGAGACGCAATGAAGAAGTCCACGCCCACGCCTGCTTCGGCCATTTTACTCGCAGTCTTCTTCCATGCCGCATCTTCAGTGGTATACAACTTGCGCTCGCCATCGGTTCCATGAAGGCTCCGGTCATCGCGTTGCTCTGACAGCTTTCCAGGGCCGAACGTCGGCAGGCTTGCCAGCGCGCAGACAATTTTGCCTCCCGTTGGCTGCAGCGCCGAGAGGGCAGCATTCAGAGTAGGAAGCAATGCTGACTCGGTATTCTTGATGTGAGAGAAAATGGTGGGTATCCGGGCTAGAAGAGATGAAATGACGGATCTTTTTGCTCGTTAGTACCTTGACAAGCAGAAAAGCGATAGATTTGACCAGAACATACTTGGATTCGTATGGATCGACGAAGAGACCCTCACTGAGTGGCACGAACGGTTCTTCGAGGTCGGTCATCACCATCATCTGCGCTTGGTTCAAGTTTGCCTGACTCCACGTTAGCTGAATGCGCATTGTTTTGGTTGGCCGGGGCTCATTTACCGTGAGGTTGTAGAATTGGACTTCCTTGTCGTAAGTAACAATGCCAACCTTTGCGCCAGCAGGCAGCTTGCGCGCCTTGGATTCATCGCCCTCGGAGCCATCTACTTCCCCATCCTCGCCATACAAAGCTTCCGCGATACCAGCACAGACGCTCTTCAAGTAGCCACGATGTGACGACTCGCGACTGACATCGATCAAGAACAGAGTGCGGAGACCCACGGGCTCCTTATTCCAGTATTCCTTGGGCACCAAGAACTCGACTGTGCCCATCATCAACTCCGGTCGTTGCATACGATCCACACGCGCACCACTCGGATCCACAGGCGCGTAGTATTCGGCGGGCGTGTCATTGGGGAATGTACACATGTTGCAGACAAATTTGCTGCCACCAGCCCGGAATGACATGAACGGGTTGATGTATGTGCGGCACCGTCTGCAGCGTGGGGGACCGGTATCCCCGAAGTCCAGCACGGGAATTGGTTGTTCGCCAGGGTCCAGTGGTGCAAGCGGCTGTAGGATCATACCCAGAGGGAGACCAGTGGAGGAGAGGAAATCGGACGTCGAGGGAATGTTGTTGAGCGTCAAGCGGGCGTACTTTGGCGACGAGTTGCCCTGATCATGAGCAACGAACGGAATCGAGGCAGGAGGAGGTAGATGTCGATCCATCGTCGGGTAGACATGGTTGAAATAGTACTGAGCAGGTAGGTCTCGAGATCGGGGGATGCTGGGGATCTGTTCAGGGTCAATCCGACCTTGCGTGGCTACCGAGCCCGCGCCACTGGGCATTCCAGGTTGCGAAGTGATTCCCGGCGCAGAGAGCGCGGGCTGGGGAACTCCACCAGGAGCCACCGTGGGCGGACTTTGGTTCAAACCGGTGTTGAGGAATTGAGAGGTTGGTTGCACGCCACCCGCGGGGGGCGCTGCGTTGTTGAAGCCCGGTGTAGCGGCAGCAGCTGAGCCGGTTCCAATGTCATGGTAGGCATGACGGTGCTTCTTTCGGTGTGTCCTAGCTCCAGCATCGGTTGCAATTCCCAAACCACTCATCTGCGAGGCCAGTCCAGTCATATTGGGATCTCCAGCGGTACCTGCTGGTGCTTGTTGGGCGGCATTGTATGCGGCATCAGGGCTCTGGGCTTGGTAGGGCTGCTGAGGAGAGCCGTATGCAGGCCACTGATTTGGCGGAGGGTTGGCATGGCCGGCTCCTGGCTGTGGAGGAGCAGCACCCGGAGGGTAACCAGCGGCAGGGTATGGCTGCGATGATTGAGGGGGAAGGTGTTGTTGAGCTTGGGGGTTGGAGGGGTCATAGGCAGCCTGGCCCATTGCGTGATACATTGGGTCAGCCATGGTGGATCCTGGGCGAAAGGGACAGGGAGCCTAGTGATCAGCAAAGCATAACGGAGGAGGTTTAGAATGCGCTGTACCCCGCGATGTTGACGATGTTGATGATCGGACTGACCACCTTTACTTCCCGCGACGCGGGCCTGCGGAAATAAGTGGCTCCGAGGCTTCACGTGTGGAACCGTTAAAGTATACTCTGTACCTGACTGGAATTCACGACATTCTTGGGTTTCAACTCGATATTCTTTTCTCAATAGTTGCTCATTTGGTCAAGTCTTTCTTTTGTCTTTCATGGAAAAAAAATCTTGTACCCAAGATCACCCATATAATGACTTAGTGGTCTCATCTTGATCACTTTGTCGCCATTTGCCCTCCACCGCCATTCCACCGGGGGAGACACCAGCCATGTAAATAGTACCATTGTAGCCCACCAATGCATCAATTTCTTCCTTCCGTGCTAAGTTGGGCTAGTTAAGAGGCCGGAAGCCCCGTCCGACTGGGGAACTTGAGGACCTTCCGATAAGCCTGCGATACCGATGCATGTTAATCCCTGATCCTCGCATACTTTTTCAGTGGCCCATTGAGTTCCTCCATACCCTGTCGTTTATTCACGAACCCCCTATCGCTTGACTCACTGGCTCATAACCGAATCAACGGAGTCGCGCTTATCGGATTGCGCACATCACGACAGTACTCGCATATTCTAGCCCCCGTTAGGGCATCTGAATATTTTCTCGTCTCCCATTCATACCGTCTGCTCGCTCCTAAATCGGAACTTGGCCCCTCCATCTGGCGTCACTGCCGGACACCCAAGATACATTTTCCGTACAGTCCCTAGCATATATCCTAGCGTGCATGGTATGTCGCCTCCCTATTAATTATTGCGTGCTCCTATCTTTGATTTTTTTTTTTGCTTTTTCCTTCCCCTCAACCTTATCTCTTCTCCTCCTTTGCCATCCACTCATTACGATGGACTCGACGGCTAAAACCCTCGACCCAGATCGTAAATCAAAGGGTAGTTCGCTCACGATCCCTCCCCCACCAGTATCTCCACCAATGGCTACGATACAAGATGATGATGAGCTTTTGCTCGCCCGAATTGGCTACAAACAGGTACGTGCGCCCGCAGTTTCCCATGGATCCTGCGGGTACTGCCGCTAACCTTATTTCCCCGGTATCTAGGAGCTTCGACGAGAATTCTCCAAATGGTCCACTGTGTCCTATGCCATTAGTATTTTGGGAGTCCTAGGAAGTGTGCCTGCAACGCTAGGCCAACCTCTTATAGTTGGTGGCCCGGCCACGGCCGTATGGTGTTGGCTAATCGGCTCTTGTATGGCTCTGGCCATCGGTAGTTCCGTGGCCGAATTAGTGTCTGCGTACCCAACCGCAGGGGGTATGTACTATGTGACAAAACATGTGGTACCCCCCGACCAAGTCCCTCTCTTTGCTTGGACTCAAGGATGGTGCAATCTGCTGGGTCAGACAGCTGGTGTGTCGTCGGTCGCGTATACCGTCTCTCAGATGTTACTTGCTTGCGTCAGCATGAATTCGGATCTCATCAATGGCGAATACTCATATTCACCGTATGTGAATACCTTCGGGGTAACTGATTAAATTCTAACAAAGTCTTAGAACGGCTCTTCAGACAGTGCTAGTGTCTATTGGGATATTGCTTATCCTCGGCATCATCTGCTCGCTGACCACCAAGACCTTGCATCGCATCATCCTTTGGTTTGCTCCTATCAATAGTACGTTTCATCCCATGTATCTTTTATTTCATCTACTCACATTTAAAAGTTATCGCTACGATCTGCATTTGTGCTGCCCTTTTATATCTTACCCCAGATAAGCAGCCAGCCTCCTGGGTGTTTACTCACTTCACCGACGGGTCCGGATGGGGATCCAAGGTGTTTTCATTCTTCCTAGGATTCTTGTCCGTTGCATGGACAATGACCGATTACGATGGGACAACTCAGTTAGTCCACCAGTTTAAGTGTATCTTGACAATTCTAATAGTCTACATAGCATGTCCGAGGAAACACATGATGCTGCCGTTCGTGGACCAGTCGCGATCAAAACCGCCGTGCTAGTATCCGGAGCCTTTGGATGGCTCCTAACCGTCAGCATGTGCTTCTGCTTGACTGATTTCGAGGGAATCCTGAACTCTCCAACAGGCTTACCTGCTGCTCAGATATTCTTGAATGCGGGTGGGAGGACGGGCGGCACAGTGATGTGGGCATTCGCCATTCTTGTCCAATTTTTCACCGGCTGCTCGGCCATGCTGGCAGATACACGAATGGCGTACGCCTTTGCTCGAGATAACGCGCTTCCCTTCTCTCCCTTCCTATCCAAGGTGAATCCTTATACCCATACCCCCGTCAACGCGGTTTGGTTCGTGGTTTTCTTCAGCATTTCTCTGAACTTGATTGCCATCGGCTCAACCGAGACCGCCCTCGCGATCTTTAGCGTCACTGCTCCCGCACTGGATATATCATATGTATCTGTCATCTTGGCCCATCAGATTTATAAGGACAAGGTCAAGTTTATCGAGGGGCCGTTTACCCTAGGAAGATGGGGTACACTTATCAACTACATTGCAGTAGTTTGGGTGCTATTCATTAGTACCATCCTCTTCTTCCCATCGCAGCTACCTGTTACCCCTGCCAACATGTATGAGCCTCCTCACCGTCATCAAATTTTCGGCAAACTGACATTGCTTTACCAGGAATTATGCGATCTGCGTGGCAGCTTTTATTGCGATATTCGCCCTGGTTTGGTGGTGGGTCGCAGCCAGAGGGTAAGACACAACTCCCCGTCAGGATGAACTGGATAGTACTCACAATTCCTAGCAAATATACCGGTCCTCAGACCAACGATATTATTCACGAAATTCCGAGCGAAGCCAACGATGATGACTGTGAAGAGCCTGATGACTTTTCTGTTTAAGCTATCATTTATCATCCATCAGACAAGGCTTTCTGATAATCTACATTTTGATTGATTTCTGCAAATAGAATAGACGGATACGGGGTTAGAGAAGGAAGATTGGAGTTCAGAGTAATCTTTTCGGGTTACGAATTTCCATGAGGATTACACTAACAAATTCGTTTTGACTTCTACAATATTCCGAAACTTTGAAGCAAGAGACGTTAGAAAAACTACCTTCATCTTGTCTTGAGACTATAAGCTTAATGATGTTCTGATTATCCTCATTGATCTCTCGGGTATCGTCTTTTAACGCGGGCTGGGAATATTGGTCTGAACATCCCCGAAGATTGGGATTAATAAAATGCTGCTAAGGCTAGGTATAGATGGTGGCAAAAGCCACAAGTTCAGGAAGTGGCGGCATTCCCACTTTGAAAGCTATGATTCTCCCCAGCAGAAATAGCTGCTCTATTATTGAGCGCCTTGAAACGTGGATTGCATGTGGCAAGTGACACGCAGCAGAATGTGAAACTAGAAGTGCTTCTAGAAGATGACGTAGCTAATTAGATGCGGCAATATTCACTAGTGGGTCCTTCCCCAGACTGTCGTCAAAAAAAGCAAATGCTGTACATATGTACAGTACCAACTATGCACCTCGCGAATCAAGTATAGGTTGCGATTATCTCGCTCACATGGCATTGTCATCTTGGTTACCTGCTTACCTATCAAGGATGATCTTATCGCAATGGTTTTCTAGCCTCGGAGCTTATATTGTTCGAGTTCCGTGATTGGTGGTTTCCTTATCGCCGAACAGATCACGGGATCAACCCCACACTCTGGCCATCTTGTTCGTGCTTTCCCGTTAATAGCTACTTCACTTTCGGTCATTTGACTACTTAGTACGAATAAGTACATAGTCATGGATAACCGGAAACGCACGACTCGAGCGTAAGTATCAAAAATGAGGCTTGAAATCTGTGTCTAACATACTGCATCCAGATGTGACGAGTGTCGGCGCATGAAGGAGAAGTGTGAGGGTGGACCTCCTTGCAGGAGATGCCTCCACTTCCAGCGCGTGTGTGAGAAAGGGCCAGTGTCAAGGACACGTGAATTCAGGGCATATATTCCAGCGTATGTATCCATGGTGCACTCTTGGTGCAGAAAAGCGCTAATATACGCAGAGAACGAGTGGCCACATCTGACTTTCAAGAATTGATTGACCGCTCGAAATATATGGAACGTATATTGAAACGGACAATTGAAGGGATTCGACTTGATACAAAGAGTCTTGCCAAACTAGCAGATGCACTTGATGCGGACGGCGATAGTGCGTGTGTTGTAGCGTCGGACGCCCAGGAAGTGGAAGGATTAGTGATGGATGATGAAGCGTGTACAATGGATCCTGTTGGGGATAACACTACGCGTCAGTCTCTACAGTTCACTTTCTGTGTCACTAATTGCTGATTCTGTTTAGACTTCTCCGGAGAATTTTCATATTGGAACTTCTCTATGCGATTGAAGCAACATATCGAGCAAATGGGGGGATTAGAGAGTCGGGTACGCTCTACTCACCTCCTTGCAAACTCGAGAAAATGGTCTAATCATAGAACATATCAGACAAATGACTCTAGCCGGGGTTGGGACTTCCCACGAGCTCATCAGTTGCGACCAGGGCGTGACCACCTTTCCGCGGCAATATCATGCTGTCCCCCTCGTCCAATTGCCGAGTTTCTGGCAAGAAACTTCTTCAAATATGCTGAGACCCACTACTTCTTTGTTGAAAAAACTTGGTTTCTTCAGAGGATGAATCTTCTCTATGGCGACCCTAGCAGCTTCGCCAAGAAGGGAGGTGAGGTGATCATCAGCATCTTGCTTACTGTATTTGCAATCGGGTCCCAATATGCACATCTTGAATCTTCAGAGCACAGCTCGACTGGGACATCAAGTCAAAACTTCTCCGAGGAGGATATCGGCGCGACATTCTACCAGCAAGCGATTCGGTTACTACCAGAGATCATCGAACTATCCTCACTTGAAAGTGTCCAAGCCTGTCTTCTCTTTGGCTACTATGCACTACCTGTCGATACGTCGGGCCTGGGGTATATTTACATCAATCTTGCAATTCGGCTTGGAATGCAGAACGGCATGCATAGAAGGTGCAAGAACGATGCTTTTAGTACGACTATGATCGAGACCCGCAATCGTGTGTGGTGGACGGCATACTTACTTGAGAGGTATGCGAAGGCTTCACTTTGGGAGAGAAAATGTGCTAACATAGGCCAGAAAAATCTCCATCTTCCACGGCAGGCCTCTTTCAGTGCTCAAGGCCGACATTGATGCTACTTTCCCTATATATCGACCTGAAATGGAATTAGACGACACTCGCACAAGTGTTGCACGCGCTGAAGCTTCGATTCAACTGATTCACTTCTTAGAAGACCTGTTTTGTGATGTGTATGTTCTGATAGCCTCAATATATGGCCAAGACTAACATACCCATAGGAGCAATCTTCGAAGTTGCCACAAACAACAGATTTCCAAGATTATATCTCACCTCTTGGCCAGCAAAGCCGCACTAAAAGAGTGGTGGAGTGCCCTTCCCCAAGAGATTGTGAACAGCGACTTGCAGCCGGTGGCGCAACTTCGTTCAGTCATGCATTTCCAACTGGAATATTGTTTAGTTCGGATGTTTATTGGGCGACCATTCCTGCTGAAGAAAGAGATTTCGGAATCAATGAACAACTCACCAGCAGACTCGGAGCCCAGTGTCACCGACAAAGCCGCATCCTTAGATGGTACTGGCTTCAAGTACTCGTTAAGTCGCAAAGACTTGATTGATGACTGCATTGAGGCAGCGACGGAAGCACTGGGGATTTTGCAAAAACTACGCGATTGCGGATCAGGCCTGGCACGAGCTTCTTACATTGAATATAGCTCATGTCGAGCGTCACTTCTTGTGTTGATTGCCTACTCCATACAAAATTTCTCTGAGCAATTTCGAACCCTTCTCTATAAAGGGCTTGATATGATTCGAGAAATGTCTGCGGCTGGCGAGTCGGCTCAGTCTGAGGTATCTTTGATTGAAACGCTTGAGCGGGCACTCGCACGGCTTCATGCCGGCGTTCAGAAGTCTCAGCATGGTGATATGGTACTGTCTAATCGTCCCATCTCGGATTACGAGGCTTTCAAGCATTGGGGCGCTAGACTGAGAGAAGGTGCCACGCTTGAACCACCCCTCATTGATGCGGGTCCTTCTAGTCAAACCGAGGACATCGGACCGCAAACCGGCCAGTCTTCCGGACTTTACACACATACATATGACCGCATCGTTGACATAGACTACAGTCAGGCATCCATGTCTGTGTCCGATCGAGACATGGGGATGCTCGGTGCCCTTGATCCCATCATTGAAATACCGCTTTTCGGCGCTGAAAATACATCGCCCTCCGCAGCGTGGCCCACCTGGACTGAGACACAAATGCTGGAACAGTTCCTCACGAGTCCAGAATACAGTGCAGCTCAAAGTATGGACATTAACAGACACTGAAGTACTCTCCGAGGACCTATGTATTTATAACCCATGTACAATTCTATACATCTCATCTGATATCAATCTAAATTACATAAGCTCTCTCAGAGCGAGGCCGCAATGATCTTATCCGCCATCGCAGGCAGGGTGTCCTCAACAACCTCAAGCTCTGAATCAAAAATCTCGGCACAAGACTCCTTCTCATATACAGTGCAATAAGCACCCCGGAAGCCCACCTTCACAGCAGCCGTAACATCCCACATATGCGCCGCCGCAAACCACTTCGCATCCTCTTCCTTAAATTGGGCCAAAGCAGGTCTATACGCCGCCAGCGCCGGCTTCGCCACACCAGCCGTATCACAGCTAATAAAGTTCTCAAGAGGCATATCAACCCCACCGCGCTCAAAGTATCCACGTACACGCTTGGTGTCCCCGGTCGTCAGGCACCAGACCGTGAAACCTGCATCGCGTAGCTTCGCAAAGCAGTCTTTCGTTCCTGGGCGCAGCTCCAGCTCGGAGTACCCCTGTGCGCACTGGTCTCGCTCAGCTTCGGTAGCGAAAGCACGCGGGTCCTCGACACCCATCATGTATAGTGTGCGGAAGAAGAGGGCCGACATGACTTCTTTATATGGCTTGTAGCGTTCGGATATGGAGAGGAAGGTAAACTCCAATTCGGCTGCTGTCATCCAGGTGAAGCCGAAAGAGCGAGCTGTGATGTTTCGGGCTAGGAGGCGCTCGCCGATGACTTTGTCAATGCCATTGTAGAAGGCGTCGAATGAGACGCATGTACCGACCACGTCGAATACGACGTGTTTTTGACCGGTCATTGTGAGGAAATGAAAATGGGGTTGTTTAGGCGTTGATGAGGATGATTTCGATTGTGATCGTGGTGGTGCGGGGTTCCGCAAGAGGACGTAGCTTGCGTTGTTGGAAAGCAATTGAGACACGGAGACTTCGTAAGATGGTTTAGCTGGCTTATTCTGATCCAATTGCAAGGTTCAGGCTCAACATAGGAAGATAAGCTTCGTAAAATAATAAAGAAAGACCGATGGTCACGCGTACTGTTTCTCCCCGCACCCGAAGCTCCTCAATTACTATCGTGAGCTCCGGTCTAAACTATTCCCAATCGGGAAGGTCCGGTCCGGTTTATCTTAGCGGACACCGGCGAGTATCATCAACCGTCCAACCCCTATCTATCGAATGAGTAAACCATGGAAATAAGGTAAGATATCCTCTTAACACTGCTTATCGTTTTATCTGAGGCTCAAAGGCACTTTGCACAGAGTGGGCCGAAATGAGATAAGCCAATCTCGCCGGTTCCGTAAGCGGATCAAGTAATCCATCCATTGTGGAACGACATAGCAGGAGCACAGGAGGCTCGAGTCTTGGTAACAACTCAGCAATACATGGTGGGGGGATAGTGGTAGGCAGGTGTCATACAATTGTATCGAGGCCGTGGATTCTCCCAAAAACGTGATGGTTCAAGTGTCAGTCAGTGTCTCTCTTAGGAAGATAGACAATGAATTGACTGAGAAGGTCATGGAGATCGATTTATATACTGAAATAAAAATTGCATTTGCTAAATATTCAACCAATTATTACCCAGCATTAAGACCATAGAATATTCAATCGCTGAATCCCCCGTTTGGGCGCGGGCTCTGGCTCGGGGTTCTGCTGGTAATGTTCAATGAAGGCCCGAATTGGAATATCCTCCAACGGAATGATCTTCGTCTTCATCCAGAGCTTGTAGCCAAAGTACACGATGAGAATAAACGGCAAATTGAAGTAAGAGGAAATAAAAGTTTCCGTACTCCAATGTCCCTTCATAAACGTAGAATATCCTCCAGTGAGGAAGAGAAGAACGAAAATGACCAATGAAAACCATGTGCCATAAGGCTGGAACGGAGCCGCCCAGGGCAATTCTCTCTTCCGGTCGATCCCTTGCTTCTGGCATCCATATAGGAATCGTAGGTAAACGACCAGGATAGTAATCCAGTTGACTATTGTGGAAATAGAAACTAGGTCCTGAAGCCATGTGAAAGCCAAGGATGCGCCGTCAGAGAGACTCATATAACCAAGGGCCATAAAGATGCCGTAAAGGGCGACGGCGACGTAGGGGATTGAGTAGCGGTTAAGACGCTTGAAGATAGCGGGAGCATGGCCCTGCATTGCCATACCATATAGAATTCGAGAGCCACCAAGCATGTTAGAGTTACCCGATGACCAAGCTGAGGTAAGGACAACGGCATTGATGATCGATGGCACCACTTTGATACCGGCATCCTTGGCGGCAATGACGAAAGGAGACTGGGCCGCTGTTCCAGAGTCTCGGAGTAGACTGGGGTCGGCAGAGGATACAACCAAACCGACCATGAATATCGTAATAACGTAGAATAGTAGGATACGGACAAAGATGCGGCGTGCGGCCATTGGAATAGCTTGGCGGGGGCTTCGGGTCTCTGCAGCAGCAACCGTGATATTTTCAATGCCTGAATAAGCGTATAGAGCGTTGCTGAATGTGGTCCAAAATCCGAGGAATCGACCTAGTGAGCCCTTGATGCCAAGGTATTGGACGAAAGGGCCGTACGGAGCCTTCCAATATTCGAACCCCGTGGTTTTGTGGTTTGGCGCTCCGCCGCAAGTGATGACCAGAGCCATGATGTTGATACCGATAACCAACATGATTTTGAGAATCGAAAAACCGAATTCGAGTTCACCATAAATGCGCACGAAGAGAAGAGCTGTTACTATCATAATGAGACCAAACACGGTGATCCATATGGCGCTGCTGACGGTGATCCAGAACTCGACAATGACGGCACACGCGACCAATTCGGCCGGGATGGATACAATATAGGAGTACACTTGATTCCATCCATTGGCAAATGCGAGGGCAGGATCGAAGAATATTTCCGCATAACGTATTACACCACCGTTCAGAGGCGCCAATGAGCCCATCTCTCCGACACCAAAGACCACACTCGATACAGCGAGACCAATAATGGAATATGACAGGAATGCTCCTAATGGGCCGGCATGGGCGATGGCACGACCTGAGCTGAGAAACAGACCCGTTCCAACAGTGCCAGCCAGCGCGATCATCTGGATGTGTCGCTGGTGGAGTCCCTGTTTGAAATTGTGGATTTCCTCCAGCTGCCCAGCAGCATTCTCCACATCTCCTTCTTTGGTCATCTCGGCGTTGTAATTAGGGTATTTCTCTTTGGAAGAGGTAATGTGAATATCGTGGTCCTCCGACATGGCGGAAATGGACATGTTTGAAGAATAAGCAGTCGAAACAGAATTTTCTTGGAGAATATTGAATAATTGGAGTCGGCGTGGGAAATTTGTACTATTTTCCACTTTCATGCATATTCCTTTTGGCAATCTGTCGGGCACCAATCACGATGCATGGCCACAGCTCATCTTGGAGCCATTGGTAATCGCTGATTTGTCGTTGGTTCAAGCGACCGGATTCCTACCGGTAAGATAAGAAAGAAGCTCAGACCTCGACTATCTTTGAGACAGGCAGGCTGAGCACTGACAATGTCCAAGTCCCCCCATGTCGCGGGCTTCATGCGGGGGGTTGCGTGGGGCGAGATTAGGCTTTAGAGTTGAGACCCAAACAGGAAATTCCGGCCCGGTCGACAAGCGCGTTCGGCCTGACTGGCCAGTTCTCCCTTCCCAATTACCGATAGCCTCTCCGGTCTCCGGACTATCAGCGATAAAGCCACTCAACTCTATCAAAATCACCGGAAACTTAATTAAGCTCTGACCCGTGTGCTCTCTGTTGTTTCTTTCCATCTGCATTCGTTATCATCCTTTTTATCATGCCTGCCAGAACTCACGACTTGCCCACTAGAACTAGGGATTCATCCTCCCAATGTTTCCCTGCCAACAATCCTGGCGAGACCTTTTGGCAAACAACGCAGCATAAGCTACATGATCATCGATCAACAGAGCAATTACCAGAGCATAGTGATATCGTGATCGTTGGTGCTGGGTATGCTGGTGTCAGTACTGCCTACCATCTCGTCAAGGACCATGGTGATGTCAACAAGTCAATCGCCATTCTAGAGGCTCGAGGTGCCTGTTCGGGAGCAACTGGCCGGAATGGAGGTCACGCAAGGCCAGACTTTTATGGCCATATTCCAACCTATGTGGACCGTGCAGGAGCTCGAGCCGGAGCTGAGATTGCCGAGTTCGAAATTAACAATCTACGTGCCCTGAAAAAGATCATTGAGCAAGAGAAGATCGATTGTGATTTCACTCTAACCCGATCGATCGATGTTTGGTGCAATGCAGAAGCCGCTGAGAAAGCCAAATGTGTATACGACCGAATGGTTGCCGAAGGATTCGAGTACATGGATGATGTTGTTTTCTATAATGGTGACAACGTGGAAGGAGTAAGTGAATCACTCATCCATAATCCCAGCACAGAATAGAAAACTCATAAATTTGCAGATCTGCGGTGTGAAAGGTGCCAAGGCCTGCGCCAGCTTCACTGCTGGGACAATGTGGCCATACAAGTTCATCATGCATCTAGTAGAGCTGATTGTTGATGCTGGCGTCAACTTGCAAACAAATACCCCGGTCACATCAGTAACTGCCGACCCAGAAGGCGGCTTTATCGTTGAGACACCTCGAGGCAAGATGCATGCGGGAAAAGTCGTCTACGCAAACAACGCCTACGTCTCAGGTGTTCTCCCACAATATAAGAAGAACATTGTTCCCTGCAAGGGCATCTGTTGCCGGATCACCGTTCCAGACGGAGTGACAGCACCTCTTCTCAACAACTCTTATATCAACCGAACCGAAGACAATGTCCTTTCATATCTGATTCCTCGAGCCGACGGCAGTATCGTCGTGGGAGGTGCCGCAGCCGTGTTCCGGAAACACGAGGACCAGTGGTATGATAATGTGGATGACAGCATTCTCATCGATTCTGCAAAGGACTATTACAACGACTACATGCAGAAAACCTACAGTGGATGGGAAGATACCGGTGCCAAGATTGACAAGATTTGGTCCGGTGTTATGGGCTATTCTTACGACTCCAACCCTCACATCGGCAACGTGCCTGGCGGCAACGATCAGTACATTCTTGCAGGTTTCAATGGCCATGGCATGCCGGTCATTTGGCTGTCCTCGAAAGAGTTGGCCAAGATGATTATTCAAGATATTCCTTTCGAGCAAACTAGCATGCCTCGATTGTTCCAGACTTCCCAGTTCCGCATCGACCGGGCTTTGAACGGGAAGACCGAGGATGGTGATATTCTGGGCAGTGGTAAATTCCCTGCCACGAAGCCTTGAGATAGGAACACTTGAAATAGCACAATTAATCACTTAAGATGAGCATTCTTTGGCGAATAACTATCAGTAGTCTTAAGCGTAATCCTCCTTGGATCTTTGATATCTAAACCGAAGTGGTTGATCTTTCATCGGAGCTAACTAGCTCGGTATTTTGATGGCTAGATCGGCTACGTATAGATCAGTAATATTACTTATTATCGTTAGGTAAATACGTAGACAAATGGTAAAAGAATACAAGTATCCAAGTATGAGGGTGAAGGTTTAAGCGTATGGGCTATAGCCTGAGGACCTAACAGTCGTTCTGCTGCACCTGAAGATTTGAGGTGTCAGTTGTTACTATGGGAAGACAGATACCCTGGTCCTATTCATTTCGCAAAATCCGAATCCACAAGCCATATCTGCTTCAGAAAAAGATGGCTTGCAGAAATTGAATGGGCCGAAAAAATAGCACGTTGCTGGCCGCACAATATCAGTCGCCCTCAATTAACCAATTTATCGCCTAAGTTTTGATCATGGGACCTCCCGTCCTCGCGGCCTTCCTGTCTCTACTCCTGCTGGGCCTCTGCTGGTTTGGTCTCAGTTGGGTTGACTTCCTCGTCCTTTGTAACAACCTCAGCCTGCACATCTTTCTCATCCGGGGCTGTCATATTCTCAAGTGCCTCGCGGGTCTCCTCATCCATGTCCTCGGCTCTAATCATGACCTGCTCCGCATAACCGGGATTCAGGTAAAGCATGTTAAGCCAGACCAGCATATCCCGCCAGGCATGCGGCATGATACACTCAGCGTTGAGCTCTTCCCCAGAAGCGTAGCAGTTGCATCCATGTTCACGGTATCCGGACTGAAACTTGCCAACCTCATCAGAAGACACGACGTATGCGCGGCCACGAGAGGCGAGGAATGCAGTGAAGGACTGGGGGTCGGTCAGGGTGCTCATGTCCAGATCTACTGCGGTAGACTGGAGCGGGTTGCCGAGGCAGATACCCGAGATGTATGGCTTCCATACGGCCCCTAGAGAATAATATTAGACTAGTGGTTTTCATTTGCATGTCTTTCCAACTGATCAACACTTACATCGCTTTTGCAGGTACTCGAGAGCGCTCTGTCCACCCTCGGACAAACCGATCACGTCGATCCGGCTCTTCTCGTTCAGCCATGGCCACAGGACATGTTCAAAGACGTACTGGATATGCTCCGGCCAGTCCTTGTTCCCGGGGATCTTGTTGCGCCAGGACCTGGTAGCTTGACCCCACGGTCCAGCAGGTCGGTCTGCTGCCTCCCAGGTCCGCTGTGTGACAGCACGAGACGAGGCACAGTGCCAGAGCAACTGACCAGTGTTGGCAATTACAAGGGCCGTGTCTGTGTTTTCGGTAGCATCACCAAGAACACTCTTGGTGAAGTTGACAGCCGAGCCAAAGTTGATTCCGTCTGCGCCAATAGAGCGATAGGCCCAGATACCCAGGTCCTGGATCGGCTCACCGAAAACCACGATGACCCGGGCTGCCTTAACCAGGTTCTTAGAAACTAGAATTGGCACATGGGGTTCGTTGGTGGGTGCTTTCGACTCTTGAGGGCCGTTGGCAAAGGGAAGACGCCAAATCTCAAGGCCAGCCTCCTGCAGACGATTCATGACAATTCGCCGGATGCATTCTAAGATGTAAGAATATCAATCAGTCAAAGGTTAAGTAAATGCTGTAAACCACACATACCATCCATGGCTTCACGGTTTTTGACATTGTACCGATCATTTCTGTTGATCTTGTATTTGAATTCCGCGGTGAGGTCGGTGCTGCTGCGAATCTTGTCGTCTGCTGTGATAGTGTACCTGCCTTAGATGAGTCGCAATTCAAGAAAACAAAGCCACTGTATTCACCCAGAGAGACTTACCCCAGTTTTTCAAGGTTTGCCGGGAAGTGAGGGTCCGGAGGGAGATCGCTGTTGCGATAGACATACATCTTGCTGTATGCCCTGAGGCAATGCTGGGGTGTAAATCAAGGAGAAGGTTGCAGCGATGAGAGAAAGAACAGTGGAGGAGAGTTGAAGCGAGAGAGAGAAGGAGGGGAGATTCAAATCAATAGATGAGGGAATCCCCATAAGAGGCTCGGCTCAATCGGGTATCTTCCAGTTGCGCTCTGTGATAACCGCCTAGAATATCCTCTCCACTGCCCTAGCGCTTTCGAAGACAGATACTTGAGCTGGAGATGGTATATGAAGAAACAAGAAAAATCCGTTCGTGGTATTTGTATACTGTACACGCTTCACAAAGAAGCAAAGAAAACGCCCATGGTGCAAATCCCGTCAATGCAACCTTCCTATATGAATCCCACAGATCCAAAGACAATCTATCGTCGTCTACCAGCTTGCCTTCTTGACACCTGGAAGCTCACCAGCGAGAGCCTGCATACGGAATTGGAACTAGAAAGGAAGAAGCGACACGTTAGTAACTGAAGGTATAGCGGAGTCCACACTTGTCTCCCTCCCAAGGGCATTCACTCACTCGGTTGAGTCTGAAATTCCGGAACACACTACGGGCAGTACCCGAGGCCACACAGCGGTTCTTGATCTGTGTTGGGCGAGTGTAGCAGTGCATCTGGGACAGCTGAAGCTGGGCTTGGGCGCGGGTACGTTGAGGAAGGCTGGTGTTGCGGATGATGTAGCGGAGCGCTTGACTATTCGTGAACAAGAGTTAGACCTCAATTTCAAGACCAATTCCCAAGCCTGTCCTCTAGTGACGGTGAATTCGATGGCCTGCTAGTGTAGGTAGGGCGTACCGTTCGGGCTCCATCTGCGCAAAGGCATTGCGCTTGTTGTGATCGCGGATCAGACGGGTGTTGACAAACCCAGAGAGGTCAAGCCTCTTGGGGTGAAACATTGACGCCACCTTCGACATGTTGACGGGGTTTCGAGGGGAAAGATGGGGAGTGTTCGAGGACGTAATGGAGGATTCGTGATGGACTCGGCGGAGTTGGCGAAAGGCGAAAAGATGCGGAACCCAATTGGGTTTAGCGCATTTCCGTCAAGATTTGGCCGCCCATCGATCATCTACAGGGTCTATCAGAACCTCAACAATTGGATCAATTACATGATAAATAGAGATAGAACAATATTTTCGGACTAGGAGCAGACATTTTTATCCCAATGGTGAGCAGGAGTCACTAAAATTTGCCCTAGAAATCATATACCATGAGCTGTTCACAGTGCCAGCCTAAGATACTCGCCAATTTACTAAGTTTCCAGTTACTTGACAAACTAGGCCTCATTAGAATAGCTCCTATAGGGCTTCTATGCAGTGGCAACACTCTTCTACCATGGTCAAAAGGTATACCCCGTAGCAGAGGATCTAAAGGGACCCGAGGGTCGAGATTCAGTAGTGGTACAGCTTGTGAATTGATCCAAGTCACCCTATAAGGTATCTTCTATATGCTTGGACAGTGGGCAAACTGCCCGCGAACGTTAAACACACATGATCCGCAAATCAAAGCCAAGGGCCGGGGCCTTTTCCGTTCATATCCCCGTCGCAACAACTCGATCCGCTTCTCTCCCGTGCCACCTAAAGTAGCACGCACCTCAACAATCCATCATGGTCGCTCAAATTTAGTGAGAGTTGCCGGCCTTGGCGTTGGGGTTGCGGGGGTCGTTCTTGAACTCGGCAGCTAAAGATTCGATTGTCAGTCGATGCCATTCAGAGGTCAAGGAGCGTGCGGTCGGGCGATATCGGAGTATGGTGATGAACTCGAATAGTCGCGAACGATGCCAGAACCGGCCGAGTCGAGCTTGCATATTTCATGGGGAGCACTCACTGTTGGACAGAACGTTCTGCAGAGAGTTGACGCCGTAGAGGACAATGACACCTGTAGGGGAGACTGGTTAGAGCGCGGGTTTCCGGGTCGGGGTTTCAATCGGGCAACGATATTCGAAGTCGACATTCGATTCCATTCGAAATCATCTCGGCACGGGGGATAGTCGAGTATGCATACCGGCAGCGAAGAAGGGGGTCATGGGGCCAGCTGTTGATCCAATGCGTTAGTCAATCGAACTCGAGCGCCGCGCCTCGCGGGCGATGGAGGGCGGTCTGCGATCCCAGAATAACATACCGAGCATGCCGGGGAACTTCTTTCCGAGGAGAGACATGGTGATAGAGTAGTGCGAATGCGAGGTGGATTCGGTGTTCGCGGGGGAGTCGTTGGTGCAGGAGGAAGAGGAGAAGTGAGGTTTGGAGTTTGCCCGGCCCGAGACGCCATACCGCTTTGGGAAGCGCTGCTGGCCGCTTTAGCCCGACGGTTCCGATGCCCGTAAAGTGCTGCTACAAAGTAAACAATCACTACTCTCCACGGTCGCATCGTCGAAAACATACTAATTACACGATCACAACACCATGGCTTCCTCCTTGGCCTCCTCAGTAACCTCGCTGCAGTCTTCTCTGCAGCTTCTCGACAACTCCATCAGCACCCTAGACTCTGGCGTCAACGATTTTCCCCGCCTTTGCAAAGTCCTCCAAACAACGCGAGTACGTCACATTGAATTTGCGAACCCCTACAATATTCAACTCTAACCTATATAATACAGCACTTTGAACTCCTGCCCGAGCCAACTCTGCGCGAAGCACAAGAATCCCTTCTCGATGAAATCACCCCGAGCATCGCACACCTCCTCTCCCTCTCCTCCAACCACGTGGAAAGACTCGCACGCCGTGAACAAAGCCTCAAGGCAAAATGTGATCTCCAAGAGGGTCGACTCTCATCCAACCCAGAGAGCAGATCTTCGGCATCTCGCGCTCAAGGTCAGGGCAACGCCGCGCTGCGGGGTCGTTTGGCGGGATCGAGCAGTGCTGGGTCTAGCAGCGCCGCTGCAAAGGCGCTTGAATTACGGCGACTTGTGCAGAAGAAGGAGCGTCTCAAGTATGCTGTGGATCGGTTGGAGCTGCAGAGCACCCAGCGGGAGCGTCAGTTGAGGAAGAGCATGGCTGCGCAGTGAGTAGGTGCGGTTGGAAGGCATAATTGATATGCCTCAGCTTCGAACTCGAGCAGCCTTCCCATTCCAGGCTACTGTACGACCGGATTGGTCGGGGGATTGACTCTCCAAACCTTCTGCAGTCAGCCATGTCTCAGCTACGGAGCAGGAGTTGGCCACGCCCACATCTCATGCGTGAATCCTGCTTCAATGACCGTTTCAGTGTCTATCATGCTCCGTTAGGGCTACCCCCGCTCTGGAGCCCTTCTCTCGATTCATTCGCCGGCAATGGCCGGGCGAGCTCTCAATTCCGTACCAGCGAATCATCGTTGAGGTCTTTGAGATGGAAATATGAGAAGGACTTCCGCGATGTGACTGGCACAGATTCACCTATCCATTTGTGGTTAGTCGATACCCTCAGTGATATCTGGGGTTTTCTGCATGGCCGGGAAGGACAACCACCTAGTGATGAAAGATAGATACCCAATGAATGCTACGCTACGATTTATGATGAAATAAAAGTCAGAGTGAAGAACATATATTACAGTCGTAGCCTGGTGTGAAGATGGTATCCTATAGTACAAAATCTCTGACCCAACTCAAAGCCTTCAAGAAGAGCACCTGCCTCGGGTAATAGTACAGATCCAAAAGCCCAATCATATACGCCGCCTTGCAAAATGCTTAGACCAATTGTCCTCAATGGTCCCAGTTTACAGAGCATCCTCTGCTGCATCTCGCCGCTTCACAGCCTGTCGAAGCTTCTTTTTATCGGCATGCTTCTTCCAGCTTGGGATGTTCTGGCCCCTCTTGCGGGCAGGGGTTCGAGGGAGTCCCGAACGATCTCCATCGTCCATGATCTCATCACCAGCCTCGTCCTCCTCAGGGTCAAGTTCATCGTAATCGGCCTCTTCGTCAACCTCGCGCGATTCCGCCTTGGCAGCTGCTCGACGAGCAAGACGTTCTTTCTTGCCTTCGCCGTGCTTATCACCCAGGTTCAGCTTGCGAGGAATCCGAGTCTTCGCGCCCAGAGCCCACAGGTCGCCCCAGTTGGACTTGCGGGCATCACGGTAGGCCTGTCGGCTAAAAGAACGAGGGACGGTCCAACGCTCAATCTTGCCAGCCGGGGTGCAGAGGTCGAAAATGACATGTCCACGGCGCTTCATGGGTGGGTAGACGGCACGAGGGAGGGAGAGCGGATCGGGGGCTGAGCTGTCGGACTCGTCAAGATGCTCGAAACCTTCGAATGCGGCATCTGTTGCTTCGGGCCCTTGGCGAATACCCCGGACCTGACGCATGTCCACGCCCCGCTGCACAGCGAGGTAGCTGAACTTGACATCTTCGTGGTTGCGGTCCTTGGCGCCCATGATGCGCTGCAAGAAGGCTGGACGAATGTACCGCTGCTCGAAATGACAGTAGTCTCTGCGGCCCTTGGTCGGGCCTGCTGGGTTGTGCATCGGGCAGGTGGAGTGGTTTGTGCAGGGAGCGATGATCATACCCGGCTCCTTGGGGATGGTTTTAGATTCATTGGAAGAGTCGAAGGTGTTGTCATACTCTGTTGAGCCTGGGCTTGCAATATGGCGCTTAAGAAGCATTTCACGGGCGCCAGCAATCGCTTCGAAGCCCTTTTGACGGCCCTTTTCGAGTAGGATAAGAACACCACCATTGGGGTTTAGAAGCGCCCAGAGATTCTGGACATGCTCTTTTCGCTGATATTCCTCCTCGAATCCGAGAAGAGTGTGCGGTGCGATGATGATATCGTACTGCTTACGCTTCTGTAGGGGACGCGTGTCATCTAGTGTTGGCTTCTCACGAGCGTGAATGTAGTCTGGCAATCGGGGAAGGAAGGTGGTGTTGTCAAGCATGGCGCTTGCGCGCAGTCGTAGCGTCTCCGAGCCCGTCAAGACTGTCGATCGTCCATATGGAATAGGAGCTCCCTCGGGGTGGTCGGGAACCATGAGTTCGTATTCGGCACGGACAATGTCTCTCCAGGCCAGAATACCGGCACCACCACCACTTGCATCGAGAACATTAGGACCGCCTTCTTGGGAAATGAGCTGGCGGATCCAGTCAGTTCCCATGCGTTTCCGTACCTCAACCAGAACGCTGAGCGTGGAGGCGTAAATTCCGGGGTAAAGGGCCGCAATATAGGCATTGGCTTCCATCTCACCCATATGGTGTTGCGATGCATGAAGAGGGATTGGTAACTGTGGCAGCTGCGCCCGTGGAGGCGGTGTCGTTGTAGAATGAGGCAATCCTGGCCCTCCGAACAACCGGCGAGCAGTATCAGCGATATGCTTGTTGGAGAACTCGGACAGGATAATGGAGATGGGCCCAGTGACAGTATTCTTTGGTAGATGAATAGTACTGGGGTCCGTTGTGAATTTGCCCTCCCGGGTCAGGGGATGAGCCCGCGGCGCAGAATCCGGGACGGCTTCATTTTCAAATTGCTCCAGCATGATCTCGCCACCCAACTGCTCAGCAACTTCACGCGTGCGTCGCATCGCAATTGTCTCGACCTCCTCGGTACCTGCTTCCATGTCGTAGACGACCGGGATGTCATCCTCCGCCTCCGCGTTCTGCTCGTATTCGATTTCCTCCCACCGGCCCTGTTTATCCTCTCGGAATAAGCGATCGGGTTCCTTCCCGTCTTCCTCAGCGGGTAGTTCGTCAACGAGCTCTTGAATGATCGGTTCTCCGTAGAGTCGAGTGAAAAGTTGAAGTTCCTCGTCATTCAGGACGCCGTCAGGGATTGCGTCTCCGAACTGCTGTCGCACCATTTCCACCCACGCCTCTGGGGTATATTCTTGGCCGTCAAGAGGATCGACGAGTTCCTCCATAACTTCGTCGCCTTCTATCAACTCCAGTTCCTCCATCAGCTTTGCCATGTCATCATCGTTTTCGTTGATGCGTTCGATCAGGACGTTGATAGCATCGATAGGGTCGGCGTCTGTAGTCGAATTAGACGGCGCTGCGGTGGTAGACGATTGTCTTTGTCCGGGGATCCATTGTGATGTCACAGTACTCGGTAGTGATGCACTGTATCTCGGACGAATCGGGGTTGTTGAAATGGACCGTTGAGGCGTATTGCTTCGATTCCGTCGCGATGATATTGAGCCCGCAGCTCCGCAGGCTGGTCGCAAGCCACCAGCGCGAGACACTGAGGGTCGCAGAAGATGCCGCGCATGAGGGCCACTAGCCCTCGCAGTAGAAGGCCCGGAGAGCATTTTGCCCAATCCCACACTTTGAGTCAAGTGAAAAGAGGTAAAAGAGAAAAGCCGATAAGACTGAAGCTCCGCAAAATTATTGCCAAGCCCGCCCCATCACAAACTGCGGCCCGTTGATTGGTTGGGCGAGAATCCGAGGATCGCCCTGGTAAACTGAGGATTCAATTTGGTAATGAAAGCTGCGACAGTATAGCAATGTGGTAGGTAAAGAGAAAAAGGGTCTTTAAGGTACAGCTGCTATGAGCACGTAAAGTTAGAGCATATTTACCAAAACTTGCAATCAAGTACTAGGTAGTGCTGATGTTAGACTATGGACGTACTTCTAAACTATATATATTCCAGCAGCTCGCACACATAGAGATGTGTTAGGTTTCAAGAGATTTCGATTGCAGATATATAGACTGGAGAACAAAGGTATTGGTATCTTGAAGTCATTGAATGCAAGTTTTCTCACTCGCTTTCCGTCTCCTCATTTCCCATGAGAATTTGAAGCGCCATCACCCAGCGCATGACTTCGTGCTCCAATGCCGTCAGCTTGGCCATAACGGCCATCAAGCTCGGGTCCTGACTCTCAACCCGAACCTTTTCCTTGACGTGAACTTCTTCTCCACGCCAGGTGAAAACATCACCTACCTCGTCATGTGCCCGTTGTCGGGTTCCAAAGATCCGGTCTCTTAGAGAGAAACCGGTCAGGGAGATGTCCGAGGCAAATGCCGTCGGCGCCTGGGCAGGCGTGTTGCTCTCTAGAGTGCGTATCAGTAGCACCAGTGCAGAGTCTGCAATGGAAAGATGGAAAGAGAGATAAGGCGGAGGGGCAGGATCAAACATCTAAAGATCGCATTAATTGGGGATGCAATGGGAAACTCGCACGATAGGCGTCAAGCTTACATTGTCTGACGCGCTCGTTTCCCACCAGTTACCTCGCTCGTTCCCCTCTCCCTTCAGCATCTGCCGGGCCTCGCTGATGGTCTCTTTCAAGAGATGCAGCTGGCTGAAGATAAATCCCGCATTGAGGGGATCGCCCGTGTATGTGCTCACATCCACAATATCAAGGCTTTGATTCACGAGATTCCGGACTGAGACCAGCTGCTGTAGGACCAAGTCTGGAGCATCGGGGACCTGAGATAGGGTTAGGCGAGTGCTAGAAGCACCTCGAGGAGCAGGCAGCGAGGCCAAACGGAGTTGGATATCCTGAAATTCCAGAAAGCACGTGTTAGGTCCGTTATTCAGGTCCCTTCGAGATTCAACCCTTGGGGGACAAGGGGGTATTCCGGAGCTGGAAACATACTCCTTTGACCACTTTGGTGCCAATTCGGGTGACGAAGCCCTTTACACTCTCTGATCGCAATGATGATAGAACCAGAGTCGACCCTGGTTCTTGGGGGGCCAAGAGGGCGGCGCACTCTTGCAGGCCTTCCTTCAAGGAGACTAGTGACTCTTGGAGCGACTGCAAGAGCCACTCCAGCTCCTGAGCCTAAAAATTGAGTGTGAGCAAAATCAAGATCCACTATGACCCCAGAAGGCGATGATGTTTTTGCAGTAGCCAACCACGGAAGGTCCACCAACTGCATCATAGCCCGAACTCCGGGCTACTTGTTCGAACGTACCAAAGCGGTATCGGCCCGACGATTCAGCTGCTCAGTGGGCAGTGGGGGATAAGCCCAAGTTGCCATTTTGGCTAATGGCTAATAGCTAGTGTGTCTAGTGGATGGGGGAGAAGGTGCAGCAATGTAGCACGACAACGCACTCGAGTTCCCTCGACCAGGACTGGGTTAAGGTTCAGTAGGTTTTTTTTTTCGGCAAGGAGAACTCAGGCAGAAGGATTCAGGTTCGAGGTCGAAGTAGTCGATCCACGTCACCGCCGACGCTGAGAGGAGTCCAACGAGGAGCTGCAACGTTGTTGCTGTTCGTCACTTCGTCATGGACCGCCGCGGCTAAACCTAAAGTGGACTAGCGCCTACTTTGAGTGTGCGCTAACCCAAATCAGCTAGCCGACCAGGTGCAAGCATGACGTTATGATCCTCGCGATCTATGAGTTACGCCGATGATGCCCACACCGCGAAATTATATCAGGAGAGCCCGGATAGGCCCGGCTCATAAAGCTGCTGCGCACGTTGCATTAGTCTTTTCTCAGGTCTTTCATCAAGACTAAAGTCTCTTTTCACCTTTTCCTTCCCTTAACTTCAACCTCATCGCACCTACCCATTGGGACTTCGGGCAGCAAACAGATTTCGAGTCGATAGGCAGCAATCCCAACCCTGCAGCGGGTGCACACCGACGAACAAGCTTTTCTTTGCCTCTATAACCAACAACTTCGCATCTCCGCAACTCGATACAGTAACCAGCCACTATGCCTCTCAGCAGTAAGATCATGCCATACACTCGGGAGAAAAATGGCCGAAGACTAACTGGGAATTTTGTAACAGGAGTGTCGCTGGGCTTCCTCGGCCTTTTCTTCACGGCCGGTGCCATAGTGCTCATTTTCCTCACACTCTTGGCCGGATCGCGCAATAGCACACCCTTGAATGAGATTTACTTCCTCCAGGCCGACACGGGCAACATCCCAGGAGCCCCGACAACCGCGCGCTGGACCTTCTGGAACGTCTGCAATGTGACCTCCAGTGGTCGAAATGACTGCGGTAGCTCGCACCCCGACTTCCCCTTCGACCCCCCAAGCAGCCGTAACTTCGGCACGACCGAGAATGTTCCCCAGGAGTTTATCGGGTAAGTTGAATTGGTCGAGATGAAAATTGCTCGCCGTTAGAGCTATTGCTAATAGGCCAACTACAGGACCAACCATTACTTCTTGACGTCCCGATTCATGTTCCCCTTCATCATCATTGGTCTCTTCTTCACCGTACTCTCTCTCTTCACTGGCTTGCTGGCCATGTGCACGCGCATTGGCAGCTACCTGTCTGGCTTCCTCGCGTGGCTGGGACTGACCTTCCAGACCATCACTACTTGCCTTATGACGTAAGTGGGAATCGATCCTTGTCGGTTTTTTCCCTGTAGATCAATTAGCTAACTATTCGACAGCGCCGTCTTTGTCCAGGGTCGGGATGCCTTCAACCGCAATGGTCAGAGCTCCAAGCTGGGCGTCAAGGCATACGCTTTCATGTGGACCGCGACCGCCTGTCTGTTCATCTCCTGCATGCTCTACTGCGCTGGCGGTGCAGTCGGTCGTAAGGATGGTGGATACAGCGGGCGCAAGGAGCGTCGCCGTGGATTCTTCACTTCTGCCCGCTCTAACAGCGTGAAGAGCCAGAAGAAGGAGGAGACTTCCTACGCCTAAAGTGGTCTTTCTCAGCACTTGTAGCGCAGAAAGTCCAAGTATGCGTTTCATGCCTGTCAGAAAAAAAAGGCAAACCTTCAGGCAATCGTCGAAAGCCTTGCGGTTTTGACGTCCTGTTCTCCCCCATACACGATTTCCTCCACAGCGTTGGTTTCTTCGTTAGGAGTTCCCGCTTCTTTGAGAGTTTCTCTCGCTTTGCTAAATCCCAGCTTATACCTGGATCGATTTCAAATCCTTGACGCCTACCCTACACGCTCACTTAATGTTGTCACGAACTACTTCACGATCGTTATTATGCCCCCAATCCGTGCCTCGGGGAGATGGTTTGCGCCTACACGGCGTGGATCACTTCATCACTGGCACTAAATCATCTTGTTTTTGTCCTCTACCGCCACGAGGTCCGCGAATTGTTGACGATTTCACGCTGCAATGGTTCTCCGGCTTGGTCTTATCTGATGTCTCTCGTCCGCAGTTTTCTTAATTAATAGTTGTAATATAATTCTATTTGGTGGATCTCATGCTCGGTGCCCTCGTCAGTAGATCTGATATTACGTAGAAGCTAGGAAAGAATGACCAGGAGGTGAAACGCGCGAAGATACTCGAGAATCCTTTCTTCTGAGCATCGACCTGGCAGGATTACACTTGAATATTCATGTACGAGTCTGGGGCGAAAGGAAGTAAATATTTGCCATTTCCAATTGAGAGTCTATATAGATTTGGGGAACATGAGAGAGGACAGAAAAGGGGGGTTGACTCTAAAAAAGATAATGACGGGAATACAAGGGAAAAGCACAGCCTCTATCAATCATGCATGCATCATCACGCCATAAGGAGATCGCTTTTTGGGGAGACAAATCTAAGCGGAGCCGTTGATGGCACCACGGACGGCGGTAGAGCCACCGACCTCGCGCACGGCGATCTGCAGACCCAGGTCGGGGTTGACATGGACCATAACCTCGACCTTGGAGCCGGCCTTGACACCCTTAACGGCGAGCTCGGCAACGGGGTTCTCGGTCTTCCAGACAATCTCGCGGATGTCCTCCTCCTCCTCATCGGAGTCGAAATCCGAGTCCTCATCATCAGCGGGCTTCTCCTCCTTGGTCTTGGGCTCGGGCTTGGTGACCTTGATCTCACGGGCACCCTCGCAAACGCGGACCAGAACATCGCCGCCCTCCTTGGGGGCAGTGTACTGGGCGATTCGGCGAGCCGGAAGAGCAGTGTCGGCGTTCAGGAGGGGCTGGAAGCTGGTCTCGTTGTTGGAGGTGAACTCAACACCGATGGCCTTGCTCAGGTGGGGGGTCACAGTCACCATGGGGTGAATGGACTGCTCGATATCCTCGGCATCGAACTCCTGAACGAGGGAGGCCTGGAAGGCGGCACCACGGGCAGACAGCTCAGAGGGGTTGATAGCGGAAGTGGAGGTCGAGGGGGCCAGGATGGTGGTGGTCTCGGGGAAGATGTTGGCAGCCAACTGAGCAATCTTGGGGGTGTGGGAGGCACCACCGGAGAAGATGACCTAGAATAAATAGTCAGCACCAAGTCTGAGGAATAAAATACTTGCAAAAATTAGCAAGAAGACGTACCTCGTCGATGTCAAGAACATCAAGCTCGGCCTTCTTGACAACCTGCTCGATCAGACCAGTGAACTGAGCAAAGACCTTGTTGGAGAGCAGCTCGAAGCGGGTGCGGTTGACGGTGGAACCGTAGTCAATGCCGTCCACCAGGGACTCAATGCTGAGCTGAGCGTTGGCGCTGAGGCTGAGAGCCTTGCGGGTACCCTCACCCTCGAGCTTCAGCTTGGCCAGACCACGGGCATCCTCGCGGGGGTCGGTCTTGTGCTTCTTGATGAACTCCTTGGCGAAGTGGTCGATGATGACCTGGTCCAAGGAGGCACCGCCAAGCTCGTAGTCGTGGGCGGTAGCCAGGATGGTGTACATACCACCGCGGCAAGCAATGACGGCCACATCGGAGCGGGTGCCACCGAAGTCGGCCACAACGACCAGCTTGTCGGTCACGGTAGCCTCGGGGCGGGCATCGTAGGCCATGACGGCAGCAACGGGCTCAGCAATCAGCTGGAGAACCTCAATGCCGGCGGCCTTGGCAGCGGCGATGAGGGCCTCGCGTTGGGCATCGGTGAAGTTGGTGGGAACGGTGATAACGGCAGCGTTAACCTCCTTACCAAGGAAGTCGGTAGCGGACTGCTTCAGGCGGCGGAGGTGACGGGTGGTGATCTCCGAAACGGTAACAGTGTTGCGGGTCTCGCTCTCGGTGTCACGGATCGTGAAAGCAACGGTCGAGTCCTTCTGCTGGGGGTGGGCGGATTGGTGGCAGGGGGTAGCGTCGATGGACTTGAAGTCCTTGCCCAGGTAGTCCCGGAAGTATGCGACAGTGTTGCTGGAGTTACGGATGAGCTGGGCCTTGGCCTGGGTACCGTGGTACTCCTCGCCGTCAATGTAGGAGAGGATGCTGGGAATTTGACGGTCTATACAGAAAGATTCAATTAACTCGAGTTGAGGAAAAGGCGGGGTTCTCTTGAATAAAACATACCTCCCTCCTCGTTGGCAATAACCTCAGCCTTGCCCTCCTATAATATGTATTAGTTTCATGATTCCGAATCCTCTTCTGTATCTTTGCTGAACGTACGGGCGAGATGCGGGCAATTGAGCTGGAAGAGTTGCCAAAGGAGATACCGATAGCGAAGCGCTCCGTCTCGGAGGCACCGTTGACTGCGTCACCCATTTTGAATGTGAATGTGGAAATTATGTATCAAAAGAAAAGAAAAGCGCTCCGCGTCACGATGTGTGCAGAACAAAGTCGGGGGGTGACCGATGAAGGGGCAATGTTCTCGATGGAGGGGGAAGCCAAATCGAAAAATTTGAAGATTTTCGGCCGGAACGTGGCTCGTGCTTATCGATAGAGATGTGGCGCAGTCTTTGTCCTCCACCCAAACTATCATTTGCGCTTTCAAGCCGACAAGCGACTTAGTCTTATGATCTGTCGATATCCTGAGAATTTAAATAGTTTTCTTTTCATAATTGTCAACATCCCGATATCCAAACTCTCTCCATATCCTTGCATACACTCAATCATATCTTCCTTGAGCTTTTGCACCGCCACTGACCTTCCCAATCACGTGGTGATAGTATAGATAAGAGCAGCCGACGTTTTCTTCTGCCAAAGCATTTACGGCGCATCCCACTCTTTATACCACGAATCGATCGCTCAACTCGCTCCGGATTTGTCTCTGTCGAAAAAAATAGACACCAGAAAAGTGGTTGAAATTTTCACTCTGCACCATGTCCGCACCCCTCATCCTGCTCCCGGGTGATGAGGTGCCCAGTGATGTTCTGCCATCCAACAACTCGAATCCTCTCAAATTAGGCCCAGGCCTTCGCCTTCTGTCGCAGCCGTCATCCAAGTCTAAATCCACAACCCATGTCCTGACAGCGACTCAGGCTGGCCTCGTGACGACCGATGCCAAGCGAAACACAGTCTCCCTCCTCTCGTTTTCCAATCGCCGATACATCCCCACTGTCAACGACCTCGTTATTGCTCAAATCCACCACTCGAGCGTCGACTACTTCCACTGCATGGTGACGCCGCACACAGCACACGCCCTTCTAGGCCAATTGTCTTTTGAGGGTGCTACAAAGAAAACACGGCCGATGCTCAAGCAGGGTGAACTAGTCTATGCGCGCGTTCTGTCCATCGGCGTCGGCGCAGGCGCAGAGGTCGAGCTTACTTGTGTGAACCCGGCCACTGGAAAGTCAGACCCCGGTGGACTGGGGCCTCTCGTTGGAGGCATGGTATTCGACGTGTCCACTGGTATGGCAGCTCGGTTGCTTCGCGCTAGCTCCTCTTCATCTGAGCAAAGCGATACCATCGATGGACTTGCGGTCCTTTCCGAGCTTGGAAAGAAACTCGAGAGTCTGGGAGGATTCGAGCTTGCCGTCGGTCGCAATGGCAAGGTCTGGGTCGATTGCTCTAATGCTGGCGACAGTGCGATTAAAGCCACAATTGCAATTGGGCGCTGCCTGCAGACTACGGATGAGAAGAGCTTGAACCCTGCGGATCAGAAGAAGCTAGTCACGAGAATTTTGCGTGAGATGAACCTGGCGTCATGATCAGAAGTTCATTATCTGCATTTTAATTCCAGGAGTATGGGTATTCGGGCATTTTGATTTTTCTGTACATATACCATCCGCAATTGTAGTTATCTTTGCCAATGTGCCACTATCATTTGTTGCAATGATGATCGCGTACTTCTATCACTAGTAGAGTATCAAGTGAAATTATGGGTTCAATTGACCTGCATAATATCCCTTCATCAGGTCTTCGTAAATTGTACCTTACGATCTGTCCGAAAACAAAAGGAAACGTGATTCTCTGGCTGTCTGCAGGTGCAGCTGCAGTACGGATGGGTCTGGCGGGCGGTATCAAAGGCGGTCACAATATCTGCCGTGTATCTTCACTTGGCGGCCATAAATTTTGGGAGCTTCACTTCCCCACGAACCACCTCCAATTGCAATAACGCCCGTTGGGCACGCCCCGTCTCGGCCTACAATATGGAGGTTCCCGAAAGCCCAGGTATGCTTGCAAATTCTGGTGCTGTCAATGCCCTCGAGTACCAAAGTCTGACATCTCGCAGTCATTGGGTTTGCGAATCCACCTTCGACTACAGAAAGCGTTAGAATGAAGAAAAAGAAGTTGCACAAGGCTAAACACACCAACGAACTCCCTTCGACTACTTCGACCAATGGACTCGAGTCCTCGCCTTCTCCTGAAGATGACGAGTCACGGCCCTCGAAACGCAAGCGAGACTCCGAGTCGCATAAGAAGAAAAATAATAAGAAGCGCCGCGAAGGAGAGGTCGACGCAAATGAAGAATCCACTCTCCAAGACACGAATCAGATGTCTGATGAAGAAGAGGACCAGTCACCTTCGAAAGAGACTCGAGAAACGGAGCAGAATGGAACAGGAGAGGCCTCTCTGCTTCAAGGCTCTCCAGAACCTACATCTGACGCCACACCCGACAGCCTGCTGAAAAAAGTGCGAGGCTACCGCATCGGTGGCAAGAACCAGCAGAAAGTCGGGTTCTTCATCGAGGAGGAAGTCAAAGCGCTGGAGAACTTCAAGGTCCAGTTCTGCAACATCCATGGCGTTGAAGGCCGTACCTTCGACGCAATGATCCAGCATTCTGAGCGTGGCGGCGATGAATGGCCCGTAGGGACCCATATCTGCACCAAGGCCGATTTCTGGAACGATATCTATGCATTGATCCCCGACCGAGACCGCCGTTCCGTATATCGGTTCATGCGGCGACACTTCCAGGATACGACACAAAAGGCTCACGATTGGACCCCAGAGCAGGACGAGGAGCTCATCAGGTTGCACGCTCAGCATGGGCCCAAGTACGCGCATATCGCCAAACTTCTCGGCCGCAGTGATGACGACGTTACCCAGCGTTGGAAGAACCGCCTACAGCATCGGAATACGAAGAGAACTGGTGGATGGAGCGAAACTGAGCTGCGCGCATTTATGACATCCTTAGAGGAATACCGAAACCTCCTGATTACATCCTCGGCGGAACCCGAAAAGGCGGGCAAAGACATCTGGGAGATGGAACTCAAATCTATTTCGTGGGGCTCAATCAGCAACGGAATGGAAAACTCCCGAACTCGCCAGCAGTGCGCAGACAAATGGCGAAAGATCTCAAAGAACATCATGACTCGTCGCCAGACTGTTGATCCCAACGCCGTCTTTGATCCTGTCGAAGCAGCGAAGAAGCACCACCGCTGGAACGGAGTTGCTGAGAGCGACAAGAGCAACGTGTATGTCGAAGATGACGATGACGATGACGATGAGGAAACACGGATTCCCAGCACCACACCTGCCATCATCCCCAAGCTCGAATTCGCAGCCGAGCAACAGGCTGTGGATCTAGCCCGAGTTGCGAGAGAATATTCGGTTGAATCGTCGCCCTCCCGGGGAGATATCCAGGTCGATGGGTCATACAGCGTCGAGAAGACGAAAAAGCGCAAGCACACCGACGCCGAGGTATCCGATGACGATGAGGATGACGATGACGCGGCGCCTTCTTCGCCAATCTCGGAGAACTCCCATAGTGAAGTCAAGAAATCACGAGAGGACAAGCAAGAGAGAAAGCGTAGGAAGCAAGAGAAGAAGGTGCGGAAGAGGCGAGAGGCTGCTGAAGCCGCCGCCGCCGAAGGACTTGAAGGGGAGGTTCCCATCACGCCGAAGGAGAAGAAGCACAAGAAGCACCGCAAGTCCGAGGCCAATGGCAATGAGGGGAACGAAGCCGAGCCGACCGAATCCTCAAAGAAGAAGAGCAAGAAGGAGAAAAAGAAGCTCAGGAAGGCCGCGCAGGAAGAAGGTGCAGGTGTTGATTACACGAGTGACATTGAGAGCTCTATGGTTGTCTAGATGTGTAAATCACTACGTCGATGGCTCGCGAGATGATGTTCTGCTAGAGCGAACATCAAGCTCGAAGCAGGAGAGCCAACCGAAGCCATGTCCTGTTTGAACTGAAAATTTTCTTTAGCTAGCGAGTTTGTATCTTTAATACTGGACGAATGGAAATGTCAAAATTATCCACAAAGGGAAAACTTATCAGATGCGCTTATACAAGGTAATCAACCACAGAAAAGAACAACAAAACATCAAGAGTCTACCCATCTATAGTTCATCCTTGCGGTCAACATCCTCCTCTTCCTCCTCGACAATCTCATCATCAACAGACACCTCCTTCTGCGCACCATCCTCCCCAGTCTGCACAAACCCAACCTGCTCAGCCGAAACACGCTTCGCCAGCGCCGCAATCTCATCATCATACACAGTCCACTCGGGCACCTGTCTCCTGGCTCTCGCCAACTTAGGCTCCTTAGTCTGCGGGTTATTGCAAAGATCAATAGTCCTCGCAGACGCGAGGTCTTCATCCGAGCACCACGTCTCACACCACAACCACTCCTGGGGCAGACTGTGAATCGGAATATGGTGCTGCATGTGATTCGGCAGGTCCTGGTCCAAGTTACTCAGACTATTAGGATCAGCCGAAAGCATCTGGTACTGTCCACGGAGACGGTCGCCGGCGGCGATAGCGCGGAACCGGTTCAGGTCGACTACGTACAGCGCCGAGATGTGGTACGGCTTGCCGCGCAGGAACGTGCTCCAGTAGCCCTGTTTCCAGAAGCGGAAGCCCTCCATCTCCGTGCGTGAGTCGCCCATCGGTGTGAAACCGTAGGGTGCGCCTTCCAAGTCGTGCGTGACGAGGTCGTACATATCAGTTCGCACGATTTGGTCCGCGTCGACGAAGATTACTTTGTCCAGAGACAAGGGGAACAATACGTCTAGGAAGAGCATCTTGTATCCCCAGATCTCGCGCTGCTTCTCCTTTTGTGGACGCAGCCAGTGAGGCCACTTGTACGTGACCATCTCGTACGAGAAGCCGCATTCTTCGGCGAGATGGGGCAGGAATGCGCGGAAGGAGGGTGAGAGGAATTGTTCAATGAACCAGAACTTGACGGTGTGTTTCGTGTGCCGCATGACGGAAACCATCATGATGTTGAGCATGCGCTCGTACAAGTGGCCACTGGCGACGGAGAAAATGTTGATATCGGCCTGTTGCTCCTCAGACTTGGCGCCCACGCCAACGCTAGAGAGCACCCCGGAGGCGAAACTGAAGCCCTTGGAAAGGTAGTCTCGCGCCGAGCCAGGCTGGGGTCCCGTTTCGAGGACGTCGTCGTTCTCGTGACCGGGTTTGCGGGAGAGGCGAGGGAAGAGGGTGCGGCCTTGGAAGGACAGAAGGGTGACTTCGGTGCTCTCATCGCCAGGCTGGGGCCGATATCCAAGGCCACCGACACTGTCGATGTTGAAAAGCTTCTCACTTCGACCAGGCTTGAGGTTGATCTGCCACACGCCAGGCTGCGCTTTGAATTGGAAGTAGCCCAGGTTGGCCATGATGATAGTGTCCGCGAAATGAGGATTATCCTCTGTGCCCAAAACGAGCTGCACTCCCCGGGGTGGGGAGCCGGTGGTAACATCACGAGAGTGGCCTTCGATCAGAATGTGCTCCAAAGCATAGATGGCGTCGACATTGGCTCCGGCCTTCAGAGCACTCAGCTTGATGTTATCCGGGTCATAGACAGAGTCCTTGGGCGCCACGAGCCAAGACGTGGGGACATCCATGCCCAGGGTGAGCAATGCCTCGACGGGCACGCCAGTGAACGAAGCTCCAGGGCGAGATAGAGAGCCATCAGCAGTGAACGATGGCTCTGACTCCAGTACGTAGCGATAGAAGCGCTTGACAGGAAGCTCTTTGAGCTCATCCTTGGGGTTCAAGAAGATCTTCAGTTGAACACCCGCTAGCTCAGAGAGGACCTTGATAATCGGCAACCATCTCTGGGCCGTTTCGGATGCCGGATCAAGCACAACTGCGACATTGATCGCGGGATCCTCAGAGTTGGAAACAGCGATGACCGAGTGCTCGGTCTTCCACTTATCCGACACATCCATTCGGAAGTCCGGCATCGACTCGAATATGCCCTCGGGTACGTCCGAGATTGTAGAAAGAGTAACCATCGAAGTCAATTTGGCGAGGTCAAGGGGCTTGGTGAGCTTCTTGTTCAACCGGAGGGACAGGGAGGCTTTCGCAACGGGTTCAATCCGCTTGGATCGCTCGTAGGCAACGAGCTGGCCGATTTCTTCCACGCTCCAAGAGTATTCCTTGGGAATAGGCCCAACTGCACGGCCGTTGACAACGAGACCTTCCGTGCCGGCGTCAAATCCGAGGGTCTCGGCAAGACGTCGGTGGACATGGATGGCCTCCTGGCTAGATTCAGATGACTCTAGGGGTTCAGAAGAGGCAACGGCATCCAATATGCTGTCGATCTCTCCTCCCTTGGCAAGGGCGTGTTGAATCGCGTTCAGGCGTAAAATACTTCCTTCAGACTCGGTAGCACCGTTGTGCACCAAGAGAAGTTCCATCTCGCCATTCTCCTTCCGGAACTTCAACGCATCGGTGAGAAGCTTCAATCCAGCCTCCGACTCAAAGTCGCACACGACGATGATGTGAATGCCGCCCAAAACGCCACTTTCAGGTTCAATCTGGGGAATTTGGTCCAGAATCTTTGAATCAGGCCCGAAGATGGTGGCAAGGTCCACGATGCGCACGCTCTTAGGGTCCTCGGGCATGATGAACGTGTTGCGTCTCTCAAAGGCACCGGCCAAGAAGAACTCGGGCAGCACAGCGTCTTCTTCAAAAACGCCTTCAACGAAACCCTGCTGGATCAGCTTCAGATCCCTGCTAATCAGCATGCTCAACTCCTGCATCCAGTTGCTCTCGCGAGAGACCGGGATACCGTTGACCAAGAAATTAGGAGCTGCACCCTGAAGGCCGAGGCGACGCTGGTAGTCAGCACTGCGTGTGGCCACAGCATCGTAGTGCTCACTCTTCAACACCTGGTCGAAAGATAGAGCTTCCTTGTCTGCGCGTGGCGTTCGCTCCTTGGTCGCTGCCTCAAACGACACCTTGTCAGTTTCTCCAGCCTTGCCCTTAGAGGCGGACTCTTCCAGATAGTGGAGCAGTGACGAGAGCCCGTAAGTCTCTTGAAGGTAGTGTGCCAGCTTCAGTTGGGGAAGGGCATCTGGAGAAGGCGCAATTGGCACCAGACCGAAGCGAATAGGGATCAGACGTTTAATAAAGGTCTGGACCTGGTTGACAACCAACATGACGTGTTCTGGGCTAGATAGATCAACGGGCATGACGACATTGTGCAAGTCACGACGGACTTGGGGCAATTGCCCCGGGTAAGTGTTGGTGATGTACTGTACTTGTCAGTATTATTTTAAGACGGATAGCATGGGGCATGAGCATACTGTTTGGAGATCAGTTGGCCAAGACTCATAGCGCGAGTCTTTCTCTAGATCATTCATCCAAATAATGACCTGACCACCTTCTAGAGTATCACGATAGTCGTAACGCTGAGAGTCATCGTCCGCCTGGGACTCTGCCAGAGTTGGGTGCGATAGGAGCTTCACAGCCTCCTGTGCAGACAGACCTAGATCGCGGAACTTATCAATGAGCCTCCTCTCTCGACGGAGGATATCGAGCAGAGAGAATGCATCAATTTGTCGGGTATCAATTTGCATGCCGTTGATCCACATAACATTGTAGCCAGCTGGGATCATCCGCGCCCGGTTTTCACGAATTTCCTGTAGCAGTTCTGCGGTAGCATTATGAGCAGCGATGGTAGTCGAGTACTTGGGGAAGTTTTGTGACAGCTTGACCAGTGTTTTCAGCGGGTCTTCGCTGTCCATCACGTAGCTCGCAGAGTTCACGCCAAGTCTAGACACCTCCGAAGCAGATAGAGGCCGCAAATCATCTGGGGCATCCTCCTTCAATTCCTCGGATCCAGTTGGAGCGCCCTCTTTGCTGCTGTCATCCCGTTGCTCTGCATCACGGTCATCAATCACAATATAATCCGTACGCTTCAACGCTAGTTCCACGCCGTATCCGGAGACGAACAGGGGTTGCGAGGTCCAGTGCTGGGGTGGTCGATAGCGCACACGGTACGAGATTTCGCCTTGCTTCTCCATCTCGCTCAATTTATCATGGAATTCCTTGAACGCCGGGGCCGATACATCTGCGTAGAGAACAGCGGGGGGAAGCGAGATATCGCCGTGAACACGGTCGAATGGCAGTTCCCTGGGATCTCTACAACCTTCAAGTCAGCAAGCTGAGAGCAATAGCATTGAAGAAGCTGAACTTACAACTCTCCATCAATATCCTGCTGAGCACGCTCCATCAGCGAGGAGCAATACTGCTTCCCTTCGAAATGAACCCAGACGGGACAAGCCGCATCTTGCGCCCCCATCATCGATTGCTGCACCGAGGTATTGTAGTACTGATAATGAGCCTGGATTCGAGGCGCCAATGACCGTGTTGACAGCGATAGTTTGAACGACGATAGACTTTCGGGGGTGCGTAGATGTCCATCTTCGTGAACGACCTGTAAGAAGCGGTCATACAGCTCCTTCTCCGAGATAGCTTCCTCGAAGGCACCGTCGGCGATGCGGTCGAGTAATGGGAAATAAGAGGTTGCGTTTTCGTCGGCGGCGGTTTCACTAAGCACCATTATAAGTATCGCTGGCCCAAGTACTCCAAATCACGGGTATATAAGCAAGGACAGTGTTCACATACAGCAGCTCAACCAAGTACGGGGACGAATCGAAGGAAGCCTGCAGTGCTACGTTGACTGCCGGACTCGCATTGGCCAAACAGGCTGGTAGTAGAGCTCCCAGCGCAGCATACCAATGCCATGAGGCTCGGGGTCTCGTGGGGGCCCTCATCCTGGCTGATATGGACGGGATCAATGGAATCGAAGGGTAAATAGTGTTTATAAGGGACGGATGCCCGGAGCCAGAGGCTTAGCCGTCGTCTTCGAGATTTTGACGGTGTTTGTAATTAATTCGAGTACGAGTTCAGAGCATTGACAAGCATCGCGGGCCAAATGAGCCAGCGCTCTCACAAACAAACGCGGAGTAGGCCTGCGGATCTGGACACTTTGATCATTCTCCTATCGCGCTTATCGCAGCTTGTACGGCGGGCGAAGCGGCAACTTGTGCAAGTCGCGGCTGTCAGTGGCGTACCGGTCACGTGGAGCTGTATTCGTCCCAAGTCAAAAGGCAATAGCTGCTTTAATCCGAGAGTTTCGACTTGAATGAATGATCTAAAATGTCTGGTTGATAAGTTCATAATTTTAATATGACCATATCTGACAAGATGACTACTAGTGGTGACATGTCATATTGTGACTATAGGTAGGTTAGGTCAAGCAAGATCAATTGATGAAGATCCCAATATATCCACGGCCTTGGGCTGGTAAAGCACATTTTCTTCGTATACAAACAGCCTCGGAGTGGCCGTAGAGCTTTCAGTTGCCCTGGCGACTGCATGACTGTCCTTACTCCGACGTTCACGTTTTTCTACACTGGTAGGAGCTACAACGTATGAAAAAAGTAATTCTTGAATGTTTTCATTTGAAAAAGGAACCTAGTCCGTCGAGTATGAATATCGTAAACACATGATTTCGTTAAAACAGTTGATACCAGCGCCAGAATTTTGACTCCCATAATAATGCATGTAGTATCCGAGTGCGCCGAAAGCTCCGAGAAAGATCAATATGGAAACAGATAGCCAGAACGTTCCCATATATGCAACCTCCGATGTCTTTTTTGTTTGTTCTCCAGTGTAATAGACGCCGAGGGAAAGGTGGAATGTGAAAAGAGTTTGTGTAGAATGTGTCAAGTTGAGACCAGGCTCAACGGTAAGAATGGTAAGGTTGGGAGAAACCAGAAATTGCTTTACTGGTTGTCAGTGGTGGTCGACACCTGAGATTGAGAGTTCTTGCGAGTGTACGCATCGCGAATCAGGCGCTCGCGCTTCTCCTCAGAGACTTCGAAGAGGGAGAAATTGTAGGTGCTGCTGTGCTGGCTGCCAGGCCGAGTAAGAGCAGTGGTGGACTTCATCTTCCGGAGGTTACGAAGCTTGGCAGCAGGGCCCAGAGAGCGGAGCTCGCGGGCAAGGCGCTCCAAGACTGAGCCTTTGTTCGAAGTATTGGTCTCGTTCTCGTCCATGGGGACGGGGAAGTGTGGGAGGGGTTTGTCGATAACACCCTCGGCGATGCTCATATCAGACTCGGTAGTTCCCGTGGTGCCAAAGCTGCAGCCGGAGTCAAACTTGCGAGTCTTGCTACGGGAGGAGCTGTTGGACCTGACAAAGTGACTAGGCTCATTGACCAAAACACACTCATCGATCATTTCGTTGACCAGATCGAGGAACTTTTCAAGAGTCTTGTGGACGGCGGGCCACGAACCCTCACCCTCTTCACCCTCTCCCTGGTGAATCATCTGGTACACAGGACCCGTGCCGCGAGTGCTGACCTTGTTGATAGTCTTGAAAAACGCGTCGCGGTGCATCTTGAGAATTTGGTAGGTCAACTGAGGAGTAGGAGTCACGGTCGAGGGCGAGATGGGAGGATAGAGGGTGTTGAGCAGAGCGATGTGGTTATGCTTGTTGTGCGGCTCCAGGAGAACCTCATTCATAATCATCCAGCGACGCAGGCCCACATAGATCTGGGTGTACAATGCCTCGAGAATCCGGCCCTTGGCATTGATCGTCTCGAGCCAAGACACGACTCCGGGATAATTGGCGGCCAGATCCGAATTCTTGATGTTATCGGCTTCACTACGGCTAATGTTCAATCGCTGCAGGGCAAGAGACATTTCTTTCTTCCAGCGGTTCTGCAAGTCCTTGGCGTAGTCCAAAGCAGTCAAGCTTTGGGGGAAGTCCACCTGCTCCAGGTCCTGGGGGAAGCAACGGCGGAGGAAGGAGGTCAAAAAGCTGGGCGGGAGCGAGCAAGGCTGAGAGGGCATCCGAGCGATCTGGTGGATCAATTGGGAGCGGAAGTCGGCGGCAGCATCCACGGAGCTTTCCTGCGAGGAGTTCGAGGCCTGAGTCGAGGTCGAGTTCCGAGGGCTAAACGCGGTTTCCGGCGAGGTGCTGCCGGCCACGAAAGACCTGCTCGGTTGGCAATTGAGGGCGTACATGTCGCGAAGGGGAATTTCGTAGGTAGCAGGGTAGCGGGCAATATGGTCAAAGATCCAAGTGAAAGAGGAACCATCAGGGATCTTGGCCATCTTGGGCGAATCGGGGCGCGCAGACATGATGCAAAAGAGCGGGATTGTGGTCTGTGCAGGGTGGAGTAGAACAGCTTTTGTGCTGAAGGAGGAATGTCCAAGGACTTTTTAAAGACGAGGAAAAGAATTGACAACGCGTTCGAAAGACCAAGATTGCCCAAATAAACAATGCCGGACAAGCTTCCGAGGGCTGGGACAATTTCCAAACACGCCGAAGGGATGAAAGCGTGTGAAACGTATTGGCAAAAGGAGAGAGCGTGTTAAAATAGCGAAGTAAAGGTAAACCACCAAAGATAAGGCGGGGGGATAAGTGTAGAGATCAAAGCGGATCAGATGCACGCAACACTGGCCATGCTACGAAAGACGCAGTGAGGTGGCAAGCGCGTGTGTGGCTGAAAGAAGAGAAGGGGGAGCTGGTAGTTCGGCGAGTGTCTTGAAGTAGTTGAAATGTTTCAGATGTTGACGCGAGGGGCTGCAGGGCGTTCGGTGCTCTCGTTGGCTGGTCGGACCTCGCGGCTGCAAGATCGGATCTAAGCGAAAGGCAAAAGACGAGGGCAACAAAGTTTGGGTTGGACTTTTGATTGGAGACTGGCTCTCAAGGATCGTGAAAAAAGGATAAACAGAGAAGATGGATTGCAAGACACGTCTCACGTAGATTGAAGGGAGTGTTTGTTGATAGGAGATTGAACGAGGGGATGTGGGGGGTTGAGAAGAGGAGTGGGTGGAAGGAGAGGAGTTGAAGGAGGAGAAAGAGACGTGGAGAGGAAAAAACAGAGAAAAGCAGAACTGGAGAAGAGGAAGTGGGAAGGAGGATTGCTCATAAGGAAGCGGAGGAAGTGGAGGAGGAGGAGAAGGCAAAGCGGACTTGAGGAACCCGAAAAGTCCAAAAGTCTGGACCGCCGGTGGATCCGCTTTTTTTTTGTCTTTTTCCACTTTTCCACTTTTGTTATTCCACCCGTTTCTTCCTCATCGATTCGTTATCCTCGTTCACAAAACACCAACTTCTCCACTGTCCTCCTCCACTTTGAAAGAATAAGACCTCATCTCGATCTCCTCATTCGATTTCCCAGCCATGACTGGATCCATACCCGTTGTGTCTTTGAGGGTTCCACTACTAGTTTCCTGCACTGAGCCGCCCTAGAGGCCACCAACACCGGGAAATGACAGCCGTTGCGTCTTCCGCGATTCCGGTCCACTTAGTCTCTACAATCAACACGCTAACCGATCCTCGTCTACCGCAGCGCGCGGTGTCTCGCGCTGCATCCGGGCCCGGGGCTGTGGTTGAAGACGCCATGGGACACGCTAGCGCATCCCTGTCCGCGTCCTGGGGAATTTCGCTCAGTTTGATGCACCTCGATGGTCGTGTCAGAATTTTGAGCCTACAGGACTACTCGGAGGCCCGGGCTGATCAATCCTCCATGGGGACTCCAATCTCAATGAATCGCCCGGGGATCCACTGCCCAGCTTGTCAGTGCAAGACGCGGTGCGAGTTACCCTGGCTGAGTTGATAAGTGTTAGGCTTTTGATTCAAGACCTTTTTTTCCCTCTTCGTTCTGCTCTTGAATTGACAAGTGATAAATTTAGATTGCCACTCAAGAAAAACACACACCAGTCATATCTGGGCCACACTCTGCTGCGCAACGGTCTTTTTTTGGGTGCATTCGTCACCCGGTTTTGCCTCCACAAAACCGTGCCTCCCTCGATCGCTGTGGGGGTGAACCACGCAATCTTTGCAGTTGACGGACCCCTGCCCGCATTACCCGGAGCCCTCGTTCATTCCGCCACACAAAGGGGAAAAAAACCAACGTTGGAGCAGTCAAATTGATCTCGAGAAATGAGAGGTCCTGGTTTTTTCTTTCTTGATTATCGAACGATGACAGGTATTCTCTGGACTTTTGTGTACAGCACTTCTGACGTCGATCAATAAACAACCACAATCGGTGCTATCGCCCATGGTTCTCGCCGTGTCAACCCCGCCCGCGACCCACGAAAACCGTGCCTTTTCAGGTACTTTGAGTACTGCACTTTCAGTACTTTCAGGCACAGCCGAGGCCTGTACCTGCATCGTTTCAGATTCCAGGCTACACACGATCTATCACTTTTCTTTTTCTTCCGTTAGAAATCTCCAAGGTCATACCCTCGTCGGCACTGTTCAATCAAACTTCAACTTGTGCTCAATTTTGTATACCTATTCCTTGCTATTCCCGAGTCCCTCGCGAGTCACAACGAAGGAAAATCACAGCCCGATCATCGTCCCTGCAGTGCCCAACCCTTGAACCCACACAAACCAGGCAGCCCTTTTTGCGGGTCACCAAAAAGTCGACCTTCCCAAACCGGGCGAGATCGGACTTGCCGTGGGGCCTCAGGCCGCGCACAAAAGTTCCAGACAATACGATCGGCATTTCTTTCATTAAATGTCTTCCGTGAGTCCCTTCACTACTAACGGTCGGATACGTCAGACTCAGACCCTGGCTGTCAAATTGCCAATCTCCGGCACTTTTCACGACGGTTTCCGCGGCGCAGGCTAGACGGCGATCATGGCATCATGGTCGTTGATTAACAATGCCTCGAGGCGTCGGCGATCCCAGCCATGTTTGTCGGCTCTGCCTGGTCCATATACACTTCGTGCAACCGTGTGCGACCGTGCCTGGCCAGATTATTATGTAGTCACGGAGGATATCCCAATTCGCAATTTCACAAGTCTCCGGAGAAGATTCGGAACATGTAAATGATGATATCTTTCTCCCGAGCCCACATACTTAGTTTGCCAGTTCATGTTGAATTGCCCAACAGCTACTCGATCGGCAAAAGTACCGTAGCTACTCCGTCCACACAAACTTTTCTCTAGGTTCGCACACAGTCCTTCTTTCAAAGGAATTAATCTATGGTGTCCGATTGATTACTGCGATCAATCAAGTCCCCCCGAATGAAATTTGCTCCTCGAGCGCCATAACCGCATCCCATGTACTGTACCCAGAATTTGAGCCAGCCATCAAAACCAAAAGATCGCACACTGCGGCTCAGGGGAAATCACCCAGTCGCGATCGAGGTCCGTGTACTCCGTGTTTTGTCTTTGTTTCTAGTCTGCATAGTGCTTTTTCCAATGCGAACTAACCGCTTCCCCGGGAGCGACGATGATCATGTGGCTTTTGGCGATAGGGAAGAGGAGTCGAGGACGGGAAGGTTATCTTTGACGTATATGCTGTGCTCCGTATAAAAGTACCAAGTATGACAGACCCCGTACTTTGACACTAGTTTTAAATTGGACGTGTTCGATGTCGCGGGATTGGTGTGACTGATTGCTTGATTTTTGGGATGTTTGATTCTGGAGGAGGGGGCCTGTCGTGTTGAGATGTTTATTCTAAACAAAGGAGCCTTGCCCGGATTTTCAGTCTACGCCGACCCTTGATAGATAGGTTCTATGTTGGACAATCTCTGGTAGAATCTCTCGGTACAACTGCAACTTTTTTATCGTGGGAACAAGTGTTTACTAGCACATTCCAGACTCAATTCGTGGATAAAGCAATACGAGGATGTCCCCGAATCCCGGCATCTCCCAATCGAACGCATTGCTTTCCAAAACGTGCATGATGCGATGGCTAGACTTGGGGAACACCAATCCCAACATTGTATTTACCCAGGCCCGTATTGAACACAGGGAAATCCTTGTGAGCAAGTCACCGGCGTCCTTAAACCGGCATCGTTCAGGATTTTCTCAGTGAAGCAGAGCAGAGCCCATTCAGATTCCCAATCCTCGACCAGAACTGCAGAGGCGTAACGGCCCGTCGTCGTCCACAACGCCTTCTTTGTAGACGAGGCAGTATATTCATTCCCCCTAACCGCGACCTCGGAATCAGCACCGAGTTCGCCGACGTTTACGATCTGATCCGGAAGTTTGTCACTATACTATTAGGCTGGCTTGTCGAGCATTACTACTGGAATTTTGTTCGATCGGAATAGATGCACCGTACTCGGATCTCACCATGGAACGACTTTCAATCGTCATTATACGTGGTGGCAACCTGGAAACCAAGTAAAGCTGGACCAAACCTTTTAATCTCGAGTCGTTTAAATGAGATCGTACCTAAATACACATAGAGAAACCTTGGAAACTATCATGTCTCCTCCACCTTTACGTACCAGATTGCCGAGTCGTGTTCCCTGCCTTCCAGGCCGGCCTTGGTTCTCAACTCTCCATGGAGATTGAAATTAAAAAAAGCAGCCCTGAGTAAAAATGCCAACGTTAAAGTCCGTTGTCCACAACTTCGATGATCCTCGCTGCCGTGGGTGCCACCGGACTCCCCCACTCATGCTACTTCCCCACGATTCCCCATTCCCCACATAGAGTATTCCCATCCTTGACTACAGGTGGGGAAGAGATGCGTGACATCTTTACTCCAATTTAAATTGTTGAATGTTTTCTAACTTGATTTCTTCACTTTAATTACACAAGACCAAATCAACAGGTACCAACCAACTTGAATCAAATTATTGGGGGATACTTGATAAGAGGCGGGGTTTGACACAAACACTATACCACACAATGTCACCTTCAGTGCTTCACGACGAGACCTTCGATGAGGAAGTCCCGGTCCTAATCATTGGTGGGGGCCCGTCCGGTCTATTTTTGGCCTTCATGTTGGAGCAACTTGGCGGTCTGTATTCCTTCTCTCTACTAAGATATCATTGACATGTATACTGATAGTATTCTAGTCCGATCACTAATTGCTGAGAAATATGCGACCAGATTGGCTGCCCCCAAGGCTCACGCCCTAAGCCCTCGGTCACTCGAGATGTGCCGTCAGTTCAGACTAGATGTGAACGAGATTCGCAAGGTCGGAACCTCTCGCAGCGATGCCTATTGGGTTAACTTTATTACGAGCTTGGCTGGCGAGCATGTGGGCAAATTACCCTATGAGCGCATGGACGCTGAAGTCCTTAACAGTACCCCCACTGTTGGTTTTCACTAAGCCATACCCAGGAATTACGAACGCTAAAATGGTCTTTAGATGATTCACAATATCCCACAGCCTGCTTTTGAAGAGCTGATTGCCAAGAGGCTATCTAAGAGCAGCCTGGTCGAGATTCGCAAGAACCACGCCTTTGTCGACTTGAAACAGGTAAGAACCTGCACCTTTTCTTCTTTCCTGTAACACCTACTGATTAAATTAGTTTGACGGCCATGTCATCACAACAATCATGAACCGCGATTCAAAAGAACCATACAAAGTCCGCTCGAAGCATGTAGTTGCCTGTGACGGCGCAAAGAGTGCCGTGCGCAGCTTCCTGGGCATTGAAAGCGAGGGCGAGGATTCTTGTAAGTATAAACTCCTTTTCGGACTCTAATATCCAAGACATTAACGACACATTCAGACGAAACAATGATGACCATCCACGTCAATGCGGATCTACGTCCCATCGTTAAGGAGCAGGTCGGTATGCTCCATTGGGTTATGGATCCTTTGGTATCTGGTTTTATAATCGCCTATGACTTGTCCGGAAATCAAGTTCTGATTTGCAATTTCGACGTGAGTTCAGTGTTTAATCGCGGCTGCACATTGATACTGACATTTTATATAGTCCAAAAAATGGCCAGTAGAATCATGGAATGAAGAGCACTGCCGCAAGGTCGTCGACGCTGCCATCGGTGCGAAGGCCAAGTATGATGTTCTCAGTTTCCGTCCCTGGATCCTGAGCCGAAAGGTCGCCAAGTCCTACAGCGACGGACGAGTTTTCCTGTTAGTATACCTCTCTTGCTTTCTCAATTTGCCGTAATTTTGTCGACTAACGCACCTATGCCTAGTGCTGGTGATGCCGCTCATTCCTTCCCCCTACTGGCGGCCTAGGCCTGAACTCCGGGCTCGGCGACGTCCACAACTTGGCTTATAAGCTAGCCGCCGTGCACCATGGCTCTGCAAAGGACGCTACTTTGGATACATACGATGCCGAGCGCCGTCAGGTTGCCCTGGTAAACTCACAACAGAGTGTGAAGAACGGAAAGAAGATTTTTGGTTTGCTGAAGACTCTCGGCACTACTGATCCTGATGTCGACGTTGCCCGTCACAATCTATACCAAACGATCCATGATGAAAAGGCTATGGTCGATATCAACGAGGGCATCGAGGGCCAGCGTGAGCATTTTGATAACCTCGGCCTACACATCGGTTACGTGTACGGCGACAAGCGCATCCCCGACAATGCATCCGTGTACGAGCCCGTCTGCGTGCCGGGAGCTCGTCTGCCCCATGCTTGGATCAAACTCGTTGATTCTGAGAAGGTGCAGCTTCCTGCGATTGACTCAACATACGTTGGCGTCGATTCCCAGAAGGTAGGGGAAATGACCTACTCTACACTAGATCTGTGCCGCTTTGACTCCTTCACTATCTTGGTCGACAAGAGTTCCTCCTCGAACTTCGAATCCGCCGTTCAACAGGCGCTCAAGCAGCTTCCTGCAAAAGTGGCCTCTAAATTATCACTGCAAGTGGCTGTCAAAGGTGTGGACTTCTTGCTGCAGCCTGGTCAGGAAAAGTGGGATGATGTGGTGCCGTTGAAGGAAGGTCAGGCGGTATTGGTGCGTCCAGACCAACACATTCTAGCCGTGTTGGACCGGAACACTAGCGCAGCTCAAATTCTAGAGGCTTTGGGGAGTCATTTGGGCTGGTAGGCGAGTGACAGAGTCAGGGGTGAACAGCCACTAGTAGAGAGCTTCTAGGAAGATCTCCTGTTACCCAAAGGCTCCAATTTCTAAATGCTCTGGGGCCAAAGCGATGGAGCAATGAGGAAGTAAATATATAGTTTACCCGGTTATGTGATAGATAGATACCAAGACAAGATCTCGTTAAGCTAACCTCTTCATTTCTAACTTTCTAGTAGACTCGAACTTGAACTATGGTTACGTTCATATGCAGATGGGAATCCCTTAGTGTGTAGCTAAGGCTATTTATTAGCAGCTGTGCGGGCAGTAGGCGGGGCCCGGCAACAGCAGGGAAGTAGGGCCAGCCTGGAGACCGACATACGCTTGATCTTCCCGACTCTGTGCCCCATGGGATTATGACGCACTTGGCCTAAATATTGATTAGCATCGGATATTCGCAAAAGACCATCAAAATGCAGGAAAGGAGTAGCATACCCAGGGGGCCGTGCTTCTTCTCGCAGGAGCCACATCGCTCAGTCTGAATCTCGCCTAGGCAGAAAATGAAGGCAGACTACACGTTTGCGAGCTTATCGCAGACACGTTCTTCTTTGCGCTTGCCCGACATGAAGAAATGGCTTCTTGCCATTAGCTCACGCACCGCTTTCTAGGCGAAGAACACTGGGAGATGTTTGCCCTTAGGCTTCTCTCCCTCATGGGCGGCCTTCCATAGGGATCCCCACAGCAGCTTCGCCCACATGGAGAGGAAGGCGGAGACGGGAGGTAGGTAGCAAGCTCGTAGAAGGAAGTAGCAATCACGAGGAAGGAGAGGTCGCCGGACTATTAAGTTTAAGCACATAAAAGATGAGAAGAAAAGCAAGACGAGAGGAAAGACGAGAGGAAAGATGAGAGGAAAGACCAGACTAATTTAGTTTGATATCATAACTCCCATAATATCATACTCTTCAGGCAGCAATAAAATAACCATCCGTTAGCAGAATCAGGACTCCTTATTATTCTCGGATCTGCTAGCATAAGGGGGAATAGGATAAATGTTACTGTACTTGGAACAGGCCGCGGCCCAGTCCGGGCAACTCATTATCATTCAAGGAAGAACTTTCCTATTATGGGAGTACTATACACGAAGTCGACGTCTGTCTGACTTGATAACCAACGCATCCGATACTACAAAAGAATACAAACTAGGTGCGGACTTTTTCCTTCATCCTCTAATCCCCCCATACTCAAATTTCACCTGCCCGTGAGATCATGGCTTTAACAACAGAGCCGCACGAGATTTTTCTGATCCCCGAGATCCTGGAAATAATTTTGATACAGACCAATATGCAGACTTTACTCACACCAGCTCAAAGAGTATGTCATCAATGGCATTATCTAATTCAAGACTCGACCGATCTACAAGCCGCCCCTTTTTTTCAAGCCCGTAAGATACACCCTACCGCACGGGACACCAGGCATTCGAAATCCATTAATAGATAAATATCTGTGGCCGTGGTTTTGCTCAACTAAGGCGCAACTTTACGGAGCACCACCAGTCGAAGGAGGGGCAAAGACACCTTCAATTGATTCTCGGAATGATATTCGCTTTCGCCGAAAGGAAGTAGTTGGGTACGAATGCCCTTTCAGCAACCTCCTCGATCTTGTATCGGCCTAGTGGAGAAAGACGGAGGGGAAGTGAATGGCCCCGCATACACAGAAGTGAAGCTTAATGTGCAAGGGGATAATTTACGAATTGGAAATATAGTGTATCCCTGCACGCTACCTGATCGCCATATTCACCCTCTATCAGAGGAAGGAATAATCTGGTATGGAGAAATTCATACTGATAACGATCTGAAACGATATCCTTGGCTTAAAAAGTATCAAGATGGAGTAGAGATACATGGGGAAATCCATAGGAGCCAGGTAGCGTACGCTACCTCTACATATCTAAGGGATTGCGATATTGTGCTTTTCACTCTACATTGCGCCCGGGCACGGGGGAAGCTACATATGGCAGATGGTCAGGACGCTTTCCGCATCAAAAATCTATATTGTTGGCTGTTCAAACTTGGGATGACTCTTGTTCCGGGGCAGATATCTATTCCGATGCCTTCAAACTAGGTGCTTTCAAGATTTGCAGCCTCGGTAGGCATGATCAACCGATGGAATTTGCTACCTACTTTGCAAAAGTGAAGTTGATCAATAATGGCTAGCTCCTGAAATGAAATTTTAATCTTATCGAATGTTATTACACTACACAGTTTAAAACACAGCACACTAAAATGAAGGTCAACTCAACATTCATATTGAGAACTATTGCCTAGGGAGTCTCGCCAAACGCCCAATAATCTCTTCCATCTCGGTCGATATCAACCATCTGGAAGCAACTGTCTTGAGACTGATCTGTAATGTATTCACCTCATGCAGTAAGTTCACCGAAGTCATTGCATCGTTCGCGCCGGTTGGATTCAACGAGTTGATTAGTTTCTTAGCCCCGCTGAAGTCAAGAGCATCGGGAGATGCAGGATCCAAAGCGGAAGCCGGAGAAGACAAAGTATCCATGTTCTCGCTTCCTTGGGTTTCATCGGTCTGATCGTTCTCGGCGATGACACCGACCCACACGTCGTGCCATCGCCAATTTTTGGGAATCTTGACCTTGTTCTTGTTCCAGAGGTGAGTTGCCACTAGTATCATGGCTGAGGCGAAGAGGCAGCCGGGGATGTGAATTGCATGGGCATGACCGCTGGGGATTTCGTTAAGAAGACGTATGATGGAAACCGCATGGAGAACGGCGCGAAATGCTTCGACGCTTTGAGCCCAATTGGCGAGGTTGAAAGGGCGCGCCCAACCTTTGACGGGAATACCGCTGAGGACTAACGGTAATTTGTACTCGTCGCAGATGCGGCGGTAGAGGGATATGGTGGGGGTGGAAAGCTCAATACACACGGCATGCCAGCAGATGAGAGTCTGGAGGGAGTCGATACTGCGGGAGGTACAGAGATTGCCTTCGTAAATGTTGAGAAGACCTTGAATGATCTGTGAGCGTGGAATAGTTCCCAAAGCCGCGCTATCGACGTCATGTAGCTCAGCGATTAATGATTGCAGGCCTTCGAGCAAGACCGAGATGGAAAGTTGCGAGAGCTCTAATGGCGCCTTGGTATAATCCCTCGCGCATACTCTGATGAACAGCTCTGAAAATGGAATCCGCTCATGGCCCAACTGCGCCATTTGAACAATCCATTCGTCGGCAGTCTCGGCAGCAAATGCAGCATCGGAACATGCGGCGCTGATTTTGTTTGTGAGATGACGAGCACTAGCGGCGGAGCCTGACGCCTGTGAGATGAGCCCGTCCAATATATAGTGTCCGAGTGTTGCTCGCCGCTGAACTTCTGCGGCTACCCAAATGCGCCAGGCGGTCTCCTTGACTTCTGGCTCTGCTTCCACGTCGGGTATAGCTCCTAGTTGAAGATCGTCCACTGAGTACATACCAGATGTCCTTGCCCAATAGAAGCCTAATCCATGGAAGACAAACGCGGTTGTCCGAACGCTGGTATTGCGAGAAAGCAATGCGTATGTTTGCCCCAGAAGAGCCGTTAGAACCAACTGGATACCATCACACTGGTCATGCGGCCCTCGTAGTTTAATCAGACTCTGCCACGAGGCTGCAACCGCGGTATGCCCCAGTTTCCACAGTATCTCTCCTTGCTCCACAGCATCGGGGACACATACAAATAGAGAACCCAGAGCAACCATATTCAGCAACAGAGGGGATATACAGTCCCGCACGGAGAATGTAGGCTCGTGGATGATCGGAAAAGAGGGAGATACCCGGCCAAAGAATTCTCTTAAACACGCATCCACGAACGGAGGGGTAACTCCCGTGTTTCGCAGGTTATTGTTGAGTCTCTTAGATAGGTCATCGACGAGCTTATGAAGTTCGTCCACCGCATGCTGGCCGGGACTCCCCTGGCTATCAGCTGGGGGTACCGAGCGCAGACAGCTTAGAGCTGAGATCAACGAATAAGAATTATCGGAGATATCTGCCATGGGTAATAGCAGCGAAGAACTATTCTGAAAATCCGGCATCAGCCAGTCAAGCAGATTTTCCGATTCATGAGTATAGGGGCTAGCGAGGAGAGATTGGTCGAAAAGCCTAGGTTGCTCCAAGTCGTAATTCGTGGGCACTAGGGAATTTAAAGGGGACGCCGGTGTTTCGGGAAGGACTGCATTGCTGATCATAGCTTGCGGCTGCTGAAGCGCTATATTGGCATCGGAAATTTGGGCGCGCCTATTCGTATGCAGCTTCATGTGCCGATTCAGCACATCCTGCCTGCCAAAGGATTTATTACATTGCGGGCAGGGAAATGGTTTCAAATTTGTATCTAATTCCTGTCAGCTGTTTCCTTTTCTTCGACATGGGGACTAGTTTCCATTAGTGTACTAGTGATTATGATCACTACTCACGTGTTCTCTTATGTCTCTAGAGTTGTTTTAGCGTTGAGGTATAACGGCACGCATGAGGATTACAACGTACCGTAAGATGTTCTAACTTGGTGTAGGCCTTATCGCACACGCTACAGCGAAAATTTCTGGAATTACCGGCCGAGTTGGATCCGCTTGTGACCGGAGAAGATACCATGTTCATGGCCAACATGTACTAGCGGGGATGTACAAAGCAAAGAGTAAGTGGGATTGGCGTATGGGGAAGTGGGAGAGAAGAACAATTAAGGTGGGTTGAGAGGGGAAGGCTTGGGTGGGAAATAAGATCCCTAGGGCAGACTATAGGGACCACTTAACCATAACCCTCAGTTTGCAACCGGCAGAAAGGCGGGGGCTGTTATTTATGTGGCCTCAGGCAAACAATCTGATACAATCATAGTCACATACCTATGTCCGATGATATATATCTTTACTCGAAATCTGCGTTGAGATTAGTCTGGATATTAATCGCGTAAAATCCCCAAAATTATGACAGTCTTCTACCACTACCAACTACGATGACGACTACTCTTTACAAGACTATACGGACATAGGAGCCATCGGGCTTACTGATCAACTTGACTGAACCTACGCCAAAAATGGGATTATACTACTATATATATATATACTATACAGCGTGATTATTTTTGAGTGGGTACTAATCATTGCAAATCAACTTGGGATATAAGATATTGATTTCTTGTTTTCCTTCAATGAATGGGGTAAAAGTTTTCTTGTAATCACACAGAGTTAGGAATATGAAAATTTCTTAGGAAGGCAGACCTGCACAGCATGCTTGGCAGAAAATTAATATTTTCAAATCCATCTACATTTGATTTTAAGTTGGTTGGTTGACCCTCGGCAAACCGAAGGTGGGAAAGTGGGAAAGTGGGACAAGGATTGAGATGATGCGGCGAAGTGGGAATAACGTAGTAGGGATCACAAAATGGCAGTCGAGCCTTTGATAGGCATAGTACCAAGTACAAGCGGGAACGTGCACCCTACAAATTCGAATAATTTACAACTAGCAAATCATTGATTGTGACTTGCCTGGGATAGCACCCGTGGGGCGGGAGGAGAAAAACTTAAGGCGTGTGTGTATATGGGATATGTAGGGGATTATTCCAATTTAGATTAGCTACGTAACTAGCCTGCATTTTATATACATGGATTCCTATGATTTCTAACCCCTACTCTTTCCTAGCGTGCTGCTCGTGTAAACCAGGTAGAACAGTAGCCAAGATCGCCATCTCTTCGGTGGCATGTTGCAGCAATGCCATAGGTAACTTTTCAGGAACCATAGCCCTTCTCGCCTCTGGCGAGACTCCTGGAATATCCCCGAGCCAGAATCGCGATCGCATTCGAACACCATCCGGCTCATCTTTGATCAAGTGTATCAGATGACCCATGTAGTTGACCTCGCCGGTCTGATCGTTCCAGTTACCGGTTCTCCCACATATCGCGGTGGAGTAGCCAGCGCGTTGAAAGTCTTCCTTCCAGGTCGGACCAAAATATTCAGCGGGGTCACGGAAGGAAATCTTGAGCTTGGCGAGTTCACCGCCGAAAAATTCGTGAACGAGGTGATGTCCACCGATATAAGTACTGTCGTTGTTGCGTGGGCCTTGCCAATCCGAGAAGACATGGTCGCGAGGATGCCAAAGTTTGTACTGGTCGGTGGTATGGATCCAGCCGAACCACCAGTCTATCATAGCACCAGTTGAGCCCTTCATGTAGGTTGAAGCTGCAATGTGATACATGCCATCATTGGTGGCCGCAACACCAGCCTCCATTGGGAGGTAAGGATGCTCCAGAAGGAGCCTAGCATCGGAAAGGGCGAGCCCTGGTGAGAGCGGGGTCGTCATGACGTGGAGTAAAAGAGGTTTGCGGGATATAGTAGGGTGAAGATTCGACGCGATAGTAGAAACAAAATACTAGGAAAAGGTGTTCTTAAATAATTCCAATCCGAACGCCCACCAGAGAGTGAGCCCGAAGATTGTGGGGAAATTCCGGGGGATCCGATGGGGAAACGTGGGGAAGCCTCCAGGGTGACTCTCATGGCACCGAGGGAATCCCTCATTAATAAATACATTGCCACAACAAGGACAATTAGTTCTAATTCTGTTTTCTTGTCCAGAAAGACATTATAAGCATGTGTGACAAAATCGAGCAACAGCAGCCCGAAGCTCCAGGCACGGAGCTTTTGATCCTTCAAGATCACTTAGCCCTTTCTCAATACAAATACGTCACCCGCGGCCAGGAGCGCGTATTGCTTGTCCCACAGCCATCCATCGATGACCAGAACGACCCTTTGCTATGGCCACGATGGAAAAAGTGGCTTACATTCAGCAATGGCCTTCTTTACGCCTTCCTTGGGTCTGTCACCGGGCCTATGATGGCTGGAGGTATGCAACCAGGTCCCATTCTTCCTTCATTACTTTAAACCAAGCCCCCTAATCTATTGCATAGGAATGATCCAGCTCGCAACTTTCTTCAAACGACCCTTCTCCGATATTGCCTACAGTAATGGAGCTACGTTGATTTGTCAAGGCTTCGGCACGCTATTTTGGTTGTAAGCATCTCTGATTGCCTATTAACATAGGCAAAGGATTCATCTGAATATACACTGACAATTACTTGATGTGAAAGACCTATAGCAGTCAAAATCGGCCGCCGTCCAGTTTATCTCACATCGAATCTTCTTATGGGTGTCGCCTGTGTCTGGTTGGCGATTGCGTCCCAGGAACGCTTTACAAATTTTGTGGTTGCTCGAGCTTTCCTCGGGCTCTTCGAAGCGCCTATTGAAGCGATAGTTCCCAGCACAGTGGCCGATATTTTCCACCTCCATGAACGCGGGGAGAAGATAGCTGTCTATGGACTATCGGTGCTTGGCGGTAACGAGCTTGGCCCACTGGCATCCGCGTACATCATCCAGGGGTTGAGCATGCGGTGGGCGTTTTACATCGTTGCGATGTTTATCGGTGCCAGTCTGATAGCGATGTTTTTTCTCATGCCAGAAACAGCATTCAATGGGTCTCGTCCCAAGATCGTCCCTATTATTGCCGAAGAAACCGACATGATCAATAACCGTGAAGGCAAACTGTCTTACGAACATCTTGAAGGAGTGTCCTCTGTCCCCGCAGCGCAACTGGAATCGCAATTTCCAGCTATTGAGAGGCGACCATACGTGTCGGAACTCTTCCGAATTAGCATCAATCATGAAGTCTCTCTGTGGGCCATCTTCCAGCGGCCATTTATATTGATGATTTATCCGACTGTTCTCTGGTCGAGTCTCGCGTATGGCATGAGTCTGAGCTGGAATGTCATTCTAGGGTGCCTCGTCGCTCAGCTGTTTTCAGTGCAGTAAGTTTGGGCTTTCTCCACGTCGAAACACTGCTAACAAATTCTCTCTGTAGACCCTACAATTTTGACTCCGGTGCGCAGGGACTCACTTTTGTTTCACCGCTTCTTGGATCTCTCGTCGGGACATATCTCTGTGGTCCTCTCGCTGATCGGACGGCTACGTGGTTCACAATCCGTAATAAAGGAGTCCGTGAACCCGAAATGCGCCTCCCTACTTGCATCATTGCGGCCATTCTCACATTCCTAGGGGCTCTTCTCTCTGGCCTAACCTACCACTATAAAACTCACTGGGCCGGCCCGATTGTGGGGTTCGGAGTGTTATCTGCTGGTGCTCAGATGGGTGCCACCCTCGCCATTTCCTACAGCTTGGATTGCCATAAGGAATTTTCCGCAGAAATCATGGTGACTATATCCTGTCTCAAGTCAGGTGTTGCCTGGATATGGACATGGTGTATCAACAACTGGGTTTCAAGTGCCGGTCTTTTAACGGTGTTTATGACCCTCGCGGCTATCAATGTGGGTATCTATATGCTGGCATTTATCTTTCACTTTTACGGGAAGAAGATTCGCATCTATTTGCAGAAGAAGGATTTCTTACGTACTTCTATTGAGAAGTAGAGCCAGCTTTTGTGACGCTTGACGCCAAGGAAAATTCAAACAAGCCTTCCTCGAGCCTGATACCCACCTTCAGGCTTGGGGTAATTACCAGATACGTGATTACTTATCTTAGTTGGCGAATGGTCATTTAATCTAAATCCTCAGCCCAAAATCTTCTTGGCTACATGATCTTTGGTGGGGGTGTTTTCACACAGATAAGCCAGATGCCACACAATCGTGTGGGACGATCAAGTGGCAAAAGAAATAATGCTTCCAGATATAGGAGCCCCGAAGAGTCGAAATCTCGTGACAGTTTGAATGAAGGATATGAACTAATTCGGATGTTCCATATGGTTGGGAGAGCTAGTTGATATGGAATGTAAGCTGCCATCCACGCAACTCTGATCGAGTAGGTCGGATGCATTCCTCATACCTACATTTTACAAACATTATCTGCCAAGCCTTCGGAGCCTGCTAGGAGCATCGCCTATAGCCGGGCTTTATAGCAACTAGTCTATTTCAGGATTTTCCACCCGGCAACCTGGTGAATGGAAGAGCCTTCATTTTTTATTATTGGGGTTACCCTCTAGGCACTCAGAGTACCCCATAATGAGGTATAAGACTAAGAAAAGTGCCTATTCCATATATGATATAGGTCTCTATCGAATACACTCTTACAAGAAGCTATAACGTAGCGAATGGATGAAAGACACGGGATCCGGCACGGTACTGACATGTAGCAACCAGGGTTTTAAGAAACCGTTAAGAGGGTAATGTGGGATGCCTTTCAAGTTCGATAAAGAGATTAGAGGCTACTGAAAAAGCTCGAAAGTCTTCAAGAGTTTTCCCACGGCCGTTCATGCAAACGGTTGGGCTGAGACCAGATTAGCTTATTTGACTATCCGGGTCGCTCGCGATCCGCGTAATCTAGTGGCTTCTAGAAGTACGAGAGTTCACTAGTCGAACACTGCGACACTTCTCCCTTTCGTAATTATTGTAAACTAGGTGTCCGAAAGCTATGTTAAAGACTCCGGAACGATATCTACGCCTCCAAAAGCCGCGTGGCGACCTCCTTGGCTAATATGCGACTAGCCAAGAGAAAGACCCAGCAACCATCAGCTACAAAACTTGGCATCGGACACTCAACTACCAAAACCGCCATCCCGCTTACATATTTCTTATTTAATTACAGTGACAGCACCCATACACAATTCCAACGGGCTATTCAATTTCATAAGCATTCGAATGATGTTATTCGCCCACTCACCAGACAATAAAACGTCTTAACCAGACTCGCTTTGATCAAGGTAAGCCCTGCCAAATCAATTGAGAATCGATGACTAGCTTGAGAGCGTTAACTAACAGGAGTGATAACAGGTTCCTCAGAATGGACACAATGTCAGTTCCTCGGGAACTATACGAGTTACTGGGAATGCAACTGTGACGATTTACATGGACTGGGCCATATCGGTGTTGGAGGAACCTACGGCCTTGTAAGTTTCATTCTATATTAAACCCAGCCCATCAGCATTTTCTCGATTGCGAACCCCTGGGCTCTACGTCAATACTGACATCACAAAAAGATGGCAAATGCGGTCACTTCGACTGGTGACCCTCTTTTCTTCCTCCATCACGCTTGGCTGGATCGAGCCTGGTGGAAATGGCAGCTGCAAGACAAAAAGAATCGCTTGTATCAAATGGGAGGATCTAACATGGAAAGAGACGTGCTAGTTTCAGCACTTGGCCTGTCGCAGCCCAACATCTACACAACCAATTATAATGGTGACGATGGAGGCAACCAAACAACATTGAACGATGTGCTTTATACGCACGATCTCCGAGCCAACGTGACTGTCGGAGATGTAATGGATCTTAACGGACCGACAATTTGTGCGGAATATGTCGATGACGGTGTTTTCAACTACACCCGTGGTTGGTGAGAAGGACCTGAATAAATGTGGCTTGTGAGCTTTAGATCGCACTGGTTACAAGGAGAATGGGAAATAGACTACATAGACATAGAACGGAGGGAAATAAATCTTGTCGGTAATTCAATCATGCCTGTTCCAGAAAGATTTACGACCGCACAAGGTGGCATAAATCATGCTGTATTTTCAATTTCGAACCCTATACCAAGAATTAGCCGTCTGCTGCCTTTGAGATTGCCTAGAAGGCAACATCACGTTAGACTGGATACTTCACTAAATCTCGATGTCACGAAAACTGGATATTCCCCATTGTTCGCGACTCATACCCACGGTTACTATATGAGAAATTAGTCATGTACGTGCCCATGAGGGGGTCCTAAAATGTAGAAGAAGCGAAGCAAATGTTTCCCATTAAAGTAAGGTGCAAATTGTAATAAATAGTTGCATGCTCTGTGAAATACTCCCTGTGCCTGTGCTCATAGTGTCTTGAAGAAGTGAGAACAAGATAGATTCTCCGGAAGTTCGGAGGTGATGGAATGACAGGGAACCTGATTGGCTTTGCAAGAAAAGAGATTGGTAAATCGAGATAGTGGTTGGCTGGACCGATTGAAATTTATACACCCTTCTCCTGCTGCGGCCTTCACCATCTCAAAGTTGACGTTTCCAAAGGTGGCCGCATCTAATGCGCAGTTTGAAGACCCTCGATAAAGCTGGAATGCGAGATTGTGACCTCTCCTGTAAACAGCTTTCTTTCTTTCAGCATGGATGAGTTGACGATATCTGAGGAATGGAAAATAAAATTGTGCCCCGGACTGGATTTCAAAATTTCCTAACCCTGGGTAGCAAACTCATGATCTTATGTGTCATACCTAATATTATTTGCTGTTGCAGATGGACCACGTTCAAAACGATCAAATTCAAAAAAAAACAGATGTGCATTTTCGAGGAACAAGAAAAAAAAGAACGAAACAGAAAGCATAGCACCTTGCACCCACACCTCATCGCGTTGCTCTGTCATAATCCCGTCACATTTTTATCCCTGTACATCTTGCCATCAACCCGCTTTCTTGCTCTTCTTGGTCCTCAACTTCATCAACAGATATACCATACGATAAGAGCTACAAACAAACAAGAAATCGAGGCCCACATTCCTCCAGCCATCAGACTGTGAGTTCAAATTAACCCTGGACAGGTAATCGGCCCCTGATTTGTACTCACACACCTTCGAGTTAAAGTTGGCATCTGGGTTCGTCAGGTTGGCTAATTTGCCGCATGAGGTTACCTCCAAGTAAGACTTCAGGTACTTAGCGCACGTTTGATTTCCTGGGGTATCGAAGGTAGCGAACTCGCTTTCAGTGCAGTCAACCGTAGCATCCCAAATGTTGAAAGTCATGATAGACCCTATGAGGTACGTGAAAGGGTTGAGGTAGTATATCAAGTAGCGCCAGAATTCTTGGATTTGGGCTTAAGGAACCATGACTCCACAAAAGGACATCAAAACAACGAGAACAAAAGGATTGGTAATTGCAGCAAAGATGGGGTCAGGCAGAAATGAATTGACCAATGCCAGTATAAATGAATTCGTACAATGACAATTAAAGCATAAACGTGGGCGGATTTGACTGATTTCTTCTTTCCTTAATTTTTACCTAAATCGATTAATAAGGGGTATTAAAAGGGGTGTCAAAGGAGGTAGATCTTTCTCTATATCAAAAGTAAGATCCTCAGTAAGGGCACTTTGCCCTCGATACTAGTATATAAGAAGGATGTATATCAATCGAATAGAAAACTGCATAAAATAGAATAAAATACATGATTGATTCATTCATTTCCACCTAATTAACCGGGTACCCCCTCTACCTACTATAACCCGCCCGGTGCTACAGGCATCTAACTTTTAATTAAATAACCAATCATCCATGACCTCCTCTCGCAATCTCTTCTTCTTTCCTTGCTCATGCTCGGTTGTTTCGTCGGAATGCTACTACGTTGGTTGATGTCTGTCTCTCCGTAACCAAGCTGTGACACACAACTCAGACTTAGCAGAATTCGCAGATTATTACGAATTCTACTTGCCATACCTAGAATCTGCGAAGCGATAATAGTGATGGGGTTTGAAGCTAGGCATTAGCTGGATACCATGATGGAGACTACTAAACGAATTATCTAAGTTTGATGAGAGGTCGAAAAAAGGCCCAACGTGGCTCGGGCCGGGCCCCGCTGAGCCAAACATAATCAAAGCTGAGGGGTCGCCGTGGGGTATTTCACAACATCACAACATCTTCCATTCCACGTCTACGAACAGGGGCTCCCACCATGGCCATTCCGCCCACAAATCAGATAGACGACAAACTCTCCTCCCTTTGGCACGCCGCATGCACTGACTACGCCAATGAAACCGGGACTATGCTCGGCGATGAGGAACTGCGCAGCCTCCGTGGCCCCGAAGACCTCTCGCGGCAGCTAGACAATGAAAAGAACAATTTCGAGGACTTTCGCGTGAAGCGACGCCCACTCCTTCATGCGATGCAGACTGTGCTCGCCCCCTTTGAGAGTTGGGGCGATCTTATCGCGGGCGCTGCGGCTGCGGCATTCCCACCGGCGTCTTCGATCATGGGGGCGATGTTGCTGCTTGTCCGTGGGGCAAGAAGAGTAAGCGAGGCGTTTGATATGATTATGGATTTGTTTCGCAAGCTAGGCCATTTTGCACTGCGGTTGGACTCGTACAAGGGCGTGCCCCTGAGTGAGGGGATGAAGGTGATTATTGTCAAGGTCTTGGTGAACTTCCTGCGTGTCTGTGCCATGTCACAAAAACTGTTGCGCAAAGGGTCTCTGAAAACTAGACTGTCAAAGTGGGTGAAGAATGCGATCATGGAGGATACGGAGGTTAGTTCGCTCCTAGGCGAGCTGGAGGAGCTGACGAGCCAAGAGCATATGATGGTTTCGGCGCATGGGCTGAAGATCACCCATCAGGCGCTCAGGAATACGGAAGAGTTACTCGAGAGAGATGATCGCAGGCGCGATCAGGAGAAATTAGAGAAGGTAAAGGCTGCCCTACAACCAGTATCCGCGTCGAGCCAGGTTTTCTCGTTCATCAACGAGAATCGTATACCTGGGTCAGGGAGCTGGATAGAGGACATGCTTCGAACATGGTGGCAAGGAACTCGGCCTCTTCTTTGGCTTCATGGAGGTCCTGGAGTGGGCAAGTCACATCTCGCATCCAAAATTATCACGGGCCTTGCAAGTGGAGAGTTCTCTGGCCCTGCCCCTCTGGTGGCGTCTTTCTTCTGCAGGAACAACGACGTTGATCTACGCTCTATCAACAAGGCTTTGCGCACTTTGGCATGGCAGGTTGCCACGCAGAGCCCAAGCTTCGCAACTCAGGTGGAGGAGTTCTGTTTGAAAGAAGACACTGAAAATACCTATATCTTGTGGAGAAAGCTGCTGCTCGAACACCTCGCTGAGATGCCATCAGCAGAGACGTGCTTCGTCATCGATGGTCTCGATGAGGCAGAGCCGGAGGAACTGGATGTCCTTCTTAGCCTACTGGGGAAAACTTTCTCAGAAGGTGACCCGGAGACAAGGCCAACCTTACGAATTGTACTGCTGAGCAGGGACTCGGTGCGCCCCGTGCTCGAAGGACATTCACTGGACTGGATTCCCGATATTGAAGTCGGCAATAATGAGAACAAGGATGATCTTCACGAATATGTCTCTGAAAAACTACGGACGACTAGATTGTTTTGCTCGGCACCTGACCTACGAGAGGAGATTGTCCAGGAGATCAGCCGGGAAGCTGAAGGTCTCTGGGAATGGGCCAATCTGGTCATTAAAGCTGTCCTGCGCTGTCGGACCAAGGAGCAGATTCACAAAGTGATCAAGACTACCCCGCGGGGAATCAGCGCAATGTTAAGCCAAGAGCTACAGCGCTTGAGCAGAGAGCTGTCACTGTCAGACGAAGCGTCCTATGGTGAATACTCCAGCGAGGAAACTGCGACGCAGATTGACCAATTGAATGTCCTTCTCTCTTTCGTGACGCTCGCACAAAAGCCGTTGAAAGTGCAGCAGCTCGATATAATCCTGCAGATCATCTTCAAAGAAGAAGTTTTGAACCTGGAGGATGATATCCGCAGCTCATACTCATCACTCTTTCAAATCCGACATACCGTCAACGAATATAACTCCGAGGAGAATGTTGTGATCCTACGCCATAGCTCATTTTACGAGTATTTCAGGACATTGCGGAACCCCGGGCCGATCCATGTCAATCTGGAACAAACTGAAGCCAACTTCCTATACGTTATCCTTCACACATTCCGAGAGATCCACAAGCCAAAGTGGGACAGAGCCATCGAAGACATGTACCTGCTCAGACCTTATGCTGATAAATTCCTACCCTGGCATTTGATGCGCGCCAATCCTGAAGCGGCAGGGAAGCGACGTGAAGATATTTCAACACTCTTTGAAAATTTGTTCATCGAAGAAGAATATATGACCTGGTTAGTTGAGGTCGAACAAATAAGGAACTATGCCAAGTACTGCTTCTATCCTTCGTCTCGTGTATCGGACACCGGGGAGTTCTGGCTGTATGCCGAAGATCGGATCACTGCAAATAGGAGAGCAGAGTTGGTCCTGAACTGGCTTCTTCCAGAGACGAAACAACGATTCAAAGACAATGCTCGTTCGTCGGAAGAGGCAAGCGACATATGCCCGTTTACGGTGCTCTTCTCCTTCATGGTGAGGAGCTGGTTCCGTCTTTGGCTAGCCCCAGATGAACTCAAAGAGGGAGACGGCTGGCCTGCTGCCCTCCCACGTCTGTTGAAATTATATGCAGCAATGGCGGCCGTGGATAAGGGATCGGACGAAAACGACGAAATCAAAAAACTCCTAGGAATGACCTGGGGCAACACTGACGTGTCCGTAATCATGGACGCCGCTGAGTTACATAAGTTTGAGCACACAGCGATGTGGCATGCCCGAGTCGCTCAGGCGTTACTCATGGAATACCACCATCGAGAAGCGCGTGATCAATTTCACGTCATACTTGACGATACTAGAATGTCTGATACCCTTGCCAAGCAAGCCCTCTCTGTCGTGCATAGGGACTTGGCTCGCGCATGTACTGAGATAGGGAGACACGAGGAGGCATTGAACCATATAGAACTCGCTGAATTAACAAGGCTGTCGAGAGACTATGATCGTTCGGACGAGTATCGAGTGGGTCGATTGCTGAACTTGGCGCAAATGAAGTATCGTGCAAAGCAAAGAGACAGTGCGATCTCCACTGCAAATGAAGCTTGGCAAGAGGAGCTGTCGAGAACGAAGGATGAATGGCGGTATCCAGACATTCTTTCGTTCTTCGATATTTTCCTAGAGCTGCAGCAGCTACATCGTCTTGGGTCCGTTTTAGACTATGCCGCCGAGCTGTTTGAAGAGACCAATTCGGAAAGACCGAGGAACATGAATTTCGCAGACTACATTTTTGAAAGCTTCACCCGACAACCGCACACCATGTACAGGGTGTTTCAGATTGTTTTGAAAGAGGACGATGAGGATCGCCTGGCTCATCTTGAAACGGTTATGAAGAGAATCGATACCGTACCTAAAGAGGATCGTAACATCGCTAACCTGAAATATCTAATTGCAACTGTGCTATTCGACAAAGGACAGTTAGGTCTGGGGGTTCAAGGCTGGTGTCAGGTTCTCACCAACGCCTATCGTCCTGCTAGCACCACTTGGGATGCCGAAAACGATCGCGGGCGCTCACTGGCCCACCTGGTGGAATTGTGCCTGAGCGACGCTGATATCCCTTTCTGTGAGAGTTTCCCGATCATGTTGGAGGCTTCGGCTGAGTCGGGCGATGCCTGCTTGGTTATATCAAGCTGGCTTCGGAACCACGGGGATCTCAACAATGCCAGACATTCTCTACGCGGTCGCGTTAAAGCATGCGTTGCCTTATTATCAGACGATGATGCTACCAACGACGAGAACGCCTTCCTGGCTCTTTTCAAGACGTTTCTGGTCGATCCCGGTAGCGAGGAAGATCTTGGTGCAGCTTTATATTGGATCAGGCAAGACAACGAGCGGTTAATTGAGGGATACTATTACGGCGAGCATGATGCAGGGGAATCGAAAGACGAGGCGGGGCTATTGGACTCGCTGGGCAAAACGAACTTAATAGACGACGGCGAAGACATGAATTCCACCGACAGTCTTCATGCCTTGGACATCTGGTTCACATGCGATCCGTTGACAAGGTGCTCGATATGCGCGCGGGAGATAACAAGTATCCATGGCTGGTACTATTGTCGCTCTTGCTCGTATAAGACCTGCTGCGGAGAGTGCTCCGGCAAATATCGGGGGGTTACCGACAGCTCTGGTCTATCCAAATTTCCTGGTATTTGCGATGATGAACATGATTTCTTCTATACCGGTGGGCCTATTCGAACGGCAGAGCGTGTTCCGGAAGGCATGGTCCCGGCGGTATCTTCAGATGGGGATATGAATGCCATTTGGATTGAGGACTGGAAGGATGGGCTTGTGGAAAAGTGGGAGACTACGGATTTCACCTTCGACGGGGGGTTGTCAGCTTGGTGCATGCGTGTTTTGCCGGAGCCACAGAGGACACGTTGGGCTAAAATGTTCAAAGTTTGAGTTATTAGAGTAGAATGTCTCAAAGGAGAGGTTTCATTTTTGAGGTCTTCGATCAAACGCCAATGCTCTGTGAAGACCAAAAAGCCCCCGCTCTCATCAATATCAAAGGAGCGTCAAACGACTAGTATTGTCGTCACAAGCTACAGAACACACCTCACACATCATCTGCCTCCTCAATCGAGTAAACCTCCAACTCCGCAATCATCGTATTCGCAGGAATGGTCACGCAGATCGGGAAACCCCCATAATCTGGATCCTCATTCGGCATCATAGCAAAGCTACCACTCCGAGTCTCGTCCCCATTCAGAACCCGCAGAGTCCGCAGCTCTCCCGTCTCGGAGTCCACGACCTGTTTCTCCTGGAATCGCAGGAATCCAGTGAACGTACTGGTCGGTGAGAGAGACCGGGCGCGCACTTGGAATCCCCATCCGATCAGGAGGAACCTGGGCCCACCCAAGTGGATGACAATACCCGCACCAGGCCCGGCCTTACCAAAGACGAAACACCTCTCGATGGTGATTTCGTATCCGGCCCAGTGCTTGATGACCGGCTTAGATGGATCGGTGCCGTCGGCAGCGAGCTCGTCAAAGTAGAATCCAATCGAGCTGTCGGGACGCGTCTGGGCATCAAGGATAATCGGGGCAACTGACTTGAGCAGCCCATAGTGCTTGGTAAAGGGATTCGTCGCTGGTTCCAGGGTATCAATGCCAAAGGGCGATACCCCGATGGCCTGGAACGAGCCATAAGCCGTCCATATGCGCCTCACACCGTACTCATCACGCCGCTGCTCGGGGATGAAAAGTGGCTGGTTGCGGTGGCGATACTTTCGGCAGGAACTCGTATAATCATTCAAGTAGATATCGGGCGCAATGAAATCCAGCGAGGGAGCAAACTTCTGCCACACGTCGAGGACGGTGCTTGTGCCACCTCCTGACGGGTAGTCGCCTGGGTAGCCGCCGCCACCGGCAACGATGGGGAAATCATTGTCGCCATCATCACCCACGTAGTTTTGCCAGACGTTGGTGTAAAGGGGGATTGGGTATTCTTGCTTTCCGGCAGTTGCAACTCTGTTGAGATATTTGGCATAGTGGTATGCCATAAACAGTTCGTCTGTGTGGGGACCCTTGCTGAAGACTTCTTCCCATGTACCTTGGGGACTGGTCTGAGCTTTGAAGTGCTTCAAGTTAACCTTGATATCTGCGTGGAGGGAGTCCCAATCTTGTGACAAGAACTGTACCAGATCCTCAGGGACGGGTTCGCTGAACCGCTTCTCAGCCGCAGCAGAGGCATCCCGCGAGTCGCCTAGTAGCCCGGTCTCGTTCTCGACTTGCACCATCACTACAGTCGAATGCTCGCCGTCGACATCCTTGACGTGCTGAAGTAGACGAGAGAATGCCTTTACATCAGCCTTGCATCCTTCTTCATGGAATATAGACAGCACATCCCCGGTCTGGAGGACACCGCCAGCTTTTCGCAGCTTGGCACGAGGGAATCGTCGTGTATCTGTCTTGACCCATGGTGGGACATAGGTAGATATGCCTTGAGGAGTATTAGTAATTGCCAGTCACGCTTTAGGCTAAAGAAGATGATAAGCATACCATTCTTGAAAGACCCAAACCACAGTAGAACTAGGTGCAGCCCATGTTTTCTCGCCCCCAGGATGACCTTGTCCAATTCGGCAAAATTGAACTGATCCTCAACAGGCTCAATGTCCTCCCAAGTAACACAGCCCAAAACAGTGTTGATGTTAGTATCGACCAGCTTCTGCCAGGCAGGTTCCATAAACTCTGCAGAAGTCATCGAAGAGTTCTGCAACTCTGCCGCGAGTGCAAGGAACGGCCGGCCATTGACGACGAGCTGCTGCGTCGTGCCCACATTCCGCAGATGTGGTATTTTCGGAGAGACAGTCATTGCTGAAATAAAATCCAGGTCAGGAATGACAAGGGATGAAAAGAGAGTTACAGTGGTTCTTAATGTACAGTAGTCGAACGGTAATCTCTTATACTCCCGAGCTGCCTTGCCGACCCCTCACGAACCCCCACCATGACGGTGCAAAAGGTGGTACCATACAGTAAAGAAATCACAAGCGGGGTGCCCAATACTGTATACAAATGGAATGTCTCGCGGGAATATCCACGATTGATTGGCAGATAACCCGCAAAAGGTTGTTCAATCGGGTCGACCCCCGCGCGGAGAATCAAAAGAAGACGAGTGGGAATGAACGCCCGCCATTGGCTGATAACCCGCATCCAACCAACCCACGCGCCTCCGCAAATCGCTTTGCCGGATCGGGAAGAAACCCGGGGTAATAGTGGCCTCGTGGATATCCTTGAGCCGGATGGGAAGACCTAGGGTTGGATAGTTTGGCAGGAGTATAAATAGAGGACACCAAGTCAGGGATGGATGGATGTTCTCTTGGTAGACTTCTCATCGTGTTATATAGCGACATCCTGTACTGCAAATTATCTTTGTCTCTACAATGGGGGATAAGAAGGACATTGACATGGTGGAGAGTAAAGTGACACATGCAGAGTTCTCCCCACCTATCGACAATGTCGCTGTGCAGTTCCCTGAGGTCACTTGGTGGAGACACCCTGGCTTGCGGAAGCTATACTTCATGATGCCAATTCTGTTCCTCGGTATGTTCCCCGCAGATCTGAAGAGTGGTCGTGTTCAATGGCTAACATGGCTAGGGGCTTCGACAAACGGATACGATGGCTCTTTATTGAACGGATTGCAGACAATGACCCCCTGGCAGGAATGTAAGTATATACAGAGCTGGAGTGTCATCGTGCGAGAAACTAAATGATCGACCAGACTTTGGCAATCCCAGTGGATCAACGTTGGGCCTCTTCACTGCAATCCAGAATATCGGTGGAGTTTGTGCTTTGTTCTTTGGTGAGAGTCTCTCGGGCCCATAAAGATAGGGCTGATAGGCTAACATCCCATTTTGCATGACAGCTTCATACGTCGCCGACATCTTTGGACGGAAGAAAGGTGTGGCCATTGGATTGGTGGTGCTCTTCGTGGGTACTATCATTCAGGTTGTACCATCGGTCAATTCGAACATGTTTCTTGCGGGCAGATTCTTGGTCGGTCTTGGGTATACTCATCCGTTTGTCCGACTTGAAAAGATGAAGATGACTGACCTTGCCAGATCCAACATAAGCCAAGGCTCTGCACCTCTGTTGATTACCGAGCTTGCTCATCCTCAACATCGTGGTAAGCTTACTACCATGTACAATACATTGTGGTTTGTTGGAGCAATCATCGCAGCTTGGACTGTGTTTGGTACAATCAAGTATACCTCGGAGGCATCATGGAGGATCCCAGTCGGCATGCAAGCAGCCATGCCAGTGATTCAGTTTATTGGCATCTGGTTTCTTCCCGAGAGCCCCCGCTGGCTCTGTGCAAAGGAACGCTCGGAGGAAGCCCTGGCAGTTCTTGTGAAGGTGAGTTCAGCGGGCATTTCTAAATGCCAAAGCCTGTTCTGAACCACTATAGTACCATGCAAATGGAGACAGAGATGATCCTTTCTGCGCCTTCGAGTTCCGTGAGATTCAGCAAACAATCCGAATGGAAAAGCAGAATTCGAACAATGGGTGGCCCGTCTTGGTTCAGACCCCAGGTAATCGCAAGCGACTCCTTCTCATCATCCTCGTCTCTTTCTTCTCGCAATGCTCAGGCAATGGCCTCGTGTCATACTATCTCCACGACATTCTGAATTCGGTCGGCATCGAGGCATCGTACGACCAGTCTATGATCAATGGGGCACTGACCATCTGGTCTTTCTTGGTCGCTATTTGCTGTTCATCTTTCCTAGTAGATGTTCTAGGTCGACGAAAGCTGTTCATGATTGCGGGTGTAGGCATGTTGATCAGCTTCAGTATCTGGACTGGGTATGAGTCCCCCATTGTTCGCGCTTGGGCATCAAAGCTGACCCAATCATAGATGCTCTGCAGCCTATGCTCAGTCCGGTAACAAGGGTGCTGGGAGCGCAGTCATTGCCATGATCTTCCTCTTTTATGGAGTGGCTGGCTTTGCATGGCCAGGTCTCACTGTCGCATATTGTGCCGAGATTCTCCCGTTCGGTATCCGAGCCAAAGGTCTTGCCGTTACGATGGCAATGACTGCGCTGTCGTCAGTCTTCAACCAGTATGTCAATCCGATTGGTCTGGAAGCTCTGCAGTGGAGATTTTACTTTGTTTATATTGCCATCCTCGTGATCGAGTGTGTCTGTATCTGGTTCCTTTTCGTGGAAACGAAAGGTCCGACGCTCGAGGAAATTGCCGCACTTTTCGATGGCGAACAAGCTAATATTGCAGGAAACGAACGGTTGTCAGTTCATCAAGAAGCCAAATCTGCAGAGGCGTGATTTCAATTTTGTTTTATCCTTTGTGTTACATTTCTGGGCGCAAGATCGACAGTGCATCATTTGCAAACTTCCCACGTTCTGCAAGGTCAGAGGTAGCTGGTGCCTCCGTTTCTCCATCGATAGGTAATGCATGCTGCAGAAGAAAATTGACTATCCATCTATCCACGGTATATGTTTTGTCCATTGAGCGCATGCAAACTTTTTGAAATGTAAATAGCCGCTCCATCTGAGATATATTAGCTCTGAACTTCGAATCAGCCTTACAGATCTTCCGGCCTACCATGAGGTCGACTCCCGGCCAGTACGGTTTGAGTTTGAGGAGTATTTCAAAGTTTGAACAAAGCCGATTCCTCGCGTCAAAAATCTCATCATGATTCCCAAATAGCAGGGTATGTAATAGGGCAGCCGATGACACTACAGTCATGTGTGCCACAATGAGGTATACCGCTTCGCAATCCGGGGTCTCGTGGGAGGTCCTCAGTAGATCACTAAACATTGTGGCGTGGTGTTTGCAGCGAGAGGCAAATAGGGCTCGACTGCGGGTCTGAGAGAGTTGAATATCAAAGAAGGGAAAGTATAATAAGGTGGCGTAGTGATGATACCCTAGATGAAGTGCCACAAAGGCCTGTCCCAAGCCCACTACGGAATGCTGTTCCAGGTTGTGGACGGTGAAATGAAGATCTGTTGGAAGTTCTTGCTCAAAATTCTCAAACTCTTGTGCGAGCTCTTGCGTGATCATTTCCGCGTGGTGCTCATTAAGCACTCCATTGGAGAGCTGCTGGTGGAGATCTTGGATTTTACCGAATATCCGGGCCAGTATGACCATATACCCCCAGAGACCTAAACTGGGCTGATCATCCTGACCCATTGATTCCCCTCGTTTTAGAGACCAGAATGTAGTTTCTTGTATTGGCAAGCGATGGTTGTCATCGTGCATTTGTTTGTTCAAGTCCAGGCCTGCAGAAGACCACTGGTCGATCATGTAAAGAGACCACCAAGTTCTCACCTTGATCTCCTGGGTGATAGAGTCTTCTGCGGCCTCTGATAACGGTAAATGGAGGATGTTTGCCATTCGGAACGCAATACCTCCGGTGGGTCAGCCAGATTGTTCTCAAGGATATCTTTTGCAGAGGATCATTTACCAAAGAATAGACCTTCCGATAAAGATTCCCCCTCTGCTCCGCACATATTACCGATCAGGATGCTGGCGTGGATATTGTTGAGACACACGTTATCCACATCCATCTTCAACGTTCTTTTAGCCGTAGAGAAGAAATATTTTGTCTTTTGACGAATCTCCTCGTCGTCAGAGAAGCTTTGGAGAATTAATGAGTAATGTTTTCAGAAATTCCACGTTCTTCGCTTGCTCCAAAGCTTACCGGGCCGCTAGTGCCATGATTCCATATAACACTGCCTTGGGGAATGTGCCATTTCTCACTTGCTCTCTCAGCAGGCCAGGGTGAAACAAAGTGTGTGGCTTGTCATGAATATGGCGTAGGTACAGCCCCACCAGATGGTCTCGAGTATCGACTGTCACATCTTGTGTGATATCATTTGTGGATGACGCCTGGACTGTATTTACTTGTCGTTTTGGTTGAATGCTCCTTCTCGGGAAGTTTTGGGTGTTGACGAAGGAGCACTGTTTCCCGTGTTTGGTGCATTGTTGGCATGATAGCCCCGCCTTCTCTGTCATACATTTACGCTTGCCAATTCTGCATTGTGTGCAAGACTTGGAAATCTTCATGTCGTTGTTATTGTCGGTATGCTTGGGGTTGGACAGATCCTCGGGTTGTTACTTCGGTTGAGCAGCTTAAGGTGACTTGATCACCCAACCGTGGCATTAACCACCCTAAACCGAAAGGGGTAGGGTGCTGGTTAGGTATTTGGTAACAGAGGAACATTGGTATTGTCACTTGAATACTTAGTTACACCGCCGTGGGACAGCTCAACCTGCCCCTTTTCCTCATTTGTTTTGAGTACTTCTTTTCTTCAATCAATCGTTCGTCTGATGATTCCGGTAGTTCTCATTCGTCCACATGCATACTACTGTAGCCTATACCGACTCAGCTCGCTTTGGCAGCTGATTTTAATGTCGGTCCCGGCCACATTGGTGACTTCCCTGAAACGCTAAGTGGCTTGGCATCTGCAAATTGCCATCCACCTCTTAATTACAGTCCAAAGATCGTTAATGACCGTGTAATTGTTCATCCTTTTAGTGGCTTATTTGTAAGTGAGTGGCACTTGCAAGTCGACAGCGAGAAGGTATCTAAGTAAGAAAGAAAGGGGTCGGGTTGAACCGTCTTGTAGTGATGTAACCCAGTATTCAGAGTACTGTACCGAAGTCGCGCTGTCACCCACTTTTACATACAGAATATACATGGCAATTTGGTTTTCCCCACGACATCTCCTTTGGTATACTCTCTGCCTGGGTGGAGTATTCAGGCACCATTTTCTCGTACTAAGCTTCGACCAAGATCAGTTTTGGCCCCAGGAGCGAACGGGAACCCGGGACGATACCGCGAATGGGGCAACAAGAGAAACGGCACTTCAGTGGGGCAGGGCATTCAGGAGGGCAGTGCCATGAACCTGCTAATAAAGAGTAGGGCGGGAAGCCAAAGAACAACATAACTTCTCCAGCCTTCCAAAGCATCCGATTGATCTCCTCTAGACAATGGATTTGCTCCCAAAACCCTTGGGATCCGCCACACCGGACATAGAGGTTCCATTACTGGATATTATCCCAAATGAGGAACCTCAAGATTTTTTCACTTTTGCAGAGCGACATGGCGTTCGAATCCCATTCAACGAACAAATTACACACCAATATCTGGCTGCTATAGTTCAGTCTTGGCTATTTTTCTGCCTTCTTAACGAGCATTTGGGATATATGCCCAAACTCGCTGATATTACCCAAAATCGGCTGGTCGATGGCAAGCCTGTTACTTGCTTATCGCTCAGAACCATCGCGGACTGCCTTTTAGACGATGATTCAAAGAAACGAGTGTGCGGTTATGATGCTTCCAAATGAGCAAATTTGCCCATAATCAGCTGGTCAATATAGAACAGCTGCCAAGTGCCAACACGCCTCCAGTCCCCGCCATAGCTCTATCTGTTCATATCCTGATTGAAATCCTGGTTTCATTGAGAGCTTCATTAAGTGATGATGAAGGCCCTTTCAAATCCCATTTCAACACTGCGGGGGTAAGAATGAAACTACCTACGCGAAAAATTGCCATTCAGAATGTTCCACCGTCTCTCCGCCTCATGATCAATCGCTTATCGTCCAACGGATGGTGCCCTACACAAGTCGAGGTCTCCTTCCCAAATCTTGGCTATATGCCACTTTACTACATGTCACACATCCAGCGTCGTCGTCCGCGGGGATTGAGTCATCAAAGTTGTCGAGATGCCATATGCACTGCAGATTTGACACCAGATAATAAGGCGGATGTTCCTAAACACAGATGGCCAAGATGCACATGCCAGCTACAATGTGTGCCAATCGAACAACTTTTGCACATTCTTCGCCAGGGCAAGATTCCTCTCGTTCGTCTCAACTGCGAGGGAGACCAAATCACCCTGAACCTTGAGGCTGCCACAACCCGCAGTCGGTACATTGCCCTTTCACATGTGTGGTCGGACGGCCTTGGGAATGCAACCGAAAATAGTGTATATGCATGCCAATTAAAGCAGATTCAACACTACGTCGCAGATCTCCCTGTTTATGGTGAGGGAACCATCACTGACTATTCGACATTATTCAGCCTTGATCTTCAGCGATTGAAATTTTGCCTGGGGCTCCCTAGCCATGTATCGACGTTATTCTGGCTTGATATACTATGCGTTCCAGTGAAGTATCTGTCAGGCATCAGTCAAAATGAGCTATCACGGTTGCGCAAAGAAGCAATATCACAGATCCCTATTGTTTTTGCCGGTGCAGCTCAAACGCTGGTTTGGATACTGAGCTGCAGAACCTGCGTTTAGCTGGGTGACAAACTCCGGAAATATTGCCTTTGAGGGATGCCAAAATTGCTTTCTACCTCCAATGCTTGGACTTGAGTCGGGGAGAATTAACACTAGGTGCTTTGCACTGATACCCTAGTTTCTACAAACAAATCTAGTCAAGACTAGAACAGGAAAGCCAAATTTTGACTCTTGTGCTTTTGGCTGGCAATTATTTGTATGTGGTTCACCGGTATGAGAAATATACATTCTCCCTATCCTGGACTACGATGCCACGATGGGATTTTGTTGCCACATCATCAGTGATGTCAACAGCTGAGCCCCTGCTGTACAAGCCAGGAACTTCATCTGCATGTTATAACTGACAGCGTAGGTCCCACGGACCAAATCTTGCGTACCAGTGGGAAGTGTGGAGATAGCCGAGGCTGACTGCAGCAGAGCCTCCACTACATTGCCTGCCAGAAATTGCCGCAGATGGGAGCGTATGTAGCTATGTTGAATGGCGGTGGCAATAGCCAGACCTATAGACCCCCCCATAACTCGAAATTGGGCGATCGCTCCCATAGCAACAGCTAATGCCAAACAATACATCAGTACAGGCGTTCTTCATATGCACGTTTCACGGGAGGAAGCGCGTAAGTCTGGACTCACCATGGTCTCTCTTCTCCGTGGAAAAGGGTGTCATCAGAGTGAGGATTGGAATGCTGATTCCACATCCGAAGCCGCCTAGGAACTCGTAGCCATACTGTCGAGCCGGGATTGCATGCTGACTGGGCATAGTTCCCAGGAGGGCGAAGGCGACAACCTGGATAGCGGAACCAATTATAAGAAGATACATCAGGGGGATCCGAAAGGCTTTGGCAATGGTCGGTGCCAACATCGACCCGACCGGAGAGGATACCGTGAATGGGATAAATCGGATGGCGGCATGGAAAGGTGTGAGCTGATTGACAATTTCGAAGCGCTGCGGCAGAATGAATATGGTTACGAACCAATTCATCCCAAGGAATATCGCATTTCTATTGGTTATTCATTTTAGAATAAAAGTTTTATAGCAACCTTTGTCGCTCAATGACGAGTGAAGAAGCGATGGTTATAGAGGAGGGTAGGACTTACAGCAGCATCGAAATCCAGACTCTGTTCTGGAAGAACCGCCACGGAAACACAGGCTCTGTGGTGCTTGCATTGAGGGTCACTCGGCGTTCCCAAATCGCGAATAGGATCCATAAAACACCCGAGATAACCAATACTGCAATAGTAAATGCAGAGCGCCAAGCGAATTGCTCATCTGCTTCATCGAGACCTGTCACTAGCAGCACCGTTGCCGCAACAAGCAAAAACGCCCCCACAATGTCGATACGACGAAACGCCTTCTCGATGGATTCACGAAGAGAGCCTCTATCTTCGCGTGCCTTAGAATGATAAGGGAATCCATTAGGCAGCAGAAAGATCAAAGCTATAGTTGCGGCTACACCGGCTGGAACGCTATCGATATCGCTTAGCATGAAGAACGGGAGTAGGGCTCTAATTAAGGATATGGAGGAGATACTACTTACTTAAGAAGGAAAATCCATCTCCAAGTGGAGTGTTGAGTGATTGCACCCCCAAATATGGGACCGAAGAGAAGGGAAAATACGAAAGCTGCAGATACAAGGCCAGTGTATTTTGCAAACTTTTCGGGGGGTATCATCTCGAGTACGATGATTGTGGAAATGGCGTAATTGCCAGCCCCTCCGAGGCCCTGTAGTGCACGGAAGATGATCCTAGTCAAGAAGCATTACAGTTAGCTCGTGGGACGAAGATATGGTGATAAGTGACCTCACAGCTGATTCATTGTCTGGGCGGCACCGCAAGCCGCTGAAAAGACCACGAATAAAATGACAGCCACAAGAAGACATGTCTTGCGACCTAATATATCACTGAACTTCGCGGACAGAACCAAGATTCCTACAAGGGGATCATACCCGGTGAGTATTCCATGCACATATGTATCTACATACGTAGCTTGAAAACTCTGTGGATTCACGACGTACCTGCATATCCAAGCATGTATGCTGTGGTAATCCAATATAGCTTTTCCAGCCCACCAAGGTCACCCGCGATGCTGATAAGCGATGTCGAAACGATAGGTATCTCTAGATTTGTTAAGAACAGACACAAGCAGAGTCTTTGAATGTTGTTAGACCATGAATTGTTATCCTCCGACAAAGGGAATGGGAATAGCACGTACGTAGCAGTAAGCAGATGTAGTCGAGCCCCTCCAAGGTATTGTGTAGCTGGGCTGTCGGCTACCTCGCTTGCAACCTGGCCATCTGGCAATTCATGACTGCCAGCATATTGGGTATCGCTCAGCTGCCCTGGTTGTTCTTTCATTGTCACTATGAAGGCGCTCGGGGTCCACGAGATTTGAAAGTTTGAGAAGAGGCTAATTGATGAAGAGAAAGACCCTCGGACTAGTCACTTTGTGTTTTGAACGAGAAAGAGTAATATATATACACATATCTATCTATCTATAGAGCAACAACACCAGGCGAGCAAGACGGTATGTCCTTTTAGATAGTCTCGCACTCACTTCTTGATTGCATCTAGATGGCCTCGTACTTACTCGGCCTCGCACTTGGTCCTTGATTGCACTTAGTCCATTCGCCAAGCGCTAGGATACAGCAAATCAGACGTCGATAAGTGGGTCCGGCCCGCAAGGCTGAGGTGCGAAGTCGCTGAATCTGGCCTGTGCATAAATTTTGGGGGCTTGTTTGGCTAGTACTGTATATGCAGGGCAGTTTGGGGGGCCTAATGAAGCGCATGGGTCAAATTGTGTACTACTGTATATTCAAGCCTTTACCCATACAGAGATCACCCATTAAGATGCCGAAATAGGGAGTATTGAGCGCGACATCAGGTGTTAGAACCACGCCCCTTAACGCCTTCATACCCACTTTGCTGCTTTAGGGTTAGCGCGATTTCGTAAAATTGGACTGAGAGATCGATCGTATGAATCGTGCCCCCATATCTCAATTATTCTGCCAATAGCATATCTCTTTTCATTCCGACATGTTAACTAACCTCTTTGTATTACAGCACTTATACGAGCCCCAACCGATCTAGATGCCTGTAACAATGTTCGAGTATTCCTCACTGCTATTTACGTCGATGGCGGTTAAATTATCGCATACTTCATAGATGGAGTAAAAACTTCCTTAAGTAGCTAAATATATTTACAGAACCAGTAATATTCTGACTACTAAATTGCATGCTAAAACATTAAAACTAAACGTTAATAAGGTAAGCGAGCCCCGAAAGCTGTACAGTAGTGACAACAACACAGTGGATCCTAGTAGGAAAGTAAGAAAAGTCGACCGGTACAGTTAGTCAAGCCCATCAGTATCGCTTGATGGTTGCCTCACTAAAGAACTGATTATGGAAGGATTGATAAACGAGCTCCAGAAACTCCCTAGTCAGTCGCGTTAGGTGCGAAAGTAGAGTGCATGCCAATAGCTCACCGCACTCACCGCCTAGATTTGAAGTTGCGAATGCATTTACTAGGCGGCAAAAGCATCATGTTTGACGAAAACAGCGCTAAACCATAGTAGGAAACGAGTCGTGATTTCAGCCCCGGACTAGGCCTGAAGGATTATTGTTATTCCGAAATCAATTTACGATGAGACACGTATGTTTATTTTCATTCCCCCGCACGGTCAACAACACACTAAGGCTAACGTTTTGGAAATGGGTGGAATTCCATGGCAATCAAAGGGCTGTATTGATTGTAGAAGGCGAAAGATCAAGGTATTTTGTCTTCCCAGAACCATGAGGTGGTGATTTCTAAACTCCTAGCCAGTGCGATGAAAGAAGACCCGAGTGTGAAAGGTGTGTAAAGCGGGGGATCAAATGCCAAGGATGGAACGGCCACTCCAACTTTGTTGGAGCGCCCTCCATTTTGGAAGCTAAAAGGCAAAAGAGTCTCACGACTGCGGCCAAGCCTACAAGTCCAGCCCAATACCCGGTACTTCCTGTAATGGTGCATCCGGGACCGGCCATGCGTGATCAGGTTTTCGCATCCTTCATCCAGCGTTATTTTCCCACTCAAAATTCCCCGTCGACCCTTCGCGCCGAGGAGTTTTTAGTCTGCAACATCGGATGTCTACCCCAAAAGGGTGGGATGGTTGATAGAGCCGTTTCCGCAATTTCCTGTCTCTTCTTGGGGAAGACTAATCGCGATGCTCCGATCTTCCAGCACGGAGTGCAGCTATTCAACGGTGCGATGCGACAAGTGTCTAATATGATACGTCGAGGTAGTTTAACTAATGAGACCTTATACGCCGTTGCTATATTCCAGGAGATCAATGTACGGATGCTTGGTATTCCTCTTCAGAACTTAAGGCTAACGCGCTATAATTTCCCCAGGCACTGTATGCTCCGAACGGTCTAGGTGCTTTGGGTACCCATGTGGCAGGGATGAACACCCTCTTAGAATACTTCAGGGCGAAGGAACAGAGTGATCCCATAATTGATGCGATTCATCACTACCAACAAAAGTTCAATATTGTACGTATCTGCACCTTTTCTTGCGCATTTGTCTAAATTATCTAACTCCTTTGCCAAGATTTACACATCAACGGGGATGAATATCTCAAAATCAGAATACGATCTCATTATGGAGCCCACAAATGGTGATCCATTGCTTGAGACTCTCCAGACCACTGTCGCTATCGGGATTTTGAAATCGAAAATCGATTCAGTCAAGCATGCTGACCTAAGGGCATGTCAAAATCTACTACAACGATGCTACGAGGTACAGGATCACCTCATAGGATTATATACAGGTGGCCAACTTAGCAACGAGCCGTCAGCGCTCGACTATGCTGGAAACACATCCCAACACATTGAAAATACAGGCGTTCCTCCCCCAGAGTTGTTGTTTGGCCACGCATATGATTTTTCATCGCCAAACGATGCGATTCTCTATATCATGTTATGGACTCATCTAGCTATGCTTCAGCCATTGATTTCTCGTGCATCCCGTCTGGTCCAGTTTCACACAAGCTCGCTGATTGGAAACCCTCCATCGCAAAATGAAGATCTGGAGTCTGTTATTCTAGAAGCACACGCAGACAGAATAGCTCGCGCGATGCCCTACTGCTTTCAGGGGAGCATGGGATTATCATGTTGCAAAATTGCGTTATTCGCTATGTGTATGGTTTCACTCAACTACGTTGACAGCGGCAATCGCGAGAAACATGAGTGGTGCCGGGAAGTGATTCGGCATATAGCAGCTTGCGGGTTTGATGTTGCCTCTCATCTTTACAAACTAACCGGCTATCAATGGGTGCGCCGATGGGTCGGGGCAGATCCGCTCACTTGTATATCTCTACGGCAGACGAACAGTCTTGTCTGTAGTTCGAATCCGGTAGCTGTATCAAAAACAACGGAGAGTCGTGATGAATATGCATCCATTCACTATGCTGATGAACTGGTGCTCGGCAGGCAGACTACACTTGACTGAGTTCCCCTCTTGACCAATACATTTGAAAACTGTGTCATCGTGGTGTCTTTGACAAGATCGTCTTCTCCAGCAGCGGAAATTTGCCTTTTCAGAATCGGATGCATGCTTCAATCGAGTCCCGGTGACTCTGGAATCATAGTCTCAAGACAAATCTCGTAGTGAAGAATGAATATTATAGAAAGGAATTCTTGGGTTTGAAGAAGATAAAATGGGAGATATCAGGATTATTTATATTTTGGTGGCTCAGACGAATGATATAATTGAGATGGATTAGAGGGTATGTGTGTGCCATATTCTGGAGCTAATAACACATCAAGGATATTTAGATATGATGAAATGCCGACCCCGCGGAAATCAAGGGCCATCAAGAACCTCGTAGAAAATTAATCAGCCTGGTGGATAATTGATACTATTTTTGTCATGGGCAGGAGGTAGCTTGGGTGCGAATAGATGCCTCCAGTCCATCAATGCGATTAGTCAATGAATAACTATGATCAGGATCACATGAAAGCCCAGACATTTTTCATAGGGTATAAGATAGCCTGGATTATACACACTAAATCGATAATTTTGTAAGGGCTCAATGTGAGTTATTCCAGGCAACCTGACCTCATCTCATAGAGTTACACCGCCCGGCAGAAAAAGATACGACGATAAGCGATCTTCGCGACTTCCCCAGCGACAGCTCGAAAGAAACCAAGCAAGAAACAAACGCGACCTGGCCATGGGGAACGGACCTTTGGAGCGACAGCTCCAATTTGAGAAGAAGAACCAGAATCTCGTCAAGCTCCCAAAATGTACGCTTCACGCCCCGATTCCCCTCCTACCGGGTCTTCGCCAAACTGCGCGAAGATGATCTCGCGCAAAAAGTCTAACAATAGATATCTACAGACGCCAAGGTCGAGAAGCGGCCTATTCCTCATGCACCAGTTGCCTCCCCATACGCTGGTGCCTCGGTGCCCAAGGTCGTCTACGTATCCAGCGGCACGCCGTTCATGAGTGCCGTAAAGCGCGTCCAGAAATTACTCCGCCAGGCCGAGAAGCGCGCTACGGCTAATATCAGCCTTGAGGATAGCCGAAAGACGGAACAACAGAAACTTGCGGAGCTTGCCAAGGTCGCTGAGAAGCGGGAAGAGGTGTTTGTGAAGGCTACCGGACGTGCGATCGAGAAGGCACTGAACGTAGGAAAGTGGTTCGAGGAGAAAGAAGCCGAGTACACTGTCCGGGTGAAAACCGGCAGTGTAATTGTTGTCGATGATGTCGTCGAGGATGAAGAGAAGAAGGAGCGGGAGCTACAGAAACAACAGCGCCAGGCGGGAGTGCAACAAGACGGGCAGCGAGATAGCCAAAAGAGCTCTGAAGGGATCCCCGATCCGCAAAAAGTTGCATCAAGGAATGCCGCGAAGAAAAAGACGAAGCGTCCGGCTTCTGCCATATCCGAAGACACCGAGCTTCCTGAGACCCGAACACGATGGGTCAAGATGGTCGAGGTGGCTGTTAGCCTCAAGTGAAACCCTTTGTGGACTGCAAGAAGACATTACACCATAGTGGCCATCCACCATTGCTGTCATTGCGAGCCCTCATCGATACCAATCTTCCCATACGATATGCCACCACAATACCAGTATTATCGGCTCAGGGTACAGACGGCACCAAAACCGCGTTCACGCCAGCAGAAAGCATTTCCACTGGAGGCCCCAGGGCTCCCCTCGACGTTCTGGATGCACTGTAGGGTGCATGTGTACCATCCATTCGATGCTCTAGTGTCCCTGAGACGACCTATCATCGTCGTCAGCTCCGCGACATCTCTGAACAGAGAACCGGCCAGTCCCACCATAGGGACTAGTTACGAGGTCAACCCTTTTTGACGATATCCTGGATACCAAAGCTAGTCACCCCCTCGATACAAACTCAAGTTAAGCTTCGAGAATCGAACACAAATAACAATCCAGAAATCATATATCCATAGCGGTAGTAAGCTATAATAACACCGAAATCAATACATACAAATAAAACCATATACAAGGCCCATACCTCGGAACATATCAAACCGAGCAGAAAAAAGAAACTATTCTACAGCCTGCACACCCGGCACACAGGCCCAGCTGCAGCTAACCCGCTTAAAAGGCAGCGGTCTCAACAGCTCCCCCGAAACCCGAGGCCTCTTCATACCGTTCTCATGAGGAGTGCAGTCCCACCACTCCGTCCACATAGCGCGGGAAACGATGAATTCCCGCTGACAGATTGAGCAACGCTGTGCTCCTTCCTGCCTGGTCTGTCGGGCGAGGGAGATCAGGGGGATGACGAGGGCGGGGAACTCGAGAAGTTCGGAATCGGTGAGTTGGTCGATCCCTGGGAGTTTGGATATCGCGCGGAGAGAGACCTCGCGGAGTGATGGAGCTCTGGAGGCGGGGAGGGAGGTGGCGGGTGCGTTGAATGATGGACTATCGTCGAGGATTCGACCTTCCATGTCCAGGCGGGTCACTGGTCCCGTTGCGACGTGGATAGGTGTCCATGCATCATCGGGAGGCACGCCTTCATAGTCGCGGAACTTGGGGATGGGGGAGGCTTCCGGAATGTCTAGTTCGTCTTCGTCCTCATCTTTATTTTCATCATCGGTCTTGTCAAATTGACAGTGCCACTCGGCCGTCCCGGACTCGTCAATTGATGGGAATGGGTTTGGATGCGCGGTGAAATGCTTCAATTCTCCCTGCTGCAACAACCATAGAAGATCCCACGGGAGTTCATCGAGCCGGTTCATGGAAACGTTGAGGACTTGCAAAGCGGTCAACTTGCGAATCGCCTCTGGGATCCGCATGAGCTTGTTGTTACGCAAGCTGAGAACCTTGAGATCTTTCAGGTCGAAAATCTCGCTAGTGTATAGGGAAGTAAGGGAGTTGTTGGAGAGATAGATTCGGAGAAATGGCTGAAGCGAGAAATAGGCGTTTTCAGAAATGGGTGCCTCATGCAAAGAGGGCAGCTTTGTAAGATGCTGTAGAGGTCGCAATAGGCCTGGAGGAATATACCTCAGATTAATGCTCCTGTTGGTTGAGACGATTAGAATCAACATCTCTGGGTATCATTCTGTCCACGATGGAGAAGCTCTTACCCAAGATCAACGCTATCATCGCCCTTCTCAAGACAATCATTGATCACAGCTTTCGCATATTTATGCTCCTCCGACTCGACGGGACCTTGAAAAATAACCGGTCGAGGCTGCACCGTCGTTGCCACCGTATCAGACGCCTTGAACAGCGAAGGCGCATTGGAGACTTTGCTCGGCGCCCGAGGATCAAGCACCGTCTTCAGGAGGTCCTCCCCCCAATTCGACGCATCTTCCGACGGCAAAGAAGACTCAGCGATAGATTCATCGCTACCCATCCAAACACCACTATCGACATTACGCTTCTCCTTAAAATCAGCCCTCTTCCGCTTAGGATCCGCAACCTGCTCTCCCCACCAGGTCCCGCGGTATCGCCGCTTGCGCCCAGCGCCCGCCACCGGCGCATGGTAATTCTCGAGACCAGACGCAGGGATGTCATCGCTCGAGAACAGCGCCGGGTCACTCGAGGGCTGGCTGGAGCGGTCGTCGAAGCGCGACAGCCGGCGCGACCTGCGGAAGGACGATGCGACCGAACCCGCAGGTGAGAGGCGGGATGGCGAACGGTGCCGAATCCGCCGTGGTGGGGGAGAGGGGGACCTCGTTGTCCATTTTGCGATCAGTGGTGTCGCAAGGACGAGCGAGTTATGTTCTTCTCGTCTCTCCCTTCAAGGTCATCCGGAGGGGCGATTGAGGTGTTTGGCTTCGGACCTGAGGGGGTCGCGACGCGTTGTGGAGCCCACGGGGGGAATAGTGTCAAAACACAGTAACACGACACGCGACGTGGGCGCTCTGGAGGGAGGAAATAGACCTCAGGGGTATCAATTGGAACAATTGAGTCCCTCCAGGCAGCGCGTAAAAAAAGAAGGAATAAAAAAGAAGGAAAAGCTGAGGGTTCAGATATAAAGATACCAAGAGATAAGATCAGATCAAACGACAGACTACCCGAAGTGGCCAGACGCGTGGGCGCACGGTTATCGATCCACTGGAATGTCCGATCGACGTGATCTCCACAATGTTTTAAATCTACATTCTTGACTATTTGGAACGATAATAGGCCGAACCGAAATATAGAGGTGTCAATTGATGCCCGGTGGATAGTCGAGAGTAGCTCTTCAGCAAATGGATTCAAATTTGATATTCGCATCCGGACTACGCCAACCCAGACAGTAGTAGGTACGGCCAGTCCTCGTTTGCTGTAGATTCCCGAGAAGAAAAAAAAGATCCACCTAACACTATATGAACAGAAGAAGTGAAGTAGATAAAATGGGGGGTTATAGAAGAAGAAAGTAATTCAACATCAACTCGTGTCCACAGAAATCGTAAAGGGGGTATTTGGAAGTGTGAAATGCGTTAAAAAAGGGCCGTCATCCTCTCCGAAAAAAAGGGTTCTCCAGCTAACCACGAGGAATCATAAAAAATGGAAAGAAGAAGAGAAATTATCAGTTCAGAATAAAAACGGTAACCCCGGCTCTGCTGGAGATGAACGGCGGGAACTGAAGGGAGCCTTGAGAGGTCCAGGCAGATACAGACAGCGTTGACGAGCTGCGGTATATGCAAGGCAGCAGTCTACCCGTGACTGATAAAGGATCTGCCCGGTCTCAAATGGCTGCCTCAATTGATTGCGTCCGCGATTACAGGGCCGCGCCCATAATCAGCGCGAAGGATCCTGCGACGAGAGCCGCCGGCATGCCAGCGCCAAGAGCAACGGCACCGCCGGTCTTGGTGGCGGAGGCAGCAGCCTGGGTTGAGGAGGCAGAGGTGGAAGTGACCATGGGAGTAGAACTGGCCGAGGCGCTCACCAGGGTCGCGCTGGAGCTGGGAGTCGCAGTGACCGAGTTGACGCGGATCAATGTCTTGGTGATGGTCACGGTCGAATAGGAAGTGACATCTTCCGACGCCATGACCGGGGCGGCGGCGATGCAGAGAAGAGAGACAATGGCGCTAAACTTCATTTTGTCGTTTTATCAGGTTCAATTGATTGATAGCAATGAGATCAAAGATCGTGCGGTGACAAAGGTGGGTTGGTGAAAGGATATCCCGAAGTATCGAAGATAGATCACGAAAGTCAGGCAATGAACCGAGTCACTGCGAGAGAAAGGCGTAGAATGGGAGACGCGATGCAATCGACGTAGTAGAGTAGAATAGAGAGAGTAGGTCTAGGCTTTGAGTACAAAGGAGTGGGACTCAAAGACCAAGGCTAAGAGGGTAGAGAGCGTAGGTGTTGGAAGGAGTGTAGGCTCGAAATTGAGGGAGGGTGGAAGAGGTATAAACGAGTGACAGGGTACAAGTACAATAAGTACGAAGTACGAAAGAGTGACTGGGGGTGAAGAAGAGTTTTCTCGTAACGCCTAACAGGGGAGAAGAAGAAAGAGTATGACAGGGCGTGGTATGCGCCCAGTCTAAATAATTCCCAAAGCACGCGAGATTGGCCGCCAACCTGGGGAAAGGGTCATCCGGCCATTCAGGGTCCGCAATTGAGCCTTCGCAGGCTAGCCGACTGGGAAATTCGTTTTTCTCGTTCATTTTTGCCTTTATTGATTTTTGGCTTTTTATTAAAATTATTGCCGCTAGTCGAGATGGGGGCCCCGATGGGGCTCCTATTGGACCGATGGACACGCCCGTTCCTGGGACTATCCGAAATAGGGCCGGTCCAAAATCGAACTATGGAGACTTTTTGCAATCACAACCCTAACGATGGAGTCAATCACTGTTTGCCAAGAATCTTGCGAAAGACTGTCCTCCGTACAGGCCGGGACCTGGCTGGCCCGCACAGACTTCCTCCTGTTCGTTTCTCCCCGGAGAACTCATACCTCGTTATGCGAGGGGAGCGGAAGGGACTTCCGGTCCAGGTACGTCAATCGGCGCTGCACCACGGTAGAATCTCGATGTTGTATGACGGCTATCACTCGGCGATTGGAGACGACCCTAGGCCTGCAGACCGTATCGGACGGAGTACTTGGACACGAAGATCCCGCGAGTAGTCGGACAGCTCGCTGGGCAGCCATTATTTGTGACAGCGCTTCGTTGTTCCAGGCGCAATACGAGATTCTTTCGCCACCCCTGGAGGATGCCACCGGGGCTATTTGGGGGTCGTCGCCAACAAACCCTACCTACCTAAAGTGGACTAGAGAGGCCTGTATAGGGGGGCGAGTTGAATCCAACGGTTGAACGAGACAGCCACCTAGCCTGGCCCCCGCTGAAACCATCCAGGTATCGGGTGGTGTTTCCATACGCGCTCACGGTTTCTCTTTAATGACGATGCTCGCAGAGCAGCAGATGCGCAGGGCCGTCTCCAGGGCAGCGTTATGATTATGACAGCTTTTGGGTGTTGATGTTCCAGTGTCATTTTGTTTTCCAGTCCATACCTGTGTGACCCCTGGCGTCATGGATGCAGGAACGGACAGCACGGATCTCTCAGGGCTGGCTAGTTATGATTCGCCCTTGAGTGGTGTAAGCAGCGTTGGCGATTTCGCTGGAGGGATTTAGCCACTCTCGTCACTAAGAACTGGGCCCGGGGGCGATCGGATTGGCTAGCGGGGTGAAGTAACCGAAATTGGATCGAAATTTCGGTTCTCTTTTTACCTCATTCGGCTGCTGCCCGACAGGTTCGCCAGTCCACTCTGGCAACTCACCCAGTATGTAGTGCCCACCAGACACGAGAATTTGCACGAGGGCCCGAGAGGGCATGGCGGAATTTCTTCGACTGTCCAGAATCCCCCTCGGCTTGGCGGAAAACCCACCCGAATGAGTTCGAGCGACTCCTGTGCCTGTGCCTGACAAGACCCATGGGAACACTCCCAAAAGCCGATCCACCACACTTGGAGATCGACCCTCTGGCCTTCTCGTTGCGGATTCTTAGCGCTCTTTCTTGTGTGTCTGAAGCGTTCGAGAACTCGATTGATCATCCGAGTCCTATGGTTCTCCCTGCAGAAACTTCAACGGTATGGGAGCAACGCGAAATGGACGCGAAGATCATCGGAGGACTTGTCCGACCGCGTAGAGTTTTCAACGTAAAGGCCAGTCTGCATCTTTGGAATGGGCTGCCAGCAACCATGCAAACTATCAAATTTCAAAACTTAAAGATCCATTTGGAAGCAGCGAGTCCCCGTCATGATCCATCATTATTCTGGCACTGAGGTCCAATGGGGCGAAATGTCCAGTTAGGGACGATCGCCGGTTGATTAGTGTCACATCACGCCAGTCACCGCTTCTTTCTTATGCGATTCTGTTAGACACGTAGAAGAGTCTCCAGCTGAATCGGTCCCAAGATGGTTGAATCTACGATGCATAGAAAAAACCATCTGCGGGTTACACAAGCAGGTACCAGGAATCCATAGGGTAGAGCAACGACAGCAATACGATGGGGCCAAAGCAGGGCCCCGAGACGAGCCGAGGTCGGCGCCTTATGGTCCGAAGATTAATGAGCAGCTAAGATGTCCATTCTCTATGCACTACTTGTAAGGCGACCAGGTTGCATATGAGCAAATATAGCCGTTGGTGTGTTAGAATATAACTCAAGCTGGAACGCACTACGTGTTATCCGTAAATACCTCTTTGAATGAGATTGTGTTATTCAATATTTCTCTTCGGACGAAGCATTGATACGATCTAGCCGGCAATGGTTGCCATACCGAACTACAGAGTTTCCGAGTCCACTGAAACAAGCTATGATGACGCCCGGTCCAACATTCCTCGCCTAGGTTTCATGAAGACTAAATGAACAAGATCCCGAGGTCATATATCTGACTCCCGGTGCCAAATCTATCTGAGCCCTAGAGCAGATCTAGATCTCGAAGCATGTTTCACCATTGCTGCTAATCCTTTGTATGGTATTTAGCATGAAGAAACGGGAATGTTGTTTTTACAGGATACATAGATGAAACACCGGACCAACGCCTATTAAAACAATACTGGGTTTTACCTAATGACCTACGAACAGTTCAACTCCCGTGTACACGAATTATATACCCAATCTACTAACGTAGGGAGCACACAGATAAATGACATCGAAGACCATCTGGAAATCGACGGGAGGCAATTATCATCAGTGCTTTGATACATCTCTTTCGCTATGCCGCTGTCTTCAGCCATGTATACAGTCACTCCCACTCTATTGACTCAACTTGAACATCCAGAAGATGTGCTCTGGTTGTTGTGCGAGCCTTGCTTAAAAAGTTTCTTACTTCGGTGCAGCTTATGCCTCATCTGAGCCTCGCATAAATGGTAAGCAACATCGAGACCTTCCGAAGGATAATACTCAGACGAGCTCTACACATTATCTTTTATGACACTGATGGAATCATGGTGTTTTTGCTCTTCGGTTGCGGCAACCAATCGAATACTTTCACGGAGATGATTCCTCTAAATCAACGTCTTCGGGGAGGATATTCCCTCGTGTCCCTTCTCGAGATCGGCGCATCCATTTGAATGCAGGACTCCCCCGATACTGCTTGAGATACTTAGATCACTAGAAACTACCATAACAGAGCATTTATACCTGTTCCATCTCATATTGTGAGCCCATTCTGACAATTCGAGAGAATGACAGGATTCGAACCCTCCTGGCTCTCATCGCTCCAGCAACTCAGGCTTTTGGGAAGCATCGGGGCTCGGCCCTGGAAATGTTATCTGGAACGATGTAAAGGCCTCATGGGCCAACGATGGTGGCTTTTATGTTCATCAAGTTAGAAGACGGAGATCGGGAGGTCACTGGCTGGCGACTATATGATATCCTAAACTGTGGAATTCAATCAGACACAGCTCAAGATGGGGTACTATATGCTCGCAGCCCTGCACCATATTTAGCCTTACGTCACTCCCACATGGAATAGGGATTAGATCATCTTGTCGATCAAAACCGACGACTTATACACGGGGATATTACTTAATTAGCAAATTGTCGGCAATATTGTTTCGCTTCTAGTTATACATGCCCAAACCAAGATTCAACACATCTCATGTGCGTTTGGCCAATTGAGCCACTTCACTTCTACTGTTGAGCGGAATGAAAATAACCTGGGTACCAGGATATCGATGATGAACAGATGCAAGTGTACTGTCGACAGCACCTGGGGCACAAGTGTCACCCTAGGAGGAAGCGCCACCTTGAAACCCCAGAGGTGACTGGCATATGTACATTGGAGGACCGGATAGTCTTTCAACTCTCCATCCCGCTTGCACCAACCACCTCCTTGTAGCCTTGCAACCATGGAAATCCTCGGCCCCAAGTCTGTCGAGAACGCTCAAAGAGAAATGACTATCGTACAAAAACTGTCCCCTTCGATGTGGTCATGTCGCATATCTTCTCAGACAACCCTTCAGAGATATCGGAGAGTGACGAGTTTATTGGCGCATCTGGCGCAGAGGGCTCTGGCGAGGGAGCATCATAGGGGGGCCACGAGCACGGAGCCAGGCATCGTTGTGGGGTCCTTCGGTACGGATAACGCTGCCGATGGACATGAAGAGGCTGGACGTTAAAAAAGCTCTGATTAGCTTGCCATACTTGAATCATAGGTAATAAAGAGGGGAAACGATGTAAATACCCGAAAGTGGCGCCAGAGCCCAGCATGTACTTGCCCAGAGTACGCATAACACCGTTGGGGCCTGCGCCGTACTGGAAGATGGTCACCGTTCCTATCATACATTAGCTGGCATGATTCAAAAGACTTCACAGGTGTCTGGCTTGTACTTCACATACCAATGATGAAGCCCATGATTCCACCGACAGCTATTTGGTGAGTGTCGCATTAGTATGAGCTCCTGGAGTTGGAAGCTGGAAGTTGGTCCAGGCCATCCTTCGGTCACATACTGGATCCCATCATAGCACCCATTTTCACTAACCTCTTGTTAGCACATTTGATCTCTCAAATCTAAAGTTGAGCCGCTCTAGGTGAGTCCAGCAGATAACATACTCTTGTCGAAGGTCGAGGGACCAACAGGGCCCCCTGCGGGAGGAGCTGCAACAACGGGCATGGTGAATAGATAATTGAAGCTCTAGATTGAAACCACAAAGTTAGAGCTTCTGCCGCAGCTCACAATGGGACATAACTCACTGGTGCACTTCCGATACTCTCGAACAAGAACAGGTGCTTTTTGCTCGAAGCGCATCACGGAACCTCCATCTCCGCTTCGAACTTCACCGCCTTTGCACGTGACCACAACGGCGCACAGCCGCACGTGCTGATAATGCACGTGACCATGATTGACTGGAGGCGTCAAGGGAGCAGGGACCAGACCACTCTCCTCTCCTTGGGCGATTTCCTCTATGGCCGACCATCCTGGACCTTTGATTATACCCTCGTTATATCGCTTTTAGGGTGGCCTTGAGCCTATGCCAAGGCGGTAGTCCGTCTCGTGCTTCTTTCATTGCCCTGGGACGGTGTGAGACATCGGTCGCTGCTCACGTTTCGGCAAGACCTCACACGCCTCCCTGGTCTGGAGCACTGACTTTCTGCCCCATACTGCGATTAGATCTCCTTGAAACTACGACTTACGGGTAAGTTTGACACCTGCCGACATCATTCTCACAGTCTGATGGCTCGAATTCAGGCCCTCAGGCCTGAGTCCTCGATAACTTGTTTGGCTGCCGACCGAATAGCGCTAACGCGACCGTTCTGAATTAGCCGGCCGTCCACCAAAAACAACAGCCCTCCTACGCGCATCGCAAGCCTTCTTGTCCATAATCATAGGCAAATATCGACGAACAAACTGCGTCCAATTTCCTCTCCGCTTTCCAGGAGAGCCTATTATCCAGGCTCTCCTAATTCGTGACCGTTGATCACCGCCCAGATATCCCCTTGTGTTCTATCAATTCCAGGCAACCTTCTCCATGACTGCTGTGGCATCTCCGCCTAGTGTGCAATCGGGGTCTCGCTTGGGATGGTATAGCACTGGCAACGGAGGACAAGGAGCCCTCTCATCAGTGAATGCGGAAGAAGTGTCACGGATGTTCATGCCTCGGAAACACGTTCAGCGGTCCAACTCTTCGTCCTCGTTAAACTCAAACTCGTCGACCACCACGGTGATAGAGACGAACGGCTCTCGAGATACGCACACTGCACAGAGCTCTAACTCTGAAACGGGTACTTGGTCATCAAAGAAGAAGCCTAGTAGGAATCCTTGGCCAACCTCAAAGGCCGAACCTATCGCGGGAGTGACGAATACACGCTCCCAGGCTGTTCCTGCTTTTTCATCTGGACCGACCGCCTCGTCGACTATGTCCGCCATGCATCAGCCTTCGAATATTGTTCCCTCGCAGCACATGCTGCAATCTCCTCAACAAAATGGCGTAAGACAAACGAACGGGCAGTCTGCAGAACCTCCTGCAATTTTAGCCCTTACTCCTATGAACGGTACTTTTGAAAAGAAACAAATCAATGTGCCATTCTACCCGGAAGTGCTGCGGATTGGTCGTCAAACCAATGCGAAGACTGTACCCACTCCAGTCAATGGGTTCTTTGATTCCAAAGTTCTCTCTCGCCAGCACGCTGAGATCTGGGCCGATAAGGCCGGTAAGATTTGGATTCGTGATGTCAAGTCCTCAAACGGCACATTTGTGAACGGCCACCGGTTATCGCTTGAGAACCGCGAGTCTGAGCCTCACGAGCTACGGGAGAATGATACCTTGGAACTGGGAATTGATATTGTTAGTGAAGATCAAAACACCATTGTTCACCATAAGGTTTCTGCAAAGGTCGAGCATGCGGGTCTTTATGGAACAACGCCCAATATCCTGGACCTTAACTTTGGAGACTTGGATCCTGCCTCAGGCGGGGGGCTACTGCCTTCACCTCTAAGCCAACCGCTCTCTCACCTACGAGGACGCTCTGGTAGTAATGCGAGCAATCGCAGTGTTCAAAGCAACGCTACCAATCACATCAACGCCATGCACCAACAGCGCCAGATGAACTACTGGAACTCTCCCATCTCCGTTGAGCAGGTCGTCAAACGACTCACTGTGAGTTGCACTGTTCACACCCTTAAATCCATTATTATTGCTAATCCACACCCCGCAGAGCGAGCTGAAACAAGCCAAGCAACAATCTCAAGACCTTCGCCAAACTGATGAATTCTTGACTGCCATCATGAAACCCGGCTACGCTGAGAAGGAAAAGGCCAACAAGCCTTCTCCTCTCGAGAGCAGTGGCCCTCGCCAGTTGAACGGTCGCCCGAAAATGCCACGCGTTGACTCCTTCTCCCGATTCTCCGAGCCTCCTGCTCCCCCTCCCCAGCAACCTCTTCCAGAGAAGCCGGATGCGCCTCCACGCGGTGGACCGGATGCCTTCTCGCCCTTGAAGCGCAGCGATACGGACAAGCCGAAATCGGCGTCAACGAGCTCTCCCGTTTCTCGGGACTCTAGCCAGATTCTTGCCCTCCTTGAGAGTCTGTCCACAACCAAGCGGGAACTTGAGACGCAAGGAACTCGGATCAAAGAGCTTGAAGATCTTCTTCGCCAGGAAAAGGCCGCTCGTGAGTCTGCAGAAGAGAAGGTCAAGAAACTGGAAATGAACTCTCTGTCAGAGACGTTGGACGCTGTGGATGTTCCAGCCGAGCGTGACGTGGATGCCGCTTTGAGTCACGAATTGCCTGTCGACCAAGAGCATGACGGGCTTGAGGCAAATGTGGAGACCAACGGATCCGTTCCATCATCGGAGGCTCCCGTGGCCTCTGATCCTGAGAAGGCAGAGCTTTCTACCGAGGCACAACTCCAGCGTCGCCTCGAATCAGTGATGCAGCAGATGGATGAGATGAGCAAGCAGGTGGCATCTTTCAAGGAGCGCGCAGAAAAGGCCGATAATGATAATGTTGAACTACGGAAGTCGTTGGCGGAGATGATCGAAACCATTCGCAAGGAGCGCGCCGAGAACGCTTCAACCGCTATCAAGGACAGCAAATTCCACACCCAGGGCCATGATTCAAGCAAGATCATCTCCGGTCATGCAGGCTCTGCTGAGGATGGTGCAGTGGAGCCCAAGGCGGGCGACTCTTCAGTGGAATGCTTTGAACCAGTCTCCAAGAACGTGGAGATGGATGGTGCAAGCACGGCGATTGCACACTGGCAGCGACGCCACTACCTAGAAGAGGCCAGCCCTTATGCATCCATGCTTGGAGTGGTTCTCCTCGGAGTTGGTTTGATGGCCTATCTCAACGGCTGGCAGAAGATGGACAAGTGAATGTGTCCTGGTAACATGTTTGCGCTCTTCTTGTACCCCTGCTTAACGACTCTTCTTCTCTCCAAAAGTTGGCGCCTTGGACAAGGTAGTTCAGCATGAAATTTTCCCCCATTCCCGATGATTCTTCTTTCCTCCCCTGACGATTTGATTCCTTCCTTGTACTCTGGACCTCGCCAGCCATTCGAGGCGCGCCTACCGCTGTGATTTACCTGTGTTTCCTGGCGTTGGGTTCAAAGCCGTCACATCTACTGCATACCTTGCATACTCTGACTTTCTCTCTTGTCTTTTGCCTCAATTCATGTTCTCATCCCTAATTCGCACCAGTCATGATCTTGGCGCCGAATGTCCTGATCCTTACATCCCCGGTTATCTCTCATCGCTTTCTGTTTTCCCACGCCCCCTGTCACCATATCCAATGTCCCATCAGCTAAGCCTACACAGTCTCTTACCTCCTCTACCTTTTTTTTCTTGTCATTACTAGCCTTTGTGCTCTCTACATTGGCATCTATCTCTTTCCCTGTACATGATGGAAATTAGCAAGGCTGTGTTCATGGCTCGAGGCCCTTCGTTGATAGCCCTTTGACTAGGGTTCTTCCTTTGCACTACTCCTGTTTTCATGTCATACCAGCGCGTTCTTTCTGGATGTATTCAAGGGATTTGTTTTTCGATGTTTGTTTTTTTTAACGGTTTAATGATTCATGTGGTCGGTGAGATTGCCGATCGCTTTTGAAGTATCTTTTTTCTTGCAAAAGGAGCTGCAGTAGCACAGCAGGGCACAATGCCTGCATCCGTACAAAATCATATGGTTGTGATTCATCTTGATGCGCTGTAGAAGTTCCTCGTTGATTGTAAACTGTAGTGAGCTCTAGGCATAGCATAAAATCTATCAAGTCCCCACTCGAGGCGATGGAGATGGAGAAACAAATTGAGTCATCAACCCATTAACCTAGACTCCCCTAGTCACCTTGTTAGTCACTAATTTTGACTCAGTGGATGGATAACCCACTTAAGTGCGGCTCATGTTGGGGGCGGATTTAAGGGCAAGGCAGTTTTGGGCTGCGGGGCCGAGGGCTGTGCCGGGCATCAAACAACATGGCTGTATCTTTTCAGGACCTTGAGCAGAGGATATACCTGTCTTGTAAGGCAGCAAGATATAGATCATTTGTCTAGGAAAGTTATCCAGCTGTATTCTTCAAATTTCACCTTCGGTTGTTGGTGATATCGTGAGTGAAATTTCGAAACCACATTTTTCATTCCCTTGACCTTGCGGCTCAACAACACTGGCGCACTGATATCTCTCCATATGACCAATTGGCTATGTATCAAGCTGGAAAAAAAACCATGGATTGATCATCGTAGCCATTGGTTATCGTTCTTTGCGCCCAGAAAGATCAACAGATGGCACTGCCCTCTCAGGCGATCCGAAACCCGCTCCATGCAACTAACGGCCCCCGGCTCATTTGGCCCCAGCCATGACAGACTGGGGCTGCTAATATTAGGGCTGTGCCTGCAAGCTTGATATTTCTCCGGACCTGGCATATTTCTTGGCCATGGATTAGGAATAAAATACTCCTTAGTTCTCTTCTCTCCTTCATGTTTTATCTTCCTTGAAATAATTTCACGTGTACTTCTGACAACAAAGAAGTTAAATTTCTGCCTCAACAATCCCAACATGCAAATCCTCTCTAGCATTACTCGCTTTTTACAGGTGAGTAGTCTCTCTAGAATGGCTCTTTTCAACAGATGTGGCACGAAGCTAATCAGACACTTGATAGATCCTCTTCAGCGTCGTTGTTCTGGGGCTCTCTATCAGCCTGGCAAGACATCAAAAGTATGGAAAGGTCCCATCTCAGACAAGCTACGCTGCTTTTACTGGGGCACTCGGTATCATTGCCTCGGTCATTGGTATTGTCTCTCTCTTCGTCGACCGTTTAAGAGGAGTCCTTACCTGGGTTCTTGATGGTGTTACCTGTATTGCCCTCTTAGCCGCGGGCGTGGTAAGTTCACCTGCACAGCTCTTGACTTTGCAGTACACATTCTTACAGTACTTTAGGCTTTCTCGGTTGCCCTCAAGGGTGTTGACTGCAACAATACGTCGACCGATGGGCCCACTTGGGATAACCCCATCATCAGCGGGGGCTGCTATAAAGACGGGGATACCAAGTGGTGCGCTGACAAGCACAAAGTGCATAGCCGTTGCGTTAGGGCCGAGGCTGATGCTGCGTTTATGTTCCTTGCCTTCCTTGCTTGTATCGGTGTACTTGTCGTTTCTTTCCTGACCCGTCGAAACTAAAGGGACTCGCTCTGGGCATTGATATGGTTATTGGCTATATGTACTTGCCAATTGACGCGGCTTTTGGACAATCCTAAAACCTCATGGACATAACAGCTTGGCAGAATGCTGAGCCAAAATTGACTCCCCGTTCAAGGGGTGAGATTTTTTCACGATCGTTTGATGTTTCGATATTCTCTTGTTTTATACCCAGGTTCCATAGCTTACAGTATATGATAATCATGCTGGCGGTGATGTTGTATTATCAAATATAAATCAAACGACCATGGTTTTCAATTTCATGTCCACAAATTAAAACTAAAATCGATAGTAAAAAATACATCAGAGCATCAAATCCATCGCGTAATTCAGGGTATGGCTGAGGGTTTAGTTTCCGCGTTGGTTACTAGCAGCATTAGCCTCATAGTCAGAGCTGTGTACGCGAGGATCCAGCTTGTTGAGCCAGTTGGAGCTGTGCGGGCCAGAGCTTCTTCTCTTGGTGGTGGGCGTCGGCGCGTTATAGCTACTGCCACCGGCCGCAGCACCACCAAAGCCCTGCTGACCCGACAGGTTCTCCATCTCTTGCTTAGCTCGGGTCTCCATTTGGTTGGCCATGTTGGATGAACCGGTGTTCATGGTGTTGGCTCCGCTCTCCATGGCGTTGCCACTAGATTGTCCAGCACGGTCGACCGTGGAGGCCATAGTGTCGGTCCCGCGGTTACCTAAAAAGTGGCATGTCAGTCTAATCTAAAAAGGGCGATCAAAAGTTTATATCGTACCGAGGCTGGTGTCGGCAGCGGTATTCATCTCGTTGGCCATCCTGGAATCGTTGAGACCAGAGGCGGTATTCATGTTTCCGGATCCATAGCCCCCGGTAGAGCTGTAGGTCCCGGGATCTGTACTGAGGTCTCCGGCACGGTTCTGCATTCCTGGTGCACCGTAGTCCATGGTGGATGGATTCTGTTGGGTGGCACCATAACCGCCTGATTCAACATTCTGGCCCATCTTGGAGTCAGTGTAAGCGCCGGAGTTAAGGTTATCCATACCAGCGCCGGCGGTGTCTAATAAAAGTTAGATAAGGCTGCCAGTCTCAGAGCATATATATACCATTCATTCCGCTGGCCATTTTGGAGGAGTCGAGGTTTCCGCCCGAGCTGCCGAGGCCTGCGGTAGTGGAGCCGTAGTTGTCATTCGTCTTCATCGCATCTCCCATGTTGGAGTCACGAGCGGCCGAGCCAGAGTTGCTTGCACCGGTAGTGGTTGTGCCATAGGTGTTGCCAGGGCCTAGTCATAGATTAGTTTTGACAACAAGTATGTGGAAGCTGTCCACGCTCTAACCTTCCATCTTGTCACCCATAGTGGAAGGGCGATTAGCGTCACTGGTATCTACGAGTCACATTGAACATGAGCATTCGTTCAAGTTGATGATCAAGAATAGATAAGCTGACCGCTGACCGGGTTCTCCATCTTAGACGAATCATGGTGAGACCCCTTGTTCTCTAGGTGCAGGCGGCCGGTGACAGCGTCTTTGACTTTATGTAGGAAGTTCGACATGGTGGAAAAACACCGCGAAGTTTTGATACTGATAATAAGAGAATAGATGGCAATGGATCGAAATTCGATGTTGTGTTTTTGGCTCCGTAGATGTGTCGTTTGGAAATAGCATACAGGATGGGATTCGTGGTTTATAAGGTTGGCATCCCTCCTTCACCCGACCGATACCTCACAGCTATCGGAGCTCTGTGACGACATAACGCGGGGAGGGAAAGCGAATAGAGACAACAAAATTACTGCAAAAGTCGGATCGATTGTCATGACGTGCTACTAGAACTTTTAGAAACGTGGGATATGCATCGATCGCGGGACGTGGTAAGCCATCCGTGTCATGGGTCGTCCTATTGCGGACTGACCAAGCTCATGTTGGCCACTAGAATCAGTCGTTTAATATATATCCGCCTCCAGGAAGTCAATTAGTAGTACGAAATAATAGAAGAGTTTGGCCATCAACCGGGGACTGGTTTCAGTTTGCTCCCATGGGTAACACTTGGTTTTGCTGACGAGTGCGGTAATTTTGATCATACGGTACGATTACTCTTGGTATAATTGCATGGTGAGTACCAGGCACTTAATGCCTCGATTTGAACACAAGTCTTGGCTGAAGACTTTGCTAATTTAGTTTCCCAATATTTAAGATCTTGCTTTCTGCGGGCTATGATACTATAGTTGACTGGTGTGTCCATCAACTCGGAATGAAGTCCTGTGAGCTTTACGTAAATACCATACACCATAGCTCGTCTGGGGAAAGTGGATCCGCAGGCCTAGACTATGGGCCTCAACATAAGAAATATCTCCAACTCGTGGATAGTTCGAGCGTGTAGGGATAATTACCGTTATCGTTATCATTCGCGCACAGAGTCAAAAATCTGTGCCCTGTAATCTTCAAGAACAGATACCTATATGGCCCGCTTCCGTGTTAAAGGGAAGATATATTCCACGTACTACTGAGCTTGATCTTGCTACACTCTATAAATCCTAGTCTTTCTCTAATTAAAGAAAAAAGGACAATGCATTCACCCCTCTGGATTTAAGTTACGCTAACCAAGTCAACAGCCGCGACCTATGTATCAACATCAATTATGAGGATATCCGACAGTAGTGCCCCCATTAGATAGGACTCTTCGAATAGTCATTTCGACTATAGCGTACAATCAAGCTCCGGAAAAGGTTGCGATGGAAGATCCTTACAAGGAGAATGGTTACAAGTGGCTGAACCCCATATATTTACACAATTCACATGGTCCAGCCCTTTTTTTTAAACTGGATAGAAAAGGGTTGCTACTTTTGCTACTACCATTTTGGATCCTATAAGCATGATGAGGAGACGATCAGCGGAGGAAGCGGGCACCGACATTAGGTGGGCGGGAGACCTGCGAGCAGATGGGGCCGTGACCTAAAACTTGGTACTGGAGGGGCTTTATTACTGTGTTAATTAATTAAATCCCGATCGCCTAACTTAATCACATGCTATGCTGAAGAGAATCGGAAAATATCAAATACTCAATGATTATCAACCATCTTTCGAGTACTCTATACAGGACTAAGAAGTGTTTTACAGTAGTATATAGTATAGAGATACTAGTAATGCGAGCAAGTGTGCGTCATTGCCTAAGGCAACAGACACATGATCAGAGCGCAATGCCGTCACAGGGTTACATAATCCATCAGTTCACCTGCGTGGTGGGCTCTCCTTCTCCACTCCCGACTGACTTCACCATCCCCTGCCATCGTTCCCCTATATTTCCCCCGTCTTTTGGCATCTGCGTGCATTTTACCACCTGTGTGTCGCTTTGTTTTGACCAGCGGTGCTGCTCATTTCCCCCGATGAGTGGCCCCCCGTTCCTTTGCCGCCAACCGAGGGATTGGTACCTAAAGATCTGGGCGTGTCAGCGTTGTCATACAACGGATATCTAGGCATCCTCAATCGTGCCACTCGAGCTTCTGTTATTCTCCGGTCCATTCTTCCTTTTGTCTATTCATCTATTCCGTGCCTATACTTACGCCTTGTCTGCCCAAAATGCGACCTCCACGTCTCCTCCTGATACTCTTCTGCCTAATCTTCTTCCCGATCTTCCTCACCCTCTTTTCCGCGCTTTCTTCGCCTACTGTTGCGACCCCTAATACGCTCGCTGGTCGGACGTCCGGGCTGCATGCCCTATTCTCATTCAACATTCCATCGTCGCTCTTTCCTCCGTCGGCCATTATCAGCCTCACCGATGACAACTCGACCTTTTTCCTGGCCCGCCCTGCGGCATTTGGCCCGCTTCTCCCCGGTAAAGGCCTGAGTGGCCAGCTTTGGGTTGGAAGTGGCTTTGGTGAAGGTGGCTTAACCGCCGGGGTAGAAGGGGAGTTGGGCTGCTCTGATATTCCCGGCTGGGGCGAAGGTAATGGTGCCAAGAACCCAGACTCGGCTGCCAGGGGCAGCGAACAGAAACCTGGGAAATCTGGAAGTGGTGCCATGAATGATACGCCTTCCTCGCAGAACCGCGCCCGGCTGCCAGCTCAGGCCGAAGCCGCCAGACAGAACGACCGAGGCGACGTTGCGGCTCCTCCCTCGTTGAACGACGGGACCGACGATCATTTGCAGACGGATGGTGCTTCGGATGCAGGGGCAACTCAGAAGTACGGAGACTACGTCCAAGCCAAGAAGTCTACACACGCCGATATCCAGTCGTTACAGGAGACTGCCGAGATTCAGGGCAATGTTGTGTTACTCAGCCGTGGTGGCTGTGGCTTCCTTGAAAAGGTCAAGTGGGCCCAACGTCGCGGTGCGGTTGCAGTGATTGTTGGCGATGATACTCGAGGCGGTAATCTGGTTACCATGTATGCTCGGGGTGATACTTCGAATGTTACCATCCCAGCCCTATTTACTTCCTACACCACTGCGCACCTTCTATCGTCGCTGATTCCCGCGCATTCGGGTGGAACCACCGGCTTAGGCGAAGCGTCGAAATCGTTACATGCCAAGATTGCCGGTCAGGCTAATGCGGATGCGCAAGGCCCAGCAGCAGCCACAACTACCAAGGCCACGACTGTTCCCTCGTCAACTTCTACCACCGTTTCCAAGGATCAAGCTGCCGTTGTTTCGCATTCCAATGGTGGATTCTTCCGTACTATTGGCTCGTTCTTTGGCCTCTGTAGCAAACACGGAGGCTCAGGGCATCAGGAGGATAGCCGCCGCCCACCCAGCAGCGGAAACATTGATTGGCTCACGCCGGGTTCGTGGGATAAGTCTGAACCTCTATCGGGCTCCTCCAAGAATTCAATGAATTCGAACCGTCGCAGCCGTGGCAAAGTTGATGATAACACGAGTTACAAGAAACTTGAGCTGTCACCCGAGGATGATATTAGTGACGATGATTTTGTCATTGGGGTTCAGGATTGGAGAGATCCTGACTTGATGTTGCCCAAGAGCAGCACGCCGCCCACACCCAGCACCTCAGTGAGTGGCAAAGACAGTGCAAAGACATCTGCGCCGGACGCAGATACAGCGTCACCGTCCAGTTTGCTTCGCGGTGGCAGCATAACTCCGGGAAGCGGTGAATATCAAAGCATCGACAAGTCGACTGGTTATGTTCGTGACGCGAGTGCGAAGAATGCCGAGAAGGACTTCAATACTGCAGACACAGAATCCGGTTCCCCGAGCAAGGGCTGGTTCTCAAGCCACTTTGGGTGGGGTGATGAACTGAAGCAGCCTGCCCAGCCTTCTTCAGCCGCGACCCAGAGCGCTGCAACAATGAATCAAAAGAGCCAAAATCCGGTTTCTTCGTCAAGCGTCCCAACCATCATGTTCTCAGAACACGAGGGTCTTTGGGTTACCCTAACCCCAACCAGCATGTCGACCAGCCCCTTCTTCGACACCCTTTTGGTTTTGGTTATTAGTCCATTATTGACATTGACCGTGGTCTATGCATTGCTGTTGCTTCGATCTCGGATTCGACGTCGCCGGTGGCGCGCACCCAAGTCGGTCGTTGAACGTCTTCCTGTCCGAACTTACCACACAATTGCCCACACATCTTCTTCTTCATCAAGCTCCAGCTCTCCACGACCATCCAGCCCCGGAGGTGTTTCGCCAACATCCCCGCTTCTTGGTCACGAAAGCCGCTCCACTCAGTCTCGGCCGACCCGATCGCGCTCACAAACTGTTGCAGGTGTTTTGACGGACTCGTCTTCGTTGCCCAAGGAAGAGAAATCGGCGAGTGTGCAGTCTGGATCAATACTATGGAGACGCAAATACACTGGAAGACAAGTGGAATGCGTGGTCTGCCTCGAGGAATACGTGGATGGACAAAGCCGGGTTATGAGTTTGCCGTGTGGTCATGAATTCCATGCGGAGTGCATGTAAGTACCATACTCTGTCTTTTGTCTCATGACTGTTTCATATACTGACCTTGATATAGTACCCCGTGGCTTACCACCCGACGACGAACCTGTCCGATCTGCAAGGGCGACGTTGTTCGCTCGATGTCTCATTCTCAACCTGGCGACACGCAGAACGAGTCTTCCGCCGAGGATGCAGACCACCGAGCTGATCCAACTGCTGCACCCGTTCTCATTGCCGGGGTTGACGACGATGATATCTCCGATGATGAACAGAATGTGGGTCTTCTTTCTGGCCACTCGAGTTCCGCTCCACAGTCCAGTTGGCGAAACCTCGCCTCCCTTAGCTTCTCCGCTCTTAGTGGCGACACAATCTGGCATCAAGCCCATGCGGACCGGAACCGCTAACAACATTTCTGATTTACTTTATCCTTTCCGCTATCCTTTATTTTTCTTGTCCAGCCGCCAACTGGGCATCGCTTTGATCTTCTGGCGCAAGCTGTATTAGCGATCGTTTGATTCCCTTATGATTTGAACTTGCGGGGCGTTTAGTGTGTACATCTCCGAGTGCTGGACAGTTGCCAAGCACTTGCGAGCATTGTTGAAGCGGCTGGGACATACCGCAGGTCTATCGTTTCAAACCCCATTTCCTTTGGTTACTAGAGAGCCTTCGAATTGATACCATTGCTGTTCTACTAGCCGCTTTGTATTTTCTGCCACCCACGGCTAAGTGTAGATCGCCATGGCGACATCCTATGTAATGATACCTGTCTTTTAAGCCCGTATTTGCTAGCAATCTATTTTCCTAAAATGAATAGTAAACGTGGATAAAATCTTGATTCTGGGCCTAACTCATGCCGTGTAACGTACTGAGTTGCCATCCCAACAACGGAGGTGCAATCCCAATTACTCGCAACGCTCTACTCTTTCTCGGCATAAACATTGCCAGCGATATCCTCAAAGACATCCAATGCATGCGCACACTGATCACGAACGAGGCCAACCCGCGGAATCATGTCTCGACCCATCGGCAGGAAGCGCTCTGCTTCATGACCAGCTCCAGCACCCTCCCCGACCGCCACTTCAAAGATTGCTTTAGCAGCCTTATCGGCGTCACCATCTCCCACAAATGTTCCGTTCTTGAAAGCGTCCATCATCTTCTCTGCCACCGATCCCTTATAATCATCCGGCAAGGGGGCTTCAGCCATCGGAGAGGAATTGCCAATGTTGGTATTGAAGGTTCCCAGCCACACCGTCAATAGACGAATGTTGAATGGAGATACCTCTTTAGCAAGAACACGTGTCGAAGCTATACAAATCATCCTAGTTAGTACCTGCGTCTAATTCTGTGTGATACTGACGTCACGTACCATCTAGCGCAGCTTTTGCCGCCGCATATCCTCCCATACTATCACGGCCATCCAATGCAGCACCAGAACTAATGTTCACAATGATTCCAAAGCGTCGCTCCCGCATGCGAGGGACTAAGGCTTGGATCAGACGGCTTGGCCCAAAGTACATAGTTTCCATCTGTCGGCGGCGCTCTTCGTCCGAGAGTTGCTCCACGGCGCCGAACAGAACGTATCCAGCATTATTGACCAGGACGTCTATCTTGCGTCCCGATGCTTCCAGCTTCTCCACAAGAACTCCTGCTGCGGACAAATCATCCACGTCGAGCACATGCCATTCACCGCCCTTCGCCTCAACTTCCGCCACAAGATCTGGGGTGCGAGACGGCTGTCTAGATGTCGCAATAACAGTATGCCCATGTCGCTGGGCTTCACGGGTCAGTGCCAGACCGAGACCGGACGAGCAGCCGGTTATGAGCCATGTAAGCGGGCGAGCTGGCTTGGTGAAGATCGGACTGGACATGATGGAATTTTCGGGTCTCTTGTAAATAGTAGAGAATATATATCGTTTTAAGCAACAAAGAAGCTCCTGTGATACTTATCCAACATTCTATCTCTTCAACGCCGGGCAACTAAGCGCCTTTTATACCGCAGATTTGGTCTCTGGACCCCTCCCGCGGGCCGTTGGGGTTACCCTGGCGTTAGGGTTCCATTGCGGAGTTAACTGTGGGGCCGACACCTCAATTGGAGTATATCGAACTTTACTCCAACGTCTGGTCATGCCCGGAGATATATGCAAGGATATCCCGTTAACTATCTCCGTAATCTGACATTTCTCCACCATAAATGCATATGAATGGCTTGTCCAATGATCTTTGAGATATACAACCACAACATCCATGTCTATCCTAGCTGAGTTCCGCCGTCAGTGGAAGCGTTTGAACAACAGTAGCGTGATGTCCAAAAGCTTAATAAAATATCATGGGACAGCCACGTTGATTGATAGCTAATGAGCTAACTGGTACCGGGAAAAATCATTTACTCGAATTCAAGTAATAAACAAGTAGTTCCTCGAATCTTTTCTGTCTTGTCAATGGACGCAGAATCCTTTCACATTGCAATATCATCAATAACGTATGTAGCCCAGCTATCAATCGCCCATTGCAAGGTCGTGATGCAGCTTCTTTGATCATCCGGGCCCCGTAATCTTTGGCAATGGAGTATTCCCGAGCTTTGGGGGCTATTAGGATAGGCCATGCTTCAGTAATTAAACTTGTTTGTCGTTGATTTTGCCATCAATACGACAGTTCGTCGCGAGGCCGTAATGTGTATAGAAATTTGTCGTTTAAAACAGTCGTCGCGACAGGGCGGGTCCGTATCTTTGATACTCATTCAGGTCGTGAATTCTTCTTCTTCTCTCGATCTCTCCTTTCTCAACCTCTCTGCAAGCCCCCTGAAGATGTCGGACTTGCCCAACAACCCACCAAGCGACGCCGCCGGCCGGCGGCGTCGCGTACACAAAAATCATCCGGACAGTAAGTAACAGACTAACTCTACCCTGTCTCCACTGTCCACAGACTGTGCTTTTGTCTGATGTGGCATGCTTCTGGGTACGTGGATGTGGCTGACTTCGTTGACAGGGCGCAAGATAAAGAGACTGGCCAAGGCCCAGGCCTTGCTGGAATCGAGCGGTGGCGGTGATGATCAGGGTCCGCCAGAGGTATGTAGAACAACATTATCTTCTTTAATATCTTTGCTTGATTCATCAAGAAGTACCTTGCATCACGCGGCTTGCTCATGAGGAAGTGATTGTTGATCACGATGAGATGTTACTCATCCCACGATCTTCGCTCATGGCTATCTGAGCACTTGATCGTTTGGACTCCATCCAAGCTTGGCTTGACATGGTAGTCTCATCTGATGGAACTACTCCCCCACGTGTGGATTGCTTGGGTAGACTGGCGCTGACCAAAAGCTTTTAGGAAGAGGGCATGATGGGTTCTCAGCCAGATGCCGAAGGGTCTGAAGTTCAGGTTAGTATAAAATGCCCCTATATTCGGATTGGACATACATGAAGACTAATTGCACTTTGTATAGACCATTGATCCGGTCTGTCGTTGCTCCTTTGCTGTTATACCAGGCTGCAGACTTGATAGGGCTCGAAAGCCCTATGTTGACCATGATGATGTTGTGATAAGATGTGCTGATGCCAATACCTAGCAACAGGTTGAGCAAGGCGAGGATACTGTGCCTGCTGAAGCAGTATCGAGTCCGACCAACGAGCCTGCACAGGCGCAGGCAACACTGGGGGAAGACCACCAGCAGACGCCCCTGCCAAATGAGGAGGATGCCTCGCGATCTCCTGGTCCCGAACAAGAATCGCCTGAAGCTATTGTTGACGAAGCGCGTAGAAAACGTCGACAATTTCGACCAGACGCGCCCTCGTTCATACCTTCAGCGAGATTCAATCCCTCGGCGCCCTCATTTATACCATCCGTCACTGCTGGTGGTTCTTCCAACCCTCCCGTCTCGTCTGCTCGCTCCTCTCGGAGATCTCATCCTCTTCCTGCTCGTCCTCAACCACCTCGAGCTTCTCTTTCTCCTCCCCAACCTCCTCAACATCGCCGTCCTTCCCCTTCTTGCCCCGACTTCCCAAATCCTCTCTCGACCCCCATCTCTCCACCTCCGTCTTTGAACCCTCTGTTTGGAGCGCCAGCTACTTGGCAGCCATCTGGAGACCCTCGTTCCCCGTTAACTGGGAACACTTGGGACCACTTGCTGCCTTCATCTCTGAACTGGAGTCCTTCACGCTCTCAGACTTTTTCTGAGTCCCCCTCTTCTCATCTCCTCAACTTCTCTGCTTCTCATCCCGTCGAGAGGCCTTCGCCCACTCCTCTACCTGCACGCAATCAACCCCGCCGTCGTAGGCTTAGCTTCTCCACTCTTTCTGAGTGTAGGGCACGTACGCCTCCTTCGAGAAGTCCTCTGATCATTTGGGAAGATCCAGAATCTCCAGATCAGATCGCCATGTCTCACAACAGACCATCCCACCCCGCCTATCACCAGGGCCAGGGCCGAGGTTTTCGTCGAGGCTATGGCCGGGCTCATCACTACCTCCCTCCCCACGCTCCTCCTGAGCCTACTCAACACGCCCCTGCTGGGAATCTTCACCACGGCCATGCTGGACCTGCTCACCGTCCTCAGGCTGGGCCTACTCATCATGTTCCTGCTCCGCCTGCTCAGCGTGCTCCTCCTGAGCAGACTCACCGCGAACATGCTGGACCTCGTCACCTGGTTAATTCTGTGACGGCTGACTATGCCCCAGCTGGACCTCTTCAGCTTCACCTGGGACCTGCTCAGTACACCCTAGCTGGACCTCCTCAGCTTGCTCCTGCTGGGCCTGGTCAACACGTTCCTGCTCCGCCTACTCAGCGTGCCCCTCCTGCACAGACTAACCACGTTCATGCTGGGCATGGCCATCATGGACCTACTGCACCTGCTCAGCGTGCTCCTCCTGTGCAGCCTCACCGCGCCTATGCTGGACCCCCTCAGCATGTTCATGATGGGCTGACTTACCGTGACCTAGCTGCCCGGTCTGCTCACCCTGCCCAGGCTCGGCCGATTCACCATGGACCAACTGCACCCGCTCAGCGTGCTCCTGCTGAGCAAACCAACCACGTTCATGCTGGACCCTCTCACCCGGTTCATTCTGTGACGACTGACTATGCCCCAGCTGGACCTGCTCAGCGTGCTCCTCCTGGGCAGACTAATCACGTTCATGCTGGGCCTATCCATCATGGTCCTGCTCCGCCTGTTCAGCGTGGTCCTTTGGGGCATACTAACCACGTCCATGCTGCGCTTGCTCACCTTGCCCATGCTGGGCGTGTTCATCATGGTCCTACTGCGCCTGCTCAGCATGCTCCTCAGGTGCCGATTCACCATAGCCTGGCTGGACCTGCTCACCTTGCTCCTGCTGTGCCGACTAGCCACACCCTGACTGGCCCTCCTTATCGCGCCCCTGCTGGACCTGTTCAGCGTCCTCCTGCTGGGCCTACTCACCAAGTTCCTGCTGGGCCTTCTCACCAGGCCCCTCTTGGAGCTTTCCCCCCAGCTCCCCCTCATCCCGGTCCTCCTGGGTTCGATCCGACGAGGACGTCTTACCAGACCACAGTGCAAGACCCTTGCACTGGGGCTCTGGTCACGGGGGATTACTACCCCAACCTCCACACCATCGTCCTCCCTGGCCCTTATGGGCACCCAGTCCAGTACCCGGCAGTAATTGGATATTTTGATCCAATTACTGCCTCGTACCCTGCCGCAGGTTTCGGAGCTGCCCTGCCATTTTTCCCGCTTGCCGCCATGCCGAACAACGGCAGACGGCTGCAGGGAGACCCCTTCGCCGCCGGGCCTCGCCAGTTTGAGGCTCCGCCAGGTCATATCGCGCTTGGGCCAACTCTCAGCATGCCGCGAGAGTTGGCCCAGCCCGGTACTGGCCAACGTTCTCAGGCACCCGGGGTGCCTGGAGTTCGTGCTGCTGTCGGTGTTCCCGCCGATACTGGGAGCCGAGGGTCTCGTCCCCTCATCCCCACGGTTCCGGAGTTCCGCCCGGAGTTGGCTCGTGGCGTGCCGGTCAACGAAGGGCAAACTGCCCGAAACACTGAGAGCACGGTCTCTCAGCGACCGCAAGGGGAGAACCCGTCGATGGGGCCTAGTCAGCCTCAGCAAAATCGGCTACGACCAGCGGAGTGGGTGGGCGCCGCTTCTGCACGGAGTCTTTTTGGCTCGCAAGTTCTGCCGGAGCGTCCGTTCGGCCCATGGGTGGTGGACCCAAATGGGCCAGCATCGGGCTTTGCGCGACGACAGACGGCAAGTGCAGAGGAAGCTCCCAGCCGTTCTGCGACTCCAACTGAGCAGGAGTCGGGTGATGGACTTAGTGAACCCTTCACCCCCCCGGATCAGATTGAGGACCCCGAGGACCCGTCCGAGAGTTCGTCCTCTCCCACGGCCAGCGGGCCACCCTCAACCCCCTGGGGCCAATCAAGCCCTCAGCGTCACCCTCACTATGAGGTCGCCGAGTTCCTCACTCAGATGAGGGCTCGGGAGGAGCAGCGCTGGGCAGAACAGCACCGGGCGGAAATGGGGCAGTCTGAGGCTCACGCCTCTCGAATGCCGGGTTCTCAGGCTGACACACTGAGGGCCATCATCGAGGACCCTGCCCGGTTTGGGCTGTCTATGGCCAATTCCCAGGCCAATAGACTCGAAGCCCTGGCGGGTTACGACCCTCGTGCTCAGTCTCGCCCTGGCCCTGGCCCGGCCAGCCCCAGTCCTGCCCGCGGGCAAACCCCAGCTGCCGGCCTGGCAAGTCAGCAGCTGGTTTCGGCATTCGACCAGGTTTTCCAGAACCTGGCGAGCTACGCCGAGGGGTACTCCAATTACCAGGGAGTACCCCATGCTGCCAACACCGTCGGTGGGCGCAACGTGCTGGGGGGCACGTTCGACCCATTCGATGATTTTGGCGGCATTCGCCCGGCCGCACCCCTCGGCCCAGCCGTCACCTGGCGGCAGCGTAGTCCCCCTCGCTGGTTGGAGCGCCGCGAGGGCCTTGGCCTACGTGCCGACCCGGAGGAGGCTGACGCCTTCCACGAGCGCCTCGAGCGCGGGGAGGCTTCCCCTGGGGGTCCGTCTCGCGAGAGCGGCCCCCAGTAAGACTGTATACCAGTCTTTTCCCAAAGCTGGCTTGCCAGCTTTTGTTTGATTAATGTCTTGTTGGAGTAGATCTGTGGGAGATCTGGGCGAGGAAAAAGGGAACACCGGTGACCTGGTTGTTCTGTGATCTTTTTCTTTGCTCTGATCTCCCACAGATCTACCCATGAGCCATTATTTGATTTTTCGTTGTTAGTTTTGTCTCTTCTCTGTGTTTGTTCACGTTGAGATTGGTGTTGGAGCGTTTGCAAGGGGGGATTCGTCCTCGCCTTGTGACTGCACCTGCGCTGGTCTCTCGGACCACACACAAATCAATTTTGCTCAGTGCCGGGTTTCGATTTATCTTGCCATATATTCTCTCGTATTTCCTTCGTATCTTTATTCCTATTGCTATTTGCATCGTTTTAGCATTTCAGTACTATGCAGGGTGAATGATTGCTGACCCCCTTAGATACTTGACGTCGGATTAGCATGTCACAGTTGCATCACGTGACGTAGGTTGCCCTGATTTCCCACTCGTCAAGCAGTTACCACGGGCATTAAAGGCACTGATAGAGGCACACACGCGAAATTTTGCGAGAAGAGATCGAGTAATCCGAGGTGAGCATAGCTCTTATAGATGATAGTTTAAAGAGACACTTATCATGGCACTTGATGGTTACATGAAAGAAAAGAAATCGTCATTCAAGAACACGGCGATCATTGGGAAGGCCCATTTACGTTCAGCCAAGTGCAACTATTACAACGCAATGACTGTCTCAAATTCTTCCTTTCGCCTAAAAAGTCATTCTAAGTGTTAAATACGACCGGAATATCTAGAGTCCGAATAGAAAGGAGTATTAGAAGGAAAAATAAGAATGTAAACTTAGAAGCCGAGGGCTTCATCTCGAAGAAAGACAGGTGTTCTCGAAAGGAAAAAAAATCAAAATGGGAATATCTCAAAGAAAGAAGAAACAAAAGCCAGACAAAGCACAGTTCGCGATGGGAATTAAGAATGAAAAAAAAAATCACAGAACCGAAAACTCGCCAAGACGCCGTGTATATTGTGCGGGATATGTTGCTCAGAGCCATATTACAAGAGCGAAAGGCTCGAGAAAAAGAAAAACAGGTAAAAGAAAAAAAATCATACAGCGAAGAAAAGGGGAAGATGTCGCGCTCGGTCTAGCAAGAAACGAGATTGATGTGGTGGTCGTTTAGTGCCGCGCACGCGAGCATGGTTCGGTGCGGGTGGAAGGCCGTACCAGCGATGGGAGAGGAGCGGTTGTGGTGGAGGAAGCTCGAGTACGGCTCGAAGGTGGAGAGGTATGTGCCATCGACGTTGTAGGTTTTGACTTCGTGGCGGTTTGTGCCCCTATCGAGAAAAGGTTAGTCATTGCATGCTAGAAACGTCTTGGGTAGGTGGATACGTACATGCTGAAGACAGGGGCATGTTCGTGGACACTCAGAGTGCGAAGAGTATCCTTGGTGGCGGAGATAGTGGAGAGGGCGCCATTCATGCGAAGATCCCATAGGCGGATCTCGCCATTGCGGCTGCCGGAGATGAGCTCTCGCAAGCCACCCCGTTGCATGTGGACATTAGTGATCCACTGCTTATGCTCACGCCAGACCTTGATCATCGATGTAGTGGGTTTGAGACGTTGATCGAAGACACGGACAGCACCGTCACCGAAGCCCGCAACGAAAATGTTGCCAGCAACTTGATCCGAAGTCAGAGACGTGATGCAGGAACCGGAGCGTGCGGGAATATCCTATGATGAAAGAGTTGGGGTTAATGAAGGGCTCCGAAGCTTGCAGATCGTCCAACACTTACATTAGTGCACACTTCGGTAGCTGCGTTCCACACCCGGATCACCTTCACATCTCCTGCAACGAGAGCCTTTCCTTGTCCCTGCTGCCAGTCAAGCACGAGACCCGCGTTGCGGTTGCTTGGAATTAGTTCAGGCAAGGCCCGGAAAGCTGTCACGACCTCAATGTTCCTTGCCGACTCGTAGTGACGGAAAAGCTTGAGTACACCATCGGAAGAACCAGTCAAGAGAAGGGCTTGATCATCCTCATTGATGTAGCGGACTTCGTTGATCTTCGACCCCACGGGGTTCCCATTCGAGAACTGGTTGAGGCGCTTGTGGTTCTGCCAGTCCCAGATCCTGTGCGAGAGAGTCAGAGTCAATAGGAAAGCCATAACATTGGTGCCCTCTTGCTGAACTTACGCAATAGTATCCCGATCATCCGCAACGGCGAGATGATCCTCGAATTGGTGGAAGCACATCTTCAACGGCTGGCTGCTGTTCGAGAGTAGAGTAACCGAATTGTCCCACCGGCTTGTGCCGGCCTTACCCTTGAGGGGTTGCGTCTCTGAAATAATCTTCTCGTTGCGGCCGCGTCGCCAAAGTCGCTCGTTGTAATCGGAACTACCGGGTTCGTCGGGTTCATTCGGTTTCATCTGGGGCTCGCGGAAATACTTTTCGAGCGTAAGTACGGGATTTCCAGCAATCTCCAAGACCTCCTCTCGGGTAACGGGGCGGTAAACAAATGATGGAATTACCTCTGTGGACCAGGCTAGGAAATGGCTCTTCAGCGGGATAACGGGTGCGACCTCTGGGTTCCTAGGTTCGAAGCCTCGAGACGTGGGAGTAGGAGCTTGGTGATAAGCTGTTGCTGGAGCGACATGGTCGTTTACTTCTGGAGGGCGCGTCCATTCGGGGGGAGCACGACCGCGGGGGGTCATGGGCATCCGACTTTTCGAGGTTGGCGATGGAGGGGTCGAATTTTCGGAAGAATCGGTCGCAGAGCCGCCGAAGGCAAGGTTCTTTAGAGAGGCGGCAACACTGGCAGTGCGTCTGAAGCCTAGCGAAAGGTAGCCTTCTTGTTTGGCGGGTGCTGTTGTTGACGATGGGGGTGTTGAGGGCGGTGCTGACTTCTTCGTCTCCGGTCGTTCCTGTACCTGATACCGTTGTGACATACGGCTTGTGAGATCCAGAATTTCGATTCTGATTCTGTCAGCAAGAGTCGACATGGGTGACTCCAGAAGGGCAAGGTGAATGTAGTCAACAATAATACCAGCATCCTGGGCGATGTCAGGGTGCGGGTCGACGGAAAGGATAAGAACCTGTTTCCAGATTGTACCGAACGTGGTGTTCCGAGACAATTGGGTTTGCTTGGGCTCGCTAATAATATCACCATTCTGGCCTTCGATGCGGCTAGTGTGCGAGTTTTCGTTTTGCAGACGGTGCATCAGGGATCGTTTCTCATCCTGCAGCTCTTCATAAGCAGCCACCACAAACTTATTCTGGTGGCGCTTGACAAAGGTCGAGAAAAAGACAGCAAGCTCTTTGCGGACAAGCACACTTCCATCAGCCGACATGGGCAAGACCGACAAAGCTAAGGACTCCTCAATCTGGGCCACTTGGTCGGTCAGATCGGGAATTCCAAGGAATGTCGTGACTGCATGAAGCATAGCAGCGCGAACTTCCGGTACTGGGTCAAAGTTCAATTCACAAAGTCTGGTCGGAGCTGCACATCGAATTCCCATCCACTTGGCTTCCGGGAAATCACGCCAGAGCATACTCAAACAGAGGCATGACCACTGACGAAGCAGGGGGTTCTCAACGTCGCCAAGATGCCTTAAGCACGAGTCGAACAGATCACCGGACAGACACACGTTCTGACCTTGAGGATAGTTCCTGCAAAAGATGGAGACAATAAAGGCACACATGGCGCGGTGCTCGCTAGCGTTTCCAACGGGGATGGGCGAAGACGGGTTGAGAATGGAGATGAAGTAGTGAATACCATTGTCCTTGAGAAGATCAACCTGAACTCCATTGTCCACGGCCATGATGCGAGCCCAAATGAAAACCATGACGGGTTTCAATTCTTGAGCAGCTGACTGCAACAGCTTCACGACATAGGGGAAAATACCAATGCTGAGAGCCAGGTGGACAGCCCATGGGCCCAGATCCAGGAACTTGCTCAGCAATATCAATGCGCGTAGTCGGTGAGCCTGACTGAGAAGGACTTGCAAGACAATAGGTAGCTGATCCGGTGGGTTCTTCTCCGTGGGACCAGACGAAAGATAAACCTCGAATGCGGTGAGTTGCTCAGCGAAGAACGTAGAATGCTGGTACTCATACTGTCGGCGACCCTCCTCGTGATCGATCAGAGCAGGCAACTGCGAAAGTACCATCTCCACGGCAAGATCCCAGCTCTTCCAGAGCGCGTGCTGGTGAGTTCCAGGGAGTTCCGGCGAGGAGATGGGATGACATTTGTAGGTGCGCATGATACGCTCACTAAGGAGGAAATTGCGGAAGAGTGCAGCAACCATCAGATCCTGTCGGAAAAGCTTCTTGAAAAGAGCCCGCGGCAGCGTATTCCAAGCAATCGTATCGGTGATCGCCGTGAAGATCCAGTTGAGCTCTCCGAGCGGACTGCGACGATCCTGGAGGCGACCTGGGACACGGAAATCGTCGATGGAGAGATCAGTCCGCAGCGGGTTCTGCAAAACGAAGAATCGCAGCGCGATTTCAATCGGGGTGGTGAGACAACAAGTAAAGAGATCGGCGGGTAGGTCGGGGTTCGTTGGAAGGGACTCGTTCTTTTGGCAGGCTGCAAGAAGAATGCAATCGCTGTAGTTTTGCACAATGGCATTGGGGTCACGCTTCTTAGCCTCCGCATTTTCTTTCTCGTGCTTCTCCACGAAGGTATGGAAGTTCTGGACAATGTTCCCCGCATGTGATACGTCAAAAACGAAGAGACTGGGGCCAGCGAGCCACGACTGGAGGTCATAAAGTGGCACAGGGATATATTGGGTGTAGTTCTTGTTGAACACCCAGATTTCACCGGATTGGGTGGGCAAGGGCACTCCGTGGCCATTGTAATGTAGAAGTACTCGCTCGTCCTTGGCATTCCTTCGCAAAGACATACAGAACTTCTTGGTCTCGTCGACCGATGGGTCCAGATATTGCTTGTATCTGGTGCGAAGACTCAACGTCTCATACTGTTCCTGCAACTTCTTGCCAATCTGTTCCATGATCTTGTTCTGGCCGCCACCCGTGGTCGAGGTGGGATCGACCCAACATTCGAGCTTCGAGGTGGGATTCGTCTTGACCACATCTGGAGGATCGACGCCGATGTTCAGACAAATCGCGAGAGCTGCAGAGACGGTCTTGAGCCTATCCTTCATGCGCCACTCCTGAGCTGGCCAGCTTCCGTCCGGGTCGCGCGGGATGCCGTTGGTCTCGTGACGTTTCTCCGTGAAATACATGTAGAAATTCTTGGGGATGACATTTACCATCAGCTTTGGGGCTTTAACCACTCGTCAATCACCACAATATGCTTACCGAGTGCAAAATCTTGAGATATTCGCTGGAGGTGTATTCCTCCTGCCATCCATGGCGCATAGCGAAGTCTTCCTCATCTTCTCCCGGCGATTTGTCGAATGTGACACGACTAGGACCATAATCACTCCGTGCTCGCTTCAGCATGGCGGGTCGGCTGCTCTCCGATCTGCGAGGGGAGGGTCGTCGAGGTGGCTCGTCTAGGGAAACCACGGCATTCTCGCCGCCAGAGCTCGTGGGGCGAGCAGGCGGGGCCAACGAGGAGGACATCTGTTCAACGGTTGTGAAGGAGCGATGGTGACTGCTCAATGGAGCAGGAGAGCGTTCGCGGGTGGGAATGGTTGTTTCTAGCTCGGGTCCAAACGCGACTCGAACTGACTTGGTAGGGCGGCGGGGTTCGGTCGCCCCGTTGGTCGCCGGTTGCTGGGGGGTCTCTTCCATATCTGCGGTTGGGTCCCTCATGTTGTATGTTCGGTCATGGTGTTACTCGAAAGGCGGGGCTTTGGAAGCCGCGGGGTTGGCAGTAGGCAGCTCAAAAGTGTGAGCACCTCCAACGTCTATCTCGCCGGGGAATGATTGGGGTTGACTGAGCACAAGTGTCACTTGCAGTAGAGGTACAGGGATGGGTGTTGTTCGGGTATGAGTTGGGCAGAAGAAACGAAGGTTGAGTTTCGAAACTGATTGAACGAAGACACTGGCGGGTTGTCAAGAGCAGCCCAGAACAGCCTGAAGGTCTGGAACCGCAAGCGACGCAACGGTGAGGCTCCGATGCTGAGCGCGCCCGGACTATTAATCCCCCGCGCCCTGTGGCTGAGTAATCAGGCAGCTTCCAACCAATAGAAGTACCCTTCGGTGCCTTAGCCAACCAGGAAGTAACTCTTGAAGTCGGGTACCTATAGAGTCGTTGATATAATTTCACATGATAAATCCTCTCTCTTTCTTAAAATCTAAGCTTTACAGCTCTATGAGCCTATAAATTCTTTTCATTGCCTTCACACATCCATAGAGTCTCGGAAGGCGGTGAGTGATAGGTAGATAATCCTTGTTTCTGGGGGTCCAGTCTTGGCAGGGAAGGTTGATGGTTCCCAGTTCACAGTAGCTGTCCAAGCTCAGGGTGCTGATAATGTGGTACTGGACCATGATTATACAAAAGACCCTTCATGCACCCCTGAATAGTTTATGTGAGCTCAAATCTTATTCTTCTTTTTGTCCCTAGCAACCCGTCAATGTCGTTGGCAATGAACACATTGTCTAAGACAACGGCACAGCAGAAGATCAAGCTGAACCCCTCGTACATCTAGGGTCTCACTGCGAGCCGCTAATGTATCCAAGATCTGTAGAGAAATTGGATATCATCTGATCAGCATGGGATACCTACTGACATTGACCTATCTATGTATCGTATTTCTAGCGAATATCAATGTTGTGGACGTATGTTTCATAGACGCTCCTGTGCTGCATGAAAGGGCTACATATATCACGGATTTCCTTGATCGAGATCGCCATGAGATCCATCGGACCGAATTAGCTATCTCACGTGGGTAGAGAGTAACGAGTAATTACTTAGATATGATGACAGCCATCTCTAGCCAGCCAAGGGTCACCGAGAACCGGGAAGGCGGGCGCTCAGGGACTTGCGGGAAGTACAAGGAAGTGCAGTAGTGATCATCACAATCTCGAATTCCTCTGATAGGCAGGAAAACCCTATGCCCAATGCCCCCCAGCGGCCCCTTTTTTAAATGGATTCATGTGGAATCCTTTATGATCACGCTGCCCTCCGGAGGCTGGTGGACTGTAATATTGACAGATGGACCCATATGCGATCGCATTTTTGCTATGTACCCGAAGTATGCAGCTGGCATCTGTAGGCACATCTCCACTCCTCGAGGGAAGAAGTGCCGCTGACGAGCGACGTCGGCAGCCACCCCTGATTATTCTTTCTCCAAACTGCAGCGTGGGAACAGTTCGAAGGCGATAGGTTCCCTGCACGTTGTGGAGAGTGGATCGTCGTGTGGAATCGGGGCATCCTGGATGGTCATTGGGTGGCTTGTTCTTACGCTGGCTTGGGACAGCCCCGCGACTGGCCCTATAATGGCCGTGATGCAATTATAATTAGAATTGGTAGAGGGTGCAGGTGAAGAGGAAGTAGAGAAAGCATTATCTAGGCATTAGAATGGACATATCAAGGGTTCCATACGAGGTTTCTAAAGGGTCCATAGTACGGCAGTAGGGGACAGTATCAATGTGTTCTTGGATCGAACCGTTGGAGGGGCCAAAGAGCGAAAGAGATTATGATCTCAGACAGGGGGCACACCGTTTCCAACATTTACATTTTCTTGGTGATGATTGACTACAGAGTACCACATCCTTGTTTAAGAGATAACGATAGCCCAAGTAAGATGAGGTTATTCAATTGTCTGGCATGAGCAAGATCTATGCGCACGAGTATGATGAGATCCAATGGACGTGCAGTCTTCCCCGAGGTGGCTGCTTCGTATAGAATTAATCAGGCATGAGGTAATAGTATTCAATCATGGACAATGGTCTGATCGCAGGAATGGGGAATCCTCCAGACACGGTAAATCGGATAGATTCAATAGCACCATAACAGTTGTAGGCTGGGAGACCAGAAAAGCAGAGCCCAAGAATGAGGGCGCATAGTAACATAGTTAAAGCGGTGGCCGTTAGAGAGCCCCTGAGTATGCAAGCCTCTTTGGCTTTTCCCTCCCCATACCAAGTCCCCTCAAGTGGATGCCGCTGGCTGCTGGGCCACTAGGCACTAGTTGGACTAGACCAACCTCCGAGAAATTGAAACCACCTTCGCTTCTCTCCTACGATCAGCACTTCATCTCTTTCTTCTCCCCTTCTTGTTTCCGCCCCCCCCTCCCCCTCTGTTTTCACCTCTTCCCAGCCCTGTGGGCATCTATTTTGACTACTACTTTCCTTTCTATGCCCTGAGGGCTGCGATCGCTGGGGTGTTCAGTCCACTTCCAACTCCACCATCCACCACCACACGACCCCCTGGCCACATAATTTTTTTTTGGAACGCTGAGCGGCCTGTGAATGGGACTCTTTCAACGGTTCCCAGCGCGGTACCTGGTTCCCGACTCCACATCCAACTGAAAATACACCACCGCAACTTTCCCCTGGTTCCGCTCCGGTCGCAGTGCCATTTCTACAAACCACTCTCCTCCAACTTTCCTCCCCCGAACCGCTCGTCTTTTGATACTGCTGGAGGACCGGATTTACCAGAATTGGGACAATCGCACCCGCCGTCTGCGCAATCCGACCGGTGGGCGTTGATTTCTCCCCCATTGCGCCGTTGAACGACTGATTACGACACCTTCACGATGGCTTTTTTGTTTAAATCCAAGAAAAATCAACCAGGGACTACGCTCCCTCCCGCGACAAGGAACCTCCATACATCCGAAGGCGCCCCATCCGCTGGTGGTCCTCCTCCAATGACCAACGGAATCAAAGAAGGCAATGCCTTTGCGCAGCAGACACCTACACCGAGTAGTAGCTACAACAACTCGCTCAATTCGGCCGCTAGTCCAACTAGTCCGGATCCCGTCAGAATGCGACAACGGGCTGAATCGGAATCCCAGGTAAGTCGATTGTTAGCCCCCGTTCGCAATTGTCGAACCGTGCATCCCTGACCCCGGTGTTTTGTGTCGTCCCTTTAGGTCCAGCGACCCCAGCAGCCTTCTAATGGCGTATCTCCGACGAGTCCGAACTCCTCCCTCTACCCATGGTCGCAACGACGCCTCAACTTTTCCTCTCCGCAAATGAACCCTTTCCCCCGATACGGAGCCGCAATCAATGCCGTAGCATCGAAAGAAGGCGACATCTACATGATGGGCGGTCTGATCGACGGTTCGACGGTCAAGGGTGATTTGTGGATGATTGAAAGCAGCGGTGGCAGTCTATCCTGTTTCCAAATTGCGACGGTTTCAGAGGGCCCAGGGCCGCGAGTTGGCCATGCTAGTTTATTAGTAGGCAATGCGTTCATTGTGTTTGGTGGTGATACCAAGATCAACGAGACGGATGCTTTGGATGACACACTTTATCTTTTGAACACTTGTATGTTGCTCAACCCGCCTTCTCCGTGTCTTTTGTCTCTAACATGGAATTCCGGTAGCTTCTCGACAATGGTCTCGTGCGATTCCTCCCGGTCCCCGTCCGTCTGGCCGATATGGCCATACACTCAACATTCTTGGCTCTAAGCTCTACGTTTTCGGTGGTCAAGTGGAGGGCTTCTTCTTTAATGACTTGGTGGCATTCGACCTGAACCAACTGCAGAACCCCACAAACAAGTGGGAGCTGCTTGTTCAGAACAGCCACGAAGGTGGACCCCCAGAGGGTGAAATTCCCCCCGCTAGAACCAATCACACCCTTGTCAGCCACAATGACAAACTATACTTGTGAGTTGAACACTGTTTTGAAAGAGAGGAGAAAAAGCGCATCCGGGCTGACTCGAAACAGGTTCGGAGGAACAAATGGTGTCAAGTGGTTCAACGACGTTTGGACCTTTGACCCTCGTAACAATTCCTGGACCGAGCTAGACTGCGTTGGTTTCATTCCGACTCCCAGAGAGGGTCATGCCGCCGCCCTCGTCAACGATGTGATGTATGTATTTGGTGGACGTACCGACGAGGGAATGGATCTTGGAGATCTATCTGCATTCCGCATCACCACTCGCCGCTGGTACTCGTTCCAGAACATGGGACCTGCGCCGTCTCCTCGATCTGGACACAGTATGACTGCTTTTGGCAAGCAGATCATTGTGATGGCCGGAGAGCCAAGTTCGGCCCCGAGAGATCCCGCAGAACTTAGCATGGCGTATATTCTCGACACAGGCAAGATCCGATACCCTAATGATTCGCAGTCGAGTGACCGCGCCGTAGTCCCGGCCGGCAGAAAGATAAGCAGCGACAAGCAAGGCCCATCGTCCGGACGTACATCCCGCGAGGCTCAAAACGCAACTCCGGACCAACTGCGTCGGGGACCGACACCCTCTCGTGAGAGCATCATTCAAGCCGCGGGTGCGAAGCCTGGAGAGCTCGGGTCAAACCCCAACCTCGGCCCCGGATCCCGACTACCAAGAGCTTCTATTGCACAGGCGCCCTCTGGGCCACCACCCCCTGGTCAAGCCCCATCTCCGGGTCCCCGGACTAATGGACCCCAACAACCCGCAATCAACCCTCGCAGCAAGACCCCCACCAAGAATGATCGTGGGTTTACGCCAACCGTAGATGTCCGCGCAGCGAATGCCGATCGGAATGTTGAGTCTCCCGTGGCCAAAGATATGCACGAGAGCTCGGGCTCTTCCGGTCAACGGACCCCAACCCAGCAGCCACAAAAGATTACCGCGAAGGCAATGGAGGCTGGAGAGGCCGCTCCGATGATGACACCTGCTCGTCAACGGTCATTGCGTCAACACCGGCAGCGGGGCTCAATGGATAGCGCGGAGGAGTCTGTGCTCGGCCGACAAGCTGCCAGCATTGATGGTTCTATTGAGTCTCGTAGCTTCCGCAACTCTAAGACCCTTGGTGATGAGCCCCGGTCGCCCAGGCTGACTCCTCACCAGGAGGCTTTGATCAAGGAGCTGGAGGCAGCCAAGGCTCGCAATGCGTGGTACGCATCTGAGCTTTCCTTGGCGAGAAAGGCTGGCTACGTCCCCAATGCGGCTAGCAGCCCTGCTATCGACGATCGCATTAATGAGTCCCTCAATGATGAGGATCGTCCTCTCGTGGAAGCATTCCTTGCCATGAGGGCCGAACTGGCGAAGATGCAGGCTACTGTGGACCGCCAAGCTGCCATCGCCTCCAAGCGGATCGCGGAAGTCGAACATCAACGCGACGTCGCGGTCAGTGAGGCGGCCTACTCGAGAACCAGACTTGCTGCCCACGGTGGTAGTCAGCGAGGCACTCCTCAACCCGAAGGTCCACGCGATGGAGAGGATGAGCGCCCAACCGACATGGGTCGCCGACTCGCATTAGCCTTGGCCTCTCAGTCGGAGCTGAAGGCTAAGCTGGAAGCGATGACCACCGACCTTCAGCAAGAAAAGCAAGCCAAGGAGCTTGCGGAGGACACCATTGAGGCCACTCGCAAGCGTCTTGCAGAGCTGGAGATGTCGAACAGCGCACTAGAGGCCGAGAATCTGCGGGCCGAGCTGCACAAAGCCGAAGCTACCGCCAGAGAAGAAGCCCTGCTGCGCTCGGAAGCCGAGGCTTCCTTGAAACAGCTTATCATCGACAAGGAGGAGCTTCTAAAACATGCAGAAGACTCTTCTGGACGTCTCAAGGACTTCAATAGTAACTTTGATGGCTTGCGGGAGGCCGTTGCGGCTTCTGCTGCAAAGACTGCCATTGTTGAGAAGCAGCTGCATGAAGAGCGAGAACGCCGTGAAGGTCTGGAGCGTAAACTCCTCCAGCTTCGCTCCGAACATGAAGAGCGAACCACCGAGTTGGACAACACTACTCGGCGCCTACGGGATGCTGAGGAATTGGCTGAGATTCATGCCAAGGAGGCCGAGACGCATAAGCTGGCTTTCGTTTCTGGCCTCGAGCGTGCCTCATCGGTTGACTTGGAGACCTCGATCAAATCTCGTGCTGACCAACGCGTTGCAGCTCTGGAGGCCCAGGTTGAACGATCAACCACCCTGGCCAAGGCTAATCAGGCTGCTGCCGATGCTGCCGCCGAAAAGTTGCGTCGGGCCGAAGAGAGAATCGCTGGACTGGAGGCCTATCAGGAGCAGGCCAGCCGCGAGGGACTGCAGCTTCGGAGACAGCTTCAGACTGCTATGAAGGAGAGTCAGGCGGCCACCGTGGAAAGCCGGGACTTGAAGTCTCAGCTTGAGACCCATCAGCGGGATGCGAATGCTTTGAACATTCAGCACGCTGCCCTGAAGGATCTCCTCGGCGAACGTGGCGTGAGCGCTGATAGTCGGCGGTCCCCTCGTCTTGAGTCACCAGGCTCTCGCTTCGGTACCCCGGAGCAGAGCCGGCTTCGCGAGCTTGAGCAGCAGCTATCAACCAGCTTGAAGGCTCACGATGACCTCAAGAACTCCTTTGAAGTCCGGGAGCAGGAAGCCGATCGCGCGTTCCGGGAGAAGCTGGAACAGCTAGAGAATGATTACCAGTCAGCGGTACACTACGTGAAGGGTACTGAAAAGATGCTGAAGCGCATGAAGGATGAGCTCGGCCGGTATAAGACCCAAAACGCCAAATTGCAGTCTGAACTTGAGACTTCTCAGAGAAGTCTAGAGAGTGGAGGCAACCAGTCGGAGGCGGCTGCTGCTGACTGGGAGAACGAGCGTGCTCGACTCCAAAAATCCATCTCTGAATTGGAATCTCATACCTCTTCGTCCCTCGAGAGCCTAGAGGCCCAGATCTCGGAAATGAAGGAGCAGCTCGCCGCAGCCGAAGTTGAGAAAGAAAAGGCGCAGGCTGAGCATGAGCGCTCCCAGCGAGAGCTCCTTGCAGCTGCTGACCGTAGCCGTGCCGAATTGGAGCAGCTCAAGAAGGAGAACCTCCACCTTGAGACTCGTGCCACGGATGCGGAACAGAAGGTCAACATGCTCTTGGTGCAGGTTGAGACTTCCGTCGGCCACTACCGCCGTCAGTCTCAGCACGGCGGCCAGGGACCCAACGGCATCTCTCGCTCTCACAGCAACGCGTCCAGCAACACCATCAGTGGGCGACCCCGTGCCGACAGCAGTGTCTCCCAAGACTCGACCACCTTCCCAGACAACCGTGGTTCTATGGCCTTGGACTCGCTTGCCAATGAGTTGGAGGCCCTACGTACCCACTGGGAAAGCACCAACCGCAACTATCGCTTGAGCAGCCAGCTGGATCTGGAGCGGACTCCGACCAAGGAGAACAGCGATGGCCCTGCTTTGATGAGTGATAGCTTGGCGGAGTGGCGGAGGCGACTAGATGAGGAAGAACGGGCTGGAGGTAACAAGGGCAAGCCCGAGATTGCTTCCAACGTGATCTAAGCCCTGCATTCGCGCATCTCTTCCCCATTCTATGACCATGTGCACTGAGATATGTCGATTCGCAACTCCTCTTCTTTTTGAGCGCCTTTCCATGTGTACTTCATTTTGCGTTCCTTTGTTTCCTTTTTTTTCCTTTCAATTTCTCCTCCCTTTCTATCGTTTTGTATTGCGCGATGCATGATCATTTATATGATGGAAGGTCCTGTTGTGCCATTTTGGTTTCCGTCTTGATCACCGCTTCGAGGGACGGGATTCCCTTCGTTACTGTTACCCTCTGCTGATTGTTTGTTTAATTTTCTCGATCACTCTCTATCCTCCCCCTATTGTCTCTTTTCTTTTTTTTCCCTCCCCTTTTCTTTCCTTTTCTTATACCCCGGTTTTCCGATGTTTATTGGACCCTGGCTGTACCACTAGCACACTCTACACGAACCCTGCCGTCTTACTTTTATAGTCAGAGAAATCACTATCGTTGCCTCTCCGAAAAGGACCATTTACTGCCTACACTGCAGGCCCTCCCCATGTAGAATTCTGTAGGTTTCTGTAGAAGTAAGCTCATATTGAAAGTGATTTGGGCACGGCGTTATCATCGGTACTTTTCTTGCATGCAGATGCATGTTGCCTTTGATTGCCCCAGTCCCCACGATAGGGACTGAGCACTGCCAGGGCAGATATGCGGGCGTAGGGTGCCACGGGTGTTGGACAGCCAGGGTAAGTGGGCAAACATGGCACTGCATGATAGGTATTTCAGCTCCGTCTCAGGCAGATGAGACATTGCCAGTTCGGGCATCTCCCGGGCAGCCCTGTAATGATTTTTCGAATATGGTATTTCGGATCATTGATTTGGGGTAATGATTAGAGAGCATTCAATTCCTAGGTGATTTTTACAAAGATGGTTCTACAGTCCTGTAGTTAGTATGTACTGTAGTAGTCAAGGGTCCGGGTTTCCACCGCGGCTATGGAGATGAGTTATTTTGGGATCCGCCCAGACGCGCCCTGTGACAATCAATCAAATTCATTCGGGCGGCGCCCAGCGGGATTTCCGAACCCTTTTCAGAGGCGGGCCCATGTTATTTTCTGTTAGGCGCTGATAGCATCATTGACTACGACGGGGTTATAGTATTGATTATAGGATAGGCATAGGATAGGAAACCAGCAAGGCATCAATCAATCTAGTATAGAATATTAGTATATATATTCCATTTTACAATTATGTTTAAATAGGTTTTCATGTAAGGAAAAAGACCAAAACCTGCCAACTAATCTCGTTGCAGCCCAACATTTACAGTAGAGAAGGGACTGTGTATTGGCGTTACCATACACAGCCCAAATTCGCGCAAAAAGTGGCTCGAGCGTGCCACCAGGTTTCCTCCCAGGAAGCTGTAAGGACGGGTATGGCGGTCACGGCAGTACGGCAGTACCGGGGGTGGCCAGCCACTCCTTCGCTAATAAAAATTACACCTCACCGACTTCTCCGCCCCCCTCTCCTTTCTCCTCTCCCATCCCTCTCACCCCCTCAGGCCCCGGTTATCAAGGCTTTGTCCTTGGTATTTCTTCGGTTTTCCTGATCCTTCACATTTTCTCTTCTGTGACCACCACTTTCGGCCCTGTCCGACCTTCTGCTTCCTTCCAACTTTCATCCCTCGAATTGTCCGGGCCACGCTACGGTCGGCATTGGACATATCCGTCCCTCCTCCACCCTTTATCGTCTACTCTCCTGGTATGTGTCGACCTCGTCTCGTTTGTCGTGTCTTCCCTTTTGGGTTTGGCTGTTTCTGTTACTTGCTACACCTTTCTACTTGTTTTGTTTATCCCGACATCTGGCTCTTTCCATATTGTCTAAGGAGGCAACTGCGGGTGGCCAAATGTGATAGGTAATGGCCTGGACTCCCAGCCTCACCCATGGCCTGAGGCTCAGCTGTCACACCCCCTCCTTCAACCCTTCGTTACTTCTGCTCGTTACAACCCTTTCACTGGCTATTTTTTGGATTCTCCATCTTCTCCACATCCTACCTCTTTCACCTCATCTTCTCGATCGACCTTTCTGACTCTTCGTTGAAGTGCTTTAGTCATTTGCACGGCTAGCTGCTGTGCCCCCATCATCCAGTCAACATGACTACCATGGTCAGTCCCGACTCTCCCTTCACTCCCTCTGTCGACCTCCCGATCCCCCTGATTCCCGATGTCTCGTCGTGACGTGGACACAATTTGGGTTGGGGGATCGTGCTTTGGGTCGCCCCTCGTGTATCCGAAATTCATGATTTGCTGACATCATATACAGGATTTGCGTGTCGGTAACAAGTACCGCATCGGCCGTAAGATCGGAAGCGGTTCTTTCGGTGATATCTACCTCGGTAAGTGAATCGACATTTTGCATCGTCTTTGTTTCTAGAGCTGACAAAGTTACAGGCACCAACATCATCTCCGGTGAGGAGATCGCCATCAAGCTTGAGAGCGTCAAGGCCAAGCACCCTCAGCTCGAGTATGAGGCCCGCGTCTACAAGTCTCTCGCCGGTGGTGTCGGTATCCCCTTCGTCCGCTGGTTCGGTACTGAGTGCGACTACAACGCCATGGTCATTGACCTCCTGGGTCCCAGTCTCGAGGACCTGTTCAACTTCTGCAACCGCAAGTTCTCTCTGAAGACCGTTCTTCTGCTCGCCGATCAGCTCATCTCCCGCATTGAATACATCCACGCCAAGTCGTTCATCCACCGTGATATCAAGCCCGACAACTTCCTGATGGGTATCGGCAAGCGGGGCAACCAGGTCAACGTGATCGATTTCGGTTTGGCCAAGAAGTACCGCGACCCCAAGACCCACTTCCACATTCCTTACCGCGAGAACAAGAACCTCACGGGTACTGCCCGTTACGCCAGTATCAACACTCACTTGGGTGTCGAGCAGTCTCGCCGCGATGATATGGAGTCCCTGGGCTACGTGATGCTCTACTTCTGCCGTGGCTCCCTCCCCTGGCAGGGCCTGAAGGCTGCTACCAAGAAGCAGAAGTACGACCGTATCATGGAGAAGAAGATGACCACCCCCACTGAGGTTCTCTGCCGTGGCTTCCCCAACGAGTTTGCCATCTACTTGAACTACACCCGCTCGCTCCGCTTCGATGACAAGCCCGACTACTCGTACCTGCGCAAGATTTTCCGTGACCTCTTCGTCCGTGAGTCCTTCCAGTACGACTACGTGTTCGACTGGACCGTCTACAAGTACCAGAAGAACGCTGCCATGATCGTGGACGCCACCAAGAAGGACAAGGATGAAGAGGCGGCCCGCCGCCAGGCCGCTGTCCCCATGGGTGCCAGCGCTGCGGCCGCCAAGCCCGGTGCCATCTCGGGCCAGCGTCGCAAGGTCATTGACCGTGGAGCCCTCGACAACACTCCGGACACCAACCGTGCCGTGGGAGGAAGTGACAGGATGTGAGTACTTTTGAAACCTGGTTCCGAGTAGGGAACCCCTTTTCTCTTTTCAATCTTCTGCGTTTGGTGTTTTTCTGTGACGCTGGCGTGGAGGACCCTTCAGTTCTGAATCTGACTAATCGCATAGTCTTCGGCGTTAGGCTGCGTTCTGCCTCGAAAGGTGCTGCTTTAGGTTATGGACCTTCTGGTGGCCGTTCGAAGCGGGACGATGGATCAGGGGCTCAATGGTACTAATCCCGTAGTGACTTGCAGCGAGACCTGGATAGGTGGATTTGATTTTGCTTGATTTCTTTTCCCCCTCTGCTTGTCTCCTGCTTGCTCCACGTCCTTCTTTCTCGACCATCATGAAACTCCGAGATTTCCCAATTGTCACCATCGCTGTGGACACGACCCATGCTGCACACACGACGTTTTATCTCGGATTTCAATTTTTCTCCTTGGATCCCCCCCCGTTCATTCTGCAATCATCTCTGACAGTCCTTCCACCTTGTCCTCGATCCCAATTTTCGACCTTGACCGTTTCGATCTGTCAACCGTTTTTCGTTTTGCTCGCCCTTTTTCAACTCCGCAAAGTCTGGATCTACGATCTGTGATCCACGTTTTTGTGCCGAGCAGCCGATGACCTTTGACTACTGTTTTCTTTTCCCTATTTCGGATATTCGTGCTCGTCTTTTCACGGGATACGACCGATTACTCAGTTTCGAAACGCTTTTTGATATGGTGGCTATTCTTATGTCTTGACCTTTTCGACGCTTCGCGATTCCGGTATCCCTGTCAACTCACCCGAATCGTGCGACTGGAAAAGGCAAGACTAAAGGAGAGATGCAAATGACGGCAATCTGGATACTTGAACACTACGTCTCCTTATCTCTCTGATTGCTGGTACTGGACTTCCTGGAGATCGCATGATCGCATGCGTGATTCCCATCACTGTTTCCCCCTTTTTTTGCCCATGACTTGTTTTACCCCCTTTTGCTTTTTCTTTTGTGTTTGCTGCATATCGACGCCGTATGGGGACGAGGGGACGACCGGCTTTTGCCGATCGGATTTTGAGGTTGTGGAGATCGTTCTTCGGGGATGGCTTTCTTTCGGGTCTTTGTTTCTAGGCTACTGGTTCTTGCCCTGCTCTTCTTGCATGAATCTGGCCTATGAATGGATGTTTTACCCGCTCGGAGAGAGCTGGTTCTCGACTGGTGATTGGCGACGGAAATGGCTAGGGTCGCTTCCGGGGTGGTATTGCGTCGATTTGCATGTTTTTTCTCTCATATTTGCTAGCCTATTGCTCTTCCCAACTGCATGTTTAACCCGTCTCTTGAATTTGTCTTTTCCCCTAGTCGCAGGTGTCTGTCGAGAGGCCTCGGGAGGGAGACACGACCGGATCTCTCTTAATTTTCACTATTATCCGGCAGTTCCCCCACCCAGACCCTGACGGACACACTGTCGATTTCAACATCTAATACGAATTCTTCGTCCCACCATTTTTAGTCCTAGTACTCTATATCATACTTTGTAGCCTTCCTAGTGTATGTCCTAGCCAGATTTATTTGGTGAGATCATCGAGTGCCATTGCCACACGTTCTGGCCCTTTGGGATGTTCGGGTCGATCTCCACTCTGTCAGATTACACATCAGATTATCCTGAACGGGAACGACTATAGGGGGATAATGTAGCCGTCTGGAAAAGAACGAACAGAGCGGGGTAGAGTAAATCCTATGTATCAACAAGAATAATAATGTAGAATAGGATGTTATTTTTAGCGCTGTAAGGGTCACCTCAATTTTGGTCTGGTCAGCAGTCACGGGAGATCGGTCAAAACCCTCCGTCAAAAAGAACTTTGGGGAACCGGCCCTCAAAGACGGTCAAGGAGTCTTCCGCCGAGTCATCCAGACCTCTCTCCTCTGTCTATCCAAACCTCACGACAATCTCAGTACTTCTGAGTCGCTGTTCAGCGCAATGGACTACTCCAACTACGCCCCTCATTCATCCCAGCCCTACTCAACGCTATACGGGCTGCCCACTCCCGACCAACAGCCACAGGCTCCCTCCGAAGATGCCCTCCACGACCCATTTGCCCTGGTACGGCCCTCTCTCCCTGATCTCCAATGGAAATTCTCGAAATCTCTCTAACGAACAATTTTAGAACGGCGCATATAACCAGTATTATCCGGGGTTCGACCCCTCTTTCCGCCTCGACCCCTCCTCGTCTTTCGGTCCGCCACCGCATTCGCCCCCGGACTCGTTCACGAAGCACTCCGTGTCGAGCAATGACGTGCACAATAGCACCAAGCTAGAGCCCACGTCAATTGACGGCGACGATGGTCAATACCGCGATCCGACCGGGCGGAGTAGCAGTGAGGAGAAGGACTCGGCGACACCAGCGCAAAGTAAGCGCAAGGCTCAAAATCGGGCAGCGTACGTGATTATCCGTCTCCCGTGATTATATACGGCTCTTTCTATCTGGCAATTGCTAGCAAAGATTGTCTTGTACTACTTGCAGTGAGGAAATGCTAATACGGGTACACATATAGCCAACGAGCGTTCCGCGAGCGAAAGGAGCGCCATGTCAAAGATCTCGAAGACAAAGTGACCAATCTCGAACAATCATCATCAACCCTGCAAGCCGACAACGAGCGTCTAAAGCGCGAACTCGCCAAATACGCAACCGAGAACGAGATTCTCCGCGCAACCTCACACTCCCTAAACGGGGGCAATGCCGGTGCAAAAGAACACCCTGCACCAACAGTCACAGGCCCAATGACATACTCCCCAACAGACTTCTACTCAACCTTGATGCCCGAAGCTGCCGGTCCCACGGGCCCAACTCCCCAGGGTCAACATCGTGTCACGGTTTGCGCAATTACCGGTGAAAGGCTCCTCGATGCTAGTGCTACTTGGGATCTTATTCAGAGCCATGAGCTGTTCAAGCGTGGACAGGTCAATATCGGTGATGTAGCTGAGCGGCTGAAGGGGATGGCTCAGTGTAATGGACAGGGTCCGGCTTTTAAGGAAGGTCAGATTTTGAAAGCTATTGAGGAGAGTGTGGATGATCGTGATGAGTTGATCTGATCCGATTAACAACCCTTTCATGGCTCTCCGATTTTGATGATTCAATGCTTCGTTATCTTATACCTTTTTCGTTTCGGTTGTCTATTCTTATTGGTTACTCCTTTGTCGTGGGAGTCAGTTATGATGGCCGTTTTGGAGTACTTTGGCGCTGGAGATGGGAATAGTGGAAGGGCAAATGGTTGGACCCTCAAATATATGGTCTATACCTGGACATATCTACTTTTCGGTTTATGTAGGAATGCTTGAATACGGTTGCCCGACTGTTCCTGAGTCTAAAATTGGATATTTCGCATATGTCAAGCTACTCGACATAAATATACACTTTTCTGGCTTTAAGGTTCTTGAGGATGGAGTAGACTGGTTCATAAACATCATGAAATTTACTATACGAGCAATCACTTGCATATATATGCTTCAGTATGCCTGGTCAATGTTCCTGTCAGGATCAACCGCGGAAGAACATAGTAACATCTCAGACACTAGCTGTGATGTCGTTCTGAAACAAGGTCCCAGAAAACAATCCACATCATTTCGTGTTTTTCGTTTTTGCCTCCTCCTTTTCCATTTCCAGTGGAATATCATATGCGCAAATCATAATATACACAGCTCGCTGAAATTAACAGAGAATTTTCAGTCGTAGTCATTCAATAGTGCGTTCATAATCAATCCCAGTCGTCATCATAATCTTCAACATTGAGCTCATCATCCTTGCCGCGGTCATCGTCCGAATCAGAGCGCTTCTTGAGACGAACATCACTCTCCTTCACCGCTCCGAGATCAACAAGCAGTCGCTCCAGGTCTTCAACCTTGGTCCGGGGACCATTAAGTTCTCGCAACGTAACGAGCTGTCTCTTAATTTCGGTATCCTTATACACAAGGATAGTCGGCGTGTTTCTCTCCGGGTATCCCTCAATGCACATATCGGCACGGATCTCGCAGAACTTGATATCGCCGAACTTGGCGGCCAATTGGCGCCAGAGCTCGGTCAGCACTCGGGATTCGACGTTGCCGCCCTGGGAAGTCAGGTTGACGAGGACGTAGGCATTGTTGGAAGCTTCGGTCACTTCGCGGGCGTAGTCGACTTTTTGGAGTGGGTAGACTTGGTTGAAGAGGCTGGTTTGTTGGAGGGTGGAGAGCTCGGCAAGGCGCTTTTGGCTGTTGGGTATAAGGTTTAGCTTTGGTTTCTCCTTTAAAGCATTGAGGTACTAGGCTCACCGGTATTGCTGGATGAAGTCTTCGTCTTCTTCATCCTCGAGCGCATCCAGCTCATCCAGATCTTTGTCCTCCAGTCGGTTCTCGTATGCTCTGCGCTCGGCTGCGATCAGGGCCTCCTGGATCAAGGGTTCGGGGTCTTTCGGTTTCTCTGGAATGATTCCATGTTGGCGAAGGATATCGTTCCTATACCATTTTGTGTATCAGCAAGAAGGTGCTTGTGATGTAGCTCCAAGTGAGCGGGGAAGCCAGAATATATATGTGCGCTACAACGAGCAGCCATGGACATACCACTCAGTATCTTCGTTGGGGTTGACTTCGACCTCCATTGTGTCTTAAAGGTAATCAATTCAAAAAATCCTCAACACTTGAATAGTGAAAGGGTGTTTAACGAGAGAGGGGAGACAAGGCAGCGCCGCAATGCATGATGCCACCTGTTTGCAGTGTTTGGTTCCAGGCGCCACAAGTGGCTGCCAAACACACGGAAGGCCACCTTCAACTTAACTCCATAAACAGTGCCGTAGAGCTCGAGGTCGAGATTCATCACCAACCTCTTCTCGAGTTCTTTCTACTCCTCGACTTTCTCTCCCTGTTTTTGTTTGGGGGTTTGACTATGCGAATGCAGTAGCTGCCTACACCGCCCTCCCCTGCTGCTACTGTGTCCTCCCTCCCTCTCCACCACCCCAATTACAACACCCCAACTCCGACGAACTTAAGGAGATCGCGAGCACAATCCGCTGGTGCAACCCCAGCACCTGGGCAAAATGAGTTACATGAAGAAAGACGAAGATGCGGATCAGGTCATGATCAAGCTTGACCGGACCTCCGTTTTCCAAGATGGTAGGTTGCCCGCAATGCCCCCCTGGCCATGCGGCTTATTCGCGCAACCGTCCATTGCACGCTACTAACAAGACAATTTGTTCAGCTCGACTATTCAATTCCTCCCCGATCTCCCCGCGGACATGCCGTACCCTCCTGACCAAGATTGCGGTCCTCATGTTCACCGGAGAGCAGTTTCCCACGAACGAAGCCACCACCCTCTTCTTCGGCATCTCGAAGCTGTTCCAGAATAAGGATCCCTCATTGCGACAGATGGTGTATCTCATCCTGAAGGAACTGGCCAATACCGCGGAAGATGTGATTATGTCGACTAGTATCATCATGAAGGACACTGCGGTCGGCAGCGACGTTCTTTACCGGGCGAATGCTATTCGTGCCCTGTGCCGCATCATTGATGCCTCGACGGTCCAGGGTATCGAGCGATTGATAAAGACTGCCATTGTCGACAAGACTCCCTCGGTTTCTTCCGCTGCTTTGGTCTCTTCTTACCACCTTTTCCCTATCGCGCGCGACGTGGTTCGGAGGTGGCAGAGCGAAACCCAGGAGGCGGCCTCATCATCAAAGCAATCCTCCGGTTTCTTGGGCTTCGCGTCTAGCTCCCAGTCTCACAATATCTCCCAGTCGAACTTCATGAATCAGTACCATGCAATTGGTCTCCTGTACCAGATGCGTTCGCATGACCGCATGGCCCTGGTCAAGATGGTGCAACAATACGGTGCTGCCGGTGTGGTGAAGAGCCCCGCCGCTTTGTTGCTGTTAGTTCGCTTGGCGGCCAAGTTGGCAGAGGAAGACCCTGGTCTCCGGAAACCCATGATGCAGATGCTGGATGGCTGGCTCCGTCACAAGCACGAAATGGTCAACTTTGAGGCTGCCAAGGCAATTTGCGATATGCGGGATGTCACCGATGCCGAGGCCTCGCAAGCAGTTCACGTCCTCCAGCTGTTCTTGTCCTCTCCCCGGTCCATCACCAAGTTCGCCGCTATTCGCATTCTCCACAACTTCGCTTCCTTCAAGCCCCATGTCGTTAACGTGTGCAACCCCGATATCGAGTCGCTCATCTCCAACTCCAACCGTTCTATTGCGACATTCGCTATCACTACGTTGCTGAAGACTGGAAACGAGGCTAGTGTCGACCGCCTGATGAAGCAGATCTCCGGTTTCATGGCCGATATCACCGACGAGTTCAAGATCACAATTGTCGAGGCTATTCGCACGTTGTGCCTGAAGTTCCCCAGCAAGCAGGCTGGTATGCTTACTTTCCTGAGCGGTATCTTGCGCGACGAGGGTGGTTACGAGTTCAAGCGCACAGTTGTTGAGAGCATGTTCGACCTGATCAAGTTCGTTCCCGAGAGCAAGGAGGATGCACTCGCCCACCTCTGTGAGTTCATTGAGGACTGCGAGTTTACCAAGCTCTCCGTCCGCGTCCTGCACCTGCTCGGTGTTGAGGGCCCCAAGACCTCGCACCCCACCAAGTACATCCGGTATATCTACAACCGTGTCGTTCTGGAGAACGCCATTGTCCGTGCTGCTGCCGTCACTGCCTTGGCCAAGTTTGGCGTTGGCCAGAAGGACCCCGAAGTCAAGTCTAGTGTCCAGGTTCTGCTCACTCGCTGCGTCGATGACACTGATGACGAGGTTCGCGATCGTGCTGCCCTGAACTTGCGTCTGATGAGCGCCGAGGATGAAACTGCCTCCGCATTCATCAAGAATGGTGAGTTTTAATCCAATGCATATATACGTACAGTGTTACTAACAATCCTAGACTCGATGTACTCCCTCTCCACTTTCGAGCACCAGCTCGTTATGTACGTTACCTCGAACGACAAGCAGACTTTTGCCGCTGCCTTCGATGTTTCGACTGTCCCCGTTGTCTCCCATGAGCAAGCATTGGCTGAGGAGCGCACCAAGAAGCTCACCACCGCCACACCTACCCTCAAGGCCCCCTCCGCCGGCCCTCCTAAGGGCAAGGCCAACGGTGTCGCCGAGGCTGCTACTGCTGCCGCTACCCAGAAGTACGCCGAGCAGCTCATGCAACACCCCGATATCAAGGAATACGGTGCTTTGCTCAAGTCCTCCGTGCCTGTTGAGCTTACTGAGAGCGAGACCGAGTACGTCGTTACTGCTGTCAAGCACGTTTTCAAGGAGAACATTGTTGTGCAATACGACATCAAGAACACCCTGCCCGATACTGTCCTCGAGAATGTCACTGTGATCGCTTCGCCATCAGAGGACGAGGTGCTGGAGGACGATTTCATTATCCCAGCCCCCAAACTTTCTCCAAACGAGCCCGGCGTTGTCTACGTCGCTTTCAAGAAACTGGGTGGCGAGCACAGCGTCCCTATTACCTCATTTACCAATATCCTCAAGTTCACCAGCAAAGAGATCGACCCTACGACTGGCGAGCCAGAAGAGAGTGGATATGATGACGAGTACCAGGTTGAGGATCTCGAGCTTAGCGGCAGCGACTACGTTATTCCCACTTTCGCTGGTAGCTTCGACCACGTGTGGGAGCAGACCGGTGCGAACGGCGAGGAAGAGAGCGAGACTCTGCAACTAAGCAACATGAAGGGCATTGCCGGTATGTTTTCCCATCCTTTTACTGCAAAAGCGGTACTTGATTCCAATACTAATGACTCTCAGATGCCACCGAGCAACTCATCTCAGCTCTGTCCCTTCAACCACTGGAGGGCACCGACGTCGCCCTCAACAACAGCACCCACACACTCAAGCTCTTCGGCAAGACTGTGTCCGGTGGCCGTGTTGCCTCTCTTATCAAGATGGCCTACTCAAGCAAGAGCGGCGTCACGACCAAGATCACTGTGCGGGCAGAAGAGGAGGGCGTTGCTGCTGCGGTGATTGCATCTGTCACTTAATGTCTTCTTTTAAACCTATTTCCCTTCCTGTTTTACCTTCCCCCCGCTTTTTATATCAAATTGTAGTAGACATGAGCATTTTACTTTTGGTCCTACTCTCCCGCACACAAGCCTTCCACTCTCCCCCACCCTGTCGATGTTTCACTGGTGCCTGCTGTTTCTTAAGCTTTCCAGGGCGATCTCCTTTTTTTCTGTTATTCTTTGCTGGTTGACGAGTCCCATGATGACTGCTACAAAACTTGGAGGACTTGGTCTGTCTGTTGTCGAGCCAGTTTCGTCTCTTTTACCCTTCTTTTTTGTTGTGTTTTAGGTGTGAAATAGATTCGATCGGTGTGGAAAAGCCAAGCACTATGGTCATATTCTCGATAATGCTGCTATCATCTTGAGATACTTGTAACTGGTAACATTAACATTTGGGTGATGGAACCTCTGAATACTTTGGCATGAGGACCCGGAATGGATGAGATATCTGTCTGTTCTGGCCACGAGATGATTTAGCTTGGTTATATTGCCAGCTAGACAATCAAAGGCAATTACCGTAGCCCCTTTGACAACAAATACCTTGCAACTGACTGTTAGTTAGATTTAGTTCAATAGCTTGGTTTTCACCGATGTACAGTTTCTGTTCCATGCCAGTCGAGTGAATGCCTGGAATTAGATATACCTAAGAATGTATTTTACCTTACTCCATCTCTTCTTGTTCGTATGAATCTTAGAATATTACTCATTGTGGGCCTGCAGACCTTCCCCTGATCACTGTAACCTTGTCGATATAGCCCGTGGGTTCACATTTTTATCTAGAACTATGGAAATTACCATCTCGTTGAACATTGATCCCCCATTGTTCTCGTTTGACACAGCATGAGTAGCTTATTTAAGCGTCCCTCCTTCCTCCTACAGATATTCTCCTCGACTTGTAAATAATATACCCAGTGAGGTTATGGTCATGATACCGGCCCGGATATTACTATTCTCTTAACGGATATCTAGGAGGCTGTTTATGTGTGGTATAATTAAGGCCGATTGCAGGTAGTAAACGATATTTCAAGACAGACCGCTTGACGACTCATCAGCTCTCAAGATATCGTCACGATCCAGTCTCTTTCCTTGATACCCTCTCGTCACCCATAACCACTACTCTTCCGCTGCTCACCTTACCTCCTTCTCAACCTTCTACAGATCTCCCCTTACCAACGAAAGAGATCTTACCCATCATGCTGTCTAAACCAGGCGCTTTCTGCCTGTAGATATTGTGGACCTCATAATACACTTCCTTATTGACGGACAGACCATTGATTCTGAGACTTTACGATCTACGTCTCTTCAACGAGATATTTACAATTTCTGCCTTCTATCACGCCTATGGTACTCGGTTGGGATAGCAATCCTGTATAGCAACCCACATATTTACAGAAACTCGCAATTTGGCCGACTCGTCAACACGGTCTGTCATGCCGGTGATGTGCCGAGCTTTGCATCCATGATCAAACAGCTTAACCTCAGCGGCTTGACTCTGCAAAGATCGGGTACCCAAATAGCAAATATTGTGCGGAAGTTGCCAACACTTGAATCCTTTACAGCGCCTGCCCCGTTGGGAGGCCCCATATGTCTGCAGGTACTGGAGCTCGACGATCCCCGTGTCGACGATGTTGACGAACAATTCCTAGACAGCTTCATGAGTGAACTGGAGTCCGGAGATCTCACTGGTCTCTAGAGTCTTGGTATTTCCAGATGCGCCTCGCACTGGGCGTAGGGACAAGAACAAAATATCGAAGTCCTTCTCGCTCTACATGTGCATGAAATCGGACGGAATGCTGCCCTAATCGACGATATCACGTACGTGGATGAATTTTACGAGCCAGGAGTCTACCCTACCAACTTGAGCGATGCCCAGAATACCTTTTGCGGTAACGATTCTGATAGGTATCTTGAAGAGTCTATAATTTGGTTTGGTAATGAAAAATAGCTCCAACATCAAGAACAATTTTTGGTGCATTTGAAAAGCTGGCTGAATCAACGCTGCAAGGGGGTATATGAATATGGAATTTGATACAAAACCACCACTCAGGAATCGGCTCGGATATACTAAACTATGGGATCATCATCGATGGTGTAAATTCCCAAGTCTTCGATAGCCAGCTTGTCAAGTTCGTCATCCGAGCTCTCCTCCACATGTTTCCAGATCTCGTTATCGATCTTCTTGTAGGCATCTTTGATGTACTTCAGGCAGGTTTCCCCAACCCCCAAAGCCCATATATTGCGGAGATTTTCATTTAAAGCCGTTTTAAGCTCTCTTGAAAAGTCGACACGAACTTGATTGTCAAAGTATGGATGCGTCAGCTCCAATACTCGGAGAGACAGTGGTGACAGGCCGTTGGGAATGGGAAGTATGCATAGCCATTCCGCAAAGTCCAAGGGCATTTTGAGATAAGTCAGATTCCGAAGGAGGTATAGAACGGTCGATTCCAAATCTAAACTTGAGAACATGTTTGTGTTCTCGTTGTCTAGAGTAAGACTTTCGAGCTTTTCAAGTAGCTGATCGTTGAAAAGTAAGCTCTCAAAATCTGGGATGTCCAAATTCTTGGTGCGTTTCAATATTAGTTGGCGGAGATTGGAGGGCCAGTCAAACGCATCCATGACGTGAGGATTAAGGGATCCTCCGATTGTCATGGAATAGAGCTTTGGTGGCCAAGCTCCTGCTGAGTGATTGGTGTGGGTGATCACCATGCTAGACGGCAATTGAAGAGTTTGAAGGTCTGGAAGATTGCTGACAGTCTTTTTTAGGCGTGAGAATTCGATTGCGCCACCTCGAGCTAGCGTCAAATCAAGATGCACCAGGTTTTGACACTTTGAGATTGATGCAAGGCTGTTGACACTTTTTAATGTGTGAGTCGAGGCCTTGAGACTAAGCATTCATAAGAATCACTTACCCAATTCCAGTTTGCGGAGCCACAAATACGGTCAAGCCTTTCTTGACACGACCCAGTAGCCGTGACGTTTGGCTGTTCGAACTCTGATGAACTAGAGAACCCAGATGCAAGACTTTGACTAGCGATCCGAGGTCGACTTTGCTTTTCTTGACACCAAGAGGCGGGCTCACAGTGTTGGTGAATTGGGCGAATTTGTTGCCTTTCCAGAGTTGAGGGCAGTCGTAGAGATAGGATATCCCAACCGAGTACCACTGGCGGGAGACCAGGCAAAAACTGTGGAAGCTCCTTTGCCTATCCATCAATATCATACCACCACGATCAAACATCTCATCATGCCAAAGCATTTCAGCAATGACAAGGAGGATCTCCGTAGGGAGATGAGCACTTTGCGTTGTCTGCATGATAGTCGGGTCCGAGGCTGGTTCACTTCATGTTGCTGCTGTGCTTGTACTTTCAAGGCGCGTTCTCTGGGAGATGGACGAGGAAAAAAAGAGAGAGAGATTCACAGTGAAATAATTGAAGTACCTTTGAAGTACGACATTGTCACTTTCTGATCTTGAATCTTTCCTCGAAGAGCAGGATAAGCGTGGGGTGGATTGTGGACGTTGAATCACGGCAAATCGGAGAAAGTGAGGAGGAAAGTGGGGCGGGCAGCGGAAGTGAGTCGGAGATGATATCACCTTCTACCATCGTGCCCCCTTTCAGACACTACCAACTCTTCCATTCTCCCGCGACGAGTCAGAATGCGATCAACTCCAGTGTGGCGATCACTGAGACTCCTACAGAGAGCACCCACCAGGTGCAACTCGAGTCGCAGAGCTATTCAGACTGCAAACAACCCCCGCATCCCGAACTTCGCTTTTGCTTTTGAGTGAGTGACGGCAATGTATGCTCACGCCCAGTCCCTTGAGTTCCATGTCTAACGCAGTACACTTAGTATTGATGGCGTCCTTCTCCGAGCATCGAAGCCAATTCCCGGCGCTGCCGAATCATTGAGACTCTTGAAAGAACAGGGCATTCCATTTATCCTCCTCACCAACGGCGGCGGTAAACACGAGACGGAACGCGTCGCAGAGATCAGCGAGAAGTTAAACGTACCACTGGACCCGACAGACATCGTCCAGAGTCACTCGCCTTTTGCAGAGCTCGTAAAAGGCGTGGACGAGGCGAGTGCGTTGGAACATAAATGTGTGTTGGTCGCGGGTGGTGATGGCGACCGTTGTCGGCGCGTTGCGGAACAGTATGTCGGACGCTATTCTAATCCACACAGGTTCATTATTTATTGATGTGTGTTCTTAGATACGGCTTCAAGAATGTCGTGACTCCAGCAGACATCTTCATGGCCAATCCATCCATTTGGCCCTTTTCGAAGAACTTCACAGACTATTACAAGACCTTCGCGAGGCCTCTTCCCAAGTCGCTGGACCCAAATGATCCGACGAAAGGCCTCAAGATTGACGCTATCTTTGTGTACAACGATCCTCGGGACTGGGCTCTTGACACTCAGGTGATTATGGATCTTTTGCTTTCCTCGAACGGAATCATGGGTACATTGTCGGAGAAGAACGGCCGGTCCGATCTTCCCAACCACGGTTATCAACAGGATGGACAACCACACCTCTACTTTTCCAATCCTGATCTTTGGTGGGCCGCTGCCTATCACCTGCCTCGTCTCGGCCAAGGAGGCTTCCGAGAGGCTCTTGAAGGTGTCTGGGCTGCGACGACAGGTGGCCCTAGCAAAGGTATTGAGCTGAAGAAGACTGTGATCGGCAAGCCTCACCAACCGACCTATGAGTTTGCCGAGCGACAGCTACTTCGGAACCGTGCGAAAGCTTTTGAGGGCGCAACAGACCTTCCGCCTTTGCGGCGAGTCTACATGGTTGGGGACAATCCCGAGTCAGATATTCGGGGTGCGAACTCCTACCGCAGTGAAGTTGGCAGCAGCTGGCAGTCGATCTTGGTGCGAACTGGTGTCTATAGTGGCGGCGAGCCCGCCTGGACTCCACGGGTCATTACGGACGATGTTCATAAGGCAGTGCAATGGGGATTGAAGGCTTCCAAGTGGACTTGATTCATAGATTATCGTGAGCCGCGCTTCCAGGTACGTATTCATGCGTCCCGTAGAGTCATGATATGCATACGACGCTGGTGCTGTGTATATAGGTGTTGTAGCCTGATCCGGGGCAGTCATTATTGTTGAAGCGAATTTATTAGCATTGTCAATCTACTTTGTACATTTCTGTTGTCCTGTATACTTCGATCCCGCCCGAGAACTCAGGCACCGATCTTAAGATAAGGCAGTGTCACATGACTTGTTCCCCCTCTTTAGGGCTTAGGGCAGATTTGCGGCGGGGTGACTCAAGACAAAGTTATCAAACGTCGAGCTTCCTATTCCAGACCTCAGCATTGAAGTAAGATACCTTCGCTCTAGTTGTTGGCTGAAACTCGTGTCTAATCATCTTCTCAATAGAATCATGGCGGACTCCGAATTGCCCACCCGTCCCAAGCCCGAGGAGACCAAAGAGGCCGCGCCCGCGCCTGCGGAAGCCGGCGACTCTAAGAACGCCAGCAAGAATGCGCTGAAGAAGGCGGCCAAGGAGAAGGCGAAGGCTGAGAAGGCTGCTGCCCGTGCAGCTCAGGAGAAGGCTCAAGCTGCCGCCGCCGAGGCCAATGATACCGCCAAGGGCCTCTACGGCCCGATCCCCGAGACCGAGGACGTCATCCCTACCACCCGTTTCAGCGAGCTCTCCGAGGAGTACTACGAGAAGGAGGTTACCGTGATTGCTCGTGTCGATAATGCTCGTGTGCAGAGTGCCAAGCTGGCCTTCCTCATGCTGCGCCAGCAGGGACAGAAGGTTCAGGCCGTCATTGCTGCCGCCGAGCCCATCTCCCGCCAGATGATCAAGTTCACCGGTGGATTGAACGTCAACTCTATTGTGCAGGTTACCGGTATCGTGAAGAAGCCTGAGATCCCTATCTCTTCCGCCTCCATCAGCCACCTTGAGCTTCACATTCGCAAGGTGTACATGATCTCCGAGGCCGCGCAGATGCTGCCCATGCAGGTCAAGGATGCCGAGCGTCCTCCCCCCACAGAGGCCGAGGAGGGACAGTCTCAAGTTGACGCCGAGGGTGCCCCTATCGTTACCCTCAAGACCCGTCTTGACAACCGTGTCCTGGATCTGCAGACGGAAACCAGCCAGGCTATCACCTGGATCTCTAGCGGTGTCGCTCAGTTGTTCTCCGAATACATGATCAAGAGCGGTTCTCGATGGATCTTCACCCCCAAGCTGGTTGGTGCCGCCACCGAGGGTGGTAGCAACGTTTTCGAGGTCAAGTACTTCAAGCGCAACGCTTACCTCGCCCAGAGCCCCCAGCTGTACAAGCAGATGTGTATTGCTGGTGACATGGAGAACGTCTTTGAGATTGCTCCCGTTTTCCGTGCGGAGGATAGCAACACCCACCGCCACTTGACTGAGGTATGGTTATCAAGCTAAAATACGAGATGAGAGGCCCGATCTAACCCAATTTATAGTTCGCCGGTCTCGATTTCGAAAAGACTTTCCAGAGCCACTACCACGAGGTTCTGGATTTCGCCGAGGACCTCCTGGTCTTCATCCTTACCCAACTTAAGGAGCGCTATGCTTCTCAGATCGCTATCATCCAAAAGTCATATCCCAGGGCGGGTGACTTCAAGCTCCCCAAGGATGGCAAGGCCCTGCGCCTGAACTACATGGACGGTGTTGCCCTTCTGAAGGAGGCTGGCGTCGACATGTCCGAGCAGGAGCGCTTTGAGAACGACTTCACCACCGCAATGGAGAAGCAGCTTGGCCAGATCATCCGCGACAAGTACGATACTGACTTCTACGTGCTTGACAAGTTCCCCATGGCGGTGCGTCCCTTCTACACCAAGGCCGACCCCAAGGACAGCCGTTTCTCCAACTCTTACGACTTCTTCATGCGTGGTGAGGAGATCATGTCCGGTGCTCAGCGTATCAACGACATCAAGGAGCTGGAGGCCTCTATGCGCGCCAAGGGCATGGACCCGACCCAGGAGGGCTTCGAGGACTACATGAACGCTTTCCGCCAGGGCTGTCCCCCTCACGCCGGTGGTGGTCTGGGTATGAACCGTATTGTGATGTTCTTCCTGGGCTTGCCTAACGTCCGTCTGGCCTCGCTGTTCCCTCGTGACCCGCAGCGCCTGCGGCCATGATCGGCTCATTGTGTAGATAGCTATAAAAAAAGAATACATTGATTGGATGGCCTTGAGGGCTTCATATTGCGTCCGCTTTATCAACCCCGAATACTTGCTTTGCGGCTCTCTGATGAAGATAGTTGCCTATGAGTTCACTCTCTTCGGACAGCTTGAAGAGAAGGGGATATTCATTGTTTTATAAATGCAATTAAATGCAGTACATGGAAGACATTGTCCATAACAATATTCCAAGGCCTCACGCCTTACTCCAGCTTCTTACTCATGACAGCACCGTACCAGACGGTCGCGATCAAGCTAACCAAGTTGACCAAGCTAGAGAGGCCATGGATGCGGCCAAACTTCTTGTTCAGGGCGACCATCTCCTTGGAGTGAGGTGGGGCATCATAGCTCTTCTTCCCATCCCGGGTTTCTATACAGAAATGTTAGTTCAAAGCTGTAAACTTAGATATCGAGTATCTTCAACTCGCCTTGATGCTTGCGCTCGCGCATAGTCTTCACCGTCAACGGACGTAGGACGAACAGGTTGATCAGCCCTGTGATTGCGACGGTGGCCATGGGTAGCAGGGTGTTATAGCGGTTCTCGGGGGCGATCAGGCCCGAGAGGCCGAGGGCTTGCCCACCCCTGCTAGCAGTCAGGGCGACAACTACCGGCAGGGCAGTCTGCATCGAGAAGTAGACTGGGAAGATGGCAGTTTGCAAGGTAGCAAACTGCGGCCGCGGCAGAGCGCGGAATGCGACAATACCGCCCACGAAGGACTATTCATAAGTCAGAAGGACTGCTTGTGAGATTCTGAATGATGGGGGTTTCTCAGTTTACCTGGAAGACCTGCGATCCCAGAAGGGTGCCGTAGCTAAGAGGATGTTAGGCGATGTTTTGATTTGGACCTTAGATTAGGAATGGGCCATTCCGTATAGCCCGGACTGTACATACCTCAGAATATGGTAAGGGCGAGGGTCAGTCATGATTGCGATATTATTGATGCTTGATGGTAGAAAGGTCCGTTTGATCCGAGTTGAGCGTGGGGAAGCTTGTGGCAAGAGGTGGTGTTGAGCTATCGATAGGCACGGCCTCGTGTGCCGTAAACCAGTTATGACCACTGCATATTTGTTTGGGAATAGCTTTATCCACGCACTTATCTTAAGACCACGCCAATCAAGTGATGTCATGTGCGCGCGTCTGGAGCTAAACCAAAAAGGAAATATCACGCGTCTGCCTACTTCGCGGCTCTTTGAAACCCCAACTTCTTGACTTCCCCCAATTTTCATTTATCAGGGTCCAAAAAAATTTCAGTCATGGCAGAAAAAGAGGCTACGGTCTACATTGTCGATGTCGGCAAGTCCATGGGGGAGCGTCGACATGGTCGTTCCGTCACGGACCTTGAGTGGGCCATGCAGTACGTTTGGGACAGAATCACGACTACGGTATGCAATTCGAGATTTCTTGATGCCTCAAGAACTGGAACTGAGAATCTTACTAGGTTGCAACTGGCCGTAAAACTGCTACGGTCGGAGTGGTCGCATTGCGGTCAGACGGTATGCAGTCTGCTCCAATTTCTAGGCCCGTCTAATTAATCGGGATTCTAGAAACCTCGAATGATCTTCAAGAGGATACCAGCTTCTCAAAAATCTCTGTGCTTCAAAATCTTGGGCAGTATGTTGTCGATTCTCGAAGTTCTTGAACTCCAGTACTAATGGCCTAGGGTACTGATGCCTGACATTCGACGGCTGCGAGACGCAATCAAGCCAAGCCAGACGAACAGAGGAGATGGTAGGTGTCCATTTACTTCGCTTGTTAACTGCATATAGACTGACATTATTTCAGCTATCTCATCCGTTATCATTGCCATCCAAATGATCAACACCTATACCAAGAAGCTCAAGTACAAGCGGAAGATTGTCCTGGTCACAAATGGCACCGGACCCATGAACAACGAGCAGCTTGAAGAGATCCAAAAGAAGATCGAAGACGACGGCATTGAACTTGTTGTCCTGTATGTTCTATCTGGAGCTTTAACCCTGCTATCGCCTCGCTAACTCGTTCTAGTGGGGCTGATTTCGATGATGCGGAGTTCGGCGTGAAGGAAGAGGATAAGGACATGCACAAGGTGGCTCTAAATCGATGAAATTCTACAATTTCTCGTGCTGATAATGATTGCTAGGCTGAAAATGAGACGCTACTACGTGTTTTTGCTGAAGGTTGTGGAGGTGTCTTCGGTACACTCGAGCAAGCCGTCTCCGAGTTGGAAGTTCCTCGCATCAAAGTCACCAAGAGCATGCCTTCCTTCAAGGGATTCCTCTCTCTCGGGGATTCATCCAAGTATGAAACCGCGCTACGCATTCCTGTTGAGCGTTACTTCCGTACCTACGTTGCGAAACCTCCTTCGGCAAGCTCTTTTGCCTTACGTTCCGGCGGGCAGGGCCAGGAAGAAGCTGAGGCCGGCGCGGGTCAATCAACAAGCGGTGGTGAAGCTCTGACTACTGTCCGGATGTCACGGACATATCAGATCAACGATGAGTCTGCGCCCGGTGGCAAAGTCGACGTTGAGCGCGATGATCTTGCAAAGGGATACGAGTATGGACGAACAGCTGTACACATCAGTCAAACGGATGAGAATATTACCACCTTAGAGACTTTTGCGGGCCTGGAAATCATTGGATTCGTTCATATGAGCAAGGTATGTTCAGCTTATTCCAATATGTGTTCGAGATGATACTAATATTGCTACGTAGTATGATCGATACCTACACATGGCCAATACCAATGTCATCATCCCACAGCGAGCCAATGATAAAGCATCCCTAGCATTATCATCTCTGATTCACGGCATCTATGAGCAAGATTCCTACGCTGTTGCCCGGCTGGTAGCCAAAGAGGCCAAACCTCCAACAATCGTGCTCCTCGCTCCATCGATTGAGGCGGATTACGAGTGTCTCATCGAAGTTACCCTTCCATTTGCCGAAGATGTCCGCTCATACAGATTCCCACCTTTGGATAAGGTCGTGACTGTCTCGGGGAAGATTGTCACTGAGCACCGCAATCTACCAAATGAGGACTTGCAACAGGCCATGAGTGACTATGTTGACAAAATGGAATTGGATGAAGAAGAGTACGTCGCCCTATCTTACGTCTATGTACTATCTCTAACCATTTTTTCCAGACTACCCATTGATGACTCTTACTCTCCACTCCTGCACCGCATTGAGTCTGCAGTGCGGTACCGCGCAGTGCATCCTAATGATCCCATTCTCGAACCATCGGAACAGCTTACCAAATTTGCGCACCCGGACAAGCAACTGGTCAGAAAAGCGAAAGGCTCTCTAGAAAACCTAATGTCTGCAGCAAATGTCAAGAAAGGTAAGTCTAGTCACCCGCAGACCTCATCAAAACCAACAACAGCCGCTAATTCAACTTCTTTCTTTAGTCCCACCCAAAACTAAAGGTCGTAAGCGCCTCCGCGAGACCGAGAAACCCCTTTCCGGCCTTGACATCGATGCCCTCCTCAAGCAAGAACCCAAACGCACCAAAATATCTGCCGAAAATGCTATCCCTGAGTTTAAGCAGATGCTCTCGCGCGCCGACAGCCTCGACATCATTCGTGAAGCTGTCAAGCAAATGGCCAGCATTATCGAGACGCAGATCAAGCACAGCCTCGGTGACGCCAATTATGATCGCGTCGTGGAGGGATTGGGAACTATGCGTGAGGAGTTGGTGGACTATGAAGAGCCGACGCTTTACAATGACTTTTTGACCTCGTTAAAGGGGAAGATCCTTGGTGAGGAGCTGGGTGGTGATCGGACAGAGCTGTGGTGGCTGGTCAGGAAGAGTAAGCTGGGGCTTATTGATCAGACTACCTCGGAGGTGTCCAAGGTCACTGAGGATGAGGCCAAAGAGGTAAGTTCAGAAGAAAGCGATGGGTATTGAGATCGACAGCTGACTTCGTGTGTAGTTTTTCTCCGCCACCTGAGATACTGGGTGTGATTCATAGCTTTCGACTTCAAACTTGCCGTATTTCTAGCTAGAACTATCATCAGATGAGAATGACCCATTTTACGACATGATTATGCTTAATAAAGTTGTAGACGATGCTCTTATCGGTGTATTGATTGTCAAAACAGTCCAAATGATCAAATGTTCTAATATTCGCCCATGCTGGGAATCAAAAAAGTATCCAAGAAAACGCCGAGATGGAACCAGTACAGTATGGCCCGCTGTATAGCATGCTCAGCAGAAAGAAAAATGAAGAAATGCAACTCCACGCCCACGATCTAGGAGATCTTGCCGATTCGCTTTTTGCCGACGTCAATCTTGGCGTTCAACCTATAACCTCGCAGTCAGTAAAAGCTCTCCAAGGAACCAAGGCATCCGGATTTAAGACGAACCGATCGGTATCCTCATCCGCCAACTTCAGCAGCTCATTCTGAATCTCCAATTCTTCATGAATAGCAGTTCCAAGCTCCCTCTGCCGTATAATAACCTTCATCAACTCCTCCACACTCTGATCCTGATCTCGAATCGTCTGCTGCTGCAACTGCAGCACACCTTCATTATCCAGCTCTCGTGTACGCTCAGTCTCTTTACCGAGAACCCGTCCAGATCTTGCAGGAGTCCGACGCCCCCCGTTGGGTGAATCCGCACCGCTAGCCTTGAGTAGCGCCTCTTTATCCTGGACCGAGGCCATGGCATGGTCGAGCCGGCTCTTTGCTGCCATGGCGTGTAACAAGTCTTCCAATCCATCCTTTTCCTTGCGTGCGTTGATGAGTAGGTCCTTGCGGCGGCGAAGCTCGCCGTCTCCCAGGCTGGACGATTTGGATGATTCTTGGGTCCCCCGACCACCGAGATTCTTCAAGCCTTCCTCCAAAGTGGTGATCATCGATGCTGCCCGGATAAGACTAGTCTTTGCTTGCGCAGAGCTTTCGTGTTGTTTTTGGGGGGTAGTCTCCTGGTCACGACGGGAGAGCTGGAGTCGCGCGTCGTGGAGATGGGATTTCATGTCACGGTAGTAATCAAGCCACAGCGTCGGGTCGGTAATCGCAGTGTTAGCCGCTGAACCGGGGTCTGTGATCGCGGCATGGAGTCGGGCAGATGTATTCGACGTTCCATTCGAGGTAGAGATCGCTGCGGCGGTCGGCAGGTTCAGGAAAGCTCGCCATGCGGACGAAGTGCGCCATCGACCATCGGGCGCTTCGTTGATCGCGCGGAGATATGCCTCCAGGCCGCGACGGCGGTCTTCACGGAAGCGTTCGTTGGAGACCGTGTTGGAGAACCATGATTTCGAGGGGAGAGGTACGGGTGGTTGGATATCGGTCTGGCTAATCAGATCGCTATGGAAAGCTGCAAAGTCGGAGTAGCGCTTGGATACGGTAAAGGAGCGGAGTGGGAGGCGGAGGGTGATATGGTAGAGAGTGTGTGGTGGGGAGGTATGCGAAAGGGTGGTTGTTGGGATAGAAATCTCGATGGTCGGCGCCATGGCTAGTCTGGCAGCAGTGGCATCGGTCGTGTGGTGGAATAATTGGAGAAGATAAGAGAAGATCAGTTGTTGGCGTTGAAGCTGAGCCCATGACGCAACAGTCCCGAAGTAGTCTAGCCCGAACTGTCAGGCACCCATCATCAGCTGAGATGAGCACGCTATACATTTCCTTTTTATGAAAGAAAGACCTTTATATAGTTCAATCGTCTCTTAATGGCACATCAAGAAGAAATTTGAATTGGACAGTTAACCGTCAGGGTATCTTCTAATTGTTTACATATCAGCCAAAGCTTCATCTCGTGTCCAGACCTCACGTGCATCAAGCAGATCTCGCTGTCCAAAGAACTCGCCCACAATTGTGATGATCATATCGAGTAGAACCCGTGCTTGTTGCACCGAGTCACAGAGCTCCGAGGGATATTGCTCATCGGTCGCTTCTAAATCGGTGTCACTCTGCAGCTTGGCCTGTAATCGTAACTTGGCGGCCTCCAGCGCCGCAGACATATCAACATCGGCCATTTCGGTGTCCTGTTCATCCACAGATACCCCCAGGGAGCCTTCCCCCTGCTCTTTTGCTTGGACGACCTCTTCTTGCGGCGGTTCCTCTGCATCCCCTGTATCTGAATCAGAGGCGTCGCTATCCTCGGCAGATCGCTTGAACTCCGTCTCCTGCATCCTATGCAGAATCTTCGCAGCGCGTTTACCGAGATCGCGTAGCTCTCCCACTTGATCCGTAGCCAACTCTCCGACTTCGCGGCATCTTCCCAATAGCCCCCATGCCCATGCGCCAACCCGTCGAACAAGATCCGAGTCCCCGCCCCGTACGTTCTCGCCCAATCCTCTAGCCAGGATGCTCAGCACCCTTAGCACGCTTTCCGAGTCCAAGCAGGCCAGTTGTACCATCTGTGGGTCAACTGTGAGTAACAGGCGCCGCCATTCTTTCCGTGCGGCTGTGTTTCGATCGGGGAGACTGATGGGATGGGCGTCATCCAGGGCAGCGATAGCCGTCGCTGGAGGTGTGCAGCGTAGGGTTGATCGGAGGAGGAGAAACCGGTGTCGAAGGAGATTGTAGTATGATCTTTGTGCATCGGGGAATCGTTCATCGGGGCCGGGGACTGGCTGCTTATCAGCATCGACGGGTGCGATGTAGGCTTCGTCTTCGAAGAACCCAGCTGGGAACTTGTGTAGCCCCGGCGCATCTACTTCTGTCCGTATGTTGGATTCGGGTTTTTCAACGTCTCTTATCGCGACCGGCGCAATGAAGAGTGAGGGTAAAGAATTGGCTTCAGATCTAGAGTGTCAAGCATGATAAAGGTCAGATCTGACAGCGCAACACGAGGAGTTGGGGAGAGGGGCTAGGGCGGCAAGCAGGGATATTTAGCAGATGATAGACATCGGCCAGAATAAGGGAGACTCACCGGACCATGCGCAGATACTCCATTCCATCGTCTGCGGACCCGTAGAAGAGCTCATCGCCGCCGTCGTCCAGCCCCGGGAATGCGCTTTTCTGCCCATAGATGGGGTTGTTGCGAGGCCGCTCCTGAGATGCTGCAGAGGAAGCGGTATCACTTGCATCTTCATTGGAGATGCGCAATCGTTTAGCAGATGGTTCAGACATGGATGCTTTGCGCTTGTCGGGCATCATCGGCGGCGTTGGAGGAGGAAAAGTCGGGGAGAGCTCGGGCCCGAGGCTCCGATCAACAAGATCGGCGATAAGAGGCTTATCAGTACATTCCATCTTGCGAAAGTCCGCCCGAAAAATAGTCACGGTAGAGGTAGGAATTGGGGGGAAATAATGAGGAGTTTAGGGTTCTCCATGGCTGGAAAACAATTTGGCCGTGTTTCAGCGTATTCTGGGGGTTCAACTGAGGTTGAACCCCCCAAGTCTGGAAGGAGCCCAATCCTCAGCCCCCTTAGAGTCCATTCGAATTAGAACAATTGAGATCAGAGACACATTTTATACAGTTAGAATGGAGTTCGAAATTAACTCAAATAATTAGCAGATGCTCGAAAGTCATTTGAACAGAAATAAGCTCTACGGGCATGTAAAGTTGAGGTGCAGCAGGTGGCTACATGCACCCCATGATACTGAGCATAGCTTCAAAGTAAGACTCAGCTTCATTATTGAGAAAAAAGGTCCAATAGATTTGAAGAGAGAAAGGTATTGATAATTAATTAGTGTGCTGTAGATTTTTACATTATTGTTTAAATGTACAAATTCTCTGATGTTGTTCCGAACTATAAAAGAATATATATTGACATTAATGTTGCCAAACAACCACCAAATTAATTGCAATTTTTTGCACTATTTAGAACATGATGCGGATGACAATAAAAACCTCACCACCCTATTGCATCACCAATTTTCACAAAATAGCGGGTGGAAGGGAATGGGAATACCTTCAGGACGCAGTTGCTGTGTAGTTGAGCTTGCCAGTGGAGTAAGTGGGACGAGCCCTGCAGGTGGCCCACTCCTCAGCTGTCAGGGCGGGAGGCCGCCCAATGAGGGCCCACTGAGGCGCCCGTTAGTCAGGCCGGATGATCTACCCGCTCTACATACTAAAAACAAGCATACTCGTTCGATTTGGAACGAGTAAATGGGAAAAAGAGTAACCAACGGGTGAGTGGCGTAGTGGTAAAGTGCCTTACCATTGCTGCATTAAAGCGAGTCCGCGTTCGATTCTTCCATAGGGGGCACTCCCTGGTCTCGAGGCCGTTTACGGCTGAAAACTCCTGCATTTCGCATATGGGTTTTATAGCCTGCTCCCCCGGATGGGGATATGAGGGTGAATTTTTTGGGGAAATTTGTTTAGAGTTGTGGAGTGAGTAGCTGGGCTATTCTATTTTTAGAATTGATAGTTTAAAAGAGGATTGACTCACTGCAAAGGGCAATTGTAGCTGTTTGAAGTTGAGGCTCTTGTCGTCGACGAGGTCCAGTCACCGGCAGCCGAAAAGACGTTTACGGGTACAGAAGCCCCCACAAGTGGGGGAAAAAGATTCTGAAGAATCCAGATTCTGCAGAAATATCAGATCTAATCTCATACTAATTTTCATCTCCCTTCAAGCCCTGTGGAGCTCATTGAAGGACAATCAAGGCAAAGGATTGAAAGAGTTTCTTGCATGCGACACACATTTAGAGCCATTACCACCCAACACACAGATCAAGAAAGATAAAAATCAGATATCAAGTAGTCAAGCCGATGTTACATCTACAGAAAGCTTTTTGAACTTTCAAACCGAGTTCTTGTTGTCTGGTGCGCCTATCCCCAAGTCGACTTGGGTATGATTTTGAGGTGGCAAAAAGTAAACAAACAACATTCACGTCAAAAGCAGCAACACCAGATGGGGGAAAATTATTCCAAGGTATGAGAGTGTTGTCTGGTGATACAGACTGTCTTTTTACAAAAATTCTAAGGATTTAAAGGCCATTGAAGCCTCCAATTGGGACAGCTTAAATGTTGACATAGATCGGGCTCCAAGCGCAGCTGAGAGAGGACTCACCGCAGCCTCAAATGAAATCGGAGGATTTAACAAAAATAAAATGAGGTATTCCAAGCCTTGAGCTTGCAAATGGCGTTATTAATGCTTCTTTAAATTGATTGTGGAGTGTAAGCATTGAATTGTGGTGCTGGCTTAGATTTCACATTCGATTGACGAGGTCGGAAAAATGAGCATTATAGGCCACCAAGGCCTCCACAGAAAAGGGTGGGTCTTCAAAGTAACAGATTATAAACAAACATCAATTCTATACAGATCAAGGCCCGTTTTAAACGATTTGAAGCAAATTCCGAATTTAGGCACGCTAACTGCGATGCCGACTTGGAGAGTTGGAATCGGCGTGTCTGCCGACGGGATAGACCCTGCCTATGCTGGACCAAATATCCACGAATATGATTGGAAATATAAATTTTCTGTATACATGCCCGAGATCTTTAGTGAGTAGAAAGAATCATATTTTTTGGGGGATTTTCTTCAATGGGAATACTCAATTGGCCTTCGTCGAAACGAGGGGTCTTCGAACGCGACCACCAAGGCCTGGAGTGGTGTTACCGCGAACGAGCGCCAACTTAAAGTCACTCGTACATAGAGCCAAAACTGTCAAGAATATTCAAGAGTGAAATGGAAGTCTCAAACCAAAGAGGAAAACTTCATTACCTCGATGTTGTGTCAACCACCTCAGCAACGTGCCTGACACCCCTGCAAGAAACCTAGCAGAGATCCCAATTTCCGAGTGAAACCCAGGTCCAGAAGTGCCAGATAGCATTCTTTATCTCGTAAAAGGCATTATTCTGGTCGGCACCCAGCAAACTTGATGTAACCGATCTAGAGTGGGAGCTGAAAAGTAACTTTGATCAGCGTTCATGTATCAAGAGGCGGTGGATAACAATTACTTAACCTTGGACCCCTGGGATAAGACTCCCCTATAAATTTCCCAAGTCAACCATCAAGGTAAATAGAATGTAAAAGCCTTGGAGATATTTCAACAATTGATTTCGAGGGATCCAGGCCAACGAACTAGGAAACCATCCTTGTTCATAGCAGACGATAGACGTCATATGTTGTGGTAATATAATTAGAAACTGTTCCTTTCACAAGGGGACGAGAGGAACTTGAGGCTGGGATGGTGGGCATCGGTCATGTTTCGAGAGTTGTTAGCCCTCCCCTACTCATTCTCCCGTGCTACAACCACCACGTCGCTATCTTCTCCTTTCAGCCCACAGGTTCAATCTGATAATGAGTTGAATCATTGTACGGCCATGTCAGACTTGACCTCGAAACATTGAAACTTTATTCCCTCACCAGGCCTTGCCTGCGCCAGGGAGCCAAGGGCCACCAATGGGCATGGCCAGCCTACTCACCGAGCTATTCAACCAACAGAGAGGCCATAGCAGCAGAGCTGTAGAAAGGGCATAGCGAGTCAGGATGCCAAATGAGATGCTTCCCACCTAAGGGACTCTACCAGCGAAGAATCATCATCATCTGGCCCATCTGATTGCGGAGAATGTGAAGTCGAATGTGGATATGGACTGATGGATCCTGCAGAGGTGGATCACCACGCGAATGGACGCCTGTTATGTTGAGGGTCACACTAGTCGACCTTTCGTGCATTCTGCATCGGCTTGCTTATAGTATCCATGAGAGACTCCGTGATTCTGGGCGGCTGCGCTAATAACTCGAGGCAAAGGGAATCAATAACAGAAGAGGTCATCGCTGGGGCATAAAAAGTTGCGATCCTCAATTACGTCACGGCTTCGATAAGAGAGTGTACTATGCCGCAATGGTACAAATGGCCATGGGTAGGTAGCAATCTGAGACATATTGTGGTTGCAACTGGCCCCCGCATGTTCTAGGTTTCTTTGTCCAGGGCAGCTGTGCCATTGGCTGAATAGCCGATAGCCGGTAAAGGTCCACTAGTGGGAGATGGATGTATGCCATAAAGAGCTACTATCTATTCAAGCTTTGACAGGCACTAGTGGCTTACGGGATTTTTCAACCCAACCTTAATTAGACTTCCCTGCACAGCAAACATGGTGGTACCTATGCGGCATCAGACTGGGGCTGCGAGCTGCCAATGATTGGTTTGAATATAGCTGGGTCTTTTCCTAAATGCAGTGTCTTCTGCACTCCTGACTTTTCCTTTGTAATCCATCCCCAAGACACATGCATGATCATGCCTGCCACAACATGCTCACTGTCATGTATGATTCTCGTGGGCGGCCGGTTTCACCATTTTCATCGCAATGCCTTGCATAGTTCTACTATGGTACATGTTATTGCCCTTGAGGCATTGGATTGCCAGAATTGTAGAACTATCACTAAGTAGAGATTGATCTCCGAATTGAGCTACTCGGATGTTTTTAATAGCATTATACAAGGTTCCCACTCATGGACCAAAATGTGGTATAAGCATGCTTCACTAAAACCTGAGATTAATGTTTGGCATGACAGATACATTGATCAGACATTGGTGACTTTAGTGGATTTCTCTAATCAGGTACCATCAAATGCATGAATGGAAAGTAGGCAGTGTTTAAAACTGTAAGGCACCGATCAGTCTGATACTGAGGCCTGACAACTGCCAACCTACAGACTAGATTGCCTCTGAACAGGGAGGCATCAACTGTTTACCTAAAGTCATGCCTATACTGATGCCTCCAAATCAACTCCAAAGCCTATTTCTGACCAAGGCTACACCAAGTTTGCCTGGACTCTGCAGGCAGCCTTCCCAAGTCAGCACCGACGGGCAATCGATGCATCTGATCAATGAAATCTTCACCATCTTGATTGTAGATCCAAGGCAGACAGCCCTGAGGCTGCCATCGTTGACTGATTCCTACCTCGCTGACTAGAGCCTACTGGACTGATGGAGGGGGACCAAAAGGTATATAAATCTCTCTAACAATTCGAATTCTGCCCTCTCCAAATCTCTCCATCGACCACCTCCTCCACCAACAATTTTCTCCATCAACAACCTCTCCTCCACCAACACCAACCACCAACCACCACTCACCACGATGCACTTCCTCATCCCCGTCATCGTTTTCGTCACCGCCAACATCTGGGGGCTGTACAGCAGCATCCCATTCACCAACATCGACCCTGCCCGTTCCATCTGGAACCGTGCCATCGGGGGAGTTCAACTGGCCAGCACCGTCTACACCCTGGACCAGCTCCCTCGCCTCCTCGACGAACAAGCCATCACACACCAGCTCATCCAAGGCTATCTAGGTGGCTGGAATGCCACCCTGGTGTCCGAAACGGAGTCAGCAATGACGCTCAGTGCTGGTCACCGACCATTGACTGCTCCGTTGACCGTTACTGACGGCTTGTTCCCTCCGCTCCCCTCGTCAACAGAGACGCCCTTCGACTTGCGCGAGACAGAGACAGAGACGTCCGCGCCCCAACCCACCCCCGTCGACGCATTCGCCCAGGTCCTGGTGACCGTGATCTTCGCCCTGGCCATCTGGATTGTGCTCAAGCAAAATGACCACACCAGACAGCTGACAAGCGCCCTCGAAGAGATCGGTAAGGTACAGAAGTACCAAGAAGCCGCCTGGAACGGGCTCGTTGAAAACCACGACACCCTCACATACTTGGTGTCGGTTGCCAACGACCTGCGAACTGCCCCGGTTTATAACCGGCCGGTTGAGGAAGTGGTGGATGCTGAAGGCAGCGCCACTTCCTCCGACGCAAGCTCTGCCGTCGTCATCCAGAGCTTGCAGGATGTGCTGGCCAGCCTCGATACGCTGCGCCAAACCATCTACCGGAGTACGGGCGTGTGGGAAGGGCTCTCTGAGCGGTTGGAGGTCTTCCAATCGGGTTCGCAAGACACCCAGCCAACTGAGACCAGCGGCGACGACCCGATTGGAGCCTCGTCGGGAGGGTTGGCCCAAGATGGGTGAACCAGATGTTGTGCGGTGTTCGATTTCGATGTTCGGTTCCTCGGTGGTTGGTGTTTTTTGCTGGTGGCTTTTCGCTGGTGTTTTTTCTTTCGTGTTCGGTGCGCGAGTTGAGATGAGGAGACTCGCCTGGAGCGAGCGGCTGGTCCGAGATTTCGCTTGTCGTTTTGCTTTTCGTTCTGTTCTTTTTGCTTTTCGTTTTGCTGGTTTTACTGGTTTTGCTCTTTTTGCTTGTCGTTTTTCGTTTCTTTTCGTTTCGCTTACGTTTTGTTCTGCTTCTTGTTTTGTTTTTCGCAGAGTGAGGAGTTTGGGGTTAGACAAATCATACCATCATTTCCTATCCCCAAAATGAACGAGAAGAGAGAACTGTAGTAAATTGGGTATCATAAGCTAAATGACCAAGAATCATGACGCTGGTTGCTCGTTAAGGTACTTCCGGCACGCTGCTTTGAGCATCTCGATCCGCCGTTGAGTATGAATAAAGACTTCCCGGTACATATCCAGACTCTGCTGTACTACCTCCTGCCGAGACTTAGACCCTGCACAAATCTCGAGCATTCGCAGTTCCATTTCTTTACGAAGGAAGGGCTTGCTGAGCGAGATGCTGTTGGGAAGGCCTGCTACCACATTATCATATCCCTCCACAAGTGCAACGCCTAACCTCGTGGGAATGAGCTCTTCAACTTTGCTTCTGCCGCTGCCACGGGGGTGCACCACGACGTATTCTCGTTCCTTGATTTTGGCGATATGTTCAGCCATTGTCGCATCGGTACCAATGCCATTGGCATCCATAAGACCGATAAGCTCGGGCTCGGTCAAGTAATTCGGCGCCGTTGTTTTACCCTCGGAGATATTTGCCTCGGTGGGTTCGAACATTTCTCCTCTCTCGAAATTGGGAAGTTGCTGGCTGCTTTCCCATTTGTCGTAGACATAGACATCGAGGTAGTTCCTCTCCAAAACGATCAGGCCACTGGCGTGGAAGAATTCCTCTCCGTATTGGATTTCAATATCAGTTCCTTGGCCTTTGGCGTCATCCGAGCAACAAGCTAGGAAACGCCGGACCACGAATTCGTAGACCTTTTTCTCGTTGGCGTTCAGTTGGCTAGGTGATACCCAGCAGACTGGATGAATGGGAGGGTGGGCCTTATCGTTGTTACGGCCAGATCGAGGGGTCCGAAATTTGCCATCAATAAGGCTGGGCCGCGGATCAGCAATGGTTACACGTATGTACTTCAGATTTAATGACTTACTCTTTGGCATATTGACCCCATTGATTATCCGGAAATTGTTTCTCGACAAGCTTCTTCAGATCAATGGCCTTGTCGAATTGGTCCGTCTCGGTACGGGGATAGCTGATGTATCCCTTCGTGTAAAGTGCCTCGGCGACCTTCATGATGGTTTGACTGTCTAGGCGAAGGAAACGACTGCCCATCATTTGAAGGTCCACCGTTGTCAAAGGAAGAGGTCGCCATTTACTCTTCGGTTTCTGGTTAACTTTCGTAACTCTCGCCTGCTTTGCCATGAGGCACCGTTCCAGCATCATTGTGACGGCTGCACGATCAAAGAGATGAACACGTTTCCAGAGGAAATTGACCTTTTTGCCTTCTCGCGAAAGCATGACCTTGATGCTCCAGAAAGTCTCGGCTTTGAAGTTCTGGACTCGGAGGTATCGATCGACCACGAATCCCAACGTGGGGAACTGACATGATCCTATAGAAACATTAGACACGTCCTTTTCGGGAAGTCCGAGCTCACGTACCGTAGCTGATGACCTTTTCCTTCAGGACGGCTGACACGGCCTGAAGCTGGAGAGTCTGCAAACGAGTAAAGGCAGCGCCGATTCGCAAATCAAGCTCAATCCGAGCGGCAACTGCATTTGCCTGGAACTCATCAAGTTCAACAGGCTCTCGAGCCGCTTGAAGAACATGGCTGGCAATTAGAAAGAAATACAGTTAGTGATCTGCTACACTATTGCTTGTTGAATGAGACCTACGCTCTTTCTGTGTTACTGAACCTGGCTCGCTTAACCTCGATTCGAGCATTGCCAGCTTTTGCCTGATTGCGAACCTCGGCCCCGATATGCTCGCCTTCACGATCACAATCAGTCCAGATGAACAGTGCTTTACTGTACTTAGCCTGATTCCGAATGTTGTCCGCAATAGGCTTTTTGTCCTGTTTTGAGTTAGTAAGGTACCAAAAAAGATGTACGGGAGTAAATACACACCTTATCAACATCTTCCTGAACTGGAGCTTCGAACAAAGCTCCGGGTGGACAGGACATCCAACCCTTGTACTGACGATCAAATTCCAGGCCAGTTAGATGACCGAGCACGCTAGTCATCGTGACTGAGCAGTTCCCCCAAGGAGCACCGAAATTAAAGTCAAACTCATAGTTCTTGACATATTGATTTCCTCTGATTGCGTGCTATGCCCTTGTTCAGCTAATATTTCTATGAGAGATGTCTCAGCCACTTACAGTCTGAAAAGAGCCGCCCGACATATGCGTGGCCACTGCCCTAGCGATTGCAGGTTTCTCTGCCACGCAGAGAATCTTGCGAGTCATGGTGATCCCACCGTACTGCGGTCAGACGGGGTCCCTGCGGCGAAGGGGAGATACTCTTCCCAAACGGGGAAATAGTGAAATACTTTGGGACGCGAGTTGATGCCTGAGGTACCAGGTCTGCCTGAGAATGACGCGCTATGTTGCCTGAGGCACACAGATCGTGAGCGCCTTACCCGATGAGGTAATACAAACATGTCCCCGGCAACTCGAATCAACTCTGGCCAGCACAACTCTGCAGCTCCCACTCCTTGCTCGCTTATATACCCCCGCTCTTTATCTTGAGGTTTGGGAATCATGGCATCCCTTCCACTCCCTCGTGTTGAGTCCTTGGTGGACTACACCTCCTTCAAGCTTACGGTTCTGCCCTACTTGGCCCAGCTGCAATGGCTCCCCGCAAGCTTGCGCGAAGCTGGCCGGAATGTTGATAGCTTGAAGGAAATTTACCTGGCCACCAACCCCATGGTCTCCGCACTCGCACTGTGCTCAGTCTTGGCCGGACTTTTCTTTTTAGCCGCGGAAATCAACCGCAATTTTTCGCAAGTGGATCGCTTTTGGAGCATCCTGCCCGCTGTTTATAATGTGCATTTCGCCGCTTGGGCGCGTTTGGCTGGTATCCGCACCCAGACTTTGGATACTATTGCTGTTATCAGCGTAATTTGGAGTGTAAGCTTGCTTTCTCCGGCCCGATACGATGGTCTAACTTACTAACCTGAGATTGCTGCGGATAGATTCGCTTGACCTTCAACTATTGGCGGAAGGGTGGCTACACAATTGGCTCGGAGGACTACCGCTGGGCGATTGTGCGGTCGAAGGTGAACAACACTTTCCTTTTCACCATCTTCAACTTCACTTTCATTGCCGCGACCCAATCACTCCTGCTCCTGCTCATCACGGCCCCAACCTATACTTTCGTGATCGCCGCATACAACCAGGGCACCGAAGCCTTCGGTCTTCCCGACCTCGCCTTCTCTCGCGGTGCGCTCTTCTTGATCATCATCGAGTACTTTGCCGATCAGCAGCAGTGGAACTTCCAGACCGCGAAGCATGAGTACCAGAAGACCGCGCGCATTCCTGAGCCCTACAAGGACCAGTACACCCCCGAGGACCTTGAGCGTGGCTTTGTGGTCAGCGGTCTCTGGTCATGGTCGCGCCACCCCAACTTCGTTGCCGAGCAGGCTGTGTGGCTTACCATGTACGCCTGGGCTGCCTACCGCACGGAGACCTACGTCTCATGGATTGGCCTTGGCGTCGTGGGCTACCTGCTCATCTTCCAGGGTAGCGTACGCTTGACTGAAGCGATTAGCGCGGAGAAGTACTCCGAGTACAGCGAGTACCAGGCTCGCGTGGGCAGATTCATCCCCCGTCTGTCCGTGGAGGCCAAGAAGTCCAAGCCCGCTAGAAAGAAGGCTGCTGCCAAGATCGAGGGAGCTGAGGCTACTGAGGAGATCGAGGCCAAGAAGAGCAAATAAGTTGAACATGGAGTACCATTTACGGGGTTGATCTTTCGAAGGAGTATTTAAGGGCTGGTTTTGGAAATTGTGGCATTTTGCGCAGTCTGCTATATAGGAGAGACGTGTTCATCTTCCTGTCATTTTGGTTTTGTCATATCGCAATTTAATTTTCAATCTTCCATGGCTATTGAAACTAAATCGAAGACCAAGATTTTCGGCAGTTATTCATAACCTGGTCAAACTCCCCTGGAACATGAATCCAACCATCAAGACTGTGCCTCCAGAAGCTCGTTCTGGGAATTCCTCCCCCGCGGTGCTATTCTCTGGGGCCTCCAAGATGCAATCTCCTAGAGATCATGTAACCAAGCAACTCGAAAAACCCTCCGGGCACCAGCTTCAAGCCTGAGTGTGAGATCGCGTATCGCCTACCCGGATACTTGAATCGTACTCCCACGCCTTCCATGTCTGTCCAAGGCGAAACCACGTTCTACGCCAATAGGAGACGAACGGGGCTGTGTAGGTCACAGATATCAAGCCGTATCTGCATAGACACGTTGCTGATTGAGCTGGTCCCATTGAACTCTTCATGTCCTATGCGCATAGGGGGTCCAAACATCGAGGGATGTTTCACAAGAGGCCATAAAAGGGGACTGAGTGAGGATGACTTGTATCTGCTTGGCCCAGAAGGGCTATTTCTGAGGACCAGTCAGCCTGTGCTCTAGTAGCTTTTCGCTTTTCGAGAGAAGGTGTGTAGCGTCAAGATTCACGGAAGTAGTCATGTCCCCTGCTGTGACGCATCATTCACCTAGAAATAGAGAATATTGGCCATCATTTGTGTTGCCGACTCGTCCCAAGTGAGCTACAATTACGATCAAACTCATATCGCGCTTGTAGATATAGAGACCTCTAAGTAGTCGATTATCCGTACAATGCAGAAGAGCTTAATCAAGAAGAGATGAGAAGTCACGAATCCATATAATACACACTCCACACTCAGAGTACATGAGCCTTCAAAACGAAGGTGGAGCAAAACACAAACAAGATGAGTAGAAAAAGATCTTCATATTTAATCGCGACAAGATCAGAAGGAGTTTTATGAGGTGACGAGTAGAAGAGGGGGGGGGGTTTAGAGAGGGGAGTAGACAAAACAGACGAAAGGGGAGAGAGGGGGGAAAGAAAAAAAGAGGTAAAATGCAGGTCCATAAGTACAGAAGAGAAAAAAAAAGTGGAATAAACCCAGAGACAAAAACACGGTGATATCACACACTCCCTGCTTTAAACAGCCAAAACAAATGCAGATCCAAATTGCGTAGACAAAAACAAACTCATCGATTTCTGGCCGTCTATGAGGGAGGAAGGGGAGTCTCGTCACGGCCATCCTTGCCGGTCGTCTCCTCTGGGTCTACCTTTGGCTCGGGAGGAGCAATGGTCTCTCCACCCTTGCCATCGAAGTACTTGGCGAACTCGGCGTTCTCGGGCCACTCGCGAGGACCGAGGAGACGGACCAGATCATCACGGCCGAGGACCTCCTTGGAGAGGAGCTCCTCAGCGACGATGCCGATCTCCTTCTTCCGGGAGCTGAGCAGGTCGTGGCACTGCTTGTAGGCCTCCTCGACGATGCGGCGCACCTCGGCGTCGATCGTACGGGCAGTATCCTCGGAGAAAGGCTTCTGGAACTGCTGGCCAGAGTCGTCCTCGTAGTGGATGTAGCCGAGTTTCTTGGACATACCGAACTTGGTAACCATGGCAGTGGCCATGCGGGTGACCTTGTTGAAGTCGTCGCTGGCACCGCTGGTCACGGTGTCGAAGTACAGCTCCTCACTGACGCGGCCACCCAGGGTCATGGCCATACGGTCCATGAGCTGGTTGACGTTCATCAGGTAGGTGTCACCACCAGCGGGGAGGTACTGGGCGTAACCCAGAGCACCCTGGCCACGGGGGATGATAGACACCTTGAGCAGCGGGTCGGCCCACCGGAAGTACCAGCCGCAGATAGCGTGGCCAGCCTCGTGGTAGGCGACGGTGCGCTTCTCCTCGGGCGAAAGAACGAGAGACTTCTTCTCCAGACCACCGATAACACGCTCAATGGCCTGCTCGAAGTGACGCATAACGACCTTGTCGGCATTTTCACGAGCAGCTATAGATACGTTAGCAAAATCTAAGGGAGAAGATCGGATGTATAAACTTACCAACAAGAGCGGCCTCGTTGACACAGTTGGCGATATCAGCACCAGCGAATCCAGGAGTCAGAGCAGCAAGGCGGCCCTCCAGGAATTCCATGTTCTCATCGGTAACGATCTTCTTCAGGTGAACACGGAAGATCTGCTTACGGCCATCCATGGTAGGACGGTCGATGGTGATGTGACGATCGAAACGACCGGGACGCATGAGAGCCTTGTCAAGGACATCAGGTCGGTTGGTACCGGCCAGAACGACAACCTGCTCAGAAGTGTTGAAACCGTCCATCTCCGTCAGGATCTGGTTGAGAGTACTCTCACGCTCGTCATTGCCACCGCCAAAGTTCGACTTGGAACGGGACTTGCCGATAGCGTCGATTTCATCGATGAAAATAATGCAGGGGGTGTTCTTGCGGGCGTTTGCGAACAGATCACGGACACGGGATGGACCGACACCGACGAACATCTCCACGAACTCGGAACCACTGACGCTGAAGAAGGGCACACCGGATTCACCGGCAGTGGCCTTGGCAAGCAGGGTCTTACCAGTACCGGGGGGACCAGAGAGAATAGCACCACGAGGGATCTTCGCACCAAGTCTTTGGAAGCGCTCGGGCTGCTGGAGGAAGCTGACAAATTCCATAATCTCAACCTTAGCCTCGTCCATACCGGCGACATCGGAAAATTTGATCTTAATATCGGTCTCGTGGTTGAAGCGCTTGGCACGGCTCTTGCCAATGCCAAAGATACCGCTCTGACCACCACCAGCACCACCACGACGAGAGAACCAGTAGATACCACCGATCAACAGCAGAGTCGGAGCGAAGGACAAAAGGGCACTGCCCCAAGGAACTTCGTCGACATAAGCGACCGGGATACGCTCGTGGTTGGGAATACCCAATTCATATTGAGCCTGCTCCAGCTTCCTCTCGAAGCTGTCAACAGATCCAATGCTGAAGTAGACGTGGGTCACCGGCTGCCCGGCAGAATCGGGATAAGCCTGGTTCACAACCTCGCGGTTAAGATCGACACGGACGCGGTGACCGTTGGCAACGGTCAACTTCTCCACGAGACCCTTGTCGAGGTAGTTCGAGCGGAACTCCTGCCAGGTGATCTCGCGGCCAGCGCTCTCGCCGGGGAAGAAGCTGCGGTAGACGTAGTATGTGACGAATGCGGTGACCAGGAAAGAGGCGGGATCGAATCGGAATTCAAACACTCGGGGAGTTCCCTGATCCTGTTTCTTCTTCTTCTGATCCTTGTTCTCCTGGTCCTTTTCCTTTCCGTCCTTCTCCTTGCTCTTCTGCTCGGACTCTTCCTGTCCCTCCTTCTCCTTCTCGGTGTTCTTCTTCACCTGATCATTCTCCCCGTCTTGCTTCTTCTGGAATTCCTCCACATCTTCCTTGGCCTGCTCGCTGGTATACTTGAATAACCAACGCATCATCCGAATGTGATCCATCAAAGACGCATTTGCGTGCTTCTCGATAAACTGCCTAACTTCGTCCGGCATGCCATTCTTCATCAAATGCTTCCGCAATGTATCAATCGCCTCATGCTGCGAGTCGGGCATGCGTGTCTTCAGGTGCTTGGTGAATGCATCCAATTTCGTCTGGTCCTCCGTACTCAGGACCGTCTCCAACTCTTCATCTTTGCGGCCCTTCTCCGGCTCGCTCCCCTTCGGCTGGGAGTTCCCGGAGTCGTTGTTCGGAGGTGTCGGGCCATTCGTAGCGTAGGTCCGGACGCGGGAGGATGTAATTAGGGAGGATAGTCGTGACGGGTGCGTTCGCAGAGAGGTTGTTCCAGCGCGGCCGAGGCACTCTGTGGCTCTCCTCGAGAATCGGGCAATATTGCCTGGCCGCCGGAGGAGGGAAGCCATGGTCGAGGGGAAGAGAAGCCCAAAGGGCTGACAGGGCGAGGAAAAGGGGTGATCAATCGGATTCGAGGGCGTTGGACAACTCCGCGCAATCCATAGAGGGAATTGAGGTTGCGGTGGGAAGCTCTCAAGCTGCGGCCAGTTTCGGCGCCGGGTTTTTCTGAATTCCGGCTCTCGCTGAGTCATCGGAATCGGAATCGGTTCGAAGGACATGGACTTAGTCGGGGTTAACATTCCGTTTTATAATCTTTTATTATATGATGAGAAGAGACGGGTATTTCAGTTTTTCTCCTATTTCATTGTCTTACGTCGCGTAATTTTGTATTTATTCCTTGCGATTAGGGGTATTGTTGGAGAGTGGGAATTTTGGATTATTCACTCCATAGCACCCATCGTTATACGATCCAGAGTAGAGGAGCTCTTCAATGTACATGAAAAGGGGGAGAAGAAGAGATGGGACAGTAAGAGAGGGGAGAAGCAACGCTCAATCCAACAGAAAACAACCCAGATAATGACCCAACCTATGTATCCGCAACCAAGCGCCATAACTCTAAATAGTGAACTATACAATAATCCATATGTTTTATCAGTCTCGTCTCCGAGTCAATCTTTCACTGTGGGGGCTGGCCATTGGCACCGGCCCCTTCAAAAACGGGGAAATTAGTCGACATGTCTGCCCAGTCCCATTCGATGGTCATCGGCATCTGCCAAAGATCTTGTGGAACGAACGGCTGCTGGAAAGGTCCCATGGGACTGGCAGACCTGAAGGCTTGGTCGGGGAATCCAACGCCGGTCAGCTGTTCAGGGCTCAGTATGTCTTGGAAATCTTGTCCTAAACCAGACATGGCATGAACGTTGCTCGCAAAGTCATTGGAGATACCGGATCCTGGGGGCATAGAAGGATCAGTGCCGAAGGCCTTCTGGTCCATGGGCGAAGACGCTCCAGCAGAGGGATTGGCGAACATTGATGGTGAGAAGGGGGTTTTATGGGGAACTTTTGCGGGCTTGGCCGAGGGAGACGTTTGGGGTTTTTGTTCATTTGACTCTTGCGCCGCAGAGTCATCTGGCGCGGCCTTTCGCTTTTTTCGAGCATGAGACTCTTTTTCAGCTTTATCGAGAACGACCTTGGCAATTCTCTCGAATTCACCACACAGCCCAAGCATGCGCTTGATGCTGCCATTTGATTCGTCAGAAACCAATGTGGAGAGGAAGTTGACCACCACATTCATCAATTTAACATCTGATCGAGCGCGAGCATCGTTCGGATTTTGTAAAATATTAGCAAATAGTGTGACAAGAGCGGACACTGGATAGTAAAGAATCAACCTGAAGAGTCATATTAGCATTTTCATGTAACAATGCATCGAGCAATGGTTCTTACCAGACGCAAGCGAAATCTCCCTGTGGAATATACTTGATAAGGTTGATCGAGGCCCGTGCAGCAGTGACACACAAGACAGCGGACAAGAAGACTCTGGGGTTCAATGGCCGGGCATTGAGACCTTGAATAGCGTAGTTGGAAAGGCGGCTGGTCCAATAACCGTGGTGCACGGACATGCGGTGGATGGTAGTCAAGCAGTTGTAGTAGGCGAAGTGAAGAACAACGACGTGGATGAGGAGGGGTCCATGCGTAGCTTGGATCTCGTATTCGGGGCGGTAGTCGATGGGAATATTGTCCTTCCAGTCCTCCAACTCCTTGTCTAACTCGCCAATGGTGTTGAGCAATTCGCCGTCGGACTGTTTAGAAGCCTTTGCAGAATATAGTTTCTTGTAAACTTTGCTCTCGATAGTCGCGAATTCGCAGAGAGATCTGAAGAGGTTGAATTTGCCAGTGCCGTCGGCGAGGGGTACATGTCCAACGTTATCTGGGGGATCTTCGCTTGGGAGTTCGACATTCATGTCATCATCGTCCTGGACCGGTGGTCTTCCGGAACGTAGACAAATGCTGTGTGGAACAGTCAGCAGAATATCCCGAGAGTAGGGGAGATAAAAGGGACGAACTCTTTGTCAAGGCAATAGGCAACCCAGAAGACTCGCTTCCGCTGTTCGACCTCCACCGGATTCAGACCAAAGCCAGACCCTCGCTTGTGCAAGCCAATGCTATGGGAGAGGCGGATAGCCGCGGCAACCAAGAAGAAAGCCGGCTGGGGGTTGGGAGTACCCTGTAGGAAGAGAGACTGCAAGCTTATGTTAGAGGTACTGGATTTCCGAGCTTTGAATCCAAGTACTTACCATTCCAAGCAATGCTTGAACACTGAGGAGATCAGTGTTGCGCATTGTCAATTCAGTCAAGACACCCATAGCATTTTTCAGATACAGCCATGCCTTCTTATCTTCTTCGTGTGGCACCAAGTTGCTCATCACGCGCAAGCGGTGGGCAATTGCCAAAACAACGTTGATACTTGCCCACCAACCCGAGCCCTCATACGGATCCCGGGAGTACTGTCGCTCCACCAGATGCATAAAGGTCGCTTCGTGGAAAAGTGGGAACATGCAGTTGAAGTTCTCAAAGAAGTCCTTGAATAGGGAGAGAGCCTCTTCTTTGGGAGGAAGCGGCTTGAATACGCGCCGCGCAAAGATGTCGCTGAAAATCTCCGGTTTCCAGTACATCCACTTATTGTCATCGACATATGCTGAGGCAATCATATCTTGGAAGGATGTGTCGCCCGTTTTTTCGTTGACCCATTGGATACCCTTGGGAGAAAATATAGAAAAACCGGACGAGGAGCCTGTAACAAAATGGTCAATAACTCGAGACTCTTCTCAACGCCAGAGATGATAACCCTACCGATGTACCGGGTCTCGCCGCAATTATTGGTCACCAGCGAGCACATCATATCTGACAATGCTTCGACCTCAGTTTCAGACTCTTTTTGTGAATCGGGGGACGTCGCGGCGGTATGCGGACTGGATTGGGAGTCCACGCGGGGTGTGGTACTGTGAGAGGTCGAGGATTGTTGCTGGGTTGCACTCGGGATGTTAAACTTGTTCGCATTTCTCGCCGCGTTGAGAGCATTCGTTCGATCGGCGAGTCGTTTTTCCAGCGTCCCTAAATCCGTCTTTCCATTATCGTCTTCGGAGAGGAGACCAGACAATCGGAGGAGAGATTCCATGCGACCCAGGCGGTTTTCCAAACCCTCGATGTATTTCGCCCTGCATTGTCCAGGTCAGATCGGAATCCAGTATACGAGCCCTACTGACAACAACATACCCTTTCGGAGGATTTCGTTTCTTCTCAACCTGGGTAAAGACACAGTCCGTCTTATAGTTGATACAGTGCGAGCACTTGGGCATCTTGCCGTCGCACTTGATCTTTTTCTTCCGGCACATATCGCACGCCTATAGTCAAAATCTCCAGTCAGCCAATGCTCATAACTCGATTGTCGGCCAGCAGCGCGCACTCTTGCAATCCTCCGTCGCTTTGCGTCGTTGGCGTCATCCCCCGCGGCCAATGCTGAATCATCGGCATACATCGACCCCACGAGACCAGCCATCTGGGAGCCATCCTGCGAGTAGCTCCCAAAGAGCTGCTGCTGCTGCTGTTGCTGCTGGTTCATCATCATATGGTTCATGTCGAAACCCAAGCCATCATCCCCGAGGCCGTCCATAGTGGTGGTCTTTTTTTTTAAGGTGGCGCGTGGAAACTCCGCGGAAGTGGAGCACGAGGAGGGAGGGCGGTGTTAAGTAAAAACTGCGGGGCTAACTATCATGCGAGTCGGAGAGGTGCTTTCCCCGAAGCTTTTTCACCCCCTGAAGTTGAAGATCAGAGAGTGCGGACACGGTGGATCGAGCAGTGGATGACACATTCAAGGTGGGATTGAATGGAGAGGAGGCGAGGAAGGAAGAAAAGCCAGATCGAGGCTTGAACCGTAGATCGGAGCCAGCGCTACGGGGGAGAAAGAGGAAGGGAGGGTGGGGGGGAAGGAGTATCGCGAGGATTCAATTTCCGCTGAGTCAACGCAATTGACATCAGCAGGGAAGAATGCTTTGGAGAACAACCTTAGCACAGATCTGATATGAAGAGGTCCAAATACGAAATACGGTGCTGCTGCCTTGGGAGCAAAAGTCTGGAGGAACGGAGGTGCTTAACCCCGATCCCGAGCCAAGACTTCCTCTCCAAGAACCTGCACGGCTGGAACGGGTCCTCCGACTATTTCGTCCGTCGGCGCCGAATCAAAGAACTCCGTCTTCCGTTTACCGTGAAGACTTTAATATAATGAGACTAGTATCGGATGAAGGTCGATCATCATAAGAGTACAGTACCCCTCCGATGATGCAGTGGTACAGAACTATGGCTTTAAACCTTGTGTTGCACTCTCCGTGACCGCGTGCTTCGTCTGCAACGAGCAGAGATCGGCAGTCTAATGAGTCTTTGGGTGCAACCAGGTAGTATCGGGTACAGCCGGGATTTACTGTTAGTAACTTAGTCCAGGTTCTTTCAATTACTGGATTAGGGGAAAGCTCGGGTTTGTATAACATGATCATAGTAGTACAATTCGATGAGTGGCGATCTCGGGAGGATATATATGACAAAGAAGAAGAGCGCATAAAGTACATGAAGATCGAGGAAAGTGTCGAGTGATTGAACGACTCGATATATCTCGATCTTGTAAATGACAAGCAAACAACGCCACGCTATGCACCCAAAGTACAGTATAACCAGTGTGGACCCTGGAGGATCCCCCAGGGTTCTTCAGTGGTCGTCGGAGAAAAGTACCGAGCAGAGATTTTGGCTTCTCGAACGATTCCAAGAGGTTATCTTCGAGAGCCATGCAATCCTAGTTCGATATCTCAAGTGTGTTTGTCGAGGAATTCTTTGGCCTCGTTGATCTTGGTGGCCAGGTACGGGCTACCACCACGATCGGGGTGGTTGAGCAGCATGAGCTGACGGTGCTTCTGGCGGACCTTGTCCTTGTTCAATTTGCGCTCACTGTAGAAAAACTCCGGGTTAGTATTGTTATGAATACGCCGAGGTTCGTTCCAGGTTGACATACGGGAGCTCAAGAATCAGGGAGGCTTCACGGCGGGTCATACGCGGTTCAAATCCTCTGTCATACTGTTAGCGATCATTACTATTTCATCATGTAAGATTTGACGAACCCCTTGTAGAAAGCCTTTCCAGCAGCGTTCACGCCGCCCTGAGACCGGCGGTAGGCGACCAGACCAGCACGACCCTGGAGAATAACAGTTAACTCAATCGTGCTAGCCCAAGTCAGAAATCCCATCACATACCAAAAAGGCAGCCACACCAACACCAAGACCGATAGCAAGAGTCGAAGCCATATCGTTAGATGGGGGAGAGAAATCGGGTGGCCAAAAAATCGGAGAGAATGCGGTTGATTGCCAGTCTGGAGGATTCGCGGGATAAAAGTCAGCGCGCGAGGCCCGATCGGGTTTAGCGCCGACCTCCTCCACGCCGACCATCTCTTCTCAAAAAAAAAGTTTGCGAGATAACAACGAAGGCCAGATCCATCCCACACCAGCAACCATGCGGTAAGCCCCTTCAACTCAACATCCATAATGACCCCCCGACTAACCTCTTCCTTTTATTCAATAGTGTGGAGACCTGTCACTTCTGTTCCCGCCCGGCCTTCCCCGGGAAGGGCATCACATTCGTCCGCAATGACGCCCGACAATTCCGTTTCTGCCGCTCCAAGTGCCACAAGAACTTCAAGATGAAGCGTCAGCCCCGCAAGCTGAAGTGGACCAAGAGTCACCGTGCCGCCCGAGGCAAGGAGATGATCGTGGACTCGTCGCTGGTTCTGTCCCAGTTCGCCAAGAAGCGCAACGTCCCCGTCAAGTACGACCGCAACCTGGTCGCCGCCACCGTCAACGCCATGCAGCGTGTCGAGGAGATTCGCCAGCGCCGCGAGCGTGTCTTCACCAAGCGCCGTCTGGCCGGCAAGTTGGCTCGCGACCGCCAGCGCGAGGCCGACCGCAAGGTCGTCGCCGAGGGCGAGCACCTTATCCGCAAGGAGCTGCGCGAGCGGGAGGAGGGCCGTCCCATGGTGGCCGAGCAGAGCAAGGTTGCCAACCGGGTTCACGGTGGAGATCTGTTCAAGCAGAAGAAGAAGGCCAAGGTGTTGGTCGATGGTGGTGTCGAGGAGGAGGCGATGGACATGGATTAAGGAATCCATATCCTCGGGCTTTGGATTTTTTTTTCTCTCTCTTTTTCTTTTACCCATTTTGTGGTTGGACCGCTACGATACGATTCCTGGAGTTGGGTTTGCATTATCATTGTGTTTCTCACGGTGTTTTTTTCTTCAAAAGCTATCGATATCATCTCACCTATAGAATGTGAGGACCAGTGAAAGTCACGCTGAAAATACCGCTTCTAATGAGTTTCTCATTTCTTTGGCCCGTAGTCTCGAGTGGAAATCACGGTACTCGGTTCACTCCAGCCATTCGATCAGGCATTCCTTCTAGAAGAATTTAAAACGAACCGTGACCTGAAGGCTCTGTAATCACAGAGCCTTATAAGTCATTGATAACGCCCTCACATAACCCGGCTTCACTAGACTAAATCGTGTATCATGCCTTCTAATATACAGAAAAAATGGTCTAATAAGAAAGCAACCTAAATCAATAACGATTTTAACCATGCTGCCTGCCCGAATCACGATCGAAGTAACCATCCGACTGATCGCCGTTCTGGAAATCATCCAACTCCTGAGGATGCCGAACGAAACCCTTTCCACCACGATTCGACTTGAACCGTGCCCAACCTAGAAGATCGATGATTGCAACGCTGACAATAACCACACCAATGGAGTATCCAACGAGCACCCCATTAGACGCGTACGACCAACTGAGGCCAATACCACTATTGACAATAGCGAGTAGAATCACGATGAACCCAAAGTAGCGGTGCACAAAACCAAACATAGACGCGGACTGCGTCTTCTTATACCGACGGTGGTGCCAGAAACCCATTCCCCACTGGGCAATGATGGCCAGCAGGATGACGATTCCGAGAATCTGATGCGTGGAGCCGTATGACTGGGACTTGGTGAACATGGTGCTGAGATAGAATCCGATCACCATGCCGATAAAGGCGATGCAGGATGAAATGGTCTGATTAACCCAGTGCCAGCGTACACTCTTGGGATAGACGCGAAGGAGGATTGCTCCAAATGGGAAGAGGAGGATCAGCGCGCCGCAGAGGCAGAGAGCGTGGATGATGCTGGGCCAGTTGCTGTCGTTCTGGATTTCTTCGCCTTCTGATGAGGAGCCTTGAGACGTGGTATATGATGTAGGCAGTCCGCCTGATCCACCAGTAGCATGAATCATATCGATGCCGAAGACCCCTAGAGCACAGAAGCAATGTTAGAACACGATGATCATTGTGGATAGCCGTCCGAGAAGTAATCCACATACCGTATTTCGAATGTCTCTCAATACTAGCAGTTTTGGAATCACTGCGCAGCATTCTAGCACTACCACCAGTCGGACCCAGTCCAAAGATCCATGGCTGAGACGTGGATTTTAGATCCAATGATCCAGACTTCCAGCTTGTACAGTTCGAGCATCGTCCATTCACCGTCATCGTATTATTGGCAATACCTGTGCCTTCGAGGAGTGTAACTGCAATCGATGAATCATACTCTGGTTCCTGTTCACCAGACGAAAGTCGAGGGCTGACGGTGACATCTAAATTAGAGATTTCATTTTAGTACACATAATTACCCTGTACAGTCACCAAGGAAAACACAAGGAAGACAAACTCTTTCCATTAGCATTAGAGTAGAGAATGATCATCAATGAATCCTTCATCTCCCTCCCCGTTCCAACCGCCAACCAGCTATAACTAGCCGGACCAGACAAATAGAAATACAAATCCGTAGAGTCATCTGGAATATTTAACGCAAAGGTGTAATTCGAATTCGACCCGAGCGGCAAGTTGTAAATACTGGCCGCATTAGAAGTAGACGCGGCATCAACGGAAGATGTGAAATAAGACAAGAGACCTGCACAGAAGCAACGAGATCAATATACGAGGACTTCAATGACAGGGATCGTAATCAAAATACCAATGCCAAGTTAGCCAAGAATCAGAAAGGGCATTAACTGACCTGCCAAAACGAAAGGCACGACTCCACTTGCCGAAGACCTGAAGGACACCATGCTGAATCGGCAGTCTGGTCAAAAGTATCGTACTAGAGCAAACAGAAAACAAATCCCAGTCCTCCAGACCCTACCCTCTCTTCAATTATCGAAGCCCCTGACTTTATTCATTTTGCCCACCCCACCACCGACCTAATTGGACGTTTGCATTCCTAACAAGCTCAAGGGAGGGTGACATCCTTCGGGCCGGTGATTGGTGGCCGAGGACCCTTTAACCTTAAACTCGCTCGTTTCGCTCGTTATAGAAACTCGACACTTTCCTTCTTTCTTCCACTCCTGCATTATCGAGATAGAAAAAATACATGGCTACCTAGCACTGCCTCCTCTGATTAGTAGACGCCGATACTGCTATATGCTTAACATGATTCATGTGTGATGACGACTACTGATAAGCCTTTATCAAGTTAGCCTTTAATTTGCTTGATTTTGAACGGGCACAGTACAGAGGGGATTGACTTATCTTCGAGGGAGTAGAAAATTAGCGCTATTTTATACCCCCTCTGAGCTACATAGTAAAAGTCTAGAGGGGGTAGAAAAGCCCTTTTACATAAGAAGAATTCTGGGCTAAGAAAAGATTTTAGCTAACCTCGTTGAAATATCCTCAAAATCTACTCAAACGGATATATATCGCTTTGTTTATACATATAAGCAATGCGCAATACCTGAGCAGATTTAACCGATTTCTTCTTTCTGTGATGCTTATATAGAGGAAATAATAAAAGGTATTAAAACAGGCAGGCCTTTCTCTATCCTCAGTAAGAGTAATTCACCCTCGATACTGGATTGTAAGAAGGATATCTATAAATCGAATAAAAAACCAGGTAAGAACAGTAAATGGATAATGCATTCATTAATTTCTACCTCTCTGAGCTACTACCAGTTTATAAGGGGTCGAAAGTTGATGGAAAATGAAAATGATTTCTACGTAGTTCCCCCCTATGAACTGGAAAATCTCGAAGGATCTTGAACTAGTTGCCTGCGTAATTACTTATTTTGCTGGTTCTATTGTATCTGCCTGATGCTATAAATACTATAGTATGAGAATACCTCTGGCATTAAACATCAAATACAACGACTTGTGAGGTCCGAGTCTGGTCCAAAGAGGCACGAATTCTTGCCCCGTTTTGGTTGTGGAATCGCCCGGGTGGCGCAGAATCCGGGCTTTGTCCACTGACTGGCCACCCCCAACTCCTAGGTTTAGATCTTACCTTGGGGTTCTTTCGGCCGCGTAATAAAGGCTAAAGATCGGGTAGATCGGGCGATTCGCCGTGATTCATCGGTCTGATTGTAAAGTACTTTAAGGGATCAAGTCCCTTTGTTTCTCGCTTTCCCCTCTTCTACACAAATACAAAAACAGGTTTCACCCACGACCAAATATCAATTGACATCTAGACATGTGCGATCAGGCTACGCAGCGTTTATGTCTCACGATACATAACAGCCTTCACGAAGGCGTTATCACTTTCAAGAATTTGATAAGTATCAGGTACACTCATCCCCCGATAATGACAATCGTACTTTTGTCTAACGATGACTACTAGCGGCCAACCATATGAAAAAGGCAAAAGCCTACGCCTTCTATCCACGGAAGACGTAGAAAACATCAGAATTCAACCTGGCGAAAGCAAATTGATAGGCTTCTGCGGAAGCGCGACATTGGCGCTCGGAATCGAGGGCATGCTTGATCTACACTCTAGTGATGAGAACCGGATTACCTCGCTCTATTGGAACGGGCCCGAGGATCGAGTTGATAATCAATTCCACGTCTCGAGTACGGATCATGAGCATTTCACTGTGACTGCTTCGGTTCCTCCGGAGGAAGGTGTTCTCGGAGATATCTCGGTCGATGTGAGAAGCATCTCGGAGAGTTAGGCGCACGTGGTGGCTTTTTTGTACGGCCTTTTTTCTTTTTACAATGCTTTGCTTGAAGAGGGTGCTTGCGTGGCCATGCATTAGGATGGCGTTTTCTTGCTGATCACATGATGATACATTGTAGGGAGTTGGGGAGTGGGCATAACTGGATTTGTGCTTTGCGATTTGCGATAATCCTAATAGTGTAATATCATTATTTATTCCTTGGTATTGAGATACCTAGACACGTTTATCCTTGTATTCTCGCTCTAAAGACCACGACTACCATAATCCTACAAAACCCCAAGAGGAACATCATCAGCCTGATGACAGGTAAAACTGAAACCCTGCTGACAGCCCGGAGATAAGTCAAACCTAACAACGCACAAAAGGTTTCATGACGCTCTCACAATCTCCATCACAGATCCCTCGATCTTGAAAGCACAGAACTAAATTTCTACCCCTTCCTAGTCAGGGATCGGACGATCGATATACTCCCAACACCTTAATCTCTAGCGCGATCCTAGCCCGGGACTTGGACGCAACTACTCGATAGATGATTGGTTTAGCGACTCACCCTGTGAAGATCACCCTTAGCAGATCAAAATTCTACTCCAGTGACGTACGAATAGTAATTAGACAAGATCAAGGGATCGAGAGTTTAAATTTGTCAGGTTGTGCACACGACCAAGTAAACTTGGTACTAGGTAGGAGTACGTGTCTATGGGGTTGATCTTCCCATGAGTAGGGATGACAGGGCCAGTCAAGACCCTGAATCAGAAGATACAAGCCTGCCTTTGCCATAGCTATAGAATAGCTCATGATTCTCTCGATGTTAACTCCCTCGAAGAACCCTAAACACCCAACAGCCCCGCGATTCAGGCCTAGAACATCGATGCCCAACTTCCGACACCTTCGCTTCCACCCCGCATTCCACACACCATTCTCCAGCAAATAAACTCAATAGGCCAAGCAACCAGACAAAAAAGGAAATCCAGACAGCCTTGGTACCAAGTCACCGGATTGACCAGACACCGCCAACACACGAACAAAGAAAGCTCGGATACTGCGTGCCGAAATTCAAGAGCTACCTGGCTGGAAATCCAATGGCCTGATAGCTGATGCCGGTCAGATGAATTGAATTTCAGCACGTATCATGAAACAGCTGCAAGGCTGGACCTTTCCTTTGTGCGTTGTCTGGACCCGATTGGTCCCTGGTTCGCTGTTTGGCGGGTCCTTGCTTCGCCGGGGAAGGAATTTAGTATTACTAGTTCTTATCATGGGGGTGATACACTCAATAGCGAATAGTACATGATGGAAATTACAACTAGGTAGAAGAATTGTTGTTTCATGAGTTATATTCATTGCGAACCCCGCCCGAGGGTTTCATTGAGTACATATGGGAGGGAGAGAAGAGAGAGTGCGTGCAGGATATGTAGTCGAGGAGGAGAGTAAGGGAAAGGACGGAGAGGAAGAGAGAGGACGAGATCACGCGTGGCATGTGAGTATTGGTTTCAATGCAGTGGACAAAAAAAGAAAACACGAGGTGTATATGTGCGAGCTGGAGAATGACGAGCGGAAAGGCCCAGGAAGAGGAGACGACAAAAAAGGAATAAAGGCAACATGACAAGCTCGTAGGTATTGTGTGGTTTGGGGATATTGATGATGATGAATATGCGCCGGCCATTGCAAAGAAAGGCCATTTATGAGGTTTCCAGAAAAAAGGAGGCAAAAGAACAATCGAATAACAGAAGCAGAGGCAAAAAAACTTTAAAGAGAGACGGACAGAAAAACAATCGGGCCAAAGAGACATGATACATGGGACTCCCATCGTTCAAAAAGGGTTCCCGAAATCTTAGACATGCTGTGTGCGAAGAAGAGACCAACTCTGTCCTGTTCCCCGAGACGAACGGCTTATCCCATCACGGATGGGAGTCACCGACCGATCGAGGACCCAGAGTAGTATTCCTTCATTATGAAAAAGTGCATGTCAAAAACATGTAAACAAGAAGAATTTCTCATGTGAACAAAAAAAAACGCTCAAGCTCGTACATTTCGTCGTGAAAAAGGGTTCGTCGCTCGGCACAATTAAGGGCCACGGCGGCGGCCCGCTGTCTGGCTCGAAGCAGATAAAAATGGAGAGTAGATAGCGCTCTACTCCTCCATACGACCAAAGACACCGTCGTCATCGTCATCTGCAGGGGCTCGGCGGCTGCCAAAGTCTACATCTGCGTTGCGCCGTTGACGGGACTCCTGAGCGGTAGTCTCGCCACTGCCGTGTCGTGCACCACGCTCGTCCGACACCTTGTAAGAAAGCGATGGGTTGAGAGAGGCGGAAAGGAAGGCATCGGCATTGGAGTTGCGACGATAGGCCTCGTTCATCGGACCGGGGCCGGAGTGTCCAAGGCCAGGGCTGAGGTTGCCAGGGTGGCTGCCCGAATCGAGATAACGAGCTGGCAAGGGAGGAACGGGAGGCACATCCGGAGTCATGGCCACGGGTCCCGTGCGGGGAGTGCCGAAGTTGCACAAGCCGATTGCGGCAGCCAGATCCGCCTCGTCATCCTCGTGAAGTCGAGTGTCTGCCGTGGAAGGACGGGTGTCGATGCTCGACTTGCGGAAGTGGGAGAAGGCAGGGGAGTGCAGTGGGGCGCTGCCGTTGTACGAGCTGGAGGGGATCGACTGGTAGGAGCGAGAGAAGGCGTTGCTGATGCTAGGGCGCTTGGTCCAGTTGGCGGGCATGCCGGACATCTCAAAGTCGTCGTCTTCCTCCTCGTCCATCGGGGGTGGCGTAGTCTCGGCGGAGCTGATGCCATCACGCACGACCGAAGAGGCATCCGGGGAGGCGGAGGAGAGTTCCGACTCTGCATCGGGGGACTGCTCGGGGGTGTCGTCGTCCATGTTCATGTTGACCAGCACCGTAGCAGCCTCAAGCAGTTGCACCTGCTGGTGCTTGGAGATGAGGAGTTTCGAGGTAATCGACCATGCCGGGTCATGTTCCCACCTAATTTGCCACGAGAAAATTACACGTCAACCGGATGCCACCAGCGAAATTAAGGGAGGATAAACGGGTGAAGCAGTAGTGGGGGAAGAGTCAGGGAATAATGACGGGAGGGGAGTTGTATGACCACGAGGGCGACCTGCACAGAGCCGACGTGGCGCATGCTCCCGATCGAACGAGAAGAAGACGGCCGGGCGACATGGGGAATACACACATATGCTTGGACAAGCAGCTGCCATGCTTATATCCTTTCCCGCAACGGTCGCAGCGGAGGTCTGCCGGGGCACGCTTCCCATCGGTCTTCATGTGGGCACCTTCACTAGCCCGGCGGTTGCGACCCTTAGGAATAGACTTGCCATCCTCGTCGGAGTTGCTGGGAGAGGGCTTGCGAGCGACTGGGGGTTCCTGGCTGGGACTGTTCATGCTTCGAGAGAGATACGAACTAAACCCAGAGGCACCGCCGACCGAAGTGGATTCCAGTCCCTTGCGAGCCCCCAGGCTCCGACGATGCGCGGCACCCATAGGGAGGGAGGCGGCCTCTCCACCTTCCTTCATCGAAGCGGCGACTGCGGCCGCGGCATTGGCTGCGGCGGTGGTCACACTCTTGCGGCGAGTTATACGGTGGTTGGCATTGACGGCTCCCAGCGATATAGAGTGAGCATGTTGTCGCGGGGTGGTGTTGGGGAGAGGACGCGAGAGAGACAATTCCTAAAAGCGGGCGCGGGCCACATCGTCAGTACTAATGTTTAGGAACGGCGACCGAACGTCGGAGGAGGGGGAGGGAGAGAAGGACGACTCAGGGCCAAAGCCAAGAAATTGGGAGTCGGCATTGATGTCACTTACCTTGAACGAAGCCATGGTGAAGGACTTTCTGGCACGATTTTTCGAAAGCCCTTAGAGTAACGAGACACACTCAATTCCGGGTGGAAGCTGGTGGAAGTATACGGAGGATCGGAGGGTTCGGGCGGCTAGTTGGCGGGATACCGAGCGAATCGAGCGTATGGAAGTGTTGGGAGGAGAGAGAGGAAGAGGAGGGAGAGAGCGGGAGGAACGAAAGCAAGAAGTGAAGAATAAAGGGACTAGAGAAGGAGGAGGAGGAGGAGAAAAAAAAAGTTTAGGAACCAAAAAAAAGCAGGGGAGGAGGAGAAAGAGGAGAAAGAAGGAGGAGCTGGGTACAGAGTACAAGCCATCCGGTATGGTGGTGGCCCACCAGAAATCGCTCATTGTCTTTGCGGGGGCTTTTCCCTTTGAGCATGCGGGGGGGGGATCTCCGTAATCATGGGTATTCTTAGTATTCTTTTTTATTTTTTGTAGTACGAAAGAAATGCTAGAATTTGTTTCTATAACTATGCCCTTGAAATTCAAAGTGATTCTTTTTGATAACGTTAGGGAGTCACTACGAAATGTCTTCTCGTCGCCGTCGGGGGCTATTTGTGTGTGTGTGCGTCTCGCAAGGCCAGAGGCTGGATGATGCGATAACCATGGCTCCACTTCGCTTCTGGTATTCCGGGACAGTCAAGAACTGGGAAACCTGGTGAGTTTAACCCCCCTCTCTTGGAACTGACATCGTCGGACTGAAATATAGGGTCGCCCCCCATGCATCGAAGGGGATTCGAAGCCCCAAAGAAGGGTGATGGCCTTAGGAGTGATGGGGATGCTTCGCACTCCAATCCTCGGACATGGCGTTTCTGCGCAGGGCAGAGTTTCAGGGTCTCCCGGATATTGAAACGTTGGCCAGGCACCAATGGATCTGGGAAAGAAGGCATGCGACTGCTGCATCGGTCAATGATTTCTTGTCTTCAATTGTCAGTGACCTTTAAACTGTAAAGTTTGGGAAGGACAGATATTCTCGGAGAAGTGTTGACTCGGAACGTCTGTTGCCTGACGATCACCCGCCAGGATCACAAGGGGAGTTTGTATATTCTGGGTAATCGGTAAATCAGGTCTAGAAGTTAAGTCTGTCAGTTGTTCTCTCCTAATGCCGAGGGGGGAAATAGTTTCCTAACCAGGGAGAACGCAGCAGGCCGCTCAGGTACCCTCTTAGAGGGAGGGGGGCAAAAGTAGCCACCAGTCGTGCACCACCGGCGATATCCTGTAAGAAAAAGAGGTGCTCGTGTCCCGATCACCTGCATGGGATTCGACCGGTCTTAGACCTCGCCCCGGTGGATCCAGTGATGTCATGGGCCAACCGGCCAACAACCGGGCAGACGTCCCATTTGAGGATCCAATAGAACATCCAGTGGGCATTCAGTGTGAAAAGTGGAGTCGGAAGTGGAAGGCGATAGGAGAAGTCACGGGATCAGGTGACTCACGCTCTGACCGGGGTTCCACGTCACGTTACTTCCGTTGGTACTCCGAGAATCGTTACTGTATAGACTATAGATTAATAAAGCACTTGCCACCGTGAATAGTTAACTAAACAAATTCTCTAGATTAAACCAGTGTAGGCACCAATTTCACCTCAACCAAATTCCTGCTTATCCAACCTGTCCTTAAATAATCCCCTAGCTCGGAGCACCTAGTCTGACGATCAGATCTCCTCTGGTCGCGCCAGCCCGCGCGCTAACGCTAGTCGGAGAGGATCATTACTCCGCGTAGTCTAAGCCCCCTCAGGTGCTCCTGGACCTGCTCTTGGACCGACGTTCCAGTCCACGTTCCAGCGCTACCGGCAGTACCTACGGAGGAAATAGCTAGCTTGAAGCACCCAGGTACCACCACGCCCTGGAGGAGTGACCTGTACTCCGTTCTGTGTACTCCGTCCCTTGTACGGAGGTAAAACATTACCCTAAAGCATTACTCCAAGGTACTACCGGCCTTAGTCATATGGGGCCATGTCCTGAGATAAGCAATCACAAGGCCGTAGGTAATGGTAACGATAATGCCTAACGATCATCCATATCTCTCCCAAGAAACAAGTCAGCCTGGCACATTCCGCGGTGCCTATCTCCGGTACAATGGTCAACACATTCTTCGCAGAAACATGGGTTCCTGCGGCTGACGGGGTCAGTAGCTATGCAGATCATGCTTCAGCTCTCAGCAAATCAGACCTCCAACGAGCCCCCTAAACAAAACAATCCTATTCGTAGGGTAATTCTCCAGAGCAATCTCATTGATAAGCCAATCATTCCGATGTACAGAGAAAAGGTACACAAGTACAGTACATACCCTGAGTCCCTGACAAATGGCAGCTGAACGTCCTAAAAAAAGCAATTATCTCAATGCCCAAAAAAAAAATGTCTCGCAGCTTATGATTTTCCCCCAATCCCGCACTTTCCACGGGTATCTCCACTATGACGATTGATGAATGGTATGTACGAAGACAAGGCACGGGGTACGAGAGAGGTGTTGTGTAGCGTAAATAGAGTGGGCTTTCCCGAGTGGTTTGTACGAAGTACAGTATGTAGCTAACTGATACCCTCTCATAAGTACACCAATCACCTAAACGTCTCCAGGGCAAGGGCTGCTTCCAATTAATCAGCCAATTATTCATAGTTAAATTGATTTTTTCTATCTTCCTACACTACCAAACTCCATTAACTATTATTCAATATCGTTCCCTTATCATTCCTCTATCTACAATATAATAATCGCAGTTTTGTTATCGATCAATTGCGCCATCGACTGCGATACAACGCCTTCTAGCCAGCCCTAAACCCGATCCCGTGCTATCGACACGCTCCGTGCCTTTTTACCCGAACTATAAGTTCAAAGATAATCAAGAATAGTCTTTTTGAGCGAGGGTATTCATCCATGCGGTATTCATCCCTATGACTAGCTTCTCGCCTCAATTCCATTACCAGCAATTACTACGCCTATTGCCCTTATACCGGACTTGAAAATTCAGAAGAGGCCACTAACATAGAAGAGTGCTCGAAGGCTTTCTCATCGCATTTAAACGATACGTCTTCATTCCAAAATAACACTGGCCAGCAGCTCCTTCGATTATTCTCGTGCTCTGGCGAGCTGAACATCGAGTCCTCGTCCTAGGCTGTCCAGACTGAGCAGTTAGAGACCGTACAAGAAGGGGATGGAGAGAACCGTCTGTACATTTTCCATAACAACACGTACTCTAATATCTGGGAGAATGACTCGGTCATAAAGACAGAGGCTTGGACAATGCCTCGTTTGCCTGTATAACGAGCTCGCTGTCTGCGTTCAGCCCTATGAAGGGCGCTGACTGACTTCTTCCCTCGATTCTGGAGAAAATGCTGAAAATGAAAGATAAAGGTCCAAGATGAAACTCATTTCATCATCGATCATATTGTAGATCCATAAGTCATTCATTACAACGGTACAGAATGTTTTCAGCGTAGCCTTAGGCATTATCACGAGAACTAACGACGGCAGTCCTTGAATATCAAACCTACCAAATCTATGTATATCCTCAAATTTAACAACATCAACACCCAATATCCCCTCAATCAAACCTCCCCAACCCTCTGAAAACACACCGTACACACCCCCTGCCCTTCCTGCCCACCAAACCTAAACCGCGGATACTCAACACGACCCCAAACAACCAACCGATCACTTCCCCCTCCTCCTCCTCCTCCTTCTTCTCCGCCACAAACCACTTCACAAGCTCCTCCTCAGTCCAGTTACAACTCGTCACGATCAAAAATCCACCCCTACGCACCAACCGCCTCGCAATATCAGGATACCGCTCACACACACGGGTCGCCTTAGCATCATCCGCCAACGAGATCGCATCGAACGTCCCCTTGTCCAAAACGATATCGAAACCGCCTGTCTGGTAGGGGAACCAGGAGAGCGTTTCGTCTTCGGGTGTGGGGGAGGATTTCACGCCAGACTCGGAGAGAACAGCCTTTGAACCTAGGATATCCCATTCCTCGAATTGGATAGGTGCCGGCTCGGGTATATCTGCGTCTCGCTGTTCATCCCCCTCCTCTCCGGACTCATCCTCGTCAGACTCATCATCAGTCCTATACGCAGAATGCCCCCTAGACCGCTGCAACTCGCGCGCCAACTCCACACTCCTCGCCGAGTAATCCACCCCCACCATAGCCCCCGTAAACCGTCCTTTCTTCCGCAACAGCGCAAGCATACTCCCATTGCCTGTGCCGAGATCTAGGATAGACGGTTGCGCCGACTGAGCGCGTGTATTCCGCGGTGCGAGTGGGAAGGATTGCCGCGTTAGGAAGCGGAGGACTTTTTCGGGGGCGCTGTGCTCGGAGAACCATGATGTGCCTGGGTCATCTTCGTCGTTGACGTCTGAGTCTGCGTCCGAGTCTGCGGAGGCATCGGCCTCTTGTTTTGTGGATTGGTCGGCGTCCGTGTGGGAGATGTGGGCGAGGGTGCGAGCGTAGTAGGTTTCCCAGCTATTTGGTGGGGTAGGGATGTTTTAGCTGGGGTACTTTGAGGGGTGGAAGGTAACAAGAGTAGTATTTCTGATATTATGGGGAGGATTTGGAAAGCAGGGGCTCTGTGTAATTGAGTCTCCTTTGATTGCGACGTTCGTTGCTGAAGATCTTCATTGTCTCATGGAGGGGAGGAGGGGCGGGAACGCGGGGCATCCGAGTCGAGCTTTTGCGACTCTATCGGAAGTTCGCGTGGATTCAATGGGGCTGATAATACTTACTAGTCTTTTGTGCCCAGCTCACTAGGTGAGAGATATGCTGGGTGTGTCTCTTCTGCCATGATGGTGTTTGATCGGTGATGTTTGTCGCGAGGGAAAATTTTGGGTGAGAGTGCGGAGGATGTTTCCTTATCGGCTATCTATCTCAGCCCCAGGTTGAGATGAAGACCCCGCCAAGAGAATAGTAACGGTTGGTTAACTTACGTCTACTGACTATTCTACAAAAGATTATCATGGAGAGAGTATTCAAGCTCGAAGCTGTTTCATTTCTATTGTTGGGCTGCGCACAGGGGGTATTTGTCATTCCTTTCCCTCGATCCCACTCCCTCCAGGATACCTATACGGCTCAATGGTTTCTGGAAGAGGGATCGAAGGAATAAAAAAGCACAGGAAATCAAACAAAGAGAAAAATTGAAAAGGTTGAAAACGAAGGCCTTGCCATACCAGGCAGGATGATCAGATAAGAGATGAAATAGAAAAAGTGAAATGTGGAAAGCGATGGTTGTGAAGGATGATAAGTGTCCAATCAATGCATAAGAAATGGGGTTCAGTCATCTTCCCCGTAAATAATATTACAGTTACCAGGATCGCGGAAGACAACGAACGTCTTCCACAAACCCCACGGCATGAGATCAAAGTTCATGCCAGTGACGCCAGAAATAAGTCGACGATGGTGAGAAGGAAAATCGAAATGACGGCAGCAGTTTTTGGGTGATGATGATGCATTTCGGTGTGGTACCACATGCAAATCGAAAAAGTTGATGAACGACAGCAAAGCCCGCTTTGGTCATGAAAATCATCAATCCGGTCAGAATAGGGGTATATGACTGGAGAACACAAGGGTAAAAGCTTATAGTGGCCGAGAGAGAATGAAAAACGAAGAAAAACAGGCCGGAAATGAAGTGAAAATGCGATCCTCGCGTCGAGGTTCAAGACATGCAAAATGTCGGGGTCGTGGATATCATTTCAAAAACCTGGCTCGTTGCGCACAGGCGAGAGAATTATAGGAACTCATCAATGTTCCTCAGGATCATGCGCTCTCCTCCTGCGGGAGGAGAACGTGGATCAGCAGTGTCCTTGGCATATTGTATCGAGCTGGAGTTTTCAGCGATCGTACTATCAACTCCGCGAGCAGATAATGATGGTATAGGTAGAGGTGGGGCCAAGAAGCCGGATGTTCTTGGGGAGAAGAAGCCAGCTCCTGGATCGGGGGATCCTGGAGCATCACGAAGATATACGTGAGTTTGGACCAGTGGGTCACAGCTGCTGACACTGCGTGGGATGCCGCGCGGGCGACCGAATGCAGGCTCCACGGACTGGAACTTCTGTCGGAAGGGCAGTGGACGAGGAGACAAACTGCGCTTGGGAGATCTATTCCCATTACCACTAGTCTGTGGGCGCAAGGATCTGGTCGGCGGAGCAGCGAGAAGTCCCATTAATGGTGCCGGTGAGAGACCTTGGGCCGCTTGTTGCTGAGCCTCCTCTCGCTCAGCGCGGGTGACCTGAGGCTCGGAGCTTCTGCGACCAGTTTGAACAAACCACTCGCGAGGGGCCGGTCGCGAGGAAGGAGATCCCCGCAGTAAGCGAGAGCGGTAGTCGGTGAGTTGGTAGATGAGACTCATGTTCGGTCCTACCCATTGGCTGCGTCCCTTGACCAGTTCATACATCGCATTGAAATCCAAATTTCGATTCTTGTACAAGCCATACGCGATCACCAAAGACGCCGAGCGGCTGGCACCCAGCTGGCAATGAATCAGGACCTTTTTACCCTGAGCTATCCGGTCGTCGATCAGTTCACACAAGGGAAGAAGATCGTCAAGGATCTCCGAGTTGTGATCCCAGCCAACGTGGATGTATTCGGGGGTGGTAGATTTAGGCTTGGGGGTAGTCGGGGTTGCGGATCCAGATTCAGAAGGCTGGAATTCAAATGCCGACTTGAAGGAGATTTCGGAAATAGCAGTCTGGGGATCACCGCCAGAAAACCGCTTCGAGGCCATCGAGGCGTTGCGCCACGTACTCATGACCGTATCATTCCGCCCTTGATTTTCCGCATTGAAGGGATTCTTGACTTCCTTAGCGACATTAATTACCACGTCGAATTGCGCCGCTTCTTCCGCGGTAGGTTCCAAGTATAGGAACACCCCGGTGTCGTAAATCCGAATAGGTCCATTGGGATAGCCGCGGTCGGTACCACGAGTAGACTCTCGGGAAGCCATGGGCTCATCCTCTTCCGCCAGTTCAGGAATCGCGCGTTGGGAGAAGGTAGAACCGTCGTCGGGCATGGATGTCAACGGAGAGACTGCATCGTCAGATGATGTGGCCGATAGACGCCGGGTGCCCTGATGTGACATTGGCTGGGGAAGCTGCATACCACCCCGCGGGGCAAAGCCAGGAGACGTGATCGATGCGAGCGAGGGTGATGATTCGGCATGTCGCAAGGACTGACGTCCCAGAGGTGTCGGGGGAACCAAATCGGGAACATTAGTGAAGGATTTATCGAAGCCCGGAGTGCGGATGGTGAGGTTTGCAGGGCGGCGTCGGCCGCTCTTCGGGGGAATCTGAATGGGAGAAGGTGGGGCAGAGAGGTGGTGCTTTGATGAGGTCTCGAGCATCGATGCAGTCGCAATGGGAGGTCGGGACTGCGAAGGCAGGGGCATACGTAATGAAAGATTCTTCAAGTTGCGTGCTCGTCGTCCGGGCGAGTCCGGGCGCGCAGGGTTTGGCGCTGGCAATAACCTGGAGCTGTCGGCAGTCATGGTGGACAGTGGGCCCACCTCCACCGGGCGGATGTGTGGTGTGAATTTAGGATAGGATAGTGGCATTGCCGAAGGGGTTTCTGGAGAAGAGCTTGGGGAAACGTCGCCCGTGGAAGGAGAGTCGAACGGCGGGATTGTAGTCGTGGGTGAGGACTCTGTCGAGCCCGAGGTCATTGACGAGATACTTTCGCGATGCACGGAAGGGAAGAAACGTCGCGACGAATTCGTATTCACTGGAACATGGGCTGGAACTTGGAGTGGGTGGATTGTATGCTCGTCCTCTTTATAACGCGAAGGGAATCCACCATATACCGACATAAACGATGGGAACGAGTCCGGAAAGGACGGTGGACTTGTTTGTACCGGCATGATTTGGGCCAGTTCGCGAGAGGCGTGTGGGAAAGGCTAGCGTTCCTTTCCACCGGCGCTCGAGGGAGGAGAGGGAGGGAAAGGCAGGTTCAAGAGTCGTGTCCACCAAAGTAAAGCAGCATTCAGATCGAAGACAGGATAGGTTTTTGCTGCCTGCGCAATTAAGGAGGGAGTGGATTGTTCGTTCTTTGCGAAAGGGTGTCACGTCAGTTTGAGGCTTGAAGATAGTTCGGGAATTGAGGGCGAGCGGGCGCAAGCTGCAAGGGCTAAAACTAATGATCTGCACGCATGCGAAACAAGAAAGATAGGGAGAAAAAGAAACATCCGCAGGCACGAGTCCTATTGTCCAGAAGGACAGGAAAAGATACACTGTGGAAAAATGGAAAAGGCGATGGTAGATTCGGGCTTCAAGTGGCTCACATACCAGAATCTCAAGCCACAGCCGATCGGTCGAGGTGAATCGTTTAGGTTGAAGTGAGAATGAAGTTGGAAGAGGCTTGAAGGTTGAAAGAGTCAAGGAGCGACAAGGAAAGTCGGAGAAATAAAGAAACAAAGGCGATGATTCAAATCTCGAGAAGAATGGGCTTTTGGTGGTAGGCGGGGAGAGAAGAGAGGCCAGGGAATAGTTGAGGGGACGTCGTTCCTCCGGGGAATGACGGGAATGTAAAGGAGAGTATAATGGAAGAGAAACTGGAACTGTGAAGAAGTCCCCCGGGTACCGAAGAGGAGGGGAGGAAGATTGAAAAGGGAGGTCAAGAAAGAGAAAGGGAGGGGGAGGAGGAGAAACAGAGAATAAAGGCTGAAGATGAGAGATGAGGGTGAGGCGTGTGAAAGCCGCGAAATAATGGACCCTTACTGGTTTTATTATTATTATTATTATTATTTTTGCGGATTATTATTATTATTTCCATACTGACATACTACATCCCAGACTTACTCTGTCCCCAATGATTATTCGATCTCCTCCTGCTCCAGTTCTAGTTCCTAGCGAGGAATAGTGGAGAGTAAGTCAACCAGAAGCAACACTTTTATTATGATTATTTCCTGATCATGGTAATTCTGAAGATAAAGTGATGGTGATCTGTAAACAACATACATGCTGGCTGTATTCCGTACCATAATACTGTACGGGAGTACGCTGTTTTATAGTTCAGAGGGATGAAAGAATACTCCTCGTCTCCATCCGAGTTAGAGATCTCCGATTTCAGGCCCACTGTAATTTGGAAAATCGTGTGTTTCGGGAGTGTTTCTGGTCAGTACGAGGTATACAGTACTACTACAAGGAGGATCGATCGAAGTATATTGCACAGGACCTCCATGTACCCAGTACCACCGACAAGGCTGTGTATCCCCATCCCCTATTAAGTATCCAGTACCACTGTCAGACAGCCGTTTGACCTCGTCGAGGCGGACGGGGTGGCTTCCCTTGTAGCTCTAATTTTAGCCGCCGGGGGCGTCGTGAGGAGACTCGGCGCCAAACGCACGCTGATGAGAGGCCAGTGCTGGGTGAACCCTCCCTTTCACACCCGTCACCACTATCCAGACAGAGTTCAAGTGGATGATTCTAAACGTTCATAGGCTTCTATTAAGGCATCTTCTAGACTTTCTTTTGGAACACCATCTACCATCGTTATTTCGGAGAGAGTCACATACCATCCTTGATGGCGTGCGAAATGGCCCGGATGTCTCTCCCCAAAAACCCTAGGATCCACCGTGAGCCTGGAGGTCCCACCGACAGCTGCGCCTTGGGGGATGATGCTGAGAGGGGAGAATTATTGACTGGCGGGACATCACCGTACATAGTAGTACTGTACCTATGGTCCATACTCCTAAGAAGCTACTGACTATCCTTCTGTGTGACATAGAGCACTCCCATTATTATTTACTGGATTTATTCTGGAGGAGGACATCCTCAGTCTTGTCAAGCCATATTAGAACACATTATACTTCGTAAATACAACATCAAGAACAATGGCAAGTCTTTTCGAAAGATCCGCGCTGAGAATACCCAGAAAGCTCAGAAAGCCCGGACATATCGCGAGCCTGATTCGAGAATTCCAAATTCGGTCCAATCCGACCCGTCCCAAGTCGTGCACGGTTCCCTGTTCACGGGCTGGAGTGAACCTGCGGCAGGGATGTTTCAATAGTATCGACGAGGAGCTTAGGGCACACGGCTGCCCCTGCACCTACAGTTCTCTGTCTTATGGAGCATAAGATTGTAATTAAAAAAATTATCTGTACTCTGTCTTCGTACTCCGTATGAAAATATTCCGTACTGCTGCTGTACGGCACACACGGCTCGTCGGGTGAACGGTGGGCGGGTTGATCCATGGAAAAGGCGCTGGGATGGTCCGCTGGACCAGCAAATTGTCGAAATGAAAGGGAGAAGAAAAAGTCTCCGACCCGCTAGTAACTATTAGTATTATACCTACTAAACTACGAGGATACCCGTGTGTACTGCTCATATAACTACAGTCTAGTCGCCAAATGTCATGGTCCCTTAGCACCATTTAGACTAATACGTATTCGATACACAAGAGTTTTTTTTCCTAGAGAGGCAAAAACACGGTCGCCCTGGGGCCCAACATCTGAAACCCCGGAGGCCGATGGATCTGAGGAGGCGGTTCTGAAACACGCCAGACTCGCGCTAGTCGACACTAGTGGCCCTTGGCGGAGGCAGCATGCAGCCTATCGCCATTGATTATCACCCTGCGCTGGCTGCCGTCAGTCGATACTTGCTGATTTGGGCGATCGTCTTGAACTTGGTTTTGTGCATGGAGAGCTGGATGCTGATTGATGTGTTTAGAGGGTAAATCGCCAAGAATGAAGTCATCCTACCGCCTTATCTCCTAGTTAACCTCTCTTTGCATTTGAGATACTTCGGCAGATGATAGCCACGTTATGTATACTCGATCTCTTCAACAACGACATGGCTAGACGAATATTAAAACCCCAATACTTTGCAGTCTGTGGGACTGAGCCAGGAATGATCGCCCCTTCCACGTGGAAGTCCTGAAACTTGGTCCGTTCAACTTGATCCATTCCTGTCCCAGTGGAGAGAGATGGTGGGCGTGGCGTTCACAGCCCTCGATAGACTACTCCGTTCTCGTACTGGGCTCTGTAGGCAGTAATCTCCAGCAGTCTTAGCGAGTCCTCCCAAACGCCATCGAGGTATTGTATACATCTCACCGCAGGGGCAATTCCTTATAACTTCCAAGGTTGAGCTGCTCCTACATAGCTGACAATGCCAACCTTCTCGAAGCAGTCGATGATCGACATCCATCGCAAGACCTTGTTACATCCATGTCATCTCCTCTTCCAGAAGGATCACTTAGTAGTAAATACAGTACCAGTCACCTGCTATACTTCCCAGTCCGGATCGTCTCCAGGCAACGCGTCCCAAATAGATTGCAGTTCCTAGCCGCGGATCCTTCGTGAACGCGAATCGTTTCACGATGAACCCAATCATTCTAAAAATATCAACCCCAATCCCCATTCTCCCCCTCTCCTCCCCTGAACCATGACAGTACCCTCAGCGCAAGACCCAGCTTACGTTGGTTCGTGTTTCGCCTGTGTTTCGGGCTCGTTTGCCACTTGACTCCTGGGAGGCGTTTCGGTTGCCGAGTAGGACATACATTTATTACGCACAGGAGGTTGCAGGCGCCTGTTTAGCATCGAGTTTCATTCCGGAGTATCCCCCTTGCCATGCTGATTGGTGGGTTTGTGGATTGATGGAACGACTCGGTTATCCAGTTGATGCCCGTCCCAGGTTGAATATATAGTTGCAGAGAGTGGTTCACCGGCCAACCATAGCTATGGCCAATGCCGATATTAATCCTGGGGGCAGTGCTTGAGCCAATGGATCGTTGCTGTATCAGATATATTCTTCAACTACGCTAAATTACTACTGGCTGTGGTATGGGGGCCAAAATAGGTAATGCATGTTTCCTGATCTTGTCTTTCGACGGTGCATGTCGCATTGTGGTCTCGACCAGAGGTCCATCGGACTTCGTGTTGGATACGAGAGGGACAGCTCGTTTACCTAACACCATAGCTGAGTGCTTCAGCTACAGTGCTGTGCATAACCGATGAGAAACGGTTGCAGAGTGCTTACCTCATCGTTGATATCAGGCTTTTCGCTGGCTGAAAACCGCTACTGACAGAAGTATATTGCTGAACCGGTGGTTTGCGACAGGATAGATGATCTTGTACAACTCCGATGATTCGACGAGCGTTTCTAAATGCTAAAAAAAGGAATTTATGTTGTCTTATTTGGACACGAGAGATGTAACATCATCAGAGTCGAAATGGACTTGTGCATCACTTCCGTCCGTAAACATATTGTACACATCCACTCGGGAGATGAGCTACGACGAGATCACGGATGGCGACTATGTTAGTATCTTCCTGACCAGAGGGATACTAGACTCCAAACTGATTGACCATGTGAACATCTAGCCAATGAGCACAATTAAACTGTCGCGTGACAGGTGATCCCTTCATGCCTAGATTGTCTCTCCATCTCCAGTCTCCATATTTGACTCCATACTATGGGCCTGAGAGCTGTCTCAACTTGACGTGAACCACGTGGAAATTATATCCACAACCTTGGAAGACCACTCAAATAAATTAAAGAGAATCATAATTACTACCCAATACGGAGCACTTGTACATAGTGATCAAATATTATTGTCGATTTCATAACCAATATCCACTGTACTTCAGAATCACGGGAGATCCTGCCATGTGGATTTCGGGCCCGAGTCCGTGGCTCCTCTTAGAGGCGAACCATGGTTAGTGTCTTTTTGTTTGTTGCTGCGAGACTGGACTGGTGGACACGACTATGAAACAGTCTTCTCTACAGTGTTGATTTTTGTTGAGGAAATTTTTTTCTTCAAGATTTTAATGGTCTTAACTCCGTGGAGGTGGATGGAAGACTGCCGGTTGAAAAGTAGCTGTGGCCTCAACGGTGTTAGTGTACTGTTTACTTGGGCCCTGATGGGAGCAGGATATGCTTCTCATTGGACCGAGAGTTTCAGCATAAGGAGCTCTATTTTCCCTAGTGCTTGGCTTGAGAAGACTGCTTAAAGCAAACCCTAGTTAAGGGTTTGGAATGACATTCTCTTACATAAGTTGATAATGAAGACGGGTAACTACTATGAAAGGTATATGGGCTATCTAGAAAGATATCGAGCACTTTGTAGTATTCAAGACAGATAATCAAGAACTCGGTTAGAAAACTCTTCCAAAAGAAAACACACAAATCTATCTAGCTAGACCTATTTAATGTGCTAAACAATGGCCAGTACTATTGTAGTATGATCAAGTTGTTAGTATCAAGCCCAAGCCATCTCCCACAACAGCGCCGTAATAGCGGGCCTCGTCCACATCCTAATTTCCCAGCCACATGGATCTCATTGCTCGGTAAACAAAAAGAAAAAAATCTTCCAGAACCTTCAAGTTGGACACATCAGAAGTTCAGAACTTCATCCTTTATCACACGCGTGCACTTTGACAGATTTGTGTCACCCGCGCAGGATTCCTTGTTTGCAGCTGCAGTGATCCAGTGCCGGGTGATCCACGATGCATACTCCCCAGTAGCTTTTCCCCAGACCATCTCATACTTTCGTGAAAAGCAGCGGTGACCCGCGTCATATTTTCCCCCCTCAGCACAGTTGCACCTTGCAGACTGATCCTTTCCCAAATAAGGATTGTCCAAGTTCATCTTGGAGGCCTCCAATGATGGCACTGACTTGGACCAGCACCAGCACCAGCACCAACGGCCCGTCGCTTCATCACACCAGCTTCGAACCTTGGGCGGGCCCCACTGGCATGACGGCCACTACCACTGGTGAAACGCCAGTTCCCGACTCCCTCGACTCTCTGACCCCCAAGCGCTCCTCCTTATTGCACCGGTCGCACCAGTCCCGACGATCCGTTCCAAGCTTTCACCTTCCCAGCCTCCAGACTACCACTCTCACAGCTTCAGCTTCCGCTTCGGCTTTGGCGTTATCGTCAACTTCCTCCAAATCATCATCTAACCGCAATTCCGCTCCCGTGGTGACATTCTCGCCCAACGTCTTATCGGGTCCTAATGCCGGGCGACCTCAGCAAGACTCCCTCTCCCCCGTGCTTCGCCCTGATGTGAAGCGCACCATGCCATCGAGCGTGGCATATTCCGAAACGAGGACCCTGGCGAGCGGTCATAGTCGCGCCTTAAACGGTGCTTATCGATTAGAGCCCGACAAGATCAACAACAACGCCTCGGAGATCGATGACAGCCGCCCCAAAAACGAAGATGTCTTTCTGAACATCGCAAGAACTGATTCAGGTCGTCGCGACTCCCTTGGTCGGTCGGATTTTAGACGAGTGAGTGGCCTTGCTAGACTCAGAGGAGGTCGTGCTTCGCGTGTCGTGAACCATCGCACCGTCCCGACCCTTTCTCCCGCGACTAGGAAGATGACTGACGGAAGAGGGGATGAGAGTAAACAGTCGCGACTAGGATATTCTACTCAAAGCCTTCGGTCGCCAACTACGCGAGCCGAGCCTGAACAAACCCCTTCCCCCGACCAGCGGTTTAGCAATGCCGACAGCCCCTTGCTTTCGCAAAAGGGTTCGCCCACAGTCCCCCTGGGCTCGGTCAACCACTCCCCATCCGCTTCTGCCCACCCTCTCGACGACCCAGCCCGCTTCCGCTACTCGAGCCTGACCACCGGCTCACGATCAGTTATTGGCGCTCCGCGCAGCAGACTTAGTCGAACGAGCCCAGAGACGTCCCCACGTTCACCACCGGTCAACGGTGAGCGACGGCCATCCATCCACGAACCGCGCCTACGGCATTCTACCCTATCTACAATTCGAAGTAGCCGCCAACCATCCACTTCCGAGGCCACGGAGCGTGCACGGGGAGAAACCGACAAGGCCCGCGACGGGACCGAATCTACTCTGTCGACTAACGCCCCTTCTACTGTCTGGGACGAACTAGACGATCTCAAGTCTCGAATCCGCAAGCTGGAGCTCACCGGCAAATTACCTCCATCCTCACAGGAAGCGATCTCTGGCGCCGCTCAGGAACGGCCGCGAACTGCAGCAACTACCGTGACTGCATTGTCGACTTCACCAAAGCACCACCGCAAAGTCAGCGTGCCCTCGGCAGACGCTGACTATGCGGCACAGAGCCAAGTTCACCCACTGTTGCAGTCGGCACTGGCAAAAGCCAAAGATGTACTGACTAGTGACGTGTACACGGCGCTGGAAGCGACGATCAAAGATGCCTTGACCCTGTCCACCATGTTGGGCGTCAATACAGCTCCGTCGGGCACGGTCTCCGTCGTGAATGGAGGGTACAGTTCGTCCGAGAGGCACGCCCGCCGCAAAGCGGACAGCGTGTGCCGCAGCCTGACCGAGCTGTGTCTGGCTCTGACGGACAAGCAGTTGCAAAGGAATCGATCGCGTTCGACAAGCCACGTTCCGGGAACGCAACCTCAGCGGACGAATGGCGGCGAGAGTGAATCCTTGGGGCCGGGACCATCCTATCAACGGGCTTCCAGCCATGAACCGGAGGGTCTTGAGCGGCGTCCAAGCACGAGCAGCCGCATGTCCAGTCGCTTAGAAGCACGCAGACTGTCTTTGATTAACCCCGTTACGGCAACTGCTGCAGATAACAAGTTACCCCAGTCGCCAAGCGTTGCTCCTCCACCAAGTCGTCTCCATCGCATGTCGGCCTCTCTTCGCAGTCGCAGGCCACCAACCGATGAAGAGACTCCGGAGACAGCGACTCCATTCAATCGGTCTCTTTCTAGGGCCATGACAGAGGTGGCGACACCGAGCCCCGCGCAGAGTGTATCCCCACGACAGCGTTTGTCTCATAGCGGCTCGATATCTCGCTCAATCCCGAATGTTCAGCAGCAAGAACAGCATGATCAGGGATTGGGTGTCTCGCCTCGCACCTCGCAGTACCAGCAAAACCCTGCCCCCTCTCAAACACCCCAAGCTCAACCTCGAACCCCGACTACCTTATCTCAATCAAGTATCCCGTTCCGCCGCAGTTATATGGCACCGGCTGTATACTCCCCTGCGACATCCCGCTCCAACATTCAGGCTGGATCCCGCCGGTATGGCCTCTCGCCCAGCTTCTCCAGCACCACACCAGGCCCTGTCGCCGAAGAGAGCCCTCGATCCTCTCAGCTAGGCCCGCCCCAAACCCGCATCAGCGTGCCTTCGGGAAAATCCGCTACCAGCTATACCCCCATTCAGCAACCTCGCCTCCGTACCAACAGCTTAGGCACACGGAAATTCGGCCTTAGACGCCGCTCTGCTGCCACCCCCGACGACACCTTCAACTTGGATGACAGTATCGACTAAGCGAGTTCATCACCTCTTTTTGCCGCATATTGTGTCATGTCATTTTTTTTCCTGCTCTGCATTGTGTTGAAACGACATCATGCATACCTACTATTGTTAGGAATTCGGTCACGCCTCCTTGATATCATATGTTCACGCAGCGTCCTCGCATTGATCTTATTTATGGAGATTTGTCTTCTTCTCGGCGTTCCTCTATCGCGTCCTTTAGACGCTTGTGCATGCATCCTGACTGAGTCTGGAGTCCTCGTCTGTTTGTCGCATTGTCCAGCCCAGCTCAGTTTCATCCCTTCACCATCCTCAACGAATACGTGGCACCTCGACGCCTTCGACCTCGATGCACTGTCAAACTCTTGTTCTTTCTGCGTTTTATCCGAAGCCCCTACTCGGAGAGTCAGGGACATTCTGGGCAAAACAAATGTTTTGTTTCTATCACATCCAATTTTTTCCCTTCACCATCTGTCATTTCCGAAACTATTCGACCACCGGGCCTGGGACTGGGCACTTCAGAATCTGGCCTACCACGTCCATTGATTGTACAAAACAACCATCATAACCATCAACCATCATAACCGGCGTCGGTGTTTCAGTCCCCTTTCAACTTCTCTGTACATGTTGCCCTGGACTACTTGTTCTTACATTCCCATTGCGCTGCGAAGCCACGCCATTTTTTTTTTCGTGTCCCTCGTGCTTCTTGACTTTGACCCCGCGCGGGCTTGTTTCTTCACGCTTATATGGAACGGATTTTGATTTACGAATTGAACGAGACTTTTACTTTCACATTTAACTTGCCCTCCTTATTCTTCTAATCCCTAGTTTAAATCCTGTAAATCATCCTTGTCGTAGATGACCTCACAGTTTGCTCGGAAGCCTGGCTCCGCACTTCCACGCAACCCCATGCGATTCCGTCGAGAAGGTAATTGTACTCCCGCGGGGAAAGAAGAATGTATCCCCTGCCTTCACAGTGGCTGTCTGCCCACTCTTATCTCTGAATGTCATCTCGCCCTCAATAACAACTCCAACCTCGTCATAGTCGTATTTCGGGGGCGTAGACTCGGGGCCTTTTTCGATGCGGAACCATGAGCCGGTGATGGGATTTGAAGTGTTGTTTTGTGTGCCTAGGTAGTCCGCTGAAGGGTCTTTTGGTTAGAATGCTGCTTTCTGGAGCGTCAAGGTTGGGGTGCGTGGTCTTACCGAAGTAAATGTTGGGTATGCCGCCGAAGTTGGGGATTTTGAATAGTTCTGCTTTGTCTTTGATTTGGAAGACCATCTTGGATTTTGGAGGTTGATCCGTATGTGTATAGATCCCCGGGAAATCTTGTGCTTTTACTGTTCTCATATATGGGACTGGTGGTATTTGTATGTAGGGCTATAGACAAGACTGGAATCTGAGCCAATCGCATTCCTGCTTCGCACTACTTTTCCGAAAAGGGAAATGTTTGTTGACCTCATCAGATAGAAAGCTAACTACGCAACGGCAACCCTAGTAAGGAACAAAGGTCATATAATAACTAAAGACTCTCATAATCTCCCTGGCTGAACATCACCCAAAAATAGTCTCCAACCGTTCATCAGCCATCACATCTGTCCAATGAACAAATTCCCCTACCGAGTCTGGCTCATTCGCAAAGACTTGAACATCAGCCCTAAACCAAGTCTTCTCAATAACCTCCAATGCTCGAGCAACACCACCCAAGCCAACATAATTGTGAATGATATTCATTCTCTCTCGTACAAATTCCCGCCAGCGCGCGTGAGCATCGTTCTGAATGAATATCGACATTAGCTCACTGCAGAGACTACCCCGGGTTGACCCGTGAGAGAGCTCTGGTCGATCTGCCTCCGTGGGTTGCAATGCACTGCCAGCAGTAATCATGGGAAGACATAGCAAGGCGTTCACTCCTGAGGTCTCGGGGATAGTTGATATGATAGTAAGAATACCAATTGCGAGAGCGATGGTCCTCGATTGGAATGAGATCGAGTCGAAGACGTTAGCCTCATCTGAAGATGGCTTCTGCAAAAGCTCTGGGAAGACTCGGTAAATTTCGAGTAAAGCTGTCAACCTGTATACTTGCGCCATTTTCTGCAAATGGCTCACAGGAGTAAGAGCATCCCCCGTGTCTTCTATCCTGTCGATTGAAGGGGTCTTGTAACCCAGAAGGGCAGTCTCAACGTCACATGCTTGGGCCAGGAGGTCCTCATGAAGTTTTTCATGAACCCCGGTGGTGGAATTTGAGACGCTCAATTTTCTGATGATAGACCGCTGTCTGCCAAGTGCTCCTGCTTGAGCGAGATAGACGAAAACAGGTGTCGATATGCCTGTCCAAGGATTGGACTGGATTTTCTTTGCCCCAGTCTGATCACAGATTGGCGTCAGGTAAGAAATAGATTGTACAGGTTGATCCATTACAAACGATGCCATCGCCTCCCAATATGCCATAGTGCCATTCAGGAAAGTTTTGACGTGGGATAGTTTGTGTTGGTCCGCAGCTGTGTCAACCGAGTTGTTCGCTCTAATGAGCCATTTCTTGTAAAGTCCTCGTGCCCCGTGAAGATGTGTGATACCCAGAACGGATGGATTGTGCCAGCCCTAATCCTCTGTTAGTTAAAATGTCATTTAAGACCTTCCAATCGGAATCATACATCAGTCATGCCCAATAATATGCACGCTAGGAGCGCTCGAGAGATACCTTCAAAAGAAGAATAGGACTTCAAGCTGGAATGTACGCCAACACTGAGTATTTCAGTACCTAGCTTTGATGCAGCCTTTGCCCTATGCTCTAAAGCAATGGGTAGCAAATCGCTTTGTTGCTTGGCAACTAAGTGCGAAGCCGACATGGACAGTATGCAATGATACAATGGCGGACAAGAGTGCATCGATTCAGCGACCCATACCCGAAAGGGATTTTTGGATGAGTCGAAACAACAATTGATGCGGCAGATACTCGAAAAGTAGTGACGGGAGAGCCGTGTACTCTGGTCTTCAGCGATTTGTGGTGACGGAATCAGCAAATCATCCCAAAGGGTCGTATCTAGGGCTTGGCTCTGTGAGATGGTATCGTAAAAGAACTCGTCGATGCTAGGCCTTGAGAAAATCAGGGGCCCCAGAAGCTTATCTGGGTCCAGAGTGAAGTCATCCTCCATGGGAACACCCCCGGTAGTATGTCTTTGATAGTTTGATTCAGAGACATGCCCTCTCTGTGATAAGGATGGGCTCCTAATACAGCTGAGCTTTGTCGAAGTTTTTGATAGATTGTTCTCGGGTTCTTTTGCGTTATTTGTGAGGTCGCGCTCGCTGCTAATGACGTTCGCCGAGCTCTCCTTGGTAGCATCAGCGCTGTTCCACGTCTCATATTTAGATGACCACTTAAGTGGTCGCTCGTATCCGGGGCAGTCGAGTGCCCTGCGCGTGCATTGGTTACAATGTGGCAAAGCCTCATCACACTTGATCTTTCTCTGCTTGCAACGGAGACAGCCACCTAAGTAAAAGAGAGTTAGCCTTATCGTCCGATCTGTGATATGGAATTCGAATCATACTGCGTGTCTTTCGTCGGTTTCGAGGTATCTGCCGAGCTTCGGACATTTTCAGATCGGTCGCGCAGCAAAGCGTATTTGGAGAAAGCCGGTGGTTCCCCGCAATTCCAGAAATTGCGGGGTTCGAACAAGCCTGTCAATCTGGATCACTGGAGTGACTGAAGAAATGTACGAAGAGAAATGCCAAAGTTCTCAATGCCAGGGGTGATAGAAAGACTGACGAGCCAATCTTTACTACAATGTGCTCTGGTGGTCGGCAATGGAAAGGTGAATGCCAATCCAATCGCATCGCGCCGCACTTTTTGACCGAAGTCGGCTTAGCCCGGAGAGCGAACCATAGTAAACACTGAGGACGTCCCTGATAACCAAGACTGAAATTCTACGTACTTGGAAGCCCCTCATGATGCACACAGACTGAAAATCACGTCTATAGAACGTGGACGGGTTCAAAAGCCCTTCCGGATGTCTTTGCAAACAACGCTCAGTGTAGACAGTGTCGCTTCCTAGAATCTCCCAGCTGAGTTGCTTTTCACCTTAGTAGGTTTGAAAGAGTAGTAGAATATTACGAAATCTAGGCAAAACCCGAGCGATATATGTGCTATTAGATTATTTCCCCCAAGATCTAGATTCCATCCACCTCTCACGAATGTTCAAATGCCTCTCGCAGCAATGCCTCCTCCTGTGCGCGATGCTCTTTGGCAAAACCAGTTGCAACACTTGGGGTTGCTTCACGACCAGCGAATCGCAACCGACGGCCCTTGTGCTGATCCATTGTGTCGAAGATAGTCTCCATACGAGTTTTGGCAAATGACCACGGTCCATCATTCAACGATTCCTCCTGACACCAAACAACGTCTGAGGCATTCGGATACTGCTTAAGGTTGTCCCTGGCTTGTCCCCAAGGAAAAGGATGCAGCTGCTCAACTCGGGTGATGGCAGTGTCTGTAATACCATGTGTCTCGCGATACTTGTCCAGTGCAAAGTATACTTGCCCCGAGCAATAGATAACTCGCTTGATCTCGGAAGGCTCCGCAATCGAAGTACCGTGAGCTGGATCCGCAAGGAGAGGCTGGAAGCGGGATTCTCCTATGAAATCCCCAATGTTTGATTCGACTGAGGGATGACGCAGAAGTGATTTCGAGAACAATAGAATTAATGCTATATCAACATATTGTTGTTAGTTTGGGGGTACGAGTAGCCTCAAAGACAGGACTTACGTTTGCGGAAGTCTCGGTGTATCTGCCGGCGTAGCACATGGAACAGATTCGCGGGGGTGGTCATGTAAACCACCTGCATATTAGCATCTTGATGCTGTCTCTCAAGCTGCTGTGCTGTCGGGAAGAACCGGCCATCCTCGCCACACAGTTGCAAGAAGCGTTCCATCCGCGCAGAGGAATGTTCGGGACCTTGTCCATCAAATCCATGAGGCAACGACAACACAAGGCCAGATCTCATGAGCCACTTGTTCTCAGCAGACGAGATAAATTGGTCGATGATACATTGGGCGTTGTTAGCGAAATCTCCAAATTGCGCCTCCCACATCACCAAGGCGTTCGGGTACATGCACGAGTAACCGTAGTCAAATCCCATGACACCATATTCGCTCAATGATGAATTGCCGATCGTGAACTCAGCTTGCTCAGGACTAAGATCATTTAATGGCATGTAAGTTGCGCCGGTGCGTTGGTCATGCAGGTTGGCATGACGCTGGGAGAAAGTTCCTCGTTCCACATCCTGACCAGAAACGCGAACATGATGTCCTTCTAAGCACAGGCTTCCCATCGCCAACGCTTCGGCTGTGGCCCAGTCAATATCATGGCCTTCAAGCAGGCTTTGTTGACGCCTTTGAAGGATCCGTTTCAGGCTCTTATGCACTTGGAAAGGCTCCTCGGGAACGCCCAGTTTTCTAGCCAAGATATTGACAACATCCCGAGTAATCGCTGTTGTCTTTGCAGGAATAATTTCCTGAGCCACTTCAGCCGGTGTTTTCATACCATTCCATGGCGTGGTGAGATACTCGCGGTCCAGTGCCTGTGGATTCTTGCTGTTTTTCAGGCTCTTGGACATCTCTCCCCATACCCTTGTTTCCATCTCATCGACCTCTTCACGAGTCACAACGCCTTCTTGAAGCAGCTTATTGACATAGAGCTCTAATTGAGGGACTTTCTTCTCAATTTGCTCATACATCTTTGGCTGGGTGAAGAAAGGCTGATCCATTTCGTTATGACCATGCTTTCGGTAGCATATCATATCCACCCAGCAGTCCTTGCCAAACTTGGCACGATAATCAGCAGCTAGCTTACCGAGGAATACCACTGCTTCAACGTCATCCGCATTGACATGGAAAATTGGGGCATTGATAGTCTTTGCAATGTCCGAGGCATATGGAGATGCTCGAGCTGATTCTGGATTGGTAGTGAATCCGACCTGATTATTGATTATCAAATGGACAGTTCCACCGGTCTCGTACGCCTTCAGCCCTGAAAGGCCCATGGTCTCATATATCACACCTTGCCCCGAGAATGAAGCGTCCGTGTGACTATTCAAGACCATGGTAGATCTCCGGTCACCCCCATTCTGATGCTGCACAGCTCGGGCCATACCCTGGCCGAGTGTATTCTGAGACTCTAAGTGAGATGGATTGGGCAAAATGGAAACATGTACTTTCTTCCCGGATGGCGTTTCGCGCTCATAGTTCATTCCCAGGTGGTACTTGACATCGCCGGAGATTTGATGACGAGATTTCGAGTCTGCAGAAAATTCGCTGAAGATCAATTCGTTTGGCTTCCGTGTGACATTGCTGAGTACATTGAGCTTTCCACGGTGGCAGGAAGGGAAGATAATTTCTCTGACCCCATTCTCTGCACTTGCATCAATAATGGCTTTCAAGGCTGGAATTTGACTCTCAACTCCCTCGATGCTGAAACGTTTGGCGTTGGGAAATTTCGCGGACATGAATTTTTCGAAAGTAGTGGTCCATATAAGTCGGTCAAGAATCCGCTTCTTTTCTTCTGGGTCAAATTGAAACGGAACAGGCAATTCTAGACGTTCTCGAATCCATTCGCGTTCCTCGCGAGTAGCCACATGAAGGTATTCAGCCCCGATGGATCCGCAGCAGAGCCTCTCGCAGGCCGTGATAACTTCACGGAGAGTCATTGTAGATACATTCTTCGAGATGAAATGCGGAAATAGCTCTGGACCAAGACTGATCTCCGTATCCATGTCGGCTTCCGTCAAACCGTAAAAATCAGGGTTAAGCTCATCAAGGCGTAAGTCTTGCTCGCTCGGGAGATCGAGAGGGTTGGTCTTCGCCTTCTTGTGCCCAAGCTCCTGATATGCTAGCACCAAGCGCTCAGCCTTGAATTGAACTGCTGCCTGGGATGGCACTTTTGACTGTGTCGAGCTTGAAGACAGTGAGATATCCGATGAGAAAGGCACTTGATTGTGTAGAATGACAGGTTCTTTTGTGGGCAAACCACGCTCGATCGCGTGAAAATATTCTTGCCACGAGCTATGAACTGAGGTCGGGTCTTGACGCCATGCAGTATACAGGTGGTCGAGATAGTCTGACGAAGTTGCGAATGAACCGGCAGCATAGAGCTAACTACTATATTAGTTTCATATCGACATGACAATGTGCTGTACTGCTCTTACTCGTTCATGTCGAGGCTGTCGAGCCAATGCTGTCAAGTTGGGACGGGCATATCGTTTTGCGAGATTTCCGGCGAGACCACCTGCCCGTCGCAGGGTATAGGCCTTGGAGGAAAGCATGTTTCAGACGGTGTAGAAGCCTGTACTCTCTAAGTTGGTCTGCCCGTCTTCTGGTTCCAGATATATGCGGACGGGCGGTTATTGGTATTGCTACACCGCGGCTAAAGGTGGCCGGCTCCAGAAACTGGGCCCAATTCGCCAGACACGCAAGAGTTCAATGGACTAATGAATCGGTCGGTGTCACTCAATAATGCCATATAACCGTGGAGTACCCGATGTGTGAGGGGGTCGGGTTGCCCTTCCGACGACACTCACAATAAGCACCGCAAAGAATGAATTCTTTTGTGAAAGGTATAGTCGCTTAAAGAGAATAGGATGGCCAAGTTCATAAAGAACAGCTAAACGGCTGGTAGCTTTTGAGTCAGAAAGGTTGAGATTTCTTGTATATAGAGTAGATAGATCATTTGAGGGGTGGTCGGCGTCACCATCCGCACTTCGGCATCCTGACAAGATGCCGGCCGTTGTACAAAAATCGGATTCGTCTCCGAGATCTTCATATGACCATAATCGCACGGGTCACTAGTCAATGCGAGGTTGCTGGGAGAATCAGACACTTTCTTTTAAATAACTTGATGAGATAAGCTCTGCAATTTTGAGATGACCATTTCTCTCAGCGGCCACTTGAGCAGTCTGGCCCGACTGATCTTGGTAATCGATATTTGCTCCATGTTGAAGGAGGTAGCGAGTAATCTGCTCATTTCCACTTGTTGCAGCTATAATCAGAGCCGATTGCCGGGAAAGATTCAAGTTTATCGAGTCATCCCCGATGTCATCAATGTCTGCACCATGCTTGTGCAGAAACTGGACCGCATCATATCTTTCCGTACGAGCTGATTCTCTCAAAGCCCCAGAGCCCTTGACTAAGGCCCCCCTTTCTACTAGAAAACGAATGCGCTGCATAGCAATGTCTAGCCTTCATGTAAGTTTAAATAATATAGTCGAATGATCGAGCACAGATGACATACCATCGTCAATATCAGCGCGGACCGTCGCTCGTAAAGGGCTTTGCTCTGGGAAGTTTTCATTGATGTCTGCCCCGAGGCCAAGCAGATAATCAATGTAATGAAGATTTCCGCGCAGAAGTGCGACTTTAATCTGCGTATTACCCAGCTGACTGCCTCGACGGCCATTTGGTTCTCCTCTGGCGAAAAATCCCGGTTCCCGTTGACGAATTGCCTCTGCTAGTCCCAGAGAGCCTTCTCGAGCTGCTGATTTCAGTGTATCCCATGGAATCTGAACGTTTTGCTGCTTCATAAATTCATCCCACAGATACTCGAACACCTCGACTTGTCCAGCCTCTGAGGCGGCGTTCAGCAAACGATTAAGGAGAAGGATGTAAGGGATGGCTTGCTGTGTCCCTGAATCAGCAGTATGAAGTTGAACCTGTCCGTCTTTCAAGACTTCAGGGAGACCTTTGGTAAAGAATTCCTCGATATCCTGGAGGTTTCCTTGAGAGCACCATGATGTGAGGGTTGCCAGCTCCGACATCGCGAGGAGGCTGGGGAAGCGAGCCTTTCTGTTCGCCTTAGAATCGCTGGTTGTTGACTTGAAGCTGGGTCCGAGACTAGACTGGCACACCTGTCCAAACCAAATTCGATTGTATCAGCACCAGACTGAAGCATTGAAGAACATAACCTCAATTTTGCGCGTGGTGATGCCAATTATGTTTTAGAGAGAAACGGAAGAGGGGCAGACAAGCTAGGAAGATACGCCACCTTGACTGCCCAACAGCGGTGGTGAAGCAGTATTACTTCAACCGGTCTCTGACAATGTCACTTGCAGTCAAGTGGCAACACTTGGCAACGAAAGTTAACACATGGGTCTGCTTACTACAACTCCTGGACATGTTTTTGGCCCGTAAGCTCGACATCAAGTCAGATGTGGGTCTCTCCCCTGAATGGGACGGCGTCTCACCATGGACCATGACACTCAAGACTTATTGGTTATTGCTTCTCGTCAATTTGCTTACTTCAGAAAATTAAGCTAACTAACGAGTGCGTAAAAAGTACTCGCTGACATATTATACAGCTCCATAGAGTTATATGACAGATTGCTTGAAATCTTGAGGACCATTTACAGTAGTTGCGTCCGGCCCCCTATACATTACTATCCCCTGTAGGGATGATAAATTGTAATCTCCCACACCCTTATTATATGCAAAGCTTATTTTCTGTTTACCAGCCCCCATCAACCATGCCAGACCGTTTCATGGGAGACCGGTTAGCACTAGCTGGAAGCGTAATGGGCACAGCATCCATGGCAAGATCAGAAAGATAATTCCGAGGATATTGAGTATCCTAAATATAAACCAGTCAGAAAAGCCGGGCAACACATGCTTTACAACCTTGTCAGTAAACTTACGGTATTCACGTCCCATTCGATGTTAGTGACGAATTTCCTGCCTTGCTTGTAGAAACTGATAATCTGGTTCACGTTTGTGTTTCGCATGAGCATCGGGAGTTCTACGTAGGCCCAGACTTCGCCGACAGTAGCTTCTCCATCATGAGCGGGGTCATCTTGAAAGATCAGCTTTAAAGATGAGGAATTGAGATGTATGTACAACTAACCATCCAGGGGTGTCTGCGAGGCAGGAGAGAAAATAGTTCGGCAACCAGCAGGATTGAGGTAGACATAAGCCTTGCCATTGGTAGCGCCAGCAGCCAAGGCTAAGAGAAAAGATTAGATTGACATCAACATTGGTAGACTTAATTGCCGAACCTTTGCTAGCTCGATAAATTCCTCGCCAGTAGAGGTTATTTTGATTGCTAGTATCAATACCCATCTCGTTCTTGAGGAAGTCGTTATCAAAGACGTCTTTGAAGATCTTGCCGTGATTATTCAGCCGAGTCTCTGATTCGATGAACTCGTAGATATTGTCGTAGTCGTCCTCCGTCATAGTTCCTCCAGTCCAAAAGACACCAACACGATCCTCAGTTTTGACCTTGTTGACATAGTAATCGATAAGATACTTGATGTATGGAACACCGTTTGTGTCTTTGCCGTCCTTCTGGCCATCGCCAGAGGTCATATCTGTCCACGCAACTTGTCCATTATCTATGACATGAACGAAATCAAGTCAGCCAGGGTTTTGATCCTACCAGTAGCAAAGGTTGGGAATTTTCCTCTTACTATAATCATCCGTTCGAGGCAGCAAAGCATTCACATGAGAGCCATGAGGAATTGCACAGATGACAGTGGCCTGTAGACAAAAAGAGATAACAACCGCAGAGAGCGCTTTGCTCAAAGAGAAAAGCATCTTGTCTTCTGATGCGGATTAAGTGATGAATGACATCGAATTGGCAAAGATTCTTACTTCGTGGGAGCAGCCTCTACAATAAATACCGCCATGTGGGCCGTACTATTGGGCAAGAATAAGCAGTACCGAAAGCTTGGGACTACAGGGCACGTTATACTTAGTTCATCTCTACATACTAAGCTGAGAAGTCCGAATCCTTCTTGAAGAACTTTCTGCTAAACATTATTTCCGCCCGAGATTATGCCCGAATTAAGTGGCATCTCGCCCCATTAACCTCGTTTCAAGTGACATTTTATGGCCCCCTCAAGTCTTGTCAAATATTGATTCTAGTTTATATCTTTTGTATCTTGTTATTAATATTCAAAAATATTAACTCGTGCTCCAAAATATGTCTAATTGGGATTGCTCCTGCTCTACTTTCTGTATTATTTCTTGACTAGATTCCAAAATAACTTTGCTGATCATAACATAGAAGATATCCTGAGAGATGATCCTAAAGCTATATAAGGGGATAGTTTAAAAGACCTTTAGAAAGCTCTTTTAAAGGAGTGTTATTTAAAGCGTATTCGGCTAGACCTCTTCTCTGGTCGTGAGATACTTCTGACAGAAGGAACGATATGTTTAGCTCGTCGGGCCGTATTGTTATTTCTTTTTTGGTAAGCAACAAGATCCTCTTTTTTTGAAGGAACACCGGAATAATCCAATAATTTTTAAGAAAGTTCAACTTTAGCATTATATTAACCTCGCTAGCCTCTCTTTCTGAAAATGGCCCCATATTAGCAATGTTCCTCATTAAGGACCAACGTAAGCACTTGTTGGGGGGGGCTCGGGGGCCAAAGAGGTGTCTCGTACAACTTTTTCCTTTTAGTGAACATAAAGAGTTAGTGTCATATATTTGCCACTGATATGGCGATCTTTCTCTGTGCAGGCGGAATGTACGTAGTGAACATTGTTTAGTTGGACAATTTATTTCGTCTTAGATGTGAGTCTGTAGCATGAAGCTGGAACTTCAACAAAATCAATTGTAAGGAGATACGGTCTGGATCTAACTAAACATAGTCTTCTATCCACGCCCCTTTGATCTATGAACAATCTAGCAAAAATTTCACTAATCCTATCGTATCGCCCGACACCCACAACGCAAATCACCACGCTATATTAGTTCTCTCCGGCACTCTTCTTCCGCCACAAAGCATTCAATGCCAAACTGCCCCAACGACCCAGATGTGACATACCAGGGCTGCCCCGAACTCGCACGTACCAGTACAAGAAAAGCGACGCAAACACATTGAAGGCGATGTAAGCCCAGATCAGACCCAAATTCCGCCAGCGCTCATCATAGTATGAAGATACAGACGCCAGATAGACATTCGACTGGGCAATCGCGCAATATTCACAGTTGGACGTGGCTTCAGGGTTATACACCGCGCCACCTGCTGTCAGCAAGAATGTTGTCAAATATTCTGCACATGTTTCGCCGCTAGGGGGCTGAACGATGACCGTCTCCAAGCTAGAGCAGTGAACATCAACATTCGCCAGGCCGGTGGAAAGCATGCCGCTGATGAGGTATGTGAGCGGAGAAACCCGATACATGAAGATCCAGAAGCCTGGAAGGCTTGCCGGAGCTGCCATAACGCTAAAAGGTATAGTTAGTATCAGAGTTTCACTCATGTGAGGATTGTAAAAGGTATATTACCCGCAGAAGATCAATGAGAACGCAAATAGCAGCAAGGCTAAAATGGCACCTATCTCGGCGGTTGCAGCACTCGCGACAACCATCATAGTGAAGGTGCTGCAGTGCATCAGGAAGGACCAAATATACATGAACATCAGGCCACTTCTTTCAGTCACTGAATTGGTTGAGGCAGCATTATGGTTCATCCCAATCAAATAGTAAAACGGGAGAAATGTTATCACGGCAGCCAGGGAATTCCATGGAAGCTCCACTGTGATCTGAGCCAATATAAATGTCACCCAAGAGTACACTTTGGATGGTCGTTCGCGAATTTCGTAGAGATCGCGCTGGAGGATGTAATATGGCATGGTCTGGTAGGCAAGGAAAGGAAATATGACGAGTAGCATGAAAATTGCAAACATTTGGTGCTGCAAGCCGAGCTCTGTGATTTTGGTCTGAAGGAAAGACAGCCCGATGAACAAAGACTAGAGTAAGAGGGCAGATAAGTCAGCATTGGCACATCAACTCGATGAAAATACTGCTTTATACTCACAGCGACGAGGCACATAGCCAATTTGGAGTACAGGTAAGAGGGTGTCCGCCAGTACTGCTCAAAGACTCGCTTCGTGCAGAACCAGAACTGCATATGAAAAGGACTCGAATATTGCCGAGCCGAGGTTTCATCATGGCTAGTCTTGGGCATTGGATTTTTCTCCAAGGCATCCAATTCCTGCTGAATTTTGGTATACTCAGTGCTTGAGCGCCAAGTGTCAGCCCAATTACGGGCCTCATTGCTACCCGGGGCAGCACCGATAACATCAAGCATCCACTCGGCGGGATTCTCATCTTCAGTACAGTGACTAGCTCCATGACGTTCAAAATACTCAATCAAGGTCTGCGAGTTTTTGCCGATGTCTCCGAAGTAGACGGTGCGACCACCACTTGCCAATAACAACAAACGATCGAACTGCTGGAAGAGTATTGCGGAAGGCTGATGGATGGTACAGAGAATGGCCTGACCGTGATTGGTGAGCTTCCGTAGCAGTAACAAGATTGACCAAGCACTCTGGCTATCGAGGCCTGACGTTGGTTCGTCCAAAAAGAAAAGTAGATCAGGTTTTGCAGCCAGTTCTACTCCGATGCTCAGTCGTTTTCGCTGCTCGACGTTTAGACCTTCACCAGGAACCCCAACGACGGCATCTGCGTATGGGCTCATGTCAAGAAGGCTAATAATATCCTCCACACTTTGAAGTTTCTCCTCCTCGCTAACAGCCTCAGGCTGTCGAAGAAAGGCGCTAAACTTGAGCGCCTCTCTGACTGTGGTGGTTTCCAGATGAAGATCCTGTTGCTGGACATACCCTATCCGACGTTGGAAAGATTTATCTCGTGGGAGGCCATTTGTCATAACATTGCCGCTCACGACGCCGATGTTGACTCGATTGGCTAAAACATTCAGCAGAGTGGTTTTTCCCGCGCCCGAGGCACCCTAACAGTACTCGTTAGCATGATGAATCGTTATCCAAAACGGGCAACATTTCTTACCATCAAGGCCGTTAGCATACCCGGCTTGACCCAGCCATCAACATGATCAGTTATTCTGCGCACTCCACCTTTGACCGGAATGTCATAGCAAAGGTCCCTCCAGTGCGTAACGTTTCCTTGCTCTGGGGTATTGATGGTCTTTTCATCCGCCTCACTATGCTGCTCCTCTTTTGTAGCCGCAAAAGCCGACGAGAGGTGATTCCGTGGGCCGGCTTCTTCGTCTTCTTTCGGTTGCTCGGCACGAACGGAGTGTTTATGCTTACGCCGAAAGAGGAGAGTCTCGCCCCTGTGGCTATCGGCAGTGATATACTCGGCCGCCAGCAAGTACACAATCATAAAGAAAATGATGTAGCCAACCAGGATCCCAAAGTTGCTGAATGAGAATTTGTTAGCAAGGGCGTCATTTTAAGAATAATGGGTCCTTTATCATACCGCCAGATATGTGAATAGTAGTATCCATAACTCTCCTCGACGTAAATATCCCCAGTGACTCGAGAAGACCCAGAAACGGCCCCTGCTACTGAGCATGTTTGGTGACCTTCAGTGACATTTTGGTATCCAGGTCCTGATGGCACAAAACTTGCACATTCAAAGCTGCGGTGGTGAAACTCGTTGGCAATGATCGACTCGTATGAGTATGCTAGAGGATTGATATAGTTGATCCAGCGCAGCCAGCCCTGCATGTTACGAATTGGGATCACAAAGCCCGTATATACCACAAGACCGATGACAAACAGGGCAGCTGGTGTCAATGCCTCTGCGATTGTTCTTGTGAGCTGACCTATGGTGCGAAATATCATGGACATGGTCATGGTCGAAGCTAAAGCGAAGAGCAAGTAGATAGCTACATGTCCGGATTCGCGTCGTAGATTGGACATGTAATAGAGGGGAATATTGAACGATACAGTCGAAAGAAGTTTCGAAGGAAGATCGCAGATCATGGAAGCAAGAGCTTCCGACAGTGGATGATAGAAGGCGTAAGTTGCATGCTTCTCAACAATTTGCCGCTGGGCGTAAAGAGACAAAATCTGCATCCTTTGTTAGCGACTTCCAAATACCACTTCTGCAACTTATTTGATCAAAATACCTCTAATGAACTGTTGAGGGCATTGAAGAGCAGGGCAAAGAATAACAAAATGCATCGGTTGGTGAGACTGGAGCTATCATCGGACAGCTGGTAGAAGACACTTCCCAGAATAAGAGACATGACGAAATTGCCACCGACTGTGATGGTGAAGAAAGTCATATCACCGCGAATTCGCCGGAATCCTCGGCGAACACATAGCAGGACTTGCAGCGGGACGGAAATGGTGTATGGCGATTTTGGCGTCCTGGATAAAATAAGCAGAATATTCATTGCCGCAAAGAAAGCCACTCACATCCATGAAGCTTTCTCGGCATTTCGAGAATCTTCAAACTGACGGACTCTAGCTCCTCCCACCGGGTTTGCCTTTTCGAAATCTGCAATTTCTTGCATCATCATTTTATTCTGTGCACTCTCCTTCCATGATAGTGCAAACTCATCGGGAGATCGTGGCACTCGCGCCTCGAAGCCAGGCCGCACAATCCTTTCAACGGGGTTTGTCAAGGATGTGAGAAAGTCTGCAGTAGTCTGTCGGTCTGGACAATGATATCCTAAATCTGTGAAATATTCTTTGGCTGTGTGGATCGAGCCAAAGTATATCTGTCGACCTTCGTACAGTACGGTAACTTTGTCGAAAGTCTACCCCTATGGGTCAGCTCTGAATCATGCTAGATTGATAAGAGGGAGCGTCTGTACCTCATAAACCATCTGAGAGGCTTGATACAAAGCCACAATGGTTGTCGTACTTTTGATGTCCACTGCTAGGCGCAAAGTTTGCACAAACTTAAGTGCCGTAGAGCTGTCAAGTCCCCTTGTGCTATTGTCCCAGCATTGAATCGGGCTTTGCGTGAGCACAATCTCGGCAATACTCACTCTTTTGCGCTCTCCGCCACTGACACCCTGAACAAATTCATTGCCCACTTTGGTGTTGAGTGTATGCGAGAGGCCGAATACGGCCATGATGACATCGCGAACGTGTGTTGCATATTCTTCACGAGAGACGCCAGGAAGTCGATTGTTTGGGGTTTTGGCAAGTGCCGCGTACAGGAGTGTCTGGCCGACAGTGAGGTGTGGGAAATGGACATCTGTTTCAGCCTGGTATATCACATCTCCACGAAATTGTTTGCGCATTGCCTCGCGTTGAATGCCTAAGAAATCTTGTAAGTTCATGGTACCAGAGCATTGAAGAAATGTGGCCAAGGGACCTTCGTAGTTGAAGTCTGCCGACGGATCAATCCGGAGCCCTTCCGTCTGTCCTGCAATTGTCTTCAGGAAGGTGGAAACGCCACTATAGGTAACTGAATTTAGTCATCTCCACAAACATCGTCACAACTCATGGGCGCCTCTTACCTGCCTGGCCGGCCCAGTACGAGTAGCATCTCCCCGCTTCTCAATAGACCATTGTGGTTCCGTAATATTTGAATCTTCTCATCTTTGCGATTTATCAGGCCCGCGACAAGGTCTGTGACCTGCAACACAACATTTATGAAGTCCTTCTGGTACCCGGTCGGGCTTCCAAATCCAGATACACTGAGGTTGCGGAAGGATACACCGGCCTTTCGTGGAAGATATTGTTGAGAATCATTTGACATCAATTGAATGACCGTCTCAGCCCAGCGTTTGGGGTCAAACTCGGCCGAGCTGGGATCGAGGGTAGGATCGTCATTGCTTTTGAAAGGGTTGGTGATTGCTCTATCAGATGCGGCGTTTCTCGAGGTGTTAGTCAACTGTCGAGCAAGCCTTGTAATTCTCTGTATGTTCTTTGGTGCAATAGATGCGGAAATTCCCGTTGTATCATTCATGGCTGGTTGTGGCTCATCGGATGATATTGCGAAGCCCGGGAATGATGCTTGATTTCGTTCCCAGGCGATGCTCGAGGCTTCGGACCTAGATGTAGCGATAGTGGAGGACATTGGGAATTAAGTAGATGCAGACGACGAGTTCCATGAATGAGCTAATGAAAATAACTGCCAAACACTAAGGAGACTGGGATGAAACCAACAGATCTGGTGGCGCCGGAGCCTCTTTATACTTCTTGCTTTTCAGCAGCAGCACAACGCCGGGAATAAGGCTCATATCTAAGCCACATTATTTTACCAGTCTTTTCAAAGGAAAATTATTTCACATGCAATCTAGCGAGCGGCGTCCAGTGTGCATCATCCTCTCTTGCAAGATCTACTGACCACCAAATGGTATATGAGTGGGTCTTGAGCAGATTAATATACATCGGCGCCGAAGCTGGTGGAGCCACTAGGCCACAAAACAGATTCGAGCCAATTGGATTGGACGGCTACGCTTCGGCGCCGTTGCTCACCAGGAGGCCTTTTAAACATCGCCTCCGACGCTCCTCTCTCATTACATTTTCCTCCGATTTTATGATCACTAGCTATGTCTCGAGCGCAGCACAAAGCGTGTGATGCGTGCAGGGCTCGGAAGTCTCGATGTAGTAAGTCCCACTTCTATGGGTGCGACATGTCTGGCCCACCCCCTGCTGATGCCGGCGACAGAGCAGGCTGGCACGGCCGATACGTGTGAATTCTGTCTGGTAAGTCTCACTGTTGCTTCAGGGGCAATGATACCGGGAATGACCGTTTGTATGTACAGTCCCGAAATATCCGATGCGCCTTTAGCTACATTAAAAAGCCTCGGAAGCGAAAGCAGAATCATTTAGGTAAGTAACGAGTACCTAAGATGGGCGATTTATATCTGCTGCTAAAGCTGAATGCATAGATGACGTGTCCGTGAGCTCCGGTTCTACACCAGGAGCTGCTATCTTGGCTGATCTACCTTCCCGGGACGAAATCAAGGCGCCTTTGGTGTTGTATATAGACTCTCTGCTGGCTGATCGAGAAGCCTCGCGCATTCGACGGAGTGCCAAGCATCCAGACCAAGTATGGGAGTTCACTTCAAACTTTGACTTATCAAACTGACCGTGTCGACATTCTTAGTTGACTGCTATTCTTGGCCCGAACCCGAACATTTCCTTCTTCCCAGCCAAGAGAGTCCGCTTGATTAGCGAGAGACTTGGTCATGGTCGACTTGAGCAACTGCTCGAGGAGATTAGAGTCATTGTTGCCGCAAAGGTCAAGGCAACCAGCTCAATCCCTCGGCCCAAGCTGTTCCAGGGACATCTGCCAGACAATCCACGCCTAGTTCCTCACCATGAGTCTTTAAAGTCACATATAATCTGTAAGACTTTTCACAGCGGTCTTGTCCTCTTGATTCTTTTGGCTTTACTTATGCTGTTATCTCGCAGTATATTTCGATGCTGTCCATCCTATATATCCTTTTCTCTGTCCCGAAACTTTCAACCGCCGGGTCGCAGCACCAAATCTAGCGCATACCCTCGCCACAGACAAAGCCTGGGCTGCACTTTACTATGCCGTTGTCGCTATCGGCTGTCAGAATAATGAAGGTGGCAGCTTCGAAGCGGGTGTTGGCGAGGCGTGGTCATATTTTGAACGATCACTAGAATGCTTTCAGGACTTGCTCTTCTTTCGTGGTTCCCTCACCGCAGTACAGGTTTGTTGGTCAGCGATTTGATTTCTTTTTCAAGGACTGACTTGTTTATTTACTGGACGATGATAGGCACTCATGGCAATGGTTTGTCCAACTGCCTTCTCGAACGGAAAACCAACTAACCTCATTATTCAGGCGATATTCTCTTCAACTGCATCGGCCTTCCAATTCGAGCCCCTTATGCTGTCAGAAGCCGCAATCATGGCGCAAGGGCTTGGTTATAATCGGGGTAACGGTCTGCACGAAAGCGCACATAGACGAACATTCTGGGTGTTATACTTCATGGAGAAGGTCTCCTGCTTCATAACAGGAAAGATTTCGGTATGTATCACGATCTATCATTACTTCTTTGCTAATCGAAAGCATCTAGGTCTTCCAAGACTCGAACATCAGCTGCGCCATTCCCGACTTCAAAGACTCGACTTTTGATGACTACGATTGGTTTTTCAGCTTCCTGCGCTACGCACGACTGGTGTCCAAAATGTACGACGGCCTATTTACGGTTAGCTCTGCAAACCAACCCACAGCCTTATTCAACGAAACTGTACAGAATCTTCTATCCGAGTTAGAAGCTTGGCGGCTCTCTGCACCTGAGCGCTTTCGCGCCGGAGAGCCACTGAAGCCACGTCTTCTGCGCGAACCACTTGCCCAAACAGTGGCGCTGATGACACAGTATCTCTATCTGAATGCGCTACTTACTCTTTCCTGGACTCTTCTACATTTCGGTGCTGTCAAACTGGGAACAACACAACAGCTTCAGATGAAGCGTGAACTGATGCGTACCGCACGGTCTGTTTTAGAATTGACTAAATTCGTTGATGTCGCACCATCCACGCCAATCTGGTAAGTGATCAAGCTTTCGTAAAATGTCCAATCTAAATGTAATCACTCGCTGATCAATTGAGCACCAGGATCCTTGCTGTGATGCCACTATCTTCTCTAATGATTTTATTCGATCTGGTGGTTCATAACCCCGAGCATCCGGAAACCAGCCTCAGCCTTGCACTCCTCGATATCGCGGGTGGTCACTTCAGCCGCTTAGAATTCGCCAGCAAGGGCACTCTTCCCGGGTCCGTAATTGCACAGTTTGCGCATATTGCGCGCCAATACGTTTCCGAGAAACGACACTGCCAGAAGAACAAAACCAACGAACTCAATATCGGAGACTCAAGGTGTGAGGAGCCCCTGGATACCTCTCAAGGAGAAATTAGGATGCAAGAGCAGCAGTCTAGTATAGAGTTGCCTGGGGCTGATCTATCGAGGACGAGGTCGCATCAAGTTGTCGACCTACTGCCCGTCCAGTCCCAAGAGCTTCCTGTACTTGATCCAGTCGTCCCATCGCTTTGGACTCCAACCCCGCTGAATGGGGGCGAGCAGTTATTCATCCCTATGATTGATGACCCCAACTACCATCTTGGGGACCTGGAGCTGCTGGGAATTGACTTGAAGGATTTGTTCGACTATCCCTATGCAATGTTGGGATGGAACCGCGGGACATGAAATGTCCGAGATCTGCATCTATTTTGCAACCAACCCTCGCGAGGGAATCCCGTGTGAAATGAAGGGCTTTTCTAATTTTATAGCTTAGCACGCGGTCAATAGTTATTCACGCGTCTGAACGCTTGCAAGAATACACAGGACACAGCCTCGCTGATTTGAGCTACCACTACATAGATTACAAGACAATCGCAAGTCATACCATAACCTATCCGCTGTAGATAGGAATCTTCTTTTTGGTATTTAGTGTACTCAGAAAATTCCGTGAAGATGTCAGGGACATCGAGATAACTAAGATATCCGTCTGGAAAACAAAGGGATGGCGCACGGAGATAAGATAGAAAAGGCGGGTTGAAGACGAGAATTAGGAGAGCAGAGAAGATAAAAGACGGATTTTTTTTCGAGGTTTGAAGGGTACAATCGAGGGGTAAAGATCAGGGTAAAAGGGTAAAGGTTGGGGACATCGCAATTAGAGCATGGCAAAAGAAAAGGTGAAGCTGGAGAAGCGAGTATCAAGAACAGCGTGAACTGGTCCTGGAGACGGATCGTTGGCGGCGAAAGGGAGACTGGAGGGTTTTGTAAGGAGAAGGTGGAGAACAAGGTAGAGACAGAGGAGGGTGATGACTCGTTAGGGGAAGAGCATGAAGAAACGACCACAGATCGAGCCATTAGGTCAATTTTCCAAGTTGCGATTCGGTTCCACGCATACCAGATCGATGGAACGACGCCTGACCTGATATCTTGGTCGCATGGACCCGTCCATTGCAGTGAAAGTTTGCCTCCTGGGAGATTTGAAGTAACGCATCGGGGAAAGAGAGTACATCAAAGGGGAAGATAGAGGTGGAGATGTGGGGGAATGGGGGGAAACAGGGAATAAGAAAGAAGATGGAAAACACAAAAGATAGAGAAGAAGAAGAAAAAAAAAACTAAAATAAAGGGAAGCTCGCTTGCACATGACCGCCGCAGATCATCACCGACAGTCTGAAGTCGTAAGGTTCAAGGAAAAACACAAAAGAAACCGTGCAAGCGGTCCCGATCCGACTCCCTGCCAACATCCGAAAGAAAAAAAGGACCGATTTACTCCTGGGGCAGCTGGCTGCGGCGAGTCTTCTCGGCTTCGAGGTTCTCATAGAGAAGGTACAGGGCCTTCTCGTTGGCGGAGGCACTACCCATGATGGTGAACATGCGCTCGCCAGTCTCATCGTGAGGGGCCTTGGCGATCGAGATGCGGGCTCCAGAGCTCCGGCGGATCTCAGTGATCTTGCTGCCAGCGCGGCCAATGATGCAACCAACCATGTCGGCGGGAATGCTGATGTTTTGAGTCTGAATTTCATCGCCGTCTTCAGTAACCAGGGGGTAGCCACGAGAACCACCACCGGTACCAGCGTCGGAGTTGGAACGGCGGCTGTAGCCACCATTGTCACTGAAGTCAGCTCCGTTACCAGTGCGGTTGTACTGACGGCTGGTGTAACCATTGCCAGTGCCGGCGGAGTTGTTGTTCTGCTGCTGAACGGGCTGAGAACCGCCCAGAGATGCGCGAACGGCGGGGTTGTAGAGAACAGTGCCGGTGCCACGCTGCCAGTCATCGATCAGGCACTTGCCAATCTCCCAAACCGCCTTCTCAATACCCTCGGGGGTGCCCTGCACCTCAACAATTCGCTCGGTGGACTGAGGAAGCATTTCCTTCTGGGCGACCATGCGGACACCGGACGCATCCTGAATATGCTTAATCTTCAGGCCCTGGCGGCCGATAATGGTTCCCATCTGGTTGTGGGAGATGAGGAGTCGGACGGCTTTAGGAAAGTTAGCACGTGATATGGGTCTCATGCGGGCTGTGGGATTGCGGCTTGACTGATGTGATTGTGGGTTCACACATGCCGATGCAGCCATCTGGGGGGAGATGTGCTGGATTCCTGGGGGAGAGTAGAGGGGCCATTGAACGACTTACGGTGGGTCCCATTGTTGGAGACGACGCCACCCATACCCATCTGCGGAGCACCCTCCAGGAGGCCCTTCGCAACGATCGCGTAGGCGCGAGCAGTGCCTTGGAGAGGGCCGGTCACGGTCAGGACTCGGTCGTGGACACCGGGGACGACCTTGCTAACACCAGCCTTGACGCCAGTCTCGTCGCGCAGGTCTGCGACGTTCTTGCCAGCCTTGCCAATGATAACACCAGCTTCCTTGGATGAGACAATAGCACGCAGAGTCAGCATCGACTGCGCGTACTCTTCCTCTGTCTTGGGAGTGGCGTCCATGGGCTCTTGCTCGCCGATGGTGTCGACGTAGGCATCGGTCATGGGCTCATCGGCCGAAACGGGAGTTTGGTGAACATCGGTAGCCTCCATCTTTTTTGGTTGAACGAAAATCTGAGGGAAACGGTTCGGGGTTGTGGAAGGGATTTTGAGAAGGGAGGGGAGCGCTCGTCGGAAGTCACACGGTCGCGGCGGAGTGGATAGCGGGGAGGTTCACTAGGTGGAATCAGAATCAGTTTCGGCAAAGAAAGTAAAGGAAGCGCTGCGCCTGAGTAGACTTTGCGATCGTAAAAGATACATCCACCAGGCTTTCGCAGAAAGCCCTAGCGACAGGACGTGGATGGGTGGTGACCTACCGAAGAGGGTCCGACAGAAGTGGAGAAATCGTGGGTGGGAGAAGAGGGGAAAGTGACGAGGGGGTGCAGGAAGAAGGAGGTCGAGGAAGAGGGGGGGGGAAGAGAGAAGAAGGAGGAGGAGGGAGGAGATGACGGAAAAGAGACGGGGAAGTGAGAAGGATGAGGAGGCGAGGGAGGGGGGAGTGAGATGGTGAAGGTGATGGAGAGGGACGTCGTGAAAGAGTTGGAAGAGGGAATGTTGTGAGTTAAGCGGAGAGACGCCAGTTGACCCGCCCGCCCTGCACAGTCCTGACGTCGACTTTGCTACCTAGTTTTGCTAACTAGTCTATACTCGAGATACCCTCAAACAACTGACATGAAAGTTTCTTTTTATCGTGAACTATAGATCTTAGATGCTTCTGATTTACACTTCGATTTTCCGATATGTCAGGATCAAGATGTCCTTCAATGCTTGAGTGCATGTGGGCGTACAGAAAGTTCTTAGTCATTCTGCCAAGCATCCATATCCTGCCGTCCACGATGATTTCGTCGGGGGGTTTGGCTTAACTAGCAGGGTTGGGACTTGAACCCTGCTAGTTCGCTGCAAGCGATGGTTCTATAATCAGATGGCATGGATTGATCTACTGATCCGCCACAAATACTACCTTTTGCACCTTCATGGCATTGAACAATTCATAAGCCTCGACCGCCTGGGAGAGAGGCATAATCTTCTCGGTCATGAATCTGGAATTACAAGCAAGACTTGGTTAGCAATGACAGTGTAACCAGCCTAAAATGATAATCTTAATAGAAAACTCACCCAAGCTTGTGCTGGTTCTTCTTCAGGACCTCCAGGGCCTTGTCAGAAACCGACCGGACAGGGCAACGGCCCATCTGGACGGTGAGGTTCTTGTTGTAGGCATCGTTGCCATCCCAAGGGATCTATCGCGTTTCCCCGATGATAAGTAACTTCACTCGTAAACCTAGCTTGCCCGAATAATGACTTAAAACTCACCTCAGCATTGTGCACTCCAACACTGCTAATAGTTCCCCACGGCCGCAGCAACTCATAGCCTGTGCGCAGCGCAGGACTCAATCCCACAACCTCAATCACGGCATCAGCGCCCCGGCCCTCAGTCAGCTCCAGAACACGCTTGTCCAGACCAGCACGGTCAGTCATAAAGTTCCATGGCTCGGCACCAAGAGACTTGGCCAGCTCCAGTCTCGAGGGAACAGAGTCGACAGCCAGAAGATGCTTGGGCTTGTACTCCAGCGCATTGATCAGCGCACAGAGACCGACGGGGCCACAACCGATCAGGACGACGGTCTGCTCAGCGATTTGCTCTGGGGTGGAGTTCTTGAAAGCATTGTAGGCAGCAAAGTATCCTGTAGGGAAGATATCACCCATTAGGACGAGGTACTTGTCCTCAACGCCCTCGGGGGCTTTCATAACGGTGCCCTCGGCATTGGGGACACGGACCTGAATGCTCATTAGTCAATCTATATTATTGAACCTTTGAGAGTTGAGATCGACGCACATATTGAGCCTGGCCACCGTCCAGACGCTCGCATCCGAAGAGAGTGTTCTTCTCGCAGCGTGACGAGAACCCTTGCTTGCAGTAGAAGCACTTGCCACTGCGAATGTGTTAGAACCTTGCCAACTATCAAAAAGAGATTGAAATCCCACTGCATTCCAACAGATACATACCAGGAAGTAGTAAAGGCGCTGACCACACGGTCGCCCTTCTGCAGAGTCGTCACAGCAGAACCAACCTCAACAATTTCACCCATGAACTCATGGCCCATAATAGGTCCGGCGGGACTAGGCTCAATACCACGATAGACGTGCAAGTCACTATTCTCATACATGAGTAAAGGGCCCTGGTCACAAGGATCTATACGAAATACTCACCTTCCACAAAGTGCCGTGTATCCCACCTTGACAACGATATCCTCAGGATCCTGCACAGTGGGGATAGGACGCTGCTCAACCGCCACCTTGAACGGCTCCTTGAAAACAACTGCCTGCATAGTACCAGTACTCGCCATTTTTTGTTTCTTGATTCTTAGTTGGTTCCGCGGGGCAATGTCTTAGCACTGAATCGAGGCGTCGTACTTGCAGAATGCGGGACTAGAAAAGGACTGGAGGGGTACGACCGGATCCAACCGAGCCTAGCGAAAAGTCAAACTCCGCCGAATGTTCGAGGAATCGAACGACCCGGAGCTTTGCCGGTGCCGAGTGGCCTTGGAAAAGGATTCAATTGAGGAATTTGCGGGTCCCGGCATTGGAGTCTGTGTGGTGGGTCTGATAGCGTACGGGTGCGGTTTAACCGGGTCTCTACGAGAGAATGGTTGCTTGGTTGTTCCAGGTGTAGATTTATGGATTATTTATTTCTATAACGGACATTGAGAATAGTGTGAAACGTGATAATCTACGGCCATGAGACGTATGGGGGATATGGGAGAGTGTATGCGAAGGAGGGGAGTTGAAGTATAACCTCCTCGCAAAGTCACCTAGTATGACCAGCGCCATCGCATAGACTTGAAAGATGAACAATGAGCGACAGGTATGAACTATCCTAAGCAGTCCAGAAGTATCTACGCTCGTACCTGATCTTGCTCCTACGTGCAAGTAAAAGAACATTCTCAAAATCAAGAAGACAGTGAAGCATACTCGAGGCTCCAGGTTGAGAAAAATGAAACCAAAACAAGGATTCTGGAATCAGAGCCTCTCATGGTACCAAGAGCTATATCATAAAAATGGCTACTCGTCATTTAATCAAACAAAATCTTCAAAGTAAACCAGAGCAGAAAGAAATCAATGGGGCCGTTGCCTAACGCCTATCAAAAACACTAAAGCTGATAACAACGATAGCTAGAATAACGTCTGGGGCAATCAATCTGGACGCAATAAATGCACACGGCAAAGGAAGAAAGGGACATTGTCGCTGTAGGACATGATCATAAAGCGCAACAGTTGAAAGTGGAGATTGGGATGTGTGCAATGCTTCAAAGAGAAACACTTAGCACACGATGCAGAGCAGTTCTTCCTCCAGAATGAACTTCCCCTCCTTATATTTCTCGCTGCTCTCGTAGGCCTTGTCGTACTTCCAACCCACGGTCTCTTTGCACTGTCGGCAGGAGATGTCGCGGACGATGTGGCGACCGGTCGTCATACTGCGCTCGACGGCATCGGACTGGGTGATGTTCACGACGGTGTTGAAGAGGTAGGCCTTGCCATGTTGACCACGGAAGTTCTAACAGCAAGCAGATATCGTGTCAGTAGGTTCGAGGTAAAAGTAGAGGGACGATGGCAAGGTGCTTTGATGACTTGATTAAAGAATGCTCACTCGACTGATGATATCATTGTAGTCGGCAAGGTGTGTCTTGCACTGCTTGCAGCCAAATATCTTGTTGGAAGTCAGATAGACATTGTACGAAAGACCCATGGTGACTGATTGGGGGTGGTGTTTGTTGGTGAACAGATGAGTACTGGAGCTCTCCGGTGTGGGGTAAGCAGCAGGGGTGTAGGTCTAGGAGGATGGAATAGAAGCAAAGGCAGAAGGAGGAGGCAGGTGCAAAACAGAATTTTAAATAAGCGAAACCAGCGCCTAAATAGTTATGGGATGCGAAGCTCTCCTTTAAGACTCCTCAAAGTCAGGTGTCTGGGTCTTCGATCGGGGGTATAGACTCAACCAGAGTGCCTGTGCACTGGTAGTGCCTTTCGAGAATCCAGCCTAGCTCGGATTCAGCTATGCTTTGTCTTGGATATGAAAGGGACCCGTCTCAACACCGACCGGGGCGTTGGAAGCTTCCAGGAAGTCTGGGAGGATCGAGCGACTTGAGGTTGGGGAAGCCTGACGAGTGACTGACGATAAGATCTCCGCACGATAAGAAGTCGGGACAGTCGGGATTCACGGAGGAAAGGGGCAGCAGCCAGCAGCCCCCTTGGTCTCGTCCCGGGAGGAGTCTGTGGGTCTGCGCCAGGGAGTTTTATAGAACGAGTCAGCGAGGACAAGAGTTCAGTTGGGTAAGGTTGAAGGAAGAGTTCAAGGTGTGAGAGGGGGACTTAAACCCCCCGTCTTGGATGCCTCAGGCGCGACGCCCCGCATTAAGCGTGATCAGCTGGTAGAAGATGCGTCAGCTAAAGATCTATGCGGCTCTTTTTGAAGTCAAGAGACAATGCCAATCAACAGGGAATATACGAGGCAATATGCATGGAGAACATCAAGTGGTGTGTCTATTTTGCGTAAATTCAATTATATCCCTGTACAAAGCGCCAGTAAAATGTGCTCCTGCATGCTTGATGCCCATATTACACAACGGTCTAGACACGGCTGCACTGCCTCAATCACCATGAAGAAAACAGTCCTACAAGCTGAACAGGACTACTCATAGTCCCTCAAGTACCGACCGGGTAGCTCGACATCCCACATCGGCCGCTCCACCACGGCCACCTCCAGGGTCCCGGACGGGCTCTGGTCCTCCTCCTCCAAGTCATCGCCCGACACGCCACCCAGGGGGACAATTCCAAGAATATCACGGTACTTATATGTGTGCCACCAGCGGCGTGGAGGCTGAGAGGCGGTGCCATTGGCTGCCACTAGCTGCTTCTTCGGGGTGTCTGCAGCCCCATTGATGCCGGCGATCAATTTACCCTTGGAGCTCTTCTGGGGAGTTCCAAGTTCCACGGCGGTGCCGTCCTCGCGTCGGAGACGGGCCAGGGCGGTTTGATTGGTTGCAGCAAAGCTTTCGTCATACTCGTAAGCCTCGTCATCCTCGGGGTTGCGGGAGCGTTCTTGATCGAGCGAGATCCACTCGCCCTGCGACTCATCGTGGCCGACGATCTTGCGCACCTTGGTTCCAAGGTGGATATCCATCTGAGCACGGGAGATCTTATCACCAGCACCGCTGTTGGGCTTCTTGCGGTCCTTCTCATCATCCTCGAACGGATCACGCTTGCGCTTGGAGGCCTTGACGAGCTGCTGGGAGGCTTCATCGTCCTCCTCCTTGAATTCCTCGGGGGAGGGGAAATCTTGCAGCATGTCGAACATCCACAGCCAGGAAGTTCCATAAAGCCAGACGCGCTCACGGCCCTCGGAGAGATCCCACAAGCAGCCCATCGCACGGTCCTTAACGCCCCGGAACTCAGCTGGGAGGTAAGCCTTGGGGTTGCGTCGAGACCAGTCTGACAGCTTGCCGCTGCGAGCCTCAAATTCAATCAGCTGGTGCTCGCTGGTCACGACCATCAGGCGATCCTCTCCGGTCGAGGAACTGTTGCCGTTGGTCAAGACCTTTGATGAGGACTGTTGAGGACGGAAGGACAGCAAGGTGATGCCTGCCTTCATTCGGGGAATTGGGGACTCGGAAGCTGCGGTATGCCAACGTTCACCCTCGAAGACAACATCCTCCTCGTCATCCTCGTCGTCGGATGAATCACCATCCGTCTTAGAGACGCCGTTGGACTTAGAGTGACCGTTGGCGCCCGAATCCGCTACCGGGTTCAGGACCCAAGTATCAACACATCCTGAAAGGTCAGCGGTGGCCAAGATCTTGCTGTCTTCCGAGAATACAGCGGAGCGGACCACCCTTTCGTAGTCACCGAGAGTACCATGAGAGGCCTTCTCGTGTCGTGTATGACGCTTGACACGCTTAAGAAGTGCAAGCTGCGGCGTAATTTCGGGCTTGTCGGTAGTCGAAGAGGCTGATTGAACGCGAGCCACATAAACACCACTGTTGGGACGGACGATGCAGATCCACCGGCTATCGGGGGAGAGAGTCACCAGACGAGCGCCGTCTCCAGATAGAGATTTGGGAATATCAATCTTCTGAATGCGCAGGGCGCCCTTCTCATCACCCTTGCGTCGGCGAACAGTGAACAGCTTAACGTCGGAAATTGTAGCAACGACAAGGAGCTTGCCGTCTGGTGATAGCATAGCGGAAGTAATATTTTCTTCGCCCTGTAGAGCGTAGAAAGGAACTTGTTAGCGTTCCTCTAGAGAAACGACAGTCGACGTAATGAAATTCTTACCTGAATCATCACCTTCGCAACAAGCCTATGCCTCTGGCCATCGATATGCTCGTTCACAGAAGCAGGGCCTCGAGAGACCCGCCAGAGACTGACCTCTCGATCCCAGAAGCTCATCACTAGGCGAGAGGATGATGCGGAAGTAAGCTGAGGAATTTGCGGCAGGCTGGAGAGTTTACGGTGGTGCTCTTTGCCGAATTCACGGAGGGGGAGGACAACCGGCGTCGCATCGGGACCTACAAGCAATTTAGTTAGCACTCTATAACAAGCTGGAAAGCGGAGCAGGGCTGTTGTCACATACCTCCAGACACAGCAATGCTGATCTCTTTCGTCTCGTAGACGGCAAATGTCTTGACATCGTGAGTATGGTATCGACGATGCATGACCTCCGCCCAACGGCTCTTCTTATCACCCGTCTCAACGTCCTTCTTGCGGTAAACCACTGTTCTCTGATCCGCGCCACCACTAATGACGGTATCGCCGTTCGCGCTCACGGCCACGTCAAGAACATCAGCGAGATGGCCCTGTATCCGCTGGATAAGAGAGTAGTTCTTGGCATCCCAGAACCGGATCTCGCCCGCAGAATCACCAGAGACGATCGTGCCGTCTGGCAGGCACTTGACAGACCAAACCAGTAACTCCTTCGGGCCACCCGCAGGTCCCTTTCCAAGCGAAATTGTCCGCAGTTGTTGACCATTGCGAATATCGAAGATACGAATAGAGCTATCAGCATAGCCCGCGACGATGGTGTTCCGGTTCTGGAAGGTGATGCTGAGAACTCGGGCCCTCTTCGTGGAAGGGCGCATGAGACGGAGGAATCTCAGGTCATTATCTGCCGTTGACAGGATCACAATTGATCCATCTGCACAACCGGCTGCCAGGTGCTGGCCAAGGAATTCGCCCTCGGCGGGAGGAAGGAATTTTCCATTTGCACCTCGCTTGGTAGGTTGCCAATGAGGCTGCGCAGCAAGGCACCAAATTTCACCGTAGTTTCCACTCGAGTGACGCAGAGGACGTCCCTGCTCGAGATCCCACTCTGTAACGGCCGTAGAGTAGCCAATGCTGAACAGGCGCAACTTGCCAGGCAGCTTGGAACCCGAGGGTCCGTCCTCATGAGGATCTTGAGTCCAAGTCAAGCCTTCAATGCTTCGGTCTTTTCCTCCACGCAGCACGGTCTCCTGGAACCAGGCTCCGCGCAACGGGTTCCATATTTCGATGTCGCCGTTCGCACGACCGATCGCGAGTCGAAGGGTAGGGACACCTCGTCCGGCAAGATCTGCGGAAGGGGGATGCGAGAATGCAAGCGAGTTGATCGCCTGCGGATTGTAGGAAACGAATCGACAGCGGTGAATATCCATGGCTGCGGTATTGGGCCTTCTCTGAAGCGGATGCGCTCTCTCGGTATGATACAGATGTTCGGATGCAAAGTTCGGGGGTTGAGGCGCAAAAAAAATCAATTCTGACGGAAACCAATATGGGCTGCGATGCAAGCCCTTACGCACTCATCTCGTAGTCGGAAAATAGGGAATGAATGCGGCGTCGTAGCTGTCTAGCCGTTGCGCGGTCTCTTTTTTTTCTGTAGATAAATTTTAGCGGGCCGGATTATCTTGGCGGAAGGCGGTGGGTCACGTGTCGAGATACCATCGTGTGCGCCTGTAATATCAGGCAGAAAGAGAAGCAGAGCAGCGATTGTAGGTAGATCCATGTTTCTCAGGCTTGAAGGTTCTCTGATAGAAGTTGAATGGTATATGACAGGGAGCGGATACGAGGATCAAAATGAGGTCAACATAAGACTTCGAATGAATTTCGTAGATGTGCAGAAGTGTATGCTCACGAGAACAAAGCATGGTTTGACCAAACAATTGATCAATACCGATTAATTTACAATGAGACCTGGAAACAATCGATTTCAAGACGACTCGGAGACAGCCACAGCTTCTGTGTATTCAAAGTATATGAGATCATACGAACTATGGCGTTCATGCAAAGGGACAAAAATGGCTCTTTTAGATCTACGGCTAGTCGCAAATACAGCCTCTCGAAGTCATCAACTGGCCAACAAGCGGTCAACATTCTCTAGTTACCAGCCAGCCGCTGATCTCAGTCATGAACTAGACAGCATGAGATAGAAACTGAAAGGGAAGGGCGGCAACATCCATATTCCTGTACCTGAGCGCTGTCAGGCGTCTCAAGCGTCCAAGTTGGGAAACAAGCATCAAAGTATAAAGGTCCTACCTGTACTACTCGTGAAGCCACAAAGCTATGGTATTGGGCTATCATGCCAAAAGTAAGGGATCGCACGGCGAGCGTCAAGCAATGCAAATGGCATCAAGCATCTATACGGGTTTTCATGACAGGCTCAGCTGAATGGACACCCATGATAGAGTGGTCGTCTGCCAGAATGCAGCACACTAGCGACGACCGGCTTGAAGATTCCATATTAGGGTTGCTTCCATTTCATGCAGGCCCAGGCCAGCAAAGGGCTGCCACGTCAGAAACAACGCCATTCCCTCTCAAGATGAGTGGCTGCGGCGGACCCCTGGACGTTCTTCTCCCTGAATCATGCAGTTCTTATGTATCAGATTCCAGAAAACCCGACTGAAGGGACACTCCTGATAGGGCAACGTCCTGCTTGACTTGCCAATCTGATCGTTAGGCTGTCCACAATCAGCAGGTAGGTAAAGTAAGAGCCAGCATCAAGCTGGATGAGGGGAATGCGGGACACTTGATCAGTGTTTCATTGGCCAGTTTCCACGGCAGAGCTGTCAGTGGCGGGCGGAGGAAAGACGAACTCGCGATATCCTGGTCCACTCATGCTTGTGCTGTATTCAAAAGATATGCCAAAGCAATCGAATTGCCGGACAGCACTGCGATCGGTTCAGCAAGGCCAATGGGACTGGAAAAGCGAAGTTGCTTCGGTGCACAAGGTGTGGCTCGCTTGGCCCCCCGTCAGCAGCGCCCACGAACTCGGGCACGCCGATTCGACAGTTTATTTCCAGCCGCTGATGGACAGAGATAAGCACTAGGATTCGATGGCAGTGCTCTGCTCGCCTCTGAACATGGCGCGATCGTTTCTTTATTTCATGGTTGATATGCTGAATGGCTCACGGTCGCGCGGCACGTAGCACTCAAACTCAATTCAGGTAACCAATCTACTAACCAATTTACTCACTATGGAGCTAGTAGAGATAGTAGGGGCAGTAGGGCGAGTAGGGGTAGGGATATCTAAACAATACCTAAAATGAAAATTCTCAAAAATACCATATGGATCACGTCAGGTCACCTTGCTAAAACGGAACCGACCAATCATCTCGAACCAAGCGTCAAGTTTGACAATATCTTGCTCCGTTTCGCTCCGCAACAATAGAACCTACTGATTAGAGGTATTAGATCGGTCGCATTTGCTCTTTTTTTAGACCTGATCATCTTGTTTAGCACGGGTTTCAACTGCCGACAAAGTTGGTTTTGGAGTACGTACATATGCTAGGAGGTTCGGCTTAAGGCGCGCGCATGCGATGCTGGGCGGTATTCAGTGGCTGTCGGGTTCTGGACCACCCCGTTCGGCGCCCGGGTTCTTTTTCCAGTTGCACCTGTCAGGCTGACTATAGGTGACTACAAGAGTTAAGTCGTGACAAGCTTGCAGGGGGACTTAACTCGGATGATTTCTTCAATAGTGCCATTCCTGCTTGGCATCTTTAAGCGCTTTCTCTCCTTTGCCAAAACTACGGCAGCCACCAGAATGGGTGTGGGACATGGCCAATCTTCTCAAGGCTGGTGTCCAAATCGGCACAGAACATGTGATACAACTCAATTATACTGAAGCAAGCCCAGGAATGCAGGTCTTCAATGTTCAAGATGTATCTTATCAGGGCCAATGACCTTAATCTCCCATCAAGACGGTTGATTCGCATGTCCTTTCGAATTTCCGATTTCTGCACAATCACATCCCCAGTATAAGACGATGTCATAGATTTAAGCACTCCTTGCGCTGTGGCGGGTCAAGACATCGAATCGTCAGGACGTTGTAGGTAGATCCTCCCACGTTGCCAACTTGACCTGCAAGGTCGGCGTTTCTACAGTGTTTCCTAATCTCCCATCGCAAGGGGATACAAGATCCAAGTGTCCGCAATTTGACGAGTTTTACTGAGTTACAGGACGGCCCTGTCTTCGCCAATGCCAAAACTTCCGAGCCGGTCTGATCTACGGCGCGTCCACTTCAATCTGGTACAGTAGTTCAAATCTGAGCTGTCAATGAGATGCCACCAACAATTTGACTCACCTTAACCGAGACTCGACACCCAGAGATAACGCGGGTTTGCAAATGAAAGACGTCACCAAACAATTACTTGCACAGAAGTGAATGTTTATCACGGTTTCGGCTGTTTGTACTGTATTTGAACATTCAGGCAATCCGTTTACAAACGGTCTCCGAGACTTGCAGTAAAATATACATGCGGAAGGGAAGATCAAAATCTATACGCCACAATCCACCAAAAAATATAGTAAACGCGAGTATACCCAAAGTATCGTGCTGAAGGAAAGACTATTTTCTCGTTCGAAACCGAATACATACGTTCCGTTCCACCCTATCTTTATTTATTCTATCCGTGACTCGTCGGAACGCCTCAACCATGGAAAGCGTGTTAGTCTTTCCCCCGATTACATGTGTAATCAATAATCAAGACTCCACACTATCAACAACGGTTTTCAAGCAGGGCCGTTCCGGCCTTGAGAAACCATGGTAAGAAGCGGGCAGACTCAAATCCTGACCTAATTGTGCCTTTCCCCAACACTGTGCGGTGGCTCTCGCCCCGCTCATTGACATATTTTCGGTCCACTGTGGTTTTGACGCGAAAAACAGAGGTGGTCACAGTGGCGATGGTCGGATGCAGCGGATACCGTACGCACAAAAGGATGTTCGGCGGCAGATGGAATTTCAACGGCATCAAGTGCCTTCGGACTTGAAACTAGAGGAAGCAGAGTTCTACAAAGTCCCCAGACGGTAATATTTGGGGTTACATAAGATAGGGTGGGCGCTTAGATTGGCTGTACAATTGCCAGGTGTATATTTTGAGAAAACCTACCGTAGGTGTTTGAATTCTCACACAATGAATCAATCTTTAAAGATTGACTTCAGATCCTGCTCAACCACATACTTTGTACTACACATGAAAGATCTACTGTAGTTCGAATCCTCTAGACGTCTGTTCGGATCCGAGTACAGAACGGAATTAACATACAGCGTACTTGACCGGTGAAAACTGGAAAGAAAATTTCCTGTTCTATTGCCCCTCTGCGGAGAAGTCTACTGTATATTATCGTGAAGTTTTTTTCTTCTGCAGCGTCGGAGTGGGCTTTAACTCCACAATGTCAGATATTTCCTTCCCGATAGTTCCTTAAGTCAGCGAACATTCTTGGGTCGTGGACAAGGTGCGTCAAGCTTGCATCAGTTTTCGAATTAGCTCCGGTTGTTTGCCGCGTCTTGGAGAAGGGTTCTTCGAGCCTGAAGCAGAAACTACTATCACAGCTGTGCTGGATCAGATCTACTACGAATGAAATTGAGGATGGATTTCTTCAATTCAAAAACCCTCATGCTGATGATGGCCTCAATTTTCCTCCAGCGATTTTCAATGAGCAAAAATCTTCGCGTGGCCCCCACAACGAATTAAAGTGGTGCTAATTAGCAACGCGTATCCAATGGACAAGACAATATGGCCTATTTCGGTAAAGCGAGACTGGGGCCCGCGGAGGCTCAACCATGGTTTCTGGGTGGTTTTTACCTCCCCTTTCCCCGCCCCTTTTCATCTTGAGATTTGCTTCCTGTTGAGAGGCAACCTAGGCTTTTTTTGAACCATTTTGCTTGTATAGATACTCACAAATCATTGATAGTCTAGATACTGCACTCCCGAGACTGGTCATCTCCCTTTCTCCCTACTTCCCAGCAGGATCTCTGTCAATGGAAGATGAAGGGTCGATCGGAGCAGTCAGGCGATTCGATACGCCGCTAAGCCTGAGATAGTTTAGAGTACAAAACAGGTGGAGAATACCCGTCGTGTAACGAACAGAAAGAGCTCCACCTCGGAGCTTTCTGTATGGGTACGCCGTACGAGTCCACGATTACATACACTGCTGAAGCCCTCAGCTCCCAAAAGGGATAAATTGGCTTCGCGTTCAAAGTAGTCTGTCATCTTCGTGGCGTGCTGAACACGTTCGCGAGTCCTCCAGCCAACAAACCCATGCAAACCTTAACCGAACTGGCAACTCCCCTGCAGGTGCAAGGATACCAATCTGGGTCTTGACGCCCCATTCGTTGGACGGCTTAGGCGTACTGTATTGGCCTCGGCTACGATCGAGGCTA